TATACGGGCCACCAATACATGGAGTCGGGTAAAATACGTCCCCAATCCACAACATGTATGAAGCTAACAGTCCCGCAGAAGACAACGCCATAGTCGCTGACAACACACGGGCCCTATATCTGTGTTAGATCAACATAAATGAGACGTCCAGCTTACACTAAATTTATCAGTAAGCACTTAAGATTATGCTCTGATCTAGTTGCTGTCCCTACTGCCGAGAATAACATCAAAGCAATGCTGAACGAACACTCAAATGTCCGCTCTGTTAATTTGGTGAAGCTCAGAGCGGCTATTGTAAAAGAGCTCCAATCGGACTTCTGCCAGTATATAACACAACTCGTCAGTTAACAAGGACCCCGACCGCGAATGCCAATTTGAAGGAGCATGATCCTTCACGAGGAATTTGATACCGCAGAGATCTGAAAAACAGCCTTGCAAGTCAAGAATCGTATTATAAATCACGGAGATAATACTATTATCCTGAGGCTATTCCCAGGAATAACCGAATTATGAATGTCGGGCGTGGTTCTCTAAGATCTAGGTCTCATCAGATGACGAAGTCTTTGGGGAGGACAAGACGATGGCGACGGAGCTTTGGAGGAGTCGCATGCGTTCTGGCCAACTAAATGAGTCTGGATGGGGTTGTAACTTCGAATATTGGTCACATATTACTCTACCAGAACGTAGATCAAGACTCGGCAGGCAACGTCGAACAACGCAGAAAACTCACCATGAACCACCACCGCCACCCCATAACTTCGCTGCTAACCTCCTTGACAATCTAAGTGCTACAGAGTCCGTCGCCCCAGCCTCTCAAGAGATGGTCTCGTTGTTCATTGGGCCAAGGTGAAGCAGACCTTGGAGGAAGCCAGGAAGGTGACCGTTCAGGTTTCAACTTTCATGCTGTCAGCGTACCAGGCTCCTCATCTTCAAGCCCCCCTGCTCATCCCGCAGAAACTAGCCCCCATGTACGGTCAACTTATGATGGAGGCATGAAGATAGAACTCTGAAAGGGCCCATCAGCTGGAGAAACTACAGGTAATTAGGCTCCATTGCTGCATGAGGCCTCAAAGAACTTATAAACAATATCAACCAAATCGGTATGCTTTCATTTGGTCTTTTCCCACGATGGAGACTACCAACAGGCGAGCCGCAGAATGACGGAAGTGGACCTCCAAGATCCAACTCCTGTCTACTGGATCACATAGCAGCGAAGGATGCGTTATTTACCTCTCACCGGTATTCCTACTAGTCTACATTTGTGATTGAAATGCGTCCCGTCCTGGTTGTTGTCTGACCCTAATTGCCCTCTTGGTCGAACGGAGATTGCCCTTTGGCTAGATTCAGATCGAACGCCACACCCAAAGCGAACTGATAGAAAGTTCATTATTGTTCTCCAACCTATCTTGCATTTGTGTCACGCCGGCTGGCTAGCTCCTCATGAACACGGATGAGAAAAAAGATGCGACCCGCACCACAGGGCGTTTCTCAATAACTCGTACAAAAATACAAACTGAACGACCAAGCAGTACTATTTCAGGGCGTTCGTCGTAAGCTTGTGTGTACTTCATATGAATTGCATGATGAGAGTTCATTGGACGTGACCAAGGAGTCACGTCCTGCCTGCCGCTGCCAACAGCGGCCTTGGTGATCTTCACGCAGGTTCTCTACTTCGTCATTACCAAGAGAAGCACCGTAGACCAGGTCTTCAACGCACCACACCACATCCATATGCTTACCCTAAGTCTCTGTGGCAATTTGTGGCCAGGAAGGGTGATAATTACATCCTCGTATAGAGCATAACCGGAGGAATGGTATAAAGGGCGAGGAGAAGTTTGGGACGGTTATCTAACTTGCCCGCTCTGCCGAAACAGTAAAGCTTCACAAGGAATAATAAGCAGTGCCAGTTTCAGGTTGGTATAACTTTACTGTAAGTTAGCCGCCGCGGCTGCCGCAGGGTTGGTGCCTATATATGGAAGAACAGCCAGGACTACATTGTGTTTGCTAATGCAGCCAGTTGTGTAAGTGTTTGTGTCTCCACAAAATACATCCGCAAGTTAATACGTTATATATCTAGCATCCAGGTCGGACAATTACTTACCTTCTATTCCACTAAGACACCCACTAGTCAGTACGTCCTATATCTATTATCCAGGTAGGAAAATCATTTACATACTATTGTACCAAGTCACCCACAATTCAGTACGTCATATGTCCAGCATTCAGGTCGGATAATTATTTACACGCTATTCCAACAAGACATCCACAGGTTAGTACGTTATATACCCAGCATCTAGGCTGCACCATTACTAACCTCCTATTCCAAGACATCCATAGGTTAGTACGTCGTGTAACCAGTATCGGGTCATATTATTACTTACAAACTTTCTTAAATTTTAGTAACTGAAATCAACGTGGTTTTTAAATGTAATATTTGGAGAAAAGACAAAAACGACGCTGACAGAAACACATGAAAGGCCGCTGCAGTAGTTTGGGTGAATCCACAGACTAGTGAGTCAACAGGAGAGCATCTTCACAGGCACTCAGGGAGTTGCAGTTAGTGGAATGAGTAGCATTAATCAATGTCCAGCTAGTCAGAAGACCTCTACTGGTCTGTCACTTGCCTGCACCAAACACGCTTAAGGGCTTGGCTGACACGATTCAGGTCTACAGATTCTTTTTCTAGCCAACAGTCATTTCCCCGCAATCTTAACATGAGTAATGAGGGAGGGAGGATTAGATTCGCCATTCCCCATGTCATTGGCGAGACGGGAATACATTCACCACGTTCCTGGCGTATTGACGATTCCCTGGCGAATATTGACTCGATCGGCCAGACCAATGTATTTACCTAACTCAGAGTGCATACACTCAGCTTTCATCCTATTGATGTTGGGTGCAGACCAACTAATAATTTCGGACGTAAGGTTTTGACATTCAATACCCCTCGCTTTGTCGATAACATGGTCTTTCCTGGCTGCCGAGCAAGTTCATTTTCGCTCTCCTTGTGCTAACACGTCACAGGATCGTGGGGCTCCGCTTGGCAGTTGGAAACCTTTGTCGTCGATCAAGAATGCCCATGTGACTTCTGTGCACTGCGCCGAAGGATTTCCTCGCCCTCCGCAAAGGTATATTGAGGTGATTACTTGGATTTCTGGGCATTGATATGAGACACAGTCGGTTTAGCTGTGGGAAGTGTATTCACCCGCTATCTTTACCTTGTTGGCATCTATGGACTATAGCTGTCTTGTGCTATCTTGAATTGGTTCTCAATGCCACAACAGCACTCGGTCCTGATGGGCGAATCACAGCCCCCTTAGTGCCTCGGGAGTGGACTCGGGGCAGCGTACTTCGAGGGCGATAATTAATTGTGGTTAGACCATCCCTCTGATGTACTCTTAATCTGATGGCGAACTCCCTACAATAGACATTACGATTCACTCTTCTGTGTCTTGCAATATTCACGTTCTGATAGCCAATCCCTGCGTCGTCGTCGATTCACCCTTCAGTGGAGGAAATGCTCGCAATGCAAAAAGTACTTGAGAAAGGTCGCCAACTGTCCAGGATTTCCCTGACCTTCTCTTACGCTTAATCTTGGCATCACCTTGACCCCCTGACATCTCCTCGATCCTTGGCGACCTACAAACTGAGGTTTTATCTCCAACGCCTCGATCCTGCTCTGCTCCCGTGCATGACAGCCTTCTGCTTTCCGTGGCCCGAGTCCGTGAGTGGCCGATGCCAAGCTACTGCTCCACCGCCACACCCTCGACGTGTTGCTTGAGTGACCTCTGGTTCGTATACCTCGTTTGCGACAACCAATCGACATGCAAATCTGACAGTGACTCGACTATTGTTTGTTCCTGGTCTGTGTCACGGAGGCCTCAATTAAAATCAAACTGGATTCACAGATCGAGGACATTCAGCTGCCTTACCCAGAAAAGATGGTTCAGTTCTCTCTTGTTCGTCAGAAAAGTGCGTTATTCTTGGAAGGGTTCCTCTGTGCTCCCGATCAAGCCAAGGTCAACGTCTTATGGCCTAGTGCCACAGTGGCTTTCAGACAGTGGCTGTGTACACACTAACTAGCTCCCCGCTATCAAGTGTGTTATCGGACAGTATCTCGAGGTCTTCCAGGATCACTCCTGGGATTTGTTAGTTTTCGGGTCTTTTTAAGGCGACCAAGACACCGAACTTTGGCATATCCAGTTCCTTATTGGCCGAAGAGTAACCAATACTCGGCCACGGACTCGTTTGGATTTTGACCAACACCGACCCACTCATCATACTCCTGGTAAGTCAGTAGTGAGTATTATATTGGTCTGCCTTCTAGCCTACTTGATATATCTCGATTTACCCCTGTTTCCTTATCCTTTCCCTACCGACGTCTTAAGTAAGGTACAACTAGCTAAGAGCTTCAAGAGGTTTATAAGACAGGCCGGATTAGTAGAGATCAAAGGACATATAGAAGCTAGGAAGCTTAGGGAATTATATGGAGAGAATTTCGACGTAGTAGAGGAACATATAGATGGAAGAGAGTTCGAATAGAAGCTTACTTAAAGGGGGGTGTGTCAAATACAAGGGGTTACGTGACCTACCAAGAGTCACGTAATTACCAGCCACTGGGACTTAGTCAAGATCCCTCTGCAGAGCAGATCATAAAGCACATACATAAAAATCATTCCATCACACAGAACAGGCACATTACCTTCACATCAAGGTCACATCGCAAGATACGTAAATATACAACAGCACATTCCCTGTCGTGGAACTTGGCTCAGTCGGGAACGAATCAAACGGCCCGACACTGGCGCAAACCAATATAGCGAAATGTATGGTTCAACGGCTAAGAATATCCGAGATTGGGCTGGTTCCTGCAAAAGCCCAATTCCGGAATGAGACACTGCGAGTTTCCCTTGAAAGACGATGCTGCATTAGTCAGCTCCGTAGACTCCATTGTGTGCAACGCAGTATGTGTGGGAGAGAGCTACCCCGCTGAGTCTTCTCTACACAATCATCACATCTTGACATTGTTCACCGCAGCGAACATTGACTCAATTTTGTCAGCTCACTGCCATGGGCCAGTCGCGAATTCCTCCTACCCCAAGCGATATCAAGCTTGATGGCAAAACCATTATAATCACCGGAGGAAATTCTGGACTGGGTCTCGAAGCCGCCCGACAGTACCTTGTTTTGGGAGCTTCGCGTGTCATTCTCGCTTGTCGTTCAATCACCCGGGGACAGGAAGCACTGTCCGCGCTGCGGGCTGACCCAGTTGTCAATAATGCAAATCCAGGCGCCATCATTGAGGTGTTTGAGCTCGACCTGGCCGACTACCAATCTGGACTTCGCTTTACCGATAAGGTCAAGAAGGAGGTCAAAGAGCTAGACATTCTTCTGAACAATGGCGGGCAAGTAGTGATAAAGTATGAGAAAGCCCCGACCGGGCACGAGCGGAATTTCCAAGGTGAGAACCACAAGATGCCTCATGTGTACCAATGACTGATCTCTGGTAGTCAATTGTCTCACCCATATCCTTATTTGCCTCGAACTTTTCCCACTTCTTCGAGCCACCGCCGCTTCTCAAGGGTCGCCAACGCGCATCACGTACACAGGCTCTGCAGCTCAGATCAGCCAGAACACCCTTAGCAAGAAGCCTATCACGTCAACAGAGACAGTTCTGGGTCACTTCGACGAGGAAGCCAATTTCAGCTCCTGGTTTCGCTACGCCGACACCAAGCTTGCGGTCAACGCCCACGTTCGGCGATTGGCCATGCTAGCCCCCTCTGAGGTCATCGTCAACAACATTTGCCCTGGGTTTGTGCGAACGGGTCTCGATAAGAATCTGCCCATCCACTTGAAGTTTCTCATGAGCCTTGTCCGCAAGTCTGCCGGCCGTACGCCGGAGGAGGGTGCGCGGACCCTGATTTACGCAAGCGCTGTTGCAGGTCCTAAGACGAATGGCAAATTCATGCAAAATAACAAGATTGATGCGTACGTGAAGTTCACCTAGTATGCTTTTGTCTCGCAAAATACTGATCATATTTACAGGCGTGCCGAGTTTCTTAACGGACCTGACGGGGAGAAATTCATTGACGAGCTATGGAAGGAGACTCTGGAAGATGTAATAAAAGTGGATCCAACGCTGTCCTGGGCATTGGCAATTGGATCTTCGTGATAGTACGTACATAGTAGTGGACACTGCGACACCAACAATATTGCGCGGATCTGCCACTTTTGTGATATAAAATCCTAGGAGCAACTTGATAACGTGACGTCAAAATGCTGAATTGGAGAAATCAATACGTTATGGCTTTACTGCAATGAATTCTGAGCGACTCGTGTTTCTCGGCCGACACCAAATTCTAGCCCTGAATATAACTGCGCCGGGGCACTGGGTTATAGTAGCACTGTTCCGCAGATTTTGGTTAAGGTTTACAGTAACAGCTTTCTTCCTCGGATGCGGCGTTCACAATGTGTTCGTCCCCTCTTTTCGTCGTGTCCGCAGTTATGGCTGTTTTCGCCTTTCTTGTTTTCAATATCGCGCCAGTGACATGCATTTCACAGAAACTCCCGTTTGTACAGGCGAAGTTCTCTCATGGTGTAAAAACGTCGACCAATATTCCTGCGAACTGGAAATTGAAGTCGATTCACTGAGCTCACAATTAGATATCAAACTCGATATCTTCAATCAAGGTATTATATTAGTAATTGCCCGTATAAATTGAGCCAACTAGTCTATGGTCAAGGTCTTATCTAACATTTCGGCGTGCGGACCACAGATTGCAAACATCCAAGTGGAACGTCAAGGACAATATACATGTTGAGCTGGATATGGCTTTGAAAGGCTCCATACTAGTATAGATTACATTCGCTCTCAATAGACAAGCTTTCGCAACAGTAAGTACACTTGAAACGGACATTCGTGGTCTGGCCACTTGAAGCAGATCTTAATACTTCCTGTCGGCTGGTGTAGTTGGTCACTTCGCTGGTAGATAAGTCCCGATTTGAGCCTCGCCCACTTGGGTCGGTGACGAGTCGCGGGTTCGAATCCCGCAGCTGACACACAAGGGGGTTTAGTCAACCCTTACGGCGCGCTGCCCACCTTGTTGACTTCGCCTACCTAGCGATAATAGGGAGATTGGTGCAGTTTAGGATTACGAGCATCCTAGCCAGTCGACCGTCAAGCACTACGTCGGCGGAATATAACTCGACAGCCGGTCCAGAATTCGAATCGTTAATCCGACCCCTTATCGGACCTCGCCTTTCCGATAACGCTCGTCGGCGAACCCGTCCCCTCACGATAGAAGGCGCGCAGCACGCCCTCTCGCCGCGATTCTTGCGAGCGTCTGACCACGTTACGGTCTATCCACTTGAGCGTATGGTTGAGATGTATACGCTCGACGAGAACCCCAATTAGCAGATACTACGACTTGTCGCGACAAAAAAATAGTCGAGCATCTTCTGCACATCAGCAGCATCCCACCCCTGAGGACGAATTTAAGTGCCACATTACCACACTTATCGGTAGTTCAGGCAGGGGTTGTAGCACAGACTTAGGGAGGGACAGGAGGTTTAGTAGTCGTTTGGCTACAAGTTTACCTGTATAACCGCCCGACGCGGCTTAAGGGCCCGCTATATCATCTATAGCCCCTTAAGGGAGTACTTGTAGAGGTACCGAGGGTTAACACCTACGGCGTATTTAATATATTTTTTTAATACTTCCTGCATGTCAATAATTTCCTGGGCTTTGGAAATGATCTCGAAATGTAGACGTGGCTTTTCTGCAGCCATTCCATTCATATCCTTCCTGGTCACCTCTAGATGCACCGAGACTTGACCATATTCATGCCGCATCTCCAGGAACCGTAGCGCTTTGAAACTTTCAATTTTTCTGAGCCTCCTCCCATTCAGAGCTCATACGTAAGTAGGCCGAGAATTCTGCCTCGTAATGATTGAAGAGCATCTCTAGAGTCTGCAGGAACAAATCGAATTGGGGGCGGTCGGAGCACAAAGCTGCAAAGGCAGCCAAAAATGGCCCGGATTGGATATCGTCAAGTCAGTTATTAGCCGAAGGAAGGAACTCTGAAATGCGTACTACAACGTCCTGTGGTGGTGTTTCAGATGAGGTATACCGCAATAGTGCAGAAGAGTCTGCTACATGACCGGAAGGTAAAGGAGTTTTCCGGCATGATAAGCGACCTGTGTAATGTACGAGACAATAATGATTATAATGGTGTTCTTTCTCAAATAGTGATCACAAACGTTCATAGCCTGGATATGGCATGTATAGGCTTTAAATGTGCCAGCCATGAAAGGCCATGCGTAGAACACGGAAGCCCCCAAATCTCGAGGCCATTCTATATATAGCTTCATATTCTATTATGGGAGGGTCTGTCCCATTTTATTTATCGACCAGTCGCACTCAAGACAAGTTTGTGCCACATGAGAGCGTCGCCCAATTTGCTGGAGACCTTTGCACTGACTCAAGCTTACCTATAAATAGGGTATGGTTGAAATGTATAGTAGAGATAGTAGAGATAGGCTGGACACTTTATTGGTGGAGGCCTCAACAGGCACGAATCATCATGAACAGCCGGAAAAACAAATAATTTCTTCATAGTCCTCCTGTCTACTTCATCCCTGTTGTTGTCTTCTGCTGTTGGTGACCTCTGCATCTCTTCTTTCCAAGAGTGCGTCCTTGGACTTCAACAGGTCCTTGTAGATCCTTCCAGAGACAGACTGCATATTTCATCCGTAAATAACCTCCAAAAACACGTGTCTGCAAGTCAGTAGATGAACAGTTTTAGCTACAGCCAAGGCAGGGGGAAGTCTTTTTAAGTTTGTTATGAAAATTTGATGGCAGAAATCCAAGATAGAAGAGAGTATTTCACGTCAATCCAAATTGTTTGCCGACCGGGAGCAGGGCGGAACTCCACGAGCGGACAATCAATATGCTATTAGCTTAGCGGCTGACTTTGGGGGAGAAGGGGGGAAGGGGGTGGCGCAATGAACAACTTTGCGACGCGTTACAATTCTCCATGATCACGAGTATTCCTTTATGTGAGACTCTAATCACCAGAATAGTGCAGTTGACAAGATTGTCCTATTGAAGCCATTGCTAATCCTTTGAAAAAGTAAGGAAAGTTGGTATAGAGTTTCTTCCCCCGCATTCTAGGGCTGACAGTAGCTAGCATGGGGTCAGGATACCAGTAACAGCAAATGCAGTACTTGTCGGAATCCAGGTACTAGGGTCAGTATTGGTACTATGAAGGTGCGTGAGGGACCCATCCCAAGTTGGCCCCGAGGGGTCCCTAAATACTACAACACGTGCCTGTCTGCCTCGTACCCCTCTACACCTTAGGCCACAATTTCCCACAGTACCTACCTAACAAACTCGATTACTGCTGACACTTTATATGGAGTCGTGTGACTTGAGCGACTTACCACCAGCCCGCATCGAATCTAATTCATTTCCATATTTTTGCCTCGTCGCATGCGATTTAAATCGATGTGGAGGACTTGGTTGAAGAGTTCTTTGTGGAATTCTTGAGGGATATCACCCATTTCCCCCTTGCAAGGCGCCTCGAAGGGACGGTTTGGTAAACGAATTCCATGTCCGTGTGGAAACGTAAGATTTTTTCATGTTCTGTAACATATGTAAAATGGAGGTCGAATATACCTTCGTAGCAGTGGGAAGGTGAAGTATCGCAGTCTTGGTGCCAGAGCTTCGGCTGCGCCAAAGGCCTTTCTCATCATCCTCAGGTTGATCTCAGTTTCGTCGGGAAATATGGATCAAACGCATACGCTAGATTGAAAGTTGATTGCCAGCAAAGTTGGAACCTGAAATTTTAGATGAATATGTGTAAACCGAAATACTGAATGTGTGTTACAGTATCGATGTCCGGCATACACTTCAGGAAGGTTCAGGAAGGTCTCTTTCAAGTCTTCAACCGTCCCTATGGTGAGGTCGACACCATCTACGATAGCCAATATCACATTTCAGGACTGAGGACTGGCCATACTACGTTCTTCTTGCTCAGGGGTCTGTTGGAAAGTGCCGTCGCCTTGCTGAATATGCCCTTTTTGAAGTGATTATTCAATATCTGGTCGAAGACCGCCCACCCAAGGATGCCTGAGGCACCGAATACGAGAGCATGATGGCCCATTTCGCGCTGCAATTCCAATCAGAATATCTGGGAGCCGAATTGCTGAGTCTAAGTCTGAGGTAACAAAATAGTCTTAGAGCTCTGAAATGTGCATTGTAAATCTGAAGCTCTCGAGAATCACTAATAATGCAATTAGCGTGAGGTATACAAGACGGCGGCTTGATCAGGCAAATTCCCAGCGAAATGCCACCGAGCGACTGTATCAATGACGAGAACGTTGCAGGGTCATCGCAAGGGCCGTGACTCGCAGCTACTTAGTCGCGAGGGACGGAGGGTATGGTGCTCGTAACACGCTGCAAGATAACCCATTCCAGCCCCAACGGACCGAACTTTGGTTCACGACAAAGCGGATCACATCACCATATTTTCAGAATGTAGAATATATTCTGCCAATAGTAACGTCTGACCAACGTGTGCTGAGCCAGCAGTAGCAAAGAGTATGCAGCTAGAACTTTGCGCGTGCTACTTAGCCCCGACAGGCTTTGGGCACTATCACATCGCATACATGTAGTAACATGCTGCATAACTTGCTCGAACGTATCAAGGTGCATCATGCGAAATTGATTATGATCTGGAGGACATTCGCTGATCACTATCCCTTTGCAACGGTAATGTCGTTTAGTCGGTATAGTCGTCATGGGTGACCACGCCAGACGGATTGCGGCTCTGCGGGCGAGTTGAAACATCTGACATCTAATCATGCTTCAAGAAAAGTTGTGATGATTCATTGGGTCGCTTCGTGTATTGCTACCTCTCATCTGTTCCGATATCTCGTCACCATTCAACGACTAGAAAGTCCTTGGTCGCAACATGAGTCTACGGCTTGTGCATCCGAACGTGAATTGTCCCAGAATTGTACCCGAACACCCTGATTGACCCAGCCGCGAAGCAAACCGTCATGAAAGTCGTTAACACGAGTAAACGGCGTATTTCCAGAAATCCGGTACATGCCATGCCTTCCTCGAGCGCCAGGTATGTCATCAACGAACGATGACAGTCGAATACCTACCTCACAACAGCACTGATACCGACCATGAAATGCTTTTCGACAGAGTCCAGGTTGACAACATGACGCCGCAACTCCCAGTAGTCATAAATCGTGAGCCCAACACCTAGAGACTTCCGTAATATGGATAGATGAACAGATAAGATATCGCACAGGCCATGATCCAACAGCTCCCATGAAGAAAAAGGGAAACAACGATCAAGAGAAGGGCGGCTCTACAGAGAAGAGCCTGCCATATCATAGAGACCCAATACATCATTAGGGAAGTACTCCCCAAACCAGCCCATCATATCAGTGGGCTCAAAACTGGCCAAATGCTGCCCAATGTCGCCCTCACTTTCAATCACTTGGAACGAGATCCCTTGGCCCGAAGGCCCTAGGTACGAGTAGCCGCTTGAGGCTATCCCGCTTTGCGCGAAATTGGACGGCCCTCCGTCCGAGTATGTTCCGCCGTTGGGGGTGGTACTGGAATGATCAATGCTGCCACTATGAGAGTGCTGGTGGCTGTGTGTAGACGGCGGATGGGCATCCGTCACCGCACTGGCGGGGGACGCCCCGGTCGGGTAGGTAGATGGTTCATACCCGGAGGAATGCTGGGATGATGGAGTGTACGATGTTGGGATGGCTACAGAGCCGGCCTGTGAGGCGAAGGCCATCTGCAGCTTGGGGTCTGGCGTCGACGGAGTCTTCCTTGCATTCTCTGGAGGTAGGCCATCGTACCGCAAAAGAGACCTGCTATGGTTGGACACACTCGAAACCCGGCGCGTTCGCTGGGGCGGATTGACAGAGTGGCGCAACGCTGATGTATTAGGCTGAGGGTAAGCTGGAGGAAACATCTGCGTTGTTTCCGGCAAGCTTTGCCGGATGGGATCATAGATCATGTTACCCGGAGGCGTTGGAGCCGATGCGGGCGGCGGTGGGGGCTGAGTTGGGGGCTTAGGGATGATGCAAGTGGTTCCATTGCCAGCCGGAGCCTGATATAACAATGTCAAGCTCGAGTTGGGCGAATTAGTCGTGCCAGTCAATGACCAAGCCAATGGCGGAACTGTTGGCGACGCAGGATATGTTTCAGGCATAGTAAATCTGCTCACTGAGCCATGACGCCGAGGCTGCCTGATGCTTTCATATTCCTCGCGGGTATATGTCTCACAATCCCATATTCCTTCCGACTTCTGATCAAGGGCGGTTAGAATGTATCGGACCCCGCCCCAGTGAGTATGCATCTGCTGCAGCGCCTTGTAACACGACTGGTAGTTTTGGGTTGCAGCAGACGCGAGGAGAAAGTGTCTTGACGCCGACTTTGAGTCACCCCGCGCTCCATAGGGCTTTTCCATGCCGGCGGGTTTCGTTTCTGGTGGAGGGGTCGAGTCGCGAGAGACTGGCTGTGAAGAGTTCGCAACAGACTGTGCGAGAAACGCGCATGCCGCTATGTATATCGGCTGAGATGTAAACGGATTGCCAATGAAACTCTTCGGGTCGAGCAGCCGCGCAAAGGCCAATATGTCTACAATGGTCTTCGCACTGGACATGGACAACTCCCGACTGTGAGGTACCAACTCATGCATGCGGTTAATCTTTTCGAGAGGTGCAAGGAGGGTCGGCTGATGGAGAACCGTAATCAAAGCGTGAAACCAGAAATGGAGTAAGATAAAGGTCGTGCCTTGGCCACGACGAACGTATTCCTGGAAGTTGTTGGCATCGAATCGTAATCGTGGATGGAGCTTTTGATGTAATTTTGTGAGTTCCTGCTCCATCTGTACCAGCCGGTTGATCCTATCCTGCGTCAGATCCTTGGCACTCCTGATATTGTTCAGGACATCCGACACGCGACCGTACACGTGAATAATTTGGATCAAGTTGGGAAACGGATCAGGCCACTTGGGAGAATCATCTGAAGCCTTGGGAAAGGGCAGTTCAAAGTCGTCGTCGCGCATAGTCACCGACCGACCAGTCCCGGAGGAGATGACTCGATCCAGGATGAAGACGGACCAGAGAGTGTCGATTCGTTCCTGTTCCAATTCCGTCTGTTCCTGCGGACTCGGTGCGTCCTCGTCCTCGTCGGGTTTAACCTCATTCGGATTGGAGTCACTTGGTTTCCGGTGGTATTGCCGGGTGAACCAGGGGTCTTTGTCTCCTTGGTATTTGACCCCGTCCTTCTTGTGCAGACCTAGGTCAATGGCCATGCGGATCGCCAGGCCCAGGTACATCCACAAAGCGCTGTCTTGATCTGCACCAAAGCCCTCATAGGCCATCAGCAAGCATGCTTGCACAGCGGCGACTGATGGGCAGGGAAAAGTATCCACAGTGGCGGCCTTTGCTCGTTGGGCAAATACATGACCAAAGTCTGCCGAGGATAGCTTACCATCTTGTCTGGTAAATATCGGATGGTCTGAAAATCTGGCTGCGAGAGCGCAAACAGCATCGACGAGTATCGGCTCGACTCGTTTTTCCCTTACGAGCATTGGAAACTTGTTGGGGCGTAAGAAGGGGTAGTTGCACCCTAGGTGGACGAAGAACGTGTCGACCAGGTGCATAATCAAGTCAGGCACGGGACTCGAGTCGTTGGGGTCATATACTGGCATATCCTCAAGTGGGACTAGATCGTGGTCCGAGGCGACCGAGCTCATGAGGCCAACGTAAGGAGGTCCGCCCGAGCCCGGCGACGTCGCCGACATGGAGCTTCTCCGCCTATCGTGTACCTTGACCACCATCTGCTTGAAGCCTGGCACGATGGCCGTGGGCCCAAAGTAGCGGAAGAAGGGAACACGATGACTTTCGGTATGGTGCTGCACCGGCGATCGAGTGCTAGGGCTCCTGCCATCGTCGGTTGATATCGACGCGTTTCGCGGATTGGTTGGGCGCCTGACTACTTTGAGTTTCCCATGATCGTCCCACTCGACATTATCCGTCTTTGGTCGCGCAGCGCTCAGAACATTCGCACGCTGGTGGCCCGATTCAGATATGCGCCGCGAGGAAGCAGCCGTGCTTGCCACCATTCCACACGGTCTACTCCCATTCCTATTCGCCTTGCCGTGTGTCCGGTCGTCCTCTGGCTCCTCTTCGAGGAAGTCCTCGTCATCGAGGTCGATTGCGACACCACCATGTCCCGCACCGCTGATGGAGTCTCGCTTCTTCTCTGCCGCATCCGAGTATCCCAGGCAATCATGTCCGTTCTTGGCGCATGTCGAGCAGGTAGGATGTTCGCCTGCGCAGCGCGTTTTCCTCTTGCGACATGTCAAGCACCTTTTTGGGCGACATGGTTAGCAGGCGCATTTGTCTCGATTGGGAGCTTCAGAGCTGCCCCTCCAACAGTGGGTCTCTTCCTCCTCCATCCAGGTGTCAAAGCTCTGGGAGCTTGGAAGGGGAACCGGATGGATTGTACAGAACCCGAGGCCCAATCGTCGTAATGAAAAAGCACTGAAACCTGCACGAGGATTGAGAGTAAGCTTACGCTGCATTGATCCTCCGTCGCTTTTGCGGAGGTTGGCCCTGATTATTGACGAAACGTATCGTTTTGAGCGGGGGAGCCCCAGCGCCACCACTGACGATTGCTGCCATCATGCGCAAGAGAATGCTGAGCGTGGTCTGTCAATGAATGGTGGGCTGAAGTCTAAGAATACACCATGATGCTTGACTTGGCGCGGCGAAATGGGGCGAAAATGATGGAGGGGATGGTCGCTTCTTCGACAGGTTTCGTCTCCTCCCGGCAAAAGTGCACACTGCACGACTTGGGATTATGGAGTAACTCGTCGCGTCAATGCTTGCTCGCTGGCTGTGTTCAACGAGAATGTTGCGTCGTTGGTGCTATGCGAAAAAGAAAGCCGTGTGTGGTGGCCGTGCCTTTACAGTTATCCTCCTTTCCAACAATGGGAGGCTCCGGTCTGGCTAGAGGATGCGGCGCGTCGACGCCAGAGGTCTTCTCCGGGTGGTCATGAATGAAGTCATTTCTGATCGGAGAAGAAATTCGGGTTGGTTGCGGAGAGTCGGGCACGGCAGAAATGGTTGGTGTAAGCAAGCAAGTAGTACTGCCAGGTGGATTGAGCTGTGCCAGTTTAGAGACTACGGGTATCGCTTTGCCGATGTAGATAAGCTGGAGGTGCTGACGAGGAAAACACGGGTTCGTAGAAATAAGGATTTGGGATCGTCGTTGAACTGCAGGGCCAGTCAACGGGGTGAATATTAATCATGGGAAGGGTTAAGACTCGACTCGACAAGACGACTGGAAACGGGACAGTGCCCACTGAAGATGTGGGAGCAGCGGGAGCAAAGTCTCGGGCTTCAGGGGGCTGGGGTCGGGGTTCAATTGGAATTTGTTTATTATGCCACTGAAGCTGCTGCAGCAATTTGCTGACAATATGCCGTATGCAAAGTAGAGAATTCGCTTAATCACCCAGTTCCAGTTTAAATAAAATACGACTACAGTCCCGTTCCAAGTCAGCATGCATCAGGCAGGTAGATACATTGCTGAACAGCAGTTGTCACTTATCAGACAGGGTGGAAGTTTGGCTTGTTGCCGGGAATTTGGGACGAGATGAGGGAGGACAGACACCGGTTGAACTAGCGCCATTCGCCTTATCAAATGCGGATGGCGGTCGGCGACGTCAATATTGTGCTCTATCTCTTGGTTCTCCCACCACCATTATCGTGACACTTATCTGCGTATTCTCGATTAGTAACTGGGCATGAAGCTTAGCTGGCTGCAATTCCCCTCTCCCTTGCCATGCAGCCTGAAGAGATGTGCTGCTACCTGACCGGCATGGGATTGCGCGATGACTTCTGGCGAGGCTGCGGCACTTGTGCAATACCCCACAACTAGGTTCTGATGCCATCCGTGATCGACCAACCGAGCATGGGCCTCTGGCCCGTCGTTTTGGTTGCACAGCAAAGAAAACAAAAGGTGCCACGACATTGCACCGCGCATCTGAAGCTTGGTCAAGAGGGTGACCTGCACCCCAACGTCATGTCGGGTATCGTCGATTCTGAGCTTGGAGACTGCGTACTCCGTGATCTAGGTAATAATGGCCAATTATGTGGAGAACTGTTCCATAGTTACACTGTACGGCAGCTCTGCTGAACTGATGTCGCAGGCACGTCGGATACTCACATCCCTCGAGTGCTACTATCCAATAGGATGCCGCCACCGACAATAGCCTAAAGGCACCACAGTGAAACGCTCTTATTAGCTGCCGGCTGCGTGAAGCCTTAAATCCCGATGCTGATTCTGGAATTGTATCTTTTTGTGGTCACAGCCTTTGAGTGTCATGTGGTTTGCTCTCTTACATCGGGCCGCACTTTGTCATAACGGCCGCTGATAGATGATTAATCATATCAAGTATCGCATGCTGCCAGTTTCCTAGCCGCATTTTGCACATGCTTTCGTATCCGAGCCGCTGCCACATCGCCTTCGAGCACACATTGTAAGACTGCCCTTGCAGCTCAGTAATCCATCATGCGCTTATTGGACGTCAATTGCCGATACTCTTTGTTCTGGTACGCCATCCCACCCTCCCCGACAGAAAATTTACTTTTTAAGACGTCACCCAAATACAATACTGACGCCCATCTCCTTGCTCACTCTCCGCCAAAGATCAGCATCCCTCGCTCCGTACGGTGTGACGCTCAAGATATCAAGCTGTTTCCAAACCTCGCGCACAACACCCCAGGCGTTGTCGATATTGATCATTCCTTGGTGCATGTCGATTTCGACGAAGGCCTGCTCTGCCAGTTTCCGATCTTCCGGGCTGATTGCTTCACAGGCAGCCACAAATAGGGGCCATAGCAAGGCGCCCATTGGCCCTCTAAAGGCAACTGCCTGGACGCAATGAACAAGTGCCTCGTGACCATGTTTCTGAACCACTTCATGTCCAGGAAGGTAACCGTAGATAGTGCGATATAGGTACACGAACGCACTGTGCCGGTATGCTAGTGCGTTGTGAAGGATTGACGAAAGGGGGTGATTCTGCAATTCTTCACCATCCGTGTTCTTCAAAGTGCCGTCTTCGAGGAGTATTTGAGGGGGTAGAGAGGGTTGCCACCGCTTCAGGGCAACCTCGATAGCTTGTGATGTTGCTTCGAATTCTGTACGCAAGACGGCAACTTTAGACGATTGGTGCCTCTTCAATGCATTCTCAAGCTCGGCTTTAAGCGAAAGGAGGTTCGAAAGCCTGTGCATGATGGGCCACAGTGTCGTCGCCATTCCGAGGAGATTATCGACGTTGGTTGTGGACGAGGCGGGAGCGATGTCTACGAGAGGGCACGGGGTCAAACGGCCAGCAGCTGGGGCGGATGAGAGCGGGGCGGTACCCAGAGACAACGCCGTAATCACATCATAAAAGCGGAAAGCCTGATTCAGGTACAGTCAGTTTGACAGGACTAAAATTAGGGTACGCAATTTCCGAACATACGCGTTCGAGGAACGTCCCTGCGGGGCTTGAGTTTTGCTGAGATGAGCTCATGATGGTCAACGCACCCTTAAGATGCCCATCGACGATGTTTGAACGCCCCTTTTGGACCAACTTGGAGAATGATTAACATACAGATACTGTCGCGGAATAGAGATACTTACCACTTCGTAATACACAAGAAGCATGATTGCTGCCAGAAGCTCGTCCTTGCGATTGACTTTGCCACCCTTCTCGATCAGGTGCGCTAGACCTTGTATAGCCTCGTTGTGAAAGTAAAACGACTTCTCACCACCGGTCTCAACGCCACGGTACTCGAGGTGTGCACTGGCCAAAGCGTAAATAGCGTTCATCACCGGGGGGCTACCGTAGGCGAGTGGTAACACCAACTGGTTGAAAGGGTTTCCAGACTCCTCCCATAGTACTATGAGGTGAGAAAGCACATTGCAGAAATGATTGACCAAGCCTCGACGATTGGATCGATCCGAGAACTCTGTAAATACTGGCATGCAGAATTCGAATATCGGAGACGGGACAGGACAAGGCGCAATCATGGCCAAGTCAGGCGGCAAAGAGAGTTGGTGTGAAGTAGAAGCTGACGAAAGGCTGGACCTCACTCGGACTAAATCTTGGGTCGGGCCCTCAACATCTTCGGCGGCTGGGGTCATGACAAGTTCGTCAGCGAACAGCGGGGTGCTGTCTACGCTGATATCGACTGGGCCGATGTAGGTGACATCGCTTGAGTCGTCGGTTGTGTCGTGCAGGTGCCATTCCTCATCGCCCGATGGATCCGATGTTGAAGCCCTCTTCATCAAGGAGGATTGTGAGTCTGGCTTCTTTCGCTGACGAGGCTTAACCGCTTCGTATGTGCACTCGAGATTTCTCTCAGAGCATCGCGAACACGGTCGATGTTCGTCACATTTCTTCTTCTATATGCCAGACACAGGGTTAGGAATGTGACCAATGGCGAGGGCTCTGGCTTGGCTTACTTTTTCCTTACTGAGTGGCGCGTTAGAACTTTGCCCTTACTATCAACAGGTTCAGGGTAACGGGGGGAAACATACCAGAATGTGCACCCTGTGTGCAGGAGAACTATGGATTAGCGTATGCTCCAGATGAGGCGAAACGTGGGAGCCCTAAGAACGTGACTACCAACCAGCACGGGACCGCTTCTTTGGAACCTTTGGTGGCGCTACTCTAGTGTATAGCAACATTTTGCCAGCAGGAGTCGAGCAGGACGGGCATGATATATCGGAAGGACCATTAACGCGTGGGGGTCCTCCTTAACAAGTCCGGTGAAGACGGCTTTGACGTGAACGGGGAACACGAGAAGGGAAATGAAGCGGTTTGGAGCCGCTACTGTGACCCCGCAGCTAGCTACTTGATGCTTGATCTGAATGGAGGCTGGACACAACGTGGAGTGGATAACCCAAGGCCTTTAAGGTTGTTTGGAATGAGGAGAGATTGATTCGGCTAGCAACACCCAGATCGAGCGGTTCGCAGGAGCGATTCATTTAGTAGCTCGCTGGCAAAGACTCTCGGCTTGATCATCGTGACCAGTTGACGAGATGAACGGCAGATCACCATGCCCTTCTGGGCCAAGGCTGTGTGGCTTGGGGAAAAATGGCTTTGAAAACATATGGAGTGAGGGGCTCCGATGGGACGCCAGGCGCCCCTCGACGTGCCTTGTCCCTGACATCAGAACTTGCCAGGGCACCTGATGTTGACACAGGTCGAAATGAGGGGAGGTGGAGAAAGACAGTCCCAGACAGTCCCCGACTTGTGGGGTTGAAGATGCAACCCGTGCCAGCTTGAGCTTGGCAAGCATCCTGAAGTTATTGACGGGGTACTCGGTACTCGGCTCAGAGCCGGGGCCGACCACTTAGAGCGTCCTAAAGAGGCTTAGCGTAATATGGTGCTCCTTGCTGACTTGAATCACAAAATATCTTTGTCAACTTCCTGATTGACTATGATACTTCGACAACCCGCAATTGATTACCATTTCTCCCAAGGTCCTTATTAAGGAAGTTACAATAGAGGGTAGTAGACCTGCCTGAATTGAGGAGAGTTTGTACGACACCCTAATTCACTAACTCCGTCCTTTCCTGTCAAACAGCCGCTGCCCGCGGAATGTGCCTGCAAGCACTGCGCCTGAATCTTCACAGGCCTGATACACCCTAGACTGGTCATCAGCGATGCTTGGGGTGAGGCTCAGATTTTCTGGCGGCTTATAGGAGTCGGGACGAGGCAAATATACTTGTTTGTCTAATGACACATCGTCGTCCACGCCATGCAGATTCAGCAACCATTTGAGACAGAACGAGCTACTGGCAAAGATGCAGCATCTAGAAACGATTCTCCAGCATACGATCTACACCAGTCTTCACCTATACGGTCTCAATTTCTCAACCAGTTGGCGCTTTCCTTAGCTATACATCTCCGTGAAGCTTCTTCATGCATCAATGGCCATACAACGTGGTGCTTGCATATCTACCCTGGACACATGCATTATGCGGAGTACGTTCATGCTCAAACTTAACCCGCATATGGACGACCCAATCTATGGCCCAACCGGGCAGCTGCATCATCGATACAAATTCATCTAGGGGTATAACCTCTGTGGACGGCATATACCGCATTGGGCTTGAATCTGTCCTTCTCTGGACATCACTGCACAAGCTGTGGATATCATTAACTGTCCTCCTTCGCCCCTTCCTTGTGGCGCCCTGGCTTGACCCTGGCTCGGCCGGCAACCCCCATGATCTGCCAACCTGTAAGCGGAGAGCTATCACGGCCCGCATGCACTTCGGAAATTCCACGAAACTCGAACTCCGGGATACCATTCATACGAAGAAGCTTCATCAAACGACCTGACGTTATCAAGAAGATTACTGTTAGCGAAAACGTGGCTAATGCGGCCATAAAATCACAGTCTTGATCCGCACATAATTGAGGCACAACCGCTTCGGTCTGAAGGGAGACTGCTAATCTCCGCTGCAACTAACCCAAAGCAAATATGTTGCGGTAAGCTTGCTACTAATACTCCTTTATAGTAACGTTATCAACGCCAGGTCTATATCCTCCACATATTCTGTCCCTTGTGCCATCGAAAGCGTCCAGCGCTCTTCTACAAGGTTGTGGCCATCCAACCCTCGGCTGGCAGGCATCCCGCACCGCATGACAGCGAGACCTGACAGACAATGATATGAGGAGAATCAACCACCAGAATGGCTTCCAGTACTCGACAGGCTATGTACGTCTACATCATACTCAAACCATAGCTCCTTCCGGAAGTTTGGGTGCCTTAGGGTGCACTTTCGAACGAGGGTCCACGCTTTCACTCGGCGGTGATCCGCCGATGAGCGACCAAGCTACGCCGCACTCCATACCAGGGGTCGTCCTGTTCCAGCCTCATGGCAGTTTAGCTGATAAGGTCCAAGATAATCCTCGGCCGAGCAGTACAACCTTCCTTCCTGCGTCCCCAATGTCTCGATTTCGATCAGTGATCTTGACCAACCATGGGATTCTGAAGTCGCACCTGTACTACATGCGATTTGCCCGGCTGTCACGTAGTACACCGATTATCGTAGAGTTGTGTTGGAAATTTGACCGCCGGCCGCGCTCACAACACTTTGAGCGGGATACCTTCCTTCTAGCGACTTTGCTTCCTCTTCATAACCGTCTTCGCCTTTTCTTCTTCTTTACATTGTCTGTACCTTCACACATTTGTCCAGTGCAGATTCCAGCCCTGCCAGTTTACATCCCAGTGTCGCAAAATCCTTGCGCAGAAAACTTCTTGTCGACACGGAAGGCAACCGTCGGCAGTCATCGCGACCGGCGCTTCGGATCGAAGTTCATTCTGAAATCTGCACAACAGCGGCGTGTCCGAGTGGTCGCATCCAATTCTCGTCGCAGTGCGACTGGACGGAGAAGTTGGCGATAATCCAACAAGTGTGGCACACAGTTATTACAGCGCACATAAGACGAGGTGAGGGGTGTCGCAAACACAATTACATGTCTTGCCCGGGGCTTCTATTCCTGGACATTGGACAAACTGGCAAACTGGCAGTAGTCGCAAGCCTACGGTCACTTTGGATCCAATCACCGTGATCCCGAGGCTCCAAGACACCATCTATGTAGAATGTGTCCCCATTGGACAATCATGGTGCGGCACGCAGCTGATGTTGTAGTCTCTCTCCTCGTTCAGGTTGCACAATTGGAGGTGTGGAACTGTGGATGCGGACATGGGGATTTGGCTGGCTAGGATTTTCTGCTGTTGGTCAGAATCCTTCATGCTCACCAGCCAAGTCAGCTTGCATGGCCGCCAGTTCTCGTTGCTTCCCTCTTCGCTCTGGAGTTGCTGATCTCGCTCTTCTCATCTAATTCTGAGATATCCATACCAACATACTGTTGCATTCTGGTCCTTTTGGGTTCCCTCGTCGTTGATCTGTTCATTTGGGGCTGTAAAGGTATCTGCCGGCAACCCGCGGTAACAAATCATTACGTCCCTTGATATTTTTGATCGTATTTCCACTCTATTGCTGTTGCCTCAGCCTCACCGGTGCAGAATACCTTGGTGCCAACGTGGCGCGGCTGCCCGTAAGCGCCCCGCCGCACCGCAGCGACCATCGTGAGTCTTGTTGCTCTCACCAATGTGTCTGATGATAGCTTTCTCCCCTTGGATTCCTAAATATGGTCGCTTGAGCTGGCCTATTTGCAATATTTTCATACGATAATAAACGGACGAGAAAGTCGATTTACCCGACTGCCTTCAAGGCGCAAAGCAAACTCACGTTAGACGGCGGGCGTCATCTACACATTCCAACGCCGTTCCAAACTCGGCTACCCCGCCGCCCAAGCGCCGAAATGCACCGGCTTTGGAGCTGTGCCGCCTGCCTCGGGTCTATGCTTGTCGCCGTATTGACACGAGGGACTGCCGCCGCGGCGCATCACGACAAATACCAAATACACCGGTTGGAAAAGGCGCACGACGCTCACCGGAGACGCGACGACGATACCTGTCAATCCGGCTATTCATTATGTCCCGCTTCTGTCAGCGGTGGCTGTTGCCCCAACAACTACGCCTGCGAGGCGACGTATTGCTATGCTACGACAGCTGGCCCAACAACAGCCTGTGGTAAGGCTGGATACTATAACTGTGGGCTGGAAGCACCAGGTGAATTGCCTCTGTTGACCTGCTTTGTACGAAATGCTGATAGATCTGTGTTAGGCGCTTGTTGTCCCACGAGTTATATCTGTGCCCCTGGAGGTTGCAACCCCCCAGTTGGATTAGCTTACACAGATTCATGCCCTACAAGCTACTACTTATGTCCATCCTCTCTTGGGTATGGTTGCTGCAAGAACGGGTTGGCTTGCGGCAGTAGCTCCTGTTACTCAACGGAACCGTCTACATATACCATCACTTCGCCAGTCACGACGACCAACTCGGCTGGGAGCACCTTTACCTCGGTGGCGACAATAACGGGTGTGACCACACCGGCTCCAGCCTCTGTCAGTACCGGCACCTCCAGCGCTTTACCGAAACTCATTCCGAGCACTATTTCCAAGGAGGCAGCGATTCCAACTTCGTCAGAGGGCGAAGACGGAGGCGGAGGCGGCGGCCTTACACAAGGCCAACTTGGTGGCATCGTCGGAGGTGTCGTCAGTCTCTTTATTGCTGTAGTTGCTGCAGCCTTCTTCATCATACGGCGTCTGAAGCAGACGGCTCGGATCGTAGAGGAATCCAGGCGTGAATCATCTGCGGGGAAGACGTCTCATAAGACTGGCTTTGGCGCTTCGACTGTGATGGAGGTTGATGAGGAAATCGATCCTCATATGCAGACACCCAGCATTAGGCCGTCCCACCTTCGAGCCCAATCCGATTCGAGTGTTGATTTACGACTCCATTCTCCAGCGCGAAGCCCACAGCTCTCCTCGGGCCACTCGACACCCCCTGCGTCAGTCTGGCCTGGCCAGTACAACCCACTCCCTAACATGGATGCCGACGGCATCCGCCATCCGAGCATCGAGTCGTCTACTGGGGGCTACTACGATCCTGCGCGGTATACGAATCAGTACGGCACGAACCGAGGAAGCTCCGATTCCCAAGCCACGTTTAGGGCTAGCAGACAGAGCAACGCCAGCGAAGTTATCGGAAGCGCTGATGGTGCACACGGAGTCTCGGAGCTGGATGCTTCTGAAGCGGCTGCCCGGAGGCGATCCAGCAGTGGTGCCACAAGACCGCCCGTCGCACACATACGGCGCAGCAGTGATGGTAGCCACCATAGGGGGAAGAGCGACAGCTCGGTGCAAGCGGCTCCTCTGGGGACAGTTAGCGAAGAGTTACATGGTTTCTATGGACCACAAGACCGGACAGTCGGCCAGACTGCTGCAAGGCTGCAGCCAAATCACTCGCAGAATGGCTCGATGGCGTAATGACCTTGCGTATGACCGATGACTGGTCAAAGAATTTCCACCCTCGATTTCAGACCGTTTCAAGGACATGTATGAATTATCACGTTGGGCTAGCATTTTTGGGTATACCCTTTTACAGGTTTCGTAAGACCGCAAGTGAGTTTTCTCTCATGTAGTTGAAATGGATTTCGGTACCAATTTTATGGCCAGGTTAATGGTTTGGAATGGCCATACTGACGTTGTTGGTGCAATGAGCGAACTACTCTTTTTCCCTCAGATAAAAAACGTTGGTAGTTTATCAATCATTCTGTTGATACTGATCAGCTAGTTACGTGGTCTCAACAAGATCCAGGAGGAGGTCCTTGAAGCTGATGAACCCTATCTTACCTTCTGACCTCAGGTTGCTGTTGCCTGATCTTGTTATCAATCCATGGAATCTTCCGAACGAGGCGTCTCGCTTAATCAATTAATATAAAATCTGACGGATCTTCTGGTTTGCGAACCACCATTTTTGCCTGTGTCGTCATATTTTCTCTTCTTCCCTTTCAACGCCGCAACCAACAACGTCCTAGCTCCAAGAGGACCTTTGCAGCTCGCTTAGAGATTCATGGTGTAATTGCAACCAGGTGCCAGCTCACATCCCACACAGCCATAGTCTACACTGATAAGCTCGCCACCACGCCTTTTCTGATGCCCTACGTGATCCAGTGTGGGAAATCCTCGCGTCTTTATTTCCAGACGCAGTCTAGCCTTTCAGCATCGTTGAGGTTTTTGCTTTTTCGCCTCACCGCGGACGGGGAATTTTGCATCCTGATCCAGCTGCTACCTAGAGGCGCATGTAAGATGAGAAATTGTGACATGGGGTTTTCTTTGGAAACAGCTGATGAAGAGAGAGGCCCACCAGATGGCCATAAGCTGGGGCATCAAGGCAGGCAAACATATTCGTGGATATTATTTAATCTTGTCAGTTCGCATAACCTCGTTCGTGCCTGCACCTTTGGTGAGTTGTCAATCGGCAGGCGTAGTCCAAGTATGTGACGATGCACACATCCACCATCATACCCGCTTGAATCGCAAAACAACCTTGATTCACTAGCCTCGAGTTGCTCCTACCTGTGTCAGAAGTGGATTTGAACCACTCAACCCATTGAATGTAATCTAAGCACAAATCAACAACCTCAACTGTGACAACAACCTGGACCCCCATAATATTAGCTTACCCCTTTACCAAAAGGCAAAACCACTACTCTCGTGCCGAAATCCAAATCAAAACCACCGCAATCGACCTCTCGAACACAACCAAAATGACCGATCTACCCAACCAAATCACGATTCCGGCCTCCCTCGCCACCTATCAAATCTCTCCCACCGCCTACATCACCCAGCACGAAGACAAAATCACCCACCTAGTCGCCGGCGCTATTGTATTCCACAACTCGCGCATCCTACTCATTCAGCGCAGCCGGCAGGAGATCTACGAGCCCCTCAAATGGGAAGTCCCCGGAGGCAGTTGCGAACCCACGGACGAGACCATCATCGCCAGCGCCGTGCGGGAGCTCTGGGAAGAAGCTGGACTTATCGCGACGGCCATGATAGACGTCGTAGAGGATGGGCACGATTGGGTTGATGAATGGGGCGGTTGGAGAAAGATTACCTTTGTGTTCGAGGTGGAGAAGACTAGGGGTGTTGCAAAGGGAGGATTGGAAGAGGTGGAGGAGGCGCCCGAGGTGAAACTTGACCCGACCGAGCATGGTGATTTTACTTGGGTCACAGAGGAGGAGGTGAAGGAGGGGAGGAAGGGGTGGAGGGTGTTTAGCTGGATTAGTGAGGAGCAGAAACAGACTATCTTGGATGCGTTCGAGTTGTTGAGGGAGGGCAGGAGGGTTATGAAGGCTTCTTGAGCGAGGGGTCTATAAGGGTATGGAGGAAAGGACAGGGAGGGATGAGCTTTGCTTCGCACACATGGTCATTGTGTGATGGACATCATGCATACATTGCATTTCGAATATCCTGCTACGACCCCAAGGTCATCATCGAGTGATATTCTCCTGCTCCACTTCCTCCGTTACACTCTCGACGCTTCCACTTTTTTCGCTCATTAGATCTAGCAGACGTAGAGTGGTCTGGGGAGTTCACTCTGCTTGTTATCACGATTCTATGCTGCAATGCTGGTCTGTTTCAAACAACACCATCCAGGATGTCACACAGATTCACGTAATTGGACTAAATAGTGCCCGCAGAGCTGAAACCCTCACCCAATGACCTTGCTTCGACCCCAGACTTCGACTCCAGAGTCCTTTCCAGGGGCCTTGAGACGTCCCGCACCGGCCTATCTTGGGAAGCAAGGGGCAAGCAAGGGAAGTCTCAATGGGAAGTCTCGATGGGAAATCTCCATAGAATCGCTGAGAAGCCTTTGGTCCATCAGACTCTGAAGTCATACCATGATCTGGCCATCCCGTGAAGCTTCGCTTCAAGGTGTGATTTGAAGCAGTTGTTCCGGGTTCACAAGATAGTGACGAAATTTGTGGCAGGTTGCTCGCCACGGGGCCCATGCATGCTTGAACCTGGTGTGACGTACCAGGATAGATTTGCGTGGTTGTTTTCCAAAAGCCCTAGTAGAGTATAGTATTACTCACGGAAACATGGACACTAGCAATCCTTGTGTATCGCTGAGCACACTTCAACGAATCAGAACGTGCTCCATCATTTTTCAGCTTCCAGGGGATTTATTTCTGGCTCATGTCGATCTCAAGGCTGCTATTCATGAGAATGTCGGGGCCAGGGTTCTTCGCCGATGTTATCAGATATCATATTTCTTTGCGTGCAAGCCACATACTGAGATGCATGCAATGGCCTTTTTGCTTATTATCCTTTGGTGTGAGCTTCTAGATAAATCAAACCAATCCAATGGTCCGGGTGCTCTCATGATGATTCGGTTGGCTTATTACTTCGAGCATTGACAGCCGCTGTTTTTTGGTGCTGGCATTATTCTATAAGGAATTTGGTTTACTTTGCCAGTTCCGAACCAACTCCACGAGCCCGTATGCTGTAATCAATGCTAGCTGCGAAGTCACTAAATACCCCCGCTTCGAGACGGCGGGTTCAGGTGTTGGCTAAGTCTAGAGATTCCTGGAGTCAATGCAGAAGCACTCCGCATTTACGCTGGCCCAAGATCATTGTCAGTGTCACTAAGCCCGGTAAGGATGTTTCTGCGGAAGTTTGTAATCCTTACATTTGTTCCAAGATGCCGAAAACAGTAGATCGAGGGCATGATAAATGTATCAGATTTACCGCAAGCTATGGCAATGCATATAATTGAATGTCCCTATCTCTTCACGTCAAAAGAAATTCAATTCGCCATAAGGACCTTGAGTACAGAAGCACGTGCCGCTTGGCTGCACATTTTGAGGCTGCTGATCACGTCTGAGCATAACAATGGCCAATTATCAGAGGATTCGTTCCTGAAGATCTAATAGTGATTGATACACCAGAGAATTCGAGGCACAGGATTCATAACCCTGCCAACTGGCTGCTGTAGCCAGAAGCGGAAAACAGCCGTTGGGGTTCAAAGGCTGGCGCGGTCCTACAGAATGCCGCCGACCCTACTCCCTCTGCCGTCGAAGTTCTCAGGGACGCCATTGTGCCACTTCACTCCTGAAAGGCATTGCGCTTTATCTACCTTAAATGCTCAACCTCAACAGCCTTCTCATCGCCGAAAATGCCACCAACGACACCATTCTCCTCGTCTGTCACACCGGCGTGACCGCCCTCAATTCCGATGGTAGTGTCCGAGAAGGCATCCGCGATATCCCTGTATGACGGGACAAAATTGAGTGCGAGAGGATATGTTAATGCTGCGACGAAGAAACACAGCGGCACCACCATAGACATCGGCGTGCCGTGCAAGTCGCCGGTGACACCCGTCAGGGGCGGAACCACCGCCCCACCGATGACACCGCCTACGATCCAGCCTGATCCTCGCTTTGTGTGGCGACCCAGCCCTCGCATGCCAAGGGCTACGATGGTTGGGAAGCAAATAGACTCGAAAAATAATGTGACATAGAGCATCGACATGCCTGTGAAGCCACGCTGGGTGATGGAGGGTGCGACGAAGACGACACACATTGACATGAAGCCCAGGAAAATCCAGCGCGGGCGGAAGTATCTCATGAGGAAGATGCCACAGGGCCGGCCCAATGCGAACGCTGCTTGGGCGCCGGCCAGGTATTTGGACCCGATACCCGAGCGGTATGCCATCGAGTCGTTCGGGTTCCAAGGTAGCACGTCGTCCACATAGTTGATGAAGTACCTAGAAATCCCGAAGGTTCAGCATGATGCCCAAATGCACAACTCCATCGTTTTCTGAACTCACCCAGCAATCGCGACTTGAGCGCCCACGTAGCAGAACTGGGAAAAGGCGGCATGGAACAGGCGGTATTGCTTCCAGAATGGCTGATCGTCGGCATTAGCATGCGACTCGTTGGCCTGGAACGCCATATCCGCATCCGTGATCTCTGGTATGACCGACAGCCAGAAAGCTATGGCGAGAATGAAGACGAATATAGCGATGGCCAAGTACACCCATTGCACGTTTCGCAGCGCCGTTTCCTCGTCGAAGACGAAAAACACGTACGACCCCAGCACGGGGGCGATGACGGTGCCGATGCCATTGAACGTGTGCGAGACGTTGATGCGGATCTCAGCGTATTTCGGTGGACCGCAGACCGTAATGTACGGGTTGGCGGCCGTTTCGAGCGAGCCTAGACCATTGCCGATGATGAAGATGGCGACGCAGAAGCCGGCGAAGGAACGGGCAAGAATGCAGGGCCAGGCGATAAGCGAGCCTACGCCGTAGAGGAATAGACCCCAGATGAAGGTTGCACGGTACCCATAGTGGCGGAGGATCCAGTTGGCGTGACCGAGGGCGGCGAGTGGGTAAGCACTTGTAGCAACATGGCCTGGTCAGCTTGGAGCCGGAGCTGGCTTCGGGTTTGTCACCCGCGAGGATTGCTTGCGGAATGGAGCAAAAGCGACTCACCCGAAGTACGCGGCTTGCAGGCCGCTGGAACGAGCTCTGCTGATTCCGAGTGTGTTTTGGAAATGCCTACGAGGATTCGGGTCAGCAATTCCTCTTGCATGATATGATTTGGGATTCTGAGCACTGGAGTAGGATCGGTGGCAAGGGTGATGTACTTGTTCAGCGTGTCCAGCAAGCCATAACTAAACCCCCACAGGAAGAACAGAACCGTCACCAAACAGATCGGGTAAAAAGATTCCCTGAGAGTAAGTTCCGCCGCCGGTGTCCGTTTATCGTCTTTGGATTTTAACGACCGCCTCTGCAGGAATTGCTTGAAGCCCATTTTCTATGGTGTTCGTGAGTTCGTAGAGATTAGAGTACAATGCCTACCATCCGCCGAGTTGGCGGACTTGTCGCTATTTTATACCTAATGCGATCGTCTAAACGTGTAACCGCATTAACCACCTGTTTGCATACACCCCCATTTGCAGGGTCTATGATACGTGACCCCATGGGGGTTACCCTATAGCTATAGATAAGATAGATAAGAGCTATAAAAGAGCTCTGCCAGGCCAGAATAGCTGACCTGGCATCCTTTCCCAATACAACAATTCACACCCCATATGCACTCGCATCAGTCTAACTAAATTAACCTAAATAATTCGTCCGTATTTATTATATATAGAACACACTTAATTTAAGGGTCCGAAGACTTAGATATATTCTTTCCAGCCCTCTTTTTAGGAGGGACCCTTCCTTCGAGAAAAGTGTCAATTTCTAACTACTTATCCGGTAAAATAGGCCGTATTCGTTTATTTCGCTTATCCTAGACTGTTTAGATCGTTAATAAGTTAACGAACACTTTATTCGGGTTATGCTCGACGGGCTAGCGTATATATAGAGCGTCTTTATCGAGGTCTTTATATAGTTACTCGTTTTCGATACGTAATTTAGTATTCTCGGCGGCCTAGAGTGTAAGGGCCTTACCCGACTTACCTACTAGGGTACGAATTTTACGAGATACCCCGCCCTCGGCTTTCTCTATCGACTATAGTTAGCTAGATAGCTACTACGCTTTCTAAGGAGTAAAAGAAACTAGAGGTAGTAATATATAAGGCGGAGATCTAGTATATAAGGCTCCGGGGGATTATAAGATACGTCGACTAGTCCTTCGGAGCTTAGGGGCTATATACTAGTCTTCCGTTAGCTAGATTTAATATTTTCCGTAGTAAAGGCTCTCTTTAAGGTACGTAGATATACTTCTAGTATACGTTACTTATAAATTAGGGCTATAGCCTTATAAGAAGCGTAAGCCCTAAGCTCTTAGTGGTAGTAAGTCTTTAAAGGTGAGAATAGCCCGATATCGTACGGCTAGAGATCGTTACTACAGTATAAGGGTAAATAAAGTACGGCGACTCTATTCGAGTAGGCTTTCTATATAAATTCGGTATAAACATATATCTAGTAGCCGTTGAGGATAAGGAGTCGCTATTCGGTATTTCATACGTAAGCGTTCGAGGAGGGTATAGAAGTCTCGGATCTTATTCGAATCGGACGCTCTAACTCGGCTAGCATCTACGACGCGCCTAATTTTAATACGTATCTATAGATAGCGGCTAACGAAGTAATCCACCTAGTGTTAGCCGAGTATATTATTATCCCCTTGAGTAAGGAGGATTCCGGTAGCAAAGTCGGCTATATAACACTTACTAGGAGCCCGTTCGTATAGTTCTTCGTATATGATCCAGTTCACGATAACCTCCTCCTGCACTAGAGTCAACTTTTGTTACCCGGAGGCCGCGTCGCGATGCGAACGACCGTGACGAATGCGGTAGGACAATATAGTCCCCTTGATACCGTACCGATGGGCTGCTACAGCCTGGGAAAAGCCCTGACGTACAAGCTCTTTAGCGCGTTTAATTCGCTGCTCAAAATCGTCCAGACTATTCTCTACTGGATCAGCCATTGTGTACGTAGCTAGGGAGAAATTGCGAGGTAAATTGAGAGACGTCGCGTTGTTGAGGCGTAGAATTTCCCTGCAAAAGGGGGGTGCATGCAAAAAGGTGGTCAATGCGGTTAGATGATCATCCTTGCTCCTTACAGTCTCAGCAGTCCTTTTACAATCGAATGGCACAGTCAAACAGGTTGTGACGACGAGATGGACATCCACTTTTCATGGGTTGTCCATACTCGTTCAGTGGGTCGGGAGGGGGGAGAAGGAGGGGGGAATATGGGGAAATTTTGCGGAGAGGCGGGGATCATGCCGAGGTACTTTGTATATCAAGAAAATACTCCAGTCCCTTGAGGCTTGGGCTCATAGATTCCTCATGTGTTTATCTAGGTAGTCAGGGACATTTGTTTGAAATCTCATCCACTGGGTGCGATTCCTTGCTCCTATTGCTATCTTATACGATGAGGGCCTAGGGAGGAAGGCTTGGGAGGTGCAACCCCAATAAGCTTTGGGTGCCCTCCAAGAGAGGAACTCGGAAGCGCTCAGTTATTCAAGGTTGCTTACGATGGCCCAGGGGGCATTATGCAGCGCAACGTTGACCGGCAGTCGTACCGGCTTTTGTTGAAGCACTTGCGTTTACAGGGCCAAGCAACTAGCACATCGGGCATCGGTACATAATATCGCACCAATGAGTTCAATTGCCCGGGGCAATAATCTCATGAATACCGAAATATGACTATCGTTATGAATGTATGAAATAAAATGCACAGAATGTCTCACGAAGGTTAATTCTCATCATCAATGGCATCTGATCAAGGCTGGCTGTATGCTACCCAATATAGTAGCACGTGTGAATCCTCCGCAGTAACGAAGACATGACTTAGTTATACTACGTCGTATTTAGCAGACTTTGTTGAACGGAGGCGAGAAACAAATTCAGATGACGAGTGTCCGCTGGTTGCTTTTAGCGAAATGTGTTATTCGAATGCGTGTTGAGGTTTGAAGCGAGGGAGAGTTCTAGTTGTCTAATCATCTAAACGACGTTCGGCTACACCAAGCCATTAGTTAAGAATTGCGAGTTCATTCAACTGTAAATGTGGGCCGTGCAAAGGATCACGATGTATTGAGCTGATCTCCCGTGTAAGCTTCGCTGCTGGCCGACTATAGGAAACACGTGCAAGTAGTTTTGGTGAAATTGCGCAACTACCTAACCAAACCATGTACATGCGCTGAACCGGGGAAAAAGTAATTTCCAGAGTGATATTTCAATTTTCTAAGCCGGGCTTGTCCGAGGCGTGCCACTCTTGGCTGAGGCGTGTCATTCTTGGCTGGCTGCAATATGGCCAATGACGTTGGTAAACAAATGTCCGTTCTCGGCCCACCATGTCGTGTATTGTGTGCAGTCGTACGCATGAGGATCAGCCTGGAGTCCCCCTGAAGATTATAGTACAAGGATTAGTGCATTCCTTGAACATGCAGTCTGTTGCAACTCTGAACCTTTCGTTTTACTCGTCCAGTGTAACTCCTCTAATCCGAACTTGGGTATTCGGTGACATCGGTTTCTGTTTGTTGCCCTGGGCACACCGCCTGTGTGCTGGGTGCAGCGCTTGGGCCAATTGCCCATAGATAGTCCTTCCGTAGCTGCAGCCATTAGTCACATATCCTGAAATTCAGCACCCGTAGTATTCATTTTAATTTGGAACGAGCAAAATATTGAAATGTTCCGGACTGGTCCCTGAAAATGGCTATACAGAGCCACAAAGGGGCAAAATCAGTTGCCCCAGTTATGAACCAAAGATGTGAGATAGCCCAGATACGATGATAGGCCTGGATCAGGCGATATTTCGAGTCCGTTTGTTCCGTCGATTTAAATGGAGTAGTCAGCACTTATGGTAGCAAGGTGAATCGCTACACAGGGAGAACTCTGAGTCACATTAGTCATGTCAGATAGCGGCTTTTCAACCACGCTGGTTTCGAGAGAGACTTTTTTTCTTCACCGTATAGATTCTCCTAAGCATGATGTGGATGGTGTATCATCCATTGAGACACAGTTCCATGCACCAAAGGGCAAGTGGAATATCCAGGTCTGATTGGTTCAGTAGAGACTCTCGGAAGGCTATATATAATCTTTGAGAATTATGCAGTGATGGAGCGACAGAGAGCTGAGCTATTTGGTGGCCCATTTAGCCCGTAGCTTCTCCAGTTTATGGGCCCTTTCAGGTAAATGTATCTATGCCTCTGTTTCCCTTCTAGCCTTGAATATATACTAATTGATCAGTGAGGAAAAGGAGGTCCCGGCTGCCCTCCTCGACCACTGGAGGAAGAGATGGCTCACCGGAGCAGAGCATCACGATCGCCAGCGACGCGCTATCGCTGAGGAACCGGAGGGCCCTTCGATGCAGATACCGAAAGGGGGCAAGTATTTCGGCCTGAACCGACTGGAGGCGTCTACGCTGTGCCAGATCAGGACGGAAAAAATAGGACTAGCAGCCTTCTTATTCAAGACAGGGGCTTTTGGCGTGTACTCGCCGCTATGCCGCTGTGGCGATGCCCCTGAGACGGCAGAGCACGTAATCCTCTTCTGCGGGCTGTTGGAAGGACCGAGGGAACGATTACGGGCCGCCATCGCACCACGGCCACTATACTCTCGCAGAGACCTCGCAACGGCAACAGGAGAACCAGTAGTTAGTGGGACTATTGTAAGATGGCTGCTAGGGACGGGTCGGACAGCTTCAAGGCCCAGATAGCATCGATCTTCTCAGGGGGGACTTTGTTGGTAGGTTGAGAACCAACGTAGTATGGTAGTGAACGCAACGCAGTCGCCAATAGGGCGAACCGACGACGCAGCGTATGTATTTAGTCCAGCCATTAGGGCACGGTTTGACATACGGGAGTACTAGTAGAGGTACCGGGGGCTTCGAGCCTACGGCGTATTTAATAATAATATATACTAATTTTGGTTTCATAGCTTGCAAATGACTTAAGACCGTTATGGTCGAAAGACCTCGCGCCCTAATGCAGTGTATATGTTGTAAGACCAACAAAATTTTGATTTAGATATCTTTCATTCCGACTCGGAGGAATCAACATATCCAAGGGATATTGTGATTGGGCATGCTGCTTTGTCATGGTCGCAGAGGGGCATTCGTATTATGCGCGAGATAGACGATGTGCCCACCTTGTAGAAATTTGGATTGGATGAACGAAATATTACAATGAACGACGTCTACTTTAGTTAGGTATCGTGTTTGAATAATGAGCTAGGCGATTCAGCCGCGTATGTCTTGTAGGGCTGACGGTTCAAAGACCGCAGGGCTGACATTCGGTCAAATTCAGCCTCAATACTTTGAAATAGCGGACTGCGTACGCACCTCGGCCTCGGTGAGCATGGGATATTGTGATGAGGAACATCAACGGCGAAGAGTCTCACCGAATTACTGTGACTGTATGTACAGAAGCCGGTTTGGATTACACTCGGTCTCGAAAATATGACATGCTCGACAGTCACTTCCCACTTCCTCTTAGCGTCTACTTAAGTGGTTTTGCTATGAATTAGTATATAAAGGAGCTACGGTGCGCGGCACTCCACCTCTGAGTTATCCTCCAACGAAAATGAGATTGACTAAATCTTCCCGCTTTGAGCAGGTTGGCGCTGTCCAGATTCACGAATTGCAGCGGGTTATCGAGTTCGACTCTGGATCTACCTCGCCATCCGTCGGCAGCGATACCGTCTTGCCAGCTGAACTGAATAAAATCGAGTCGCAGATGTGCATAGTCATCCTATGCATGAATGAAGAATTCAAGACGATCGAAGGAGTTCTGTCCGGGATCCCCCATGATTGCCTCATCATCTTCGTCTCGAATAGTGAACGCCGACCAGTCGACAGATATCAGGTTGAAGTCCGACTCACCCAAAGCTTCTGCAAAGATGCCAACCGACTCGCGCTCGCCATCCACCAGAAAGACAGGGATGTTGCCAAAGCTTTTGTGGCTACTGGTGCAGCCGAACTCGTCGACCGAGATGGGACAATTCACAATGGCAAGGGCGAAGCCATGGTCATTGGTATGGCGTTAGCAGCAATGACCAATCGTCGATATGTAGGCTTCGTCGACGCCGATAATTACATCCCCGGCTCTGTGACGGAATATTGCAAGGTTTTTGCAGCCGGTCTTCATCTCGCTGCTTCAACCAATGCCATGGTACGAGTTGCATGGAATTCAAAACCCAAGGAGCGCCATGGGCGCTGGATGTTCGACAAGAAGGGCCGCAGCTCCAGGGATATCAACGAGTGGCTCAACAATACACTGCAAGAACACTCGGGGTTTGGAACCGAAATCATCAAGACTGGCAATGCTGGTGAACATGCCATGCCTCTTGAGCTGGGGTTGAAGCTCAAATTTGCCGGCGGATTCGCAGTCGAGCCTTACGAACTCATCTATCTGCTCGAAAATGGCAATGGCCAAGCCGTAACCCAAGCCGAAAACCCACCCTTCGTTGGGGAGGTCCACATCCACCAAATAGAGACCCGAAACCCACACCTACATGATAACAAAGGAGAGGAACATGTGCAAAAGATGCGTTTCCAAGCCCTCAATATGCTATATCACTCCAATATCACCCCTGAGCCCATCCGCAATGCAATTCAAGACCTGATGGTTTCCGAAGAGGCGTTGGCAAAGGATCAAGAACCGGCAAAAGGGAATATCTACCCACAAATCGGGTCCTTGGACTTGTTGATGCTCTACGACATGCTGAACTCCGACGCAAAAAGCTTCCATCAGATCACAGGGGAGTCTTGCGCATGTTCATATTCATCGGCTTTGGGTCCCATCGACCGGGGTTCTATTCAGTCAACTTGAATCAAGGATTTTCCTACTCTCCAATCGGTTTATTTTACATGAATTCTTGTGACAGTTCCCAGGCTGGAGCTCTGCATATCGTCACGACACTTGGTTGGGTAAACTAGGAATCATAAGACATTCATTTGGTGCTTTCGACTGGAATTTGGCAGCTGGTTTGAAATGTGATAGCGAATAAAATGTGGTGGATACATGAACTGCTTAACTTCTCGTTTACATCACTTAGTTTGATAGACAAAAGCTACCCTTCATTTCATGGAAGGTCCTCAGTCTCGTCTCTTCTGGCATGCATGCCAAGAGTTGTAAATGGTTCAGAGACTGTTTTTTCGGTCATCTCATAGAACTTCTGGAACTCAGGGTCGGAGCTCGGCCAGAATAAAGGGGCTGATAACCATGACCACGCTTGCTAACACCAGCCAGCACTGCAACAATGCGACCGCAAGAAATCAAATGTCAGTAGCGCGATGGTAGCATAGGAGAACAGGGCTGTGGTAAAAGCCCCCCATGAGCACCGCTGCCTATTCCACACGCAAGCCTCGAGTCAACCCAGTCAATCTCACCATCTCCTTCCGTTGGGTTGATGGGTTGACTAGCCGGAAATGAGGTCATCGTCAACCCCGGCGCTATCCATCGAAACCAAGCTGTTCGCCGAGCCATTCGACCGCTGTATCGTTATTTTCGGCGTTGTCGAGCGTGAAGTAGCTAATTTTATCTCGGATTCCGTAGAATCCGGTGCCAAAGCCTCGCCTCGTCGCATACATGCGTCAACCCCTAAACCTTACAAAGCGGCCCATTCTGCGTCGGCAAGCCATCTGGATCCCTGACAGCCCACCCTTCGCTCCCCACCGTAGACGGCGCCCAAAACAGACTCCAGGGATCCCATTTCTTCTTAATTTCTAACAACCTCTCATACTTAGACCCAAAGAAACTCTTCTGCCAATCCGGCTCCTGCACATCGGCCTCGTTGATATACGCCCCTCCATCCGGCGTAGCCACCCTCCACTTATTCAGCGCCTCGTTCATCAACTCGTGCCCCCTGATAATCTGCTCCGGCGTCGCCTCGCCTCTAGAGCCTCCGTTATCGTACGCAGAGCCGATATCGAACATATCCGCGTGCATGACCGCACGCCGAAACGCGGGGTTCATCCCGTTCTGCCCCGGATACCCGGCTACTTCTTCGGTCGGTGCAACGTGGATCCCATGGAACATGTATCCCTGCTCCGTCGTCTCGCGGACGGCGCGCATGGTATCCTCCCATAGCTCGTCATCTTCCCAGTTGGCTCGTGGGAAAAGCCGTGAGCCAAAACGGGAGTTCCCTGGTACATCGCCCACGCCATCGCGTTTGGGGCCCCAGTTGGTGGAAGGGCCGGGCTCGGGATTGGTGACATTGATACCCATTTTGTTGAGCTCATTGAAAAGGGGCTGCATGAATTTCTTGACTTCCGTCTTGGATTTACCTGGGAACTCGAAGGTCCCGGTGAACTCTATGTTGCTAGCGTTGTTGAGGGCAGTGGCGTAGCTGTAAGCGGTGCCGTTGGCGTCGACAACGGAGAGGCCGAAGCGGTTATAGAGGTTGAAGCCGCGCCAGAAGAGGTCCCGATCTTGGAGGGTCAGGGGCAGTGTGATGTCATTCTCAGGAATGGTACTACTGTTCCGGTAGTTGAAGGCGAGAGTCGTGGCAGTTACCTCGAGGAACGGGAAAGCCTTGATGACAGCTGATGTCACGATGGCGAAAGTACCTGCGAGAACCTGTTAGAAGAACGAGTTGAAACAAGTTCTTGGGTTTTACTCACCAGGGCCTCCTCCACGAAGTGCATAAAACAAATCCGGGTTATTATTCAGGTCGGCAGTGACGAATTTCCCATCAGCCGTCACGGCCTGGATCGACAGCGGCTGGTCCGCTCCCAAGCCGTAGATGGAGCCGAGAATGGAATGTCCACCACCTGTCATCCAACCGCCGTAGGCGCCGACAGTGTATCCGTTGGGCACTACCAGGGTCATGTTATAGATATCCATGTAATCGTATGTTTCCCAGGCTTCTATGCCGGATGAGACCTTCGCTGCTACGCCCTTATATTTGTCGTGTGTATACTCTGGCAAGAATTCAAAACTCTTAAGGTAGTGGGTCCAAATACTGAGAGAGCCGGCGCCAGTGGACCTGCCAACCCAGTCATGGCCGGTATTCCTGAAGAATAATTATTAGCTTCACTACGAGCCGTGCTATTCTTTCTCAAGAGAAGTAGCTTACTTGACCACAAGCCGGATGTTCTTGTTCCTGGCAAAGTTGACAGCCATCTGTATATGCTTTACCGTCGTCGCATTGACGACATAGTCAGGAAATCCGCCCTGAGTGCAGTTACCTTTGGGTGTCAGAGTAGCGGGGCAGGTGCTGCCCTCGGGCCATTCGGTCAACACCGTGAGGGGATCATTGATGTAGAAACGGTTCGTCGAGGCGTTAAACACGATATAATTGCACTGAGCGGTATTATAGGATGGTGAGCTCGGGTAGCAGACTGCAGCAGGGGGCGCCGGTTTCAGGAGGACTCCGCCAAGTGAATTATTGAGTCGAGTCCACGCTTCGTCCGCTGGCCATTGCTCTGTTCCGGGGAAGACTCGGCACGCGGATGCCTCAGCGCCGGCGATAGGGGTTGACTTTTCGCCAAACGCAACATCCGGATTTTTGTCCACATCTTCGTCTTGGAGCTGGATAGACTCAAAGTCGAAGTTGTAGCAGGTGATTTTAGTGACACTGGCGAGCAACACCAGAGCCAGCGAGGACCTCATTGTGTCGGATATATGCCTGGTAAGAAACTGTGCTTAATCCCGTGGGACTAAAAGTCATCTCACATTGGAAGCTTCGAACAAACCTGTGTTATAATTATATATCCGGCAATAAAGAGCTTCCTCTACGGCCTGTCAGGCAGCAGCCTATTACCTCTTGACCGAAGCATGTCTGGATTAAAGTACGGGCTTACGGCTAACACGTTTCTAGAGTGGCTTCCACGGATAAATCCTTACGAATTATTGTTGCTGCTATGCAAGATGCAGATCCAGTCCACCGTATCCAACCCAATTACGTTGCCTTTTTAGCCACAAGCTGGCAATCCTCAGCCGTATGCGGTGTCCATGCAACGTCGATGCAATACTCGTGTGGCTAAATGGCAAGGCGGATATTCAAATCTTGATGAATCCCATATACAACGAGACGCTAAGAGGCCGCAAAGCCGACTGATCTGACATAGTACTCCAATGTGAATACCTCTGATGTAATTACCTGCACACAAGCAGACAGCCTTACATAGTACCTCAAAATTTTCATCCGATTCGCTATGGCCCATATCTATTACCTAATCAGCCGAATTGGTCGCTAACGGTGTTGCTGTATTCCTGATGCTTCCGGAGTGGTAGACCTTGAACAAGGAGGCAGTCCCTTCTGTTCTCACTTGTTCTTGCCAGGATTGCCACCAGGAGGATTCCACCTCTTCCCTTGTAATCTCCGATCATTCGGTCCCGAATTCGACAGCATAGGCCGGAACTCAATATGGTGTTCCTGTTACCTGAAAATGGACTATCCCAAGCCATCTCCAGCTCGAGGGCCTAAGGGGCCACTTGTAATCAGCAGCTAAGGCCTGGTCCAATCCGCCGCCGTAACAACGCAACCGCGGATGTCCCGACCAGAAGACACAGGACCATGATAATCCTCCAGCAGGTGTCGCCGAATTGTAACTGCGCTATCCTTGCTCACAGCCATTCGTGTGAACCAGGAATTTCTTCCATAGTTTGCGAGCCATGTGTCGCCCATACCCATATCCCAAGCCCGAGTCAAATGAACGATCACAATTGAGATTCTTTGAGCCTGCGGCTTCTACCCCATGCCGTTTCTCGCCCCATCATCATGTCGAAGTCGAGATTACCGGTATACTTGGCGAAAGCCCAGAAGCACTATTTCCCATTTTCCCCGGCTCTTGCGCGACAAGTGCGCAGGACTCCTTCGAGCATCGTGGCCCATCCGACAGACTGGAGCAACAAGTTCCCGCCAGGCATATCGCCGATGGCCTCCAGTTCTTCTTGTCCTTCGAAATCTCTACCAGCAATGGCGCGTTACAGCGGTAGTAGTAGCCCCCTGTCGGCGCCCAGTACGATGACGTGATGGCAGGTTGGATTGCGGCGGCCTGAACTGCGGCTGTGAGGGAGGCAATGAGGAATGTGATGACCAATGATTTGAACATTCTGGCGTCGTAGTTCATTGGTTGATGTGGGATGTGGTTGTAGTAGTAATGAGAATCACAACGACTCGGACTCGTGTTGTGCCAGAGGAAACAATGAGATGGCAACTCCCTCAAGTGACTGAGAAAAATCTAATCTTCACTTCATTCATCGATCAGTGCATGAGTCGCGCTCGGTATCACGACAGGGCAGCAACCCGTGCTCAATACGAATCCCTTCAAGGCAGAAGTTGTAATGAACGGCACGGTCAAAAAAGGGCGGCTGCATGAAGCATATGAAGGGCGCGCCACAGCTTACGCGTCCGGGAACCAAAGGGCTAGGGCATTAGCATTAAGGGCAAAAGATTTAAATACCCTGCACAACCATGTAAAGATCTATTTACCCTACAATTTTTCTGCCGCTTTTCTCTCCACATTTCCGCCATGCCTTCTGACTTCATGCCTCTGGAATTAGCATACGACTACTATTCCCCAGCTCAACATGACGTCGCTACCCCTATTATCTATTCCTATTGATGGACAAGAGTTCCTTGACCTTGATACTCTATCGCTTGCCCTCGACAATTGGGCTGTAAAGGAGAAATTCTCTTATCGGGTTGAGCGGCGAGATAAGACCCGTGGCTCCTGGGTGTGTGCCTCTGCGTTAAGCGGCTGTTTATGGCGCTGCCGAGCAACCTATTCCCCTAGTGAGGATATCTGGCAGATTCATATTCTCGAAACGGAGCATAGTTGTAGCGGAGCTGCAAGGCAAAAATTCTCTGCGTCTAAGAAAGACTGGTTAGACCGTATTGTCGCTGCCAATATTGCAGTAACACAGCAGACCCCCCCACAACAAATACTCGACCTCCTCCGTATCCAATTCGCTGAAGATATCGACTACAAGAGAGCTCAAGAGTGCCGGTTGCGACTACTCGACGGAGATATTGGCAAGCAACGACATAGCTTCCAGTTACTACCCGCTTATAAGGAGCTCTTAGAGACCATCTCTCCTGCTATCCATATCGACTTACTTCGAGACCGCCATCAACGTTTTGAACGAATATTCATTTGCCCTGCTGAGAGCCGCTCTACTTATACCCTTTGCCGACGTCTCCTCGTTATCGACGGAACCTTCTTAAAGGTCGTTTCATCCTTACTCTATTGCTTGCCGTCACGATCGATGCGAATGGCGAGACTATTATCTTGGCCTGGGCGGTAGTCGAGTCGGAAAATAAGTCTTCTTGGACATGGTTTTTACAGCACCTTCGTTGGGCTATCCCAGAGGTCTCAACAGAGCAGAGCACAGTTCTATCAGACCGAGATAAGGACTCCTTGACTCGGAGAAGGTCCTCGGCCCGTTAGCTACAGGGGCGTGGTGCTGTCATCATATTAAGGAGAATTTCACGGGAAAGTTCGGGAGAGGGCTTGCCTCTTTACTTTGGACTATCGCCCGAGCACCAACTCTAGCCCAATACGAGGCAGCTTTAGAGAAGCTTCGACAACAAAAGCCCGAAGCTGCGGCATATCTAGAGGCGGCAAACCCTTCGCTTTGGGCCGAGGCGCTATTCTCTGGGCGTCGATATGGCCACGATACAAGTAATATCGTCGAGTCGCAAAACGGAGTATTAAAGCTTAATCGGGAACTTCCAATTATTGCTCTCCTGGACTCAATATGGCACCGGGTTATGGAGAAGAGGGCGACAGCTACCCCATTCGTTGAAGGGAAATTACGAGAAGGGAGGCAATGGGCGTCTAGTAATCGTGCTCAGTTTTTGTCACCAACGGAAGCAAGAGTAGTACAGCCTGACGGCCTTATTTGCATTGTAAATTTGACAGCAGGGACATGTTCATGCCGTCGGTATCAAAGGAATGAAATCCCTTGCGGGCATGCCATTACCGTAATACTAGCAGGAGGGGACGGTATAACCCCTTATCTACCAGAATCTCTCTCTCCGACAGTTTGGGCTGCCACGTATAGTAGCCCGATGCCAGCTATCAACGTCTCTGAGCTCAAGCTCAAGCCAGAGGACCCTTGTAACCCTCCAATTACTAGAGTACCTCGAGGACGCCCTGTCAAATAGAGGATTCGAAAGGGGGATTCTCGCCGCCCTCCACAGAGCTCACAATCGCGATGCTCTAGTTGTGATGAGACTGGACATAATATGAGAAGGTGTCGACGCCCCCATGGATAGCTTGATAGGCCCGATCGGTGGGTCTGATGGATTGGGAAGGCGGTGGGAGGTCTGGGAAATTGCAGGGTAAATAGATCTTTACAGGGATTGTGCAGGGTATTTAAATCTTTTGCCCTTAGCATTAATGAACATGCGACGAGGGTCTATTCTAGTTTCAGGGGTCATCGCTTCCAATGGAGATCCACCGTCGGTTGCGACCCACTTGCTCTGGGACCCCTGCTTTCCCATAAATGGTGGAAGGCAGAGTATATGTAAATCAGACTGCAGAGAAACTATATTATTTGCCTACTTTTCAATTGGAAGTCGGCTATAGCTACTCTGGCCAGGTCCAGTTGCCACATATGCTATGCGGGTTTCTGTTCTCACGATGTTTGACAGCTCAACTTTAGATCCTTCTCTTAGCGTAAGAAAAGACTTATCTAGTCTCCAACTCTAGACACGGGGTAAAGGAGGACTCCCTACCTTGAAGCTCTAGAGACGAGACCGTTATTTCTAACTAGCCTAAGAGTAATAACGCTTGTTACATGGATAATAGACGGGGACACTCCTAGAGGGTGTATCCTATCGTCATATACACCCGTTCCCCTTATAGTAACGGGGACCTATACTTTCACAAAAGTCACGGTATGGCTACAGGTATGATACGTGACCCCAAGGGGGTTTACCCTGTAGCTATATATGAGATAGCATAAGGCGGCAAGGGTACTAGCCAGCCTAAACAGGTCCTCGACCAGCTAGTTAGCTAGCTAACCATGCTTTCCCAATACATAAACTTTACCCCCATATGCACTCACATCGCTTCACTCCATCTCATCTAATCTAAATGTGGAATTCTAGCTATGGGGTAAGCTGTGTTATCCGTAGGGAACCATTATCACCTGCTCCCGAAGCCTGGTTGAATATTAACTCAAGAGACTTTTTAGAGATGATGCTTCCGGGTGAATCTGCCAATTGGAGGTGCCACCGTGGCAATTATCCTGATTTTTGGAAGACACCGGTGCAAATTCCGCAGACTGGACAGTGACATCGAATTGGTGACTGGGAGTAGAAATGGGGCTGTGCTCGCAAAGGATATGTCTGTATACATACGTGATATAATGCCACTTCTCTACTGTTCATATGCATTTATCCTTGGCTGGAGGGAATTTTATCATGGTTTGAAGCTTCCAAAGAAGAAATCTCATTGACCCCTTGAAGGCAGTCCTCTCAATCTCAATCTCAACCTCCCAACATTGCCTATCTCTGGCATCTGTTCTCTCGCTCTTCTTACTCGTTTTGCACTCAAAGCACCAAGCCCGCCTTCTGCAACATCACGAGAACTCAAGATCGAAAGGGAGATATTAAACTACCGGACTTGCCCTATCTAGTGGTGCCATCACACAGACAAGCCATTCTCTTGAACCCTAGGCGGGCCCAAGTGGAATCTTGACCCTCTCAGTTATCCCTGCTTAATGGCGTAAGTCCTCCGATATGCTTCATCGACGTTCTCCAAGTAATATGTTCCAGGTGCCAGGGAGGCTACGTCGCCGACAGGCTTGAAGTTCTTGCACCCATAGGCTTTCAATCGAAGAGCACAGGCCTTGTGCAATAAAGTTAGTACATCTCTCCGAATAGATTGCATTCTCAGACCTCACCTCTTCGTACTCCTCGGTTGTCGAGATGTGTCGCTGCTTCAGACGATCCATTAAGTCGATCTTTTGGACCATGTTGGTGAGATCACCAGTAACTTTCAGGCCAAAGAGGGTGCTGGCAATGCCACTTCCATACTAATACGTCCATTCAGGTCAGTATCATCTCGTTAGGGCGGTTCAACAAACAAGAGTCCAGCATCCAGCTACTCACACCAAACATGCCTATGGTTTTGCCTTCGACGGCTGCAAGATCAATGTTGCTGATTAAACTGATGAGAGAGCAAAAGAGACTGCCAGTGTACATGTTGCCGCATAAGGAAGGTGCGGCAATACACGGCTCAACTCGTTGCTTGAACTGATCTTTCGTCACAGCTACGAGGGCTTTCTCCAGAGCTTTGTCTTTCAAGGATTCTTGGTAGTCCAGCTTGCGGAGCTCATCAGAAATGCCCTTCCAGTCAGCATCGTCGGTCGACCTTAGGCAGTCATTATACTTAAGTCGGCCGTATGACTTGCTAACCAGTTTGCAGTTGGGGGTATGAAACGCCATGTAGTCGAAGAGGTCAAGGACCTTGGACACATTCTTGGGTCCATCGCCATCAGACTTGCCTCTAGCGGCCTCAACACGCTGAAGCAGATTCTTGTAGCATCCATCCAATGCGCTGACGTAACATACAATAGGTTCGTGGCCGTTAACGATAGGGTATTCGACTTTGACGTCAGGCTTATAAAAATCATAAGCGCGAGTCATGTAGACACCTCTCAGGTTTGGGTCTAACGATAGCGGCGCATTTGGGCCGACGAGCATGGCGACACAGCCAGCGCCACTGGTTGGACGCGACGAAGCCTCTTTATAGAGAGCTATGTCGGATGCAACGACAATAGCGTCCCGACCGTCCCATGAACGAGAATCGACCCAATTTATGGCATTAAACAAGGCATTGGTGCCGCCAAAGCAGGCGTGGATGGCGTCAACTCCTTCCATACTTGTATCGCCGGATGGCTCAAACAGAGTCGTGAGAACGGACTTGACAGACTTGGCCTTGTCGATGAGGGATTCGGTGCCCACCTCCAGACGTCCAATAGAGTTGGGATCAATGTTGAACTTTTGGAGCAGAGAAGACACAGCCGTCAGGGCTAGAGAACAGATGTCTGCACGGATTGGTTAGACCTGCACGCTGATATTGCTGCGGAAACGCCTCGCGTTATCTGATGGTTTCCCTCAGAAGAGGCACAACGACACGGGACTTGCCTTCTCTATCGGTACAGTAATTCATGTACTGGAGGCCCAGTCCAATGGTGTACTTGCCAGCTGAAACGCCTTGGTACTTCTCGAAGAGGTATTGATCCAGCACTTTTCCAGTCAGAGACCTCAATGGAAGGAGAGGGAGGTATGGATGGTGGGGTTGGACGTGAATGGCTTTACCTGTGCTGGTACATAGATTTCCATGGCCTTGATGCCGACATTTTCAGGGTACACCATCGTGCGAGTGCTGTTCCGACTTGTGCGTTGCTCGCCAAGATGGTATGAAGACAAGTGTAAGAGAGGGAAAAGAGGTGGTGGGTGGCTTTAAGACTTGGACCTGAGTTGGACCCAAGTTCTACCGTCGGCTTGACTAACCTGATATGCTGACACAAATGAGAGGCCGCCTCTGAGCCCCCACTTCCCTTATTCACCTCCACCGCGGTCACATACGCTAGTGCCGTAACTTCCAGGGGGCCTCGTCGATTGAGCATCTAGGATATTTTGGCTGGAGGTTACTTTTCTAGCACTTTCTATTAGCAAGCTACTTCCGTAATCCGTACGGAGACTGACGATAAATAGCCCTCAGACCAATTTGAATGCATTAGCATGGAGTTACTTAGAATTATACGTTGTCATGTCTTCAGATCTTGTTCGGCCCCAAGGAGCCTATCTATCACCTAACTCCTTCATCCTTCAACATAAAAGAAACCACGTTTAACTCGTAATATGGACCTTACAGGACATAGATATCCCGATTCTGAAGTGGCCGGCTCATTCTCGTAGCCTGAACCCGATCAAGAATGTATGGGTCTGGATGAGAGATTGGATCTAGTCTCGAAACGATATTTAGAGCCTTTTAATCAGTTGCAGTGTTCTAAGAGGCGTGGTATGCAGTTCTTGAGTGGCTAGTCCAATTAGCCCACTTAATAATGAGCTAGTGATAGAGAAAAATGGAGATACTCGTTAAGCATCAAAACAGCGGTTTGACCCACTGCGAATGGACGTCTATTTTTGACCGATACTTTCAGACTTCACCATTTCACAGCAAATTTGTAAGTATCTCTTAAAAGTTTGAGTACAATGCTTAGAAGCATGTAACGAAACAGCTAGATTCGGCTTCGCAGCTGCAGCCAGTGCCAGAATTTGAAGACCTTTTGTCAATTATACTCATTACATTCGGGTTGGGCCAAGAATAATGTGTCCGCGATCACTTACAAACCCTATAGTACTTACAAACTGGCTGCACTTCCAACATGATGTAACGAAACCTCTAATAGTCTAGCTGCGTAAACCACTAAAGAGTCTGTAAGGATTTGTGCTAATAAGTAAGCCCACTTGGATATGTTGGACAACCAACATATCCTGCCCTGTAGGTCACGTGACCTGTCGGTCCTTTCCTTCCTCCGATGCGGGGTCCCGTGATCCTATCGTCTGTATCCACCTGGCCTGCCGACGGGCCTATAATGTTGGTTCAGGGCCAACGGTTCGTAACACTACAAGGGTGCGAAAGACTGGCAACTCTGGAAGACAGCGTTTCGCAAGCGTAAATAAGCTGCAAGTGTCGGGGAGTTCATCGATCCTGACGACGAAATCAGTTCGCCCCAGAGACCAGTCAAGCCAGTCCATCAAGAGTATCCATCAATCCGCAGAGGTCCATCTGATCGGATATCCAGCCTCTTCAACAGAGATATCCTACGACGGCCGAATCAGCTACAAACAAGACTAGGACAAATTTATCTGTACCGGCCGAGAATACAAGGAGCATATGAATTCCATGCGAGAGCTAATTAATTATGTCCAAACCTCTATATCCCTGACCATCCGGGAGATAAACCTACTACCGGGCGAGGCCCTAGAGGAATAGTACCAGGTGCTCGTAGCGGCCGGGAGAGTATAAGAACAACGACTTATAATTAACGCCTAAGCCGAATATCACACACACATATAGCAGCTATTAAAGATATGTATGAAGGTGGACGAGTAAGTGTACAAGTAAAATCACGGTCAAAAAGTCTCGAGTCCACTTGACTCCACTCCTTAACACGTCGCCTCAAACTGAATTTTTCACCTATCTACAGCTAATTATCAATCTATAATGACTTGAAATGAAGTATACCCTTAGAAAAGCTCTTACTCGCACTGTAACCGCAAGCTACGACAAAGGCCATCGGTATTTGATACGAAAAGGTAGGGGGACCCACTGGTTAGGTGAATCCCATTCAATTAGATACTATAACGTTGCGCACTGCTGCATTATAGCATCCTCTCCCCTAGGTGCACGCATCAGTATTATAAACTGGCTCGCGCTACTATAGCCGCCTTGCGTGCCATCGGCGTTAGTATTGGGATGTCGCTAGCCGATTCAAATACTCGCCCTCAAGAAATAAGACTAACACCAAGCACCTAAAACAAATCGGGCCATTTGCCTCACGCCATCGTAGCGGCCGACTTAAGGTCCTGACTGTGCGGCAGGCTCGACCAGTACCAGAATCATGAGGAAACCGGAATACCTAGAATTAGTTAGGGAGCCCTATCAAAAGCGGTGTGGGACAAAGTAGGCTATTTCCTGTGTCTTACTAACAAGACCGCCTTTAAGTGACAGAAACTACACTACTAGAACTCCCTACACGGTATTAAGTTGAACCTAAGGGCCATGGGCTAACGGATAGACTCTCATCCCTTCTCGAAGGGCAGAGAGGCATAGTTAACTAACCTTCTACCTTGGCTGATTTGCTAGCCGGCTCTGGTATTTCCTCGACTTGGTTAACAGACTAAATCACGCGATAATTCTCTCCGACAGGCCATTCGCCCGTCTCCCACCAGGCAAGCCAAAGCGGTCGAATGATAGTTGTAGCCTGATGGAGGTTGTCGAATGTGTTGAGCTGCAAATTCAACCTACTGGGAGAACTGCATGGCTATCTCGGCGAGGTAAACAAAGGGCTTCTGATTGGGATACCGAGCCCTGGAGACTTCGATAATGCTCGGTGGCTATCCGACATCCTGACTATTCTGTTTTGTCGCCAAAGGGTAGTCTTGGAATAATACCAGTAAACAAGTAGATTTTGAGTGAACGTAAAGAAAGACATGATATCACTTTGACCATCTACTAGTTATTATTGACACAATACTGAATTAACCAATTATATTCGTGTACCTTTCATGGAGCAACCCAAGTTCAGCCCACCAAAATCAATACCAGACCGACACTTCTACAATTGAACTCTGCTGCCAGAACTGACAATATCCCCGAACCATCTGCCACGCTATCTGGTTTGGGGACATAAACTGGGACGGGATGAGAATAAATGGCTTATAGCGATCTCTCAGGGCTGGGGAACCCCCGACCTTCATCGAGCATATCAAGGCTGGATTGCAGGTCCTGGAGGATGCGCCGAATTCCGTATTGATATTTTCTGGCTAAACAAATTCTTCTCTGCACCTGTCTACTCGCTTATTCTGTGCATACTCTTGAGGCTTGACACATTCTTTGCTGTCAAGTCCAGGGCCGAAGCCTGAAGTGTCACCTAGTTCCAATTATATGGCCTATACTTATTCCCCATCTCGGAACAACGCAGTGCTAACAAACTCACAGTGGCCAACCCGAAAGGACAACGGAATCTCGAAGCAACCAGCTACGCCAATCTAGCTGCTGCAAACTCCCTATCTCGGGTTGTTCTTACCCAAACAAGCATAAACTTGCATCTCGTGCAAGACCCGAGCCCTAGACTGTTACTACATTGTCCTATTCAGCCTCTTCAAATTATGGCAAGATCATGGCAGCGTCTGGTCGAACCGGATCACCATTGTTAGCTACACCTTCAAGAAGGTGCGCCTTGTTGGCTGCCACGGCGGCGCCGTTAACTATCCCATGAATCGAATTGGACTCATCGGTGGCAATCCGCCCGGTATGCAGAATGGGAGTAATGAAGCTGCCATGAGCAGTGTTACTGAACCGATGGCTCAGGAGAGGGAAGATCCACATAGCACCGGGGATATACTTGCTGGGAAACGGAAGATGAGGAATCCGTGGAGGGCTCCACAAATATCTTCACTGAGGATGAGAAGTTTCGTAGTAGGGCCAAATCTAGGATAACTGCAGCTGGTCAGCAGGCCTTGGAGGCAGAAACTGCTCATCCTTGGTCGTAAAATTGCTTCTGATTCTGCGGATGTGGGATCTAGCAATTTTCATTCCGCTCATACGAATCGATGGCGTGTTAAACCAGCTCATCGGCTCTCTCTGTAGCCCACTCACTTCATATGAATAGAAACAGACATAATCGAAGCAGTCGATAATATAGTTCTCGCGTTACCAACGCCTGACTAAGACTCCCTTGTAGTGAACTTTAGTAATGGATTGCTAGATGTAGTCAAAACCCTCGTCGAAGCGGTTCCATTGTGTCCTGGGCCATTCCTTCTTCTTTAACGCAAAATTGGCGATCTGGAGCTCTGTGGGAGGTGCCAGAACTCCAGGTGGTGAAGAGAGGCCGAAACTGGTGGCTACTCAGACTTGCAACTTCTCATTTTGTGCTTCCAAAGGTGTGCCAGGAAATCACGAATCCATTAGGCTAGGAAACTATGCTGGTCTGCCGTCTTCCGAGTGACTGTCTGTGCAGTCATGACATGTTGCAGAGCACGGGTTGCACAAATTCCTTTGCGATTTGAAAGAGCCAGGCACAAGTTGTGCAAACCCCTTAGCGCCTTCCCCGACCCGACAGCATGACAGTGTACACAAGTCTCTCGGCATGCTCTGGGTTTGTCAACTTTCAAAACTTCACATCATTATTTTTATCGTAACCCCAAGTATTACGTACGCATTGTCATCTGGAAAGGGCTGCTTAGATTTTCCGACACTCCATGCTGGCCACAACAGTGGTGTAGTGTCTATATTGTCTGCAGTATTCGCAGTTTCTGCGCGTACAGGCATGTTGACTGTCAAAAAGTCACATAAAAGTCCATCTTGGGCTGAAATACACGTACCCTTCGTCAAATGGACAGTCTAGCCCGAAGTTTCTGACACCGCTCGTCACCGCAGTGTGTGCCAAAGTCTACAGTCTCCGCGGGCCCCAAACATGTCGATTTTCGAATTTCGCATCGGCTTCCATCTTGGTCTTGAACGCACATTATTCTCATGATTCTCAACATCCTTTCTTGAAATTTCCGACATCCTACGTTGCGACAGTGTGCGCCAAAGTCTGCAATATATACAGGCTCCAGACGTGTCACCATTCGAAACTTCACACTACCTTTACCTTTGTATTCAAGAAATACACCCCTCATCATCCTCGACAATCCTTTTCTAAATTCTCGGCAACCCTCGTCACAGAGAATGGAGGAGCGTAACACCCAAGACGCTGCAATGGCGGAAGGCGCCCTCCTGGCCGATGCCACTGGACACGAAACAATCCCGCATCAGTCCCGAAGCAGCTCAACGACACCGGTTTCGCATCATCTCATGAGGACAAGTGTGGAGGACATTGATACCGAAGGCGCTCCCATTTCCGACACTGCCACGGCCGAAACAATCCCGCTTTCACCTCCGAACAAGGCGGCGATTCAAACCCCCGATCATATGTCAACTGAGATGGAGGAAAGCAACCAGCAAACCGAAATCATGTCAGATCGCGCCTCCTTGAGGAGTACCACCACACCCGAGATGATCCCACTGCCATCCCTGAAGATTGATGAGGACGAAGAGCAGTCCCCTGGCACACCATTCACGCAGCTAAACACTAATGATCTGCAGAGCATGGTTGATGTTAACATGGCTCCGCTTGAGGAGGGAGACCGCCGCAATGCAGCGGAGATCCAAAGATTCTATCAACTGGGCTCGAGACTTTGGACTACGGGAATGTTTGAGGAACTTGAGGATTGTATTAAGCAAGCTGACGGCAAACCATCCTTCATTGAAGTGCGCTGCCTTGATGCAAACTGGGCCATGAACTGGCAGGATTGGTCTCAAAAACCGCAAGACGGGTAAGTCTGCCGCATTTTTTTTAGTTGATCGAGGGCTTCCTGGACCTCAGCGTGAACACGAACACTATTGCTCAAAAGGCACGGAACTATCCGCCATGAGTCTGTCGAGTCACTGGTAGCTAATTCTATGTGTTAGAAAACCCCTCATCAGCTTCAGACTCTACCAAGAACTAGTATATAACTGCGCCGCTCCCGGTAATTCGGGACGATGTGCGGTTTACCTCGACTCTTTCACGAAGCAGGTTCCCAAGATGCCAAGTGGCGTTCTGGCTGCACAATACCATGAAGTGAAGAAAGCCTGGAACATCAGTATGGTTTGCCTTGAGCTCCGAGATCTCTTGGAGAAACTCCGCATCCCGGGCGGCAAAGATGGGAAGAAGGGCATTAGCAAGCTAATCTGCTTCGGTCTTGGTACGATGGAGGAAGATTTCGTCGACAAATTGGATCCCAAGCCGTGGAGATCCATGACCCAGCATGCTGCACTCATGACCATTGTAGACCTTCTAGAGGAGCGGCAGGGACACCGTATTCCCATTGTTGCGCAGGATCCTTGGTGAGTAATCCTTGAGTACATCTGTTTCCTTCACCAAGTATTCCCGAGAGAGAATATTCGCTTCCTGAAACATGAAATAATAATCCTCATTAAATAAATATCAAGGAGATTCACTAACACCTAGAATTACAGGTACACCGAAGATACCCGAGACATCCTAGAGTGCGATAACGTCGACGTTGCGGAGGGTTATGGCAGTCTGGCATTCACCCAGATCGACTCACAGACGCTTGTTTACAGCGTGAACCCTAGCGTCCCTGTGAAACAAATCATTGCGGACATCGCGAGACCTGCAATAATGATTTGTAATCGAATCAAACCCAGGTCTGAGGAGAAGACGGAGTGGGAACCAGTGCAGACTGGAGACACACCAACCAAGTACCTTGCCCCCTGGTGCGCGGATGAGGACTCGCCCCGAACTCGAGAGATGGCCCAGGAGTACAACACAATGAACTTCCCCGATTACGAAACTCCTGAGCCGCCTCGTTTTGGTGACTTGAAAGTCTACGTGCGCAAAGCCGATTTTGTGGCTGGCAACTTTCGCAAGTTGGAAAAGTCCGGCCGCGTTAAGATGGGCTTCGAGGCATAGCAGTGGATGTTTGGAATACGTCAGAAAGGGGTCATAGGAGGAAGGAGGACCTTCAATTTATCGTTGAAGTGCTCTTCTGAGTGGCCAGGAAATAAGTGCCAATTGTCTGGATAATGTAAAGTCTTCAGGAAATGGAATACGCGAATATTAACCTGTCTTTTACGTTCATTTTTTCGCTTCATTATCTGTGTGAGCTTCCCGACATACGTAGTTGTGTACACGGTTTACCGCACCCGACCTATGGGGGATTCGATTGGGATGTTCCCGAGGGCGCCTGCTGCCGCGTGGTCGTTTTTCCAAGCACCTTGACAACAGTACATTCGTCCTACGCAGCTTGTGCTTGGGTTGAATTCTGGTTGCACAAGCTGAATGAATAGTTGGAATAATCACGTGAAGCAAGACCCCTCAATTATCAGCGAGGCTGTCGGCAATAAGGTCACGATGACGGCGAAAAACGATATCTAAGTATGTTTCTCCTCGATTCAATATATATTATTATTAAATACGCCGTAGGCTCGAAGCCCCCGGTACCTCTACCAGTACTCCCATACGCCAAACCGTGCCCTAATGGCTGGACTAAATACATACGCTGCGTCGTCGGTTCGCCAATAGGGCGACTGCGTTGCGTTCACTACCATACTACGTTGGTTCTCAACCTACCAACAAAGTCCCCCCTGAGAAGATCGATGCTATCTGGGCCTTGAAGCTGTCCGACCCGTCCCTAGCAGCCATCTTACAATAGTCCCACTAACTACTGGTTCTCCTGTTGCCGTTGCGAGATCTCTGCGAGAGTATAGTGGCCGTGGTGCGATGGCGGCCCGTAATCGTTCCCTCGGTCCTTCCAACAGCCCGCAAAAGAGGATTACGTGCTCTGCCGTCTCAGGGGCGTCGCCACAGCGGCATAGCGGCGAGTACACGCCAAAAGCCCCTGTCTTGAATAAGAAGGCTGCTAGTCCTATTTTTTCCGTCCTGATCTGGCACAGCGTAGACGCCTCCAGTCGGTTCAGGCCGAAATACTTGCCCCCTTTCGGTATCTGCATCGAAGGGCCCTCCGGTTCCTCAGCGATAGCGCGTCGCTGGCGATCGTGATGCTCTGCTCCGGTGAGCCATCTCTTCCTCCAGTGGTCGAGGAGGGCAGCCGGGACCTCCTTTTCCTCACTCATCCACTCGGAGCCCCGGGCCTCCTTCTCCATAGTGTACCCTGCCGGTCGGAGTAGCTGCGACGCCTGCTTCCTCTTCGCCGGCCTATCCTGCCGGAGTATATGTGACGCTTTAGCGCTCGCGCTGCGAAGCAGATTTCTCTTCCCGCTAAGTCGTAGCCGTTCTTCAAACTTAGCAGCCCGGGCACTAAGATAGAGGTCTAGTGGCGGGATTGCTGCTTCTGCTTCCAGGTGGCGAACCGGCGTCGCTTTGTGGGCGCCACAGACTACCCGGAGGCACTCGTTCTGTATCCCCATCAGGCTCTTAGCTGGCCCTGCCGGTTCCTCACTTATAGTATGCCACGCAGTCGCCCCGAAGGCGATCGCGCTACGGATAACCACCGTATATAACAGCCTCGCCCGTATAAGATCGCAGCCCCACGACATATTGACTAGCTTTGTCAGGGCTAGCTTTTGAGTTGCCATTTTTGTTTTAACACGCTCAACATGGGCGTGCCACGTCAGTTTGCGGTCGAACCAGACTCCTAGGAACCTGGCTGAGACTACCGGCGACACTGTGGCGTCCCCAAGGCGAATACTTTGCGGCAAGGGCTCTCGGGCCCTAGTAAAGTGCATTAGCTCACTCTTGTCAGGGGCGAACTCCATCCCGTGCCTCACTGCCCACCGCTGACACGTAGCCCATGCGCTCTCCAACCGGCGGCAGGTCGTGTCTGGATCGGTGCCGACGCTTAGCAGGTTCGTGTCGTCCGCGAACCCGACTACTAAAAGTAGTGGATGCTGCTCCGCTAGCTCCTCGTACAGCGTTGAAATGTATAATATAAACAGTATCGGGGATAGCGGTGACCCCTGGGGGACGCCAGCTCGTAGGGGGATTGGCTCTGACTCCTTGCCATCGAACCGGAGGCGTACCGTTCTATCCTCCACGAAGCTGCGTACCCACTCCTGAACCCACTCCGGGTAGCCTTTCCGGGCTAATATGGAAATCAGCCGTCTGTAATTGACCGTATCGAATGCCCCCTTGATGTCTAGCTGTAGCAGCGAGGCGATGCCCCCGCGTCTCCACGCCGTATAGACCACGTCCTCAACTATACGTATTGCCAGTTCGGTGGACCTCCCAGCGCGGTTACCCATTTGGCCGTTTGGTAGTAGGCCGGCCGCCTCAGCTACTTTGGTGATACGCTGGCTCATCGCCGTCTCTATTACCTTCCCTACCGTGCTAAGCAGGGCAATGGGGCGCCAGCCGCCAGGGGTCTGCTTCTGAGCTGTCGTTTTATTAGGCTTAGGGATAACAACCACCCTCGCTGAGCGGAAGCGCTCCGGGTAGTACCCCAGCCTAAAGCTAGCTGTTGCCAGATCCGCTAGGATCTCCCATAGGGGTTCACCGCAGGCCTTTAGCAGGCCAGTGGGGATCAGGTCGTCGCCGGGAGCCTTCCGAGCAGCCGTTCCTTTGATGATAGACTCGATATCCATTGTGGTCACCTCCCTAGGGACGTTCAGCTCTGGTCTCGTCTGTAATAGGCCGCGATCGAGGTCCGATAGATCTATACACGGGTCTGGGAAGAACCTCTCAGCTAGTAATTTTGCCTTCTCATCATGTGTACGTGCCGTAAGCGTGTCGCCGGCGTCCCTCCGGAGATCTGGCAAGCCGTGGGCCTCAGGGGGGGCCCAGCTCCGTAGCCTAGCCCACCTCTGCAGTGCCCACAGGCTTTTGTGATCCTTCGCCGTCCCCTCGAGCTTCTCGTGCCAGCTACGCGTCTGCGCTTCGCTGATTTCGAGCCGTTGTTTTTGGCCGGCTCTTGTATATTCGTCCCAGTTGGTCTGCGACCTTGCCTGGAGGTAGTCCCGCCGTCGTCTCTTCGTCTCAGCGCAAGCCTTGCTAACCTGCGGGCACCACCACGGGACCCCAGCGCCTCGGCCAACGGTGCGTCTCGGGACCGCCACGTCGGCGATCTCTTGGAGGTTCCGGATAACCCAGTCAACAGCCTGGTCCAACTCCGTTATCGTCTCAACCGGCAAATAATTCATAAATCTCTGGCTTGATTCGGCTACGATGAGCCACTTATCCGCCATCACCCAGTTCCACCCTTCGACACTGCGGCGGCCCTCCTTGACTGCTTCCCCGTTGGATATTACCCTAATTACTTGCGCTCTGTGGTCTGAGCCCTCTAGGCCCGGGTCCCCATCGTAATCAATCCTAGCCCCTTTCGTCACCCAGGCTAGGTCGATAGTTGAGTCTCGTTGTTTGTGCCTTTGCCGTGTGATTTCCCCGAACGGCGTAACGAGCTCTAATCGCCAGCGTCGCGCAAACTCCACTACGTTGTCGCTGCCCCGTGACGACCGTCCGTGGACGTCCCACAGCGGGTGATGTGTATTGAAGTCCCCTACGAGGACCTGTGTCCCTTCCGGCGCCCCATTAGGGAGGTCTTGGAGCGGGCTGACCCAGCGGCTCCCGGTCTGGTTTGGTGAATAGATAGACCAGATTGTAAGGGCGTCCGGGCCTGCCCCGAACGTAATACTGCTCCAGTCCATCCCGGTACGGGGTCGCAACGTAGCCACGTCGTATCGTTTATGGACGTATAGCGCAGCTCTGCCGCTGCTGTACACTACTTCGTACCTGGACGACTTCGGGCAATAAATCGCCTTCGTCCGCCGGTTGCCGACATATCCCTTCACCCGGATCTGCCGACCAGAAACATGCAGGCGATTATTATAATTACTGCTAAACATCCTACGGAGAAGATCGCTACGTACACTGTTGTTACCAGCTCCTGTAGTTGAAGTAGGGCGTCTAACGGAATGCTTCCAAGTTAATCGGAACGGATAATCATAGAATGATTAGTTATGAAGGTACTAGTGAATGATTATGTAACCAACGATTGAGTATTAGCAATCATTACAAGTAATCCGGCAGTAATGATTATATGTACAAGGGAGAACTACATCTAGGCTTTCATCAAGCTTGCCGCTGTTGCCGACGTCAAACTTGAGTCACTTGCTGCCATTTCCGTTTTTCTCTCCTCAGCTACGATATCCAGGGCGTACGAGGTCCGGGGTACGCGAGGTGTGCGCCAGGTTGCAATCAGGATTTGGCCGCTGGCGAGAACGAGACGGAAAATGGCGAGCCCGAAGCGGAAGGAGGCTCCGGTGATGGGCCAGGTGAAAGGAGGGTTGGGTTCGGTGGGTTCTCATGGGGGAGATCATTTTTTACCCCGTCGTATTGAGTTCTCTTTAATTCAATCCCAGAGTTTGGTAGGCAAAGGGGCGAAGGGAAGAACTGATTATGTACGTGTCGTTGCAGTCACTGTTATCTTTTCTTTCCTTTTCCCTTTACATTTGTTATCTTTCTTGCTTGCGGTTGCGGCAGTCCACAATCTTTAACCTGGAAAATAATGTTATATATGCATATTAATACCTAGAACCGTTGTAAGTAGACACTTCAAGGCTACCCCTCTCATTGGAAAACTCCCAGCCCCGGGCGAAGCGAAACTGCATCCCGTTAATTTCAAGCATGAAGACGGCGTGGCATAGAAGAGAGCTAGCGCCATAGCGTACTATTATAGACAAAGAGTCAAGGAACGAGATAAGCGGCAATGCCGAGAGCACAGCGGTGCCATAGACCATCTGCACAATGGCACACAGCCGGGCTATCCATAACAGCGCATCAGTTCGCCACGTGTCAACCGTGCCATGTATGAGCCAACCTGGCGGAGATAAATTCGCGACGGGGAATGGGCACAGCCCCGACTCTGTAGCCGGTGCCGAGGGTTCAATCGAGTTGTCTCTAAGCCTCGATCGTGTCCGGACAGCCACAACGACGCAGAAGGCGGGCTGCTTGACAGCCCGGCATGATATATCTGCATCATCTGTGTGGGACGTTGGTGCTCCAGCTTGAAGACATCGACGCTAGTAAATAAATTGGTGACAGCTAGCGTAGGCGAACGGAGTGATAGAAGGGCCGCAAGGAGCGGGCGTTGGGTGGATAAAACAACCAGCTCAGCCATGTCAGGGCCGATGAAGATGAGGACGGTGGGTGTCAGGCCTAGGATGATGTTGGCAGATGCGAGGTTGGCCTTGACTGACTCGTCCGTCCCCTCGAGGAAACAATTCAATGCGCAAGCGCAGGTTGCGGAGCAGATGCTGCGATTGTCGGTCCCGTAGTTGTTTAGTGCCTCGTTGTAGTTCCGTGCCTTGCTGGTCTACATATGTTCAAAGGACGGGAACCAGTGCCGGAATTTCTGATGCTGGATAGCGATGAAAAATGGCAGCATCGCGGTTAGAACGATAGCCTGGGTGGGCTTCATAACTGTTCCGGGCGAGGCGTGCTGGTGGATGTCGATATATATTGAATCGGGTTCGCGGACGACACGAACCTGCTAAGCGTCGGCACCGATCCAGACACGACCTGCCGCCGGTTGGAGGGCGCATGGGCTACGTGTCAGCGGTGGGCAGTGAGGCACGGGATGGAGTTCGCCCCTGACAAGAGTGAGCTAATGCACTTTACTAGGGCCCGAGAGCCCTTGCCGCAAAGTATTCGCCTTGGGGACGCCACAGTGTCGCCGGTAGTCTCAGCCAGGTTCCTAGGAGTCTGGTTCGACCGCAAACTGACGTGGCACGCCCATGTTGAGCGTGTTAAAACAAAAATGGCAACTCAAAAGCTAGCCCTGACAAAGCTAGTCAATATGTCGTGGGGCTGCGATCTTATACGGGCGAGGCTGTTATATACGGTGGTTATCCGTAGCGCGATCGCCTTCGGGGCGACTGCGTGGCATACTATAAGTGAGGAACCGGCAGGGCCAGCTAAGAGCCTGATGGGGATACAGAACGAGTGCCTCCGGGTAGTCTGTGGCGCCCACAAAGCGACGCCGGTTCGCCACCTGGAAGCAGAAGCAGCAATCCCGCCACTAGACCTCTATCTTAGTGCCCGGGCTGCTAAGTTTGAAGAACGGCTACGACTTAGCGGGAAGAGAAATCTGCTTCGCAGCGCGAGCGCTAAAGCGTCACATATACTCCGGCAGGATAGGCCGGCGAAGAGGAAGCAGGCGTCGCAGCTACTCCGACCGGCAGGGTACACTATGGAGAAGGAGGCCCGGGGCTCCGAGTGGATGAGTGAGGAAAAGGAGGTCCCGGCTGCCCTCCTCGACCACTGGAGGAAGAGATGGCTCACCGGAGCAGAGCATCACGATCGCCAGCGACGCGCTATCGCTGAGGAACCGGAGGGCCCTTCGATGCAGATACCGAAAGGGGCAAGTATTTCGGCCTGAACCGACTGGAGGCGTCTACGCTGTGCCAGATCAGGACGGAAAAAATAGGACTAGCAGCCTTCTTATTCAAGACAGGGGCTTTTGGCGTGTACTCGCCGCTATGCCGCTGTGGCGACGCCCCTGAGACGGCAGAGCACGTAATCCTCTTTTGCGGGCTGTTGGAAGGACCGAGGGAACGATTACGGGCCGCCATCGCACCACGGCCACTATACTCTCGCAGAGACCTCGCAACGGCAACAGGAGAACCAGTGGTTAGTGGGACTATTGTAAGATGGCTGCTAGGGACGGGTCGGACAGCTTCAAGGCCCAGATAGCATCGATCTTCTCAGGGGGGACTTTGTTGGTAGGTTGAGAACCAACGTAGTATGGTAGTGAACGCAACGCAGTCGCCAATAGGGCGAACCGACGACGCAGCGTATGTATTTAGTCCAGCCATTAGGGCACGGTTTGACATACGGGAGTACTAGTAGAGGTACCGGGGGCTTCGAGCCTACGGCGTATTTAATAATAATAATAAATAATAATCGCCTGCATGTTTCTGGTCGGCAGATCCGGGTGAAGGGATATGTCGACTATAATGAAGTTATCCGTGCCGTAACAATGGCGGTCGAATGTCCGTTTTCCGATGACATCTTGGCGTTTCCGACGCAATGTTTACTACTGAGAATAGTCTCGCCTAAAATAGGACCATTACTAGTCGAAGCGCTAACTACAAGCAGTAATACTCTTACAGCCGTTCCTAGCTACGCTAGCAGTGCTACTAATCTTATTGCGCAAGCTCTAATATAGCTTTCTTGTCGCCCTCGCTAATTCACTACGGCAACTAACATCGGCTTCGTATTTAGGATTATGTTACTAGCAGCAGAGAAGCCTACTCTATTAACCGTGAGTTAGGAAATTTGGTGCGGTAATGACTCCGTCAACAATAGCGCTTACAGTGCCTTATATGCACCGCGTTACGCTAGATGGTCCGTTAGAACTTGGTACGAAAAGGTAGGGGGACCCACTGGTTAGGTGAATCCCATTCAATTAGATACTATAACGTTGCGCACTACTGCATTATAGCATCCTCCCCCCTAGGTGCACGCATCAGAACTCATCTAGAGGTGAATTCGCTGCGCTGCCCGTAAGCGTTCTCTCGCACTATAGGAAGAGGTCCAGGTCGGACTCGACAGGAATAGAGGCGATATCGTTAGAGTCTCAGGCTTCAAAGGAGATGGCGGTATTGGATTGCAGGGTGTTTAGAAGTAATGCTGCAGATACTAGCCCACGGGGAGGTAATTTAATCTACTTCGTTAAGGACGGTCACTCCCGAGGTACCATTTTGCACGACCGAGAGTGTTAGACAAGCAGAGCACGCGTGGCGTGGAGAGCGCGCCGGCAGCAAGGACGACTTTGCTATTAGGCTTGCGGTTAATGAGTTGCGGGGCGCTGGACTTGGTGATGGTGAGGACGCCTGTTATCGTGCTTCTCTCGCGCACGACTTGGACAACCTCAGACTAGATGCCACCATCTCAAGAGATTATCTATCCTTGAGCTCTTGTAATAGTTTCTGGAATAGGAAACAACTAATCCACGATGAGCAAGATAGTCTTAGGTAGCAGTCTCTAGAGTATACTAACCTTGGCATTTAATATTAATAATATGCGAGTATTTAATCACCTGAATGGTGTATTTGATGGTATCGTTATGTTGAATCTATTGCTATTGCTATGGATAAGGAAGCGAGGTTGGCATAGAGTTTGTTCCCCCCTTCAGGACCGACAGTAGCTAGAATAGCCTAGTGACAGCAAATGCAGTACCTAACAAACTCAAACAATTGCTGACGTTATAGACCAAACGCTTAGCGTAGAACTGTGAATTTCGATGAGGAGACTCCACTTTCAAACTCTGTCCGAATGTTAAATCCAACTGTTGCGAGGATTAAATTGTTAATATGCTTAAATCATGGGATCCGTAAATCATTGTGCAGTCGGCATGCGGCCTAACATTGCTGCCGACAAACCGGGTCTGGACCCCATTATCGTGGTTATAGCACCTCCTCCACTACTGACAGTGGGCCAACCGAGGCAAGAAAATTTGTGTCGCTAATGCAGTCTTGACTGCGTCACTACGTATTCGCCATGTAACGGAGAATCAGATGGAATTTCTCATGGGGAATATGGGTTCTAGAATCATTTAAAACCCCGGGATTCCTTCGTTATTCTTGATGGACCTGCAGTGAATTCATCTCTCAATTCCAAACCTCGATCGGTCCACTATAATAACCCTTGCAGTTGAATCCTTCAGCAGCTTTAGTACGCATCATTGCTCAGCCACAATACACCAGTCATTCCATATATTTCATAATGCCTAACAAGACTCTTATCTTCAAGAAGGTCCCGAACGGCTGGCCCGTTGCGGGCGAGCATTTGGCCGTCGAGGACCGTCCTTTCGACCAAGATGCCGCAGCTCCTAGTGGGGGTCTTACAGCAGAGGTCCTTTACGCTTCTTTCGGTACGTAACTACAAAAACCTGTTTCACCATCCACTACTGACACTAAGACCCAAGATCCCTATCTGCGGGGTAGGATGAGAGATGCTGGAGTTGCCAGCTACTCAGCCGCCTTTGAGTTGAACGGTCCGTTCGTCAACGGCACAGTGGCCCGCATCCTCAAGTCGGAGAACTCTGACTTCAAGGCTGGTGACATCATCGTTGGATACACACCGATTGCAGAGTACGTTACTATACCTGAGCCGGCAAAGCAGGCAGTACGAAAGATCGACAACCCGCACAACTTGGACCTGGCTCTTTTCCTTGGTCCCCTGGGCATGCCCGGACTCACTGCCTGGTCTGGCCTGTACAAGATCGGTAAGCCCAAGGCGGGCGAGACCATCTTCATCAGTTCGGCCGCAGGTGCAGTTGGGCAGGTCGTTGGGCAAATCGCAAAGCACGAGGGTCTGACCGTCATTGGATCCGTTGGCTCCGATGAGAAGCTTGACTTCATTACCAAGGAGCTCGGCTTCAACGCTGGTTTCAACTACAAGAAGGAGAAGCCGCAGGAGGCCTTGGCCCGATTGGCGCCCAAGGGCATCGACATTTACTTCGAAAACGTTGGTGGTGAGCACCTCGAGGCGGCGTTGAACCACATGAACGCCAACGGCCGTATTCCAGTTTGTGGAATGGTAGGTGTAGTCCATGGATAACTTCCATGATGCTAAATAGACGCTAACAATCATTTCAGATCTCTGAATATAACAAGAAGCCCGAGGAGCGCACGGGAATCCAGGGACTGACGCAGATTGTAACCAAGACCCTGGCCCTGGAGGGTTTCCTGGTCAATAAGCCCGGCTTCGGAGATGCTCACTTCAAGGATCAACAGGAGAGAGGCCAGAAGTGGATTTCCGAGGGCAGCTTCAAGCCCAAGTTGCACATCACTGACGGTATTGACAACGCCGCAGAGGGCTTTATTGGTATGCTGAGGGGGGACAACTTTGGCAAGGCCGTGCTGAAGATCAAGGCTTAGATATTGCTATATGGACAGAAATTAGCCGACTATGCAAAATCCAAAACAGTAAAACCGAGATTCTGCCTCATGTGACTTTCCATGGTTTTCTGGTATGCGTTTTGTGAAATGCGGACACGAAGGCGGTCCCTGATGAGAAGAGGCAATGATGACGCAAGCGAAGCCAAGGTAAGCATCCAAGGTAGGTTATCTCTAGGGAACTCCTTAGGAACGTTTCCCTGCAGACATCTCCCTGCATCAAGGGGAGACTTGTCAACAACACTCCATATTTACTCAATCGCCAGCCCTAGGCTAGTACTGCATACGAACAAAGTCAAAATAATGAACAAGCACTCGATTCTCCACCATCATCCAACAAGCAGCGGAAATACCGAGAAATACCGTCTCGACCTAGGCAAATATCTTCCCAGTTCCAGCAACCCAGCAGAGCCCTTTCCTCATAGTAGAATACCCATGCCGAAGCGCATAGCTGTGCAGATGATCACAACCCGCCATGTAGTGTCAGAGGGGGTTCGTGCGTATCCACCACTACCCTAGCTTACCTAAATACATCACGCTTCTATCCCTCTGTGCGCCCCAACAAAATTGGACTATGAGCTGAAGTCTCCCTCGCTGGTAGACTGACGGACACTCCCAATGTCGATTTTGACTTCTGGCGGGAACGAGGCGCCACGCCAGCCTTGGTTGTGGCGTGCACCGTCCACGACATCTTTGAGTAGGCCTTGAACCTCCTAGTCACAAAGCTGGACTCCCGATTCGTGAAGGACAGAAGTGACAAGACCAAATTCAAAGAGGGCTTCAACGACATGGAGGCTGCCCCGACAACCCAATGTATAATCTGAACTGAACTTAGTCTTCTTGACTGCCTCATCCAGCAACCTAGGTGAGTATGGTTCTGATTCGGGCGAGGATATGGACCCAGCCCCTGCCGACGATATCCCACTTTCCCATGCTGGTCCCTCCATGTGAGAAGTCTTCTATGTCACACTTGAAATTCACCCCAAGGACTTCCCAAGTCTCTGAAAAGAATAAATCAAACCCGGAAGTCCCATCTTTGTCTACTCCGGTCCCAAGCCCGATGCAGCATTGACTGGAGGCCCAGGATATCAACCGAGAAACACATTACGCCACAAAAACTTTCCTCTCGGTGTCGCCCTTCCGTCCTTCCCTGCGAGCTCCAGATATCCTCACCCTGGTCATCTCACCATCATGGCCCGGCGTCCACCCTGAAAATGCGAAGCCCGGCCATGATACGAGTCCCCGCTTAATATCCCCATCAAGGAGGTCTACCCGAAGCATGAGATGTTACCAAGGTAGGAAAGAGGCTGTTTGAGGCTGGTACAAGGCTGATACCAGCATTGAGCCTTAAGACGAGTGCGTCGGCGCCATTGACTCTGAGAGCGATTTGTTCAACTGGAGCCTCGAAGACATAGGGTCAGCCAAGGCTAAACTCACTGGAACTTCAACATAAGTTCTACACAGCCGTCTTACACTTGTGGACCGTCGGCACGATGGATAGCATCGCTGGCCTAAACCCTCAGTTCGTAGAGCAAGATCGGCAAGACATCCCTACCGAGCAGAATTAAAGGTATAGCACACTCTCAGGTGAAATATAGTGGGATATCCCCGTATTCCAGTATTATTTCAATGCAACTTTGGTATAAATCAATCTTTTCCACCGCTGGTTACGCCGTGTCCCGTGTGCAGGACTAGACCGCTCATGAGAAGTTGTTCATGCAGGCGATCCTTACAAGAAACAGCCTGCCTCCTTGGCTTGTCCTTCAACTTCTCAAATATGTTGAGGAACAAAACTTCAAACCCATCCTTGATCAAGCACGTTGAAGCAGTCTTCACGGTTCAGCTTTTAGAATATGGTAAAGCTGCTGTTTGCCTCGACCAAGGGCCGCCCAGTTTGTACCCAACATCTTGTATGGCATTGATTGGATTGCCTCAAAGATATTGATTCAAGCAAGCTCAACAATTTCAATGGCGCTAGTGCCAACAGCATGCTTCTCATCGCCACTTATCACAGGAGGAAGCACCTGGGCTGGCCGCACGACAGCCATCAAGTGATAGTTTCCAAATGTTTCCGGGTGCGAAGGGATGCTGAGGAGTTTCCGATCTTGAAATCCGAAGTACTTCTTATAGAAGGGTAGGCCTTTGATAGTGGCGTCAAGGTAAACATCCAGGCCTGCAGCATCGGCTTGCCGGCAGCCCCAGTCCACGAGAGAGAACCCGAGACCTTTGTGTTGGTAGGCGTGATCTACACCAAGAAACTCCAGCACTGCGCGTCAAATAATGTCAGAATTTGGAGTGGGATAATTTCTCAAATTAAAGTTTAAGCCGAAAGAACATGTGAAGTGAGACTCACTCCAGTGAGGTTGCTGTCCCATGACAGCCGCCCTATTTCTCGGCATGCCGCCCCATAACGCCTCTGTCAGGTCAGCATCCCAATGTGATGGATATGCCGGCAAGGGTATATCTTGAGTCCCGTCGGCTTGAGGCAGGTTCCATCGGGCGAATGCCACGAGTTTGTTCTCTTGTGACAAATCCTCAACGACGAAGGTCTTTAAGATGTTTGCACCGGCTTTTACACCAATGGTCCAGACGTCATTCCACCACTGATGAGTGACAGGATCATCTGGAGTCATGACATCCCAGAATCTGTGTGAGGTATTGAATGATGAGTACCAGAGCCGGGTGAGATCCTCGACATCGGTAAGAGTGGCATCGCGGACATGAAAGCCACTAGGTGAGTTGTGATGATCCATCATGCGTCTTGATTATGTCAGAAGAGATATGATGAACAAGGACAGTTGGTCCTTGAACATAATAGTCGTAAATTAAAGAGATTATGCGAATGGGCATTTGGAATTCCCAGTAGAGACTGGTTGTTCATGTGATTTAAGTGCGCGTACTGAAGTTCAGCGGATCACCCGGTTCTCCCCTCTGTAACACCACACCAGCGCCTGGAAGCCCAGGTTGGAGGACTTCAACGGGAACAATCGAATGTCGCATACTAGCCCAAATCATCTGTCGATCTGGCGGTCGATATTTTGTTGCACAGCATTTCTGCTTCTCCACCACATGCGTGCCACGTAGGCCCGACCCATCACGACGGACGCTCAGGCGATGTATAGCAGATATTATCTACTTTATGGCCAATGACATCGTGGGGCCATTATTTTGTCTTAGCAGCTGCATGGTCATTTCGGAATTGACTAGCTTGTCGGAGGGCTGTGATTTCTGGAGGTCCAATCATGGCGACTGGCTCCTCAGGAAGTGGAGAGGTGAAAACGCAGATGGCTTATGAAGCACGCCAACACAACGTCGTAACTTGAATCATTCATCGCGGACCCCACCTTGTGCCACAGATTATCCTTCTCGTAGGGACAGATACGTCAGTTTCTTGGGTCTAGGACTACATGTTTAGATGACTGTCTCATCAATATAGTCAGCACAGCTGAGATATCTCCACAAAGCTCTTAGTATGTTGCGAATGTATCTGATACGTGGCCCCATGGGGGGTTACCCTATAGCTATAGATAAGATAGATAAGGTCTATAAAAGAGCTCTGCCAGGCCAGAATAGCTGACCTGGCCATCCTTTCCCAATACAACAATTCACACCCCATATGCACTCGCATCAGTATCATTCTCAAGAATCAGAGATTATGGTAACTCCTTTTCACAAGACGTACCGGTAATACTGAAAAGCGAATCTGAGAATATGACCTTGTCTTTGCCTTTCTCAAGCCATAAAGAGATGGCTCATAAAGTGCCGTTTATTTATGGTGAGTGCACGGCGGCTCTTAAGGTATTCTTGCTAATCAAAGTTTCAGACGAAAAGTTGCCAATAGAGAGAGTTAGAGTCTCCGAATCTGAAACTCTAGACTCAGACCTAGAGGAACAAGCGGATGATGCGAGTAAGGACGTATCGGTTACATATACAATTTCGGAGAGCAGTGAAGACAACATCATTATCAGCACCTTTCGGGACTCACGCTCTCAATGGATAGACGATCCAATCATTAGTCAATGGCGAGAACCTAGTCATAAAATCTATAGTGTCTTGTCTGAGGTCAACAATTTGTACAAATCATGGAAATCCAGACTGCCCCGACCTTTCAGTCCCTCAACTGACGCTTTGTGGATCTCAACTGCCCAATTTGTTGCCGAAGCCGGACTTCCCTGGCATAGCAATCAGATCAACATGCCCGGAGAGATTGACACAAGCTGGCCATTCCATTTCAAATCATTCGAGACGGATGTCATTAAGGCGAAAGGGGCTCGCGTTGGTGATGCGAATGCGACTGGCTACGTTTGCAACTTAGATGAAGCGAACCTGTATTGCATCAGAGCCTTGCAGCAGGAGCTCAGAGAGAAATGTTCCACACTCAGGCCATTGTTACTATATGACCACTTCGAAGAGGGAATATTAAAGTCTGCGGAGACTATATTCGGACTGGAGTTTCACCGCGTCAGTCTCTCGAGAAGCAAGAAGGAAATCTACGAAATCTTGCTGAAGCTCACCCGGAAAGGACACCGCGCCGTCATCTTCGCAGCGATTCTAGCCAACAACCACGGGGAATGCGATGACTTAAACTTCATTTGCGAAATTTCGGAGAGCTTTCCTCTTATCCTTCACATAGACGCATCTCGGAACTTCGATTACATCACGACTATGTCCGACAGCGAGAGGAGACGACTCGGGATCGAAAGACTCAAGCTGGGCGTCAAGCCTGTTGACCAACCACTTCGTTCACACGATGGATCAATTGTTGTCAGCACAATAAGTGCCGGTGGTGCAAATCATACATCGCCAGCCCCCGTGGTTGCCTTGAAACCAGCCAGACTGGGAAGCACACATGGACGAGTTGCCTACACACGAGCTTCCGACAGCACACTTGCCGGGTCCCGCGATGCTCTGGCGCCGCTGATGGTGGCGTTGCAGGAAATTCGATTTGGAGAGTTAGGGTTCCGTGATATTTACGAACATTGTTCGAGCATGCGCAACATCTTATTGTGTGCCCTTCAAAGTCAGGGTTTAGAAGCAGTGGCACCAGCCTATTCTCTTGACATCATCGTTAAAGACTGTTCTAATAAGGAAATTGCCGTGCTATCAGGCTTTGGAGGTGTTTCTACTGGGAACAGCGTGGTCCTCCTCACCATCCAACCCAGTGTCACTGAGTTGAATATCGAAACTCTTATTGCAAGTTTGTCTTCGGCAACGCAGTATCAAATTAGCGAAACGAAACCGAAATTGAACCGAGATTTCTCGATGATTTATTCAATTCCCCAAAGTTTGGTGTATGAGTTGAAAAACACGGTGCAGTCCTGGAAAGTAGCCACCCGATCAGCAGCAGGCTACCCTTTCCACATGGGCTCATACTCAGCGCTTGGCCCAGTTATAGGCCGCTTTCTGGAACTGGAAATGCCCAATGACTGGATCCATTCAAAAGGACATGAAATACTTGCCACACGCATGAAAATGTTCGGTCTAGCGGAACCTCGACAGCGAGCAGACTTTACGGGGACTTTCACGAATGGATCCACAATGGGAAACCGCGTGGGTATCCATACCGCCCTGTCGCATTTTCCGGACGCACATGTATACTTCTCAGCCGAGTCACACTACAGTGTTGCCAAGACCTTGCGAGATTGCGATGCGTTGACGAACCGGTGGTCAGACCGCGGTCCGCGTTTCTCCCAGATACCACAGAACGCAGATGGAAGTATGCTTGTCGAGGCACTTATGCGGAAAGCATTAATCGACCGGGAACAATGCTGGCAGCTTCGCGAGGAATACCGCATGATCTTATTCGCCAATATGGGAACCACCTTCGCTGGAGCCAGGGACAACCTTCGACGGATTCGCCAGAGTCTTGCTGGAGTTGGGATCGAAATCTCATATATTCACATGGACGGAGCGCTGAACTTTGGATTCAACAACTGTGGTATCACTTTAGGTCCACCGGCAACGGAGGATGCCAACGGCATGCCTGCTGTTCAAGGTGTGACGCTAAGCCACCACAAGGCAATGGGCAACATGGTCTCCGGCGAAGTCATCTGCTATAGGCCTAGTAATCACCTGGCCACACTAGGCTCCAGCGTCGACCCCCGAGCCATTTTCGAGACTTGGCTGTACGGCCTGGTATACAGCTCTCATGATATGGCGGTAATGTTCAGGCACTGCCAGGCCAACGCGGAACATCTCGAATCTGGGTTGAGACGACTTGGTGTTGTCACGAAGCGGAATCCAGGGAGCATCATCACAGTTCTGGAAAGGCCACCTGCTTGGATCATTGAAGAGTTCTCGTTAAGACCTGAAGGGGGCTGGGTGCATTTCATCATTATGCCGCATATTTCGAGGGAGACGGTGGACCTTTTTATTGATCGCATTGCTTCGGTGGACAGGCAGTGTCATATTGCATTTTGCTATGTTACGCCCTTGCTTAGTGCAGTCATGGAAAGGTCAACGGGCTTGAGGCGGGTACAATGTCAGCAGCCTATGGCGACAAGGATTGCGAGAATACATAAGTTTCTGATAGTCGCAGATAGGGGGGAGATTGGAGCGACTATAGAGGCAAGCCTCGGTAGCGCTTTAACGGTTGTCGTGGTCGATGAACAGGACCAGCTGCAAGCGGTGTTCCTGGCTGAATCGACTCGGGACAGGTCGGTCCGCTACGGGCCAATACTACTTTCTTCCAAGTATTGTCACTTGGATAATTTAATACTTGACGTGGCTAGGCAACTTATGGGATTTATGGCGAGGCACATGGATGCCAAACTCAGAACTGATGATAGGCGTGACAGGGTGTATTGGTTCTAGTATGGGACACAGTGTAGTAAAGTCCTAGGGCTCAGGGTTTCAAGACTAAGAATGATTAATTGAACATGCTTCATGGTGAAAGATACACATTTAAAGCAAGTTATCTATTATGAGAGTACAGATAGATACATGGTCTTGGCCTGTTCTCAACAGCCTATGGAATTCGACCCAATTAGAATTCGACAGTGACGGGTTTCGACTCATAACTGCCCCTCAGAGCATTCCCCATACCAAGATTCTCTAATGCTTCCTTGTCGACCTCTTCCAACTTGGATTGCCACACACTCGTCCACTCCCCCTCACAGACGATCCTGGCGCCTCCTGCTAACTTATCAAGCGGAACGATCGTCTCTTTCAACTCAATCTCATGCTCCTTTGTCTCCCCTGGCTCAATCGTGACAAGCTGGTCTTTGCCAGCTGGCATTATGCGCCGAACCTGAATGATGGGAATATCCAAGGGCCCATCAGCACCAACGGGCGTGATCTTGAGGTGTCCAAGCTGGATTACCAGCGGGTCAAGCGGCGAGTCCCATTTCAGAACCGTGAGGGACTGGTCGTGGGTGTTGGTCACGCTAATGGCCAGCTTGGGTGGGCTTGCGGACGCCTTCCGCACGGAGATCTCCAGTTTTGATAGCAAGGGGTTCGACATGGTGAGGGAAGTAGATTTGCGCTGGTTCCAGTAGGTGAGCAGGAGGATGGCTGCAGCAAAAACTGCGAGTGTCCGCAGAGCTATGTGGTTTCGAAGGCGATTCATCCGTGATGCGCACTACGTCATCCGAGGGGCTCAATGATAGTTGTCGAAGCCGTGGTGCTGGTCCCCTATTCGGCAGGTGAGACTCTGTCCGATCGCAATACGCGGGGAATATATGCCAGTCTTGCTGGAGTCGTATTGAGGTTGTTGGTAGCCGCCTGCTATTACGGGAGCAGATTAGCGGGCATCGGCTGGCCTAGTGCAATCTGATTGATTGTGATTAGGACGTGCCGAATCACCCTGCTGTAGCAATGCAGGAAGAGTAAACTGCTTTTATGCCCGACGACGGGGGCTCTGCCGCCCTGGAAATACTCAGCTTCTTGTTTGGGAAGCCGTTTCGATGTTGATAATCCAACCGATCCACAATGGAGTCGAAAACCGGGAGGCAGAGGTGGACAGGTTGAAAACAAGCACTCTGCACGCCAAGGCGTCGTGGCGCCGTTGCGGACTTTTCTCCGTTTTGCCAAGAGCAAAAAGAGAAGTTTGGTTGGAGGCCCAAGTTCGGGGGGGAGGTCAAGCATTTATTGCAGCATTGGGAGTTGAAGGAAGCTGTGCAACATGCGCAGTAGCTTGACCCAGGGCGACTAGATCAAAGCAGTATATGCGCCGCTTTACGATGCTGTAATAAGGTGAGGCTCGTACCTTCTTTCCGTCGGTTGAGGTTTAAATAGAGTGGAACTCCCCGGTCACCGTCGTTGTCCAACATCCCAGCCACTTATCTCTATCTGCCACCCCATGTGCCCAGGCTTTAGAACCGCACTAGACTACGGGACGAGTGCAGAATGGGAAGGTCGGCATTCGGAGTCGAACGCGGGTGCTACCATTTGACAGAAAGTGGCACGATGAAGAATGGCTGCAAGAGATATACTACAGTGATTTTGAGTGCGGTTTGAGTTCAAGACAATTTGTCCCTTAATATGAGGTTGAAGAATATCTATGAAGTTGCTATTTTGAGAAAATGTTTCTGAAATCTGAAAAGTCTTAGCAGCCAAGAGCAACGATGACGGGCACATGTCAGTAACGTTTACACCTCACTTGGCATCCATGCAGAGAACAAGTACTTCATCACTATCGTACCTACCCGCCAGGGAATCTCCAAATGATCTGCACTGCACTCAATAGATCGGGAGATCTCGTCAACATCCGTTTCCAGGGTTGTGTAAGTGGGGTATGGTGCCAAGCATTCGGTAGTAGAGACCGACCCTGGTTGACTAATTTCACTTGTAGAGCGGCTTGCAAAACCCTCGTTTCCATGGAAGGTTTGCTTTCCTGAATACATCACTTGGAACGGCGTCATCTCCTCGAGTAGAAATGTATGTCTTAGTTGGAAGTTGATTCCAGTGTATTCTCGTTCCTCGCCCGGCTGTTGGCACAGATGTGTTGCAATACTTTTGCAGGCCCTTCCCGTCCCAGGGGACACTCGCGACTATAGCCGGACGGCATAACAACTCACTAGATACATATACAAGGTCGGCTAAAGTCACCCACACACAATGGCACCAACATAGACTCGCTGGCACGTCACTATCTTTAATAAATGAGCCTCCTTCCAGACTGAGCAATTATCTGTTATCGGGCATCAAGCCCGTGTGTAGTTAGTTGTCACTGGCAGCTTCAGATGCGGGCCAGGTTTAGAGTTAATTAGGAGAGCAGGGCTAGACCATGCGCACAATTGGTCGTTGTTCAACGGCTAGTGTCGATACTGGCAAAGGTTACACTGTCATGGACCACATTCCTTATTCGTCAACCCGTTCTTGAGATTCACCAGTCGGGGCTCTTCTATGTGATCACGGTAGCAATCGACCAACTTGGCAGCTTCCCTCTGCATCTAGAAGCCTTCTATCTCCGTCGGCCAAGTCTTGGTATGACCTGGTATAGAGACACCTGCTCCTGAGCGTTGAATGAGTATATAAAAGTACAAGGTTTCGCTTCGAGGCTTGGAATATCTCATCATCAACCATCGCTCTCTCGTTCCCTCAAGCCTCCAAGAAGCTTCTCAGTAAACACAATTCTCTTCAAGATGAAGTTCCTCGCCGGTGTCTCGGTCCTGGCCTCTCTGGCCAGTGCTGCCTCTGTCGAGCTTGGCAGACGCGCCAGTCCCCTCGATGTCAAACTCGAGATGGTTGGCAACACTGCTGTCAAGGCCACCATCACCAACAACGGTGCCGAGGATTTGAAGGTGTTCAAGACCGGAACCTTCCTTGATGATTCCGCTGTTGAGAAGGTTGAGGTTTTCCAGTCTGGTCAGTTCAGTCCCCTTTTTCGTACTCTCAAGCCTTCAGCATTAACTCTCTGCAATAGCTTCCAAGATCGCCTTTGACGGTCTCCGCCTCCAAGTCAGCACTACGGGCCTCACCGATGATGCCTTCCAGACCATCCCCGCCGGGGAGGTGGTCGAAGCCACCTTCGACATCGCCGAGATGCACGACCTGAGCGTTGGCGGCGAGTTCGACGTCATCTCCACAGGCGCCATCTCCTACGCCGAGGCCGACTCCACCGAGATTGCTGGCATCGTCCCCTTCAGCAGCAACACTCTCACCGCCGCTGTCGATGGTGTTCAAGCCCGTGAGGCCCGCGACAACTTCCTCAACAAGCGCACCAGCGTCCAGTCGGATTGCACCGGCACTCGCCTGACCGCCACCCGCAACGCTCTAACCAACTGCCGTGCCCTTGCCGCAGCCGCCTCCTCCGCTGCTGCTTCCGGTGCCGCTGCCAAGATGACTGAGTACTTCAAGTCGTCCACTACCGCCACCCGATCCACCGTTGCCACCGTCTTCTCTCGCGTCGCCTCCGAGTGTGGCAGCACCACCAGCGGTGTCTCTCGCTACTACTGCTCCGACGTCTACGGCGCCTGCAGCAGCGGTGTTCTGGCTTACACGCTCCCTTCATCTAGCTACATGGTCAACTGCCCCTTGTACTTCACTGGCCTGACTGCCTTGTCCCGCACTTGCCACGCCCAGGACCAGACTACTACCACCCTGTTAGTTCGGCCCTGCCCCATAGCAAGCTGGAATTTTCATGACTAATATGGTTGTAGCCACGAGACCACCCACTTGACTCAGATCAAGGGGACGTCCGACTATGGAGTTTACGGATATAATGCCGTCCGTGCCCTGTCTGCGGCTCAGAACTTGAACCATGCTGATACTTACGCCCTGTTCGCCAACGGTTAGTACCCTGCCTTCTGTAAAGCTATGGCCACTACTAACATTGTCGATAGCTATCTACGTTGGCTGCTAAGCGCCTTGAAGCGAAAACCGACTCCGTTGGTAACTTTCAGTTGGGCTGTGGCAGTGGCGGTGCTCGTGAGATTAGTAGCTGATGTACATGTGGTGAGGTGAAAGAACTCTAGGGGGCGCTCTGAACTTCTTGGAAACTCTATAGTGTCGAATTTCATAAGTACATATTATTGATCCAAGTCATTACAAAGTCAACAGTTGCAAATTTCAATAAAATCAAATTGTAACTGGGCCAGAAAGTTGTTGTCGTTTTCCCATGACTTTATCCGTCGAATGTTGGCGCATTTAGTACAACATCCGCAAAGTTCCTACATCACTCATGTTGCCAATATTCGCAAAGGCATCATAAGCCTTTTCAGCCCTGACATCTCCAAACTGCTTCGAAACCTGATCCAAGAACTTTTTCTTCAACTCAGTTTCATTCAGTGGGTTCTCCAGACTGCCAATTGCATGCTCGATCTCCTTCTCCAAAGTACTCCCGTCCTCAAACTCAATGGTGACAAGAGCCTGGGCCGTGCTATACTTGTCATCATCCGTCTTTACACTGACCTTCTTACGCATGTCAACAACCGTCTTGTTGTTCACGGCCTCGTCCGTAAACTGTGCCGGTGTTGCCTCGCCGAACAGTATCCCAACTGCCGCTGCGTGGTAAATGCTGAACTTCCCCTCCAAGCCAGTCACAGGACTCTCCTTCCCTGTCAAAACTAGCACTTCGGAATTGACCACTAATTCAATGGCCTTGATACTCCCAAGATCCTTCCCCTGTTCAACTGACTGGTTATGCAACTGCGTAGCTCCATCAATAGTCGGATGCATCACAATTCCACACGGAAACGGTTTAAATGTATTCTTCTCGATCTCCCAGATCTCGCCCAACTGATCAAAATAAGCCGTGGCATTTTCTCTCGTGCTGACCACGTGAAGCCACCCGTATTCGACCTCCAGAGCCTCCAACGAGCTCGTATAGCCGTTGCTCGCTAGCAACGCCCCGAGCATCCCACCCTGGGCTGCGCGACCAATGTGGAACGATTTCGTCATTGAGCCGAAGAAAGCCTGCATACCGACGACTTGCGTGGCAGCTACTCCAATGGCGTGCTGCATCTGCGTCGTATCGAGACCGAGGATCTTGCCCACGGCCACTGCGGCACCTATGGAGCCCGTCGTGCTCGTAGTATGCCAGCCGACATCGTAATGCTCAGGGTAGACTGAGAGGCCGAGCTTGCACTCTGTTTCCACGCCAGCTACAAACGCGGTTAGGAAGTCTTGACCCGAAACTGGACCACGCCATTCGGATACGGCCAGGAGAGCGCTAGCGACAGGGCCGCTTGGGTGGATGATGCTTTCGAGATGGGTGTCGTCGTAATCATCAATATGGGAGGCGATGCCGTTGATTAGGGCTGCTCGTTGCGCATCTGCGAAAGTATTACCTATGGAGCCGTTTGAGCCGAGTATACTTGATGTCGGTGGGCCGCCGAAGAAAGCCGAAGTGGTGTTGAAAGCGATTTGGGGGGCGTCTTGGGCGTATCCCGCGATTGCACAGCCGGCCCAGTTGTACATGCTCTTGACGGCAGCGTCGACGACGCTGGTGGTGAGGTTGGCATAAGTGAGATTAGTGGCCCATGAGGCCAATTGCAGAGTTGCCATCGTGTCTCATGTATTCACAGTACGAGTCGGCTGGATAGGTTGAGATTTAGACTTGACAAACTTCCACTATCTCCCATGAATATCCATTACAGATTTATACCCCGCGAGAATAGAACACTAAACCCAATAGGAGGACCAGCGGATGATGTCAGATTCGGTATATTGGTTCCCACATCCTGAGTTCCGGTTTCTGATAGGGGCTTCACTGTACCCCGCGTCTTGCCTACTTGCAGTAGCGGTTCAAATTACAAGGATCGCATAACTGCTTCCGTAGTGTATACGTTGGTGGACTATCATCATGCTTTTGCAATAGCAGGAAAAGATAGATCTGAATTCACATGCAGTGAATGGCACTGTACAGTGAATGACGTGGGAATGAGACGATAGCCGAGTAGGCTTGGCGGACGTAAGGAAATAGAGCCCGAGCCCAGCCCGGGGACGGAAGCGGCGGGAACTGGAGACGCTGATATAACAGTCCTTCATTCAGGGTAGCAACCGTATGTGACGAGCAAGAATTCCGTAGTGCATCTTTACTAAAACTTTAATTATACCCAACTTACGTATTCATACCTGAGTGTGGGATTTCTCTTACTATTTGCGCCGGAAACATATCTTGCATCCCGTAAGTACCCCGAATGCCTAGGCATATCACTACGTGCTCTCTTCTAGCTACTAGCTCAAGATTAAATACAGTCAGTAACCGTTGAAACAAGTAATATGTAGTTAGGAAATCGTGATGTATTAGATAGGGATGTGCCACTTCTAAACCCTGGCCTAAAGGACAGCTCGAAACAAGATGCGGGTAATGGACTCATTCATATATGCCCAAGATAAAGAATCGAGTCGTGGTTATATCATTTATCCAACCGCCGGATCCTTTACACTGATGTCCGTTCTACATGTGGTTCTCGTATAGTCTTGCGTTGTTGCTCCCATTTCTGAGAAGGTCGGCCTGCTAACTGGCATCTGTGCGGATACTATGTTGATTTCGAGCCATTGGCTGCTTTATACATGCCTACACATCACTGAATATAGCCTGCAGTGAACAGGGGATCTCCACTTGACGGTCTAGCTAGGAACCAAAATACTTGGAACCACGACGGAGAAGCTTGACCAACACATTAACCTACCTGACGCGGCAGATGGACGTTACACTTGCACGCAATTAGTGGCTTACGCTGCGAAACGGGCCGCACCGCGGGTGACTCCTCTGACTACCTCACATTGCGAATGGATATCTGCACTACGGTTCCACCCTCTTAGTGAAGTCTAGAATTTTACCTGAAGTCGGCGGATGGAGTTCGTGCCAGGACCAAAGCTGCCATCAGCTATTAAGCGCAGTTTGCGATGGAATAGGACGACGACCCGTGAAAGTATTTCCGATCGGGAAGTAGAAGTAGGCAATATCGGGTTTACGAAATAATCGGGGCTTGTCAGTATCAAGATTTTGATAGGCTGCTAGACATACCCATAGAAAGCGGGACGGAGCCTAATGCGCTGTTCAATGTAATACAATGGTGCCCGACCCTGCACAAGACGTTTGCTGCATCGTGAGTCGTAGACGTGGTGGGAAATTAACTTCAGCCTCCTGTAACAGATCAAGATGTGGCTTCGCTCTGTTTCGTCACTGTCACAAGCGAGCAATTTGAATTAGTTACGCCGGACACTTCTGGGCAGCCATTACTTCCAAGCGACCTCATGCGCCGGGTAGCCGATTGCTAATACTAATCACGATCATGAGGTGTACAACAAATTCAAACCATAGTTGGACAGAAAGATCGCATACGCGGAAAGCAGCCTCCGCTCTTGAAGCCCTTCCATCACGTCTCTGGCTTCCAAAACACTGGTAAGTCATCTGACCACAGTTTGGTAACCGCAAGCACAAATGTAGCAAGACGCTCAGGGACTGCACCAACAGCACGGAAACCTGATCAGGCAAGCGGGGTGGGACAACCAAGGTTCACCCCAATCAGGCGACCAACACTAAAGCGGGAAGTTGCAGCCTGGCTACAATCCCGGGTGACCAGGCGCAACGACCTCATTTAAACCTTCCAAGTAAACGAACCAAGCCTACTTCAAAGTAGGACTCCTCAATTCGTGCATCCTTTTCCTTGACGCGCATCCGTTATCCGTCCAAGAGGGCATCTGAAACACCCACGGCGCCAGGAGGCCTGCCCCGTTGGACGTTGGCTCGCACCGCATGATATCATCCTCTGCAGCATGTCGCAGGCTCTCGGCGCCACACTTCACTTCAGCATGCCTGGACTCGACAAATTTACTCTCTTCGCGCAATTGCCCTACGACATTCGCTACAAGATATGGGAAAACATCATCTATACTCCCGGCATCCACTTCCTAAAGTTCGAGCGCACTGAGGTCGCCGAGCCGTCTTCGGACGATTCCGACGGTGGCGATGGGGAGCCCGAGTTGAGCCTCTCGTCTGCCAGGGAGGACCAGCCTGAAGCAGAAAAGGCAAAGAAGGCAAAATTCACGGGCCAGCTGAAGCCCATCTTCCCGACCAAAGCCGCAGATATATCCTACTATATCACGCAAAGCAAGACCTTTGCCCAGCTGTCATCGGCTTGCGAAGAAGCGGCGCACATGATAAATCTCGCCATCCAGAAACCCCACACCCTTACTCTCGACAATGGACGTCTGATCACCCTAGCCGGATCAATGGACGTCATATGCATCGATTACCCGGACATGTCCTTCACTCGCCGCCTCGGACGATGGGCGGACAAACTGGACCTAGAGCAGCTAGCCAAGGTTCGTCGGCTAGCCATACGATACCACCAGGAATGGGACGGGGAGCGGCGCGTTTGCAGATACTGCGGCCATGTGCACGACGTGCTACGCAAGGAGCTGCCACGTCGGCACTTGTACGAGTTCGGAGCGCTGTTCAAGAACCTCGAGACCTTCTACTTCATCGACTACTTGACAGTGCGCAAACCTTTGGACCACCTGATGGACAAGAAGAAGGCATACAGAAAAGTCAGCTGGATGGCCCCGGAAGTGAGACGGAGAATGGTTGCACTCGCGCCCGCTCATCAAACAAAAGGCGAGCGATTCGCCACAGGTGGTCGAACCTACTACGAGGTTGACCCCGACCTGTGCAAGGTCAACACCGATGTTTTCACCATGCTCGACTGGGTGCGGCAGAGCTACATCAGCCACTGCGAGAAACACCCCGAGAAGCACTCCAACCCAACAAATGTCAAGTTTGGTGTGCTCGGCTGTGAGTGGGAATATGCCGAGCAAATTTCCAAGAAGCGCAAAGCCGGGCGAATCCACTTTCATAAGCGAGGAAGACCGCGAGAGTCCCTTCTCGTTGACGCCCTGAATGATCTGAACTTGGAGGACCAGAGGCGATGCTCAGAGTTCCAGAGTCCCTTGGACTTACCCGTCGATTTCGGTGACGATGACGAGTATGACTTCAACTTTGAGCAGGAACCTAAATTACCGATAAACTGATGTTCGGGGTATCGTTATGAAGGACTTCGCTGGGGTCGATATGAAGAAGGGAAGGACAACGGCCTGCTGCTCAAAAGATGCGAATGTTGTGGGATCCATTTCTCCCAAGACGGTTCCGATGGAGGATTATACCCAGTGAAAGGCGTTGCTTACGGAAGGACGAGTCATTGCATTCAGGAGCTAAATTGCAGGATTTGCGATTGAGTGACCCCAAGGTACTCTAGTAACCTGATCAGATTGCTAAGAAGCATAATAATATTCTATGCGTTGTTCTTTACTTTGTAGTATAAACGGGAAGTCGAGTAGGACTAACGTCGCATTAGTATCGCATTACAGTTCTTATAGGGCTTAAGAGACTTATCAATTCGGACATTCAAGTACCATAAACGTGGTGGTGTTGGGGATTCCGTTCGTTCACTTTGCGCAAACTTCCATGGAGTTCATCAAATATCGGACCAAGAATAAATGACTGAGGGGTCGTATTTGCGCTTTATATTTGATGAAACTAGCCTTTGTGTGAATGGGCAACCCGATCTAAAAGTCGCTATTTTGTCGCTTTAACATGTCAAGATTAATGTAGACCCTCTTGTCAAGAGCTTGCTTCTCTTTTATCCATTTTCTGTTTGATTAGTGGCTTGACTAAATGCACATTAGTCTTCTGACAAATAGAACAACTTAGGCAGTAGGCCCCTTTGAAAGTTTAGTTTCTCCTCCGCCTCTGTAAGTTGTGCGCTGTCGATCATCAGAAGGCTAATTTATTACGGCACCGACCTCCGTGTGAACCTCTTCTGTATATAAATCAGAAAGTCTTGGGTCGTTTGAATATGCTAATAGAGGAGCGCTGCAAAGTTGTCAGCATTGCCCTTATGAACCCGTTTGTTGCACGATATATCTGCACATCTTCTAATGGATGGATGATACCGGACAGTAGATGAAACACAATCCATCATTGTATCGGAATTATTGGTTGAAACTAACTGTTGAATTGACGTGACCTCTGAAGAGTCCTAAATATGAGGTGAGCGAACTTGGCCTTAAGAGCCATAGATATATCGAGGAACAATCAAGTGGTGTACTTGCGGTATTAATAAAATTCAGGCTGGGTCTTGGTTTCGTATCAGCGGCAAGGTATCAAGGCCTTCGCTCTCATTTGTAAGGTAGTAACGCAACCACCGCAGAGAGATCGAGGAATACCTCACTACCAAAGCGGACGGTAACAAATCGCTTTCCGATTCAAGGCGGAGAAGTAGTGCTAGCAGCACCCACTAGTTCATGTCCTGTCTCTACCATGCTTATGTTCACGGTTATCGCTTTAGGACAAGTGTAGATAACTGTAAAAAAAAAAATGATGTGCTGTCAGTTTTGGGTCTGGGTCTTATGGTAGCCTGAGTGGGAAATTTAATTGAAATTCTGTAACCCTGCTATGATGGGATCTATCGTTGTTGATGTTTAGCAAGCAAAAGATATGCTTGCCTTCTTCGATAAGTTGGTCTTGCAGATTTCCATTGCAATTTCTCTGAGCCTCTACCACTGGACCGATAATAATGACGAGTATATTTGCTGAATATCTCTCAGGCATATCCGTCATACTTTTCCACAATATGGGCAGGTCCATCTCCCTATAAATACTTAGGCCGCCTTCTCAGATGACCGACTTGACCTCAATGAGAGCACTCTCCAAAAGCCATTTACAGCTGCTTTATAGCTACTTGCAAGAAGAAGATCAGAAACATAGTAAGCGGTCAAAATATGACTGGATCCATAGGTTCGGAGTATTTCTAGTAGAAACGAGCAGAGACGGGGGAAGGGAACAGGAACGAAAGAGCTTACATCACTTGATGCCGTGCCATTCAGATTGGATAGTTTGACGCAAAGAGGCAGCAACAGCGACGAGTTTGCCCAGCGAAAGCCACAGTGGCTGAGACCTGGAGATCAATTTCAATCTCCAGTTTGAAAACTCGTCCTTATCGCAATAACTTCTTTTCTTCACTCAACTTATTCCCAGAGCAGCTACAATATCCCAACTTGCTTGTTGAGTTCCTAGGTAAGTAGTTGGTTAGGTTTCTGCTGCGGCGCTCATTGGTTTCGCCCCAGATTGCGGATGATTGTTCAGGTCTCTTCTCCGAGCCCATCTGCCGAGCAAGGTTGGCGCCTCTTGACTCGGCAATGGACGTCATTTTGAGCTCCTTAGCGACGGGTGGGACAGAGGTCATCCACAATCCGACACCCAGGCTATTGTAGGAAATCCACGCTCGTGATGGCCGGATTGGTTTGACAGTTGATTCAACTTCTCTCTTCAACCCTGTCTGGCCAACATAAAAGCCATTGCGCCATCTGATTTCAATTTCGCAGGTTCAGGGTAAACGTTTTCCCCGCATTCCCCGAACCGTGATGATCCCCTCTCGAGTGGAGGTCGACCGCGTTGGAGATTCTCTATAACGGGCGCAAGTGCTGCCTCCATGACCTATTTGTACCCAAGCTGTAAGTAGGAACATATTTCTCTTTATTGCACTTCGATCAATATGTCGCCTCCCGGGATGCTCTACGTTACCATGCAGCCGAAATACGGCCTGCCACCTGCCCAGTTTCATGAATGGTACAACAACGAACACGGCCCAACTCGATTGCGGTTACCCCAAATCTTCTCGAACGGCTTGCGATACCAAGCGACAGATGGCAAAGAGCCAGCCTACCTCGCTGCCTACGATGTCACGTCCATGGCCCAATTGGAGACAGAAACTTACTTGACACTCCGGGCCAATCGATCACCACGCGAAGCCAGCACAATCAGCCAGGTCGACGTGAAGAGGTACTTCTGGGACTTGGTCGCCAAGAAACAATCACCGCTATTCCTTCCCATTGAACAATTGAGCGACGAGCAAGCCGAAGGCATCGTTCTGGTCGCGGTGGAGCTTGGTCTCAAGGAACACCCCAACTCAGAGCAGGAAATCCAGAAGTGGTACGAGGAAGAACATTTCGATATGCTGTCAAAGGTCCCGGGGTGGCTGCGATCGCGTCTCTTGAAAATATCCAGCCTGGAGACCGGGGTGCCGACGACGTTCATCTCGCTACACGAGTACGCGAAAGAAAATGGAATTGGGGGAGAACAGCATAAAGCTGCCATGTCAACGGCACGGCACGACGAGATCTTGGCTAGATATGGGACCCCAAAGGATCGCAGAACATACTCTCTGTTCTATGTATTTGGTCCCGGGCCAAGAGATTTATCCTCATTATCACAATTACCAACTGCCGCCTCCACTTTCACGTCGGCGGATGCAAAGACGACCACCACAAACGAATTTGGACCGGTGATAAAGTCATACGTCACTGCACCGGACGGACTGTCCATCCCTTATCAGCTTGAAGGAAACCCAGATCCCAACGCACCGACCATTGCATTTTGCAACTCTCTGTTGACCTCACTACACATGTGGGATCCATTTGTGGAGATACTCAGAGCCAAGCGGCCGAAATACCGTATCCTTCGCTACGACACTCGAGGTCGGAACTCCGTCCCTTCGCCTCCTGTCCCGTCTACCCTGGACACCGTGGCAGATGACCTAAGCCATCTCCTGGAGGCCCTACGCATCCCGAAGCTCGATACTCTGTTAGGCGTCTCCATGGGCGGAGCCACGACACTAAAGTTCGCCTTGAAGTACCCCGCCAAACTCGAAAAGTTCATCGCGTGCGACTTCAACGCCGTGTCAAGTCCCGCCAACACTCAAGCCTGGAAGGACCGCATTACCGTAGCTGAGACGCCCCTCGAAGACGGAGCGCCGGGCATCACAAAGCTGGCAGGTGTGACTGTAGAGCGATGGTTTCACCCTGCCACGATGAAGAAGACGGACGTTGTGCAGTGGATGACCGACATGGTGGCGGCCAATGATATTGAGGGGTTCAGGTATGGGTGTCAGGCTCTTTGGGACTATGATATGAAAGACCAGATGAACGATTGCAAGGTGGCTGGTCTGTTCGTTGTGGGCGAGGGTGATGGAAAGGGAGCGCTGGTGAAGGCTATGGATGGGTTCAGGGCCTTGCTTGGTCAAAAGGGTGCACATCTTGCAATTGTCCCTGAAGCGGGGCATCTCCCTATGTGTGAGGCTCCTGGAGCCTTTTGGGAGGCAGTGCAGGATTCTTTGTAGACTCATCATATAGCTGCACCTTGCATGCCCTATCCTAGCTGATCTAGCCCGCTGTTTAGGAATATAACAATTGAAGAGCTACCATGGCGATTTGGATGCTCACTATCTTTCAGACGACACAGCCATTGCAACGACCCACGACAGCACCCCTGCAACCATAGTAGAATCTTTCCAGAATACAGAAATTAATTATATTCTACTTCCTTCATTTTTATGTGAACTTTGCATCTTGAACACCGTTTTACACTTGTCTTAACGTAGAGCCCTACATACCTAGTTGGGCATTGTTTTGATACCTCGATTGGCTGGAGAATCCTATCAAGGTGCACTTGCTCGTAGTCCATCCCGCTTATCCACAAACTTAGGGATGGTAAGGGGGTCAGAGTCTCTGTTCTAGTCCTGACCAAGGGGATATTTCGACCAAGATTTTCATGAGTAGCTAAACAAGTGCCCTATGAAGTCCTCTTCAAGACTCGTCCAGGTACAAGGACGCCAGATACAAGACCACCACGAGCTGCAGGAGCTCATCAGTTCATTTGAACGTATATGTTTCCTATTAGGTCTCAAGGACCATTCCATACTTAACAAAAGCGGCGTTGAGCAAAACCTTCAGCTTTTAACTACAATCGCTAAGGGTTGTCGAACACTAGTTCACCCTCTCATACTCAAGTCAACCTATAACCATACAAAGTAAACGCATCTTTGTACATTAATTTCATATATAGAAGTGTTGCGATGTCTAGTATTTGTATCGTATCGAAGGTGGTGGCGATCAAGTTTGATGTCTCACAACGGGCTCGTCTCGGCCCTGGCAAGCTAGAGCTAGCAAGATTTAGCCAAGCAGTATGTCGGACCGTGCTAACCCTTTTTTCTTGCTCTTTCGTGCTCGACGGCTGATTTACAGTTTCTTAACATGCTCTGCCTCTGCTGTCAGCAGCCAAGAGACACACTTTCCTGTCAAGGCCCTTATGGCCGGCCACCTTCACTTCTTTGGACCCGGGGAGATGATAGACACACTCAATTCTATGCTTTCTTATGACTTGCAATAAGTCCAATAGATCACCCATGAGGCCTTGAAAAAAAAACATCCTTACTCAAAGTTATCAGTGAAGTACCAGGTGTATGGACCAACACAAGTTTCCAAGCAGCAGTGAGCAACAACTTCTACATCTGCGAGTTTGAACGGAACATGCGCAAGGCCATTGTGGGAAAGACCCGTGGAGAGGAAACTACTTTCGTTTTCTCCTGCGTTGAGACACAGAAGCTCAATATATCTTATTGATGTGCAAGTAGTATTACGTTGGGTTTAGTCGGAATATTACGCTGACCGGGTTCAATCCCAAGTGGCAATAGCAGAAAAGTATTTAGACAGAAACCCCGTAAATCCCAATGAGAATACCTGCATATGTTACTTTGTACGGCGAACTTCTGCATATAGGGGCATGGTCTGCTACCCATAGCAGAAAGTCCCCGCGGTGGCCTTCTGGACTTATATTGCGCCGCAACTAAGACTTTGCTGGCGACGACGCACGTCATGAGCTTGCACTGAAATAAGTGTTTTTACACATACTGACAACTTAGCTAGGTTGCTAACAATTTAATTGACAAATATCTCGGCGTCTTTGATGGCAGTGTTCCACTTTGCCGGTATATCTCCGCAGTACCTTGGGCACCAATGAGTTTACTAGTGTGGTGCTTTCGCCAGTACGGCACTTTGAGCGAGTCTAGGCGTAAGTGATACGGTAGTTGGAATTATGTGCTATGCCTAAATCCTTAATAGTAGATCCCTTGGTTGTATTGGTACTGTTTTAAGCTGACAAATTATTATATTGCAAAGCCTACTGCTCTGGGTGACACTTGTGCATGCTGGTATCGAGCCACGTCGGTAATTTGATTTTTAGCCAGTACCTTCCAGATTAACCAGTGAGATATCTATACGGCGATTCAAAGGTCAAGTCACTAAGAATGTGTCCCTTGCGGGTCCATAGGTCACCGTTCTGACATATTCAATCAGCGCCATCGTGGCAGCATCCATCCCGAAGCATCACCCTGCGTCAATAAGACTCGCCAAAAAGAAAATGGTCGAGGGCGGCCACGTATAGCTTCGACACTACTTCTAGTTTACCTGCTTACTGTCAAATAGAGTTGTGTTATCACCGGTCTTTCTTGCATGTCATGCTCGCTGGGGAATTTAAAGGATGGCCAGGGTGTTATATTGCATAGCTGGAGTTATTAGAAGGATGGAGCTTTCCCATGTTGTCGGTCGTAGGCAAAGTTGGAACTAGACGAGGTTTGACATCGTTCGTAATCTTCCCACTTGGCGTTCTGAGTCTACGAAGGGAGTTGTAGGTTGTGTGTTGCTTGAATGCAAATTCGGGTTTTGCTGACGAAAATATTGATATTCAAATTGGTAATGTGTGCCTCTACCTCAATGAAACAACCTTATTTGAATGGGACTTTGCTACTGCAAGCTCACGACGATTGTTAGTGTCTGGAATGTGAATCGCCGATTGTATCGAAATTGACCAACTAAGCATATTAGTATCTGCTCTCTACAACTCGCTGCCGTTTTAATTGCTGGTGGATTGACAACGCGGGCCAGCATCAAGTCGCGTTGCTAAATCTACTTGTCAAATACCTAGACTTTCGGCGCCTACACAGAGCCATGCAAGCCAATTACAGAATATGCAAAACACATGTCTGCATAACTAGTCCAACATTTGAAAATTTCCAGACTTCGCTAGTCTCTCTTGTCACCACCCAATTCAAGCTTTGGTCATCAATAGCCTCAATCAACATCATGGTCACTCAGCTTGAGTCAAGAAGGACCGGTGGGAACCGAATCTTATTGACAGTGAACTGCGAACCGATTGGGATACTACGGGATAACTCGTTCTTCTGACATTTCAATAAACAGGCATACTATTTATATAATCCAACATATATTCTCGTGTCTGGTTTGACCGCAAATTAACGTGGCACGCCCATACCGAACGGGTTAAATCAAAAATGGCGACTCAGAAGCTAGCCCTAACAAAGCTAGTGAACTGGCGTGGGGCTGCGATCTCATACGGGCGAGACTACTGTACACGTCGGTTATTCGCAGCGCGATCGCCTTCGGGGCGGCTGCGTGGCACACTATAAGCGAGGAACCAGCGGGACCAGCTAAGAGCCTAGTCGGGATACAGAATGAGTGCCTCCGAATGGTCTGTGGCGCCTACAAAGCGACACCAGTCCGACACCTAGAAATAGAGGCAGCTATCCCGCCACTAGACCTATATCTCAGTGCCCGGGCGGCGAAATTTGAAGAACGGCTACGGAATAACGGCAAAAGGAGCCTGCTTCGGAGCGCGAGCGCGAGAGCGTCACACATACTCCGACAGGACACGCCGGCGAGACGGAAGCGGGCGTCACAATCGCTCAGACCAGCGGGGTACACGATAGAGAAGGAGGCTAGGGGCTCCGAGTGGATAGGCAAGGCGAAGGAAGTCCCGGCCGCCCTCCTAGACCACTGGGAGAAGAGATGGCTCTCCGGGGCAGCACAACACGACCACCAGCGACGCGCTATCGCCGAGGAGCAGGAGGGCCCCTCGATGCGAATGCCGAAACAGGGCAAGTACTCAGACCTAAACCGACCGGAGGCGTCTACCCTATGCCAGATCAGGACCGGAAAAATAGGACTATCAGCTTTCTTATTTAAGATAGGAGCCTTCGGTGTGTACTCGCCGTTATGCCGCTGTGGAGAGGCCCCCTGTCAGGGTACGGCTAGGCCGAAGGCAATAGTACAGAGTGATGGGGAGTAACGGGCGTCCCTCCTACGTAGCACCGGGTGGTCACTGGCGGTCTCAGGTAGGGGTGCCCACGGTGATGCATTGATCTCTGCTCTCTCTATCTTCCTCCGTCTCGACTCCTTACTTATAGCCAGCCGAGGTTCTCTCTTGGATTCTGGATGTTTGCTTCCGTATGTCTGTGTTCCTCCGACTTCGGCCAATATCTTGGACAGCGGCTCCTTATCTGCAACCAAGCGATTCCCTATCCGCTGCAAACGGCTTCAACGGCTCTCATTCGCCACAAGCGGCTCTCTAGCCGCCACAAACGGCTTCCTACCTGGTGGAAGCCGGCCCGCCTCGGATGACACTTGTGGCTCTGACAACTCCTTCCCTATCCTACTTCGAGATGGTCCTTATATAGATAGCTAGGCCGCCGCTTGGACCCGGCATAACAGCAGGGTCGGCGATGCCAAGGATCTTGACTCTCGTCATCCCAAAGCTTCACATAGATTGTAATCATGATTCGGGAGTCTTTTGTCCGAAACACCCCTCCGGCGGCCCGCCGGTGTCCTGCGTTCAGTGTCCTGACACCCACTGGTGCCTATGGCATTCTGTTCTCTGACACCCCCGAGACGGCAGAGCACGTAATCCTCTTTTGCCGCCTGCTGGAAGAATCGAGAGAGCGCCTACGGGCCACTATCGCACCATGGCCGCTGCATACACGTAGAGACCTGGCAACGGCGACGGGGAAACCAGTAGTCAGCGGGACTATCACAAGGTGGCTACTCAGGACTGGCCGGATAGCGCTTAGGCCCGGATAATATCGATCTTCTCAGGGGGACTTTGTTAGTAGGGTGAGAACTAACATAGTATTGTGGTGGACGTAACGCAGTCGCTAATAGAGCGAACCTACGTAGCAGCGTATGTATTTAGTCCAGCCATTAGGGCACGGTTTGACATACGGGAGCACTTGTAGAGGTACCGGGGGCTTCGAGCCTACGGCGTATTTATTAATAAAAATATATTCTCGTGCAATATATTTGCATCTTATTGACCACCATACCTAGGTGGTGAAGTGCTCAAGTGAAGTGTGCAAACGAAGCAGCTGTAGTGGCAAGCCGCAAAGTCTAGGGGCGCGCAGATGTAACGCACGAATCAAGTTCCAGCGGCTTGGCAATTTCATCAGCGTAGCCCTGCAAATGACGTCGGCCTTTGTTGACGGACCATTGCGCTCGATTTCTACTTGCTGCCAAGTGCGCCGCGGTAGGGCTTCGCTCCAGCTACTGTGGCTAGATGGACGTATAAAAATGAGATGATGCCCTGGAATAACTCAAAATTTGGGTTTGACAAATGGAATGGTTGCCGTCCAGTCCATTACGATGGCTTCAGGAATCGTCGTTTCGTTTTTGGGGGCGTTGCAGGCGTCGCTCTCGGTGCTGCTGACCATTGGGGTTGGTGTGGCGGTGTCACAATTTGGCCTGCTCACCACAGCATCGGCGGAGCAGTTGTCGTCAGTGTGCGTCAATGTGTTGTTGCCATGCTTGCTTGTCGTCAATATTGGATCCAATATTGATCTGGAATCTGCTATACGATATGTTCCCATTATCAGTGAGTTAGGATCTTCAGTTTGCTGCACTTCCAAGCTGTCAGACCTGCATTGGGTAATGTCGGCGCTAATCCGGTGAACCAGTCTGGGCCGCCGTCTACACCATTGTATCTCTCTGCATTGGCCATGCCGTGACGGCATTCTTCCGCTTGCCGAATTGGACGGTTCCGGCTGTGGCCTTCAACAATACCGAGTCGCTACCCCTTTTATTGCTGCAGTCGCTAGGGACGACAGGCGTCTTGGCCAGCTTGACCGGCGCCGGCGGTGAAGACGCCGGGATCGACAGGGCCCGCTCCTACTTTCTGGCCGGCTCTGTCATCACCAACACCATTACCTTTGGCCACGGCCCAGAGCTACTCACTCGGTCGTCGCAAGACTCCAAGTTCCTTGATTTCATGCAATGGATCTGGTATCGTGGGAAACTGGCCGCAGGAAGTGAAGAGAACAGCGACGATGAAAGCCAGGTTCGCAGGCCCAACGGCGAGGAAGAGGAGGCTCATCAGGATGCCGGAGATGAGGACGGCCCTTCAAGCAGCAGCAGCTCCTCCAGTGACGAAGGGGAGTACAACGGCGCGCATGAGCGGACATCGCTCCTGCCGCACGCGGTGGTCAAGCGGCATCGAGCCACGCGACGCAAGGTGTCTTCCAAACTTCGAAGATCTTTCAACACGATGCCCAAACCCTTACGAAGATCGATGGCGGCGGCCCAGCCGTTCCTCAACCCACCTTTCATAGGCGCTACCTTCGGTATCTTCATTGGGCTCGTACCTGCCCTTCACCGGCTGTTCTTCAGCTCATTGGATGATGGTGGATACTTCAACGCCTGGCTCACGTCTTGTGTCAAGAACATCGGGGAGCTCTTCGTGTCACTTCAGGTCATTGTCGTCGGGGTAAAATTGAGCCTCAGCCTGAGGCGCATGAAGGAAGGTGAACAAGCCGGAAAGGTGCCGATGGGAACCGTTATCTTTGCGGTTTTGATCAGATTCGTTGTCTGGCCAGCGTAAGTCACGAAATATTCGAACGTACTAGATGATGTGCAGAGCTGACATGGTCGCAGAATCAGCATCTCAGTCATCTGGCTCTTGGCCGCCAAGACGAACGTCTTGCCAGACGATCCTATTCTCTGGTTTGCCATGATGATGATACCGGTTGGTCCGACGGCCATGAAGCTGCTTGCCCTAGCGGACGTGAGTGGCGCCAGCGAGAAAACGAGAATGGCAATTGCAAAGTTCCTCACGGTTGGTCCCCCACTCCATGGTGTATCTTTGTGTTTGATGTCCTACTGACCCCACTTTGAACGAAGCTATCATACATTGTGACTCCACTGGTATCTTTGTCGGTTGTAGGGGCGTTGAAGGCTTCCGAAAGCGCAATTGCCTAGTCGGGATCCGACCAGTTGGAATACGTAGCGGAGCCGAGGATGCGAAAACTGGAGTGTCCATGTTGCGCGTTTGCTGACGTTTCCAGCTCGGTAGGATCGCGAAGGTTTCTTCAGATTCTTGTTGTCCACACTTAGCCAGAGTCCACTCACGTACCTTATTGTCGACGTAGCTAGACAGATGGCTGATTGGGTACTATCCCAGCGGCATTTTGGTCAAACCTTACACAAGATCCATGAGATGTCCACAATAGGGGCAATGTTCTTTCCACTGTATCTACTACGCAGGAGTATCGGGTCATCCCAGGCTGTTCTACCATGACTCTATAATGTTGATTCGCGTCGCTGTTGCCCTGCGAAGCCGCTGGAAAGCGCTTGATCTGGGGTCAAGCTTCATGTTTCTACGACCGCACCAGTGGTGCTTAGCACACACTTTCATTGCATATCCGATCGATTCGTGCCCTACTGCCGCATTTCCTCTTGTTCTTAAGTGATGACCCAACCCTGCACTTGCATGATGTCGAAAGTCGCACCTCATCCTTTCCGATGACGATCGTTTTGTTTCCCAGCCATTAGTCGGCCCGTCGGCATCTATCTCCATCGCGGTGGTATCAATTAGACTTCGATATAATCCAAGTTCCAGCCTTTTCTGTTCTTGAATCCTTCATCTGTGGTCTCGATCTCTCGGCTAAGCTTCCTTCAGTGAGCCTTCTGTTTGCCAGAGTATCTAGGATCAAGATCTTGGCTTCATTTTTCCGTCGTTAGCCTGACTGCACTTAGCATGACTGGGGATAAGAAGAAGTATGACCTCGAGGCCGGCAGCTGGCCACAATCCCAGCTCGGCTCCCGCATATCCTTTGTCTCCAGCTGGCGGTCACGACCAACGAATCATGGGATTAGCAGTAATCGCAGCCGGCTCCGGTTTTATGAAATAGTGCGGTCTATCAGTGACATGGACGCGCGGTCCCGGTATGAGCAAGAAGAGGCAGACAGTGGATTACCAACAAGCGACACGCCAGACTCCGAGTCAACTCATGGCGGTTCGGAGAAGCAGATCATATCGTGGGAGGAGAACGACCAGGAGAATCCATACAACTTCACGGATGTAAGTCACTAACACTTGCTGCGAGAGCCACCTGCTGATGCGAACCAGCGAAAGAAGATACTAATTCAAGTATCTACCATGTTTTTGGTCGTGAACAGCACCATGGGAAGCTCTTTGCCCAGCATGGCAATCCCTTATATCGCCGAGGAATGGGGAATCACGTCACAAGAGCAGATGATACTCCCCCTTTCGACCTATCTCATCGGCTACGTCCTTGGGCCGATCATATGTACATATTGATACTCCCTATTCTGCCACCTTTTTGCAATCATGAGCTAACTCTATGCTGGAACAGGGGCTCCTATGAGCGAACAATTTGGACGGCGTATTATCACCTGGTCAACTTTCGGCATGTTCATAATTTGGACGATGGCTTGCGCTCTCTCTCCAAACTGGCCTTCACTTCTGGTATTCCGACTCTTCGCGGGTGCCTTTGCAAGCACTCCCATCGCGGTTGTTCCTGGCATACTTGCTGACATATACAAAACCCCAGTCAAGAGAGGAGGTGCCATGAGCTGGTTCATGGCGACAACAGTTTTCGGACCACTATTTGCCCCTATTATTTCCGGTTTCTGCTCAACCTCGCTAGGATGGCGCTGGACGTTTTGGGTCGCCCTTGTATACGCCGGTTTGACTCTGATCCCTGTCTTCTTTCTCCCAGAGACACATGGCTCGACCTTGCTCCGGAAGCGGGCGCGGATGATGCGCAAGACCGATCCCAAAGCCCATGTTTACGCTGCATCCGAACTCGAGAAGCGTGACGTCAAGCAACTCATAACCGTCGTTTTGAGTCGACCGATACGCATGGTCACCACCGAACTCATTGTCAGCTGTACCTGCTTGTATCTTGCTCTGGTCTACGCCATATTCTACATGTATTTTGAGGCCTTCCCTATTATCTTCCAGCAGCTTTACGGTCTCTCATCGGGAGTGACGGGACTGTGTTTCCTTCCAATAGGTGGTGGTTGTCTCCTGACACTTCCAATATTCTTCTATTACGACCGCGTGTTAGCCCGCGCACGAGCACGCGACGCACCCTGGACGAAGCAGGAAGAGTACCGTCGTCTGCCACTTGCATGTCTAGGAGGCCCCTTATTTGTCATCTCGCTATTCTGGCTCGGCTGGTCTGCCAGGCAGGACATCCACTACGTTTCACCACTACTAGCTGGCATACCGTTCGGGATGGGGTTTCTGCTCATTTTTATGGCTTTTCTCAACTACCTCACCGACGCCTACGAGATATTTGCTGCTAGTGCCAATGCAGCCGCCAGCACTTCGAGATCCCTGCTTGCCATTGTGCTCCCGCTTGCCACCACACCTATGTTCAGCCACCTGGGTATCTCAGGTGCGTGTAGTCTGCTTGGCGGCTTCAGTGCCTGCATGTGCGCAATTCCCTTCATATTCATCTGGAAAGGAGACCGCATTCGCGCAGGGTCAAAGTTCTGTATCGCTTTGAAAGAGAGGAAGGCCGAGATGGAGCGCAAAGCCGCGGCGCAGCAGCAGAAGCGCAAGGAGTCTGAGGAACCAACGCAACAAATCGCGGAATACCGTAAGCGAATCCCGGGCGAGAGGACGTCAAGACCTCACCCAAAGGCTAGCCGTGAGAGGTCAAGCCAGGGAACGAGAGACAAATACGCGACCAGAAAAAAGTCACCCATGCAGGGGTCCCCGTCTCCCGGACGGAAATACTACAGAGACCCCAGGTTCAGACAAGAACAGATCACTGACGTGGCGTGGTCGAAAGATGTACCAGCATGGGTGCATCATTTCGGAGACAAGGTATCGAGGGATACCATGTCAGGAGGACTAATCTCAGGATGGGGCACGCCTCGAGGTGAGTCCTCGGGGACGAAGGTATCAGGAGGAAGCACCCCTTTAGGCGAATCATCGGGTACAAAGGTCTCAGGAGGCAGCACGCCGCGAATGAAAGTTTCTGGACAATCGATGGTGAGGGACCAGGGGGTCAACACGGTCGACCAAGGCGTACAGACGGATGTGGAGATTATGCTCCGCATGGAGGAGAAGAAGTACCCGGAAAAGGCCGAAAAGGAAAAAAAGAAGAGGAAGACTTGGAGTTAATTCTGGGAATGGTAGCCTAAGCGGAGGTGGTTACGAGACATTTGTATAGCTACTTATAGACATCAACATAGGCAAGTAAATCGAATGGTGTTTGAATGGCGCTTAGATGCTCAAAGGATCTAGTTGCACTCCACTCAGGACCGTCTTTTCTGGAATTTTGACAGCCCTCTCCGAGGTATTCTATAAATCTGCAGAATCCTTTGGTGATGTTCGTCTTGGACTTGCACTTCAGTCCTAATAGCCCCGCGCGATTCTATGCCGGTATTATCCTTCCCGACATCGACCTTCCATGCATTGAGGAACATGACTCGAAGGACTAGGATTGGTTGGGTAATGATAGCCACCAGTGGCTCAGCTGCATTCAGGAGGTCAACAATTGCCACAGCATCTGTGAACTCAGCCAGTATGTTCACGTGCGAGAATTGATGGATACGGGGAGCCCTAAATGGCTGGAAGCGTTCAATATGGCATGGAGCTCCCCGTCAATGAAGCCGCCGATTCCTCTGGCGGCGTAGTACCTCATGGCGATGCTGTCCAGGATGCAGCAAGGCAACATTTGTAGCTGTCTACACTCGTGAATATTTGGTTTTCTGGCTACATTGCTCCAGCAGATGCTTTCTCACCCAGTAGGCTGCAAGGATCTTGTCATGCCATTAGAATTCTCTCTGGCGATATTTCCTGCACCAATATTTCAGACAGAGAAAAGATGGTTTCAATGATGAATATAGGTCACATCAAAAGTTCACTAGTGTTTCTGGGCTCCTCGTGGAGGTTTTGCTTGTTATTCTTGACTGAGCAGCTCGAACAAAATGGTTCTTACAGAGAAGCGGGAAGTAAAGGTTCGATTTCCAGCTCCCCCGGAATGTAGGTATACCTAACAATGCGAACAACGAACACGAGATAGCGTGCTTCGTCAGGACAGTGCATCCACTGGCAGGTTTATAATGGATATGCAGAAATGGAGGCGCATGGCAGATGTTTGCTTGCTTGCATAGTCATGGTTGCGGGCGGCCAATCCCACGGGCCAACTTTCAATAGGTCTCACGATCATAGACGTGTGCCGGCACGGTGTAGCGATTCTAGTGTTATTGGCGAGCAGCTACTCTTCATTGAACTGACCCCAGGCATTCTTTTGTGCATGCCTTTCTAGCCTACCCTATTATTACGAGAGGGTGCCATACAACCAACTACTGACGCCACAAGTAACGAGGTGTAGACGGATATTCATCCCTGTGAACTCAAGGGTACCCCAACTTGCAGAAGCTTTCTAACATGGGTTTTTATACTCAAAGGCCGACTTACTTCAACTGGCGATTTGAGGCCTTGCTATTGACAATTGTCAAAAACGACGGGTCACATGGTATTGGAGCATAGAAGCACCATATCGTTAGTTCTAGCTTTGTCTAGACTGTTGTTTGATATTAAATGTGGGATTGAGCACCACAGTGATTCCTAAGGTTGAAAGGCGCTTTATGCTTAGAATAAAAGCGCTTTGTGCTTCAGGATAAAGGCGGGATAGAGGTAGCCTAGTAAGGCTGGACCCTTCAGATTACTTAAAAGGCAATGCACACAGCCAACAGAACAGATAGAGGGAATCGAGCAGGGAAAAAAAGGTGACCTAACCATAACCACCAAATTATTCTTTTCATATAACCGTCATATGACGGTCATACTGCAAGATACGTGAATATCTAACAACAATCCACTCACTAGAGATCTATGCAGGAGATGATGAAAAAGTATTTACCGAATTATTACACGAAGATATCTAAGATTAGATCACGTAAGCTGTGCTTCGAATGAAACAATCGAAACTTACTCTTATATCTTACGTTGTAATAGGGCATAACTAATATCTAATGGGAATGTTACGAGTAACTATCAATACGCTACTTTCTAATCCTAGGTATAACGTGATCCACAAGTCATTTTCGCACACAAGTCACTTTCGCACTTTTTCAAATATTTCAACCTTTTAACTTAGCTTGCACTTTTCTTCCCTCCCACAACATGCCTCGTAAATCCAAAGAAGCCGATCTTCAGCTAGCTATCCAAGCTAAAAAGCGCAACCCTGAAATTTCATGGCGTAAGCTTGGCCGTATCTACAACGTTTGCGACCGTACACTAAAGAATCGATTCGACGGCGACCAAACGCGACACGAAGCTAATATGTTAAAACGAAATCTAACTCAAACCGAAGAGGATTCGATTTCCCGACGTATAATTGAGCTAGATGCGCGAGTATTTCCTCCTCGGCTTCGATACGTTGAAGAAATGGCGAATATCCTACGACGCGTACGCGACGCGCCCCCCGTCGGCAAGAACTGGACCACGAACTTCGTTAACCGCCGACAAGACCTCCGAACGCGTTTAAACCGTCGAATTGATTACCAGAGGGTATTTAGCGAAGATCCTATCGCGTATTACGCGTGGTTTGAGCTTGTTAGGGACACAATCGCTAAATACGGTATCCTACCGGAGGATATCTACAACTTTGACGAGACGGGCTTCCTAATGGGCATAATCACAACGGGTATGGTTGTAACGAGTGCAGAAAGACACGGACGGCCTAGACAGGCTACACAAGGAGGTCGGGAATGGGTTACGGTGATCCAGGCTATTAATTCGCAAGGTTGGGCGGTACCGCCGTACATCATCTTCGCGGGCAAGGTTCATCTTGCTTCGTGGTATCGCGGTAACGACCTACCGGCCAACTGGAAGGTCGACCTTTCCCATAACGGTTGGACTACTAATAATATTGGTGTGGAATGGGCAAAACACTTTGTTCAACATATTATTAGCCGTCGTAAGGGTGCGAAAAGTCTCTTAATATTGGATGGTCACGAGAGCCACCACTCGATGGATTTTGAGACTTACCTCGCGGCGCACGGCGTAATTACATTGTGTATGCCTTCCCATTCATCCCACAAGCTCCAGCCTTTGTATTTGGTACCTTTTAGTGTGTTGAAACGGCTGTACGGTGCGTTCGTGGAGGGTTTAATGCGAAGGCATCAAACCCATATTGAGAAGCAGGATTTCTTAGCTGGATTTTTAGAAGCTTTCATTCGTGCTTTTCACAAAAAAAACATCAGATCAGGATTCGAAGCAGCTGGACTTGTTCCTTTTAACCCGGATAGGGTCATATCTACGTTGGATATCGCAAAAGTAGTACGAACACCGACACTCGACCCCCAATTGCCTCCCTCCGTCTGGGTTTCTAAGACGCCTACCAACACCCTCGAAGCCGAATCGCAGTCAACTTTGATTAAAAGTAGCGTCCAGAGGCATCAAGACAGCTCGCCGACGCATATTTTGAACTCAATTAACTCGATTACAAAGGCTACGCATGCAATGATGCATGAGAATGCATTATTACGTCGGGAGAACGAAGAGCTTCGTGAGACGAACCATATACTAAGTAAGCGTCGTAGGACGAAAAATAAGCAAATCCAATATGGAGGAGCACTTAGTATAGGTGATGCACAAGTTTTACGGGCCTTGAGGGGTGATATCAAGGTTATGGAGGAGGAAGAAGGGGAAAGCAGTCGTCCTGTAAAGCGCCGGCAGACCGGTATAAGGCGCTGTGGTATTTGCGGAGCGACTGGACATAATGCAAGGACTTGTTCAATAGAAGTAGAAACTGATAATGAAGAAGATTTTGAGTAATTTAAAGGATAAAATGCGGGTTATGCATAGGATATTACTGAATTACTTGAAGGTGCCAAGAAAAGTGCGAAAGTGACTTGTGTGCGAAAATGACTTGTGGATCACGTTAACCTTAAATTACATCATCAATATATTTAGGCAATATAGGAGGATTATATTAGTGATAATGATTATAAGGCTGACTCTTAAAGGTTACAGCCACGGAATAGCTATCTCTAGGCAGTTAGCCCAAGCGCTGCACCCAGCATATAGGCGGTGTGTGACGGGGATACTACACTTCTCCAAAACAATAGCCAGGTAGTGCAAGGAGCCACTGATGATATGCTAATCATACGGCTGTGTATATTGCTTGTCTGCATTGCCCACCGAAAATGTAACGTGAATATAATTTAGCTGGATCTATTACAAAAAGCATATACTAGTGTCTTCAATTACTTGAAAATACCAAGGTATAACAGTTTCAATTACACTACTGGACCGTCTACGCTTCACGTCTCCTCTAATTAGAAGATTTGATATTTCGGTCAGGCATGATTATCAGCTTGGGTACACCTCTTTGCGTCGGGTTCCCGAGAGAGGGTTTGTTTCCTAGACGAACAGAAGTAGATGTCTGTGGAATTCTCGCATGTTTTTCTTGTCACTAAGCCCATGTGGCGAAGCAGAGGTTCTGCGAGTACGAATCGAAGTTGCGATATCAAGACCCTGCGATACCAGTGCGTCTCTGTTGCAGAATATTAAGCTGAAAAAGAGAGAGAAAGAGTTGCAAGTACAGATGCCCGTTTCTCTGTTGTGAGGAGAACGGGTGGTTTGGGTTTGGGACAGCCCATCCCAGGATTGGCCCTGCTTATCGTCCAGGTGACAGGCGTCACAGCCCGCCGTTAACGAAATATATGTTGTTAAATAACCTGAGATATCAACCGCTCCACTTAGATCAAGGAACAAGATTCGGCAACTCTACACACTAGCGAATACTGCCGCCGTTTCAATTTATGTCCTTGATCTGATACGTAGTACCTACGTTTTTCTTATGAAGCTGTCGAAGAAACCAGAGTATGATTATAGATTACGAGAAATGGGCGTTGATTCATCCATGGTCCTCTGCAGCCGGGACACAGGAGGGCGTCCGCGTTACAAGTGAGGCTGCGGTTACGGCTATAACCGGCGGCATGTGGCAGACAGACGACGTAAGTGCTGCTAGACTCAAACGGTCCAAGCCCACTCTATGAGTTGTATACGTATGGCTTCTCGGGAAATAGTTTTGTGTTTATCGGAGTTGTATTCCAACTAGACCGAATATCCTACGTGATCCCTGCGCTTTAGGATTCACCGCCGGGAAACTGCGGGTCCCTTTAGCTCTAACGCTGCAGAATCTCATCTTGACCGGCAGATTCGTCCGATGGCAGCTTCTCCAAGAACACCAAGACCCAGATTATCAGACCGCATTTGCTCAACGATCATGCACGTAACCAAGCTGGACACTTACCTAAGATTCTTTCGGGGCGCCCCGACTGTCCTTACGAGTAATTTTTCTCTCTTGAGCCTATTGGTCTAGGGACAAATCGATCTTGAAGTGATGGACCGATGCAGCACGCAAGCCAGCATGCAACATGTAAGAAGTTGACACGGCATGTTAGCATGTTAGCAGCACGTGCCTGTCGATGAGCAAATTGGACCAACACGGCTTATATGGCCCGGAAGAAACGAATATGGATGAAAGCGGACTGCTGACAGATAACGGAAAATTTCAGGTCTGAATTTCCGACCAATGATGGAGGTCGGCTAGTCCCAGGTTCCAACGGCGCGAGATCCAGATCGCCCAACGCGATGCTGATTCGCGGCGACTTGGGGACGCTTCGATGACGAGATCAATCTATCAGGCTCGTCTTCGGCGACTCTGCCAGCGCTCTGGGTGACGCCGACGCTTCTCAGTTCAGCTGTCAGACAGGGATGGGGCAAGTGAAAGGTTGCACAAACGGACCGCTAGTAGGGGTCTGCTTGGTCTGGGCCTCAATATGAAAACATGAATTTTGGCGAAGCTGGACGAAGGGCCGATGGAGTATTGGGCCGGCTCAATCGCCATGGCCCACCAGCAGTTGCAGCCAGTTCGGCCCGGGCTGCCGCAACGGGTTATCCCAGAACAGTCAGGGGTCCCACTCAAGACCTCTGCCTTATTTAGTCCCTGCCAACCCCGCGGGGCATTTGTGGGAGAAAGGGAGGAACGGAATCTGAATGGCCGAGCCAGACACCAATCCAGGTCAGACGACTCGCAAGGGAAAAAGGCTGCCATGTCCACCGTCAATGTGGTCGCACAGCGCACCAGCGCAAGCTTGGTTCTCCCCGCACTTGCGCCGCCGGCCGCCGCAGCCAACATGCCCACGCCAGGAGCGCCAGCGGCTGGCTTGTCTTCTACGTCTGCGACAGTGGTCACGACAGTCGCAAGCCCCAAACCCCAGCAGTCCAACGTTGTTGGCATCAAAAGACTGCGGAGAGGCGACCACAAAGAGGGACGAACAACCAAGCAGAGACAGCGGACTCTGACCAAAACCATGGAGCCTCCCGTTTTGTCTTTTTATGGCGAACAGCCCGTCCCGCTGCCCTCGCGATTCGCCCACCTGAAACGGAGACTGGTTACGGGCCACGAACCCGCCCTCGAAGCGTCCTGGGGACGCTTGCTTGATGCTCTGCGCGATGAGATGAAGCACATTGAAAGCCACGGCACAGGCTTGATCCCCTGGATCGATTTTCGCGACGTTAGCAGTGCCTCAAAAGTCACCCCTTTTCGAGAAAGCGTCAAGCGATATGGAATTGGTGTGGTGCGAGGCGTCGTTGACGAATCCGACGCCCAGTCTTGGGTGGACGAGACCAAGACATACCTCGAAACAAAGCACGAGTTTAAACCCCCACCAGCACAAGATCCCACCTGTTTTGACTTCTTCTGGTCGCCCTGTCAAGTCCGCGCAAGAGCCCATCCCAACGTCCTGCGCGCACAGAAGTTCGCCATGTCCCTCTGGGAGACTAGCGATGACGACCGGCTAGCGACGCGCTTCCCGATCTGTTACGCTGACCGCATTCGCATAGACACCAATACCACTGGCAGTTTGAACGGGACCGCAGGTGCATCGGCAGTCGAAGACCCCCTGTCTCCTGCTACTTCGTCCACGCTCATCGCGCAAGTGGACAACGGCAGTCTGGAGCGGTGGGAGCCGGATGGTTATGGTCGCAGTGGCTGCTACGATGCCATCTGGAAGGGAGAGTGGGAGTCCTACAACCCATGGGATCCGACAGGTCGCGTCAACGCAACTTCCGATCTGTATAATGGCGCAGGCGCCTGCAGTATGTTTCGCATGTTCCAGGGCATTCTGGCCCTGACCACTGTCGAACCCGGCATGGTGCGCTTACTCCCATCGCCCAAGCTTTCCACCGCATATTTCCTTCTGCGCCCATTCTTCTCGCCAAAGAAGCCGCATCCCGAAAAGGATGCCGAGCCCGCGGCGTGGGACGAATATCTAGATGCGTCTAATTGGGCGCTTGATGAGGAGCAGACGACTACGATCCACGGTGCGGTTCCGGGTCACGCACAGCGTGTTACGGAAGTATGGCACCCACATCTCCAATTGAGCAAGAGCTTAGTTGCGCCGCCAACTTTAAAACCAGGCGACTATATCGTATGGCATCCCGACGAGCCGTATGCTTTCGAACGAGCTCCACCAAGCACGTCCATGCTGGTTTACACACCAGCCGCGCCGTTAACACAAACCAACGCCCTGTTTCTGGCACGCCAGCGCAAGGCCTTTCTGCGCGGCCACCCAGGCCCTGATTTCGACTCGACGGGCAGCGGCCTCGGCAGTGAGGCACCGCACACGGGCCGCCTCGAAGAGAAAGACATTGCCGCGGTGGGCGGCGAGGAGGGCCTGCAGGCCATGGGATTGGCGCCCTGGATCATCAGCAAGTCGGCCGTGGAGGAGTCCAGGACGGTGACCCCTACTGAGGAGAGCGGCAAGGAAGTCGGTGACGACGCCCAGTCGGCCTCGAGCGACAAGTCCGGGTCCACGATTTCTGCAGCCGAGGCCGAGGTAGTCAAGATGGCCAACATAATCTTATTTCCCGATCGGTATGACTTTTGGATGCCCAGCAGAACGGGCACGCCGTCGGCTGAGGGCGGTGTCAAGGGCAGAGATAAAGAGAAAGGGAAAGAGAAAGAGAAAGATGCGTCCTCTCCGGCGTAGTTAGCTAGCTGACCTACGACGGGGATGGTGTTGGGATGCAAATTTTGTACATAGCTATCGGCACATATTCGATCTTAAGATCTGAGTGCTCAATTCCAACGCTTGCGTTTCTTTGTCCGATTCAGATTTCCACATGTTGGGTTGGCTTTGCATGCATGGTATCGCCGTTCTTTGTTGTTTGACTAAACAACTACTATGTTCATTATAACTGTTCTATAGAAGCAAACACTCCCGTGTCGTCTTTGTTCCCCCGAATACGGAACGTTCAGCTGAAATTTCGAAGCCGCGATTGACTATACCCTGTGCCACAAACACCTAAATACATTCATCATAGAAGCAGCGAACATTCAGTCTGGAAATAGCTGTTGACGAAACTTATGGGGATTGGGGCAAGAGAACTCTGGTGAGTGGACTCCCAAGGCACAATGATCAACTTCACCACAATACGATTTGGGAATCTGAAGACAAAGGCGAGAAAGAGGATAGCAGCAGAAGATGGACAATATGATGGCCCTGGGTGATGGAGACATTCGCCTGCGCTGTGTGCCCGGAAGGTAGTAATTCCGACGAACAAATGCACCAGTTGATTTGTAAAGGTGAATGCTAAGCATATACGGGAAATAAATAATGGGACAAGGTGTTGAATATCAAGCCAGCGATCCTATCTGACCTCACCACTTCACAAAATCAATACTGCCACCATGAAAGGACACGAAGCTTGACTGCTCAGCTTAGTAATTTATGAACATAAATGAAAATTCCAGGTTGTGTCAGAATTTGGAAGCAGTGAAATGTTGATGAGCTGTGACATCTGGGAGCTCTAGCCTTGCATTTGGGACCAATAGGACTGAAAGGAGGGCCTAGAAAAGGGGTTCTCGACTATATTACCACATGGTTCTTTTTAGCTCGATGAGTTAATACCTTAGGCCAATCGATTTTTATATTTCAAATAGGACATAGGATAGAAACACAGGGTTACAAAACCTGGTATTCACAATCAGTAATAAAATACTTTGTACTTGGTAATATACACAAAGAGATGCTGAGAGCAAAGAGAGCTATGGATTCAAGAAGGTAGACACTTGAAGGTTAAGAAGAGAGTGAGACCTGTAAAGACCTGCAAAGACAAGCTCCAAGATAGCATACATTGACTATCATGTGAGAAAATAACCAACAAATCTGCTGTGCCACACATTGTTTGAATTCAGGTACTCGGTGAATGATTGAGCTGGTTGAAAATAATGTATTTCCTAGACATCAAATGCCCAGTACGAATCTTCCATTAAGCTCTGAAATATGTGTAGAACTATTCAACTCAATAAGAACAAGGGCAATTTCAAGGTCTGGTTCACCATAAAAAGATCATTGACCGAAGAAATCACTTTTGCATACCACGAGGGCGGACAGAGTCTGGTTCAAAATGGACACATGACACATATGATCTCAAGCAAGAAGCTCAATGACAAGTTTTATTGCTCAAGGCTAAATCATCCTTCCAGCTAGCAGGCGACATCTCCGAATCCATGATGTGGTCCACGATTAACTCAAAGATCTCCATTGAATCCTGTAGCGATATTTCATATTCCGACAATTGAGCCACTGAATGTAGACTTCTTCGACAATGAGCTTGATTTACTCGATAAGAACTAAAGCGAGCCTTTCCTTCTTTTGGGGTTGCAAGGATCCCCCATGCCGCAGATAGTAGGCGTGAATGCCGTATCAGAAGTCTCCGTATGTTGGAGGAGGTTTTCAAGGGTCGCAATTTTAAGCATTCCTTCCCCTTTCACTGATGCCATCTTGGATGCTGTCTTGTTGGTATATAGCTGAAGAGCGCAATGACTGTATGCAGTGGTGTCTCTGTCTGTGAAGCTCTCGGTTCAATCCGAGAACTGGAGCTCAGCTGTGAGCTTGAACCATGTAGACACCATAGTTGACGCCTGTGAAATCTAAGATATTAGTGCAGCATCCACTGTGACGCTGGCTGTTGGGGGAGACTTGAGACAGACCTGCGCAGTAGTGGGTGTGTAGCAAATAGACACGGAGTATGACAAAGTTGAAAATGTGTTGGTAAACTATGGGGGCATGCGAATGGCCACAGGTCGGGTTTATGGGCTCATCAATGTAGCAGGGTTTCTTGATTTGGGAAAATATCAAGAAATTCTTTGCTCGGATAGATAAAAAAAGCTATTTGAGCCTATTCAGCATGATGGGAAACAAGAAGTGGACACGGCTTCGGGTATTAGCTCGGCGTCACATGGTTTTGAGGACTACCACTCAACTTGACTAAAATATAAAGTATCATTGTTAAATGTGAGAGTATAAAATCCTATTATTGGCCACTTAAGAAGTAAAATAACAAGATACATATGTTTACGGTTATGGATCTAGTTGTCAGAGAACAGAATGCCATAGGCACCGGTGGGACACCGGTGGGGCTCTGGTGTAGGAATGTGCGAGTCATGACACGATATGGAAGTCTTGGTTTGCGGAACAATCGGGGAAACTAGTGCTCCGCGGCTCCGACGTCGGGTTCTAGCTATCTATGTAAGGGGCGGAGGCCCGGGAAGAAGATAGAGGGAGAGTAGAGATCAATGCATCACCGTGGGCACCCCTACCTGAGACCGCCAGTGACCACCCGGTATTACGTAGGAGGGACGCCCGTTACTCCCCATCACTCTGTACTATCGCCTTCGGCCTAGCCGTACCCTGACACTAGTATTGCTGTTGTCTGAATAGCCCCTTCATATTCCTCTGCCAAAGTACAAACACTTTGTTCGACAAGCACAACCCGGATCCGAGAGTAGAGAGTAGATAAATAGCAGATGGTGAGCTAAAATTGGTAGATGGACAACCTTACGTGTTGGTTGGTCTACGAAGAAAAGGGACTGCCCATGACTAACCTAACAACTCCCTGCAAAATATTCCACAATCCTACCGAGCAACCAAGTGTCCCTTCCTGCATGGAATGATCCACCAGCAACTGAATGAACTCTCTACCTTCAACCGTGTCACAAAGTTAGGAAATAACCCTCAATTCATCAACGTGTATCCAATCGGAGCATCGTCGACGTACTCCGGAGTACTAGGTGTGTCAGAGTTCCAGAGTCCATCGCCCTTACCAGGACGCTTGGTAGCCACCTTGGCACCGGCAATCTTGGCCTCCACTCCATCTTCGTCGTATCGACCATCATCATCCACCTCCTTGTGCTGTTCCTCGGCGGGTGCGGACTCCTTGCTCCCATCGTATAGCTCCTCATTTTCGGAACCAGCAATGGAGAAGTCGATGGCGAGCTTCTTTGCTTTCTTCGTTCCCTTGCTCCTGGCAGAGCTCTTCGTCGAGAGGAGGGCCGCATTGACTTCAACCTTCGGCTTAGGTTTGTGCTGCTCGGGACATGGCTTGCTTGAGATGGGGGACTTGTCGCGTTCGGCAGTGGGTAGGAAGATCATGGCGGTGCCACGGGGGGCTTGGGCCTCGATCTTTGACGACATGATTTGCGACTGTTGACCATGTCAGTAAATCAGGAGGTAAGTGGAGCCAGATGCAGATGGAGAGACGGACTAGTCAAGGTTACCCTAGTGATGAAGAAGAACTGTATGATGTTACCTTCAGAGATAAATGCAGCAGATCTGATGGGAGATCTGGTGGATACTTCAATTAGATTCGGGAAGGCGCGACCCAGGCTTGGGCGAAGTTTACAGTGTACAATGTCTATGCGCCTACGTTGACGACTAAGCGGACCCTTCACGTTTCCAAAGACTGACGAGCGGCAGAAGGTTGTTTTTAAACAAAATGCCAAGCTAAGAAAACGAACAAACAATTCAGATCAGCATGAAAACTGTGGATGAGCTTGGTCATGAGACCAACAAGGAAGTAGCCGAGCTGAAACAAAGTGCACCGGTATGAAGACACCTGAGGATATTCCTTGATTCATCTAGCATAATATAACTTTTCTTGGGTTACTTTACTACACAAGCAGCAGGAGTCACGCCTGCTTGTTCTTTGCCACGAACGCTGCCTTTCAGCTAAACAAATTTCTTTGCTTGCTACACATCATCAGAGAATTTACGTTTTACTTCCAAAGACCCATTGTTTGGAGATATAGTAAGCGTCTATTCTTCCTATCCTAGTCTCAGGGGCGGTATATAAATGTAAGGTGTGGTAGATCAGACTCAGCTGTGAGTTGTGTCTCCACCTGTTCTGTTACTCGATACGCCCTATTTTTTATCGAGACTGTTTTAACCTGCAGGTATGTGTCAGCTGGCCCTTAATGTCTCCTCAAGCCACTAATAGTAAAACATTTTCTGTATTGGATGGCTCAGATCTTATGTGTTGCTTAGTAGCAACAGAATTGTACCTACCTTCAGCTATCAGTGCTCAGTAGCAAGCCGAGGGAAGTGGAAGCCAGCTCCTATTAAGCAGCCCGAACGCGCTGTGTAAGTCCATGTGTGATTACTAAACACCAGGTATAACGACCCACTTTCCCTTGATCTTGTCCTCGCCAAACTTTTCCTTGTACCATTTCGCTCCATTGACAGCACGTGGCAACATGGCGAAGAACTCATTCAGAAGGAAACACCTCGCAGGAGTGCAGGAGAAACCAGTCGCAACCCAGAAGCCCGTCCACTCGATCCATTCCATAAAGTAGTGCGGGTACAGCATGTACCTGAACAGGCCGTTCTCAGGGACTGAATAATGCTTCTGGATGCTCTTCTGTCCGTCCCGAGCAAGCTTCTCTTGGCGGCGCTGTTTTTGGCGGCGGATTTCCCGCAGCTCCTCATCACAAAAGTAATTAGAGATGAGACCTACGTAGAAGATGACCAGTCCGATGAAGAACTGCAGAACCGACGAGTTCTGCGCTTTCCATTCGGCTTGGGTCATCGGACCGTACGCCGCGAGCCAGCTGCCGATGCAAGTTGCGTTGGTAAGCTGGAACATAATGGCTGCACCCCACACGACGACGTGGATGGGTGACATGGAGGGCTGGATGATGGGGAAGATGACAGCGCGATATATGTAGTGGAGAACGAATAGTCCGGCAAGGACCTGGTTCTGCCATGGTAGGTCCTCAATGCCGTGCTGGGCTGGGAGGGTTTTCATGATGTACAGTAGAGTCATGAATCCGGGGCATTCCATTGTGAACCAGGCAATGCGGCCAGGGATATTGAAGCGGCTCTCGACAGACGTCTTGCCCATGCCATACCATGCCATGAACCATTGCAGGGACGGCAGCTAAATGGGAGGTTAGTGGCTGACAGCCGAGGGGTAGGGGGAGGCGGCCTACGATAGGATACCAAATCCATAGGTACAAGATGCACTCGTAGTTCTCACGACTCGCTGGGAGCCAGTCTTGCACGATTGCCATGTTGCCGTTTGACCCTCAGGAGGGAGTAGCTGAACTCGAACAGAGGGCCTGTAGGGTGGTTTTGAGCCACTATGTATCTGTGCCTCTAGGATTGTGTCTAGGCGGTGGATTTTGAAGGAGGCTGGTCTGCCGTTACATCCAAAGATATCGGCGTCATGATTCGATTTCACACATCGGCTAAGCCAGCAAAAGACAGTGAGACCCACACCCAGAAAGCTTGGCGCTTTGGGGATGGCCCCAGCTTTAGCTAGATTACCCGTCACATTGGAGCTCTTGTTGACTTGAATAATCCATTGACGAAAGCTCCGGCCATTGTGCCCTCAAATAATGAATAGTCGAGTCGTATCTGCATCTCGCTATGTTACACGGGAATCAGCTGACGTTCAAGCTTGCCAAGCTCTCTGCAATTGCCTGCTCAACTTTCATTCGTCCGTCTGAAGCGCTTCAACGCTCCGCGGTGGATGGGGTCAGCCCACTAGGACCCTTGGGCGCTCCATCAAGGCGGCCCTCAGCCAGCTGCGTCATTGGTGACCATTGTGGCTGATGCAGGCTGTTCTCCAGCTGCAGACCAACCTCGGAAATAGCAACATCAACAGTTGCAGCTTCTGAAGTACGCTAACCTAGTCAGCAGCAGCGGCAAATATTGGCTACAGAAGACGCGCAAGCCAGCTCAAAGAAGACATTTGGCAAATATTACCTTGGCCGCTAGTAAATTGACTCGGGGCAATATCTTGGTCAAATCTGTGAACAAGTATCTCTTCTCACTTTCGCTGTTGCCTGCTGTGCTGCTTCAGGTTAGCACGTGGCGCCTGTGGTGCGTTAATGAATAGCAAGCTGAACTTGCAGATAGCAGCGATTACTTGATCTGACACTGAAGTACACCTCATATTACCCGTCACTCTTCTTATTTTCATCAACGGCAAGTTCAGTCACGCAATCATTGTGCCATAGGCGATTATTTCAGGACAAGTTGAAAGCGATTCCTTGTCGGCTTCGAGTCAAGTTTTGGTATTGATCATCCATCACCGTTGCTGCCAAGCTTAACCTTGGAAGCGCAACCACCGCCACATCTCTACTACCTGCTTGCGGCGTCAACCTATTGTGAGCCTGCGCCGACCTGCATGTCCTCAAATGCTGCTCACCCGAACCACTCCTGCTTTTCGTGCTCTTCGCGCTCACCTTTTTAGCTATCAGTCGTTCTTGCTACAAACTTCGCTGTACCCAATATTGTCATCCACTGATGACGTAACGAGTTGGCGTAGCCACGAACTGCCCCTCCAATTGCATTGTCGCCGAGCTTCACCATGGTCACCCGAAAATCGACGCTCCCCAACAATGCCGATGCCAGCGCCGAAACGCCTCCGCCCGTGAGCATGCAAGGGGTCAGACAGGAGCTCTGGTCTGCAACCGACTCGGAGGTAGATGGGGAGAACGCGTGGGGTGAAGCGGTCGCCAAACAAGGCTTCCAGAACGGTGCCAACGGACAGTCTAGTGGGAGTGCGGCGAACACGGACGTCATTCCCAGTGTGCTGCGTCCTGGAATGGCTGTACAAGCAGAAGAAACCAACCCCTGGGAGGATGTAAGGCCAGACGAGGAACCTGCAACCGCAACCGCAGGCCCGAGGAGTAAACTCGAGAAAGTTCCGACAATACTACGTCCCGGAGGTCGGTCCGAAACAAACCCATTCAAACGAAAGCCCGTACAAAGCCCTGCGACTGTTCCCGAAGCCGCAGGGATATCCACTTCCTCCGCACCTCCAACAGATGGGTTCTCTGAGCTGCGGCTGGGTGAACCCGAATCGAGTACCAACCCATGGAAACCTGCCATCGACGAGCCAAAAGCTCCACCAGCTCCGCCCCAGATACACTCGGTAGCACAGACAGAGTCTGAAGACAATATATGGGACTCGGGTCCGTCACAGCAACCCTCCACGGGCCCTGCATCAAACTCTCCTGCTGTTCTCTCGCTCCCATCCGAAGGCGCGTCCCCTGCTTGGGACGAGGACGAACTCTCCAAGCCTTCTTTGCCCGACCTACCGCTAAAGTCACCAGAGGAGCAAGAGTTTTCTCAGGATACGCATGCGTGGGACGACGTTGAATCCCGTAATAAGGGGAAAGCTCCGATCCCACAGGCACAAGGGCCGCCTGTATCAGGGGAAGACTGGAACCTTGTAGATCTTGAACCTGCGCCAGGCCAGCCTTCGAGACAAAGCACGTGGGGAGATTTTGACGAGGGGGAAGACCCTCGGGGTAAATCGAAAGGAAAACAAATCGAGCAACCGTTGACCACAGAAGCTGTGACGGATGCGCCCCCCGCTCTCCCTTCTCGGAGGGCGACTGAAGTCCAGGCTTCACCTTCAAGGGCGCAATCACCAGCTAAAAAGTCGGAGACGTATCAAATTAAGCACATCCACTGGACCGATGCCAAGGCTGCCCAAAACCCTCGGAAATCGCCTATATTGGTGCAGAATGCCAACGGGCCATGTCCTCTGGTTGCTCTTGTCAATGCCCTGACGTTGACCACACCTTCGAACATGAAAGAAACGCCGCTAGTGGACGCACTCAAATCGAGAGAGCAGATTAGCCTAGATCTCTTACTGCGTGCTGTATTTGACGAGCTCATGTCTCCATGGCGTAGCAATTCGGAGGTTCTGTTACCAGACCCGTCTGAGCTGTACGCGTTCCTGGAAGGGCTTCACACTGGTATGAACGTTAATCCACGCTTCATTCCCACTCCGGAACTTGTCGCAACCCATAAGCGCACGTCTCTTGCCCACGTTCATCCAAGTGAGCGGGGAGATCTGATTCCTGGGACATTCGAGAACACCCGTGACATGAAATTTTATGCCACGTTCTCCATCCCTCTCATCCATGGCTGGCTTCCACCCAAAGATGATAGCGTATATGAATCTTTCAGCAGGCAAGCGTCCTCCTACGACGATGTGCAAGCTTTGCTCTTCACAGAGCAGGAGCTGGAAGACAAGCTTACAGGGAGTGTTGCGCTTTCAGACCACGAGCAACAGCTATACGAGGATATTATGACAATCAAGTCTTTCCTCTCTAGCTCGGCAACCCAACTTACACCGTGGGGCCTCCAAGTTATCACCAAAGCTGCTCAGCCCGGCACGTTTTCGATCCTCTTCCGTAACGACCATTTCTCTACTCTCTACCATCATCCAGAAACTACGCAGCTGCTTACCCTAGTCACCGATGCTGGCTATCATACGCACGACGAAGTTGTTTGGGAGTCACTGGCCGATGTGAATGGCGAGCGAGCTGAATTCTTTTCGGGCGACTTTCGTCTGGTGGGCGGACCGCAGCAACAGCCGTCCAACGACGTACCAGGCGCGTGGTATGACGAGGCTGGGTCAAGCCATGCCAACAACCAAGGTAATCTGCAATCCGTGCAGCGACAGAGGGCCAATGACCGCAATGACCAGCCGCAACAGTCTCCTCCTTTATCGCCAAACCATGAGCAGGAAGATCGCGATCTGGCTTTGGCCCTCCAGCTCCAGGAGGAGGAGGAGCAACGCCACCGCGCCGAGCAGGAAGCTCGGAGGCGGGAGACTGAACTTTCGGAGCAGTTCATCGAACAACAGGCTCGCGGCAACACTGCTCGCACAGGGCCTCAGGGGCGCGGAAGTTCTACCTCTGTTTCCACGTTATCCACCCGAGGTGGTCGCGGTGACAGCACCTTGGCCCCCGCACGCACTTCATCGGCCCAGATTAACGTTCCCGTCCGTGAAGCAAATAACAACGGCCGGGGAGGGAGACCAGTACAACAGCAAGAAATTCGGCCGCTCGTCCCACCGCCGAACACGACCCATCGTCCAGCGGCACCAGAGGAGGAAGAGGCCCCGCCAACCTACGAACAAGCATCAAAGGCGACCCCGTATGTCCCGCCTACTGGGCATCCAAACCATCCTGCGAGTACACCCATCAGTGCTACTAGCGCTCGGCGGCAAACACTCCCGGGATCAAGAGTTGGAAGAGGAGCGGGGCCGTCTGCAGGGCCAAGTACGCCGGCTCGGGGTGGCCGGCAGGGAATGCCGCCACCACCCACCACGGCGCCCGGAGGAGGTGTAGGGAGGGAAAAGGATTGCATCGTCATGTGACGTTGGCATTGGCATAATCAAGGATACGGCGTTTTCGAGCGACTGCGATTTCCAGTCTGAGTTTGAGTTTGGTTGGGTTTACGCTTGGTAATGAATGGAATAGCAACTGGGAGTGGGTCGATTCTCGGGGTGGGCCGCATTATTTTCACTGTAGTAGCAATTAGCATGCATATTATCCACGTCCTGAGGGTTGAAGTTGCACCTTCAGTTTTGGACGGCGATAAAATATTATTACGGAGCGGAAGGCGTTTGCTGAAAAGTTGGACGGTATATTGTTAACGACTTTGCCGGAATATTCTGATGGTTTGATGCTCTAGAGTCACGACCTGGTATTAACAGTCACCAATGGACCTTAACCTCCCTTGTGAGGCCAGTCATGGCTCATACGCTACCTATGTATAAAGGCCCCAAAAATCGCCAACGTCGTTAAAACTACTACAGTACAGTTGTTGGTGGGATATTTTTACGCAAGCCAATCAAATTTTGATACAAGATCTTGAAGTCCATAATGTCCCTAGTTAAGCGGAATAAGCGGGGTTACATATTTATCCGTATATATACGTGCTGACTAGATGGATTGTCTGCCATTGACCTATCTTGTTTCGGACTCCGATCCCAGTTAACACCTTCATGGTCTGTCTAACCCAAATCTTTGCATTTTACACTGGACATCGCACCTATACAAACGACTCGTCTTTCATACTACGAACAGACTTTAAGACGTATTCAGCCAATTTTAGAAGGTGTGTCGGCTTTGTTATATCATAAAATATCCTTCCAGAGCTGATAGGCTTTTCACAGGCATCTCACTAACTTCAAACCCAGACCCATACCACATACAACCCACAGTCAATAGTCGTGAGAATGCCCAGCACACAACTGAGGTTAACATTGGAGATCTGCAATGTAAATAGCACCCGTCGAAGATCCAGCCCTCACTCTCAGCTAATCACCACAGTATGAACCCCAAATCGACTTGTCTCTTCTAATCGTTTCAGTGCACACATTATGGGACCGACCGCACCAGCCTTTCCCACCCCCGACAGCTGGCTTTTACGCAGTTGGGAATTACCTAGCTTGTTCTACGCGCTATCTATGGGCAAGGGGGTAAGTCCCCTCCTATATAAATAAACAAAGGTGGCCTTGCCAGTTTGAGCCAAAGCCATCGTCAAATAACCACTCGCACGTGATTTTGTCTGCTTATAGTGAAACACAAGTGGTATATAGAGATATTCGGAAGACGTGCCTCTATACTATATAATACTAGGCTTCGAGTACGTGGTTTGGGCTCCGAATTTGTTTATCTGGGCAGTGAGGCACGGGATGGAGTTCGCTCCTGACAAGAGTGAGCTAATGCACTTTACTAGGGCCCGAGAGCCCTTGCCGCAAAGTATTCGCCTTGGGGACGCCACAGTGTCGCCGGTAGTCTCAGCGAGGTTCCTAGGAGTCTGGTTCGACCGCAAACTGACGTGGCACGCTCATGTTGAGCGTGTTGAAACAAAAATGGCAACTCAAAAGCTAGCCCTGACAAAGCTAGTCAATATGTCGTGGGGCTGCGATCTTATACGGGCGAGGCTGTTATATACGGTGGTTATCCGTAGCGCGATCGTCTTCGGGGCGACTGCGTGGCATACTATAAGTGAGGAACCGGCAGGGCCAGCTAAGAGCCTGATGGGGAGACGGAACGAGTGCCTCCGGGTAGTCTGTGGCGCCCACAAAGCGACGCCGGTTCGCCACCTGGAAGCAGAAGCAGCAATCCCGCCACTAGACCTCTATCTTAGTGCCCGGGCTGCTAAGTTTGAAGAACGGCTACGGCTTAGCGGGAAGAGAAATCTGCTTCGCAGCGCGAGCGCTAAAGCGTCACATATACTCCGGCAGGATAGGCCGGCGAAGAGGAAGCAGGCGTCGCAGCTACTCCGACCGGCAGGGTACACTATGGAGAAGGAGGCCCGGGGCTCCGAGTGGATGAGTGAGGAAAAGGAGGTCCCGGCTTCCCTCCTCGGCCACTGGAGGAAGAGATGGCTCACTGGAGCAGAGCATCACGATCGCCAGCGACGCGCCATCGCTGAGGAACCGGAGGGCCCTTCGATGCAGATACCGAAAGGGGCAAGTATTTCGGCCTGAACCGACTGGAGGCGTCTACGCTGTGCCAGATCAGGACGGAAAAAATAGGACTAGCAGCCTTCTTATTCAAGACAGGGGCTTTTGGCGTGTACTCGCCGCTATGCCGCTGTGGCGACGCCCCTGAGACGGCAGAGCACGTAATCCTCTTTTGCGGGCTGTTGGAAGGACCGAGGGAACGATTACGGGTCGCTATCGCACCACGGCCACTATACTCTCGCAGAGACCTCGCAACGGCAACAGGAGAACCAGTAGTTAGTGGGACTATTGTAAGGTGGCTGCTAGGGACGGGTCGGACAGCTTCAAGGCCCAGATAGCATCGATCTTCTCAGGGGGGACTTTGTTGGTAGGTTGAGAACCAACGTAGTATGGTAGTGGACGTAACGCAGTCGCCAATAGGGCGAACCGACGACGCAGCGTATGTATTTAGTCCAGCCATTAGGGCACGGTTTGACATACGGGAGTACTAGTAGAGGTACCGGGGGCTTCGAGCCTACGGCGTATTTAATAATAAATGTTTATCTGGGATGAGCATTTCAACTCTAGGTAGACGAGGCAGATTTTCTGCTGACACTATCTGCAGGGTATATTTGGAAATTTAATACGTAGTCAGATAACAATGTATCGTGTCGATATTACGTGCGGTGATAGAGGTTCTTTAACCATACCCATCCTGATCTACGAGGACTATGTATGATCGAGATTTCGGCCTCGCATGCAGTCGTTGTGAAACTATCGTCCTATATCAGTGGCTCCTCACTTATCGGTCAATTTTCTAGTGGACATATATATGTACTCAACTAGAGTCTTGTTCGAGCCGAATCTCGAGTATACTGGACTCTCGTATACAAACTGCCTAGGTGGTGGGACTCCGTTTCGATTATGTGCTGCCCATGTCTCTCTGTGCTACTACATCGTTTCCGTCGAATATACGAACGATCTCGTCCATTGTGGGGCCCTTCGTCTTGACGTAGTGGATATACGCGAACATAAGATCGCAGAAGTTCCAGAGCTGTGGAATTTGTCAGTTACAGTACAGGAAAACAAAGGGGTATGGTCTCATTATCCAATGCGTGCACCGAATACGCATTGTGGCGCAAATATCGCACCTCTCGGAAAACGAGGGGAAGGGTATTGCGGCAGTTGTCTACAATAACGTTGTCTGTATAGTAATAACGGCAAGCATATCGCATTCATTGCCCCTTGCTTCGGCGGCGGGGGGCCGACAGATGCTGTGCAAAGGCAGCCAACCCAAATCTCAGGGAAGCCTAGTGTTTCTTGCCTCCAGAGCCCGTTGGCTTAGCCTTGACGTACCAGCACAGAAATCAAAATCAACATTTCCTTCAGCCTTGTAGCGGTATCGGCCAAGACAGACCTTGTCAAGCGGCTAGATTTGCTAACTTGCTGGTCAGATTATCATCGTACGGAATGGGGACGATCGGCACACTGCTTTGCATTCATTTCTTTTTACAGATCCAAGAGCTCTCCGAGCCAGTAGGATCATGTAAACGAGTGACTAATTTTAATTGCCTTTCTTGCCGCGTTATTAATAGCTATCTCTGTCATCTATTCCAATGGTACATACAGCCTTAAAGACAAGATATGGTGTATTCCTCCAGAACTAAAATCAGTAGTACTGCATATCCATTATAATCCCCAACGACTCGAGTAGTTCTAGTCTTCCAGAGCTGGAATATCTTCCATGTCCCGCATCACCTGTGCCCCTAGTTCCCTGCACAAGCTCAATGTCTCACCACACCAGATGCGGATACCCAAATCCAGCTCCGTCATCCGAATCAGAGGAGTCCGACCCACCTACATTTTCGTTACCGTACGGCCCAGCTGCCATACCACCCCAACCGCCTGCGTTTCTCCTCTTCCGCCGTTTCCGGTAGTGACAAGGACAGTATCCAGCCCCGCGCCCCTCCGTCTTGGCTTGTTCCTTGCAGTCTGTTTTCCGGCACGTGTGTTGCTGGCAAAAATATCCCGCCGCCCGCTTTTGGCTGCAGTCTTCGATTTTGCACCGGTGTTCAGAACAGAGACCTATGCCAGGGAACTCGGTGCTGGCTTGGCCTTTGCAGTTGCGCTGGGGTAGTTGTTGTTAGTTAATTAGTCTTGATGAGGTGATTTGTAACTCAAGCAGTCTCATAACGACGGGGGTTTGTATATGAGCTTCGGAGAATTGTGTTGCTCTCGAGGCAGAATAGGGATGAACGGGAGGGTGGGAAGAACACTTACGACTAAACACGTATGTGCCGCACAGAGCTGATCTCTCCCCTTTTTCTCCTGACATGCAAACACCGTGCACGTGTGTTTCTCGCAGAACTGGCCCGTAGTCCAAATCGGATACAAGTTTCCAAATATGGTCGGCGGCTGGCCTGCTGTCTGCTTAGGCTCGACGCAATTGGCGTCGGCGCATTTGTGGAGGTAGCAGGTACGGGCAACACCAAATCTCTGGTGCTGGCAGTGTCTATCGAAGTGACAGCAATGCATTTCACAGTACCTGGAATTGGCCTCCACGCGGCGATCGCAACCCTCGGTGGCGCATTCGGGATGGTTGTCTATTGATGTCAGTTGGTGGATCATAAGCACCCAAAGCGCAACGCGCAGGTCAGTACTCACGTAATTCGCAGTTTTCATGGGTGAAATCGCCCGTCTTGTGGCGCCACCTTCGACAGTCGCGATAAGCACACCTCTGGTGTGTCTCGCAGCGGCCACCAAACCTGTTCTGACCCTCGTTTTCACAATTCTCCTCTCGGAAGAGGGCGCATAGATGGGTTGTACAGCAGTCCCCGGCGTATTTCTGTTTGGTACATGGTTCTGGGTCTTTCGTCTTGCACCTATAATGGCGGAGGTTAGTGAAGGCGTGTTCCGGGATAAGTATAGGTTTGGCTACTTGCGTGTGGTCTTTGCAATACGCACAGTCCTTCTTGTCGAGTCTCTTGGGGCACCCCTTCGTATTGCACGTATGTCTCGCACACGCCTCGGCACCCGGGATTTCCTGTCTTATATCATCGCAGTTCCCGCCAGCGTCCTCTTCTTCACCAGCATACTTGCAGTAATGCTCGAAGCTATAATCTTGGAAATTAACGACCATGATTCCGAGTCCACGACACCCGATGAGGACACCCTATGATGAAGAGTAACGTCCCATTTTGCACAGGCGGTGAAAGAGAAAAGTAATGACTCTGGAGATTACATACCAATGCCTGCGATAGTCCTCGCCGCCGACTTTGTGGACGATGTTAAGGCAACCATCTTTCTTGCACTGCCGGTGTCTCGTGCAGTAGCTCTCCGCCTGGTGGTCTGCCTTGCTTGCTACTGGATTGTCCCCTGGGACGAAGTCTTTGCAGCTTTCATAGTGGCAAGTATGGTACTATGACTCGACGTTAGCCATGATTCTTCTAAATCATTCACGGATTGAGGGGAGGAGGAACACTCCGATGTTACAGCCCAGTTTGCCAAAATTTGCAAAAGGGGCATAAGTGCATCCGGAGAATTGACCCACATCACACCAGTTCTGCTCCCTCTTCGTCTTTTCTCTCGTGCAGTCATCCTCTCCACACTTGTGATCGTTGCAGTACTTTAGCTGCATACCACTCCTCGTCCAGAACGCCCGAACACTCTTGCAGTCCGATGCACTCTCACAGGTATCTGCGGTAATGGTAAGTATTTCCTCCTTGGTCATATCAATGGCAATGTGCGTACGTTCTTTGCAGTATTGGTAATCTTTGTCCGCTCTCTTCCGCATCAGACCACATTTTCGTACGCCATCACTGTAGTCGCAGTATCCATCTGATTTTGTAAGTCAGCTTGAGCTTAAAACAGAAAACCCCACCCCCACAGGTGACGGGAAACAGGAGAAGAAGGTGATACTTACGAGATTCGCAGAACTCCTCCTGGCTGGACTTCTGATTGTCGCAGGGGTACCCACTACCGTCTTTGAATGGACAGCGGTGAGCCGGACAAAACTTCGACATGCCCCAAGGGCGGCCTGGTGTGGCTCCTGCCAATGAGATTTCGTTCCACCGTCTGCAACCGGGGCGCTGGCATTGCCTCCTTTCGTCTATCCATCCCATGCGTCTTGTGAAGTTCGAGTGGCGGAGCCCATCGCGAAATGCTCTCCTCATTTTTCCTGTTGCAGCCCAAACAGGAGCGTTCCTGGCAACTGAAATCGAAGCAGCCTGTGTTACGGAGTTGCATGTACAGTCTTGCCAGTCGAGCAAAGCATAGAGTTGAACGGGGACTAGCGGTTGAAAAGGTCGGTATCAGTGTCATAGTTGGTGATGTAGTACGGTTTTCGAGCTTTGACTCAACTACCATCAGTTTCCATCAAGTAGAAAAGGGACTGTGCCGGGACGGCAGACCATGGGAGTGGCTGTCTTATATGCTTGTTTGTCAAACAATCTATGTGTAATGGAGCACAATGGGGCGTCAAGACTGGAACGCCTTCAGATGATCGGATGAAATCAGACATATGACATCGTTGGCGGACGAAATCTGCTTCGGGAACAATGATTCTGATGTAGACATTCATCCGTGGTGCTCCTTTTCACATCTGAAGGTACCCAGGCATATAGCAGCTGCGTGAAGATTACATCTCACATCCTACTTCCAATATGAATATAGCATGGAGGACCACTTTCTGGAATCAAGCTACCCATATCACCCAGTACTCAACTTGACAGAGTTGTTGTGAAGTGTGCTCAGACGACCGAAACACGATAGGAACTTGTTTTTCCAGCCTGTCTCACCAAAGGCAACTCAGCGAATTATTGTCCCAGTACCTAATACAAGCGCCCAAAGATCCCGGCAAGAAAAACACCACAATTGAATTTGGTGCCTGAACGTCCGCTGGGCGTGGGCATGCTGCTCTTCTGTTTGGACTGGGCTAGCAATCTCAGCAATCCTAGCAATCCCCTGGACATCGCAACAACAACGCGCAACCATGGCAATAATGATACGAACTGGAGGCCCCAAACCCCGTCTGACTCACAAGGCAACGGCTGTCTGCAGACGGGCTTTGCCCGTAGGGCGGACCAGCCGGGTTTGTGTTCCGATGAAGTTTGCCCGACGTGACTCTGCCTGTAAATCGTCATCCACTTTGCGGCCTATGATGTATTGTTTTTATGTCGGCACTTGGACGCTTCAGCAATATGCTGAAGCATCACAGCAATCGATTGGGGGGCGGACCTGGTTTCGAGAATAGACGAGCCATAACGCCGTCACTTATAAGGGGCTGCATTATTTCAGCTCCACGACTTCATTGCACGTTGAGAAACACGCGTACAGTCTTGGAAGACCTCCATCTTCTCCAACGCCTCAATAGCATTTAGACCATGAGTGTGTTTGGCAAAATATATTTCGTTCCATTTGTACTAGCCAATCAGATATAGGGGTATCAGTGTTCAATGCATAAACTCGCGACACCTTCTGCGCCAGTTAATTCCGCTTTCTTCAGACCTTTCCACTAGCATCCACCCATTCAAGGAACACCAGTAGCTGGTCGCGACCTTGACAAGGAACCATGGAAATGACCTCGTCCACAAGTGTGACTATTCAACATTATTCAGATGAGTGCCTAGGTACGCTTAATTGCTGCCGTGCTGCTGCGAGGCGGCCAATGCTTGCTCCAACTCCATTGCTTGCTTGAGTTGACCAAGAATCGCAGCATCCTCTGCGCTCACATCGTCGGCGCTGGCAATGCCATTATGTTGCTGTTGTTCCACTCCGTTATCTATTGGAGCCGTCGTAAAAGCGTCAGATTGCTCCTGATGTTGGGTTTGATGTTGCTGATGCTGCTGATTCTGCTGCTGATGATGATGATGTGACTGGTGAGGTTGTTCGTGCTGTCGTTGTTGTTGAGTTTGTGGTTGTTGCGGCGGTGAGGGGTGCTGCTGTGTTTGTGGCTGCGCTTGGGGTTGGGGAGGATGTTGAGCACGTGAGAAATTAGGAAGTTGTACGGGTTGTGCTGTTGGAATGACGGGCGCCTGCATCGGCGGTCGTTGCGGATGTGCCATCGGCGTCCCAGGATGCGAACCATGACGTGGTGGTGGTTGGCCAGGCGTTGCACTTCTTGGGGCAGGCATTACGCCGTTGGGTCGTGGATGATCCTGGAGGCCATTCGCAAGAATATTTATACCTTCCACATGCGATTGCTGTTCATGCGACTCTTGCCTGGCCCGTTTTTCGGCCTCTCTCTTGGCTGCTTGACCCGGTGCTCTCGTTTTTAACTCGCCGGTAACGCCCTGAAAATAAACGGGCATCTCGGAATTAGCCTTGAGGAAGAAAAGTTTCAGATTTCGTGCTTTGTCCTTCAGCTGCACTTGACTGCGGCCTGCAAGGACATTGCTGATGGTTCCGTTGGTTCCGAACAACCCGAGAATTTGTGACCAGTGTGGGCCTTTAACAATATCAAGACCCTGCATAAGAGCTGCTTCTTCTTCGGCACTCCATGGTCGCCTTGTCGACTGGCTGCCGGTTTGACGGGTTTGTTGAGTATTTCTCTGTGCATGTTTCTGTCTCGCTCGTTCATAGAGCTCGGAAGTTGTCGCCGTCTGATTCGGAGGTAGTCCCCCCTGGTTGAGCACCCCGTTTTGATAGGAAGATTGCATATTTGCTGTTGGCTGCTGAGGATATTGATGATAATGTGGGTGGGCATGTGTTTGTTGCTGTTGCGGTTGATAAGGCTGCTCTTGACCAACCGCAGATTGGGCTAGATATGATGAGTATTTGTAGGTACGGATTCGAGTTGAATGAAAACTCACCAGTTGCTTGAGGAGCCGTAGTAGGGTAATACTGGTTTTGGTGGATGCTCTGTAAAGCTCGACGTGTAGTCTCTGATGCACGATCTACAGTAGAGCTCAGCGCTGAAGGGAGCTCTTGAACTTCGTGAGCGGTCTGGGCATCCCTCAAATGAGCAACAATTTCATCCATATTGTTCTCGTTGTCGTTCCTGGTTGATTCAAGGGCACGCTGGGCAGATTCGGCAACAACAGCAGCTAAATCGAAGTCGTCGAAGCCATCCATACTAAAGCCAGTATCTTCTTGTGGCTGGGTGTTTTCACCTTCAGGATTGTCAGCTGCAGGTGCCGGGCTAGTCTGGCCAGTGGCGATCCGTTCGATAATATCTCTACTCGTATCGAGGTAGGTGTTGAGGCTGTCAAGAAAAGACACATAGGTGTTTTCTTCTGCAAGAATCTTGCGAGCTTCAGGCTGCCTTGCCCCGTTCAGGAGAATAATCTTTTGCGATCTTGCAACATCGAGAAATTGGATTTCAGCCGCCGTTGGACTCAGGTTGGGGTGGTGTGACTTTAGTTGGTCTTCAAGCCCGGCGGGAAAGATGTCGTCAAGCAGTTGATCTATAGATGTCTCTGGGTCGGTCTCCAGAGAAGTGACAAATATTTGAGTCTTGAGTTGCGTCCACAAATCTGCCACATCCGAGGGCATTGGCTGATCCTTCGCAACGAACACACTCAGAAAGTAACTGTCAAGTTCAGGCCATCCCAACTCGTGAGCACCAAACATACTAGCACATGCTGTCGCCAGATTGGCCATTCGGATGATTTCTCGGTCTTCTGATCCGGTGATCCCCAGGTGGTCGGCGTTCAAGAGCGGGAAAGCGCTAGAGAAGTGGTTTCGGAGCATGTCAAACCACGACTTGAGGCCCTTATACTCTTGCGTGACAGCAGTCTCCTCCTCGTTCAAATTACTGATCGTATCCTCGATTGGCTGCTCACACAATGCCTTGATAATTTCGACAGCTGCCTTGCCCAGAGCCGGCAAAGAAAGTGTTCGGCGTGTGTACCCTACTGGATTACTCCAAATAGTACTCCGCCCAAGCTGAACTGATTGCGTCGTTTCGATGGACGGTATCTCATCCGCTCCTTCGCCTGGTATATGTTCGTCGGATAACCCATTTGATAGGCCGTTAGGCACTTGACTTAGACTTTCCATGATACCCTCGAGAATATCGTGGTTATCTAAGTTCATCGGGGCAGACTCTGCTTCTTGAATGAGACGAGTGATCTCGTCCAAATCAATGCCACCGTCGGTCTTGATTCGTTTCTCGTCTCTCGTCTCTTCCATGGCTTCGAGTGGCGACCGTGACCGCTTGACGAGTATTTTTGAGGCAGGGGCTTCTACGGCAGGTGGCGGTGTTTCGTGCTTGACCACAGGACCTGTTCATTGAGTGGTGGCATCAGCATCAGGCACGAATTAGCAGTGGGCGCATTTGCGATGGCCCAGGACAGCAATTGCTTCCCGAACTCTCTCCTCCACGGTACTGACACCGGGGGTTGGAACCCAGCCAGTAGCCTGGAAACTCAGCAGCTGAAGAAGAGTTGGGCATGCCAATGACTGATTCCCAGGTTCAAACGTCGCTTCAGATGCAAGTGGAAGACGTACTGGTTGACTGCTCGGAGCTTACCGCAGCAGCAGCGGCCGCCGCCGCAACGGCAGCTGCGATGTCATCCATGTCGCATATATAATTGGTTCTCCCACAGCGTCAATTGCGACGAGAAGAGCCTCGGGGGCGCGCAGGGCGGCGGCTACGATCGAACTGGCGGCAATGACGAAGGTGGTAGAGGTCGGGGAAAATTTAGTCTCAGCCGCCGACGATGCCCTTATTTCTTGCCCCAAAAAAACTTCGGTACTGATACACAATTGTTTGCATCGAACTTTCAAGAAGAAAAACTTCCCATGTACTGTGTCAAGCAGAAGACTCTGTAATCGATACCTGGAGTCTGTCAAAGTCCGTCTATGTCAGATTATTTTCAACTGCGTTCTCAATTGCTGGCGTGCGCCTGCTCAGTGCTTCAGGGTAACCTTACAGACTTGATTTTCCCTCTGTCTACGGAAGTCGCAAGCTCTGAGTATTTTCATATCTTATCGTCGCTAGCCAAGCTCTGACCAGGAGGCGCTAGATCCACTTGCCGCGCCCGCCATGTGCTCAGCGGCTCTGCTCTGTGACCATGATTTTTGAGGATCAATTGATGGGATGACATATACCAAGCTTTCAACTGTAATTCTGATCAATTAGCTACTACGTTGCTAATGCAGTCGGACATGCATAGTGATACTGATGGGCAACAATGCCCAGGCCGTTTTTATGGCACCACTTGGGGTTTCCTCCAGTCCATCCCACCCCATCTCTTGCTTCGTCATAAGAATTTGCCCAGGTGTCAATTCAAAGTCTTAGGGAGGAATTGATAACAATTTCAAGCTTTCGTAACTACAACTTCTGGGGGGTTGATTTATTGGCGGTCTGTAACACCAATCGGCATGAAAGGAAATCTCTCCCCGGACGAATAATGCTGCATATGCATTCAGTCTCTGATCGCTCGCTGTGAGCTGTCCCGAATGACATTTGGCTCTCCACAAGACGGGGTTCGAATGCTTCAATTGACATCTACAAAAAGCTCGAGACCTTTGTGTGGAATTTTTTGGTGAAATTGAGTTGCAGCTAACTTTGCCTTGATGTAGAATCTCCTCGGTTCTTAGCATGAAAGTTGAATACTCAATGGCACGGCACCCAACAAACTCCAGCAACAATGCCAAAGGGGGTGCGGCATATGGAGGTGGGGTAAGCTGTCGTTACCCATCTCCCCGGACCCCATACTCAACACAACGCGATACGTACGAGCATCTCCTTCCCTACTCGAGGATTTACATATTTCACTTGTACAGACGCGGGATTTTTCAATAGCACGGCTCGGGATCCATCTGGGCAAAAGGAGGCCCGATTGCTGCGGCATCGAAGGTAAGTGCGTCAATATTGAATGCGACTTGGCACTTGCGGAGCTCAACCATCCAATCTGGAGGAAGAACGGTGCTCAACGACGAACAATCCTCAAGGACGAACGGAACTAGGAATAGTCACGCAGGCATTACGGCACCGTTGCCGGAGCGCTCAACCCCCGGGTGGTTTTTTTATGCTTTGACAAAGTTTGCAACGTAAGTGACTGGAATAAAACTGAGGCGTTTTGGTCCATAATGCGGGGGAGCGGAGGTGTAAGTGCGCCAGGATGATGCACGATAGTGGCAATTCGCGGAGTCACTAGCATGGATGTAGACTGGGAGACCCAGAATTGACCAAGTGGTTTACTATGGGGTTGCTATAACTGCATGGGTTGGCAGGATGGGGCTTCAATACACGAAAGCTGATTTGTTGCTTCTTGCAGCGACGCGACCTGGGGCAAGGTCGATGATGCCGCTCCTCCAGTCCTCCAAACACAACGCTCGAATAGCCCAATCCGAGTTCTTGGCCATCCACCCGGGGATCCGCGTGCGATCGCATACGGCAGATCTGGCTGGCTGGATGTCTCCTTGTCTCCATTGCGTGAAACAATAGTTACTCGTAACGAGAACAGGCGCGGCCGCATTCCCTCGGCAACCTGTTTGTGCATGCCATTGACAGGAACTACCTTGCTGACTTCACAGCTCCCCTTATTACCCCGCCCTGTGTATTAAAGTCGTGTGCCTCCCCATCGCCGCATTCTGCTGGCCTCCGTCTCCCATCTTGCTATATTTCTTCTCTCCTCTCCTCTAATACTGTGTTGTTGAACCATCGCACGGTTTTACATATTCCTTGATACCCCCATTCCGAGAGAAGAACGGTCAAAAAGATGGCTTTGACAACAGAGCTCAAGACGCCAATCACTGGCCCTTTCCAACAACCCATCGGCTTGTATGTGCAATCGCGTTCAAGTTTGGCAGTAAACATGACCTATGACCCGCCAGCTAACCCCATTTCCCTCTGCAGGTTCATCAACAATGAGTGGGTTGAGAGTATCGATAAGAAGACCATCGAGGTCATCAATCCTACGACCGAAGAGGTTATCTGCTCCGTTGCGGAAGCCACCGAAAAGGATGTCGATATCGCAGTTGCCGCCGCCCGCAAGGCTTTCGAGGGCGAGTGGAGAACGACTACCCCCCAACAGCGCGGCATTTACATGTTCAAGCTTACTGAGCTTGTTGAAAAGAACAAGGAGCTGTTGGCTGCTGTCGAGTCGCTTGACAACGGAAAATCTATTAGCATGGCGAGAGGCGACGTTGGTGCCGTCATTGGCTGCCTGAGATATTATGCTGGCTGGGCCGACAAGATCGAAGGCAAGACGATTGACATCAACCCTGAAACCTTCACATATACCAGACACGAGCCGGTAAGCAATTGTCATCCATACGGCGTTTCGCGAAAATATGAAGAAGCTGATGAACATCTTTTAGATTGGTGTCTGCGCGCAGATCATTCCCTGGAACTTTCCTCTCCTTATGCTGGCCTGGAAGATCGCCCCTGCGCTTGCAACGGGCAATACAGTTGTTCTCAAGACCGCCGAGCAAACCCCGCTCTCGGGTCTCGTGTTTGCCAACTTGATCAAGGAGGCAGGTTTCCCTGCTGGTGTTTTGAACATCATCTCTGGTCTGGGTAGAGTTGCTGGCGCTGCCCTGTCTTCGCACATGGATGTTGATAAGATTGCTTTCACCGGTTCCACTCCGGTTGGCCGTACTATCATGAAGGCGGCTGCTGCGTCGAACTTGAAGAAGGTGACTCTTGAACTTGGTGGTAAGTCCCCCAATGTCGTCTTCGACGACGCCGATATTGAGCAGGCCATATCATGGGTCAACTTTGGTATCTACTTCAACCACGGACAATGCTGCTGTGCTGGTTCGCGCATCTATGTGCAAGAAGGCATCTACGATAAATTTGTTGAGGCCTTCAAGAAGCGAGCACAGGCCAACTCCGTGGGTGACCCCTTCGATGAGAACACCTTCCAGGGTCCTCAAGTAAGCCAGCTCCAATACGACCGAATAATGGGTTACATCGACGAGGGCAAGAAAGAGGGTGCCAAGCTCGAGACTGGCGGCGGAAGGCACGGTGACAAGGGCTACTTCATCCAGCCCACCATCTTCAGCGACGTGACGCACGACATGAAGATTATGCAAGAGGAGATCTTCGGCCCGGTATGCACAATCGCCAAGTTCAGCACGGAAGAGGAAGTCATCCACTTGGGCAACAACAGCTCGTACGGATTGGCAGCAGCAGTCCACACCCAGGACCTCAACACGGCCATCCGGGTTAGCAACGCACTCCGGGCTGGCACGGTTTGGGTGAACTCATACAATTTACTCAGTCACCAAATGCCGTTTGGTGGGTATAAGGAGTCGGGTATTGGCCGCGAACTCGGTGAGGCAGCACTGGCGAATTACACTCAGAACAAGTCGGTATCGATACGGCTGGGTGGTGCCGTGTTTTAAGCGGATTATTTGAAAAAAAAAATTGACGAAAGGGGATGTTGAGACATACTGAGCCTAAGGAAACGGAAGGGTATGATGAACGAAACGATCAAGGAAGACTGATCCGTGTATACAACTACACCAAGCTTGCAAGCTTGGCTAACTGGAACCTTACTGATACCAAATGACATGAGAATGATACCGCTTGTCCAACGTGTCGTTCAGCTCCCTTTCAGTGCGGTGGATCATGCGGTGGATCGCCTGGTCCTACATGAGCGATATAGTTACTAACATGGAAGAGTTTTCCAACAGCGAGCCAACACTATCAACTCACCAGCGTATGTTGTGACCGCCCGGTTAGCTCAATCGGTAGAGCGTGAGACTCTTAATCTCAAGGCTGCGGGTTCGACCCCCGCATTGGGCTCAATTCCTGATGCATTTCTGATGATAGAAATAAGCCGAACTAGACTTTTGTCCTTTCGTAATCTTATTTTCAACCACGGCTGGTTGACGCGCTCTTTTGCTCCCATGTCCTATGTTTGCTTGGAACACAGCTGACAATATGCAGCAATGCTCGGACGAAGGGTTGTGCTATCTGGCAGCATGGAGAATCCTAACCGCATTGACCACCTTTTTGCATGCACCCCCATTTTGCAGGGAATTTCTACGCCTCAACAACACGACATCTCTCAATTTACCTCGCAATTTCTCCCTATCTACGTACAAAATGGCTAATCCAGTGGAGAATAGTCTGGACGATTTTGAGCAGCGAATCTAACGCGCTAAAGAGCTTGTCCGTCAGGGCTCTTCCCAGGCCGTAGCAGCTCGTCGGTACGGTATCAAGGGGACTACACTGTCCTACCGTATTCGTCACGGTAATTCGCATCGCGACGCGGCCTCCAGGCAACAAAAGTTGACTCCAGAGCAAGAGGAGGTTATCGTGAACTGGATACTACACGAAGAAGTGTGTGGACGGGCTCCTAGCAAGCGTTATGTGGCCGACTTCGCTGCCGAAATCCTCCTTGCTGTGACGAGGCAGAGGCACTGCAAGTTCGAATCAGGGTTGCGACATCAGTCTATCTCTGTTGACGAATACTAAACTGAAGAAGAGAGAGAAAGAGATCTAAGTGCAAGTGCCCTTTCCTACATTATAAGGAAAAGGGCAGCGCGTACAGGTGGGACACCCATACTAGGGTGTCCCTGTGTTCGTCCAGGGGCCCAGGGGCCAGGCATCGTGACCGGCGTCACACTTGCTCAAGGGGATAACAATACACTCGGCCAACACTGGGTGGATCACTTCGTTAGCCGCCATCCACGGATACGTACCAAAATTGGGCGCGTCGTAGATGCTAGCCGAGTTAGAGCGTCCGATTCGAACAAGATCCGAGACTTCTACACCCTCCTCGAACGCTTACGTACGAAGTATCGTATCAAACCCGACAACGAGTATAATATGGATGAGACAGGTGTCCAAGAGGGGGAATCTGGGCATGGTACGGTTATTGGGACGTCTAATTCACGCCGGGTACGCGTATCAAAGTCGGACGCTTCGTCGTGGTGCTCCTGGTTAGAGTACATTTCGCATACCCAACGGGGTACACCTGTCTGCGTATTTTCCGGCAAGAGAGTCCAAGCACAGTGGTTCCCAGACCAAAATATCCCTGAGTGGGAATACACCGCGAAGAGTAAGGGCTGGAGTAATAAAGTTATCGCAAATAGGTGGTTAGATCAGGTTTTTCTCCCCGAGACGAAGCCTAGGGGTACCGAATGGCGACTCCTTATCCTCGACGGCCACCAGACACATGTTCATGCCGAATTTATGTGGAAAGCCTACTCGAATAGAGTCGCCGTGCTGTATTTACCCTCACACTGCAGTGACGATCTCCAGCCGTGCGATGTCGGGCCGTTCTCACCTTTGAAGACCTACTACCGCCAAGAGCTCAGGGCTTACGCTTCCTACAAGGCTACAGCCCCAGTTTACAAGCAACGTATGCTAGAAGCATATCTACGTGCCTCGGAGAGAGCCTTTACTACGGAAAATATTAAATCTGGCTGGCGGAAGACTGGTATATGGCCCCTAGGCTCCGAAGGACTAGTCGACGTATCTTGTGATCCTCCGGAGCCTCATACACCAGATCCTCCGCCTCATATATCACCACCTTTAGTTGCTTTTACTCCTCAGAAAGCGCAGTAACTATTTAGCCAACTACAGTCGATAGAGAAAGCCGAGGGCGGGGTATCTCGTAAGATTCGTACCCTAGTAAGCAAGGCGGGTGTAACGAAACCTCTAATAGTCTAGCTGCGTAAACCACTAAAGAGTCTGTAAGGGTTTGTGCTAGTAAGTAAGTCCTGCTGCGGAGTCCTCAAGCAATAATATCGGGGTTTGACGTATGGAGTATAGGGCTCTGGGTAACTGAAGTATTCAAGTAAGGTAACTGGGAATAGAGTCGTGAAGGCAGTTTGCCTCACCAATGGGTTAGATTGATGCTTAGATTGATCACTGAAGTAGAGACTGTCTATCTATGAAATGCCTGGGAGTCCTGTCCCTTATATATCCGTCTCTCCTTCACTGATCCCCACTTGGATATGTTTTCTGCCAACATATCCTGTTGGTTGGATATGTAGTTGACCAACATATCCACCCCTGTAGGTCACGTGACCTGTCGGTCTTTTCCTTTCTCCGATGCGGGGTCCCGTGACACTAGCGTCTGTATCCACCTGGCCTGCCAACGGGCCTGTAATGTTGGTCTAGGGCCAACGGTTCGTAACAGCGGGCAAGGCCCTTACACTCCAGGCCGCCGAGAATGCCAAATTACGTATCGAAAACGAGCAACTATATAAATAACTCGATAAATACGCTCCAGATATACGCCAGCCCGTCGAGCCAGACCCGAATAAAGTATTCGTTAACTTATCAGCGATCCGAACAGCCCAGGACAAGCGAAATAAGCGAATACGGCCTATTTTACCGGATAAGCAGTTAGAAACTGATACTTTTCTCGAAGGAAGTGTCCCTCCTAAAAGAGGGCTCGAAAGAATATATCTAAGTCTTCGGACACTTAAATTAAGTATGTTCTGTATATAAATAATATGGACGAAGTATTTAGGTTGATTCAGTTAGACCCTGCAAAATGGAGGTGCATGCAAAAAGGTAGTCAATGCGGTTAGAGGAATACGATGGCCATCCACGAGTATCAGAGGGTGGTTTGAATGGAGAATCCTGGTTGTTGTTGAAAGCATGGGCTGATAGTGGGGCCATCACTAAATCTCTGGGCTAATCCGGCTCGGTGGTGCGGACGAAGGGGAAGTTGGAAGGCCGAGGCTGTCAAGAACGACGTTGTTCCGCTCAGGCGGATTCTGGGGTATGCACTTTGTGAACCCTATTCCTCGACATCGGGTTGACATCAGACCTTTGACAAGTGGACGTGGAGAAAAATTCGATTTGTATCACATGATGCGGGGTTCCTCCTTGCGAATCGCTGAGTAATTTTGTCATTCCGAGCGCGCTTCTTTTGGGTCGCAAAAGTTAATCTTCTAGGTGGGAGCGGCTTTAGCACCGCGATGTTTTCATCAGTCAGCTTCCATTTCGGCTGACGATCAAGGACACAAAAAAAGCCAGATAATGCCGGACTGTAACATATTTCGAACGTCAACACGGGGTGCGGGGTGTTATTCCAGCGGTCAAGCTCACTTAGAGAGCAAAGCAGATGGCGAGACTCGCTGCACAATCGATAGGTGACGGACCCGGAATGTAAGTACTTGACTGCCACGTTATAGCCCTTACCGTTACGTTGATCCAATAAAAAAAAGAGAAAAAAAGTCGAGCCCAGAATCTGGCGAATTGAGCTGGCGCTCGATTTCGAATTCAAGTTTCGGTCATCGCGAGTCGTGCGCATACTATCGACACGGAGGTATGGATTCTGGAGATTTCGCCGGTCCATCGTTTGGCCCTCAGGTTGTGTTCGTCGAGGTCTCCAACGTTGAAGCAGTGGCGCTTTGGCTTGCAAAAACAGGTGTCGCTAGTCCAGGTTGGCCGCGGTTTGGATATTTCGAGGGCGCTATGTATCCGTACTTCAGTACAATACTGATTGCGCTCCCGAGAGACGATGGAGCTGGCTAACGAGGATGTGAAGAGTCCTCTGTCTTTGCGCCAGGTTAGGCGGCAACCGTGAGCAAGAAACCAGCCGGACGAGGAGGCCTCATATGGATCGTTACAACCATGACCAGCTGAGGAAGGAATGCTTCGCCGTCTGGTTCTTCTGAATTTGGGGGCCAGGGATATTCAGCCTCGCCTTGAGGTCGAAATGAGCGACGGAGCAACAGATTATGACTGCTGTGGCGGCACTACCCTGTGATGAACCAGGGGAAGGTGCGCTAGCCACTTTGAGCAAGGCCACAGATAACATGATAGATCGAGCATGAGGCCATTGCTGACTGTGCTATTTCCAGTTCCTTGGCAGTGAGCTTAGTTCTTCCTTTGTTCATTTATCCAACTACTCAACGTTAGAGAGCGTCCACTTACACCAACTTCCCAAAGTTGGCCGAGACGAAAATATTATGCAGACCTGCCAAATGCGTCCTACGCGTCTTTCTCCACACTCCACGCCGCCAGCAGATAGTTCTCTTTACTTAGTCTTAATGCAAGGTACGAATCTACAACAACGATAGTATTGTTCGACCAAGTCAATTTCAGCCTCAAGTGACCTGCTTTTGAGACATCTCACTGAACCCCGCTCAACGACTTAATGGTCATCTCGTGCGTAACGTCGCATGGCATCAAATGCTTTTATGCTCCAGCATACAGGTTGGGATGGGAGCGGGACGATATGGGTACCGCAAGGCTATTACCCCAGTTTGGTTGTGCATGCTTCTCAACACCATCTTCTCTTCAGCCTCGGGCTCAGCCCCCCTTCACACTGTATCAAGTGAGATGGCCAGGCGATTTTGAAGCCTCGTGCCATGCCGATGACTGATGTTTGGTAACACCCCATTGTTGAATATGGTTCCCTACCAGACCTTGCGGGGAGGCCTATCAAGCGGTTGCTACCCTGTCCTTTGTTTAAGAGGCCGTCCGCATCCCGCTCGAACCTTCTCTGGGCGTCTTCTCCTTCCTATTCGTCTCCACTTACTAGTTCCCGTTCACTATCTGCAAAGGCAAGAGCCTCTAGGTCTTCTATTGATCCACTCGGTCTTCTTCATCTTATCCCAAGCCTTTCATTGCTCAGCTACCGCCGGCCTTTGACGAACCTCTCTTAACCACCCTCACCCCCTCAACTAATCTATCTCAAACTCAGCAAGTATCCCTTAGCGAAACGTGGTACACAACTCATACGACGCATGTACGATTCGATCCGGAAAACTAGGACTGGCCGGTACGAGTTCGTGAGGGGCCATCGCCATCATCATCGCCATCACAAGTGCTTCGATGAATGCGCTGGTGTATCGATCTACGACTGGGATGAACTTGTCCGCCAGTACAACGTCCTCTACGATACCAACGCTGTCCTCACGAACGAGAGAGATACCCTGAAAACCGAACTTCAGGGTTTTCGCGCTGGATACGACACCAACTTGACTACTCTCAGACAAGAGATTTACAACTTGCGCATCGGCAATCAACGTTTTATTGACGAGAACCGTCGTCTAGCCGACGAGAACCACCACCTCAAGGACGAGGAAGGGCACAATGAACAGTTCAAACGGCGCATCAAGGACATGAAGCGGCAACTCGACGAGGAGAAGCACGCAAAGCACGAACTGCGAGCTGAACTACGAGATTCGAAACGCACTCAAACTCGTTGGGAAGGGCTGACTGAAACACTGCGAACCAAGCTAGCCGAAGCGCGTGAAGACTTAGGGATGAAGAACGACATTGTCGTGGCACAAAACCAAACCATTATCAAACTGGAACGTTTATTGAGGTCCGGGAGAGATTGGTGAAGGATTTCGAGGCAACATGGGCTTTACGTTCTTTCTCGGATGGCGGCATGCTGTATGATTCCATGTAAACGAGGACTTTTCTTGTTGTTTGGATAGACTGTGGTGGGCAAACATCAAGATTGTCATTTTCGTAAGTTTATTGCCGTCGCTGTATGTTACGACAAGGTTACTAACGAGAGTCCAAGCAGGTTGGACACTTGACCATTTTTTGATGCATTTATGTTGACTGTACGCGTTTTGGATTACGATGGCATTGGCAAGGGAGTTAAGGGATACGAATGTTGATTATTTATTCATGACGAAATCCAGCAATGGTCACCACAGGAGTTTACTCATTGCCTCACTATCATTTGTACCATATATATCTCATATGTACGGTTATCGCTGTCAAATTTATTTTCTTGCGTATCAAGGACTCTAAGGCCTTTCTTGTTGAAGAGAGCATAACCTCCGGTGAGGATAATACTTCACACACAATCACGTAGCAAAATAGATCAGGTCAAATCGCAAACCATATGACAACAGCATGGCCTCCATTGGCAAAATATTTTCTATGCCTTTCCTTCGCGTGTAATTGCGACTCCAAAACTAGAGTCAGGTGAGACACAGGTGAGCCGAAGCCGACCCCGGCAACCTATCGGGTGATGTCGCGCGTATGATCAAATCCATGGTCATTATACGGCAAACCTGTGTGTTGCACTAAACGCAATGTTGAATAGGTCCCGTAGCATGTCTTGGGACCTTTCAACATCATGCTGCCCCTCAGGCTGAATACTTGGCAACTGTCCCTCTTCAGTTAAACCTCGTGAGGCATAACAGCATGTGCCATTTAAACACGACGCGTGGCAAGCCATGCTGAAAAAACCAGGCGTTATTCTACCAAGTATTAATAATACCTATCGAGACAACCCGGAACAACTCAGTCAGCAATATTGGGACTGAGCCTCCTGGCGTTGAAATGAGGTAGTGAGCGAACACTCTTCTGAATTTGACGATATTCAAAACGGTAAACCTGGAAATGGAAACGTTAAAAATCGTGTCACGCCAAGCTTGGAAACACACATCGGATATCTGGTCGAACTTCCACAAGCCGATGGTGTGACCTGGTGCAGCAGCGTCTTGGACTTGGTGTGGATCTGTCGCGCGGCTGGGTGATACAGCCGCGCAATGCCAGTGCCGCAAATCGTCGCTATCCAATTCAATGAAGATGGTAGCGCTGACAGTAAGAGTGCCTTGGTGGCAACACGCGGTAGTGCGCAACGCGGATAACAACCCTGCTGTGGTTGAAAGAAACAGGCTGAACGACGATAATGACGATGTTGTGGTGGGCGCACTAGCGATTTACTCAGCCGCCCACTCAATAAAGTCAGTCAGTCAGATCTACCGCATCGGGCTTAGCGCACCGTTGTAACCCTACACTTTTTCCACTTCTTTTAGAGCTTCTTTCTCACGCTTTATCGATTCAGCCTTGCCAGGCGCTCCACCAAGACATTCATAAATCACAACTGATTGATGCGACGGGCCGGATCTCGACAAGTAACACAGACCGGGATTTCTGATGAGCAGCATGCATCCAACGCATGAACTGTTCTGCGACTGCAGACGCCATTCCCGTGAGTCACTCGGCCAGGCATTGCCTTTCGTTCGCTGCTGAAGTCGCTCCAAGAAAAGACTTGGGGGGATCTTCTCCAGTTTTGCCAGACCTGACTGGTCAGCTGGGCCCCAGCGGGCGTTCTTCATCATTCCTTTGCGCTAATGCGACAACTGGCTCTCTCTTCTCTCTGATGCGCAACCCGCCAAAAACAGGGTCGCAGCAGAGGAAGCCAGTCCCACGAATCCCTAAGCAATACTCAGCCAGCAGTCTATGGCCCTAGGTGCTGGGGTTCTGCTTTTCTGGTGTTCCCCCAAGCAAGTGGGAGCATGGCGAACCCTGGCGGACCACTTTTGTTCCCTTTTCAGCCCCCAACTCTAGGCGACCAAGGCAATGTGGGTGAGGTTTTTCGGTGAGAATGTGGAAGTGGAAGTTCCAACGCTTTCTGTTGTGAGTGGGCAGAGTGTCACCGGACACTTTTGCGATTTTCCCTGGATGCACTGCCCCGCGCTGCCAGACTGCTGCTGTGCTATGGGCGAGCATCGACATGTTCTGCGCGGACTTTAGCAGCACCAGGCAAAAGAAGCGGAGAGACTCTTTCAATGCTAGTTTTTCCAAAACGGCCATGTACTCCTACAAAGCCTGTTCTGAAAATTGTGCTGGAAGAGTGGAGACGGTGAGGCTCATCTTCGCGGGCGGATGCGCTACATGGAGGAATGGTGTACCCTCCTTTAGGATATTGTGACTCGATCCAAGCATTCGTCAGAGGCAACCAGCCGGCTTTTACTGTCTTCGGTACTGATACTTGGTCGCTCATTTCTGTTAAAGACTGCTACCAAAGGTACAGTTGCCTATCGAGACTGAAGGCAGCAATGCCCACTTCGCGACTAATGCTTGGAATAGCGAGTCACAGACGGGTTGTATATGCCAATTGTGTTTTGTCTTTCTTTCTTTTCCTCTCAATTCCCCTTTCATAAACTTGTTCGCGGTTGTTGTTCTCAATTGCGCATTCCCCCCAGAGCGACTTGGACTGTATTTATATCCAGTCACCCCCACCAGGCTTCAACCTCCAGTTACCATTACTTCCCGCACTCCTGCCTACAGCCTCGTCATTTAATCTTATTTTACTCGTTCGATTCGTCTGAATCACATCACACCGACGCCATACAGTTGAGTGCCGTACAGGCATCGGCCACTTGTTCACCTACTCTTAGCTGTGCCGCCTCTCCCATCAATCAAAACTCATCGGCGTCACAACTATACGTTATTGGCCACTCCCACTTTCGTCAACATGTCCAGCAAGACGGTCAAGTTCGGGGGGAATACCGCCTCGAGAACATCTCGTCGTAGTAATGACTATGATTCGGGACTCGGTTCGTCGTCAAGTGGACAAGCTGGTTCAGGTGGGAAATCTGATCGCAGATTTACAGCACAAGATCGAGAAGATCAACGTCTCAATATTCGCGCCTTACAAGAAGCCCTGGACGAAGCCAATTGGAATATTGCCAAGCACAAACAGAGATATCAGGAATACGAAGGCAAGATTGCAGAGGCTAATAAAAAGCTCCGTGAGAGTGAGGCTCACAGACGCGGACTATGCGAACGCAACGAAACACTCGAACAAGACAACAAAGCCTGCAGAGAGCAAATCAAAGTAAACAAAGCGGACTACGATGACCTGAGACTTGAGGCTGCTGAACTCCGACAACGACTACTGCACTACGAATCTGGCCACGACCATACTGCTCCACCAATGATGAGCGGAGGTTCTGGTGACTCCACGGCAAGCCGGTGGTCAGATACTGGGCGAAGCAAGTCCAAGCCGGCAAGCGACGGCATGCATGATCGCCTGAAGGAGCGCATAAATAAACCAACGGAGGCCAAGAGCGGTCGCACCCGGAGGCCAAGCGTGAGCGTGACCACTCAGACCAAAGACATCTACATCGAGAAGGTGCCGCCGGAGACTCCTTCCAGGTCTCATAGCCGATACAGTACAGCGCGACCTGGCCCCCCGGCCGTCGCTCTTATGAATCCGCCGATAGTCTCCAACATCCGTCATTCAACATATTCGGCTGCCGATTACCAGCAATCTGGGGATTACGAACAGTATCCTCTTCCTGATCACACTGGTCGGACGAAGCATACGTATCATGGTTGACCTGGGTGGCTTTTGTTGAGATAAGTCGGTGTTTCACAGGGCACCACACACGATCGGGTCGTTCCAGACGTTGCACGGCATGCAGATACCCGATTCTGCGAGGCATTGTTCCCTTGCGGCCCGTTACAGCGCCCGTGCGCACTGCGAGTGGAATTTTATGGATCATATATCCCCAGATCGCCAACCCCACCGAACCGGCACGGCTCCGAATCGGTCATCGGAGTTCGCCAAGCCACCTAGACGGATCCACTTGACCCGGCCCCCATTCCCCCAGCATGCGACCACTCAGTCCCGACTTGCCTGATCGGCTGTACTTTTCTAATCAGGACTGGTGCATGTAGTTGTTGACATCCCACTCCGAACCTGGCTGCGCTGATAAGGCAGTCCACCCAAGAGAGATGCTCCAACCGACTCTTCCTCTCTACTTTCTTTGTTTCTACCTGAGTTCTACACGGTCCTCGTCCGACAATATTTACTGTATTCTGGTTGTATTACGCCTTTAGGCTACGCTGCAACCCGGGTCAACCCTTCTTTTTCCATCACGATACACTTTACAATGGTCGCTTTCTTCCCCTCACTCTCCGACAATCTTCGGACTTGGGCGCTGTCGCAACCACTCTTCTTCATCGCTTCGGCCCCATTGAACGGTAAACACGTCAACGTCTCACCCAAGGGCTACCCTCAAGGCTGCTTCTCTATCATTAACCCCAACCTGTGCGCCTATGTGGATCGAACCGGATCGGGTTGTGAGACCATCTCTCACGTCTACGAGAATGGTCGCGCAACCTTGATGTTCTGCTCCTTCGGCAATTCCCCGAGAATCATGAGGCTCTTCTGCAACGCCCGCATTGTCGAGTGGGACAGCCCAGACTTCGAAACCTGGATGCAACGTATGAAGCTGGCCAAGGTCGACTCGGCGCGCTGCATCGTCGTCTGCGACATCTTCCAGGTTCAGACTAGCTGTGGCTACAGCGTCCCCAAGGTGCGCAAGATGATCGCCGACGCCGACGGCAATCTGCCTGCAGACGTCGAGAAGCAGGATATCGGTGTTTCAGGCTTTGAGGAAAGGCCTACTCTCCTTTTCTTCAACAGCAAGCGGGAGAGAGAAGGCACTGCGCACCAATATCAAGCCGAAATGAACACGAAGAGCTTGGACGGTCTCCCTGGACTGCGGGCGGCGCAGCGGGACGCGGGGAAGAACGTGTTGGTTGAGCGTATGAAGGCGTATGTAAGACGGGTTCTGGCGCAATCAGAGGGAATAGCGTTTGGGTTTGTCATGGCGTTATTAGTGTATTATGCTTTGGCGCTAGCTGGTGTGCGAGGACGGGTTAGCATTACCAAGGAGGCGCTCGGGGTATTACCGGATATAGTGTCGGCTTGATACCCGATTGGCTTATATATATTTTGAGAGCCTTGGGGCTAAGATGGGCTGGATTTGGGATTATGGGTTGTTAAACTGAATGGAATTGTTGCATAGAAACCATCGTTCCATAGAAGGAATCAGTTGCGAGCGTGACTGGAATGATGTTTCCGGCGCAACACACCCTCAATTTGACCCTGCTCAGCTGCTGTTGAGCTGCTGCTTGATCCAGCTGCAGGCCAGCGCATCACTCCCGCCAATGAAACGGACTAGACAGATCTGGTCACCAGATCTACTCCTTGGCACGGGCGATGTCGGCGTCAGTACTTTCTCTGGATACCTACAGTTTGTGTTACTCTATATGCTCAACCAACAAGTTCACATCCAACTATCATTGTACTGTTGATATCTATATAGTAACTAAGATTTCGTCATTTCACAGTGATCGACAACGACTTTGGTAGCTGCATATACCAAGATGTTCCTTCGCGGCTTAGCTTTACAAGTTTCCTTCCTCAGGCCAATATAGAATCGATGGTAAGAAAACTATAGAACTAAGACGAGGTTAAAGGCATATAAATCTTAAAATAATTCCTAGCTCACAAGTTTTACTTCAGTGCTAGACTGTTCTAGTTTCACATGTCCGACGAGGCCCCTTCAGTACCACATTTTCGTTCTCGAAGGAGACACATGCATTATGAAGCATTTGCCGGGCATTAGTTCTACTCGGGGTTAGTCCAAAGTAATAGCAACTGAATATGTGTCACGCAGGAGATGAATCACTGTTTTAATGTTAATTTATTCTCCTTCTGTTTTCGGCTACTCAACGGGACCCGCCGAGGAAAACCTTGCTACAACTAGTACATTTTGATGCACTAGCTCCATACCATATCCATGTGACTAGGAGAGCTATTAGATAAATGAGTGCTAAAAGGATGCCGAAGTCAATGGCGCACGTATGTTGAATAGTCCTCTTGTACCGGCCTATTACACTAGGATATTGACGACGGACAGTGAAACCACCCGCGGGTTTAAGGTGTAAGATGATGGCAACGAATAACAAGATCCTCATCAACAAGACCTTAATATTCGGGAGGTGGAAAGAAATAACAAGATCAAGAGCTCCTTGCCCTGATCGGAACGACAAGTACCTCAACAGGTACTAACAACTGTAGCCTCAGCAGGCTGGGGAAGAAAAGGAACCTCAACAGGCCCTTGAACAGTCACCTCAACAGGTGAAAGGTGGGAACAATGGCCTCAACAGGCACAATCAGATCTATAGGGGAACAGAAAGTACCTCAACAGGTACGTCAGACATTGAATGCCTGTCCAAGTAAAGAGAAATTGGTTCAGATTACTGTGGAAAAGGCCGCTTGAATTTCTATCTTTTTCTCAAGAGAGTGACTATGTACATAAGGTCTTAAATACCCTTCAAGAACGCGCTTACATAACTCGTCTGAAACCGGAAAAAACGAAAATGAGCACCCAAAAACCCTAACCCCACGTCAATAGGGGATCTAGACGATAAGTATATCTATCCTACCACTCGATACAAACCCCTTTGGTTCGACAAGTTTATAGAGATAAAGTGTGGAAATACTTCACATTCTAACAGACACATTAAATGGGAAGCTTAAATGTCTCCTAATTAGTATCAACCATTGAAACGGAACTAGGGAATAGGTACGGCTTACGCTACCGTCTTTATCATAACAGATCTGAATCACCGCCTCGACGGAGCTTAGAAATGAGGTAGCAAGGCAACCAGGCTATAAATAGCAGCTAGTCCTGGTCAGCCTCTATCATTAAATGCCGCCAGCAACAGTCGTTAACCTTGTTACCACCAAGTTCTGGTACTGAAAAATTTTCTCCTACTCTCTGCAACGTGTAATCTATATTTATTTCACGTCCCAAGAATGATACATTGATTAACGTAAGTAATTTTACACGCCTGGCGTATGACGGAGATGTAAATAGATACAATTCAGTCCATATGCTTCCAACTCCTTTACTGCATTATTGAAGTTTGAAACAGCTAACTCTATCTGACAAAATCCGGCTCATATCAAGGCCCTCGGGTATAAATTCTTTTGATCAATGGGAAGGAGTCTCAGGTTCTTTATCAATCTCACGAGACCTCCCGGTTCTGATCCGGGCCGGTCCAAATTTCTTATCATGACGGTCAAATAGTCAACGGAAATCCTGCCTTCCTCCAGGGACATGAGAGCTTTACCCTCTTCGAAAAATACAACTTCGATGCACATACATACTGGCGCGATGTTCAACAACAGAGCGAGTTCGCCGACCTTCACTTCGACCGTCCCGTTGCCACCGACCATGGTTCTTTTCATGTCAATGGCGGCATGAAAGATGTCTGGGAACGGGTCGAACCACATACTGATTCAGAAACACTTTCATCCCCGCCAGCACCAACTTCAATTACTTTCCAGCTTAATGTTTCGCCAGTCGCGCGCCCTAGCATCACAACCGTCGGTTCATACACAACCCGGAGGAATTCTTTGAAGGACTTGGGGGCAACATCTTCTATGGTGTTTAAAAGACCCCTAAGAGATGCGGTGATACTAACGAATGAAACACGAGAAGATGGTCACCATGTGCCCCAACAACAGCACCACGCATCCAACACGACTCCGATTCCGCTTGTGGAACCAAAACTATGCTTGTCCTTGAATGTTTCCCCGCGCATACTCTGCTGTACGCCCTCTCAAAGTTCCGTTCAGCCAACATATCAATTCCAAACATCGCTTTTCTTATGAACGGGGCTGCTAGAACACATAATTAAGACAAAACGAGACTCCAATCGGCAATATAGAACGAACCTGTACTCCCAGAAGCAGCACCGGGTCCTCCTTGCTATCAATATTCATACGGCAAGAGTGACGACCGCAAAGACCTGCATGTACGACATCTTCTAACTTGCAAAAGGAATGGACCAGACCAATTTCACTGCCTACGGTGTGTTCACCACGTGCAAAAAAAAGCCTTCTCACCTGTCTAACCTCACGGGCTGTGTTAGGGATAGGGGACGGAGAAAAACGAAGCGACAGGATTTCTGAATCAGGCGAACTCAAGAGAAAACGTAACTGAACGAACAACGCATACCACTCACTTTCGGAGAAGAGGAGAGACCAAACCCCTGTTCTCATCTCGTGAGTTCCTTGGCCTCGGCTTGAGCGCATAGCCACTGAAACACGGCTTGAGATCAATCGGGCCTTGTATTCTAGTGGAGGGCAAGACCCTTCGGCTTTTGGAAGATGTATTCCGTCTTTTTCTTCTTTTTAGCGTTGGCGCTGAGATTCCTAGTCTCATCCATGTTCTTGTTCCTTTTCTTCTTTTCTTTTTTCCTTGCCAGTCCCCCTCGAGCGGATCCAAACGGGACCATTGCACAGCTGGCCAATTCCTACGGATGCCGCTCTTTAACGCCCGAGTCTTGTTCTCTGATGTTGTGGTCGCCGCATCGGGCGGACTTATAGACAAAAGAATAACAATTTATCGGTCATTCGATGTGGTAGCTCTGCATATTTGCTGCATCATTTGATTTTGTTCTACTTCTACGAACTGAGCGTGATGAGGTCATATGTGTCTCCGTCTATTAAATGGGACAACTCAGTTCTCAACTTGGATACGATTTTTGGAGAGCTCTGAAGAATGTGACTTGCTTGAGAACCAGACAAAAGAGAATGCCCTATCCAGATCGTCAACCTGAGCACAGTGATTCTAATGATGACATGTCTACTGAGGAGAAGATCAGAAACCTACAAAGCGCCATTAAATAGAGGCCGATGCGAGCAAATCGCCTCCTGAATAAGAAAAAGGCGCAAGGATGGAGTTAGTACTGGATATGATGAAGGAAGAGTAAGAGGTTTGTTTGAGGGCAACATTTTTGGTTGAATAGAGCTATAGTGGACAATATTGGGTATAGAAATTGGTTGACGAATACCGCTGTTGAGGACCAGGCACATGTATGTACTACGGCAGATTACCGAGTGTGCAGGCTTGGAATCAGAGAGGTACGGAAAGGAGAACGAGATTTCTAGCTGCTATCTTTGCATACCATCAAATGAGCAAGAAAGATCACTGCGGGCTTTGTAGTGCAATAGCACCATGTTTAAGCGCAGAATAGTGAGCCAAGTCCATTTTCTATTAAGACTCCTATTCTAACTCGCCCGCACCCCCTTTGGGTCATTCCCACCCTTCGGAGGCCGGACACAACGAGCCCATTAGGTCTGCCGTATACGGATTTTTATTTGTATTGTCGGCTGGTGTAGTTGGTCACTTCGCTGGTAGATAAGTCCCGATTTGAGCCTCCCCTAGTTGGGTCGGTGACGAGTCGCGGGTTCGAATCCCGCAGCTGACACACAAGGGGGTTTAGTCAACCCTTACGGCGCGCTGCCCACCTTGTTGACTTCGCCTACCTAGCGATAATAGGGAGATTGGTGCAGTTTAGGATTACGAGCATCCTAGCCAGTCGACCGTCAAGCACTACGTCGGCGGAATATAACTCGACAGCCGGTCCAGAATTCGAATCGTTAATCCGACCCCTTATCGGACCTCGCCTTTCCGATAACGCTCGTCGGCGAACCCGTCCCCTCACGATAGAAGGCGCGCAGCACGCCCTCTCGCCGCGATTCTTGCGAGCGTCTGACCACGTTACGGTCTATCCACTTGAGCGTATGGTTGAGATGTATACGCTCGACGAGAACCCCAATTAGCAGATACTACGACTTGTCGCGACAAAAAAATAGTCGAGCATCTTCTGCACATCAGCAGCATCCCACCCCTGAGGACGAATTTAAGTGCCACATTACCACACTTATCGGTAGTTCAGGCAGGGGTTGTAGCACAGACTTAGGGAGGGACAGGAGGTTTAGTAGTCGTTTGGCTACAAGTTTACCTGTATAACCGCCCGACGCGGCTTAAGGGCCCGCTATATCATCTATAGCCCCTTAAGGGAGTACTTGTAGAGGTACCGAGGGTTAACACCTACGGCGTATTCAATATTATTTTTATTTGTATTGTTACCAGGCAATCGGCCTAGTATCTAATTGTCTAATGGCCATCACGTCATAGGGGCAACTTCTTGTTCCTGTTGCGCCCACTTACAGTATAAGACTTTTATCCACGAAAGCGATAATTAGAAGAGGTGGTGGTACGCGTTAATCAAACTAAACTTCTTTGTCCGCGCCGCAACTCCATCCCCTGACTGCACTATCCTGGTGGTTCACAAGTAGCCACTCCAACGGCCTCTCAAGGCTCGCGTCCACAGGTCGAACCCGCTACATACGAAATGCTTCATTCGTCCTCTTCTCGGTGCAAGTCCGGGTGGTAATGACTGCACTGCTACCCTGAATAGTTGAAGTCCTCAAGACGTCGCCTTAACGCAAAAGTCTCGTACAGGGTGCTCCATACGCAGTACGTGACGGTCAGCTTGCCGCCAAAGGACTAAGATCACTATGCCTGAAGCATCATAGGCTATGACTGGACCATATTTTCAAAGTCAAGCCTCTGAGAGCCCACGACAATGCATGCTATTCTGGATGCTTTCGCTACTTGCGAGTGGAACTCAAGTCCTAAATCTTGCTATCTCGGGTGGAGCAGCAAGCGTCCGTTCCTAGCAAGCTTGAACAATTGCTTATGCAAGCCATCCGACTCGATCAATGCTTGACTACCGACATCCGCTCTACAGGAGGACAACCTGACGTGGGATTGTCAAAAAAAAAAGTCACGATTCGCCTTCATTCGTGTCATACACTGTGAAATATTGATACCGCAAGCCAAAATCGAGGATTATCCAGCACCTGATGCTGGGGTCGATCCACCCTCGTTGGCTTCACTTGCGGCGGCGTTGCCACCTCTGCGGCCTCGGCCACGCCCGCCTCGCCTCGGCCTGTCAGATGGAGTAGGAGTAGGGGTGGAAGCCGACGTATGAGTATCATTAACTGCAGCTGCGGAAATCGCTGGAACGGAAGTCGCGGGAGTCGTAGGCTTTTTTTCCTTCCGCTCAAGAACCTGTACGGTGCCTTGCCCTACAGAGACCGGCGAAGCAGCAATGGCTTTGCACAGGCCCTGGTAGTCGCCAAAGTCCATGTAAGCGAAACCCTTGCGTTTGTCGATCTCAACAAAGGTGACGGTTCCGAAGATCTCCATGGCTTGCTTGAGAAGAGGCTCAGTGACGCCTTGTGATGGGTTGGCATGCTTCACGAAAGCACGAGTCGCCCCTTGCGAGGGTTGAGCAGCTGACTTCTTGGCTTGAGTTTGCCCGCCTGCTTTCGCTGAAGCTGGCTGAACCTTAGCAGCAGCCTTCGGCCCCGTGGGCGGCGTGGGCATGGGCGTAGATGTAGATGTTGAAGATGCGACCGGTACGGTGGCTGTTGAAGCAGCTCCGTTCGACTTAGTTTCCGCAGTCTTACTGGCTTCCTTTTTTAGCAAAATGATAGGCCCTGTGGTCGGTTTGGCAGGAGGATCGTTCTCTCTGCTTTTGGTAGAATCGGTGGCTGGTGCGGCCGTCGCTTTCTTACCGCGCGATCTGCGAGAACTTTCGGCAGGCTGCGCCTTCGGACCTGTTGGTGCAGTCTTGGGAGTTTCTGCGTCCTTGGTCTCCTTGGTCTCCTTGGTCGCTTTCTCGGATGGCGCACTAGCCTCTGCCTTGCTCGGTACCACCTCTGCTTTCTCTGCCTTTGCTGCGTCCTGGCGTGCTCGTCTATGGGCACTACCGGGAGACAGACCCAGGTCCCGTTGCAAAATCTTCGCAGCGGCAGCAATGCCCGCACGGCGGCTCTTTGGTACAGCGCTTGACACAGCTTCTTCGGCCGCCTTGCCCGTAGCAATCTGGCCCGCAATAGCTTTGGCCGCTTCTGCTGCCTCCTGAGCAGCGGCCTTCTTGGTCAAGAGCTTGACAGGTTCCTTGGGCTTCTCCTTCTCCTTCTCTTTCTCTTTTTCGGCCGTCTTATCAACCTTTTCCGACTTGGAATCTTTGCCTCTCTTCTTGGGCTCCTCACTGGTCTTGATCTTGACGCCCTGAGACTCTTGACGGGATTGCTTGGCGCTTTTAGCACTAGCAGCTTCCTTGGCCTTGGCTGCCTTTCGCTCTTTAATGTACTCGACCAGCGGAGTGGAAGTGACCTTAGCATTCTCCTTAGTTGGCTCGTCAACGCCTGACTGGTCGGCTTCGGGATCCTTCGAGGACGATGGCGGATGGGTGAGGGAGTCGAGGTAGGCCATGAAGTCGGGATCTTGATCGATTGTACCTTGTCTAGGGTCCGTTCGGCGCTTGCCCGTGGGGACTTTCTGGTAGATGGAATTTTCGATGACGGGAGGACCGACGAGAGCAGGATCGGTGAAGGACCGCTTGGCATCCTCCCAAGTTGCTCTTTGGATAGCATCGGACAAGCTCGGTATGTCCTCGATTTTCATTACACGGAGGTAACATCTTGCTGGCTGTGACGGACGCGAGGGTCTGCGATGAATTGAAATTAGCTGAACGCCGCTACTGGCGTGCGCTGGGGAGAAATTACTTGGTAGACACCTTGCCGGGTTCGTATGACACCCAATCGACTTTGCCGTTCCCTTCCCTCCATTCGTCTCCCAGGATGGTCCAGAACTCGTCGGAGGTCAACGCCGGCGGGAGGCGGCGGATGGTGACCTTTTTCCCTGTGACGGGGGGTTTCATCTTCCTGGTGGTCTCGTTGTTCGCATTGATCGCAATCAGGGCATTTGCCTTGCGGGAGGCATTCGAGGACGACATTGTAATTTGGACAGTGCTTGAGTCCACGTGGCTATTCCACTGGTATCGCGGATGCCGGAAGGACTTGGAATAACCTTATTGGGTGGCGTCAGAGCAAACAGCTACAGATTCACGTTGGGCAGGAACTCCAGTGGGTGGAAGGTTGCGTTCATTATGTAGAAGGTGCGACAAAGGAGATCAAGTCGGTAGGATCTCCATAGACCTGGCACAGAATAGTATTAGTGTGGCCACAACAATGTGATTTGTAAAGCACTTCAGGATCGACGTGAACATTGCAATGCGACCAAGATGATGCTTACAATGCGACTCGTGAACTTGGGAATGTGCAGCTCTAAGAGCTGTAAACCCCACTAAGCATTCTGCCCGAGAATGCCGCCTTGCGCATTTTGGAGATCGGCCTTAGCAAGGAATACCCTCCCTAAGTTCTGTCAGTTCAACCTAAGTAGTATTCGAATCAGACTTGACATGGCCTCTGTTTACTTTACTTCCGGGCGAGTTTGCCATGCTACATATTCATGTTTCCCCATTGATATAGACACCTCAGAGTCTCAGCCTCTCGCGTCCTAGAAGACAACACCAACACGTAACTTCCCTTCAAGATTCGTGTGCATTTCTTGCCTTTCCCATCTTCATGTCGCTTGCAATTTGATCCGGATTTCATCGCACCTTAGCATTAGTTCCACCACATTCCCACAAGTACAGTCGATGAATCCAACAAACCAGCTTTCTACCATGAAATACCCACACGATAACGCCATGCCGAGCCACCCTCAAGTTTCTTCACCCAGTAGTGGCAACTGCCATGGCCTATTAGTCCCTGCTTGAGGTGCGACTATTGGTGTACCTGGCCCTCGTCTCCCACTAGAAGAAAATGACTTGAATCTCAGTACTAGTCAATCGATCCAGTCCCGCATTTATGACTCAATAAGAGAACACTCCTGGGGCAATGGCAAATTTCCCCCAGATCCCACCATGACCGATCCCGCGGTTCATCAACATGAGCTAAGCTGTCGCCAAAGCTTCAGGATCATCAAGAAGAATCGTCACTTCCATCCCGTGAAAGCAACATCAGGGTTGCCAGCAGCGACCTCGCTTCTATCTACCATATCAGTTATAATGGGGCGCAGTACTTGGCATGCGACCAAGACATGGTAGAATTGTGACCAAAAGTATCCTCCACCCGAGGAAGATACCTGCTTACGGTGACATATTCCCTTGTCATCTGCGTTCATTTTAGCTCACCTCAGCACCACCACATCAGTAACTCCAAGGCATTGCCATTATTATCGTGAAGTCATTTGCATTTCATCTGGACCACTTGTGTCCCCTATTCTACTATACATCCTGCTGACCGCCCATTTCCGGGCATTGTCTATGAGTATCATGCATCGTACAACCGTAACGCCGTAATTGGTATCATGAGCCGTTGCATCAAGAAAGTGCTCAAATCGAGAAAGGAAACGGGAATCTATAGGAAGTAGTCGGAAGGTCCTCGCCGACCAGCAGGCACGTGTCTCATGTCGTCTGGCACTGCCGAAAAAATGCTGAACTTGGGATCGAGGTTCTTGTCGACTGTCATGATGGACGCAACATTTCCGCAGCGGTAGCAGTAGTTCGGGGCAGACCAGACGGTCACGACTGAGTTCTGAGGAAAATGGTACTACGGCATGTTAGACGCTGCAGATACACGGAATTGGGCACAATAAGTAAACATACCTTGTAGCCCTCGTTGACAAGTTGGTGGGCACGTGCGATGAGCTTCAGGCCGTTGACGTGGTTGAACTCAGTAGCAACTTTGTCGCCAAATAGCCATCCTGCGCCACGGGGGCTAATAGCCCACGTCTCCACATCTTCGGGATCACTCCAGACGAGATCGCAGAAAGCACCCTCATGAGGAATCTCCTGAGCTCGTGCAACAACTCGGATCTGATCGATTGTCCGAATCTCAGGACTCAGTCCACCGTGAACGCACAGAATCTCTCCGTCAACGATCGCCGCTAGTACCAGAAAGTCGAACACTTGGCAACAAGCTTTCCAGACAGACGCGTTTCCGTACTTCTGTTGACATTCCTCGTAGAAACCATAGACTTGAGTGATTTGCCGCGATTCGTGATTTCCCCGCACGAGCACAATGCGATCCGAGTATCTGGAGAATTTGTCAGTGAGTTGGCCGGGAGCTGGATGGAAGTTTTCTTACTTGGCTTTGAGGCACATCAGCAGAGTAAAAGTCTCAAGACTGAAATATCCTCTGTCGACGAAATCTCCGAGAAAAACAAAACGGGTGTCTGCGTTGCTGACGGGCGGTGAGATGTCTTGAGATGCAGATCGTGAGTGGCTCGGTTCGGTGGCCTCTTCATCATCCTCCTCCATTGCAGATTCTTCCACTTCTCCTTTGCTACCACGTCGTGTCTTGATCTTCTTCTTGAGTTTCGGGTTCGTGATCTCGGTCGGCGGCTCAATCAAGTCGGCAGTAATAACCGTCTTCGCAGTCGTAGGTGCTTCAGTCGCAGGCTCACCGGGCATGCCGCCGCTTACGCGAAATAGCTCCAGTAAATCGTAAAATTGCCCATGAATGTCGCCGCAAATGGTGACGGGTGTGACAACCGGTTGGATGTTGCTCTCTACCATGCACGTGTCAGCATTGCCTCAGATTCTCGCGATGCGCAGTTGTTTGCGGCGACATACCTTCCATTAAAACTTCCTTGACCTGTTCACACAGGGTCTTCATCACATTCTCGGGCAGGTAATGGCATTGCTTTGCTTCCTCGAGCCACTCATCCAGACCTGCGCCAGGCCGCAACCTGGCGGGACCTGGCTTAGGAACGTTGGAGCCCCGAGCCATGCTGCGGGGAGGGGGAGTCGTCGCGGGAAGTAAAAGAGTTGATCGATGCCCGTCGTGGAGTCGGGGGGTTCGCGATGATGGAGGTTTCTGTCCGTGTCGTCAAAAGATCTGTGGAGCTCGGCTATAAGCTCGTGCTGGGCTTTGTTGGCTTGCTGAGCTCGGTCAGTGATATCCTCGTCCAGTGGGAATGGGGACAATTAAGTCTTACAGGTGATTTGGGGCTGCTAACAGCCACAGGACTCTCGGATTTGGGTTTCCCCGCTACCATGGCATTGAGCTTGGCCTTAGCAGCATTAGCCGGCTTTTTGCCGCTTCTTTGGCGCGCTTGAACATGTGATGGCCATAGGGCGGCGGGAGCTGGGATGACTATCTGTGGCGGTGCTGTCGGGATTGATTTAATCCGAAATATCTGTTTGTGGCCGGACCTTCCAGTATCCTCAGCTGTGCCGATCAGCCGTACTATCAGCTCCGATACAGTACATACGCTGTCCTTATATAATTTATATATTCGAAATGCTATTATAGCCTATTACGCTCTTTTAAAATTTTATGTTTTGTTGTAGGTTCCAATTAGTCCGATAATTTGAAGCCCTGTTTAACGCACCAGCTCTTCTCTGAACTAATCCTCCGCTTAGTTAACCTCCTTCTTAACGGCCCTACTTTCGCTGTCGCTCTAAGCTAGTATTCAGCTTATAAAGTTACTAGCAGCCATGGCCTCTTAACCAAACACAGAGGTTAACGTAAGTCGTAAGGCGGTAATCCTCAAACCCAAAGTAAATCAGCCGTAGTAGCTACCTATTGCCGAGGCCAATGCCGGCCCATAACCCTGGAAACAAATCACCCAGCTAGTGCCAAGCTAGTAGCCTTCCCCTCATGACCAACTCTTCCGGAGACCCGCCAAATCAGTACTAGGGCTTCCAGGCGGCAGACCTCGATAATGAGGAGTACAACAGGTGGAAGAGGCCTAAGGAATTGTGGACTGATAAGCTGGTTCTCTATACGACGTTAGAGAACAAGTCCGACAGTTTCACCGTGATACGAAAAGGCAGGGGGACCCACTGGTTAGGTGAATCCCATTCAATTAGATACTATAACGTTGCGCACTGCTGCATTATAGCATCCTCCCCCCTAGGTGCACGCATCACACCGTGTGGCTATTCAATTCTAGTAGCCCTAAGTGGCACACACTCTTTCGTTTGGAGGTCACTATAGTAGGAAATATGAAGGTTATCAAGGCTTTCTTCAAACTAGAGACCTAGGTACACAATATGTCTATGGAAGCGGTGTAACTAACGGCCTGCAAGCCGATACAGAAGATAGCACCCCCAATACAGCTTTACTAAAGGGATGAGGCCGGTAGCTGCTGAAGTATTCTGCTTCTGTATCGGCTGGCAGACCGTCAGGATCACCGCCTCAAGGCTGTCGGTTGTAACGAAACCTCTAATAGTCTAGCTGCGTAAACCACTAAAGAGTCTGTAAGGGTTTGTGCTAGTAAGTAAGTCCTGCTGCGGAGTCCTTTAGCAATAATATCGGGGTCTGACGTATGGAGTATAGTGCTTTGGGGTAACTGAAGTATTCGAGTAGGGTAACTGGGAATAGAGTCGTCAAGGCAGTTTGCCTCACCAATGGGTTAGATTGATGCTTAGATTGATCACTGAAGTAGAGACTGTCTATCTATGAAATGCCTGGGAGTCCTGTCCCTTATATATCCATTCCCTCCTTCACTGATAACTGGGGTGTCAGGGTACGGCTAGGCCGAAGGCAATAGTACAGAGTGATGGGGAGTAACGGGCGTCCCTCCTACGTAATACCGGGTGGTCACTGGCGGTCTCAGGTAGGGGTGCCCACGGTGATGCATTGATCTCTGTCCTCTCTATCTTCCTCCGTCTCGACTCCTTACTTATAGCCAGCCGAGGTTCTCTCTTGGATTCTGGATGTTTGCTTCCGTATGTCTGTGTTCCTCCGACTTCGGCCAATATCTTGGATAGCGGCTCCTTATCTGCAACCAAGCGATTCCCTATCCGTTGCAAACGGCTTCAACGGCTCTCATTCGCCACAAGCGGCTCTCTAGCCGCCACAAACGGCTTCCCCGGCTCCTCATTCGCCACAAACGGCTTCCTACCTGGTGGAAGCCGGCCCGCCTCGGATGACACTTGTGGCTCTGACAACTCCTTCCCTATCCTACTTCGAGATGGTCCTTATATAGATAGCTAGGCCGCCGCTTGGACCTGGCATAACAGCAGGGTCGGCGATGCCAAGGATCTTGACTCTCGTCATCCCAAAGCTTCACATAGATTGTAATCATGATTCGGGAGTCTTTTGTCCGAAACACCCCTCCGGCGGCCCGCCGGTGTCCTGCGTTCAGTGTCCTGACACCCACTGGTGCCTATGGCATTCTGTTCTCTGACAATATCATCTTTGCTGGTAAAACTCACCTATCTTCGTGGTACGAAAATAGCCTATTACCAAAGGATTGGGTTATCGCGGTTACGAAAAATGGCTGGACTACAAATAAAAGAGGCGAGGACTGGATTCGACATTTCGATCAACATACAAAGCTTCATACGAAAGGTGTTTATCGCCTCTTAATTCTCGACGGCCACGAGAGCCACCACTAGACCGCTTTCGAGCTCTACTGTAAAGAGAACTCTATTATCACACTCTGTATGCCTGCTCATTCGTCGCATGAGCTCCAACCTCTCGATATCGGCTGTTTTCGTGCACTGAAAAGAGCGTACGGTAAAGAAATTGAGGATCTTATGCGGGCACATATAACCCATATCTCGAAGGAGGACTTCCTCTCCGCGTTCTTAAAAGCGTTCCAGGCAACTTTTACGATATCAAATATCCAGGGAGGTTTCCGAGGGGCAGGACTCGTACCGTACGATCCGGAATATGTGATTTCGTAGTTAGATGTGGAGTTACATAATCCAACACCTCCGGGTACCTCGTCTGGCTTTTCTATTATCTGGGAGTCGAAGACTCCAAATAACCCAATTGAGGCACAATCCCAGACCGAATACGTGAAAAACCGAGTTATACGACATCAAAATGGCTTTCCGACAGCTACACTTACTGCACTTGACCAGTTTGCGAAGGGTACGACGCAGGTTATGCACCGGCTTGCTCTTTTAGAGGGTGAGAACGCCGCGCTTCGAAAGGCAAATGAGACACTTAGCCGGCGGCGTTATACGAGAAAAAAAACGTTTACAGTATGGAGGATCACTTCGTATACAAGCTGGAGAATATTTACAGTCTCAGAAGCTAGTTAACGGAGAGTTAGATAATAAATCGCGCTGGAGTCGTAGTCGTACGAGGAGGCCAGAGATACTTCAGCAACGCTGTAGGACGTGCGGAGAGCCCGGTCATAATATGCGTACTTGTCAGAATAGTAAAGATATATCTGAAGAAGATAGTTCCGAGTAGTTTTAATTATTTTTTTACGTTATAGTTGAATTAACTTATATCTTATTGTACGAGGTCTTAAGAAGTGTTCAATTGGACCGTGGGGTACGTTACATAGTACTTTCGAGTGACTACTATTGATTCAGCGCTCTATAGAGGAACATGAATAGTTGATGCGTGTTACTAGGGGGAGGGTACTATAATGCAGCAGTGCGCAACGTTATAGTACCGAATTGAATGGGATTCACCTAACCAGTGGGTTCCCCTACCTTTTCGTATCAATAGTCAAGTTTCAGCTAAAATTAAATGGAATTTCCAACTTGTTAGTTATTATATTATTGCTTAAACGTTATCTTCAACGAAAGCCCCATGGCTATTCATGCAGACTAGTTCCGCTCCTGAGATGAATTTGCGCCAAGATCGCAGTCTCCGATTCTGCGACTTTATCGAATCCAGCGTGCTTGCTATCGATTTCCTACATCATACTTGGGACTCGAGTCGCATCTGCCATAGCAGAGACAGGAAAGGACGCCGCAGGTACACCTCGATTTCACTAGACTTTGTCCATTGGCAGGCTTGAAATCACCCAGGCTTTTTTACAGCCGTCGCGTACCGTGGACACTTAACGTACGTCCAAAGTTGGCACAGATGCACTCAATGAGCTGGGTTGTTCATGTTGGGAGCGGCTTGATATAGGTTTTTGATGAAAATAGTCATTGAGCTTAGTTGACTTCCTGTACAGGAGCTTTGTCTCTTGATCTCTGGATTTCGTGAAAGATCAAGTCACCAGCAGGTTCTTTGAGCCCCTATTGTAGTCCACTTTGTCATTTACATGTAGATAATGGCCCAGGAGAAATTCTAGCAGGGCGCATGGCGCTCCTCATCATTCCACTAGGAAGCCAATGGCAAATAAACGGCACATCCAGGTAGAATAGTATTGTATTGCCTAGCATACTACAATAGAATACTGAGCTATCCCACGCTATCCTGAACTAATCCAACCCATTCCAACCTATTTCGCCGTTTATTTTGTTACCAAACTTACTGGGCTATCCGTTATTAATGCACGCAAATTCGCGCTTCTAGATCGATTTAAACACCAATGGATGGGCGGTATTCGCATAGTCTACTAGAGCATGAATACACCGAGCAATAGTGAAATCAGCCATCCTGCAATGGCATTCTATCAAGCGTTAATACAAAGCTGCGGTATATAGATTTCTCTATCGCGTAAATCATCTTAACTAGCTAAGGCCGTCATGTTGTTGATTCGCCAATCGCGAAAATGCTCGTAAAGGGCGACCGCACGACGACTCACGCTAATAAGTATTAGACCCAAGTTGAAGCAATCAGTGGCAATTTCATTATTGCAGAATTCCTACAGTGTCTTGGAAGCCATGGCGCAGAACTGCCTCAGTGATATGAGCAAAGTCGGGTCCCAGGGAGGTATTACTCGTGTGAAGCTGAATCGTTAACGACCAGCAGGCAGAACATCCAAGCCGGGCGATCTGGGTCATATCAATCGCGCTTATCCCTGGGGTTTACCACGTCGCAGTTGATAGTGTTGGGGTCAGCCTCGGTGCGCAGTCCAAACCTGATGTCGTCACAGAACGACGCGGGATCGGTGTTGGTGTCGTCAAACTCGAACTTTCTGTAGCTATTCCAGTACACCTAAAACATATAATCAGTCGGGATGGTGCTCGGAGTCACTGTAGGGAGTATACCTTAGGCGTACAGCTCTGCGTGAGGACCTGCAGGATAATACTGTCGATGCGTTCGCAAATATGCAGATATACAAAGTTTATGCTATACAGACAAGGTAGATCATGTTGATTCGCTGAAATGCATGTATTTATAATAACTGCCTCACAATGGCTTTGTTCGTGCAGTAAGTCCATGCCCACTGTCTCTTCCCCCTTTTGTACCATATTGGATATGCCTGTAATATGCTGAGGACTCTGTGGTCATTCGTCTCTTGAAATTAGCTTCTGAGATTAACCCTCAGTATGTACCTGTGCCTATGTATTCTAGAAGCTTTCTACTTAATCACCTGTTACAGGTTAGAAATAATCTACCTAGAAGTTATAGCCCAATGGTCAGGTCAAACTACTCTACAGAATAGTTACAAAAAGACCTGCATAATAACCTCCAAAATAAGTCCAATCACCATTAACTTAGGTGTCAAGAAGGGGCCTTATCATTTGTTATTATACATCAGTACAAGTTATCCATGTTATCAGATTTCTTACTGCTATAGTTCCGGGTGTGCTTAACCCCAACACTAGCTGTAACCTCTTGACGCGATCTAAACTAAGCAACTAATGAAGTTACAGTATAAATGGCGCAATCAGGGGGAGCACTAAGTTATTCCTGATCTACTGCACTGGAATATCGAGCTATCCCATATTATTACACCCTTACTAGTACGCTGTTACGTCCCTGTCCTGACTAGTAGAATTATGGGGCTATTCAGAAGTGGGTCCATCCTTAAGAAATTGCGATAAGATCATTATCGCCCAAAAAAATCGGCCTCAACCCGTTTTGGTGGGGCAGCTTTTCCTTGACAAACCCAGAAGCAAGAGAATAGCTTCACTTAAACCTGCGTGTGTCGACTACCAAGCATAGTGCTCACCGAAATCATGGCGCCCGAAGCGAAAGTAGCGAAAAAAGACCCGAGGGCCTGGGATGCGCTGACTCCTCCACTCGCGGCGTGGATTTTGGATGCGATCGCAGCTATGGGATTTGCGAAAATGACACCAGCGCAGGCTGCCGTCATTCCTCTCTTTCTGACAAACAAAGATGTGGTCGTCGAAGCCGTGACAGGCAGTGGAAAGGTTCGTACCTCGAAGGGAGGGCATTATTTTATCTTTGCGAGGCATTTCCTAACTCCATTGCTTTCCAGACTCTTGCTTTCCTAATCCCGATTATCTCTAAGATCCTCGCCCTTGACGAACCGACGAAAAAACATCATGTTGCAGCCGTCATCATATCGCCGACCCGCGAGCTAGCCACTCAAATACACAATGTCCTGACCGCGCTCCTCGCCTTTCACCCAATATCGTCCGAAATACTCCCGCATCTCTCCAACGACGACGGCGATGGAAAGCGGCCCGCGACAACAGAACCGGCGGTCGTCCCACAGCTGCTTGTAGGCGGGAATATGACGCCCGCTCAAGATCTGAGTTTCTACCTTCGGCATTCGCCCAACGTGCTTGTCGGGACCCCAGGGCGCCTTGTCGAAATGCTCAGCTCTCGGCACGTTCACTGTCCGCAATCATCCTTTGAAGTACTGGTCCTCGACGAGGCAGACCGCCTGCTCGACTTAGGGTTCAAGCAAGACTTGCAATCAATATTGTCGCATCTGCCGAAACAGAGGAGAACGGGTCTCTTCAGCGCTAGTGTGAGCGAAGCTGTTGGAGAAATCATTCGGGTCGGTCTACGGAATCCCGTCAAAGTGGCCGTAAGAGTCAAAAGCATAAAAACTGGTGGCATCGTGGAAGACAGGCGAACACCAGCGAGTTTACAAATGAGCTACCTGGTAATGAAGGCGAGCGCGAGGCTTCCAGCGCTTGGGCAGCTGCTGGAGCGTTTGGAACCCCGGCCTCAGAAGACCATTATTTTCTTGTCGACCTGCGCCGCGGTCGATTACTTTCAAAACTTGCTGCCAAGTGTACTACCAGATGGGTTTGCGCTTATTCCCTTACACGGGAAGCACCAGGATCAAGTGAGACGCAAGAACCTCGAAAAGTACTTGAAGTCAACTCAACCTACGGTTCTTTTATGTACAGATTTGGCCGCACGCGGTCTCGACATCCCGCAATTGGATCTTGTCGTCCAGATTGATCCACCCTCGGATCCATCAAACTTTCTCCATCGGGCTGGACGTGCTGGAAGGGCAGGTCGAAAGGGCCTAGCGGTCGTCTTCCTCCAGCCAGGCAAGGAAGAGGAGTATGTCCCGTTCTTGGAAATAAGGAAAACGCCTATCTCGCCTCTCACCCATCCGGAAATCACAATTAGCGACTCAGAAGCAGATGCAGTGACCGAGCGATTTAGAGATATAGTGCGTCAAGATCGTGCTCTCCACGACAAAGCTCAGAAGGCCTTCGTATCTTTCGTGCGGGCGTACGGGAAGCACACGGCCAGCTCCATCTTCCGCGTCGCGGACCTCGACTGGGCTGACCTCGGGCGCTCGTTCGGCATGTTTCGTCTCCCGAAAATGCCCGAGCTCAAGAACTGGCCGGGCGACAAGAAGCTGGGCGCGGAGATGGACTGGGACACCTACGCATACCAGGACAAGACGCGCGAGAAGCAACGTCTCGAGGCGCTCCACAATCCCGACCCCAACTTTGCCGACAAAGTGGAAGCAGAACGGGCGAAGCGGAAGCGCAACACCGAGGCTTGGAGCGGCAAGCATGAGAAGGAGGACGATAGGGTTGTGAGGCGCGAGAAGAGGCGGAAGAAGAAGGATGTCGAACGGTGGGAGAAAATGACGGATGAGGAGAAGGTTAAGCAGCGCGAATTAGAGGATCTGCTTGCTGAGGTCAGGAGGAGGAATGTTGAAAAGCTTGCTCAAGAGGCGGCGGGTGGCGATGATGAATTTAATGGGTTTGATTAGTTGGTGTAGGAATGTGAATACCCAAGTTTCGCAGCACATGAGTCTCGGGGTCGTGTTACACATGAAGCAGTCTTTGTACAAGTATTCACATATTATGGGAAGCGAGAGTAGCATCCAACCTCTTGTTAAATTGGTCTCCCACAATCATTCCTTGTTCATCTATACATCTATATATATACATCTATACATCAGGGTTAGGGTTAGGGTTAGGGGTAGTGAGCCGTTTAAACTAAACATCTCATGACATTCTGATCTCTGACCAGGGGTATTTAATATGAAAGCACTAAGCCAGGCGAACGATGCTGGGTATACACGATAACTGTCTGAACCAATTCCCGTCCCGTCCCGTCCCATCATGGCCCTGATCCATCCAAGGGCTTCGAAGAGATATTTCGTTTTGAGGAAGTCGTAACTGCCACCATCATTAGATATCACGCACCGATTCATACAGTTACAGATCCTATCATACAACACCGATAGGACGGTGGGGCCGTGACGAGACGATTAAATGTTCTCGACAACGCGTGCGTTCATCGCCTGTTGAAAGCCCTGGTCTTGGCTGCCAAAGTCGTGGCTCTTGGAGCCTTCGCCGTAAGAGTTGCCCGCGTCCGCCATCGCGGCACTGAAAGCCGCATTGCTGGGCATAGTCTGGTTCGCAGCGGGCAGGAAGATGACCTTGCTGTTGGCGCTCTTGGCCATAGCTTGCATTGCCTCCAGGTATCGGATCTGCATGGCCGGCGCGCTGGACAGGATATCGGCTGCTTGGCGCATGAGCTTAGCGCTCTCGACCTCTGCCTTGGCAGCGATGATCTTGGATTCTCCAATGCGCTTGCTCTGAGCTGCCATCGACAAGGACTCCTGCAGCTCCTGTGAGAAGACAATGTCCTTGATGAGCATTGATTCCACCTGGACACCCCAGCCGCCGGCGACGTCTTCGATAATCTCTCCAATGCTCTGTGCAATCTCTTCACGGCGCTCGATCACGTCCTGGAGCACGCGCGCTCCGACGACATGGCGTAACGTCGTCTGCGTACGCTCAATGAGGGCCTGGCGCACGTTGGCGATGCCGAAGGCAGCCTTGTGTGGTGAGGTGATGTGGTAGTAGATCACGGAGGTCAACTGAACGGAGACATTATCCTTGGTCATGCACACTTGCTTAGGCACCTCGACAATTTGGATCTTGACGTCGACCTGGATCAAGCGCTCTGACAGTGGGTTGATCTTGACAAGACCGGGGTCAACCGCCTTGTAGAATTTTCCGAACTTTGTGACGAGACCGACATTGCCTTGGTGCACCTGTTTGAAGGGGTTCGGACAGCAGATGCAGCAGGGAACGGCGCCAAAGGTACCAACGCAGGAGCCGAGCGCGTTAACTGTGTGGAAGAGGGTGTTATTGATTACTTGCAATTGGAGGATGGCGGGGTAGCTCTGTGGGTCACCTACTCATGGATCCATACCAGCCTTTCGGATTCGCATCATGGCCGACAATGGAGGCATAACTTGCCTGCAAGTCTTCCTCGCGCGGAGGCTCGACGGCAACGGCAGCCATGTTGGCCTGTGGCCGGAAGCCGACGTTGTTGCTGCTTCCGTTGGCGGTGTCAACACCCTTGTTCTTCACTGTGGATGTGTCCATGCTGCTTGATGTATGAGACATTGATGGAGAGTTTTTAGGTAAGATAATGGGAAATGCTGAGCCAGAGGCCTTTAGGTAGTGCGAGCACAGAGGATTATGTATCTGTTTGCTGTTTGCAAGGGATTACAGTAGACGTAGGAAGGTGAGGTGTCCGAAAGTAATGCGACGGAGGGAGGTGTTGATGTAGACTAGGTAGGATCTCCGTACCAAGCTAGTGTCTGGGCTGCAAGCTGTAAAGGCTGTAGCGGAACGCACCTACGGGTGACGATTGGTCCGAGCTGACAAAAGTGCGGGGAGAGTTGGGGCAGTGTTTGAAGGAGCTTGGGCTTGCCGAGTGTGCAGTTTGATGAAGAAGTGTGAATGTGACACGAATTACGAGTGGAAATAACTTCAAATGGCTATTGTTAACTTCGGATGGATTTCCATGGAAGCCGTATTTTCCCATTGTTTGTATGAAAACCATCAATCCTGCGCGCAAAACTAACGTCAGCCCAATGAGGCGATGTACTCTAGGCATATACAAATGAAAACCACAGGACTTGTAGCTTGGAGAAGGATGCCGTTGTTGTCATGGATGCCAATCAGCGTGCCGATTCCCGAACAGCATCATGCCACCTTGCGGACTTGCCCATTACAGGTCTAGCATACTTACCCTGGAAGGTGCACAAAGCTTGGCCTTTGAAACCCTTTGATTCGGGCTATACGGTTCCTGCGGAGGCAAAACATCGAACCGAGGGGTGTCGTCTGACCACAATAATAAATACCTCGAGCGTCTTTTTCCCGCTCCAATTTGGCGCAAATGTGTCTTCTTTTACGTCTTCGCTACTACACACCACTGTCCTGCGTCGAACAATTTATCGACCTTGCAGTTTGGCATTTGGCATTTGGCATTGTCCATGATGTCAACATCTATCGACACATGTCAAATCGTTCAACACTGCCTCAATCCTTACCAGTGGGGAAGGTGCATTGTAAAGAATTAACGCACGAAAACCATGGTAAATCGCACATGGTGATCCATTGCGGCAATGCGGAAGCGAAATCCACTTTGCAACATTAGGCAAGTTGTGTCCTATTGGGACTATTCCCAAGGCAGCCAAGAAGCATCCCAAGGTCCTCTGCAATCCAAAGTCAAATGATGAGTCAAGGAGTGGCAAAATCAGATCGTTTATTTGCCTCGCTCGTGGCTATGCATGCTGCTGCAGCATGGGACTTCTTTGGCTTCACAATCCTTCCAAATTAGGTCATGTGTGGTATATGGCAGGGCCGGCTATTTGCTCCGAGTTTTCGACAGCCTAGCCACCATCAATTCCACTGCAAGCTGGACTTTGTCTTACGAAACTCGTTCTCTACACGTGAAGGTTTACTCAATTCTCTGTGCTTGCATGCATCGCCCCGATTCCGCTATACTCATCTGCTGACCGCCCCAATGCCAGCCACGGGCGATGTCCACCTCTCAGCCACGTAGTCTTTACTCTATTAGAATATATGCGGCAATCCTGCGGGCAGAAACTATACAGTAATTCAATTGACATCACGTTATCCATCCTTGGGTCTTCAACGGTAATGTGGGCCAAAGCCGCGTCAAGCACTCAGTACCTGGGCTGACCGGGGAGGCTAACTTACGCCGACACGGACGCTACGTCGCAGTAGCGATGGTTCAACGGAAGTCTGTCTCGGGCGATCTTGCACTGAATCATAAAGCCACGGGGCCATTTATGTCTGTCCCCCTAATTCAGAAGTTTGAACGCGTCTGGACTTGTAGGAGGGGTCTTGTGCTTAGTCGGTTTGTCTGAGAGATCGTCACCTAGGGCTGTGTTACGGGGCAGATTGGGCCCTCGAGTTAGACTCCAAAATCTTTCTTATGATGACACCGAGTTTGTAGTTCCTGTTTCTTGGGACAATCTCAAAATTCGGCAGCAAAGAAAGCGGTCACGCCCCGAGTAGTATTGCATGATTAGGAAAACTGAGTGGTCTTGATTATTCCGCAGTGGCAATGAATGTTGACGTTCATATGATACTTCAAAGTTGCAATTCAAGTTGGACATTCCCTTCCTATAGGGACCGACATGGCGCTGGATTCTCCCTGGACGTGCTCGCCATTCCGCCTGGTTGGCAAGGCAGATATCACTTATAGCATGAGCCATATTAAGCCAGGGATGAGGACTTCAAGGTATGGACCATACAGGCTGAGATAAGGTTTACAACAAATATGTCGCGCTAGTAAACCGGTAAACCAATCGTGTGGGCACTAACCAATTACTACGAAATACAGAAATGTCGGGATCTTCAGAATCAAAGGCACAAGGGCAAATGTTCTCCTGCGTAAAAAGACACTGTGTGCGTCGTAAAAGTGAAATACTTATTTCTGCAACTAGAGGGGCGGACGGCAGTGCTGCTTGAAAGGTGTTTACTGTCTTTACAGGTCAACTCACGCACTAGGTTACGACTGGTAGTTGTAACAGCAGACTTTTAAATGTACTCACTTGTAGGTCGTATATGGCTTATGTGGTACGAGTACCAACTGCTATGCAATTCGTGAAACTCCAAATAACCTACTCTAAAGCAACGGACTTGGCTATACCTTGGAATATTATGACTCGGTGCCCTTCTTACAGCATAGGCATCATACAGCGCCTTACCCTTCGGTGCCAAACTGGATTTGAAAAACAGATAAATATAGATTGTGAGTTGAATTAGTTGTGCATGAAATCCTCCAGGGGGCCGACGTCGCTGAGTTGCATCAACCGTATGTGCCTTCACATTTCAAGACCCATGAAACTCATTTCAATCTCTAGAGGCTAGTCCGATTACTCCTCGTTCCCAAAATATTTCATCCCATTATACAACTGTTTTCTCCATAATTCATTCCATGTGAAGTGATGGTTTGCGGCGGGCCCAGAAGTTGAACCGTCCCTGGTCGGCCGCACGCTACATAAGGCTTAGAGTCCTAGATTAGTCGCAGGAAGCTGACTAGTCCTAGCCACCCATAGCCCCTCACTCCTACGAAACCCAAAATTGCGACCACTGCGGTGCGGTATGTGGACGCCTAAGAGTTCGGTTTCTTTGCGGCGGTGCGCCTTCAGTATGCGGACTCGACGCCCATTGACCGGTCCCGGGTCGGTCCCGGGTTCGGATGTTGATGATGCTTGGAAATGAGGAAACTGTTGAGCATGAGAAAGAGTTCTCGTCCTACAAACTAGAGGATAATAGGGTCCAAGAGGGTGTTTTTCTCGCAGGCGCGGATGGAGTCGAACGCGGCGTCCGGAAACAGCTTCAGCCAAATTGCGAGCTACTCGATCCAGAGCAGTGTGAGCATTCCCTGATTATCCTCTTTCTACTAACCGTATACCGCGAATTTACTAGCAGCAGACTCTTCAGAGCCTTCCTAGTTCAACTGCGTCCTCGATGAAGTTCTTAAACCCGCAGGTTACCAGGCAACTCATGCATCTACACATTTTCCACACCACGCCGCGGAGGCATTGTCCACTTCCTGCCGTAGTGGTCGTGGTCCCCAATGGCCCTCGTCCAAACCAGCAAGCTCTTTGGGTCCGATGGGACCACCCACCTTCATAATTGCGTTCTCTGAAAAAATCGTTTAGGTTTTGCTCAACTCTTCGCAAAATTCTCGACGGGGCTTGCTTCGATAGTCTGGTTTTCCGAAGATCTCATGGGGTCAATGCTTTGATCGAGATCCGGACCTGGCGCCTACGCAAGAAAGGCAACTCGTTGGTCCAAGTTGATGGCGAAGAAGGCGGCCTGGAGGAATGCTCGCCCAACGACGAGAATACCGGACGGCTCAGCGAATCCTGGTCCTTCGATGATGTGCTTATATTGAGACGCATCGGTGTTTCAGCTGTAGACCTGGAACTCGTCGCTCCATGTGACGGATAGGTGTTTGGCTGCGCCTTCGCAGGTTCCATTGGGCATATATATGTACGGATATCCTGGAATGGCGACGAAGAGAGCTGAACCCGTTGCTCCTCTGTAATTCCGCGTTGTTTGCGCTGCAATCGCATTGTTTCTGGCGCTCTCGTAGACACTCCTGATCTTCTGTCCGTCTTTGAATAACGATGGTCACATATCGCAAGAACATTAAAGGGGCAGTCCTGGCATAGTCACCAACGTCAGCGGTGAGCGAGATCACTCCAAGTATACCCAGAGCCCGATTTTGCTCGTAGCCGCCGCAACAAAGGATGCTACGGGGCCGTTGTTCATAGTTACCCAATTGCAAGCTGTACGTGTCCCTTTCGATGTTCTCCTGGTTGTGGAGCTGCTGAAGCATGGATGGGGTTTACTTTCAGCTTACATCGGATATGTTGCCAGGGCTATCTCTAGTTTATACCGGCCCAAGCCCCAACACAACTATCTGCGTTGCGTATTGAGTCTCGCCGGGAAGACCTATCTCCCAGTGTCGGACCTCCGCTATGCAGGTTAAGGCCTGCGTGGAAAACTAGCTTGCGCATCAGTGAAAATAAGACTTTCGTAGTAAAGAGAGAAATAGTCCTCGTGTCGGTGATGCCAACCCGCCCATGACTTCATTTTCCACGACTTCAAAGTTCGTAGAGGACTTGTCGAAGGCGACGTGATCATTCTCGATCTCCATGCAGTTGTTTTTGGGACCTAATTCCATGTCTGCCAGCTTGGCCATATAGTCCATTTGTTACTTGTGCTGTCCGCAACAAAGCCATCACCTTCGGGCACCAAATCACCGTCTCAAATTTGGGTAGCGGACTGGTTTCAGAACTTCTTCACTCATCCGGTGGCAGTAGCGGTAACATCGCCGTCCTCGACGTCAGCATCGCATTCGTCACACTCTGGCGGTTCGGAGAGACACATATCGCTGCAAAGGAACGTGGGTTTTGAGTGCGCCAACTAGACCCCAGTAACCGGATCACCACCGTGGGTGCAATACCAGGAAGCACAACGAATTTGTCAATTTCTGGTCATCCACCTCACGAGAAGCACCTCTAGACGAAACGGTTAACCGTGACACAAACAAGAAACAATACTGAGCATGAGACGTTGTGGAGGTGTTGGTTTCTGCACTGAATCCATACAGGCGAGAGTACTTTGTAGCGACAACTTGGAATCTATAACTGCTTTTGGTGACGATTAGTTCTTACTAGGCTGGAGTGGGAGGTCATCAACATGGGTCAAGGAGGTGCCTGATCTTGCCTAACACCATGAAAGCTAGGGTTTTAGACGCATTCAGCATGCCCGTCTACTGCAGGCAAGCAGTCGGCACCAACATATAGTATAACTGGCTGACTGAACAATCACCCACTTGTTCAGGAACAAGCCTGCGTTTCGATACGCATTAACTTATCAAGCCCAGATGGCCCATAGCCGCTCAAAATCATGCAATAAGCTGTGCAACAATCGTCCTTGGTAATATCTGAGGCTGTAGATTTCACTTGCAGTTCAGCACATAGAGCCCTTAACGGCACAGTCTCTTGCGGCGCTCAGTCCTCTGAGGTCTACTACCTCATGGTGAGAGCCGAATAGCCCCGGATGTCAGTTACGTCAAAGCTACGACGAAACCAGTGGAAACTCTGGCATAGAGGCTTTTTGCAGTGAGGTCTAAGTTGGCTGTAAAAAGTTCCCGTTGCACAGGCGCATAATACGGCTCGAAATTGGGTTTCGTTGTCCATAAACCCGATTGGTTATTAGTCAGCCGAATATCAGGCAGTCAACTTAATCTTTCGCAACCTCCCGTTGAAGGACACGCGGCACCCATTGTCAAAGACCCACCTTGAAAACACAATCGAGTCTACTTTGTCCTGTATCTGAGAACTGCTCAGCCGGTCTGTCGCCGGTACGGGAAACACCCGACAGTGGACAGCTTTGCAGCTCAAGGCCAGAGGTTAACTGCCAGCATTTGGTAGTTCGCTGGGAAGGTCCAGCCAATAGTCTTACTTGTCTGTTCCCCGCAATTCTCCCCAAGCCTTGGCGGCATGGACCCAATTTCACTATACTCCGTCTTCGACCTCGTGATATCCCTGTCTTTTCTCCAAGCTGAGGATAGACTTATCCGAGTCCCAACTTCGAGGTAAACTCGAGATTTCCTGTAAGGTCGGGGACTCTCAACCAGTATAGAGGAAACTAGATGGATTATTGAGTGACATGATCTTGCTTCTAGAATTCTGACCGGATTAGGTGTTTCTACCGGTTGCGTCTACCGGAGTAATGTAATTACTAGGTATGCCAGATTCCTGACCCGCAGGTTTGCGTCGTCCTTAATTTCCTGTGTCTCTGCACTTGCGGGGCAGAAAATTCTAACCCCTATCTGAAATAAACCGATCTACTTATTGTCCTCTCTCTGCACACCGCATGGTGGCGAGTATGACAGGGATAACCACTAGCGTTCGTGATATCACTCTACTGTAGGGACCTGTTGAATCCCTGCCTTTCTAGCTTGCTAATAAATACGGCGGCAGCCCTCTTCCGGGGCAAGAGTTAGGATCGTTGTTCGTTGTTGCAGGTCATTTCTCGTGCACATGATGTGGATGAAACTCCTTCCGATTGCTTCGCTGCAAATCCTTGCTCTTGGAGCGTCTATTCAAGGCCCATGGCAGGTCGCCGACTGCTCCAAATTTGGCGCATCGACGCAGGCTATTGGCAATAACAGCCGAGTCTTGAACGCCACTTACTATCCTACCAATGCGCTGAACATCAGCAACACCTTCAACGCGGTGCCAGTATGTCTCATCTCTGGAAAAGTATCATACGGCACAAACGATCTGTCATGTTCGAGGTCTGGCTCCCGGACGTAGCTGACTACACCGGCCGATTCGTTGTCGTTTGTAAGTCCTATCACCATCATTCTCTTTAGTTGAATTGCATGCTCACATTGCACCCAGGGAACGGGGGTTGCAGTCGGAGATGATAGACAAAGTCAACAGCGGTTATGCTGTAGCTGGAGGTGATTCCGGGCATCGGGCATCGGAGAATAATGACGGGGCTGGAGAGCCGGGGGTACGCATATCCTATATGCATGACGCCGATCAAGTCAACACCTGGATACACAAGTCGATTGCGTATTTCACACCGGCTGCCAGGTCTCTCATCGAAGCGTTTTACCGCCAAAAAACGAAACGTAGCTACTATATTAGTTGCTCTACTGGTGGTGCCCAGGGATTTGCCTTGGCTCAGTTTCATCCTGAGCTCTTTGATGGCATTGTGGCTGGGTGTCCAGGGAACTGGTACTCTCACCTCGCCCTGTCGTTCTTGTGGAACTCGCAACAAACTCAGGCATGTCCTTCCAAGTCCTCACGGCTGAGCCTGGTGTTAATAATCTGATTCGCAGGGATTGTCTTTCTTGCCTCAAGAAACTCTGGACCTGATCACCCGGACGGCCCTATCAGAGTGTGACACTCTGGACGGCGTCGAAGATGGAGTCATCGAGAACCCCCTGATCTGCGACTTCGATATCGCTTCGCTGGAATGCTCTTCTTCGACCAATTCACCCACGTGTCTGACCCAAGCGCAAATAGCCGCAGCCAAGAAGATATATGCCGGGCCTCGCTCTGCCACCACCAACACGAGCTTGTATCCCGGATTCTCCGTGGGAAGCGAGATTGAATGGATGTATCAAGAGGCAACTCTCGCAGATGCCTTCGCCGTCCCCATCCTCCAGAATATGGTCTTCGACAACTTGACGTACGATGCCGATACTTTCAACTGGGGCACTGATGTGGATGCTCTGGATGAGAAAGTGGGCACTTACATCGATGAGATCAGTCCAGATTTATCGGCCTTCAAGGCTGCTGGAGGAAAGATGCTCGTCTTGCAATCCTGGGCCGACCCCTACAATGCCGCAACATGGCCAATCCAGCACTTGGGACAGCTCGAGCAATTTTTTGCCGGAGATGTCGGTGATTGGTTCAGGTTATTCATGGTACCTGGTAAGTGGCCACCTTGCTTTTGTTTTGGATGACTTGTAGAAATGCACTATACTAATAATGTGACTTTAGGCGGTAGACACTGCGGTGCAGCCACCAATTATCCCCAAGTCCCGGCGAAGTGGCACTCGCTGGAATCGCTAGTCCAATGGATTGAGACTGCAGAGGTGCCTACAGAAATGCTGAGCAGCGACCCAACGAATGAGAGCCTGAGCAAGAAGACGAGAAAGTTGTGTCCTTGGCCGAAAACGGCCAAATACCTCGGGGGTGATAGTAATGACTGGACTTCGTTTGAGTGTGGTGTTTAAGGATTGGTACAGTACAGAGGTGGGAAGGTACGGCCAAGTACAGGGCTACAAAACCCCGCCTCAAACCAGAAGTAACCACCATAGAAGAAAGAAAGAAAAACATCTTTTTTGGCCTTCATATAAATCTACATGAAGGCACTTCTGACTCAAAGATGAAAAGGCCTCAAACCACTCAGTTTATTCAAGGCACATATTTAGTATACCAATCTTTACTTTGATAGTGTGTGATTATAATATCCTGTTATACATCGTCTCCCAAGTCTACATACATGACTCTTGAACAGTTATTCGAACTCAAAATCCGCAAACTCTTAGCCATCAAAGCATTCCCGTTGATTGCGCGCCATTGAATTCCATTCTGCAACTGAAATATCGTCTGGCTTCACATTTACACGTTCATCATGTCGACAGAACTCAAAACATCCGATTCTCACAAACCTAGACAGCCTTTCCTGGGCGACTATAAGAAGGACCAGTTCTACAGGGCCGTTGGAACCACATCGAAGAAAGTCGGGATTCGTAGCAAGGCCCTTTGCGCAAATTTCAAGCAGGTACACGTCGAAATCGACTGGGTAGTCGTCAGTCTGAACATTCTGAGCATCATGGTGACGTCCTATTCTCAATATTGTGCTAGGGATTTAAAGAAGCGTTCCGACGAAATCCACCTCCGCCGTGTCCGGGTAATATTCGTGCAGCCTCGCGACCTGGGACTACGCCGAGAACGATAGAGCTTCCGTGAATCTTTTATAGCCTAGTAGTTCATTGCCGGAATTCTAAAGATGTCTCTTAGAAAGAGTTCTGGCTCGGGGTCATGCATGAACCTGTCTTTGGCCATCTTTTCTCGTGATACCACAATGGGATAGTCGCCTCGCTATAACTGCCAGACGCGCGGCCAATCTCCCTCGTCTTGCACGATGCAGAGGGAGTCGACCCAGGGGTATTCTAGTTCCAGGCCCACTAGCCTGCGTCACTGGGATCCTCGCACACCATATTTTCCGCCCCTGAACTGCCTTCACTGTAGCCACCCGCACCTGCTCCACCACTTTCTCATGCTTCACGAATAGATCCCCACCAAACGACACATCAATCCCAGATTTCACCTTCGCATGGGGAGCTTTTGCACAAATCGCATCTAACACCATACCATGCCGCTTCGACATCCCCTCTGCATCCAACCCGTTCTTTTTATCGTCCTTCTCCGCCCTCATAACCCGTCTGCATACTCTAAGAACCATCCTCGAGATCCAGTAGAGTCAAGGCTGTCGGTGAATAGGCCACTGAAGTACCCTAGGTCGTTTTCCCCGCCCACAACGAGGACTATGTAAGCATCACTGGGCACGTCGTTGATTTGTGAGGGAAAGGTATACCCGTGGTTTGTTTGCGGCTCATTCAGTACACTGAGTAGAGTCGCGCCAGGCATGCTTCATTCCATCAATTTTGCGCCCAGACTGTCGGCGAGGAGTTGTGCGACATTGTTGCCGAAGCGGTCGGCGTGCTTGTGGATTTGTATTGGGATGCCCAGATTGTAGACACACTTTCCTGAGCAGCACGAACACGGTGCTAGCGTCATTGTGTCGAAAGTATTTGCGAGCTAGAATGTTCATTGCTATTAAGAAATAATGAGAATTCGCGGAAATGCGGCGGCTCACTGGCCACTGGAAATGAACAGAATACTCTGGGTGCATCATCATGGGCTTTCAAGCTCTCAACTGTAGCGAATTAGACGGCAGTAGGATAAGATAAGGATCGGCACTTACCCCAATGCATACTTAAGTAACGAATGCATCCTTCCTATACTATACAATCACTACTAGACGACTTCGATATTAGTAAAACCTACGCAAAGGCAACAGATCTTACTACTTCTTATAGAAACTTATGTCCAGAAATTTAGAACAAAATATGCATATGTAAAATAGACCGCATAGTACATGCGACTTTCTTAGCAGGCGGTGTATATTTCCTATGTCTAGCTCAAGGGTCGGACTAACCCATTAAATTAGTAAGCAAAACGCTAATGATGTTACCCAACCAGTGATCCTGGTAAGGCAAGAAAAGTTTAATAACTTTTTAGTCGGATACACGGCTAAGAAATGAGGCTATCGCTGCCCTCGCCGGCGCCGTCCCCTAGGAACATACTGGCGGAGTTGGCTATAGCTGTGAAGGTCAACCCTCGCAGACTCACTACAACCAGGTGACTTACAGCTGGAACACCTGCCGTGGCAGTGTCAGATGGGAAGCCAATCATAACCCTTGTAGGAGCCCCGCCAAGCGTGGATGACTTAGTCGCGCTCCCTCAAACCTAAGTTGTCATCTTCTTTCCTTCGCTCCTTAGAGTAGAATCTTCGTCGATAGCACCTAATCGAGGTCTCTACCAATGCGATGCAACCCAGGTCGTGACAATAGCCTCCTTTATAGCCTCGTCCGATTCATCCAGCCAATTATTTTACCTAGCCGTATCAGCCGTCAGAGACCCAAGCCGAATGTTCAGCTAGCCTATTAAGCTGGCTCTATACCAACTTCCCTGTATCTAGCACATACTGTGACAGGCTGTGCCTGAAATGGGATCCGGAGCTGCAAGAACCTTGCGTCCGGATCCACCAAAGGAACCATCGAGGGCATATAAAAACATGGTTTGTGTTCCCGGAAAAGTCGCTTATTTTACTTTCCTCCTCAGTTAGATAATTAACAGTATTTGCCCATGTTGAGCTGTATAGTTTCGCAGTGAGCCCGTCACACATACTTATAATACCGGCGTTCAGGTTTAGCCGCTATAAAGTAACCACTCATATTTAGCTAACATAGAATATATTATAGTTATTAGCTGTAGTTAAGAGAGTTCACACTCAAATCGATTCACGGCTTAAGAGAGATACGATAGGTTATGGTTCTTGTAACATCACTTAGTGTAAATTATTGTATTAGCAATGTAAACTTCTCACGTCTCATAGCAAGAGGGCGACATAATGAACGGCGCAGCCAGATAGCTTAACTAGGTTATGTTAGTTTACTGAAACATCGGGCTAATCCAGTATAATCTCATCTTTCGAAAATATGTGTAACGAAACCTCTAATAGTCTAGCTGCGTAAACCACTAAAGAGTCTGTAAGGGTTTGTGCTAGTAAGTAAGTCCTGCTGCGGAGTCCTCAAGCAATAATATCGGGGTCTGACGTATGGAGTATAGGGCTCTGGGTAACTGAAGTATTCAAGTAGGGTAACTGGGAATAGAGTCGTCAAGGCAGTTTGCCTCACCAATGGGTTAGATTGATGCTTAGATTGATCACTGAAGTAGAGACTGTCTATCTATGAAATGCCTGGGAGTCCTGTCCCTTATATATCCGTCTCTCCTTCACTGATCCCCACTTGGATATGTTTTCTGCCAACATATCCTGTTGGTTGGATATGTAGTTGACCAACATATCCACCCCTGTAGGTCACGTGACCTGTCGGTCTTTTCCTTTCTCCGATGCGGGGTCCCGTGATCCTAGCGTCTGTATCCACCTGGCCTGCCAACGGGCCTGTAATGTTGGTCTCGGGCCAACGGTTCGTAACAATATGTCGGGCGGTTTTATTATGACTGCATATTCCAGCAATCGCAGGACTGGGCTGATATAGTAGATGATTGATTTAGACTGGTATATAACACAGGATTCGTTCTATCTCAACTCAACTAAGACATAGGGTGATACAATTCGTTGGATGATCAACATTAGAAGGCTAGTGCATGAAGATTGGGGAAGGGGGAGAGGGACTCATTATCTCTAAAATCGAGATGTAATATAGTCTAAAAAGCAGCTGCTGAACTCCATCCTAGGATATCCATGAATGTGCAAGACGAGGGGCCAGAGACCTGTCTGGCTTGGCAGTGTTGACATCGAACGAAGGGGTTCAACATCAAAAGTGACACACACACGCACTCTAGAAGCACTTTTCGATGCAACACCTCCCGTTCGATGCGGATCAATAAAAGCAAACCATTTCGCACACAGACACATTTGGACTCAAAGACCCGGAACTGGGAGTCAGGTATTATTGATATCACGCACCTGTGCTCAGCTGTGATTGTCCACGTCTCAGATACAATATAACTGATCAGTCCCAAATTCGAATGGGCTTTGCGAATTGCTTATCTTTTCTTCCCACTTGTACATACCTAACACGATGCCGACTACCGACGAACCCAAATCTGACCAAACCCAGTTTAACCTCGCAGTAAACGCCCTAATCAAATCCCGCGAAGGCATTATGGAACTGCAGCCCGAAATCCAAGCGCTCCTCGAGCGACAAGGTAAGGTCGCCCGCGAGCTACGACTCACCAAGTCAGCAGCCGAGTGTGCAGTCGCATCAGGCGAGGTGGACAAGTACAGTAGCGTTACCTTCGTTCTATTCAAAAGCAGAACAGAAATGCAGGAGATACGAGACGAGCTGAGGCAGCTCACTAAGTTATGCGATGAGGTTGAGGAGGAGATGAGGACGGCGTTCCTGATACTGTTGGCGAATCCGGACCTCAAGAGTTGAGCACGAAAAGCCTTTCTTGTGTATTGTGCTGTCCAAGGTCTTGTCCCGCTGTGTAGAGGAGAGGCGAGTTGGATTGCTTTAGTTTTGGGCTGTCAAACATGATAGCCTCACCTTTTTAGTATTGCGTAAGAGTCCAATACTAACCTGTAAGACTAGGGCATACTACTTCCTGTATTGTCGCCTTACATCAACCACCAAGCAAAAACAAGCAGCGCACAGTGATGCAAAACTCGAATGACGATCTGAAGAAACGGTTAATACCATTAGCTATAATGTTCCGCAATGACGAACCCCGGCTGTAGCCTGGCCGCTAGCCTGCTTGACGTCCGAGAGAGCTGCATATGCTTATGCATCGTAATCCAACCATAATCCAACCAAACCAGACATGAGCCTCTGTGGAACCCCAACTGCGAAAATTCTGCGGAGCCTCGTCAGCCGTATTTGAGTTACAAGTCATCAGGTCAGGATCAGGCTGCATGGATGCCTATCACTGGACGAAGTGCGACTGCGAACAATCCAGGGGCGAAAACGGCCCCCAAATCCAACTGACAAGGCATACTTAAATGGCATGTTTGCCCATTATCCCATTATTTTGGAATGTTATTTTCGTGCTTACACACTATCTTGCAATTACTGCAACGAATTTTTGGGACTATCGAAATGTCGAGTTCTCAATTCAGACAAATGTCATCAAAGACAACTTTGGCTCGTCCGACACCAGGTCTGGGCCCTCAAGAGCCGAGCCCATCATCACACAAGGCTCCAAGCAACGGCGGAAGCAGAGCTACACCGCGCTTCCTTTCCGACCTGATCAACACAGATAGGTTGAGGGAAAGAGCGGCGCAGGTTGAAACGCCGCCAATGTCTGTAAACGAGGTTGTCCCTCAACACCTCCGGATTCCACGGTCTAAGACTCCGTTCCACCACAATCCACGGGTCAAGTCGCCGTGGAACGGAGCGCATCTGCCTAGGCAGGGCCAGAGTGAAGTTGAGTGGTGGTGGAATCTGCCGGACCCGTATTCGTCAAACAAGAGACCCAAAGGCTTTCATTAATACAGCAGAAGAAAGGGAGAAAGGGGGTTTGGAAATCTCAACTCAACTTTGGTCTCATGTTAACACCCTATGCGCCAACCAACGTCTATCAGATGGTATCATCAAACCTACATGAAACTACATACAGGAAAACGGGCAAAGAAGAACATAGGCCTAGGAGCGGTCTAGTGAACCATGGACTTCCCAATCTCACTCTTCCAGCCGTCGGCCCTCTCAAACCCATTGGAATGAGTCTGGTAATCCATTAGAGCCTGGTATACCTCCTCCTTGCTGCTCAACACGAAAGGCCCGTACTGCACCACAGGCTGATCCAACACCTGGCCAGCAATGAGCACGAACCTAGCACCGTTCTTCGCAATCCCAGGCACCGTCGCGTGCACCACGTCGCCCTCGCGGTCAAACACGACGTTGTTATACTGATCGGCGTGCGTCTGCCCCTCGCCAACCCCAAATTCAGCCGCGCCCTCCAACATATACGCAAAGGCATTCCACCCCTTCGGTAGAGGCTGCGCGATCTTGCCGCCGGGCTTAATCTCAATATCCAGAATCCACACAGGCGTATACGCCAGATCCTTCACGCTATCCACGCCGGCCGCGTTGCCCGAAATAATCTTGACGTGCACCTTATCCCCATCGACATCGACCTGTGGTATCTCCTTGGCCCTCAAATCGCGATACCTTGGCTCGCACTTCTTCAATTCGGTCGGCAGATCAACCCACAGCTGCAATCCCACATTGGCGCTGCCGTCGGGGTTCTGCCGCGGCATCTCGGCGTGCATGATCCCTTTGCCCGCCGTCATGAATTGTAGGTCGCCCGCCTCGATGGTGCCCGCGTTGCCGGCGAAGTCCTCGTGGTCCACGCCCCCGCTGAGCAGGTACGTGATGGTTTCTTGCCCCCGGTGCGGGTGGTCGGGAAACCCGGCGCCGGGCTTGATGCTGAAGTGGTCGAGCATTAGGAAGGGCGAGAAGTTGCGGAGTTGGGGCGTGCCAATTGAGCGGCGGACACGGGCGCCGGCGCCTTCGGCTTGTTCAATGGCGAGGAAGACTTTGCGGATGGCGCGAGGGGCTGACATGTTGGCGCTAGGGGTGAGGTCTTGGGGGGTGTTTTGAAACGTGGTTCTCGTGATGAGTGTCGATTCTGCCGCGCTTCTTGTGTTGCTAGAGTTTTGGAAGTGGCTGCTCAGTGTTAAGAGGCTTGCTGTCGCGAAGTAGAAGATGGGTTCACGGAACACGATAATGGACAAAACGGCTACGATGACGGAGATTGAAAGCGAAAGGAACTTCATTGGGACGGAGTGGATAAGGGCCATTATACAGGAACTGAAGGACAGGCTAGCGCGGTGGGTGCATCTTATAGAATTATCATGAAGATTCTGCTCTGACGACTTCTTTCCCCCCTTCTGGCGGCTGCTTGTATTGGTAAATGGTTTGAAGGGCATCACAAATTCCGCGATCTCGTCTTGCCCCCCACCTTAGTAATTAGTAACTCTTACATCAGCGCCCTTACCCGGAAATATACTAGCGCACGGGTAATAATGCAGGCATGCTGACTGAAGCAATCGTAATCATGAACTGAAGCTCTCGGATTTGACGACATGTCGTTGCATTTGCAGCATTTTGACGGAGGTAACTTTCATTCAAGTCGCAGTATTGCTGGCGCTAGGCTACTTGGCGCCTTTTTCACATTCTGGATCATCGATCGCCTCGTACCCGAGCTAATTAATGTCCAATTACTTATGTCTGAGATGCGCACGAGGGGAATGGATTTTCTCCGGTGGAATTTCCTGACTCGAGCACTCGATGCTGGCATCACCTTGAAAATCGCGGCGTTATTATTAATTCGAAAGCTAGTCAACAGCTACCTGAAAATGTCTCACGTGCCACGTGACAGGTACAATGCCGCTCAACACGGGGAATGCCGTCCTTCCCTCCTAGTGGTGCTATTTGCGGCAGCGGAGGCGACGTAAAGCTTGCTGTATCCTGTAATATTTCCCTCTTCTTGGAACCGAGATGGGGGTAGTCACCGCGACCTCAAAGGTTCAAGGTATTTCATAAGCAGGAAGTGAACGAACTGAGATCAACTCGAAACAACCCATGGCTCCAGTCCAGGTGTCTCGTGAGTCGTAACAAAATACCATGGGGTATAACGCTGGCTTTATTCATAACACCTTCACGGCCCCCGAGTGCGAAGACAGAGCTCTTGCTTGGATTGGAAATATGAAATTTTACTCCAGACTAGTTCATCGTCGACACCATTCAGAAGCCCAATTTGGTTGCAACACTCAAGCCCGCTGTAGTAATCAAGAAGCCAGTTGAGGGCATGGTTGCAAAATACTGAATGTTCACATAGAGCCAAGAGACAAATATCCTACTTGTTGATGCTACTTGCGGATTTGCTGTGCCTAAACCAGTATTAGTTGTCTCGTTAGGTCACGTCGCGACTGTAGCTCAACTACCTCGTCCGTTGAGCTTGCACAAAGTCTCCAAGCAGACTGACTCACAACATAAGAAGAATTGCCATGAGACTCTTTGGGGAATCCAGCTCTCCTTTTCCCTGATCCTCATGATAAAGCCTTGCAGGTCGCCATTCTCAACCCATTCCATTATTAGAACCTTGAAATGTTCCAATTTACATCTTTGCCCATCATATGTTTTCAAATACTTTGTGGAGCGTGGCTCTGCCTCATGTTCATCGTCATCGTCGCCATCATCACCTCGTTTTCACTTCCGACCCGCGAGTTTCCAAGCTTGAAAGTCCTTTGACTCGTTCAACGTTGGGTTTGACTTGAAGAAAATGCCCTGCGCAATATGCTCGCAGACCTGAAGTTCCTAAAAGCCCACTGTTAGTAGTAATCATTTCGCCCAGGCTTGTGTGTTAATCTCATTGAGACCGAAAGTATGCGAGCAGTCCTTAATGTATTTTCACACCGCCGACCTCTTTTGGATTGGATTTTGTACCCTCCTTTTCGGGTACCGGATCTCCTCGAAACTAGGTTATTACAATATTATATAACCATCGCCGTCTTCATGCTAATACTGTGTTCAAACACAATTGCCATGCCACCTCTACAGAGCTTTGAGCAGGAGTCAAGAGAACTAGAGTTACCTTCATCACCGGCTACGAAGAAGCGTTGACCCCTCACACCTCTCTGCAGCTCACGCCAAACTGCACCCGTCACATCCACCCCACCTCCTTCCTCAAAGCCTTCGCTAAGGAAGGAGCACGATATTGGATCGACCTAGGGTAGATGAGCGCCCCGCTAGAAGGGAGGGACAAGGTCTGCTCCATCTTCTGTGGTTCCTCAAATTTCTCGATGACGGAATGAAGACCCAGAAATATTCCCAAGTGTGCCAGGTTTGTGTCGGTCATGATGTTGGCGGTGGCAAGGGGCAGGGAGGAGAAAGGTACCTGAAGGGGTGAGGACGCCCACGTTCATCTCAGGTTATAAATCTCCTTGTTGAGACTACTAATGGCGAAACAGCGCGGAGCGCGGAAATAAGAGAAGAATGTCTAACAACAAAGAAAGAAACGGAAAACACCGTCTGAATACGGGCTACCAGAACAAATGATGGATGAGATGAACTGTATCCATCTGACGTATTTCAGAGCTTCCTACCCCTAGGAGACGTAATTCGTAATGATCTATGTGATAGGGCTACTCGCCTGGAAAAAAAATTACCGCCCACAGGGGATTACAAAATACCGATAGGGCTGAGATATAGCAAAAGCAATTTAGAGTGGACCAACTTCACCACACTAGTCAACAAGCCACGAACTTACCCGGCTTGGTCCATCCAAACTCTACGCGTTCATCAGGTTGGTCACGTGTAGTGGGCAAGCGTTGCGAGTAAAAGTAAGTTTATTGGCATTGCTTGAATGGATAACCCCCTGCCTGTGATCAAGAAGCCAATATGACTTAGTCTACCTGTGTGGGGAAAAAGCCGTTGCAGCATGGCCATAACTATTAACACTTCCTGATCTCATCATGTTTGATTCTCTATCTGTGATGATTGGAGAGATTAAGGGCCGATATCAAAGGTCACACATAACCATGAGCGATCAAATTGAAGGAATCATGGTCAAAGATATCTCATCTCATATTACTAATGCTGCCGAGGAAAGAACATGAACTGAAGGTAGATGGATTTCGCTATGGCTACACCTAACAGACAAGCAAGACTCCAGCAACCGCACAGAAGAGATCAAAAATCGCCATCTTTCAAAAAATGATTGTCCCCGCATTCACAGTCATAATCGAGCACACCTGCTTTCATTCAGATCTACACATCATCAGATCTGCCCACACACACACACTAGACTGCCAGAGGGTCAAGTCTGTTCAGTTCTGTTTGAAAATTTAATACTAAGAAATTAGCGCCCGTAACCTCGGACACAAGAACATATGGTAGTTGACGAGAGAAGTACAAAAAGGTCCAAAACAAAGTCCAACAACGCCAGGTACAACAGCTAGTCGACCAATATGGAGAAAACTGACATGTAAAGAAGTACATATGCACAGGTATTGCTGATCAAATCAAAAGGGCCCCCAGGAAGTCGGGGCGAAGAATATGGTATCTCAGACCATGATACAGAGCAGGGGTATATTCCGACTTTCAGCGGGTGCCACCCAGAGCGCTTATCCGGGCACCCGAAGGCCGGTGAATGAGGTTACCTGTGTGTTTGCTAATAATGGCAGTCTCGCTTTCGCTGCGGTCAGCAAGACTATCTTCGTCATCTTCCACAATTTTGGTGGGAATGTCGCTGTGGATCATGTATTGCTGACTTGAACGCTCGGGCGTGGTCATTGTCGAAGCGATGGACATGGATGTGCTGCTTCGGTTTGGGATCAAGTCAGGGGTGGGAGGAATGCTGGATGTGCGACCAGATGGGTGCAGGTGGCTATCCTCTCCTGCCTCAGAAGTGGCGGCCGAGTGGTCGTGACCATCATCGCTGTGCACAGCCGAGAGCTGGCTGGCACGGCGGGAGTTAGAGGAACGACGAGACTCAATCTCGGGGTCGCCTGACAGGTTGAGACCTTCAACGGCAGCTTGGCATTGCTCGGCAATGTTTCGGATGATGTGGGCAATGGCATCGGTCTTGTCCTTGAGATGGCGGTCGGCCACATCCATGAAGCTCGCCGTCGACAGACGCTGGTTCGCATTGTGTACACGAGTCAGATTCTTTGCAAGACGCTCATCGGCTAGGAAAATTGTCAGTGTCAACTGTTTCAGAGTTTTGGGAATCATGTGCTGACCCTCGGAGTGATCATCAACGCTCTCCCCCTCATATCCGTCCTCCACATCGTCGGCAATTTCCTCAGGCTTAGTGAGAGACTGCACTAGGTGCTCCATGTGGTGAGACTGGCCACCGATCAAGCTGCGCAGGTGCAAAACAACACGACGGGCCTCATCGCGTTGGCGCACAAGCGTGACATTGGTGTGCTGCAGAGCACCCAACTCCTTCTTGTTCCTCTTGCGCTCACGCTCGAGCTCTTCAGCAATCTCCTGCTGGAGCACGAGAGCCTCGAGGGCATCATCTCGCTGCTTCTCAGTACCAGCCAAGCGGGCAGATAACCTGGCATTGTCGTCTTTCTGTTGATCGATGAGGCCACCAAGTCGTCGGTTCTCACGCTTGTGATTCTCGATCTTCACCTTGAGTTCCTCCGTTTGTTTGGTGAGTGTTTCGGTAAATGCTTGGAATTTGAGGAATTGCTGTTTCCAAGACTCGAGCTCCTCGACCAGATAATTGTTGCGCTTGGTGACCTTGGCGAGCTCGGTGTCCATGCGACCCTTGAGGTTGATGAAGTCTTGCCACGCCTCCAACGCATCTCGGGAGTACTGATTGCGTTCCCGAACAATCTCGTTCAAGTGTCTCATCGAAACCTTGGTCATCAACGGCTTCTTGACTGTTCCTCCGAAGACGGCCTTCAATCCGCTGTTGCGGCCCATCTTCTCGCAGACATGATCCATGACCGTCATGACAGCATCTTGATTCCACCATTCGGGGTCCTGGATAGACTCCACCTCGCCGCGCATCACAATAATCTGACCAGCGGGTACGAGCTTGCCACCACCATATGCGGAGCGAAGGTGCTGAGGCACACCAGATGGCGCCACATCACCATGGAGGGCCTCGGTGAGCCTCGTCACAAACTTATTGCGTTGGCTTGCGTTGAGGGCCGTAGGGGGACTAGAGGTGAGAACAAAATTGCGGTCCAAGTCAACGACCAGAGCGTCGGTAGGGGCGGTGAACAGGGACCGGCACTCAGCCGTGATACCTAGAATGTATGGGCCAGGCTCCTGGACGAGCTCCTTGGCGTGACGAGCGTGTACTACCGGTACATAGAGACCACTCCATTCGTAGACTCGCACACAGTATCGGACTGATTCGGCTGCCATTGTCAACATCGCGGGGTAATGACTGACGAAAATAATTCTTCTAGTTGGAGAAATGGCGGCCTCAATGACACCGACAATATTGGGTATCGACAGACAAGTCCATAGGGGCCACATGGCAAAGTTTTGGAAGCCAGTAGGCGAAGAAGGGAATTGGTAGCAAAGAGCATAGTCCTTCATATCGATACGGACCAAGTCGTTGAGGCGAGGAGCAGGAAAGCTCAAGATCCTAGACACCTCCTCGGCGTGGAACAGGTTGGTAGCCTTGTTCCAGTGAATCCACATGCCGCGGAGATAGTCACCGAGCAAGTTGTAAAGGGGGTATCTGGAGAGGAAAGACAAGCAGTAAGGAATCCAATAAGTTTCGTCGGCATTGTCATAGAAGTCCGGCTCGGTTCGCTTCCGGAGGTCGCGTATAGTCTCTGCTCTCTTCTCATCGGCTCGCGACCAGACTCGCAGGCAGATACCGTACAGAGTATGGGATGAATCTTGTTGAAGCACAAAAGCGTGGTGGACGCAGTGTGGCTGGCTGCGGCCGGTGCATATCTCTACATCGTGGGGGAAACAAGCCTACTACTGTTAGCAACCGCAGCTAGCACAATCTGCAGCTCGTCGACGTACCCTCATAGCAGCGTGCAGGGCACGGGCAATTTCGTTGTCTTGCTCGAGTCGGGGACTGGACCCAAGGATCTCAGGAAGCCAAAACTGTCCCACAGCACCCTTCATGTGACCAATCTTTCCCTGAGCTGGAGCAGGAGCTTTGACCCATTGCGATGGCTCTCGTCCCACACCGCATACCATGTAGGCATGGGTTAGCGTCTTCGGCGTCCGTTGTTGAGGCTTGCTGTTGAGTGTCGACGGGATGGGCTGGGTGATTCGAGAGTGCAGTGAAGAGGTTCTGCTTGGGATGATCAAGTTGTTGTCGCTCTGGTCACGGGTGCTGGGTCGACCGTCACGGTCGCTCGTGCGCGGGCGCGTAAAGGACGTGTGGGCAGTGAGTGAGGGCGCCATGGTGGTGATGGCTCGTCGACTAGATGTGGAAGCAAATGTTCATTTACCATTCCAAGCTGATCCTCACAGACGATTTTGCGCGGATGTGAAGCTGCTCGCAATGGCAACCGAGTCGGCGAAAGGCGAGTACTCGAGGTTCCGAGACCGAAGCTGGGTTACGGGAGGTCCCGGCTAGTTGAATCCCGAAAACGAGTGACACCAGCGAACACCAAGCACGAACCCGCAAGCAGCTCGAAATTGACCTGCTTGACTTGAAATCGTCCCAGAATGCTCAATCAATCTTCCGACAGAATGAACAGACGACTACTTCAAGTGGGGGGGAGAAGAGAACGTGAGGGAGGACAGAAAGACGCTCAGAGAGAGAAAAGAGAAAACGGAATGGAGGCAAGAGGTCCCAGCACAGATAGAAAAGGCGTGGCGTGGTGGTTCTAGTTGAGGAAGGGAGGTGCCCCGAGGCCGACGCAGCAATACCAGCGTGCAGCGTGTGCTACCTACGCAGTTTGAAATGCAACTAGGAAATAAGGCCAGGCCTAGCTAGGACGAAAGAGGTACAGATGCTCGCAAGCGGACTGCACTGTTGATGCACTGTTGCAGGGAACCAAGCCAGGGATTGATGGTGCGCGAACGCAAGACGGAAGTCCAGGAAGTACCCTATTCTTTGTATTGTGTGGACGACGGCGGCAATAAAAAAACAAAAAAGAAGATTGTGGTGGTGGAACTTGCCAGTAGAAGCGGGTATATAGTCCGTACCGCACTTCCAGGGTGCGTTTGAGTTACCTCTCATCAAAAGTACTGGATACAAGGCAGGGTCAAACGGTGCTAGGTCCGCCTCGTGCAGCTACCCCCTACTTTCTCGAAATTTTGGGTGCCCCACTATTCCAGGCACAGCCAATGGCGGGTTGATACGGCCAGCAAGGGATCGATAATGCGGGGCCGAGTGGAAGACCTGAATTGGGAGGCAATTTGCGGCGTGAGGACCGAAAAAATGAAAGAATTGAAGCTGGCGAAGGAGGAACCATATCCGCGCACTGGGCAGACAGAGACACAGACAGCCAGATCTTCAGCATGGAAGCCAAACCTAGCCAGTATCGTCGCCTTGTTTGATCTTGTTGGACTAACGGGAGCGAGCATGCCTGGCGACCTTTTCACGATCTCTTGCGTCTTACATACAGGAAATGAGAACGAGGAACCGCAATTCACAGGTATAACAAGCCGTTCGCATAGTTGCCAAAACTCCAATTCTGAAAGAGAAGTTACGACATCGACCCATGGTATAATATCCATTGTATGCCCTCAAGGTCAGGGACAAGTTGTGGGGTCCGAGTGATCGTCATGCGATATGGCTTTGGGTCTTGTCTAACTCTTAGCGAGATGTAGCAAAAAGAAAGTCGTTGCCTCTCTCGTCAAGGTCTGAGTCTCAGGAACTTACACTCTCCATCGATCGTTAGCCACAGGACTCGGTCGGCAACGAGCGTGAGCCAGTTGACGCCTCGCGCAAGATGCTACATGGACTTGGTCCAAATCCTTATCTTCCCGCTCACCACCTCTGCATCCGCCGTCATACACGGTGAATGCCGTTAAGAATTCGACAACTCAAGCATTCGAGGATGTCGTCGATAGTGGTATTTAATCATGAAATGTGGATCTGCTTGTGCATCAATTTAAAGCTAAAGAGCACATGGCAGCCCGCCGCCCACTGATGCTACCCGAAAACACGATGTTGCAAAAAAAGGGGAGCAGGAACGAACCAGGCAAGCCAGGCTTGCTGATCCCCGTATCTCGTCAGAGCTGCCAGGCGGGGTTGAAAATCCGTGACGAACACCTTCATCACCTTCATTCTGATGGCTTGAGACATTCGTATACTCGACACCGGCCAGCCACCTTTCTGAGACGAATCAACAGACATATCTCGTTTATTTGTTCATTTCTACTGAGTAAACGGAGTGTGCTGCATCGTCATCTATTTCAGTCCATGTCGCTGCAATGGGCAACCAAGGCGCAGATGCAACGCAGCTGATCTCTTCTCGCGGCAATGCCTATCGTGATCTAAGCGTTTCCATACGCTTTGACCCGTGGCAATGGTTCGAAGGAATTCGTGCAGCCGAAGGAAGCCAAGAAGCGGGCAACTCACCTTAGCGGGGCTGCTGACTTTCATGATTCGTCGAAACTGATATGGCTGCACACTGGGTCCTATCTAAGCTGCGTTCCTGTCACTATCGCAACATCACCCTCGGTTGGAGAGACACTATGTAGGGAAATTTATGTCATCGTCGATCATCTTGTCTTGGTCCCAAGGATTCGCCGCATCGTCTTATGCCCGCTGTCGGCCGAAACATGACTAGCAGTCAGTTTACTTACTATAGTACTGCTCAATACTGGGTGTCTCTCATCACGAAGGATGGCAAGGTGAACAGCCCGTTTGCAGTACTTTCCCCAAATAGGTCCGCGTCCGTGTCCAAACGCCACGAAACTCGGACCGCTTTACACCTGGTCATATTCATTAAATCCATCGCCTAATATCATGTACGGCCCGGCTCATGACTCGAAAATCAGTATTGGAGGGTGAAAGACTCGGATTCCTTAACGGCGTGACGACTATGTATCACCCACACGTTACATTGAGCTGGACTCGATTGCGTTGCACAGAAACCAGATGCTTCAGAGGTCATTCAAATGAAGTGCAGTAAGTGTACGGAGAGATAGCCAATGTCAATCGAGCTCTCACTTGAGCTGTGCGACCCGTCGGGCGTCTCCCTGCCGTCTCTGCTTGACAAGGCTAATGATAAGAGCGTTGAGCTTGATGACGTGGTGCAGTAAGGTGAGGGGTCATTAATAGGTGCCGCTATTAAAACACACTCCCCGGTTTGGCAGCATCCTGCGGGCACTTGTGCTCTGCGCCATGTTTGATGCGGCACCAACGAACAACTCGAAACGCTTGGGGGTCACAGCAGGTCGATTGTCCTTGCCCTTCCCTTGCTTCCTCAATTGACACTGTGGTCGCCAAACCAAACCAAACCAGACCAGACGACAGCGGTACGAATATTTGTATTCCGAGTCCCTGATGCCAGATGCCGCCATCCATCCCCTTGCATCATCATGGTCCGCAGCCAACCCTGGCTTCAGTCGTTCAACCATTCAATCCCATGGACAGATGAGCTTGGATCATATAGATACCAAAACTCAACTTGGGAGCACCACAGACATGAACAACCGCTGACAGCACCTTAATCGGCGCCGGCTCTATGGTCTCTGCGCTGGACCAAAGACTATCGAAAGGGCAATCAGATGAAAAGAATTCTGAGTAGGTGCGTGTTCCCACACCAAAGTCCATTATTATTATCGAGGGGTGATTTCTGCACTCGGCCCCACCCCGCCCACATGAGCCGAGCCTGTGGTCGCGCAAAGTTGACCTCTCAAGGCGTGCAAGTTAGCGCATTACAACCCCAATAATACCTCGTCTTCCGTCTCGTTTTCCGTGTTGCGAAGAATAACGATAATTCTTGTCCAAGTAACAAAACGCTACCTAACCTCTCACCCAATTTGCATGCGTTGATCAGTCGCTTGAAATGGGGTATCTCATCCGCCAACAATCTGCATGTCTGGAGAGGTGGGTTGTTCTTTCGACATGTCGATCTTCAATCAAATTGACACAAAAAAAGACCTGCAAAACATAAAGGATCTGCCGCCGACGTTTCCAAGGCCCCAGAGCCACTACCACGTACTTATATGCTACCTATAGTAGCACTGTCCTTTCAACAGCATCAGATTTTGATGACCTCTGCATTCAATGACATTGGCGGTCAATGGAAGCCCCCGATTCCTCAAAACTTTAGCAATAGGACGCTATCCGATTAGTCTATCTCCTATAAACTAACGCACCCAGCTATGGCACTAGCGCTGTTGTCATGCAACCCCTGGCTCAAGCAATTTGAAGAGTGTGCTTTGACCCCCGCTTCGACTAGTGCACGGTGCTATACTCAATCACGTGAATTCTACGCCTTCCTCTTTCCAGCTGTTCGGCCGATACAGCCAGTCGTATGGGTTGCAGCTGACGTGGTCTGTTGATGGATTGCCAGTGCAAGGCCGATCATCCCATATCACGACGACAAGCTTTCGGATGCGACAAATCGACGACTCCGGTTCTTGGACGATGTCCAGACTCTTGAAACCGACGTTGTAGCCAGCCCGGCCCGAACCGTCTACTCGTATTAGTTTGTCATGAGAAATACGCTTAGAGATGAAGTCGCTAGAGGAGTGCCCTTCGTGAAGGAAGAAGAAACTTGGCGATACCATTTAGTAATCTCATATTCACAAGGTCCTCCAGGAAGAAACCGCCGCAATCTGTCTATAGGATGGTGAAGTGGCAACTACAAAACCAGCTTCTACCAAGTACGAGTCGAGGTCCCCCGGTGGACCTTCGGATAAAAGCCCGCCTGCTCCTGCTCGTCCGGCGATTCGGCCCCGCCTCCGACCGCATCACGCCCGGTCCTTGTCTCGTATGCCCGTGCTGGCAAGGCTATCCCATCGGCCCCGTGGAGTAAGTACCCTTTCGATGCCCCCACCGCCCCCCACTCCCAACAAGCTGCAGGTCTGATTGATTACGTTATCGAATTGAACACGAATCTTCGAGTGAAAAAATAGCAAATTCAGAATGAACTCGATTGGACAAACAGCTTATTGGTCGAGCAACGACTGCGCTACTGCATCTCCGGCATGCTGTGCAGATACAGAAACTCCAGAATACTTCGAGCTCATGACCCAGGAGCTGGAGCAAGATAGAGCGGTCCACTGAGCACTATGAAGATCAGTCCACTCCAAAGATGAGTTCATCGATGCGTCCGAGTTATTTACAACCAATGCTGGTATTTAACCTCCCCCCCAGAACCGGGCAACGCGTGCGTTCCACCAGTGGCCGTCTGTGCAGAACGTCTGTTCTCGAAATCTCAATGAGCCATGCCCGCGGCAAGTGGCCGGGCTGATCCATCGTCTTTCGATCCAGATATCGCACCCGATGGCGATCGTTTATCCCCAAGTCTAGGATCGATGAGTTACCTGTCGTGCGGCTCCATTGCGGTGGGAGCAGGTTTGTCTCGATCCACGGAAGTACTAATCCGTCAATGTACGATTCAATCTTTAATGGAACGCTATATGTTTTGAACATGATGCATAACAGGGTCGTCACACTGGGGTGCAGACTAGGTGTTGAGACGGGTTGATAGTGAGCTCTTACTCTGGTTTGTCCTCGGCCGGAGTCATAGAGCATTGCCAAGAAGCAACATCTCCGGATGAGGGCCCACAAGATTGTCCGAGAGGTTTGGTGAGAATTCATGACTGGGGTCACTGATTGAATAAGAAACAAGTCATGTTGAAGATGTTGACCAATTAGGGTGGGGTCTCTTTGCGAGTCAGCGGGTATGGCCCTCCTTGGGTATTGGTAAAAATTGTCCACATTTGAAAATTTGGAGTATTACTCGAGCATTGTCTTTGCTCAAGGATTTACCCCACGTATTCAAAGACAACTTCGATATCGTCTTGCGCAACCCAGAAGGCGAAGTCATTCGATGGTGTGTGCTTTGTCTCCGTTCTCGGGACGTGTTGATACTCCCTGGGAAATCCCTGGGTCACTGCAAGTTTGATTCTATCGACCGTTTGCTCGCACACTGCACGTAGCAGGTCACTTGGGAGTTTTAAGGCCGCCTTAAGTGATAGACTTACAGCACTCTTCGACTCGGTCAGGGCTGATTATCTTGTGCTAGAATCAAACCTATTTCTCTGAACCGACTCTTCGCAATAGAGGAGCGAAAACTGCACAAGTTTTTCTTGATACCGGGAACTGTAGCTTTGTAGTTCAAAGGCCATGCCTGGCAATGTATCCGTAGCAGAACTAGCTGTCTTCACACGATAATCAAATTGATATTCGTCGAATAGCATGACTGCTCCCGATGGAAAAAAATCATGAAAATTTTTTCAAAGTCGACATTCGCGACCTATCCATAACATCTGTAGATTCATATGCTAGAAGGAGGAAGGATAATGATTTGCCTGTGACAACAACAAAAGCTAGATCTAAATCTCCTTTTGAGAAAGAAGAAGATCAGAAAAGGCTATATTCCTCTAGCAATATCAGCCTTAACTCGGGTTTCTTCTTGACAAGCACCGAGCTATAGAGCTTGAGCACTTGGTGCAGCATTTTGGCTACTAAAATAGAAGTTGTATCTCCATCAGTTTCACCAGTGGCCCTAGATGGCCGCACATGAAGTCAAACAGAGTCCAAAATAGTCACACAACGGGTTGGTCACATGAAGTCCGATGGGAAGGGGTATGGTAGCCAAGTACTTCAAAAAGCTGAATGTATCGGCCAGTCAGGTGCCTTGGTACCAATGTCTTACAACGCTATAGTTGATTCCGAACATCACGAGAGTCTACATATAGATGAGTGATATTGCTCTCCAGATCAGAGTCATTTACTGACTGCAGCTTGACTTAACCCGTCTATGACAGAACAAGTCACTGTTATAAGGTTGGGCAGACCAAGACTAATCGGCCCCACAGGTTCTTGATTAAGTGACAATGCAATTGTAAACATAAACTTCACAGGCTACAAAGACAAATCACTAGATAAAGAACATGGTAATGCCGCGAGAAAATCCGTGATGTGTCATATTATCAGGTATCCTCCTCGCGTAGCCAACAAGCCAGCTCCCCCTTCACTCTGGAAAGACCAAGGAACTGAGTGTAGATAATGCAGAGTTTTTCCTGCTGAGAACCGAGACAAAATTTCTGATCAAGTTTATAAAGTCGAAACGCTATCACACCAATTCAAACCCGTTTTTTCACACAAGTTCACCATGCGTCCTTCCATCGCCGTATTCACCCTGGCCAGCACCCCGGGAGCTTTCACAGCCCCTAAAGCCGAGCCAGGCGCGGAACCAGATGCTGCAATAGCGCCAGTCCCCACTACAGTCCTTAACCCCTTTCCGGAACCCGCAATCATCTACCTTTGTTACTCCTGCTCCGTGTACGATTACTGCGAAGAAGACTGCTTGGCGGGCAGATCGACCCATGATTTCTCTGGCTTCTATGCAATACTCACTATATGTTTGTTTGCTGTGATTGGGAGCCATGGGTGGTACTTCGTATAATGCAAGGCTAGTGGCGGAAGCGGCATCGAGACTTGGGTCTGCAATTGTTCTTGCACCATGTCCCAGCTCTGGGCCTCTTAGTATGCAAGCTCAAATTTGCCGGTTTGATTCGGGAAATGGTCTCTGCAACAATCCCATTGTAGGCACAATGGAACGAGACACGGAAGAGACAGGTATATAAGTAGATGAAAAAACCACTGGGGGTTGGGAAACGAAGGCTTTCCCCTGTAAGAATGACATAGTATTTAGAAACAACACACAATCTGTAAAAATATGATTTTATTACTTACCTTGATGTCCGTGTTTACAGTAATGCGACTATCAGTGTATTAGCAAGACATAGACTTTTGCCATATTATGGTAGATAAATTAATTTGCTCTGATTATAGCTGCAGTAAATCCTTAGAGCATTAAATCCTACATTTTGTTTGTAGCGTGTTGATGAAGTATTACCTCATTAACATAAAATATCAGTCCAGATCGTAGTTACTGTTGTATAGAAGTGTATGATCAACCTTGCTCTCTCATTCCCTCCAGACACCGCGGGGTTCCTCCAGCATGAAGAGCTAGGTAATACAACATAGCATATTAGCGACTCAGCGTGGGGATCCTGAACAAGGTAGACAGCATATGCACCCTCCCCGCACCGATGCTACGATATCGCACTCTTCCATCGTTGTATCCAGCTGTCTCCAATTGTGAATCCACATTGTTGTCTTCCAGGACTGTAAGCACGACATCACCGAGGTTCACTCTGAAGTTTATACCTACTCCGAAATTCCACCAAAGTAGCTGACGCCCACAGCACCACAACAATGTCAAGCGCCGCCCCGAAAATCAAGCTGAAGGTCGCCGCCGTCCACGCCGCGCCCATCTACATGGACAAAGAAGCCACAGTCACCAAGGTAATCCGCATAATCGAGGACGCCGGAAAGGAGGAAATCAAACTCCTCGCCTTCCCCGAGACCTTCATCCCGGGATACCCCGTACGTCTTCGCTTTTCCATCCAACCCTCGTTATATACCACGAGTGAGACAATCTCTATTAGATGACCATTCTAAGTCGCCATCTAGTACTTCTGCGAAGCCTACCCTCCACTCGATCAAGTCAAGGCCCTAGCCACATACGCCGAGAAAAGCCTCGTCTGCACACCAAGCGACCCCAGCATCCAACTCATCCAAGCCGCCTGCCGCTCCGCGAACGTAACCATAAGCCTCGGCGTCTCTGAACGTCTCCCAGGAGGCTACACGCTCTTCAACTCCCAACTCTTCATCGACTCCACCGGTGCCCTTCTGGGTGTACACCGCAAAATCCAACCCACCTTCGCGGAGCGCTTCATCTGGGCCCAAGGCAGCGGGCACAGCTTGCGGGTTTGGAAACCGGCGCTAGGCTATAACCTCGGTGGGTTGTGTTGCTGGGAACATACGTTCAACGGGGCGCGGCAGGCCCTAATCGAGCAGGACCAGCATGTACATGTTGGGGCGTGGCCAGCTTTGTCGACGATGAAGGGGTTTGAGAGCGTGGCGGATGCGCAGATAGAGGCTTTGATGAAGGCCCATGCTTTGATAGCGCAGGTGTTTGTTTTGGCGGTTTCGAATTACGTGGATGAGAGCTGCTTGGAGTGGATGGAGAGGAATTTGGGGAGGCAGGAGTATGTGAAGGCTGGTGGGGGATGGACAGCGGTTATACACCCCTTTTGCTCGTTTATGGCTGGACCACATACTGGGGCTGAGGAGAGACTGGTTACTGCTGAGTTAGATTTTGACGACTTGGGTCCCATTAAGGTGTGGATTGATGGGAATGGGCATTTTAAGAGGCCGGATATGTTTAGTTTCAAGGCCGATGACAGACCGTTGTGGCCCAACGAGGGCGTGGTGCCTGGGTTACTGAAACAGGCAAATGATAAGAGGAGTGAGAAGACAGAAACGAATGATGAGAGGAAAACCACAAATGAAGGGGAGGAAAGTGAGTGACGATGCATAGGGGTCGCTGTGACCCGTTTGAGCTAATGTTGGACCTTCAAGGCTACTACATCAAGACTGCGAGTTATGGAAGGACGTATGACCACCACCCATCGAACCACACGAGTCCTGCCTGTAGGACAGGCATCAGTCATTCCTGTCTATATAAGGCCCTCATGGCCGCCGTTCACTTCGTCCAGGACTCTCCAGAGATCATGACACTTTCAATACAAGACCATTTGCCCACAATCAAACAGTTAACATGCTCACACCACTTCTGGCCAAGAATCGGATCTCTGACAACTGTGAGCTGGAGTATACCAAGTTGTGCTTTGCGATTCCGGATAGAGGCATTACATTGACTTTATGTGTTTGGTGACGTTATCAGCCCAATGATTGTTCCTGGCGAGACCGCTGCTGGTAGTATTCTGAATCCAGCCGTCGTTGGGCTACCTTACGTGACCTGATATCAAATTATACGCTTCCAAGCATCATTGGGAGATGTTAAACTTATTCGAGCTCGCATGTTTCAGTTGTTGTGTGAAACAGTCATACGTTGCGACACATAGTAGATTCCTAGAAGTCAATGGCGCTCCGGAGTAGCGTCCCTGAACAGCATCCTTGAAAGTTGTGAAGCTCATAGGATACGGGATTCAATAATCATTATGGGACCTTGGTAATATGTCCCTTTGGCTCCGCTAGATGAATTATAACGAGCGTAACACACGGCTCGGGCATGAATATGGTTACACAAGGCGACCCATAATGACTTCCGATCATGCAGCCCGCTCATCGGTCGCGAACTTCGCCAGCCGCGTATTGAGCAGCAAACCACCAAGCTCATCACCATACGTCTTACCTGGCCTGAGCCAGAAATTGAGGAGCGTCTCAACGGTGGTCGATAACGCATATGTTTAACAATCGATCCTTCATCAGCGTCCGAAGCAGTCATGCTCGGCTTGGTCGCCGCAATTGCCGCTCCGAATATTATTGAAAAGGGTATTAAATATCCTCCATTAGACCCCCCATGAGACTAGATGAGATGCGGCATTCAGAGGTCCGGACAACTAAAACCGAAACGACAATAAACGCACTCCGGAGGAACTGAAGACGGGATCAAACTACCCCCGCAACCTGTGGGACGTGACGAAAATGCGATTTCGCATGATTTCATTTCAGCTGCATTTCAGCTGCATGCCGTATGCATATCGGAGGCGATCTCCCTTATCTGCGTCGAAGGCGTCGTTGGGTCTCTGCGTGCGTAAGCGCTCAACACCGTGAGAAGTCCACTTTTGGGCCACGATGATTGTGATTGGAGGCAGGTGAGCAGAAGAATATGTTGGTAGCCTAGACAATGTGTTTCGTCCGACAGCATGTCCAAAGGAATGGGGATCAGAGTGTCCCAATAACTGACAGCAAACCGGCATAGCTGCCCGTCACAATGTCAAGCATGTTGTAGCAAGAACGCAACCGTGGCTGTTACGCCCACCTCGCCACGGAAATGGGATGAAGTATTATCAAAGCAGGATGATTGTTGATTTCGAGGACGCGTCTTATATGTTGCGTAATGTGAGTGAGACGGTGTATTTCGCGCTCATACTTTCACACTGACATGTGAAAGACGGACTAGGGGATGGATCACGGAGCTCTGTCCGGATTTGTGGCTAGTCGTAGCGGGGTTTGTGCAACCTCCTTACGTTGCGTTACGATAGACACAGTGGTCCGACCTCAGCAGCTATTTTCGTTCTCAACTCGGAGAAGTTGTCGGCAATTTCAATCAACTCCGTTCAGAGTCTGATCACAACATTGTCGAATGACCTGGGCAGACTAACGAATGATTGCAACCATTACTATCAGCCGAGGCTATTGGCAAAGTGGCCGTGAATCAGACTTCCTTGAAAATGATGTTGAATTTAAAGTCTTCCAGAGTCATGAACGGGACCCACCTGTCATAGTAGATGGACAGGTACGACATAGCGGCCGATGGAGATTCGCAAGTGAGAGGTGGACAGACCGGCGTTTAAGCCCGTTGGTGACTTTGGGTTGATGATGCTGCTTGACGTTGTTCTGGTGTAATTAGACATGCAATGCAGGAGCCTGCAGGAGCATCTCAGGAGCCATTCAGGGGCATTCAAATCTCCCATATTACCACAGTTCACTGCGAAAGTGTATCGAGCTTGTCGGTCATTTGCTCCGCCAGCTGTCCAGTAGACTCTCAAGATAGCACGGCTGCAGGTAAGCCCCTAGAGGTTGTGGCATCGGCAGGGTCAGTCAAGGCTGATGCGACGCAAAACTGCAAGCAACCACCGATGTGTGCCAACCTGCGACCTTCGCAGGGTTAAAATTGAGGTGATGATAGAGTTCCATGCTATGTAGAGATAAGCCGGTCGCGCAGTCCGGCGTATCTGACGATGGGTTGATGTAATACCTCCATGTCTAAGATTGGCCGGATAGCAGCTTGGAGGTTAGCTAGGGTTTCCCGTGGGCTCTTTCACTCCACCAGTCCGAATAAAACAAAAAGCCACTGGCGAATTGGAAATTTGAAGGAGCTAGCAGATTCGGGGACAAATCCGGCCAAAAATGAGTGAGAGAATGGCGAGTCAAAAGTGACGAGAGCAGGCGGGATCATGACGAAATGCAACCTGACTTCCCACATGCATCCGATACGGCGATAACTTCCAACCAGGCAAAGCAAAAGGCAACTGTCCCTCTTTCACATGCCAGGCGACAGGGAAGGAGCTTTTCGAGTCTCGAGCTTGGAGGGCAGCAGTCAACCAACCAAAGGCGGCAACAGCAGCCCAGCATGTGGCGTTAAGACAGCCCCACCGGTGCGACTGCCCCTGTTGTTCTGTCAGTTCGAACCCCGCCAAAATCGGTCAACCATGATCCATCAAATGGCATCGTAGCAAAATGGCCGGGCAGGACCCACCAGAGCATGGCGAACATGGGCTGTTGATAGGGACTTAATTGGGGTTTGCATGTGGCAGCTTGGCAGTTGGTAGACACATGAAATCCAACAGGCCGTCTGTGGCTCTTGCTCTTGCACGCACGTCGGTGAAGGCGCCATTTGACGGCTGTGGTCTTTCCTGCGTCACAGACAGTTGCCGCATGTAGCACACTCGTACGTGGCCGTGCCAGGCTTGCCAGGAACGACTACCCCCAAGTCTGCCCCAATGTCCCAAAGCACATGTTAATCCAAAGAACGTTTGCGCGGGCAGCTGTGGCGCAACCTGGATGGGAGGTGATTGCCTTTTAGTTGCATGCCTTCCGTGCACATTCCCACGAAGCTTTTTAGCCCACCCATCCCCTCCTCCTAAAACCCATCATTGATCTCACCACCACCACAAATACGCTCGTCTTCTTCTCTCCGTCTTATTCTTGTCTCAGTTCCCGAGACAACATTAAGTTCTGCTTACAATCAGAGGCTTGCCTACCACTGCTTACGGAATCCCAAACATTGTATGTTGCTCTCGCCATCCTTCCCGTCCCATCGCCGATGAGGAACAGTGACTTACATGCCAACGCCGCAGCCCAGATAACCTCCTCGAGCTTCCACCACCTATACCACCAGTCGTCACGATGGCTGCCCAAGTTAATGGCGATGTGCACTCATCCTCGGCAACCCTTCAGGTGAGTACACATGATCATCGCTGGCATCTGGCATGTACTTGGCATCCGATGCCGTCACGATGACCAACATCTTCTGCGACCCAGATCAATCAATGCTAACTGATGTCACAGCACATCACTGGGTACCCTCTGGTTAGCGATGCTCTGACCACCTTCAAGAGCAACCCGTACGGTCAGAAGTCCATAGAGCTGGGCGATTCTGCGTACAAGACCTTTGCGGCGCCTGTCCTACCCTACCTCTCCAGGCCATACCAATATGTCTCGCCGTACGTCCAGAAGGCCGACTACTTGGGTGCCGGAGTGTTGAACAAGGTTGATGAGCGCCTGCCCGTGTTGAAGACACCTACCAAAGAGCTCTACTCCAACGGCAAACAGATTGTCTTCTACCCTGTCGTCAAGGGCAAGGACGCTACGGATCATGTCTTCAGCGTCTACAACTCTGAGTATAAGAAGGTCGGCGGTGATGGAGTCGTTACGTACGGCAAGGCTCTCATCTCGACGGGCTTGGTCGTCACCACCGAGGCATTGAACTGGATCGGTGACATCTTGCGAAGCGGGCAGTCCAAGGCCAAAGAGGCTGGCAACGAGGCTCGCGAGCAAGTTCAGCAATAGGCGTGCGACCACGAGCAAAGAAGCATGGAACTGGTCTCTTAAGCACATTCGCGACTTCCTTCTGATACCACGGGCTATTCTCTCTCAAATCTTGTCAAGTCATCCGTCTTGATGTTGAACAATAGGACTTGTGTCATGACGACCACCGGGGTCCGGGGTTGAACGGATCTATCATCATTGCGCATACACAGCCTTCATGTTTTCATCCTGTTATTTTGTTCTTCCCATTTTTGCTCTGCACCGGAGCCTTTCTGTGGTTGGGACTTTGTACAAACACTACATTGCTTGACATCGCGTCGAGGATTCGGCTTGTCCGAGTTTCAGCTTCAGTGTTCGTCGAGCTGTTTCGGAGGGTTAAAGGGTGATCGTATCGGGTGGCCGCAATTGAAGTTGAGGAGACATTGTTGTTGGTCCAATATGCTCGATTGTACGAAAAGCTAATAGATTTCCGTGTGGTGGTACAATTCCATTCTTGTTTTTAGTCCTCTTGGCCATGATGGAAATGTGATCTTGCAGCCGACTTGTCGCCGACCTTTGTCATCATATGATCGGCAAGTTGATAAGCTACAGAGCTTATTATGGAAGTAATTAATCCATGTGTATTTATAAGCATTTTCCAATAACCTACATGGTTTACGCTGTCATTATCTCTTGTATACTGGGCGATCGTGCAGAATATGATTCCAAGGTATAATGTCATCTGCACGTCAAAGCTACTTACATGCCGCGCCGAGACTCTTTTTACTCACATACAGACATATAATCTATTTACAAGGTGAGGATATACATCCCATAAGCAATATGCCTAGGCATTCTTCACCCCTTTAGCATAGGAATCTTCAAATCAAAACACCGTTTGACATGAGTGAGACCAACGGCGGTACAGATGCATCCCGACATTATAATTCAAATATGGAACATGAATCTACCCTCAAAAATGTACACTTCTCTTACTGCCAACGCCGTAGATGTTCCTGAGTACGGCTAATGCCATTGCCTCATGACTTCCATCCATCACTCAATAACTCGTGACATACATATATATGCACCTCTCTTGTCATATATGTAAATCTCATCCCTCAATCATCCATTCAAAAACCCACGATCTGCATTCCTCGCATACTCCGTACTATGTGCATCGAGTTTCACAGCAACCAGGACGCACTCCACGGCACTCTTGCCGCCTTTAGAACTCTGTATCCTGAGCCTCCACTGGCCTTTACGCACGATCCACTCCTCGTGCGAGTGACCAGTCGCTGCGGAGTCGATCCGCCTCTTCTTCCTGGACGGGCCGAAGCTGCCTACGCTGGAGCTAGGCGAGTCTTGGCCGCCGCCGTTGCCCGTTGACGAAGTGGTCGAGAACAATGGGGGGGCCTCCTCGGGTTCGATATGGTTGGTATACGGCTTGCCGTCCAAGATAATATGCGTCTCGGGTTCGATGACTATGCGAACAAGGTCCTCGCTGAGCGAAGAATTGCCCGGTGTTGGGGGCTGGCTGCTCGCTCCGCCCGTTGCCATCAGAAGACCCAGGGGCTGGTTGGTAGAAGGCAAATTTAGTTTCGTGGCGATGACTTCGAACAGCTTGGCAACGCGTGCCTTGACCTGCCCGAAGAACTCAGCGCGCATCAAGCTGAAATGCAACTTCGTGTTTTCGCCCCCGACTTCGAGGACGAGCTCATATGCCTGATTGTCCTCGAATGGTCTCGCGTAGTTGACCCACCCAGACCACCGGTCGCCTGAGCTATCGCCAAGGACTGTGATGCCCGACTTCAGGATATCCTCCAGTCGCAGCACGATCTCGTGGCGCTGGCGGAGCTGGTTGTAACTGATGTGGTGCGGGACCAGCTTCTGCTCCAGGCCTTTGAAGTTGAAGTAGCGGCAGTCGCGGAGCAGACTCTGGCGGTGCTCGTCATCGCGGATATGTACGGGGTATCCACGCAGCAGATGCAGAAGCTCCGCAAAGATATCCGCGGACCGATTGGGTACCGACGGGGGCAAAATCGAGGGCGGCCGGATAAGGCTATCGCGTTCGAGGCCCGGGAAGACTTCGTCGGGAGAAGAGAAGAAGATGGCAAAGCCTAGTGAAAAGAAATTGGGGCTATTGCCAGGCGTGGAAAACAAATCGCGCGGTATTTGGAATTCGCGGTGGCCGATGGACATGAAAATGGACTCTTCATAGAGCTGGGACATCAGCTTCGGCAGCGTGTAGAACTGCGCGTCGGCGAAGAGCCGCACAAAATGCTTGCCGTCGCGTGGTTGCACATGGTAGCCCTGCAGATGGAGGCTGATGTCTTTGAACGTGTCCGGATCGCGATCTAGGTAGAGCGTCCGGATGGCGGTTGAGAGATCCTCGCCGCTTTGCTCGGCGCGCTTAATCTGGCAGAGGAAGTATTGTGAGAAGTATGAGGGGGCTGGGCCTGAGTCAGCAGTGGGTTACGTAGGGTTTATCAATGAAATTTCGCAAAGATCCAGCAGCATTCCGACCATGATCCTTCGAACTAGCAGAGAACGTGACGCGATCCCATAGATAGGAGAAGCGGGAAGCCAAGTCGAGCTGACATGGGGTGCACCGATGGGCATGAGAGCCCAAGAACCTCGGAGTTCTGGTAGAGATACGCACCATCAGATGAGATAGACGCTCCCGAAAGCTTAAATAGTTCCGATCCTATCTGAATAGGAAACACGCGCTCATGCGGCAGGATCTTGGGGATCTTGGAGATGAGCTGGGGTTGAGACGGCGGGAGACGGAAGCGGTGGTGAGCGGCACCTTGAGGGGTCCCACTCGAGATGGAGTTGCTCATGGCGTCGAGATCCGATGCGGCTGAGGACGTCGGCAGCGCGAGCGAGACATCACCGTTGGAAGCAGTGCAGCTCACGCCTGCTCACAGCTGAGAATGAGGGTGAGAATAAAGAAAAAGTCCCGAGTCCAGCTCCCTCGATGATGATAACGAAGACGATGAGGATCCTGATCAGGTTTTCAGATGAACCCCGAAATCGTCCAAAAGTCCTTCCGTCTTAAGTCGGCGTGCGCGTGGCAAACCCCAGATATTTAAGCGTTCTGGGAAAGTTGGCATCAGTTCAAATGTCCATGCATTCATTACCCGCAACAAGGGTCCTCGATTTGGCCAGCTGGGCGGATAATTTAACACCAATGTAGATGAATTTGTACAAAGTAATCCCCGGTCATCTGCGACATTGGAGGCGGTGCAGCGCGGCTCGCGGCTGGTTAGACCCGAGAGACGGTTACATCGTCCCCGACGTCGGATCTCCCGAGCCCCCCTAAGCATTTTGGAGCTTCTGCGCCAAGCCTCACGATGCTATTCGCGTTACTTATCACGGCTTCTATGACACTGATTTGAGTCTTCTACGAACTGTGCCCGGCGGCGGCTTTCGTCAAGCCAAGATTTTTCGAATTAATGTCACGGGAAGTACTTAATCCGAGACTTATCTCCACGCCTACTTCAGTAAAGCAATACTAAGACTGATTGAGTGAGCGTTATCTCCTTGTCTGGCAGGTTTGACGGTATTGCAGCCGCGGCCCTGCTTTCTGGTACATTGAGAAACGCCCTATTCCAAGGAGTTCTTGCCCGCTTGCCATGGGCAGAACAAATATTGGGATCTGACTGCCCCGGAAGACTGGTGTACCGGCAAGTAATGAGGTTTCTTAAGCTTAGAAAGCCATCAGTTAAGATGTTAGACGGCATAGACTGAAACGACCATATGATATTGGTGGCTGTGGTATCACGACGTCCTAACAAATTCCGTCGTACCCTGAAAAATAGAAACAAAGTCCTTGAATGACAAGTATGACTTACGTCCCATTCTCACTCAGTCCAGCCCCCAAACATGTATTCCAACACGAAAACCAACTCCACCCTAATCAAACAGGATAAACAGAGAGCAAAGCAGATATCCGCCTTAACCTGCAGCCTGAACTCCTTTGCAAATGCGGTAGTCCTGGCACCCGGTTAGCCACCCAACCCCCCATGCCCACTCCGGAAAAGAAGTAACCTCAGCCATTGGAGACACAAAAATTATCGCTCTGCTATGTGTACGTTTTCTCGACTAGCAACGCCTCTCATTATACACCATCTCTCAATTGAAGAAGCAAATTCAGCTTCTGCCACGCACTGCTCGGCCAGCCGGCGCGCTCACGTCCCTACGTGCGAGGCCTCCGGTTACCATCTGTTTCCGTGGTGTCATGACGCCCTGTGCGATACTCCGGGCTCTACCTCGTCGCTCCTTGATCTGCGCCAGAGCTTGCTCACGAGTCATAGTCGGTGTCAAAGCCGGGTTGTTGATGTCAAAGGACGGTGTTCTAACTTGACTTTGGTACCCACGCTTGTCGGAAATGTTGGGGTTGACGTTTTCGTCACGGATTGGGACCTTGGTCGTCTTGGTTGAAACGCCGTAGAAAGCCGCAGACGTGTGCGGTCTAGGCGAAGGCTGCGGCACGGCTCGCTCGCGATCCGGGGGCGCTGGGGTTTCCACCTCCACCTCTAACTGCTCGGGGTCCATGTACTCTGTGGATGCGTCTCCGGTTATCTTTGGGATACTTGCCGTTGAGGCATGAGCATCGCTCTGGCGTGGGGCATTGAGGAGGGACATTAGAGATGTTCGCTCCTTCAGCATCAAGGCGAAAGCGGGAGGATCCACAGACGGTGTGCGTGAATAAACACGGGGCTCTGGTTGGGGATCATGTGGAGTTGGAGGTTCCGTATTTGGTCCCTCGGCGTTGGATACATTGCCTGCTTCCATTGCCTCTGCGTCTTGCCGTGATAGCGTGCGGAAAGTGCCCTCAGACGGTACGAATATTGTGCTGCGTCTTGGCCCCTTGGAGACTCTCTTGATCTGTTTCTCGGGCACTTCTACTTCTGTTTCGGGCACGGCTCTGTCTTCGGCTGGATTCGGCGTCTGTACTGGCGATCCGGGCTTTTGGCCGAGAATGACGAGATCAGCAGGATCCAGGATTGCGACGGGCTCTGAACGTTGTTTGCGAGAGGATCCCGGGCGAACACCGCTGCGTCGTCTTGGACGTGCCTTGGCACAGGGACAGCATGAGAGTCGGCACTCGGCTTGGAGAAATTCAAGATGCTCCTGTGTGCGGTCGGCCCTTTGCTTCTCCCACTGCCACAGATTTGTCAACTCGTCGATTTCCGCCTCGCTCACGGCCGACGAGACAATGTCGGCTGTCGAGATCGAGACACGAGTCTTCTTTGGGGAGTCAAACTCGTCGTCCAGCTTCTCCGAGTGCGGTAGGGGTAGTTGACCTTCAGCAGCAATGCGGGCAACCTCCTCATTCTTGGCCAGTGTCTTGAAGGCATCGCGTTCTTGTTCAATGAGCTTAACACGCTCAAGAGCCTGCTCTAGCTGCTCTTGGACGCCGACAAGCTGATAGCGCGCGGCGAAAGCTTCCTGCTCTCGTGCCTTGCTACGCTCCTTCTCTCGTTCCAGGATCTCCTGCAAGGATCTATGCGAGGTTTTCGCCGCCTTGACCTCCTCTTGCAATTTCACAATGGACGACTGTGACTTGAATGCCTCTTTGCGCGCTCGTCGTATCTCCTTCTCCCATAACGCCTGGGTATGCGAGTAAGTCTCTTTGGCTCGGCCGTATTGTTCCTGAAACATCAGTTCATTAGCACCTGGGTTCACAGGTTCGCACCTCTACAAAGTGTGCACACATACCATGACCGTCTCCAATCTCTCGCCAACCCTCCGTTCTCGTTCGCGGCCCTCCTCGAATTGTCTGCGCAGGTTGCGTGCTTCGTCTCTGTGGCGGCGCATCTCCGACTCTGCGGCTTCGCGACCCAGCATTGCACGCTTGAGGGCGGCGTCGGCTGTTTTGCGCTCCAGCTGTTTAGACATGGAGACGGCTGAGGCGGAACCGGCTTGTGCTAGATGATTGAACTGAGAAATCTTATCGTGGATGCTGCTATCGCGGGAGTGGCCACCGGTACGGGTTGGAGAGAACAATGTCGATTCGCGCTGTTGATTGACGTGATCAGGCGTTACAGGTTGCAGCGCCGCGCCAGGTGAACCTGGCTGGCTAGATGGTTCCATAGTGAGGTGGTATGATCAGCCAGATGAGGAGCATGTGCTGGTGCTTATGGGGCAAGCGATATTATCGTGCGTATGAATGCTCTCTGTCGGGTGGTGCAAGGGAAGCTTTCGGGGTGTTGAGAAATGCGGACATGCACCGATTACCACTGATTTTTTTGGGCGATGGTCGAATAGTGGTTCCCGGGGGGCAGATGATCTTCAACCCAATACAGGGTTGCTACGGTAACTGCTCCCCCGAGTTAAAGTGCTTGGTGCCACGACCTCCCGTGGGCCCTTGCGCTGACCGCTTCGCCAAAATCACCCCACCCTTTATCCCTATCCCAGTCCTCCCGAGGGCGTTCTGACTTCGAAATCCATTGGAATCGGGTCAGTCAAGTCTGTCTTTCAGCCCTGCATGGATATCATCGCATGACCATATATGCAATGACAACGTTCAAGGTCGTAATACCCACTATCAACGTGTCAACCCTCCTATACTAAGTACCCCTCGTGTGCAACATCCACTTGTTGCTTAAAACGGACAAAATCCAAGCTATTCATGTACCCGGAAGACGAACATGCGTCAAGAACCAAGAAACGCAGCGGGTCTTTCTGCGAACTTGAAATGCCATAATGAACCTTCGCAGTTCAATGACTCGCTGGCTAGTATTCCCATGCTCTGCTAACTGTAGATTGCATTTGTGGGCCACATCTTCTTACACTCGTCCCTTTGCATTGATCAAACTCACGCGTTGATCAGACCAAATGGTTGCGCTTGAGCCTACAAATAGGGTCACAGCATTCACCCATTGAGCGATGAACAATCATGGACGTTGGAACGCCTCATTTCCTGCTCCTCTTCTTGGGCGGCCCCTCGGACTCCTCGGGTCCCTCCGCCGCATCCGCAGCTCTTCGAGCGGCCATACTCTCTCGTTTCTCCTTGGAAACGCCATTCTCGAGGATCTGGAAGAATTCCTCTTCCGTGATGGTGTCAAGCTCATGCTCGTTGATGATTTCCAGCTTCTTGGGTCCCGCCCTGGTACCGAGGATGATGTAGTCTGTGTCCTCCAGCTTGGTGATGACTTGGGCCCCGTACTTCTCCGCGGCGGCCACCGAAGTCTTGCGGTCCATCGTATTAAAAGTGCCAGTGAAAAGCACCTTTAGACCTTTGAGGCAGTTGGGTTTGCCCTTCGGGATGGTCTTGCGAGAGGTGATGGCAAGTGCTATTTTCTTGCCGGCTGGTTTCTTGGCTGGCTTCTTTGGCTTTACTTCTTCTGCTTCTTCGTCGTCCACGTCGTCGTTATTGTCCTCTTCCTTGATCTTATCCTCCTCAACGTCGGGTTTCTCTTCTCTGATCTTTTCATCCTCTTGATCTTCGTCATCCTCCTCGTCGTCAGATGCTGGCTTCGCCACCAATCTGGAGGCATGTAAGTGGTTTAACATAACTCAATGGAGAACAAAACATACGAAGCCACAGCATCTTCTCTGTTGTTGCCCCCCTGCAAAGAAGTTGGCTCATCAGGTACCACCATGTGAATCCTAACATGGACCCTGACTTGGGTTGCCGATTGGGCATCATCCAACTCCAATCTGCCACAATAGAACCCTTTGCTCTTGTCTTCTCTCAGCTGGTAGTTGTAATCACCGCGGTTTCTCAATTCAGAATAGCGGGCCATCATTTCCACGGCCGCCTTATTGGCTGCGCTCCGAGTCGTGTACACCTCAGGAGACTGAAGCCCTTCTACATCAACATTGTCAGTCCATACGAATGAGGAAACAACGAATAACGAGCCTGAAGATGCAGGCTTCTGGCGTGGCATTTTGACAGTGTTATTTCAGCACTGTGACTATTTTCAAAACAGGCGAGCTGTTGTTATTGTTGATATTTGGGGACTTTGGAAGATCGAATACGGCACAGCACGTAAGCAAGTAACCTTCCCCTTGCAGCTGCCTGGGAAAGAGTTGCTCATCTCGGTAGAGAGAGGAATTACTGGTCTGTGCGTCTTTTTCACACAAACATTTCACAATGCTGATATTGAGAATGAACTTTTATGAACGCTTCTACAGGACCATCCGCAAACGTTGATGCAAGCGTCTACGTCGAAAAAAATATCCAAGATGCCTGAATGATGGTGGTTGGATTCTATGTGAAGAACCCCTGTATCTAATCTTGATGCTAAGGACCCACCAAGTTACTTCGTACATAGTAGATCTTGTCGAGATCAACGGGCCCAATAGTATTTTCAAGATTGATCCTGCCAGTCCACAGACAAAGCTGCCATGCATTGGTGCCGCGACGAATATCTGCATTTCATATAGACCACCTGCATGTTGACACTCAAGAGTCCTGATCGCCGTGCTGGTACGCATTGCTTCTTGAAGGAGAAGCAGATATCAAACTACTAGCCGGTGAAGCCCACTGGGTGCTCAACGCCATGCCTAGCTCACAAAGTATGACTTGGAGATGGCGCATTGTGAACGCAAGGCAGCTTCGCACTTCTTGACTCAGGTTCACAAGAAAGTAGCTTGGGAACTATATCACGCTCAGTACCAAAAGGGTTGCATCAGCCAGCAGCCAGGATGCAGTTGCCCTCTATACCATGAGCAACACCACTGCTACGATGATTTGATACTTTTCAGTTTCGGTTGCCGGTGATTATTCTACTCAGATAGCGCTTACTGACATACTTACAGAGTTGATCTATCTACGGACATCATTTCAACAGGCTCAATTGCTCACTTGAAGACGGAAACCGGAGTCTACCGAGGTCATACAGGGGTTGCTGTTCTTGCCACGCCCCGCTGCAGCCCGCCAAAAAGCGCGGCTCGATAAGCTACTACTCTTCTCGGGGAAGCTAAGGCGGTATGTCGCTTCTCTAATTCGCGGACTCGTAAACTTGTCTGCCAATTAGTTACTCTTATTCAGGCTTCTTACCTGCAGTAGATCGGATTCCGGCGCTTTAGAGCTATCATCATTGACAGGCATTGTCACCTCGGCACCTCAAGATAAAAGAAAGGTACGGTGAAGGCAGGGCAAACAAAACCTTCGTATGAATCGTAGAATTCCCTCGTTGTCATATTGCCTGTCAACGAGAGCTCAGTTTGCCCATCGCTTTCGGCTTTCCCACTGACGCTCACTACCGCCCAGATCCGTTGGCTCTTCCTCTTCCACTTGATTGTGTCGCAAGCTACAGGACAGGGGCCGCGGATCAATCTGAGCACATTATCAAGTGGAGAAGATGGCGCCGAGTGCTGTCTCCCCGGTGCGCGATGCACTGGACTATGGGCCGTCGTTAAAAACTGTATACGATGACACGATTCGTTTCTTCCTCAACGGCACTCGAGTCATTCTCGACGAGATCGACCCAGAGGTTACACTGCTAGAATATCTTCGCGGCATCGGCCTAACGGGGACGAAATTGTGAGTAACTGATAACTCAGTCTTGTTTGCTCGGATTTACGATCGGCGGCTGATCAACTGAGCAGGGGTTGTGCAGAAGGGGGTTGCGGTGCCTGCACTGTTGTTATCAGCCAATACAACCCGACTACGAAGCAAATTTACCATGCTAGCGTCAACGCATGTCTGGCGCCGCTCGCCAGTGTCGATGGCAAACATGTTATTACTATCGAAGGGATAGGCGATGTGAAGACTCCACACCCGGCTCAGGAGCGGATAGCCAAGAGCAACGGAAGCCAATGCGGTTTCTGCACCCCCGGCATTGTCATGAGCCTGTACGCCTTGCTTCGGAATAACGAGAGCCCTACTGAGCATGATATCGAGGAAGCTTTCGACGGAAACTTGTGCAGATGCACCGGATATCGCCCTATTCTAGAAGCAGCGCAGACTTTTAGTGTCAAGAACGGCTGTGGCAAGAGTACCAGCAATGGTGGCTCTGGTTGTTGCATGGAAAACGGCAACGGCGCTGGTGGGTGCGGCAAGATCAAGAGTTTGGATGATGGCCAGCCTATCAAAAGGTTTACATCACCGGGGTTTATTGAATATAATCGGGATACCGAGCTTATCTTTCCGCCGACCCTGAAGAAGCACGAATTCAAACCACTAGCCTTCGGCAACAAGCGAAAGAGATGGTACCGACCGGTAAATCTTGACCAGTTGCTGGAGATCAAGAGCGTTTATCCCGATGCCAAAATCATTGGTGGAAGCACCGAGACTCAGATCGAAGTGAAGTTCAAGGCGATGAAGTATCCTGTATCGGTATTTGTGGGCGATATCCCAGAGTTGCGAACATACAGTTTCAGCGAAGACCATCTGGAGATTGGTGGAAACGTCATCCTCACAGATCTCGAGAATATTTGCCAAGAAGCCGTCAAGCATTATTGCGATGCTCGAGGTCAGGTCTTTGAGGCCATGTACAAGCAGCTCAAGTACTTTGCCGGGCGACAAATCAGAAACGTTGGCACGCCAGCAGGAAACCTGGCGACGGCCTCTCCTATATCCGATCTGAACCCAGTTTTTATGGCAGCGGACTGTGTCTTGATTGCAAAATCAAAGGACAAGGTGACGGAGATCCCGATGGCTTCATTTTTCACGGGATATCGTCGGACTGCACTAGAAGAAGATGCCATCATTGCCGCCATTCGCATTCCCGTCACGAAAGAGAAGGGAGACTACTTCAGAGCCTACAAACAGGCAAAGCGGAAAGACGATGACATTGCCATTGTTACCGCTGCGCTACATATCCGAGTAGACGAGAAGGGCATTGTGGAGCATTGCAATTTGGTGTATGGCGGCATGGCCCCCTTTACCGTGGCCGCGAAGAAGGCGAATAAATACCTCAGTGGCAAGATGCTTGCACACCCCGATACCCTCGAAGGGGCTATGAATGCTCTCGAGTCCGATTTCAGTTTGGACTTCAGTGTGCCAGGTGGCATGGCATCGTACCGAAGGTCGTTGACCCTCAGCTTCTTTTACAGATTTTACCATGATATTCTCGGCGGTCTCAAGGTCGAAAGCGAGCACGGAGACAGTCAAGCTGTTGCGGAGCTCGACAGAGAGCTGTCTAGAGGTTTTAATGACCGCGAGGCAACATCGGAGTACGCCAAGGACACTATTGGGAACCCGAAGAACCATGTTGCGGCATTGAAGCAAGTCACAGGCGAAGCTCAGTACACTGATGACATACCACCACTGAAGAACGAGTTGCACGCTTGCATAGTGTTCTCCACGAAACCTCATGCGAAGATCATATCACGCGACTATTCCGCAGCACTCGACATTCCGGGCGTGGTGGACGTGGTGGACAAGGACGATCTCCACGACCCCGAAGACAACAAGTGGGGAGCACCTAACTTCGATGACCTGTTCTTCGCTGAAGACGAGGTCTTCACAGCGGGCCAGCCCATTGCCGTTGTGTTAGCTACGTCACAAGCAAGGGCAGCCGAGGGTGTTAGGGCAGTCAAGATTGAGTACGAAACTCTTCCAGCCATCTTCACAATGGAGGAGGCCATCGAACAGGAGAGCTTCCATAAATTCTACAGGTATATCCAAAAAGGTGACACGAAAGAGGCCTTCAAGACCTGCGACTATACCTTCTCGGGTGTGACACGGATGGGTGGCCAAGAGCACTTCTACCTTGAGACAAATGCTTGCTTGGCCATACCTAAACCTGAAGATGGTGAGATGGAAATCTGGACAAGCAGCCAGAACCCGACAGAGAGGTAAGACTTCTTATTTTCGTGCATACTATTTGCTCTAACGCGAATTTCAGTCAAATGTTCGCAGCTAAAATCCTTGGTGTCCAAGCCAACAAGGTTACGGCTCGGGTGAAACGGCTTGGTGGTGGTTTTGGTGGCAAGGAGACCAGATGTGTCTTGCTCAGTACCATCATCGCCCTCGCGGCGCAGAAGACCAAACGTCCAGTCAGATGCATGCTCAACCGAGATGAGGACATGGTCATGTCTGGACAGAGACATCCTTTCATTGCCAAGTGGAAGGTGGGCGTCAACAAGGACGGAAAACTCCAAGCACTGGACATCGACGTCTTCAACAATGCCGGGTGGTCCTTTGACTTGAGCGCGGCTGTGTGCGAACGAGCGATGACGCATATTGATAACTGCTACAAGTTCCCCAACTTGCACGTCCGCGGGCGTCTCTGCAAGACTAATACCATGTCCAACACGGCTTTCCGTGGATTTGGTGGTCCTCAGGGCATGTTCATAGCGGAATCGTACATGTCGGAAGTTGCCGATCGCCTGGGCATGCCCGTGGAACGACTGCGCGAGATCAACTTCTACCAAGATAACGACGAAACCCACTTCAATCAAACGATTCAAGACTGGCATGTTCCGCTCATGTATAAGCAGGTCCTGGAGGAATCGGACTACGCCAACAGGCGCACAGCTATTGAGAAGTTCAACTCGGAGCACAAATGGCGCAAGCGAGGACTGGCCATCATTCCTACCAAATTCGGTATCTCTTTCACGGCGTTGTGGTTCAACCAAGCAGGCGCGCTTGTACACATATATCACGACGGGTCCGTTCTCGTCGCCCATGGCGGCACCGAGATGGGCCAGGGGTTGCATACCAAGATGACGATGATCGCCGCAGAAGCATTGAAAGTGCCGATGGAGGATGTTTACATTAGCGACACGTCCACCAACACAGTCGCAAACACGTCTGCAACTGCTGCATCGGCCTCATCAGACCTGAACGGCTACGCAATCTGGAACGCATGCGAGCAGCTCAACGGCCGCCTGGCTCCGTACCGGGAGAAGCTTGGCCCTAAGGCGACCATGAAGGACCTAGCCCACGCGGCATATTTCGACCGAGTCAACCTGAGCGCCAACGGTTTCTACAAAACGCCCGAGATCGGCTACACCTGGGGCGAGAACAAGGGCAAAATGTTCTTCTACTTCACCCAAGGCGTCACCGCCTCCGAGGTGGAAATCGACTGTCTGACGGGAACGTGGACTTGTCTTCGAGCCGATATCAAGATGGACGTAGGTCGCTCGATCAACCCCTCCATCGACTATGGCCAAATAGAAGGCGCTTTTGTCCAGGGCTTGGGCCTATTCACCATGGAAGAAAGTCTCTGGCTCCGCAACGGTCCCATGGCGGGCAATCTTTTTACCAAGGGCCCTGGTGCGTACAAGATCCCCGGGTTTCGCGACATCCCGCAGGAGTTCAACATCACGTTGCTCAAAGGCGTCACGTGGGAGAACCTGCGCACCATTCAGCGGAGTCGCGGTGTCGGCGAGCCGCCCCTGTTCATGGGCAGTTCCGTCTTCTTCGCTATACGCGACGCGTTGAAGGCTGCCAGGGCCGACTATAACGTCAAGGCCAAGGTGGGCATTGAGGGTGGGGAGGACGATGGGCTGTTGAGGCTTGAAAGTCCGGCTACGCCGGAGAGGATTCGGTTGAGTTGTGTGGATCCGATCATGGAGCGGGCGAGGGTGGCTCCTAAGGAGGGCGAGAAGAGTTTCTTTATTGCCATTTAGAGCACGTGGGAATGGGAGAACAACATGTATTTGACAGTGGTAGGTCGGGAATGGCCGAGGTACACCAGGGGCTCAGGTGTTAAGGAGGTCACCAGGAAGTGTTAAGGAAAGAACAAGCATTCGCTTGCTAGTATGAATGAACATGGCGATTTGATGTCCACAGTCGCAGTCGTCATCAAGCTCAAGCATATCGATGAGATGAGACGAGAGAGCCGATATCCCAAACATACCTGTGCCGGTCTATTAATGACTCCACAGTTCAGTCACTCTTGCTGGAGGGCGGGGTTGCGGGAGATCATGAGCATGAAGGCAAGCCCTATTCGCTGTTGATTCATTATGAATCATATGTGATCACGCCGTTGACTAAGCGAGCCTCAAGCAATGGATTCAATGGACATACTGAGGGATTTAATCCTCTATTGATGACTCTGTAGCGATCCTGTCTTGATTGCTATATCTCTCTGTGTTCTGTGTAGCTATTTTATCTACGGGGAAGGGTTTGAGCCAACTAGACTGCAATTACCGCTACATCGCCTTCGGCGTAGGGCATAACCGTGGCGCTCAATCCCACATATATTAATTAGCACGATAGCTTTCCATGATCCAGATCTGAAAGGGCCATTTCCGCACTAGCTTTCCTCAGGGCAAAATGGCTTCAGAACGACTCTTCCCGTTCCCACGGGCGACCAAGACTACCTCAACCCCATTATCCATCCTCGACTCAACATGCGCGCGCTTCGCGGATACCGCCCCAATATGGATATTTGACCCTCCCTCAAACGGAGCAGTTGACGATGTGTTTCTTGACCGGCTGAAGTCCTCATTTATCTCCACCCTGAATGCCTTCCCCCAATGGGCAGGCCAACTCCACTGGGCCCCTCTCCGTCCCGGTGGAAATCATACGGAGCGTTTCAACCGAGCTATGATCACGTACGGCAACGACGCCGATCCAGGGGTTGGATGGGGTATCATCCGGCACGATATCACCGTTGAATCTTTCGTGCCCGACAAGGCCGAGCTATTGAATGGCTTCTGGGCCGGGGACGCGTTTCCCCAAGATGCGCTGCTGCCGCAAAACAAAATTGCGCTGTATAATCTAAAGGATTATGAAGGTTTATCGTGTATGCTGGTCCAGATCAACCTGTTCGAATGTGGCGGATATGCTGTTGGGATTCGCATGGCTCATCCTGTGGCGGACGCCCAGTCGATGATGGTGTTTGTGCACCAGTGGGCGGCGGAGTGTCGAGGGCGGCTTGGGGCAGCGAACTCATCGTCGCTGTTTAACGAGCCAATTTTTGATCCTCCTCAGCTGGACTTACATGCAGCGGGAGATATCGATGCCGACGCCGCTGATGAAGGGATTCTTGTCACAGCTCGAGCTCTGCCCTTGAACCGCTTCAGCTGGTGGGACACAGACGCACCGGGCTATTCATCACGGCTTGTTGAGACTACCAAGAACAGCATCCCACCAGCCGATATCCTTGCCAGTACAACCCTATCCCCATCGACCACTGGCCCCTGGAGCACGTGGGACTTGAGCAAGCCAGTATCATTCGGCTTGCTGCATTTCACCGGCCAAGAGCTCGATAAGTTGAAGAAGCTAGCTCGACAAGAAAGCACCGAGACCTCCCGCCTCGACGCTCTCCTATCCCATCTATTCCAGCGCATCACCAAGGCAAGGTCACCCACCCAGTCTCCTGAGGGCGAGACATCCCTAGACGTCACCATGGACGTCCGGCGCCGCGTATCTCCACCCCTTCCGGAAACCTTCCTCGGCTCGCCCATTCTTCTAACGCACATCAAGTCCCCGGCCTCCGTCATACGTGAAGCCAGCATCGGCTCGTTAGCGCTCCGGCTAAGAAGGACGATGCAGCAGTTTACGCCGGATAAGGTAGCTGCGCATCTACATGACGCCGCGTTCGAGGTTTCGCCGCAGAGGTTGTGGCTGGGGTTTCAGGGGTCTTTGCACGTGCTCGTTACGTCGTGGCAGAGGTTGAGACTTTACGAGGTAGATTTTGAGGGCACCGGGGTGAGGCCGAGGTTTGTGCATGGGGCTATGCCAAAAAGTGATGGGCTTTTGGTCGTGCTGGATCCGGTGGTGGAGGATGGGGGTGTGGACGTGGCGCTTCATTTGGATGGGGAGGCTACGGGCAGGTTGTTGAAGGAGTTCAGGCAGAGCAAGATATAAAGAGGTAGTTCTGAGTGTGTACTATGGCTTCTTTCTCGGGCCTTGTATCTGCTCTGCATTCCAATCGTCGAAGAGGGACAGGTATAAGAAGACTTAATTAAAGTCGTTGATGAAGACAAGAAGAGCAGTAGAGCATATATCATATCTCATTACTAGAGACTCTCTGACACTGTGCAGCGCCTTTCCGTGGAAGAGCTATGCATCAACCCGAGACGAGACATACTCGACACGTTTTGCCTTCGGTCATCTGTGAGGTGCAGATTATGCCCAGTGCCGCTGGATGACATCGACAATGACGCCGTGATCTTCGTGCTGTGCCAATCCCGAAACAACCACGACCGCCACTATACCCTCAACCCCCTGGACTCGAATGGGAACTCCACCACCATGTATGGCGTACTTTCCTGCCTGCTCCTCGCTCATCCCAAACTTCGCCCGAAACAGCTCCTCATCGGCCGCGTATTTACAATGCAAGAACCAGGTGCTGCACCCCCACCTCAAGACGCTGTTCCTCTTTCTCTGAACCCAGGTCTCATTGTCCGGTACAGCTCCCGAACCAACCGCCGTCTGGAACAGGACCTGACTGCTGTTTGCCAGAGCGATGGAAATGAGGGTTGGCTGTTTAGACGCAAAAGGCAGAAGGCGCGCATAGAGGAGGTGCCCCAGTTCCCACGCATCCTGGGCAGTGAAGGATGAGAGCACGAAGGAGTCACAGCTCGCTTTCACCTCTTCAGCCTGTTAACTGATGTCAGTTTCGTCGGATACCATGGTGCGGGACGACGTAAGTTACACTTGAAGGTGGAATGGGGATGTCGTAAGCGCGCAGTCCCTGCGACTGGACCTCAAGGACCTCTCGGAGCCCGTACCCCGAGGTTGGATGGCAGCTTTTGAGAACTTTCTGCGCCATGGTTGCTGTTCTCTTTGAGATGAATTGGAGTTCAAGTTTGGTAGATTCGATAGGAATGTGGCAAGTGCAATATTGGTCAAGCAACGAACGACATTATGCCGGGCTACGCCGCGCGCTTTCGGACCGATATATTGTATTCTCTGCGACTAATTGCCTTAGTGACAGATTTCAGTGGGCCAACGGCCCAGGTGTTATGGGGCACCGCAAAAATCCCCCGCATCGTCATGAAGGCGAGGGGCCATTCGGTGGACAGAGGGTGCATGGTTTCGTTTGGACCTTCCAGCAGAAGCTGTATAGGTGTTGGCTCGCTCAGTCATCAGCACTAGTGCGGTTCTTGCTAAACAGAATTAATCCCAGATAAAGATGCGCGAGACAGTAGCCGTATCAGGTATATTAGTTAACCGCCGGCGCACCAAGTGTCGCACTGTCACTGCCTCCAACCCAGCAGATTACCGTTTTCTGACGTCTTGCCAAAGAAGAGTCGGGATCTGACAAATTGGCTGGTTGAGACACAGAATAAGATCACGAATAAGTCGACACGTGGAAACACAAGAACTAGGCGAATACTGGATCAATACGATATCGTGAATCGGTGTCCTCGGATTGACCTCTAATCGAACTCCAGCTGAAGAGGCGAGTATATCGCTACTTCACGTTAGAACGGCCACAAAACCGCCATAGCATATAGATGCATCCGAGCACCTCATGAATGCTTCACGCACAACAACCCAAGGCTTCATATTGAATCCACCAGTGAAACTGCAACAACGGCCACGGGTGCTGACACCAGGTACTTGGCTATTTGCCTCAGTAGTTTGGGCATGAGCTCGTGACTTGCAAGTAATGGCCTGGCAGAGGTTTACGATAAAGGTTGAAACTGATAGGTTTTCAAATATACAGGAATTGAATGAAGCAGTATTGAAACAGCAGTATATCGGTAGCCTCTGCTGTTAACGCCCAAGTGTTTAACATACTCTGAGCCCAATAATTGCTTCCACCGGAGGTAGTTGGCTCAAGCTCGACCCGCACCCCTATTTCTCTTCCTTGTATCCTTATATCTTTCCATTACCGATAATGTTTGCTATCTCATATAATTAGGATTCATTTGAACCCTTTGGTGGGGGAAGCAGCTTTCGAGCAATGAAGTCAGAGGTACAGCACCGGAGTCTGGACGTTGTAAATTCTCAGTATAGTATCTTTTGCAGTTATACATCGGTTCCAGCCAGCGACCACGAGACTCGCCAATGAATTTCAACAGCTACGGAACTTTGGACAGAAGTCTTCCGCAACTATACCAACGGAATGTGCACAATAGCCTGAACGTCCCAGAGCAGCAGAGCAGGTACAGTTACAGAATCCATGACTCTTACTTCTCAACCAGACGATAATTAGCAAAGGTCCAAGTGACTGATCTGCAGTGCATCTATATAGTTCTTCTTATAGTTCTTTTGTATCACCGAGCCGAAGTCGGCGTATTTTTCAAAGTTGTCCTGGACTTCTTAGGAGGTTGCCAAGCGCATAACAGAATAAATTGCGCCCAAAAGTTCAAGTGATGCAGAATAGCTTAGTATTCCAGCGTAGTACCCAGGCATAGTCACTATGATAACCAGGTCATACTAATACTTCAGCTAGTTCATTCTAGCTGGCAGGTTTGACTCTACGCCAAGAGTCCCCGATGACCAGAGATCGGACACTGGTATCCACCACCCAGTTGTAGTCCCCAAACGAACGGTTTATTAAATCTGGGCTATTTCAAGATTACCACCACGGTCCCATGATCTTCCCTGGCTGCATCTACAGCAAATATGCAAACTAACGATACCGCCAGGGGCATGACCTCTTCCCCTCTTCATGGCTGGATTTGTCGATAGCATTCATAATCGTGTTTCGGGAGTTACTTTATCAGACTTTCTCACAGCGCTATCACCACGGATAATGGCACACAAGACGCAAGGGGACGGTAGCTCAGAGCGAGATCTTTTGACGTCGAGAGAAACTCGAGCCTGTGTTAGGCGACGAACTACCCTTGCAGATTAATTTGGTTTATCTCAGAAGACATAAAGCAAAAGACCCACCAAAAAGTCTATAGGCCTGGCTAGACATGACTTCGGTGCCGATGAAGCCCTAGGAAAGGCAGCCCAAGCAGGTCGACTCAGATTTGGCTCTTGGATTCGGAGAGGTTGGGGAAGGGGGGGCGTTTAGTAGGGTTAACTAAGAACTTTTGCAAGATCGTCATGCTTCTCATTCTAACTCGTCCCGCGGACAGAAGGGGTAGGGGGGAACGAACTGTTTCTAATCTCTAAGAACTCGCTACATGATCCAAGACTCTTGAACACAAGTAGGGATTTGATTTTACCAGGGTTGGATGTCAATATTTCAATAGCTGACGTATAATAATGACCAATTTTACCTGCATTGTACATCTCATCCTTATATCCAAATTCTTACCAGACTTAATCTCCCTTATTATTGGGTAACCCTCAACATGTACTGCACTGAGACGGGCTAATATGTTTGTTCGTATATTGAAAAAGTAGTCGTCTCGGCTATTGCAAGTGATATGCCCTCTGTACGGGCGAATGGATCGAGTGTTATGTCGCTCCTGCAGGACATGTTCAGCATTCTTGGATAGTCAACCACCTCTAGCTCCGAGATAACTCGCCGGGCGACTAGCATAGTAGATAAAGCACTGAAAAAATTTGTATTCATATTACAGCTCTATTTGACTGTTTTGCTCAAAGCCATCCTGTCATGCGTCTAAGCCCATGGAATAATCTCCGGTCGCTGTACCGGCGAGCTTGATTTGCTCATCAACGCACATAACTGTGAGCTCCAGTAAGTATACCTTGCCAATCCGCGTCACATCATGATTCTGATACATCCCGACTCAACCCTTCAAAAATTGTCAAGCATCTCAACCCTGGAACTCCTGAACCTTACCTTCCTCCCACTTGCCAGGGACGAGGGCGAGGGGCACGATACCAGATACGTGCATCTCAGGGCCAAAGATCTTGGCACTCAGGCCCAACTCTTGCGTTGCGGCCTTCATGTTCTTCAGACCCTCTTGATAGTTGGGGCCAGCACGACGCACCCAGATCTGGACGTTGTGCTCATTCAGTTGCTTGGCGTAGTAGCGCAGCGCCTTGATGACGCCCTTGAAAGTAGACGCAACGTTGGTGAAGTTCGCGATGCCACCACCGATGAAAAGAACCTTGCCCTTGGGGTCCACGGGTGCGCGCAGCATGAGGTCGAGGACTGTGCGGGCGTAGTGGTACGTTTGAGACTCAGTGGGAGCACCAGAATATTCACCGTAGTTGGCCAAATCATCAGCAAAACCTGCCGAAGCAATGGCATCGGCGTAAACCACGGATGCACCACCACCGGCAACAAGAGTCCAGACGCGACCAGTGGGGTTGAGGACCGTCAGCTTGAGAGAGGCACCAGTCTTTGCATCCAACTCAGCAATGTAGGCCTCTTCCTTAGTCAGTTCACGACCAAAAGGAGCAGGGAACTCCATGGGCGGGCCAGCATCAATGCTGACGCTACCCGCCGATGCCTTCGCTGTCAGGCCCAAAGCAGCGGGAGATCGCGCAACAGCCCACTTCACACCACACTCGAAGTCAGCAGTCTGATCCAGCTTGGCAGCGAGATCGAGGAAGTGAACTTCTGCGGAGGTGGCGTCCTCGTTGGGAATAACAACGAGGGGGTTAATCTCAAGGTAGGTGAACTGGCAATCAACGTAGACCGCGTACAGTCGCGAGATGAAATCAACCAGTACATTGTGAACACCCTTGGGGACCTTTGTCAAGAGTGCCTTTGCGATCTCGTCGTTGGTTGGATATTCCGAAAGATCAACGGGAATCAGGAGTTTCTCTGCTTTCGCATCCACGTCACCGACATCAACACCACCCTCGTGGGTGAATAGGATCCAGTCGCCCTGTTAGAAGCCAGATTAGTTACTCGCTGCTAAACAAGACGTACAGATGAGACAACGGTTGTACGCAAGGTGTTGGACGCAAAAGTGATAGGGTGCTATTATGCAAGTCTTGCACCAGGGTAAATGGTACCAGATATGCAACATGTGGGTGTAGGTGTAAGGATGGTGTTAGTGGATGCTAAACCTCCGTTCGTCCGTGACTCCCGCTTGGCTCGGTTGAACGCTCCCGCCAATGTGAGCACATATCAATCGGTAAATCGGTAAATCACGCATCTCCTCTCTCGAGTGAACCACTGGTTTTCTCGAATCTCCCAGACGCCAAATTTTGTCTCTTGCACCTGCTTTCGACATTTTCTTGCTCTCTATTCTAATTGAGAGCTCTTAGGCCATGGTCTTGTTGCACTTGCTGACCGCTTCCGCTGATTGTTGTTCAACAAGTCGCCCAACGCATATATCGTATCGGCGGAGCGACTTCCACATTTGAAGGGTGAAGGGAGGAGATTCTACTCACATCTCTGACCGAGTTGATGTTGATGTAGTACTCGGTGCCGTCAGGGTGAGGAACGAAAGGCTCGACCAAGAATTGACGGAGAACACCAGAAACGTGCTCGACCTTCTGCTCCTTGCCGGCTCGCTGCGCAATCCATTCCTTAGCCTCGGCCCAGGTCTTGTTCAGAGCCAGGAGACCACTCTTGCCGCGTCGCTTGATTAGTTGATCGGGCTTTGCGACGAACTTGGATCCAGACGTCAGGAGCCACGGGTAGGTGACCTCAGCCTGGTCCAGGACAGTCATGACATCGGTGTCTTCAGGGAAGTACAGCGAGGCCAGTCTGGGAGGAGGGTTGTGCGTCGCCGACTTGGGAAGAGGAGTGGGCTTGATGACGGGCGCGCGAGTGAGATGGTAGTTGAGGATGGCCTTGCCATCGGCCTCGAGAATCGACTTGGCAGACATTGTGTGTCAATGGATGGAGGTTCAACAGGTTTGTGAAGTTTCCAATTGTCTATCTTGTGTCGAGTGTCTTTGTTCGGGAAAGAAGTTAGCAATTATTGCTTGAATGGGGAAGGGCTCCTCTTGCCCAACTGCGAGTGCGGATGGGGCAATCGCGGGTCAATGTCAGATTGAAACTTCCAGAGGGGTTCTTTGCTTGAATTGAGCGATATGAACCGACACTTGTTCGAGTTGGACTTGGTGGAATGACCAGCAACATTGCATTGAGCCGTTGGTTGCAACTTCCGACGCAGCTAAAGTGGTGCGCGGGTGGAATGAGAGGGGTAGTGAGACTGCAGCTTACCTCGTCAACGCGATACTCTAGGGAAAGTTCCTGGTGAGCACTTCTCTGGAGTCTGGAGAGAGTGAAGTCACGATGTAATGGGACAGAGAAGTGAAAGCAGAGAAGAGCGGAACACTCAAAGCGGGCTGGTGAATCTTGAAGATTCAATGGCAGCAAGAATGGGGATTGTCACTCAAAAATTTCGAGGTGCAATGCTCCGCCCGTTCCTCTTCACCATGCAACTTTGGCCAGGACCGGCAACCGCCGTTGGTGGATGGACCACACAGCTTTTTGGGAGGGGGACGCTAGACGCACAGGTATGGGGTACCGGTGTGCTATCGCCCCAAAAGTTTTGGGCAGATCCTGATGAGCGAGTATGGCGCCCAGCCATTCAGCCCACCAATGTACCCGGTACCCCAACACCAACACTTTGAGGGACATTGGCAAGACCGGCAAGTGCTCCCTTCCAACCTGGGAAGGTTTCAAAGTTGTGTGTATTCCAAATTGGAACAAAAAAGCTAATGGCAAGTGTCATTCGGATGGATTCGATGGGAATGATGCCTCAAGATTTTCTATTTGGCACCTAATTAATTCATTGGGGAAGTTGCATCGTGCGATAGTGGGCACCAATGTCGAGATGGACTTCGCATGTTAGGGTGTAATTCTTGTCAGCCGTGTCTTTCATCTCCATCTCCATATCCCGAGGGATGGGATTCCTGACTCAGCTTGAGCCTAGCGATACTATGAACAGTTCATCAGGATCATGCAGGCTCGGGTATTCAATCTGAGGTCATGATAGAGACCTTCTACAAACCCGGAGATGGGCTTTGGGGTCAATCCGACGGTCTCGTCTGGACTACGTAGCAAGTGCTGCAGGGACAGATACGGTTGGTTGACATTCAACGCCGCCATACGTCAAGGTACATTGCATTCTGCCTGAACTTTGTCAGCAAATGCTCACTGTGTCGTTTGCAGTTGCCCGGGTCATCTTATATCATATTGAGTTTTGGTTCCTGGAGAAACAACTGCAGACGCAGTGTCAACAACTTTAACACATCGTGTTGGGCAATTGCGTTTGCCCGGTAGGTTTTGCTCTACGCTCTACAAACCTCTCGGTACGGAATCATCATAGGATTCGAAATCTTACTGTATCATTCGTTCCTCTTTGATGCTGCCTACATATCGGGTCTCGGGGTGGAAGAAACCATGGAGGGCGACGCTGGGCTTCAATTCGCCAAAGTTGACGAAACTGGAATTCCTTCTACCTTGAACCTGGATGCATTGTCCCGATGGAGGGGTCGGAGAATGTTGGTGTTATGCTGGCATGTACTGCTACTTCCAGCCTGGGAATCCAAATAGGCGGGGACATGGGTCCTCGTCTGCTGGGCAAGGCGCATGGCGCATGGCGCGGGCAAGTATTCAACAGGTTGCCCGATGCCGCCAACACCTGCGAAAATGGCAGCGGGACAGCGTCGACCCCCGTCAGAAATCCCAATGATCAACAGGGTCGACGGGGCCATTCTTGCTACTTTTTTACAAATATTGTGTCAACAAGGTGGGAAACAGTTCAACAGCCCATAAAAACTACCCCAACTATTCCGATTAGCCTGCCGGGCCTATTTTTTTGCAAAGCAACAACGAAGCCGATCGGCCCAAAGAGAAAGAAAGGAAACCATCCATCGTTCCTGGCGCGGGTCCTGCGTCTCCTCGTCGGTGCATTCCCTTTACCCCCCCAATTCAATCCCGCCCGTAGTCGCAACCTCGAGAAAAAAAGCTCGACTCGGACTCCATCTTCAACATCCACCTTCACCACTCATTCCCCTCAATCAAGACCTCACCAGCAACCAACAATTGCTTCCTCTAATTCCTGTGGAAATCTGGAAGCCCGGGAGGAACTGAAGGTCAACAGGTACGTGGAAGCCAATGTCAGATTTAGCCTTCCTACGGGCTTTGCGGCCTTCACGTCAGCGCTCTGTCGTCCGATATGCTCTTTGCAGGATTTCCCCCCCGGTTCTGTGACCAGCTCGGAGGTTCAGCTTGGCCTGCAAAGCCTCTTCTGTGTATCCTCACTTCCTGCACTCGGGGTTCGCAAGGCAGGCACTGCTGAAAATCGGAAAGACCCCATCCTCGACGAGTGTGTCGGTGTTCAGGCGACTCAATTCCGCCGTCATTTGCCCTCATTGATTGGGAGCTTCTGAATAGCTTCATTTTTACCCTAACCCTTTCGTCCTATCTCCCAAGTCCCAAGCTAACGGCTGCCCGCAACAGAAACAGCATCCCATCACATTCATCGAGCAACTGAGGACTTCATTTCAGCACGATGGCTACTCCTAACGGTGTTGACGGTGCAAAGGCAGCCGGTGGCCTTTCTGCCAATGACAACATCACCCGCTTCGCCGCCCCCAGCCGACCATTGAGTCCTCTTCCTGAACACGCTCTTTTCAACGAGAAGACGAGATGTTTCGTCTACGGTCTGCAACCCCGCGCCGTGCAGGGTATGCTCGACTTCGACTTCATCTGCAAGCGTGCAACTCCTTCGGTAGCCGGCATCATCTACACTTTCGGTGGCCAGTTCGTCAGCAAGATGTACTGGGGCACCAGCGAGACTCTGCTGCCCGTCTACCAGCAGGTAGAGAAGGCCATGGCGAAGCACCCTGAGGTTGACGTCGTCGTCAACTTTGCTTCCTCGCGCAGTGTCTACAGCTCCACAATGGAGTTGATGGAGCACCCCCAGATCAAGACTATTGCCATCATTGCTGAGGGTGTCCCTGAGCGAGTAAGTAGAGCCCGCAGTGTGATGGTGACCAAGCCGCTAACTGTAAACAGCGTGCACGGGAAATCGCACACGTTGCTCGCAAGAAGGGTGTCCAGATCATTGGTCCCGCCACTGTCGGTGGTATCAAGCCCGGCAGCTTCAAAATTGGTAACACCGGCGGTATGATGGACAACATTGTTGCCTCCAAGTTGTATCGCAAGGGCTCCGTTGGCTACGTCTCCAAGTCTGGTGGCATGTCCAACGAGCTGAACAATATCATCTCGCAAACTACCGACGGTGTCTACGAAGGCATTGCCATTGGTGGTGACCGCTACCCCGGTACCACTTTCATTGACCACATGCTGAGATACCAGGCTGATCCTGACTGCAAGATCCTCGTCCTGCTCGGCGAGGTTGGTGGAGTAGAGGAATACAAGGTCATTGAGGCCGTCAAGAAGGGTGTCATTACCAAGCCCATTGTTGCGTGGGCCATTGGTACATGCGCTAGCATGTTCAAAACTGAAGTTCAATTTGGTCACGCAGGCTCTTTCGCCAACTCTCAGCTTGAGACTGCTGCCACCAAGAACAAGACGATGAAGGAAGCCGGCATTTTCGTTCCCGACACCTTTGAGGACATGCCGCAGGTCCTCAAGTCCGTATACGAGAAGCTCGTCAAGGAAGGAACAATTGTTCCCCAACCCGAGCCGATCGTCCCCAAGATCCCCATTGACTACTCGTGGGCCCAAGAGCTTGGTCTCATCCGAAAGCCCGCTGCGTTCATTTCCACCATCTCGGATGATCGTGGACAAGAACTTCTGTACGCCGGCATGCCCATCTCTGACGTCTTCAGGGAGGACATTGGTATCGGTGGTGTCATGTCTTTGCTGTGGTTCCGCCGCCGCCTGCCTGAATATGCCTCCAAGTTCTTGGAGATGGTTCTCATGCTTACTGCCGATCACGGTCCAGCTGTTTCGGGTGCCATGAACACCATCATTACCACTCGTGCCGGCAAGGACCTCATCAGCGCCCTCGTTTCGGGTCTGCTCACGATCGGTTCCCGATTCGGCGGGGCCCTTGATGGTGCTGCCGAGGAATTCACCAAGGCCCAATCCAAGGGTCTGAGCCCCCGTGAATTCGTCGACGTGATGCGCAAGCAGAATAAGCTTATCCCGGGTATTGGTCACCGTATCAAGTCGCGAAATAACCCTGATCTGCGTGTGGAACTTGTTAAGGAGTATGTTCTGAAGAACTTCCCCAACCACGAGCTGCTCGACTACGCCTTGGCAGTCGAAACGGTCACCACGTCGAAGAAGGATAACCTGATTCTGAACGTTGATGGCTGCGTTGCTGTCTGCTTCGTGGATCTGATGCGCAACTGCGGTGCATTCAGCCCCGAAGAGGCTGAGGACTACATGAGCATGGGTGTCCTGAACGGTCTGTTCGTTCTCGGACGATCGATCGGTTTGATTGCCCATTACCTTGACCAGAAGCGACTACGCACTGGTCTCTACAGACATCCTTGGGATGATATTACGTACCTGCTGCCCACCCTGGGCGCCGCTGGTCCGGTGGGCGAGAGCCGAGTGGAGGTGTCGGTCAAATAGATATATATGAGGCAATGACGGACGGATAAACTTAGATGTGAAGTGTACAAGGAATGAAGATTTCTGCACACTGGGAAAAGGGGAGCTTTTGCTTTATTATTCACGCGGCTGAAACGAAATGGAATGGGGTTTCGTGGAGAGAACATTTCCGAGGACTCTCACCTCGGAGTAGGGCCTGTATGACAAGTCAAGTATAGCATAGTGAGCATACTGACTCGCGAATAATGAAGGCGCCAATTTTTGATCATTTAGTACGAGAGATATTTTAACTAGTATCTGTACCGCAATGCTTCGTGCCATACCAGAGTGAAAGTTGTGTAAGGCACCTCAACATACCCGCGGTATCGACTCTGGCAGTAGTTTCACCGCTGTCAGTCCAGTATGGGAGCAGGGAAAAGGATGAGGTTACATGGAAAGCTTTACTGCCAAACCACACATACCTTTTCCCTGCAGTGTCAACTCCTTTTCGTGACTCCTGTGAGCCTTAGCTCTTACACGTCCCTCAGCTCGCTGCAGATAAGAAGGCTCGATAATCGGCGAATCGTCGGCAAATCCCGAAAAAGTTCTAGGTCGCGATTGGGGACGGTGGAATTGGTGAACGTCTTTCATCCAGTTTCGGTTGGAAGTTGCGAGTTACGGTTGTGGCAGGCAGCTTAGATACTACAACTGGGTATGTTCCAACCCAGCCCACAATTTACCCGCAGCTGCCGTAGGATCGCATGGTGGCAGCATCGGCCTTAGCTAAAGCTGTGGCTCACCCTAGCAAGAGCCGTCTGCTGCTTGAGCGAGCATTGGACAAGCCGAACTGACAAATATTCCCTCTGCTCTAGCCCCAACCAGAATCCGAATCTCTCCGCGACCACCTACACACAGTTTCGACAGACGGCAGTCCCTCAGGACGGACACCAATACTATACCTCCCAAACCACACGCACATCCTGCCAACAGGAAAACTATGCCCTTCTTCCGCATAACCCTCCACCGGTCTGCCATTGGCCTCCCCGAACGCACGCGCGGCGTGCTGGCGGCGCTTGGTCTACGGAAACGCACGCAGACCGTGTTTCACCCCGTCAGCCCGCAGTTCGCGGGTATGATCATGAAGGTGAAGGAGCTGGTGCGGGTGGACGAGGTGGAGAAGGCGTTGACGCCGAGTGAGATGAGGGAGGAGAGGAGGCCGCCTAGGGGTTTCTATTTGGAGAAGGCGGTGCCGAGGGTGGATTATTCGAGGGCGGCAGGGAAGGGGAAAGAGATGGCATAGGGTCGAAGGTGATGACTTGAAGGCTTATCGGTATTGCATGATGGAGAGTTAGGGTTGCAGGAATTGGCTTTAGGACGGCAGTGTGGAGGCAGAGACAAGAACGCCGCACAATACCTGCCAGGTCTGCGAGCGGGACGGCCTGGACCTACCATACCCCTTTGGGCGTGGCCTCTATAAGATACGAGGGCAAACTGAATTGTACAAGCAGATATGAAATCTGTACGATCGGCTGTATACTAAGGAAGGAAGCAAGCAAGCATGGCAAGAGGGAGGTCACGATGCCTATATATCAGACAACCTCGCTTGAGAATGAAAGAAACATCATCCAGATAAATATCATTGTGCTGTAAAGGAGACAATGCCCCCGTAGTTAAATGTACCACATAGGTATGCAGACGTCTTGGAGACGGTATCGGCCAGCGATGTCACTTGATTGAGGTCTCTTTCATGTTCCTTCAACTCGGCACATCATGGCTGTGCTCGTTATTGAGTCACCATGCCAGGTTCATGTCAATATCACCTACTTGCCAGCAAAATCCCAAGAATGCATCGTTCATTACTGACTGCTATTGTCTGATCTATCGTACAAGAAAGTGCCCTGAGCCACCCATGCCTTTGTCCCTGTATATGCGAAGAGGCCATTGGACCGTAAGTCCACATTCCATGCCTTGTCCTTGCGAGGTACGGGCAAAATGCAGCCAACCAATTTGAACCAAGGCTGAGTCTCCAACGTATGCGAGAGGAACTGATGCCAAGATAGCCATAGAGCCATCTGATAGGCAGTCGAGGGTAAGCCGATCAAAAGTCCTTGTCATCCAGTGTTGCCAAAGGTGTCAAGAGTCTTTCAATGAGTGTCTGGTTATGCTGGCATGTGTAGAATGGGTCTTTGAAAATGGTTGTGGCAAGACGCGGTGGTCCAGTTCACCACGATGTGAGAATGGGGCTACCAGATTATTGACAGGCGTTGTCAGGAAGTCGTAGATTCTGTAGTAGACAGTCGACAGACGCTAAATTCCAAGAAAGCAGAGTGACAATGAGCATATGGTAATGAAGCTAAACAGCGGGTGCCAATGCCAATTTCTCTGCGTCAAATAGCTGTACATCTGTAGTCGGGTTCGGGGATGGTAAGATGACGAGTGTAAAAGAGTAGGGGATGGGGTGGTGGATGGTGCAGGGGTATCTCATCGCTCCTTGGTCGTTTCAGAAGTCAAAAAGCCACCAGCTGGAGTAACCGCAGACCTAACACGGTAGAGCTGAGGTATGATCAGGCAGGGGAGGTCGAAACCCTTAGTTCTTGGCCTTCTCAGTGTACTCGGCGTTGGGAACCTCGTATTCCTTGACGAAGTACTCGCCAGCGTCCTTCTCCAGCCATTGGCAAAACTTGCTCAACTCCTCACGCAGACGGTTCACAGATTGCTGATCCATGTTCGTTTGGGCAATCAGCTCAGGCATAGAAGCTGGATTCACATCAGTCGCAAATCACCAATATGGGTGAAGTAGAACCGGGTCAAAGGATTATATCTTCTTACCCATGAGGCGCATCAGGTGCTCCGATCCATACGTGTCACAAGCCGTCTTGCCCTGCCACTCGGGACCGCCAGAAATCCACTTCTCACGGATCTCCGAGTACTGGGCACGCTCAAATCTATAGTTGACGATTAGCAACACAATATTATACAAAACAAGCCAGCTACGATCAAGGTGGCGAGCCAACTTGCCTGTAGAGCAGAATGCGGCTAAGGCATTTATCAAAATACTCCTTCAGACCCGCAACGGTTTCCTCGAGAATGTCGATATTAGGCGAACCCTCGGGACGCTTCGGCTTTTCGTAATCCATGTAATCAGAGAGGACCTTGTTGACAGGCTTGGGGTGGGGAAGGGGAACAAGTTGGTTATTCTTAGTGATGTTTTCCCAGTCGTCCACGAGCAGGCCCTTCAGTCGGTCGGGGATGATGATCTTGATCGAAGGTCGGGTGTGAAATGCCTCTTCCTGTCGTTTCATTAGTTTAGCAACATACTTCACGATTGGACTGAGTGGTCCGAAATGCAAGGTGGGAGTGTCAATCAACTCCTGCCAAACGCCGCGGTCCGCTTCCTCTTGTGTGGGGAGCCCTGTGAGTTTGTCCAATTTAGTGGCACAGGGCCGATGAGATGTGTCCAATCGAATCCCAGCGACAGGAAAGGCAGATGTAGGGTCACCATCTCGTGCAGCAGCTTTGATCTTGGAGCGAGCGCCGGCAAGCTTGGAGGAACCTTGGTTGTAGGGTCTATCTTCAGCACCCAGCAGCAGCTCACAGTTGGCCGGATCCTTTCTGTTGCTGACATAATGATGACCGTGTTCGGGCAGCTTGAGTAAGTGATCCTTCTCAGCAGCTGCTTTGTACCATCTTTCTTCCTTGGCCTTGAAAGCCTTAATTTTCGCAGCCATGCGCCTCTCGGCTGCCTCTTCTGCGCTCTCGTTTGGTCTGCGAAGAGCCGGAAACCGCGAGACCGCGCTATCCTCACTTTTGGCGGATTTGCGTGAAGCAGTCGGTTTGGCATTGTTGGCTCTTCTCTTGGCATCATTTACAGGAGCGGCAGCGGCAGGCTTGGGTGAGGCGGCAGGAATGAAGACATGCTCGGTCTTGCTCTGAGGGAGTCCTTCAGATGTAGTTGGACTGCCAGGGGTCATAGCGATATGCGCGGGGTTGGAAATACTTCGAGCGTTGACTTCGAGTGCCGACATCTGCAAGGCCCTCTCGAGATCCGACTCCTCCAACTTGGTCGCACTTCGGGTTCGCTTGCCAAGTGAGGAACCTTGGAATAAACTGACCTGAGCATCGGCATGGTTACAACTGGCACCAGCGTTGCGGATAGTGGCGCGCGTGGTGCGCTGAGTCAGGCCTGCGGAAGGAGTCATCTTGATGGTCTAGTTCATTGACTGCGCCGTGAATCCGAAGCACAGCGCAACGTTGGGAAACGTGACGAGATTCCTTTTTAGATAAAACCAAAGCTAGTGACAGGAGTGACAGGAGTGACAGAGTGGCTAAGAAGCCAAGGGAAGGGATGGCTAGTACGTCCTAAAGCAGAAGCGCGATGGGTGACTTGAAGTTGGGTGGTGTGAAAGACGAAGATGCGGGCAGGCCGGTAGGGTGTAGCTGAGGCTTTCTCGTGCCAGTTGACTTGAAATGGGTGGTGTAGTGGGCGAAAGGGGGCAGGCGCGACGCAATGCTATCGCCCGAAATTTGACGCGGTTGAGGAAAGACGGCAGCTAGAGAACAGCGCAGACTGTTCTTTCGCGACCCAGGGAAAATGCCTTGCTTAGAGGGCCACGTCGATTCTTTTGTCGAGGATCAGCCTTCTCTTTGATGGTGACAATGATGGTGTCTCCCTTCTGACTTTGCTGATGCCCCTTGTTTTCTTTGCCTCCCCCGTGCACTGCGTACGCGTCGCTGCCTTTACGCGTCCAGGAGCAAAACGGCCACTGCTTCCTACCTCAACGTAAGATCCATGAACATTCCGTCCGTGATACCAGTAATGCAATTCTTGGGGTTGCTCTGAGCCAGCAGCGTCGGATATAGCCCGAGAGAGGTGCAGCAGACCCATATTTGGTACTCCAATATTGGAAGGTTGTTGCCTTTATTGTCGCTGATGTTTACCCCTGAGTATCCTTCTCTACGGCAGGCTCGCCCTCCGCATCTCATATCTTGTCATAAGAGACCCCGAAACTTATCCAGTACCCTTCACAACACCAAGTCGGCGCGTGTAAGTGTACTCAAAGTAGAGACTCCAGAAAGAGACAGTACTCACGTCGAGCACCCTATGCCCCGACTCCCACATGCATTTCGGACCAGTCAAACGGTAACAGGGACACAAAAAAAAGAGAAGACTCACATTATCCAGCTCGTAATCCCTACCCCGTCTTGCTCCGCGAGCCGCAAACGAGTTTCCCGCAGTACGTTCTTCACTGCCCCGGGCCGAACTCATCTCACTCTCCCGCCCGTTGCCAGATGGTCCTCCGACCGCCTTGCCGATGGCCTTCTTGGCGCTCTTGGAGCCTCCGGCCACTCTCTGGCGGGCAGCCTGCTGCAACTGCGCAGCGAGGGCCTTGTTATCGTCGGTGAATTTCCGAATTCGGTCCTGGCTGACCCAGTCGTCCCAAGAAGCCTTCCAGCCCTTGTAGTGCACGCGGTACTGGGCGTCGTCGGCCTTGGGGTTGTGGTTGTTGGGGTCAGTGGCTGAGCGGACATCGGTTACCTTGGCCTCGTACATCAGGTCACCGTGGAAGCAGAGGACCTTCTCGTCCTTGGAGTAGGGGGGCACCGCAGGTTGCTTGGAGGGCGCCATGGTGTCTGCTCAAGCTGCGGCGAACCGGGATTTGATGCAATGCACTACTTCGCAAATACTATGGGTGATGCTGCGGAAAAAGTAATATATGTACAAGCTTTGGTCTAAACAGAGATGACAATGCCGATCACAACCTCTTCGAAGTCAGGCAAAGCTCAAAGGCCGCGTTTCTTCAAGTTTGGCAGGTTGGCTGTACAGCAGCCAGAAGTCACGTTATCGCGTTAATTGGCTGCTTCCTGGGAACCGTCGCTTTTTCCTTAGCGATGCGCTCGGACGCGTTGGGGACGCGACTGCTAGCTTGTCCGTTTTACCAACACACACCTTCCTTGATCATCCCACACCCATCTACTTTACACATTGAAAGCCTCGTCACTTCAAGTTGTGTTGACGGTCAAGCCCACAATCCATGGTGAATTCCCGTTGCAACAATAGCTATGGCACCCACCGAGGCTACAATCCTGCAAAACTACCTCCTCCTACCCGCGCGCCTGCCTTCGATCATCTCGCTTGAACAATTCACCTCGTACTTCCCCAAGTCGCAACAGTCGTCGCCGCAGATCCGAGCCCTATACCGCGACTTACAACAGCAGCGCAATGCCGTTGTTGACTCTGTAGCTCAGAACATAGACTCGGAGGTCAAGCTAGGCAGGTCGTTGCGACGGGCAGTTGCCCAGGCACGCAGAGAGACAGAGGAGGAAGAGCAAGACGATGAAATTGACATCGAGAGAAATGTAAGGACTGCTTCTGTTTGTCTATGTACATCACAATGGGACGACGGCTAAATCATCATGTTCTATCTAGCTCTTTGGTTTCACCTCGAACACCATCCTGCCAAAGAAGCACAACTTGACCACGATCCTCCCCGAAATGGAAAGCGCAGCCAACGACATTGAACAAGAAACACGGAAACTGGAAGAGGAAGAGGCGGCATTACTCGAATCTGTAAAGCAAACCGTCGGTGGCATGAGCGACCTTCGATACGGCCGTCTTGCGAATTCAAAGCTCCGATATGAAGTACTTGAAGGTTTGAACGCCATTCAAGAAGTGTGCAAACGAAAGTTATGAGCCATAAACATGTTACGCGTAGGCTAAACCGCCTTGCTTCATTACGACATTATGTGTGACTATAGATACATGACAACCCTCAGACCGCCGTGTTGTCCTCTCAACACGCCATCCAAAGTGCGTAGGTAGGATCACCGTCAGATCCGAAATACCCTGTCGGATCATACCCATTGACATTGTTGCCCCAACGTTCTATACTACACGATGCTTTACTGGGCTCGTCCAGCGGGAGCCGCACCGGCTGCGCCTGGGCGACCTCCCTGGGCGCCCATGCGGTTGGACCTGAAGATTGGTTAGTCGGAACATTCAAGTGGGATTCACGGTGACTAGTGTTGACTTACATCATGGTCCTGGACAGCATAGAGACAACAATCATGAACAGCCAGCTGGGGATCAAGTTGAAACCCCAGAGGACGTAGCCCACGGGGATGGACAAGCCATTCTTGGCCAGAGATCCGTTGAAGGGGTGGAACATGCCGTCATGCAGCTTGGCCTTCTCCTTGAATCCATCCTGCTGGAGCTGCACGATATCGTCACTAGTGGTAGTGGTGAAGTTCAATCGCTTGGACCAGATGTTGATCTCAGCGGGCTCGGGCAACATCTCGAAGATCCACAGAGCACCTGTCGGGGCCGACCAAGCGTTGCATAAGACAGGCTCGTTCTCGCAGTTGAGGAGTGCTGTGTGAGGCCCCCCCGGCAAGACGGCGAACTTCGCTGCGCTCTGGTTGAATGCGGTCTCAATCTTGTCGCAGTGGCCTAGGCAGTTTCGAGTCAGTCGTTGTAACGTGGCGTCAATGGCCATGCATATTTACCGAAACAAGTCTTGTTACCGCCAGTAATCAACACCCACACTTCCTCAGGCGTAGTGCTTCCGTCCGTCACGGGGGCATACAGGGTCTCCTTCCAGTTGGTCAAGGTTAAGACATCCATTTTCATCTCTCCAACCTTGGCCTCGGCAGCGCCAACGGGGTCGCTCTTGCTGGGGATGGGGACATATCCCATGAACTTGTCTAGGTAGTTTTGGAATTGAGCCTGGTATTCCGGCAAATCCGCGCTTGCCAACAGAGGAAAACTGAGGACGGCTGCTGCTGTAGAGAAGAAGCGCATTGTGACGGTTTGACTGTGGAACGTGATTGAAAAAAGGTTTGGACAGCTCGCGACAAGCCTCCAACTTCGGGTATGATGTAAGTGGGAGGGATCGGGTCTGATACGAGTCAAATCAAGTGAATCAACCCAAAGGAAGAGTAGTCCACGAATGACAGCAACACTGCAGCTTTCCTCGAGACAGCCTGTTTAAATAAAGGGTCTGAAGCAACGAAATTTGTTGATGAAAAGAGAAGAGAATCTTTGAATCCTGCTCTATTGTTGAGATGGGGACATCGTTAGGGACAGCGCAACAGCCAAGGATTAATGCGGAAAACTGGGCCTCTAGTGACTGGGAAGCTGATTCCATGTTCGTTCTAGCATCGACTGGAGGTTGCATCTGGTAACATCCCTGCTTGTTGTGGCCCATTTCGTAACCAATTGCACCAGCCACATACTCAGCGTAAGGCGGCGGTTGCGCTTCAAGCTATTGGGACACCTAACATTCTACATGGTTCGACTGTATAATATGCGGTAGAAATGGTGAGGATCGATCCAGTCTGCCCGATAATTACCGCTGATAAGTAGTAGGCGACTGAAGCCGCAAACCAAAAGCGGAAGCGCGGCCGACCCGCAAACAAGAACGCGTCTCGAGACGGCAAAAGCGCGTCGCAAACACAACTGATCCTGACGAACAACGGTTCAATGGCTAAACCCCCGAACGACACCGTAGAGGCAGATGGGGAGGAGGATGCGCGCCCGAGAAAACGCGGAAGGCCAACGAAATCAGGTCCCTCTTCGCAGCCCCAGGCGCCAGTCGCAAGCCAAAACGAGCCTCGAAAGAAGCGCGGGCGGCCATCATTGTCGCAACAAAAGGAAGTGGAGGATGGGGAGAACGGACCGGACGAAACTACCGTTAGAGAGCAGCCGAAAAGGCGAGGGCGACCCTCAGTGTCGAAACTCCCCGACCATGAAGATGCACTCAACGAGGCAGAGGCGACAGCAGACAAGCCAACACCAAAGAGGAGAAGTCGACCCCCTACGAAAGCTCCTGCTCTTGCGGAGAATGAGGTAGACGTCGAGGAAGCAGATGACGAGAACCAGATCGACTCAAGCGTTCTTCGCCGTAGTGGTCGAGATCGCAAGGCCGTGGGCGAGTGGTACAATGCCACACCTCCAGGTAAGCCCAAACAGGCAGCGCCAGGTCCCGCTGCAGAAGATCCCGAAGACGACCTCCCTGAAGATGACTCGAATGTCCTACGAAGCAGCGCTCGAGAATGGAAGTCTGTTAGAAAGCCGTCCAAGGGGACGCAATACGATGAACAGCACGACGTGGATCGATCTACGGAACGGCCCAATGCACATCCTGAGAAGGCGACGAGAAAGAGACGTCGACCATCTGTGGACAAAGCACCAGCTGATAACACGGACTACGAGGCTGGTTCTAGGCCGGCCAAAAAGAAACGTGGCCGCCCGTCACTAAATAAACCTACTAAGGTGGATATGTCGTCCAAACCGAAGCCACGGAAAAAGGGCAGGCCAACACCCGGCGAGGTGCCTACTGCCACATCTGATGAAACTTTTGGAATGCAAATAAAGCAAAAGAGGCGACATAGAACACACCCATCAGACAGCACTGCCACCAAAGCTAAGAAATCACGGCAGCCTGCCGACAACAATCGCTCCGTGTCTCCATCCCCGCCGCCGCTCTACCGGCACCTAAGGACCCGTACCCGCCAGATTCCACGTCACCATATAACCAACAAATGGACGGCACTTGATGCACCGTCGATATCCAGCGTCACAACCCTTCTCCAATCCGCCTCGCGTCCCGTCCTCCTGCGCCTAAACAATCTGCAGCGACACGCCCAAGCCACAGCAGCTCTCAACGCCATCAGCAATCGTCTATGTTCAAAGCTGGCACGCGGTCTACCTTTCCCGCCGGCCACGACGGCCAGCAAGCGCGAGGACGAGCTCGAGTTCGAGCGAACAGTGGCCGAGATCGAGACGCTGGAGGCGCAACTTGACCCACTGCTTCACAGTGTCGATCTGCTCAAGAAGGAAAAGGAGCGCGCTGAGAGAGAGTTGGAGAGAGAGTACAGGGTCCTCGGCGAACTGAGCGCTAATGCTCGGGCTCAGGGCAAGAAAAGGAAAGAGGAGCTGCGCAGGATTCATGCGCTTGTCCCTGAACTGAGGAGGGATGGCGCATCATCAAATGACGGTAGTGGGCTGGGTGAGATAAAACCAGCGGAAAAGTATGCCGCGAAGACGTTCACGGACTTGGAGGATGACGACTTGAAAGGTCTGGGGGAGCAGATTGCGAGTCATATGGAGAGCATGAAAGGGAACCTACAGCACATTGATGGCGTTGTGCCGGCTATTGCGGATAGTGCCGCCGCCTTGAGGATGGCCCTTTTGCCACATTTGGATCAGGATCAGTTTGACCAGGTGTTGTTTGGCTAGAGATGATACCATGGGGATAGAGGACACAGGGATGGAGATGATGACTTATGATATAAGCTGTATGCTTAGCTTGCTGCTCGTTCTCAAAAAACATTCTGTACTATGAGACAACCCTTGGCAACCAACCATTGAGCCGGTAATGACGAATGCATCGAGGGACTCGTGCCATCTCTCATCGGGCAAACTTGTATGCTCTTATGTGGTGTTGTGAAGTTCTACGTCGTTTCTTACTACGCTTATCTGGAATTGTAACACAAGCCTGTGACTCGAATCCATAATATCCAGTCGTCGTATATCCCCTTCTGAAGTCACTTTTCTTTGAGCCGTTATCCGCCAGAAGCACCTATCCCCCCAGCCCCCCAGATATTTGACAAGCGCATGGCAAAACGAAACGGGCCGGCCAAATTGGACCAGCTAGGATATAACGAGTCTACTGCAAGTTGATATATCGAGATTCCCCACACTAGTCTACGCTATTCTACTCTTGATTGTTGCCGACTCAATGCCCGATGCATGGCTTCGTATCCACGACGTTGTGTAACGGACTACCACGTGATACTGCTTGGTCTGCCCCTTGGCGCCTTGTCATGCCATGAAACCTGTCTTGAAGACTAGATCAAGTTGTTCAGCCGTGTCTTACCACACGTGCTACTGATGAATATTTGAAAACAAAACAAAAATTCACTTCGTATTTGGTCGCTTGTGTATTCCTTCCTTCGACCAATAATAGGGGCAACGATGGAATATCATTACCCTGGAACAGATACACCGGAGCGTTGTCCTACATTGCCGAAAACGACCATGACACGAGATTTGTGATATATCTTAAAGTGCCGAGAAAGTTTGCCATGCTATGTACCAGGAGAGCCGCATGAGTGGAACATCATTACTTGTACAGACATAACAATGTGGGCGACACTGTTGATGATACCACATGCAGACGCATATACTCTCCTATTCATGACTGCCACCTGGAATTAGGTTAGAATATTCGTCCCCAGTTGCATCGTTACACAAAAGACACCATCCTATTTCTGCACTAAGGTTGCTTTATCCGCGTATTGATGGCTCTCACCTCACTTTCCAAATCCACGAAGTTATTAACACCTAACAACCGAAGGAATATGTGCTGCTAACGCTTTATCCAAGCAATCATAATATAGACTCGATCGACTCCACGAAGACGAATAATCATCGAGCAAACAGCGAGAGTGATGTCGGTTTCACAGCATGGCATCAATAGTACCTTACATACGCGAGAATCTCGCATGAATCGCTTGAGTCCAAGTCCAGCCTGTGCGCCCCTCGACACCCTTTACCCCCGTCTTTACAACACATCTATACACGCCAGCTGATAGTGGACCCTCTTGAACCCGTTCCGTACCTTCATATCTCAATCTCAAGACCGTCATGCCAAACATCGTTGACCATACTAGACGCGCGAGACAAGAGGAGGCTGGAAAACAACTCACACAGCGCCTGGCGCACACTTGCCCCACTTCCAATTACGCACCCATTTCTCAGCCAAGTTTAATGATGATAGATGCACATGCTTTGTCTACTTCTCGTCTTTAATAAGGTTTGTAACAATGTACGCAACACAGCTCACCGACACGGTGGGGCACCGAGTCGATTAGTCCGTCAGTAATGGGGCTCTGGCGCAGCCCATCACGCCTCCCGGACCCAGTCTTTGAAGGTTAGCCGGTGAACCTCGCTATCCGTCAGAAGTGTGTAGCGGTGCTTTCTATGGACGTACGCCTTCATATGGCGCCACACGTGCTCGGTTAACCACTAATCAGGACTATGGGCGGGCTGGTCGACAACCCAGATGTCGTGGAACTCGAGCCATTCTTTGGTGGCCCTTGTGGGCGCAGTACACTCTTTTAAAACAAGGATCTACAGAGATCTACCCGCTTTCGATACAGTACGATCTGCACAATTAGTCCAATGCGGCTTCTAGTACCTAAGATTCTATCGCTTAAAGGCAGGCTTAATAGTGTTGCGGTATATGTGGATTTGGTGGCCTGAGGGCATGGTGAGGTACACTCGAGGTACTCTAGGGCCCTGGTGCGACTCGGAACCCTCTCACTTGCACCTCCCTTCTTTACCGTTGTATATAGCCGGAATGCGAGTACCATTGCGATTCCACAGTATAGTGCAAACCCGACCTGCTCGCAGACCTCTTTTATGAGCACTCCCTACCTAACTATGGAGTGTTTTCCCACTATTCTAGTGATATACGGGGCTTGCCGTATAGTTGGGGCTTTAGGGCGACCACTATGGCATCGTAAGGTGAATAGCCGAGTATACTATACGTACTTAGTATAACGGATACCCACTGACGGTGAGTATTCGAATCGACTGCTAACCCCATGTACACTGAAGCCGCCTACGTGCCAGGCCGACATAGTACTCCTGGCCTTTCTAATGACTGGCGATTAGAACGCGTGCAAGAACTTTCCCGGGAGTGTCTTCCGTGGCTGCTGGTGGTCGATTGAAACGTGTGTAGATGAGTGGAAAATTGAGTTGGATGCGAGTGCGTCGGGAAGTGGACAAGTGTGCCTCGGACTTCGTAGCATTGATTTCAGCTGAGAAACTGACTGTTTGTCAATATAAGCATTGTTTGTGCAGATATCTGTCGACAGAGTTTGCGTGAAACGTGACGGATCGGCCCGTCCAGGCAATCGTTTCATGTTTCACAGTTCAGCCTTATCCAACATCCCATCACACATTACGAGTCATTCACCGTAATCAAGTAAACATCGGTATACAATAATAGTGAGCATAAAAAACGCTTCATTCAAAAACAGGCTCGCGCCTCCTACATACACGAATCGAAGTTTGGTTTCGGCAATATTATACAACCCACTCCTGACCTGGAGGCAGGAAGTACGTCAACCACCCTTGTATGTAAGATTAATCCCCTCCTACTCCGAATGCCACAGAAGAAACGCGCACAAAAAAACCAACAATGGCCTGCCGCTAAGGTGCTGCACCTCTTCGCTGCTGCTTGCCCAGGGGGATGAAGTCTAGAAGTGTTGATGTTGTGTCGCTAAATGGGTTGAAATTGGTTCATGCAGCGTCGTAAATCCCTGTATAATGTACAGCTGGTATTTTTTCCGAATACCGTTCCCCTGTTCTTCTTTTGGATCATATACTTGACAAGCCTGAGCTACGTACGAGAATAGAATGTTGAGGTAATTTCATATTCAAGTGCGATTTCTCGAGCTTAGCGGCGGTGCATCTTGAAGGCGCCAGTAGGGGCGGCGACGCCGCTGGGCATGGGAAATGTGCCGTTGCTGCCACTGGAGGGGTAGGGGACGACAGTGGCAGTGGCGGTAGCGGTGACAACATCGCCATCCTCGGCTTCAGCGTCACATTCGTCACCTTCCTCTTCATCCTCCTCCTCCTCGCCATCGTCGGCATCGCACGACTCCTCATCATCACCCGTGGCCTCTGCATCGGCGGCCGAAGTAGTGACAGTGGGGGTGGTGTCGGAGTCAGCAGAGTCAGTCGCCTGAGCGGCAACGGGAGCGGTGGTGACATCGGCGGGTGCGGATGCGGTAAGGTAGACAGTGCTAGCGGGCATGGTGACAGTGACAGTGACGGGGACGCACTCCTCGTCGGAGCCAGATCCAGAGCCAGAGCCGGCGCTGTTGTCAGTTCCAGTGGTGCTGTCAACACCGACGGTGGGCAGAGCAGTCTCGGTGGCAGTCGACGGCTTGGCAATGGTGATAGTGCGGGTGCCAGTGCTGGTCGACGTAGTGGTCGAGGTGCCCTCAGTGGTGGCACCGCCTCCATTGCCATACTCACCAGTGTTATCCTCACCATTGGTAGGAGACTCGGTCTCAGCGGTCGCAGGGGCAGTGGCAGTCTGAGCTCAGGTTAGTCTACTATATTTGCTTCAGCTTACAAGTTAGCACTTACCAGGGTGACCATCTCAGTATAAGTGGAGTGGAGCGTGGTGGTCACGACGGACTGGGCGCTGGATGGGCCGATGGTCATGGTAACGACGGCATCCGTAGTGCCAATGGAGGCAGAGACAGGTGCAGTCTCAGCAATGGTCAGGGCACCGGTCTCGCCAGCGGGAGGGGCTGACCCGGTACCGGTAGCGGTAGCGGTAGCGCCAGGGTAGACGGGATAAGTGGTTCCGGTGATCAGACCAATGCTGTGTGCCTTTTTAACGGACGACGAGACATAGTCGACAGCCGTAAGGGGGCAGACAGTTGTAGTCAAGTCAATAACCTCGGTGATGTAAGCAGTAGTGAGGTCTGAAGCGGGCATGGTCGAGTACGCCCCAGTATTGTTTGCGGCGGGGCAGTTGGTCACGGTAGGAGCACACTGGGTGATGGTATGGACCTGGGTGATGGCAACGGTCAAAGTGGTTTGGGGATCAGCCGTGGCAGTGGCATTGTCCCTTCGGAAGAAGCCATTGTGGAATTGGCGGGGGTGGTTGTAGCTGGCGGTGGTGAGGCCGGACGAGAGGAGGCCAAGAGCAATGGTGGTTGACTTCATTGTGCCGGTGTTTGTGGGTTTGTTGTTGGTGGTGAGGGTGGGTCGATACTGCAAGTCTAAGACTCGGTTGTGGTCTAATCTCTGAAAGAGTGTTTTTGTTGTCGATGAAAGAATGGATACCTTGCGAGACGCAGTAGGTCAATGAGCGAAAGTCGATTCCGCGATGCTGGAGCAAGACACAAGTGCCGGTTGCAAAGAACGTCGTGCGTAAGTAGAATTGGAGCCGCAGGCCGCAGGAAACAGAAATACCGACAACGGTTTAAATGAGAGACTGAAATAAGACTCGGAAGAGAGAGAGAGACTTGAGATGGGAAGAGGAAGATATGGGAGCAGTCGCATCAGGACGGTGAGCCCTTTTTACGAACCGGGCACCCTCTGTACCTTACATGATACTAGACAAAGCCTCCACTCGTAGACAGATACACACCATAATCATTCCAAGGACCTTCTCGGACCCACAGATGGACCACCCATGGGTGTTCCTTGAATTGCCATGATTGAGTGGGTGGATATTGACCAGGTAGCGGCACCAAACAATCAGGAGATGAGAAAAGAACGAGGTACGCCGGCGAGCATGGGTTGGTCTCCTTGGCACTTGCTCCCCCTGAGCGCTGAGTTGGACCCCTGCACAGATGTAAGCCCCGGCCGGTGCTAGACGTGCTAGACGCAGGTACAATATTGTGAGACGAAAAAGCGGCCAATGAGGACGGCAAAAGCGCTCGAGAGATCTAGCCAGCTTCGGGAACCAGTAAGGACCAGCGCACTTGTTGTGCTGGCACACCTGTGGCAAGCACGCACATTCATCCGAGTATTTGCATTTTCTAGCTCGCGGGCATGGACGATGACAAGCGACGACGGGATGTGAAGCGGAGAAGCCAGCCTTTTACCGTTAGGAGCCCCGGATATAGTCGACCTGGAGACTCGGGATAAGCACACAATACGTAAGCGCTTGCTCTGCCGTGCATCCTCAGCAACGGGCACTGATCGACCTTGTCTGGAGTGATCCATTGTCGAGCATCAGCTTTCTGTGGATTCTAGCGGTTCGATCATGAGCCGGGGCCCTGTTCTCAGTGGCTGACATACAGCTAATGACGGAGGACGTAACGCTTCCAACGTGTTGATTTCGAGGCAAGCCACTGCTGGTGTTGATAGGAAGAGCAGCCCGCCGCCTCCTTTCCAACGGTCGCCCAATTTGTTGGATCGAAATGCAATATCTATTGCCATTACCCAGATTTTTGGGATTGGCGAATGCTGCAGATACACATTAGCGCGAAAGAAATGCTTTTGTCTATTCCTTGAGTGGTCCGAACTTGTTGGCATGGCGCTCATGGCGGAACGAGTGTGACAAAACTCATCCTTACAGAATTGGTTCTGATCAGCTTCAGCTGACTGATGTTGCTGAAGAAGATTCCGAGACGCGCCCGTGAGCCTGTGGCGTTGTCCCTCATCAAACCAATTTTGAACTGTCTTAGGCCCTCCGTATCTCAACGTCGGTGCCTTGTTTTTCCCAGTGAACTGCCGAACTACGTACGCATTCAAGGATTTGCGAACGTTGGGGAAAATTGCGAAATTGGCAAAAGCTAAAGGAGAATAGTGAGAATCCTATTTCGCCTTGCCTCGTCCCCATATTCAATTGGGTCTACGGCGACATGGTCTCGACCGATCGCACCTTCCGAGGTGCATTCCAACATCATCAGCAATTGATTGCCTAATAAGTCAGCGACAAATGCTTCATCGAACAAGCTTTGTCAATGTTTGGGGAAGCAACGGGAACCCCCTTCGCCATTTTTGGAGTCGCTACTACGCAGAAGAAACACCAACGGGCGATCCGGTAAACTGCGCCGAGACTTGAGACTCTGCGCTTACTTTATCACCATGATCCCCGGCCATCATCCTATCTCCTGTTCATGCGGGAGCCTCAGAATAACCTCCAGAGGCAACCCTTCTTCCCTTCTGTGCCTTGGTACTAGTAATACTGGTCATCAGAACAATGGGATGAGAGCAGGGCTCCCCATCTATTAAAAGGGCTTCTAATGTTTCACCAATGGGCTGGCGCTTTGCGGTGGTGCTCTGATTGGCGGCTGGCATCTGACCACGCAAAATATCCTTGCGCTCATCAAGGTCCAGTAGCAGACGGGCTCCTGCGAAGAAAATCCCCGAGATCCTCCTTCTCCTCCAAAGCCAACTTACCAACTTGCCAAGAACCCGCCCAACAGGGTTCATGAAATAAATGGAAGGAAGACCGACATTGGCATAATTATAATTAAAAACAAATTGGGCACACAAAACCTCGCAAGCTCGTCACTAATCTAGAAACCACGAGAACAGGTGAACACGCGGCTCACAGCAGAATCTCCGATCCTTGGCCCGAGCACAGCCCATCGAGCTGTCCTTCAACCCCTACTATCAGCCCTGATGCCCCCGTAATGATCCCCAGCCGTGTGTCGCAGGAAGATTGAGGCCCATCTCCCTCATATACGAACATTACGCGCAGCACCGATAATTCTTACCAGAGCAGCCCACTTGAAATTTCTTTGTTCCCCCTGTCAGCCGCCAAAATAATGATAAAAGTAGCACGAAGCATTAATTGAAGCACCATCCTTCCCTCCACGCTGTCCACCTGTGTCCGCTGAGCGCCGCTAAGCGCCCATGGGATCATTCATTTGCATGTGCCGCATTTCTGCCGTAATATTTAAAGCGACCCGAGTCATTATTCCCGAGTCATTATTTCGGTAATAGATAAGCCTGGGGGTGGTAACAATATTATTCTTAACCATTTAGGATTCCAAGCCTGTTGAGGTATTTTTCATGTACCTGAATCCAGGCCGACTAAGATAAAAAAGGAACACGCAACCGCGAGCCCATAGATAGGAGACTAGGAAATTGATCGGCTAAATTTGGGTGGTGATTGATGGAGAGTTCTGCTTACAGCGGACAATGAATCATGTTCCAGAATGTGGAACAATGGTCCTCGGATTATTATGCACGATAGTCCCCAATCTGAGTGATGATTAAGTGGTCTTTCTTCACATTTTATATGGTCAGACTCAGGTAAGTCAACCGTGGGTGATTGTGATTGTGCCTGTCATTATGGTAGTCAGGGTTGAGGTTTGCTTGATACCGTCGGTCGGTATACTCATTTTCGAAGACTGTTCGGGAAATAGAGACCTGGTCTTGGAGCATCACCGCTTGACAGCGAAATACTATGTAAGCCGCATTTTCGCAGACTCCTAATTACCTACTTCTATCCGAATTCGAGAGGCTAGTCGCCGATAGCTTCTCCGCAAATTGCGCCCCTGCCATGGTCAATGAGCTCAAACGATCCTTTGACATTCGCGCTAACATGTTCGCCAACAGGGATGCGATGGCATGTTGATTCTTAACAACCAAACGCTAATATCATACGCATCTCTCATTACCCAGTTGAATTGGGGCTATTCTGCTTCTGTATCTACACTGATGCCATGATCAATTTGGGTTCTTCTCTAAGAAGATCCAGAACCATCATCAATACCAAAACGCCGGGGCCCGGTTGACGTGACCACTTGATATATGTCCCAACCCTCTATGCTCATGTGTTGAATGCACCATTCCTGCCATACTATTTGGTTTGAATCCACTCACCCACCCACTTTTCATGAAACCAAGCCTTATGAACGCCGATGTTGAAATCGAAATCTGATACCTATGTTCCTCGGGCTATCAGTCATGCTGTTTCACGGAGATAACCAGAAATCTCCGTAAGTACAACGCCCCTGGAGTCGCTGTTTCTTTCCCCCACAGCGAAGCCTCTCCGTGGCATACCTATATGCGTTTATTTGGCGTATTTGGCGCGATAGAACTTAGCAGCATTGACCATGTTGATCAACGCCTCCTTAGTCTCCTTCCACTGGCGAGTCTTGAGACCGCAGTCAGGGTCTATCCACAACTGTTCGGGCTTGAGGTACTGCAGCATCTCCTCAATGCGGTCCTTGATCTCCTGCTCGCTCGGGATACGAGGCGAGTGAATATCGTAGACGCCAGGGCCAATGTGCCGAGGATAGGCTGAGTCGACGAAGACGCTCAGCAGCTTGGCGTCCGACTTGCTGTTCTCAATTGACAGCACATCAGCGTCAAGCGCAGCAATGGCGTGGAAAAAGTCTTGGAACTCCGAGTAGCAGAAGTGTGAGTGGATCTGAGTGGAGTCCTCAACGCCGACGGTGGCAAGGCGGAAAGCCTTGACGGCCCAGTCAAGATAAGCCTCACGCTCCTTTCCACTTCGCAGGGGAAGACCCTCACGGAGGGCGGGCTCGTCAACCTGAATAACATCGACGCCGGCCTTCTCGAGATCGATGACCTCGTCACGGAGAGCCAGAGCAAGCTGCTCGGCCTGGACCGACTGGTGAACGTCGTCACGAGGGAAAGACCATCGCAGGCAAGTGATGGGACCAGTCAACATACCCTTCATGGGCTTCTTGGAGACCGAGACGGCATACTTGGACTCCTTAACGGTCATGGGAGCGGGACGGGAGATGTCACCGACGACGATAGGGGGTCGGACACATCGAGAACCGTAGCTCTGTACCCACGCGTGAGTGGTGAAGGCATAGCCGTTTAGACGCTCGCCAAAGTACTGGACCATGTCGTTGCGCTCAGGCTCACCGTGGACGTAGACATCCAAGTCAAGCTCATCCTGAATCTTGACGTTCATGTCGATTTCTTGCTCAATGAACTTGTCATACTGAGCCTCGGTGATCTCTCCTTTGGTGAACTTATTGCGTTGAACACGGATTTCTTTGGTCTGGGGGAAGGAGCCAATAGTGGTGGTAGGGAAGAGGGGGAGATTTAGCTTTTTCTGCTGTTGTGAGATTCGGGTAGAAAACTCGGACTTGCGGTTGTAGTCAGACTCAGCAATCTTGGATTGGCGGTCCTTGACCTTGGGGTCATTGGTTCGCTTCGAAGTTGCACGAGCGTTCATAGACTTAGCGTTGGCCTCAAGAGCTTCCCGAACAGCGACAGGGCCCTCGGTGACGGCCTTCGCAATGATGGCGATCTCGCCAGCCTTCTCAGAGGCGAAAGAGAACCAATCAGCAATCTCGGGGTCCAGCTTCTTCTCACTGGCCAAAGTGTGAGGAGTGTGAAGGAGGGAGCTGGAGGTGGCAACAATGACACGATCCTTGCCAAGTTTCTGGATGGCAGTCTCAGCAATTTCGATGGCACGCTTCAAATTGGTCTTCCAGATGTTACGGCCGTCCACAATACCGGCTGACAGAATGGTCTTAGGGCCAAGGGCGCCAGCAACAGTCTCCAATTGTTCCGGGTTACGGACAAGGTCAATGTGAACAGCGTAGATGTCCTTGGGGACAAGGTCAATGTTGTGGACGATATCACCGAAATAGGTGGTGAAGACGAGCTTGGGAATCTTGTCACCCAAGCCGGCAAACTTTTCGTAAGTGGGCTTGAAAGCGGCCTTGGTCTTGCTGGGCAGATCGAACACCAGAACTGGCTCATCAATCTGGACAGTCTCAGCACCAGCTTGCTTCAGCTGGACCAGCAGTTGCTCGTAGACAGGCAGGAGCTTCTCGAGGAGATCGATGGGGTCAACACTCTGGCCACGGTCCGCCTTACCCAAGTGAAGGAAGGAGACAGGGCCGACGAGGACAGGCCGGGTGTTTATGCCAGCCTCCTTGGCCTCCTTGAACTCAACGACAGCTTTGGGACTGGCAGAGAGCTTGAAGGTTTGATTGTCCTGCAAGGTGGGCTTGACGTAGTGGTAGTTGGAGTCAAACCATTTCACCATCTCCAGACTGGACACATCAACACCACCCTTCTGGTGGCCACGGCCCATGGCAAAGTATTCGTCGACGGGGTTGAGGTTCGAGTTTGTGTAGCGCTCGGGTGCCGCCTATTGAGGCGCAATCAGCAAAAGAAAATAAACGAGGAGTCTTGAAAACCTACACCGAAGTCCTGGATGTGACTTAGAACTTGATCGTACAGGGCGAAGTCATTGCTTGGGATGATGTCGACACCGGCATCTTTCTGAATGTTCCAGTGGGCAAGACGGAGGCGCTTGGCTTCTGTGAGAAGGTCCTCTTGGGACAGGTTGCCAGCCCAGTCTGAATACACGGGTCAGCAAGGGGAACCGGCAAAGTCGGAGGCATGGAGTGAATGGGAATAGAGTCACTTACAGGCTTCGGTTGCCTTCTTCAGGTCACGGTTCACACCCATGCGGGGGAAACCCAAGATCGCGGACTGAACCATCTTGCCAACTGTTCGCGATAACTGTGAAAGGCGGGTGTGTTAAGCTACGATCTTAGTCAGTCTAGGGCGTCCCGAGCACGAAGAATGAATGGGTAGGAGGGTAACGTACGGGGATTGGCAAAGTGATGATTCCAATCTCAGGAAAAAGACGGAAAATGGATCGATTGGGGATAGAGGAGATGGAGGAATTCCCACGCTTAAGTTAGGAGAGTGAGAGGAAAGGAAAGAAAATTCCGTTGGCGGGATGGGATGAGGAGAGAGTGGGGTTGTGGAGGTGAAGTAAGTACAGCGGTGTAAGAGAAAGTCAAACTGTCGGTCTCATAGGGCTAGGACAACATGGCGGGGTTGGAGCAGATACAACATTCTGAGTTTATCTTTAAGGTCCGAAAGCGGGGCAAACTGTCAGACCCAATCGAAAAAAATCTCGACGAGAACTCACTTCCACCAGTTTGTAGCCGACGCTTGGAGCGATGGCGCCATACAATTGGGGCTTCACTACAATATTATTGAGAGTTTCGTCATGCTCCACGGTCTTCCCTTGCAGACCTCGATTTGTTGGGGTTTGAAAGCATTCCTATTCACGTTGAGCTTATCTCTGTAAGGGGTCCCCAAGTTCATTACTCAACCAGAAAGTTTAATGCTACATCAGTACGCGGACATTTCTACGCAGGCGAACGAGCCAAGTCGGCGGAATCTTTGAATTATCCAGTCCTGCGACACAATCAAACTGGTCTATTTACATTGATTATAGCTCCGAATAGTGCCTTGCCCAACGACTGAGTATTCCTGTTTATGTTTATGTAACATTGGAAACCACCGGAAACTCGGGGGCACAGTCTGACAGCCAAACGAGCTGACAATATCGGGAATCTTTCGCAACATCCCAGCCATGCATGATACCTTCCTGTTTTGGGCCCGGTCTGCGTCGATCGGAAGGACAGGCTCAACGTTTGGCAGATCGGCCTTGCGGTGCGTCGTCATGGAGCCAATCAAGCATTGCGGTATCGGTCTTGGTAACTGATTTGGGGCACACAGGATGCTGACAGCATAGGATAATTAATATGCATACGCAAAGTCTGAAGACGAGGGTCGCTGCCATTGAACCACCAAACCTTGACAATAGCACCTGCGAAGATAACGCATCAGCTCTATTCGCTGTTTCTACCAAATCATGTCGAGACCTCAGGAAACAAAACTGTGTTTAAGCTGAATGGGTGTTATTGACGTGGATTGCCATCAATACTGCTTGTAGCTCAGCACTGCTAATATCTCTGCTGGATACATTCCCTATTCCTGTAGGCATCTCCTAGTACTTCGAAAAAAAATAAAAAAAAATACCCCAATAAGACGACCCGACCACTTTGCGGTTGCATATTTTGTGCGGTTTGAGCTGCAGTTGGACTTTGGATGCTTCAGAAACGTGGACTACGGTTAAAACGCACGGCTTACAGTCAGTTCAAATTCAGCTGAATCTTGCAAAACGTCCTGAAGACCGCAGGTAAATACGCCAGGCATTACTTTGAACCGGCACCAACCCTTCCAAGGGTGCTGTAACAAATGGGACGAGGTTTTGCAAAGAGGATGCGATGGCGGGTTTTACAACTTAAGTCGCGCTTTCGATACAGGAGCTGTTACTCGTGGTTTCCCAATCGATCTTGCTACGAAAAGTCGTTTGATTGGGTCTGCGCCTACCTCTGCTTAACGACATCGAGTCAGAGAATGCAGTTGCACTTACCTCCGTAAAATCGCTTCTCAGCAGATTTGGAACAAGCCAGAGACGGCTTCACAACTGGCTGCCGTTCCTCGATAGTCAACACTTGACAACCTCGGTCTTGTCGAGTCTTTCTTGGAAACCGATGACAGCTCTACGCAACTTCACTCGTTTGTACACTCGTTTAGCTTGGAACGACCTACCAGCTTGAAGAATGCCTGTTTTTTGCTGCTGCCGCACCCGGAGAAGAAATTCTTCCTCATGCTCAGAACGTCGCCCAACACCGTTCCCAGCTCGTCCGGCTCGCGCAAAGCTACCGAACACCCCCGTTCCTGTGCCCGAAGCATTCATGCCTGCAGCGGCACCCTCGCTTATGACTACGCCCATGCATCAGGGCACTGTCGACCTCGATGATCTCGAAGTCGAAGACACAGACACTGAGGACGAGCGTAAGGATACGAGGGATTCGAGCACAAGCACTCTGGATCTCTTGAAGACAAAGCTATCCAGGCGCCTATCACAGAGATCCGACGCGAGGCGTTCACAGCATGGAAGCAGCGAAGAGGAAATTGCTCGGCGAGCAGAGCTGAAGCGGCTGATGCACAAAAGAATCCAGGAAGAGCTCGAAAGCGAAAAGGAGGCTGAATCAAAACATGATGATAGCTCCTTGATAGGGCCCCGTGATGCCCTCGAATTCGTCATCTACAACGAAGAGACGTCCATAAAGCAACAAGTCCCCTCATCCCCACAACTTGAACCCGTTCACGTGCCTTCCGGTTCAGTGGGCTCATGGCGTTTGTCGACACAAATACCACCAGACAACTTGGAAGAGCCGCCTGATCCAGAAGGGGAAGGCACCACTGGGACCCAACCTCACAACAAACCAGATTATCCACCACCTATTGAAGACAAAAGCAAGACTGATTTACAGCATCAACATGACAGTTCTGCAGATCAGTACTCGCCACTAGATATGTGGCTTTGTACACAAGATCTCCTGCCAGAGGTTCAATCTAGGCTGGATGCAGGGGCTCTTCAGATCGGAGAGGCCGCAGGGAATGCAGGGGCTATACGCAATGCAGTAATAACCTTGCACACAGAGCATACACCAGACACAAAGCATTCTGTATCATCTCACTACACAATTGAAGAAAACAGCGAAAATGCACCACCAATTGCGATATCGGAGACGAGCTCTTACAGGACAGCTCCTATTCAAGCTCCGACCCCCGAGGGGATTATCGCTGTACACGAGCCTCAGCGACCGACATCTGCTGTGTCAGAAACTCTAAGTTTTAAAGTCAGGGAGGTAGAGCTTGAATCGGTGGCCAAACGCTTTGTAATGTCAAACCTGCGTCGGGACCCCAGCGGTCCGGTGGCGAGCAGGTTTCGTGAAGAATTTGACGAACCTCTTAAAGTTACGAAACCATCTATACTCGCTAAGTTTCATCTGGCAAAGCCTAAAAAGGGGAAGGTACTCGTGAAGATTCCGGAGGCAAGCCGTCAACATCGAAATTGTGTCACGGACGCCCTCGAAGCAAGTCATCTTGCAGCCGCGGGACCCAATGCAGATATTGCCAGACCTCGAGCAGTCTCGGGACCAATCAAACAGCCCATCATAGTTGAAAGCACCACAGGCCTGTGGAAACGAGCAGTTCGATTGGAGGCAGACCGTCGAGAAGCCAAGCAACGGGAGAACAAAGCGTCTAGAAAGAGTCGTCACTTCTCCAGTGATACTGGCCATCCAAGTTCAACTCATGGGCATTCTAACCACAATCATCAGCACCAATTGGCAGACAATGTTTCTCGCCATAGAAATCATTCCGGCTGGCAGTCTCCAAGATCAGGACTTGCTATCAGACCGGATGACGCAAACATCGGGATTCGAGATGATTCTGTCGGGACGTCAAATAGCACCCTCAAAGAATGGCAACGACAGATACAGTCTGAAGAAACAGCTTTTGAACGCACACCCAGCTTTGCGACACGTTTATTCACTCCACAGAAGTCTCGCACGCCGCCTTCATCATGGGCCAAATGGCCCTCGCACACTCGCGTCCAACGAACTGGATCAGCTAATCAACGGGACATAGTGACTCCGAAGGACTTTGCAGTGACGGACATAGATGCGGGAGGGGCTACCAAGTGGTTCACAGACAACAACAGAGCGAGCCCCGTAGATGTACGCGAACCTAAACATGTGAGCCAGTCATTCACGGACAAGTTTGGAAGGGCTCTCAGGTGTAGCATTGCGAAGCTGATGAAGCCGGGCTCTGACATGAAAGACGAGAACCCATCTGAGAGTCGCAAATCGACCGGGTATCTAGAATACCCGGAACTAGAGCTTCTACCTTTGCAAGGTGGCTACAAGGAGATCCAGGCATTGGAGCAGCAGATTGGCAATATCAAGCGACCCTCAGTTGTTACCGAAAGCCAGAGGTGCTGTTCGGCCCCGGCCAAAACCCCACTGAGTGTGCGACTTGCTCAAAAGGTCCATGAAATTCAACATGGAGACAGGACAAACACCGCAGAGCCAGATATCCAGGACTTTCTGGGTACACCGCCGCCACAGCCCCCCGTTACACCCGACCAGAGACATTCGACGCCCCAGGCCCACTCTGCGCCGACAGCACCATTTGCTACACCCATGTCCCACGTCTCCTACGACGACTGTGTGCAGAAGCATCTTCTTGACGAGAACGACTCAGTCAAGAGTGACACGACTGTCATGGTGAAACGATCCAAATCCAACGTAGAAAGAAGTGTACCGAGTCAGACAAAATACAAGACGTGGAACGGTCGGGCGAAGACGCAGCCGGTCCTACTGAAGAGCACGCGTGAGTTCGGAGCGGAACTAGATAAGATGTTGGCCAGCGAAAAGGGGAATGTCATGATTGATGTATCCCCTAAGGTTAAGATATTAACGTTACATATTGCCATGGATGCAGCAGAGAAGGCGATTGACGGGGCCAGGGAGCTCAAGGATGGTCTAACTAATGGTGGGGAGATGGTATTGGATCCGCATGTGAAAGAGACAGACACAGCCGAACTTTATATTGGCATGAAGGATGCCGAGAAGGCCCTTGATGGGGCGAGGGAGCTTGAGATGACACTCAAGGCGGGAATGAAGGCGGTGGACACCGCGGCTTAGAGGAGACTTAGAAGGCAAGAGTCGCTATCATTACTTGTATCAATCGAGGAATCATTTTGGAGATTCACTAAGGAGATTCTGCCAGGGGTCACCGGGTGGGCTTAGATGTACATGATATGGGAAAGGGAACATGACAAGCTTCTATTAGGCTAATGGTGGCCAGGTAGGTGAAGCTGGCATCTTAGAACCTGAGCATCGAGATAGACTGGGGACTTGGTAGATAATCGTCATATTGGCTAGAAACACAGAAAGCATATCTTCACCATTAAGACGTTCTAGTGGGCTCCAGATCGAAAGAACACGGTGATCGGAACACAAGCCACGACTGCCCATGCCAATTAACCGTCTACTCCCACTAAAAATATAATCAAAGCACAGCCACTTTTCATTGCGAAATAGAACTAAGGTACCTCGCATAGTCAAACCAACTCGGAAATCAGCACTGATGCATCCCAATGCTCCCTATCTCTCTACCTTGTAGTTGGTGGTAAGATAGAGGCCGCAGACGATCTCCTTGACGGTACCATATTCGAGACTCAAGGCCATTCCGGTAATCAAACCCGCAGTTTCAATAGAGATGTGTCATCATCAAGGGGAAAAATTCGAAATGGGAAGAGAATCATACAGGCTCAAATATACACAGGGTGAAAGGAGGTCGCATGATTACAATCATTTTGCCCCAATGTGAACTCATTGATTCCGTGACCCTAAGAGCAATCCGTACGATCGAGCTGTATAATAGCGTTGTAACCCCTGGAATTTTCACTCTCTATTTACACGTAGATTTTATTAGGCGCTCCATGGCCCATGATGATGATGAGTATCGGCGTGGTTGAAGGCATCGTGAAGCAGCTTATATTGTATCCGCTTCCCATATTAGCTCACAATTTGCGCCTGTCGATGTGTCCAACCGGGTAATAGATATCGCAGAAATCTCTAAGTCTAGGACTTTTACTTCCCAAGGTAATGAGCTTGCGTTTACTGACAATCTCTATTTATTCCGGACATCCTACATGCAGTCTTAAATAGTGGCGAGGATCTTGAGTGGGAAGGATCAGAAGGGGCAGGGGATTAACGTCCCACACCCACATCCGGGACATCCCCACATGTGGGACACCCAAAAATGCCTCATCAACACCGCTAACCTCTAACTTCAACCTCTTTTTTCTTTACCAATATCGATTCAATCGTTACGAAATTTTACGTACGTCTTCTTTACACTAATATGAGTCAATATACCGAAGATGATATTTATCGAGCTCTTCAAGCAATAGCTACCGGTCAAAGCCTCCGAAAAGCAGCATGGTGTCCCAAGGTCTACTCTTTCACGACGGATTCAGGGAGCCCAGTCAAGAGATATAGCCTTCGCTGACTACCAGAGGCTCTCTCCAGCCCAGGAACCTCATCTGGCTGAATGGGTTCGAATCCAGGCTGCCCTAGGCCTCCCACCAACCCATCAACAGCTCAAAGACTTCGCCGAGCGTATCCTACAGATCCACGGAGACACCGAACCACTTGGAAAGAACTGGGCCCAGGCTTTTATCAAGAGGAACCCTTCAGTCAAGGTCCAGAGAAGCAGAGCTATTGATTCCCAGCGTATTAATGGAGCCTCCGCTAATGTGATCAGGCAATGGTTCAAATACCTTTGACGGCAGAGCACGTAATCCTCTTTTGCGGGCTGTTGGAAGGACCGAGGGAACGATTACGGGCCGCTATCGCACCACGGCCACTATACTCTCGCAGAGACCTCGCAACGGCAACAGGAGAACCAGTAGTTAGTGGGACTATTGTAAGGTGGCTGCTAGGGACGGGTCGGACAGCTTCAAGGCCCAGATAGCATCGATCTTCTCAGGGGGGACTTTGTTGGTAGGTTGAGAACCAACGTAGTATGGTAGTGAACGCAACGCAGTCGCCAATAGGGCGAACCGACGACGCAGCGTATGTATTTAGTCCAGCCATTAGGGCACGGTTTGACATACGGGAGTACTAGCAGAGGTACCGGGGGCTTCGAGCCTACGGCGTATTTAATAATAATAACAAATACCTCGCTATCCCTGAGATCAAAGCTGTTAAGGCCTCGAATCGATACGATATGGATGAGACAGGTATTCTAGAAGGTAGAGGATCAAATGGTCTTGTTCTAGGATCATCTGAGACTCGTTCTATACGGAAGAAACAGCCTGGATCTCGAGCTTGGACATCTCTTATACAGTGTATCTCTGCGACTGGTACTGCACTACTGTCAGGGTACGGCTAGGCCAAAGGCAATAGTACAGAGTGATGGGGAGTAACGGGCGTCCCTCCTACGTAGCACCGGGTGGTCACTGGCGGTCTCAGGTAGGGGTGCCCACGATAATGCATTGATCTCTGCTCTCTCTATCTTCTTCCCGGGCCTCCGCCCCTTACATAGATAGCTAGAACCCGGCGTCGGAGCCGCGGAGCACTAGTTTCTCCGATTGTTCTGCAAACCAAGACTTCCATATCGTGTCATGACTCGCACGTCCCTACACCAGAGCCCCACCGGTGTCCCACCGGTACCTATGGCATTCTGTTCTGACAACTACCCCCACTTGTGATATACAAGGGGAAGTCTGTCCAGCAGCAGTGGTTTCCTCTGGACTTGACTCCATACGAAGCCTGGAGGTTTACAGCAACAGAGAATGGGTGGACGTCAGACTCTACGGCTATTGAGTGGCTACAAAAGATCTTTATTCCTTTGACTCAACCAGAGGACCCTGAAGAGACTAGGTTACTTATCCTAGATGGGCATAGTAGCCACGAAACGACAGAGTTTATGTACCTCTGCTTCATAAACAAGATACACTTGCTTTTCTTGCCGCCACACACATCCCACGTTCTCCAGCCTCTCGATCAGTCAGTCTTTGGACCCCTCAAGGCAGCCTATAAGAAGGAGCTTGGTTACCTTGACCGATGGGATACTACTACTGTCGTAGGGAAGAGAAACTTTCTCCTCTGCTATAGAAAGGCACTTCTAGCAGCATTGACCGCTAAGAACATTATCAGTGGATGGAAATATACTGGTCTCTGGCCTTCGAGCATAGCTAGACCCCTTATGAGCCCCCTGCTCCTTGAGAATACGTCAGCACCAATCAGACAGCCTAGTCAGACTTGCAAAGGGTACTCTGATAGTAAGGGTAGTCAGGACTGGGTGTTAGAGACATCAGCAGTAGCCTGGTCAACGCCTAAGAGGAGAGATGAGCTCCAAGATCAACTCAGCTTATTCAGCAAGCTTGATAGTGATCCAAATACCCAGCGGCTACTCTTTCGGAAAGTTCAAAAGGGCTTTGATGAGAAGGACTACCAATTAGCTGTCGCACAGCGAAAGATTGAGGCAATAGAGGCAGAGCTTGAGGCTAGTAGGGCTAGGAAGCGGAGGAAGGTCAAGATGAGCCCAAATTCGAAGTTTACTAATATCAAGGCTATTCGGAAGGCTCAAATCGAGGCTGGTGAAATTGAGGATAGTACAGATGAGTCTAGCGAGTCTGAAAACCCTAGTGACGGTGAAATCTGTATTGTAGTCGCATTAGAATAAGTGTAAAAAAAGGTTGAAGTTAATGGTTATAATATACAGTGTCATTTTTAGGGCGTCCCACATGTGGGGGTGTCCCGGATGTAGGTGTGGGACGTTAAGCATGTATGCATGTATACCTTTTCATGCAAGCATCATGGCGATGGAAGTTAGTGAGAGTAGTGCAGAAAAGAAACCAAGGGATGAAAGGTCAGTTGACACCAACCACAATATCTTGAGGTTATGTTTCCAACGAAGGCCGGACGAGCTGATCCCTAGAGTTATATCTGAAAATAGAATGTGAACCTGTCCAAGAATTTTATCTCTTTTTCGACGGGTCTCGAAACACTGAACTTGAAGGTCTCCTCTTTGATGACTGTCACAGTCATCAGGTCCACCAGATCAGGGAAGTCACCATTCTTTCACTTATGAGCGACACTATATCCTGGTTGCATGTCGGTAGGTCAGCCTGTCAAGTGTAGTGTATACAGAAATAAAGGAGAGAAGCCCTGTAGCCACTTCAGTAAGTATTGATGTTTCTATCTATATATGTGTGTATAGTAACAGGAACATAAGATGGGGTAGAATTGTTGGATTGTAGGCAAATGGTCTTGTATTGAAAGTGTCATGATCTCTAGAGAGTCCTGCAAGAAGTGAACGGTGGCCATAAGAGCCTTATATATACAGGAATGAACGATGCCTGTCCCACAGGCAGGACTTGTGTAGTTCGATGGGTGGTGGTCATATTGGCCCATGTGACGGTTGTCACGTGATTGACGCACACTGGTCTGAACATATTGATAAGTGGTTGCAGATACCAAAGTCCCTGACTTTGGTATTGGTCTCTTTTGGTGAAGACATCTGGTACGGTGGCGTAGTGGCAAGGATTACAACCCCTGGCGCGGCGTGACAGCCCATAACGTACGGTACGTGACCATATGTCCTTCCAAGACTGGCAGTCTTGATCTAGTAGGCTTGAAGGTCCACCTTAAAGGCTATACCTAGCGCCTAGTTAGTACACCTAGGGTACGTACTACTTAACTTAATTTATGTCATCGTACTATAATAGGGGGCTAAAGCTCTACTATGGTGTTACTGCATTAAAGCCGTGTAGCCTAAATGATAGCCTACTGAAGCATTAGGCCTGTAATCATTCCGGGATATATAACTAATACCAAAGTCCCTAAAAGGGTGCAGTGACGGGGAGAGAAATTTGATCGTGGAGAACATATTGAAGCATGGGGAAATCCTATGGACAGATCCGGTCTCCTATAGCTGTAATGTAGTCCACAAGCGAACGGGTCACCCAACCGAACGGGTCACGCCCATAGCAAAAAATAGAACTAAACTTCCTAACTTTACCACGCAACTAATTCTCGATGGATTCTGCTCAAAAAGAATCTCAATTACTCCTTGCAACTCAGGCTATCAGAAATGACTCAACACTTCGTATCCGACGTGCTGCAACAATCTACAAAGTCTCGAATACTACTCTCCAGGCGCGTCTTCAAAAACGTCAATCACGTCGCAATATCGAAGCCAAAGGTCGGAATTTAACAAAACTAGAAGAAAATACGATTATTCAAAGGATAAATTGAGCTAGATTCGCAAGCATTTCCTCCCCGGCTAAGTGCTGTTGAAGATATGGCAAACTGACTGCTACGCGACTCGCATATCACAAAGGAGGACTTTCTTCCGGCATTTTGCGACGCGTTCAAGAAGAGCCTGACCGAAAGCAATATTCGTGCAGGCTTTCAAGGTGCTGGGATTGTGCCTTTAAGCCCAGATATTGTTATTGAGAAGCTGGATGTGAAATTACAGACTCCAACGTCTTCCCGGCCCCCTACGCGGGAAACCCTTCCTTGGGCTTCTCGGACGCCAAACAACCCAACCGAGGCTACTTCGCAATCCGAATTTATTAAATCTCGAATTTACAGGCATAAAAATAGCTCCTCGACGTCAATTTACGATGCTATCGATCAGTTTTCGAAAGGAGCGCGGAGTATTATGCATAAGATGGCTTTACTCCAAGCTGAGGTCGCCGAACTTCGAGAGGCAAATACTCTAATTAGCAAGCGGCGCAGGGCCAAAAAAACACGAGTACGGCTTGGAGGATCACTTAATTCACAAGACGTACAAGATCTTCAAGATCAAAAGGACGTTGCGCAGCAAGTACAGCAGGAAATGCGTGGAAATAGCGCTGGATCAAATCGTGGCCAGCCACGGCAACGGCGCTGTGGCGTATGCGGGAAGACCGGGCATAATGCGCGAACCTGTCAGGTAGAGATAGAATCATCTGGGCAAGAGTATTCTGAGTAGTTTTAATTGATTTACGGCGTTGTGGTTGCGAAATCGTGTTGAATTCCATGTTTTGCTAGTTGGCGTGACCCGTTCGCTTGTGGACTACGTTATATACTAGAACTTGGCGCTTAAACATGCTTGAACTGTACTGCAGAGCTGTGAACCTACTGGCCGAAGACCTGGCATCTCCCTCATGCAAGCTTACAACCTGGTCTAGGATTCCATCAAATAAACAACTCTTGTATATCCCACCTGATTCATCTGGGGTGAAACGTTTTTTTTCAGGGGCTAGAAACTTTGAAAAAAGACAAATGGCAACGACGATAACGAATCGGAAGAATAGCTCAAAGATATTGTACCTCTTCAGGCATGCACATTGTGAGCGGATGAGTTAACCCATTTTAAGCGACTAATCAACGCATACAAATTGTGTGAGATGTCAATTACCGGTTCACTTGGACAAGGGTATCGTTACCCATCACAGCACGGAAAACGAGTAGAAGTCCAAGTATTATGGGGGTTGTAATACGCTAGCAATCAGCATGCCCGCAATGGTGTAGAACCTAAAAACTGGCCAACATATGCGTCACTAATCCGTATCATCTTTCGTGCTGCTCCATGTCAATACCAAGTATAGTTGCTAAATCAACTCGCCCGGGTCGTTTCCCAAGCCAAGCAGTGATCCACTTCTTGCAGGAAGTCCAGCGTTAAGTAATCAATACGCTAAATCTCTTCCTCGTATTTTATGGATAATATATAAAATGAGTCTTCACGATTGGTTCCGATACGCCGGGAATGCGGGTGCGGCTGACACGGGTATCGTACCCGTCAACCCGCTCCCCGATTCAGGGGGGTCCGCCAAGATAGTGCCTCTGCGAAGACAACCAGCTGCTCGTGGCCGATGGCCGAGTGCGACCTGAGCATGACTTCATCTCTCCCACTCCCTCCAACTCTTCCTGCATCAACAGTCAAGTGATGCCCCTTTGCGCGCCGTAGCGAAATATCACCACGCGGCTCGACAGTCAAAGACAGCAATGCGCGCCGGCTTCAATACATCATGGCCGTAGGTGAAACCATCACGCCAAAGACGTCATATACGCACACCCCCATCCCCAACAAGTCCAAATCAAGCACCGTGGCGCTGGACTACAACCCCAAGTTCACCCTCGACCATGGCGAGCTCGAGCGCCTCTCCCATCGACTTCTCGCGGAGCAACCGCCCCGTACCCAAGAGCAGTACATCTGCTACCTGATCTCGGGTGTCGATGAACTCTCCAACATCGCGCGCCACGTCGAGCGCGCCGTCTTTGAGGAGCGCTTTGGCCTTAACGACGCCAAGATGCAAAAAATGTACGGTGGGCACGACTATGCGAGCATTTTCTTCGTCGTTATGGACCAGGTCAACAAAACGCCGGCGGGCGTCATACGAAATATCAAGTGGTCGCTTGCGGGACTGACGACGCTCAATGATGCAGAGGAGATGCTGCATGTTTCGCTGGAGGATTTCAAGAAATATCACGGCGTGGAGGATATGAACACCGTGTGGGATATTGCCTCAGTGGTCGTGCTGAAAAAGTATCGACAGGTGGAGAAGAATCTCATTAGCAATATGCTGTTTCGCGCGATGCACGTCAGAGCGACGTATGAGGGCGTGCAGCATTACATTGGTGTGGTGGACGCGGGTATTCGCCGCATGATCATGTTGGTTGGATTTATGGGCGAGCCGCTGGTGGGAACTAGTGTAGTCAGCCACGAGGGTTCCGAGGACAGCTTGTTCATGTATGGGCATAGGCCGAGCATTTCGAGGATCATTACCAAGAGGGTCGAGACGGTGGATCCGCGCTTCAAGCCCATTGTAGAATTGTTTGCGAGCCGGTGTGTTGCTGGAGAGGGCATAGATCATCGCTTGATGTTTGAGTTTTCCAAAGACATCTTCGATATCAAGGAAGGGCTGCCAAAGACACGAGCAAAGTTGTAAATTATCGAACATTCCCTATATGTTCCACATGGGTAACATGTGCTTAACCCACATTGAATTTCCGTCAGTGCTTCGACTCAATAGCAAGTTTGAAATGGACATGAGGACAAGTCTTGTATGATATGATTGGAGCTACAATAGGGCGTGATTCTACTTCACAGGTACGATTTATCACACTGGGAAATGGAGAGTCCTTTTACGCCGACTTTGACAATAAGCAACGGTGGTCCACACTACTCTATCTGACACTCTATGTCAGAGGTGGTACCTGCGCAGCCACCACTACTTATTTCCAGACCAACAACACTAGCCTAGCTTTCTTTCCTCACCACAATACATCACTTCTATTGTGTGTCCCTCAACAGGTTATGAGCCCTCACGCTCACGCGCATCACGAATAATTGCATTTCTGAAGCATTATTCGTCATCATCATCATTTCGATCATTTGCACAATTTTCGGCATCTGATTCGACCTTTATTTCGCGAAGTTGGCCTTCGAAGGTCCGCTACGGTAGGTGCACGAATCTGCTGCAACCTGCAGCAGCGTGGTCACTCTCCAACTTCACGGCTTGATCACAACAACAGCATTGAGAATAGTGACTGCACGAGCCTAAATCATTGATTCTGGCCTTGCAGCTCATCACTACACACTTTCCTCGGATTCGTTGATTTCTGCAGTTTTTCCACTTTGTTGGAAGGAACGCGTATCCGACGTCATTACCTTGAAGTGGGTCACGAAAAACTTCGTGCCTGCCTCAAGCTTCAACACTACTTAACATCACACAAAATTGCGTCCATCTGATAACGCAGTGACTTCACGATCGCATCATGGCGACTGAAGCATCTGTACGGCTGGCGCCAATTCCTCAGCTGGAAGGCGAGAAGAACCTCAAACTCTGGCAAGTGCAAGTAACTCAACATGCCGAATACTTTGGCCTCGAAGCCTTCCTCGATGGCACATCAACAGCACCACATGAAAGCGCGCCTTCTGAAGAGAAACTCAGATACAAGCAAAAGCAGATCCACGCTATGTCATTGCTTACTTCAAGCATCGTCAAGGTTCATGAAAAGCTGGAATCAGCAGGATGGGACATGCTTACTGAAAAAGATCCCTCTGTTCTCTACAGTTTGATTCTCAGAACCATTCCCAAAGAGTCCGAGAACAATGTACCAGCAATGTTCTATGAGCTCGTCGGCCTTATGAAAATTCCTGAAGGCCAGAAGCTCGAGAAATGGTCATCTCGACTCAACTATCTTATCAATCGCCTCACTGCCCTACAATGTGGCATGTCCGACAAAGCTCTGACACTGATCGCGCTCAAAGCATTTCAACAACGTTATCCCTTGGTCCATGGTTTTCTTACCAGATCTTTCCAAGAGGGTAATTTGACGTGGAAGAAAATGCAAGAAGAGATCACTCGCAAGGCAAATGAAGAAGCACACAACCCCGAGATCATGTTACAGATCAAAAATAACCAAGGTAATTCAACTCTAGGCTCACAGGCAAATAAAGAGAAGGAAAACACAAACGACAACCAAGACAAGAAATGCAAGACGGAACACTGCAATACTTGCAAACGCAAACATCCAACCACTTGGCCTCTCTGTAACTATTGCAAGTTGCACCACACCGGCGACTGTTTTCGACAATTCCCAGAAAAGGCATCTGAACAATGGCGCAAACGTAATATGCCAGACTGGAAGCCTTCATCGAATGAAAATGCCTCAAAAGACGCACTTGATGTCAATACGAATCTTGGCCAACTTTGTCTTCAACCAGATTCAGTAGCGAAGCGTCCAACCAATCTGGGTCTCTTCGGCAATCTAATGTGTTTGCCAGCCAACACAATCTCAACTGATGGTGATGGAACAGATTACCTGACTCGTGACAGCTTCATCAATGACTCTGGTGCTGGAGGACACGTAGTCAATGATTTGAAGTGGTTTACCTCACTACGTCAACTTCCTGAACCAATCTACATGGACACAGCTAATGGTGGCGTTGCTGCTGCCACAGCTGTTGGCACCATTAAGATTCATCCTCAAAGAACTGATAGTAACAGGTTAATTGGACTATCGGTAGTGTTCTCTATAACGAATCTTCCCCAGTTAACATCATCAGCCCTGGCTTACTGAGGGAAGATGGCATCATTGAAGATGGACATACATCAACTCTTCGCATTCGGGAATCGAATGTTGAACTTGGTAAGATCAACTGGCTCAAAAACGTGAAGGTTATTCCTCTCGTCTGCAAGCCAACAGCTCCCGCAGAGCACCTTCCACTCTTCTCAGCAACAATTGACATACAATTGATGCACGAGCGACTTATGCATGCGAACTACAAGACAGTCAAAAAGGCCTGCGAAGCCGCTGGTCTAAAAGTCACAAAACCAATCAAACCCTGCGAGACTTGTATGCTCTCGAAAGCAAAACAAATCATCACAGAGATCCGGCTATTCAACCGAGTAGACCACTTGAGATCATCTATTTCGACACTATTCATCATCAACCGCTAGGCCTTACTGGCTGGCGTTACAGCGTTCACTTTACAGATGGGTTTACTGACATGCAGTGGACTCGCTTCACTCGCAAATTGGGTGATATACATGCGGAGATCATTGCCTTCGTTACTCAGGTCGAGCTTCAAACTGGTCTGAAAGTCCAAATATTCCACTCGGATAATGGCAAGGAATTTCTTGGCGATGCAAAGCAAATGGACACATTCGTCACAGAAGGGCATTCAATGGCATCGATCTCCTGCTAACACTCACGAACCAAATGGAAGAGCAGAGCGCTCAGTCCAGACTCTCATCACACCAGCTCGTAGCGGCATCATCGGCGGTAACTTGCCCAAGTTTCTCTGGCCGTGGGCTGAAGAGACAGCGGATACGATACATAATCTCCTACCAAATGGAAAAGACAGCTGTCACCTCGCCAGCGTCTTGGATTCTATCTCAACATGACAGCACAGGTCATTAATGGCAATATTCCCATCTCATCAAATACGGAGCTATAGCTTATGTCCACAAGAAAACACCAGCTGATCTTGCCAAAGCTGACAAGGTGGAGCACAGGGCATGGAAGGGCAAGCTCGTCGGCTATGCTGACCTTCGTACAAACTCTACAAGATCTGGGTTCCCGAGAAGCACCGCGTGATGCGAGTGCGTGACGTTCGTTTGCGGAGACTTTGGATGATACGCAACAAGATCACGACGCTGACGCTGACTTCATCGTTGAATTCGAAGATGAGAATGCTGACGTTGAATTTTCTGATCTGATAGCTAACCCCGTTGACTACGGAGTCGTCACGCACACAATAACCCAACCATCTACTTTCCCATCTCTCAACGCCGATGATAGGAAAATCAAGAGACAAAAGGAAATATGCAGCGCGAAGTTGAAGAAGTGATACCCACTCTATCCTCACACCTGGCCTGAGCAGATGGCCAGTCCAGCGCCATTGACTCGAACACGCGAAGAATTAAGCTTCGATTCCGATGATACTGATTTAGATGACATCGATGCCGAACATCCTTAGGTCCCCCAGAATCCCTGAGCCGAATCCCGAGTCCTATCATCGACAACCTCAATTCACGCCCTCGTCGTGCTGCGGCAGATCAGTTGCAGATTATCGACATCTCGCTGGCATACGCACATACAACAAGAGAAAGGCAGACCAGTTGTCATTATCTTCGGTCAATTTCTCCAAATCTATCAACAAAACTCGCTATCTTGAGCTCGACGCCAAGATTAGTGATCCACACATCTATGTCTGTCTGCAATCAAGGTTGAAAAACTCTTGAATCAATCCAAACCGCATCAGACTTCCCTTCAGCCAAGTCATACAAGGATGCTCGAACCAAGAGAAATGGCCGACTTGGAAGTCAGCTTTCGACGATCAGATAAACGAACTGTGTCTCGTAAGTCTTGAGCTTTCAGATCTCCCTCCTGGAGCCAAGGCCTTGCCGAACGAAGTGGGTAACGGACCAGAAGTTCCATCCAGTACCAATCAACATTGAGAAACAGAGCGAGGCTGTAGCTATGGGAACTTCGAAGACTCAGCAGCTTTTCAGTCGAAGAATGTATGCTGCAGTCGCTAGCCTTACATCTCTCAAAGTGTTTCTCGCTCTATGGCCACTTTAGGTCTACACGCCGAGCACTGTGATGTGTAACAGCCTTCTTAAATGCTAAGAACCGCCAGGACACTCCAGACATCTATGTTCGCCAACCAGAAGGATATGATGACGGCAGTGGACGCGTTTGGCGCCTGAAAGAGCCCTCTACGGTCTCAAGCGAGCACCAATTTGATGGTTCAATACCCTCGTTACCGCAATGAAGGAGATTGGATACGAACCTGTCGAAGCCGATCTCTGTCTTTTCAAAAACGAGAAGACTGGCGTTATGGTACTTGTCTATGTAGATGATCTTCTGCTTGCGGGACATCACAAGTCAGACATTGCGATCGCTAAGCAGAAACTCGCTGCTTATTTCCGCCTCAAGGAGCTTGGAGATGTGCGAGAGTTTCTCGGCATGCAGATTTCAAGAAATCGAGATGAAAACAAGGTTTTTATCTCGCAAGAGAAGTATGCGATGAAGATTCTTACCAGATTCGGCAAATTAGATCTCAAACCCTCTGCCGTGCCCTGGCCATCTGATATCAAAATACCAGCTGTATGGCCCAAGATTCAGCTGGATGACCAATCAAACTATGTTGAGCAGACGGCATCGCTCAACTACCTCAGTATTGGTAGCAGACCAGATATGACAAACACCAACAAGGCACTTTCTGAGGCACAGAGCAAGTCAACCAAGGTTCATATGGACTTGCTTCAACATCTTTGGAGATATCTCAAAGGACAGCCTAATCTCGGCATTGTTCTGGGCGGAAAGTATCCTATTCATGATCTGAAACTCAATGTCTGGGCCGATGCGGAACATGCTGATGACCTGGCAACTCGAGCGTCAACAGGAGCTCATGTTGTATTCCTCTGCGGTGGCCCGATATATTGGAAGTCCAAGAAGCAGACTCTCGTTGTCATTTCAAGTACCAAAGCTGAATTCATCAATCTCACGCCAGCCGGTATATCCGCTGTTTGGATCTCACGCTTATTGCACCAACTTGGGTTTACCCAAGACACACCGATTCTCCTCATGACTGACAGTCTCAACGCCAAGTCAATCGTTCTTAACCCAACTAATGCAGCCAGAACCAGACATATTGATACAAGGTACAAGTGGATCATTGACCGTGTCCAGCGAGGAGATTTCGATATTCAGTACGCCAAAACTGGAGAGATGATTGCAGATGGTCTCACGAAGCCGTTGACGAAAGAGAATCATCTCAAATTCGTCCGTCAACTCCGTCTGACGCCGTGTCCTTGGTGATTTTGATTGAGGCGGTATCAGGTGGCAGAAACGCATGCAAATTGGACGTCAAGTTGACGAAAAACGGATATTCTGTACGTGTACGTAGTTCTTTTAGATGACTAGCTCTGTTGGCCTGGGGGGGGATGTGTCAGAGGTGGTACCTGCGCAGCACCACCACTACTTAGTTCCAGACCAACAACACTAGCCTAGCTTTCTTTCCTCACCAGAATACACTTCATTTCTATTGTGTGTCCCTCAACAGATATCAAGCCGACCAGGATTTCCAACTCACTTTCCAACTCAGGACAATTTGTTGCTCGAGGGTTGGAAGGTGCGAATCGAGAAGGTATTTGTCACAGGTGAACACCCGTCTCCATGAACTATATCACATAACGCACCGAAAGCTGTATGCCGTGCATACACCACGGCAAGACGTGTGAGGCATGTATGCGTGTTAGCCAGCATAAAGAAAACGCAAAGGAGTGAGGTGTATCATGAAGCAATGAAACGTTCGCTCGGATACCTCAGAGTCTCCTACAAATGGTGCTTGGTTTGAAAGTATCTGGACAAGGTCTACTGAAGCTGGAAAGCTATCAGGAAACGGACAATGGATGATGTGGATTGGGAGCAATGCGGAAGATGTGATATAACACAGCATTGAAATCAGATGGTTGTAGGACAGATGCTATAGGTGGGACTGACAATTGGGCAAAAATACACAGAAGCACGACGGAAGATATACTCTGAGTAGAAGATCCAGGAATACAGATTGCATTTACATGTAAGTAACAGGAACAAAATGAACATCCCAAACAAGCCTGTACTGTTTGATGAGATACGCAGGTTGCCTTCGTTATATAATACTCTTAGTATTGAGCGCTACGTAGCGGCCACCCCATCAATTCCCAACCACAACAATTGGATATTCGACTGTTTTCACACGTTGAATCACCCCACTGAGGCTTTTTTGGTGTGGTAATCACGGTACATAACTCTCAATGCAGAGTCCTGCTCCAATAGGAGCCAGGGCGCGTCACACTCGACGATTCTACCCTGGTCGAGAACAGCCACGCGGTCATACCAATCGATCCTGGCTAGCCGATGCACGACTGAAATCACGGTACAACCCTTAAATTCCTCATCAATGATATCCAACATCGTTGACTCCGTTTCATCGTCGACACTGCGATCCCATAGTCAGCTTGTTGTGGTGATCAAAGCAGTCTCCCAGAGTGTCAGCTCTACGAAGTACCATTCCTCGTTCACGGAAGATATATTGAGGGAGGGATCATCGATGGGACAACTGTACCTGCTTGTAGCTTCGTCTAATATGACAATTTTACTAGGCTTCAGAAGCGCCCGAGCGAGGCATAGCAGTTGCTTCTGCCCTTGTGACCACTTGTCAGGGTCTAACCCAGCCTTTAAGCCACCTAGTGCTGTGACCTTGCTCATCAACTTTACTTTCGTTAACGCTGCAATGATGGAGCTCTCAGAGAATTGTCCGTCTGGGTCCAAGTTCAGCTCGACAGTGCCAGGGATAAAAAAGGGATGCTGAGGTAGGACATTCAGACATGAGCGCAGAGCAGCTGTAGAAAGTGTGCTGATGTCTACATCATCAACAATAATCAGACCACCGAGTTGCTTCGTCATTCGAAGAAGTGTCAGGATCATGGATGTTTTGCCACTGCCTGAGGGCCCGCATATCGCTAGTTTCTCTCCGGGTGCGATATCGATGTTTATGTTTTTAAGGATAGGTACGGCATGCTCTCTGTTATGGTCAGCCAAGCCCCGGTCAAGAATTTTGGAAAGTTAAACGTACGAGTAGCCAGCCACAACGCCTTTCCAGCAGATTCCGCCTGATGTCGGCCAAGGGCGCCTCGGGTTGTTCCAGCCAGTAGGCTCCACTGGGGTCCTTTTCAAAAAGTCCTGGACTCGTGCTACAGCACTGATAGACATCTCCAAAGACGTCCATCCTCTTATAGACTGCATTGCCATGTTGTTGAATTGGAGAAGCAAAACGAGTGCTGCGCCTAGTTCGCCTGGAGTCATCGTTCCTGGTGACATAATGGCTATAGTGACAACGACGACTGTGAGGAAACCTACCATTAGATCAAGCATCATAGAAAGCCATTGCTGAATGCAGAGGACGATATAAAATGGACCTTGCGATGCATCAAGTGCGTCAGAGTGCTTTTTGCAGAAGAATCCGATCCGCCCATAAGCCCGAATAGTAGGGGCGCCTGATATGAGTTCTAGAAAGTGGTTGTAGAGGGGGGCCTTTGCTTCGATGTCTATGAGACGTACCTGTCGCGATGTACGAAGATAGAACCGCTGCAGGAAAAAGGCGCCGACCAGGAAGAAGGGGACAGCGATTACGAGATACTTTCCAACTATGCAAATGATGACTAATTGAACCATGCAAGCGGACGCGGCTGTTGTAAAAACCACAGCGTGGCTCGGCAAAGTCATGTCGATCAAATCCATGTCTTGACTGAATCTGTTCGTGATAACTCCCATATCAACAGATTGGAAAAAATTGTAGGGTGCTCGTAGGGTTGTGTCTAGCAAGTCGGTGTGTAGTGTGAGAGCCGTATCGTTAATGATTTTCATAAAAGCGAGCCACATCTCGCCTATCATACTCAAATTGGTAAGTACCATCAACAAGGCGTAGACCCCTAAGAAGTAAATGGTGCTCCCGTTCGAGTTCTGACGAGCCTCTGTCCACTTTTGTACCCAAATTGTCGAGACGCTGGAGAATGTCGCAGCACACAAAGAGCAAATAGCCCAACCGCACAACGAAGTGATCCCAGCACTGCGTCCATAGTAGACGTATACAGGCCAGTTATCCTGATATGGGTCGTCTGTGACGGCAATCAAAGCTTCTGTTTCTGACTCGGTTTGGAAAGACCCATCCTCAATGTCCGAAGCTCCGTTGGCATCCATGACACCGGCGTCTAGTTCTCGGATGTCTGTCTTCGTATGAAGAATACTATTGCTCAAATGTCGGTGGTCTTCCAAGGGCGCTGTCTGTTGAACTAGATGGCCGCCGTCGAGGGAAATGATTGTATCCATAGTGTGAAGGAGCTTTTCTGTATTAGAAATCAGTTATCAATCGTTTGATGCCAACTCGTTTTGGATACTCACGGTCACTGGTTGCTAGAATTACAGAAATGTCCGCTTTGCGAAAGTAACCATTTCTTCCGAAGAGACGAGCCCATATTCTTGTAGAAGTACTTGCATCTAAACCCGATAATACATCGTCCAAAACAACTACAGGTAGTCGTGAGTAAATAGCACGAGCCAAAGCCTATATGTCAGTCAGATCTCAGACCTCTTTCAACGCACATAAGTGTTTGATAGCATGGGTTACGAACCAGTCGCTGTTGTTGTCCTCCACTAAGCGCAGCACCATTAGTTCCAGCAATTGTTTGATCGCCCCGAGGTAAATTTGCTATGTCATCCTGTAGACAAACACAAAAGATGCTGAAATCAAACCATTCTTGATCGTACTCGAGGCCCATGGTAATATTGTGACGAATAGATTCATCCATGATCCAGGGCGGCTGGCCGCAGAATGCAGAGCGAGTAAGTATACCGGATACGTAGCCAGTGTTAACGGATGTCTCGCCAACCATGCTCCATAAAAGAGTAGATTTCCCCGATGCAACAGGGCCAGTAATGCCCGTAAACCCACGGGGAATATCCAAAGTCAAGTTCCATAGTACATTTTCGGAATCGATAGACCAAGCAACATTTGCCTGCTTAAAAGTCATCAAAATGTTGGTAGGAGTCGTTTTCGAAGGCAGTATTTGCAAAGGGATGTGTCGAAATTCAGTAGGTTCTATAGCAGAAACAGTGTTATTCGGCAACCCGGGGTGTCTCATCCTGAGACAGTACTTCTCGATGCGGTCAAAGGATGCTAAGGCTTGGAATAAGCCCGGCCAAAATTCACAGAATGCAACCAATGGATCTGTCAAAATGGTGATCAAAGACAGACATGCGAATGCCTGAGTTGAAAGTAAGGTTTTGTCGTTAGTGATGAAGCCCTTGACTGCGTAGAGGGCAAAGGTCGCAAATGGCGCAATCATTATCGGGGCATTTCCTGCATAATATTAATTGTGCCATCACTTATGCAAATTGGTCCGATGGCGTTACACAACATGAAACTTTGCGCACTTGCTACTGTTCATTTGTGCTAGATCGGACTAGAAGCTAAAGGGGTGAATAAACCTACCGAAGAAGATTTGGCAGACGATGAGTTTGCGAAAATGCTTGGAAGTTTGAAGCTCAACTTTCCTCAGATTCGTGATCAAATCATTGACACACCTCGATAAACCCAGCATTTGAACCGCCTTGATATTTTTCAATACCTCTGCAGTGGTACTCACTCTGGCCTGCACCTTTTCGTTCCACGATCCCTGCGCAGTCTTAAATGCTGCTGACATCTTCAGGATTGTTACAACAGCGCCTGCGAGAGTTAGCCTTACAAAAATAAGTGTCTCCTTGATGTAGCATACCGAGACAAATGGCCAATGGCGCTATGAAAGCCCACGACATTTGGCGTGCTATAAGCCAAACTCCAATAACAATTTCCGGGATAGCAGCCCAAATTTCATGGATATTTTTGACACTTTCGACGATTTGTTCCACGTCTGTACCCATCAAGGTGACAGCCGCTGTCTCTCTGGTTTCACTCACCCTAACACCAGTAGTATGGTGATAAAGGAGCGAAACTAAAGCCGATCGGAACGTAGCAACAAGGCGATAAGTTTGTCGCCAGTATAATGTCCTTGACACCTGAATTGAAATTAATCGAAGCGTTTGTAAATGTCTCAAATGTCATACCGTGATGCCGAAGTACACTAGAATATAAACAATCACCAAGGCGTATGCGGGGATTGTGTTCTTTTGGCCATTATCCACGTTGCTCAGGTGCGCGATTGATGCCTCAATCAAAAGAGGCTGGCTCACAATGAATGCCGAAAGACATATTCGAGCTGGGATCGCGGACAAGAATAGACCTAAGTTCGACATGAATAGTTCCCGAACCAGGCATTTCTGGCCCTGATCAAGCATTTGCCACCGTCTATTCAAACGAACCCTCACATATGCCTCTCTCAAATATTTGTCTACTCTCGGTATTTTAGCCAGTGTAATAGTATTTGAGTAACCGAGTCGCAAGAAGGGAATGAGCCAGGTGAGGAAACTCCGGCTCCAAAAGCCAGCAGCCTGCTCTGTCGACTCTCCATGTTCTGGTGGCTGCGTGAGGTCGGACTTAGTGAATGATTCGCAGTAGACGATTGTTGTTGTGATGGTGAGGATAAGTGTCCATAGGACCCGAGGCGTCACGGCCGACGGTATCAGCCACAGTGAGCGAAGGGTAAGAACACAAAAGATGGCAGACAAGCTGAAGTAGGGCACCAATACGTCAGATGGCCTTATAGAGCGCTGATCTTCCAGATAAGATAGCCCTGCACTAGCGCTAATGGCCATTAAAGAAAAAATTCCGGAAATGGCTGACATGGACGTGCGGAGATGATCGGCTTGTAAGCGTGAAATTATGAAACCGCCAAATGTGATCAGCAGAGCCATATACAGTGCCTGCGAAGCGCATTAGTATTCCTAATTAGACTCTACCAGAATGCCTGAGTCATGTATACAAGTTTCAGTTTTGCTAAGTACCATGACTTGACTTTGACCCTTTCACCGCGGAGAGTATATACTCGAATCAGTGCAACGAGCAAAAATAAAGCTGACGGTATTGTCTGAAAGAATGTGTCTTGAAACAACAAGGTGAAGTCGAAATCACGACAATTAGTATTTATCCGTGGGGACAATTGGTTATCGCCATCCGGAGGGCACGCGTTTACAGCGACGAGGTATTTAGTGCGATCCATCGTTGAATTGAGCAAATTGGAAAATAGGAACAAAGAACTGGCACCTTAAATTGGAGCTTGAGTATGATTGGCGCTTATATGAATTATTGTTGCTTCGACCGGAATAAAAGTGACGTTGATTGCTAGTAGTAATTTGCTGTACGGGCGGGATCCGTCAATCTGACATGCAGTTCTGAGTTCTGGCTAGTCAAACCCCAGACCGGACCTTTTGAGGATGCATCATTCCCCACTATACTGACTAAAAGCATTGCCCCACCATTTACGACATCAGTATTTCTGTGGTAAGTCGAACCGTTTGAGCCTACTATGGAGCCTTGCGGATCTTCTACTAATCAGTTCTAGTCTTGCATTGAGAAGCTGCGTGTTTGCAAGTAAGGTACAGCTAGTCATTCCCCCACGATAGGTCAGGAAGTTTTCTGCACTAGTTCCAACCTGACTCACAGCAGCAGCCGATTTTAGGCCTGACGAATAGGTATACATATTCGTCTGTAAATTTTGTCACTACACCCGTCCTCGTCCATTTGTCTAATACCATCGGAAGTATTCGGTGCACAGTATGTAAGGGAGAAATGCGATTACTTGAAACATAAATAAATAGAGGCAACAGTAAGGCTAGCTGAGTATATGCCAATTACGCCCAAAACTATAGGTGGTTTACTTGTAGGATAATTACAGACTGACATAATTAGTGTCTAAGATTGACTCCACCCAGTAGGACCACAGTACGATATGACCACGATTATACAGGAATTTAGTCGTGGAGTCTTTACAAGAGAGATCGCGTAATTACTCGTCGATTCGATTAGGACCAGTCATCAACAGTCACTTCCATGACTGTACTCTCAGGACCCCATACAGCTAATGGAATGAAATGGCCGAAAAAGCCAATACTTAAAGAATGCGGCAAACGCAACAGCATATATACAGCCATACGATATTTTTCTGCAGGCATATCCCGAATTCTGTATTTGTCCTAGTCATATATTTGCATTGACTATCAAAGTATGGCATCGTCGCTCACAGTTGATCTCTCTAGCTTTGTTGAAAGCCGGGGTCAGGCGAAAGAACTGCTGGCCCAGTTTGCTGTCAACGTATTGAAGAATCATGGGTATATCAAACTCAAGAATCATGGTATTTGTCCCGATGGTATGAGACACTTCTGGAATTGGGTAAGAGTCATGACCCGCCCAGTTCGATTAATCAAATTCGCTTTGTATACTCACGTCTTACACAGTCTGAACTGTTCTTCAAACTACCAAAGGAGAAGTTACAAGATGCGGCGCATCAACCGGGGGAATCACTCCAACGCGGTTGGAGTAGGATGGGGTTAGAAAATGCATCCAATGTGGACAACAATGCCAGTGATATACCTTTTCACCAGAGATTGGACAACAAGGTAAAGCCAAAGTTGTAGCACCATCAACTAAGTACTGACAACCCCTAGGAGCATTTCGACTGTGGTTCCAGTCACGACACAGAATTTCCCAATCGCTGGCCCGACTTGCCAGGGTTTCGAGAATACATGGAGGCACACTATGAGCGTTGTCAAGAAGTAGCCCTGGGAGTCCTCTCTATGGTCGAGCTTGGACTCGGCTTGGAAGCCGATACGTTGGTGGCACTATGTAAGCCTGCCACTAGTGAGCTTCGGATTCTCCATTATCCCTCTGCTGAGCTTCCTGTGGTACCACCAACATACAAGAGAATATGGCCACACTGTGACCTAGGTGTCTTGTCCATACTGCTCCAGGGTGGGGTCGACGGCCTCGAATTCGAAGATAGGAAGTGTCCTGGTAGTTACTTACCAGCGGTTTTCGACACCGAAGATGAAGTATTGGTGACTGTGAGTGAGACGCTTGCTCGATGGACCAATGGTGTTCTGGCTGGTGGGCGGCATCAAGTCACTTTGCCAACGAACATGGTTGATGGCATTCTCCCAGAGCGATACGCATCTGCCTTTTTTTTCAAGAGTTGTAGGTCAGCATCTATTGGTCCGCTGCCTGCTTTCGTCACCGAAGACAATCCGGCGAAGTACGAAAATATGACCGCCCTTGAATTCCACCTGTCAATAACCAAGGAGCTGGAGAAATGAGAATGAAAATTGGGACGTCCGCGGACGAGATGAATAGCATCGAAAAAGTAGACAACTCTTGAATGTACTCCATACCGGCTGAACGTCTTGCAGGGCAGTTTGAGAATCTTGAGATGATTAGATAGATGACTAGATATTAAATAAGTGCATGGCATTGCCGTTACGCATGTATCTTTGCAAGATCCATGGAATTAGCTACTTGTGGTCTTTATTCAATTCACCGCTCCATATTGCTGCTGTCGCTCGCCAGTATCTGCGCTAGTCACAACTTGTTCAATACATGGACGGCGTCCCCTCCGACCAAACATCTTCACAGGCATCTGTGTTTCACTACGTTGACTGACGTTTCCATACTCATACTCATGATCACATACTATGGTGCGCAGACCGTCCTAATCCCGCATGCTTTAGTCTCCTACTGGTTGACATGGAGGAACAAGAGGCTCCTCTTTCATGCCCTGCCTTCTACAGAAATTGGAAAACATAGACCGTGTTTCAATATTCCTTCACACAATAAGCTTCTTGATCAACAGCATTCTTATGACGCTGCGTTATTTTTCATCCCAAAATACCGTACTAAGCGAGAGCAGGTCGAGTATAATAATTGAGGTCACCATTGCACAATGTATTCTGGATCAAAGCGCCCTTAAAGTCCCAAACGTCCTGCATCCAGTTCTTTGCTATCCCTTTCAGGTGTCAAGCAGCCGGCGTCACAAAATTCTTTGGCACAAGTTCCCGTAACTGAAGACCCTTCACTACACATTTTCGCACAGGCGTGGAGGCATTACGTCGATAACTTGCAGCTACTAGACCCGGGAGCGCACTTTGAGCCGCAGACGCCTGAACGGCATTATTTTCCTTAGCCATTAATATTCACTGCTGAGGAGTGCTGGATAAAAAAGCCGGTGGATTGGCATTAGCTTGTATCCTTTCCCGCTGGGAGATCTTCCAACGAAGATCGTAATATATACACTCGAGATTGGTCCTGTCGTAGTGTTTCTCATTGTCCCATTCGTTCAACCGGAGGAATGGTAGCACTGGTTCGTTGTTCGACAACTCGTCCAGATCTTCGACATTTATGTAGCTGTCGGAAGGTGAACACCAGGCAGTGTGGATATCGAGAGCATTACCATCGCTATTATAGGGATCGAGGAATGAATTTTCCATGATCTCACCGCTTTCGTGTAGATGTTCATGAATCCTTGGGGGAAAACCGCGATTGCTGCACGAAAGCATTCCAGCGTTGCTGCTGGTTGAAAAGACCCATGGAACCCATCGTGATAAAACTCCATGGCAGTCTTCAGGTTTTCATGGACCAGTCGTCTCGACAGAGGTCTCTCTCTGGACATATGATACCGCAGTAAGGACATGGAAAGTACTTGTGGCCAGAGAGATGGCTCGGTGCCGGGGGGCAGGTCAGATCCTCTCCTTGAGGGCTGACCACGGTCGATACGCGACTATGGTGCGAAATGACCGATCTCAAATCACCGGGCCCCATCACCTCTAGGTTCATTTTGGTCACCGACGTAGCCATCGACTTCACCGGGCCTGGTTCAATTGTTTGACGGACTGCCGCCGGATGTGGAAGAGCGACGGCGTCGGGGGGCAGCTTAGCGACAACCGGAGCCACTTCAGTCACGTCGCGCCCTAGGAGCTGAGCGTGTTTCTTCCAGTAGAGAAATTGCTGCTTCGTACGAGCATTGGCCATGCCGGCTCTAGCGATGAGCTAGTGGCTCGAGCCTGAACTCAGCTTCTTGGAAAGAGCCAACGCTGCTTAGCGATGATCCTAGCGAGGTCTCGTCGTCGAAAAAGCTGCTTCCGTCTCCCGTTTCGTCTGACTGATATGCTTTGTCGCGGTCATTCTCCACCGTTCTAAACGAAAATATAAAAAGAGACATCATTGGCGATATAACAGAATACATTCTGCCTTCCACCTAAAAGTGGTAGCGGAGCGAGGCATACCGTGTAGAAGAGGCTATCTCCTCCACGGTCCCCCAGGCACGGGCAAGAGCTGACTCTCTTTTGCCTTGGCGGGATATTTCAAGTTCGACTGTACATACTTTCGTTAAGCTCCATCACGATGACGGGGGAGACCATCATGCTCCTTTTAATCGCACTTCCCAGCAGGTGCATTGTCCTCCTCGAGGACATGGACACGGTGAATGTCACCAATTCGTGTCTTGACAGCCATGAGATACTCATACACCCGCGGGTATGCGAGACTCGAGTGCCACGGACAAGGCAGTGCATGGCATACGCGCGTCCACGTTTCGGCCTGCCCAAAGCCGCATGTCTCTGTCATGCTTGCTGAATGTCCTCGACGGCGTTGTATCACAGGAGGGTCTAATACTTATCATGACAACCAATCACCCCGACTGGCTCGACGAGGTTCTTTTACGACCGGGTTGGATAGACAAAACGATCGATTTCATTTTGGCGAATTGGAAAATGGAAGTGGTTGTGTTTACAGGAATGTAGGTGCTAGAAAGGGCTCTGCCAGAGTGCTTGCTCATATACTGTAGAAGTTCCGTAAAACTCTCGGTAGATTTGATTGCTGCGTGTAAAGAGACGACTGTTAGGCTCTCTGCTCACTGTATCTTTCTGCACTAATCTATGCATTTCGGCAACAGTATGTGCGGCCTTAATATCACCCCACCAAGTCCAGGCCTTGCATAACATCGGTATGGATACCAACTGTGTAATACCACTGTCAACGGCCGAAACTGAACACAAGTATCTTGCGTGCTCTCACATTTGAATATCAAAATCATCTTGCGTGATGCATCAAAGGCCAGTTAATACGTGTAGATCTTAATCATTTCGTTGTTATAGTACATATGGCGTTGTACTTTGCACTGTGAATCGCCTTCTCTAGACCGAGAAATTGAAAACTTAAGGGCCGACACATGGGCTTTCAGTCATTTTCCCATACCTTTTGGCTTGATAAAGATAGACTTTACTACTTCATACCTGCAATAACCAGCACTAAGTGGTGCATCATCGTACTTTGTAGAATCAAGTCCAATGAAGGAGAAACACACACACACACACACACACACAAGCACGCAGAGATCTCCCAATCTCAAACTTATGATAAAATGTGTTCCTATTCAAAAAGTTCTAGGCCCAGCGAAGTCTTCTCATCCTAACTGTGCGTCGTCCTAGTTGTACTGAATATGGTCTATCTTTTAGACGCCAAATGTAAATAACCATGGTTTAGGCTTACTCAATCATCCCCACAGCGTGCTCTGAACTGTCTAGTTACATCTTAGCGTGATGTCTTAGATGAGACTGGCACACATTCCTGCGGGTTATTACGATTGATCTTTGTTGGGTCAGTGACACCCCGTATAGACTCTCGAATAGCATTGACGCAATGTTCCGTATGACCCGTATCAGTCGCATGAGACATGAGATAAACATCCCTCTCGTTTCGAGTAGCTTCGACAGCAGCCTCCACACCCTGGTAGATAACGTAGAAACAATGTACGTCATGGTATTCCGGTGACCCCCAGAAATCCGTGTACTGCGACAAGGTTTGAGGGTCGTCATCGATGGGCTCAGTGAGATTCTCATCGCGGAAAAAGACTGGTTGTTTTAGCGACTTATAATAGCGAAGTGAAAGCTGTTCATTGAAACACTCCGGAGGTATCCAGTTGACCATCATCATGTCAAACGAACAGCCGGCGATCTGAGCTTCCTCTGAATTGAGACCGCAGTTTGTTCTTTGCAGTTGAGTTGACTGGTCCAGCATGCGGATTAGGGGCCCCATGGTGTAAAAAGTGGAGAAAGCCAAAGTAGCCACGATGGCAAACACAACGGACGCAATCAGGCATGCTAAGTGGTGCCAGCTGCGCCGAACGGAGGGTGAACGATTTGAAGAAGTCCCTTCAGGAAGGAAAGGTACATCGTCGTGGTCCATAATAATTGAAGAGGGTGTGTAAAAGCGACTTAAATCTTGTCCTAGGATGAGGATTTGGTAAACTTCGTCGTTGCGCGACCTGATATTAATAGAAAATTTATGATATCTGAGTCTCTAGATTGATTCCATTTAGTCACAGTCATGACTGAGGGGTTCTAATTGAGAGCTTGGCTGTCGTGTTGATGACGTGTATAGGCTTAGTCATTCTGACTGTACTGCGCTGGAGCTACACCAGCATCCACTAATAGGCCTGTCATCGGGACACTAATCCAATTTGTAATTATGGATAGCATAGCAGAATAGCACGGGACCGCCAAAGTCCTTAATTAAATGTCTAATGATTTGTAGTCATTCCAAACATGGTCAATAAGGCGCGGAATATTCGGATTAATTCAAAGTGACTAGACCTGCTGACTATCCATGAACTCTGGGTGTATCACATCAAGTAAACACATGAGGGCATGTAAACAAACCGTGCTAACCCATCACACACTTTTTCAGGACGAACCATCTAGTGTTGTGAAATATCTTAACTCTGTACACTTTCAACATATTGTGGATAATCTCGTTCCGATGACATCGCGCAGCCAATTGCGGCCACACTCACCTCTCACGCGTCTTTCTATCGATGATTGTGGGGTCGTGCTTGAAGATGTGAGCACACAGCATCTCATCATTATGACTTTGCCTAGTTTTGGGTAAGATAAATCGGTCATCACCAGATATGCTCTTTGACCATACCTGACGACTCTTAGGCTTCAACTAGTGTGGACATTGATATTCTCGCAAGGGAATGTATGTTCTCAGCGCCCGACACCGCGCACTTTCAAATATATGGATGATTTTACTAATTGGAAATGAGAAGGCTCACCTGATATCATTGTCTTTAACTCGAGCAGTGGCATCTGCCCTCTGGATAATAGGCCCACTATGTGGCTTGTTCGTTCAGCCTTTAGTAGGATGGTTTAGTGACACATCATCTCGCAGTCGACGAAAGCCACTTTTGGTGATTGGTGCTGCTGGAATTGTGTTCTTTCTGTCTGTCTTGGCTTGGGTGCCCAGTATTGCATCAGCTCTAAAGGGGGCGTTTTCCATGGGTGAAGAAGCTCAGAAGCTGACTAAGATTTTCTTGGCTATATTGTCCATCCTTGGTCTCAATTTGTTCATTCAGCCATATCAGATCGCTTCCAGGTGTATGCTGTACGACACCTGCCCACCTACGCAGCAACTACAAGCAAGTGCATGGAACAGCATGGCGATCAGCCTTGGTAATATATTAGGGTATTTGATGGGTGTAGTGGATCTTCCGATGCCTACCACACTTCCAACATTGACCAAGTTACAAAGGACCACTTTGTTAATAGCTGCATCTTTGCTGATTTGCACAATGTTGGCATACATGTTCACAACTGAAGCAAGGAATGATACCTACCACTTGGAGTCAGTCATATCGAACTCATGTTCTCCCCGACATATACTTCAAAATATTACACAGACCGGCTGGCTTGTGTCCCGTGTCACATCAAGGATCCTTGAGACGCAATTTCTACATTGGATGGGATGGTTCACAGTAATCTATTATCACACCAGGTATGTATCAAGTATTTGGGCAATGCTGAAGTAATGTTGTAGACGCGTGGCTAACGTCTGGTGTCTTACAAGTTACATCGCCGGACTCCACGCAAAGCATTCTACAGTAGCATCTCCAGATTCCGATGATGCCAATATACAAGCGGGTTCTCTTTCAGGACTTTATTTTGCCATAGTGTCGTTCAGTGTGAACTCGCTGTGTGTTACCATTTTCAACCAGATATCATTGACCAACGGTGCATCTTCAAGACGGAGAACAGAACCCTGCTTTGCACTCAACCTCTCGATCTACGATCTCTGGATATTCGGCCAATTGCTCTTCTTCTTAGCTGCAACAGTTGGCACATGTTTTGTAGACACCGTCTCGGGTGGAACATTTTTGATGTCCATTCTAGGCGTTCCAGGAGCACTGAACAGTTGGATCCCGTACGGTATCGTTGGGTCCGAAATCACTGAAAGGGATCTCCCTGCCGGCATGATGTCTAGCCTTCAGAATGCGGCAATCTCAGCACCACAAATACTATCTGCTGCGGTCTGTGCAGTAATCCTGGAAGTCGTCAGAGTGCTCGGCGGAACAGGCGATGTTGTTTGGACAATGAGGTTTGGAGGCTGTGTGGCTTTACTAGCCATCTATCCAATAAACTGCCTGAGGCTGAATGCATAGCGATGCGAAGACTTGGTGCCCATTTATTTACTTCGAGAATCTTATACAATCTCAGGCCGTATCTTGAAACAGTTTCATGTTGAAACTAGTCCTGGAAGTGCCGAGAGTAATTACCACTTTTCTGTTCATGGAAACACAAATAATAAAGAGCTCCAGGTGGTGCAACTGAATGTGGGCCGGCAGGCGACGGTGCACAGGAGCCTGATGAATGACGAGAGGATGAGGGAAGTATCGATCGTGGCCATACAAGAACCACAGGCGAGGATGAAGGAATGCTGATGACGGTGCCGTGGGCACACTATGGATGGACAAAGCTGGTCCCAACCGAGAGCAGGGAAGGGAGATGGACAATTCGGAGCATACTGGGGGTAAAGAAGGAGCTGGAAGCAGAGCAGATGTCGATCGCGTCACCGGACATGACGGGGGTGATGATTAGAATAGGAGACAGGAAAGTGCTGGTAGTCTCGGCGTATATTCCGCTAACCGATCAGGAAGCTCTTCGGGATGCGTGTGATCTACTGCGCGCGGTAGTTAACAACGCGTAAAGGGGACGAGGAGAAGTTGTAGATGTCATGCTGGTTGGAGATTTCAATCAGCACGATCAATTGTGGGGAGGAGAGGATGTGACGTTGGCTAGGCAAGGAGAGGCAAATGCGATTATCGACCTGATGAGCGACTGCTCTTTACAGAGTCTTCTACCGCGAGGGACGAAGACGTGGGAGAAGGGTGCTTCGGCGACGACGATTGATCTGGTGTTGGCTAGCAGCAGCTTAGCAAGGCAAGTAGCGCACTGTATTACCGCGGATGCAGACCACGGATCCGACTATCGAGTAATCGAGACAATAATAGACATGGATATGTCAGACTTCTAACCGAGAGAGCGCTTGCTCTTACGTAATGCACCTTGGAAGGAAATCAACGAACGGATCGTGCGTACGTTGGAGACGTTACTAGTGGGAGACACGTGTTACGAATCTACGATTCTAACCAACGCAACAGGCCCGATGGCAGGCCCAGTGGATACAGGACAAAGAAGGAGGGGAAAGTCACACAGGAGTGGCTAGCTGCAGGAGAAGCCAGCTAGTACAAGGATCACAAGTCACGTGACTTACAAGGATGGATCATTTGGATATGAAATGATCCAACATATCCAGTTAGGACCAATAGTATCCATGAAGGATCTAATGGCCCCATTTGTCACGACCTGGGTTGCATCGCATTGGTAGAGACCTCGATTAGGTGCTATCGACGAAGATTCTACTCTAAGGAGCGAAGGAAAGAAGATGACAACTTAGGTTTGAGGGAGCGCGACTAAGTCGTCCACGCTTGGCGGGGCTCCTACAGGGGTTATGATTGGCTTCCCATCTGGCACTGCCATGGCAGGTGTTCCAGCTGTAAGTCACCTGGTTGTAGTGAGTCTGTGAGGGTTGACCTTCACAACCGCGTGCACTACTTCAGATACTGCCGACGTCAAATAGTCCGTCTTTTGTTGTACCGTGTTGTAACGAAACCTCTAATAGTCTAGCTGCGTAAACCACTAAAGAGTCTGTAAGGGTTTGTGCTAGTAAGTAAGTCCTGCTGCGGAGTCCTCAAGCAATAATATCGGGGTCTGACGTATGGAGTATAGTGCTTTGGGGTAACTGGGAATAGAGTCGTCAAGGCAGTTTGCCTCACCAATGGGTTAGATTGATGCTTAGATTGATCACTGAAGTAGAGACTGTCTATCTATGAAATGCCTGGGAGTCCTGTCCCTTATATATCCATTCCCTCCTTCACTGATAAATGGTGTGAAGGTCAACCCTCGCAGACTCACTACAACCAGGTGACTTACAGCTGGAACACCTGCCATGGCAGTGCCAGATGGGAAGCCAATCATAACCCCTGCAGGAGCCCCGCCAAGCGTGGACGACTTAGTCGCGCTTCCTCAAACCTAAGTTTGTGATCTTCTTTCCTTCGCTCCTTAGAGTAGAATCTTCGTCGATAGCACCTAATCGAGGTCTCTACCAATGCGATGCAACCCAGGTCGTGACAATCGCTGCCCCTCCCTAAGTTGGAGGGGTCACAGTAGCCTATTTATACAGTCCCAAGCCCCGCTGGGGGGAGCCAGCGCGCCACTGGAGCCTACTCGCTGCATAGGTGCTACAAGCCACTGTGGCTTATTGTAACGAGGATACCACACGTCTCACAATATAATAGTCAGGTAGTGCAAAGGGTAGCTAGAAGTAGGCCAGTGTATGGGTGCGTATATTGCAAGACTGATTCTTGAAGAATCTAAACTAGGTGCGAGCGTCTCGAGTTCTCCTCTTAAGCTGGGCGGTTCCGGGGTTCTACCGGATCGGGGGGCGAATCCCTCCCGACTCAGCTTGTCAGCTGAGACCGGCCCGCCACAACGGCTCTTTCCTTACACGCTGCCCACCTTGTTGACTTCGCCTACCTAGCGATAATAGGGAGATTGGTGCAGTTTAGGAATTCGAATCGTTAATCCGACCCCTTATCGGACCTCGCCTATCCGATAACGCTCGTCGGCGAACCCGTCCCCTCACGATAGAAGGCGCGCAGCACGCCCTCTCGCCGCGATTCATGCGAGCGTCTAGACCACGTTACGGTCTATCCACTTGAGCGTATGGTTGAGATGTATACGCTCGACGAGAACCCCAATTAGCAGATACTACGACTTGTCGCGACAAAAAATAGTCGAGCATCTTCTGCACATCAGCAGCATCCCACCCCTGAGGACGAATTTAAGTGCCACATTACCACACTTATCGGTAGTTCAGGCAGGGGTTGTAGCACAGACTTAGGGAGGGACAGGAGGTTTAGTAGTCGTTTGGCTACAAGTTTACCTGTATAACCGCCCGACGCGGCTTAAGGCCCGCTATATCATCTATAGCCCCTTAAGGGAGTACTTGTAGAGGTACCGAGGGTTAACACCTATGGCGTATTTAATATTTTATATATCCATCTCTCCTTCACTGATCCCCACTTGGATATGTTGAATATGTTAGCTATCCAAGCTATCCACCCTGGTAAGTCACGTGACCTGTCGGTCCTTTCCTTTCTCCGATGTGGGGTGATCCTAGCGTCTGTATCCACCTGGCCTGCCAACGGGCCTGTAATGTTGGTTCAGGGCCAACGGTTCGTAACACTAGCGTTCTGCTTGAAGTTAATTCCTCTAAGTGCTCAGAGTCCTATCCTCGGCGACTGAAGCGTGACCTGCTAGGTTAGTTAGTATACTTTAGAGGTGTCCCTACTATTATATATATTTTTGTCTTTTCTTATCCTTAACTGTCTGTTACTCTTGCTGTTAGCTATAGTCGACCTGTCGCTATAGAAAACTTAATCGTATCTCGAACCGTGTCAGGTGCGAATAAGTGTAAGGAAAGAGCCGTTGTGGCGGGCCGGTCTCAGCTGACAAGCTGAGTCGGGAGGGATTCGCCCCCCGATCCGGTAGAACCCCGGAACCGCCCAGCTTAAGAGGAGAACTCGAGACGCTCGCACCTAGTTTAGATTCTTCAAGAATCAGTCTTGCAGTATACGCACCCATACACTGGCCTACTTCTAGCTACCCTTTGCACTACCTGACTATTATATTGTGAGACGTGTGGTATCCCCGTTACACAGCGCGCCGTAAGGGTTGACTAAACCCCCTTGTGTGTCAGCTGCGGGATTCGAACCCGCGACTCGTCACCGACCCAAGTGGGTGAGACTTGGGTCGGGACTTATCTACCAGCAAAGTGACCAACTACACCAGCCGACTTCAGCATCTTATTCTGCTCGCAGTTTTCGCATTTGTCCTTTGTGTGTCAATCATTGAAATTGATGAGTATTCTTTTAAAAGGGTGCAGTGATCGCTCATCACGCGGGGCGATCCTCGAGACCAACAAGTCTCGATGATCTGAGTTGGATCAATCTTTGTTTGGTCCATGCGCCCGCGAAGGAATGAAATGCATCCGCACCGAAGTTTCTGAACAAGCCCCGCACCGAAGTTTCTGAACAAGCCCCGCACCGAAGTTTCTGAACAAGCCATGCACGGGAAACGATACAATGTAGTGAAGTCATTCATCAACTCAACAGAGTGTTGGAGGAGTTGAGCCGTTGCCCAAATCAAAGTTCTGGGAAGCACATTCCTTTCAAGCTCCCAGCATGATTGGCTTGCGATTGCTCGTGAGATCTATTCTTCACTGATCCCAGACGCGTTCCCCAGCATAGCTTGCCTCCCCGTCGAGGAAGGAAAAATCCATCAATATGAAAGTATGCACAAGCAACAATCCTCTGGCCTGTTGTCGTGACGAGATGCATCCGTAGTATGCTAATGCCGAACTTGCTCAAGTAACGACTGCCATGGCTGACGAGGACTGAAGAGCGGCGCGGCCGCGATGGTCTCGGCTGAGTCCAGAGGAACTGCAAAGTCGGCTGGCAGGTTTGGGACTCATAGCCAATAATCCTGAACAGGCCGTCCTCTGCAGCAAGTACCAATACGCATTGCAGCCAAAGTGCGAGTGTGTCGCACGGCATTTGGCTGATAAGCATCAAGTACCGAAAGGTCTACGGACCGCACTGCGAGTAGTGATCTGGCTGAATTTATATGTGCAGGTCCGGGGAAATATCACCGACTTCAACGTGTCGGCGAGTCGTAGTGTCTAGGCTCGGTCGTACGTCTCAAGGACAGGGAGGGAGCCCGATTGCCGATGGTCGGGCTTGTAGCCTGTGCCATCGTTGGGAATGCGGTCGGCGCGGTGCGTATCGAATTTGCATATCGAGGAGATCGTAGCTAGTCAACCAGCGAGGGTCTCGTGCTCCCTGGTGCCACCGGTGCTGGTCAGAACCCGGTGGGGGTCTCTGGGAAATCGATGCGCACCCGTAGGTGAACTTAGTCGCTACCGAGCAGAGAGGAAGCCGTTCTGGAGGACAGCCTCGAGCCGGGAAATCTACTTTGAGCGTTAGCAACTATGGCGCCGGCGCCTAGCATATGTCGAACTCGCAACTCCAGGACCCGGCAGAGGAGTACTGGCTTGGCGCGTGTGCTTCTGGCGCGCCAGCTCTATTGTCGTGGCCCCCTGCAAGTTTTCGCGACATATAGCGACCTCAACGGAACCATCGGGGCACTGGAACCCAGTGCGCCAATTGCGAAGGACTTGTCAATAGCGCGGCGGCCTGTGACCACCTCGTAAGTTTGAGCCGTGGCTCGAAAGCGTTGGTGTAGTCGGCATGCCACGCCTGGTGCAAAAAGGACCTGGGCAGGTTTTCGTCAGAGGTTTGGCGACCGAGGAGGATCGCGCAAGGAAGCGGCGACACGCTCTCGCGGACCTAGGAAACTCTTGGACATTATTCAGGAAGAAGCCTAGACGCAACTTGTTAGATCTCAACGTAGCGGGTTGGCACGACGCAGGTGAAGGGATTCGAGGTTTTTGTATGACACTGGCCGGCAGGGGGGAGGGTGGGGCTTGTTGTCTTGGGGCTTGTCGTGACTAGTACCTTAGGTCAATCCGCAAAGGTCACCCGAAAGCTCGATGTCAGATCAGCCATTTTATAAGCTTGAAAGGCACACCACAGGATAGTATTGAGGCTAGTTCGACTGACGACACTACTGAGAGTTATGGAACCAGTAAAAAAGGGGGAAAATAATAAGGGAGAAAACCGAAAGAGAAAAATCAAAGAGAAAAATAGAAGCCCAGATTTTACCTTTTTGTACCAAAACTGGTCCAGTCAGCTGTCCAAGCCCATCCCAACGGAGTCCTTTCCACGGCCCGCGGACGAGAAATCCGAACCTCTGGCGAGCAGTTCAACTTCAACGCTTAAGAACATTTCTCGATAGCTCAGAATAAAATCAATTAAATGTTCTGATCCACTCCAGGCCGGTGATCTATGTTGTATGCTTCTGCGGCATTGTCACGTATACTAATTCGGCCTTGCTAAAGTAGGATATCATATTGGCCGGCGAGTAGCGCTAGCTGACAGGGGACGCAGGGAAGCTTTTGGCTACCTTATAGTGGAGTTAGCAGCGGAGCGATCGGGACAATGCCAAGAACGAAGCCAACGGCGCCAACGCCAACGCCAGGGCAGTCAAATCATGAAAGCATGATAGTTTGAACCTTTCCCTCTTGCAGATCTCGGACCCGTAGTCGGTTATACCAGCAACTTTGCATCGTAATCTATTATTGCTGAAATATGGCATCCCCTGATCCACCTGTCGGCCTGTTCAACCACCGGTTCGTGGTCTGCGACTAATGCCAGCACGCGTGTATGTACGACGAAATCCAACAGAACAGCATCTACCCAGCCAAGCCCACGCCGACCTCGAAATGCACAAACGGCAAAAGATGGCAGAAGCCTCTCGAGCGCTCTCCGACATCCCTTGTATGCCGGCCGATCTTCCCAGCATCCTGCGCGACGGCGCATGCGGCCACGGCATCGAAAAATAGCTGTCAGCAGGCTCTGACCCAGAGGTGCGCGCTGCTAAACCAGTTAGCTCATCGCGCGATCCATATGGTAGACAAGAAGCTGAAGCCGGAGCCGTGCGTGCGGCGAGTAGGACAGACGTGCCTCATTGCAGGGCTCACGAGCGCGGACGACCTTTACTTCCTCCGCGGCACACACCAAATACCCTAGAAGGACGGGACAATCCTGTTGGAGCTCTGAGCTAGCCATGCGCGAGTGGCCGACAAGGCGCAGAAGCAGGTGTGTAGCCTTGGGCTCGACAGTCTTCGATATGGCAAGGAAAATGGAGCAGAAGAAGCACACGCCTTTCCAGCAGCTTATAGCCAAAGACGCACACGTGCGGTATCGGATGTTTACTAATTTTTAGTAGACTGCTACGTGATGACCTCAATCTATGATCCAACCTCATATATTAAAAAAAAACACCATATCCGGTCGGTTGTCTGGGAGTTATGTCTGTCTCGCTCATACTATTGAAATTGGGCAGTGAACGAGTACGGGTGGCAGTTTCGTTGTCTGATACAATAATAGGAACGGGGTTCCCAGAATTGCTGAGTCATTTCGTCAGCGGTTCAGCGCGGCCAACAGAAAATTTCTCTCAATCACGACGGAAAACCGAAGCTGGGATTTGATGGGCACAGTGTCATGGAAGCTGTCCAGTGGAACTCTTGGCTAGGATTGAGGATGTTACTGGACTTAATATGAAGGTTCTGTTCGGGATTTTCGTTAGAACCAGCGTCCATACGTAACATTAAAGGGTTACAACTAGCAATTTAACTTGGTTTTTTTTTGGTCTCTCCTTTCCCCATAGTAGTAGTGACAATAGCTGTCGTGGCTCGTAACAACTTAGTGCAAAGTTGGTGCGTACAGTGAAACATGCTGGATGTAAGCGGTCATCACAATCTTTGTCAGCTCTGCATGCGCTGTATAGTGCCAGAGTCTGGTCATACAGGACAGTAATCTTGTAACTAATGATGCGCCAATAGAACATAATCTGGTAATCAAAATCTGGGGCAGAAGCATAGCAGAGGGCCTGTTTTCTGCCCCGTGATGTGGTCTTTGAGAACATATTGGCTTGGCTCCTCATCGTCCCTCATGCCAACAGGGACGCCGGCGTCTGCTCTTCGAAAATCAAATTCCCAGCACAAACGAGCAATGGTCAACAGGATCTGAGCAACAGCCAGTGGCTTCCCCACACAACTCCTGGGCCCTATGTTGAATGGAAAATAGGGCCGATTGACTCCTTTCTCAAGCCACCGTTCAGGCCTGAAGCTCGTGGGATTTTCCCAATTATCCGGGCTATTCTGCATTGCGTAGACCCCTGCGCCAACCTCACAGCCACCTGGGAAGAAAGTATCCCCAATAGTGGTACCGTCGTTTTCAACTAAACGCCAAAGCGGACCACCACCTGGTGGCGACAACCGCAGCGCTTCGTCAAGACAAGCACGTAAAAACACACAGGAATTGATCTTCTTGCCGAGTCTAATCTCATCTAGTGAGGCAAAAGTTGACCTGACCTCTTCTGTAACTCGATCATAAGAGCGAGCCGAGCCCGCCAGATAATGGATCAGTGCTGCCATGGCCGTCGAGGAAGTATCACTACCTAACATGCCCCAAATCGTTAGAACCTTGACTAGCGTCGATTTTGCGTAATCTTACCAGCTACAATGAATGTCGCAGTTTCTGCGCTTAACTCTTTGATGCTCAATTTGTCACCTGTCTCGGGATCTTCGCATTTCTGCAGAAAAGAAAAAATATCCCTATTGTTTGATTCATCTTGCCGCAATCGTGACTTGAGCAGATCTCGAAGAAATACCACAAAGGTTTGAGCTGCCTTCGATGAATCTCGCATGAGCATGCGATCTAGGCGGCAGAGGGATAATGCAGGTGCCTGCCATAGCACGCTAAGCCGTATGTTCGAACATTCAATGGCCTGCATTACGGGGCGATGTCGGGGGTCTTCCATAGTGCGATAGTCTAGATTGAATGACAAAGCTGTCATCAGGTCGAATGAGAGACGGTTGACTAGAGCGGTTAGTTAAGTCCACGAATTGATGTTATTCGCAGTGAACCACACATACAATTTTCAGCCATATCTTGAGAAACCGTCCATTCTCCTTCTAGTGAAGTTCCACGAATTATTTGGCAAAAGTTATCAAGCTTGGAGACAATAAGACTCTCGAACATGCGTAGACTACTTTCAGAGAAAGCCTGGCTGATGACTCGTCTTCGGCGTGCGTGTTGGACTTTGTTTGAAAGAGTTAATGTATTTAATGCGTGGGATGACAAGATCTTGTATCCGTCAAATTTTCTGACATGAGCTCCATGTCCGTAGATATCTGCATCAAGACTTGCAAATCAATGAACTGTTTGTCTCAATTCAGAGCTTTCGATAAACACGTGGGGGTAAGCCTACCGTGCAGAGCTTGTGGAGAGTTAATCAATATACGGTTAGGGGCATATCGTACATAAACACCTACAATTTTAGTAGTCGATCAGTGTTGATTCTTGCATGCGCGCGCGATTACGCCTCAAAGACGTACCGAATTTACAATGACATCGGAGTATGTCTATATGTATATCGCCTTTCCAAGCATGATATGCACCATATAAATTGGTGAACTTGGCCAGCAGCGGCCCGGGGTATCTCGCCAAGGGATGAAAAAAGACACAATAGGAAATCCAGTAAATTAACTAGATAATTCGATCAGCCTTCGTCGACAGCTATTCATGAATTGAGGATTTGAACGTACAAGAGTAGTGGCACCAGCCAAAACGACCATGATCACATCCTGAGAACTTAAATATGTGGACGGATGTACTTTTTCGTTGATCACCCCTGGCCCGAACATAATGAATTGCACCACTTGAGGTCTTTTGGGATAAGAGCTAACAACGTTCTGCGTAACCAAGTGATGATATTTGTCGAACAAAGAATCTTTATTAAGATGGACTCATCAGTCCTTAATATATTTAGCTTTCTGCTTAATTGAAGGGGAGGTCTGCTATTGTTCAACTGCCCTTCAAGTCTGTTCGTCGCTGAATTTACGAGCCCTTACTCGGCGACAAATCGGCGACTTAAGGCGAATCCCCCGCCCCTCAGGTCCCGCTGTGTTTCATCGGCTCGGCGACTTTTTGAAGAAAAAAAAAACGCATCGGAACGTTCTCGCTGCAATAACTTTTACTAAACTAGATGCCGGTTATTTTTACTGTCCACTGTTAGTAATAACACGTGCTTCGCTCCCTTTCCGTCGTTTATTACACACTCTAGGTTTCCTCGTTTATACTAAATATACTGAATATTATTCAGTTATTATATATCAATACTTAGTATATTCTCTAGTAAGGCCGGCTACTAGAACTTGTGTTTGATACTGTTTGCCTTAGTCATACTATCTTATTAATAAGAACCAGAAGGATAATGAAGAAGTTTAACTACTAATATCCCTACTTTTCTGCTCTCTAATAATATTGAATCTACTTATAATAAAATCTGATATTTCTCACATATTACTATAAGCTAATCATATTACGTAATACTTCTATACTAGTTTATAAATTAAGTGCTTTAGTAATAGTACATACTGTAAAACTCCCGGATTCCTCCCTAATTACCCTGAGAGCAGGTGGAGACGTTACAGTAATAGATTTTTAGGGAAGGGGGTGGGGGGATTTGGCTTTATAATAAGGCAGTAATAGTTAAGTATGTGTAAGTGTAAGGGTCAAGGGTAATGTCGATGCAATTAGCCTAGCCTACTCTACGAGTACTATCCATCTATGAAGAGAAAAACATTAGATACATTCAGTGTGGTGAACCCTTCTCCCTTTTATCCTTCTGTCCTCCCGTCTCGTCGTTTCAGGAATCTTCGAGGAGTGAAGCTTACTCAGAGATTTCCGTGGGTCCAAGTGCTGTCGGAGTGAAGCTTATTCAGAGATTTCCGTGGGTCTTTCTGGCCGAAGGCGTCGCAGAGGCCACATACCGGTCATAGACCGTGACAGTGACAGTAAGCTACTATGCAATTACTATCACACACGTAGTGATGTCAAGAGTAGATAGTATATTCCCGAACGTTGACAGAAATAGAATATATCACGTATCACATATAACGAATATCCTATCCAGTACTGTTCTCGTAGGATCGGTTGATAAGCTAGCTGCTCGAATACTGTAACGAAAATAACTTGTTCGATAGATTGATGAACTGACTTTGGGTTATGACTAGAAACTCTACTATATCAGATATTCGCTTATTATGCGGACACGTGCTGGGTAGGATTTCTAGTGAAATAGACAATCTCGGTATTGTACACAATCTGGCTGACTGTGTTTTCTTATAGATGATGTAGTGCTGTGGTCATTGGCAGTGGCCACTACTGATGAGCTTAATTGAAGGGTCCCACAAACGGAACAACGATAATATCAGGGCACTTTTCTGGAAGATCGTTATGTATTATCTTGCAGCACAACAAGTGGTCCGTGGAAGGCGCCACTCGATGTTCAGCTTACAGGGAAATCCATTCAAATACCAGAAAGCCTCTGGTACAGTACATACAATTGTCATTATCGTACAGCTGGTGTACCGTTGAGATTTCCAAGTTGCCCTTACAGCACCGTACACTTCTTTGGTTTTTGACCTCGATTGACAGATTGTTAATTTCAATTATGTAGCGAAGAAGAAAACAAAGATTTTGCAGCACTCGAGACGATGCTATTCTTCAAGGAATATAGTGTAAAGGCTATACAGTACTATCGGGGTTTCTCAGATAACCCTGGAGTACATATAGTTAAGTGCTAGGTGAACAAATGCTAACAGGATGTGCTAGTCAAGAGAACAACTGCGCTGAGCAAAGAGTACAGTACAGTACAGTACAGTAATTGAAATAGTCTTGGACTAGTTCACAAGTGTAGTCGTTAAAGCGTATTGAATGCTTCACCTATAGCTGAGATAGATGCGTGGATTAATCACTGAGGAGATGACTGTCCATGCAATCAGGAAATCCGTCCCTAATATATCCATTAATTTCCTCATTGATATTCCCTTAGCCCGAGGAGCTGAACATGCTGACAAGGAGAGCACTGCACAGGTATCTGGCAATGAGGACGGGACACGGAGATTTTGCCTGGTACCACAGAAAATTCGACCATCAAGACGCGAAACTACGCTGCTCCTGCCGCCGTCTCAAAACGATAGAACACATCGTATTCTGTGCAGAGGCAAAGAAGACGATAGAAGCCTGGCCAAGACCACCGGTACAGGCAAAGGATGCGGAACCTGCAGAGACGCCACCGGTCCCTGAGCTCGTGACTTAGAGAGACCATATGGAGTACTGGGGATGGATCATGAGGACCCCAGCGGCCTTCAAGACGCTTCTCGATGTGACGAGATTCTATAGTGAAATATGCCCCCGCTGAATTCGGGCAAGGAGCACAAGCGTGCGCGGGACAGAAGCCCGCACCGAACACGTTAGAGAACAACACGACCCGGCTGTTAGGTCTGTAGCACTACACAAATGACATAATCAGACAGAACAACCAGGCCACACTGCCCTGACCGGCGAGGACAGGAGGACCTAAGAACACCAGCCCTAGGGCGAAGAAATTGCCAGATAGACGAGGCTCACAAAAACGGGGATCAAGGAAGTCGACTGTAGACAGAGACTCTGAAACAGTATACCATAGACTCTAGCCTAGCACGTCAGGTACCCCAAGGGAGGTCCGCGGGCCTCGATTTACGAGCCTGCCACAACGTTAAATACAACAACAAATTGATATTCCCTTAGATCGTGGATGTGAGTACGATCAAGGCGATCCATGCGCGCCGCCAAGACCCCGATTCTGTCGACAGCTGGCAATAGTGATCTTTGCCCCGCAGTGTGCCTTCTTCAGCGCCAACACATTTTTGTTCTTTTTCAAGGGTGCATATTCGTAACAATAACTTTGAGGAGCTGCAGTAGACTTTGAGTAAAATACAGAATTTATTGAGAATTTAGGCAGCAGCGGACGATCAAATCCCATGTACCGAACCGATCTACCCCGCAGGATCTCTAGACTCGAATACACTTCCTGGTACGTAAGACGACGAAGATCTGGGGTCTGTGAGCGGTGCTATGACGTGACAGGGCATATACGCGGATGTCTCAAATAGACAGGTGCATCAGAGTCTCAATAAAGAGAATTGTGCATTACGTGCCCTCGGTCAGGAATGCAGGTGGAATGGCAGTCTGATCATGAAATCAATTCTTCCCCCAAGAGATGCAGAGCCATGAAATGCGCCAGACATTAGAGTTCCCATGATAGTAATCCATCCATATATATACACAGCTGTCTCCATCCCCTACGTCAAGATTTCATTACTTGACTGATATGTTTGGCTAGATGGATTAGCGAAGGGCTCTGATTGATTGTCAGAGTGCTGATCTCGATTCCAACCTGCTGCTGAATCCAATTCCTCATTTCCATGGCAACGAGCGAGTCCATACCGAGGGACTCGAGAGAACGGTCAGTAGCCATTTCTGCTTCATCTTTGATCAAAAAATCTGCCAATGTTCGAGCGAGGGCGTTGGCTATGGTCTCAACCTGTTCGTCTTCAGAGAGCTCCGCAGCAAGAAGTGTCTTCAAAGGAATGCTTCCTGGTGAAGTAATATTTGGAATGGTTTCTTCAGACAGGCTCAGTGTGTGATAAATGCTCATGCGAACGTCGCGCTTCCAGGCAACTCGTGTCGAAGGAGATGATATAGGTGCTGTTGTGTTCAGCCCTATCACAATTTGTCCAAAGTTTCGAGAGGTCTTATCGGCAACAGTTGTTGTAAATGGCCGAGATCGTGCTAGCGCCAAAGAAATGGCCTCGAGAAGGTTCTGTTCTCGCAGGATGTACATGCCAGTTCGTTCTAGTGAGTTCATAATATCGTCACTGTCTGCTACGTAGCCGACATCTCCCATGACGCCCACGTCAATGACAGAAGCCACCAAATCATGCTGGTGTCGGTATTGTACGAAGGCATCGAGATAGGTGTTGGCTGCCGCATAGTTAGCCTGCCCCCAAAGGCCGATCAAGCCGCTCTGAGACGAGAACAGGAGGAAGAAATCCAGAGGCAACGACAATGTGGCGTTGTGCAAGTTCCAGGTGCCTTTCACCTTGGGGTCGATAGCCGCGTTCCAGTCGTCAAAATGCATATCAGAAAGTTCGACGTCACGAAGAACCATGGATAAGTTGAGAACGCCGGCCAACGGGTGGATAGCGTTGGCAGTGTCAACGGCCATGTCAACGTCTGTCCTGCAGCTGACGCTTCCGGCAACCAAAGCCACCTCGCAACCTTGTGATCGCAGATCTTCCAGAAAGCATTGTAGTCGAGGCGTTTCATTGGCAGATCGAGATAGGAACACCAGGTTTCGAGCACCGCGCTCAACCATCCAGGTGGCAATAGCTCGACCCAAGCCACCAAGACCACCAACAAGCAGATAACTGCGATCTGGCCGAAAGACCGGATCGATGCTGGACAAGAGCGAATTGCTGCTTGGCTTACACCCATGCGCTCTGGCTAGTGAAAACGGGTCAAGAGGCATCTCGATGACTATCTTGCCAATATGCTTCGCCGCTTGCATGGTCCTGTAAGCAGTTTGGAGTTCTGAAGCAGGAAATATCTCAGAGACAAGTGGGCCCCTAAGGGTCCCTGAGCGAATCAACTCAGCACAGCGTTCCAGCAACTCAGCTGCCTTTTTGGGGCGTGACTGGGATAGTCCACGGAGATCCAGGCCAACAAATGTCCTGTTCGCCTCGAATGTCTCCATGGATAGCTTCGCGCGTCTTTGGAAATCCCGCTTTCCGATTTCAACCATCATGCCGAATTCTGCGACACACCTCCATGATGCGTGAAGAAGATCGCCGGACAGCGAATTCAAAACCACGTCAACACCGCGATTCTCAGTCGCGTGCATCAATGAGGTCAAAAATGATGAGTCACGGGATGAAAAAATTCGGCTCGGGTCAAGGCCGTAATTATCCACCAGGTGACTACGTTTGTTGTCGCTGCCTACTGTGCAGTAAACCTGATCAGATGGTCAATAAGTTGTCTAAACTATGGAAGGGGGGGGGACTAACATCTGCACCTATCATCTGTGCTATCTGGAGTGCTGCTAAGCCGACACCACCACAAGCCGCATGAATCAGAATGGACTAAAATTTAGTGAATGGTTAGCTGTGAAAAAACGCCCATGTCTCGATGATTACTTGCCTGGCCACGTTGCAGACGTGAGACGTCAACTAACGCCATCAGAGCTGTGGCATAAACACAAGGTACCGCAGCTGCCTGGATAAAACTCATGGCGTCGTCCATCTTGATACACACAGACTCTGTCAAGGTCATATGTGTCGTGAAGCAGCCATCACTGAGAAACATGACTCTGTCGCCAATAGAAAAGCGGTCGACTCCGGGTCCCATCGCTTGAATGATTCCACTAGCTTCAAAGCCCATTTCGCTCGGATCGCCTTCAACAATACCGAGCGCAACAACAACATCCTTTGAAACGTCAGTATGATTTTCTTCTTTTCATGAAAGGGTTACGAACCCGAAAATTGAGTCCAACTGCTTTGACCTCAACAAGGATTTCACCATTTCCTGGGCTTTGGATTGCCGCATCTGTCCATTCCATGGTGTGTAGCAGACCGGGAGATGTCATTGTAAGCCGTTTGAGCATACCCTTATGGTCTTTTCCTTCGCTAGCCTCTGCGATAGCACAGGCGGCTGTCTGCCAATGAAACCGGGGGATGAGAATTTCCCCGCCTACTATGGCGTATTCATAGTCCGTATCTAGTGCATTGAGACTCGACGGCCGAATCGAATGCCTTCGCACAATGTTGGCTACGGCTTCTGTGACAGTAGAGGGACTCGTCGCATTATCCACTTCAATGGTGAAGAAGTCACGAGAGTACTCGTTGCGAGCTGTTCTGGCAAGTCCAAGCACCATGGCCGCTCTTGGATCCTCGCATTTGATCTGAGAGGATTGACCAACCCAGAACAGCCTTTGCTTATGTGATTTCAAATACTCCTTGATGATATCAAAGGAGTCTCCGGACATGTTGTGTAACACTGGTTCTTTAAGATCCAAGAGAGCAATTGTATCGCAATCAGGCAAGGGCTGACCGAAGATGCAGATGCAAACATTTACGTCCAACCCCTCAAGGCGCTCCCGCATTTCTGTGACGTAAGGTGCATCAAGGGAGTGGCAGAGTAGTGCCATTTTCCTTACAATGCTAGTTTGATTCGCGGGCGAGACAATCAGGCCTGCACTAAGGTGGAAGGGCTTTGGAGAGTCTAAGACAACAGACTCTAGTTCTTGGAACCCAGCAGCGTGGAGCTCTGGGGCCCAACGAGCTGGCGAAATCCACGGCTCGTTGACACGGCCGTCGTCCGCACCCAGCCACCAACCTTGGAGATAGCCCTGGCGTTCGATTATATCAGCACATATACAGGACGAACGCAATGAAAATAATTTGACAGCGACTGGATGATTCAGCCGGAATACTCACCATGATATAATTCATGAACATAGAATCTGGGCATGGTCAGCCAAATACGACAACAGAGAATGGTATGTCGACTTACCTGGACAGAGCTCTTCCAAAAATAGTCGACCATTAGGATTGAGCAGACTGTGCACATTGCGCAAAGTAGTATTGAGGCAAGGGGTTGCGTGGAGAACCTAGAGAGTTTGGCTGTTAATGCTAGATCTGGGTTGCTTGTAGAAAGTCTGTGCTTTAGCACTGAGGAACACTTACGTTAGCTCCGATTATAAGGTCGTAAGTACCAGGCGAGAACCCTTGTTCGACCGGATCTCTCGAAATATCTAGCACACTGTACTCCATACCTTGAGCATTGGCAAATCTCTCTTTGGCCGCGGCCATAAAACCAGCGGAGATGTCAGTATAGGAGTAGAGGCTGTAGAGACGCTCTCCATACTCAGAATGAAGGGCTTTCAGCACCTTGGCTGTAGTGCCACCAGTACCTGCACCGATTTCCAGAATACGTAGCCGGGGATTGGTGTTGGCAAGAAGTCGGATCGCGTCAGTCCAATCAAATGACATTGCATCGTAGAGCTTGCTCAGGATGTCATCCTTACGAAGGACATGCAAGGCATGCATAGTCCCAGCGAAAATAGCGGATGCTTCTGAAAAAAGATTGTAAACTGCAGCTGAGAAGACAGCATGCGGCGAGCTTGAAAGACGAGCCATGATTTCATGGATCCTGACAATTCTCTGATTGTGATTCAGGCTATGAAGACCAAGCTCTGTAGGAATCAGCTTGTTTGCTCCGGATTGATAGCCATCTGCATGGAGACGCATCCAATCTAGGAATTTGCGAAGATGATCCGCCCCGCTATCATGCATCGTGATCTGCTCGAGGTGATCGAAGATGCACAGCGTAGTGAGCTCCTCTAGAAGGGGCCACTCCACCGAACGTGGAGTCTGGGACTCTTGGGTAGCAACAAGCCGCACGAAGTCGCTATGCGGACTCCACTCGACGTGCGTAAAAAGTGGCACACCATCTTCCGTTACGTTCCTTGTTAGAATAGTGGTCTTCAAACCCTTCAGCGTGAGGACGGGCGTAGAGTTGCCATATGCTACAAGGTCTCCTTTCCAGGATCCAGCATTGCTCATATTGGTGATTGTTGCCGTGGCTTCTAGGTCGAGGCTGGAAGGAGAAATGACGATCTCATCGATGAAGGTTGGCACGGCCAAGGAATTCAATCGTCTTCGTTGCCCGCCAGACGCAGCCGCCATGAAAAGTTGTAGGCATTGGTCGAGAACTGCAGGATGCAAGGTATATGATGAAGTCGTTTGTTCATTGTCACCTGACCCCGGCACTTGCGTTGCGATCGTTGCCCTGGCTGCGGCAGATGTGGTGGCGGCTGATATAGACTTTATCCCGTGGAACAGCCCCGTGTAATTGAATCCCACTCGTTTAAGAACGTCGTACCAACTATCGCCTTCCACCAACCGGGGGAATGTTAGATTTTGAGAGCCAATACTGTCAAGCCACTGAGGCTTATCAGGCAATCCTGTAGCCTCGCCGCAGCAATTCCTCACCCAGTCTGTCCCGTCGAAGGAAGTGATAGTGAATTCCCACCAGACCGAGCTATCAGACGTATCTGAAACGGTAGGATTTAAACTGGTGACAAGCTCGACTGCCTTTCCCAGCTCCAGGACTCGTGCTGAAGTAAATTGGACGTTTTTCAATGTGTATGTTGTTTGACCAGATAGTTGCCGTATCGCTTCACCAATCATGGCAATGTATCCAGTAGCAGGGAACACAACTTGACCGTTTACCACATGGCCGTTCAACCATAGTGTGTCCTCGAGGGTGAGAACCTTTCTCCATGTCGGTTGGCTGGCCGTTTCCGTCACTCTGTTTCCAAGAAGCTCATGCGGGGCATGTTCACGGAACCTCCAGTCATGCGACACGCGGGGCTCTTCCCAATGTATCGTGTCCTGATTCCAAGAATAGGATGGCAAGTCCCGTATCATTGCTCCTGGTGAGCAAATGAGAGAAAGATCCATGGGTACTGAGTACTGGTGTAGGCGGCCAATGGTACGGAGAATGCTCTCCCGACTGTTTTTGCCCCTAGTAAGGGTACCGATATGAACATCTGAGCGATTCATGTCTCTAACAATCTGACCAATTGGTCCGGCTAATGCAGGGTGAGGTCCAATCTCAAGCAGTACAACTGGATTGGATTCATCACGAAGTGCAGAACGCAAAGCCGTATCGAAGAGAACAGGGCACTCCATATTGGCCCGCCAATATGGTCCTTCTAGCTCACCTCGACCTCTGATTCGTTCTCCTGTCACAGACGAATAAAAAGCCACGTTTGGCTCGACACTGCGGACTTGTCTCAATTGATCCTCGTAAGATGGTCCATATTCACGCATATGATCTAGGCACCACAAGTATTAGCGTGAAGATCTGAATCCCAAAATTTATCAGTATGGTACTCACGGGAGTGGAATGCCTTCTCGACTCGTAGCATGCGGGTGAATGCTGTTGGCCGCTGGTCCTTGATATTATCCAGTACTTGTTTCACAGCCTCCGTGTCCCCAGATAAAGTCACGCTGGACTGACTGTTTACACAAGCGATGTCAACACCTGAGATCAAATACTCCCGTACTTCATCTGATCCTAGGCCGACTGCAGCCATAGATCCCTGGCGCTCAGAAGATACGTTGCTTATTCCTCGACGTGTTGCCGTGAATATAGCAGCCTCTGCAGTCAATGCACCACAAGCATATGCAGCCGCTGTCTCTCCTGACGAATGGCCTAGAGTGATATCGGGTTCAATGCCCCAAGACCGTAGGACATCGACCAATGCAATCTGTAATGCAACACACAACGGATGTCCCAACTCGGCGCCATAAACGCGACTACCTTCGCCGTTCAGGATCTCATCTGTAGGTATTATGAGCTCAATATGTACCCTCATGGCATCTACTCGACTTACTTTCAATTGTCCAGGGTGGTGATTGTTCCAAGGTCTGCAAGTATCGATCGAGCTTTCGGATGGTTCTCTGAAATACAGTATTGGACTTCATCAAGTCTGCGCCCATCCTTGGCCATTGGGCTCCTTGGCCGGTGAAGACCCAAACTAAACGAGGCCGAGATTGATCTGTAGAGTGAGTTTCAGAGATACCTTCCGTTAGGGTTCCGTTCGTTACCATGAAGGCTCTGAGAGGCTTGTGTTCGCGCTTGTTCGCTAATGTGTAGGCCAAATCGCCAAGTGCGACATCATGACTGTCCACATATTCACGATATGCCTCAATCTGCGCAGCGAGTGACTCCTTGCTGAAAGCTGAAAATAGCAGAAGACTTTCTGACATATGGTGCTCAGTTATCTCACCACTAGCGTTTTGAACTTGTTTTCCGGAGACATTGTCAATGCTGGCCAGGTCTTCGTCATGAATCGCCCCATTTCTCGATTTCTGATCGTTGCATGGGTTGATGGCTGTGCTCTGAAACTGTCGAAACGACTCCAGGATAACCTGCGGTTGGGTCAGACAAATCGAAAAGTGTAAATTGTGTTTCCTGTGTCAGACGTACATGAGCGTTAACTCCCCCTATGCCGAATGAATTGACGCCGATTCGTTCTGCACGTCCCGTGGGCCAATCTTCGACGTCAGTTGGTACATGAAATTTGTACCTGTCGAAGGAAACTGGTAGAAGTGTGAGTATAATACATGTTGAGAGGATATCATGGCTTACTGTTGGGGTTTGCTTTGGTGAAATTTATGTTAGGCAAGACCTTGCGGCGTTCCAAAGTGAGGACGGATTTAATCAAACTTGTCAACCCAGCAGCAGCTTCAGAATGACCTAGATTTGGTTTCACCTAACAAGTAAAGGTTAGCCTAGGTGAATCAAAGCGATATCAACCAGAAATTTACCGATGTGATCACGATTCCCTGATCGCCGAAGCACCTTCCAATAGCTTCCGTCTCGATTGGGTCACCGACAGGAGTCCCGGTCCCGTGACATTCAATGATGGCTGTCTGTGATGGATCCTTGATCCCCGCGGCTTCATACGTACGACGTATCAGAGTAGCTTGCGCAGTAGGACTTGGAGTGAGTAGCCCATTGGTTCTGCCATCAGCATTGACGCCCGTTCCGCGTATAATAGCGCGAACAGTGTCATTATCTCGAAGAGCATGGCTTAGTTTCTTGACAAGTATCATGTTTATTGCTTCACCGCGTGCGTAACCATCGGCGCTGGCATCAAAACTCCTGCATTGTCCATTAGGTGAAAGGACACCTTGATCATTCAGTGCTAGGTACGTTGTGGGCGAGAAGATCAGATTGGCCCCGCCCACAAGAGCACTATCACATTGACCACTTTGGATCGCTCTGCAAGCAAGATCTAGACACACCAGTGATGATGAACACGCCGTCTTGACCGTCATGCTACATTCATTGTTAGATATGTCGACCTAGCAGAGCAGGGGGGTCATACCTCGGACCATGCAAATCAAATTCGTATGAGATCCTGTTCGCCACTGCAAAGTCCCCAAGACTAGTACAGCGATAGCCTCCTCTGTGTTGCGTCTCTCTAGCAAATAGGTCGGCCCAGTCTTCTCCGAATTGACCAATATAGCAACCCATGTTGCTACCGCGCCATGAGGTGGCACCTGAATTTTCGAGACATTCGAGAGCAACCTGCAATACCTGACGCTGTAACGGGTCGAGACGTTCTAGCTCCGTCCTCGGCATAGAGAAGACAGTAGTGTCAAATTGAGGTAATTCCACGTCGTCCAGATAGTAACCTTGTTTAACAGGGATTGTACCTGGGCTTCCGGAAGGATTGTAGAATCCATCTATGTTGAACCGATCCGTGGGCACGTCACACAACGCACTTTCTTTATTGACCAAGAAATTCCACAAATCTTCGCCGTTATGGATACGCCCCGGAAGCCTCATTGCCATGCCGACGATGGCAATGGGTTCGTACAGGCACCGCCCCTCATCCTCTCGATAGTGATTCTCTGTTGCGGGAGGACTGCCATCGCCAGTGGTCAAAATTGTCTCATGAGCATGTGTGTCTACATGCGGTGAATTTTCTGGTGACATGATGCTAGAATGGTGTATTCTAAGCCTTGGAGAGAATGTATTTCAATGGAGAGCAGTGAATCACACTGAATGATTTTCGAAGCGATGAAAAGACAACAGGGAAAGCGAGATAGTTCAAGAAACAATGAAGTGATTTTCAGGCACTCAGTGTATGGTCACCATGAAATTCTAACAGACGGAGACTTGACGTGACTTATCAATGGAAGAAAACTGATCCCCGCATCGTTGAATCTTAGTTAAGCCAACTTTTCTTCCCGTGTCTGGTAACAGATGCCGATGTGTCGACTCGAAGGCACTCACAGTTTAGTGTCCGGTTTACTAACATGGGTGGGCCATGGATCCATTCATCCGAAAAGTCGCCGATTTGTCGCCGATTTGTGGTTCGAGAACATAAGCAATGTACCTCGTACTGTACCGTCAGAGATATTAGTACTCTGGAAAGTCATTAGCTCGGCAGCATCCTCGGAATTGTCTCTTTACAAATGTGCTCGCGCTGCTCGTCAATTTCAACTGGGGCAATCATAGCCAGGTCAGTCGCTGCCTCTTTATATTGAGGTGCTTTTTCGTACAAATCAATGATCTGAACACACTCTCGTCAATGAAATTGAGGACGCACGTTTGGATCACCTATGTTCACACCACAATGAAAACCATATAACTGATCGAAGACGTAGGAATGATCTCACTATATGCCGCCCAAGCACGATGGGGAAAAGGGGTTGGGGTGGCTGTCAAAGGAAAATGACACAGTCGAAAGCAACTCTTTCGCAAATATTAGGACCAGAAAGACTGGGGCGGCTTTCTTACTATGTTGATTGGGGCCAGCCATTATAGGAGGCCCAGGTTCGGTTGCACGTGAGGACACTGGCCCTGCACAAAATCTGCGAGCTTGTACGTGACCCATGTGTCCAGAAGTCGTACATGCCTTGCATAATGTCTGAACCGGTCGACTCAGGCAAAAGCCGGTAGTTGGGAGTAACAATTCGTAAGGCAATCACTAAATCTCAGTCCAGATTACTGTACCCGACTGCACCCAAACAACACTAATAATAATAGAAGGGCGCCAAGAATACTGTACCACAGTATTACTCGAAGAAGGTTATCCAAGCACGATAACATCTATTAAGGACTCCAGAACCTATTTCAAACGACGTTATATAATGACCATTCATCTGCAAATTGCAGCGTTCGAAAAGACAGAATACCATTCAACGAAATGTTGTCATCCCCACATGCCAATAGACGCCCTTATGTAGAAGATGCTAAACTGCTTCGGCGAGTCGCACGAGCTTTTTCATCGATGCTTCTAACCGCAGCCAGCTCTGCTTGATTGCTTCCATATCCATGGACTGATAGTGTATTTGCTTCTCCAGGGAGAATTCATCGATCCGCGTGCCTAACCCCTTTACGACAGTCTCGATGTTGTCAAGAATTCGGGCTGTCAGAAAGGTAATTACCAGACAACCGTATGAGTCGGGCAACGTCCATTTCCCGATATTAACGACAGGAGGGTGACGTTTCTCTGGGATGTGGACGCTCTCGAATGAGATCCAATTCAAGACGGTTTCTAGAACGATCATGCTTAATAAGAGAACTTTGCTGTTCAGCCGACAAAAATGACATGCTAGTGCGTTTTGAATGCATGCTGATACCTGCATTGCTTTATCAAAAGTCGCATCTACGCAGTGCATACTTTGCTGGCGTTCCATATGGTCGAGTTGACAGATGTGGTCAGTCAGCTTGCTTAAGCAGCAATCACTCGGTGAGATCTGAGCCTGCTCAGTGATACGCGGCAAACAAGACACTCCAGCGTCATTGCTCAAAGAGGGCGCCATATAGAATCCAAGGTCGAATTCGCTTAGGTATTGCCACTCTGAACTTGTCCAATCGACGTCCATGGATCCTAGGAGTTCATCCCTAGCATTGATTGTAGATAGTGGTGGTGAGTGTATGGGAAAATTTTCTAGAGCATTCAGTGTGTTAGTGAGCAAAGACGGTAAATATAGCTGAATCGTTGCGGATCTCACCACTTGGATCCCACAATTCTCTCCCCTTTATTCCCAACTTCTCCTATATCAGCTCATATCAGTGGTAATGATTTAATTGAAGATGTGACTCGGCTTACGCGCACGTTGTCTTCGCTAATGGGCCCAGTGCATTGCGGGTTGAGGCTAACCAGATGATCTTTTTGGCTCGGTGGGATTGATGGAGTTGAGCTGCCACGAAACATTCCGCTCTGGGGTGAGCCTCTGCTGGCAGAAGCTGCAAGTGCGTGAAGTGTTTTGTGATTGCGGCGACCTCTTGGTTTGCCCATCGTGGCCATATAACTATATTGGCATTCCAGATTCCTGGTGTTATATTAGAAGCAATTTCGCCAATATCATTGTCTGAGTTACGGGCCACATACAGCTCACGGCATTTGGCACACCGATCGCCACCAGAGCACCGAATTTTACTCTTGTGGCAATGATCACAGGCCAAACGTAAACGTTTTGCCATTATAAAGGAACTATTGGAACAATAATTCACTCAATTAAGATTCTCTAAACCTGAAGAACTTGACTGGGCGCAGCCAGGGAATAAAAATGTCATAGTTTAAATTTTCCTAATGTCATTGCTTACTAGGGGGTGGAGAAGAGCTCCGCAGCACTGACTAATTGCTCAAGTAGAGGGACATAATGCGATGAGCGATTACGAAGCAGCCCCCGATATATCTCTACGTATTAATATTTTGATTGTATATGTGCACCCAGTACATTCAACGTAGGAACGTCTAGCCTAAGGATAGTAGGGAAAGTTAGACAATTGTAAATTGTGAAAATTGCGACTAAAGAGCAGGTGTTGGTTCGTGCTATCATTGATGTCAGTAAGAGTGAGCATATATGGTGTATCCCTGACAGATTCTTAAACATTCATTAACAATGCCGTTTGCGCCAAGGCAAGATAGCTGGGACTTCGGTAGCAATAACGGTAAGTCAGTCAAGTTTTGCTTCCCATATGGAAACATTGGACGGTGTTATAGCAGACTCGACACTGTACCGGGTTGTGCTGTAAATAGACTTTACTAGCATCGCCTGAAAATAATGATCATAGTATGAGGCAGATTGCTGGGATGGCTCGATACAAGAGTCTGCATCCGCATTTGACAACTGCCGGAATCAAAATAGGACTAGAGAATTTTGTGAGTGGGAACTACATAAACAACTCATGCATCTGGCTTGTCTCCATAATATAATGTTGTGTTGTCCAGTTTTGGCTATCATCGTGACAGCTTCGCTCGCAGCCGCAGTCCTGTTCCCAGACGTCTTAGCGAGCCCGCCAAAAGCTGTATTCGCCGGCATTGCTGCTTCTGTCGATGGATGGTCCATCACGATCCCAGCAGTCTGGGGGTTGTGTACACTCAAAACCCTTCTGACAATTCTATTATTCTCATGATATCGCTTTACAATGGTTAGTCGCTTGCAGGTAAAAGTGTATTGGGAATCAATGATATTTGCTCCTGTACATGATGCATAAAAATAATCGGTAGAGTTAGCCGGACTTCTCAGGCATCAGCATGAACGAAAAATACTAGTATCTATGTACATAGCATGATGAACTGTATTGAGATCCCTCTTTCTCGGCCGTGAACGCGATTACTGAGACAGCCAATTGGAGCCCTAGCATTCTGAACGGGCCAGGCCCCCGGCTTCTCCAGCATATCGTGATTTCCGTGACTCAGGATTCGAAGGGCCCACCACGTGTGCAATATTTAGTCAATATCGGTTCTAGCTGCGACGCGATTTTGCCAGCACTTAGATGGACGGGGACAGTTCTTACCCAGTCCTTGATCATTTGCTGATCATTCATTACGGATACGACACGCAAGATTCGCGCCACGCTCATGTTATTGAATCAAGTATTGTGATGCACGAATCTAGCACTGTGCCAAGTCGGGACGGCAACTTATGTTAGTTGCAGCTTACGCCACCAACGAATTCAGGTGGATAGCCGATTAAACCTCTAAATAAGGTTTTGCCAAGAGCTTGGCGGGAGATTGAAAAAGTTGATTCCTCCATCGTGTTTCCGACCCCGACCCCTGCGACTTAATGACTATCATGAAGACCGTGATAGCGGATCCGCACGAGTCAGAAGAGGAGTCTGTCTTTGAGATTTCCGAGGAGGAACTCGACGTCAGAGGAAGATTCCGACGATGCCTCGGCTGATGCTTCGGAAGAAGAGGCCTCGGACGACGAGGAAGGTGAAGACTGGGATGAGCTGGAGAAGAAGGCCAAACGCAAGGATCGGGAGAGCGGGCTGGAGGATGAGCACCGCAAGCAGAAGAAGAGACGAAAGTAGACAACACGTGAGGATTGAGCATTGCATTGGCGATGGTCTCTAGAGTCGGCTCACGCATAGCCTCTATGGAGTATACTGGCTCACAGACTGTGTCTCTTCTCGTGGGATGTGTTCATGGCGACGCGAATGTCTTGCAGACGAGCGTGCTTCTTTAAGCTTTGTGTGTTTCTCCGGTTTGTAAATTATATTTGCTTTGAGGGGAAAATGAGTAGTCCCGCTCCAGGAGGCATTGGCATATCCTGATGGCGCGAGCAGCAGCTGAACGATATGTGCCGGGTCGGAATCGAGTTTGTTCTTAGGGTAAATAGTTCTTTATGAAAAGACGAAATGGCGCTATGGTTGACGTTCAAAACGACTGGTTACAAATTTGAGAAGTACATGCGTGGCTATGTCTTCAATTCAAGTCATGTACTTTGGGCAGTGAACAAAACCGCAGCAAGATGGGGCATTCATTATGTGAGATTCGAGTAGTTTTTTTTTGTTTTTTTGTTGAATAATTGGAATTGAATCTGGTATACAGGTGGTATCAAGAGGTATGAGTTATCAATAAAATAACTAGAAAACCAAACACCGCGCTTCTTCATCACGTCTTCTGTTAAATCGACATTCTTATCTTCGCCTCCACAAATCATGCGCTTGTCGTCTCTCATGTACGTTGTAGGGGTATTGTGTAGTAGTGTTGTGGTTATCAAATTTGACCCAGTTTCCTTGTTTTTTTTCTCCCCCATGCTGGACGATCGATCCTTTGCGGGAACCATCCTAGATTAGTGTCCAAGGACCGACTTGAGGTTCTGGAAAATTTAGAGCCACCGTCTGCGGACGGGACGGCCGGAGCTGTCATAGCGCTCAACCTTGGCGGTGCCGGTCGATCTCTTCTTGTGCAGGCGGGCGCTGCAGCAGGTGAAGAAAACGATGACGGTGGCGAGAAGGTTGCAAATGGCGGCAACGAGAAGAGTCCACACTATAAGATGGTAAGTAGTAACAAAATTGTTTTTCTTCAAGGTATATAAGTAGAAAAGGGCAAAAAAAATATACTGCAAGCACAAACTCGGAGCTGGCACCGGTATCAGAGCGGTTGACAGCATTCTTGAGAATGGCAAAGCCGACGAAATCGGTAATGAGGACGACGAGGGTGACAATAAAGGTCAAGAGAGAAACGAGGGCGGCCAAAAAGCTGCCGACGACGCCGGTGCCGAGGGCGAGCAGGAACGAGAGGAATGAGAGACCCGCGGCGACGGGGTGCAGGACCATGACGCGGGTCAGGGCGTTGGCCGTGTCGCCGGCGAAATCGGACGTGTCAAAGATGCAGTTGGAGTTGTTGGAGAGGACACCGGCAGCGTCGTAGCCGACGTGCGAGTGCGAGCAGTCGTCGTCGCCGGATTGAATGACGCACCAGCCAAAAGTGCCGAAAGAAATATCCGGGCTGAACTCATTGTTGTTCTTCTGGAGGTTCACCTTGAGCACCGAGAAGGTTGTGCACGATGGGGGCGCTGATGCAGGTGATGATGAGAAGGATGGTGGCGCAGAAGAGCAAGAAGCTGCCAATGTCATGGAAGAAGCCTGTTTGACGCATCTTGGGCGGTTATTATGGTAGTATACCGACTACGAATTTAGCTGTTGTTGAGTTGGATAAGTATAACTCAGGATTGACTCCTCGTGAAAAGAGGTTTTGGCTTGCAACGTCAAGTAGCGAGCGCACAAATGAGGCCGTACAGAATTACAAGTGGGCACAGGATGAGAGGTTTCAACAATCAAGGTTAGGGAGGGAGCAACTGCAACATATATTAGAAAATCGCCGTCTCAGACAGGCGATCATAGAACCATTACACGCAATCCAAGACTTCTTGGCTAGGACCCTGTCATCAGGGTACTGCAGTATACTGGCAGCAGCAGGGCTGGCACAGCGAACAGAAATTGGGATCAAAAAAGAAAAAGGGACTGTTCGTCACATTGCCACAGTCCCGGCCTGTGGCTGGACCCCCTGTACACGCAATGCAGTCTTGATCATACGACGTCATTCCGTTCAGTGTCGGCAGCCAATATCCTCGATTCGGATTAAAACCAAGGGTAAATCGGCACGTCCAGTCACGGCCAGTCACTGCAAGCCAGCAGCCAGTCTATTGCAGAGCCAGCACAATTGAATCAGCTCCTGTCCACTGGGGAGGCCTTTGTTTGCCATCGTCGTCGTAGTCGTCGCCTACTGCGCCAGTGAGGACTACACCTGCTTCAGGCATAACCTGGGCGAGATGCAGCAGCCGGCGCGTATTAGGTAAACTGGCAAAGGTTGGCTTTGGCTGGCGGTTGGTGATGAAATGACGTACGAGGACAGCTAGAAAGGGCACCCGAGGGCTACCTCTAAGTCCCAAATCGGCCCCTGCATGGGCTGGACTGCTCACTAAAATCAAGGTGCGGGATTGGGACCACATGTCCACCCGCACTAAATTACAGGCGCGAAGATCTGAGCTGCTGGTCGTTCCTTGATTTTGGAGCTAAAAAGTGACGTGTCATAGCATGCTAAACCCACCGCCACACAGCACCTCGCTGAGCTATAACGTTTCTATCAGCGTCGTCCGAAGCCCTCTTGCCTTGACACGGCCTGCACGGTCATATAAGACTATGTGCGCATCCCGTCATATTGCACGGAGCATTGTGGCTCACCGGTGCCGCATCGCCGAATATCCTCTCTCCGGCTCCGTCGGCTTTTCGAGGAAGCCGCCGTATTCATGAACGGGTATTGAACCCTCGCTCTTCGTTGCGAAGCCCACACAGGCCCAGACCCCCATGCTGATGCTGGCTCAGCTCAATTGTATCCGCACCAATGCTGAAAGCGCGCTACTCCAGGTTTTGCACCGTCTTCTTATCTCCCTATCTCTTCTCCCAAAGGACACCGGATCCAGATTAGAACTTTCTGATGATTAGACTACGGTATGGCCGTAGTATAGCCACATATATGTGATCTCGAAAAAACTAGTCAAGTTGTACTATTCGGCAAAGCGTTGACCTGGCTCGATTGCACGTGCTGACTGGGCGCGTTATAGTCGCATCAGAGCATCATCGTCGTTATTAGCCATCATTGTCGTGACTCCGACTCCTGATCCGCCCCAGCGTCTTACGATTAACAGTACAGACATAGCCGACCCAAAAATTCCACAACGTCAATTATACGGAACGGGATCCAACCACCCACCCCTTTTTGCACCCGAAAATCACATGTTGTACGTTATCTAAACAGTGGATCTTGCAGAACGAAACGCTATCAAGCGCAATCATGAGAACACGTCGGGATCAGCGTTATTTCCCCCCTTATCGTGAGGGCATCGTGGCATCGGGTGGCTACGGAGTTATGCTCGGCAACCGTTTGGAATCGAGTGGTTACCTCTTTTCTCCCAAACAAAACAAAATGCCTCAGAAAACATATACTCAACCGTAAGCCACTGCACTTATTTCCGGCTCTTTCGGGCCGCTAGTAGGTAAGCGAATTAGACGTCCCCCGTAGTACTACTTATTCTGGTTTTGCGCTGCGTCAATACAGTTTATTGCCCCAAAGCAATATCATTCTTCAATGATACACTTCCAGGGTAAATTGCCTGAGTGCAACCATTGGGCAATTCGAGGCTCCTGTTTCTGAATCCTGCATGAGGATTATTTGTTGCCAGTGGCAATTGTGCTGGCGCTGTTCTGGGCCCCATTCTCTCTGCAAATCAATAATTTACCCCCTGCATAATCCTCGGGTTGCCCAAAAGAGAATATTTCTCTTTCTGATGAACCTCGGAAGTGTTGGATTCCAGTTTCGAGGAGCCAACCCCGAACGACTTGGACGGTCCACCGGAGTGTCTGCCGGATGTCCTCGGGACGCCATATGGGGCCGATTCGTTCCGAGCGTCTTGTGTCACTGCCGAAGACTGGAAGAGTATTGGCTGCCATCACTTCCAGGCACATCTGATGCTTCTTCGCCGTTGCTTATCTGCGGGAGTCATTCCGCCGATATTTGCTACGGAATACCATGGGAGCTCGTTGGTCCCATGGGTATCAAGTTGAATATTGTTGCTAATATTGGCTTCTATGCAAGAGCCCTCCTAAAATCGGGCAGCACCTCTCCTCGCATACATTCATGTATCATCTCGGCTGATATTTCTGACCACCACCAGAAGCGAGGCGCTTGAACTTCGCACTTGATAGTTGGATCAGCGTCATGTGACAGCAATAGGTCATATATCTCCCTCCCCCGAGATCCCCGTAGGGCCGCTGCACGAAGTGCCGTGCCGTATAAGGGCAATATATTATCGACTCGAGCGTTGCTTTCAATGAGCAACTTTACAGCTTGGACACTTGAATAATGCGCCGCATAACGTAACCCACCCATAAGCGGGCCACACCCCTTAGCGGGCGACCCATTTCGGCTCTGTCGAATTGGCTCAACTTAACAACAACATCATCAATTTCTACGTCGATTATTATCGCTAGGTCTTTATTCTTTCGTCAAATGGATCAGGAAGACCAGATCAAGAAAGCCATCAAGTCTATTCGTTCTGGGGAAGTCCCTAGTATACGTAAAGCAGCCGAGCTCTTTGGGGTCCCCAGAACAACCCTCCAAGCCCGAATTCAAGGCCGCCAGAGCCGGACCACCGCCCACCAACACCGACAGCGATTATTACCTGCCGAAGAAGCTACGATCGAACGAGCCTTGCTTCAGTTAGCTGCGTGGGGATGGCCCTTGACTATCAAAGCAGTGGAAGGGCTAGCAGTGAACCTGCTGGAAGCGAAAGGAGATATAGACCCCTTAGGGGTCAACTGGTACACTAGCTTTCTAGACCGCCACCCTAAGCTGAAGACCGAAAGGGTTCGTAGTCTAGATCAAGCTCGAAAGGATGGTATCACGTACGATATCCTCACCGAATGGTTCGACCTCTACCGATGAGTTAAAGAACAATACGCGATCACGGACGATGATACCTACAATATGGACGAGAATGTTACGAACCGTTGGCCCTGAACCAACATTACAGGCCCGTCGGCAGGCCAGGTGGATACAGACACTAGGATCACGGGACCCCGCATCGGAGGAAGGAAAGGACCGACAGGTCACGTGACCTACAGGGGTGGATATGTTGGACAACCAACATATCCAAGTGGGGATCAGTGAAGGAGAGACGGGTATATAAGGGACAGGCCTCCCAGGCATTTCATAGATAGACAGTCTCTACTTCAGTGATCAATCTAAGCATCAATCTAACCCATTGGTGAGGCAAACTGCCTTGACGACTCTATTCCCAGTTACCCTACTTGAATACTTCAGTTACCCAGAGCCCTATACTCCATACGTCAAACCCCGATATTATTGCTTGAGGACTCCGCAGCAGGACTTACTTACTAGCACAAACCCTTACAAACTCTTTAGTGGCTTACGCAGCTAGACTATTAGAGGTTTCGTTACAGAGAAGGGGATTAGCAAAGGGATCGGTGATAGCCCTAAAGTTATTATCTCTCGAGAGGACGATCAGGCCTTTGCTAACCAGCCTGGTAATCGTGAATGGGTCTCTATCATCGAATGTATAGGAATCAACGGCTACTCCCTACCGCCTTTTATCATATTCGAGGGCAAGAGGATTCTGCCGTCTTGGATAGACGAGAGGATCAATCCAAGGACTGTTATTCAGGTCAGCCCAAATGGCTGGACCGATCGACAGATTGCCTTGACCTGGCTACGCCATTTTGATACGTATACACGTCAACAGTGTCGTGGTCAATACCGCCTTCTTATTCTAGATGGTCACACAAGCCACGTATCCCTTGAATTAGTCGAATACTGCGAAGCAAATCAAATGATTCCTCTCTGCCTGCCCCCCCATTCGACCCACGAGCTTCAACCCCTTGACAAGGGTATCTTCGACCCTCTGGCAAAGGCGTACAAGTCCCTGATCACTGAACGGTCTATATTCGGTGCCCTACGAGTCGACAACCAGCAGTTCTTATTATTATATCAACAAGCTAGATCTACTATCTACCGCAATATCCCGGGCGCTTGGAGAGGTACTGGCTTATCCCCACTAGATCCGTCGAAGATCCTCGCCAAGTACCGGCCAAAGACCCCTCCATTTGCGAGCCTTACCGACGAGAATGGTGTACGCGTTGATGTTCAAGTTGATAGGGATACGGCTCAGCAGATCAATGAGATTGTAGCTAAGCTTGTCACTGTTTGTGATAGCCCCTTACAGCGTAAGGTTTCTTTTATTAAAGAGACTTGCCTAACAGCTCTAGCAGATAATCTAGCCTTACAGAAGATTAACGAGGGCCTCGTTAAGAAACAACAGGAGAGTAGAAATAGAAGGACGAAGAAGGCCTGTGGTACTGCACGTGTATTAACTGTTAAAGAGATTCGAGATCAACAGCGCCGGAGAGAGGAGCGAGAGGCTCAGGTAATGAGTGAAAAGGAGCGTAGATAAGCCCTTAGGGGCGTTGTTACCTTTGCTAAACGCATTTGAAAGGAATTACCGCTCGATTCTGATGAATTTAGTTGAAAATAGCGTTGTGAATAGCTTCAACTCTGCTTGTTATGCTGTTATTGAAATGGTGGCCCGCTAAGGGGTGTGGCCCGCTTATGGGTGGGTTACGTTATTGTAAAGGTGGCTCTTGCCGTTGCCCCAACGTTTGGGTCAGCTCCACGGTCGAGAAGAAGCTTGAGTGTCTCGCAGTTCTTGGGCGCCTGCGCTGCGTAATGCAGCGGTGTTTCGTCATCGGCATCCATTGAATGGACCTTTGCGCCATGCTGCGATAGTAGTCTGGTCATATCCATATTTTCGTCACCACGCCGGACGGCATGCATGAAAGGGGTTGCCTCGTTGCAATCGTACACATTCACATCGCAACCACGCTGCAGCAATATTCGTGCAATTTCCAACGGATATGTACCGTTATACACCCCACGATGTTTCGGGAAGAACTTCGTGCTGGTGCCATCTTCACACAGTCTTTTGACTAGCCTGATTGATTAACGGCGATTATGCCTCCTACGAGAAAGCAGTAAACGAGCACCTCAATCAGCTCACCAAGCTGACTTCCGATTCTTCAAAAGCATTAAAAACGCATAGAGCTGAGCTTTTGAATCTGCTGGATCCTTCAATACATTCTCTATCCTACCTGGCAATTCTCCACGATTTGTTCCTTCCTAGTCTACAGGGCGACAGGGCGTTGCTATCCTCAAAGCTGGTGACCTTTCTGCTCTCGTTTGACCCGATTCAGATTAGATATGCCGCCGGACATATGTCGCAACTTCTTGCCCTTGTTGCTGCCGGGAAAACCTTGTCGGTGAGGTTTTCCATGAGTGATGTTGTTCTGGGGATGGTATGATGTGAGGTCCACAGTCCACGAAAGAGAAAATAAAAGTGGGGTGAGAGGAGGGGAGAAGTGGCCCAAGCAAGGGTCTATTTAACTTCTTATGCTTTGATGCATCCGAGCATGTAAATGAGCATATCCATGCAGTCACCAAGTGGGCAACTGTAGAGCATATAGAGCAAAGAAGTAACTAGTGCTGCTAGCTGTGAGTGGATTCGTGAGCCGTTCAGTCCAACTGACTGGTGAAGCAAAGTGCTACTGAAATACCAAAGCTCGGAAAGCTAATTCGATTAGACCTTTTTGTCAACTAATCATGCCGATCTTCAACTTACTTCGGTCTGAAGGAGACACGCTAGATGCTTCCAATCGATAGGTACTTGCTGAGTCATGTACGATTTCATCAGCGCCAGTAAGTCTTTGCCAGCCGACTTGTGGAAGTGAAGAAGATCCGATAATAGTAATTGCTCTGAGGAGCGATGTATCTCTTGTCGATAGCAATGCGATTCATTTGGCTCCCAGTTTTGTATTTCAACCCGAATCTTGCCAAGTAATTCAGGCAACTGATGCGTCCTGCTGCTTTGCTGATTGACCAAGCAGGCCGGCAGTTCGAACTTCGCCGTGTAGTAGCAGCAGATAGCGGCGTCAAAACTTTCGAATCCAGAATCCTTCGCTACCTGTATTATGCGCTCTATCTTGGCTTCGAGTGTCGACGCTGGTGGAGTTCGTGTAGAAGCATCTACAGAAGAAGTTGTGTTACTGTTAAAATACGACCATGATGAAGTGCTCGCACTGCGCGCGCTTTGAGATGAAGGTGTCGTAGCCATGGTGTCAATTGATTTATGGGCGGAGTAAATTCTGTCTGAATCATCTGCAACCCAATCAGCAGGTAAGCATTTACGATGATAAAAGTTTGCATTCTTCTCGTTCATTGCGCTACCATTTGCAAGTGCCAGCGCAGACGGAACGCGATTTCTTTTCTTTCCTTCCTGGATTCCGATTTCGGGTGGGTCAATGCTACTCACTCATATGACTGCTAGGAGTTTCAGATCCCAAAGCTGGAGCTGCACAATTCGAAGCTCGCTTTACTTCATCATTCGTCACTATGCCGTTAGAGCCACTAGAATATGCTGAGCGGGCCTCAAGGACATCCGGAACTGGGAATGTACATTGCGGATCAAAATTCTTGTTTTCGATGGGGTCAACATCGTCCTGCCTGAAGCGGATCTCGCATCCATACCTCGTACTCGTTAGAAGCACCTAGACCACCTGAACTTCCGTGCTCATTCATGTTGGGGGTGAGTGCTAATGAGTTGATATTCATATTGGTTTCGGTGTGTCCGCTTAATAGAGTAAGCATGCTCGCCTGTGTCGCCACTTGTTCCTCCAGCTCACGAATTCTTTGTTTGACGTTTCGACCTGTCACAGTTAAATGAGCAACTGTGGTCTGATATCCAGCGTAGAGTATCTTACGATAATTCCGTTGCGCAAGTCTATTCTGAGCTCTTTTCTTTTCGATGCCGTCCATGGTCCTTCCATTATCTTCGGATATGGCGCGTTCAGAGTTGAATTCAGAGGACATAGCGTAGGATCAAAAGGGCACAGTCAACAGTTGTCGATTTCCGCATGCGTACTGACAAAAAGTTTCGGAAAGTAAAAATGCCGAACCAGAATATATATGTGCTGGGGAACCCGCTATTCACGCACGTCGGAACCTTAATCAAGTAGCGTGCTTTCCTCCGGATTCCATCAACGTAACTTCATGGAAATGTCCGACGCTGTCGGTAATCGCAAATGAATAATTTAAGTCCAGTCGTATACGGTACAATCTCTCAAATGCACCAAAAAAAGTCTGAGAGCCAGATTAAGTCACAGTCTCAGGGTCAGTTTCTGGCAACATCAGCAACATCTGTCATGCCACAATGCTCCGACTGCCATACTTCCTGGAGGCTTACAACAACTGGCCAAGAAAGATATATGGGAAAATTGATGTCTCTGACCTGTGGCGCTGTCCTCTACTCTTCCCCCCTTTCCCCTAAACACACATTAAGCTACTTTGGTATGACAGGTAAAAAAGGGCAGTGGGCTAGGTACCGAATTCAGAGCAGGGGGTTTTCCGGTCGGCTGATCTGCGCGTAGCTTTGTATTTTTCCAGACATATTCCCCGACTCACTGCGTTAGTTCGGCCTGATTCCATAGTGCCTACGCTAAATACTGTGAGGGGAGTCTATACATATTGATAGGCTCCTGCACACTACTATTATCTATAGATCAATTCGTGAGATCTCTGATCATGAGAAGACATCCCTCTTGGCAGTTGCGTGGAGTAACTTGGCCAAGGCTCAGCGTAGTGAGCAGGGACGTCATGACAGTCAAGAGTTTGTGATTAGTGTTTGGTGGTAACGGGCTCAGTTTGTATCCAGGGCTATGCAACCGGACCTGGAAATATCTGCATCTTAGTACTGACTTGAAGAGTCGGGTGGCGTGGGAGTCCGTTCTTTCTCCGGAACAAATGCATAATTGGTGGAGGACTAAGGTCCTGATCGGCAGCGTGTCCAGCGGACCTTGTAGGGTCGACTCGGCACATCGTTTTTTTACTTATCGACAGCTAATATGCCACTTAACCTATTTTGGCACTGATTTTGGCCACAACTGCATCCACTGTGTCCAGACAAGAAACTTGGCATGTACCGCGCTAGACAGGGGCTCCTCCGGGGTATGAAATAGGTAAGGCGCCCTAATTCTGCCAAATCTGTGCCCAAACGCAGTGTGCCCAAATAACAGTCCAAGCGGTCGGATTCTGCAGTATTTTGACTGCTGGGCACCAACTCGCTGAGTCAGCAAGCGCTAAGATGGCGAGCGAAGTTACTGATATCCGACGGACTGCCTTTATTATAGCAGTCAACTCTGCGTTACAAGTGCTACGCGATAGCTACAGTCTCGATCGGGAAGGGGACCATAGGTTCCTAGGCGCCGAGGATCGTGAAGTAGTCCACGAGGGGGGTTCGTGGCGGCGAGGCGGCTAGCGAATCGACTACTTGAAGGCTCGCCAACGCGCTTCTTTCAGCTATTTCGGATGAATAAGGACACTTTCTGGAAGCTATTAGAATGGCTTGAAACGTACACAGCGTTCAAGGGGACCTACTATCAATCGGCGGCGCAGAAGTTGATGATCTTCCTCTGGATCTTGGCATATAACGAGTCACAGCGGAACGTAGCCCATCGATTCCACTGCGCGCAAAGCACTGTATCAGATGTATTCCATTCGTTATTACCTCGGATGATTCGCCTCTGTAAAGCGGTGGTGAAGTTGCCAAGCAGCAGTTATCTGAGCCGTGAGATCGAATTCAGCCCGAAGTTGAACGCCTTCAGTGGATGTATTGGAGCAGTCGATGGGACTCTGATCCACGCCTTTATCCCAGTCAATCGACAGACGCTGGAGTAGCCGCAAGGGCTGGGTTTCTCAGAATGTATTCGCAGCAGTCCGGCCCGATGGCACCTTCTCGTACGTGCTGGCAGGAGGGGAGGGATCGATCCACGATTCGAGTCTCGCTTCTAGGGCCTTCGCGGGCTCCTTTACGATACCAGAGGATCGATCCTACCTAGGCGACGGCGGATTTGGTCAGCGACGAAGGCTTCTAATCCCATACTTCGATACACGTTACCATCTTCAAGACTGGCGCTATGGGGGGCGGAAGCCAGAAACAGCGAAAGAGCTCTACAATCTACGCCATTCGGGGGTCTGCGTAATCGTTGAGCAGGTGTTTGGTGTACTGAAGAGGAAGTGGAAGATAATTCGTGCTTCAGCACCCGAATATGGGCTCAGAACGCAGATTCGAATCGTATACGCCGTTTGCGTGCTCCATAACTTCATCCGACGCGGCGGGAAGGTTGAAGAGGATGATAATGATGGCTTGAGCGATAGACAGTTGCAATTCCTTGAGCAACGGCGAGGTTGGCTACGGCAGAAGAGATGGAGGAAGACGTCCTATAAGGTCCGCCATAGAATCGCAGTAAAGATGTGGAAGGATTACTACGCTTATTTAAGGGCCAGTACGACGGATAATGACGAAGAAATCGAAAATCAATAGAACTATTCAATCAAATCGTTCCTACTAGCCCTAGCCCTACCCCTGTTGACGCCTAACTTTATCAATAGACCAAACGTACTGCGTATCTTGATTCAATAACTCTACGAGCTTCTGCCAAGCCGGTTTACGCGCGCTAGGCCTGTCTATATTCAGCATCCCAGCCCGGAACACTTCAAGCACCTTCTGTAAGATCACTGATGCGAGTGCATATGGGGTGTGAATTGTTGTATTGGGAAAGGATGCCAGGTCAGCTATTCTGGCCTGGCAGAGCTCTTTTATAGCTCTTATCTATCTTATCGATACCTATAGGGTAACCCCCATGGGGTCACGTATCAATCACCCTCAACGATGGTGTCATTCGAATAGTAGTCTTTATCGCCTGATGCCGAGCCTCCCGCGTTGTTGGCTTCCTCTTCCTCTGCCCCGCTGGCAGAGGCGTTTGGGGGTGGAGGACCGCGAAGCGGCTCGATCGGTTGGGGTACGAGGAGAGAGAATATCGTCGATATTAGGGAAGTTGGGAATAGCGTCATCATCGCCCTCTACAACAGTGGACTGCGTAAAGCCACTATCAGGGGGGACGAACTGGGCGTCCTCTCCACTAGGACCAGCTACAACGGCGCTGTTAGCGAAGGGGCCTTGGAATTCGTCTTCAAGCCACTGTGATGAAGCCATAATTGATGAAGTTATCGTCAAAGGTATTTTTCTACACAGTTTTCTAAACACTGATGTTAAGTGGCAAGTTTCATTGACACCGCCTGCTTAATTCAGTAGGGTTCCACTGCTAATTTTGATTTAGGTACGTCCTGGACCCTTTACTAGCTACATCTAACGCTAGTAGGGATTAGGAAGTCACTTTGTGCTGAGCGAAAGTGTGCCCAAACGAGCTGCCGATCAGGACCTAACTGTCTCTCTCTTTGTGTGTGGGTATGCTGTGTATCAGTTTGCGCGGTGATGGGTCCGCCTTTGTCGGTCAAAATGGCGAACGCACCGAGTTTGCGTGACTGGTGGCACTTCGCACACCGATATGACACTAGCAAGACTAAGCTTGTGGGTATAAGATCGCATTTTTCAGGTTGAATCTCCGATGCCGGCCATTTTATCCGGCTAAAATAAAGGGGTATTGTGGACTCGAAATTTCATAGCCGGAAGCCGGACCGGGTGCCCCATATATTCTCGGGTATTTGGTCCTGTAGACGTTCGGGTAGGAAGCGAGGTTCAATTCTCTACATACAGCTTGTCTGAACAATCTCAGCTATATACACAAGTAGAGTTTACCCCACCTTCGGTCCTGTTTTAACCATCTGTCAGACACCTGTAAACCCCTAAGCGAGTGCAGTACCAGATATCAAATATTGCTGACAGGTCCACATATTTTCCGCGCCGTGGAATCGTCAGCTACTGTATGCAGTTTATAACAGAGGACTAGTGGCACACAGTCCACTGGCGGAGCCCTAGTTACTCCGTAACAATGTACACTAGTTAGATAGGTAACATTCTACCATTACACCTGACGGAGGTGAACTTAGCTCAATCAACATCACAATCCTCCATGAGGTTATGAGCCCTCTGCTTTCGCAACGCAGACTGCAGCATCATCATCTTTTGCAGCATCTGCATCTTTTGCAGCATCATCGTTCAAATTCGACGATAATCCATTCTATTTGACACCAAACTACAGTGCAGCAGAAACCTGCCTGCTGTTGCAAACCTTCATTGCAACATCTGGTGAATCGCGCGTGAAACACACGTGAATCGCACCGCAACTTCCGTTGAAAGCCATTGGCACAATTGACGAAACCATCATTCATGGTGGCGCATCGAATCCCACCATCAACATTGTATAATCTCTTCGGCATCACTGACGATCAACAGCAAGCCGAATCATCATCATCATCATCATCATCATCATCATCGCGAAATTTCGTATCTCCGTACAAGATGGAGGGTTTCGCACCCAGAATCTCGATTAAACCCTTGACGGGCCAAATCACCCACGAAGCATGGACGCAATCCATCCTCGATGTCTCCAAGATCATGAAATCAACACAAGTCTTGGAAATGAGCAACAGACCACCCGATTCCCAGAAGAATGAGCAGGAAGAATGGGATCAAAAGGAAGTGACCCTTCGCTACATGCTGGAGCAGTCGATAGAGGAAAATATCATGAATGACATGATAAACCTTGGCTATACAAACGAATCAGTCCAAGACTGCTTGACAAAAGCAGAACAGGCTGTTTGGTAGAATCAATTCGGCAACAACTACAATCAACAGGGGAGATTTCTGACCATTTGTCTTGATATATCTGAATTCAAGGATACAAGAGCATGGGTCAAAGAGCTTCTCTTCCTCAAGACAAAGATGGAGAAGGAACACGACATGAAGTTCTCCGAAAGCTTCATGATTGGAATCATTCATCAAGTAATGACGAAACAAGACAAGCACCTTGGCGATCGTCTCAAGGATTTGATCGCAGCTACCAAGATGGATTTCGAGAAAGTCCTTGCTTTTCTTCACGAAAACACAACAACAGTCGGCAAATCTCTGTCAAATGTTCATTCTGGCAGAGATAATGGCAGAAACAACAGCAACAACAACGGAAGAGTAAGTTGAGATGAATATATGAAACCTGACAAGAAGAAGGAAGACCGAAAATGAGTCATATTGCAGAATTTGCAACCGCGATCATTCTGAGAATGAAGAAGGCAAGAAAGGTGAAAAGATCTGCAAACATATGACACAACCAGAGGGATGGAAGACAAATCAAGCAACGAGAACACGCATGGAGGTCCTTCTCGGTAAAGAGGCTGTGGCCAAGATATTGGATAAGAAGAACAACTCTCCATCCGCGACTTCCCTTCATTTCGGCACTTCACATCTCGCGATTGCTATTGATGACGACAATTGCTTCGGCAGCAGCTGGGATTCTGAATTCATTAACACAACCTTGGATTCAGCAATTGACGATGACGAACACGTTGATCAAACAGAAGAAAACGAACCACTGGCGATCTCGAGCGAAAGAGGTGATAAGTGGCAAGATTATGACGAAGTTTTGCAACATGCTGCTGATCAACAGGAATCATATGCCCTGGCGAACACGTTGAATGTACAAGCTGATGACTTCGTCTTTGATAGTGGTTCGTCAGATCACATAACGAATACCAAAGAACGATTTACAGACTTTAAGGACATCAAACCACGAAACTCTTTGACCAGCAACGGCGGATATTCCCAAGCTGTTGGCATGGGAACTCTTGAGGTTGAAGCGGAAGGTATTGACAACAAATACCGCAATGTCATCTTCGAGGAAGTATATTACTCTCCTTCAGCTTCTGCCACACTCATATCTGTTGGCAAATTACGCAAAGTTGGCGTAGTGATTGATGGCTATCGCAACTGTCTTGCAAGTGAAGATGGAAAGCCATTACTCAAACTTCATCTTGTTGACGATGTTTACATCTTGGGCATCAAGAAAACCACTATTCGACATGCTTATGCCTGTTTGTCTGCGGCACAAGCATATGACCTGTGGCATCGTCGCTTTCTTCATTGTAGCGATGAGGCACTATTCAGAGCACTCGAACCACTGGGAATCAAGCTACATCGCCCACAAGGTTACAACTGCGAAACATGCCACGAAAAGGACGCTAAACGCCAAATTAGCTATGATCCTTTGAGAAGACCACTAAAGATCCTTGACATTGTCGATGTTGACACGTTCAAGATCTCTCCAGTCGGAATCCATGAAATGAATCACGCTATTCACTGGTGTGACCGCAAAACAAGAATGTGCTGGCTTGAACTTATGGCTAAGCGTTCTGAAGCCTCTGATCTAATGATCAAATTTGACAAATTTCAAATCAAACAGACAGGAGGTATTGAAGTTCAGGAATACCACATGGATGGCGCCAAAGAATTCAATAAAGCGATTGAATTATTCGAAGCCAGAGGATCGAAAGTAACGATTACAGCGCCACGCAGCCCAGAACAAAATCCTCTGATCGAGAAAATGGGCCACATTCATGAAATTCGATTGCGGGCAGCTTTCCTTGACACAGGCGTACCCAAATTTCTGTGGCCCTATGCTCTGAAGCATGCCATAGAAGTTCACAACAATACTCCGAAGAAGTCTTTGGAATGGATTTCGCCTACTCAAGCATGGGCAAGGGAGCTGAATCTTGATCAGCGACTTCAAGATGGCCTAAATCGAAAACATATGATAGCTTGGGGTACCAAAGTCTGGGTACACATTAAGCCAGAAGACCGCGTTGCCTCCGAGAAAGCGAACTCCAGAGCAATGGAAGGCCTATACCTTGGCTCCGAAGGTTCTTATGGCAAGGTCCATAAAGCCTATCATGGAGGATTGTGATGTTCATTGAGCTAAGTTAACCTACGTCAGGTGTAACGGCAGAATGTTACCTATCTAACTAGTGTACATTGTTACGGAGTAACTAGGGCTCCGCCAGTGGACTGTGTGCCACCAGTCCTCTGTTAGCCTACATCCCTGAGCTCCAACGCATAATTCGTACTCGAGATATGACGCACAATGACGCCTCACTGAAGGATCTTCCACTTGTGAAGTTTGAGGAACGCAAGGACATTGCTGAACCTAAACCTCTTGAGATCACCATCAAAATACCTACTAAGACGGACAAAGTTGACAATGCCAATCCTCCAGGCTGGAATTTGTTGGAAGATCAACGCGACAATTCTCAAGAACAGAGTAATGCAGGAAACAACGAAGAAAATGTTGGCAATGGAGGCAGCGATGATGACGATGAGGATCCAGTTGGTGACCAAGAAAAAGGCTTGTATAGATGTCAAACACATCAGCGGCATGTTGATGGCAGCAGACGGGTTGACGAAGCTATTGAAGAAGGCGAAACACCAGAAGTTTATCGAGATGCTGGGCATGGTCACAATCAACGAATTCACAAATGGCAGATGAATTGAAAGTTGAGCGGTCACGAGCGGCAGAATCGCTATGAGATTTATTGACAACAGTCGCTAAATTGACGATTTGACGGCTGAAATTCATCAAATTGGAATATCAGCTTACGCTGGGAGGCAGTAACAGAGGACTAGTGGCACACAGTCCACTGGCGGAGCCCTAGTTACTCCGTAACAATGTACACTACTTAGATAGGTAACATTCTACCGTTACACCTGACGGAGGTTAACTTAGCTCAATCAACATCACAATCCTCCATGAGTTTACAATAAGTGATATTAGAGCAGCCCAAAGAGCCGGCTCAGACGGGAAATTCATTTCACACTGGAGGCATTATATACTGCAACAGCGTTACGTCAAGCTGCACTACCGGCGTAGTCTTCGCAGAAGGATCTTTTCATTTTCTAGCCATGTACAATGCTGTAACACATACATGCTCATATTGGCAGACTTCAACTGGACTGTGTTTCAGCTTCCTACGGTGGGCCTAGTTTGCTAGAGCATCCGACTGCATAGTCCACACTCTAACAGTTGATGACACGAGTTCTGGTCCGAAACCGTGCAGGATTACCTGAACTCTGAGGGATTCAACCCTCAGATGATGATTCTGTACAGATCCTGTATTGGTTACGATGCTCGATGCGCAGTGTGATGTGTGTATTGACTGCTCAGAGTCCTCTATAAGAAGTTACATCTAAGGTAGGTAGGCAGGTGCCGACCTTTTTATCTACACAAGCGATTTCACTGCCTTAGGCACCACCTCAGGCACCACCTCAGGCACACATATGGCGCTCAATCCCACACGCCCTCTCGCCACTATGGGTTCTAGGGCCTAATTCTCGTAAATACGACCTTTCCATCGTCCAATCGCAGTGTGTTTCTGCCGTGAACCACCGCCCTCGTCACATACCTGGTGTCCCTTTTTCCAATCGCTCCATCCCCAACAGTTCAACGAATCGATCGAACTTGGCTTTGTCCAGAGGCTTGGTGAGTCCGTCGGCTGGATTCTGGTCGCTCGGCACCCAACGCAGCTTGACGTTGCTGGTTTCCACCTCCTGACGGCCGTAATGGTAACCAACTCTTTTGTGCCGTTTCTGTCTGTTCATGGCGGGGTCCTCTGACCACTTTACCGCACCAGAGTTGTCCTCGAGGATCACGATAGGGCCTTCCGGCATGTGTTCCAGTTCTGTAAGGAAGTTTCGGATCCAGGCGGCGTCGCCGGCGGCTTCGCTGAACGCGATGTATTCGCTTTCTGTGGAGCTCTTCGCGACAACACTTTGTAACTTGGAGTGCCACAGTACTGGACAGCCGGCTATCATGAAGACGTAGCCAGTGACAGATTTGCCTCCGTCCGCATCGGATGCGAAGCTGGCGTCTACTGCTCCATAGAGTCCCAGTGCACTGTATTGAGTGGCTCTATGCTCTTTCTTGTACTTCAGTGCTAGTCGATTCTTCGCGACGTACCGTGGTACCCTCATTAGTCCGATCAAGTGTGTCGAAGATGGATTTGACATGTACCTGGCCCAGGTCGAGGTTGAGTGCGCCGTGTCGGGTCTCGAGAGGCATAAGTAGTTGAATCGGCCAACTACGGTAGCGAAGTGATGTATCTCATCAGTACTGGCTTTTCCAGTATTCTTCGTCAAGTTAGCGGCCATGCCGGCTTCGAACAGCGTTCCGACTCCTCCGAGCTCGTTGAATCCTAATTCTTCTAGTGCCTTGTCGATGTATTGGTCTTGGTCAAGTCTAACATCGCCGGTTTCACCAGTTCGTAAGATGCGCATGCCTAGGAACCAATCGGCGGGGCCCAAATCGTTGAGTGGTACTTCCTTCGACACGTCCGCTGCCAAAGCCTTTAAACGTTCCAGATCTGGTCCGAATAGCAAGAAATCGTCTACGTGCGATGCAATGATGTCCCTTGTCTTCCCGTTGATGTATACTGCATCGTCCGACAACAACGGCTCGAATCCACGCTTCTTTAGGATTCTCTTGGCCTCACGTTGCCACGTTGCCCCGGCTTGCTTCAAGCCATAGAGCGGCAGCATTAACTCGATAATGCTCTTTGGGGAGTAGCCGTACTTTGCTACTTCTTCGGGGTATGCTTCGAAGTATTCCTTGAGCATTGGGAATTGCTTCATGAAGATCTTCTCATCAAGCTTGCCGTTAAGGCACGCGGCTACGAAATCGATCTGTAAGATGTGCCAGCCTAGCACTGTCGAGAGGGCCATCAGGATCCTCCATGATGCTGCTCTGGCTGTTGACGCTGCTGTCTCGTTGTAGTCAATGCCGTACCGCTGGGTAAAGCCTCTGGCGCAAATCCTCGACTTCAGCTTGTCCAATTCACCTGTAGAGAGAAACTTCTCTCGCAGTACCCACTTGGCCTCAATGAGATGGCCGTGCATGGCTTCAGACTTATCGCAGAAGCGGAATGTGCCTCTTTCCAGGCCTTGCCTGATCTCGGCGAAAATAGACTGCATCCACTCGCTGCCCTTAGGACCGTTGAGTGCCTCCCGTAATGTCGGCTCTGTAGGGTGTTGTACCTGTAGCAGGCGGTAGGTTTCCGACTCTCCCAACATCGTGGCTACATTGAGTAGCGGCTCGAACAGAATTCCGTCTCGTTCTTGTCGCAGCAATTCGAATAGCATAGACTTGATGTACTTGTGGTCTGATTCACGATCTGAGTCGCCAGTGCCTCCATAGAAGTCGTCAAAATCCTCGTCTTTCTGCTCAACGTCACTGGTAGACGCGCCCTCTTGGATGTAGGCTTTTGAGCGTGCCAGTTGGTTCATCAGTTCATCATCATCGGGGGGGGGGGCCTCTACTACTTATGCTTGCAGATTCGGTTTGGCCTTGCGGGGGCGCCCTCTGCGCGGTTTGACTGCGTTTGCTTCGTCGTCTGTGACATCTTCGTCAACCTTGTTGAGATCTTTGGACTTGACCTTCGTCTGGGTCGTCTTTCGGTGACGGAGTCGCTTCTGGATGTGTTGGGGAAGCGATCGAACAATGTCTCGTGTATCGGGTGCCTCGTCTCGTGCGGTGTTGCCGAGGTCTTCGTGAAATATCGCATGCGGTGTATCTAAGTATCTACCTCCATCGATTAGCCAGAACCGGTAGTTGTGTTCTCCGACATAGTCAAGAAAAATGGCCTTGACCGCTCTGGGTTCGAGCTTCTCTGCTGTAGTTCTCAGCTTGACGTCTACGTGTACCAGTGCCAGCGATCCTGGGATTCGTAGATTGGCCATATCTGGTACCCATGCGCCCTCTGGCGCCAGTTCTTGGTGAAAACATTCGTGTGGCGTCACACCTTCCAAGGTTGATGTGCCGGTGCGATTCGTAATGTATGTTGTGCAACTAAGCACATCGTTCCAGAAACAACTAGGGATTCTTCCCTGAATGCTGATGGCCCTGGCAGCGTTTTGGATTACTCCAATCGAACGCTCTGCTGTCCCATTTTGATACTGATTGTATGGGGTTGATATCAGCAGATCGATGCCTTCTTCGTCGCATAAGGTGTTGAGTGTTGCCAAATCGAAGTCCTGGGATCCATCGATTTTGATTACCTTGCATCGGCGGGCAGGACTCTGTGTCATCAAATCCGCCTGTACCCTAGTTACGTAGCGTTTGAGTCCGCCAGCCACTTCGCTCTTGTGCTTGTATGCGTCGAATGTGCGGTGACGGCTCTTGCCATCCGTCTTGAGATCGAAGTATCTCATGCCTTCGACTGATTCGGGCTTTAGTTCTCCCAGATCGCAGTGAATGACTTCGACGTACTGCGGTTGGTACTGGGGGTCATGAGAGGGAATCTTCGTGCTCTTGGCTTGATCGCATGCCACGTAAGGGAGTGACTCGATGAGTGAGACATCGATGTCTATACCAATTGAATGCTCTACGGTCCATGCCAGTCTCTGTGGGCTCGGATGGGCCAGGCGACGATGCCAAAGGGTTAACTGCCCTGCCAGGTCGTCCGTCATCTCCATGATCCCTGGACTGACCATCGTGTCGTGAATGACTCGCTTCATATTGTCAATCTCTTCCGTCGAGAAACCGAACAATCCTAGGGCGCACTCTGACCCTGGATCCCTTAAGTAGTCTGTGTTTCTTTCGCTTTCTCTTGGGTTCGCTCCTGCCGAATTACCATAAGAACCAGCCTCTTTTCTCGGCATCTGTTGTCGTAATTACTGTGCCGGTGCGGCTGACGATGTTATTGCCTTGAATTGTACCTCCGTTCAGGTAGAATAGCTCTCCTGAGAATACCTTGACGGGGAACTGGGGTATGAAAAGTACGTACTTGGCGACCAAGTAGTTGCGTTGACCTTCTGGACCCCTCAAGATCCACTTGACTGAGCCAGCCCTCTGGGCATGTACGACGCCTCCGCCTGTGACGATAGGGTACGAATTCTTCTTCAAGTCGACCACCGTGCCCTGTTCAAAGTCATTTTCATCATTCGTGGCGTGAATATTTGCTCCGGTGTCGAATATCAACAGCTCAGAATCGGTTGGTCTGGCCTCTGACGTGTAGGTTTGTGCAATAAGGGCTTGGGCTTGGTTCCGAGCGATGGCCTGTTCGTACTCGTCAATGAGGTCTTGGTAATCGAACCCTGCCTTTGCTCCGTAGAATTGGTCGCCAAGTGCTTCCTGGAGTCCAGGTGGTGCCGCGGTCTTCTGCTCTTGCCCTTTTGCGGCATTCGCGTTGGCATTCGCGTTGGCACCTTCCTTGGGAGGAGATCGGCAGTCTCGCTTGAAATGGCCTTTCTTGCCGCAGTTGTGACACTTGTCATCCTTGTTGGCCTGTCGACCCTTTTTGCTATTGCTGTTCTTGTTATTCTTTCCTCTGCCAGACGCCTGAGCGTTGTTGGAGCTGTTTCCTCTATTGCTCCTTCCGTTGTTCTGGTTACCGTTGTTCTTTCGTTCTAGTTTGTGGTGGAACGCGTTGGCGAATTCTTCCATGAGTTCTGCCGGTGTCATGTCGTTGCGACGAAGGAACTGGTCTTGCTGTCGAGTCCAGCCTGAAGCCTTGTCTTCAGCAGCTGTAAGGAACATGGTGATCTGTTGCTCACCCTTAATCTCGAGTCCTGCATCTTGACATTCGGACACGGCCTTGCGGAACTTTGTATTAAATGTAACAGGGCAATTGCCGTCGTATCTTAGTGCGTTGAGATCCTTCCAAAGTGCCCTCAGCCTTTGTTTGGCAGATTGATCGAAATTGGCCTCAAGCGATTCCAACATCTTGGTCCCCTCCGTGAGGTTGTCGATGAGTCCTTTTGCTAAGCCGTCCGACGTCATCAAGATCGCCTTAGCCAGTCTCGTCTCGTCGTAGGCTGTCAGCTTCTTCTTTGGTTTCCACCCAACGGAATGCAGCGATAAGTCAATGAATTTGCGCCATGGTTTGTATGAGTCGGGGCCTCGAACCCACTGCGACTTGTCTGGTTTGCAGTCCCAGTACTTCCACTCAAGGTTGAACTTGCCGTGTTTCTTCTTATGCTTGCGACGCCGGTTCCTATCACCAGATAGATCCGACTCGCTGTCCGATTCGGAGTCTGAATTGTCGGAATCATCTGAGCCACTGCTCGATGAACTGGAGGGATCGTTACTAGGGTCGTAACAGCTGCGGGTGGACTTCTTCTTCTTGTCCTTGTCCTTTTCCTCGTACTCGTCCTCATCCTTGTACTTGTTCTTGTCCTTGATAAGGGACGCGTTGTCTTCGCTGTCTGAGTCGATTTCAAATGCGAAACCCTGAGGCGGCATCCGATGCGGCATCCGCGGCGGTGGTGGCGGCGTCTCCGGCCGGCCCCTTGCGCTGGAAAATTCGGCATCATGGTACGATTTGTGTGAATTTGACTTAGACTTGCCTCTGAAGCTTGGGTCTCTTTGCTCACTGATGAGCATGTCAATCTTGTCTTCCAGCCGCTTTATTTCGGCTTGGTGGAGTGCCTTCATGTCGGCTTCCCTCAGGTTCATGTTGGCTTCCTTTTGTTCCATGATCTGGTCAAGATCAGTTTTGGTGAATACCTTGGGGTCCTGCGCGTCAGAGCCCGTGGATGGCGCTGTTGACTGCGGGGAAGGTGCCGCTGCCATGTTGCGCGGCCAAAGGCTGTACCTTCGTATGGTGCTAAGCAATCCAGGCTCCTCGAAGGCGCCTTGGGGGTTCATGTGAGCCTCGGGGCTGCTTCAGTTGCTGTGGTGTCCTATTGGTGTATGGCCGCTCTGTCAATCCCGTTGGGCGATCAACCGCTTCTCATGCCAGCGACACTGTCGTCTGTTAAGTTACGCCTTGCGTACTGCCAGACCGTGACCTGCGCGTGAAGAGCGCATGTGATTCTGCGATGGGTGATGTGGAGTGGTTTACCTGACTGTCCTGATGTCGGATCAGTCGCCTCTCACGCCAGCGACACTGCCGTCTGCTGAGCTACGCCTTGCGTGCTGCCAGACCGTGTCCTGCTCATGAAGGCTTCATGATGCTGTGGGAATCCTGGTGCCAAATCAATCGCCTCTTACGCCAGCGACACTGCCGTCTGTTGAGCTGCGCCTTGCGTGCTGTAGACCGTGACCTGCGCGTGAAGAGCGCGTTGATGTTGCGAAGTAGGATCCAACAGAGTAATCAAGTGATCGTTCAGTAACGATGAGATGCTACCATGAGGGATTCAACCCTCAGATGATGACTCTGTACAGATCCTGTATTGGTTACGATGCTCGATGCGCAGTGTGATGTGTGTATTGACTGCTCGGAGTGCCTCTATAAGAAGTTACATCTAAGGTAGGTAGGCAGGTGCCGACCTTTTTATCTACCCAAGCGATTTCACTGCCTTAGGCACCACCTCAGGCACCACCTAGGCACACAATGGCCATTTTCTGAAAGTTAGTCGCTAAATATTGCAAATATCCGGGAAGTCCGCTTACTCTCGCTAGAGTCCTTACTTCTCCTTAGTCTCTACGTTAGGTTTTGTTTTATAGTACACTTGGTTTTAGCCGTGCTTGGATATCGATTGCTCTCTTTATATAACGTATTTCACCCCCATTCCGACACCCTATAAAACAAAACACCACGAATAACACTGCAATTTCAAACAACCACCACAAATTCAATTCTGAACAACTATACAATCGCTTTCGACAGTAGATACATTAGATATTTCTGAACCCGAATCATCAACAAGAGCTTCATTAGATACTTCCCTCATCCGCCGTACGTCCTCAATCCTTGCGAATTTCGCGTTTGGACTTATTTGCACCTTCTTTTTTTTCCGTGGCTTCATAAGCTCCAATCGCTGTTTTAAGCCCTTAATTTGTAATTCTGCGCTTACTAATAGATAATCCTTCTCATCAAACCCTTTTTTCATCTTTCTAAATAGCTGGCGTTGTGTAGTCATGTTAGTTTGTTGGAGTCGATTGAACTCCCTAAACTGGCGCTCTATATCTACGCTCTTCTTTGGCGTTGACCATACAACATTGCCCTCTGAAGGCGTCTGGAGCGTTTTCCGGACTTGCTGGGTTGTAATAAGAATATCTGGACCTTGGTGACGTGTGCGGTTGCTATTTTCAAGTAGAAGAGGGCTAGTAAGGGGCCTAGCGACATTTAGGGGCCATAGACCACTTGTACGCTAACCAGACTTGATATTTTGAGCCGTTAGGGCCCTCTGGCGTGCTCTGGCGTAACAGCGCATAAAATTTCACTTGCCAATAGGTACTGAATCAGTTAATAGGGTTAAAAACCCGACCTCCTTGCGATATGCCGTTTTCATAGCTGAGAACACCCCAACATCGAGGGGCTGAAGGACATGAGATGAGTGTGGGGGTAAAAATAATAAGTATATGTTGTTTTGATAGCAAAGAGACATAAAATTATCAGTTATGTGACTACCGTGACCATCCAAAATAAGTAAACGAGTGTCTGAAGGGTCCTGAGGAAGCGTAAGGGGTATAAAAATGTCTTCAAGCCATTTGATAGCTATCGTATCGTCTGTCCAGCCCTTGGGGGATGCCTTGAAGCGCCAGTCCTTGAAGTCCTGAAGATTTTTATCAGGGAACCACTGCTCTTGGACGTCCTTGCCCTTGGAAATAACCAGTGGGGGTAAGGTATTGCCGAGGGCATCCACACATTCCAAAATTGACGTCCACGCCCTCGAACCAGGCTGTTTCTGGTGTATTGCGCGTAAGGTAGCGCTCCCGACAACTAGCCCAGAGCCCCCTTGACCCTCCATAAGGCCATGCTCATCCATATTATACCTGCATTGCGGCTTAATCGCTTGAATTGCAGGAATACGTAATTTTGAAGCAAACCAGGCTTGGATTACCTCGGTAGACGCGCCATTGATACGCTGAGAGTCGATACGGCGTTGCTTTTTAGTCTTTAGTGCTGGATGACGCTTTAGAAAGGCTTCCAGCCAATTCTTGCCGAGTGGTTGGTGGTCACCTTTGAGGGCTAGGACGCGCTGCGCGAGCTCCTTGATTTGCGCGTGTGTTGGGGCTAGTCCAAGGGCTTCCTGGACCAAAACCCAGTCTTCTAAGTGTTTTTCTTGCACTGGAGATAGCCTCTGCTGGCTAGCAGAGGCCTCGCGACTTGATTCAGCGCCTTGAAGTCTGTCGATAAGTGTAGTCCTTGGTATACCCCAATCCAGGCCAGCGCGTCGCACAGATTTACCATTTGCGACGTCTAGAACGGCGGCAGCGAGGTCTTCTTCCGTATATGAAGGCATTGATAGCAGATCAGATCGAATACTTGGAATAAAGTCAATTGAAGCAAAAGTGGTTGAGAAATAAAAGGATAATGTAGATAGCGGTGTGGTTATTGTTGGGGTTTACAGGGGTGTCGGAATGGGGGTGAAATACGTTATGCTTTTATCCGGGCTCAAGAGAGGCTGCAATTATAAGCTCCAATGCTAGTCATTCCCGATACATACGACCATAGGCTGCAGAGAACTCGGGATCCCGTCCGCTCTCCCTTAGATAAGCTGCAAACCGCTGGATTAGTAGTTGAGTGGGTGACCATCAGCGAATACCCAGTGCCGTATGTTTTTGCTATTTTTGGACATTATGTGAAACCTCACATCATGGAGACTATTAAACCCTCTGAGAGAGATGATGGATTCCCCCCCTTCGAGCAGCTACTAAAGAGCCTTGTGGAGGTAGCGGATCTCCCTAGAGAGCGAAAGATCACGCCAGAGTAGCTTCCGTCTGTTCGTCAGCCTCAAAATACGAACAGTCAAGATGTAGCACTACTTCTTTATTTTATACTCGTTAATTAGCTAGCTTGAGAATAATCTTGTTGATAAAGTCGATACTAGATACAGCACCACTAATGCCTCTCATCAAGGTGAGGCTTTATCTAGCGAGGGTAATGATATCCAATCTGGCGAATGGGAGGCCGATGACATTATTGAAAAAGAGGACATCGACAGCGTTATGCACTACATGAGGACCTGGAAGCCAACACTCGAGCCTGAAGATAACGTGGTACATGTGAAGAGTTGATTCAGCAGTGGAAGATAAGGGTTCAGGTATAGTGTAGAGGTAGAAACAGTTGTGAGATCAAGACGTACCGAGCTACTGCTAAAGGTCAGGTTCGGGTTTTTTAAGCCCGTTATCGCTTTCTTTAACTTCTTATTGGTATCTTTTCTTTCCTAGAATTAGAAGGTTTTGTTAGTACTTCAATGGTACCGGTAAGACGATTAAGAATAAACCTGTTATGTCCTTCTCTCCTTTGAATGGAATAAAATAAACATTTTTAATTATTTTTTTATTATTAAATACGCCGTAGGCTCGAAGCCCCCGGTACCTCTACTAGTACTCCCGTATGTCAAACCGTGCCCTAATGGCTGGACTAAATACATACGCTGCGTCGTCGGTTCGCCCTATTGGCGACTGCGTTGCGTTCACTACCATACTACGTTGGTTCTCAACCTACCAACAAAGTCCCCCTGAGAAGATCGATGCTATCTGGGCCTTGAAGCTGTCCGACCCGTCCCTAGCAGCCACCTTACAATAGTCCCACTAACTACTGGTTCTCCTGTTGCCGTTGCGAGGTCTCTGCGAGAGTATAGTGGCTGTGGTGCGATAGCGGCCCGTAATCGTTCCCTCGGTCCTTCCAACAGCCCGCAAAAGAGGATTACGTGCTCTGCCGTCTCAGGGGCGTCGCCACAGTGGCATAGCGGCGAGTACACGCCAAAAGCCCCTGTCTTGAATAAGAAGGCTGCTAGTCCTATTTTTTCCGTCCTGATCTGGCACAGCGTAGACGCTTCCAGTCGGTTCAGGCCGAAATACTTGCCCCCTTTCGGTATCTGCATCGAAGGGCCCTCCGGTTCCTCAGCGATGGCGCGTCGCTGGCGATCGTGATGCTCTGCTCCGGTGAGCCATCTCTTCCTCCAGTGGCCGAGGAGGACAGCCGGGACCTCCCTTTCCTCACTCATCCACTCGGAGCCCCGGGACTCCTTCTCCATAGTGTACCCTGCCGGTCGGAGTAGCTGCGACGCCTGCTTCCTCTTCGCCGGCCTATCCTGCCGGAGTATATGTGACGCTTTAGCGCTCGCGCTGCGAAGCAGATTTCTCTTCCCGCTAAGCCGTAGCCGTTCTTCAAACTTAGCAGCCCGGGCACTAAGATAGAGGTCTAGTGGCGGGATTGCTGCTTCTGCTTCCAGGTGGCGAACCGGCGTCGCTTTGTGGGCGCCACAGACTACCCGGAGGCACTCGTTCTGTATCCCCATCAGGCTCTTAGCTGGCCCTGCCGGTTCCTCACTTATAGTATGCCACGCAGTCGCCCCGAAGGCGATCGCGCTACGGATAACCACCGTATATAACAGCCTCGCCCGTATAAGATCACAGCCCCACGACATATTGACTAGCTTTGTCAGGGCTAGCTTTTGAGTTGCCATTTTTGTTTTAACCCGCTCAACATGGGCGTGCCACGTCAGTTTGCGGTCGAACCAGACTCCTAGGAACCTCGCTGAGACTACCGGCGACACTGTGGCGTCCCCAAGGCGAATACTTTGCGGCAAGGGCTCTCGGGCCCTAGTAAAGTGCATTAGCTCACTCTTCTCAGGGGCGAACTCCATCCTGTGCCTCACTGCCCACCGCTGACACGTAGCCCATGCGCCCTCCAACCGGCGGCAGGTCGTGTCTGGATCGGTGCCGACGCTTAGCAGGTTCGTGTCGTCCGCGAACCCGACTATTAAAAGTAGTGGGTGCTGCTCCGCTAGCTCCTCGTACAGCGTTGAAATGTATAATATAAACAGTATCGGGGATAGTGGTGACCCCTGGGGGACGCCAGCTCGTAGGGGGATTGGCTCTGACTCTTTGCCATCGAACCGGAGGCGTACCGTCCTATCCTCCACGAAGCTGCGTACCCACTCCTGAACCCACTCCGGGTAGCCTTTCCGGGCTAATATGGAAATCAGCCGTCTGTAATTGACCGTATCGAATACCCCCTTGATGTCTAGCTGTAGCAGCGAGGCGATGCCCCCGCGTCTCCACGCCGTATAGACCACGTCCTCAACTATACGTATTGCCAGTTCGGTGGACCTCCCAGCGCGGTTACCCATTTGGCCGTTTGGTAGTAGGCCGGCCGCCTCAGCTACTTTGGTGATACGCTGGCTCATCGCCGTCTCTATTACCTTCCCTACCGTGCTAAGCAGGGCAATGGGGCGCCAGCCGCCAGGGGTCTGCTTCTGAGCTGTCGTTTTATTAGGCTTAGGGATAATAACCACCCTCGCTGAGCGGAAGCGCTCCGGGTAGTACCCCAGCCTAAAGCTAGCTGTTGCCAGATCCGCTAGGATCTCCCATAGGGGTTCACCGCAGGCCTTTAACAGGCCAGTGGGGATCAGGTCGTCGCCGGGAGCCTTTCAAGCAGCCGTTCCTTTGATGATAGACTCGATATCCATTGTGGTCACCTCCCTAGGGACGTTCAGCTCTGGTCTCGTCTGTAATAGGCCGCGATCGAGGTCCGATAGATCTATACACGGGTCTGGGAAGAACCTCTCAGCTAGTAATTTTGCCTTCTCATCATGTGTACGTGCCGTAAGCGTGTCGCCGGCGTCCCTCCGGAGATCTGGCAAGCCGTGGGCCTCAGGGGGGGCCCAGCTCCGTAGCCTAGCCCACCTCTGCAGTGCCCACAGGCTTTTGTGATCATTCGCCGAAACATTTTTTTTATCCTAGCAAGAGTGATTTTGGAGGCGCGATAAAAATAGAGCTATATAACTGAACATTCCCGGCTGGTTGTAATGGTATCTGTGAATCTCTAATTATATTCTATCCATTCCGACTTAACCTAGCATTACTGAAACAAACTAACTTATTCCCTCATGATTTAGAAAAAGCTACTGAATTAAGAACGTAGTTAGATTACCCGATGTTGCTTTTTAATAATGCAGTAAGTTCGAACCAGAATTCTGCTAATAGGATACACTTCCTATTCCCTTGTATAGATGTCAGAGCCACAAGTGTCATCCGAGGCGGGCCGGCTTCCACCAGGTAGGAAGCCGTTTGTGGCGGCTAGAGAGCCGCTTGTGGCGAATGAGAGCCGTTGAAGCCGTTTGCAGCGGATAGGGAATCGCTTGGTTGCAGATAAGGAGCCGCTATCCAAGATATTGGCCGAAGTCGGAGGAACACAGACATACGGAAGCAAACATCCAGAATCCAAGAGAGAACCTCGGCTGGCTATAAGTAAGGAGTCGAGACGGAGGAAGATATAGAGGGCAGAGATCAATGAACTACTGTGGACACCCCTACCTGCCATCACCAAGTGACCACCAGGGGGACACGCCTATTTCTCCCCTTCACTCTGTACTATCGCCTTCGGTCCAGGCCGTAACCTGACAATAGAGATATAGGCTATTAAGAGCGGTCGATTCTCTCGAGCTCTTTTTCCCATCGAATTTAGTACTTGCTTAGCGAGTTGTAGGCAGTGGATAAAGACTGTTTCCAATAGTCGAAACACAAACCAGAGAGTCGTGGTACTGCAGTATAGGCATTGATATCAGGTGCTTGAGATCGTGTAGGAGAAACCAAGTTATCAATTTGCCGTCCAGTTCTTTGAAGCTGTGTAGGGGAGCAAATTATGTTATTACAAATGTATTTTAGCTAATACTATTTGATCTACTTAATTTAAGAAACATTTATTACTGTTTAATGTCCGCTCCAATATGAATAGCAACTTTTAGTTTTGGCTTGCCATCTTGCTCGGAAAAATGCAGCTGGCCTTGCGATTTCCATTGTCCTGATTAATGATTGTCTCTAATTTTGCCCAACAGGCTCAAGGTCATTGCCACCGGACTAGGCGGCAGCGTCAGCTATTCGCATCCGATATCAAGGGCAGAGCTCTACAGCTTTAGAGCTCTTTGAAAGTCGGCGCTGTAAAACGCTCCGACTGACTCCACGCCAAGATCTTCTTTACTATTACTGCCGCTGGTTATCATTTCACCGTCATTGTTGGAATTTGCGTACGAGATCCAATCAGACTGTGATGATGGTGAATAGCAGACTTCATGTAGTGATCCGATACCTCTCCTACCTTACCTACGGTCAACTTCAACGCGCCTTCGAGCTCTGAATTCGGTATATAAGCCCTCCCCGAATCATAGTGAGAATATTTTCGTGAACCACCTCAGCTTAGAACCATGCGGATTGGGCCATCTTCGGACCTGCAGTCTCCGTAATATCACTAAATGTGTGACGGGCTCACTGCGAAACTATACAGCTCAACATGGCCAAATACTGTTAATTATCTAACTGAGGAGGAAAGTAAAATAAGCAAGTTTTCCGGGAACACAAACCATGTTTTTATATGCCCTCAATGGTTCCTTTGGTGGACCCGGACGCAAGGTTCTTGCAGCTCCGGGTCCCATTTCAGGCACAGCCTGTCACAAAATGCAAATATATTTTGGAACTTTTCGGCGGCAATAGCGATATGGAGCGTAGGTTGGCTTATCATTCTTTATAATCTTGCGTTTTATAATACATTTACTTTGTTGGTAGGTTGAGAGCCAACGTAGTATGGTAGTGAACGCAACGCAGTCGCCAATAGGGCGAACCGACGACGCAGCGTATGTATTTAGTCCAGCCATTAGGGCACGGTTTGACATACGGGAGTACTAGTAGAGGTACCGGGGGCTTCGAGCCTACGGCGTATTTAATAATAATAATACATTTGGGTTTTTCTGTGCTTGGGTATCGATTCGCCCTTGTTCTAGGCGTTTCTATCTGAGCTTAAGGGAGGATTTAGTTCTACATAATACGTGACTCTTGGTAGTTCACGTGATCCCTTGTATCTGGCGCCTTGCATATTACTAGACCGCGTATTACGCGTAAAGAGAGGATCTAATATAGTGTAACTAACTGCGGGATTCAGTCCTCTATCAGTGGCTCTGTGCAGATTCTATCGTGATTGGTGTGTCTGTGTTGGCTGCTTTTGTACTACGTTGCCTACTAGAAGTACTATGTTGGTAAGCCAAGCTTGGAGGTCTGACCCCACTAGCTACACTTGCCGCTATACTGCCTTCGGCTAGGGCATAACTGTGGCGCTTGTTCCCATACTAACCAATTAATCCTTTCGGTTTCACTAACAAACGCGTAGCTTATTAGAGCGCAGCCGACCGTGGTCATCTTTTCGTCTTCTTTTCGTCTTCTCCTCGCTGTATTCTTTGTTTCTCACTGTGAAGATACAAAACGACTGTGAACACACTTCTCCATCCGAAATCACAGCTGCTTTGTGATGACACCCTTGGAGCAGTACCTCAATACGTTGGATCTGCTGCGTTTTCTCAAACAGGAACCCAGGCACTTCAATACAACCGATCATGTCCCAGTAAAGCAGCGAGCACCTATGTTTGGCCTCACATCCATCGACGACGACTCTTGGCTCATCGGAGACCGTGTCGTACTCGCCCGCTCCGGCCAACCCTGGCCTAGTCATACGCCAGGTCTCATCAGCACCTGGACTTCGTCCGATGGAAACCATTATGCCATTTCAGACGCGCCTGTTCCGCCACCAACTTCTCGTCCATGGGCGCCGGGCGACTCTCCCGTTCTTGCACATCTCGCCGCAGGCGGCGGAATTTCTATTTCCACCGGGGATGATGCCGACCTAGCTCAAGTTACAAGCAAATGCGTCTACTACATCGGAGATGCCTTCATCAAGATGCACCACACTATACACTGCGACTCAACCGACGAGCACGTAGCCATTAATGAATTGCGTCAACGCCTTCCAAACCGCACATTCGCGCTCCCTACAGTCCTTTATCAGGCCCGCTATGATGACCGCTACTTCCTCGTCACATCGAAGGTTCCCGGTGAGACGGCCGAGCGGCTGTGGTGGAGTCTTGACGACGCCGTCAAGAATCACTACGCAGAGCTCATCGCCCAGGCCTGCATTGAGGTTGCCACTCTGACCTCCAACGACCTGGGCACCGGCATCGACGGATCTGCTGCGGAAAACGGGCGCTTCCGGAAGTCTTTAACGCGAAAAGACATGTCGGATATGCATGCCAACTGCAGGATGCTCAACCTCGACGTGGAATCCTCATTCTGCCTGTTCCATGAAGACCTGGGGCCCACGAATGTCATTATCAACCCCCAGAGCCGGGCGATCGGTATCATTGACTGGCAGGCTGCCGATTATGTCCCTAGGGAATGGATTGGTATTGCCTTTGCCCGCGCGCTGGCTATGGTGCAAGATCCACCTTTCCCGGAGGGCTATGAATCGAACGATTACGCTAAGCGTGTGTGGGAGGCGCTGCAACGGCGTGGGTTTGGTGATGATGGAAGCGCTTGGCTGAGTTGGAAGAGACTTGACTGGCAATAGATGTATCTTTTATCCATAAAGACGATAACGTAGTCCACAAGCGAACGGGTCACCCAACCGAACGGGTCACGCCAACTAGCAAAACATGGAATTCAACACGATTTCGCAACCACAACGCCGTAAATATACTCTTGCCCAGATGATTCTATCTCTACCTGACAGGTTCGCGCATTATGCCCGGTCTTCCCGCATACGCCACAGCGCCGTTGCCGTGGCTGGCCACGATTTGATCCAGCGCTATTTCCACGCATTTCCTGCTGTACTTGCTGCGCAACGTCCTTTTGATCTTGAAGATCTTGTACGTCTTGTGAATTAAGTGATCCTCCAAGCCGTACTCGTGTTTTTTTGGCCCTGCGCCGCTTGCTAATTAGAGCATTTGCCTCTCGAAGTTCCGCGACCTCAGCTTGGAGTAAAGCCATCTTATGCATAATACTCCGCGCTCCTTTCGAAAACTGATCGATAGCATCGTAAATTGACGTCGGGGAGCTATTTTGATGCCTGGCAATTCGAGATTTAATAAATTCGGATTGCGAAGTAGCCTCGGTTGGGTTGTTTGGCGTCCGAGAAGCCCAAGGAAGGGTTTCCCGCGTAGGGGGCCGGGAGGACGTTGGAGTCTGTAATTTCACATCCAGCTTCTCAATAACAATATCTGGGCTTAAAGGCACAAGCCCAGCCCCTTGAAAGCCTGCACGAATATTGCTTTCGGTCAGGCTCCTCTTGAACGCGTCGCAAAATGCCGGAAGAAAGTCCTCCTTTGTGATATGCGAGTCGCGTAGCAGTCGGTTTGCCATATCTTCAACAGCACTTAGCCGGGGAGGAAATGCTTGCGAATCTAGCTCAATTATCCGGTGAATAATCGTATTTTCTTCTAGTTTTGTTAAATTCCGACCGGACTATCACAAGGTGGCTACTCAGAACTGGCCGGATAGCGCTTAGGCCCGGATAATATCGATCTTCTCAGGGGGACTTTGTTAGTAGGGTGAGAACATAGTATTGTGGTGAACGTAACGCAGTCGCTAATAGAGCGAACCTACGTAGCAGCGTATGTATTTAGTCCAGCCATTAGGGCACGGTTTGACATACGGGAGCACTTGTAGAGGTACCGGGGGCTTCGAGCCTACGGCGTATTTAATAATAATAATAATAAATTCCGACCGTTAGCTTCGATATTGCGACGTGATTGACGTTTTTGAAGACGCGCCTGGAGAGTGGTATTCGAGACTTTGTAGATTGTTGCAGCACGTCGGATACTAAGTGTTGAGTCATTTCTGATAGCCTGAGTTGCAAGGAGTAATTGAGATTATTTTTGAGCAGAATCCATCGAGAATTAGTTGCGTGGTAAAGTTAGGAAGTTTAGTTCTATTTTTTGCTATGGGCGTGACCCGTTCGGTTGGGTGACCCGTTCGCTTGTGGACTACGTTACCGCATGCTGGGGTTAGCATATCCTTAAAATATCCCTCTCAGCATACAGAATTAAAATAGATTCAAAATCATTGTGAGGAATATGTTCTTACTTCTCCGTAGTCGCAACTAGTTATCTGAGTGCCCAACTGTTGTTCAAGTTATTTCGGTAGAAAATCCAACCGTTAATAAGGCTGCAACTAATGAAAGCTACTTTCAGGTCGTTCTAGATTTCCCTAGGACATTCTCGAGCTGCCATATCTCTAATGGTCATCCTTCCCGAGAAAACTTTTCCAGGATCCATTACTGGAGTATCTGGGTTTCCTACCAATCGTAGTAGATGACCCAGGTATTTCACTACCGTTCCTAGTCACTAGTCCGACACAACTTCAGTTGCTAATATAAGTATTCACCTCTGAAGGGCGTCACCGCTGGTGGTCACGACTTAGTTCGATATTGCTCAGTGAGGGATTCAACCCTCAGATGATGACTCTGGACAGATCCTGTATTGGTTACGATGCTCGATGCGCAGTGTGATGTGTGTATTGACTGCTCGGAGTGCTATGTAAGAAGTTACATCTAAGGTAGGTAGGCAGGTGCCGACCTTTTTATCTACACAAGCGATTTCACTGCCTTAGGCACCACCTCAGGCACCACCTCAGGCACACATATGGCGCTCAATCCCACACTTAGTATATAACACTTCTTAGCTAGCTCGTTAATATAAACCCTTTGATAGCACCGGTTTACTAGTGTGATCAACACACAGGGTTTTAGCAACTGCTAGAAGTTTCTTATTATAACGGTGTAGCTTCTAGGTGCTAGGATGGGAGCCTGACCCTAACCCTAACCCAGCCTTAGAACTCGTCAGGACTGGGCTAGTATAGGTCGTTCGGATAGTGGTTAGCAAGGCGTTATTGTTGGACCAAATTGACCGTCAAAAGACGAAGGACCCACTCGTTGTAGAATGAGGTATTTTTGGTAATTATAATTATTATTATTAAATACGCCGTAGGCTCGAAGCCCCCGGTACCTCTACTAGTACTCCCGTATGTCAAACCGTGCCCTAATGGCTGGACTAAATACATACGCTGCGTCGTCGGTTCGCCCTATTGGCGACTGCGTTGCGTTCACTACCATACTACGTTGGTTCTCAACCTACCAACAAAGTCCCCCTGAGAAGATCGATGCTATCTGGGCCTTGAAGCTGTCCGACCCGTCCCTAGCAGCCACCTTACAATAGTCCCACTAACTACTGGTTCTCCTGTTGCCGTTGCGAGGTCTCTGCGAGAGTATAGTGGCTGTGGTGCGATAGCGGCCCGTAATCGTTCCCTCGGTCCTTCCAACAGCCCGCAAAAGAGGATTACGTGCTCTGCCGTCTCAGGGGCGTCGCCACAGTGGCATAGCGGCGAGTACACGCCAAAAGCCCCTGTCTTGAATAAGAAGGCTGCTAGTCCTATTTTTTCCGTCCTGATCTGGCACAGCGTAGACGCTTCCAGTCGGTTCAGGCCGAAATACTTGCCCCCTTTCGGTATCTGCATCGAAGGGCCCTCCGGTTCCTCAGCGATGGCGCGTCGCTGGCGATCGTGATGCTCTGCTCCGGTGAGCCATCTCTTCCTCCAGTGGCCGAGGAGGGCAGCCGGGACCTCCCTTTCCTCACTCATCCACTCGGAGCCCCGGGACTCCTTCTCCATAGTGTACCCTGCCGGTCGGAGTAGCTGCGACGCCTGCTTCCTCTTCGCCGGCCTATCCTGCCGGAGTATATGTGACGCTTTAGCGCTCGCGCTGCGAAGCAGATTTCTCTTCCCGCTAAGCCGTAGCCGTTCTTCAAACTTAGCAGCCCGGGCACTAAGATAGAGGTCTAGTGGCGGGATTGCTGCTTCTGCTTCCAGGTGGCGAACCGGCGTCGCTTTGTGGGCGCCACAGACTACCCGGAGGCACTCGTTCTGTATCCCCATCAGGCTCTTAGCTGGCCCTGCCGGTTCCTCACTTATAGTATGCCACGCAGTCGCCCCGAAGGCGATCGCGCTACGGATAACCACCGTATATAACAGCCTCGCCCGTATAAGATCACAGCCCCACGACATATTGACTAGCTTTGTCAGGGCTAGCTTTTGAGTTGCCATTTTTGTTTTAACCCGCTCAACATGGGCGTGCCACGTCAGTTTGCGGTCGAACCAGACTCCTAGGAACCTCGCTGAGACTACCGGCGACACTGTGGCGTCCCCAAGGCGAATACTTTGCGGCAAGGGCTCTCGGGCCCTAGTAAAGTGCATTAGCTCACTCTTCTCAGGGGCGAACTCCATCCTGTGCCTCACTGCCCACCGCTGACACGTAGCCCATGCGCCCTCCAACCGGCGGCAGGTCGTGTCTGGATCGGTGCCGACGCTTAGCAGGTTCGTGTCATCCGCGAACCCGACTACTAAAAGTAGTGGGTGCTGCTCCGCTAGCTCCTCGTACCGGTAGTTATAAGATCTGACAGTTATTAATATTAGGCTTAATCTTCTTGACCTTCTAGACCTCCATGATACCGGCATAGCTTTCTAGTTCTATAAATTCGCCTAGGAACTTGTTAAAAGGCGAGTCGTTCCGCATTATGGGAATAAGCTTGAGATTAGCTTCTAATGCTAGGTCTACGATAATGTATTTAGTGTCTAGTGTACCCTGGAGTTCGTCTATTCTGTAATAAGTCTACTAGCTTATCTTGGCGGAGTATTTAGCAATAGAGCTATTAGATTGTGGGAAAATAGTCTTGTATTGAAGATGCCATGATCTCTGGAAAATCCTGAGAGAAGTAAACAGCAGCTATAAGGGCCTTATATAGACAGGAATGCACGATGCCTGTCCCACAGGCAGGACTTGTGTGGTTCGATGGGTAGTGGTCATATTCGCCCATAACGTACGGTACGTGGCCATATGTCCTTCCAAGACTGGCAGTCTTGGTGTTGTGGCCTTGAAGGTCTAACAAGAGCCGCAAAGGTACTCGATAAATTAGCCAGCGCATGCCTCAATTAGGCCGATAGTCAGGAGGATCTTAGTATGCTCGGAGGTAAAAACCTTCAATACATGAACGCATATGGAAGGCAAATGTATATTTGGCTACTAAGAAGGATGGGAAGAACAGAAGAAAATACTAGGTTCCCTAGAACTACTTGAAAAGAGTGTGAAAGCAGGAAACCAAGCATGGGCCACTTGATGTCCTGCGCAGTGGTCCAACATGTAAGATAGTACAGATGATAAATACTAAAACTAAGGGAAAGTTCTGAATAACTGCTAACAATGTAATAATCTTGCCTTGATACATCTCTGCCTCCAGCCGGTTGCTCCTTGCCACTCTGTCAGTGCAAATAAAATCAGGATTCAGGATTAACCCAATAGTTTCCCTGACTCCTGACATGATTCCACATCTTCACTCCTCTCTCCACGCCACCGGAGTAATCTATTGAAATGTTACTACAACCACCTGATTTATCATGAATGCTGGACGCTTACCATCGATAAGATGGCGATCATGTCGGAAGTTTCGGATATCTCAAGCGGATCCGGGGACTTGCCCACTGCATGCCTCAAAATATTCTTCTGTTTTAGTGCCTCCTTTCCCATCACTAACCGTTCGGGTCTTCTTAACCATTTGGCCGCAAGTGAATGGCGTACTCTTGGTTATATGGTTGTAGCCGCATTTGGAACAGTTGGCCATGTTTTCAGGAGGAGTTGAAATAGGTAGGATACTGAGTGAGCTATAAAATTTGACTGGGTAAGTACTCCACCAGCTGTAGAGATGCGAAGATGGGGTAACCTTAGGCAGGTATTCTGAAGGATGGAAAGGACGGGGGAAATTCATAAAAATCGACCAGCTGAAGACGAAGTATTTATATACGCTACGAGGCAAGTTCTAATACAGCATTGGAGCCCTTGTCGAATCGACTCTGTCCCATGGGGAACTATTAGATCTGCTGTGGCACGGTCTAATTCGTTGGAGTTAATTGTTCGACAATAAATGATTGATGTATCCAAGAGGCGGTCAAGTCCTCGATTCAGACATGATAATCGATACTCGGTACTGCGACAATATTAGGCAATGCTGCTGTGGCCAATAGCCATGAGAGTCTATCTGATTGATTAATTGATAATTCATTCATAAGGCTCCTTGGTTCTGGAGGTCCTTTGGAACTTTTTGACTAGGTAGGGAAGGTGGCAGTGCATCTGGTCTAGAAATCTGACCCTATTCAGGCCTCCCTGAACGAGTGGTACAGCCATGATTGATTGTGAAGGGGAAGTAAAGCTGGCGATCTTTCGCGAACCCTGCGTTCTGCAGATGATGGGCCATTCTCAACCGGGAGTCGGCCCAGGTTCTGCAAGTTGCAACCAACGTTCACTTACCGGCCATTATCAATCCTGGGCTGGAGATAAGTGATCATCGTCCGAGGATCCGATTGGCAGATCTAGCGCATCAAGCCAGACAGCCATTGTGAAATCTACCCTCGAGCCGGCTTCTCACCAAGGAGTACATGCAACTCCCTGTCAAAGTCACCTGCATTTATGTGTTGGCCTAAGAAGGACATATGGCCACGTACCGTATGGGCCAATATGACCACCACCCATCGAACCACATAAGTCCTGTCTGTCTATGTAAGCCCGTATGATATTAGCGTTAACGATAGCTTCCTAAAAATTAGTGGTGACTCAATCGCCGTAATACGTCTCGTAGCGGTAGCACATGAGCGAGGCCTCGCTATAACGATTACGGATATTAAACCGGCCCCGATTATACCACCTAGCCCTAAAGGTGACAGAGTCAGCCGACGCAGATAAGGCGACCAGGCATATATGGCTGCTTGATAGAGGTGTGCAAGAGTGAGCTCTGTGGGAATGATCGCGTTGTGCCCGTTGTATCCAGTACCATAGTATAGCAATATAAGGTTGAAAGTCATCGATGTGGCATCCCTGTGGCCATTCTACCAGTTTGGCAGCAGGGGTCCCACAGCCACTGCTCTGTTTAGTAGTGCATCGGCCGTTGTCTTCTACCGACTGGGACCTCCCAACTCCCTCGAGCTTTGATATTGGTGACCATCGATAACTAGTTTGAGAAATCGATAGAGAGCATTGTCTTATGCGAAGGGGCCGTTGCCTGAATACCGATCAGAGGGGTAATACACACTTGATACAGAGGATGAAGGCACCCAAGATTCCAAAACTGCCTTCATGCATGCTGTCGCCGTTGCTTCTACGTACCGTTATGGCCGCAGTCATCGCACAATTTCCCATCCGCAAAGTGGCGATACGTATCATCGAATAGCTTATCATACCAAATAGCGGAATAATGGGCTAAAAGACGGTGGCGAACGCCTTCAAATTTTGATAGCATACTGCGAATTTCGCATTAGGCCTCCCTAAAGATTCCAGAAGTGCTTCTTTACGCACAAAGCGCTCAGGAATCCGCTGACCGAAACCACACTGAATGCATTCAACTCCTCGGTGCCTGTGCTCGGCATACCCCTCGGATTTCTTGGACGGCCTCCGTTTCCGCCTGGTTTCTCCATGCTTGTGCATCATTACAGCCAACACATCGCACCTGCAGTCTTTGCCCAGCTTGTGCCTCGCCATCTCGAATATGATATCATTGTGCAGGTTCTATCCTATATGCACCTGGGATCTCTCGAGTAGGCATAGCCCTCCCAATTTCCCGATTATCTCTATTTAATATGAATACGAGCAACAGTAACTTGCCGCCGACCATCTGACCCGATATCTTCTCGAGATAACATATCACGCTCGGGGAGAGGCATCAATCATCCAGTGACTTATTTTTTGGTATCTTACATATCAGCCTTCCTGCCCTGAAACATATTGTTTATTAAGCACGCTCAAATGACCATGTCCATCTCGTCCTCCGCTGAGAATCCAAACTGGTTGTTCTGGATTGCTGCAATGCGGTCCAACTCGGCCTGGTACTCCCTCCGCAAGTCCGCGAGTGTGACCACCTTCCTCTTGCTGATACCGTTCGCGTCGGATTGTTCCGTCGCGATCCAGGCTTGCTTGGTCTCGACGCAGCTCAGCACATTGATCAGCATTAGGTACTGCCGCGTGACGGCCGTGTCCAGGACGTCATCCCCGGTCGGCTGATCAGCTTCTCCGACCTGCCGCAGTTTTTGTATGCGATCGAGGAGGATCGCTGCAGCTCCGCGGTAGTCGTTGCGCTTTATTCTCCAGGCGTACAGGATCTGGTGGTAGGGGATACCCGTCACAACGTCGGTGGCTATTTGACATTTCTGGGCCAAGATCTCGTCCACTGCGTTCTCAAGATTGGGGAACGGTAGATCCACCAGCTCCGAGTTGTGCAAATTATCGCACATGCGCTGGATGAGCATGCGCAGTGATGAGTGCTGCAAAGCGTAGTCCGACATTGCTACCAGGGTAGAATGGGCCAGGTCGAAATGGGAGATGTTGACGGCTGCACTAAATAGGCGGCTTTGGATTTCCGTGCGAAGCAATGCTGCATCGTGTGTGTGTGTGTTGACGAACTGTAGTGCCAAGCGCGCAAATTCAACGACATGGGAGTGAGCCTTCTGCTTCTCGAACAGAGACACAACATGGGCATAGTATTGTGGCATCCCCGCATTGAAAAGATTCCATTCTGTGTCATCAAGCAGACCACTGCTATGCCTATCCGGGTGCTTCATCGGCATGCCTACACAACGAATTAGCTTTGGCCATTGGAAAGGGGGGAAGGGGTACCATACTAAGGCCATATGCTGCCTTCTTGAAGTACACAGCGGCAGTGGAGAAGTCCTTGAGAGCAAGATGGACTCGTCCTTGTATGTAAGTCGAGAAGGGGTCTTGGTCGCAAAAGGGACCAAGCTCCGCGGCTAGATCAGGTCGATTCTGAACGAGGAGGGCACATTGGGTGAAGTGGGGGGGGAGTTGAACGTTGCTGTCCTGGGCGCAGAGATCCATTGCGATATCCGTGATCGCAGAAGGAATAGAGTCAATCTCGGGGACTCCCAAAAGATGACCGACCATACCCTCAACAGCCGTTATGACTTGATACTCGTCTCCTTGGCGCTTCGTTGCCACTGGCGAGCTACCGAGTGTGGAGTTGGACCTGTCTACCTTAGAAAGAGGAACCGTCATCTCAGTCTTCGCTAGCCATTTAACAAGCTCTAGTCTCTTTAGGGAAGTTATGAGATAGCGATAGACCGTGCCAATATCTATCCTCATGTGTAAAGCGTCCTCAGGCTTGTCGAACTCGTATTCCATGTGGACAAGTAGAACCAGTTGGCTCAAGCAGACATTCCACTGTATATCGGCCATTCCTTGGAGAGCCTTGACGGCAAGCTTGCGTCCAAAATCCGTCAAAGGATAGTGACTTTCCTTGAGCGATTCGGCAGGTGCATTCATTAGATCTAGTGTCTTCTGATACAGCGGCAGCGTTACCAGCTTAAAGTTCGGGCCGAGTGCATCAGTGACTTGTGCGCAATCTTCATCGGAAACTTGCCGCCAAAATCCAGCTTTGTCTGAGAAGAATAGGATGCGGTCATCATCCGTTTTCGGCGAGTCCTCGAACAATTCGGACCGCAGTACCGAATTGATTATCTGCATCATGTTGTCGGAGAAAATGTCCACAAAGCTCAAGCCTGTAGATATGAGCGTTGATACATGATCAAGACCTTCAGGGCTATCTGCTGAAGGATTGTGGCAAATCTGCTCCAGTTGGCTGCAGTCGCGAATGGCTGAGATGCTGTCGGCACATACTACCCAGGGCGCATGGGAATCAGGCTCATAAGCCAGGGCTAGCGCCTCGCCTCGATGCTTGTCCAACTCGTTGAGAAGTCGGTAGAAGCGTCGCCAATGGATTTCGCTCGAAACGCGGAACTGCTCATAGTCCATGCCCCTGGACGCGCTCCGCTCCAGAGTCGAAGTTGATGTCAGCGCAGAACATATTGACTCAGCCATGCCTTTGCTACTCCTAGAAGAGGTATCTCGTGTTGTCCCAAGACTCTGCTCATAGATTGACAGTGCAGTCTCAAGTGTGGCCTTGGTAAATCTCCCAGGAAATAGGATCACCTGCAACCACTTCTCGGTGACGTCAGTAGGGTCGCAAGGCCCCGATATTTGCGGACCTTGTGTGTCCTTATCGGGGTAGACTCCTGACCAGCCGTCCTGCCAGGCATCCTCGATATCTTCTGGGAGGAAGGACAGATGCTGTACTCGGTATGTCACATTGTTCTTCCATAGGACCCAGAGTTCCGCACCGTGGACGGAATCTTGGGCAACAGCAAAGTCCGCCAATGTCCACACATCGGATCCAGGCGGAGGGATTGGGTTCAGTTGGGCAGTAGGGAAATGATCTTCAATGGTGACTCCCTTGCCATCTGCTTCCAATCTCCAGAATTTGAACTCGCCCGCACCAATAGGTGAGTATGTGACGCAAAGACGCTTCCCTTCTGTCTCGCCGACTATTTTGATCAGATTCGTCTGTGATGGGTCGATCGTCCACTTTCCGGTCTCTTGAGGATTTCGTTCGGCGTCCAGCAGGTCCCGCGCTTCTAAGATCTGGCCATTCTTGAGATTCCACACCCGCAGACGGTGGTCTAAGCAAACGGTAAACAAATATGAAACGTCAGTCAAGCCGACATCTGTTGCAATTGCCGATGTTGAAGCGGTAAGTTCCATGTTCAACCCGCCATGCTTGATAGTGTGGCCACCTTGGATCAAACTGCGAAGACCCTGGCCCCAACCTTTGACGTTGAAGATTGTTTCCTTCCACGGATGGTGAAACGCTTGGAATTTGTCAGTTCATGCTCATACATTAAAGTGCACACTTGTTTCGTACCGTCATGTCCCTTATTCCGCTCCAACTTTACGTTTCCACCATCATATGCCGTCGCAACGAGAAGATCATCGTGAACAGCAACCAGCCGATGAGGCAGCTTGTAGCTGAGACCATTCGATTTGTAGATCTTGCACGCGTCTGCGAAGGCATTCTCGGTCGCTGAGCGTTTGCGGAAGTTGTCAGGTCGTAAAGTAATTGTGAATAGGTGGTTCTCTGTGTCGATGACAAAAATGCTCAAGAAGTCATGATCCTGGGGATCGGCGAGTGCGACACAGGACGGCCGGATAGGCTGTGGAAAGCGAAAGTTGAGAACGAGATTGGCGTCGGAGACCTTCTTCATCTTGCACACATCAATGGCGCGGATGCTGAGCAGCGTGTCGTCCTCCAGAACTCGCCACAAGAAGCTCTTGGGTGTTGTGTGGTACCTTCGGTGGTAGACCGCTGAGGCTGTCGCGCAGTTCCTGGCTCGAAACGTCTTATCGTCCTCCACGGTCCCCTTCGCTCGCCGTTTGCTGCTCGAGTGGGAAGATGCCGATGGGAGCTTGACATCGACAATGAGCGCGCTCGATGGTGCCTCAAAACTTACTCTAGTCTCCTTGAAGAGGTACAAGGGGTCGCTAGAGGCCATGTTGAGTCCATCAAGGCTGTGCCAGAGCTCGCGCCTGATTTCTTGTTGTGTTATGCTGTTTACGGTTGGGACAAACGCGATGCAGATAAAGGTTGAATTTCTTTGCAAGTTCTCGATGCTTGCTTGGGGAAGCTCGGTGAGGTGGTTGCTCTAATCGGGTCCGTGCATATATGTATTAGTGCGGGCTACCTGAGCGGGAGTAACTTACAAGAACAGCAATCAAGCAGTCAATAGTCTACAATCAAACATCCAGCTGTCCAGATCAGGCCATTTTTTTCAAGCAACACCGTCGAAAGTCACAAAGAATCATGAAGTTTCGAGGTATAATGAATAGAACCGGATGAGTGTCAACAGTAAAACAGGGACACGGAAATGCGAATCGAGCACTTTTCTTTTTCCTATTCTGTCTACTTTCAAGCACAGCATGATCTCAAGCTAGACCATTGTACAGAAGCCCTGAGGCTGAAATTGCCAGCGGATCTCAATGTAAACTGAGTACAACTGCCTGTAGAATCCGCATCGAAAATGGAAACATCCTCTGGTGTCCTAAGCTATATAATATAAGCAAGTCTAAACAACCCTTAAAACGCCAAAAGCCATGTAAATGCAGTTACCCAGCTCCTGTCGTTTCTGTCGTTGTCATTCCATGACCACCAAACTCGGTCAGGTCGTCACTCACGCCAATTAATTACTCATCTTTTCCATGTCCTTTGGCGACGGATCGCCAATACCGTCCTCGTTGATGGCGAACAGACAGTCGCTCTCAGGTAAACAAGGGCTATCATAGATCTTCGCAATACGAGTCTCCCCTCGGCCCTTCTTCAGACTGATACGAGTCGTGCTGGCGTGTGCGATAATATTGCCACCAATAGGCTTTTTGGGATCAGGGTTGAACATAGCGCTCGGTCCACCGTCAACCTGGGCGACAACTTGGTTGGTAATGACGACAGCTATTCCAAACTCATCGGCGAGTCGCTGCAGGGTGCGCATGAACTTGGCCAGGTGAGTCTGTCTTGAAGACAGCTCGCCTCGACCGAGGAAGTCAGTTCGGTACAGTGCCGTTGCGCTGTCCACGATGAGAAGTGAGAATCTCGTCTCGCACATCATAGCCGAAGCTTGGTTCAGGAGTTGCAGCTGGTGATCCGAGTTGTAGGCGCGTGCATATGCCACGTTATCGAGAACTTCTTCGCCTGACAGTCCATACCTATTTGCGACGGCAAGGAGACGGACTGGTCGAAAGGTGCCCTCGGTATCGATGTAGAGGCACTTGCCTTCTCCGCCACCCATGTCAAAGGGCAGTTGACAAGTTACTGCAAGCGTATGGCAGATCTGACTCTTTCCTGTACGGAATTCACCAAAGAGCTCGGTAATTGAGCCCGTCTCTACACCGCCAGCAAGAAGGGTATCCAGATTTTTCGATCCAGTGGTGACTGAGATCAACTCGCTTCTGCGTTGATGCATCTCAGTCGCAGTGGTGAAGCCCATGGGCACCAATTTGGAGGCTTAATAGTGTCAGAATGGTCCACGAGCAAGCGATGGGATGTGCAGCTTACCTTCGGCTAGGATCTTGGTGGCTTTCTGCTCAGAGACACCTTTGACCTGCTCCAACGTTCGTCTCGGCGTATAGGCGATAGACTCAACAGTTTGAAATCCGCCGTCCATAAGCAGCTGGAGATCGCGCTTGGTGAGTCCTGCGACGCCCTGGATCTATAAGTCAGCAAATACTTGATTCCAGGAGAGATGGGCAAATGCTACCTCAAGAGCTGACAGAGGCGTCGGCGCGCCTGGGCCGGTCATTCCAGTCTCCTCGCCTTCATCGCCATTCTGAACCTCCTCATACTCATCTGCCATGTTTCAAGACGATGAGTTGAGTGCGTGATATTACTTAACAAATCTTGAATTGCTGAGGCAGAGAGCGTAAATAGATGCGGTGTTGAACTCTTATCTTGACTCTATTGGTGTACTTCATCGGGGAACGCGTCAAGACGCGATCTAGTGGCAAAAGGCGAAAATAACAATCTAAAGGAAAGAGCCCCTCACCACGCGCGGTCATGTGAACCAATTTAGTGCCATTTCGGTCTTAGTGCGGGTCTTATTCAGTCTGGACCCAGTCAGCAGCATCTCTATTGCGTTTTGGAACTGTACATGCCACGTTGCGACTGGAGATTCTTTGTATCTACCCATTTTTTTATGCCAGGCTTGATTATCTATGGTATTTAGGAGTAAAGACACTAATTTTATGTATGTACTGTGTCATAACTGCCAGTATGCAGCAGATGACTGAAGTACCTGAGGTTTTTTTTCCCGATTCCAAACTAAACGCCGAGGGTGCTGTCGCCCTGATATGCTGTCGTCTAACATATGTATGCGCCTGACCAGAGAATGCAGTGTACCAGTACAGTGTTATATGCTAATACTCGATGGGAAAAGACCGTTATTCCACAGCCCTCTGGATGAAGACTGCTGGTTTTGCTCTCGTCTTCGTTTTCTGTACGTTACTCCTAATTTTCAAGATCCATTGCTCCCTGATCGACCATTCTTCTTATGGAGTTTGTTGACTAATGTTCGAGAGGTTCTGTTGCGCCTTTCACTTGAGTCGCCGCTCTCCAGGTCAACGTGGTTGCCATTGTGTGCCGAAAAGTCGAAGTGTTCCCCCATCCGACCCGGCATCACTTCAAATCCAGCGTTGACGCGCCTCGAAGTTCGAGCGCCTTGAATATCACCAGAGTAAGATCGCTTAGGAGGTCGCGCAATGTGTTCTGGCATGACGTGTTGGGCCGCGGCTTCATGTGTACTTTGGGCCTGGTAAACAAATTGTCTCGATGCGCCACTGCTAGATCTGTCGCGGGGTTCGGGAGTCGCAAATGGGTCTCTCTGACTACCGTCGGACGAGTCTCGCTCCGGGTAATATACTGCTGGTTCATTCGTTGGCGCGCGCATTACGTCGGGAAACGGACTCTTTCGGCGGGGGTTCTGGCGCATGTTGGTTAATCCTTCTTCGGAGGAAATGGAATTGCGATCTCCCTCTGTAGGCTGTTGAGCCACCGCCGCCGCCCCAGGGTACCTGATCGAAAACGATGTTGTAGGAATATAGGTCTGGAGGATGGGGCCTTCGTAGGATCCTTCCAGCTGCCTCAAAGTGTCATCGTGAACAGTGTCATTAAGTTGGGTGAGAGACTGGGGACGGCTGTGCTTGGGTTTGTAGGTATTTTGCGGGCCTAGTTGAGGCGACTTGTGCGGTGCTCCATTCAAATTGGCTGCACTGCTACGTTCAAAGGTGCTTCCGGTTGGGCTTGGGATCGTGCTTCGTGGTTCAGCGACTGACAATGTTGTTGCAGCAGATCCATATACCACTGCCCTCTCCTTCCCCTTGGGCTGATTGACAGGTGGGAATGCCATAGAGGATGGTGCCGCGAGAGGGCTTTGCGAGTCAGGTGTTCCTGGTCTCGAAATCCAGATCCCATCCACCTCGATACCACTTTGTATCGCCCGGACGCCGAAGGGGATGTCTGCCCGTTTCATAACCGGAAGGCCGCTGCTTTGCATCTCCGAAATCCTTGTCTTCTTCTCCTCATCGAGAAGTATGTGCTTCCTGGTGAACCTGTTCATATACCACAGTTTGCACAGGCCCGCAAAAAATACTAGAACGATGGCGCATCCGAGGACCTTCGACACTATCAGCAGCTGTCACGCCTGGCGTTATGGACGATTGGATTCGACTTACAAAGGTCATCTGCTGCCAAAGCTCCCAGTTGACGAAAAATGTAACGGCCCCCATGTTGAAAGATGGTGATGTTACTCGGTCCTTCCCAAGAGAGGTTGAGAGAATAGAGCTTATGAAGCTCCGGTTTTGGTGTAACGATTGAATTTGACTTGAATTTTCGAGACCGGCGAGCAGCGAATGTTAAATTGAAGGGCCGATAGTGGGTTATGAACAGTCGCTTGCGAATATGGGACGGCGACGCCGGCGGCAGGTACGAAATCGAATTATCGCGCAGGTCAGAATTTCGGGTGGCTTAAAGAAACAAGTTATTCTGCCTTCGACGAATACGACGAGGCAAGGGTTGTGGTGCTTGAACGATATCTGGCATCCGGATTGCTGAAGATGCGCGGCAAGGGACAAACAAGGACTTTGCTTGACGTCGATGAGACCGAGGCTGGCTTCTGACGTACGTCAAAGTCGAACCACCCACTCGGTATTCAGAGGGCCTCAAAAAGGTCCAAGACAGCCCTGCTGCAGGAGCTATTCGAATATCCCAGGCTTCCTGTGCAACAAGTCGACTCTTATGTGTTTTCGCAGTCGAGGTCGAGACCCTGTCGGATCTTGAACGAAAGTAACCCGGATTGATCGATAGTATAAGAAAAGCTACCGATAGATTACGAGCAAGCCGTGCAGGTCTTGTGGTACAAGGCCAATAAAGTAACCATAGATTGTGAATATAGCCGGAGCACGGTTGGTATGCTCTTGAACGAGGGGACAGGACCAACGGATCCAACCAAACAGTAAGTGACAGACAGGACGGGATGGTGACAAAACTTAAGACAGACAAAATCAAGGCAGTGTTCCCGGTTATATTGTGTGGGCGGTCTGATGGAGAAGACGGGGTTTTGTATAAGACATGGTAGGCGACGCGGGTACAAACAGCTGTGTACCTCGTTGCCTCGGCCTTGGACCTCCCCAGGCCGTGCTAACATAACCTTGAAAAACTGCCCTCATTCTCCTCGTTCAGATGACGGAACTCTGTCCAAGTTGGCAGCATTCCCGGACCCTCGATGAGTTGTGCAAGGATATGCCATTTCTGTGGTAGGCCAACGAACTATGGTGTCGACTCCACGCACAGTGGGTCGGCCAAGAAAGGGATCAGGGCGTCAACCGTGATAAAACACAGCGCTTAAAAGCTGCATTGGTTCGCTTTCTGGTCTGTCTACGGCAGCCTCTTGCGTACCAACCGGTTGGAATCTGACCAAAAATCCAATCAAACCTTCTTTTAGAAACACATTCCTACCGCTGCCGACCACGAGTTCTACGGCGAGTCATAAAGAAAGCCGACCGCCAGAAACAGGCACTTTACCCGGAGGGGCGATCCTCGTCCGAGATGTAGAGGTCAATGCCCTGTGCCTTCAGTCTTGCCAGCGCCTTGCGGTAGCACTGCGTCCCAGCGACCAACGACAGGACCCAGGCAACGCTCGCAGAAATCCCACCGACTTGCACCCTGCCCTGCCCACTAATAACCGCGTATAATGGCGATGGGCTTGGCAGTCCAGCCGGCCCTTGCAGGCACAGACACTTCTTCGTGTGAATACGAACAAATACTTGCGAAATTTAAGGGCCTTGCCCGTTGCATCAGGCTAGAAGAAAGTGATTTACGGATGCTAGGGGCTGCATTCAAACATCGCCGTCTCGATGCCTGACGAAATGCCAGCATCTGTGCCGCTCCACATAGTAGGATGGCCCACTCTTTGTGGGGGAAGATCGGCTCCGAGCGAACAAGCGTGCTGTTTCTTTAGTACACATTCCAGCCCATTCTTCAAAGTCGTCTTCCTGGGTCGCATTAAGCAGTTCCACGGCACTCTAAAATCGAAACGAGGTGTTTCTATTCCTCGACTATCCGGCCATGCACAGCCAATTTCATTTTGGGCAGAGGAAAGAGTCGCATTGCCGGCAATCCTGCTGCGACCTCTCTATTTTGCCAAAAATACCTTTGCTCTCCCAAAGTGCGGCTGCTCCCGGTTTCTTCAGCGGCCTGGAATTCTGAAGTTTTATTAACTGTTGTACGCCCGTTCTAGAACAGGTCGTCAGCACAGCAAGCAGTGTGCAAACTGCAACTGCCAGGCTTTGGGTGGCTCCGATGCTTGCAGGAACACGAGCTCGTCACTCTTTTCTTTAGTTACACCATTTTCGTTGAGCTCGGAATCTCTTGTGCCTTTATCTCTGCCCAGCTCTGCTCAGGTCCCCTTCGCAGGGCCTCCCTGAAAAGTCGAAAGGTGCTCCGGCCGGCGCCGGACCAGTCAATCATCAGACATGTTCCGATGTGGTTACATTCGATGATGTTTTTTTTCCCTGACCTTGTTCGTGGCGAGTTTGGACTAAAACGCTTGTCCTTGGCGGGCTTGGCAGGAGGAACAACGAGGACAAACCTGCGGACAAAGAAATGGCTCTTGGACCAGATTTTAGTCATACGGCCATATCCCATACGAAACGGTAAATTCAACCCCCGACCGGCGTTGCTACCGCCAGGCCCCTAGAGAATGCGTGCAAAGCCTCAGGGGCATCCGTTCATGCGAGTGCTGTCTGGGACAAGGCTGTAATGGTCTACTACGCAAAAGACGACTGGGTTCACTCTATGCCCAGCCTGCCGCGATGCACTCGTAGCCAACGTTCAATTGACTGGCTGGTAGCATAAGCTTGTTTTTTTCTCTGTATTTGCCTGTCGAAGTACTGGGTGTTGAGAACATCAAAGTCTCATATGGCTGTGTGGCTGGAATCTGGTCTGTGAGCCACTTGTTTTGTCCTCGGGTTGGACACAATGGGGCCCTCTGATTGTAATAACACTGGGGATCAAAGCGAAGTTCGCAGGGTGCTGTAAGCTGCTTTAAGGTGTGACACTGGATCTGGATGATCTGTCCTAGCCCCGCTACTAAATTTGTAGATCTTGCAAGGTTCACATCCATGGTGAAAGCTCTGAGCTCCAGAGCCTCAGCAACAGGACAGAAGCATCCCCTTATTTTCCGACATCATCCTTCTCTATGCCTGTCAACGTCAAGGGTCGGGTATAAATCCGGGCCAGTCGGGATTGTATTGCCGAGTTGTCCAGTCCGTTTGCACGGTCAAGCTTCGCTTTGAGATGGAGATGCATCCGAGCTTGGGGACATTGCTTAATACCAACCATAGAGCCATTGAGTGATGAATACATGGTGCATGCTACATGTCGCATGGTGTATGGTGCCATGTGCGCTCTCAGTGACATAATGTCAACCTGGGCAGAGACAAGTTGGCTCCTTCAGCCGCGTCAGATATCAATCAATCTTGGAGGCTCATCAGAGGGCGACTCGAGCACCGGGCCCTTCTCCTTCGTTTCGCTCTTTAGCTCCCAGCTTAAAAAGAACCTGCGTGACTATAGAGAACCAACTAAAGATAAGCTGCAAGCTTGTCATTCGCGAAAGTGGCCCGAATATTCGTGACGCAACAGGGAGTTGCCCCTTTTGGAAGGTTCACTGGGATGTTTGTGTCAGCTCAAATATTAGAGTTCAAAGTCAATGTCATGAAGCTCAGTTGAGTTGCCTACTTTGCACTAAAGTAGCGCCATCGGTCCCAGCACCAGAGCTACGGAGATTACTCGTAGAGATACGGCTAACGTCTATTACCCCTGAGACGACTTAAGCCCTTTAGCGGCGGCTTTAGAAGGTCGTGCAATCGAGATTTACACGTTTAGTTGCGTACTTTAGCTTGAAACTCGAGGGCTCAAGAGGTAAAGAATCTTCTGCGGAATATTCAGCCATTGGTACTCGTTACGACACGAATCATGCTTCCAAATATAACATTGGCGGCTTCTCTACACCCATGTATCACCGTTGACCGCAATCACCTTTGGCAAGCCACATTATGCGAGAGAAGTCGTGTATCGAGAAGTGTGGGGTTCTTCTCGACTACCTCTGCTGTCATACTCCATTTAGCTCTCTGTAAGCTGACCAGTCAGGAAAAGAATCAACAGCACAGCAACAGGTGTCTCCACATCGAAATGCACCGAATACAATCCAGATGACAATCAATAGAGCTCCATTTGGAACAACTTCGTCTGCACGTTGCCCGTAACACCTCTTATGTCGACCATCAACAACCTTAGAATGATAAGGTTAAACATGAAATCCACCCAGCCCACCACCAATGGCAAGGCGGTGGGGTTTTTTTGCGGTCACGAGAACCCCAAGGCTTCATCTCCGAGGCCAAGGGGTGACTCGTCAGCTTTGCGGCACCATGGGACCCCGGGATAAGATCTTTGCAAAACTTTACGACTGCCGTGCCTCTTACCACATAATTACATCTCAAGGTGAGATGGGCTGAGATGTGCAGACATGGGAGCTCATGGCGGATGATCTTTTCGCGTCTTCGGCCCTGCTGTGCCTCTTGGTATGCTTACAACTCAAGATGCAGATGAGGAATGTGGCGAAATACAGTGTTGCCAGGCGCAGGCGGCGCGGGCATCTGACAGACCAAACCCATCCATCTCGTCGTCTATATCCTTGCACTTGGCTGAACATTTGAACACGCTGCAAGCGACTTCAATATCCCGTCTCTAAGATTAGGTTTCTAGATGCACTATTGACTTGACAACTCCGGGATCCACCCAAGCCAAGTCGCATAGAACGCTAGGTAGCCTATTCATCTTGTATCCGGCCGAGATGCTGATCGCAGTCGGCCAGACAGATAGTTGTGAGCAGAACAATCAAGTGCGACGATGCCCAGAGAGTGATGCAGGTACAGACCTGGAAATATTTTGCGACGGTGTCAATATCATTATTATGTCCGTCGGGAATTGCTGGGCAGTGGTTTTGTTGAGAGAACAGTATACAAATAGCCATACTTGCCCTTAATCATAGCTTGCCACACCGTTTCCTTGCCTGCGGTTCAACCCCGAGATGCGGAAGCGGGAGACCAGCATAACATACTCTGGTTTTCATCTGCGTTCTCTGGATCCCGTCATAGTGAGGAACTGTCACTTCTCTGATGACCAGCCCTCGAAAGCCTTTGCGTCGTTATTGACATGCTTCACTGTGGTTACGGGCCAGCAGCACTCGCATCTGCAGCCTCTTTTTAACCAATATTAGCTTGCGCAAGTAAAATATGGTACCAAGTACAATGGTGCTGAAAAAGTGCATGACATGGTTAGCAAATAGCTCTAGCATGTAGCACCCGGTGATTTCGATATGTAGGGAAAAAGCGGATGGAAGTGAAGCTGGCTTCTTGAAAGCACTGACGTATAAACCACTCAGCAGTCTCCCTGGCATCATTCATATCTATGATCAATTTGTTTCACATGCGTATTCCAGCAATCTGGGGAAATCCTCAGCCAGCAGTGAAATAAGGGAAGAAGCCCAAAAGGCAGGAACATCTCTGAATAATCATGAATCAAAACGGGCATACTTTCATATACTCTCGGTCTTTATTCTATGTTGAAAGCTCTCACTTAGAGGACAGGCCTCTACTTGTGAGCGAACCAGACTGTTCCGTTGTGCCGTATATTCTCCGAGGGTAGCCCCCTATTCAATCCACATTTCGACCTTTACAACTTCCCAGTCAGCATCGCAGGGGAAATGCTCAGTCGAACTAAATATAAATATAATAAGCCGTAAATCTGCCGTCAACTTTTCCATTCGAGCTGAGGTACTTCTTCTTTTGATGACGTACACTTCCGCATGGGACAAGTGTGAGCAAGTCCACACAGCATTGTCTTCAAGTACGTATGGTTTAAGCTTTATACAGACTGCACAGCTGTTGATCTTGGAGTGCCGGTTACCTGTTGGAAACAGCCTAGGGTAGTTGAAGATAACTAATACATGGACAGACAAAGTCATGACACGTTTTGAGTTTTTTCCTGTAATTTCGGCAACAAGAAAAGACGTGGTGAAGAAACTTCGGCATCAGGAGGTAGCAGTGGATTTACAGTGATACAGTAAGTCCTAAATATCTAGCTCCACTCCCCGAAGACTCTGCGGCTAGTCTTAGGTGAATAGATCCGAGCTGCCAAAAGATAGAACAGCATTGCAGTCTATATGCGACGACTCCTCGCAACGACTTCGCTTCCAATACCATATGCCAGTATACCATGCCTGAATCATCTTCACAAACCAACACAAAGGATGTTCACAGAACAGCAACCAAGCAGACATCCCCATGGACTTGGACCATGGCCCAAGTCTGGGCTACATCCTCAACTCCCCATGATTAGCGAGAACAGACAACCACTACCCTGAGAAGGACCCGGAATACAAGCTTGTGTGAGAAAACATGCCAACAAGTTACTCACGGCGATAGCTCATACAATTTTTCAACCTCAGTCGAGGTGCACGACTCCCTATACACTATCGAAACAATGGATAATCAATGCTCGAGGAGCTGAAAATCCAAAGGCTCAAGTTTGCTTCTCAGCATCATCCTTGGCACCTGAACCTATCCAAAAGGGGTTCCGGAAATCGACTGCGGTCTGCGAGATATGTAGCGGTATACGCAGACCACCCAACATATGGAGTCCAAAGATTTTCCATGTCTACATCAAGGTTTCCCCGTATAGCCAAGTTCAAAGCGGTAGCTTGAGCCTGGGGAACCTTAACAAGTGGCTTAAATCCCACACAAGAGTTTTTCTGGTGTAGTTCATTTCATTATCATTACCTATGTACTTAACAGGTATCTTCGGTGCCTATCTAGGACTGACTAAACTCTGCCCAAAGCAATGCAATGTTCTTCGGCCCTGGCCTTCGCCTGTGGCGACTCGCAACATAGGTAGCGAGCGACTGAAAACAGTATGGCCCAAATGCCTCCTCTAATGATGTAGGGGGCAGGCGATTGCTTCAGTTATCATGATGCCCCGACCTGTCATATCCCTAAAACGCCTCCAAAAACATGCATTCAGAATGGGTATTGGTTAGGTGTGACTCGGCAACTTCCCTCCGTTGATCGGTCCACTCTCACTGCATTTCCTCGCCCTCCATGGACTGAGACGACTTCGGCCGTTCCATGTTGCCGAGTTCGGCCCCCTGTCCGCTCTGCGCGCGCTTGCGCCCGGGCATGAATCGGGCCATCATCGTAGGGTTGTGATTACCAGCGTTCGAGTCCTGCGAGTCAGAGAATTTGGCGAAGAAGCCGCGCTTCTTGGGTTGCTGCAGCGGCTGCTGTTGCTTCTGCTCGTCGTTCAGGCCCACCTCTTCGAACCCCTCCTCGGCAGTTGGCGGCTCGTACAGGGCGCGGTTACGGATGGAAGACCTGGGCGGTCGCTGGAAGCGGGCGGAGTCTAAGCTGCGGCGGGAATCGAGGCTCTGGCGAGATTGGTCGTACATGATGACTGGAGATCTGGCCGAGATATCCTTGGTGTAACAGTAAGCAGGATGGTTCGATTGACTTCATGGGAAATAAACGGAATACTTACAAAGGACCGGCGGTAGGAGTCGAACGATTCTCTGGAGATGGAGAAATGCTCGATGTCGCCAATGCTGCTGCGGGTGTCCATGGACGTCCGGGACGGTACCGCAGAGCGTCTGGGCGGCCACAAGGTCTTCTCTTCACTCGGCGACGGCTATGATTTGGGTCAGTAAGCAGGATCGCCAATTCGCCACTGGAGAGTGAACGCACAGGAAGATATATACCAGAGTCGTTCACAACTATAGACAACAGTCGAAAAGTTAGTTCAGGGTGCTGACAATAAATCCAGCAACATCGGAAGGGAAGTCTAGGTCGCAACATAGAATTATCCCAATTGACGGGCAAGACGTACCACTCATCTTATAGTCGCCAGTGTCCTGGCTCTTTGCGCTTCGAATGCTCAGAGCAGACGAGGCTTTGGACCCAATTGTATCGACCCTCTCGAAGCCTGGATGCGCTGCGTCCTTCACGGCCAGCAGGTCACACGACGGTCGAACGTTCTCATCATTACGCCTGACGAAAGGGTTGCGAATCGGCATGGTTCGGGTAGTATCAGATGGCGACTAATTGATTTGGTAGAACTACAAAACAATGGATGGGAAACAGCAGCAGTGCAATATGTAAAACAAAAAACACTCAACGGCTATGAAAAACAATGGGGTCTTTGTCGCAACTTGTGCTAGAGCTTGACGAGGTGCCAATTTTTGGAAAAGCGATCCGTCCAGTTTGGCACTAGGCTTGTCGATGACCACATGGGAGTTCCCTGTTGAGCTAAGGAACGGAGCCAAGGAAGCGACCACAGCGGCGGTGCAGACCGATCGACAACGTCCGATCCGACCCCACTATGCAGACGCTTGTGCAGATTTGTGCAAGTTATGAAGAGACACCAAGCCCGTCAGGCGCAAAAAGTGCCGAAATTGCTGCGAAAAAAATTGAAAAGATCGGTCTGGGACTCTGGGCTGAAAACACACGACTGTTGCCAAGCCTTTCACTGCCAGGGACAGTTGTGGTTTTATGCGGGGAACGCTCGGGAAAGGCGGGTTTCCGCCCATGCCCTTGGGCGACTGTTGGACCTAATTAGCGCTAGCATTCCTATCAATCATGATGCAGCATCTGTGCCGATTTTGCCAGGAATGGCCCAGACAGCTCGCGCGAGCCCGGACCTGCATCGTTCGTCACATCTTTTTCGGACCATTTGTCTGCTTGCCTGCCATTGAACGAAACATCACGAGCACCTCCTTCTGCCAAGTCTGGGTGCAAACTGAGCCTATCCAGCTTCTAGCAGTTTAACAACTTGGATGGCTCGGTCGTTGATTCATTCAATCCGCGATCTCATTCCGCTTCCATGTCTTCCCAAGAGCCTCCTTTACTCGAGCAAGTGGCTGCCCCTCCACGAGGAATGTGCTTGTCAGCGATGATCGCCACAAATTATCTGCAGGTGGATTCGGCACATGGGGTCGAAGTCGGTCTGCAAGATGCGCCCGACAAGCTGTCGACACTGCCACTTGCTTGTCGCATTTGCCACCTGCATACAGCAACTAAGGAACATTTTCGTGTGACCGTAGGCCTTCAAATGGTTGACAAATTATGACGCATGTCAAACACATCATCCTCTTAAAGGAAGGTTGCCGTGCGGTATCACAAACTCGGCAGGCTGCTTCCAAATCACGATATTAGGATGGTGCCACCTCTGATATCTGAGATCAAATTGTGACCGAAGCTCCCGATTGATGTACTTACTATCTGGTCACCAGCCACTGAAGAACATAAGCATCCCTGCGCCCCCTACTTTCTCCTCTTCTCAATCTTCTCGAGCTCCCAGTCGATCTTCTTGAAGCTCCAGCTCTTCCAGAACGGCGGGTATAAGAAGGGTCTCAAGTCGAATCTGGAAAGCGAGTCAAACACAGCCCGATACCACAAGATTCTGGGTAAATTACCTGTTGTCATCTGGAGAGTAGTCATTGCAGTGAAGCGCCGGCGTGATCGTCGTCATCTTATGTCTGTTAATCGCACTGTAGCAAAGGGGTTAGTACTGCATAGTCAGGGGATTGGATTCGTTGTCGACACGTATTTCTCATGAGCCAGGCCTATGGGCACTTCGAGCTCTCGAGGGCCGCAAGGACGGAACGGGATTGCGCTGGAAGTTACGTACTAGAAATGGAAGAACCGCTTCACCTTCTCGGCCACCTGGGCCGGCGTGTAGGCAGGCGCATCGTCTTCGGGCCTGCGCTCTCGGTCGACGTTCCAGTCGTGAACGAGCCGTTGGAACATGCCAAAGCTTTGAGACGTCAGCATTGCAATGCACTTTCCTGGTGAGAAAACGGGGGAGCGCTTGTCACGCCTCAAGAACCGACACTCCCGGGTCGGGAAACAATCAGAAATGTTGGCTCTTTGGGCAGATCGAAGAGATTGGATGACTTGGGGAGTACTTACGGGCCTAGTTTGTTAACCTTGCGAAGGCGGCCGAAGATAGTCAATTCCTGGTATGTCATTCCCATATCGGCTTCGTCGCTTTGAACGTATGTGTCCGTAATGGGCTCAAGCTCGGCGGTGGGTACGGCGGTCAGGAAGTCGTGCAAGCAAAGCACTACGGCATGTTAGGCAAGCCATTATACGCTTAATAATTCGGAGTATCGACGTACAATTGAAGTCTTTCTCGGCCCAAGCAATGAATCTCTTGAGGTCGGCTTTCTGCAAGCGCGGTAGTCAGTGCTTATCAATCAAAGGGTATAGAAGGAGATGGAAATTGCATACATCGATGGAGCCGATGGGATTGATATCGGCACTAGAGCAGTCGTATTTTGTCTATACAATCACTATCAGTATCGATTTTAAACACAAAGCGTAAGACTACAGGCTGATATTACTCACCAAATAGCCCCTAAGAGACTCTCCAACGTTGGCGCTGCCTAGGACCAAGAGACTTCCTCCTCCAGGTCGATTGCGTGCTGTGGGGATGATCTGCCCGTACTCGTAAGCAGTCACCATGCGAATCCGAGCCTGTAAGCATTGCAAGGTAAGGTTTTCTTGGTTAGTGCCCCCCTCAACGCGGAACTTGGGCTCGAAGTTGTGGGTCTGGAGGACGAGGTTCTTCTGGGCATTGTACACATCATCAATGTCCAGGTTGACATGGTGACTGCCGATGGCCTCGGCGAGTGCTTTGGCGCGCCCGCGAGTCTCTTGTGAACTTTGCTTCTTCATCCCCATGTATATTGTAGTGAAAACTTGATTGCAGAGTGCCTGGGGTGTTTTAGGAAGAACGCCTTCGCCGTCATATTTGGCAATTCGCTTGACATCCTCAATAACTTGCGCATTGCCTTCCTCGATGGCTTTCATGACAATACGACACATCGAGAAGACAATTGTCGCCGTGGCACAGGAGTCTATCCCTCCGCTTAGAGGTACTAGAAAGCCTGCAGTACCAGATCTTCGGAGGTAGTCCCAAAGGTAGCAGCCAGCACACAGGGCAATTTCTTCCTCGACTGAATGGAATCTAGGATTTATCGGAGGCGTCGGGCGTCTCCCAATATCCGTGTCTTCATCCTCGGTACTGAGCTCAAATGAGGTCTGAACTCGTTGATACTTTGCTTGAGATCGGGCGGCCTGGAAACTTCTTGAGGTTAATGAGCGATAGGCCCTCACTTCTTCCAAGTCGACGGTGGCCGTAACGACCTCGACGTCGTTGAGGCTGAACTGTGATCCTTGGGCAACAACATCTCCATTTACTATGATCATGGCTGACCCCTATTCAACTCTCGGCATGAGTAACTATCACAAAAACTGTCTTTGGAGGAGAAAGGCTCCGAGAGTCACTCACATCATAGTATAACCGGTCACCGTCGCAGCTGCTGCTTATTAGCAAGGATAGAGCGGGGTTAGAGGAGGTCGAGAGCTGCTTGCCCTTGCTGGTTGGCGTATAAATAAACTCCGCCACATTTCCTGGTCGCTTCCATGATGAGTTGGAGGCGGGTATCAAGCTTCTGGAGACTGAAATGAGATCCAGAAGAATTCGTAAAGATCTCCACGCCATCCAGACTCATGGCGATATGCGGCGCATCGGGCGTAAATAGCTCTTCGCAAGTTTCCCTGGGATTATGTCAGGAATACTCTTGGGGTGCTGAGTAAGGATACGGGTGCTCCAGATTATGGGTCAAGAATATAACTCCTGAACCTGGTTGTACAATACAGTTTTTCACCTGAGACGCGGGAAGGGAAACAAGGCACCGTTGAGACTGCTTACGCTCCAAAGCATGTGTCCGGCGTTGAGATGACAGCATCGCCGAATAATACATGAGTCGCACCTTGGATCTCCTGCAAGATTCGTGGGAGATGATACTGCTCCGTTTCTCTCGGACGCATCCATGGTGTGAAGTGACGCATCTCTCGATCTGCAATGAGTCAGTTCCCATTGTTGTTGGGGTATGAATCGATGGAATCAACATACAGTTGCCGTCATTGGCCAACCACATCTTGGGGCGGATCATTAGGATCTTGCCATCAAGACACAGGACGCGGCAGTTGAAACGCTGGTTACTATGAATAAATATCAGCTATTATCCAAGCTTCGAGCAAATATCCATGCCACAAGCCGGTCCTATTCTCGAGGCCGGAACAGAGTACTGGGGCAGTGACAATATACCGATGTTGAACTGGCATGCCAATATCGAGAAGGATTCCATGGCAAGTCTCGTCGAGAAGGATCCGGCGGAGCATTTCGAACGAATGGAGGAACAGGTCCTGCTCGATCAGGTGGTCCAGACAGCCTAGCAACCTTTGGTGTTAGTAGTTGCCGGTCATAGACAATGTCTGAAGCAGGGACTGTTGTCACCCAACTCGACTACTGGTAAATTATAGCAACAGGGCAAATGCAGGTTCGGATAGTTGCTCACCATAGCCACAGATTTCGAGCTCCTATTGCTTGACGTTAGGAATGAGTTCAATTGGCAGGTGTCATGGCTAAAGGGGATTATATTCCAGCTCTGAAAGGAAATCATACTTACTGGACCGACTCGAAGCCTAGCGCCTGCATCCTTCGCCTTGTGGATGCTGTCGACGATACGACTGACATTTCCTTCCCACTGACAAGTTAGTACGTAATGGTAAGGAGAAACTGCACTCTGGTTATGGAAAAACATAGGAAAGCCGCTTTGGTCTTTGAACTTGGAGGGAAAAACGGAACAATCTGAGCATACTCACATCCAACGCCCACTGATTGAGCGAGCACGTCGCAACCGTTAGAAGATGTCCCATCTTGCAAACGGAGATGTTTCGGCGTCTTTGTTGGGGTTGATGGATGGCAGTTATAAAAAATACCTGAGGTTTGAACCAGAGTTTGTGATCTCTTGGGCTCAAACGGGAAAAAACGACGAAGTCAAATTTTATGTCACAGGTTTCAAGTCCGAGTTCGTCTACTACTTCTTCTTAGGTAGCTAGGACCAGGTACGAAGTAGTCATAGACTTTCTTGATCTCCTTTACCCACTCAATATGGTGTACGACGTATCAGGCTTAGCGCCATTGCTGCTCTTACTTCAGCCCTAAGTAAATACCAGAACTCGCCATATGACTGAAAATAGCCCTTCCATAACTTCAAGGTTCGAGGTGCTCAACTGAGGGTTAATGCAGACTTATGATGATGGAAATGAATCTCTTATAAGCTGGCTGTATCCATGCGTAAGATCCATTCAACTGAAGTCAAATGGCGAAACGGAGGAAGGGCAGTGGTGGAAGAGGTGGAAGACATCCGGTTTGGGATCCTGCAAGGGTTACAATTCAGTGACTGATATATATAATAATGCTTGAATGGAAAGATTCTGAGCTGAAGTGCGACTTCCTAGAAAGTCATTAGGGGAGCTGGGTAGTAGATGTGATTTCTTCGCAACAGCGTAAGGGGCACCGATGGCTGATCTCTGGAAATCATAGACTCGGAGGCGAGAGGACAGTTTATACATGGATCGGATATTGCTGAAACTGTGAAGAGGCTGTGAATCAAGTGTAATGAAAGGTTTTCTGTACTCTGTACTTGAAAGACGAAGAGTAAACAGCCAGGAGACACAGTGCAATATAAATGAAGGAAATACCTAGATAGTACGGGAGTTGCTATTAAGGAGTGGTATTCATAACAGTAGTTGCCTATAACGCAGGTAACTTGGGATTTAGGAGTATAAAACAATGTAAGGGCAAAGGGCCATCTCTATTAAGTGACTTCCTCATAGCTCCCTAGAAATGAGGTTAACTGTCAAGGGCTGTTTTGTGCTGGTTAATGGCCTATTGGGTCACTGTCTTCATAAGCCGAGGGTTGTATAAGATAGTGTAATAACTAAACCGGAATTTAAGAATGTTTTTTTAAAAAGAAAAGGTTAGGGAAATGGATTTGGCAACAGCTCAATCCAATCCGAGTTCTGGCTAAAAGCGGCGATGGTTTAAACAACGCATGTATCTACCGACAGCAGGGGTCATACTCCACTACCCAAAAGATGTAGCGGCACCTTATCAATGTTATCGACAGAAAACCTTGAAACTGCCCGACTTCATCAACGTTGAGCAGGACCAACGTCACCACGTGCACCTGCAAATCGACAATGGCGCCAACAAGACCAAATAAGAAGGCGAGACATCGCCACAAAGGTGGCATCTCACGCGTGGCTGGCGGAGATGCCAAGGCTGTCTCCCCGCTCATGCTCGTCAAGGCAGCCGAAGTCCAAATTCAAGCAGGCAATGCGTCAGATGCCCTTTCTTTAGGCAAGAAGGCCCTGGAAGAATCTCAAGCTGGCAGCGACAGCGCTTTAGCATCTCTCAACCTCCTCGGTCAAATCAGCCTTGAACTCGGTGAATTCGATGCTGCCCGCACGTACTTTCTTAAGGCATGCGCCATTGACGAAAATGGCACCAAGGATGAGGAAGTCGGCGGGGGCCCCGAGAAGTTCCTCTGCCTGGCTCAACTCAGCGAGGAGGGTGGTAAGGACAGTGTCAGCTGGTACGAAAAGGGCGCATCTGCGTTAAAGATCCAGATACAGACCCTTGAGGACCTGCGGAAACGCAGCGATGAGCAGGAGATCCTGCTGGATGAGCTGAAGAAGAAACACGCCATGACTCTGTGCGCCGTCGTTGAACTCTACATGACCGATCTCTCGTGGGAGGAGGATGCGGAGCAGCGTTGCGAGATGCTCGTCACAGAAGCCACCATGGTGGCGCCAGATTACGCCGAGACTTGGCAGACGTTGGCCAATGTGCGCATCTCGCAGCAACGCATAGATGATGCCAAGGCGGCGCTGTTGAGGAGCATGGAGTTGTGGAAGGATCTGGTTACCGAAGACCCCTCAGTACCCGACTTTCCCAGCAGAGTGGCGCTGTCTCGACTGCTTATGGAGGTGGACTTGGAGCAGGAGGCCCTCGAGGTGTTAGAACGGCTGGTTGGTGAAGACGACCACAGTGTCGAGGTCTGGTATCTTGGTGGGTGGGGACTGTACGTGATGGGAGAGAAGCAAAGAATAGAAAACCCGAAAGCCGAGGAGGACTGGAAGGCTTCATGGCTTTCGAGTCGAACATGGCTCAACCAAAGTCAACATCTTTTTGCGCAGCAAGATTATGAAGATGATAGGCTCGGGGAGCATACAAGGGAGCTTCTTACTGCAATCGCCCAGGAGCTGGGCGATGCGCCATCTGGAGAGGAAGATAACGAGGAAAACTGGGAAGACGACGGGGATTCGGATGACGCAATGGAGGAATAATACTACGACGTATGAGTTGCAGTGTAGTTCTGAGGCACAGGCACAGCTGCCGCAGCACCTATTCACAATGGATCTGGCATACAAAGGCGTTGGGGGATATCAAAAGGATGGTACGTGGACTTCATAGAAACCCCATGCAGTACCACTGGCAGCACTCTTGCTGCTTTTTCACCTCTGGCCTAATAAACTCCTGGACTCCATGCAATGCTACTGAGGGTCCCACAGAGGCCTATGACGCTACTTTTAATGACTCGACACCCTCGGCCAGCCCCGTGTCCTCGTCCTCCCCTTCATCAATCTTACCGACAAGTCCGCGTTCCCAGAGTTGCTTGCCAGTCAACTTCTTCTCCTCCTTGACCCTTGACTTCTTTAGCTCAGCGAGCCGCTCCTCCTCCAGCCGCAGCCTCTCCTCTTCCATCTCCTTGATGAAGCCCGCCCGCCACTTGACGAACGTCTCAGGTGTGACCGGGGTGCCATGAAACTTCTTATTTTCCTCGCGCTCCGCGGCCAGAAGCGCCTCCTCGTGGGCCTTGGCAAGCTCCGCCTTGCGATCCGCCACCAGCTGCTCCGCGTTTTCCTTTAGCGTGGTAACGAGGGTGAAGACCATGGCCATCCCGAGATTCTCTTGAATAGTTTCCTCGAGGCCCTGCAGCAGCTGGTCCTTGTCGCTGGCGACGGAGAACTGCGGGTGGGTGGGCACATTTTGCGGCGCGGAGAGTTCGAGGACGGGGGGCTCGTCGGGATAGTTTTCTGGGTACCGCACATGCAGCACTATGGTGGGCGGCTCATCTGTGTCTTCGTCGTCGTCTGGTGGGACGTCGAGGAGGATGGATATCCTGTATTCTGTGTCTGAGATATCTAAAGCAATGCATTGGTTAGCACTGCGGCATGGCGGGGTAGACAGGAGCCCGCGGAATGACTGACTTACCTGTGATTTCTTCAGGGAAGATCGAGTCGAGGACTTCCCTTTCCTCTACTTGCTCCTCGCGACCCATCTTGAAATCGAGATAGTACTTAGTCTCCTTTTCTGTAGTTGCGCGACAAGTTTTCAAGTTGCGCCGTTGTAGAGAATGTTCTGAGCTTGGCTCTAAGTTAGCAGCCCATTGGATGGTGGGGCACTCAGAAAGACCCCTGTCAGCTGCCGCTTCTCACCGCCAAAAAAAAGTCGTCCGGATCCTCAATTGTCCCAGCAATTGGCAGGATCTTTGAGCAGAGCAGAGTAGAGCGTATTGTGCTTTTTTTGAGAGTACACACTTCCTTCTGTACAGCTACCAACAACGACGACTTCTATTCACCATGACGCCCCGAGATGCTGTCTCTGGTAACAAGCGCAAGTCTGCAGACTACAACAAAGGCAAGACGAGCAAGAAGCCGAAGTTCGAAAAGCGACCACTACCCCCGCCAGTGGAATCTGAGGATGTAAGCGACGCTGCAAGCTTCGAAGACTTCTCGGATGACCAAGATGATGGCGGCGCTTTATTGCGTAAACACAAGTTCCAGAAGAATGGCAAGCCGAATAGTGACGACAAGACGGCCGATGGGAAGGTTTTCGAGAGAGGTACGCTTGGTCCGCAATAATGTATAGAAACACCGACTAACTTACGAAGGCCAAAACTCGCGAGAGTCTCATATAAAGCAAAAGCAACTGGCGCTGGAGCGAAGAAATCACAAGCCTCTAGCTGACGAGTCGCATCGAACCAAGAAGATATGGGAGAGGCTACGAAGGAAATCACACGTCCCGAAGGAGGAGAGAGACAAGCTGGTGGAAGAGCTCTTCACCATTATCACTGGACGTATTAAGGAATTCGCTCTCAAGCATGACACTGTACGCGTGGTGCAGACTGCCATCAAATATTCGACCGTCGAGCGACGCAAGATGATTGCGAGGGAGCTCCAAGGATCCTACCCTCAGTTGGCTGAAAGCAAGTACGCCAAGTTCTTGATTGGCAAGCTTATCGTCGGGGGCGACAAGGAGAAGGACAGTGAAATTCGAGATCTGATCGTTCCCGAGTTCTACGGCAAGGTTCGCAAGTTGATCAACCACCCAGAGGCGTCTTGGATCATGGACGACATCTACAGAGGGATCGCCTCAAAGGAGCAAAAGGCAATTCTCTTGCGGGAGTGGTACGGCCCCGAGTTTGCCATCTTCAGAACCGAAGGCGAGGGATTTCCAACAGCAGAGCTCTCCAAGATCCTTGGGGAAGAGCCCAGCAAGCGAGCGATCATCATGAGGTATCTGTCAGATATGACCAACCAGCTGATTCAGAAGAAGATGACTGGCTTCACCATGCTGCATGATGCCATGCTCCAATACTTCCTGAACACCCAACCTGGATCTGAAGAGGCAAAGGCGTACGCGGAGATGATCAAGGAAGATGAAGGCGGCGATCTGCTTAAGAACATGGCTTTCACCAATTCTGGAGCACACCTCGTCTCTCTCTTGCTTGCCTACGGATCTGCCAAGGACCGAAAAATGATCTTGAAGACCTACAAAGACACATTCCAGTTAATGTCTACGGATCCGAATGCACACATAATCATCCTCACAGCCTACGATGTCATCGACGACACCGTTCTGACTTCCAAGTCCATCTTCCCTGAATTACTTGGGAAGAACGAGGAGAACGAGGTTAACAATCTTGTAGTGCTATCCAACGACCCTCATGCACGTTTGACGATCCGCTACCTCTTCGAAGGTGCATCAAAATCATTGTTTGATTTGGCTCATACTTCGGACTTGAACATTTTAGGGGATATATGGGAAATTCGCAAGACGACCAGCAAAAAGGACCCCGAAATAAGGAGGAAGGAACTTGTTGCGGCCTTATCACCGACGATACTGTCTGCCATTGAGTCTGCACCAACTGACCTCATCTCGACATCGTTCGGTTGCCAGATGGTTGGTCAGGCGTTGCTCTCTGCGGTTGGGGACAAAGCTGCCGCTTTGGCCGCCATTGCAAGTACAGCGGCTGGCGACCCAGCATTGTCTGGCGATGTCATGGAACCGGCCGAGGGGGCTTGGGAGGCCGACGCCGAAAAGCCAGTGGTTCACATCTCCCGAACAGCGCATGGTGGTCGTATGTTCAAGACACTTATTGCTGGAGGCCATTTCGACAAGGCAGCGGGTCAAATCAAGCCAGTGGGACCCCCACTTAACTTTGCGAACATACTTTACCCTGTCCTTAAGGACCACGTTGTGTCATGGGCCACAGGTCCCAGCTCCTTTGTGGTTCTTGGGTTACTAGAGGCAGAGGACTTCTCTCATGCAGATGAGCTGAAGAAGATTCTCAAGAAGGACAAAAAGTTGCTCGAGAAGGCAGCCACCGAAGAGACTGCCGAGCAGAAGGCCCAAAGAGAAGCAGCAGAGACCAATGGAGAAGCGGAGAAGCCAGCCAAGAAGGGGAAGAAGGCCGCGTTGAAGAAGAACAAGCCTGTGGGTAATTTCGGGTCAAAGCTGGTGCTGGAGAAACTCAAGAAATAAGATGTATAGATATAGGGAACAGGTTTATTGAACGGCTGACATGATTGTCTTTGAAGCGCAAAAAACATACCGCCATCAAGGCAATTTTACCAATTTCTATTGCGTGGTTTACGAGTTACACTGTTGCGGTAGATGCTTCACCGGCATGCAACGGCTGGGATGGTGGCTGTGTTCATCGAGGTCGAGTTGTGTAACACGCGGGTTTCCGAAGCATCCTGCAGGGGAAGACGACATGATACCCAATTTTTGGATCAAAAAGCGAGGCTTCTATAAGGGCTTTCCGCGCTCTATCTTGCTGGAATGGATCATGAGGCTGCTTAGGGAAAGGTGATTGCGTCCTCTGCGGGAGACAAGACATGGCAGGTGACAGGGGGTATGGGAGGTAATGGATGGGATACTGAAGGATGGTATGCAAACAAGTACGCTGGGTATGCATGTGTAGCTTGGACGTTGGTTGCTCACATGCATGCAGGCTATAGAATGAATATGGAACGTTATACCACCATCCGATTTGCAAGAATACCACTGCAAAGCCACAGTCGTTATTACGTTTCTAGGCATGGCTTCAAACTGAGGTGCCACTATCGCTGTAGACTTGTCACCTAACTGTTTTGCTTGTTGATGGTGTGCTGCAGTTGGGTGACTTCAGAGTGACAAACAAACGGACTAGCCTTCAAATCTGCAAACGATCAAGTTGCCACGAGGTGACCAGGCCAACCATTTTGCCGTCTTCTGGGTCGGCAATTGGGTCCAGAACCCAAAATATCGGATCTGTTGGTTCTTCGATTGAGTCTCCCCAGACGAGTTCGACTCGACAGTGAATATCGACACTGGTGATGTCTCAACTTTCAGATCATCTACCATCGCGTTGATGCCATTTGCGTTCGAGTTCGTTACCCGTTTATTCACCTACCTCGCGACTTCCTCTAGACTGATAGGACCGGAAACTCGCTACCCGTGGGGACAAGCTGCACTACGGATCAAAATTGATAATTTGAAAGTCGCTTCGGATTAGGGAACAGTTTCTCACATTTCCTATTTCCTAAGCTACCTTACATAACCTTTACAATTCGCGACGCTGCTGTTGTCGCCGATTGCAAACCTCGACGTCGTAAAACTTTCCTCAACCTTCACGGCAATAACGACCTCTCCTCAATTACTGACGGTTGCAACACAATTTTCCCCTGGCGGAATTCTACCTTCTAACTTCCCCGCCCGATGACGGCTTCGATTCGAATTGTCTGATTAGCGATCAACGCATTTGTTTTCGACGGCCTCAACCTGAGGCAAGATTCACTTACACCCTTCACAACCCTTAACTTTACCGACCAGTCTCGCCCAGGACCACAGAATGCTATTCAATCTCAAGCCCATTCGTCAGCGGGACCCATCGGAGGATTGCCCTGCGGGAAAGCAGTGGTACTCCTGCGGAGCGAATGGCTTCGACGGCTGCCGCGTCCAGGATGCATACAGTCATGACTGCCTGGAAAAAAGAGACGCCGCAGGCACTATAACCATCACTGTCTCAACTACCATGAAGACCAGAACCGCAGATGCCACTGAGATGGATTCGACAATCTCACATGTAACAAGTGCAGTCGTAGGAACCCCAGCTACAGCTGAACCCATTGCTACGAGTGCCGTTGGGCCTCCAGCTACAGGATCTGCACCTACGGATACTGCAGTCTCGATCACGGAGGCGTCACCCACAGAGGCATCGCCCACAGGCCCAACGGCTGTGACGCTCACTGCCCCTCCTGCCCAACCGACCGTTGCCAATGGAGTTAACAACCCTAATGAAGACCCTGTCCTCAGCACGCCTGCGATCGTGGGCATCACTGTTGGTGGAGGACTGTTTCTCATTGGACTAGCCTTCGTCATATTCCTCTTGATTCGCCGCCGGAAACTTGCCAAGCGCATGCCTTCGTTCATCGACCCACGGGGAGACAGTTATGATGAGAAGCTTGTGGCGCAGAACAGGCCAGTCTTAGCCGGCCAAGGTAACAGTGCAGCAGGCGTCTTCGCGCCTTTTGGAGGTGAGCTTCAATCCCCTTGCGCCGACTTCCAATCCGAGAGCAACTTGTTGAAATGAAGCAATGACTAATGCAAGCTCTATGCCAGGTCGATCAAACTCCTTTGAGTCCCACCGCCCAGGATATACTCCGAGCCATGAAGCGAATAGCACTCATGGCGGCAGAGATCCTCCGTCCGGAAGAGTCAGCGCCCTGAGTTATCGCGGCCAGACATATCACCCTACTCCCGTGTCACCCCAAAGTACTGGCCCAGGGGGGATCAAGCGCCCCCACATCTCGGATGCCATTGAAGAGGAGAAGTCCGGTGTTCCAGTCCAACTAGACTCCACGCCCGTTTACTTCGAACTTGACTCGAGGGATACCCAGAAACCCATGGCCGAGCTTCCCAGTCCCGATCCTGAAGAGATAAATCAAGGGTCGTCGTCTGGAAGTGCTGCTCCCATAATTCATCCCAGTCCGTTGACGCCTGGATTCTCGGCTGGCAATCTCAGCATGAGTCGAGAGGGCACTATGATGGCCGGGAAGGATGGTGCGTTTGCCAGGGCCTCACAGCGAGGATCGCGCAAAAGCGGATCGCCGGCCAGGGTAAGAGCAACACTGAACGCAACGGCCGATGAGCGGGCGACCAACCGACATGTGACTAGTTGGGCTCAGCTGTGATTGCGATTAGTCATGGGGTCGTATTGGAGACTGAAGAAAGAGGGAAAATAAGAACGAAGAGAACACAGCACGAAGAGCACCGAAAGACATAGTAATGCTTGAGGATGTGACAGAGTTGATCGGGGCTCTTGCTTACATGATTACAGCTCCTTAGAAGGATGGATCTTGAGGAGACGAAACGGCAACGGACTCCAACTCTCTCCTTTATTCATGATACCCAGATACCAACGAGACACGCGGGGACTTTAGAGTTGATGTATGCTTTCACGAAGAAAAATTTGGGGTGCACTTCTGACCACCAACTCCCCATGAAGGAGTAATGCCTACAGCACAGCGTAGGTCAACTAGCATATACCAAAAGGTTGCAATGTGTCAATGTCATCAATGAATTGATTTTGAGAAAGGAAGAATACTTGAACTCCCTTCTTCCCTTCCCTGCCTGGTTGTGAGCCTCGCTGCCTTCGCAGACGGCCTGGCCTCGTTTTCTGTGAGTGTTTGTGCTGCCACGATTTTGTCTTCCAGTCTTGAGTGGGTATACAAACATGTAGTCAATTGCCATGAGAAAAGAAGAAAATGATGCGGGAAAAATGGCATGCTCTCCCCTCTTTCCGAGAGCCAAAAGATTTCGTACTTACGCCGTTCCAATGCAGAAACCAAGCAGCCAACCTTGCCCCTTTCTTTGCTTGCTTTGCCTGTTCTTATGCAATCTAACGCCATTTAAAAAGAAATCACACCTCACCTGCCTGCCTGTCCATGTGTCTCGTGTCATACACGCACTTCCATTATGAACATTCCTGTCAATACCGTGCCCCTGTTCTGCCTACTTCCTGCGAAGTTGTTGTGGATGTCAATATAAATGCCAAGGCTGATAGGTGGGTAATGTGTCCGACTTTGTTGGGTGAACACTTCTTCCTCCTGCTGTCCTTTGCTTCGTCTAATCAACATACCATCATCGAGGATGGATCTGTCGCACGTGCAAGCCACAAGTTTATCACATTAAAATGGTGATGTGATGCACCGATCAGTGTGGCATGAACCTAGACATCTCGTCAAGCAGGGACTGCAGGTCCTCGTCACTAATCTTGTCGCTTAGCGAGGGGATGAGCGTCTTAGCCTCTTCGGCCGTTTCGCAGCAGAGCGAGCCTAAAGTCGCAGAAGAAAGCCCGGATCAGTTTTCAGTCCATCATGGAGCCCTCATCCAATTTTGTATCCCAGCAAGTGTCGTAAAAACATACCCAATTGCGCCCGCTCGAACTTGTGGAACTCCTTGTGCGCGCTCAGTAGGCGCTCCACGGCCTCGACGTGCTCCTTCTTCTTGAAGCGTGAGAAGGCGTCTAGGTAGTCGACCGTCTTGGTGAGCATCCTGCGATTTTGCCTCGAATCAGCATGAATTCTTTTTCTCTTTTTGGACTCTCTCCGTTTCTCCATCTTTCTTGCTCTTGGTTTATATTTTCTGCTTTAATATTTTCCCCTCAATCTCGGCGTTTCTCTCGAAAAAGGGCAAGCCTACTCTGTCTCATTCACGTTCTTGCGATCGGTGCGCCGCTTCGACACAAGCGCATTAATGACCAGCGCCGCCTCGGACAGCGTCAGTGTATCCACGTGCTGAAATTCACCTAAGTTCAGCGAAGATGAGGCCTCTTCAGTGCCTGGGGGGGCAGGCTTGGCGCGCGAGGTCTGCTGGTGGTTCGACATCGTGGCAGGAGGAAGGGAAGGCACGACGGCGGGCAGCACTTCGACGCGTTGATTGGGAAGAAGCTGGTGAGAAAGGCAAATACGGGACAGAGCTGACTGGACTAGATGCTGGCCAGGTTTGATTGAGCAAGATGAATCGAAAGAATGCTTCGGCGCGTCGTTTGTCGCAAAGAGAACTTCAATGGTGGGATGGTCTCGATGGATGACAAAGGTTTCTTTGCAGCTCTCTGGACAAGGGAGCTGGGCCTGGGGGAGCTAGAATTAAGGTTAGCGGCTGAGAGATCCCTGACTGCCTGATCGGGTAAACCTCGGTTGAGTCAACTTTACTGCTTGGTAGGGGCTGGAACTTGCAGTATCCAGCTGTGATGAATGAGACAGTTTCCCAACCTCAGATGTGACAAAGCATCCCCGCAGAAGTTTGACTAGGTCCCAGAATGAGACTACAGGAAATTATATGAGGCTCGATACTCTCATTTGGCCTCGACGACAATTACTGTCCGGTAACTTTGCACAATATGTATGTTAACCCCCCTCCAAATTACCACCTTGAACATTGTACTGAACATATCCAGGGGTATCTTCGCTCTCATCATCATCAATAAGGCCGGCGGTCTAATCTACAACCGGACCTTCAGCGAAGGTCTCAACCAACTCAACACAAATGACTATCTCGTCCTAGCCGGAACCTTTCACGGGTAAGTCGAGAGCAAGCATCTCTCTTATCCTGTCTGTCCATCGGATATATCTATCCCTAAACACATAGTTGACCACCCCCCCAGCGTGCACGCCATAACCGCCCGCCTAAACCCTATCAAAGAACCCCCTTCCCCTCCCTCCTCAGGCGGGTCTCCCAACCGCGCAGAGCCCGCCTCAGGTCTCGAGGTAATGGAAACGGAGAACTTCCGACTGCAGTGCTTCAACACCCTAACGGGGACGAAGTTCCTGCTGTTTACGGACACAATGCAGAGCAACGTCGATGGCACCATGCGCAAGATCTACGAGCTTTATGCCGACTACGTAATGAAGAATCCCTTTTACCAGCTCGAGATGCCCGTGCGCTGCGACATGTTCGAGCGTAAGCTCAACTCGTACATTCGCGAGATTAACAGTTCGCGGTGATGACGTGATGGGATCAGGGTCAGGTTGGAGGAGACTTAGGCAGGGTGGAATGACGGGGTCGAGTGGATTCATTGTAGACCTTACGAAGGGAAGGACGACTATCAAGGTTGGAAGTCATGGGCTGAGATATATCACATGTCTTGGCATCTGGTATGAAGAAGACGAGGCCAGTGTTGGCATTGCGAAGCTTCATGTTGAGGCAAGTCACGAAGTTGACATAATGCATGGTTTTGGCGTTTGGAGTTCTCAGTGCCGTCACCACGGCTGGCGGTCTTTGTACAAGAGGTAGACAATGCATTACCCGAATGCAAATACTCCCATGAACCCACCACCGGGAGCCGTTTAGTCTATTATTTTACACGTACAAGCCCAACTCCACGCCCTTGAACTGATCTCGTAGCGACTCAAGGATCAGCCGTATGGGGACTAGGAAGTATCCATCTTGTCTGCATCATCCTTCTTGTCGTCCTTCTTCTCCGGAGAACTGTTTCCGCTCGGCTCGCTCTGGCCGCTTAGCAGCGGCTGCTCCTCTTCCTTAATACCCTCCAAGTTCGGCTTCTTGGAAGCTTCCTCTTCCTGAGCTTGTCTTGCCTGTCTCGCTGTTTCCTCTTCCATACTCATGCGAAGAGCCAGTGCTAACTCCGGATCCGTGCTAGGATCGAAGTCGAAGCCACCGAAGTCTCCGCCTTGCTCGCCGCCCGAGGAGCCGCCTGCGCCGCCGCTCGCCGCGACCTCGCCCAGGAGAATGGGTGATGAAATGAGTTGATCGCTGAGAAGCTTGCCGCTCGCCGGAACAACTACCAGGTGGCAGTTGTCGGCACTCTTCACTGCCTCGTTAAAGGCCCTCAGCTTGTTTTCTACTGCCTCATCGTCCAGATCGCCAAACAGCACGAAGTCGATTTGCACGTTGCCCTTCTTCATCTTCTTCGCTAGGGACACCAGCTCCTTCTCTTCATCTGCTACCGGTGAGCAAATGAAGACGACGATGCGTTGACGTTGGGACTTGTTCTGTCGGTGCTTCAGTGCTAGCTGTCGGAATGATCAGTTATTATTCAACGTGAACCACATTAGTAGCGCAACGCGAAAGACATACACTGGCAATCTGGATTCCTGTGGCAAGATGAGAAGTTCCCGAAATCTTCTTTTTTGTTCGGTGAAGGCCTTCCAGCAGCTTACCACGCTCCGTTGTGAGGGTTGACAGAACTTCGGGTCCCTTTCCACCCATGCTCATCAGGCCAACTGACGACTCGGGGTTGCTGTTCGTAATGTGATCGAAGATTATGTTGATAGCGTCTGCTTGTGCGTCGAAGCGGTTGGGTGCATAGTCGCCATTCCGAGAACTCTCAGAGTTGTCCACCACCAACATCACTGCTTCGAGCGGCATCTTGGTGGTTATGGGTTGTGATGGTTTGCGTAATCCGCTGTCGAGAAGGGAGGACAAGAAGGTGCAAATGAACAAGATTTTCAGTGAGCGACGGAGATGGTCAATTTAGCCTCGAAGTTTAGATGTGCCTTTTGTCGTCAAGAATGATGGATGTTGCTGAGATGAGGCTGGAAGTTGGAGCTCTGATCAAGACGTAAGGCGGCCCTGCCTGGGTGGCCTTGCGCTAAGGTTCCCAGCATGAAGCTCGGGCCAACGAATTGAAAGTACATCCCACTGCGCATTTGCAACTGGAGGTGGCGGCGAACACCGCCCTGAGCCGATTTGTTTACTTCCTACTGTATTCGGAGCTGCACCTGGAACTTTCACCAACCAGGTTAAAAGACATAACACGACACTTCGCAACACCTAAAGGTACTCGACTTGCGTAGTTTCCTCCAGTTTTGCACAGAAACACATAATACACATCCTACATATACTTAAACACAATGGCACCTATACGATCACGAAAGCGCAAGTCAGACGTGTCCATGACCAGTCCGGCGGTTGAGCGACACGCTCCAATGAAGATGGGGACACCACCACAGAGAAGCCCCATTCGAAGAAAACTGGGCATTTCAGTTGCGCAAAAGCAAGCGCTCGTCGACAATCTGCAACTAGAACGTATGTTGATTCCGAGACCATGATCGAAACATCCTCCCTCCCCCACCCACACATCCAAGCTGATTGCAATGAACAGTCACGGAGAGGGCGAGAAGGTTACGGGCGCAATACAATGTCCAGGCACAGCAGTTGCGGTCGCGAGTTGAGATGCGCGTCAATAGGATTCCCACGTCGCTGAGGAGGGCCAAGATGGGAGACCTGCTTGCAAAGCACACCGAGCCCTCGCAGCAGCAACAATCACGCGCACCTCGATCTCCCTTCGTTGCGCGACCTCCACCCGTGCCAGCTAAAGATGGCACGTCGCCCAAGCCAATTCCTCGGAAGGTGGTACCTGCGGCGCGTCCAAAGAATATCCACAAACGCTCAAGGTTGGCAAGACCCGTGTCTTGTACGTTTTGCATGTGTACTTACTGTCTATTTAGTGACGACATCACCGGTGCCAATGACAAAGAGAACTCAGTTGAGCCCGTCGGTCAACCTAAGAAGAGGCTACGTGCCGGTCCTACCGGGACTGACACGACGCGTTCTCAGCCTGCACACGTTCTCTCTCCCGCATCAACCAACGTCCGAATCACGCATCGTACCGCGGACCGCCCCCCTTCTCCCACGAAATCCATGATCGCCCGCCCCGTGTCTCCGATCAAGACTAAGAGTTCCGGAAACATCCTGTCGAACATGGTCGAGAAAGCCAAGGGGACGCGTGGTGCAGCCGCGACACGGAAAGTGACGGCTTCCTCCACGGCGAGCTTAAATGCTGGAGGTATGGTATCAAAGGCGCGGAAGCCGCCTGTTCCTACGCCTGCTGCTGCTGGAACCACTGCGGCCACCCGCGGAAGGAGGAAGTTGAGTGCTACGAGTGAGTCGAGCGAGACGAGTTCAGGGACAGTTGTCAGGAAGGCCGGGACGACAAAGGCATTTACGGTGAAGGCAGCTCCGACGGCTAAGCGGACAGTGATGGGCACGATAAAATCGGCCACTTCAAAGCGGGCCCCGGCGTTGAAAGCTCCCGCAGCACCTGCAAATCCAGGGAGGACATTGAGGAAGAGACAGGCTTAGGAGAAGAACTGGAACTGAACTAGGGTCTCAACCTAACTTGTCTGGATTATAGCAATTGGTGACGATTGTATGATGCTTTAGTATGGTGTTCAGGATGTCTCTTGTAGAGATTTGGGTTAGGGTTGGGATGCGCATATTAAGAAACACGGCTTGTTCACTTGTAAAGCAGTCCTTGATTTGTTGCTCCATGCAAGTGCTCCCTCGTGTATACACATACTCAATATCCATCCAAGCCTGTCTGCCCCCGTGGACCCCGTCCCTTATCCAGCAGCCGCCCCCTTCTTCTTCTTATCATCAACCAACTCAATATTATCCTCGGGAATATCTTTGTACTTCTCGAGCAAAAACTCTTCAATCTCATCACTGACGTCACCCTGTACCACGATCTCCTCACCGCCGCTGGGTACCTTGGTCACCGAAGACCCCGTGGCGAACTTCTTGCCGAACTCCTTGGCTACCTTCTTGAGGTCGAGCCCGAACGCCTCGAGCCCCGACACCGCCGTCACGAACTTGCGCTTGTTCCGCTCCACCCGCTTGATCGTGATGACGCTATTGGCCATCCGGTCCGCTTGCTTCTGCTCGGCTTTCTCGGCTTGTGCGGCTTTCTTCTGCGCGTCTTTGGCGGCGCGCTTTTGGGCTTCGACGGAGAGGGAGGCGGTTGCTGCTTCTAGGGCTTCTGTTTGCGGTGATGTGCATATTAGTATGGATGTCGTTTAAGCAATAGAGTATTGGGACAAGCAGTTTTTGCGGTAGAAAAGGTATAGAGGGGACAAGAGTTGTACCTGGCGACCAGATCCTGTCGTAGAGCGGACGATGAGCCTTTTGTAGCCAATCCTGGCATTTCTTGACGGTCCCGCCATACTCGCAGTACTGCTCAACCCAGTGGGTCAGTTAATCCATCCTGATAACTCTTCTCATTGCAGTGGGTGATCAGGTCGGGGGCTCGTAGGTGCAGTTCTGGTGTAGCTTACTTCCGGCGGCAGAGTGCATACTGTTGGGATCGCATGATTGTTAGCATGTAATCTCTTTGTGTCTCTAAGCAGAGATTGAGTGCGAATTTACCTCCACAGTATGTTACATGTCGGCCCTGGGGCTCACTGGGAGCATCTGTTTGCTCCGTGTCGACCATTGGCGAATGTGTGTACATGGGACGCGTAGATAATTGTGTAGATGGTCGCGTACGAGGGTGGGCTCGGAGGAGGGGTTCGATATTTCGCGGGGTTGCGATGACTTGATGGTGGGGCAGTCTACGTCGGTCTTTCCGCTGGTGGTGTTTGAACTGGAGAGCAATTGCATGGAAGTCTCACTGGGAGCTGCAAAGCAACAGTTAAACAGCAGTGAGGGGTTCAGAAGCGCCACTTTTCACTAGCCACAGCTCTTCATTGGTAACCGGTAGACCCGACTGGGAATTGTACCAGTTGGGCCTTCAGAATGAGATTGAATTTGTGTAGTAGTACAAAAGCTGCTTTCCATAGTATACATTGCGCTGTCTGTAGTAAGTACTGAGAGGCAAAGTAGGTTGGAGATGGGTTATTTTACTGGTGCTCCATATAGCACTGAGTATGCCCAGCTCTAGGCCCGAAAAGTGACCAGGTTCATAGTTCTCCATAAGGATAGGAGGAAGCATGGAAGCGTAGCTGGACTTGTTTCCAATTTAATATCTTCATACTTGGGTGCACTCAGCTTGCTAGGCGAGGTCAAACGACTGGCACATACTATTAGGTATAAGCATAGTCACTTCAGATTATGATAAGGCGGAATTCTAGTGCCAAAGAGAACTTATGTTGTTACATGTTTAATGGTAGAGACGGAATTTGAAACGGTTTTGCAACAAATAGATAGTCACTCAGGCTAGTCTATCTTCAGGCATGGAAATACAGTTTTGGTCTGATAAGTTTTAGGGGCAGAACGACAAGTGTTTCCCATGGCCTAATGGAGTGATGCTGTCCAAGACATAGTTCATCGTGGGTGAACATAAGGTGACGTATAAATTAAATCAAGCAGAATCTTCTGTACATAAGAACCTGGGAGTGAGATAATTGGATGGCATCAGACATCAGGGCTCACCAAGAGTTGGTTTCAAGGTTATTGATCCCACTTGTATTACCGTGTTGAACTGTGTTTAAGGCACAACGTGTGCAAGAAGTCCCAGAGGCTGTGCTTACCGTGGACTAGTGCCATCAGTGCTGCAAAGAAATGAGATGACACCTGCATACACGAGCACTTTGAGCTCAATAATAATTGATCAACTGTGTTTGGGTTCAAAAGTTGCTCGGACATTGGGGGAGAAAGCGTGTAGGTCTCACGACAGCACGCGCTTCTGCATTTATTGGCGCGTTGCGACGGGTCACGTGATACGTAATTTCCAGCAAGTCGGGTGGTAATGCGAACGTGAACCGATGGGCACTGGGCCGCTAGGGAGAGAAACACGGTTAAGAGAAGACGAACTCCAGGAAATCGCATCGTTGCAGCCAGACTGCCTTCGCCAAATAGAGACGTGGTCTTCTTTAATTAATCACGAAATTGACTTGTATAACCCAAGTCTAAAACTTATTAGTTGCTTTTGCCGTTGTTGTTCCTCTTTTTCCTCTTCCTGGACTCGGCAGGCCTCGATATTCTTTGTCCTCCAGCCCCGATACCACTAGCCCACTTTCTCCTGTTGCAGCTCCTTCCCCTCGTTCCGTCTAGTGTGCCTCACCAGCAAGGAGCCCATCATTCCCCTGGCTGGCCGTCACCCAACTTCTATTCTCCGCGGCCTTTCTAACTTTCATGCCGTGCAATTGCCTCTTCCATTCGCCTCAGGGAGTGCTCAAGTCCATTTTGCGCATTCGATACCTTCTTTTGACTGCTCAGAACAGCTTGTTCTGATTATTTTGTCTGCCGCAGTATCGACCGTCTGATAGCCCCCAAAAGAATTACGACCCGGCCTAGCTGCCATCTTCAGCGCCAGCCCCAATTCGTCCCGCCCGCTCTCCAGACCGTCGCATGGTCTGTCCAAAATACAGGATATTACTCACTGCACTCGCTTGACAAAAGGATACAAGCTGCCAGCCAGCCAGCTTCACGGCTACACATCCGATCAAAAAGTCCTAGCCTAGGCTGTTTCTGTCCCTCGAACCACAATCTGGATCAGTTGACAGTCCCTCCGACCTTGGTACCTTGTCGCACACGCGCCTGTTGTAGACTTCTACGAGTTCGCCGCCCAATGCCCAGGTCTGACGTGGGACAGCACGCACCCGCCACACAGCCGTAACCACACCCAATCTGTCCCTCCTCGAGCCGAACCCGGATACCGAAGAAGCACAACACGCTGTTTTTCCGTGTGGTATTGAATTAAGGGCGTCATTTGGTCGCCATGATGGGTCCTGATTATGGAGGCGGTCTGGCTGACGACCATCTCCATGGTCATCCCCCGCCGCCCACCAGCGAAGGCGGCTACCAACTCGACCGCGATCGACCGAGCATGAACTCGAGCCCCAACTTTCAGAATGGTGGTGGCTTTCCAGCGCAGGGCCGCCCCCCAGGTTCTCCTGCTTTGAGTGCCCAAGGCGAGCCCAGGAAGAGCAATGAACGCAATAGATCGAGAGGAAGGGGACGAACCGGCAGTGGACAGTTGCGCATCTGTAATAAGTGTGGGGAGCCGTTAACGGGCCAGTTCGTGCGTGCGCTGGATGGCACTTTTCACCTGGATTGTTTCAAGTGTAGGGTCAGTACATGTTGCTCACTAATGCCCTCACTGTCATTGACCCAAACTCACATTTCTTCTCCGTAACAGGACTGCGGCCAGATCGTAGCCTCCAAGTTCTTCCCCGCCGATGATGAAGAAGGCAGTGGCCAATACCCTCTCTGCGAAACGGACTACTTCAGACGGCTGGGGCTGCTTTGCTACCAGTGCGGTGGCGCTCTTCGCGGGTCGTATATAACGGCTCTCGATCGCAAGTATCATGTGGACCATTTCACATGCTCTCTCTGCTCGACAGTCTTTGGCGCTCAAGATAGCTACTATGAGCACGATGGTAACGTCTACTGCCACTACCACTACTCGACGCAATTTGCCCAACGATGCAACGGTTGCCACACCGCTATCCTGAAGCAGTTCGTCGAGATCTTCCGCAATGGCCAGAACCAGCATTGGCATCCCGAATGCTACATGATTCACAAGTTCTGGAACGTACGGCTCTCGGTGAACCCAGAGATGGAAGAGCAACGTCCAGAAATCGCCGACTCCCACAGTCGTGAGCTTGTCAGGTTGGAAGAGGAGGACATGGAGGAGAAAGTTTACCGCATATGGAGTGTCCTCTCCACCTTTGAGGAGTCTTCAGCAGCGTGTATTTCAGACATGCTGTTACACGTGAGCAATGGGGCCTACATTGACGGTGTTCTTGTTGCAAAGAAATTCATACTCCATGTGGAGATCCTGTTTCAAGCTGCGGACAAGCTGGATGACTCGATGAGGAACTATGACATGAAAGGTTCGTCTCTTTTGGCAGAAGAAGTTCAAAGTAAGGCACTAACCTCAACCCAGGGCTGGCTTACGGACGAGAGGCTAAACTCCTCTGCAAGAAGATTGTCTCTTTCTTCTCTCTCTTGTCTAAGACCCAAGATACAGGCGTTCGAAAGCTCGGCGTCACGCAGGAGTTGCTCTCTCTGGTGACAGGGCTGGCCCACTATCTGAAGCTTCTCATCAGAATTTGCCTACAGGGAGCACTCAAAGTTGAGAAAGACCATCAATCACCAGCAGGATTATACCAATTCCTTGAAGACCTCAGCGTCATAGAGGCGGCCAAAAACGAGGACAGCTCGTTGCAGATCAACGCGGGCATGACGAAGCTCTCCCCAAACGAGTCGGACCAGTGCATATTATGTCGGAAACCGATCGAGGATGAATGCGCTGTTCATGGTGAGGATCGGTGGCACGCATCTTGCGTCTCGTGTGAGCGATGTGGCAAGGAATTAGGCAAGATCTTGGAACAGGCACGCCTGCAGCGCGACTACAAGATCCTCTGTGCCAACTGCGACGCCACATCGCCAGAGAAGGGTCAAACCCTCGAGAGAGTCTCCAAGCTGCAGCAATATGTCTTTCTGTTGAAGGTTGCGTTGGCAAGGCTTCTGGACATGCTTCGGAGTAGCGGGGCCCTCCCGCACACGTCGGAAGACCCTAACCTCGACGGATACGACGCCAACGACGGCCAGCGGTTGGAAGCTCCCATGTTGACGGCGGATTCCCGCTCAAAGTCGTATGCCGGTGAAGAAGGCCGCCACCAGAGAGAGTCGTCCTATGAGAACACTCTCAACGATGTGCGCCGGCTCAGAAGCACACGTCTTGACAAGCACCTATCCTCGAGTCTTAGGAAGGCTCGAACTTCAAGGATAATGGATGGCCCTGACGGACATAGTGTTCGACCCGGCTCTTCTGGTGGCGAGAATGGCACTGCTAGAAACAGACCCATGCAAATCGAAGAGGACCGTGAACCTGGTCTAGGCGGCACGGAGCAGTACTTTGGCCATTCGGATGCGCTTACCCTTGACGACATTCCACGAATAGTTGCCGCGGAACAAGCGAGGGAAAAGCAGCCCAGTGCCTACAACAGAAGCTCGAGACAGGAGCTGTTCAGATCACCAGCTACCCACCCTAATTACGCAACAGGAGCTGCACCAGGCCATCAACGGACTCAATCTGACGGGAGGGATGATACCCGACTTGCCGGTGAGCCTTCACCTCAGAGACCTGGTAGACGGTTCTTCTCCGAGCTCTCTGGACTCGAATATTTCATCGTGCGGCATGTTGCTGTCCTTACAATGCAGCCAATGCTCGACCCTGATTTCACTCTTGAAGACCTTCTTGGACTTATCGAAGCACGCAAGGCACCCACCTTCTGGAACAAGTTCGGTAAAGCGTTTGGCAACAAGGACAACCGCAAGGCAATCAAGAAGAAGGGCGTGTTTGGTGTTCCCCTGGATGTCATCCTTGAAAGGGACGGAGCAGACTCCACGGATGGTGTCGGTCCCGGAGCTCTTCGCATCCCGGCCATTATGGAGGACACAATTACCGCCCTCAAGAACAAGGATCTGTCGGTGGAGGGTGTCTTCCGAAAGAATGGAAACATCAAGAAGCTGACTGAGCAGGTGGCTTCCGTTGACCGAGACGGCTGTGACGCCATCAGATGGAACGATGAGACGCCGCACCAGTTGGCAGCATTGCTCAAACGATACCTACGTGAGCTACCGGATCCGCTCATGACCCAAAAGCTCTACCACCTTTGGATTGCAGCTACCAAGATTAAAGATCCAGACAAGAGGAGGCACTGTCTGCATTTAGCATGCTGCATGCTACCGCAGATCCACCGGGATTCCCTCGAGGTGTTGTTCAACTTCCTCAAATGGGTGGCCACTTTCCACCAGGTTGACGAAGATTCTGGTTCCAGGATGGATGTTCACAATCTTGCTCGAGTCATGGCACCAAATATTCTCTACCTCAACACCAAGACCCCCAGTTTTTCTGACGAGCCGATGATGGCTGTGGCTTGTGTCGAAGACCTAATCCAGTACAATGAGGAGATGTGTATGGTATGTTTGACAGTATCCCCATGTTTCGAACTCGGACTAATGATGGTTGCAGGTGCCGGACGAGATAATGGATATTCTCAGTGACTCATCATTGTTCAGCAATAATGGTGACATCACGACGAAGGAAATCCTCAAGCGCATTGGTGACCGTGGCAATGGGGCTCAGAGGTACGATACCGAACTTGTCAACAGACAGGAGAATACACGACCCATGGCTACTAGAGTCGATACCGATCCTTCACAATGGCCGCAAGAACGCAGCGTCCGTCACGTTCAAGACGCAGCAGCACCTGTTAGTGCCAACGCTCAAGGAACGCCTCCTTCGAAGTGGCGAGGACCTGAGAATGGACCGTCTCCTTACACAAATCAACAACAAGAAAGAAATGAGAATCAGCCTGAGAATCCTGAGAACGGACCGCGTCGGGAGTGGCGAAACTCAGGCGCCTGGGGAAGACAGAACAGTTCCATCACAACTGGCACAGGCTAAAAACCATCATTTGGTTCTGGTATATACCGGCATTTTTTTTTTGCTTTTCCTCTCCGTCTCCTGGATGGAACGGTGGACTCAATTCGGGGATCCACCTACGAGACCACAACTTACTTGACGACATAGCATGATTTGGGTGTAGAGCGGCCATACAGCATTTTCGACCGGCGTTCCGAATCTACTTTCATCCCCTCAAAAAATGGCCATGGGAGGCTTTACGAATTCAATTTTTCCCTTCGAGCCCCAACCGAGACTTGCCTTAGCGGGATCCTCCTTTTTTACGTTCTAATTGGCATGGTTCCCAAAACAAACGGAACCAGTTTGCCGTATTTGTCTGTCAAGGTTGGAGTAGTGTGGATATATTACTGCTTTCTGGCTTTTCTTGGTTCTCCGGAGCCGTCCTGCCTTTCTGCAGTTTCTGTGGCGACCTTTGATGTTGGAGTTTTTTGAAGAGATATCAACACGATCCTATCGGGTTTGGGGGAGGGCATAGGGTGAAATTTTCGTACGAAAAGGAGAAAAACGAGACGAGTATAACAGGACAATGCCGCGTCTTGTTTCTGCGTCATTGCTGTCGTTGCGAGCGATCAACTTTTCTTGCCGCATTTGCAGACGGCTACCACTTTTTTTCGCGGCGCTGAATCCAACGGATTCGTTTGATGGATTACATAGGGAAATGAGACAGACAGCCAGTAGTAGGATGGCCATGGAGATCCAAAAAGAAGCAGTTTTCAGGCCTGCTTAATCTACTCAATTCACCATTTCAACTGATCACGGCTCTCACTTTCCCTTGTGCACATCAGTCTTGTGTAATGATATGTTCATATTATTCTACATGCAATAGCTACCTCGGGGAGCACATATCGAGGGTTTTCAATGACTACAGCCCCTGGATTATGGTACACGGAGGACTCTTCGTAGTCCCAGAGACAAACGTCAGAGCTACAACTTTCCTCCAACTGCCTCCTGCTGCGCCTCCAGTGTCCACTTGACCGTTTTCCTGACCCCGTCACTCAGACTCACGAGCGGCTTGTAGCCTAATCTCCTTCGCGCCTTGGTAATGTCGTAGTACCTTGTCATGCAACTATACGCAATGCGCTGGCGATTGAACGTCGGCGGCTTCTGCAAAGCTGCGAATACCAGCTCGCTCATCAGCCCCAACACCATACCCATCTCCCGCCCCAAAGTCCACACGTGCGCCGTTCCCTTGTCGCTCCCGGCCGCCGCCCATATCGCCCGTGCGTAGTCCCAGAAGTAGACGGGCTCGCCGTTCGTGACGATAAACGCCTCGCCGTCGACACGCTCGTAGTCCAGCGGCGTCGTCTGGCTCTGCGATGTGACGAGGAGCGCGCGCGCTGCAAGTAGATGGGCATGCGCTATATTCTCGACGTAGGTGAAATCGAACAAATTCTCATTGTTCCCGACCTGGACGTTCGTCCGTCCCTGTTTGTAGATGTTGACCAGATGGTACACATTCTGAACATCCCCCTCACCGAAAATGCCCGCGGGCCGGATCGACACCGTCAAAAGGCCTGCGCCGTCTTCGGCCCGGTTCGCCGCCAGAACTAGCTCCTCCGCCGCTGCTTTTGTCTCGCTGTAGTACTCCGTCTGCTCCTTGCCGCGGATCACAGGCCATGTCTCGTTCGCGTTCACCAGGTCATTCTTGTTATCGCTCATGATACTCGCGCTGCTGGTAAACACCAGCGCTTTCACTCCCGCTCCACGACACGCAGCTACCACCGCCCGCGTTCCCTCGACATTCACCTTTTGGAACAACGCATCGGACACCGCGCTGCCGCCCTGCGCGGGTGGGGAGGCGGTGTGGATCACGACGTCGGGCTGAATCTTGCCGAAGAGTTTGAGCAGGTTGTCGGCGTCCGTAATGTCGGCTTCATGGTAGGACACGCCGTCGGAGGCCGGGCGCCGGTTGCGCTCACAGCGCAGGTCGATGACGCTGATTTGGGCTTGCCAGTCGCGTAGGAGGAGGGAGACGACGTGATGGCCGAGGAAGCCGCAGCCGCCGATTATGAGGACGCGGCCTAAGGCGGTGTGGTTAGAGGGGGGTTTGGTGGTGGTAGTGGCCATCTTGTCGAGCTTGAATGGCTTCAGCGGGTATCGAGGTTGCGAAGTGAGGTATGGAGAGAGACTGTTGTTGACTGCGACCGGTTGTTGCGTGGGGACCCTGATGAGGAAGGACAGCCCATTGACTTACTGGAGGCAACTTAATTGGATTGGAACAATTTAACGGAAAGAGGAGTGGATCAAGCCAGCCCAGCCCGCTAGAGCAGGGACAGGGGTCGGTGGCTGTTGTTTCCTGCCATTGGGAATGTAATTGTTCCATTTTTTGTTTGAGTTGCGTCATTGACGCCAGTGGTTACATGGGAGTCCAGTACCGGAATATAACAATCAGGTTTACATCTACAGGTGTTTAATCAATTGGCGAAGAAGAAAACAAACGAAAAAAGCAACGCTTTACACGGTCGTTCCTAAGATTGGTAGGCTTAGCGTCGTCTGTGTAAGTGCTAGGCCAGCTGCTCGCCAAGATGGCAAGTACATTTTGACGACCTTGGTTAAGGGTATTTATTGTTCACGGCCGGGTTATACCACGAGGCTCTAGGAGTTTGCTGACCTCTGTCATGGATCTTGACATATGGGTAGAAGGCACTTCCATTGTGACCAATGTGTGACGGTCTCACAATCTGACTGGTGAACTCGAGTCAGCCAGCGGTGTGACAATAGAACTCCGAGAATACTGCAGTATACCATTCCCATAGAAACCCCAGATCGAGACTTGGCCGGTCGACTACTTGTAGTATTGGAGACATCGGTGGTTTTGCTTGATTAGAATTATAGGGAATGGAAAGCCTGGAATAGTCAACCTCTCAGGTGCAGGCAGCTTGGACCCCTCTAGTGGATTCAGCACACCCAGGACACCCCACTTTCGCCCACTATCACAAGGCAGTTGGAACTGAACCCCTCAGCTGCGACTCAGACAGGCTACATATGGTCTATGTACCGTCTTTGCGAACCTTTAATCTTTTCGTCCGCCCTGGTCGTTAGCCTCTACAGATCGATTTCTTCCAGCTTGTGCCATTTTTTCTCATTCAAGCCGGAAAGCTCAAATCTACCTTGGTACTCCCATGTGGCTCTTTCTCCAGTACCCCGTCGCCACTCTATCTTACATCCCTCTGCTCTCTATGTAGCCTTCCGTCCCATTGCATCTTCCTTATTACTCTCCAGCAAGTAGGTCATCAAGAAATATAGGAAGCAACAGCCTGGGACCATGGCGGACCAGTCTATTTTCCGCATCACCAAGGAGATTAGCGACCTCCAGAAGAACTCAGACCTATCCCTCGCCGTCGCATTCCGCGATCGTGACGTGCGCAATGTCAAGGCTCTAATCATCGGTCCCCACGAGACTCCCTACGAGTTCGGCTTTTTCGAGTTTGCCGTCAAGTTCAACAAGGAGTATCCGCGCAAGTCACCCGCCGTCACGGGGACGACGACGAATGGCGGACGATGTCGCTTCAACCCCAACATCTACGCTAATGGTAAGGTGTGTCTATCGATCCTGGGAACATGGAGAGGCGAGCGAGGCGAGGAGTGGTCGGCTGCGCAGGGTCTCGAGTCGATTCTGCTGTCGATACAGAGTTTGATGTCGTCAAATCCATACGAGAACGAGCCCGGCTTTGAGGATGCCAATGAGGAGTCGGACAAGAAGAACCAGAAGGAATATGTCGCCAAGGTAATTCCACCTTGATCAATCCTGCGCTTTTTAACTGTGCCGCGAATATAGTTGCTGAAAAATCATAACAGATTCGGCACGAGTCGCTGCGCATTTCCGTCATCCAGCGTATGGAGGAATACCTGGGCATTTCATCCAACACCACCACAACGCCTACCGCCGCTGAGAGAGAAGACTACGATCTTGACATGGACGACGATGACTATGATGGTTCAGCTGTGCCGTGGGAGCCCTTCAAGGACCTAATCAAGCGCCGCTTCCTCTGGTATTACGATTCATACCTAGACGCTATTCAGAAAGCCAAAGAAGAGGTCAAAGACGGACAGCAATTCTCGCGAATGCCCTTCGAGGGAAGTTCGAATACAATGGAGGGCAGATTCAACTACACCGACCTCGAGCGACGACTGCGCAGGATCAAGGCAACGCTTGAAACCGAGGCCGACAGGTGGGCGGCAGAGGGTCTGACTACGAAGCACAAGGATAACACTGTTGCTGTCAACCTCTCTCGCCAGTTCGAACAAATCAAGGAGTCATATAAAAGGGCCGATGTGCCCCACAGCATAGAACTGGTGGACGGGAACCCCTTCGTCTGGCACCTGACATACTTTGGCCGTCCAATGACGAACCTTGACGGAGGCCTGTTCCGCATCAAGCTCAGATTCAGTCCGCGCTTCCCTGAGGAGCAACCGAGAGTTACCTTCGAGACACGGATGTTCCATCACCGCATAGCAGCAGACGGTACGCCGTGCTACTTCCCGAATCCCAGTCGCCGCGAAGACGTGAAGCAGCACATCGAGGCTATCATCGAGGCGCTCGAGGAGGAGCACCCGCCCTACGACCCCAGGACCCTCATCCACCCTGAAGCCCACAAGCTCTTCTGGGGTGGTGCGGACGACCGCAAAATATACAACAGACGACTCCGTAGATCCGTCCAGCAAAGTATGGAGGATATGTGATCTTGCGCTTGGTATTTTCCAACTTTCTACCGTGCAGTCTTAGCGGCTCCTGCTGTCGACAGCAGCGAACATAGGCAATCTTCCGACTAACGAACTGACACTATGTTACGATATCAATGACATGGGTTAGCTTTTTTTCTAAGTTGTCCTCGCGATGATTTCCGTTTCGTACTTACCTTCGACTCATACTGCGAAGAGATCCAGTTTACTAAAGGCGTTCAAGGAAATGGACTCGGTCTGGCATCAAATGAACAAAAGAATCGGAAACCCTGGCAAGGGTTGGCTGGGCTGGGCTGGGCTGGGCTAGCATATTCGGACTTTCGTTGTCATATGTATGAGGGGTGCCTTGGGCTTGAGGGGTCCAGGTGCTTGCTTCTACTGCTAGACTTTTTACGGTTGATACCTCTTTTGCGGTATGGATAATTTGCTTTACGCGGAATTGACGTGGAACTTGACATAAACGCATAAACTGGAGATATCGAATGCGCCACGGCTAACGTAGTCCAAGTCCAATGCTTAGCAGAAGTGACGGCCGGAGTGTGGTGATTTGTGATAGCAGTCGTAGGAGGTGGTGCAGTCTTCATACGTGTAATGGCCCTAATAGAACACTGCCCTATTAACGGATGTTTTCATTACTTAACTACCTCTGTGAACGCCACCACATGACAAGTCTCTCGCCTTCCATGCTCGATCATATCGTTATTTCGTGATGTCATCAATCCCGAGTAACTATGTTACTACCCTTTATATCAAGGGCTTGTGTTGGCCTTCCACCTGTATCTCCGAGACCTCGAAAGTATAGCGCCCCGAGGTTATTGTCACAAAGCTGCTTCCTCAAACTTCGTGGGACCGACCTGGCTTCCGAACCACAGTTCTCTGATGCCATATTTCTCCATGTTATACTGTTGGGTCTTTCTAGAAGAATGAGCTACTCACTGATCCATCGCCTTCACCCGCATAGCACCGTAACCATCATGGGGACCAAAAGGCCCGTCTGGATGGTCTTGGAAAGGCAGATTGGTGAAGAGTGCAATTTGCAACAAAGGGGTCGATGCCGCTGTTTCTTCCGGAAGTAATCTTTGCTGGGCGCCGAGAGAAAACGAGAAAACCGTGATCGAAATTTGGTTTGTTATTGCTGCGGGTAGTGACGAGGTTGAAGTCAAGAAGCTCCGTGGATTGAGTGGAACCACAGCCTCCTCGAAAGAAAACCCCACCTCATCCACAATAGAAACGAGCTAGAGATTCCAGTACCGCGGGTCGACTCATTACTGGCGAGACGACCCTTTTGGCTTCTTGTCGATCCTGTCTCTCAATGGGTTATACGGCGCCGCGATGCCGACCAGTTCTTCCCGTCCCCCAGCTACGCCGGGCTCGTACCGTCCATCGGCCGCCAGAGTAGCCGGAGCACCCTGCGGCGGCCGCGCGATCTCCTCTTTGTGTATCCGGTCAAGCGACTCGCCAACCACTGCGTACTGGCCCCAGTTGATAGGCGGACAACGATATATGTTTTGCGGCGTGGGCAGCGAGGCCCATGGGTTCGGCCCGGTATGCGAAGGCTGGTCGACGTCCATACCATTTGGGTCGCTCTGAACCTGCCCATCCAAGCCTTTCTTCACATCCACTTCGCTGTTCTCCTCGTCACCCGATGAACTGTCCCTGTCACTGTCGTTGCTTGGTTGATCTGCAACCCTGGCTCCCTGTTTCCTTGCCTCTTCGCCCAACAGATGCGTAAGGTACGCCTCGGGCTGCTCGAGCGCCGCATCCCTCGCATCTTTGAATGTAACCATGTCCCGCTTTGCCCGCATGCCCTGCATCTGGAGGATCGAGAGGGCCGACTTGAGCGCCAGCACGTCCGGGTTGGTTTCGAACTCGATAGGTTCGGGCGGTGGGGGCGGGATCGCTGATTGGGGCAGCTGGGATGAGTGCATGAATGTCTGCCGCGCTGGAGGAAACTGTACTGGGTTGAGAGGCGGTGTCAAGGGTTCGACGTTTGGACGCGGTGGCGGCGAGGAGCGCGAGGTTGATCTTGAAGGTTGTGCAGTCGCAACTGTCGTTTGCGCCGGTGCCGGTGCCGGTGCCTGTGCATGCGCCTGTGCCTGTGTGTGCGGTTGTGGTTGCGGTTGCGGTTGTGGGTGTGGAGGAAGAGGGATGCGAGCGGGTGGTACTGGGACTGGCGTATGCGACATCCTCGCTGTCGCAGCCGCCGGTATGCTGTTGGATGTGGCACCACTCGATCTGTGAGCGGTTGGAACGACAGGAGGCGGAACGGGCGTCTGAGGCACGCCGGTGCCCTCATTGTTGAGTGTGACCCCGGGCATCGTGACGGTGGACGATTTTCCAGTAGATAAAGTCAATGCTCCAGATTGAGGTGCAATGAACCGCTGTGAGACAAAAACAAGCCCCCCGAGCCTTTCAGGTGCGCCGCTGTCGGATGCGCGATTGCAGACAGCAGTGCGCAAGGAATGATTAGCGACGATGCAGCTGTATCTCGAACATTCGACGGGGCCAGACAAGGCGGTATCGTCGGACAGTTTCCCGGAAAGGGGGAACGATGGGTCGTCGTCTAAAATTCCCTAGGAAGGTTTGTTTCCCCTGTTCTAGTTGGATATTGAACGTCGCATCCCGAGTCCAGGCCCCAGGACTTGGCACTTGATGTAACTCGAAGGTGGAAGTGGCGGGGCAAGGTGGGGTCTAAGGAGTCATGTCAATGCATTATGTGTGGGGCAGCTGTATCGTCTGTGCTTTCCTTGTGCAGATCCCTCGGCATCTTTTCCAATTTTCTATGCTCACCTTCGTACACAATCCCAATAGTCCGTTCCATGGGAATTCAACGGAAATATATGTCGCTGTGATATGGAAATTTTTATTCATCCAGTCACACAGCTGAAGTGTTGGCTGTTTCTGAGCCATGTGGGAAAGGCCACGGCATGCCGTAAGCGCTGTCGTGTCAGAGCTCTTACTGGGTAGCTGCATTATCTAAAGTAGTTCTCGCAGTGTTAGCTCGTTCAGCCTCAATCTTACCGAACCAAGCAGGAGCATTCGGTAGCTGGCCCCTAGAATAATCGTCACCAGGTTCTACTCTGGTTGGTGCATGTACTCCGATGTACACCGAGTTTGGCGCGGACAAATCCCTCAGACGGAAAGAAATGCTCGGTCTTGCATTTTATTCCTTGAAATCGTATCCAAATGGGTTATTGACATTGTGAACCAATTTTTGTTGCAAATTCGATTGCCATTGTTGACAGTCTCAAGGGGGACTCCCCTCTGTTTCAAGATATCCAAAGTCACCTTGCGCACCCGATAAGTTCTCCGGCGTTAGAATTGTCTGCAAGTTGTGGGCTTTATGTGGCAAACAGCCGGCCACTTGAGCCCTCCAGTTTGTTGCTAAAAGATTCCCCGGTGAATAGTCTCCGTGGGGACACATGGGCCCTAAACGGAGCAACACCGTTGGCTCAATCAAGGTTTGGAACTAGGAAGGATTGGAGACCAATATAACGAATTTCAAGGACTAACGGCTCAGCAAAACTCCAAACAAAAAAGTCCTGTAATTTGACATGAGATGGGAAAAGTCATGGGACTCAACGTCCGATGTTGTCGAACGCGCATGGAGGTGAAGAAGTCTTCATCGACGATCAACTACCCCGGTTGCTTGCCTCTCTAAAACCTGTGTGGTAAGTGTTGTGGCGGCCTCATGACAACCACGCGGAAATGCGATGATCCCCCAAAAATACAGTGTACTGCAGAAAATGGCTTTTCCAAGCCAGTCATTACCCATGCGACTTTCTAGGAGGGTTGTCAAACCATTGGTTGACTCGATTTCTTGGCTTTTATCTCAGCTTGCTTTTCCGGCAGCCAGCTAACGAGTCTCCCTTAGGATGAACCGACAAGAACTAATTGGTTTACACTAGCTAACCGAACGCTCAGATTATTCGTCTAGACCTTCTTGTTTACTCGTCATCGGTTGGGAACCTTGATAGTGCTAGTTGATGTATCACACAAGACTGGGCGAGAAAGCCGACCATGGAGAGTACAGGTAGGTGGATACGTATATTGAAGAACTGCCTCCGGTCTGACAACCCAAGAAATATCTCGACTTCTCGTGGTACCATATACTTCAACTCTTTCCATTCTAAATTTATGTTTGGAAATTGGCGAGCCCTTCCCCTTCGCCAGCCTACCATTACGTCCTTAACGGAAGGTGGGGGGGTTCTATAGCTGGTGACTGGTGATACGAGCTTAACATACTAACGTAACCTCTACGGTTTCATAAATCCTCACACTTCGCGCCTTCTCAACCCATCTAGACTTCCCTAGTCAATATTTAACCTTTTGAAACGGGGTACCACCCGTGTTTCGGGTTACAGCAGCTTCCAAGTCGTCCAGTCTGCCATCTTCAAAACAGCCCGTCCCACTTCAGCCTGATCAGCACGTTTTGAGACCACGAGGCTTCTCCTCCGATTTTCATCCCAAAACGCTGTCCCAAAGCCATACGCACTGATCTGTTGAATGCAACCGCCGAACACGCACTCATTCGGCCTTTTCCAGACCGTCAAAAGAGTCACCACCACCCAAAGCGTCCCTCTTTCGTCCGTGTCTTACACAAGTGGTGAATCTGTCCGGGAGCAGGAAATCGGAGGATATCTCCAGCCGTGTCGTTGCTGTAGGACAAAGCTTTTCAATATTTCCGGTTCGTGAATTTGAGAAACTTCATCTTGCGGCCTCTCCGTTATGACTGACAAATCTCGATGCACAGGAAAGCCGGTTGGTGCTACGTAGCTTTTCAAAAACCTGCATGCTCAAACTAGATGATCTGAACAACTTATGTTAACCAAAAAGTCCTGGCTGGTGGCTACCCGATACCTCTCTCGATTTGTATGTGAAAGCACTCCGGCTCGCGAGTCGGCGAGATCGAGCTTCGCCTACGCAAGGTGGTAGGCAAAGCGGCCGGGAGTTGCCGTGTCTGGAAAAGGCCTCTAGCAACCATAAACGTGCATTTCTGTTTATTGCTGGACCATGGTTATGTTTGGGCTCTTCAAGAAGCACAAGTCACCACCAAAAGTCTCTGGATCACCTGGAGAAGACGACTACTATTACCCTTCTCAAGCACCCACAACTCCTCAGATTTATACACCACCCAGTATTCGAAACTTTTCCTATCCCACGAGCATAGCATCGAGCACTCGAACTCCAACGGAAAGAACAGATCAGTTGAATTCTGACCAAGTCGGCGACATCTGCAATTTCTCCCCCGACAGTCCGACGCGGACTGGTACAATTGGATTGGAAGACCCCTTCTTCTTAAAACTCGGCGAAGATTAGTACTCTCCGCGAGCAGACCAAGAGGAGAGTACTCGCATCGTGGCCCGGCCTTCTCAGGCGGATATCAAAAGGAACCCAGCAAAAGAGGAGCCAAAGACACGGAAGAAGCAACGTCGAAGCACACTCTTGGGCCTATCTACACCCCAGGGCCAGGGCATCTCACTTTTCTATCGGAACGCCGACAAGGACCCAGAAAAGGAGAAAGAATCGTCATTGGCCAAATCTTGCTCCCTAAGCGATCACGCCTTCTCCCACAAATCCAGTGCTCGGCTCAAGCGCAGCTCTTTGGGCCAGCACAAGGTGACTTCATCATTGGACGCATCCCACTTTGCTAGGCTACCACCTCGTAGTCCCGATCGGCCCTCTTCAAGCCCTGGTGTACGTTTTGTTGAGACAAAACTGAGAAATACCAGTTCTAAGATCGGACCTTCGCCACTCTCTACATCTCTGAACGCTCCTGGAGAAATGAATGTTGCCACTGAGACGCCATCTGTTCCCCGGGTCTCCAAGATGACTTTCCACAGAAAAAGTGCGTCTCAGGTCGTCTTTACCCAGCCCGCAGTTGTCAGTGGGAGCCGAAGCCGGCGCAACTCGACAACAGAGTCCGATAAACGCACATCAAAAGATAGCAAAAGCGGACGGTGGCTGACACATATCAAAGACTGGGTCACGGTATCTGAACCCTCCACCCAGGCTCTGAAGCAGCACAAGAAGGATACGTACAAGCGAGCTGGCATCGCTCTCAGTGACCCTCAGGCCAACGCGAAGCTGCACATTCCGGTTGCCACTTTACCACCGGAAGCCATAAAACCATGTGGTCCAGGTCCGGAGCCCGAGGAGATTGCACAACGAAAGGCGGAGCAAAAGAGACGGTTGAGGCAGTCGTACTCAACTGGGCGGCCCTCTCGTGGCTCGCGATCGAGTACTAGTCAACACTCGTCGCTGAGTAATCTACCCTCCAAAGATTCCAAGGATGGCATGTAGGTAAATGGATCTTTGAAATAGCCTTCAGTTCTCATACGGACCCTGATTTTGTGGTACAAGCCCCCACATTCATGCTAGTCTGTTTCCACTCGCTTTTCTTTTACTATACCCTTGGCATGGCGTGGAGAATTTGTCTGTTGATGGGCAGTCGGCATTTACATTCATGGCAGGTGAATTTCGTGACTACCTGGCCTTACCAGCTTGGCTGAGGGATTGCGGCTTTACGACGTTTTTGAGGATTAAAATGAGTCAGACGAGTTGACGGTTGAGATGGTATAGGGATCTATGAGTTGTTGTCGCCTGATTAAATACGTATACCTTTTGTTTTACTCCTAATGTCCATAGATGCGATTGTACATAGATGTGATAGACCTCAAAAAATAGCACTTTTCTCGCTTCATGTTGCTCTGGCTGGTGTCCCAGCTGATTCAATGCGGTTGTCCTGTGATGGTCTAATTCGGTAAATATCAGTTTTGAAATTGAAGTTATGGAAAGAGAAAGGAACGTAGAAACAGGAACCTGACCACAGCTCTGACCGAAATCTAAATAACACTTGAGCATTCCCTTCCTCAATTCTTAACATGCAACTGAAGCATTGATACCCTCGATGCACCGTATCGAACATCCAGCACCAACTTCGTGGGATGGTCGAACGATTGGGCTTGCTTGTTTACATATTACCTTAGTCGTGATCAGGATCAGACACCATCATGAGTTTCCTAGTTACAGACGAGGACTAACCGCTCTAATACCCATTCAAGCCACGCGATCCGTCATTTCGAAAATAACGCCAGCGGCAGCACGTCCTGTCAGGTCGCATTCGTATTGATGAGCGTTCTATCAGCGTTTCAACACCCACCTTTTTCATACCTAACTAAGAACCCATTGATTATCACGGGGTATTTGTGGGTTGGCCAATGGCATTGAATTCACCTGTACAGAAGTTTTAGAATAATTGCAGCTGAGGTGATGGTGCATATTCCTTAAGCGCCTCATCTGAATCGAGTATATTGCCGAGACATCGACGAATACAACCAAGGAAGCTTCCGAAGTCCGTGTCCATGACAATCTCTCATGAAGCTAGTGTAATTGACACGTATCGTAGTAGAGGATAGAAATGATGCTCGTGAAAACAGCTTCAACGTGACAAGAGCAACCTTGACAACCACTAGAGGCTGCATACAAGCAATACTTGTTAACCACTAGATCAGATCGACGCCAGCAGCTGAAAAGCTGAAGCAAGGCCATGATTGCAGTAGGTCGGCACTAATAGAGAACGAAACCTCACAACGGGGTCTGGCTCAATCAAGATGGTTGTCGGGGATTTTTTTGCCGCGGGGTCCAAGCTATAGTGTAGGAGTCTAGGCATGTGGCCTATGACGTATTTGATACAGGAGGTTAACATGCAAAAGTTCAAAAGCCAGTCCATGACGCCGACTTTATTTTTTGCAGATCGTCGATTGGAACCGAGCTTCGTGAATATCTGCAGTTTCCACACATACAACCGGAGCAAACTCTCCCAACTTACAGTGGCGGTTGTCTTTCGACTGGTTAGGGATTGCCAATCTCGGGAAGCCGCGTTCATCATACTGTCACATAGGTACAGGCATTCGTGCATCATCATGCGATTGAATTAAGAGCGCCCTCTCATCAATCTTCAAAGTTCCGAATTCTCTCAGGCTACGTTATTGGATCCTGCCTCATCGATTATCACGAAAGCAAAAATAGTGTACTTCTTGTCAGGCTCCCTTGTAGTCGAGGTAGGTACTTTACACTCCGGCATCATGGCCAAGCTCTGGGGCACGTCCAACGATGAGGCGAATGGAGGCTCTGCCGAGTCGCCGCGTAACTCGCAAGAGCACGAACGGGCGCCGAATGAACACACCCATCTACTCCCCGACCGAGCTGAGAGCGCTCGCGCAACGTATTTAAGCCCCGATGACCCAGCTGTACGTACACATCACCTTCCAAAGTTGCCCTTACCAAGTCACTAAGCGCATAAATATATAGGTGACGCCGTACAATTTGTGGAGTGTCCGCATTGTACGATGGCTGACCATATTACTCACCTTGATAACCTTCTTCTGGTGGGTGATCCAGCTCGTGTCGATGTTCGTCACGCCACCCGGATTTCACACTCGAGGTTCTGGATTCTTCGCTTTTAGCTATGCGTTTATCACGCTTTCGAACTTGCTGTTCACTTTGATCTTTTTCGCTATTCCATCGAAGGTGGTGCGCATATTGAGTGTGGTCATGGGGTTTCTTCTGCTTGTGGATGCGGTGTTGCTGTTATCGGTGGAAAAGACGAGACATGAGGAGGGATGGGTTGGCATGGTTAGCGTATTGTGTGAGTTTACTGCGAGATGCAAAAGTAAGTGCGGGATGCTGACAAAATACAGGGGCGTTCGTTATGTCCATATGGGTCTTGGCCACTGATCGATTGGTACTCTGGGGAAAGGCTGAGGAGGAAGAGAGACTGACAGGCCGGACCGAGACCCGACGAACTATTGGCGAATGGAGTGCTGTTCTGATCTCAACCCTTGCACTGGTGGCACTCAACATAGTCGTCATCTTGGTCACCCTCACTCTCATTCTTCGAGCTCTGGACGCTGGCCTGGCACCACCGGGGCATATGTACTGGGTGGACGGAGACAAGTACATGATGCATGTGTACTGCCGTGGTAACAGCACCGATCTGAAGGGTAACAAACTACCAACAGTACTATTTGAGGGAGGCGAAGGAAACGTAGAGAATGGTTTATGGCAGTTTGCCGACAGTGCGCTCAAGAACCACTCTATTAGTCGTTATTGCTTTGTCGATCGACCAGGGATGGCTTGGAGCGATACCGCGCCGTCTCCCCTATCTGCGGGCATGGCGGTTGAGGTGATCAGCGAAGCTCTAACCAAGGCAGGAGAAGACGGGCCGTGGGTATTGATGAGCGCTGGCATTGGATCCATCTACTCTCGCATATTCTCTGCACGCCACGGAGGGCAGATCAAAGGCATACTGCTTGTAGATCCACTGCACGAGGACCTGCTTGGTCGTGTTGGTGCGCCAGGCCGTGGCTTCAGTTTGTGGATGCGCGGCGTTATATCACCCCTTGGGCTCGACCGCATTCCAGGCGCTCTCTTTAAGGGTCGAACCAAAGAAGACCGAGTCTGGGGACAATATGCCTACCAAACCGGCAAGTACATATTTTCAAAGTTGCAGGAGAACCTCGTGGCTGAGTCACTCTCCAAACGGGACGTGGCAAGCAGCAGAACCATCCAATATCCCGATACGCCCTTGACCGTCATCAGTTCGGGTGTCGAGGTCCGGAAAGACGGAGAATGGGAGAAGAAGCAGAGAGATCTCACGCATCTGACCCGCAAGCTTCAATACTGGGATGTTGTTGCTGGAGCGCCCCATCAGGTGTGGGATACACTGGAGGGGCAGCAGATGATCGAGAGGAGGCTGAATCAGCTGGTATACTATAAGAAATGAAGGACAGGTTTTGCGTCCACAATGGCAAATGGCGTACACGGGAAATGAACAAAATTGACAGGAACAAAAACAACGGTGTCGGGATGTCGACTTAATGGGAAGGTAGTGTCTGGGCTCCTTAACATAGCATACCACAGCACATGTGGTAAATTTGTGCATTGTCTGCGATTGGATAAGTAAACACGAAGCGCACAGGACATGATTACGTAACGGAATAGACTTGGTAGCGAGTATTAATACATAAATACTTGATATCACAATCCTCCTTCATTCTCAGTCACCGCATGCGTGGAATCAAGATGGAACCACTTTGCTTATGAGTATGGAGTGAGAGAATATGCAGTTCCGGGTAAGCTCGCAGGATTTTGGACCAGAAGAAAACCACTTAAGCAAAAGTGGACCCACAAAGGCGCGTCTTAGACGCGTTCCCTCCTCCTCAGCCTCATCATTGACTGGCAGGACCTACCAAGACCTCAAACGAACCATCTAAACTCTCAAGCTCGTCAATCATCGTTGAGCAGGATTCAAGATGGCGAACTTCTTCGACCTGAAGGCCAGAAAGGCTGCTGCCGCCGCTAACAATGGCGCGGCCCCGAAAACTGAAGACAGCAAGAATGCGAGGAAACAGCCATGGGTTGAAAAATAGTATGAGCAATACTTCTTCCATTTAGAGTTGTACTTCAAATCAGCTACTAAAAAATTCGTTCAGCCGACCGAAGACACTGAGCGATGTCACAGCCCAGGATCATACCGTCAGCGTTCTCCAACGAACCCTCCAAGCCTCCAATGTGAGCCCATTCCAACAAAACCACACAGACTACACGATGGACAGACAGACAAGATGGCTGATACCTGATATAGCTCCCCCACATGCTCTTCTACGGGCCCCCAGGCACAGGCAAAACCTCCACCATCCTCGCCCTTGCTAAAGAGCTCTACGGCCCGGACATGATCAAATCCCGGGTGCTCGAACTCAACGCCTCCGACGAGCGTGGCATCTCCATCGTCCGCGAAAAAGTCAAGGACTTCGCGCGCATGCAGCTCACGAACCCTCCGCACGGCTACCGAACCCGCTACCCCTGCCCGCCATTCAAGATCATCATCCTAGACGAGGCCGACAGCATGACGCAGGACGCGCAGAGCGCTCTGCGTCGCACCATGGAGACGTACAGCAAGATTACGCGATTTTGCCTTATTTGTAACTATGTTACGCGGATTATCGATCCATTGGCGTCGCGGTGCAGTAAGTTCCGGTTTAAGAGTTTGGATCAGGGGAACGCGAAGAGGCGGTTGGAAGAGATTGCGGAAAAGGAAGGGGTGGGGTTGCAGGAGGGCGCTGTGGAGGCGTTGATTAAGTGCAGTGAGGGGGATTTGCGGAAGGCGATTACGTTTTTACAGAGTGCGGCGCGGTTGGTGGGGGCCACTGAGAAGGAGGATGTGGAGGGGGAGGATAAGATGGACGTGGATGAGGATGGAGACCGGCAGTTGGTGACGGTCAAGATCGTTGAGGATATTGCGGGTGTGATACCTGATGATACGATTCAGAAGCTGCGACAGGCGATACAGCCCCGGTCGGCGGCGGCGACGTATCAGGCTGTTGCCAAGGTGGTTGAGGAGATGGTGGCGGATGGGTGGAGTGCTGGACAGGTCGTCTCACAGGTGAGTTACTTCATTATAGACACCGATGTTTTCGGTATCAATCGATATGCTGACAACTTACTCAGCTGTTCCAAGCGATTGTCCAAGACGAGACGATACCGGACCTGCAGAAGAACAAGATCACCCTGGTTTTCTCCGAAGTCGACAAGCGGCTGGTGGATGGGTCTGATGAGCATCTGTCTATCCTCGACCTCGCTCTGAGGATATCCAACATCATGGCTGGCAAGGGCTAGTGTGGCTGTTATGGAAAAACGACGAGAACAACGCGCAAGTACACGGTCAACTGGCATCAAGGCGATATGGAGTCATAATGGACATGGACGGCGTTCTTGGCCGAAGTTTGCTGTGTTCGAGATATGTGCATTGGTACCCTAGCTAAGCAATCGCTTGATGTGTATGTTCAAAAGTGCATAGGACAGCACAGCTAGTTAGTTTACTTTGGTGTGTGCTCAAGCAGCCACGGCGCCTCATTCGTTGATGGATCCCAGATTCCCATCCAAGATTTCCCATATGGTCTTGACTGGTTCCAACTTCTCCTTCTCCTCAACGCATTTCTTGGTCACCTTCGCTTTGCTCTTCTCATCATCGCCCTCGGGATCCCACAGATCCTTCTCGGGTGCTTCTTGGCCCTCCCCGGATTCCTCCTCAGGTAACGGCACGTTGAGCAACTTGCAGATCTCCTCCAATGTCTGCCTCGAGTTGTCCACTGAAATCATCCCCTCTTCGACCTTCTCAACCACCGTCTCCAGAGTTGTGATTTTGGCCGAGTCGGCCGCGTACAGCCACAGTTGTAACTGGTCCGTCACACTCGACTTGTTGCCCGGTCTGGTCGCTTCCCCAAAGCTCATGTTCTGCGTCGAGGTGGGTTTGTTGCTGGGGAACTTCAGGAGAAGTTGGCTTTCCTCCGCGAGATGGCTCAGGGCCAATTTGGTGTCTTCTTGTTGTTTTGCTAGGCTGGCGTTGATGTGGGATCGCTCCTGGATTAGACCTTTCTGCTCTCGAGATAAAGTGCGCAACTTCTCGACGTAGGGTGTGAGCAGATAGGCGGTTGGAAGTGGCTTTGCCGTTGGGATTTCCTGAGTTTCGGGTTCTTTGTCTGGCGTCTCCTCTGATTGCTTCAACTCTTCCTGCATCCCCTTCAGCATTTCCTTGTGCTGGGCAAGAAATGTCATGGCTTCTTTGCGCAGCTCCAGGTGGCGTTGATACTGATTTTGGATTTCTGCTAGTTGGGCTTTGTGGTCTACCAGTGGATTTTTTGGCTTTTCAGTGTCTGGTATCGCTTCGTCGCCAGCTTTGCTCAATTGGGATTCTATCCAGTTGATCAAGGTGTTCTTGACGGCATTGAGGGCATGCAGCTTGACCTCTGGACTCAGGTTCCCGGGGTCCACGGGATCCCTAGTTTGAGCCTCCGTATGCCGTTGCTTGTCTCTTCGGTACATGAGTTTACTGCGCAGAACCGTCTTCTGAAGACGTTGAAGGAGCTCTTGAATCTCGGCATCCGCTGATTCGTGATCGACTGCAAAGCCATTAACCATCTCTGGGGGCATCTCCGGCAGCGGGCTGCAGTCTTTATACATGGCTTTGGGATCCAAGAAGGCCGTTGCCGCGGCTGGTTGCTTTTGGAGCTCATCTAGGTACTTCTTGGCGGCCGCTAGCTTATCATGCCTCTGCCGCAGTTTTGTAACCTCTAGATGCAAATCTAGGATCCTTGTGTCGACGTCCTTTTGTGGCTTGAGCGAGGCCATCATCTCTTCATGTTCCTTCTGAACCTGAGCGAAACCCTGCCGAGCTTTAAGATTCCTCCGAACGGCCTCGATGTACTCTCTGTGAAGACCTTGAAGATCCTTAGTCTCGGATACTTTCGTGTCAATGTCGACAAGAGAGAGGGGGCTTTTGAGTTGCTCTGTGCCGAGACTCTGCCCAAGACGCTGTTTCATGATACGCCTTATCATCATCACCTCTTCGCGTGGACGAAGACACTCATCTAGGGCATTGTTGACCCTTTCTCGGAATTCATTGGGGTCCATGCTGAGCCCGTTCAAGCATTAGCTTCAATGTTCGGGATTCAGCTAAACTTGTGGTCTTTCAGGAAACAGCACCCTGAAAAAAGACGCCGAATTATAGGCGGCTAAAATAAAGCAGCTTGAGAGCTTCGAACTGCTTCGTCCTCCAGGACCTCCAGGAATGGTCAACGAAAACAAATTTCGATTTCAGACCTTAACAAACCTGAGGTCGTAGTCAAGGAAGCGGTTGTCCAATTGAACAATGTTTGTACTCCTTAGCTTGTTGACCAATCGGGTTGCGGGGTAGCCTAATGCTAGCGCAGTCCCTATGTGGCGCTTGTGGCTAGTACAGGCAGTTGCATCTTGGCTGCAGCGTTGACTTTGGAGATCCGAATTTTCTACGAACATTGGACTATCCAGGTCAACATCTGCACCATTCGCGGCATTTCATAAGGCGGAGCCACTCATTCACCCGAGAAACGCCTCCGAACGATATCCAAGAGCTGTAAAAGGTATCAAGAGACTCGCCGCGTATTCAGATGCTTCCATATTAGGTGGACGAAGAAGGCGACTACGTCCATTTAACCCAACGGACCGCCGACACCCTTCTTCACTACCTCCCACCGAAACCACGACGCCCACGCGACTTATTCAAAGACAGCAAGCATGGCGGACCATCAGCGAGATGTGTCGCAGTACAAGTACTCGGCCATGTCCAACCTGGTCCTCCAGGCGGATCGCCGTTTTGTCACCAGGCGAACGGATGAGGCCACTGGAGACCCCGAATCTCTCGCGGGGCGACTGAGTATCAACGACATGGGTGCTCGTGTAGCTCGTGACGAGGCTCCCAAGCAGAAGAAGGCCAGTGGACTGCCGAACATGGTGAGAGGAAGTATGCAGGAGGGCCAGGACATTCTGGCAAGGGAGCAGCGGAAGCGCAAGGGCGACCCGTCACAGATGAGAGCCACGGGCATCCTGGGCCAGGCAGACCTGATGGTTGAAGGACTTACATATCGGCCGCGCACTCACGCGACGCGAGCGACGTACGACCTCATCCTCACTACCGTGGCAAATAGTCTGGGCGATGTCTCCCATGAGATCGTCCTCAGCGCCGCCGATGCCGTCCTCGAGTTCTTGAAAGATGAGGACATGAAGGACTTCGACAAGAAGAAGGAAATCGACGATCTGCTGGGCGCCACCCTCAACCCTAAGCAGTTCAACGAGCTGGTCAACTTGGGGAAGAAGATCACAGACTATGATGCTCAGGACGACGACGAAATGGACACTGGCGCTGATGGAGCAGAGGATGACGCCGAACTCGACGAGCGACAAGGTGTGGCCGTCGTATTCGAAGACGAGGATGAAGATGAGGAGGCGCCCGTTCTGAATGAAGTTCGCGATGAGTCCTCAGACGACGAGGCGGAGCCTGATAATGACGAAGAGGCCGCCCTGGAATCAGAAGAACGGGCAGCTGGTGCAGGTGAAGATCGAAATGGAGATGGCGCCGAGGACGATGAAATGATTATCGACTCGGGACCGGTTGATGGGAAAAGTGGTGATGACAGCAAAGGTCAGAACTACATTCCGGCCCGTGCCATCGACGCGTACTGGCTGCAAAGAGAAATCGGCAAGCTCTACCCCGACGCTCATATCCAGCATGACAAAACTCTCCAGGCACTACGGATACTTTCTGGTGAGCCAGATCAAGTAGGTGGGGAAGAAAAACAGCTCAGAGAGATTGAAAATGACTTGATGGAACTTTTCGACTACGAACACCACGAGGTCGTTCAGAAGCTCATCGAGAATCGAGAAAAGGTCGTCTGGCTCACCCGATTGGCTAAAGCTGACAATGACGAAGAACGTGGAGTCGTTGAACGTGAGATGGCATCTGAAGGTGTCAGATGGATACTGGATGAGCTCCGGGGCAAGAAAACCAACGGTCAAAAGAAGATGGAAATAAGGATGGACATCGACGTACCAGCTTCTTTTACCGATGATTCTGCGCCGAAGGCTGAGCGCGGCGAAGGTCAACTTGTTGGTGGCCTTCAGCCGCGTAAGTTCATCAACCTAGACAACCTCATCTTTGACCAAGGCAACCATCTTATGACCAATCCCAAGGTCAGACTACCTGAGGGATCCACGAAGCGAACTTTCAAAGGATATGAAGAGATACATGTACCTGCTCCCAAGAAGCGCAACGATCCGTCAGATGTCAACATACCCGTCATTGACATGCCCGAATGGGCCCGTGTGCCGTTCAGTCAATCCGGGGCCAAATCACTGAACAAGATCCAGTCCAAGTGCTTTCCATCTGCATTTGAGGATGACGGCAACATGCTCATTTGTGCACCCACCGGTAGTGGAAAGACAAATGTTGCTATGCTTACTATTCTGCGAGAAATCGGAAAACATCGAGACTCCAAAACAGGGGAGATAGACTTGGATTCTTTCAAAATCGTTTACATTGCGCCCCTTAAAGCTCTTGTACAAGAACAAGTCGGAAACTTTGGTAAACGACTTGCAGAATACGGCATCACTGTTTCAGAATTAACCGGTGATCGTCAACTCACGAAGCAGCAAATTGCGGAAACGCAGATTATTGTCACAACTCCAGAAAAGTGGGATGTCATCACAAGAAAAGCGACTGATATGAGCTATACAAACCTCGTGCGTCTGGTCATCATCGATGAGATTCATCTTTTGCATGACGACCGTGGACCGGTCCTGGAGAGCATTGTCAGTAGAACGATGCGAAAGACAGAGCAAACTGGAGACCTAGTACGCCTTGTCGGTCTTTCAGCAACACTTCCCAACTACAGGGATGTAGCTAGTTTCCTTCGTGTCGATCCACAGAAGGGGTTGTTCCACTTCGATGGCTCTTTCCGACCCTGCCCTCTCAAACAAGAGTTCATTGGTGTCACAGACAAGAAGGCCATCAAACAGCTCAAGACAATGAACGACATCACGTACAACAAAGTCATAGAGCACGTAGGAGCTAATAAGAACCAAATGCTCATTTTTGTGCATTCTCGGAAAGAAACTGCCAAGACGGCTAGGTATGTCCGAGACAAAGCTCTTGAGATGGAGACCATCAATCAGATCTTGAAGCACGACTCTGGCTCTAGGGAAGTCCTGAAGGACTCAGCTGATTCTGCCACGGATTCGGACCTGAAGGACCTTCTGCCATACGGTTTTGGCATCCATCACGCCGGCATGAGCCGTCCGGATCGAACAGATGTGGAGGACCTATTTGAAAAGGGTCTAATTCAAGTACTTGTCTGTACCGCAACGCTAGCCTGGGGTGTTAACTTACCAGCACACACTGTCATCATCAAGGGCACACAGGTCTACTCACCTGAAAAGGGTAGTTGGGTAGAACTGAGTCCCCAAGATGTGCTGCAAATGTTGGGACGTGCGGGTCGACCGCAATACGATACATATGGTGAAGGTATCATCATCACGACGCAGACGGAAATGCAGTATTACCTGTCGTTGCTCAATCAACAATTACCCATCGAAAGTCAATTTGTTAGTCGTCTGGTTGACAACTTGAACGCTGAGATCGTTTTGGGCAATGTCAGGAGTCGAGACGAAGGTGTCGAATGGCTCGGGTACACTTACCTATTCGTCCGAATGTTGCGATCCCCAGGCTTGTACAGTGTAGGTGCTGACTACGAAGATGACGAGGCACTGGAGCAGAAGCGAGTGGATTTGATACATTCTGCCGCAACGGTGCTCAAGAAGTCAAATCTGATCACCTACGATGAGAAGACAGGCAAGCTCAAGGGCACGGAACTTGGCAGGATAGCCTCACATTACTACATCACATACGGCTCAATGGACACTTACAACAAACTCATCCAGCCTTCCATTACAACAATCGAGCTCTTCCGAGTTTTCTCGCTTAGTGCAGAGTTCAAATTCATACCCGTCAGACAGGATGAGAAACTGGAACTTGCGAAGCTTCTTACTAGGGTTCCTATCCCGGTTAAGGAAAGCATTGAAGAGCCCCACGCCAAGATCAACGTCCTTCTCCAGGCTTACATATCCAGACTCAAACTGGATGGTTTGGCTCTCATGGCTGACATGGTATACGTGACTCAGTCTGCTGGTCGTATCCTGCGAGCGATCTTTGAGATCACGCTGCAAAAGGGGTGGGCAAACGTGTGCAAGACAGCGTTAGATCTGTGCAAGATGGCTGAAAAGAGAATGTGGCCAACGATGACGCCGCTGCGTCAGTTCCCTATGCTGGGACACGACCGAAACATTGTGGCCAAAGCAGAAAGGATCGAAGTGCCATGGAGCAGCTACTTTGATTTAGACCCTCCGCGCATGGGTCAGTTGCTTGGCCTCCCTAGAGAAGGCAGGAAAGTCTGTGATCTTGTCGCCAAATTTCCACGTGTCGAAATTCAGGCTCAAGCACAGCCAATGACGCGATCCATGCTGCGAATTGAGCTCAGTATCACGCCTAACTTCGAATGGGATGATGCATTGCACGGATCTGCAGAGAACTTCTGGATAATGGTGGAGGATTGTGATGGTGAAGACATACTTTTCCATGACCAGTTCCTGCTTCGCAAGGATTACGCCGTGTCAGAGAACAACGAGCACCTGGTCGACTTCACAGTATCTATCACCGACCCAATGCCGCCAAACTACTTCATCTCCGTAATCTCAGACAGGTGGATGCATTCGGAGACCAAATTACCTGTTTCATTCCGAAAACTCATTCTTCCCGAGAAGTTCCCCCCACACACGCAACTTTTGGAGTTGCAGCCTCTGCCTGTGGCCGCGTTGAAGGCCAAGGACTATGCAAACATATACGAAGATTGGGACTACTTCAACAAGATCCAGACCCAAACCTTCAATTCACTTTACACCACAGACGACAACGTGCTCATCGGCGCTCCTACGGGCAGCGGTAAGACTGTTTGTGCCGAATTTGCTCTGCTCAGACTCTGGGCCAAGCCAGAGTATGGACGTGCTGTATACGTTGCACCATTCCAAGAGCAAATAGACATCAGGCATGAAGACTGGACCAAGAAGTTCGGGCAGATTCGTGGTGGAAAAGACATCGTTAAGCTCACTGGAGAGACAGCGACAGATTTAAAACTCCTCGAGAAAGGAGACCTCATCCTTGCCACCCCAACACAATGGGACGTTTTGTCGAGGCAGTGGCAGCGACGTAAGAACATATCCACCGTGGAGCTCTTCATAGCAGACGAGCTTCATCTCTTAGGTGGACAATCGGGCTACATCTACGAGATCATTGTTTCGCGGATGCACTACATCCGCACGCAAGTTGAACTGGCTCTAAGAATCGTGGGCCTCAGTGTCTCGCTAGCTAATGCTCGAGATATTGGTGAATGGATCGATGCGAAGAAGAAGGACATTTACAACTTCAGCCCCCATGTTCGACCTGTCCCGTTGGAACTTCGCATTCAATCTTTCTCTATTCCCCATTTCCCTTCTCTCATGCTCGCAATGGCGAAGCCAACTTACCTTGCCATCACGGAAATGTCTCCTGACCAACCTGCCATTGTCTTTGTTCCCAGCAGAAAGCAGACGAGATTCAGTGCTCGTGATATTCTAGCAGCATGTTTGGCAGACGATGACGAAGATCGATTCCTACACGTCGACGTGGAGCAATTGCGCCCGCTCTTGGGCAGAATTCACGAAGAAGCCTTGGCGGAGGCGCTTTCACACGGTGTAGGTTACTACCACGAAGCGCTCAGTCAAAGTGACAAGAAGATCGTGAAGCATCTCTACAACCAAGGGGCCATTCAAGTCTTGGTGGCGTCACGTGACGTGTGCTGGGAGCTCGACTGCACTGCACATCTAGTCGTGGTCATGGGCACTCAGTACTTTGAAGGCCGTGAGCATCGCTACATTGATTACCCCCTCAGCGAGGTGCTCCAGATGTTTGGCAAATCCCTACGTCCATCCAGAGATGGCCGAGGTCGAGGCGTCTTAATGGTCCCGGGCGTCAAACGCGAGTACTACAAGAAGTTCTTGAACGAGGCTCTGCCGGTAGAATCGCATCTCAACAACTTTGTGCACGATGCCTTTGTGACAGAAGTCAGTACGAAGATGATCGAGTCTGCAGAGGATGCCATCAACTGGACCACCTTTACGTACTTCTACCGCAGGCTTCTTGCAAACCCCAGCTACTACGGCCTGACTAGTGCGACTAACGATGGCTTGAACGCCTTCCTTTCGGATCTCGTCGAGACGACGTTGAAGGAGCTCACCGAGTCAAAGATTATTGATTTCGATGAAGACGATGGAACCGTTGCACCTCAGAACGCTGCCATGATTGCCGCATACTACAACATCTCGTATATTACGATGCAGACATTCCTGCTTTCACTCACTGCCAGAACAAAGCTCAAGGGCATTCTTGAGATTGCCACGTCGGCCACCGAATTCGAAACAATCCAGATCCGACGCCACGAAGACACCCTGCTTCGGAGAATCTACGACAGGGTACCAGTGAAGATGTCTGAGCCTGTATACGAATCACCGCATTTCAAGGCTTTTGTTCTCCTGCAAGCACATTTCTCACGGATGCAGTTGCCCATCGATCTAGCCAAGGACCAGGAGATCATCGTGACCAAGGTATTAAGCCTTTTAAGTGCAACAGTTGATGTTCTTTCTTCAGATGGGCACCTTAACGCCATGAATGCCATGGAAATGTCGCAGATGGTGGTCCAGGCCATGTGGGATCGAGATAGTCCTCTGAAACAGATTCCTCATTTCACAACCGACGCCGTTAAGGTGGCAAATGAGTCTGGGTATGTCACATCGAACCAAATTGAAGTTTACAGTGCTAGTGCTAACCACCAAATCACAGAATCAAGGATATCTTCGACTTCATGGAAGCTATGAATCCCGAGGAGAACCCTAACTACGCCAGCCTGGTCAAGCGCCTTGGTCTCACGCCAAAACAGCTTCAACAGGCAGCACACTTCACCAACACCAAGTACCCCGACATTTCACTGGAATTCGAGCCTGTTGACGTGGACAATATCCGAGCTGGCGAGCCGGCTTACCTCAACATCCAAATCGAGCGCGAAGTTGACGATGAAGATGGCGAGGTGGATACGACAGTCCACGCTCCGTTCTACCCGGTCCAGAAGATGGAGAATTGGTGGCTAGTGGTGGGAGACGAAAGCACCAAAACGCTGCTTGCAATCAAGCGAGTCACCATTGGGCGGCAGCTGAAGGTCCGCTTCGAGTACACTGTGCCCACACCTGGCAAACACGATCTTAAGCTCTTCCTGATGAGTGACAGCTACGTGGGCGTTGACCAGGAACCTACCTTCTCCGTCAACGTAGCGGAGGGCATGGATACGGATTCGGACGAGGAGGAGGATGAAGAATAGCGGCCCGGCATGGTGATTGTGCCAAGACTGCGAAGGTGTGAATAATCATTCCGTTGTGTAAGGAGCTTACTGTATCAAATAGCAAGGAGTGGCCAAGATGGCAATATATGCTGGATCTATGGGCAGTTACGACCGACAAGCAATCTGATGTTTTGGCTGAATGAGACGGCTATGATGTGGATGTATGCGGTGTGATGAGTTGTGGCGTATAAACGGGAGTTATGCAGATGTTGGCTGACGGCGACAGAGTTGAGATGGCGACCCCGTGTGCTTGGGGCTTTGAGACGAGAAAGACACGGGGTTGGACATGTTGACATTGGCCGGATTCAGGCTCGAGTAGACACGCGAGTGAGTGACAGAGATGTTGGTCGGAGGTAGAAGACAGGTGAAGAAGGTGTCAGATGTCCAACAGGCCGGGGGAGTGTTGATGTCTGCCCTATGTCACCCACTTGCCGCAGTGCCCGTCGAAGAGCAGATAGACGTCGCGCACGGGCCCCTTGAATGCCTAGCAATAGTGTTGGCGCACCTTCAATCAAATAGAACTCCACCAAAGCGAAGTCTCCAATCCTTTCGCATCTCACTTTTTTTGTGTTCGGTTTCGTCACTACAACACTTCACGGACGGCGCAACAATCTATCCAAATCGCCTACGTCTTGTTCTATCCCATCCCCCACACTTGCATAATTCTTTGGCAACGTCATTGCCAATTGCAAGACGCGTTGGAATCTTTCATCCGCCTGCCGCAGCTGACGCTGTTCGACCTCCTTACAACTCATAATCCGTGACGCGAATTCACGTTGTCGCTACTGTCCGCCTCACTATCACGATGTCAGACGAGGCAGCCACCCAACCTCGCATTGCCGCCCCCGCCGATTCTTCCGTCCCCGCGACTGCTGAGGGAACCGAGACTGAACCCGTTGCGCCTGCTTCTGATGTCCAAATGGACGACGCGGAGCCCGCTGAGACTGCAAGTGCTCCCAAGGTGGAAGCTGACAAGCCAGCCACAACTGAAGGTATGTCCACCTCACAACCAACTTCGACGCGTTTTAGAAACTTCCTCGCGCCCTTCTGCATTCTACATAGTCTTACTGACATTTACTTGTTACGCGCAGAACCCGCAACCGTATCGCCAGAGAAACCCGCTGCTGAGCCTGAAACTGACATTGAGATGAAAGACGCCAAACCTGCTGGCGAGCCGCCTGCTGAGCCGGTCAGTGTTCCTGTCCCTGCAGAGAACCCCGAAGCAACCGAGTCGGAGGCCAAGCCAGAGACGGAGAAGCGTGCTGGGGCAGCCGCGGCCGCCCCGAGTACTGTGCAGGAAGCCACTGGTACTGCTGTTCAAACTAAGAATGGCACCCCTTCTGGCGACAAGAATAAGGCGCGTCGCAAGTCCTCTGGCATCCCCGAGCACAAGGGCAAGAAGTTAAACAAGAAGCAATCCAAAGCCAAGATTCTTCACACAGATGCTAAGCCCGGCGATCACTACTTTGCCAAGCTGAAGGGATTTCCTCCGTGGCCCGTCATCATCTGTGATGATACTATGCTTCCGCAGTCCATGCTCTCAACGCGACCCGTCAGCGCTGCGCGTCCTGACGGCACATATCGAGAAGACTTTGCCGATGGTGGCAAGCGTATTGCAGAACGAACCTTCCCCGTCATGTACCTCCACACAAATGAGTTGTAAGTTATACTAACCCCATTCCAAGGATTCGCCCTATTGTGTATGGGCATAACCTCGAATTTGGCAAGCTGCTAACGTCACGACCGGCAGTGGATGGTCGAAGAACACCGAGCTCGAGGATCTTGATCCTACCACCGTCCGCGAATCCATCACTCAGAAGATGCGCAAGGACCTTATGAATGCCCATCTTCTTGCTGAGGAGCAAAACAGCCTGGATCACTACAAGCAAGTGTTGCAGGAATTTGAGGAGTCAAGACTGGCAGAACTGGAAGCGAAGGCTGCTAGAGCTAGCGCCAAGAAGGATAAGGCAAAGAAAGCTGAGGCACCTCCTCCCGAGGAAGATGAGGATGTGGAAATGGCAGACGCAGATGAGGCCGAGGTCTCCGAGACAAAGAAGCTCAAGTCGAAGAAGCGCAAGGCAGAAGAAGATGCTGCTGTAAGTGACACTTTTGGGAGATAATTGGGCCCATACTGATCGTCAAATAGACTCCCCAACGCTCCGATTCCGTTAAGAAGCCCAAAATCAAGTTGACCACTTCGTCAACCCCCAAAGCCACCGCGAACGGTGTCCAGTCGCCAAAGCCGGGCAAAGAGTCTGCGGCCAAGCCTGTCAAGGTCAAGTCCAAAGCGGCCAAGACTAAGGACGCCGATGGCAAGAAGACGGAGAAGGAAGTTGCAGCGCCCAAGGAGCCTGAATTGACTCCCGAGGAGAGGCGTGTGCGCAAGGAGGTATGTTGAGTTGGCGCTGATCGCGCTTCAAAACTGTTGCTAACCTCGTGACTAGAAAGAAATTCTTTTCCTCCGACACCGATTGCAGAAGGGCCTCCTGAACCGGGACCAACCGCCCAAGGAAGAGGAGATGAAGCCCATGTCGGACTTCCTAGCGAAACTCGAGACATTCCCCGACCTCGAGGTCAGCATCATTCGCGCCACCAAGATTAATAAGGTGCTGAAGGCTATCCTCAAATTGGAAGGCATCCCAAAGGAAGAAGAGTATAAATTCAAGCCGCGATCGCAGACCCTGTTGGACAAGTGGAATAAGATTCTTGCCAGTGAGGCTGTTGGTGGGCCTGCAAATGGCGTCAATGGTACCTCTGGTGAGGCTGCAGCCCCGAAGGCAGACAAGGAGACCACCAACGGCGTCAAGCAGAACGGTGGGACTGAAGCTACCAAGGAAGCGCCGAAGGAGCCGAAGGAGGAGCCTAAGGATGAGGTCAAGGAAGCCTTGCCCAAGGCGATTGATTCGGCGAGCGAGCCCGCAAAGGAAGAGAAGCCAGCTGAAGACGTAAGATGTCCCGTTAAAATTGGATGACGGTACTTATCTGAACTGATATCTGCCCAGGCTACCGCGGCAACGACCGAGGACCCCACGGCGGTCGAGTCCTCTACTTAGAACAGCAAGAGACAATCTTTACAGAGGCGAGTCCAACCATTGTAAAGCCTGGATCATATTCCCCACGTCTACCGATTGAAGCCTGCGTAACAACTACCCAGGAGTGGTTGATACACCTCAACACAAGACGGCGTTCAACTCAATTGAGGCCCAAACGTGGGTGCTCACTGAGCTGTGTTTTTCCCATGTAAAATAGTGTTTTCTTGGCTTGCGGCTTCATCATCTAAGACAGGTCTGGCACAAGGTCAGAGAGGCAGGATTTTCTTATATCTGGATCCATGGGGTTCTCTCTGGACAAAGCTGCGTGCCCATTGATGCCATTTTCAGCAGACCGAGTCCGGCTAGCAGCGAAAAGAACAAAGCGGTACCTTGTTAGAGCATATCGACATTTATATGCCAGCAAAACTGCTTCGTCTTTGGTGACGATGAAGGCTGCTGGGGGCTGAACCTGCAGGATTGCTCAGGCGTACCCGAGGAATTGATAGTTTGGCAATATCTGCAATAAAAAGTTTTACATATCGCGGCTTGTATAGAAGTGAATATGACAGCAATTGAGACTGATGCACAAGCACTGCAGTGGGCGGAGTACTCACCTGTGTGAATGAGGCCATCACTAACGTCCAACTTGAAACCTTAGGCGTTGGTCGGTGAACATGGCTTCAAGATTAAGTAGCACATGAGTTCGGTGCATTCCAGAACGGCCTCCGCTCTCTAGTAATCGCTAGGGATGCTTCTTGTACATGTAGAAAGTGGAAATGGGTGCGGACAAAGCTGTACAATGTACAATGTACCGGTATACTAAGCTCAGAAGCTTACCCTGGAGGACCCCACTCGAGGTAGAGCTTTGACCCATTTGCAGTGGCATCGCGTCATCGGGTTGTGCCTGACGAGGACGTTGCTTGGGTTTGCCTCGAGATAGTTCGCAACCGCCACAACCGCGTTGCTCCCATTCCCAACGCCGCAACTTGGAAAGCCCATGGAGGTCGGAGAAAGATCTTTCACCACACAGATCTCTGTATTTTAAGGGATCTCTCATTCCTGCAAGCTGCGCATCTGCGACATCCGTATCATTACCATCTTGACCCGCTCCCCCCGCCGAGTACGTCCATAACGCCACTGCCAAACTGCCCAACATGTTGCTCCGTCTCCGAGGGCCGGATGGCATGAAGCGCATCAACATCGATCAGAATGCTACTTTTGGAGATCTGGGGCGCCTGGTATGTTCTAACTAGCAAGCTTCATAAAGAAGTAGTGTACTGACGGCCAATAGCTTATGCTAGAGTTGCCCCCCACCGTGATCCCCGAATCCATTACCATGTCGAACTCACCTACCGGAGGCGAGAAGAAGCGCATTGCTGAAATCGCCAAGTTCAAGGTTAGCCAAATCGGGCTTGGCCATGGTGACTTGATCTTCATTTCCTACGAGCATAACGATGCTGCTACGAATGGTCACTCGAATGGGGAAGCCACATTGACCCAGGCCTCGACGAATCGACTGAACGGGAAGCCCATCCTACCGACAGAAGACGTTCCGATTAACCCGCCACCGTTGAAGTCCCCTACTCTTGTCAAGAACCCATGGGAGTCAGTGAAACAGTCGGAGTTGGACAACAGTTTAGACAGAAAGGATGGCAAGATCGCTCGAGGCCGTGACAACCGCATGTGCAAACATGGTCCCAAGGGCATGTGCGACTACTGTACGCCCATGGACCCCTTCAACACCCAGTACCTCGCCGACAAGAAGATCAAGTACCTGTCGTTCCACTCTCACATGAGGAAAATCAACTCGGCAACAAATAAGCCAGAGCTGGGGAGCTCCTTCATTCCGCCCTTGAAAGAGCCGTATTTCAGAGTCAAGCGCGATTGTCCGTCTGGACACCCTCAGTGGCCCGAGGGCATCTGCACCAAGTGCCAGCCGAGCGCAATCATTCTGCAGCCCCAAACCTTCCGTATGGTCGACCACGTTGAGTTCGCCTCCTTCGAGATCGTCAACAGTTTCATCGACGCATGGCGTAAAACAGGAGCTCAGCGGTTAGGACTGCTGTACGGTCATTATGAAGAGTACACCGAAGTACCTCTGGGTGTCAAGGCAGTTGTCGAAGCTATATATGAGCCGCCGCAGGTCGACGAGAGCGATGGTGTGTCATTGAACCCATTCGAAACCGAGGCGGCAGTCACCGGAGTGGCCAAACTGTGTGGTCTGGAACCAGTTGGATCCATCTTTACCGATCTACTCGACTCCGGAGTTGGTGATGGGTCTGTCATCTGCAAAAGACATGCCGACTCGTACTTCCTGTCATCGTTGGAGGTGTGCTACGCCGCTCGATTACAAGCTCAACATCCCAAACCTAGCAAGTGGAGTGAGACGGGTCAATTCGGCTCTAACTTTGTCACCTGCATCATCTCGGGTGATGAGACGGGGAAAATCGCCATCTCGTCATACCAGGTGTCCAACGAGGCGGTCGAAATGGTGCGAGCCAACGTCGTCGAGCCCTCTGCCGACCCTTCTGTCATGCTCGTCCAGGAAGAAGAGGAGGATGACGGCTCCAAGAGTCGCACGCGATACATCCCCGAGGTGTTCTTCCGCAAGATTAACGAATACGGCGCCAACGTACAGGAAAACGCAAAGCCGGCTTTCCCCGTTGAGTATCTCTTCGTCACATTGACTCACGGCTTTCCCGCAGAGCCCAACCCTATATTCAACACACCCAAGTTCCCTATTGAAAATCGCGAGGTTATCGGTGAAAGCCAACAGCCAAGTGCGGTGGCAACGGCACTCGACTTTAATGGCGGAAACAAGAACATGTCGCTTTCTGACTTCCACTTTCTCTGTTACGTCCACAACATGGGAGTGTTGTCCAAGGTAAGCAGCCTTGATGGCGTATTCTGAATAGAAATTAATGAAATGCCTAGGCGGAAGAAGCGCTGCTCTGCCGCGTAGCAACCAAGCACGATCTCGCTGACACATACCAACTCTTTGAAATGCCTGGGTGGCAGACCCTGATTGCCATTCTGCAATCGACTGGTGAGAAACTCCCCAATAACAGCAGCAGTCGGAAGCGACTCCGTCGGCCCAGTGGAGACGGGGCCCCCAACGGCGCTGCTGCCCCAGCACTAAATAATTTGTCCACTGGAAGACGCCCCAATACCAGTGAACCAGACGCTAAGCGTTTTGCTGCCCTTAGGCTGAGCGGCGAGCGAGCAGATGGGTCAGCACGACCGCGCCGCCTACCAGCGCGTCAGGCTGAGCGGGGCGAACAATGAGTCGACAACGGCACGTCAGATGAGGCGCACGAGGCGCACGCGGCGCCACGAGGGAATGAGCGACTTCACTTCGATCGCTGGAAACGGGGAAAGCGATGTGCGATGTGAATTGCTAAAGCTTGTGGCCTACCTGAAAGCACAATGGGACCCAAGGGCTTAGAGACGGAGACAAGAACGGGCGATTCAGGGTCAACTTTCCTCTTTTGATACGGCGTTTCAGGCAGGCAGGCAGTCAGGCAGGCAAAGCAGCTTCAGGGCCGAGTCCTGCGACTTCTAGATTTGCACATCTTGCCCCATAGATTTATGCAAATATAAATTACTGAAAAGCTGTCTTGCAGCGAATTGTATCTTCCGGTCAAATCAGGAGAGCGCCAAATTCGGAGCAATAGCTAACGCTCCTGGCCTTCATGTAGCGAGCACATCCGACCCATTCATGTGTAATGTGAAATTACTCAGCTGCAGTTTTGTCAGGTGAAATACCACTTCAGCTTCAAATTAGCACTTGGAATGTATTAACAGCATGGCTTGCCTCTCCTTGGCACCATCTGCTGGCACCATCTGCTGGCACCATTGCGGGATCGACATGCTAGGTTGTGCCAAATCACGCCACTGCATTGGAGCATTTAGCAGTCTGAAGCTCACGGGTTGTGCGAAGAGATTCCCTGCCTAGGTACTTCTTACATGGGACAGAGAGTGTCCTGGATTCGGACTTCGACCGGACTTTTTCTAGCTAATACAGGAGGATTGTTCATCATCCCTATGGGCACTGCGGTGGCGTCGCGTACAGTACAGGTTTAGAGCATCATCAGCTTTTATACGTTAGGTTGATGAAGAGCACACCTGTGTTAGCTCCCTACATAATCGGATAAGGTTGTATCGCTATGCTATCTATATGTGAGTGTGCTAGATGAGGGCATGTTATTCTGACTGCCAAACCTACGTTTCCTACAACCTCAATGCGTCATTTGACTACTTGCAGGGAAACTCGCTTCCGACTACAAGTACTCCGCGACAGGGTCTGAGACCCTCATTCAGTGACAGACAGATACAATAGGCCTTGGGTAAAATTACTTAACATCTCGATTGTTTTTCTCAATTCTTTTCTTTTGTATTAGAACAAGTTCCCTCGCCATCGCCCGCAGCCCGTCGCCATACATCGACCTATATCGACCGATTCCCCCCCTCGACTGAACGCCCGCCTGCCCGCCCAAACCAAGCCCCCGGATGGCAATGGGCCGTAGTTAGGGTGGGTATTTCTTTTCGTTTTCTTTAGCAGAGGTGGAAAAGGCAACCATTTTGGGGCCAATAAACTGATATAGACAACATAATAAGAAAATCATTCTGTGCAAACCCAGATTATCTACAAGGGCTTGCCACCGATGAACTCGGACCAGCGGCGGACTTCCGACGGGATACCCTCGGGTCGTGGCAGCTTCTCGCTCAGGCATTGTGCGAAGAGCATGGCAGTCTGCGAGATAGAATTAGTAAGTAGATAGAGGCGCAAAGGGATATGTTTTCTGCGGGGGACTCACCTGAGGCTCCATAAACAACGGCACACCGAAATCGACCGCATTGCGTCGCATCACATAGTCAACATCCAGAGTCGTCTTTCCACGGGTAAGAGCCAGGTTGAACACGCCGCGGATGTCGTACTTCTGGAACACCTCGCGGAGAGCACGCTTGTCTTCCTTGGGAAACTCGATGACCTCCACCTTGACCTTGTCCTTAGTGCTTGACTCGAGGAATTTCTTGACCTCCTGATCGGCAGCGAAGAATTTGTAGCCGAGAGGGGAGAGGTAATCCGCGATCTTGGTGAGCCACGGCTTGGAAAGCTCGCCACCAAAGAGGACACCCTCACCGGGCTCGGGAACGCGGAAGTTCATGGCGGATTGCATCGAAGTCCAGTATGCCTCAACCAAGTCCTTGCCGAAGCAGGCCATTTCACCGGTGCTGGACATCTCGACACCCAGGAAGGGATCGGCACCAGCGAGACGGGTCCAGGAGAATTGCGGAACCTTGGTGGCAAGGTAATCTCGCTTCACAGCCATCAGATCAGTCGGCTCGGGGACGTCCTTGCCAACAAGTGCCTTGGTAGCAACATCGATGAAGTTCGTGCCGAGAACCTTGCTGACGAAGGGGAAAGATCGGGATGCACGCAGGTTGCATTCGATGACCTTCAGAGCAGGCTCGCCACCCTCGGGGTTCTCCGCCTTGATAATCTGCATGTTGAAGGGACCGGTGATGTTCCACGCTTTGGCGACCTTGCGGGCGATCTCCTTGAGACGCTCCATCGTCCTTTCATCCTGGTTGACGGGAGGCAGGACGAGCGTCGCATCACCAGAATGGACACCAGCGTGCTCAACGTGCTCGCTGATAGCATGGACAATCAGCTCACCCTTGGAAGCAACACCATCGACGTCAATTTCCTCAGCACCCTCGATGAACTTGGTAATGACGACGGGGTGGTCAGGCGAGACGTTGCTGGCCGCCTCGAGCTTATCCTTGAGGTCCTCCTGGCTGCGGATGACCGTCATAGCAGCACCAGAAAGGACGTAACTGGGCCGGACGAGGACGGGGTAACTGACTTGCTCGGCGAACTTTTCGGCATCGGCAACCGATGTAAGCTCCTTCCAAGCAGGCTGGTCGACGCCGATGCTGTCAAGAATTTCCGAGAACTTTTGACGATCTTCGGCCTTGTCGATATCCTTGGGATCTGTGCCCAGAACGTTTGCCTTGCCAGTCTCCTGCAGGCGCAGGGCGATGTTTTGAGGCAGCTGACCGCCAACGGAAACGACGACACCGGATGCGTTCTCAAGCTCGTAGATATCCATGACCCTCTCGTAGCTCAACTCTTCGAAGTATAGCTTATCGGCCGTGTCGAAATCTGTGGAGTAGGTCTCGGGGTTGTAGTTGATCATGACGGTCTTCTCGCCCATCTTTCGAAGGGCCAGGGTAGCGCTGACGGCACACCAATCGAATTCAACGGAGCTTCCAATCCGGTAGACGCCGCTGCCAAGGATCACAGTGCCCTTGTCTTCGAATGTGACATCGTGAGTGCTCGCGTTGTATGTGGTGTACAGGTAGTTCGTGTCAGCCGGGAATTCCGCAGCAAGAGTGTCAATCTTCTTGACCCAGGGACGAATGCCCATGCCCAGTCGGTGGGCACGCACCGCATCTTCGGTGCTGTTGACGGCATTGGCGATTTGCTTGTCACAGAAACCCATCTTCTTGGCCTTCAGCACGAGATCCCGCTTGAGGTTCCCCAAGCTTCCGGCCGCCTCCATTTCTCGGGTGCACTTAACCAAGTTCTCAAGCTTATACAAGAACCACTTGTCAATCTTGCTGAGTTCGTGCACGCGGTCGACCGTGTAACCTTCGTGAAGCATGGCTTGACCTACAGCGAGCCATCGTCGGTCCGTAGGGTTTGCCAGTTCGAAGTCGAGGTCCTCGAACTTGTCACCCTGGAAGCCAAGGAATTTGGGATCGACCTGCCGGATGGCCTTCTGGAATGACTCTTCGAATGTACGTCCGATAGCCATAACCTCACCGACCGACTTCATCGCACTGCCGATGTCGCGCTTGACATGCTGGAACTTGGCCAAGTCCCATCGAGGGATCTTGGTCACGATGTAGTCCAGCGACGGCTCAAAGTTGGCGGTTGTGGTCTTTGTGACGGCATTCGGCAACTCGGGCAAGCTGTGGCCCAGTCCAATCTTGGCCGCAGTGTAAGCCAAGGGGTACCCAGTAGCCTTAGAAGCCAAAGCGGACGATCGAGAAAGACGGGCGTTGACTTCGATCACTCGGTAGTCGAGGCCATCCGGTTGAAGAGCGTACTGGACGTTGCACTCGCCGACAACGCCAAGATGGCGAACGATCTTGATAGCAGCGGAACGAAGCATGTGATATTCCTCGTCGCTCAGGGTTTGACTGGGAGCGACAACAATCGAATCACCGGTATGCGTGCCCAGGGGGTCGAAGTTCTCCATGTTGCAAACCGTGATGCAGTTGTTATTGGCATCACGGACGACTTCGTACTCAACCTCCTTCCAGCCCTTCAGCGATTTCTCGACCAGAATTTGCGGGGAGAGGGTAAGAGATCGAGCAGCCATGTTTCGAAGCTCCTCCTCGTTGTTGGCGAAACCGGATCCCAGGCCACCAAGAGCATAAGCCGCGCGAACGATGATCGGGTAGCCGACCTTTTGCGCGGCGTCCAAGGCATCCTCGACCGTTCCGACAGCGATGGACTGGGCGATGGGGATATTGATCTCGTTCAAGGCCTTGGAGAAGAGGTCTCTGTCTTCGCTGAGCTCCAGCGTGTGGACACTGGTACCGAGCACCTTGACGCCATAACGCTCAAACAAGCCCATTCGCTGCATCTGCACACCCAAATTCAGCGCGGTTTGCCCACCAAAGGATAGAAAGATTCCGTCAGGTCGTTCCCTCTCGATAACGTAGGACACATATTCGGCGGTGACAGGGAGGTAGTACACCTCATCGGCGAGAACGTGGGCGGTTTGTATAGTAGCAATGTTGGGGTTGATGAGCACCGAGGCCACACCAGCCTCCTTGAGAGCCTTCAGAGCTTGCGATCCTTTGCAACATGACGTTAGCATCCTTGGTCCTCGAAGCCACTCGTGACTCATCTTGGTGCGCCAACTTGGGGCCCGAAGGACATCTGAGTTTTTCAATGGCTCTGAGACGAACCTGAATAATCGAACTCTCCAGCCTGTCCAATGGCTAAACCGCCACTTCCGATGACCAGAACCTTTTTGACATCGACAATATCTCTCAGCTTGATCACGCCGCTATCGAGGTAGGCCTTGGGGTTGGGGGCTTCCTGGGCGGCGGCGGCAGAAAGGTTACAGGCGATTCGCGAGGTAGAAAAGTTCCTCTTTTGCCATTCGGAGCTCGTATTCTGGCACAGAAATCTCGAGTAGGCCGGAGCAGCGAGGGTGTTCAGCTGTCGAGGCAGGGTGGCGGGCAGTCGACGCCCATGTCGGAGCATAGCTGGTGCGCGGCCGGCAACCCTGGTGGAGAAAGCCATAGCTGCGAGCTGCTGGGGGAGCTTGGATCTCCGCGTTGGTCAACCGACAACCTCTCGCGAGACCTGGATATGGATTCGCAACGTCCAATTGAACCCAATTCACACCGTCACGAAACCACGAAACGTGCGGAGGGGGGAAAGGTGTTGGTCAGAAAACTTCTGGAGTAGAGTCTGGGTTGTGAGTCGAACGCCCTTCAACGAATTTTAGTGGGCTGATAAGATAAGGAAAGCAGCGGTCCCTCCAAAAATTTCAATTGTCAGAGCACTCAAGAGACTAGCTTGGCGCCGGACACCACTGCACTATGCCCCAATTTGGGTGCGATCTAGGAGCCGCTTGCGGGGAATGCCCATACATCGACTATGGATCATATGCAGCAGAATTTTCCCTCTCGTTCAGAAGTACAGATGTCGACCATGCACTATGATTTGCCTAATTGAAGACTCGCAGGTTCTGATGTCAGCTGCTGCAGGTGCAAATTTTTCAGGCCACCATCTGCGGCAGCGCACAAAGGTGATCCCTAGCTGTCCTTTCCGCAGTATCGCGCAATCATGAAGATCCCAACCGCCACGACATCCGACCTCAACGCAATACCTTGCGTCCTCCATTGCAATTTCACCAGCCGCTAAGGTTCTTCAATCCCGACAGAGTTTTATTTTGACCCAAGGATCTGTAACTTTGGTGTCTACATATACTTTTCTCATAGGATTGCAGTTAAGCTAGCTTTGCCTGTTATTCACATACATTCGTTATTTTAATGCCGATTGATTGCAATAACTTTTACTTACTTCGTGCAATGCATACTATTGCGGGCCTCGAGATTAGTTCTATAGTAGCTTTCTTATAAGATCCGTTACCGGCATGTCGGTATTGAGTGGATGCCAAGACAACTCCATGTTACCATTTTAGGAGCTGTCGGAATCGACTTACACAAGCTGCAGCGAATCAGATGTCGCCATTGCTAAGCCAATGAAAGCTCCTGTGACCTCTCAGGTAACATCTGGACTTGTAAATAGTTGCATGCAAGAAGCTGAAGCCTTTCACGGCAACGTATTGGACTGTGTGACGCTTTCTACGGCTAGGTATTCCAACTCTGTTCGGAATATTCGAAGCCCGATGTTCCTTAATGGAGTTCTGAGGAATTTGTTGGTTATTACACGGTTATTTGAACACTTCGCATTTTCTACTTGATACCGCAGTGTTTCACTTGTATTGGTGGGATTATAATATGCTGCCATCCCAGCTGTGTCATCGGGTAAGGTGGAATACCACACAGTGGGCTGCGAGTAGCCCGCGCCCCGCAGCATGCTCGAAACTGATGTCCATGATGTTCGTGTGAACGAGAGGTCCATTATCAAGCTGGCTGAAGCACTCCAAGAAACCCCTGTCTCGCTCTTTGAGGCTGTCAAGAGGGTCGAAAGTGTCATCACGGACTACTATGCAACTCAGGCTCCTTCGAATCAGGCCCTCCCGAGAAGACCTCCAAAGGATGTAAAAAGAAGGCTCTGCATCTCCTTACCCAGGTTGGAGTGGATATATCCCAGTACGAGGCACTGAAAGAGAGATAGTCGGTCGTGTGCTTCACAGACTAAGAGCTTCATGCGCAAACCAGTTGGACCAAGAAGTGAAATTTGCTCCCGGGCATGACATCCAAGTTTCTCCCCACTAAGCCTGTTGAGATCGACAAGGACGACGTCTGCCATACTCCGGCCTCGCTGACCCAAGATAAGGAAGCCAAGGCCCTGTCCCCGTCTACCCTCGCACCATTAAAGGACGAATTTGCTGTCTATAAGCCGACTATTCCGACTACCCAAGACGCCACCCCTAAGACTCCTCAAGCCCTTATGAAACCCGCAGAGCCTAGCCCTTAATCTCCCACCAATGCTCGGGTTTGTACTTGGAAAGGTCCGTGTCCCGTCCCCATTCTACAACGCAACTGCCGAGAGGCGCACCTTCGAGAAACAACTGGAGGCTATTCAATCCCAGCGTGTCAATATGAGCCTGAAGGAGGCTGAGAGGTGCAGTCCCATCGACGAATTTTTCCGAGCCGTCTGTCAGAACGATACCCTTGAATTCCACTGTCGCCTGAAAAGCTTTGCTAAGCCGTTCAAAGACGATGCCAAATGGATTGACATCGAAGTCCACTTGCAGCATCTGCAGAATATCTCTAGAATACCTGGTTAATTAACATTACAGTTACAGTCACCAGACTCTTCAAGCATAGTATCGGGAGATGTTCGTGATAGTCCCAGTCCTACCGGTGCTTCTCACCAAGTAGTCGATGATGCTTGACAACTTACAAAGAAGCCTGGCCTGGTTCTCTCTGTTGATCGACCTTGACATCGACCGTAAGTGAACATAGCCGAGGTTACTTAGCTTGCGTTGAGTAATAACGTTTAGGGGTCGATTTTCCTTCTCAATGCACAAGGAAAGTTCAGGCGCTGGTACGGAAGCAAGCATTTTGTTAAGCTTTAAGCCGGGCTCGGAGCTCTGGGAGACTTCTAATGCAAGGCTTGTACCGGATATGCTCATGCACAGAACCATGAGAGAGGTCATGGCCACCCGCCTTGCAAACCGTGCGGAACAAAGTGGCCCAAGAGTATCCCTAATTTCAGCTGGTGCTTGCTGCAAAAGTTGATGAAGGGGGAAGTCTGCAAGGTTCTTACGCCTTACGTACCTGAAGAACACTGGGCCAGGCAACCTTGGTCCAGCACCATGCCGGCCAATACACTACCGCGTACATGGGGTCACGGACTCTATCTCGAACATGATCCCGCGCCCTAAAACTTCGGGGCCTTACAGCTTCGGGGGCTAGATATCGGCCTCGATATGCCATCTTACTTCCTGTCGAAAAACCCCCGCGAACAATTTAGGAAATCGTTGACGATGAGATGCTGAGACGACTATCGAGGAACGTAGTGGATGGCCTCGAAGGTAATGGAAAAACCACAGACCTAACTTGCAGGAGACTGTTTTCGACAAGGAGGAATAGGTCAAGATGATATCGGAGGCACCGATAATACTGAAGTTAGTAACTTTCTGGGCCAACCGGATCAGTGCATAAGCATGAGTTGAAGGATAGGGGTAGGTACTTAAGAACGTGGAGAACAAGACCAAACCCGGGGCTCCCAGAGATCTGGTGATGTGATGTAGATGCACCGAGACGGTTTCGTATCGAGCACTGCTGTTGGGGAATTTATGGCATTATTATCCAACGAACAAATACTCCGCTTTTTAGACACGACATGTATACATTTCACTAAGGCTAGAAATTTCCCTCTTAGCGTAATCCACTAGCTAGAACCCGTGTTATATTGAATTTAGCAACGACTAACCCGATCATCATGCTGATCTAGGCAACCAGCTGTCCGTTCGAAACTTCCAGAGACTCCCCGAAGGATAGCTCAGCATCCTTGTTTCGAAATCAAAGACAACACCAACTGTCAGAGTCACTACCAAGGAGCAGCCAGAAACATTCCTGACGGATATCCGAAGTGATCCCACACCTTTCAGTAGGCTCACTCCGAGGCTACTCGGAATACGGTATGCACAATACCCTCATAGAGAGGAGAATGCGCATCACCATATTTGATGTCAATATAGTAAAGAGGGGCGAAATATAAGAAACAAAACAGGTCCACAGATAAATCCGTCCAAGATGTACAAAAATGATGCTTAAGGAAAACAGAAGACAAAAAAATGGCCAGTAAATAATGGACAAATGTAAAAAGTAGATTATTGGAGAATTGAACCCCACCCGATTTGAACGGATAACCTTTCGATCTGGAGTCGAACGCGCTACCGTTGCGCCAGAGGTCCTTGGCCAACGCTAATGGTCAAGGTGTTATTTGTTGAAAATTGGGATGAATGTAGGCCATATAATCTCTTTTTTTGATGGTGCACAGACCTTCAATCAAGCATAGCTTTGCTCTAAAACATCAAGATCTGCCGCAACCGGAAGCATTCTTAAAGTTGAATTGATTTGTCCTCGATATTGCTTTAAGACCTGGTGTAACAGTGGTTGTTTCCTGGACTTTGTTAGGGGTTGTCTATAGAGACCTGACAAATTGGATTACACATGTTCTACTAACGGACTAAGCTGTAACAAAGTATGCTTGTCGCTGTTGCTGATTGAAGTAGATTCGTACAGTTATTATTAAAGTCAGTTCGAGCAACGATGTGATCAATTAGGAGCTGGGGGCAGCCGAGGTTGATATGAAGCCGAGGTCAAAATGAGGATGAAGCGGTCGACTCAAGCTCCTGCCTTCGGAAGAGAATTCTGCCGTCTTACTGCGAACGATCTATGCAATTTTCTTCCCAAATACACGTCCGCAGTTTCGTCATCGCTGACCACCTGGAGTAAGCTTTAACGTGGCATTGTCAAGTGCCAAGCATGCATGTGTACCTACCGAAAAACCTACTGGCCGAATGAGCAATTGGATACTCGGAGCTCAATATTACGTTGTATTGATGGTGGGTTTGTGGGAATTTAACTGGTTATGGAGTGTTCCAAACCGCGAGATTTTGAGTTACGGCTGCAGGGAAGTTTGCAGCGCAACAAGAGATTCTATGGCGAGTCCGTACCGAAGTAGCATCAACTGAGTTTTCCCGATGGGTTGGGACGATGGGTTGGGACCTAATGCCGACTGGCTATGACCAGGGCGGGATATTACTCGAATCTCAAGTCTCGAAGTTTATTGCGTGAGTAACAAATTGGTGCGTTGAGTCTCGGCGACCAGTATATACGGGGTTCGGAATTTCGATTGTAAAGACGGTATCGGAATTCGGAGCTGGTAAGAGTTGGTCAAGTAAAAGTAAGCCGCATTCAAATATCATGCCTGATGTGACCTGGGACTCAAGCCACCATGTAACGCCTCGGTGTCCAAACTCCATTGATCCTGCACTATTGCGGTGTAAGGCAATACGTGGGGCTTAGACCCTGGCATCCAACAAATAGGTGTGATGGTCCACGTATGGAAAACTCGACGAGAACTATGTACAAGCGTGCACATATCTGGGCCCAGGACTTTATTGGACGTGTGCTGTAAAGATTTCGCGCTTTTTGCGACTTCAAGTCATGAAGTATCGAGGCGTATAAGTAGCCTGCTTGCCTGTCTGCCTGCCTCACTTTCATCACCACTGTCATCACTAGCAACACATTAAACCTTACTAGTCGGCATCGACTTGAAATTATCACACATCCACTTATATCAATCCATTCGGCATCATATACCCAATCCCCTTTTCCAATAACACCACATCAGCCAAAAAGGCCACTATGCCTTCCCAATCCACGTACGCCGCATCCACCTTCTCGGAGTCAACAGCCTACTCCTTCGACAAGAACGATGCGAGCCCCTCAGACCCCAAAACCAACCGCTCCTTGCGCCAAAAGGTGAGGACGGCGCTCTCAGAGATTGGCGAGCCGCCAACCGTCAAATGCGACCGCGAGCACGGCAAGGAGCCGAAGAAGCTGCATTACAGTGGCTTCATGAACCAACCGTCCCGGACTTGAAAGATTGTTCCTGTCTACAAAGAAGAAACACGCATTACACCTGAGATGAGGAGAAACGAGTCTCATTATCTCATTCTTCTGTTGCTCCGCTATGAAGGAGTTACACAAGCGAGGTTCGCGGGATTGTGCCACGAGCCTTTGGAGGACTACTAGGATGAGGCAGCAGATTTGAATGAATAGATGGAACACACGCTGGCTATTTTGTTCTCGACTCATTCAGGAGTTGGATACCCGGAGATCGCTTTGATTTACACCCAAGCGTAGTCTGCGCCGACCTGGTTCCATAGTAACCCTTTTCTTCTTCGTCTCCAAAGGGGAAACACGCTTAATTCTATCACACTGGTTGCTAGTGTCTAGAATTCATTTTTGTTGACGTGGTATTGGGACGGTTAGTACAAAGAGGGACGATTCCATAGCCCAATAGAATGCGGCCAAAGTCACCGAGGCTTTCATTTGGCATTTGAGCCCTCTAGTCCAACGGCTCAGTCACCCTTATTGAAAATAATGAAGCTGTCCTTCGGAGGAACCTCAGCCCTTGACTACTTTCTAAACATGCTTTCCCAATACTCAACGCCTTATATGTTTAGTCTAAGTGCCACCACCGTGTCTCGCCAATACGGCCATCGGCCCAAAGTAAGATTTGAAAGCCCAAATTCTACGCCCAATCAGGTACATGGCCAGCCAGAGCGACAGTAGGAAATCCGAAACCCCCACCAACTCGCTGTACGTGTCCTTCAGACCCTGGTCTTGAAATCAGGCGGTGATATACGTCGATATGAGGCACGCAATAACATTGAGAATCACGAAGATGATGACAATGGTCTCTCCCGCGATCTATCAATGTACATGGGTTAGTTACTCCGCATGAACACACTGAGGTAGGAAAAAGGCACAGAACAGTCACAAACTTCCCGGACAATACGCATCCACAGCATACGTGATCGCAATATTACTCACAGCCCTCGCCCCAACCCCGCCCAGTTCTTCCCACCAGAGAAACCAAGTCCAAAGGTAATAACGACCATTGGCCCAATGATGACGAGGATCACCATAGCTGTTGAGTGATACCCTGGCTCAGCGTGCTGACCATGCCAATCAGTGGGCCGAGTCGCAATCTGGTCGGTGAGCCATCCTCTGTGATGCGGTAATAATAATGCCGAAGTTACTGCTGTGCGTTAGATCATGCACATTGATATTGGGCATGAAAGGTGTTTGGTACGTTTACCAGCCTATGGAAAGGCCTACTATAAGGTCTGCTACCTCGATTGGTGGATATATTTTAACTTTGACAGTTTCATACACCCAGCCAAAGAACGAACCCTTCGTGTCGAACCCCTTCGTCAAGGACACAGAAGCCGCCCATATCTTCTTTTGTGGATAAACTGATGCCGGCTTCCTGAAATCGCAAATACCGTCGACTATATACGCAGTTTACTTAATCATTAGAGAGTCAATAAGACAGGTTGCCCCTGACACAATAGCCATGACGCCACACCTACATTGCCAGCCGGCGAATTCAGTGATATACGCATCGACAAACAGCCCAAAGAACGCGCCTGTGGATATAGCGATATGGAAAACTATCATAGCGTGCCCGTGTTCGTGGAAATAAAATAGGTCGACCGGCACACCGGGAACGGGCGCATCGGCGGCTGCGGGTAGGAAATCACTGATGATCTGCAATACTAGTAGGCTGCCCTATGAAGTCACCAAGTAAGCCCAAATATTTGCAACGCAGAGAAAGATAACAGATGTAATGGAGACGGGGTACTTTATGATTACTCGGGCGACTGGCATCTAGTTATGGTCATTAGGTCGCAGAATACCCCTTTTCGACATTGAAGCTAACCCAGAACAAGGCACCGAATCCCACCATCAAAACCTGGAGTGAAGCTGCTTGAACTCAGCAAGATGATAAATTGACAGCATTTTCATGTATTTTCTTACTGAGGTAACTAGCCTTTGTCGAAGTTTCGTGGGATTGCTTCATGATCGGCACCACCGCCACTGTAAAGGCAGCCGCGTTCATAAAAGCCAGGAACTTGAACCAGCAAATGACGAGGTAAGTTGCGTATTTATCCTGCTATGGCCAGTTCTTTGTTCATTCAGACATTTCCACGTCGCAACGCCATACCAATGGCTTGTTTGGGCTACGGACGCAGGACAACCCCTGTTTTCGATTTCTTGCCATCAATAATATTATGGTCGGCAACTACGCCATGCTCCAAGTCAACTCCCCCCTGCTAGTTTGTGACAGCCTCTTTAGCTTGGAATTCACTCATCCTGACGGCCTTCTCGAAGACTGTTCATATTTCTGGGTTGAAAGTGGTGGGTGCTGGTCCTAAGCATCTATAACATAAAGCCAGCAAGGTCAAAGTAGCAGCCGCATTGCGTTGCGCCCCTGTGAATCAAGCTTCGCTTAACATATTCCCACATCGACTTGTTTAGTGAACGCAAAGCAACTTATTAGCATACTAACGTTTAATTTGTGGAAGTGGGCTTTGCAAAGTGATCAGCACGATATATTCTCTTGCCCCTCATATACCAATCTTGGAGATATGTAGCGTCTTACGACTGCATCGCGATAATCCCACTGGGGACCAATAAAGTGTTGATTCTCAGGAAGTTAATGGCAGCACTCCAGTTCTCCTACATCCGAATATTCAGAGTTGACCGGGGATCAAGCCGGTGGCACTGCAAATATACCGCCGTAGCCAAGATAAAGCTTGATTAAAGAACGGGAGAAGCTGGTCGCCCCAAGAGCACACTTCCTTGTGATCCCATATCCTTTTCGCAGAGATGTCAAGCTTGGCCATCAATATCTACCAACATGGAACCAACCGTGTCCCCCTTGCATTAGCCTGCTCTACCACCCCTCTACTCCGGCGAAATCCGCCCCGAGAGAATCGACCTCAACTTCCTCGCGCTGCGCCACCCGCGCGACATCGTCGACCGTATGACCGACGGCCACGAGCTCGACACCTCGGAGCTATCCATAAGCAAGTCCATCTGTTGCCACACTGCGGGCCACCGGGACCTCATCGCTCTCCCGGTTTTCCTGTCCCACGCGTTTCGGCACGGCTTCATCGTGGTAAATAGTCTATCCAGTCTTGAAGAGCTGTTTACACCGATCAGGTGGCAGAATCGGAAAGTTGGGTGGAGTAACACTGCAGCGACAAGGTGAGCTACAAGTCAGAAATTTGGCACAAACTCCCAGTATCATAAATGTCACGTCTCAAGATTATGGCGTGACGCAACAAATTTTGGCAGTATCTTGTTGCGGGAATGTCGTACAACTCGATGCCCACTGGTTCTCAGCATGGCGCTCATCTCGAGGGCAGAGATGAATCTCGTCTAGCTGCAGTTTCGAGCTCTGCTTCAAAGTACTTCGGCCCATCCTCTCGGTGACTTGGTTTCGGCGCAATTCAAAAAACGCAACAGAGGGTTGATATCTAGCGCGCTAGATGTCGAGCGAGTAGTGTGAGACGTCCTCCCTAGAAAGACTGCCGGTTTTGCCTGGTATCTTGCGATTGACACAATTAGTCAGTGACGGACTGCCTTCATAGAATCGACAGTGTACCAACCAAGATGGCTTGGAAAAGAGTAAAATTACCATGAGTGGTATATGTACGTGCTAACACTAGTCTGCAATGCAAGATCCGTCCCTGCAGCTGACATGAGGGCTTAGCAAGTGATTAGTCCTGGTACCTAATAAGCGGTGACAACCTTGAAATTAGGCTAAGATTGTATTCTTACCATTATACCACCGGAACCCAATCTGCAAGAGTAAGGCCAGATCGGCGACCACTGGTATCCAATGTGTCGTGTTGTTCGATCAAACGCGGAGAATCATTGTGATTGATTCGTGTTCTACCTGGCCTCATCGTTGTAGATATCTCAGGTATTACCGTCGGTCGTGACTTCTGTAGTTGTCTGTCAAAGTGAGAAAACTACTAACCTGTTCCAAGTGTCTGCGATTACGTGACCAAGAAAGCGGCAGGAAGTTCCGAGGTGGTTGCAACCAATTGCTAGCGCATTATAAAAATGCAGGCTTGGCGTTCCGGATATATGGACATTACCTATCCCAAGTTTCCTCGTACCACTTGCAACACCGCCTCTGTAACGTAGCAGCCTCTACTTTTGAACGAGCTTCCTCTCACCAAAATCGCCAACGTCTCATCTAAATACCTCATCAGCTGCCCTGGTTTGCTGATGCAACATCATCTGTGTTTCCTAGGTTTCGTGACTGTTTGCGCTGCCGAACGCCATGGATTTCCCGGTGAGAAATGAGCCGAACAGCTTCTTCCTGCCCGTGAGGCTCTCTACGACTCCGTCATCTACACCGAGGTCATCCCCATCGGCCCACGATCGAATGTGGGCTTTCCAAACCAGGAAAACATGAACCAGACTGCTTATACTCTCCCAGACGACCAAACCAAGGGCTACAGTCCACTTTCGCAATTGGGCCTCGACCTCCCGCAACCAGATCAAGAACCTCAAAAGTTCGAACCAGTTGTCGAACCTGTGCATACTCCCTGACCTTGTCTCTGGCCACCTGTCTTCTTCAAGCGTAATGATGATTGGAAATTGGTTACCGTCATGTGATCGCTTCTACTAAGTACATGCGACAGGCAAGTAAGTCTTGCTGCCAGGTCCTCTCTTGGAGTTGACTGTCGCTCATTCAGCCTTAGGAGGAGACACGTCAAATGTACCGAAGAAAAACCTCAATGCCGCCGATGTATCAAGTTGCAAGGCTTTTGTGAAGGATACGACCATGGTCCTTCCAAGAAGCCAAGTTGCAACTCAGACACAACAGTAGGCATCGTGTAAAGGGCGGCAATGGCCCGACGATCCAGCGGAGAAACCCCTTTTCTGGTTGATGTAAAGACGACGCCATTTCTCAGCCAACAAGATTACGACTACTTCAACGCCTGGGTCAAGTACTCGCCGACTTTGGGTGCCGGTTTCGTCTTAGATCTCTACACCACTACAATCACGCAGTTTGGCTTCCAAGACGTCGCAGTGCGTAATGCCATAATGGCAGTGGGCTCACTGCGACTGGCCATGGAGCAGAGTTGTGGTTCATCGTTTGAAATGTCTCTACACCACGGTCATCACTATCAGACTGCCCTGGCAAAATATGGCACCTCTCTCAAAACCATAGCTTCCAGAGCAGTGGATGAACAATCGATTCGTACAGTCATGTTCTGTTGTGCTCTGTTTTTCTGCTTCGAATCTCTCGACTCTAACCGGACGGCGGCACACTCTCACATCCACCATGGAACAAGCATACTTCGCCAGTTCCTCAGTACCATGTCTGGAGCAGCATTGAACGACTGCGCTTTATAACCGGCCCCCTATGTTCTCGACGATACAGTCATACAACTTTTTCAACGACTCGTCCTCGTGCCTTGGCTAGAATATTCCCTCCAGCCTCATACGCCGCAAGCCACCCTTCCGGGGGGCACTCTGGTCGAGGCGGTGGGTGATAGAGGCTTACAAATGCCCACCGCTTTCAATGACCTTAAAGGGGCTTCTCGATGGCTCGATATGATCCAAAAACGATGCCATGATGCTATACGTGGCTCTCTGGACAGAAGAGATTGTGACTTGGCCGAGGGCAGGGAATCCCGCGACATCTGTGATGATCCTCAGTGGCTTGATGATCGGAGCAACTTCTTGGCTATGTTGCAGAAATGGGACTTGGCGTTTACATCTTCTTACGGCGAAACCGAACGCAGGAAAGGCGAAGACCCAGATAGCTTTTCTGGAGCCGTTTCCATGCGTCTACAGTGGAGTTTCATCTATGCAACCATGTACACTTCCCTTTATCGAGATTACAACTATCTCGTTGCCGCGACTCCGAAATTCCGCGAATTGGTACAGCTCGTAAAGCTGTTGCTGGCAAAGAAACCCGAAGACACGCGAACCATCCCTTATTCGATCAACGGACCCGTGTACATGCTCTACGTCCCCGGATCCAAGTGTCGTGATGCGGGGTTAAGGGCAGAAGCTCGTCGAATTTTGAGTGAGAACCGCCGGTTCGATGGTCTATGGGATGCTCGGGCGGCTTCTGCTCTCTGTGAATGGACAGGCCAACTAGAGGCAGATTACAAAATGATCCTCACCGATCCAGAGGAGATCTGGAACAAAATTCGTGATTGCTATGTCAAATTCCACGGGCGGGAAAACTCGGCAATCGCGGGTGCTGAGCGGTTCAACCCGGAGACCGGGGAATGGTTCGTACGCGAAGATGTCATCAGCTGGTGAAACTTGCGCGGTCGCGGACACGGAAACGATTTTTAAACGTGCAAGAGCCACATACGGCGAGGCTTTTCGTGGTGACACAAATATCCTCCGCTAGTGGCTGATGAGTTGAGGCGCTCTCAGGTATCTGGTCCCCGAACGATGTACTACCGACCACCCACTGACAGGCTACAGATAGGTAAAGTTGGACTTACCCCTTGACTATGGTTCCTGCTGCAGTGTCCACATATTCTATCGGCTTCCGCTTCAGAGCTAGCAAACATCTGCCGCATGTCTGCAGGGCTTCGTACACATATCCCACGAGTAACAAATCCGCGGGCTGTCTCACCTTTGACAAACGAGGCTCAGCTCTGATCAAGTTATACATATCGGCTGACGAGCAGTTTCATTCGGAATGTCGTACCCACCAAGTTTCGATGCTCAACATCTAAGTGAAAAATTCCGCTAAGTCGATGCAATGGAATTACCGGGCAACCCCAAGCGCTGCACCACCGAGCATAATGCGGAGGGTAATTCGGGTTTTAACTTGAATTTTGAATAGGAGATACCTCCAATCCAATTTTCCAAGCTGTGCATTGTATGTTGGATCTGATTTCAGGAGCAAGTCGATTATTGGCTTGGAGACGCGCCACACTGAAGGAATCAAACCGCCAAGTCGAAGGGATTTTCGGCTCCTTTGATGTACAAGCTAGGAACTTATGGACTCTGCATTCATTTGTTAGCTTCAATGTCGGGATTATACTGGCACCCGCCCCTCCGTCCACAGACGACCTCTTCATGACCACTACCCACCCCGTCACCCTAACCAACTCCGCTGGCCTCAACGCCATGACTTTACTACCACCCACAATCTCCCTTAACCGTCCCGCGTCCCGGAAGTACCATACTGCGCATTATCGACTTCCTCCCCGACGCCCGCTCTTCATGCACCGCGCCATGTCACTCGACTTTGACGTTGTCATTGAGGGCGAGCTCGAGTCGATCTTCGACACCGGGGAGACGAGGCTCTTGAATAAGTTGGACGTGATTGTGCAGCGCGGGACGAACCATGCGTGGTAGAATCAGCAACCTGAGAGACGGCTAGGAAGTAGTTTGTGCTGTTCCCTATTGAGCCGGTGGTGGTGAATGGGTTGACCCTGGGCGGAGGAGGGAAAATATGGATTGTTGTGACATGAGTTTAATTGGGAGGATTCGTACTTGGCTAGGTCAATTTTATTGAAAGAAATGTGTTTCAATTTTCAGGAGAATGTAGCTGTGGAAGGACTATATGTGGCTAGTTGGCTCGAGCGCTACACCTAGCAGCACACAGGCGGTGTGCCTTGACCAACGCAACACCAACCAATCCGTATAAGTCAAAAAGAAATTAAAGACTATACAAATAAACATATATCATTACATATCCTAATCCCGACCCGCCTGCTGCACCATCTGCCCCAGCGTAAACATAGCCGCAGCCCCCATAAAGTCATTATCTCGTCGCGCATGATGAACATGAAAATTCGCGTGTTCTCCTCGAGCAAAAAAACCATTAAGTGCCAAACGGAACGGGTCTGCATTCGGATTCGCGGGGGGCGGGGGTACATACGGAGGTGGCGGTGGGGGACCCCCAGCAGGAGCCGGCCGCCGTGGCGGAAATCCTCCGCCAGGCGGACCCGCCGGACGGAGCCAGTCGTGGAATAGGGGTGGAGGCGCAGGTTGTGGTGGACGGAAGCGTTGGTTCATGGCCAAGAAGGGGCGGAAGGCCCGGTCGCCTTCGTATATGGGTGGGTTATCGAAGTATTTGCAGTCGCGCTTGTGCTTGCATTGCAACAGGGCGTTGTGGTCGTGGTAGTATTCTGCTAGACAGATGTAGCACCATTCATGACCGCATATGCCTTTAAGGGGTTCACATGTGTTAATCAGGTCCATCTCACCTCATCACATCTCACGTGCATATACGCGGGCTGTTATGCGCAAAACCACTCGAGAGAGGAAAGGAAAATAGAAAGTGAGCAAAAGGGAGAAGGAAAAGACTCACAAGTAATATGATCACACCCCGAATACTTATGCACGTCCCTCCTGCACTTGGGACACGACTTGGTAATCTCCTTAACCCGCTTCTCCGACGCCTTATCGTTCTTCCTCTGCTTCTTCGTCCTGCGATCGTACGCCTCGCACGTCTCCTTGCTGTGCCAGGGTACGTTATGATAGCTGCACGACGACGCCTTGCAAGCGTGGCATTTCACTCTGGGGCAGCTGTCGCGGTGGATCTGCCCCGATCCGCACCGCGGGTTGAGACACCATCGAAAGTCGCGGAACTCGGTCACTACGGCCTTGGTGGCGAGGATGTCGTATCTGTCCGTAAGTAAGCAAAAATTAGGGGTTGGAAATGTTTGGTAACTTGATGAAGTAGGTGGTGAAGAGGTGATTAAGAGGTTGGTTTGGAAAACACGAACCTGTCGAATACTTCCGGACTTGCAAACTGTCTCACATCCTCAAAACGAAGCAGTTTTGGACATTCGGGGCAGCGCAGTCGATCCCAAGTCACGGTGTCGAGGCTCGATACGATCCACTGGCTCACGCAATCTTTGCACGTCTGCGCCTCATGCTCACAAGCCTCCGTGACGCGGCGTGGCATTTCAGAGGCCCGCTTGTCCTCGCTACACACGATGCAGGTCTCCGTAGAAGGAACGAGCCAGGCCTCCTCTTCCAGAAATCTCCCCTCGACGGAATGACTCAATTCGAAATCCACCATGGCGCCTAGACCAATCCGCGAGCGCTTCGTCAGCCATTTCCCCTTGGAAAGGAGTCGGATATCATCCTCATCCACCTCTATCTGACTCGACGATCGCTGGTGGACGTTCGTGATGACCTCGCCCCTCAACCAAGTCTTCAGCATCTGGATATCCAAAAACCGACTGCTTCTAGATCCTGGCGGCGGGTGGTAGACATACTCCTGATTCAGCCCGTGAAGAATGACGTAATTTCCCGGCGATTCAAGGCCGATGTATAGATGCCGACAAAGCCACGTCTCGATACTCTTCGCTTCCCAGTGACTCCCCTGCAGCACGCCTGGCCTCAAGCCCCCACAAGCCGAGATAACGACTCGGTTAGGATCTTCAACCCCTAAATGGGCCGCGATGCTGCGTCTGAGATTCGCGACCGTCTTGCCTTCCAGGATATCCTCCTCGATCTGCTCCAGCTGTTCCGGCTCCAGGTCCAGTCGGCTGTTCCAGGTAATCTGGAGAGACTCATCGTCTTGGCTGGACGACAATACCCGGTACCGCAGCAAGGACAGCCCAGTGGGGATTTCCGGGCCGGTTAGATGCTTTTCCATCCAGTAGAAGGCGATGCGCGCGTCTTTGGAGATGGAATTTTCATATCTGTCTCCATGGTAGCGCCGCCGGAGGAAGGTGGCGACATGATCTAGCTGCGAGGTGGGCCTGATGCCGATTTTCATCTTTTCCCGGAGGCCATCAAGATCGAGGAGGTCAATCTCGATCCTTTTTTCTTCTTCTGGTGGTTCCGTGTCAGAATCCTCATCGGACTCGTCTTGGTAACGTGAGCGCTGGTACGAGTAACGGTGGCGGTGGTAGTCATGGCGGTGTCTGTGTGGGCGCGAGTGGTGACGATGCTTCGTTGTAAATTTGACCATGGTGCCGGACCAAGATGAAGCTGCGGTATATCGTCCAGCAGTGTCTCGGGTACAAGGCAGTGAGCGAAAATCCCAGCTGAGGGTTTCTTTCTCTTTTTTGATCTGTCAGCAGCTCGATTCAAGATGTACCACAGACTGCACTGGTACTACTCATTCGGCCATTGACATATCAGCAACCCAGCAAAACAAAACCGACATGTTCAACTTCAAATGCCAGTCAGGAATCGAACAGAAACAAAACCAGCGTCCGAATGAAGCAGGCTGTATAAGGCACAATGAGACTCTACCCGGCCATACCATCTCTTCTTCCGTCGCAGGTCAGTCATGGCAGCCTCTTCGTCAAAAGTTTCAGTTTTCTCACTTGGACATCCCGAAGAGTAGTGTAAGAGCGGGGCAACACTGCATCAAACCCATCCTATCAGATACCGCAAGGATTTCCGGGCTGCCTACTCCTCATGCACGTCTGGTCGACGCTCGCCAATCGTCCTCGGGACTAGTTGCAGTGGTGGCGGCCAGCACGTCGGCGCCCGGCCAGAGTATGGCCTCGCCTCGACCACGACGTCCGGTGGTATAATTGGCTACGCAGATGCATGGGACTTGGAATTTTTGTATCAACGGGTTTCATTGATCGAAGCTACATTTGTGTTTTTCCTGCCTTGCACGTGCATTCGTAAACATGCGTGCCCACTGGCCGACTGCGAGTCACTGCATCGATAGCACGTCGTAAGCACCAGCATGAACCCGATCAATCCGGCCCTCTGGTACTGACAAAACGGAAAAATGCCTTGCTGCATAACGATCTGGTACACGGAAAGATGACTGCCGCGGATCTGGAATAGACTTGGTCGTACAGCCCCGCATTTGCGACCTGTGTAGTCTATCTTGGGTGATGTACACATATGACAGTAAACGTCCCGAGCCAGAAGGCCGATCGTGGGTAAGGACCGTTGCAGTGGGGCCGGGCGGCCGGCCGACGGCTTTTGGTGCAATAGGGCAAACGGCGGTGTGGATAAGGGCAGATGCGCCGGTCTTGGCATGTAATTCAGCCCTGTGGATCGAGTTGAACGTTTGTTCCGTGTGGAGTTGAGATGTTTTGGGGGGGAACAAGACTGAAGAATTTGGTGCTGGGATATGCATATCATCGCTTGGTTCATCGATGGGAAGAAAACAGATTGATTATTGCTCAGGGTCTGGGGTCAAGATCAGACAATTCTTTTTCTCAAAAGACGGGTTTGTGAAATAAGGTAATGCTCAACGTAGCATGAGACTTGAGTGAAGTCAGCATGGCTGTTTAACCGTGAAGATCGCGGAACTGCGCTGTCAGGTCTCGCTGAGGGGACAGTCCATTACCTGTACTTGAGCAGGCGACCCCCTATTCAACTCACAACAACCTTGTAGACACTAAAAAACGGCGGATTGACTACTTTACTGCTATCAATTCATTCTCCCTGGTTATGGGGATTTGGTTGAGGGTTGGGAGGGTGAGGAGAGAAGGTGGTGGAGGATGGTGCCGCCTATGAAGCCGGTGGCGCCTGTGACGAGGATTTTGGAAGGTTCAGTTGAAGTCATGGTGGTGTCCTGTTGATACGAGTAGACACAACATGGTAAAGTGTACGAGGAATTTCAGAAGCTGTATTTCTTACGAGAAAATGGGAAAGGGATTGGTTTGATAGCTTAGTATAGGCGAAAATAGAACGAATACTTGTCTGTCTTGCCTATAGGGACTTCTAACCTCACGCAGGTGTTGAATTTGGAGAATGATTTCGCTCCAAGGCGTGTCTAACTAGTCACACTGTTAGACATGATCATCGTAATGGTCGGCAATCAGAATACACCGGCATGTCTACCGCCACTTCAGCACCGCCGGTCAGAATGTCGAGTGTCTGTCGTGGCCAGCGTTTGTTGGTAAGAGTTCCGTCAGGCTGTCGCCAAGGTGGATGATTCAGGAAATACTGTCATATTAATCCTATACTCATATATGCGTGGTGTGAAACCGATGGTCGCTTGCTTCTTGGACTGATATCCCCACGGAAACCGCAACCTCGAGTGCAAGTGGACAATGGACTGCCGGCCATCTTGTCCACTCCTTGGTATAGCAGTAGCAGTAAAGCCCTGAGAGCAGTAGTGGGTCTCGTCCATGGTGAGTTTCCGCACTTTTTATTGTTTCAACGGATACGCGTCGGCGACAGGCACAAGATCTCGAGGTATTCGGCGGCAACGCAAAGAATGACCAGTTTGACCTGCAATAGTCCTGGTTTGTGGCCGCGTCTGCGGCGAAGGATTCTGGCAGATTGCTGATTCAAAAAGAGTTAGAGCACTGCTCCAAAATCCCTTACATCACTGGCGGCGGCCAGCCGACTGCTGCCACACAACACTTTGATTTGGAAATTGATATTCTATTGAGTACACGTACATTGGTGGCTGGAAATCTCCAGATACCCTAGCAGACTATTCCTGGAGTCGAGTACTCCGAGGATTTGTTACAACGTATTTCGACAAAACCCAAAGGGATAACGACCTTGCCACTTGAATCTCATCGATATTTCATCAGCCAGCAAGCAAGCTGCTGTTTCGTGCCCTTGAACGCGGTGTCATGCTCCCAGCCCCTTGCGCCGCAACGTTGCCGCTCGATCTCATCGAAAAGGGGGTGTTATCCAGGTTGCCCAACTCATATATAACCTGGGCCAGGTATGCCAAATGCCATTCGGCGTCGGTGCTTCGATAATACAAATAGGCCATGAAACCGACCTTATTCTCTCTTGTTGGAGTTGCCGACAAACCTCTCCTTCATCGACACTCGTTTCCCGCCCATAGACTTGACCTTGTCTATCAGGGTCTTCCTCGCGTCGAGCTCGGCAATGTCGTCACTGCCACCAATGCTCTTGCCGTTGATCATAATATTGGGAACTGTTAATCTCGACGTCATTTGACCCAGTTTCTCTTGCAACTTCTTGCCCAGTGGGTGTTCGTCAAGTTCGACAACGTATGGCGGCGGGTCAATGGAGTACTTCTCAAGGAGCACGCTCTTCGCTCGTTTCGAGAAGGCGCAATATGACTTGGAGAAGATGATGACTAGCACGCCGAATGTCAGTACAAGAGGACGGTAGTTAATGCAGGGGATATGCATACCTGGAGACCTCTTGAAAATATCGTTCAACGTCTGCTCAAGTGCATGCTCCTCTTCCGACTCGGCCTCGGCCTCTGTCTCCGCGTTTGCTGCCTTCTTCTGGCCGCCTGCTGAGCTTCCAACGCCCACTACCTGGTGCGGCGCATCTGGCCTCAACGGCGCCTTTGCATTGGCGTTTTCCTTGGCTTTCTGTTCGGCCGCCCGCAGTCGCTCCGCCATCTCCGCCGCCATCTGCTTGTCGTCTTCGTCAATTGTGCCATCCCCGTCCTTATCCTTGGCGTCGTTTACTACGATACCCTTGCCACCCATGGGTATTTGGGCCCCTCCGCTTCCCCGTTTCTGATCCATGGCATTAACCGTTTTATGGTAGAAGTCTTGTATCGTGCGAGAGTCTTGATCGTGCGATGCGCGCCACTGTGAAGTGAAGAAAAGTGTAGTGATGACGGTGGCCATGACCACCATTATCAAGAGGCGTACTCGTCGTGCTGACGGCATCTTGAATGCTTGCCGCTAAAGCGTCCTTCGTCGTCGTCGATAATCGTTCTTAGTGTCGTGAGCCGAACAGCCGCCCGCCGGGTTGAGACTTCCACATAGGAGGAATCTTCAATTGGGTCCCAAAGAGTCCTGTCCGAGTTGTGCGACTCGAGTCGAAAGCGATCGCTGGATCCTGGGGAATGCGCATGCGTCTATGCGGTGTTGGTGTTGTTTGCTTGCTTGAGTCTGATGGCCAACTGCAGAACGTGTCCTCGACCGCGCGATTGCTATGTTCCTGTGGCCGTCGTCGCAAACCACGGCTGTGTGAGAAAGTTCAAAGCTCTCTCCGTCGTCTAATAAATCGAAACCAAAGTTGAAGGGATCTAATCTCCACAAGGTCGACCTAAACAGCATACGTGTAGATGGACGTGGCGCCGGGATATACTTCAACGAAAGGGGCAATGGCAACGAGGAAGCGCAAAGTAGCCGAGCCGAGATGTGCGTGTACTGGAATGGAGATTGTACTGGTGCTTGGGTTGGCAGGAAAGCAGCGAGGTGAAAACGTAAGGAAGGTTGAATTAAGGTTCGGAGATGTTTCTTGCACTCGCGACACAAGCCATCACCAAAAAGCTGAATTGTTGGTTGACAAGACGGGACCAGTTTGGGAGCTCAGGCCGCAACCGTGGTCGCGCCGAGCGTTGCATGCCCCGAAAGTCAGTGGGGGGCCGTGGGTCTTGGGGCCAAAGTGGAACTCGGCTTTAGGCGCTTAGGTGCAGATCCCATCGATGTCTGAAAGGGGTTTAGCATCAGAAATGTGGATGATTGCAGGGGCCATGGGTCAAACGTCACCACCACCTTGACATGACATTTAACTGACAAGGGCGACGACTGTCTTCAAGCAACTCTACGCGAGGCTTCCAACGACATTGTAGCTTAGACGACGAGGAGTGCATTTCCTAATCGTCTTCTGGCAGATACGTCAAAAGTTAACGTCACCAACCACTTCAGGCATACCCTAAGATATCAAAAGTGCGACGATAAGTAAATATCAGGATTTGCAGTCAACTCCCAATGTCGCGAGACGGACATCGCCCATTTTGAAAACCCCAGTGGCTTCAGTACCAATGGGGACATGAAAACTGCAGAGTCGGGGTAGAACCTGCTTTCACTCTAGTATGCACGTATCAAAGCGGGATTTTCCAATGCGACGGTTTCATAAATGGCTCATGATCATCTTCCACCGTGTCATTATGGCATTTGATCTTCTATATTGGCTTACTGTAAAAATAGTGAACAAAATTAACGTCTCGTCTCCTGGGTCATACGCAGCCAAAAGCTAATTTAACTCTGGCATTTCGAGGGAATTGGAGCCAAAGTTAATGCCAAGGGCAAGACCTCATCGAATTCTGTTTGAAGCTTTACTGTCATTAAATCCTTACTAAATTATAACATCGACTTCCAACTCATGGCACAATGGACTACCTACTACTGGTGATGCACCACCTATGGAGGCAGCAAATATGCGCAGCCTGGTTAGCCATCCTAGTGAGCTCCTGCTCAGTATAGCAGAGTTTCTCTCTGGCAAACACTAGCGGTCGCTAACGCAAACATGCAGACGAATGAGTTGATCTCCATGATGCACAACTCTACAGGATGGGAGTTGATTCCCAAGCATCTGGGGACCAACCTTTCATCTTAGCGGCTCTAGACGATCTAACGCAGAGGATGCCCATAGTTTTACAGCCAGCTGAACAAGGACACACGACCACACTTCCTCCGATGCTAGAAACCGGGGCGGTTCCCAACGCAGCGCTTCAGATCCACCTTGGAAGTTTTCTCTAGGAGTGGCGTAATCCGCGACCGAGCTCCGCAGGTCTCCTGCAACGCTTTCTGATGAACATAGGAAATATAACACAAAGCTGCGCGTCGAGGCCTCGTAGATACTGTCGAGCTCAAGGCCAGCTTTGGAGTGGATCTATACACCGGCTTGGAAGGCATACGTCCGTGTTACTATGACCACCAGCACTTATGGACCTCATTGCCTATTCCAATTTGCTACAACACGTGAAGGTTGCAATTACTACTGACACACAGCGCCTCTACCAGATCGATCGGTCGCACTCATCCAAGGTCAGCAACACTGATGCGATGACTGCATTACAAAGCACAGCTGCTTTCGTTTGGGTTGGATTTGTGAATTCTACGGCAGAGGAGGGTTGCCATCACGATTTAGATGCTCGCGGTTCCTGCAGCTGAACGCCCATCTGCCATGCCTTCTATGTTGGGCACCATGCGGTAGTCGAAGGGCTTCTAAGCAGGGGCGTCGAAGTCGACATTACGACGGCTATCCCAGTCACCGTCGTCGGAAATACACTCTGGACGTGCGGCGGCGACGAGATGTTCCGAGGTCGTCAAAAGCTTCGCAAACATGCTTTACATGAGAACAAGCACGGGCAACCTCGTACCCGCCGAAGCCGATCTGGGCGCTCGCGATTCTCTGGGTTGTACGCCACTTTGATATGCTGCCCATAGTCATAGGCCATTGCTCGTGATAACCCTGTTGCGACATGAGGCTAATACTGTCGCAGCCGACGTCTATGGCATGACGCCGATACACGCTGCGCAATAGGGAGCCCTAACTAACGTGGAGACAAAACTCGTAGGTGGGTGTGGAATACGCCACATCACTAGTCTCCTACAGGCAGCTAGTTGTAAGTTTCCGGAGAAATGAAGAAGAGACGGATGAAGGCTTTAGTCCTTTTGTGGCATTGAAACGGATATAATGAATAACGTTGACGAAACTACCATTTCGGTAGAAACAGATTGCAATAGTCTTGAATTTCTTCAATACGCGATATATTCACAACATTTACTTCTTCACAAACACGAATTATCTGCCATCCTGCTCATCCCTTTAGTGTATATCTCACACATGGCGATATCCACCAAACGAGCCTCCCGGAGCTTGGGGCCTCTTCCCCATCTAATACATCGGCTGTCTGCTGTGGTACTCCATTAACGTGGTGCGTCTTCCCCATCATCTTGCCGAATCGGTTTCCTCAGCTGCTCAGGGCAAATAATCGGCCCTTAAACCGAACCAGGCATAAGGAGCCTACACCGCATCTGCCTCTGAAACCTCCCCAATATTCTGGCAAATACTCAACCCTCCACAGCGGTCTACCAGCTAGAAAGAGGTCCTGCCTTCACTGTGAACATCATTGTCAGAACCCAGCCACTTCCACCTGCTTCTTTATTTATGATCTTCATCTCACGCATTCAGCTTCGCGAAAACCTTCGACTCCCTTTCCTACCCTGCCGCTCATACCCGCCCCCTCCATTCTCTCCTTAACCCTCTCCCGCAATCCCCAAGACACATACCATCACTTCCTCGCCTGATCTAGTCACTACCACCTCCCATTCCGTTAACCCCAGTTGCTTCACCACACTCTTCAGCAATTCATGCGCCTTCGGGCACTCAGTGAAGTACATCGCGAGAGCCATGCCAGTCCCCCACCGCGTGGGAGGTCGGACCCCATATGCATCTTTTGACTGCTTCAAGGCTGGAGTGAGGAGAAGGACGAAGATACTAGTGGAGGAGTAGGCGGTAATGGGGGCGTGGAACAGTGAATGGACGGAGCATTTTTGATGCGTAGTTATTTAGTTGTAGTGAGGGGACGCTCATAATAATGACTTTTGGCCGAGGTGAACAATTACGGGGGTGCGCTCGTGGGCAAGCTTGATCAAAGTGGCCGGTCGCTTGATGTATGTACAGTTTAATTCCATTGAATGACTTCCATGTTACGACTTCGAAATAGAAATCCCGAGACCCAATCGATTTTGCGATACCAAGGACCAAGGAGAAGGTCTAGCATTGCAGCTGTCTTACCTGGTGGAGTGACGAAGAATGGGTGTGGCCTGTAACATTTATGGTAGCAAGCAAGCAAGGTGCTACAACTAGCGAGCATCTCAAACGCGAGGAATTCTTTTCAGGAGATAATGCTCACCTCGCTTGTATAGAAAACCATATCCCGCTGGCGCGATTTCAATTCTTCTCCGTCGTGCGCCCATGGCCGACTCCAATGTGGCCAACTAAATCCATGTGTACGCGCAAAATCAAGTTCTTAAAACGTGGTACGAAGCAGATACAATGCCTCTCCAGATGCATCTAATTTAACAAACGCTCAAAGCTATGCCATAGCTGCATGATACAGAGAGCGGGTGCACGATGGCACTCCCACCCATTTACTCTCCGTCCTCGGACGAAAAGAGCATGATATATGTGTGTTGCTCGTGGATCAAACAAGCCAAACAACCAATCAATCAACCAATGTGCGTGTCAAATATAGGCATTTGGATGCAGGCCCTTCGTCTCCCTCCCTGGCGAATGATAGTCTCGTGACTCCCTCTCTCCCTTAGTTCTTAGTTACTTAAAAAGGAAAACAGATTTCCAGTTCCTGACCGTTACGCCAAATCCAGCAGCCCCTTGCGGTACACAATTCCTTGGGGCCGAAAACTATAGCTCAATGCCAAATCCACATTCAAATCGGATTTTTCTTCTGTTGCAAAATCCTAGGGTTGTGACGGATTTTTGTGGTAAAACTCGACAATGGTGTGTGTTTCCACATCGAGATCAGTCTTTGCTCAAAACGCCGGGGAAAATGTTCATGTAAATGAATCCGAGAAATAGAGAGCTCTATCGTGATACTCCGATTTAATTGGTATTGACATACCATGCTTTGAAATCATTGGTCATGTAAGTCGAAACCCGAATCTTCAACGCCGTATGTATGATCGTTCGGTGGAGTTTTCGTAAAGTTCGGGTGCAAATTGTGCCCCCCAAATTTGGCGCGTATCCTAGCGCGAGAGCGATAGAGATGCAGACGTCTCAGCGTAGTTTCCTAGCCCATCTTCCTGAAACCCTCAACTCCAAGGATAGGCACCTCGACTTCACTCAAGCCGGGTACGCCTTCGTCTCGTCTTCTATCCACGAAACTATTGCATTCGCAGACAACAAGACCCCACTCGGCCAAGGCTCGACCAGCATACTTCGCTCCGGTCGCAAATGTACCAGTCGGCTTTACCGGTACGACGACAGGCTCTGATGTGGGCGTAACACCAAAGAACCTTTGGGTATCATAGTTGCCGCCACCGGTGCCCGTGGGACTCTCGGAATCAAAGCTGTCTCCTTCAAACGTCGTTGAGATCTGATCAAGAACTGGCGAAGCTTCCCCAGGGTTTGCGTTCTTGGCAGCTTCTATAAGCCCAGTATTCGCACTACCAGAGACAGCACGAGTGGGAGCGGGCCGCCCAGCTGCTGGCGCAGGCGTGCTCCCACTTCTGCCACGGTTGCTGATCCAGATTTGTGCTGGGGCTGGCAGACGAGGTCTGGTCAAGATGCGGTGTGGTGGTGACAATGAGTTTGGTGAATTCCAAGAAAGTGTAAACCTGAAAATATATTGCAGGGCGTCGTAGGTTGGTGATGAGCCCATACTATCCGTGTCGGACGTAGGTGGAGTGACTGAGCCCCCAGACTGCTTTGATGGCGGTGCTGTCTTTCGCGCTGCAGCCGTCTCACGTCTCAAGGTGTCGAAGTCATTGGGGTTGTTGGAATTACCGGAGAATGAAAGAACTTTCCCGATAAGATTCCATTTCTTCTTATGCGTGGACGGATCCGAGTTAAAAGAGTCCGGGGAATCAGATGCTCCAGTCATCGGCGAAGAAGTATTCGGCAGAGGCAGCTGGGTCGAAAACGAGTCAAAGCCCAAAGCAAGCCCAGGTTGGACTCCCGGTTCCTCGGTACGAATGATCATAAATCGCTTCCCAGGAGTCGGATAGGACGGTGCGGTTGAGGGAAGACACTTGCCCTCCCTCTCAGCCAAGTCCTTGAGCCAGAGGTAGTGTGACCAGACCATCTTCAGCCGCGTCGAAACAAGCATATATATGCTCCTGTCAAGCAGGGTTAGCAACGATCAGCCACAAGATAGGCAAGAAAGCTTACATATCCGAGTCATTCGCACTCCCGGTATCACGGCAAATCCTCCAGCACAGGAGGCGCATGTAGTATGCCCTAACCATTGGACACCAATTGTTGAAGAACTTGTCAAAGTTTACCTCGGTAAGGAGCCATTCGGTGCAGATGGCCTCTTTTCGTCTCTGGTCACTCGCAATAGCGTTCCAAATAGAGAAAATGAGCGAAAGAACTCGAATCTCAGACATTGTGTTGTTCGAATCCAGTATCTTCTTGCACACCTCGAACCAGAATGGCCAGTCAACGTAATCGAGGGTAGGCCGGTGAACATCAACGAAGCCCTCGTAGGCCACTAGCGATTCTTCGAGAAAATCGCATAATGTGAAACAGGCATTGTGATCGAATTGGGATGTCTTTTTGGCAGATGCTTTCATCAGCGCCATGAAAGCCTCGGCAAAGGTATGTCGCGCATTTGCGATGGAGAACGAGGCCGCTGATAAGAAATCCTTGAGGAGCACAATCAGTCGGTTCTCGTTCATACCTTTCATGGCATTGTTGTTCGGTGCAATCGGCAACGTCATGGCTGATGCATCTGCTCCATGAAGGACGTCAGTTGCTGGCGGCCCAAGCATAGCCTCAACGGCCGCTTGACGATGTACCGTCGAGTCGAGAATGGATAGAATTTGAGCGTTGACGAGCAAGAAGGCTGGCGCACGACTCTTTTCCACGAGGGGCAACCCTGGCGGCATGAACTCTTCAGCAAGTATGTAGTAGTACTTGCAGAAGATGAAGAATAGATCCGTATCGCGACCTCGCCACCTCGACACCCATGGACCATGCCACGCAATTTTGGCAGCAGCCCAAGGCAGTGTCGCAGCCTGGCGTAAGTTATCAGACATGCTTTTGACCGAGGTCCAACCCAAGCCATCCACGTTGGGTGGAAACAGAGATACAATGTCGTTACTTTCCCCCTTGCTTCGCCGGGGTAGGCCGAACTCATCTGCCACGCGACGCATCACGTCCGTTGTGAGAGACCACAGCCGAACAAGGACATCAGCAATCCCGGGGGCAAAGAAAAAGGCATATGCACAAGCCTTCCCCGCGAAGTTGACGAGACTCAGTGGCGCGTGTCGTTGCGATAACTTCTCCACTACGATGGTCATCTGCGTCATTAGATTGGATATGAACATTGTCCTCACGTTATGTTCAGCCGATTCCGCGATATAGTCGGAATCTGTCGAGCTCAGGGACTCATCTGACAAGGAGCCCCCAGTGCCCGTTCGGCTTTTCTTCTTCAGCAGCACCCTGGGGTTTCTGTCGGACAGGGGACTAAATAGTGTAGTGCTCTGGCGCCATTCCGGGCGCATCATGACGATGGTGATCGCCTCGAGCAAAATTGGCCTGTCGACGCCGGCAACTGTTTGTGAGGATTTTCCATCCAGCATTTCCAGCAGCCCACCCCACCACTTGTTCATAATCGTGGCCCTCCGCTCCAGATCCTCATGATGCACTTGTTTGTTTGATGGGTGGGAGGCGTAGTTTCTCATAAAAGGTATGAGCACGCTCCTGATTAAGCCCATCCGCATGGGCCCCGTCCTGGATTGAAATTTCTGGTACTCGGCCTCCAGGGACTTGAAGGCAGACCATAAGGGATCTCGTGATTGGGGCGAGGGGAAATCGTCAGACGCCGTGTTGTGGCTATGGTCGGACGGGGCGGTCGATCGGCGCGTCTTGGAGGAGGGAGGGGCCAGGCTCGCTACCGAAGACGAGGTACTATCAGCATCATTTTTGACCGCGCCCTTTACGAAGACGCTCTGCGGTCGCTGCTGGATCTTCGAGAGGTAGTTACCAAACTTCCCTAGGGAATCCGTCGACCTGTTCCCTTCGCCTTCGATTGTAGAGACTGGCCGCTTGCGTGAGAACTTGCTCAGCTTGCCCATCGAAGCATTGCTGGGCGATCGTTCACGGACGATCTTCGAGTGAGATACGTAATCTGTCACTTCTTCCTTGCTGTTGGCAGATGGTGAGGGCGACCTGGACGTGGACATCCACGACCTCCTCGCAAATGAGGCGAACGAATCGGCGACTTTTTTCGATTTCTCTGGTGTTCCCGACCTACTTGAATTTGTCGTGTCGGTGAGGCCATCGCTTTCTCGCCTGGCCAATTCCATGTCTTCCTTCTCCTTCTCTTCGACCAGCAATTGCCTTACGTCAGGCAACGACTTGGAGCCGGGCATTGCAAGACTTAGCAACGACTTCCTCCTCCCCATTTTGTCTGTCCTGGGCTGGGGCCCCTCCGGTTTCTTCGCAAGTTGAACAGTCGTGGGTTTCTCATTGGGCTTAGGCGCAAGGGTCTCGCTGCTGACGGAGAAGCTGAAATTACAGTCGAAGTCGGTATCGAGGTCGAACGAGGGGACGTCGAAGGCTGGGAGGCTGTTCAAGCTGGGGGATTGTGGGTGGTGTGAGGTCACGTAATGGCCCGACGCGGGTGAAGGCTGGTTCTGGTTTTGGTGAGGAGGCGGCGGCGCGATGGAGTGCGGATGGTGAATTGGGTGTGTCGACTCAACGGCTGGAGAAGCCGTCACAGTCAAAATAGGACCACTCATCTCATGGCCAGTCGGGTGCGGCAGTAAATGCTTTGTGTTTTGGCTAGTAGGTGAGCAGCATTCAACAAGGGGCTGCTGCAGCTGTGAGCTGGTTTGCCAGGTTTCTAAGTAGACTGGGGTGGCTCTTGTTTGTGGCAGTTTTACGGTTGCAGCGAACGAGGAGGGGCTTTAGGTTCGCTCTACTGCGTACCGATGTGAAGTGAAAGGTTGTTGCCTCGAAATCCGTCGATAGCAATGATTTGCCCTTGGGTCGCAGTTTAGAAATTATGGTAATTATAGAATGCCAATTACTGCTGCTGGATCTAAAGAGATTGCTACGTTTGGGGAAAGGGCTAACGAGGGGGTTACGATACGAGCAGATTGGTGTTTCGAAAACAAGCGCTGAACCAAGTTATGGGGCTGCCCAAGAAACCAGAAAGAGCAGCAAGGAAAAAAAAGAATGCACAGCCGTTTGGAGGAATAACTGACGGTGGCACCGTGCAGACGTTGGCTCGGTGGTCGGATTCGGGCGTACGACAAATGGCGAGATTTGATAAAAAACAGCAACAGATGCTGCCTCGGATGATGGAGCTGTAATAAGTTGCTAGTATTTGGTATTATTACGGCCTCCGCACCTTATGCATGATCTGGGGTGGCATGTGTAGGATGTATATTACCGGCGAGCCCCTGACCAGATAATCGATCGAGGCGGTGGTCACTGGAGATCACTGGAGGTCACTGGCGCAAATAGTGCTCAAATGGTCTACTGAGGATAATGATGATGATGTAACGGGCAGCTCTAACGTCGACAGCGCAAACATAGTGCGATGAATCACGCTACAGAATGTCAAGGGTCCTGAGTCGCAGGCACGAACACGAGATTCGCGAGTTGGGGCAGCGGGCAGACTGCATCCGGCGCCCATCGCTCGTTGTAATTATTATTCATCTTGCAAGTCGGCTGCGCAAACCGAGTGGCCAACATGAAAATAACAACCAATGCCGATGCGAATGCCGGGCCAACCATCTCGAATGCGTTGTCTGCAATTGTAAAAAGAAAAAGTATCGACCCTGCCTTATTGCTAACCCCATGCCGCATTTGAGTATCAAGGAAACCCTATGTAAAAGTAGTAGCTTGAGTAGTAGCTTGTCAAGAAATTGGAATGGAAAGTGCGAGAAGTGGAAGCTGGGGCAAGAAGGACCAACCGTTCCGGCGCCTCTTACATGCAACGAGACTACGCGGCGATTTCGAGATACGACTCACAAGCAAGCCAAGGACAAGTTCCGATCTGTAGTCACGTTCTATTGGCTCTTTTTTTAGCTGTTGCGGTGAGGACATCCATGTTACAATCAACGAAAACTGTTGGCCCCGATGCTGCCAAGCGGGACGATGATCATCGCCAGAACCCACTATGATGCCGCTTTCGTTTTCTGTTGTCACGACACGCCCAGGACAGGCCATACGCAAACCCCTGATCGTGTAAGTTACTTGATATTTTGGCAGTGGTAAGCGCAGGCAAAGTGGATGTTTTTGCTGTTTACAATAGGGAAGGAATAGGGAGACAAAGCATAAACTTGCTTAGATGACTCGCTCATATCCGTAGATATTCGTATAAGTACAGAAGAACAAATGAAATTGATTTGGCTTCTGTCAAATTCAGGGTCTAATCCCAGCCTCCAAAACCCCCACAATGCAAAACCCAGAGCGGCCTAGCGATACACCCAGATAGAGCTAGGCTCCGGAAGAGGGCTGAGGAGGCGCCAAAAATAAATCTCTTGCAGGTCGCCTCAAACATATTGTTGAAGCCCGCTGTAGTTACACTGTAGATGCGTGGGCTGAACGGTGGCTGGACGAAAAAATTGAAGGCGATATCGCAGCATAATCCTCGATGAATGGACTTCAGCAGAGTTCAATTGCCCGCCAGCGCAAGTGATGAAAGATCAAGATTTTACCGACATCCAGGGGACTCCTGACCTGTACAAGCAATCTTCACAGCGGAAGTCATTTCACGAGCTTTTCTGATCATAATATCATAAATACTCCCGGAAAAAAATAAAGGAGATGGGCCAAGGCTTTCAGGTAAAGGCCTTCAGGTACAGCCGCTCAACCGTTCAACCGCTCATAGTACTGGTAAAGCCGAGCTCGAGCTTCTTTTGATAACAGTTACAATTGCAAGGGCAAGGCAGGCCATCACACTTATTGGGACGAACAGCAAAGCTGCAGTGCTGCAAGGCAAGGCACAACGAAAAAGTCCGTCATTAGCAACAATAACTCGCCAAGCACGCCTTGCCGCCAATCATCCTAGGCGGAGCTAAAAAGGATATTCTTGGGACAATTTACAGCGCGATGATCGACCGGCCCTTTCGTCACTGGTATATCCTCGACAAGGGTTTAATTATAAATCGCACCAAACGATGCATTACGATAGTCCCTCGCTTACACATGCGGATGGGGAACCCTGTGTCTGGCTGTAACGTATCACATTTGGCTTTGAAGTTGTCGACAGCCGTTATTCACTTTCCGTGATATCAAACGAGAAGTTCCGCCTTTGTAATAGTAAATGTCGTTGGGAACATTGCGCTGTTGCTGCGCCTACTGCACAACGGGTAAGCATGCCACAGAACAAGTTGACAAGTTGAGAGGACTTCAAAGTAGGGTAATCCGGCAACTCGAGGAATCAATCGAAGCTGACTCAAAGGCATTCAGGACCCGTAGACTTATCTCACTTATGACCAATCCTGTTTCCGCTCCCTCACAAATCTGCTTCGTCTTGACTCGCAGAAGGTCTGAGCAACATCAAGGTGCACTCCAAAAGGTCCGGCTGATCAAACTCGACAGAGCAAGCATTTTGCCAGCTATTACAAGTTCTGATATTGCCTATGCTGTCTCATCTCGTCGAACGACTCATAAATTCTCCCATTGTCTATGATTAGTCAATTGCATTGGCTAAATCGCTGCTCGATTGTCCTGTTGCCAATTTCATCTCGCCAAAGCACTACTCGTCAAGCTAAGAAAGACGGTTTGACCTATTGCGTTAGCACTGGGTTAAGGACGTCTATTTTTCCTTTTTCAGCTGTTATCTTTAACGGTACTTCCGAATACTCGTGATCTGCACCAAATTATCAGTACCTCCCCATTTAAAATGCTAGTTATTGTATGCCTTCTAAGAACGTTTGAACGTCTTCTCAATATGTGAATAGTGCCATTTCGTCCGACAATTATGCCGTCTGTTGTCCCGCCTGATATCAATTCGTCCTAATACCATTCCGTCTGGTGTTATTTCATCCGACTGTCATTCCGTCTGGTTGCTGCATCGGCTGACTGGGATTTCACCTAATGGCTTTTTTCGTCTACCTGGGAAATCTGTTCTTTTGAGAACACAGTTAGTAACCCACTCCTGTTCTTGGCCATCTCCCACTCTCGAATATTGCCTATGTTTCATCTCATCTAGGAACAAAGTATCTAGTTGGGTTTTGGAGCATCTCAGCTGGGACGAAATGAGTGACTGCTTAGAATAGTGCTGGCCGAATGATGATGAGAGCAGGTATGGGATGATGAGTGAACAACCATTAAAGCTCTTTTCAGAGGCTGCTAAAATGAGTGACAGGGCTGACTTTCTCCTAGCTAGATAAAGCACGCATTTCCGCATCGGGTTTGAAGTCCCTTAGTCTGCGGGTCCTGTATATCTGTGGGAGAAGTCAAACTGCGGAGAACGAGCATAACTAGGAGCAGAGAGGCGAGGTAAGCTTAGAAGAAAGCCGCTGGAATGTCCGAGACCATCAGAACAGTCGAACAAGAACGATAACAACCTCGCCGGGTCAAGAAGACGAACATAGCCACTTCGTTGATGTGGATGCTTGAGTTACCTCACTCATCGGCACAATTGTATCCCATAAGTTACTGAAACTGAAAATGGACATCTGACAACATGAGAACATGGATAGACTTGATATCTCCCTAGATAATGCCTTTTACCAACTCCCAACTCCGGATCGAGATGCTTTGCAGTACAGACCAGGAAGCCTTGACAGCGTAACGAAATCATGCCTTGCTCTTCTTGGGTGTATCTTCGGTAGCCGAGTCCACGTCCGCATCCAGAACATCCCGATTTCTCTTCAGTCCCTTCATCTTTCTTGTTTGCAATTCACTCAGGTCTTGCCTGCCCAAGTGAATCCTTCCAAGCTTGTCACCAATGGTGTCTGTCGTCACATTCTTCTTCGTCTTCTCCAGGCCAGACTTGGGCTTCTTGAGGGCCTCCTTCCACATAGCTTCGTCAGGTTCTTGCATTCTGCCAACACGGAAGTCCATACGTGGCCCACACTCCTCGATTTCCACCCTAGGCAGCCGTTGACCAGAGCGCTTCGTAGAGATGGTGTACACCCTCAGATGTATGGCAGGCTTGACTTCGTTACCTGTAGGTTCATCTGCCGAGATGGCCACGATGTAGGATAACCCCTCTACATCGATCTTATCCGAAACCTCGCCCTTGAAGAAGTCGATGAACATAGATTTTGCTCTATATGACGTCAGCACACCGAAATAAAGAATTTTAAGAGGGTTGCAAATCACCTGGTGTATTCGTTTTCCACAGGGCTGTCGAATGCCGTGCCTGAAAACACCATCATAGGTCTCAGACCAACAACGACCTTGCGACCTTTGAACTCTATAGCGAAACGATTAGTCAAGTATGTTGCAGAGGTTCCTGGTGGTCAAATTGGGGGGGGGGGGGGGGCCGGGGGGGTTTCAAGTCGTATTTCAAGAGAACCGACTTGTAGAAGGTCTCCGCTCGGAAATATCTCCATGGGACAGACGGGCTTGGAGACGACATGGATCCTGATAGGGTACGTACGCGAAATTCGTCTGAAATTTTCAGGGTCCAGATGTAACTCAAGCATGTCTAGAGTCTTGTGAGAGAAGGTCCTGGATATAGTCACCGTGTGGGGTCGCTTTTTCGACGAGCTATTGCAGGTTGTGTTAGTCTACTTGATCTTTTAGTTTGTCTTTAAAATGATGCTAGCTCACCTGCCGAATAGAATAAGGGATGTATCATTCTTCTCTGTTCCACATCAGTCAATAATTGTTATGCTAAGAAAGCTTAAGGGAGCTACTGAGACGCCATGGTAGGAGCAATGAACAAATGACCGAAACAGCGAGTCAATTGTCACCAGTTGGACTAGGGTGGGGCGAAACGGGCTCGGGATACGCACCTGAGAAGAATTCGAGGGATGAGGCATCTTCAAAGGCTGTGCATAGTATTAGCCTGGGATCGCGACCAGAGGTGTGGCTACCCACGGTGTATTTGATTCTTCTTCGTGAACTTCTTGCCGAGGGGCTGGCGAAGCGAGTGCAGGTCGGTCAAAGCATCTACGGGGCAGGTTCGTCAGCGGAATCAAACAAACAAAGTTTAATTCGAAGAGCATACCCTGAACAACTTGCGAGCAGGTAGTCCCTCGCAGAAACAGGGCCGTCTTGGGGTTCTCATTCTCTTTGGGCGCCTTCTTGTCCAAAGCTCGTTTGCTTCGCGCCGTTCGGGGTTTGATTTGTCGCAGCATGGCGTCTAGAGCTCGTTCGATTGACTTTGTCTGAGGGAGTGTTGAAAGTCGTTTTGCAGAAACGAGCAATCAGCTGGATCGGTTTCGTCTGGAAGTTCAGTCGGAATTATCTATTGGCAAGACGTCCCAAGGCACTCGCAATTTGCTAAACCTGCCTTCCCTGAAGAGGCGGGACGCTTCTAGCTTCTTGAACATGTTGAAGTCCAAATTTTTTGGCCTTATCGCTTATCGTTACTTGCAGTGGGCGTGGGATGGACCCCACTATCATGCAGTAATGACATGGGCGGGCGCACGGACACCATCTTGACCTTGACATCCATTTATTCCCCACTCCCAACTTCTGAGTGGGTGGTCTCGTTCACTCATGGACCTGTGTTGTCTGGAGCATGGTAGGTATCAACCTTACAAATCCCATTGAAAACCAATCATTATTGCCAAGTTTCAATGCCTCCATGGTATGATAAAGTTACGAATATCTCCACCCATCTGCTCTACGAAAGCCACTGCGAGTTCGAGCATGACTTCGGCGAATGACATCTGCTCTTTGTCGACACTTGGACTTCCACATCATATGGAGCTGAGGAAGCCCCTGTGTAATGGACGGCCGACTGGCTTTAGCCTAACAGGTTCACCGCAGAGCAAGAAGCAATTTCTGATACCAGATCTGGGAAGTTATTATCTGCCCAGCTGTAGAGACAGTTTGAACTCCACTTCCGCACTTGCCAATCGTCCTGCCCACGCGGCACCCGGGGAGAGCTTCCATCCTCCATTTCGGGTTCGAATGGAGTGATAGTGAGCTTGCCCACCTCGACTGGATCCTTTGAACCGCTCGAAGCGGCGGTCGATATACATCTCAGAACACCTAAGCTTTCATTTTCAACTCCTTGCAAGCTAGTATACGGTCCAATCCGGCGCGAATCTTAACCAGTCTATCTCAGTCTCACTCTAGTCCCTATTCGGCATATTTCCAGAGTGCAACTCAACCTGGGTCGAGACTGATTAGGGCGGATCACCATTAGGTTTCGTATCTTATAGTCATGTAGGGTATAGGCATCGGATCGAAAGTCATTGTCCCTGAATGACCTCTGCTCTGCGCAAAAGCTGCGCGCGAAGAATTCTGAGGTAACCCTTTTGTTCGATGGTAATATTCGCCTAAGGCATTTTACACCAAAGCTACTAACGCGCCAATAGCAATTCCATTTTTGGCTCTCTGTATGAGCAAGTGTTGATCTCGGCATCGTTGTCCCCATAGTCCGGCTAAGAGGCGCATCTCTCGGGTGTCTCATACCCCGTAACCAGTCGGTGAGACTCGGCAGTTTCGAGCATGTCGCCAATGAAACCGCTTGGTATTGCGTCGATTAAATTCCTACAGAGACTGCTCAAGCAGTGGCAGATGCACATCAACTCCTCCAGTTCCAGTTCATTTGGGTGCTACACCTTGTGCAAAACTGTTATCGGTAACTCACTTTCTTCAGGCGCAATGGATCCTACCCGTCGCCCAACAGTTTGCGAATAGAATTCCATACGGAAGAAAGCTTTCTGAAAGCTCATTCGACCGGAGACAGAGGTGGCCTATGCCCTGGGAATGCAACCTGACCAATACGATGTAATGGATGTGCCCATGAAGTATGCAGCTTATGCGCAAGGGACGGGTTGTCGGTTAATGCCTTAATGTAAAAGATAATTACAAATGAGTCGACGGTCGTCCAAGACCATAAAACAAGATTTCCGGGATCGCTTTCGGGGATATCTGGGTGATCAAATCGTTATTTGAGTTGGACTTTTTGTATGTACATTACCTGCCGATACTGTGAACTGTGACATTATGACTGGCTCTAAGCTTTGTGAACAAGAAAGCTGCCACTTGAATGTGATGGAGCAGAAGAGATCCTCTTGTCAGCTCCTTACTATATCCTAGGCATTCTACCTCAATCCAATCATTAAGCAAAACTCATTGGTTACCTAGGTACTTGTACTATAACGATTAAAAGTATATTTGTAAATAACTGATTCTTTACTCGAAGAATAGGACCCCTGCCTTCCAGTGTAAAATCACCCAATCTCAATTACAATGGTAAGAAATCATATGGAATTATCGAGGGTACTTCGTACAGTTACTTCAATGGTAGTCAGCCACAGAAAGTCCTGTAACGGGGGCGTTCTCCCCTTATTAACCAGCTCGTAAATACACCGTCTAGCCTTTGAAATCTCACCGCCCTAAAGAGATATGATTAGTGTGAAGAATAGAAACTTTCAAGCGATTTGAAAGCTGCCTCCATGAGGCTGTTGCTCACGCAGCAGCACCCGCCTGCGTAACAACTGCTTGTAGGTAGGTTCTCAAATATACGTAGCTCGTTGGCATGCTGAAATGAGTTAGTCCCCCTCAGTACTTTCACCCTCTATTTTTTACAATATGTTTCGCCCAAGATGGGACCGTCCCATGGACAGGACGTGAACATACTTGAGATGAACAATTCCTATGCATCGGTTCCGGGGCTTGTTCTACGCATTCTCCCGCGCTCAAAACATTACGCGTGAATTACGACTTGATCATTTCGTTACCAAATTGAAGATTACCAGATCGGCATACTCGGCGATGCTTTCATTAGTAGTGGGGTATACGAAGCGCCGGATGACGCCCTTCAGGGGCGATAGCTACGTCGAGAACCTCATATATCTCGTGGGGCGGCGCACGACCCGACGCAGCAGCCGCGGGACCGCGTCACCGAGTCCAGAATCTGTGAGCTTCTCAAAAAAACATCCACATCCCAATGTTCCACACTACCTCGGCTGTGAAGTCTCCGACAACAGAATACACGGATTATGCTTTGCCACCAGGTAACCTAGCATCTTAATGCAAATCGTCAAACCAGGTCACCGCAACAGAAGGAAATCAAAGTTGTCGCGATGAAGCCAAACCATCGACTACACCTACGTGATCGAGGACATTAGGAGCGACGTTGACCCCTTCATTCACTTGGGATTGCCCACAACGACAATACCCGAGCAGCATCATGCTTGACGGTCGTGTTCCCGTCGTCATCGATTTCTGACCTGACCGGTACGGGAAAGAGTCTTTACTTCACGTCGGCCGTACGCACGAGTGGTATGAGGAGACGAGTAAGACTTGCGCAGTCGAAAATGATCTCGATGCACTAGAAGAGATACGCATATGGCGGGGCGGTGATTGCCGACCGTTTCTATTGCCCGAGTGAACTGTCTCTTCAGTGAAAAAAATGATGGAGAAGAGTCTTGGGCTTCAGCCAATTGGTCAGAAGCGCAGAACGACAGATGGCTTGTAATGAAGAAATAACCATGGTACCCGGGGTGAATTTAGATGAGTCGGAAGTCGGGCTAGTTGAAAACCCCACCTCGGCCCGGACTCCGGACTCCGGACTGGCACAAACACAAATACACACGTACTGGAACTGGAGCAGTATCATGCCGATCATCTACAATTCTTCTTCTTATTTCATCATCTCATGCTATCATGTAGCTTTTCATTTGGTTCAACCAAATGCCCGTCCCCACTTGCCATCTACTCTTTATCTAACCGAACCGCCGGATTTCTCTCAATGAAGTTCAAGTCCACCTTGTGTCCCAGTAACTCGCGGATGTTCGAGATTCCGTACTTGATCATAGTCGGTCTCTCCAGACTCAATCCCCAACCATATACCCTCAGGTCGCTCGGGAGACCCATTGACTCCAGCATTTCCGGTCGGAACATGCCACTGTTGCCGATCTCAACCAGCTTGTTGAGCCCCTTGTGGAAACTGAAGATCTCCAGACTGGGCTCGGTGTAAGGATTGTATGCAGGCTTGAAGCGCAGGTCCTCGATGCCCATCTTGCCGAAGAAAATGGTCATGAATTCCATGAGACCTCCCAGTGTGAGGCCATAATCTGCAATGACGCCTTCAACTTGGTGAAATTCGGCAAGATGCGTTGCGTCGACACTCTCGTTTCGGAAAACTCGGTCGATGGAAAAGTACCGGGCCGGTGGCGGCTTTCCGTCGGGCCCTCTCTTGTCGGCCAACTTATGCAGCATGGCTGTTGAGATGGCGGTTGTGTGAGTACGCAGCACTAATCTCAGTGACTCGTCCGCGGCCCACGGGTATCGGTAACCCCTGGAGCCGAACTTTCCATCCTGGTGAACCTGCTTAACGTTGTCCCAGTACGTTTCGTAGTCCTTCTTGTCTTCGGCATCCTCCGCATGCGGCTTGTCTGCCGCTTTGGGGTCCGAGATGTAGAAAGTGTCTTGCAAATCTCGTGCTGGATGTTGTTGCGGGACATATAACGCGTCAAAGTTCCAGAAACCAGACTCGACGAAGCGGCTTGTCGGCATCTCCTCGAAGCCCATTTCGAAGAAGATCTGACGGAACTCATGTCGGACCTTCATTAGCGGATGCAGTGCTCCCGCGTGTTGGTCTTGACCCAATGCATTGAAGTTATAGGGTTTGAAGGTAGCCGTCTTCCAAGAACCTGTCGAAATCATTTCTTCTGTCAGATCCGTCTCCTCCTTCACCATCTCTAGGGCGAAATTGGTTCCTTTCTTGATCTTGAAGCTGATAACCTTTTGAAACTTGACGAGCTTGCGCTTCTTCAGCTCGGCCAGTACCTTTGCATCGGGGTGTGTTCTCGTTTGTTTAATAGTCTGGAGCTGTTCTCGTGTGACATCTTTGATGGACTCGGCCTAAGAGGGGTGCATCAGTAGAGATTGCGCTTGTCAAATGGTCTGTGAAACCTACACTAGCAACCAGCTTGCCATCGTCGGTCTTCTTGATCCACTTCTCCTTAAAGGCCTTACCTTGGCCTAGCTTTGTGACATTCTTGTCGCCAATGGAACCCTCGAGTTCCTTTATAGTCAACCCCCCCATGGCCTTGCGCAGGGCTTCGAAGACGCGCGCCTCGTGGCTGCCATTTTCTGCAATTTGCAAGCCCTCGGGCTCGAGAACTGCCTCCTGCTCGTCGACTTGTTCGTAATCCACCATAGACCGCGACTTCAGGCGATCTACAGCGGACTTTAAATCGGCAAACTTAGCCTCGGGGAATGCTTCGGTCGAGGAAATGGGGTCATTCTTGGCCAAGGCGGCCAAGATCTGCAAGGCGAGGTCCCCGGTCGCCATTTTGGGTGGGATTGGTGGTTGAGGCACTTCAGATCATGCAATGTCGAAAGCGTGGTCGTCGAGGGTCTTTAAGGACGAGAGATGGGCAATCCGAACTTCTTGGGATTCTTTGAGTCAGAGGCCTGCGACTTGGATACAGCAAAATACAGCTCGGGCCACACCTGCCAAATTTCGAGCGAAGTGGGATGAGTGGGATGTTTGAATGCGGGACACTCACACCCTCACTTATCAGAACTCCAAAACGCATCAAGTATAATCCGTGGACCCTTTTCGTTCAATCAATGACAGCGCCGTTGACTGCTTGGCATTGGAAGGTTCAAGTCTCCACTGCCATCATCCCCGGCCAACTTCGCGGCTCCGTTCCGCTGGATCCAAGTGACCCATTCTCCCCATTGTCGCGTATCTCGTCACTACAGTGCACATATTTGATCACCTGCAACAAGAAAACCGCCAACACCAGTTCGGCGTGCCACTTCTGACATATGAAGTTATTAGCAGCATGTGATGTCATATTCTACCCGGTGCCTTCTTATGTCGAATGAGGTGGAGCTATGAACCATGATGCCACCGCCCCGACCGAACCGGCGGACCCTCACCCGAACGAGACATCGCATCGCCGTACCCGTCGCCGCGAGGACCGCGTCCAAGACGCCGACCTATCAACAGACCAACAGCAACAACAAAATGGGTCTACTACGGCAAACACTTCACAGCAGCCGCAGCCGCATCGAACATCATTGTCGAAGAAGGCGAAAGAGGGCTTATCCAAGAAGCTGGTGTTCCTGATACACCTGCTCCGGAGCTTAGACACATTGATATGTGCTGAGCTATGTGCACTTTATTATATGGAGTACGCCAACTACACCTGCGAATACCATCATTCTATGTACACACACGACTAACCAACCAACTTGCAGTTGCTCCTTCTTTCGTCTCATGATCCGCTGGGCGCCCCAGTGGCTCTACCTCAGTCCCAAATCCGAGAACCTGATCCTCATCATACCAAACTACCCCGTGGGCGCCATCCTTGGGCCCAACGCCTTCTGCATGCTATTCCACATCATAACGACGCTTCCCCATGCCGGCGAGGCAGCGCGGGGATACCTGCACGGCGGCGTCCTGATCGATTTTGTCGGGCAGAAACCCCCAAGCTCCAAGTTCACGTTACTATTTCTGGATCTGGTGGTTTTGAGTCTGCAGTGTTTCATGTTGGCGGTCAACATGGAGAAGGACAGGATAAAAACGATTGTCAAGCCACCGAAACGACCGGCGGCTGTAGAAGGAGGGACGCAAACGATGGAGGCTTCGACGAGTACAACCGGCCAGGATCACGATGCTGAAGAACGGGGCGTCCACAGAGATGCGCCCACCGTGGACGAGACGAATGACGTTGAATTGCGACCCATGGGATCTGACCGTGAGGGTGGAGACGAGGACCTTACTACACTACTCGACCGTAGTTCCGGTCACACCACCAGTTATGAGGAACTTGGAAATATATTGTCGTCGGGGAATGCCGTGCTATCGGATTTTCATGTGCGGCATTCGCTTCGCACGGCTTGGAACGATTCGGGAAATACCACAGAGGGCGCTGCGGCATATGCGCTACAGAACGTAGGTTACAACGCGACACTTGCAGCGTTAGCGGCGCAGCGAAGAGCCAGACTTACTGCTGCTCAAGGCACTGCTCAGCCGCGGCAGTCATAAAGTCGCCAGGGAGAAACAAAAGACAGCATTGTACAAGTATCAAGGATATCATATCGTCGCCCCCATTACGCTACTTTACGTCCCACATTACCAACACCTGTCCCCTTCACCGAGACTATGATGTCGTTCGTGTGGTCTTCGTCCACGTCTCTCAGACCCCAGCTACTTGCGCCGAACGTCTTGAGATCCCTCGCAAGCGCAATGACTTGCTCTGTGCCTACCACGTCCCTCCCTAGTCTAACTCTGCCCACATCCTCGGAGCCCATGGCCATCAAGGTAAGTATCGTATTTGCGGCGGCGGAGCTCACGCATCCTCCCTTTTCTATCGTCTCCAGCAACTGATACGCACACCTCTTTCCAAGATCCTCGGGGATCACACCGCCTTCGGGCGGCGCAACCACATCGGCCGCATAGAGAACGCCAATCGCACTTGATTCAGCGACCAAACTCAAGCCAAAGCCTATGCCAAGCCTTTTCCCGCCTTTCTTGTCGCCTCCCGCGGGAGCTGGCGCCTGGTCGTATTGTGCCGCAACATGTATATCCGAGACAAATGGATTGAGCACCTCCCTCGCCGAGTGAATCATGCGTGCATTATTCGAAGCCGAGACTCCCGTCGCGTAAGCCACGCCGCGTATCCTCTTTATTCTTCCGGGGTTGCGATGTAAATGTAAGGTCTTGGGCAAGCGCACCTGGCTCGCGAAGCGCAATTCCACCACACCAGCGCCCCCCATACCTCGGGGTCCTGCGCACGAGCGCTGCAGCACGCGGAGCTCGATGCGCGCTGCTTGGATGCCGAAGAGGTCGTAGAGAGGTAAGATGGCAGTGCGGAACGAATCGACAGAGAGATCGCCCGTGTCAGTCGCTGAGGTGATGACCCCGGGACCCGTAAACCGCACATTCATGTGCGCTTTGGAGAACGGCGCCAGCATGCACAATGGCAGAAGAAAGTAGGATACGCCGCGCGTACAGTTGGCGGGCAGCTGGTGATCAATGACGTCGCCATCGCCGGCGCCCGTGATCAGGCCCGGTTGGTACGTCATGGTTGTTCCCGTATAGGAGATCTGCATCGAGCAGCCGTTGGTGACGGCCTCGAGCAGGCGCAGGAAGGAGACCTCATGCGGGGCGAGACCGGGGTTGGTGGGTGACGAGGAGCGGATCTTAGATATGTGGACAGGGCGGCCAGTTAAGGTCGAGAGGACGAGGCGCTGAGTGAAGGACTTATGGCCGGTGAAGCGCAGGAACTCGATTTTGGGCGCTGACATGGTGGTGGTTGTTGGGGCGCTGATGAGAGCGCAGTGCAAGTCCCGATGAACATCGAATTTCCAAAGTTTTGGAGCCTCTCTGCAATGGGCGGCAGAATCTCTTGAAAATTTAGGCGGTGTAAATTATAAACCAACCCTGGAACAATGGTGATGGCCCCTGTTCCTTACGCCACAAGCTTTGACCCTTTTTGAGCGCTGTTGTACATTGAACACCTTGTTAAGATCAGTCGCCGGCGATTTGAGACCCCATCATCCGACTTGGTCCACTTGTGTGTGTGAATACGTCGCCGTTGCTGTCCCTCGTTTTTCGTTCCTTTCAGATCCTAACAACGCACAAGCTTTGAGACGACCAATAATACTAGGAAGGGTGTTATAATGGGTGTCATGGAATGGTTCGATATAGATTGGAAGGGCCTAGCCCTTCCATTTGCCTACATCTTTGTACTTGGCGGCATGCTTTACACATTCTCGACCATCTACAGAAAGAGGAAAGCCTGTGAGTATACTTACCACCAAACTAGTATTTACTTGCACACACAACCACTGACATTTGTCCCAAATCTATAGCACAAAGCGCCAACCTCGCGCCGTGGTTCCCTCCCCACCTCCAGAAGAACATCTACTCGTCGTTGCTGGAGATTAACGCCGCGGACAACCACGATAAGAAGACTAGGGTGCCTGCTAGTGTGGTCCGCACCGCGCTTCTTCGCCGCGCCGTGGAGGATATCGGTCGAATCATCCAGGTGCGCTCGGCCAAGCAGGCGCTCAACACGCTGCTGCAGCGGGGCAGTGTTGGGGACGACCTGATGCAGCGGTTTTCGCGGGCTGAGAAAGAAATGGAGGAGGAGCTGCGGGATGTAGTTATGGAGGTATGGCACGGCACTATTAGAAACGATGAGAGGATATTCTTGCTAACTTAAATGAATAGGCAAATGCTCTCGCACCAGGCTGGGGCCAGGCCATCTTCCAATCCGCCAATGAGATCGCCGCCAACACGCATCTGCGCGCGCGCATCGATGATATCCAGGCACAGGCAGCAACGGAAAAGGAGTGGTGGGAAAAGCGACGCCAGTGCATCTCAAAGGAATTCATGAAGGAGCTTGATGAAGAAGAGGAGTTGAGCAAGGCTGGTTCCGTCCGGGTCGGTAGTGATGATGAGGGCGTCCTGGTTGATTCGACTAGCCCTGCCACGTCGCCAGGCGGGTCCAAGAAGAGGGTAAAGAAATGAAGACGGATGGACGGACGAAAACGCAAGTTAGTCCTTCTAGTTAATTTAGGGGTAAGTGCACGGGATGCCAACCATATGTCATACCTACCTACTACACCATCCCCATCGGGAGAGAGAGGTGTTTCACATCGTCACCATGACATTGCATCGTTATGTACGGCGTTCAGGTTTGGGTCACGCTTAGAAGCTGTGCGGATTGGTCAATATAACGTTCCTGAAATATTCCACTACATCATCAGTTTTTGCACTCTCATAATGACAACGTATGCAGTCACTGAATGTCAAGAAAATATTATTATTATTATTAAATACGCCGTAGGCTCGAAGCCCCCGGTACCTCTACTAGTACTCCCGTATGTCAAACCGTGCCCTAATGGCTGGACTAAATACATACGCTGCGTCGTCGGTTCGCCCTATTGGCGACTGCGTTGCGTTCACTACCATACTACGTTGGTTCTCAACCTACCAACAAAGTCCCCCCTGAGAAGATCGATGCTATCTGGGCCTTGAAGCTGTCCGACCCGTCCCTAGCAGCCATCTTACAATAGTCCCACTAACTACTGGTTCTCCTGTTGCCGTTGCGAGGTCTCTGCGAGAGTATAGTGGCCGTGGTGCGATGGCGGCCCGTAATCGTTCCCTCGGTCCTTCCAACAGCCCGCAAAAGAGGATTACGTGCTCTGCCGTCTCAGGGGCATCGCCACAGCGGCATAGCGGCGAGTACACGCCAAAAGCCCCTGTCTTGAATAAGAAGGCTGCTAGTCCTATTTTTTCCGTCCTGATCTGGCACAGCGTAGACGCCTCCAGTCGGTTCAGGCCGAAATACTTGCCCCCTTTCGGTATCTGCATCGAAGGGCCCTCCGGTTCCTCAGCGATAGCGCGTCGCTGGCGATCGTGATGCTCTGCTCCGGTGAGCCATCTCTTCCTCCAGTGGTCGAGGAGGGCAGCCGGGACCTCCTTTTCCTCACTCATCCACTCGGAGCCCCGGGTCAAGAAAATAAATAGATATTATAACGCTGATGGAGCAAAAGAAAAGTGTACCTTGTAGCAACCACTTCTAAAAATGAGGGTAGAGAAGAAGATAACCAAACCCAACCTCTCTTCTCCCCTTTTCCTTCTGTCTATAGTCGAGATTTTATTTTTCATCTTATCCAAAAATCTCCATCCAACTCTTCCCCTTCTCCTTTGACCCCTATCCGAACTCAGTACCAAGGCAACTTCCTCCTCCACATTTCCTCCTCGTCGGCCGCCGTCCGCGCCCGTCTCGCCTCCTCCAGCAACTCCTCCTCGCTCCTAACGCGCACAGGACTCTCACACCCCCTCAGCCCAATAAACTTCCCGATTTTGCGGCGCTTCTCCTCGAGCGATAGATCACTGCTCCATGTGATGGGACACGGGTAGTGGAACGTCCACCGGCTCGGTGTGCGCTGGTGGTAGAAGTGCGCTAGGGACTCGAGCTCAGCGTCGGTCAGCAGCCAGAAATTGAGCAGCGTGCCAGGGAAGCGTGGGTGCACTTCGCCTGTGCTGAGTTGCACCAGTGACGCGAGGGGAAGCGCCATTTGTTGGAGTTTTTCGCGGAAGACGGCGTCATTTGCGGCGCGGCGGGAGGAGAAGGTTGGGGGTGTGCAGGACGGGACGGTGGTGATGCTTATGGTGTTGGCGGCGAAGGGGTTGGTTAGCGGGCTTGGTTGCGTCGACTGGTAGTCCATGGATATGTCGGTCGATATGCTGCTCGTGGGAGACACGGGCATGTTACTATCGAAGTGTGCCTGCTCAAATGCCAGCTCCATTTGGTCTTCCATGGGTGTGTCGACTGCCAAGGCTGGGGAAAAGGGGGCGAAGGAGGTGTCCATCGGGGTCAGAGGTGGTTGTTTCTCCTTGTCAGCTGAGGTAGGGGAGAATGGTGAAGAGGGGTCATATGTGTGAGGCATTGTGATGCACGTGTAAGTGTGTGTGCTTGGATTCCAAGTGCTTGAGTGGTTTGTTTCTTTATTCGTGGGATCCGTAGGTGGTGGAAGTGGAGGGACCGAACTAGGGGAAAAGCCTCGAAAATGATGGGCGGTGCGATGGCCTTCTTTTAGGTGCCCGGGATCTTTGGCGATATTTGTTTCTTTGTCCCGCCTGCTCGACACTATGGTGTCAATGGAGCCGAAAAGTCGGTCGGCTTCTTTGTTTGGGTGTGCTGTTGGCTTAGACTTGACTTTTTGTCTGCACCATCGAAGTCCCTTTCACAACCTTGCCAAAAAAGCGAAAAAGACAAGAAACCTCGTGCTTATAAGAAGAATCAAAGAATGAGATCAGGACGCATCGGGTAGATCAATGTGGGCGGCTTCTTAGTTTTTGACTTGTCTCGTCTTACTGTCACAATGACTTCCACGCTTTGCCTCCACAATCACCACACAACAAAGTGAATCACCTGACTGTCCGCCAATAAAGCGGAATCATACTAAACAACCTCAAAGCCCCTTCCAGGCGAGCTTAGCAATGTGGTCGGCCTTTTTCCGACTCTGCTTGACAAAGCCCATCGCCCTCATCTCCGACAGGGCACGATAGAACAGAACGAGCGCTGTTCGGTCGTCCAGGCCCTTCTCGCTCTCCTCTCCAACCGTGGCATAATAGGCAGCCCAAAGATCTGCGACATTTATGAGCGAGCCAGTCTCGAGATACAGTTGGTAGATAATGGCAGTGGAAGGGAGCGTCGGCGTAATCTGGTCCTCTTTCGTCTTGCAACATGAGCAGCCTAAGTAGTCATGTGGTCGTGACAGTGCCCTTTCGACGACTGCTCGAGGCCGAGGAACAAATACGTCTTTGTACGGCACCTTGGAATCGTATAGCCAAACCTCGTGTAGATAGAGTTCCTCAGGTTTGTTGCTTTGTAATATGGTCTTCAGGTGCTCAACCAAGCGGTCCATCAAAACAGTGAAAGCTCGGTCCTCCTGAGTAAGTGCTGCGGCATCATGACTGAGCTGCACCTTCTGGGCGACCACCGTGGTTCGAAGGACTCTGTTTTGGCCGCTGTACTTGCTTCGCAGGGTGTTGCCGTTCTCTCCGGCTACATCCTGCAGAGTTTTGATATCTTTGAGTATGTCGGACAGTGCTGTTACAGTCTCTTTGCTTTCTTCGGCCCATGCTGCAAGACCCATGATCTCATCGCCATCTTTTATGGCTTCCAAAGCCTGTTCCAAGAATGGTACGGCCTCGGAAGGTTGCATTCTTTGGACCGAGTCCAAGAAATCTGAGTTGTGGCCCGAAACATCAATCCCATTAGTGAGAGCATCGAGGTACAGCTGAGTGAAACCAGAAGTTGGCGTTTTGCTGGCCATGAAGATCTTGATTATGCGTAGGATATCGATGACCCATTTACGAGACCACTTGAGCTCTTCTCGCAAGTGAGTTATGAGGTACTCGTCATTATCTATCAGTAACCTCACCTGATCGACTGCTCCACTTTGCAGCAAAGCCTCGATAGAGCTTCGGAAAGATGGAAGGCACCTGAGCGCCTCCAAGTGATCATTCTGGACCAGTTCGTTTCCCAGCTCAGCGGAGAGTAGGACGCTCAAAGGATTGGCGTAGAAATGGCACATGTATGCATACTGATGACAGTTAGATCCCAGTAAAAAGGATTAGTACTACGTAACTTACTCTCAATGAGCTCACAAACACGGGTATCCCAGAAACTTGATCTCGTTGACGCTCCAAAAGACTTTGAAGAAGCGTTGGACCGAGCCGTAATGGTGCCTCTGTATGCGCAACTGCAGTTTTGAAAATCCTCTCAACGATTGACGCAGATTGTTCCACATCGAACTGGTCTCCGTAGAGAAGCTGGCAGGTAGATTTCAGTAGTCGTGCTTGGAACAACTCTACTGACGTCGCTATTCCAAACAGCAGTGTGAACGGGATGCGATCAAGCCAAGAGCTGGTAAATTGGGGTTTAGCATGGTCAGACACAACCAGTGACATCGACTCACCTGAATAATTGTATGAGGTCTGAAAGCAACCCGCTCTCAAATGCCTCGCTGTCCTGGAAAGCAACAATGATGTGACGTCGAGGATTGACCTTCAAGTAAGCATGAAGGGCTTCAAGGTCGTAGTTCAGGTATTTACGGCCCTGTAATGTTGGTCACCATGTAAATCTAATCGGCATTTGACTGCACTTACATCCTTGCCCGTTGAGACTTCAATGTCATCGTCTTCTTCAGATATTCTGGTGGCGATGTCATGTATGATCTTCTTCAGCGTCGCCTTGAGATTTGATGCATCGCCAGAACGTACTATGACGACCTTTGCTTCACTTTTCTGTTGAAGATATTCGGACAGCTGCTCAAAAAGGAGATCCTGAGATGCGATGTTGGCGCCAGTGATGATAAAGGCAGTTGGTATCTTCCCACCGACACCATGAGTCGGAGCATCTTGTACGAAAGCAGTCACGTCCTTCAGCGTAGACTGATTTGCTTCTCTGAGCACATGCTAGATGGCCGTGAGTTGGGATCAGCCGAGGGATGTGTCGCGGACTTACATGAATTCTTGTGTCAATGTGAGACCAGGACTCCTCAAACAACTTCTGCCGCAATCTTGCGTGTTCCTCGTTTTCTGCCTCGTTGAAAAGTGGCGGAAATAGGGGAGGTAATGAAGCTATTTGCGCAGCATTTGGCGGCTCCTTGCCATGTTTCTTAGACACTCTCCTACGCTTGATGGATCTAGCTGGCTCATCCGTATCCTCTGACGGGTCAAAGATGTAGGCGGCCTAACTGGATATTAGTCGCCGGTCATTCAATGATGTTGATGTTCTACTGACTTGGTGTTCCTTATCAGCAAATGCCTCACTTAAGGTTTCGTCGGCCATTGCACTTTAGTCGGGATTGAGTGTGAAACTAGAACGCTTCCTTCATTGATGTTCTTCAATGGTTCGGACGCGCTGTCGTGGTCGGTACAAGTGGTCAAATAGCGGACCGCCCACCCTGTGGAAACGCGCTAAAATTTCCGGGAGTGATGTCAGGTAGTACCAAGTAAAGTCGTCTAAAAACTTTTAGAGAACCTCAGAATGCCAGTACCTTAGTCGGCCAATACCTTTCAATTCCTCATGCCTCCTTCGAAATCCCTTCTGCTCGAGATAGGGTCCCGCGACTTCATTTGCCGATCCTGTATTTCTAGCCTACGGAGGACAGCGCTGCCGCGAAGGTGGGAGATTCGACGCGCATCGCAAACGGCGCAAGCAACACAAGCAGCTGCACCACCTCGGTCGAAACCTCAACCCGTCGATGACGCCGAACGACTAAGAACGCTGAAGGCCTTAGGGCTCCTGAAGGAACAGGACAAAGATGTGACAGTCAACTACTTTGATCAGGGAAAAGACGGGAAACTGCGGCGACTGCGGGGCGAGGAAGAATTCGCCGATGTGCTGAATGGAGGTGATTTCGAACAGGACCTGAAGGCCATGGAGGAGAGCTTTGGGCACGCCACCAAGTTCTTCGACTCGGTCAAGGTGCAAGATGAGGAGGAAGGAATTGACAAACCGAGGCGGAAACCAGGCGTCCGGGAAAGCGAGGTGGATACCGAAGCAGATCTAATGGATGATATACTTGACGAGGACGAAGAATATTCATCGGCCCTGCCCAGCATTTCAAACAAAGAAGTCAGACCGAAACTGAAACCTACCATCGCTGAACTGAACCAGCGCCTACAAGCTGCTGCTAGACGTCTCGCCAGCGGAAAGAAGATCCGGGAGCAGACGGTGAGGGATGTTTGGAGCAGTTACAGTCGTGCCCGAAGGGAACTTGCCCACACATGGCATTCGGTTCCTACGGCTGTTTGGGATCTTCTCTGGAATTTGCTGGCCGTAGACAAGCCGTTTAACACCAACCGCATGCATCACATTTTGATACTTTCCAGGGACCTGGGCGCGGCCGGCTACAAGCTCGACGACGGGCAACAGTTGCTAGCCATCGAGGCTATGTTTCTGGATGGCCGGGCAAAGGAGGCTATTGAGAGTCACAGGAAATCTGTCACGACGCTGGGCGCTAAGCCCGAGACTTTCTTGGAGTACTGGCAACTAGGGTTACGCATGTACTGTCTTACTGCCGATTTGGAGAGGGCCGAGCGCGTTCTCAACAAACTTCTCGATTCGCCCTATCCTACTGACCCACGAGTAATGCTGGCCTTCATTCGAGTGCTAGCGGCCAAAACCCCAGGCACGGATGAGAAAGCATACAAAGCATACCGACGCCTTCGGGAACTTCTAGGAGACTCTATGGTCATCGAGGACTATGATGAGATTATAACCTACTTTCTTGTCGCAAATCGCACGGAACAAGCCCTGTGGATTTTTGTCGAGATGATGACGCGTGGTTCTATCGTTTTACGCAAAAGGGACAAGCTTCCGCCATCCGTAGCAAACCCCTTCTTCTTTGGCAAATGGATCAAGAGGCTGGTGTTAAGTGGTGATACCAATGGCGCCTATAACGTTTTGGTCCTGATGAAGCAGAAGGGGATCTCGCCCAGGCCCATGCAGATCAACCCGTTGATTGGTTCATTGCTCCGTACAGGGACTGCGGATAATGTAGCGAGGGCGGAGGATATAGCCTGGGCCATGATCAATCACCGAATCCAATTCGTAAAACGCAGAGAGCGAGAATATTCGGATCCGGTGGAGTATATCAGATTCCACTTAGTCGGCGATGGATGGGCGAAAGCCAACCTGGAAACATTCTCGTTGCTCGCGGAGAATTACAGGGAGCGGGGAATTCACGTTAAGATGGAGGAACTATGGGAAGCGTTCAGGGGAGCCGCACTTGCACCGGACGCCTTCTTGCTAAACCAGCTGCTCATGTCTTACCTGCAAGCCGGACAGGGCACCAACGTGGCCAGGATGTGCCGAAACTTAACCACCGAATACAAAATCGAGCCTGACCCGTGGACTTTCATGACGCTTTGGCAAGCACTGCCCATCAACCGCCAACACCGGGTCCGCGAGTCTGAACTCCCAGGGGAGCTTGTCAAAAGTCGGCAGTTGTTTGCGGAGATGGTGGCCTACGCTCCGGCCTTCCAGGAGGAGGGCATGTCCATCGACCTCGCCAAGAAGATCCTGCACACTTTCCGCCTCATCGGGGACAAGATCGGCATGCTGGTGGCGTACCGTGCCATACGGCAAGTATTCAAACTGAAGAACGCGGAGCCCATGGTATTAGAGATGGTGTACGGGGCTATGGACATAGAGAAGAGCGCGCGCACGCACAAGGGCCGGCAGAGGCTGACACTGTCCGCTCACCGCATAGAGCACTACCTGAGCCACCGACTGCAGGAACTGATCAAGGTTGGCGAGGTCCCGGCGGCTGACGACCTGCCGCCACAGGTCAAGACGGAAGAGATGAGCAACTTTTTGGAATTGCATCTCGAATCGGAGATCGCGAATATCCCGGACGTGGAGGAGCTGTTTAAGCAGGCGGCCCAGGCGATGGGCGTGTATCACCCCTGAAGACCAAGTCGCAGCTCAACATGACAAAAAGTAGACGCTGCTCGGATGTAAAATGTAAAAAGATATCCTATAGATGCTTGATGATGAGAATAGTTTATTGACGTGGAATATCATGACAGAAGAGGGTACGCTGATATCCAATAACGCTCCGTACAGCCTATATTTCCGCTACTAAAACATAACACTTCTTAAAGGTACACTAAATTAATTAAATTACATATAAATCGCGGTAAGGATTGAAGTACACTAATATAGTTAGAATTAGACGTTTTACTGATTAATAACTTCATCTATTGTAGAGAACAGACGATGGTGTTTAACTACGTTCATGGATCATTTTATTCTTTGAAACATACTTCTTACCTAAAACTTCTGAACTTCATAACTTTCAAACTATTAAATATAACAGTATAATTATTATAAAGTGGGCGAGGCTGTTATATACGGTGGTTATCCGTAGCGCGATCGCCTTCGGGGCGACTGCGTGGCATACTATAAGTGAGGAACCGGCAGGGCCAGCTAAGAGCCTGATGGGGATACAGAACGAGTGCCTCCGGGTAGTCTGTGGCGCCCACAAAGCGACGCCGGTTCGCCATCTGGAAGCAGAAGCAGCAATCCCGCCACTAGACCTCTATCTTAGTGCCCGGGCTGCTAAGTTTGAAGAACGGCTACGGCTTAGCGGGAAGAGAAATCTGCTTCGCAGCGCGAGCGCTAAAGCGTCACATATACTCCGGCAGGATAGGCCGGCGAAGAGGAAGCAGGCGTCGCAGCTACTCCGACCGGCAGGGTACACTATGGAGAAGGAGGCCCGGGGCTCCGAGTGGATGAGTGAGGAAAAGGAGGTCCCGGCTGCCCTCCTCGGCCACTGGAGGAAGAGATGGCTCACCGGAGCAGAGCATCACGATCGCCAGCGACGCGCTATCGCTGAGGAACCGGAGGGCCCTTCGATGCAGATACCAAAAGGGGGCAGGTATTTCGGCCTGAACCGACTGGAGGCGTCTACGCTGTGCCAGATCAGGACGGAAAAAATAGGACTAGCAGCCTTCTTATTCAAGACAGGGGCTTTTGGCGTGTACTGGCCGCTATGCCGCTGTGGCGACGCCCCTGAGACGGCAGAGCACGTAATCCTCTTTTGCGGGCTGTTGGAAGGACCGAGGGAACGATTACGGGCCGCCATCGCACCACGGCCACTATACTCTCGCAGAGACCTCGCAACGGCAACAGGAGAACCAGTAGTTAGTGGGACTATTGTAAGGTGGCTGCTAGGGACGGGTCGGACAGCTTCAAGGCCCAGATAGCATCGATCTTCTCAGGGGGGACTTTGTTGGTAGGTTGAGAACCAACGTAGTATGGTAGTGGACGTAACGCAGTCGCCAATAGGGCGAACCGACGACGCAGCGTATGTATTTAGTCCAGCCATTAGGGCACGGTTTGACATACGGGAGTACTAGTAGAGGTACCGGGGGCTTCGAGCCTACGGCGTATTTAATAATAATAATAATAATATTATAAAGTTATAGCTTCAGCAATTATCTATTACAGCATATCATACTATGTAGAAAGGCACGAAGCAGGCAGGCACGCATTATAGTATTTAGGGACCCCCTCAAGGCCCATTAGTCCCTCACGCACCTTCATAGTACCAACACAGCCCCTAATACCTGGATTCCGACACGCTACTGTTAAATCTAGTGAGATTTGGTAAGTTTTGGTGAGAAAATGGGACCCGTACGCAGACTTATTGAGGGTCACTGTATCAATTGGCATGGATCACATCGGGTATTATTAGCCGGGGGCCTCTTCTCTTATTAATGAAGCAAAATCAAGGCCATGCTACTGGCAATGTTCATCATGTACGAAGATCAATCATGGTCCTCCTCCGTCAACCCAGGACACCCATCCATCTCCTCATCCGGATACGTGTACTTGCACCAAAAGCAATACCGATACTCCTTTCTTAAGTATTCCACCAACCTTCTCAGCTGCTCATCCGGCTCCAGCGCACTAAACTCGTCCAGGTCCGGATCCTCCTCCTCGAGGTCCTCAACGGGGAGGTAGGCTGTCTTGGTCTTCCCAAGCGCCTGCTTATCATCCTCGTCTTCATTGTCGTCCTCGTATGTCGGCAGTCGCGACAGGCTCTGTTGCAGATCGTAGCGCATCCTGCGGTCTCGCTCGGCTTCTTCGCGTTTGCGGACTAGACCACGCCAGAGGACGTTGATGCTTTTTAGAGGTTTCGTGGACAGGGTTCTCTTGTTCTGCTTCTCTTTCGTGCCGCCCACTCCTGCCTCTTCCTCGTTATTACCAACAGTAGTAGCGGCAGTATTGAGAGCAGTCCTCCTCTCCGTATCCCTTTCCTCCTCCATCTGCACCGCCGTCTTCTGCGCCGCATAAACCAACCTCTCGCACCTCTCCCGTTCCCTCCCCTTCCTAACCCTGTCCCTAAACTCCCCCGCATCCACAACCTTGACCTTCTTCCACGCCAACCCCTCCTTTTCCACCTCCTCATCCAACCGCCTCTTCCGCTCCAAATCCAGCCCAATTCCGCCCCGGTCCTCCTTCAGACTGGGTTTGATGGGCTCGGCCCGCGCGCCGGCGTTATCCTCCGCCCCTAGCGGCTTCCCCGCTACGAACCCCATCTTCTTCATCATGGAGAGGCCCTTGGACTTCTTGGCTGCGGTTTCCAAAAGAGAAGTGGAGAGAGCTTGTTCCCGCGCTGCTGCTTCTTCAGCTTCGAGCTCTGCTTTGGGCTTGGGCCGGCCTCGGACCTCGGCTTCCCGCTTGAGGCGCTGTTTGCGCTGCAGAGAGGTCTCTGGGAGGGAGGCCGTTCGGATGTTGCTGAAGTCCATGGACATGTAGTCTTCTTCATCTTCAGAGCCGGCCATGGTAGGCGTTTGTGTGTAGAGGATTAACCGGAATTAAGTTTGAGGTCCTCAATGAAGAAGAGATGGTCCAGAGTATTTGATGTACTCAATGCGTAAAGTGTGGTCTGAATTGAAGTGGAAAATCCGCAGGTACCGTGCGGCTTCACAACTAGTTTCGTCCAGGTGTGCGCAAATCCTCCGTAGATGGCAGCCGCCTTAACGATAACAGTTGCCAGAGAACAGAGTACCGAGATTTGCCTGGCTTCTTCGCCTCAATTCAATTGCCTCGCTGTGCAACTTCCAAAGCTATATTGATGACCTGTCTGGTCTTGTCCAGTATTGGTAGGGACACAGTTGGCACCTGGTAAATTTGTCCTGGTAGCATGTGAATCGTCACAAAGCCCAGTTCATGGAAATGTTGCCTGGAGGTCTCCTTGAGTCCAGTACCGATAATAAAAATGAAGTTGAAACAGTATTTTCACTTTTCTGTGTGTTCAATAAGAGAACACAGTGCTTGAATTCGAGATGCACCCATGAAAACCAGCAGATAATCAGGTCCACAATCCACCTCCACAACCGCAGCAACATTCACTCAATTTCAGCCTCAAAGTGGTCCCTGGCAAACGTCTGAGCCTACAGCTAATTCCTCACCCCAGGTGTCTCTCTAAAGACCTTCGGCAGATTCTCGGATGCTGTCAATGAAGGGTATTGATGTCCAATAAAACCAAACTTGACTAACCCGATCTACCTAAGGAACAAATTCCTGTGACGCGTATGTTATTGTCACAGCCTGTGAAATCAAAAATCAAAGGCTAACATACATTTCTTAGAGTGGTTAGCGTGCCAGTCTTATACTCTTTGGTCCTATGTGATTAAATTGTATGCAGAGGCATCTGGAAGTCGCGGGTTCAAGTCCCGCCAGGAATAGATCAATATTCATTTTTACCTTTTTCATCTAGGATGCCTGTAACATTCTACTGAGTTTGTGCGACCCTTTGTACAATTTCTTTTGTTTTTGCGCTATTGGGATGACTCGCTGTACGTGTGCTCTAATACTGCTTTCTGAGGCATACAGCTGAAGATATCCTGTTATACGTGGCCTTCTATGGACTCCCATTACGTTTTTGGGCACACCTCTGTGCTATGTCTTTGCATGTTCGCCCCTTGGTATCGCTTGAGCAGGGTCATGACCTGAGAAGCACGTGAGAAGAATGCCTCTCTGCCTGCATCTAGGGCAGTGTGTTACCAATATTTGCCCTCTCTCGGCGAACTTTCTAGAACATACGCAAAGGGGCTGCTTTGGACCAAGGATCTGAGAGCTCATGTTGGGTAAAGATGAGAAATAACATCAGTCACCCGTTATACACACCGACATATCTATAAAGACATATCCCATCGACAATCCATTTTGCATCACCTTTTCCATTGCCCGGTTGCCCTTTATCCTAGGTCAAACCTTTGGCCAAGCCATGCCGCCATCATATACGCAATCGTCTGTCTCTTAATATACACAAATCACCTCACCTCTTCGAAGCCCGCTTCCTCTGCGCCTTCTCCCTCTCGTATGCGTTTGACTCACGGCCCTCCTCGCCCTGGATCTCCGCCACGAGTCTCTTGTACTTCTTCTCATAGGCCGCATCCTTCGCCTTCTTGACCCGCAGCTTTTCCCTCGACACAAAGGCGGCATCCTTCCTCAACTCGCGCATTGCGCCCTTGCGCTCCTTCCTGTGCTCAGCGCGCAGCTTGGCAGCCTCAGCACGTTCGCGATCAGGATCGTAATGCTTGTTGGGATCGTAGGAGTCTTCAAACTTGGGATAGTTCGCCCTGATTGCCAGGGGTTTGTGGTGGTGTAGTTCCAGGGGTCTGCGAGCTAGTTGTGCTAGATTGAGCATGCGATCCATTTTCGCTTTTGATTTGATGATGTGCGTGTTCAGGGCTTCTGGCAGCTCGGATCTGCAACTCGGGATGGCAAGGTGCGCAAGGATGTTGGAGAAGGGTTGGAACGTCTCTAGAAAAGATGTCTTTCCAGTCCACGTATCTGCTGCGACATCTAGAATTTCCATCATAGAATGGAATACTGCAACCCTTGCTGACAGAGCCTCTTTCTCCGTGAAGGCCGATTTAACACAGTCAAGACAGGACAATTTCCTCACCTCCACAGAGCGCGCCCTGCGAATGCGCATCTCTGTAGGAGGGCTGTGTAGAGGGAACCAGCCGAGCCCTGTCTTGAGCTGCTTGGGTGCCAAGGAGTATAACGTATAGAGGCAGAAGTTCGTTATCTCCGGGACATATCGCTTGGAAACACGCTGGTACTGCAAGATCAGAATCGCAAGGTAAGCCCCTTTCGCGTACTCCTGTATGCTGAATGGCACTTTTTGGCCCAGGTAGCGCGCGCTCAAAAGCGTGGCAGGAGTAGCGACTTGGTGGAAATGATCAGACGTTGGAAATATCGTCCCGACCGCCGTCAATACAATAATATCGCCTAGAGTTGGGGCAAGGGGTCGGGTTTTTCCGAAGTCCTCGAGCTGGCATATGAATTCTTCTGCCACTTGAATCGGGTAGGTTTTCGCCAGAGAATGAATGTGGCGGATCAGGCTCTCAATCACTGAAAATGGTGGAAGGGTGGGGAATGAGCATAAGTAGGGTAGGTGTTGAATAAGGACCCTGGAAAATTGTGCGATCTTGGTCGCATGGGCACTGTCGAGACGCGGGTGATACACAGCTCGAATTTTCTGCACCATAGTTGGTAGCTTCTCCAGAGTTATCTTGTTGCATTCCAAGATGCCCAAGAGCTCTTCCTGCGTTTCAGGACACGGAAACATGGATGGTAGTCCTTCTGGGTCGTCTGCGATGTTCGTGGCCTGAGCAGAACTATCGAGTGTTAGACCCTTGGTGAATTCATTGTCGTCATCCTCCACAACTCCATCAACGTCGTCAGAATCGTCATCTTCATCCGAGGATCCGTCGTCTTCATCTTCAACAGCCGAGACGTCAGATCCACTGGCCACCAAATCGTCTTCGACCATGAAGTCATCCTCGTCGTCGAAGCCTAGTTCTTGGGCAGTCGGCCGTATCTTGATTTTTCCGAGACCAAACCCATCGTCTTCATCATTTTCAGTAAATTTGATGGGTCCATTGACGGGTTCATCTTCCGCTTCCGCATCATCGTCCTCGCTCTCGCTGTCGCTCTCTGCCTGGCCCTGCATTCGCCTAATGCGCTTCTCCTCCAGCTCTTTTAGTCTCGCTGACGCCTCCTCAGCCTGCTCTTCTGCTGTCTTCATCCGTTCTGTGGGCTGTGCTCTTTTGTCTTGAGCTAATTGTCTTACTCGCAAGTCGTAGGCACGGTCAAGTTGCTCCCTTTCAGCGGTGGTAGCAGCTTCTTGGTCCTCAAGAGAGGTAGGTTTCTTTTCCATCCCTCTGTTGAGAAGTAACATGTGTAAATCCGGCAGCTCCTTGTCCAATTCCTCCCGAAGGTCTTCGTCGGCATCTTTAGCTGCTTGTCGCTCATACTTGTAGAACTTGGACTTCGCAATAACTTCCTGATACAAGGTTAGTAGTCACAATTTGAAAAGTGCTCTTTTGTTCCTAGGAAGTACAACTCCAAAGTCAAGAATGCCTCGTCGAGTTCGCCTGGACCGTATTGAAGATAGCTCCAGGAAATACTCACTTTCATGACCTCCTGTTTTGACTTCTTTCGTTCGGGTTGGCCATCCTCGGCATCTGCATCGTCATCAGGGAATGCAACCTCTGTAAGAGCCTTGCGCTTTAAATATGCTTTGTGTCCTTCGTCGTCAGAATCTCCAGCGGAGCCTTCGTCCATTTCATCATAGTCGTCAACCAAGGATGGGCCATCCAACGACAATGATTTCCCCATATGGGTAAGACCGAAGCCGACATTGGATTCGTCGTCTTCCAGATCGAACATGCCAGACCTTTTGTGGTTGGCCATTTTCTCGCGCGCAAATCGTTCTAACATCTTGTCTTCGGGCGCCATGGTGGGATCGTTCTCGCCAAAACGTCTATCGCGTATCCCGCCAACCTTTTGTCTCCTTTGCATCTCAACCAGAAGAGTTTGTCGGCGCTGCAATGTCACAATTAGCCTCGCTCTCACTCCGTCTTGACCTAACGACGTACCTGTTCTTCGCCAGCACCTCTTGCGTCGGTCGGCCGACCCTGTATCTTCTTGGACGCATTTCCCATATCGGGACGGTTGCTGGTAACCTGGAACTTGGGACCGCGAACATTGTGTTTCAAATCGAATGGGTTGAATTGTTCCCTAATTTCCTCTAGCTTCTCGAGTCGCTTGTTATTCTTCGCTCGCTCTGGTTGAGATTTTCGCTGCTTCTTGGATTTCTGGGGGCCAATGAGACCTTGCTCGTGTAACGAGGCCTTCAGCCTCTTGAGCTGCGAGCCGGCCATATTAAATGCGAAATGTCAAAGAAAATAGGCCAAGTTCGTGATCGTGGCGGAGAGTTTTGTCAATGTTCTTCTGTTGGAGTTGAAAAAAGTTGACCAGGGCCTTCCTTATCTTATCGCGCCTTGCCGCCCTGCTGCAGAACCCAGCTCCACCTTATTCATAGGCTTGGATCCGTTCGATGACAGTGGCGGTTGACAATCATCTTCTCTAAAAGTTGATCACGATCATATACTTGCAACTCTGCAATCTTCTAGGATCAGGTTCTGGTGTGGTCACAGCCTAAACCAACTAACGTAAAACATGCGGTAACGACAAGATGAGTGTCCTCTCCTTTCTTCGCGATGAGCGCGTGGTTTTTGCCAGCCTCGGTCTTGCGACCCTGAGCTTCATTGGCACGATGCGAATGATCCTGGAATATTACCGCGACGAAGCCGAGATCAAGCCAGTTCAGCCCAAGACTCAGTACATTACGCAAGACACAGAGGACGCCCTGGAAATCTCGACTTTGCAGACTTTGCTGGGACACTATAGCTTCTCCATCCGGGACACTGCTCTGAAGATTGCAGCTGGGCGTGCAGTGAACGACTCGTCCGTGATTGATTACCTTCTCTGGGGGATCACCCGCGAAGACTACGAGGAGCGCATGAAATGTCTCAGAACTCTGGTCTTTGCTGTTGAAGATAGTATGGGCTCCCTCAAAGTACGCGACCTGTTGAGGAAATATGCTAAACACGTTGTAGAAGAATCGGCTCAAGATCCGCTTGTTGTCATCAATACCCCCAAAGGCTATTCCGCACTGGTCAGGTCGTTAGAACTTAGCCTCGATGATTTTGAACACGAAAAGCTCGACGATCCTCTGTACGACGAGTACTACCTGCGCGACATCGGAGAACGACGCTGCATCATGTTGGTCTGCCAGCTCATTTACAAGTACGGTCCAGATAAACTTGTCCAGGCCAAATTCGTTGCAAAATGGCTCGCAAAGCAGAAGTGGGGCGATACGGATGAAGAGCGGCGCAAGAATTTCACGCATTACGTCGAGCGGAAGAAGAACAGGATCAGCGACATCTGCACCCGCTTGCAAGCCTCAAAGGCTGGCCGCAAGGCACTTAGACAAGCCAAGCTGTTGGGAAGGGGCAGTCATCGCCCGCGTGAACGATCTAGAAACCGCATCAAAGTTATCTTGGAAATAAGTATGGCCAACGAGGACGAAAATGGTGAGATCCAGCACGAAAGCTTCCAGACTGAGCTGGTGCCTAGAGTGGTCGAGCAAAGCGCAGAGGAACAACGACGGCGTCGGCGACACAGAGAGGCTATTGTTCTGAACGATGGTACACACTCCTTGGGAAGAGGCGATATTATCGAACGGGAGCATGACACAAATAGCTGAAGTTCTGTAACGCTTGCTAGGAGCCCGTCCACACACTTCTTCGTGTAGGATCCAGTTCACGATAACCTCCTCTTGCTCTGGGGTCAACTTTTGTTGCCTGGAGGCCGCGTCGCGATGCGAATTACCGTGACGAATACGGTAGGACAGTGTAGTCCCCTTGATACCGTACCGATGAGCTGCTACGGCCTGGGAAGAGCCCTGACGGACAAGCTCTTTAGCGCGTTCGATTCGCTGCTCAAAATCGTCCAGACTATTCTCCACTGGATTAGCCATTTTGTACGTAGATAGGGAGCAATTGCGAGGTAAATTGAGAGACGTCGTGTTGTTGAGGCGTAGAAATTCCCTGCAAAATGGGGGTGCATGCAAAAAGGTGGTCAATGCGGTTAGAGACTTTATCTTTAGTTAAATTCAGATCTTTGGGGTATTGCTAGCGGCTAGCACTGGAAAGATACTTGCGTATATAGCAGATAAGGGAGACTTACTACAACCCCCACCCCCTCCCCCCGGCCTTTCAGCTTGTGTACGAAGTAGATGAAGGGTAGTTAAAACAAAGGTGGGCATGTGCTTACTAAGGGACCCCATACTGCCGGCCGTGAAACCTGAGCACGAAGAGGGAAACGCCGACACCATCAAATAATCTCAGTTCAGGATCTGGTTCATCACGTTCATCACGACCATGCATCATGACCTTCTCTGTTTTCGCCGTCACGCTCACCTCTTTGGCATACTCTGCATCCTCCAACCAGATCATTCGAGATTCCAACATTAGCACCGAGGTCTTCATGTTGCCAGGGTCGTCCTGGTCAAACTAAACCAAGAAAGTGTCTTTCGTGGTGCCTTTGCCATCGTAGATGAGTTTTCTGGACCTCTCTAGAATCGGCGGCTGTCTTGGATTCGGCTTGTTGAGACATACTTCTGACAACTTGGAGTTGATCAAAGCTTTGTTTAGGACAAGAAACAAGAAAGAATGCATGGATAATTTGTAAATTCCAGTGCCTCAAGAAATTTAACCTCGATGCCGGCTCGGAGCTATAGAGACTAATATATGAGATCTCAATATATTTAGGAAACAAAGACACGCGTCTTGTAAGCGGCTATCAGAGGACGGGATTGCCTTTCATTGGCTACCAAGCCCTGTCCGTGTACGGATGTGGATTTCACTTGCTAACTACCAGGTGGGTGGGTCCTTGCATTTGTCGCCTCTTTACAGAGACTATAATATTTAGGAGGTAAGAATGGAATTGTATCTCATTGGCTAACAAGCCCGACGTTATGAATAGGCAGATATGGATTTTACTGGCTAATACCGAGGTGGGTGGGTCCTTGCCTTTGTTACTTCAGCTATACATAGTACATATCACTAATTCATCATGCTCAGCCAATTGAGTACGCCTTTCCGCAGTCGAGTGGAGCACAAGATAATTAGCTCCCACAATGCTTCGGCCCGGGTCATGGCCTCTGGACAATGTCGATTCCACTGCATTTGTTTTCTCCTTGAAGCTTATGATCGTGGAACCTCACGGATACCTTAGTGGAGGTGATATAAACTACGACTCCTCAATTTGAGGAACTTCAAGACGGCCGGTCGAAGCCATCAGGCAGGCAGCATTGAGAATCTCAAACACCAGTTAAACTTGTCGGCTGAGGAAGGAAAATGCGACAGTGAATATGCGGGCATTCTTGTCCCCTCATGCCCAATGCCCTACTCACTTGCATGAGATTGATACATAGCGTATCTGCAGAGATGTCTGGGAAGAGGAAAGACATATAAGTGTTATTGTAAGGTGGCTGCTAGGGACGGGTCGGACAGCTTCAAGGCCCAGATAGCATCGATCTTCTCAGGGGGGACTTTGGTAGGTTGAGAATCAACGTAGTATGGTAGTGAACGCAACGCAGTCGCCAATAGGGCGAACCGACGACGCAGCGTATGTATTTAGTCCAGCCATTAGGGCACGGTTTGACATACGGGAGTACTAGTAGAGGTACCGGGGGCTTCGAGCCTACGGCGTATTTAATAATAATAATAACATATAAGTTTAGTCGGTATTCCGTCATGGACGGGCGAAAAACAGACACAAGCCCCGATCGGACACACTCTACAAATCCGCAGTCATGTTCCTGTCCCGGCCTCGCCTCCAGCTTTGAGAGCTCACTCGCTCGAGGCACCATCAGCATGGGGCCATACTCCAGATCCGAGCATCGGACGAAGACCAAGATCCGGATCTGGATCAGAACAGTGCGTCCTACACCGCTTATTGATGATTTGCTGGAGAAGTCGTAGCCGCATAGACGTGAGAGACGGTTCGCCTCGGCCGCCACTTCAAAACTTGTGCTGTTCGTGGATGCGCCCTATTCGGAGAGATAGACCGGCATTGTCCATATAGTTTTTTTTTTGAATACGCCGCTGAATTGCCTCCTCGCGCATATGCTGATAGGCTTGTCGGTATATAGTCACAATACGTCGATCCTGTGGAGCCCATCTTGGATCGAAAGCACGTTTCCCGTGACTATGAGACGTCGTAACCCAGATCTGGTAAATTTCTACACGCGGACTGTGACATCTGGCTAGCATACTTAATACCGTATTTGCCTTGGCAGTACAGAGACAAGTATTCACCCCCAGAAACGGGATGAAGAGGGGAATCGCTATTTTCAGCGCTGTGGGCACTTCTCCGCCCTGAGACAATTCTGTGGAAGCTTGGATCGCTCGAGCTGGTACAATGCTTGATGCTTATGAACCGATACCTCCATGGCACCCAAAATCAATAGAAGACATGGGTGACGGAGGATTTGACCAGGCAAATCGCCCAGACTATGTGTTGCGATCTGTGCGAGACGTCTTCAGCCAAGGACTCTTGCAACGACAGGCAGTTGAAACAACAGGTTTGGACTAGCTTTGTTTCCTAAACCGGCCGGTAGGCTTCATGGTAGACAGGAGCGAGCCAAGTGTTGCCCTGAAGTTGCAGAACCTTCAACAGATTGTCGGCAGGACGTCCCAAGCAGAACGATATTTGCTTCATCTTGCTTCATCTTCGGTAGGCAAGCCCGATTTCACTGTTCCTCTTTGACCCAAGGTTTAATCAGAAAAGTAGAGAAAACAAACTGAACTTTGCTCTTTCTTATTACATTAATCCTTGGCCTTGCTAATGCCGGTGTCTCAACTCTTTTCACTCCCGAATCTTGCTGTGCAGGCCCATGCTCGCACGGTTCTACTCGATGAAATCCCACACGATAATAGTTCAGGCAACAACCAAACCTCCCAGCCTAAGCGATCAGCTTCTCAGAGAATGTGCCGGAATGTGGGAAGGTAACATTGTTGATTATCGAGACACTTGATATAGATGAGTAAATGGGTCTCCCGTTGTGGTGGTATCAAATCTACTAGCTGCACATCGAGGGGGGCCGGCTTTCTGGCGGCCATGGTCGGATCGGACCTGTTCAATGAGTTGGTGTCGCAATCTTCGCGCAATGTCATGTCTCCGCGAGCATGAGCGCTTGCGTGCATATGTTCCATAGTGCACCCGGAAGATTGAACGCTCTCAACGAGGATCCTGGGGACGCAATACACCAAGCAATATACCAGGCCAGATGCCAATGGGAATGTACCGCTCGAGGAGGGAACTTCTGGCTTCTTTGACAATATTTTCTAGGATGTGGGCATCGGTTTTGAAAGCTTCTATTTGGCACAGAGGATATCATTGGGGGACAACGTTAAGTGCTGCAGATATTTTACATCTCGGCTAATCCATAGAGTGAGAGTTCAGAGCATAAAGGGTTCTAATACAAAATACAAAAGAATTAAATGAGGATATACTTCGTAGTAAACAACAGGATCTCAGTTAGGTTGAATTGGTTAGCGCCAAGACCATAATCTAGGATTACCCTAGGAGGCATGGTGGCCCCGCTTGCTGCTAGGGCAAACATTCGTGGGCCGTGGACACGAATATGCGCACTGACGTAATGAAGGGAGCCTCGAAGCCTCTAACCGCTTCGGGGATTTTTGCTACAGATTTTAGAGTCATAGAAATGAATGCTAGTGCTGGAATTGGGACATCTTCCGAGCAGCCTTTCGATGGACTTCGGCCAGCACTCCGAGACCTTACGCCGAAGGGCTTCCAGTTGATCGATATTTGCTACCGGTGTTGATGTTCGTTGCTAGAGTAAATAAATAATTCTGGGGCTGTGCACTAGGGGGCACTGCGCTAGTGTGCTGCAACCCCGTCAACATGCAAGGTCAGTCGCCGCCAATAGAAGACCTTCTTCGTACAGATTGTCATCTGTTGTTGCAGTCGCTCCCCGAAAGCCACAGTTGTGTAATTTCCATATGTACAAGACGACCACTTGGTGACATAGCATTCGTCCATATCAAAGGACAAACCCACCGGCTCTATGTTCAGCAACTGTGTAAACATTGGGTTGGCGTTTAACGGCTTCCAGGTGCTGAAACCCCAGAGTTGCGCTGCAGGACGGATTTCACTGAACAAGCCCTGCAGATTGGATAGAACATGTCATCATGTTTACTCTCGATACAAAATAATACGAGAGGGGTTTCCCATAACAGAAACAACATTTCAGAATTCCTGAGACACTCTTTCTTTTACCATCGATGTGATACATTTCGAATTGCCCCTTTGGCATAAAAACACCACTAACGCTTTGGCTGAAGTACTGCCACAGTACTTAATCCCAAGCTCACAACCCCGGCAAGGCATCCATCCAGACAGCGCCGTTAACCATTATCCCATTCATAGGTTGCATCGAAGCAAAGTTCGTGGAATATTTTTACACTGTCACCATTGAGCACTCAGGAGTATTGCCCTTGACCTGGTTCGCAATTTATGCATCCATTGCTGCAATTTCTTGACACGCAAACACAAGAAACCTTCGCTCCTTCCCATCAGTCTTGTTGGCCTTTCCAGTCCTAACAACTCCTTCATCGACCAATCCATTTCATACTCACAGGTATTCAACATTGCCATACCTTGTCACACTCTCTCGGACTCAAGGGATCGGCCCTGATCCGAAGACCAAAGTCGCTCTTAGTTAAAACTCTCCGGTCGTCCCTTCAAGGAAATGTCTCCTTTCCTGTCGCGTAGACAGGTCTGGTTTCATTAGTAACTGCAGAATATTTGACGGAAAGCGGGCAATAGCGCGAACGTGTACCACGCGAACTACGGGTTTTTCGGGGTCCGTTGTCGCGACCACTTTTTGGGTTGGCGCAAGTGGATTGGATGAAAACAAATCGGCCGCAAAAATAGAAGCTGCACACCATGTCTCCAACCGCAACGCCTCTGCAACAAAGGCAGCCGAAACAACTTGTTAGGTCTAAAAACCCCGGCACCGGTGGCATTGGCTCAGCATCGACGCCCAACCTCAACTCGCTCTACACGGCACATTCCCGACTAACTCCCAGCGCTGGGGCCCTTGCGCGCAAAGCTTCCTACGCAGCATTGACACCTGGCTCGCTGGCCGCCATTCCCGATGACAGCGAAAGCTACGCCCATAGTGTGCTGAACGAGAGTCCAACATCGCCGCGCAGAATGGCGCCCTTGACGCCGGGGAGAGGAGGCGCGGGTGACGATTTCGCTCTTGGCGACACTGTCGACGTGCCCGGCAATATGTACGGCACCATCCGATTTGTTGGTTCGGTGGGCGGGAGGAAGGGCACATTTGCTGGCGTCGAGCTGCACTCGGATTTCGCAGGACGTGGCAAGAATAGCGGCGACGTTGACGGGTAAGCCAAGCAAGATCCGCCTCGTCGAATCCGCCATCCCTTACTTACTTCCATCTTCTGCAGCGTATCTTATTTCACGACTCATACGCCCGGCGCCGGCATCTTTGTGCCCGTCTCGAAGCTTTTCAAGCGTGCTTCTTCATCTGCAGGTGCTTCAAGTGCGTTGAAGATTGCCAGCCAAAATACCACCAACTTCACCCCTCCGACCCCATCAATACCACAGTTCAGTAAATCCATGGGCCCAGGCAGAGCGACGAGTCCCGCCGGAAAGCGACCTAGAGTATCACTGCCGCGACCCGAATCGCCTGTACGCCGACTCCAGCTAAACCCTGCTACACGACCGACCATCGCAACTCCAGCTACGAAGGGACCGCCTCGCTATGGAAGTCCTTCTCTCAATAACAAATTCGCACAAAGCGTGCGTGGCACTGCTGGCGATCCCAATAAATTGGGATCCAGAATAGACCGGAAGCCTAGCGTAGCTCCTAGAAGCGCATCTGCACTTGGACCGATGAACTTCGACGACGATGAGCCGATGCCGCTTGTAAACCACACGCAGACGAATGGAAGTATTGGGTCTATCGCGAGCTTGAAGATGCGTCCAGCCTCGCGTGCTGCCCATGCAAATGAGGAGGAAATCGAACGGCTTAAAACACAGCTCGAGGATCGAGACCGGCAACTGAAGGAACAAGCTTCAGCCCTTGCTGAGATGGAAAGCAGCGTGACCGAGCTGACTTCGCTTATGGAGCATTCAGATATGGGACGACAACGCTCCGACAGCCACCCCGACAAGGACACTTCACAACTTCGAGCGATGCTAAGAGAGAAGAACGAAAAGATCGCTATGCTCACTGCAGAGTTCGATGCCCATCGAGCCGACTTCCGCAGTACTATTGATACATTAGAGATGGCCAGTACTGAGACGCAGCGAGTTTATGATGCCAGGATTCGGGAACTCGAACAGGAGATTCATGATTACCAAGATCGGGCCGACGATGTGGACAGTGTGGCGCGCCAGCTGAAACAACTAGAAGAGCTGGTCCAAGAGCTCGAGGAAGGCTTGGAGGACGCTCGACGGGGTGAAGCTGAGGCGCGCGGCGAGGTTGAGTTCTTGCGAGGTGAAGTCGAGAGAACCCGATCGGAGCTGAGAAGGGAGCGGGAGAAGGCTTCGGCTTCCGCGAACGGAACTGCTAATGGAGGGGATGTTTCGAAGGAGCTGGAGAAGAAAGAGGATGAGATTAGGGGTCTCAAAGCTATCATTCACTCTCTTAGCAGAGACTCCCTTCCGGGCACCGACTCCCCAGACAGGACACCAACGCAACTACAGCGCAATCTGTCTTTCACCAAATCCAGGCCTGAATCGATTGAGACTCGCATGGCTAGAGAGAAGCTTGAGAGGGAAGTCCACGAGCTTCGGGCCCTGGTTGACAACAAAAACTCCCGGGAGGAGGAATTGGAGCGAGAGGTCGAGGCCCTGCGCCGAGGAAGCGCTACTTCGGCTCAGCGCATCAGCTCTCTGACCATAGGCAGCACCGGCGATCGGTCATCATACCGTGACTCCAAGGGAACGGTCATCCTTGCGCGTGAGCCTCGATCGCCCGAACATAAGCGCGTGGCCACCCTGGATACCATGCCTGAGAGCGATGCTTATTCCTCCGTCACCGAGAGTAGCACACTCTGGTGCGAGATTTGCGAGACCGGAGGCCACGATATCCTCACTTGTACAAACATGTTTGGAGACCAGAAGAAGAGCAGTTCGCTGCCAGCCGTGACTAGCCCAGATCCCGCTCCGGAGGTTAGCACGAACCTCAATGTGCCTGGTGGTGACGACGACGACTTTATCCCTCGTCCTCTAACACCGGTCAAGCCTACTCCGGCGAGTGTGCCGGCGCCAACGAACGTCAAAATTTTGCCCAACCCAACCGACTCCGGGCCGTTGGCAGGAAAGGACAGCGGTGTCATCGATCCAGAGAAGTGGTGTGCGCTGTGCGAGCGCGACGGCCACGAAAGCATCGACTGCCCTTTGGAGGACGCATTCTAATATCTAATCCGCACAATTACTGCCATGGATTCACGAGGTAATGGAAGACTACATGCCGTTATTAGAGCATTGCCATGAGACGGGGCGTGAGGATAGCGCCAAGAACACCAAACCACCTGCATTTGTTGCCTGTTCTATTTGCCTACTTGACACGACAACAACCAACCTTTTTGCTTCTGAGCGATGATACCACTCGACTTTCGACCTTTTCTACTTTCGAAGTATATAATTAAGCCACGCCACGCTTTTTTTTTGGGTTGGAGGGAGGGGCAGCTCAGGAGGGGGCGTCCTTCTTCCGGTCATTGTATGCACACCGGCAGATGGGATGGTGTTGGCGAGGGTTGAGGATAGGGCGCGCACTAGGAAGTAATGTTATGTCACTGAGAGGTGGATGATGAGAACTGCATGCGGGGAGAGAGGCCACCGGCGAGGTCCGCGTGAATGAATACAGTAGTAGAATCAATCAATGCATGATTACCCATCAACGAGGTTCTTGAAGTTCAACTTCGAATTTGCCTATGGGTTACATATAAGCCGTGCGCGTGTTTTCCTTCTTCGGTAAGTAGACTGAGCACGTGTCTAGCGACGGAGATGCTTTGGGATATATGCGCTGCTAATCCCTTCATATCAGACTAATGACAATGTACACATACTCAAGGACTTCTCGACTCACAGAACAATTCAACATGAAAGGGTTCTTCGCAGAAGTTTAATGACTGTACGCTAGCTATTGGCTCCTTCCCTTTTCGCGCCTTCCTTTCAAATTGATTGCTATGATCAAGAGGCGTGCCATAATTGAAACTTAGGATGATAGTTTATAAGCCGTGCTTTCCCCAAAGTAAAGCTCGCAACTGCTCAGTTGTGTCATGCCCCCATTTGACGTTTCTCTGGGTTATATTCACCTGGCTACATGGACGTCACTTTCGTCGTCTGCCGTTGGCTGTATTTAATCTCACCGTCTTCAAATCTTTCGTTTCGACCCGTGAACCCTCTCCTCATTTCCGTATCTTCAACTCGTCAACCCTCATTCTTCTGGATATCAACCCTTTCGTTACTAAACCTTGACCTACGCCCCGACACCTTTCATCCACAGCCGATGAACTTGACCGCGTGCCTATCAAAATACCGTTCCTCTGCCATCTTCTAGCACGTCCAGCTGCCCCGGTTCCAAAATGTGGTAAGTTATTGGCATGTTTTCTGGACTATTTGACGAATTCTGTACACTCTTCCCGGCCTCATTTTCCCCATTCTCCTAGTAACGTCACACTGCCATCACAGGCCTAGCGCTCCCCGCAGTGCACTGCTGCAGGTCCCCCGCATGCTGCGTTTCGATTGCTTGGCAGCCCCGAGCTCCCCCAGCTGACGTGCACCCCTTCATACTTATTATCTCAGAGCTGCACCTTATGACCTTTCCATCGTCATACGATACTATCTTTACCCTCTTCTCGACCCCAATTGATTGGTTTGGCTGAGTCGAGTCCAACACCTCAACATTGATTTTGCATGGCAAGCTGATCAAAGCCTCATTTCAACAGCGACCACCACAGCGACTTGACCGTGGCGGACAACATCCTGAAAACGATCCTCCAACAAGCACCCACACTGCAAGACATCATGGGCGGCGAAAGAACGGAACCGAAGAGCGCCTCAGCCAGCGCGGCGATAGCAAGCTATCCGGCGCAGGCACCGGGTCCCGTCGGCAAGCGAATCAGCAAGCTCTACAAGGACAGGATCAACCAATTCTACTCTAGAGGACAATGGGAAAATCAGAACCTACTTGCCATGATGTACGAGGGTGTCGCATCTGGCCCGTCCGATGTAAAACTCTGGTCCTGGGCCGCGCCTGGCCTCTCCCGACCAAGTTTCGAAGATGCCATGAAGGGACAGTATTCACCGGCCAAAGTCGGTGATGCTTTCGGTCCTTCTTGGTCGACCCATTGGTTCAAAGTCACTCTCAAGGTCCCGTCTGAGTTGTGCGACAAGGAGCACCTGGAGCTCCAATGGGACGCCAACAACGAGGGCATGGTCTGGACTGAGGATGGAAAGCCGCTTCAAGGTTTGACGGGCAACGGTGAGCGTGTCGAGTGGATCCTGCCGAACTCTTTCCGTGACGGCAAAGAGCACACCATCTACATTGAGATGGCATGCAACGGCATGTTTGGCAATGCCCCTGGTGGTGACAGTATCCAACCCCCCGACCCCAACAGACACTTCCAGCTGATCAAAGCCGACATCTGTGCCGTCAATATGGACGCTCGTCAGCTTTGGATCGATACTTGGATCATTGGCGATGCCGCCAGAGAGTTTCCCGAGGACTCTTGGCAGCAACACAAGGCTCTCAATGTCGTCACCAAGATCATTGACAACTACCGGCTGGGCGACAAGGAATCCATCAAGGAGTGCCGCAAGATCGCGCGCGACTACATCGGATCCAACGTTGACTCGTCCAAGGTTTATGATAGCGACACCGAACCTCAAGTCTACGGTATTGGGCATTGTCATATCGACACCTGCTGGCTGTGGCCGTGGGCAGAGACCAAACGCAAGGTTGCACGCTCATGGTCGAATCAGTGTGACCTAATGGAGCGCTACCCGGAGCTGAATTTTGCTTGCTCGCAGGCTCAGCAGTACAAGTGGCTCAAGCAGTACTACCCCTATGTCTTCGATCGTGTCAAGCGGAAGGTCAAGGATGGCCAATTCCACCCTATTGGTGGCAGCTGGGTTGAACACGACACCAACATGCCAAGTGGAGAATCGCTGGTCCGTCAGTTCCTGTACGGTCAGCGCTTCTTCGAGAGCCATTTTGGCGAACGTTGTCAGACTTTTTGGCTTCCCGACACTTTTGGATACTCCAGCCAACTCCCTCAATTGTGCCGCTTGGCCGGCATGACTCGATTCCTCACCCAGAAGCTCAGCTGGAACAACATCAACAACTTTCCCCATACCACGTTCAACTGGGTGTCCTTGGATGGTAGCCAGGTCATATGCCATATGCCACCAGCCGAGACTTATACGGCTGAGGCTCACTTTGGCGATGTCAAGCGGAGTATGTCCCAGCACAAGTCCATGGATCAGGATCACACGTCACTGCTTGTCTTCGGCAAGGGAGACGGCGGAGGTGGCCCCACATGGCAGCACATCGAAAAGCTGCGTCGCTGCCGTGGCATCAGTGATGAGGTCGGCTTGCTGCCTCGTATTCACATGGGTAGTACCGTTGACCAGTTCTTTGATAAGCTCGAGGAAAAGGCTTCCACTCTGGTCACATGGTACGGCGAGCTCTACTTCGAGCTCCATCGCGGAACCTACACCACCCAGGCCAAGAATAAGTCCAATAACCGACGATCCGAGGTCATGATGAAGGATCTTGAGTTGCTTGCTACGATTGCATCGTTAAAACATAAGTCCTATAAGTATCCTAAACAGCAGTTCGACAAGATGTGGGAGGCAATTCTCCTTTGCCAATTCCACGACTGTCTGCCTGGAAGTTCCATTGAGATGTGTTACGATGATTCGGACGAGGTAAGACAAATCCGACCACGCGGAGAACTTGAGCTAATTACCCGCAGCTTTACGCGGAGATCACCAAGATTGGCCAGCTTATCTTCAAAGAGATCTGCGAGCTGCTCGGAGTCCCGGAGATGAAGCCTGCTTCCCTTGGTGACGCCGTGGCTTTGAACACGTTACCTTGGCACCGAAAGGAGGTGGTCGACGTTTCTGACACCGAGCACGGAGTTGCCTGCGGCAGTGGACCGATGCTTAGCGTTCGGACCCTCAAGGCGGGCAACAAGAGGCCCGTCACCGTTAACGAGGTCAGCAAGGGCGTTTTCGTCATGAAGAATGACCAGCTGTCCGTCAAGGTTGAAAATGGCTGCGTGACTTCCCTCATTGACCGCAAGACCAACCGAGAAGTGATTGCGAAGGGCGGCAAGGCAAATCAGTTCGTTATTTTCGACGATAAGCCTTTGTATTGGCAAGCCTGGGATGTCGAGGTGTACCATTTGGACACTCGTAAGGAGCTTGTCAGTGGTCAGACCAAGATCCTCGAGGATAAGGAGCACCGTGTCAGCGTGGTGACCGAGACGAAGATCAGCAATCTCAGTACTATCAAGACAACATTGAGTTTATCTGCGGCTTTCGAAGGTCAACAATCATTCGTTGAAGCCACCAGCATGGTCGATTGGCACGAGACGATGAAGTTCCTCAAGGTCGAGTTCCCTGTCGAAGTCAGAAACAACGAGGCATCGTACGAGACTCAGTACGGTATTGTCAAGCGACCGACCCACTACAACACCACATGGGACATGGCCAAGTTTGAGGTTTGTTGTCACAAGTTTGCCGATCTGTCTGAGTATGGCTATGGGGTATCCATCCTCAATGACAGCAAATACGGCTTCGCCACCTGTGGCAACTTGATGCGCTTGTCGCTGCTGCGATCACCCAAGGCCCCCGATGCACATGCAGACATGGGCAAGCATAAGATTCGTTGGGCTATTCTCCCTCATCAGGGCAGCCTGGGTGCTACCACAGTCCGTGCAGGCCACAACTTCAACAACCCTTTGAAGGTCATGTCTGCACCGTCATGCATAGACGTCAGGACTATGATGTCTGAGCATCCTGTCAAACTCACTGGCGACTCTAGCCTCATTCTCGACTGCGTCAAGCGTGGGGAGGATGACGAGGATGTCTCGTTGGGAGAGCTGCCCCGACGTAAGGGTCAGAGCGTCATCATCCGCATCTATGACAGCCTGGGTGGACATAACCAGGGCACAATCAAGAGCATGTGGGATGTCAAGAAGGTTTGGAAGACCAACGTCCTCGAGGATGATGATGAGGAGATTGCGTTGGATAAGGACGGCAGTTTCCTGATCAGCCTCAGGCCATTTGAGGTCGCTACCTACAGATTGCAGCTGTGAAGGGGGGGAGAAGGTGTGAAGTAGAGTTAAGAGCCTCGGAGTGAGGGTCTGGGTGCTCATTGGAGTGCAAGAACGAAGTAATGAATGAATGGGGCGGCCTGAAGCGAGCACATGGATACGGCGCCGAAGCATGAACTTATTGAAGCTTGGAACTCCGTATACATATCGTGGTCTCTCTTCTCAGTAGCCAAGATTGGGAAATTGTATCATATGATGAAGCAGCACTGGATTGAGCAGCGTGATGAGATAGCGAAGGACTTGATTGTTTGCTCTGAGGACGCGGTGTCGATCAAGGATAACGATGAACTGTGATGATTCAATCCATGTTCTTATGCATTGTACCTCATGATCTAGCCAGGAGACGAAATGCCCAATTCGTATCAACTAACGTACGTCAGAGTAACGTTACATCAAATATTATGTTCCATGACAACGGGAGTCGAACGGTCGAACTGCCATAGAATCTGATTGAAGGGTAGGTAGAGTGGTGTCGAGTCTCCGGATGTAAATCGGTGAGCGGCCAATCAGCAATGGGTAGGTGGAGCCACGCAAAAAGCCCTACTTCGTAGCTGCCACAAACCGATGAGCAAAAGTGCTTTGGGACCCGAATTTTTCCCTGAATGGTTCATCTGGTTCAGCGCATTCTCAACTATTCTCAACCACAACCCCCCAAACCACCAACTACCAGGTCAATCACCGTTGCCCTTAAAGTCCTAACTTCATTAAAAAGAAGAAATGGTGGGCAACAAGTCAGAGTACTTCGGCAAGCTGAAGAGCTTGCTCGAGGAATACCAGTCGGTTTTCATCGTCACGTACGTGGGCCCTTGATCTGTCTCTTCGGGGGACGCATTTCTGAAGTGGTGCGACATTTTTCTGACATAAAAACAGCGTCGACAATGTTAGCTCCCAGCAGATGCACGAGATCCGACAGTCTCTCCGCGGAGAGGCTGTCGTCCTGATGGGCAAGAACACCATGGTTCGCCGAGCCCTCAAGACCTTCATCCCCGATGCGCCCGACTATGAGCGTCTCCTGCCCCACGTCCGTGGCAACATTGGTTTCGTCTTCACCAACGGCGACCTGAAGACCATCCGTGACAAGATCCTGGACAACAAGGTCGCCGCGCCTGCCCGTGCCGGTGCCGTTGCCCCCGGTGACGTCTACGTCCCAGCTGGAAACACTGGTATGGAGCCCGGAAAAACCGCTTTCTTCCAGGCCCTCGGTGTCCCCACCAAGATTGCCCGTGGTACCATTGAAATCACCACCGACCTGAAGCTCGTTGAGGCCGGATCCAAGGTTGGACCTTCCGAGGCCACCCTGCTCAACATGCTGAACATCTCGCCCTTCACCTACGGTCTGGGTATCTCTCAGGTTTACGACCAGGGCAACTGCTTCCCCCCCGAGGTTCTCGACGTTGGCGAGGAGCAGCTGCTCAAGGCCTTCTCCAGCGCCGTCACCACTATTGCCTGCATATCCCTCGCTGTTGGCTTCCCCACCCTGCCTTCCGTCATGCACTCCCTCGTCAACAGCTACAAGAACGTTCTCGCTGTTGCCATCGAGACCGAGTACTCGTGGCCCGAGGTTGAGGCCCTTAAGGACCGTATCGCCAACCCTGATGCCTACGCCTCTGCCGCACCTGCTGCGGGAGCCGCCGACACCTCTGCCACCGCCGCTGCTGCCGAGGAGAAGAAGGCCGACTCTGACGAGGAGAACAGCGAAGAGGAGGATGGTGGTTTCGGTGGTCTCTTGTTCGTGATCCCATGCTTTCCATTCCTCTGGGCAATGCTAACCTTGCTCCTCACAGTGACTAGATACCCTGACTTGATGGCGTTGTTGTATGATGACTCTGGGCTTCGGAATGAGTTACGAAATCTAGACACAAAAACCCCGACGGTCCATAGATCTCATGTTGACGATCAATGGCAAAACATCCAATCTGACGAACACAAATCCAGAATTCGATGCAAAATTCGTGATTTGCTGCTAACATGTGGACGAACGCGTGTGCATCAAATGGTTAGTTATCCCCTATTCTCCTATTTTCCTGACCAAACACAACATGTTCGATGATTAAAATAAACACAAGAGCTTTTTAACCCTGATCATTCTTTGATGATACCATGTATAACAACACGTATGAGAACATTCATTATTCCTGTACCATTATACACAGTAAATATTATACACGAGAAGAAAGTGCTAACTCATAGAAATCCATTAGGCCCAACGTACTCTGTATTGCAACCTGTCTTCTCTTATCTTGCAGCTTCTGCGATGGAGCCTGTATTTGTCTCTCCCTTGTGATCCAACTTTGCATCCACCCCTTGCCCAAGTATCTCCCTAGCCATCGTAATAGCCGCCTCGGGCAGCCCCGCCAGCCTAGCAACCTTTAATGCATGACTCTGCCGATTGACCCCCTTCCGTAGTTTATGAATATAAACAAAACTCCCCGTGCCATCCTCCTCCACATCCGTACAATAAGTCTCGACATACCCTCCGTCCGCAATATGCATCCCCCGTTTCTCCACTAGCTCCGCCAATCTATGGAAATGCGTCGCGAACAAAGCCCGGCATTTGTTCACCATGACCAAATGAAACAAACTCGCAAACGCGACTGCGACGCCGTCTTCGGGTGTTGTGCCCCGACCAATCTCGTCCATGACGACGAAGGAGCGCGGCGTCGCGCTCCGCAGGATCTGTGCCGTCTCTAGCATCTCTACCATGAAGGTGCTCTGGTCGCGGTAAAGGTTATCGGCGGACCCAACGCGGGAGAAAATGGCATCGACGACGCCCAAGGAGGCGAAATGCGCGGGCACGTAGCACCCCGTCTGCGCAAGAATGGTGATGAGCGCGTTTTGGCGCAGGTAGGTGCTCTTGCCTGCCATGTTTGGTCCCGTGATGAGCCAGAGGCGGCCTTCCCCTGCCGTGCCGACGAGACAGTCGTTCGCGGTGAAAGTGCGTCCTTGCGACTCGCGAAGGCCGGATTCGACGGTTGGGTGGCGGCCGCCGACGATGATGTGCGAGACGGTGTCGTTCATGGAAGGGCGGACGAGGGCTTGTTCGCTCGCGAGGCGGGCGAATGAGGTGCTGATATCGAGCTCGTCGAGGGCAGTAGCGTTGCGGCGGAGCTTGACGAGATTGAGGACTACGAGGCCGCGCAGGTCCGACAGGATGCGCGTTTCTTCGCTTTGCATCTGGAAGCGGGTTTGGTGGATGCGCTGGCCCAGATGCGTCCACTCGGGCACGTGGAAGGCGCGGGTGCTGCGGGAGGAGGAGACGGCTTGGAAGGTGGAGGGTGCTACTTCGTTCATTTTGCGCACGTCTTTGGTTCCCTTGACGTGGCAGATGTGGCCGAGTGTCGGCGTCCAGCGAAGGGTGAGGCTCGCGACGCCGAGGCGGGTGGAGAGGTCTGAACATAGGGTTTCTTTCTCCTCGAGGAGGGAGTTGAGCTCGGCGTGTAGGCTTTGGAGTCCTGGGCTGGCGCTGGCCCGCATCATGAAGGTTAAGTTGTCGTCGGCGTAGTGGTCACGAATCGAGGTTGGTTTCGAGGAGGCCTTCTTGGTGAGCTTGGGGGATTTGGGAAGCAGGGCGGCGTCCTCGGAGTTGCCTTCGGCGGAGACGATTTCAGTGGCCAGAGAAAGCAGCGTGGCGGTTTCCGAGACTTCGAGCTCGTGTTTGGCGGATATGCCGTCTTCGTCGATGGCATTGCGGATTTTGTCGGCTAAGGTCGAAGGGGAGTCAAGGTTGATACGTGCGAGCAGGTATGTGAAAGGGCTTTTACCTGATTCGGAAGAGGCAGTGGCAAGTAGCTGGACGATGTCTTCGGTTGCTCGGACCGTGTTAGCCAGGCCGACAAGATCATCTGGGTCTCCGCGACCAAAGGCGAATTTCTGGACAAGTCGTTGTGAGTCGTGACTCCGACGCAGCAGTTGAACAACCTCATCGCGGAGATCTGGGTGTTTGATAAAATATTCCACTAGGTCTTGCCTTTGTGAGATGGTCGCTAGCGATGTTGAGGGCGCGCTGACCCATTCGTTCAGGAGCCGGGCACCGCTCTTGGTCACCGTTCTTCGGATGGCGTGCAGTAGACTTCCCCGGAAGGCACCATCCCGCATGGTTTGCTTGATCTCCAAGGAACGCATGCTGTTCTTATCGATAGTGAGGACTTGCATGCTTTCATGCCGGATTGGCGGTTGAAGCTTCATGCTCAGGCCTAAGAGACGCTCCCTCACGTATTGGAGCAACAAACTGCCGGCTTGGACTTCGTTCGGAGTAAAGCTGCTCACAGTATGCGCTGGAATCTCTGTCTCGAGCATGGACGTCCATTCAGCTGTGGGGAGGGTTTCTGTATGGGGTGTATAGGTGATCAGATTCTTGTCTTCAGTCAAGATGGAGAACAACATGTGGTCGGGTTGAGACTGCAGGGTTGCGTCGATCACGATCTCCCTTGGGCCAATTCGGGATAAAATGGAAGAAAGTGAGGCAATTGTTGTCGACTGGGTGTAAAACTGTCCAGTCGATATGTCAAGCCATGCAAGACCTATAGAAGCACCTGTAGGCGAAGCCTGGTCAGATGCTGCTGCAGCAATACCAGGTTCATCGACTACTTCACCCTCAACCTCAATGGGTTGGGCGAGATGAATGGCCATGATGTAGTTGTTTGCATATGGGTCCATGAAATTCTCATCTATGAGTGTGCCCGGCGTGATGACCCTCGTCACTTTCCTATCATGCATAAGGCCATTGGAACTGACCTTATCCCCTGCATCGTTGGGGAATTCCTCAGCGATGGCAACATAGCAGTTGAACTCTTGCACCAGGGTTTTGAGGAACCGATCCAACTGAAAGAAGGGGAAGCCGGCCTGCGGAGATCATCAGACTAGGGTTCGGTTTATTCATCATGACATAAACAATATGGCAATTGAGCAATCGGTGTTGCTGATGATGAGAAATGGAAATAGTGAAATAGGGGGTGAAACTACCATCGGAACCGGACCGGCCGTTGTCTTCTTCTGGGCCACCTTGAGATTCAACAACGGCCCGTACTCTTCTGCGTGGCTGAAATACAGCTCATAGAAGCCTCCTACTCGGGTCAAAAGCACACAGTTCTCAAATCTCTGCATGTTGCGATGGGCCTGCAGCACCACCGTCGGGTACGCAGGACCTTCGTCCAGAGGCTCCAATACCGGGGGCCCATCCGCCTGGACGAGGCCTTGAGGCAGATCCTCTAGCTTGAGGGAGGTTTTCTTCTTCCTGACCCTGGTCTTGACTTCCGGGATGCTAGATTTGGCAGCAGCATTCTGGGGGCGGCTGCTGTGAAATGTTTGGTGGCGGCCATGGTTGTGGTTGTGGTTGGTGTTTGCGAGACCCGATGCGCTGGTCTTGCTGGATCGCGGTTGCAGAATCCCCCGAAGACCAACGAGGTGCCGCTGGTCGTGATTGACAAGTCTTGAGGCCAATCGACGACACGAGGAACCACACATCGGGGATGAATGCCGCCAGCCCGCGGCGCAACTATTCAGAAATGAGTGGATAGGATTGTCCCGTGGGTAGGTCTGAGTGTAAAAGTATTTGGAAGGGTTGCCAATGTACCGTCTGGTTATAGTGGATGAAACGGGATCAATTTTTAGTCTTGCGTATTCGCACTGTAAAAAGCGTGGCCTTTTTGAGAAGCTTACACAGTTTGTCCCGAGGTATCGACTGTGCGGGTAAGGGTTTCTAAGTTTATCTCGCCTGTCCCAGTCAGAGCCGCCTTTGCTAAACTAGGTAGCTGCAGTATTTCAAATCCTCACCATAAATTTGCTCAGTCAGATGCCCAGCACTCGGCGAGAAGAGAACCACATTCGGCGATGCAATGGCAATCTGTCATGGTGATCGGACATTATTTCCGTCCTTGAGGATACCGGTTCGTCCAGTCCATGTGGTATGTTGGGTTAGACGCGTCTAGCCATTAGCTCTGTTTTGTCATGTAAATCGGCGTACTGTATCTTATATTACCGGGTCGAGACCACCCATAAACCTCGTGCTGACAAAGAGAGCGTACATCCTAATTCCGGTGTGATTAATCTAGCTCCCTCGTGTATGTGTTCTGGACCCCCAGACTGTTGGCCGGTCATTTTACTGTCGATAATGAACGGCCAAGGGGGGACCGCTATGCTAGGAAGTACAAATCCCCCTTATACCGTGGATTTAAAGCCGCCGTCGACTTATTTACACCCTTCTCACATCAATCGTTCTTTTAGTTGAAAGGCCACCCGGTGCCCTTCCCAGCATATGGATAGGCCTGTCTTACCAAATCAATCCAGGCCAGCCCATACTCCGAGGGCTATCTACCTTGATGTCTATCATCATGTCCTCCTCGTCAGGCAATGCTACAACCTCCCCGACTGAGAATGCAGTCCAACCTACTCGTCCTACTCAACGACCCAGCATAGGCACCAAGCCCGACAGTCTGGGGCAGCTCGAGCTGCAGTACCGAGCCCTTCTGGCCCAGATGCTTGCCGCCAATCAAGAAAAGAAGCAACGCAGCCATCACATACCATGCAGAGAAGGTCAACTGAAGAACCACCGGCCTCCAAGAGAGTTGGGACCCAAGCGAAACCACAATCCTGCAAAGACTGGATGCTCCATGCTGGGACGACGGTGTCGAAGACGGACACGACAGGTCACAGTGGCAGGGACGGCCGCCGGGCATCAACTCGGAAAAGGAGTGGCGCAGACGTCGGGAAATATCACGGCGGGGGACGTTCCGACGCGAACTGCTGGCTACTCTGAACAGGCGAAGGAAGGAAGAAAGGGAAAGGGAAAGGAAGGGCCGAGGCTTGGCCTGGACGATCAACGTCTTTTGAACTTGTGGTAGCTTGTCACACATTCAGTCACAGCATTGGGAGAGCGCCTTTAGTATTTTGCTTCATCAGAGAGTTCTTGGCCGGAATGACAACATCTTCTGTTCTGGTGTGGACTTCTCATATGTTCAGGCTGGAAGAAGGGATGGTTCTGAAGTGGTTACGAACTTGATGCTCCTTAGCTGAATCGATAACTTACTTCCTACTTTTAATTAACGACGAATTGACGGTTTCTGCCCGTAAGTTGAAGTGTACTATGAGTACCTCCGGAGACCCAGGCCCGTACGATACACACCTGCAAAAGTACTCTCTATTCCCAACGGTTGAATAACACAGTCAGCCTGTCCGTGAGGTCCATGTAATGACAGTAATATATTTGTTTGCACTTCTGGGCACTGATCAAATGCTTCGAATGCTGAGATTGCAAATCGATATTCATATTCCAACTTCCACCATCACTGGTATCTTCAACAAGTAACGTCATGAGGCAAACGTGAAGTCTTACTCAATAATACACTAATGTAAGATGTCGTCCGTAACAAAAACCATGATTGTAGCTATCGCAGCTTCGTGGCCGGGCCTAGTCGAGCAAGCAACATGTGGCACGTAGTATTGATATGCAGAGTACCAATTCACAGTTTCCTACGCACGCCCCACCTATACACTGGCATCTTCCGGCAAACCCTCCACCACATCCTCCACCATGCGTATTAACTCCTCGATATCCGGTCGTTCGTTGGGCTCGACCGTTAGACACTTCCTCACAACCTCGCGTATCGGCTCGCTGATGGCACCCTCTTCGGGCGTCGTCGGCACAGCGGAATCCTTGCCCTTCTTCTGGCGGCCTTCGTCGGGGAAGCGCCAGTCTCCACCGAGCACGCACATGCTTAGACTGCCGCCCGTCTCGTCGCTGCGCATTTCGAAGGGTGACTTGCCCACCAGACATGCGTATAATGTGCAGCCCATGGACCATATGTCTACTTTTGTGTCGATTACGGTGCCTGTATTTACTTCGAATAGCTCGGGCGCCCGGTAAGGCATCGTGCTGTGCTCGGCAGCTTTGTCTTGCATTGCGATGGCCTGGGATCGGGATGTGATGGGTATTGGGGAGATAGCGATGGAACCTAGGTCCATTAAGATGGGTTGGGAGCCGTCGTCGTCGATCATGATGTTGCCTGTGATTGTATCATTAGTCTCCTGTTGTTCCCGTCAAGCATGGGTTTCTAGTTCTTGCCTGGTTTGATATCTCGATGCGTGTACGACCTTCGCTCTCCCGGCGCCGCAACTTGCTCCTCGATCATCAGTGGCCTCGCCTGTTCCGTCTCGTCGTCTGCATCGGCAGCTGCAACGGCTTTATTCCTCCGATTCTTGCTCTTGGGCACTCCTACATCCTCCTCGCCCGCCTTCGCGTTGCCCATCTCCATGCGTTCCCCGCCGGCCGGCGCCTGGTATTGATGCATAGCCATTAGCGCGCGACACACGCCGAGGAACAGCAGCATGAGCTTCCTCTCTGGAAATTTTGTGTGGTTGACGAGGTTCGCATTGATCATATCCTGCAGATTGCCCCGGCGATAGTAAGGAAGTAACACGTAGACAGTCTTGGCGTCTGGGTCGTTGCGCTCGCTTGCGATAGAGTAGTCCACGCTGTGGATGATGCCCGGGGTGTGTGCGAACGTCTTGTAGGCTTCGACCTCGCGCATGGCCTGCTGCACCGACTCGGCCCCGAACGGGCACCGAATCTTCTTGAGCGCGAACAGCTCCGCGGTCGAAGTGTCCTGCACCAGGTATACATAGCTGAAGCCGCCTTCGCCTAGGAGGCGTAGGATTTTGAACGAGCGGCTGTTGATCTTGAGCGTTGGCGAGCCTGGAAAGCAGTTCAGGCAGTTTCCGAATGAGTACATGAGATCCTGGAGGAGTTGTGCCATGATGGGTGGTGGATGGGTTGGTAGAATTACTGGGAATGTGCCGTCGTTAATCGTTTGCGCTATGGCTGTCCTGGTAGTCAACCTGCTTCACTATCGTTATAGCGAATGGGAAGCTGTCCAAGCCGGCACTTTTTGAAGCTGGACAGGTATTATGCAGGCAATTGTCGACTAATCGAGGTTTCAAGCTGCGACCATCATTCGGGGAAGAAATGCGTGAGACAAACCAATAGCTGAATCGGAAGACTTTGATGAACTGTACTCTACGAGGACACTGTGCCTGTAGCCGTGCCTCGGCGATAACACTGTCTAAGATAGATACCCTGTCAATGTACCCCGTACCTCGTATAGTGGACTTCGTACGGCTGGTTATGATAAACCAAAGATTTCGAATTCAACAGCGCCCCTCTAATCAGTTAGGAGGTCAGCTGGACATACGAATAAAGCTTAAAGGATTCGGTTGCCTCAGTCTGACTTGAGTCCCTCACCTCAGCAACCGTTCGTGGACAATTTGGGATGGGAGCCCCGGTCCGGAGGTTTTGGAGCGGGAGCAGATTGGCCCGTCATCGATCCGTAGCGTATCGATGTGCGTTCCTTGCTCTCGTTCTGCCGGTTTGGACACGAGTCTCAGCAATTGTCAGTCGACTGCTTATGCTTTCTTCAAGCTGCTGGATCTGGCTATGCTTCTGCTCAATCAGGTTGCCTAGCTGCTCGCGCAACCTGAGTTTGCAGCAGCTGGGTTCGGATCTGAAGCCGCCCACTCTGGGTCTGCAGCTGCTGACCTTGTTGTATAGGTGCGAAATTGCCGATTCGGGATACTTCAGTTTGCAGAATGGTCAAGGCTTCGGTGAATTGGTCAAAGTCAGATTGTGGGGGATTGATCTGTGCCTGTGGGCCGTCGTTCTCTGCCATTTGTATGGTGTACATTAGTCACCGTAGAATTGCTGTGTTCGTTGTGTTCGTTGTATTGTGAAGATGGAGACAAATGGACTTCGACAAGTAGACAACTGTAAGTCTGTATTAGTTTTTTGAGTCATTCAGTTGCTCGATGTTAAGTTGTGTTGCTCGTGGTGGTGAATAGCCAGGTAGGTATAAAATAGTAAGGTTTGATTGGCTGGCGACTCGTAGCAGAAATACACTACCCGCGAGGTGGAATGCAAACGTATCGCTAATTGCATCACAACTCCACTGCGGAGTATTTCTGTTGTAAACAGGGCCAAATGGGTCAGTGCTGTGTTCGTCCCCAAAAGAATGATGGTGAAGTCTGTGCTCGCGGCTTCCCGCTTGGTCCCTGGACTTTAAATAGTAAGTCCGAAGCCGGACTAGCTGGGAAGGTACCACCGGATCGCATACAAAGGCCATCCACCTGACCCAATTGAGCCGCCAGGACCTACATAAACAGATTCTGGCGTTTGAGACAGGATTGTCTGCCCTTCATCACCGTAGACGGTCACTTACCACATTTCTCGTTCGTCTGCTAGGCACCAAAATCGTCTTCTGCAGCATTGTTCTACTGCGGAGGGCCGTCATCGTCGAACACAGACGCTTGAGGCCCGCTAGCATTTCAAGCTGATACGTTGGGCACCTCAAACCAGCCAGTACTCCAGCTGTCAGATCAGGCCAGTACCTCAAGCCAGTTACCTCGGCACTTCCACCTCACTCAGAATACCTCATCGATAGTAACATCGAAAGAAGCACTTTGAAGCCTAGGCGGAGGCTCTCGTAGGCTATGGGTGGCCTAGTACTATGGTATTGCGAGTTTGGCACCAGGGAGAAGTTACTTGCTGTAGACGTTGTGGATGAAAGGTTTACATGAGTTATTCAGGATGAGTTACCTGAGGATAAAGAGATCGGGAGCGCGAGGGTGAGGGTGATCCAGTGAGGTATCTAGTGAGAATGCCCGTGTGCGGACACTCTGTATGACGTACAAAAGCCCCCGCTGACCCGATTGGGTAGATAAGACCAACAAAAACAAATACAAATACTACGTCCTTTTTGCATAAGCCTATCAAAGTCCGGAGTAGCGCGGAGTAACTGTGAGGCTGATGCAGCAAAAATCATACTGGAACTTTCGCCAAGAGTACCTAAGGCGACTTGTGAAAGCCACGATTCCATCGGTTTCTATTGGAAGGCCGTGGCGCATGAAATTTCAGCCTTTTACATGGTCTTGGCGGAAAGTGGATGCATTTGCACCCCCAAGACACTTCGTGAAGTGCGACGCAAGGATTGCTAATAAGCCTGGTTGCCATCTTCATCTTGCCCTGCTCGCCGCATTCCAAGTAATCTGTTTTGGTCCTCTCTGCCTAGAACTTTCTGCAATCAGGGCCAGCCATATTTCACCCAGATCGCAAAGAACTCCTGACTTGAACCTCAGTTGCCTCGAAATCTTGGGATCACAGATTACAGTGTTGATTTGCGCCAACGGCTTGTCTCCGTCATCTTTCTAATCACTGAAGTAGGTACGTTCGCTGCCAATTCTGTCGTATCCAGCCTTCTTTCCTCACAGGGCGCAGTGATCGCACGGTATTCTCAACTACCTTCATTTCGATTTACTCTCTTCTGTTTTTGCCGCAACGCATCATGTTTTTTTTGGACAATCAACTGACCTGAGCCGTTCTAAAAGATTTGTCCGACTGCGCAACCTCTTCCGCTGGACTTTCCCACCACCAACCCTCTATACCGCATTTGGTATCCTTGAGCCGCTGAAGACTCAACTCGACTCTTCGCACAGCCTGACAAGATGGCCAAAGAAACTAAGCTTTATGACGTTCTTGGCGTATGTTGCACTTTGCCAGGTTATTCTCACATACTATTCATTCACTAGAGGCTGACTTTCTGCTAGGTTGCACCAACTGCCACAGAGCAAGAGCTCAAGAAGGCATACAAGACCGGCGCCTTGAAGTTCCATCCCGGTATGTTATATTGACATGCGACATGTAAATCACCTGTGCTAATTATGGATCGCAACAGACAAGAATGCCCACAACCCTGCTGCTGAGGAGAAGTTCAAGGAAATCTCACATGCCTACGAAATTCTTTCCGATCCCCAGAAGCGATCTGTCTACGACCAATATGGTGAAGCCGGCCTCGAAGGTGGTGCTGGCGGTGGCATGGCTGCCGAGGACTTGTTCGCCCAGTTCTTCGGATCTGGCTCCTTGGGCGGCGGTCTCGGCGGCATGTTCAGTGGCATGCAGAATCGTGGCCCGCCCAAGGCGCGCACAATCCACCACACTCACAAGGTCACCCTTGAAGACGTCTACCGTGGCAAGATTTCCAAGCTTGCTCTCCAGCGATCTATCATCTGCCCCAAGTGTGAGGGTCGCGGTGGAAAGGAGGGTGCAGTTAGACGCTGCCCCGGCTGCGATGGTCATGGTATGAAGACCATGATGCGTCAAATGGGCCCCATGATCCAGCGCTTCCAGACTGTGTGCCCCGACTGTAACGGAGAAGGGGAGATCATCAAGGAGAAGGACCGATGCAAGGGCTGCAGCGGCAAGAAGACCGTCGTGGATCGCAAGGTGCTTCATGTCCATGTTGACCGTGGCGTCAGAAGCGGCACCAAGGTCGAGTTCCGCGGCGAGGGTGACCAGTCTCCTGGTGTCCAAGCTGGAGACGTCGTGTTCGAGATCGAGCAGAAGCCCCATACGCGTTTCACCAGAAAGGAGGACGATTTGCTCTACAAGGCTGACATTGAGCTCGTCACTGCTTTGGCTGGTGGCACCATCTACATTGAGCACCTGGACGACAGATGGCTGAGCGTTGATATCTTGCCTGGCGAAGCTATTGCCCCCGGTATGTTTTATCCCCACACTCAAATGGGCGACTGTGACTGACGAATCGTGCAGATGTGGTAAAGATGCTCCGCGGCCAGGGTATGCCGTCGCCCAGACACCACGATTTTGGCAACCTGTACATCCAGTTCAACGTTAAGTTCCCCGAGCGAAACTGGACCGATGATGCGGATGCTTTTGAGTCCCTCCGAAAGATCCTCCCATCGCCTGCTACCCAGGCAATCCCTCCCCCGGACGCTATGACCGACACCGCCGATCTGGAAGATATCGATAACCAGTCCCAAGCCAGGGTTTTCGGTGGAGCCGGTGGTATGGATGAGGAGGATGAGGACGGTCACCCACATGCTGAACGCGTACAATGCGCATCCCAGTAAGCTCTGGAGAGCTTAATTGGCGGATCACCCTGGTGATTCACGAACACGCCTACAAGTATCGTTCTGGAGAATTCGGAATGATATCAGCGCATCACTTGCATACTACAGCATTACGGCGTGATGCGTACGGCTTCGCCAAATCTTGCGGCGTGCATCCCGGCTATGACGACAGAAGGAACGGGCGCCGACTGGGTGGCACGGTCTTGGAGGAGTCTGGTAATTAAATGAGGGTCTGTCCTTATCGCAGTTCTCCACATATATCTTCCAGAACGACGCGTCATTTCCAGATCAGGCTTTGCAAGCTGGCGTTTAGAGGGGATAGAGGAATAGGAAGACATATCTTTTGTGCAATTGACTACTATCGGCATGCCGATGGGCTTGATTTGTCGTAGTGCGTCCGGGCCCACTATAGTCGATGTGATAATGTAGGGTTCGGCTCAACAAATAGGCGCGCTCTGCAACTCTACTTATGTTAGGACATGCACTATGCCATTAGTACATGTAACATGTATTAGCTGTATTCACGATTCTGATTCTCCAGGCTATGAGGCAACCGGGCCTGCCTCCCTCAACTCCTCCGTGGGCGCATCGCCTCCCTCCTGGCCCTCCTCATTGTCCGATTTTCGCAGGTTCTCGACATTGTAGAGTATCTTATCCAGCTCGGACCGTGTCGACTCCAACCCCCCAGCAACATCGACTTCATTGGGCGTGAAGTCAGACGACGGCACCCAGCTGTCTCCATTTTTGTTGAAAGTCACCAGACTGGACTTCGCAATGGCATGCGGCTGGTTGACGTCGACACTTACAACCAGGCGCGCTGGCTTATCCGGGGTGGGAATAACGGTAAGGTCCAGCGGGTTTCCGGAAAGAGTCAGCGTCTCTACAAGCTCGAGACGAGACGCGGAGAGTTTGAATATGAAGATGGCAGGTACACTGTCAGAAGTCGAGTTAGTTGCCATATACAAGTCTTGAGAAAGCCGTAGCTGAGAGTCAGTGGATTACCGTTCACAAATTACCATCACAACATCATGATCATGAGCATAAATCCCTGAGACGGCAACCTTGCGCGCATCCTCTACGATCCCCTGAACAGGACCTAGTAAGTCGACCTTGCTCTTCGACACACCCGCCAACCAGTCCCAAACATAGAGCTCATCGTCCCCACCGCCCGAGACCAGGACATCCGGTTGTGGGAGACACAGCGCGTTGACGAAGGATGTGTGGCCCAAGCAGTACGTCTCGATGACATGGGCCTGCGGCATGCCGCGCGAGACGCGGATATGCTCATCGCGGTCGCCGGTGAGGATATACGGCTTCCCCCCTGGAGAAGAAGCGAGGGCGATAGACGTTAGCATGGAGACGTGACCAAGGAGGAGCTCGTGCTCAAAGTCCGGGCCTTCCTTTTTGCTCGCGTCACCTCCGCCGTTTTCGCGCTGTCGCTTTTGGTCTTCGAGCGCTTTGAGGTTGCGCGCTGAATGGACCGTCAGCGCGTTGGCTCCTTTGCGGGGAGGGGCCGGGCGGGATGCTAGAGGGGTGGAGGCCAGGGGATCAGAGCCTTGGGGGGAGGGGACAAGGGGGATGGAGTAGACGTCGCCGAATTTGTCGGCTACGAGGATTTTGGTGTTGTCTGGGGTTAGGGCGATGTCGCTGGGGCGCTTGGGCATTTGTCTATAGTTGTAGTCAGTTACCCTCAGGTCTGTAGTTTGCATCTCAATGGTGGACGGAGGAATCCTCACCTTTGACTGAGCTCTTTCAGCTGACCCTTGTCATGATGCTCGAATACCCAAACCGTCTTGTCCTGGCCCGTTACTGCGACGAGGTGTTTTCCATCCGAAGTTGCCCGCACCAGAACGACCAAGGGTTGTTCCTGTGTGATGGGTCGAGACACAGTTGGCTTGGCCTTCTTCTTGCCTTTCTTCGTTTGCCCGTTGCTCTTTGCTCCTTCAATCCCATCCTGCTCTGGCTCAGCGGCCTCAGCAGCCTGCTCCGTTCCCTCGGTGACTTCTGACGCAACGGCCTTTCCCTCAGCATCTTGCCCCGATTCCGACTCCGTCTTGCGTCTCTTAGATGGTGGCGATGTTTGCTCACCGGATTCGCCAGTTTTATGTGCCGCTCCATCTTCTTGTTCCGCCAAGCCACGTTTCCCGTTTTCTGCGGATTTGGTGGTGCTTGGGTGTTGCCATGATGAGAGAAGCGACCCGTCGGCGCTGAATGTGTATAAGCCACCTCCCCTGGATGCAACGAGAATACCATCACTGCCTAGTGCAGTCAGACATTGGTAAGGAAATGCCATCAATGCGGATTTGTCAGGCCGGACCTCACGCTGATGGGATGTATTGTCCTTGAACGTGCAGAAGCTGCGGAGGCGAGAAATTGCGTGATTGGACAGTCCGATCTCAAAACTGTTGGTCTTGAGATCGAGTTATGCAAATATATGGCTCATCGAAGTTTTTTCGAGCCAGTGTCAACGATGTATAAATGTTGCCCGCTATTACTATGATTTTCAAGGTGAGTTTGAAAAAGTGGTTGCTAAAATTGCACCTAAAGAGGTGGGGACCCCGCTACAAGGATGGTCTAAAGGCTGAGGTCTTGACTACCACATCAACATCGACTACTTTTACAAACAGTCCTGAAAATTATGCGATCTTGACGCCCTGTCGTCTGTCTCTCTCAGAAGATCCATGACTCGATTTTCTCGCCTTCGTCTGCGCCTTGCTATGTATCAGGAAGGGTGCGTCGTGGAAATGCTTTGCCAGTGTGCTTCACAGCTACGACTCGGGCATTTCGTTCGTTTATACGGACGCACGATCTTCGTCTTGGAGATCCTGTGTTTATATTGCCCAAAGACCATGCATGCCCTAGATTCTCGGCATGGGTCGCTGAACATGCTGCTGCTTTTGACCTGTCAACTTCCTGCAGCATTTGCTCTGCACTCGTGTCAAGCATGGCATGGGAAGGATGCCTGATCTAACGAAAGAGTCGATCCCACGCCCGAATCTATAGCAATTTGATGAATGCGGTAGTACCGCACTGGTTTGCGGCTAGGCTATCTTTCCAAGAATGCAAGTGCGTCATACCGCTTCGCTTTCGCACCGCACCTCCGCTTGGTCAGTGTAGGAGTTCTCCTAAGCTTGTCTCGATTGGCCATCTCGAAATGCACGACAAGAACATGCATGGAAGATTCTGTGCCATAAGCTCGGCTTTCCTATGAAAGGCAACTCGCCCGTCCTCCTTTCTATTCGTCCGTTTCTAATGCCGCAGCCAATCATCGATTCAATCAACCATCCTTGTCGTTGTGGTCCCATTTTCCACGACATAACACGAAAGTTCTGACCGCCGTCACAGCCTAAGGCTTGCTCTCTCTGTACTTCTGTGCGGAGATGAACTGTTACTGCATTGCGTTGTAATACTTTAGTCAGCTTTCAATCCCTTTCGACATAAATAACTGGCCTATAGCTGTTCATGCCACAGATTGCCGTGGTGTACGAACATCAGATCGAGTCGCGGTTCTGCACTGTTCGTTGATGATTCGGAGCTCTTTACAAACACTAGTCATATGTCTTGTCCAATGACTATTCGATGAGCATTGGCTAAGCAACGACACGTTGGATATCTTTCAAGCTTTAGATCTTTGGGATTAGCCCTGTGTATTTGTCATTATTGACAGTGACAGATCGATCCGCAGTGGACTTCTTGGGGTTCACAGTTTCATATAGGAGTAAGGCAGTTGATAATTAGTAGCAACTCGGGCAACTCCTGTTGGATTCTTGGGGGAGGGGGGCGGTGGAAGCCGTTATGGGGGGGGGGGTTGAGAGGGGGTGGTGTAGAATGGATCTCACTCCTGCGTCGAAGCGATACACTCCAGCTTGATCTTATGGTGGTTAACACCAACCACACGGTTCGCTTTGTGCTTGGCGCATCGCCCAGACCAATTGAATCAACTACAAGCACAAAAACCCGGGCATGGCTATCTCAAGCATGTGAGTCGATCTTTTTCTATCATGAGATCGTTCTACACGCAAGAGCATGGGCTTCGTTAGGTGTGCGAGCGTGTTTTGCGCCAGTCCGCTTTTCTCCGATCTACTATGTCTAGTTCGGAACTCATTATATCGGCGTTGCGGCAAGCCATCTCTATCCAGTATACTCTTCATTTGTTGCGCTGCTATATCATAGCACTCTGTAGGTGCGAAAGACTAAGCGACCTACTGCAGGTAGGTGACATCTGAGCCTAGATCCGGGATATCAGACCGGGGCTGAGAATGGCAAAGCTACAGGGGGGCTTTTCGCAGCCATGCGGGTGCAAATGCAGACTGCTGACACCCCCAGCAGTAAACCCGTCTTGATGGGCACCAACACACGCTGACACACAAGAGTCCCGCCTCATGAAGTCTGACGCTTGACCGCTTTGAGAGCGTATTCTCCTTTTTGTAGTCATTCGTTGTCCCTGCACTTCTTGAGCCCTTCGAGCTGAAATGGCTGGTGTCGTCGGTTCTGTGCCAATCAGCTTGCTCTTTTCGTTGCGGTAAACCGGCGATGCTCGCCGTTGGAGCATATGACCTCGGAATTCTCAAGAGCTCCGGATTGTTTTAGTCCAAAGCCTGCCTACCAGAAAGCTCATATTAGTGTACCTGGAAATGCGATCAGGTCTCAGACATGGGCATGCTGAAGACTCGAAGCCGTTATTGCCGTGAGCTATGCAAGTCTGACTAACACCCAACTCGATCTGTTGCAGTTGCAAAGCGAGGGGCGTCACGGCAATAGGCCGACTCGTATAGCAAGAAAGGAAAGTTTCTCTTCGCATCTGGAAGAGTTACGACTTCCTTATATACCTGAACCCTCCTCCTCCTCCTCAGCCCACGGCTAGCCCCATCAATTCTTCCACTCAAGCAAAGTCAGGGAACCGTAGGGCTGCATCAACGGCTGGCGCCATGGAAAATTTCAATAGCTCTCCTGGGTGTGGACGTGGTAAAGACCCCAAGATAAGGAAGTCCGAAGTACGCAAGGAACAAAATCGGGTCGCGTCAAGGGCCTATAGTATGTTCGCCTGAATCCCGTCGGTCTAGATACAGTCTTCGAGAAGAAGCATATGCTGGAGATGTGCTGACGCCATCCAACAGGAGAGAAAAGAAAGCAAAAGCTGGCGCTCCTTGAACAGATTCTCCAAACCGAGTCTCGAAAGTCGCCAGGCTCAACATCCGATTTCGACGAGACTTACGGTGCATTGCCTGTCCTCCGAAGTAGAGAATCGAGTAGCTCCGCTCCAACACAGCTACCTTCTGTGCCTGTTCCGACATCATGGCCTATGGACAGTCAGGCATTAGCCCCGGCTATGACTTTTGGGGAAGACTCATTCCATGAGGCGTGGATGAACGTATTCGATCGAACCAATGACACGTTCGACGGCGGCAACGACTTCGTGTCTACTTTTGACTCCAAAAATATTATCGACAACTCTGCGTCCTATCTACCTACTTTTCCATCAATGCCACACATACCATCTATGATAACGATGGCTCTGGACCCTTTACTATCAGAGGCCCACCTCAACCCCTATCATCCGACTCAGTCTGCAGATACGGCGCGCGCATCATCTCAGCGCAACTCTGCATGCGACCAATCGTGGTTTGGATCGGGTGACGAAACCTCAATGGCCGTTGCGCTCGAGACGTTCTCGAGGCTGAATGAAGCACAACAGCAGCAACTCTTGGCCGTCCTTAGCAAACGGAAAAGTAGTGCGGAATATAATGCCAGTGAACAGGATTGGAGCAGAGATCATCATGCCGTGCAGTCGTCAGGTAGGGTAACCACACGACCCATGGAGTTCCGAGAGGAGAACTAAAGGGTTGCTTCATTCAACCACTTACACATTCCACAGACCAATTTCTCGGGGCCGTTCATCACCCAGGCAAGAGTCATCGGTGTGATGCTCAATCTCCTGCCCCGGGGGATCAGCATTTGTCGGTTCAGCATCTTTGGACAGGAAAGACACAGTCAGGAGAATATTCTGAGCAGGAGAAGTAGGAGGACGGAAGCACGCTAGAATGGAGCTCACGGGGTCCCGCAATGGGTCTTCCGGTTGAAGAAGGCATATATCAGGGTTGTGCACATCATCCGTATCCAGTAGCCTCGCCCCTCCCATTGCCCCTTTTTGAAAAAGATTTCATTTCTACCCAAGAGAAGTCGATTTTTCGTGGGATCCGTGGCAAATTACTCAAACCTGGAAGTCGCTCAAACATAGCTTACACGTAAACAAGACGTCATCCCGCTCGTCGAGTTCCGCGAAGCAACCCTCGCCGCTGTTTGAAGTAGATCTATCCTTGACACTGAAGAAAACGCGAAATACCAAGACATGTTTCTTCACAGCGCTGTGCTGGGGAGGGGTGGACTTGTCTATACCCGTGAGATGTCAAATAAGGAAGATGGCTGTTCATGGTTGGCGGGACGGCTACTCGGACATCACAACTTCCGGGGATAAACTCTGCTCTGCACAGTACTTAAGGACAAGTACTTCCGGTTATATACAACTATACCTACTATGAGGTTGCATGCCTCGTCTAGGACAGTTCTGTGGCTTGTCGGGAGACTTGATCAGGATCTCAAAATGTTATTAGGAAAATGGCCACCAGTTGGACTCGACGGCACATCACATTTTAATGTTATGGTTTGTGATACAGACAATAGCCAAGGGCATATTACGTTCTGCTCTTCCTGATAACCACATCTGTTTCATCAACTTCACATTCACAAATATTATAGCATGAATGTGCCGTGAACTGGCTTCCCGAAATATACTTCTACACGGAAAGATATTTGCAGTTGTGTTGAAACTGGTCGAATTGTACGTGCATGAATAGGCGCTAATAACTTGAGAGAGTGAAATAAAATTGTTACAAAGAGTGTGGTGCCGTCACAAACTGCCCTGTTTCCATCATATGTATCCCTAACCCTTTCAAGCGCGCCTCAAAATCAGTCAAAATAGTTTTGCGGGAGGTCAATACCTGCCTCTAGCACGATCACATTCCTCCAAGAATTTGTAAACGCCTTCCAGTCCCTCAAACTCATCCGAACAGTGCTCACCCGAACTGATCGGCGGAGATATACTCCCGTATCCTTCTGGCTCAGGCGGTACCAGCCAGGGGTTCTCTTCCACCTCGCTGAAACCCTCGAAAAGCTCCTCCGCCAGAAAGCTGTCTTCAGATCTAAGCGAGCCCCCAGGCGATAAGAGACTTTGCTCCTTTTTCGCATCAGGGGCGAAGGGAAACCTCAAGGCCATTGGCACTCCGACCTCGGCGTCGAACTCGCGGTCTTCGCGAACAATGCCTCGTGTAAGTCCAAGATCGTCGCAGAGACACTCTACAGTGTCGGCATCGACGCCCGGAAACCTTACACGCAGAGTATGACCCTTTTCTAGTTGAATGGGTAGATCGCCAAGTGCCGAAAGTTTCTTGATGTCGGAGAGGGTGGCAGTCAGATCCTTGAGAGCACGTCCAAAATCGATGGAAAGTACATCAATGAATCCCTCCGTGTTGAGTGTAGTCCCATCTGCAACCTGAATACCAGCTGATTTATAAGGAAAAGCGCCGGAAAGGGGGCTCAGAGCAGTGACGGTGGGGTTGAGGTTGAAATCAATGTAAGAACCAGGGGCATTTCGGGCAAATGCTGACATCTTGCGTATCGCCTCATCCTCAACAGTAGAGACTGCACGATATTGCTTCTCGCCGCGTGCATTTATGCCATGGAACTGCGCCTTCTGACCCGAGATCCAGAAGCCTCGGACGGCGACAGATACGTTCTGCAGCACCTGGGCCTGAGAAGCCGGGGTGTGGGAGAAGTACCTTACACCACCAATTCGTCCAGATCCAAGGCCGTAACCGCCAGCGGTGCGCGGAAGTGCTCCGCCAGTGAGATTTGGTCGGAGCGTACTGGCAAAAGGTGCACGACCCGTAAGTTGGGCGACGGCTCGACCAGTCTGGGTGTTAAGGAACTTGGTTCGATCAATCCTGGGTACGGAATCAATGCGCCCGGTGCTTATAAAGCGGCGCACGGCAGCGTTGAGGTTATTGTATGTAGATGTCGAGTGCCATCGTCGGTTCTTTTGCTGGCGTAGAAGCGCAGCGGGATGAATAGGTTGTCGTGGGTGCGATGCCTTTGCTAATACCGGCTCGACGGCGTTCACGGGGCGGGTCGCACTCGCGAGTTTAGACCGTATTATCTTGCTCGCCTTATAAGCGGCTGTACGAGCCATCCGCAAGGCTTGCGGAGCCCATATGCCACCTATACCGGCGACCATATTGAATATTTGTTCGCAAGCACGGCGAACCTGTGTTTAGAGAGGAGAGTTCCAAAGTTGGAAAGGGAGCAATGCGAAGCTGGGTCGCGGGCACAATGACGGACTGATAATGATAGGCAGCGGCGGGAGGGTCTATTGTGGCGGTGCAATCCATTGCCACCCGACTTTGATTCGTTGTTTCCGGCTTTCCCCACAATCTCACGGAACAACTTGCCTCGATTTGACCGACCCACTCAGCAATATTTTTTCTTTAAAATTTCCTCGGAAGCCTTCATAGCTTCAAGCTAAATCCTCTTCACCACATAACGAGCTTGACGACAGCTTGTGTTATTGCACGTGGGAGGCGTCGCAATGGTCATCCTTACGCGTTGCTTCTTGCTACCAGCTTGAGCAAGCCTGCGGCTTGAACTGACCTGACCTGATGGTAAGCCATTTCCCCTCACTGTCCTGCCGCGCTTGCCGTGACGAAGAAATCTTAACGTGAACAATCCAAATCTTACTACACCATGGGGATCTTTCAGACTACAATTCCCTGAGCAAACATCCTGACCACTTCATTGTGACTGTCCTTGAGATTCCACCGACGGCTAATACCAAACAGTTGTATAGATATTCCTGAGTTGCTCTCGAGACGCCGTCTGGAGCATCGTTGAAATACTCGCTAATACCACCGAATATTTAAAAGGTTCGCGGTTCTTCCACTTCTATTTCTACTTCCTCCAATGCACAATACACCTTGAGGGGTGATGATAAACCGACAAATCTAGGGATTCCTCTTTCCGAATATACTATGTGGATTTGTTTAGTTTCAGCCTTGTCTGACCTCATTTAACTATTCGATGTTTCTGTAGCAGTCAATTGCTTGCGACTTTGCTAACCAGTTTCATCCAGGTACATACTCGCTAAACCGCATTCCCTAATTTCACATGAGGAACTTTGAACGAACGGGCGGACATAAACGAATCTGAGTGGCCTTCTTCTGCCATAGCGAGGCGTACAAACCTTGTGGGGGAAGGTTCACGAGGAATTCTTGTTGAGATTTCGTCAGCTGATGGTGTCTATTTGACGCTACATTATTGATTGCATTGTCGTCGAGCCACCTGCTGACTCTTGGACATAGGTAAATCTACTTGTCTTCTTCTGAATCTCTCTTGTCAAAATGATGAGCACTATTCACACTGTTTGATCCTGTCTTCGGACATGGAGATGAACATATAAACAAATCTGATTTAATGAGGTATGTGCGTTGCTTCTTGGCGAGGAGGGCCCAACTGACATTGTGTTACAGCCTGAGAACCACAAACAAATCGAATCATTGTACACCTCCAGTTTGCGATTGCTGACGCATCACGTTCAGGTACAGTGGCCATGCTTTGAACAAGTCAAATTTGATCGTCTCGTAAGTACTTTTTCGTCCCAATCTCCCACTTCCAGCCTTGCGGATGATCTATTATCCTGTTATCTACATTGTCTGAGTTCTTTCATGACGAGACTTTCTATCACCTTGGAGAACTGAACAGGCCATCCTGTAGCATATTGATGTCCATTCCTGGTTTAGGCTTAGCTAATACTCCCTCTAGAAACATTAGCCCACAATATCGTCGACCGTCTTCGATGTCGGATAGAAGCGCTGAGCCTCCAGAACCATACATAGATGAGATATTACGTAATAACCAATATGTATCAACATTTTTGCTCCATAGTCTCTAAGCAATGTGACCGTCCCTTCCAAACTCCGTGACCTCAATCGCGGCTCCGAACAATGTCGGCTGGCGGGCTCTAACCGAAAAGGCGTGACGGAAAGCCGAACCGAGAGCTTCTTATTTAAAGTTAGCATCAGGAACAGTCATCGGGTTTAATGCTAATGCCGCGATTCAGAGCGCGTTTATCTCCTTTTCCGTCCCTTCGTTTTTTGACTAGAGCCTGGCGTCCCTAGATACATCACGGACGGACCGGGATGTCTGTCCCAACAGTGGAAAACATCGCGTTTCACCAATTGTCTGAGTGTCTCGATGATATCATGGGCGTTCCTGGCTGGTGGTTGGCCGTTGATTGACTTTTGGCCTGTAAGTGGAAGGGCCTGGATTACTGTGGATTTTGATGCTTCTGGTTGACTTTCTTAGCCTGCATCAGTCCCCGCAACTTTACTTGCTGCTTCCCCCGTCCTGACTGTCCCCAAGATTGGCCATGCAATTGCAGATCATAGCATTCCTATTCGATCGTCGAGCTCTCGCTGTTTCTTCCGTTCTGTCCGTCTGCGGGGTAGGCAGCATATCGCCCACACGGAGCAATTGGCTATTTGGCTTACCCTCCCGGGTCACCCCATGACGTTTGCTGTGATTGGGGAAGATGTACCTTTACGCAGTGTGGTAGGGTGGTGCTCTACTTGGTTGATTTTATGGCGATTATGGCAGACATTTGAAGGAAAGTGCCTTCTCATTGGGCGTGGTTACTGATGTCAGTGGCTGCTTCCGCGAATCAAGCATGTACTCCATACTATGGGGTACATGGGGGAGTTGGCGATCAGGCCATACCATCTTGATACGCAGTAGGAGAGCTGCAATGGTTGGATGGGGCTTGGCTGGTGCGATCGGGAAAGGGCAGGTCAAGTTGTACTTAAGTAGTCAACAAGCCCTCCTCCGTTCTCATGTTCTTCTCTATATCAAACCACTTTTACCCAATTCTCAATCCGAACATCACAAGACAGCTGTCTACGAATCTATCTCGACTGCAAGTCAGTAATACTACCACAACCGTCATCATCATGGACAGTCCTAAGTCTCCCAACGGTCAGCCTAGCGCCTTTTCTCAGCGCAGAGTATGTCAAACCCGCGAAGACACCCAACAAAGCTGTCGTTCTCTTCACATTGCACTGCTACAGACGACAAGCTAACATATCCTCTCAACAGAGAAGTTCCAACTCCCCTTCCTTCGAAGGCTTGCACAACCTCAAACGATCAACCGACCCTGTGTCTGTGGCTCGCCGCCAGAGTTTGCATGAACAGAAACCGACTGCGGGCTTCTTCGGACAGATGTGGCACAAGTATGTATATTCTTCCCCAATACTGCTTTTCTTACCGTTTCCCACACACCTCCGCCTCTTATATCATGGTCTTGCCGAAATGAGGATTGACGGCAACGTTACAGTTTCACTCGTGGCCCTGGAAGCCCTCCCAAGTAAACAGAAACTTGACGCCAGTTTAAAGGTTGTACGACTTGTCACGAGAATGCGATGCCGTACGGTTGGAGTGTAAGAACAGAGTAGTGATGGATATTGTTGATGGCATGGTTATGGGAATTGACCTTCGGCGTTTCGGCCTGTGTATACAAAGACGTATGATGAATGCAAGACAATGAAGAACAATATCAAAATAACACTGTGTTGCAACGTCGTGCATATCATATTGTGTAGGCTCCTAAGCCAGTACTGCTGGTAGTTCGTTGCAGTACCCGGTCCTCTCCTCTTCGTATATATAACTAAATAAGCGTTGAAACGTTATATTGTACGCAATTAAATTTTTGCAATGGTTAGGTATGAAGGACCCTATATAACACGGACGTCGATCGATTGGTCACAGCGACTTTGCCAACCTATATGACAGCCGACCTAGTGAGCGTCATAGACTCTTAAATCAGCTGCCCTGCCATCCGACGAGTCCGTGAATATTGAATGGTTGCCCAGACTCTGGGGAAATTATTTTCGCCGAGCCCACTTGAACCATCCTCTACGAATCCCCCAGTTCAGGCCGGATGACTTTTCAATGGTTGTTGCTCCACACATTAACCTCAGTGCCTCACACGTCAAAGTCAACAAGTGGAGACAATGTCAGGCTTGGATTTCCGCTATCCAGCTACCTAATACTTGCAAGAGAATCTAAAGGCATCCCGCTTGAATAGAAACCCCCCACCAGCTGTCCACCCTTGTCTTTTGTTGTTTGGTCCGCCTGTCCCCGATGACAATAGTGGAGCGCCGTCACCGAAGACCCCTTGGGACTATGGATACGACATTTTAATCAAGCCGGGGGCTTTTGAGGCAGCCGCAGCGGTAGTGCGGCTGCCAACTGAGAGACGCGACCAGCCCAGCCCCACGAGATACTGAAGGAGAAAATCAAAGCCCCATCGGTACTCTTCCACCTCACCAAGCTCTTCCTTCACACCTCCTAAGATTCCCCAACCCTCTTTGCAGAAGGCGGAGAAGGCAGACCCTTGACCGTAATGTGAAGGTGGGTTCTCCCGGGCCTAGTCCCGGACGCTGGCTCCGGAGCAAAGTAGCTTCTGCCGCGGAGATATTAGGATGTGTCGAAAGGGTTGGGGTGTCCACACGTCCGTTATCCGGCATACTGCCCTTACTATCGCGCTTATCTCCTTCAGAGAGAACCCAAGCATGGTGATGACTGGCGGCCAGGAAGACTAAAGCCGGCCGGACATGCGATCCGGCTACTCTATTCTCTCGAGACCGCCCCATTTGCAAGCCCGTAGACCCGCAAGCTGGTTGTCATACAGCTTGATTATCAAAGAAAAAGGCAGAGAGGCGTCATATTCCTCTCCGCCCAAACACTGTTCAAAATCTGATACCGCTCGAAAAGTAAGCGCCTTCAGATTTCCGTAAACTCTTCTGGTGCACGTAGTCATGCATCATTTATCATCGCCAACCATGAGCGTGTCGACCGAACACATGGCCTTCCCCTAACTTGGGAAGTGGTGAGAGCCTTCCTGGGCTTCTAACTTCCTGGGTTCTCTGGAGACAAATCCGTAGTCCTAGAGACGACCCACCATATCGTCTGACAGCGCTCCCCATGCCGTAGGGTGTTGGCGAATACCTGACCGATCAGAATCAAACCAAATTCCGCTCAAGGTCATGATGATGAGTGGTAGCACCGGGGTTATCTCATCATTGCAACGCAATGGTTCCATGGGTACTCGTATCACAAGCAACCATTTTCTTCCCTCGAGTCAAAGTGTACTCAGAGGTATGTTTTGGGCCTTTTAAAGTCATGCCCAGGACGACAGGCGGGAAGAGATGCTATTTGGCTAGAGACTTGTTAGCAACAGAAGGGTGAATGAATGCGGATCGACTTACTCTATGACGCGTCAAGACCCTGAGGAACATTCTTCCCGAAAATCACTTGCTCAAACAGGAAATCAATGTGACGACGTCGCCACTCCTATGCAAGATTTTCTTCGATACACACCCGTTATTATCATCGAAAATGGAGCGCTGCCGAACGCAGAAGTCCTCGAGACCGTGTACCTGTTACGTAGTGTCAGTTTGCGTTCATGGAAGCCAGGCATAGAAATGTTGAAAGGGTCCGTACACGGCGAAAAGGCGCCATCTATCCATGGCAACAAAAAGCCATCTACTGCGGAGACTTAGATTCATGCAGACCGTAATGTCATGACATCTATGCCGCCAATGTTGCCTCTACAAGCAACGCCGCGGGCCTTTTCAAGTCTTGCCCAGGACACCGTCGTGCCAGGATTCGATCCAGAAAGCCATGGCTCTTCGACAGGCCTTTTGCTACCATGTCATGCCCAGGACGTCATGTCGGGAATCAAACCATGTAATTCACGACGCCGAGGGCCTTTTACCGTCCTGCCCAGGACGATGTCTCGTCAAGGTTGGTCAATGCTCAGCAGCAGGTTGAGTCGACCGAGCGAGGTGGTCAATGTTTAGAGGCTAGCTGCAAAATCCGAGGGAGGCGCCGTCAACGAGATACAGAGTGGTTGAACGGCTAGCTCGTATCAACAGTCTGCTTATTCATTAGCTTCAAAACACGGCGTGCAGACAGGTGGTGGCAAACTGACCGTCGGCGACTTCGACCTCCCAGATCCATCATCTCGAGACTACAAGGAAGTATTGCTTATTCTCCGATGTCGCCTTGGTAGCCCATGATACGACGAGAGAGCGGTATATTCGTGGTCAGAGCCTGACCGCTCGGCTGGTTGACTTTGACGCCTTGCATTTCAGCCAAAAGCCATGTTGTCGCGCAATGTCCGGCCGATTGTGTAGAAGTAACCGTAGGCCTTTGGAAGGCAAGAGCGTGGGCTCAAATACCATGGTGTCTGAAGATGAAAGGACCTCGCGGGGAGCTTCGGTGAGAAATGGCAAGAAATAAGAGTAGTCTGTCCATATTAGGGCACGGCATATTAACTCAATGAGCGAAATGTTCAGGCTGATTTCCCATAGATGCGGCTGCATATACTATCGGCGGTCGCTCGACGACCACCAGAAAGTATCATTATGGTTGCCGTGAGATATTTGAACGTTTGATGCGGACACCATAGATAAAGTGCATTGTAGTTCGTTGAAGAAGAGGCGTTCATCCGATACGAGAGGCTCCATAGCGGGGGATGGGTCGAAGATGACACAAGATTAGGGACGAGTTCATCAAACGTTGGGGATCTATCTATCGGACCATAGTTCCTCCATTACTGCAGATGTTTACAGTGCCAAGTTATTAATTGCACGGTGATTTCCACTTCCATCGATGTCCGCTGTCCATTTTTTGCTATGAGGCTCCACTTCGACAATGCCCACTTCAAGTTTTCTCAATTCGATCTACCAAAACTTCTTCTTACCTTCACCAAACTTTGATCGTTCAACGCTGTCTCCAACTGGATCGCAAGACTTGAACCAAAGCCGCGATGGCAAGCTCCGCGCATGCGGTGATGGCCTTGGGGTGCCGATAGTTGTGGGGCAGCCAGCTTCCACTGCATATACGTAAGTTACTTTCTCCTAATGTTCTCTATCCTAGAGCCTCACTTTCTATGATGATTCTCGTAAGAGGCTGTTTATGACTTCGTGGGTTTCCACAAGCTTGATTATTCTCTCACCATTGTTCTATCTATATTCCTGACAAAGATATCACTCTTTAATTGGTTACGCCCTCAACGACGTCGTTCACTGCTAACGTCAATAGGTTTTGCTAGGTTGAGCGGAACTATAAAGGCCGCTCTGATCACGATAACTTTTTGCTGATTGCCTATCAAGGTGGCAGGCAGGCTCAAGTAATTCATATGGTAACGTGCATTGATGACAGGCCAAAGGGATACGAAATCAACGCCATGCTCATGTGTAGAATCACCAATTCATTCATACCTATCTGCCATACTGGAATATCGAGCTAACCCACTTTATTTCGCCCTTACTGCGTTGTGCACGTGTTATCCGCTTGACAGGCTTTTATATTTCTCATGCGGTACGCAGTCCCTGTCGAGGGTTGGTAGCACTCATTTCTCGTACTCTCTTAACAGACGTTGACACTCGAGTGCCCAGGCGCCTGTACGGCACCTGATGTTTTAACTACCCAGTTGCCAGATCTTAACGGGAGAAAGCGCGGCTTCTCGATTTGAATCCAATCCAAGGCCGTGGAGGACTGTCTGAAGCAAGATGTCTGAGAAATGTGATGAATAGAAACTGATAGCCATTTCCATTGCGAGCCTGGTGGCAAGAGCAGCCGCCATTCAGTAAGAACCGATCCGAGCGTGGTCAATGCTATAGTAGTAATACTGAAAACAATTGCACCTTCATAGTGCTGCTTAATCTTGAGCATCGAGCTGGCCTCCCGGAGATCCGGGTCCGGTCCCGACGTCATTGGACCAGAGTGGAGACCAGCCCGCATAGGATGTTCGCATGCGGCTACAAAATATTCGTCTCATTGATAACACATCGTGGGATCATTCATCCCCAATCAGCCTCAACGAACATGTCACTTACCATGAGCATTCAATGGCAGCGCGCGCGATGTCGGCTCAAGCTTCGCCTGCGAGTGGGGTCTCCAGCAGCGGGAACCACCTTGATGGTCCCTTTCACCACAAAGAATCCTGAGAATATTATCTCAGGAATTGAAGGCAGGCCGACGAATTTGCGGATTCATTCAATTTATGTCTCTATCGCTTCACCTTCATACATCATTCCGCCAGATTGCAGAACTACTCAAAATGACCTCAATGGGTCAGTTATCCCATCACATTTGGCGCTGCTGAACACATTCATCTTCATCTCCTCGCCGTCGATCCCAGAAATCTTCCATGGAGTAAGCAACTTATCCGGGAAGGCAGTCCCGTTCCTTTTGACGTGATATGCGACAGCGGGGTACATCAGTTTTGTTAGCCATCAAGGTTGTGACGTCCATTTGTCAATTCGTTGCGACTGCCATCAAGGTGCACACAATTCACATGAGCCCGATTGAACGAACGCCTGTCTTGTCGAGTTGCAATGTCCGCTTTCAGCAAACTTCAACTTCGTTCACAAAACAATAGAACAGCATTATTTGCTTCGGGCTCTTATTCGGTTGTTTGACTACTTCGACTATTGCCACTACCACTACTACTATTGTCGCAACCATGGAGCTGCCTACGGAATTGGTCTTGGAAATGGTCGAGCATATGGACATTGCCACGATTAAGAGTTTCATGAGTACGAATAAGGTGCGAAATAACCTGTCTCCCCGCAGCTTTGAACCAAATCTGACAACTTCCAAACAGACAATCCATTCCATTATGCAATTCCACGAGCAATCTATCTGCAAGGCGCGCCGCTCGACGTTCTTCCTCCCGCCCCCCGGAAACGTTCTCTCCTCTTCGGGCCCAGAACGCCGCATCATCGCGGCCAACACCTTCCCTTGTATCGCCGAGCTAGAGCAACGCGAACGCCGCATCGAATTCATCCTGCGCAGCGATTTCATCGAGGTATCGGGACCTCCCGGCATTGGGACGCTGACCGTCCGACAACAAGAGCGCCTCGTCTCCCTGCTTAGACGCGCCCTGTATCACTGCGACCGCATCGCCGACATCGCCGCCAATGTCCCCCAGGCGGAGATGCCGGAGCAGTACTACGACTTGATCAGCTGCAGCGTCTGGGAAGTGGGCACGGGTTTGCCGACCACGTTGCGCAACTTCGACCCTTTTACCAATATCCGCGCGCGAGAGCCACAGATCGAGTACATCAAGTCGCTCTCGCTGGAGGATCTCGTGGGACTGTTCTATACCTTCAGCGTTGCGGGTATGGGATTCTTGCGCGCGCGCCAGTATGACACATCGGACCCTGAAGTTTGTAGGTTACTCCCCGAACCCCTGAACCCTTTTGTCACCCCCGTTTTCCCCCCCTAGTGACTAACAGAATAACTAAAAGTCGAGAAAATCACCGTCTTCGAGGAATCCTTACTACGGCACGGCACTTGGTTCCTCTGGTCGCTGCAGAACAACGGAAAGGGCGGCATTGGTGTCGACACGACCAATATCACCACTGCCACCACGACCACGGCGGGCAAGGACGGCAAGGAGAGCGCGAACTACATGGTGATGCAGGAAATCGCCGGGCATATGCTCTCAGCCGGCCTGGTGGAGCTGCGAGATTGGGAGACCGGAAAGAACAGGAACGGGCCTAGGGGGCTGCGGATGAGCGTCTTGACGGCTGCCGAGGAGAAGATGGTGGGCGAGAGGAAGGAGAGGTATGTTGCGAGTGAGCTGTTTGGTCTCGTTCAGAAGATGATTGTGGGATGAGTGGCGGCTCGGCTGGCTTGGGTTAGGCTGGCCATGGTTAGGTGCACTTGATCGACCGATTCATAGTGGGTGGCGTTTCGGTGGGGGTCGGTTGCATGGTAGGAGTTTTGGTGTGCATTTACGAGAGGCATTTTTAATTTCCCACACGTCTTGCGGCGGCTGGTGTGTAGTTACGATTGCAGCGAAGTTAAATGAGTAGTTCTTCTCACGATACAATCACAATACCGTTTGATTCATCTCGTGGTTTCTACGAAGGAATCTGCTGGCGATGTAAGTTTTACAGGCACAGGTTTGACTCAAAATGTAGCAAATCTGCCGATTCCCTGATCACGCGGCGGAATTTCTTGTCTAAGTAAATACCTTGATAAGATATACAGCCCCACTATATCATGGAGTTTGCGAAATGAATTATACAAATGTCATCGAGCCTCCAAACAAGCCCTCCTCTCCAATGGACTCCCTGCAGTTGCAATCATGCGACAGGAAGGGCTCAACTCTTTCACTCAGGCAGTCTTGAAGCTTCGTGCAGGTTCATTCCCGAACTCGACCATGACTTCAACCCAGAGTGGCGACTATTGCCTTGGCATCAACGTGAGAGGTGCATCACCGACATCTGCGTCATCAACCCAGATGGGGGATTCCCCTATATTCATCATGGGAGTACCGTCGGTAAATTCGACAAAAGTAATCGAAAACTGGTGTTTCTGTAATCTTAGCCTTGATGTAGTGAACAGTGAAATTCTCGAGTCCAAGGGAGTTAAGTCAGCGCTCATAATAACGGCCGACTTCAAGGAAGTCTTGTCAAACCGACGGTCTCAGATCTCGGGTGGACTGAATGGATGGATCTCATTCGGCCCCCCCTTGTTTAGATAACTTTTCGCCGAGATCTGGCGGATTTGAACCGTCAAAGACCTGAGGCTATCCCGACCACGACCAGCCTTCTCGACTCATACGTAAATGACGAACATGAGAGAGTGGTCGAAAGGATTGTGCGTGATGAATTCGGCCCCGGTGTGGAGATGATTTATTCTATTGACGTGCTCCCCTAAGTGGGCGAGTATGAGAGGACAGTCACTTCAGCGACCAACGCTGTGTTGAAGCCGATTGTGAAGCGGTATATAGAAGGTTTGAAGAGCGAGTTTAATTGGTATTGTCTGATAGCAAGACGACCCGGATCTTTCAAGAAGGGCGAGGATTCAGAGGTAGATTATCTGTCCAATCAATTCGACTGCGTCCAGGTGCTTCCGGGCGATGACTCGGCGACCTGCTTACTCGACCGGCGGAGGAGGTGGCATTGGGTGGAGCATCGAAAAGAATCACGGTTCCGGGGGCGGTGGAGAACTATGGTGTGTTGGTAGACCCTGTGACTTTTGAGGTGAAAGGGGAGGAGACGGAGGCATCGAGGCGGGAGATGAGCGACTGGTATAGGCAGAGGAGGGAGGAGGAGGGGGGTTGGGAGTTGGAGTAGAATTCGGGGGTTGAACCGGCAGTGTGATTGTAGTGGAGTGGCTGTGGCAATCTTTTCGGATCTAGTGCATGATAATCCACACATCTCCCCAGTGTTTGAGCTTTCTGTGCAGGCATAAATCGTACTGTCTTCCAATTGAATTCTATCTACTCTGTTGCTCTTGATCGTGGGCTCTGTGGACGACTGTAACAAGTCAAATTCAAAACATGTAACTCCCCATAACCTCGTCTAAGATATCAGCTCTTAATATCCCCTCTCTTTGAATCTCATACCCCAGATCCCCATCCCTATTCACTCACATCAAACTCATCGATAACACTAACCGGCTTCACAAACTTCCCCATGGGCTTATACGTGAATCGGTCGTCCATGCCGAACCCTTTCGGTCCTCCAATCTCGATTCCCCTCTCCGAAGTCCAACGGTCACTCGCTGTGATGCCGAGCACGACGACCAGCAGGCCGTACCTGTACTCAGGAGTTCCGATAGCCTCCCCATTCTGGGCGTCGATGATGCTGATGAGGTCCGGGACCACAGCCAGTACTTCCTCCTCCTTTTCCACTTCCTTGCCGTCCTGATCTTTCGATTTGCTGAACTTGATAGCAGCAATATTCTCGTTCTTGAACGGAATATTAATTAAACCCTTGAACTGCTTCGCTTCCCCTCCCCCTTGCCCTTCCGCAGCAGCCAATTCTTTCACCCTCTCCGGATTCACAGTATCATCCACCACATCCGCCCCTTCAATAATACACTCACCATATATATGCCCAGCCCTCAACTCCCTCTTCACGCCCACGATCTTCCCCTTCCACAACACCCTCCCCCCGATTCCCTGGCCTCCACACTCATCCAAAATCACCTCTGCAACCCTATCCACACAGTTTTCTTTTCTAGCCCTCGCCACTGCCCTCCCAATCCGCCACGACTGCGAAACCGTATGCTCCACCGCCCATCTCCTACACTCCGCCCCCGTGACGGGCGGTTCCGCCGCTGCAACACTAGATCCCATCTGCGACAGCGCTGCGCGCAAAATCCGCTCTACATGCGCGTCCGATTTCGCTGACGGCATGATGAGCGTATTCCCGTTCCCGTCCGTCATGGCGATAGGTGCCCAGATGGGACTGCGCTCGTTGAATACTACTGGGGTAGTCTGCCATTTGGTCGGGAACGCCCTTCCCATCCAGTCGCCGTCCACGCAGGGAAGGTCCATGTTGAGGCTTGCGCCCAACGTCATGCCCTGCAGCCCGTTGCCGCCGCCGATTTCCATGGCGATCATGTGGGTTGCTTTTTGGGGGCAGACTTTGTAGAGCTCGATTTGCGATTCCATCATGGCGTCGCCGGCGAGCTTTTCGATTCCTACGGTGGGAGAGCCGGCGCCGCCGCCACAGCCAACTTGGGCGTCGTCGGGCAGGTCGTCGGGGCTGACGACCCGGACTATGGCGCCGAGGCGCATGAGCCGCCGCAGGTTGAGCTCGTGCGCGTAAGGGGAGCCGCCGCCGCCGGTGCCGAGGATGTAGCAACCGATGGAGATCCAGGAAAGATCGGTTTCGTTGACGTACCAGACTCGGTTCTTGACGGTGGGTTTGTATGTTGCGATGTCGATTTCTTCCTTGGGTTCGGATTTGGTTTTCTTGGTTGACTTCTCTTCGGCAGCTGATTTTTTGTACTCGTCCATCTGGTCTGCCGAGTCAGGGGAAGAAGAACCGGCATCTGCCGCGGTCTCTAGGTCAGTTCGTGAGTAGTCACACTCTCCTGCGGCTCTGACGATGAAGCGCGTTTTGTTGGCGATATACTGTGCAAAATTCCGTCAGTAAAATGGTATCAGTATTCCAGATGGAGTAAGAACTTACCGCCAGGGGCAGGTTCTCCATCTCAACAATCTTAACACTCTCCCGTAGAGCCCCGGCTGTTACCGTCCTCTCAATCGCATCCTGACAAACCTCATCCAAGATCTGCTGTGTGGTCCTGGATTCCGTCGACCTGACCGTATCGACAACAGCACTGACTCTGGCAATGGCAGCCCCAACCGCATTTGCGACCTCTGCATACTTTGGTTTGAGCACTTTGCTCGCCCCTTTCAGCTGATCCGGTGCGATGATGGCGCCACCACCAACAAGCAACACTGGCAAGTCTTCAGGCGAAGTCTTCATCGTATCGATGATCTTCTCCAGCTTCTTCGTCACCACAGCCCTGAACTTCTTGATCCCCTCCTCACTCAGCGCGCCCTTGACCAACTCCGCGTCACCAACCTTAATATTCGGATTCGCCAATGCCGTACAGTCCGTCGCAGTCAGTACCTTGCCCCCAAACACCCTTGCCTCCTCCGTAAGCTTATACCCAACACTATCCGGCCCGACCGTCATCACCTCTTCATCCCGCACAACCGAGCCGCCCCCAAGCCCGATACTCTTAATATCCGGACACGAAAAGTTCATCCTCACCCCGGCCAAATCGCTATATGCCGCCTGCTGCCTCGGAAACCCATTCGCAAGCAATAACCCGACATCCGTCGTCGTGCCCCCCACATCCACCACCATCATGGCATCCTCGAGCCCGTCGTTGCTCCCGACCAAAAAAGCCGCCCCCCTCATACTGTTCGTCGGCCCGCTCGAGAACGTCCTAATCGGTAATCTGGCCGCCATATCCCCCGACAAAATGGTCCCGTCGTTCTGCGTGATGAACACAGGACAATGCAAACCCAAAGCCTTGATAGGCTCCTGAAACGACCGTATCGTCTTCCTCGCAAACGGCAAAATCGATGCGTTCAAGATCGCCGCGTTTTCCCGTTCCAGAAACCCCAAGTTGGCTACTTCCTTCGACAGCACGACGTCGCACCCGGGGATCTCGGCGTGGATTATATCCGCCGCGCGCTCTTCCTGTCGCTCGACCGTGTCGATCGGACTGAAAATACCGACGACAACTACGGACTTGATGCCCCTTTCCTTGATCTTGGCACACTCGGCTTTGATTTCCTCGACGTCGATATCCGAAATCAAATGCCCATCCACCTCAAGCCCGCCCTTGATAAGCGCATAGTACCCGAGAATCAACTCGCGCATGTCGTCGGGCCAGTCTATGCACGGCGTGGCGTGCTTAGCGAAGGGCCCGACGAGGCGGAGCACGGCGACTTTGGACAACCTGTTCGCATCCCGTTCGACGACGGCGTTGACGAAGTGCGTCGTGCCGATAGTGACGCTGGCTACTTGGTCCGGGCTGATGTTCGCCGTTTTGAACATAGTGGTGATGGTGCTGTTAATACCCAGGCTGGGGTTCGTCGTCGTGGGAGATTTGTGAGAGGCCATGATGCCCTTGTCTGGGTCTGAGGCCCGCGTCGGGTCCAGGACCACGCCATCGGTATTGGTTCCGCCAACGTCTACTCCGATTCTGAGTGTTTTCTTTGACATGTTGAGTTCTATGGCGACTGAATGATTGTTTTTGTTTTGGAACTATGTTGTCAGTTACCTTGAAGAGCAGCCCATAATGGTATAAGTGTAGTGGAGCTCTTATAGGTAGGTGGTCGAACAACCCAACTGGTAGGAAGCTAGAACAAGATCTCGGATAAGCAAGTACAACCGAAAAGAGGCACAGCTAGCAGCGTGTGATTGATGCAAGTCTAAAACACGTCTTTCCTCTTGAGCAGGCCAGGTCAATCAATCACAATCACGCCGCGACATGCAGCGTAAGTACTAATATCCCCGGAGCCGACCGTGCCGACGTCGGAACACCGTCATAAGCCCCTGCCCGTGTTGGAACCATTATTATCATGGGAGATGCGATTGATAAGATAATGCCGCACCTCTCATCCATGTCGATGTGCAATCGTCATTCGCCACCGGCGCGATACGAATGTCGAATTACAGGAGAGAGCAGGAGAGCAGTTGATGCATCAACCCTCTTCAACCAGTCAAGAGGCATCAAGTGACACCCGGGGTACCCCCGTTCGCTCAACGGCCGATGGCACCCTTCATTATCGGCCCAGTCTGAAGTCACGTACAGGAACGGTAGTCTGGTCTTGGTTCACCGGATGTAACAACCCAAGGATCCCAAACATCATGTTGGAGATAACTGCCAAGAAGGCTATCTTGATGATGTGATAGTTAATAGTTCGGGAACTGCCGTCATCATCTGTCTGCCAGCCCGGACGAGGTTTCCCGAGCTACCGTAACTTCTGGCCTCAGACTCTTCGACATGTTCATGGACAAGATCCGCCTCCACAGCGATCACAGCGATGAGACCCAGCATGAGCAGACCGGTCGGACCGCTGGAGCGATGGATCTCATTCCTCTTCCCCCGCACCGCCGGACGTGGGGTACATTCGTCCCAGTGTAACCCGAGAAGGGTCGAATTCAGCTCTGGACGCGGACTCATGATGCCGCCTTGCTGGTGAATGGGATGGTTTGACTGCTTCGGCTTCTGGACAACCCCCTCGTTGAACATCTCCAACTGGCAGACGCCAAAGTCGTTCTTCGGTAGGTCACCACCATGTTGCATCATTATAAACGCATGATCCCTGACGGCAAGCACAGTCCAAGGCCTCTCCGTTGGCCAATCTATGGCTATAATCATCGTCGCTTCTTCTGCCTCGTCGCCTGATGTGGACTGAAAATGACATATCTTCATCGTTCATAGCCGCTACACTTGGAGCATGCACGGGAGTTACACAACCCTACTGCAGCGTATCCCGCTCAACTTCATCTCGAACGGCGGCCGCTTGATTGTCGTCTGCCCTCTGGCCCCCCTACGCGAAAATGACCAATTTCCTCCCCTCCAGCATGCCGACGACGGCAACGAACTTGTAGGCTTCATCGTCTTCTGGGTCTTATTGGCCCTCTTTTTATGGATCTGGCCTGCGAAGTTCAAGTTGCCGTTTCTAGTTACGTCCGTCAACTGCGGCTGTAGCATGCTCGCCATGATGGACTGGGCTTTGACTACGGCCAAGGGGGCCGGCCCGCTTCTGACACTGGCCAAACTCTGCCAGAAGGATCGCCCTGGAACGTTTCTTGGCTCATGATGGCTGGTGCAATCAGATGATGGGCGGCATCGCTGCTGAGATTACAAGTGGTTCGGACTTCTCACGCTACTCCGAAGAGTGGAAATCCTACGTCATCGGCAGCTCGAGCAGGCGTCTTCTTCTTCGCCTTCGGTTTTGCCCTGACAAACGTGTTCGAAAACGTATGCTACAATGTGGGGACGGTATCGACCTAGCGGGTCTGTGGCCACATTGTATGATCATGCGGCAGGGAGCCATCATTACCTTCGTCGCAGCCTGGATCGTTCAGCCATGGCGACTCCTCAAGCACGCTGCCACCTTCATCCCAGTTCCTAGGCTCGTTCAGCGTGTTCTTGGCCCTAATCATTGACATGATGGCGACGGCCTACTGCCTCCTCCGAAAGCGCAAAATTGGTCCGTCCCACCGCTATCGTACGCACGACACGACGTACTGGTATTAGCATGGGATGAACTGGCGGGCTATATCCGCGTGGCTCGCCGGCTGGGCTCCTTCCATTGGCGGCTTGGCCATCCCTGTCCGTGGCGATGTAAATGCTCCGAGAGCTTGCAGGACTTGTACTTCATGGCTTTCTTCATCGGTAAATATTGCCATCTCCGTAGGCTTCTGAGCAAATGTGGCGTACTGACTTGCATCCCGCATTTCAGGCTTCTTCATCAGCGCCATTATTTTCTATTCATTGAACTTGCTTTTCCCTCCCCGATGGACTGGGTGGCTTCTACGAAGCCGACCTCTATGGAGCTCTCACCGACAGAGAAGCTGAAGAAATTGGCGTTACGCCCACCGCCGTGCTGCTGTCCAATGAAGATAGCAGGATGCCTTCCGTGCCGGATGAGTTCTATGAGGAGAAGCGGTAATCCCGTGCGTAGAAAATGTCTCCATGTCCTTTGGGTTATTTGTGAGCGCTTGTGGTTGCTAGTTCAGTAACCACAACAACGGCATGTACCGTCTTATTTGTAATGCAAGGATCGTGGATCATTTCCTCGTGGGGATCTTTTCTTGGAAAACTGCAACAAAGCAGCTGCATGAGCCGTAAAGTCGGTACTGCTGAACATGAAAACCAAGTTCCTCACTACTCCTACTGTTGTCCCCAGACAGTCGCCCTGATCTTAGCCACCACGAGCTCACGGCATCAGTACAAACTATTGAAGCCGGTCAAATAGACATCGATGGACGTTGATACCAGCTCACATGTCTCTGCCACATGATCTGTCAGTAACGGTTCGAAGCGCCTCGGAGCCGGTATTTGTCATCCAGCTTTCACGCGGCTTGACTCGCACAATGTGAGACACGAAAAAGAGGAATGGAGGAAACTGATACCGACCACATCATTGTCCTGCAGTCGCCAATGGCATTGTGCAACTCTCACGTCGGCCCGAGGCCAGTACGAGTCGTATCAGCTCCTTCCCTAGTGGGCAAGCAGACATGAGGATCCCGAGTACAACAGACAGAGATTTTCCCAGAAAAGCAATCGTTGCCGCGCCGATGGGATATTCTGCATTCCGCTGTCTTCAGAAACGAGTCTAGCGTTCGATGGTGGCTGGTCCCTGTACAAGAAGGCTGGAAAAGATCGGTCGATCAAGACGAAAGTGACGACCGCCATGGCCTGACGTCTGCATAAGGCCATGCTTATTATCCGCGAGGAGCCGTGATTTGTCGCATCGTAATCCATCCACGTGGAAAGACAACGGTCTTGTTTACGAGAGAGTATAACACGCGATGGGGCGCCGATGGAAGTACATCTAGAACTTCGAGAAGCCCAGCTTGTAGAACTGAGGCTCACGAAACCAGCCCGTAATCTCAAACCAAAACGTGCTGGAGAGCCACACGGTCGTACTGAGTGACTGAATGGGCGATCATCAACATCCGCCATTGCCGCCATGGCCGCCATGAGGCATGGTTGATAACAACCTTGAGGCAATGGTCTCAACAGCCGTGGAACTGGCTGATCGAACATTAGTGGGGCCAGATTGAAGAAAGAAGGTACGTCTAGATGCACCCAATACATAGCAAAAGAAAATACGTTTGTCCCGGTGGTATTGTCAGAGTTAGATGGCACCTCTGTGATTCGCTCGCTCTCGTATGCGCCTTTTCTTTTCAAACCATCACACAATATCTCAGGCTGCCACGCGTGCAAACATCATTGTCGATGCGCAACACTGCCGCTATTGTTCAGCTGGATGGCTTCTCCTTGCAGTACATCGAAGCACAAACTCGGCGCTTATTCTTTACCGGCGGAAAGGTTCAGTGGCTGAAGGAATCCAATCAGGGGCAGGTAGTTGAGATGCAGTAAGATGCAGTGTGATGTGTTGCGAAAGAGGAGAATCGACGATCTGAAAGCTAGGTGATTTGTGATAGACTGATTTGACAGGTAAAATATCGAGCGTACGTATGCACGCGTACGGCACTGTGCATTCGAGATTCGGCGGACCCTGGCAAGTTGCTGAAGTGTCGTGCCGTCCATAGCGGTGACGGCATCTTACCATACAAAAATCGTCGGTAACACAAGTTGTTTCCAGGCTGCTTGAAAGGGCCAGAGAACGCAGATCGCTACTACCGCCTGGAGAAGGTATCTTCCAGAAAAAAACAAATGATGTCCTCGTCGAACCAACGGAAAAAATGTGTCCAATCCCAGCTGGAGCTGTCAGGTCGATTCGCTGCAGCCACCCGTCTGGGCAAGCCCCTAAAAAGCAACCCACGCCTTGAGAACACCGTCTGAGCGATTTGGGCTCCATCGTTCAACGTCGTTAGTCCCGGAATCCATATTTCCCGCCATCTCTCCTTCGCTTGATACCTCCAGACAGTGACTGTGTGGCATTCCTCCGCAGTAACCCGCAAGGGTAGCAGTTGATCCGATTCTGAGACATAGGATGAACTGTGGCCCTACCAAGAACGACGTCTTTATCCGAATCCAGTCCAATGTACGTTCTTGCAGGATGACTTGCCTAGTGGGCCGCAAATGGATTATATTGGAGGACGTAGTTGACACGGGATTGGCAACTTGCTTGGTCTGTTATCAGTCGGAGCCCGAACGTCGTTTGTAGACCCATCAGCGTTGATACACCCTTGGGCCCTATCCGTTTCTTCGATAAAAGGTGGCGTTAGGTAAGTGCGCCCCTTTTCAAACCACAAGGATATGGGTAGTTGGAAATCGCCGGACTAAAGGCATTGTTACTTACGAGATTGATCATAGCAGCCACTCGTGTTACGAAACCAAGTCCTCCACTATGCGCCAAATATGTCCTATGCTAGATTTGGCCGCGTACTCGGCAGGATCTGAAGCCCATCGCGCGGCCGGTGAGTTGAGAATGCGCAAATGTGTGCAATTATTAGGTTGCCCACACCCGAAAATGTCTCCCCGAGTCTTCCCAAGTCTCCCTAAGTCTCCCTAAGTCTCCCTAAGTCTCCCAGAGTCTCCCTAAGTCCACCCCAGTCTCCCTAAGTCTCCCGTACCATGCGTGAAACCGCCAATATAGAATACCGGGATGTTTTTTGCTCCAATACGTTTGTCTGCAGCATCGCCAACCTGTTACAGCTCAATGTTGTCAGCCCTAGATGAGCTATTGATGTGAAAGAACCTCGAGAGCTTGACGAGTATATAAGGATGCTTGTTTCTTCCTCATCATCAATGTCCAACTCTAACTCCATCATCACCCAACAACACCTTCTAAACCAAAGAAGTTCATACATTGACGTCTTTCACATTCTCTGGCAATTCTGAGTCTTCAGACGACACGTTAGACTCCCCCATTGCTCGCATCTCACGGCTCCAAACCCCCTCCCCCTCCCAAATCAGTATAGGTCGTCAAGAGAATCTCTATTCCACGATGTCTTCTTACCAAGCCACCAAGTCTTCTTCAAGCAAGAAGACCAGTCAGGGCACTGGCAGCCACGGTGGGTGACTACCATGCCTTGAGCCGAAGCATTCTGACGCTAACAAAGAGAAAGGCCAATCAACTCATGCCAATGCTAACGCCCAGTCGCAACAAACGGCGGCATGGATGCAGAATCAGTTGCAGAACGGCCCCTGGGACGCCGTTGGCGAAGTTCCCTATGAACAAGGCTGGCAGTACTATACTGAGGTCCAGTATGCCCAGTCCATTGCCGCTACTCAGGGCTCGGCCAAGAAGTCTAAGAGCCACAAGCATAAGTCGAGCAAGAAATAGAGTGGTCGAGTGTCGACGCTGAAAAATGTGTAGGACAGTACGGGTGGTTGGCCTATCTGTTGGAAACATAGTGCGGACACTAGGTAGTCGCACCGAGGATGGCTGTGTAGCAGGCGCTATTTTCTTGTTTCGTGTACACCATACCTTAGTGTTAGTTTTTCTTGGTCCTGTTCACTCGTGGTTGTTCAATTCGAAGCTTCGTCAATTTGAGTTCCATGATGCTGTGCTTGAGTGACGGATTGCGCCTTCTTGCAACGATGAAAATACGCAAGGATCAAGACGGAAGTGGTGAAGAAGCATTTGTGAACTACCAACTAACCCCATGGAAAGTGTGATTGTGAACTTGAGATGACAAGTTGGAGATACTTCGGTCAATGAAACGGGTTTGTGAGTGCTTCATTTGACGGTTTGAAGATGCTGACGTTGAGTTGAGGTATCACCAGAACTGTGGAGATCAATTAAATGGGCTCAGCCCACTTGACCCCACTCCTCAACACGTCCCGTCCAACTGAATTCCTTTACAATAACTTAATATGGAGGATGCCCCTAGGAAAGCCCTTCCGCGGGTTTTAATAGCAATCTGCTAAATCGTCTGTAAGCATTCTCCAAGTGCTCGCGGAACTATGACCGCCTAGCTCGCTGGCGTATTAGTATTAGAGGTGTAGCTAGTCGATTCGAATACTCGCCTTTAGTAGTTAAGACTAACACTAAGCGCCTATAACTAACTGGATTGTTCGCCTCACACTACCGTAGCGGCCGTCCTATGGTCATAACCGTACAGGAGGCTCGATATATTGCAGAACGATGAGAAATACCCCGGGATTAGCTAGACAGCATTGTTGAAAACGGTACAGACGAAGTAGGCTATGTCCCATACCGTAACACTATTGAGGCTGCCTTGAAGTAATAAAACCAGTTCTTTTGGAAGTTCCTACACCGAATTCAATTACCCTCGGGGCTCCGAGTGGATGAGTGAGGAAAAGGAGGTCCCGGCTGCCCTCCTCGGCCACTGGAGGAAGAGATGGCTCACCGGAGCAGAGCATCACGATCGCCAGCGACGCGCTATCGCTGAGGAACCGGAGGGCCCTTCGATGCAGATACCGAAAGGGGGCAGGTATTTCGGCCTGAACCGACTGGAGGCGTCTACGCTGTGCCAGATCAGGACGGAAAAAATAGGACTAGCAGCCTTCTTATTCAAGACAGGGGCTTTTGGCGTGTACTCGCCGCTATGCCGCTGTGGCGACGCCCCTGAGACGGCAGAGCACGTAATCCTCTTTTGCGGGCTGTTGGAAGGACCGAGGGAACGATTACGGGCCGCTATCGCACCACGGCCACTATACTCTCGCAGAGACCTCGCAACGGCAACAGGAGAACCAGTAGTTAGTGGGACTATTGTAAGGTGGCTGCTAGGGACGGGTCGGACAGCTTCAAGGCCCAGATAGCATCGATCTTCTCAGGGGGGACTTTGTTGGTAGGTTGAGAACCAACGTAGTATGGTAGTGGACGTAACGCAGTCGCCAATAGGGCGAACCGACGACGCAGCGTATGTATTTAGTCCAGCCATTAGGGCACGGTTTGACATACGGGAGTACTAGTAGAGGTACCGGGGGCTTCGAGCCTACGGCGTATTTAATAATAATAATAATAACAATTACCCCTGAGAGCCATAGGCTAATAGACAATATATCACCGCTTTTGGAAGGCCAGAGTGGTAGAATTCACTAAAGTACGTGCGAATAATACCGCAGGGTGGGATTTAGCGACCTTCAGTTAACTTCTACTAAACTAATAGAGTATCTTTAGCGACGACTGTACGGTCTAAAACGCGACGGATTTTAGTGCCAGCCAGGTCTAGCGATTACCAAATAAGCTATTTAACAAAAGAGTAAATTATATTAAGTACGGTAAGCATGCTATCGCTATGATTATCTGAGGTATTACCTACAACTAATCTATACGGCCACTACTTTCTGCTGATAAGACAACGCTAGAATATATACTTCTTAGGGTTTATAATAGTGGCTAGAAGCCTACGGCATATATACTATCGATTAGCCCGCTGATATGTGGCCCCATGGGGGGTTGCCCTATAGCTAGAGATAAGATAGATAAGAGCTATAAAAAAGCTCTGCCAGGCCAGAATAGCTGACTTGGCCATCCTTTCCCAATACAACAATTCACACCCCATATGCACTCGCATCACCCGCTTAAAGTCCTGATTGGTCTTGAATCGAGAAGATGTGGCGCTATGAACCATACTACATTTTGAGATAACGCGATCGACGAAACCCAAACGATGTAAGTATGGTAACACTAGTTAATGGTAAAGAGCTCTCCAAAATTTAGCATTTCTGTGATTGCTTCAGTATGATGAAAAAGGCTTGTTGGTCAACTGCAGTGTCAAGCACGCACTTCTCGTTCGATATACGCCGCTTATTCCGCTTATTGAAAAATTAATGCTTGATTGGCAAGTTGGGTCTATTACCACACTCGGATTGACCGAGCTGGCAGTGCCAGATCACCAGGGGTACATGTCGATCTTTGCTCAGGTACAATCAGCCCCAAGTTCCGCTAGTGGCCAACTTTGGTTGGCCACGTTGGGCAAGTTTGTGTTACCCCCGAGTTACTGTGAACAGGGCCATATTCTCTTACTTCACATGATCTGCTGACTCAGAATGAAAAGGAAACTTACTGCTCATGATCGATCATATGAAGAACGATTCCAAAGCTCACAAAGGAACACCCCGGTAACCATACTCGGCCGGGCATGATCATTTCTAAGGAGACTGGAAGCTGCTGTTCATCACATCGCAAGGCCTTCTGGAGTCTCGATACCCAGCAGTTGAAAAAAATGCAGAAGAACAAGTCAATTTACAACGCTCCTATATATGCTGAACTTGGAAAGTTACGAGACAGTTTCGAGTCGGAGTTTGCAGTTATTTGGGAGCATAGAGGCGTTCACAGAACCCCACGAGCGAGACGGAAAAAGGCATCACTTGACTAAAACTTCAGCTCACAGATGTCATTGGTATTTTGGCAGATCGAATGCGTTCACGCAAATCATGGACTGGGGAGGATGAACACAGGCCATCATGTGACCTCCAAAAGTCAGTAACATATCCACAAGGCTGAAAGTTCGGATAGTTATAAGCAGTGGCGGCATGAGACAATTGTTAAGCCACGCAGGGATTGAGTCTCCGCGTGGATCAGTGGCATAGAACGAAGAAGAAATTCTGGCTGAATTTTAGGTATTGCCTGTTCCTGGTGCTCCCGCTTTAATTTATGGTCGGAGCGTATCATCAGTGTGTGTGCCCCACCCCCCTTACCTGAGCAAAATGCTACTTACATACTTATACACTGGAGATGCTGTCACTGACAAGATTTCAGTATCCGCCCTCCCAGGAGAAAGGAAGGAGCGAGCTTACCCTGTTGCCAGCCCCTGAGCGTTGTCTGTGCGTTAGTGCTATTCCGGGAACGCGGGCTCGGGAGCTAACGCAAAATGGCGGGCGAGCATTTGATCTGCCTTGCCTGGTTCCATCTTGATGAGATCTGCCGTCACGTCGGACATCGGGTTCGACGACAGCCAGAATTGTGATTGCTGCAATTCCTACTGCATTTATTGGGATCAAGGATTTGCCAAAGCACGCTTTCTCCACCTCGTTTTTGGAATCCGCGGGGTTCTTCGGAGAGTTGTACAGCAGCAGATAAATCACATTTGCGCGACGCGGGAGCTGACAGTTTGGTTACCGCCGGAGGGAGAAACCTGCTGTATGACGTCAATTCTGGTTGGTGGAAATTGGGGCTGACGAGGAGGGTCGCTTGCTGAAGACTTGTACCCTGGCGGCTAATGAGCTCAACTGTGTTGAGCATGCCACGCCGAGTCCACGAAGTGACGAAGTGATTATTTAAATAATCATCATGCTCTTCATCCAAGAATGGGTCGTCGAAGTTGATAAGCGTACTACTTCGAAGAAATTCTCAGCATTAAAGATGCGAACAGAGCCATTGATGCAACTCTGCAGCTATTTGACGGAGTCTTCGTGACTGACAAGCTGTGACCTGACTCCTGGACACTGCAACAGCTTCTAACCCCATTTCGGCCAAGAAGAACAACTATTAAGCTCATGAAGGAGTGCTCACTTATTGGTCACAAGAGCCGGTGAACATGAAGAGCCTGCTGAATTGACTTTGGGGGTTGCTGCTTCCATTGGCGTGACTGATCGAGAAACTGCTCAGGTGGCTTGCACCAGCCACACAGCCAGACTTTCCAAAACAATCAGCCTCCATCGCAATAAACATAGGATTCAAGGTTCGCTCCGCAACTCTACACAGCCAGCAATAAACCCGCTTCCCTGCCTCTGCCTCCCTGCCCCTGGCCTTTCCCCAGGTGGATCCATAACATGTGGTGCCTCTGATCCCAGCGTCAATATTTGCCAGCCAAGTCGGCTTTCACTGGCCGAAAGTCACACCCATCAGTCCACGCGCATTCAAGGCCTGTTTCTTCCTTCCCAGTGTCCGATCGGTCAGTTTCTGATCCGTCTTTCCCTCATCATCAGCTTCATCCTCTTCGTCGCCGCTGTTGGCTCTCAATAATTCACGCTCGTTTCACCCCTGACGCAGCACGGTTGTGAACTGTTTTGACGAGCGTTTGCAGTGTCGCAGTATCAGACAGAGCCACGCCAGGACAATTTCCCCTCGTTACAGATGTAACTCGCTTTCCCGACGAATCCGGAGCTGCAGAAACAGCTACGACCTTCACCTCAAGCACGCGAGTTTTCAGGTTCCATCGACCCCTCGGAATAACTACAACGTCAACCACGCGACACGTACGACACGACACCACCGACCGACGTTCTACCAGCATTGTCGACATCGACATCGACATCTTGCGAATAACCTCATTATCAATTCCACCGTCTTTCCCAGCCGAGTGCAGCCCATCTGTTGGAGAACTAGCTCGGTAACGCAGCCCGATCGCCTATTGAGCATTGATCGACCCAAGTGCCACCTTCACAGGGGCTGAGGCCTCATCTTCAGTGACACAACCGTCAAAAAAACCAAAAAAAAACCAAAAAAAACTAGCCGTCGCGCACTCAGACACCGTCAGTCGTGGCGCAGTCACTCACAATCACGCCTTCAATTGCAGACCTCCAGCTCAATCGATACGAATATTTTCACCACTTCCACTCGAGTCAGGTCGATCATCCTAACGACTTCCTCCATCCTCTTTTTCGCCATCGACACTCCCAACTCCATAGTTCTCCATAACCAAAACTAGATCCAATATAATGGGTACGACTTCCCCATTCCTTGTCATCCAATCAACGGCGATCTCGAGATATTCACAATTATGGGGTTCGGACGAACGCCTGTCGAGCTTTCGTCAATCTTCATGGTCGGCTGAGTTTGAGCTAACATGATCATATAGCCTTACCAGTGACAACGGTCGTGCCTTTCACGGCGCTGCCGTCATGTGCGACACTATGCGGCCCACTCTACGATGCAAACGGCGCCTGTGTGCCGCCGGTAGCTGCCACTACTGACGAGGAAACATACGACACGTGCTTCTGTAGCTACAACAAATTACAGCCGTTCTTGTCCGGCACATCGGGTGTGTGTGACGCTGCATGTCCAGGGGATGCAGGTGGTCTATCGAGCATTCAGGGCTGGTTCACGAGTTTCTGTTCTGGTAGAGTTCAAGTGGCCACGACGACGGGCACTTCATCAAGCAGCACGAGCACGAGTGGTAGCAACTCCAGTAATGACTCAGGTGGCGGTGATTGGTGAGTCGTCCGGCCGCTATGCCTCTTGTCGAATCCCATCTAACTTGACTTTGTAGGTTGTCAACGCATTGGAAATGGGTCATCATGATTGTCATCGTCGTAGTCGGTATTGCAGGAATATGGATCGGAGCCTGCATCTGGCGCCGCAAGTACCTTAAGAAGAAAGACCGGATGTACGAGCTCGGTAAGGGTCTACCGAGCACCGTTGCCGTCAACACGGAAGGAAACCTTGTTGGACCTGGAGTGAAGAGGGGAGCTGGACAACCTGGCATGTTCATGTCAGGCCACACCGACGGCGCTTACACCGAGAAGCCAAAGAAGTCACGCAAGAAGTGGAACGTCTCTCAGCGAACATGATCAGCATCTGCGATAGCCCTCCTTCGACTACCAGTGTCACGCAATACTCGAAACTTCTTTCCGAAGCACATACTTGTCCAACCAATAGCGGTGCCCCTGCTATCCGCGCACATATTCTTACCGAATAATCTCTGAACCGGCATATCATCATTCTTGGCGTTTTTGGTTGTCAGGCCAAGGGTAGGCCATGCTCGATTTACCATGGATGGGATGTTTCCCACCAGTTTTGTTTGTTTTTGTTTTGTTTTATTGGAAACGGAGTTACGGTTTTCGGCCTTGGTTAAGGTAATAAAGGATCCGAATTGGATGGTGGGAAGGAACATATGTCGGTATTCACTGGCTTACAAAGAAAAGAAGAAAAGGGGTCTGGGACTAGGTGGTACAGCATCATCATCATGGTCCAAAGTCGCGAATCCTTTGACCGACTTTGAGATATGGCTCCCAAGTCCAAGTGTTAGACGGAACCACTGGGGAAGGGAGTCTTCTCTATGCCCTAAAAAGCGACAGGGCCAATTGAGAATAGTTCTATAATTTTATTCAGATGTTCTCATTGTGGGGAAGTGTGAATAGTGAAGTCCGTAGGTCTGTGAGTCCGAAGATCTCGTTTGAAAGCTACAGCTACTTAAACATTCACCATCCGTGGAGGAGACTTCTTTCAAGGTCATATTGTGATGCAAGAACTGAGGAAGTTACATGCAGGTTTGCGGACAGGACATGTCCCTGACGTTCATGGCGTCTTGTGATGCCTAGAATAGGAGCAACTCAAATACTATGTACGGACATTTCTATCATTTGAAAGCCACTCGCCTTCAGTGTCATGTTCGCTTGATACGCCTCTAAATGATCCTCTGTGCACCTCGTCAAGTAAACAAATACAACTGATGCACATCCTCCCACTGTCTAATTGAAATATTTATGAAACCTCATCTACTGCTTGGGCGTAATCTCGTGAACTGTTTTTCATAACTATATAACCCCAATGCAGGAACGAAAAAACACTAGAGAGCTGACTATATTCGTAAACTCATAACCGTCCCGTCAGCATTACCCATATTCTATGTACTTTTCAGCCTATACAATCAATGCTCTTCAAACCCCATGTTCTATTACCCATTCTAAACCTCATGTACATACATGCCTGTTGACAATTTGCCGTTACCTAAGCCGAGCCTTCGGCATACTCAGCAGCGTCCATGTACAAGTCAATCAAGCATCCCGCACTCCACGCCTGCGTCGGACTGGAATCGCCACAGTACTCTCCATTCTTCTGTGTGAGCTCCGTGAGACCAGCCCAGGGACTGCTCTCAATCATCTCCTTGCATCCCTGCAGACGGCGAGTCACTTGCTGGAAGGCTTCAACGCGGCCCTCCTTGCTCTCCTTGTGGCGCATCAAGTCAAACTTGAGCAATGCCCGGAGAAAGAAGCCCGTGGGCCAAAGCCATTCGGGGCCTTGGTGGTAGTTGCGGCCCTTGGACGTCGCGAAATCAGTGCTGTCCTCGCTGTTGATGTAGTACGGACGGTAGTTCAAGTCGGCGGGATCAAGAGTGGCCATTCCAGTGGGGCCACGAAGTACCTTGTCTGCTAAGATGAGTGCGCCCATGGCATGCGAGGGATCGAATAGGTCGGGGGCCACTGTCATAGCGATAGCAAAGTTGGGGCGGAGCTGGTAGTCCTCGTACTCTTTTCCGGAACGGAAAAGATCCTTGTAGATGCCCCTCCTATTGATGACATGAGAGTTGACAGCATACTTGCCGTCCTCAGATGCATCGGTTGGCACGTAGTAACTGTGCTCAAAGCTCGACTTGAGCAAACCAGCCCATTCGGCAAAAGTGACCTCGGAGCCGTCGGATTTCTTGACCCCATTGTACGGGTACTTGCCCTCCGAGTTCAGCTTCGCGAGCCACTTCAGCGTGCTATAGAGAAGGCCAGTGATCTCAATAGCGGCACCATCTCGAGGAGTACCGGGTACGCCCTTTGAGCCTGCACGTTCACTTTCGCCCATCTTGTCCATCCAGGTTCCGCAGTTGAATTGGTTTCCACCAAATATGACACCATTGGACCAGTCGACATTAATTTCAATGTTGAAACCCTCGTTGCGCATCTGAGAATCGATGCTGGGACCAGCATTGGCTTCGCGGAACTTCATACCGGAAGCGTGTCGTTGCATGGCTTCCTGGATGATGTCTTCCATAATGCTTTCCTTCGAGTACGCGCGGGGATCTTCTGACGCGAACCAGGTATCGTCGTAGGGCAAAAATCGACGCTTGACTTTCCGTTTGAGAAATTCGGTTCCGTTTGGTGCAAGACGAGTGTAGTCTTGTATGCATTGCAGGAAAAACCAAATCGAGTCTCTGCTGTTGTATCGCGGCAAATTGCCACTGCTTAGCAAGTTGGGAATCATGCCATGCTTCAGAACACTTGCAAATGCAAAGATGTGCTCTGCCGCCTCATCGAAGCGCCCAGTTCCGAGGTACAGTCCTCGAAGAGAGATGAAGACATCACGGCCCCAGCAGCGTGCCCACTCAACAGCAAAATGAGGCAGACCTGCAGCCAAAGATGGTACTAGTTTCGTGGGCCATAGCGAGCCAGATTTGACGAGTCCTGTCTGTTGGATGCTGACCATGGCGAGGTTCTGGAGGAACCATTGGCCATTGCGCGTGTTCTCGTTCAAGAGGTCCAGCCCTCTTTCTTTTGCAGCCATGTAAGCAGTTCGAATGACCAGACCGAAGTATCTCGGCAACAAGAAGCTTGGAATACCGCGAAGAGCACTAAAGCGATCTTTCAGCCATGCCGCAGGTTTTGCGAGAGACTTGAAGTTTTCTTCTTGACCAGCTCTTTCCAGTCGGCCTACGGTATAGTCAAGCGCCCACTGACCATCACGTAGGTTTTGGCAGAGTGGGTGCGCAAGATTGTTGTCTTTGATGACATCCTTCAAGATACTCCACCATCCTTGCAGACCAGCATAAATGATCTTGCCATAGCCAGGGATCTCGTACACGCCATCCTTGCCATCGCTTCCGTCGCGTTCCTCTGCCTCGCATCGGTAAAGCAGGAAGTTCAAGTCTACGAGATTCAACTCTGCCATGGCAGCCTTCGCTCCTGACGTGACATAATTGTCCAATCCAGAGGAGTGTTCAGCAGCTGGAATCCAAGTCTCGAACAGCGCAATCGAGCCAGGTGGGAATTTGTCGCGAACTGTGATAGTGGTATCGTCGCCCTTGACCTCTATCCGGACACCTGGCAGGCTGACTACGCGGCTTGGCAGGCCTCTCAAATACTTCTTGTCTTCCTCGATGACCTTCATGGCATCCTCACCGGTATCGACCTCAAGCATCCAGCTTCCCAAATGTTGAACTTTGGTCCCGCCGAGGTGCACGGCGTTGAATGCTCCATTGCCGTTACCGTAGCCCGGGTAGGCCGTATGAGCAATGAGAAAGTATCCTTTCCTGGACTCGGGGTGTACTCTGTGGACTGTGATATACTGATCCTCGTGATGGATATGTGTTTCATCATAACCATCCATGCCCATGAGCTTGTGAATCTGATTGAGCAACTTCTTAACTCCGCCAATGCCGCTTTCACCAGCGCCAACCTTGACTTCCTTATTCGATGAATGGGACGTGTAGAGTCGAGACTCGTTGACAAGATCCACCAGCTTGGGATAGATCTCGTCGTACCCCATGACACTACCCGTTGCGCTCGAGCACATGCTTACGAGAGCCGCATTGGGCAACGTATCACGGGCGTCCCTCTTCTGCGCTGGAACTTCATTGTCGTGCGTGCAGTCCATGAATAAGGCTTGGATTGGAGAGGGCTTGATGCGACGAATCACCTCCCGAGTGGCCTCTCCCACATTGGCTCCAGGGCTCATGGGCGGGCTGCCAGGGTTCTGTAGTTGGCTCTTGGAAATTTCGTCCACCTCAAAGCTTCCAATCGGACGACCACCGTGGCGATGCACAAGCCTGCTCATCTCCCCAGTACTCCATGCTTGCATGGCTTCCCGGATCAAGGCACTGATGCCTAACCGTTTCACAAAGACGTAGTCCATCTCCTCCGACCCAGTGAATAGCTCGGCCACGACGTACAAGTTAGGTCTGACACGGCGAGCCTCATCAAGAACATGTTCTGCGACGTGAATAGGGGTGGAGTGGCAGTTGTCGATCCGGAAACCAGCAAAATACTTAGCAAGCATGCGGGCATATTTCGTCATATACTCCCATAGCCAGGGGCTATCTTGGGGTCCGCTGCCGTATCGGAGCTTGACGCAGTCGCCCCATACAATCACCTCGCGACGGAGGTAGACACGAGATGAAGGTCCTGCATTGTCGACGAGTGCATTGCCGGCCCACACCCAGCCGTTGTTGGCTAACACCATGTCTTCCTTCTCGTGTTTCGCAGTTGTTTCGTTCTTGGGCAAGCGTGTGAAATAAGTCTCGATAAGTGGGCTCTCCCGAGTAACCGGTCCCATTTTGGGACCGTGGTCATCAATTCGAGTATACTTAATTCGGTTGAACAGTTGCTGCAAGATTTCACCGATTTCTTTGTCGTACTCCTCGTAAAACGGCATGTTGACCGCATCCAAGATGGACACTAATTTCGTACGAATCGTCGCCTCGTCGGTTTCACCACGGTAACTTCCAAAAAAGGACGAGATCAAAGCTGCGGAAACCTGGGGATCGATATGTCTCCTGAATCGTTCACCTAGGCGGTCATCGCCCAGCAATCCATTTTTGACAAGATAAGCTGCCTGATCTTTTGCACTCGCATCCTTCAAGTTGACGAGATCGATTTTGGTGGAACCCTCCGGAAAAGTCGTCTTTCCACCCGCCCAGAACCCGATGGCCGCATCGACATCTCGGTCAACGTCCAGCGCGTAGTATTCCCAGAGTCGGATCTCGGCAACGACATGCTTCTTTATTCCGTCCAGGACTTTGAACAAATCATCCACTGAGTTGAACTCCTTGGGGTACCCCAGCTCTTCCAGCTTGAATCCAAACTCGAGAAGCTTCGTGTCGAGCACATATGCAGATTCCAGCCATGGCGCTGTTGTCAAATTGTAACCAGCTTCAGGGTGCTCCATCAGCCATTGAGTGTTGTGTGCAGTGTGGTTGAGGACGATATCCGTGAGACTCAGAAGAGAATGTTTCTGCTCCAGACTGTCCACCATCTTCTTCACATCGGCCTCTCCTTCGGGGAAACAGTCAGGATCCCAACCTAGCTGATCATACAAGCTGTACGGAGAATTCGATTCTCCTCGGACCTGAAGCGGTGTGAAGTGTATCATGTTATAGCCCCTGCCACTGATGCCTCGCAGGTGCTTCTCCCAATCGGTAGGATACTTGCCCATGAACTTGCTGATTACCGAGAATATGGACAGTGCTGGTAGTGGCAAAGGTCTACCATCCAGGGATAGCCGCGGCGCCACATCTATGTAGTAAGTCTGCGTTTTCTTTTTATCAGTCGAAGCAACCTCGCCTGAGCCAACCTCCCCGGAGAGTTTGGGGAGCTCGGCGTAAGTCAAATAAAAGGCAAATGCGCCGGCATCGTATACGGGAATGGATATCTCGATTGTTCGATTGAAGTCAGGGACGAGCCTACGTGGAACGTCAATTCACCGTTCTATGCATCTGTGGGTAGACTACAGTGAAGGTTACGAACTTGAACTCTCGGAATGAATGTCGTTGAAAGTCGGCACCGCGCTCTGGAATGTTTACCCACAAGCTGCCCTGCCGGCAAATTGAAGAGGTTCCTTCGATCGTGAACCGAATGGTTATGGGCTCGCGGGATCCTGAGGCAAGGTAGATGTACTCTCCATGGACGTCAGGAGCGCCGTTGTCCTTTAAAGGAAGGATGTAGACCTCGGTTGAGGTCATGGTTCTGGGGATCATTTTGTGAGCCACAGGCTCGAATTGAAGGACATGCAGGGATTTAAAACGTTGATGCAAATGAGAGAATGGGAGGAAGGCATACACGGGTCGGCCTGAGAAAGCGTGGCGCTCAGCACCGGAAGGCGACCGTAAGTAGTATTAGGAGCTGAGGGAGAGCTTTAGGAAGACGGAACCGGTTGGTGGTTTAGTGAGCTAAGATTAAGGTCAGCTCATTCAAAGGGAAACTCGTTTTGATCTAACGAGAGAGAATAAGACCAGAGCAGAGCAGGTACTCTTCTGTGCAACGTGAGCAGGCGCGTGGGAGCTGTTGGAGCTAGCCGATTGGTTTTGTCTTCGCCAAATCGACGATGGGATTGTGCCAAGTAAGCAAGCAGACAGAAGGTACGGCCGGGGAATAGCGACTCCCGCCAATAAAAGCCGCCTTGGGAAAACCCCTGGCTTGCTCGTATTGGGTGTGTTGACAAGAGAGAATTATCACGTTAGACCCTAGCGGTATGGATACAGGAGGAATTTCGGGAAGCCAATGGTTGCAGCAGCCGGGCAGTAGCAGTGGAAGCTAGAAGGCCTAGAAACGGCACGGAAGTAGTGGTATGGTCGTGGTGGTACGGCTCTTCAACAGAAATCCCATGTTGGGCTCGGTTCGAGCCAATTGCGGAAGGGCTGAAGCTGCAAACCACATCCGACGTTGCGCTGAGGGGGGGAGTGGGAAGGGGGGCCAGAACTAGAAGCTAGGTTGGAAGCTAAGAAGTGGTCTACCACGCGGGGCAGTCTCTGGAGCTCCGCCAAATTGACGTCACTGACACTGATGGATCGAACCTTCCTTAGCGAGAACATACGACCGCGCGAGCACTTTGAGACCAGCGCCAAATCAGATCTTGAAGCAAGGCACCTGAATCACGCCCAGGTGCGCGTTCCTGAAAAGCATATAGGGCAGCAGCAAGACTGAGCTGCATCGACCGCATGGTGAAGCTCCCCAACTAGGATATGGCGTAGCTTCGAGTGTCCAAGTCAGGAATTTTGCGATACAATAGTCCGACCAACGAGATCCCCCCAAGCTGCTTCGCTCAAGCTCTTAAGAGATGCCTGTCCAACTTGTACTTCTGGAAACACTAACATTCATCCACTACTTTGTATCGCCGAATTGAGCACCCACCTGGGTAAGCGGTATCATCTGCATGCTGTCGGCCTTGTCAAAATCGGTTCCCCTGTATCATCGCTTCAAGCAGCAATTCGCCAATGGTGTCGCGAATAACCCGCAATAGGGACATTGGCTATTCTTGGCAACTTATATGTTAGGTGAGTTACTTATGAGATGCTGACTGTTCAGTTTCTGAAGGTGCCGGAATCCAACTGCGTAAAAGTGTTGAGACGTACAGCTCTGAACGATTTTCGTATTGCCAAGTACCACGAGCATATGCAATGCTCACAACCACACAACTTTCGCATCGCGACCCCACACCATTGCTGACGATATGAGGTCTCCGGCGCTCGCGGATAGGAGCCAATATAAGCCAACACACACAAACTACTTTTTTCAGGCTGCTGCACCTGAGAATTTATGCTTCTCGTGATCCCCTTTCACATGCCAAACGAATTCGATAGTGAAGGCAACCTCGATTCTCCTCCGCTCTGAGCAAGAATAGTGGAGAAAGTCAATTGGCAGCGAAGTTCGGCCGAAATTTTCTGCGTCGTCCTCGGCAATTTCTCCAGATCGGACATTGCCGTTTGCCAACCAAACTGCTCGCATCACAGTTCAACCAACATGTTGGACCCCAGTTACTCGAATATGGCAGGCGGTCAGGTCCTTGAAGCATTCCGTCATGGATCGTAGCTTCAACTCAACATCAAAAATGGTGGGGCATTATTGCGATACGGATCTAGTAAGTAATTTGCCCACGTCTCGTCCCTCGGTCTGCGTTTTGTGCCTAGGTGACACTTGGATGCCGCTGCTGCTCAACGATAAAGATAACGCCTTCCTGGTTTATTATTTCAGGACGCTGTCGACTTTCATATTAGAAAGTACGACCCCATACATACAACCTAGGTAAATGCGAGGTCTCACTCAACTGCGACTTGCCACACATTCTTACCGCTGCAATCCCACTTCGCTTTCTACTCACCTTTACGGCCTACCTTTTTCCTGCTATCAGAGCCAGGCGATACCGCCTTGGGTTCCTTACGTATTTCCCAAATCAATCCACCGAACATTCTCGTCCAAGATGGTGCAGGGTTCCAGCGAGAAGCGTCACAAGGTGACCATCATCGGGTCTGGCAACTGGGGTTCTACGGTGGCCAAGATTGTGGCCCAGAACACAAAAGAGCACCCTGAACTCTTCCACAAAGACGTCCAAATGTGGGTGTACGAGGAAGACGTCGTCATTCCTGAAAGCTCACCTTACTACGACCCCGCCATTGGCACGAAACCCCAGAAGCTCACCGAGATCATCAATGCACACCACGAGAACGTCAAGTATTTACCCGACATCAAGCTGCCTGACAATGTCATTGCGAACCCATCCGTCCAGGACGCAGCTCGTGACTCCTCGATTCTCGTCTTCAACCTTCCCCACCAGTTCTTCGACAAGGTCTGCTCGCAACTGAAAGGCAACATCGTACCCTGGGCACGTGGCATATCCTGCATCAAGGGGGTCCATGTCGACAAAGACATCACACTCTTCTCCGAGTGGATCGGGGAAGCTCTGGGCATCTACTGCGGCGCTCTGAGCGGTGCCAACATTGCCACCGACATTGCCCAAGAGCTGCAATGCCAGACGACCATTGCCTACGAGCCGCCACTCGTAGACCTTGACAACAGCTCAACCGAGATCCAGCGAGATTCTCGAGCCCGCGCCGCCAAAACCCAACTCGTCCCTGCTCCGCCAGAGTATCCACCCCTAGACTGCAACACTTTCAAGAATCTCTTCGATCGCCCTTACTTCCGGGTGACCATGGTGTCCGACGTAGCGGGTGTGTCACTCGGCGGAGCACTGAAGAACATCGTGGCGGTGGGGATCGGCTTCGCAGCAGGTAGGGACCAGCGGCCCGGCCTGCACGCCGAACTCATCCGGCTGGGCATGGTGGAGATGGTCAACTTCTGCAAGGAATTCTTCGGCGAGACGTTTCAGACGGACACGCTAACGCTGCAGAGCGCCGGGTACGCCGACTTATACGTAAGCTGCCACGCAGGGCGCAACTTCAAGTGTGCCAAGATGGCAGTCGAGCAGGGCTGCACCGTCGAGGAGATTGAGGCCAGGGTGTTGAATGGACAGAAGTTGCAGGGTAACTCGACGGCGAGGGAGGTCAACACGTTCTTGAAGGCGAGGGGGGTGGAGCATAAGTACAAGTTTTTTAAGGCGGTTTACGATATTCTGGAAGGTAAGGAGTCGGATAAGGACCTCTACTCATTGATTACGGCGGAGTGATTGATAGATGGCGGATTTCGGGCAAAAGGGTGAGCAACAAAAGGAATGGGATGCTACTGGCAAACGTATATTTAGATGCTCACGAGAGCTTTGGTATCCCTTGGGTTGGTTGGTCAATGAGGTGATGAATTTCGTTGTAGGAGCTATTGCCAATCGGTCGTTTGAAGGTACTTGTGTGCAATCTGGTCTGTATTTCACATGTTCCAACGTAGTTGTTCCTGGATCCCTCGCCATCTCATCGTTCTACACGCACTGGTATAAATCACCAATCCGCGAGCAATCTATTCTTCCCACCCCCCCTCCACCGTCCCTGCGCAGCCCACTCCTCATCCCCATCATCGTCATCATCATCCTCCATAGTCCTTTCCCCATCCCCAAACCGGCTCTTAAAGAACCGATCATAGCTCATCCAAATCATATTAAAAAACACACTCATCGTCACCCCTAACCACCTCGGCACCCTCCCCTTCTCATCCGCTAGCAGCTTCGCCAGTGCCAACATCGTAGCGAACACAGGCGACCAGAGCAAGAAAAACAACCACTTCCCCACCTCTTGCTTCCGCCGCGTGATCTCGTACGCATCCAGCCGGGCCAGATACGCCTGATACTCGTCCGGCAAATAATGCTCCGCCGCACCGTCGCGGATCTTCTTCAGGTACCGCGGGCTGGGCTGCGCGTAGTCTGCCTCGGGCCGCCGCACCGGTGTCAGGAATTTCTGGTACCATCTATCCGTAGGCGGATCGGCGGGCAGCCGGGGCGCGTAGAGCGTGTGTGCGAGAAACGGCTTGGGAATTTCGGGGACGGGCGGTTTCTCGGGGATTTGGAACGGAGGGGGTAGGGCAACGCAGGGGGCAAGAATATCCTGGTATCCCGCTCCCCCGCCCTCCGTGTTGATTATGGTGGCATAGTCCGTTGGGCTTACTTCGTAAACTACGCCGATGAGACCTTTGGACCAAGTTGGGCGGCGGACGGGAAGGGAGGGTAGCGTATTGTGGGGAGGAGGGCCGATGGGGGGTTTGGTCGGGTCGTCGATTGGAGGGGGTTTGGGGAGCTTGCGTGGCGCGATGTTGGCGAAGCAGGGCTCGCTGTAGGGGATGCCCGGGAGGTCGAAGGTTAGGTCGAAGCTTGGGGCCGAGACGTTGATTTGGGAAATGGGCCGGATACCCCGACCTACGAGGAAGGTTTCGGCGCAGAGATTGGAGCCGTAGGCCAGGTAGAGGATGGTGTTGGCGGCGTCGGGGGAGGGGGGTTTGTCGGGGGATGCGAGGGCGAGGCGCTCGGGTGAGGCGCGCGGGATGCTAGATATGGGCCGGTATGTGTCGTCCGTTCTGGGGGTACAGGGGTTTGAGATGGAGTCGTGGAGCTGTTGAAAGCTGCATCGAGCTTGGTGGCTGCCAGCCGTTGCTGCATAGGCGTTAGGAGGTGCCATGGCAATTGCGAACTCAGTGATGACGATGAGGTGATTGATGTACTGTGGGGTTCGAGGCGTTGAAAGGTGATCTAGAATTTAACACCAGTTTCGTGCCTATGTTATCAGGAAGTCCGCGAAACTTGAAGAAACGAATCTTCAATTCCGTCTTCAACTATTGATAATCATAATGAGATGCCCGCCTTAAGATTAAGGGCGTCGGATAGCTGACAAGCCCGAGCGATATCGAAGCGAAGGATTGCATGACATTGGTCCCGAACCAAGCATATACCCGATAACGCAATAATTTGACCATCACATGATGACCGCGACTGGAACCACCAGCTTCAGGTATTAGCCAGGAAATTGAGGCTGGGTACTAGGAAGTTCAACCTGATATTTTAAAGGGAGATGATGAAGTTGAGAGCATTGCACTGGAATTTGAGGCGAGGCATACTATTACTCAAATAGTAATGAAATTCTAACGATTGATATGATTGATCAGTTATTGTGGGCAGAAATGGCAGTGTTCGGCCCCGCACGGACCACCCAGTGTGGCCACTGTAGATTAGCCAGAGCTTACGGCAAGTAACGATAGTCATAATAACAACAACAATGAACGGTGGGCTGCGATTGCCCACAGTTATAGTTGACCTTGGATATTTTCGTTTGTATGAAACCGTCCGCTTAAGTGTGAGCACTTATCACAAGTGAGGACTGATGGAAAATTACACCTAGTAAGTACAATTAATGCCGAGCTTCAACGGCACACAGCTTTACAAGACGGACAAGTAACGTCAATATACGTGTTACTGCACGTTCATTCTAGTCTAGCTGATCGTGTAATCGTTCCTGTTTTGCTCTGCCTATTCAGAGTCCGCCTTAGTAGGTCCCAGACGATGATGAGTGTCAAGATGGGGTCTTCACTAGTACATGCCCTCCACGAACCAATCTAACGAGTCTGACTGTAATGTCCATCCGTATCAAGCCAAAACCACCAACGCCTCACAATTTAGGCGTATATCGACTAGGCGCCATAATCCTCGGACCATCTAAATGAAATATCAATGGAACTGGGATCATAGCCTCACTCGTAAACACCCACAATGACGTTGCGAACAACGGAAACGCCATGGCAACGGTACTCCTAATCAACGTGTTCTGTCATAGCTGGATTGGCAAATATTAAGCAGGTGCGTTCGCTCCTGCATCCAAATTACCAAAATCCCGATCCAATCGGCATACCCGCCACCGTCGGCGCGCCGCCACGAAACATTCTGATCAGAAGGCCAGCCGAACCAGAATCGTCTCGCGGGGAGCAGCAGGGTAGCGAGCATGATAGGCGGCAATCGGTCCTCGGGGTGACGGGACGGCCGTTCGCTAGTGAGCGGCTGTAGGGAATGTATATCATGTAGCTGACGAGCATATTGATCAATATCCCGAGAAGCGGTAAAGCGGTCACACAGTCGGATCGCCAACCGCAGACATCGGCGGTGAAAGTTGGAACAAATGCAGTAGATGAGGAAGATTACACGGTGATGCAGACGAGGATAAGTTCCAGAAAGAGCATGTGGAAGGGCCGGAGGAGATATCTAGCCAAGAATTTGCGCGAGGTGGAGCTACTGAGGTCGAGGAGGGAGTGGTAGGATTCGTTGCCGGTGGGTTTGCGTTTTGCTGCTGCGTGGCGCTGCAGGGGGTCTGGGTGGTGGGTTTCGGTGATGAAGAGGTAGGAGGCGAGGCCGAAGACGATGGACGGGATGAGGGGAGCCAGGCGGTCCAGTGCCAGCGTAGGTGGGAGTCTCCTATTAAACCTCCATCTTAACCTCCACCTTGATAGGGGTTGGTAACTGATTTAACAAGTGGAATCCATTCCATCCTACTAAAAACAGACTGTAAGTGAAAGGAAAGCCTACATGATAGGTCTGAAAATAGGCCCAACAAAAGTCGCGGAAAGTAGACGGAAATGCGCATGGCCCAATCCACCGGACCCCAAACTCGGCCAAAGCACCCTCAATTACTGCCGGGGAGGAGGTGTCGAAAGACCAGAACGGTCACCAGACTCTGAGGTATGGCCACGGAACTGGAGCATGGCGAATATGGCGTATCTTACGTATAGTCTGGTTGCTTCGACATGGGGCCGGTTGCAAAGTCCTGTATGCGAATCCAGGCAGTCACTTGTCAACTTCTCATTCTTTTTTCTATTCTTTTTCGCCTCCCCCGCCCCCTTTTTCTATTTTTTCTTTTTTATCTTTCCCAGTTGAGTGTGTTCGGCCACTTACAAAGACGTTCAAGCCAGTACCCAGCGCCGTGACCGTGATCGAAATATGAAAATTCTCGGCTGTGACAGAAATAGCGGGACTGAAGACGCTCTTGTAGAACGTCGTTCACATCGTCATGCAGCTGAAGGTGATCATTATGAACCACTTCTTGCGCACCGGGAAATTTTGCCAGTTTTCTGGGTCATCTGGCCAATCCCAGTCGACCAGAGTAGATACCTTCTGAGGTCATGTCCTGCTGCTGTTACTGCTTTCTGTCAATTCTGGAGATTTCTCAATGTCATTTTTCATCTCGGCTGATTTAATATGTTCTCGTTACGGCCAAGCAGCCTCGTGTTCGTGGCATTTTCATCTCAAGAACTAGACGTGCCTTCACCGAGGACAAATCCGATTGGGGAGAAGGTTCATAGTCCTCCATCTCGTATAGTCCGGGTCAACATCTGGAATACTTGAGGGTTTTTACAATGAAATAATATGGCGAAGGGGATCTGAAATAAAGCATGGAAAACATATCCCGATGAAACATATCTAATGTACTGGGAAAGTTCAGGGTTAAAGGAGTGCTGACTATATTATATTATATTATCCTACGGTACAATACGTGTTATTTTCAACACGCACTCCTGCAGTTCTACACGGGTTCAAGGATAGAATTCCGCATCAACTGGCCCCCTGCTTTTATGACGGGGGAACTGCCGTGCCACTCTTGCCAGATGTCCTACACGACTTGCGAGATCCCGATTGGTCGAACACTCCAAGCTACTCTGCTAGCTTCATCTGTAGCGGGGCATCCCGCTACTACTAATGACCTCTCTTTGTAGTTGGCTCGATTTTGCGGGTTTACGGCTGCGGAGTGTACCCCTGAGCCGAAGGATATCAGCCCGAGCCGTAGCATGGCTCTCTGATTGATCAGCCTACATACATGAAGACATGCCTAGGGGTTTGTGAGGGAAAGTGCTGAATGAACCCCTTGATTAGTTTAATTCGAGGGACATTCATGACAAAAACGAACACTATCCAGGTTATACGATTGTGGTTGGTAATGCAGACAAGACCATACCTAACACACAGTATTGCATACAAATAAGGGAATACCTCACATATACCAAAATAACAAGACAAAAACGAAAACATATCTGTTACGATGGCTCTCTCTCAACCTACAACTTCATATTTCCCATAACCTCCCCCCACTTCTCCCACTCCCCTTCCGGAATCTTACCCCTAAGCGGCGCCCGTCCACCCTCCAACGTGCCCAAACCTACCGCGCGATAAACCCCCTCCCTAATTCCCAGAATCCCCCACTTTCCAATAAACTCCTCGGCCCGGCTGACCCGGTACTGCAAATCCATAGCCTCCTTGAGCGTCTTGTCGTCAAGCGGTCGCTTGCTGGCCAGTTCAAACAGCCGAACCACCAAAGTGGGGAAGAAGGAGGCGAGCCCGTCGATTACTCCGGCTGCGTTGAATACCACGATGGGACCGAGTTGTTGGCCGAAGCCGCTGTAGACGCGGAATTTGGAGTGGTCGATGCTGGGAGAGGTGGAGACTTGGACGTGGTGGGAGACGTTGCCGTGGGACCTGGGGAGTGTTAGACTTTCCATGGGATACACTTAAGAGGTTGGGGGCGGGAGAGGAGGCCTTACATCTTGCAGCCGACAATGTTTGGGTGCTGGGCTAGGCGTTCGTACGTCTCCGGGGACACGACCAAGTTGTTGGTTACCCCGGGGTAGTTGTATCTGAATACTGTTAGAGAGACATGGCAGTACTCTGTGTTTTACCGTCCTGATATAATACGATGGCTTACATCAATATCGGAAGTGCACTTTTATTCGCAACAATCGTATACCACTCAATCAAGCCCTCCTGCGAAGCCGCACCGCCGAAGTAGCCGGGTGCCAACACCAAGCCCCATTGAGCACCGGCATCTTTCGCATCCTGAATCCACTCCAGCGCTTCATCTACAGCATTGACCAGGATACCAGCCATGATAGGGTAATCTGGAAAGCCTGCACTGTCGAGACCTTTGCGTACTCCAGACATGAGACTCTTGCGCTCAGTCCGAGAAAGATGGATAGCTTCTCCTGTAGAGCCGAGGATAACGAGCCCGCGAACGCCATTTTGGGCCAGGAAAATGGTGTGCTTCGCTTGCACCTCAACGTCTACCTCTGCTTGGTGGGATCCGGCAGCGAGAGGCTTGAAGAACGTCGGGGAGGGGACGTATACTCCGGGAGGAGGAATGGCAGCCATGCTGATGTATGTCGAATAACACGACCTGAGTACAAACAACCAAGATCTATTCTCGAAATACGGAGGAATACAGACAGATCCTTTTTCTCACAGACAAGATATAGATAGTTCCTTGCAACTCTTTTGAGCTTGGCTTGTGCTTAAAGAACCCCGGAGCCGGTCCCGGGAGGGGTAGAATTGGGGCTAATCTTGGGGGTGGAGTCGAGTTACTATATAGTATTGCCATACAATGCGGAGAACCGTGACACTAAGGAAAAGGTGCATATCCGTGACCCATATCCGTGTTGCTCGCGGTAATCATTCCCGAACGGGTTCGCACATCGTCGCGAGAGGTATCTGGGTAAATATGAACCTCAATCTTGCAGCACGATAGGTTGATTCCTTCCACATGCTACAGACAGACAACATTGCTACCTCACGCTCCCAATCATCAACGTCAGTATCAACATTAATTTCACAATGGCATCATTTAAGTTGAACTCGGGCTATTCAATCCCAAGCATTGGACTTGGGACTTGGGTAAGCCAGACTCCTTTGAAATGATAGAAAGAAATGTGCTCACGCGTATTTCTCAACACAGCAATCGAAGCCGAACGAAGTTGCTTTGGCAGTGGAAAGTGCATTGAAGGCAGGATGCAGACATATCGATGCAGCTGCGATATACGACAACGAAGATGAAGTTGGCCGGGGAATCAAAGCCTCTGGTGTTGATCGGAAAGACATTTTCGTATGTAGCGACTTCCGTCAACGTTCACGCAGAGCTTGCTAACACTGGTCTAGATCACCTCAAAGCTTTGGAATACGCACCACAAGCCCGAAGACGTCGAACGCGCACTTGATATCACCCTGAAGGACTTGCAGACAAATTACGTCGACTTGTATCTGGTCAGTCTGCCTCACCTTTGATGCTCTAATCACAAGAAAGTGACGAAGCTGAGGCCGATAGATCCACTGGCCCGTGTCGTTCCAAAAGACCGACGACAAGGAGCGATTCCCCGTGAACCCCGCCACCGAGGAGATCGCCGTCATCGAAGTGCCCATTAAAGACACCTGGAAGGTGATGGAGGAGATGGTGAAGAAGGGCAAAGTCCGCTCCATTGGCGTAAGCAACTTTACGCGGGAGAAGATTGAAGATTTGTGGAAGACGTAGGCTAATCCCCAGTTCCTGAGAGAGTAAACTGCATGATGAACAACACTGATATTTTCGACAGCGCAGAGATCAAGCCGGCCGTGAACCAGATTGAAGCGCATCCATACTTCCAGCAACCCGAGTTCCTTGAGTGGATGAAGAAAAATGTGAGACGCGCGACGATCATCCCGGAAAGAACGAGCAAAAGTACTGATTCTGCGATAGGATATCGTCGTGGAGGCCTATAGCCCTCTCGGGAACAATATCTACAACCTGCCACGGTAAGTCACCCTTGGAACTGTAACACACGCCAATCACTAAGTCCAATCAAAGCGGAGTCGACGACAGCGCCGTCCTCAACATCGCCAAGCGCCTCAACAAGCAACCCGCCCAAGTCCTCGTAAACTGGGCCCTACAGCGCGGCACCGTAGTGCTCCCCAAGAGCGTCACCCCGTCGCGCATCGTCGCGAACATGGAGAGTAGGCGAGCCTCTTTTGCCCTCCCGTCTACCCATGTGAAAAGTGTGCGCGCATTGCTAACAAAGTCACAATTACGCAGTATTCGAGCTCTCAAAAGAGGACATGGACACCATAAACGCCCTGGAAAGGAACCACCGGTACAATTTCCCGGCTAGACTCGGCGTGAACATCTTCGGGGAGAAGACCGAGGAGGAGCTCCGCAAGAGTGTGGAGGAGTGGAAGGCGGCGCAGAGGAAGCTCAAACAGGGTTAAGCTAGACATACAGTGTACCTAGACTATAGAGTAGATAGAGTAGAACATATCCGATCATGAGATCAATCATGTTATCTTCGTCTCTATTGTGCCGTGTCGTTAGATGAAGTCTTGGACCACCGGACTCGTTCGTACTTGTCTGAAGGGGCCGCGTAACGGTATCATCCACTCAGCTCCAACTCCAATCGAAACTTGGGGTATTTGGGGCTTCAATACCCCGCAGAAATTACCTGTAATATTAGCAGCGGTCCACGTAGTGAATGTATACATGGAATTCCATCTGATTCATCCATCGGATATGTCGGTTCCCCACATGAGGCATAAACTAACTATGTCAAGTTAGTCAGTGCTCCGTAGCATCAAGGTGCGGAAAAGCAGGGCCAGTCACCGTTAAGAATGCTCCGAAAGAGGCAAAGCCGATGTTCCCCTGTTTCCCTACCCCGTATCTTCCCCGCGTTGGGCGGGTCGAAGTCCGTTTGAAGGAGTTCGATGTCGGAGCAACACCTTGATCTCAACTTGGATGTCAACTTGCTATGTATCACCTCGTCGGCTACCGGGTAACGTCAACTTTAATTCACGTTTTGGAAACTCCAAGCAGATTTACGGCTAGAAACGATGACCAAGATTGCCAAGATAGAGTATTTCCGCGTGCCACCGCGTTGGCTGTTCGTCAAGATTACTGACGAGGATGGCCACTTCGGCTGGGGCGAGGCATCACTGGAGGGCCACACTCAAGCGGTGGAAGGTTGTCTGGAAGCTTGGGCAGAGAAATTCATAGGCTTCGAAGCCGAGTAAGTGGTAAACTTGTACCTGGTTCGCTTCTGTTCAATTGACGCGTTCGAATCATTAGTGACATCGAACACCTCTGGCAAGTGTCGTACCGAGGAGGCTTCTACCGTGGCGGTCCGGTTCTGATGAGTGCCTTGGCTGGTATTGACATAGCGCTGTGGGATCTCAAGGGTGAGTAGTCCTGATATCGTCAATGGATCGAAAACATTCTGACATCGAAGCAGCGAGGAAACTGAACGTGCCCATCTACCAACTGCTAGGAGGCAAAGTCCGCGACAAGCTCCGCGTCTACGCGTGGATTGGAGGAGATCGTCCCAGCGATGTAGAAGTCCAAGCGTGCGCGCCCAAACTCTCATTCACATCCCCTTGAAGCTACGAGGCAGGCACTAACAGCTGTCCGCAGAAACGCCCGCAAATCCCAAGGCTTCAACGCCGTCAAAATGAACGGGACCGAAGACCTAGGCTGGCTTGATTCGCCTAACAGACTCTCCGCCTGCGTAGAGCGTGTGAAGGCCGTTAAAGCCCTCGGCCTCGACGCCGGCGTCGACTTCCACGGCCGCGTGCACAAGCCCATGGCCAAACAGCTCGTGGCCAAACTCGCCCCCCTCGATCCCCTCTTCATCGAGGAACCGCTTCTGTCCGAGAATATCGGTGGGATAAAAGATATCGCCGCACGAACGAGCTGCCCCATAGCGCTAGGAGAACGGCTACACTCGCGATGGGACGTTAGGCCCTTCCTGGAGGCCGGCTGCGTGGATATCCTGCAGCCGGACATATCGCACGTGGGCGGCATCTCGGAGATGCGGAGGATTGCGGCTATGGCCGAGACGTACGATGTGGCTTTGGCGCCGCATTGTCCGTTGGGCCCCATTGCGCTCGCGGCGAACGTGCAGGTCGATGCTGTGTCGGCGAATTTTGTCATTCAAGAGATGAGCCTGGGGATTCATTATAATGTGGGCGGGCAGGATTTGACGAGCTACACGACGAACCCAGAGGTTTGGAAGGTCACGGATGGGTATATTGACTTGATGACTGGCCCCGGGCTAGGGATTGAGGTCGACGAGGAGCAGGTTAGGAGGTTGTCGAAGGATGCTAAGGCTTGGGTGAGCCCCATGTTTTCGGGGCCAGGAAAGGAGTTGAGAGAGTGGTAGATTTTTCGATCGCCTTGATCAAGATGTCTTGGATTAGAGAAAAGTAGTGCCGTAAGATATCATTCCGCTGTGGAGACTTGGCCTTCGGATTTTACAGTGGACAAATCCCCCAACCTGTAGAGCACCCGCCCACGCAGCTATCCTCACTCGCTCATGCCAAAATGAATTTCGAGAGACCCCTTGAACCCCCTTGTCACTTCCTGCACCCGTAAGGAACCCCCGGGCACAATGGCGCATTCCCCCAGGTTCCACCTTTCCCCACTTGAACTCCAACTACTTAACCGACTCGGTCTCCCCCTTTTCCGAATGTTAGCTCCATCCCCGGTTGGGTCGCTATTTTCCTAAAACTTTCCCATTATGCCCAAGACTACCGAAACCCTTCGGGGAATTCGCAATGGAACGGATGAGCCGATGGTGGATCTCAAACATAACGGTGCGCAAGATGACGATGACAGGGAGCTACAGTTACCCGCTGCCAAACGCCGCAAGTCGACGGATGAGAGGACGCGGGTGAGCCGAGCTTGCGATCGATGCAAATCGTAGGTCCTTTTTATTCATACCAAGAGAGTAAGAGTGCATGAACATTGTGTATATTCTCCTGTTTGAAAAGTCTATGGAATCTCGTTTGGATGGAGATGCATGAGTAATATACAGCTCGAGTTTTTGGTTGACCTGCTTAGTCATGTTCTTACACACGTATCTTTCTTATCTTTCACCCCTACACTTCATGCCCAACTCCAGTCTTACTGACTCTGCTCCTTGATACCCGTTTCATTGTCCTCATCTAACCCTCCCCAGGAGGAAATCGCGATGTTCCGGCCGCTGCCCTTGCGTATTCTGCCTTCAAATAAACGCTCCATGTCGATGGACCGCGCCATACCGACGAGGCAGAATTCCAACAGTTGAGGGCGAGCCCACTGCCGACGAGTCTACACCGAGTGAGTTACTGGACAACGTCGACACGCCGAAAATACGGCTGGGGACCGACAGCCCCAGATCCAACGATGCGAGGCTCAAGAATCAGGAACGGGGACTGGAACCCGCCGGAGTGGCAATACAAGTTCCGACTCTTCACTTTGATGGAGCGCGTGAGACGACGATAATGCAATCGTCGCGGAACTCACCGGAACCTCTGCAGACGGATCGTCAGGGGCATATGGTAGGTAAGTAACTTTGCAAGACTTCGTCATGAGTCTAGTTTATTTCACTTCTCAAAGTCATTGATATCTCAAGTTGTTGTGTGACCAAGCAAATTCCAAATACCACCTTCAATCGACTCTCACTAACATACCACTCCAAAGGCCCATCGTCAGGCGCCTCCTTTCTTCTAAGAGTACAAAAGAAACTAGCAGAACAAGCTTCTCACTTTTCCCTGGATTCCTCTATCTTCACCTTCGGTGACTTGCCACTCCCCGAATGCGACAGATCGTTTTTCATTTTGCCCCCTCAAAATAAAGCGAAACAGCTGTTGGAGAGGTATTTCGAGTTCACGGTCGCAACGCATAGATACCTTCATCGGGGGACCATGGAGGCTTGGCTGGACGAGCTGTATGAGACGGGTGGCAAGATGTGGGCCGAGGGGGCGCGCAGCCGCACGGCTTTGCTGTTCATGATTTTCGCGCAGACACAGATATATACTCCGGGTGAGGAGGAACAGGACTCGGGATCAAGGTCAGTTTCACTTTCATTATCCAAAGTAAACAGGGTCGTAAGTTTGGTCTTGTTCGGACTCAAATCGACGACGTTTTCACTCTGAAAATCTTATGTTTTGTGGGATCCTGAAACATGTCTACATAGAATTGGCTGTGTATGGTGGTTCTGTATGGTGATATGGGGTTGATATCATTCTCGTGCTTCTCTTGTTGCTTCTCTTGCCCCTTTGGATGTCCCTTACTGACCGTACTGACCATTCCCCAGCGCCCACTTCTTCCACGCAGCCGAACACCAACTCTCAGAAGAAAAAGGCGAGCTCCGTCTCTCCAGTGTCCAAGCCCGCCTATGCCAATGTTTCTACCTCCTCTCACAATCACGCATCAACCACTGCTGGTCGCTCTTTGGGACGCTAAGCCACCTCCTCCTCGCCCTGGGCGTGCACCGCAAAGGCAGCATCCGCCGTGGCCTCGACTCCTTGCCCAGCACCGACCTCGTGGAGTTCGAGTGCCGCAAGCGCACCTTCTGGTGCGCATACAACCTCGACACGTACCTCAGCGCCATCCTAGGCCGCCCCCGCGCCTTTCACGATGAGGATATTAATCAGGAGTACCCCGCGTGCGTCGGTGACAGCGATCTGGATTTGGGAATTGTGCTGCCTTCGCCCGAGAGGCCGCTCCCCGAGATGGCGGCCCCGATTGCGCATATCAAGATCTCCCGCATCATGGCGCGTATTCTGCGCGAGTTTTATGGGCTGAAGACGCCGTCGACGCAGGATCGGATTGAACTTGCCAAGAAATTTACGCTGGAGCTGGAAATGTGGCACGAGGATATGGGGTTGCTGTTGGGGGATAATGGAATCCATACGTCGCTACTGCTACCGCTTTTTCAGCGGCAGAGGAATGTGCTTAATTTGGCGTATTGGCATGCGCAGCTCTTGGTCCATAGACCGTTTTTGCTGAGTAATTTTGCGAGTTTGTCCAATTATGGCACTGCGCAGACTAGGTCGAAGAAGAACGAAGCGTTTAGAAAGAATGTGGAGCAGTGTTTGGAGGCGGCGACGAATATTACCAAGGCGGTTGAGGAGTTAGAGGAGAGGAAGCAGTTATATCGCGCTTTTTGGGTTCGTTGTTCATCTTCCCCAATACTCTCGCTCCTACGGATAGTATTAGTGGAAGCACTTCTGAGGTTCACCATAACTTTCTGGACTGACAAAACTAATCTTCATGCATATATATAGTTCACCTACTACTTCGCCTTCTGTGCCATAGTAGTCCTGTATGTCCACACCATCCAACAACGCACCTCCTCTACGCCAGAATCCTCCTACCTCCCGCACTTCGACAGAGCCTCCCGATGCCAAGCCACGCTGTCCCGCAATGCGCGGGAAGGTTCGTTGGTCTACCGATACGGCCTCGTGTTGGATGAGCTAAGGAGGGAGGTTTTGAGAAATAACCCAACGCTGCAGTACCGGATAACGACGGATCGGGACGGGTTGCCGGCTCTATCTTCTGATTCTGGGCTTGGGGGCGATTTTCTGGGCTCGGCGGGCTTGGAGGGAAGTGGAGGGTTGGGACCGGTGTCAGGGGTGGAGGGATTGGATTTAACGGTGCAGTTGGAGTCACTGAGTGACGAGACAAGTCCCGTTGGTTCGATTGCGCAGATGACGAGTTGGGGGCAGTTTGATTCATTGGTAAGAAAACCGGAAATGATTGGGGGTTCTTTGATAGACTGACAATGTGCTTATAGATAACCGGGGGGGCTGGAGCCTTCGATGGGCTTTTTGCAGATCCTGATGGTAGTTGGGATTGGACCAAATAGTCTCGTTTCCATGAGGGCCTAGCTTAGGGTTCGTCTCTAAATCGAAATTATGGACGTAAAATGCAATTGTGTGCAAGATGCGATTCAAAATAATCTCGGTTTACAAAAGCCGTTACAAGATCAAGGTGATGTGAATAGTGACAAATTCATCCATGAACACATGTGAAGGGGCTAATTAACTTACCAAACTGAGGCAGACAGTCAGGAGACTTCCCGCTCCCACCTCCAGAAGGTTGCGGTTTGGATCACAGCTTCTCATCACCATTTTCAGCCTGGTCCCCCCCTCCTTTTTTCCCTCAAACCCATCCACAAACCTCAACCCCTCTCCCTGTTCTTCCTCAACCTCTCCTCAGCAACCACCGCCTCCTTAAACAAGCACAGCTGATCCAGGAGATCCACCGCGTCATACTCCAACCTCCCCTTAACCGGGTCATCACAATGCGCAGAGGAAAGACGTATTTGGCTGGTTTTGTTGGTTCGTCCTCCTGTTTGGGAAGGCGATTCTCGGGATATCGCGTGGTCGAAGCGGGGTGTAGGACAACTTCTGGATTGCGACGTCCCGAGGCCCTGCGGTTTGGCCAGCAGGTTCAGCCGTCTTTTCCTGTGTCGTCAGTTTCCCTCATTACGGCGGAAACAGCGGCCGATATGTCTGAGGGTGCTTACTTGGCATCCTCGGTGGCATCGTCGGCGACGATCAGTAGGATGCCTCCTCATCGAACCTTTTCCACTGGAAAGGCCCAAAGTGTCCCAGCTCCCGTGTTTTCAGAAATTCTCGACCTCTGGCTGAGGGATATTTCTCGCGTTGTGAGACATCGTTCTCCCCGTGTCTGACGCTCCTCCCGACCCAGTCTGTATATTATTATACCGACGGCACGGTGGGTAGAGAGTTGCCAGGAGCGGGTCTGCTGCATAGAAAAGCCCATGCTACGTTGGACGTTGGGGACAGGTCGAAGGAGCCACCACTATGACCGACATAGACGTGCAGACTTGTTTACGTGTTGCCCCGGATCCAACACGTGGATGCGAGAAGATTTATCACAACCCTGCAGTTATCATATGAGGCTGGTGTGTCATAAGCAACAGGCGACGTTATCTCTATCGAGCACCATCCGTAGCGCTCGTCAAACCCCGAGAATCCATACGGAGTACTTGGCGATTTGGCGCTCCTGCTTCCGGACCTTCGTCGATCGCTAGGAAGAAGGGGATGGGTAACTCTTCTCAATACCTAACGTGAGGAGTAAGGGCAAACTACAGTTTCGAATCCATGTTGTGCAACCTGCCTCTGAAGCACCTTGCGTGACGAATGGTTGTGCATTAGCTCAGCCTCGAAAGAGAAAGTGCGGTCGATGTGTGCCCCCACATTGAATAGGCCGGTTGCAATATACATCACGACTTTGACCGCCACTATCACTCTGATCTGGACCTGTATAAGAGCGCCCAAATATCACCTCTTTGGGCTGAAGAAGACTGCTGAGACAAATCCTGAATCTGGAGTTTCAAATGGGATGTCGAGAACTGCTGGTTTTACAGTTGGGTTAAGTTGTGGGTCCCTCGTCATTATGGACCTGCTGGCGTTCGTTATGTATGGGGTGTATTGACGGTTCAAACAAGAGCCAAGAGATGATTCATGGGCAACGGTATATTTGCAGCTTCCGTTGAGTCCGCGGGAAATGCTGCAAAGACGGGCGGGGTCCAGTGACGGCATTGCGGAAAGAAGCCCCGGAACACATTGTTCCCATGCCAGCGGGATACTGCGAAAATGGACAGGCGACATTCGGCAGTCGAAGCAGACAGAGCAACCTACACTTGTGTACACGGAAATGTATGCCATAATGTCGGAAGCTGATTCACAGGCCTTACACGAACTGCCCACCGGGCCGGCGAGGAGGCACATGATGAGAAGGCCGCCGTCAGCCGACCTGACAGTCTGGTGCTTGGATCTCTCACGGACCGGCCCGGCCTCTCAGACCAAAATAACTGTCCGGTACTTGGGCCAGTCACCGAGCGACCCAGACTGTCGCTGTCATCCTCTCGTGCTGATACTTCAGTCTCTCGTGCCCGCGGAGGTGAAGAATAGAACGGAATGAAATGGCATGATGAAACTGAAGGTTGAGATCGGATGACAGCCAAGCAGACAAGCAGATGAACAGAAAGATGAAATTTTCAATCAAGTGCTGTACAAGCAGGCCATTGTGGGGAGTCTCATGTTTCGCGTCGGTAAGTGGAGCCACTTCGGAGGCCAAGTTCTGACACTTTTCTGGAGTAGAGCTAGTTTTAGCATCATGTGGTGTGGCTTTTTTCCCACTCATCGAGGCCGCGCGTATGGAGACAAGACAGTTTCGAGACTGGTCATATCAAGGCACTTGAATATTCCATCAGGATTGCATTTCTGCTGCTGGATCTGAAGCCGCGTAACGAGTATACAAAATGTGGAGATCCTCGGCCGAAGACAAACATGAGTCGTGGTCATAACCTGTCTAGACGAGGAGCAGGAGTCTTGTATAGTACTGTAGGTAAAACGGTGGACACGAGCGGAAGCCCACGTCCCCCGGCCCAGACCGCTTGAACGGTGGACAACTTGCGGGAGTAGCAGCTCAGCCAATCATGAGACGGCCGATATCGCGTCACTGCACGAGCCTTCCAGATGTGGGGTTCAATTGAATTCCGGGAAATTCTGGGGTGGTGCACTGGGGGCGATCCCTTTGTCGGAATAGAGTTTAACTCGACCAGTCACTGACTTCCAATTTTTTTCTTCCTGGCCGGATCACACATCTTGTTCGTGATTCTAGCCATCCTGCCCTACCCGCCCTGTAGGACTTGGAAGCCGAATTGGGAGAAGGGAGCTCTAAAGGTGTTGCGCGCTGCCAACGAGTTTGGACTTGAGTTGTTTTCTATAACTCGGACGCCCTTTCTTTGCTCAATTTGTTTTCTCAAGCTCCCAATCTCCCCTCCACCATGCTCCGAACCAGACAAGCAAGCCGGGCCGTCAAGGCCTTGGCCCAGACTTCGCGATGCCACCAGCGCGCGTTGACTACCTCCCCGGCAACTTCTGTCATGGTTGGTTCTAAGAAGACGCCAGCCGGCGTGAGGAATCAAGCTACTTCAGCGGCATCTTCAGCGTATGTAACTTCCTTCAGGAAATAGTAACCCGCTTGCTGCCGGCAACCATCTATACCAATTGATATATACTAACACGACAAATCGCAGCGCCGTTACTAGATCAAATCCAGCGCCAGCATTTAACACAGCAGATATCGAAAACCGAAATCATGTGCAGCCCCTCGTCAACCCTCGCGCGCCAGACATGGATGAGTCGTACGTTTCCCTGTAGCTTCCCTGGGTGTCCGGACAGCAGTTGACATGTTCAATATAGCTTCATTGGAATGACTGGAGGAGAGATATTCCACGAGATGATGCTGAGGCAAGGTGTTAAGCACATCTGTACGTTGCTTCTATGAATACGGCCGCGAGAAACGTCTATTAACATGAGTCACAGTTGGTTACCCTGGTGGAGCCATTCTACCTGTTTTCGATGCCATCTACAACTCGAAACAGTTTGAGTTCATCCTCCCCAAGCACGAGCAAGGCGCCGGACACATGGCCGAGGGCTATGCGAGAGCTTCTGGCAAACCCGGCGTTGTCCTCGTCACCTCGGGCCCCGGCGCCACCAACGTGATTACCCCCATGCAGGACGCCCTTTCCGACGGAACGCCTTTGGTTGTTTTCACCGGCCAGGTGGTCACCACAGCTATTGGTAGCGACGCTTTCCAAGAAGCCGATGTTGTTGGAATTTCCCGATCTTGCACCAAATGGAATGTCATGGTTAAGAACGTGGCTGAATTGCCGCGGAGAATCAACGAAGCCTTCGAGATTGCTACCAGTGGCAGACCGGGACCAGTCCTCGTTGATCTTCCTAAGGATGTTACCGCCGGTGTTTTGCGGAGGGCAATCCCGACCGTGTCCGGGCTGCCAACTCTGCCTAGCCCTGCGAACCGCTCCGCCCTTGCGATTACGCGGAAAGAACATACCGATTCGATTCGCCGCGTCGCAGACCTCATCAACATCGCAAAGAAGCCTGTTATTTATGCCGGCCAAGGCATCATCTGTTCGGAAAACGGACCTGAGCTGCTCAAGGAACTCGCCGAGAAGGCCTCGGTCCCCGTCACCACCACACTCCAGGGCCTGGGCGCCTTCGACGAGCTCGATGAGAAGTCTCTCCACATGTTGGGCATGCACGGCTCTGCTTATGCCAACATGTCGATGCAGGAGGCTGACCTCATCATTGCTCTGGGCGCCCGATTTGACGACCGCGTGACTTTGAACATCGGCAAGTTCGCACCTGCGGCGAAGGCTGCCGCGGCCGAGGGACGTGGTGGAATTGTGCATTTCGAGATCATGCCCAAGAACATCAACAAGGTTGTGCAAGCAACCGAGGCTGTTGAGGGTGATGTGGCCGAGAACCTGGCACAACTGGTGCCGCATATCGAGAAGAGAAGCATGACGGATCGGAAAGAATGGTTCGACAAAATCAACGAGTGGAAGTCGAAATGGCCCTTTAGCCACTATGAGCGCTCGGAAAGGATGGGCTTGATCAAACCCCAAACCCTGATTGAGGAGCTTAGCAAATTGACGGCCGACCGAAAACATGAGACGATTATTGCAACCGGTGTTGGTCAACATCAAATGTGGACAGCGCAACATTTCAGATGGCGACACCCGCGAACCATGGTCACTTCCGGTGGTCTGGGTACCATGGGCTTTGGTCTTCCTGCTGCGATCGGGGCCAAGGTGGCCAAACCGGATGCTCTCGTCGTCGATATCGATGGTGATGCATCATTCAATATGACTCTGACAGAACTGTCAACCGCAGCACAGTTCAACATCGGGGTCAAGGTCATCGTTTTGAATAACGAGGAGCAAGGAATGGTCACACAATGGCAAAACCTATTTTACGAAGACAGATATGCGCATACTCATCAGCAAAACCCGGATTTCATGAAGCTGGCTGACGCTATGGGCGTTCAGGGCAGAAGACTCATCAAGCCTGAAGACACCGTCGAAGCCTTGAAATGGCTCATCGATTCCGACGGCCCCGCTCTGTTGGAGGTCATCACAGACAAGAAGGTCCCTGTATTACCGATGGTTCCGACCGGCTCAGGTTTACACGAGTTCCTGGTGTGGGATGGAGTCAAGGATAAGAAGCGACGAGAGTTGATGCGGGAAAGAACATGCGGTCTCCATGGTTAACTCTCATGCATGGGCGGCGGGTTTGATTCCTAGTGTGTCACGGCGAAGTGGTATTTCTTTTAACTCCTGGTATACTAGACCAGGAAACCAAAAACTCAAGGGGGCTTGACACGTCCCTGGGGGCAGAGGCCACCCCACACGGGCTCTGCGAGGTTACATCTTGGCATCAGTGGGCGAAAAAAAAGTTGAAGAAGGCCGCTGGATACGCGGTCGAGTGTATATAGCGGATCTAATACGGAATTGCATGTATGGGTGGCGACAACTTCGCTGTGTATTTGAATGCATTACAGACCGCCGCCTACAATAGCGCCCTAGTTCGTAAAAACATCGGTGACAGATGCCACTTTGATCCCTAGACCACAGCGACTACGTCGTGGGTCAAAGAATTTCTCGTTTGATACGGACACATTGATTCTTGATAAGTCATCAAATAAGAGGTAGCAAGATCTATCAACATCTTAAAGATACTTCCCCGAGTTAATAGCGAGATGGATTCAAATAATCAACCGCGTGATCCTAAAATATGAGAAACCATTCCCCTTCGCTGGGTCGATATGTCTTCCACGTCGCACACAGGGGTTTTGTTGGGGAGGATGTGTAGAGAAGAACAGGACTTTTGTATTATGTCACGTCGCATGAGACGCTGTCGCAAGCCGGGTCTAAGCAGAAACCGATTTCAACTTGGAGTAAATTTAGCAGCCAAATCTTATTATTGGTATAATATCTGGTGACATGACTTAGAGCTAGGGCTTTAAAGTTTGCCTATACCATGATGAGTGACAAGTTTCTTGTCAAACACAGTAGAGCCGCAGTTTGAGAGATATCAGCAAGGTTGATTCTGTATATTTATTTATCTCTTGTTTTTGATATGCGAAGTTTGCAGCGCAGGCTATGTAGCATAGGTAAAGGCGAACTCCATGATGCTGTCCAAGTCATAGCATTTGCTGGTTGGTAAATTCTATGAATCCACACACAGCCTACCTAAGACCATGGTTCTTCAGAACTGACCTAAGGGGGGAGGTTGAATTTTGGAGACTTTCTTCCACCGAGTAGAAATTGTGGTATTTAGAACCCTGCAGTTTCTGGACAAGTCTTCATTGTAATAACTACATCACTATTACAGCCCCTAACCCTCAGGTTTACACAACTCTCCAAAATGGACCCGTTTTGGCAAGGCATGGGTATGCCGATGCCCGCCTCGAACCATAGCCGCACCAGACCAAAACAGTCCACCAATACTTACCGCACAACAAAGAAGTTCGAGTCAAGGCCACACAGTTGTCGCGACGTATGCCAGCACTGCGGAACCACAGCTGGTCCCAGCAAGCCTCCCAAAGTCAACGTGTCACCCCTGAGCAACCCAGAATCCCATATAAACCACAAACGCCAAAACACCCTAGAAGGAACCGACGCCCAAACCGGGCAAAACTTCTACGATTTCCTAAAGCACGCCCATGAAACACACTACGCCAAACAAAAAGCCGCATTCGCGCAATCGCTCACCGATATCAAAGCCCAGCACGAGAACATGCGGGTCAACGAAGAATGTTCCACGGTGGCGTCGTGGCTTCGGTTGGGGAAGAAGCGGTTTGCGCTGTGGATGGAGATGCGGCGGGCGACGGAGCAGCACAGGAGGGCTTTGAGGGGGTTGGGTAATGATTTGAAAACGAGGCGGGAGGGGGCGCTTTTGCCGGGTGGGTTTTTGGATTCTTGAGGATTGATGGAGGGTTTGGTTCATTGGAAAGGGGGCTGGTTGAGAAAAATTGGTTTGAGGACTTACAAGAAGGGAAATATGGAGGCTCACCCGGCGAAGGGTCGATTCGTGGGATATAGATAGTCATAATGGATGTTTCAGGATATTTGGTGTGAGCATCGTGTTAGAGAGAGCTTGGGGGCTTTCCTAGGATATACATCTAGTTAATTACACGGAGCAACAGGTCATGGAGAGGTAGGGAAGCGAATACATCCCATCGAGCAGTAGTCGCGCTTGGGTTCATTGGTAGAATCTCATGACTCTGATTGTCGAGTAGCCTCTGAGGTACTATAAAAATTCAATCAAGTTCTCAAATTGTACCAAAATTTTAACCATCCGCCTAAAGCCAATCCCTGGCAATTTGCAAGGAACCTTGGGCGTCTTTGGTGCCATTCGTGATGCGTTACGGTAAATTAGCCACAATACCTCTCTAAAGTGAGATTTCACTCAATCTGAAACATCGAGCTAGGTATTGCATTATGCGAAAATGTGATAGTGAAGGGGGCTACAAGTAATCAAAGAATTGGAAGGGACGATATCTAGATGATACTGAACTTTGAGGATGATGCGAAACCGTTGTTTGTAAAGCTATTCTACCAGTCCTTGAATTCTGTAAAGCTGATATGCCTTCTGTCCACGCTGTGCCATCCTATTCGCTGTCCAAAAAGTACTTGTACACTATATTACCGCGATTCACTTTGAAGTATGAATCAATTAAACCCCAACAACCCGCAGGGTCACCACCAGTATCTTTATGACTGTAGAACCGTCGCCAAAATCGGTGATCATTGTGTTGATGAATCCTCGAGGCAGTGGCTCGCCACCGATATTCACCATATGCTTATCCTTACGCCCTTCTCGAAAATGGAACATCCATCTCGCGAGTTCGTTCTCACAGTTCCTTCCTTGAAACTCATAAAACATTTATGTCTCCTTCGCATCACTCCCCGCGAACTCTCTCGACTTTGGGCGGGAAGCTGGAGGCAGGTGTTACCTTCTAAAGCAAGGAATCCCCACATCACCAAAGCTGTTCCCCCTACACTCGGGTGGTGTCGTACCCAAAGATAGGTCGGATACATCATTAGGGAGACGATGTGTAGTAATTGAGTGAATCGGAACCGGCTATTATTTTCTCTGTTCTTCCTTGAATGGCGGCAACCCATTTTCCTTAACATTTTCTGGAAGAAGATGGTGGTACGAATCAGAACCTTGGAAATTCGAGGATTGTAGATAATGTCCCATATTTCAAGCTCAACTCCCCCTTGAGGCCGAGGACCTGTCCCCAAGTGAACCAATTCTCCTCGAGCTCAAGACCAGTCTTGTAGTTGGAGATGATATGAATCTCTGCATTTATTTGAGTTTGGGTTTGCCGGCGGCGGCTCGAAGATGAGTCCGAGACGCCGCAATTTGTTATTTACTAGATGATCCATAGCCCAGATAATCTCCTGGCTTACCTCCCGGGATACTCCTCTGTGGATGGTTCCGTCTTCAAACCTGCACTTGACCGAGCAATAGCGATAGTTGTTGCACCTCATCCACGGCTTGGCTCCGAGCTTCTGGCAAATGATGCAGTAAGGGCTATATGCGAACTTATCATTTCTCTGCAGCTTCAGAATCATTACGAAGACAAACGATTCTGAGCGATCAATGGATGGATTTTGGGCTGAAGTAGAAGACAAACGTAGCTCTGATGAAGCGAGGGAGCGTAGTGCTTTCGACAAATGGTAAGGCTAGTTTGAAAGCGAAGGAACAATATCGGGTAACTTCGATCTAGAGACGAGAAGGATGATGCCGAAGCGGTAACAAGAAAACGATAGAATGCTGGTCGAGTCTGGGGTGGGATGTCGATGTGGTTTGCGTTTTCAAGCAGTTGAGAGAAGCCTCTCGTGCTGATCATTCAGTCCCACGTTAAGGGGAAGGTTCGATCAACTCTGTAGTGATTCCATGGAAGATGCTGGTCGATTCTGCTTGCCAACAGCCGACTGCCACCCTTTCTGTGACTCAAGTACCCGGATAACATGGAATAAGATCTCTAAATGAAAATAACTTCCACCAAGGAGGCGATTCCGATGTGAGGTTTTTGCGTAAACACCCTCGCTCTTTCCACCGCTGGTTCATATGCTATGAGTTAAGCTAACCTTGGCAGCATTGCTTGCAAGTCACGTCACCTCAAGACGCGTACTGAGCTAAACCAGCTCACTCACACGACAATCACAAGCTGGAGTGCCGTAGGTCATACTTCCCACGACCCGACCTCAATGCACAGCGATACCGAAACCTCCCGAGACAGTATCATCAACAATAGCCCGGGAATCCGGTAGAGCTCAGTGCAGGCGTGGTGAGCGTTTCCCAAGCTGCCATACGCAACATAAGCACCTTTAAGCAGCCCTTGGATCACATTGAGGCAAGACCTTGCTTATTCTTGCCGTAGAATTCAGCTTCGTTCGATGCTGACCTAATTCTTGAGATGTGCGATTGTTTCTCTAGGAGACGAGACCCCAACAGATCAAATTCTTCGACAAACGTTGTAATTTTCCATGATTATCACCCTCGAATGTGAAGAAGGAATGGCCGTGCCAATTCGCTCATCATTACGAGTAATCTCAATATCGTCGTGGGAGTTTGAGCCAGCGGTTCTGACCAAAACTAACCATTACGTGCGGCGCAACGGAATATTCGGTCAATGGCTTCGCCCTAAGCCGTCGCTGACGGCCCGCTACTCTACACTCCCTATGAAGTCGTAGTACTCGAACTTTTCAACGACACCCATGTATTCCAGGCTCGGCTTAATGAAGCCAATCCGGACGATTGTCTGATGCTTCAGTATCCTGTCGCAAGTCCCCAGGTCCCACAGGTTTTGCAACATCTTGGTGTGCCCATGGAGTCACGGCGCTCAATAGTCTATCGGCTCAGGCTCCAAGGGAATGAAGAGCAATGCAGAATCGTGCCCGTTTTCTAAAGCATTCCAGTTTAGAAGCAAACAGGATCCAAAAGTGTCCTCTAAGAGAATTGGGTTGAGCTCTGGCAGTATCCTATCCCAAGTTCAGCCGGCCACACCGCACCAAGAAGTAGACGTGATCACGACATGTTGGCCAATTATGAATATTGCGGCTTCAAGAGTTTGGAATTTGAGATCAATTGTCTTCCAAGTCTCCATCTCATCCCAAGCCGCCCTTATCTGCCATTGGAAATGTCTGTCCATGGAAAATTGATTGTATTGGTCCAATTCGACACTTCACGTATTTCCTTATGTTTTCCTCGGCAAGTTATGATAGCGCTGCCGCAGAGACATCAAACATATCATAGTACTGGGAAAAGACTGAGACGTTCTGACCCTGGATGATTCAAGAGTAACCTACATGCGCTCAAACCAACGTGAGTTCTGAGATGCCGTATAGGAAAGTGCTATAATTCGGAGCGTCCGCAACATTGGCCAGTCGGACGGACTGGACATCATCTAGGCGCATCGCCATCTTAGCAGAGTATGCGCAGATGGTGGGAATTTGCCAAGAGTAATTGCTGCTGGATACTATGATGTCATTGCGGAACGCTGAGATAGTCGTGCCAGATCTCAATGAACTCGAACTTCTTCGTCAAAGCCAGCAGGGTCCTGACTGGGACTTGTAAGCTAATCGAGCGGCGACCCGGTCATAAATTTGGCTCATCTGAGATTTTGACACAGGCTGGTGCCACACCTGTGATCCTAGCATGTAGGATGTGCTTTTTGACTTGATGCAGCTCATGTGACGGGTCAGGACCCGGATTTGATGTGGAGCCACTGGAACCTAGGTTATGTGTCGCTATCTTCAGACAAGTTTTCAAGACGTTTCGAAGGTGAAGTTACGAATAGGAGGGTCGCCAGCATCGATAGAAAATTCCCTTTGACACATTATGCATCGACAGAGTCCAGTCCATACATCAGTACATTTGAGAGAAATTTCGACTGGGGATCTGCTGCTTCTGTCTTGGCATTTGGTCGCCAGATTGCTTGCCCATGAGGATGCGGAAAGTGTTCCGTAACCGGAGTCCGTCCGACCATGCTTCAATTAGGGTTGGCATTCATCTTCAAAGTAAGACAAATCCATCGACACGGCGGATCTTGAGTTATGTATAATATTGGTCGACGAGTGCGGTTTCCTGAAAATATATTTCCCTCAATCACCGGTCTCAATCATGGAGAAGATGGACGAGTCTCCCCCAAACTTTCCTTGATGCTGAAAATCAAACCTGGGCCACCACGAATGGCAAAAGCCAATTGAATGAGGAAATTGCTGTAGGTATAGAAAATCTCTCATGCGCTGAGATAATCGAATGGGCCAGAGGAAGTTGATAGAGATGATTAAGCGTGAAGAACAAGAAGTAGGAGCTTGATGGTAACAACGCTGTTGACTACATGGTACCGTGTCGGAACATGTAATACACGTTGAAGCCTTCATAATGAACATCTGCAGTAGTTGACACTTTGAGATGGTGTTTGCTATTGAGCTTCACTCGCCTCTGAGTTAAGGGAGAAATATAGAACATATAAATCAAGATCTGGTGCATCACGCAGATGTGTTGACATTAGTTCAGCGATACTTGCTCATGCAGCCTAGCCCGTCCAAAGAGGGGTGCACACGCAACAAAATGACCTTGCCAGTATCAACCTAGGGCTGGATGAACAGTCCCAACAGCACTTGCCTGGGAGTGATCAAGAGAGTTTTGAATTTCTGGTGTTTCTAGGTGTGAAGAGAGGTCAATGTTAGAATATATTCAATCATTCTTGCCTTTTTGATGAAGCTGTTTAGATTTTGAAGTTCCTTTGTACAATGTCCGAGAGAAAGAGAAACGGCGAGCAGTTTTCGTCGTTGCCCACTTGACTGCCACTCAACGGGATTAGCTCGAAAGCACAGGCCATCCGCTTTCCCAATCTCCCCTTCGTGCTTCAGTACTCTGCACCTCATCCGAAAAAAGTTCCTTTGCAAACCTCCAGTCTTAAGACTATCACCCCCAAATCTCCCCTCCCATCAATTGCAAGACAATTGCAATTGGTCCTCCTTTTCTCCCGAGGAACAGACACACCTCTCTAATATGTTCCGAAACGCCCTCCGCCAGTCCTCGCGCGCCGTGGGCGCCATCTCTGCGTCGGGCAGAGTGGTTGCGGTAAGTCGACTCCTCTCGCCCGAATAGATCTCAATTCCATCGAAAACGTCATGCGACCGCCCTTGCTGCATCGAGTGACCATATCTCCACCTCAATTGAGCTTTTTGGACTGTTTTAGGATCGGTTTTGGAGCTATGGGAGCTCTGTTAAGAGCTTGTCGTCTTTGGCCAGCGCAACGCTGTCTCTCGGGCCTTCGGCTAACTTGTTTTCAAAAAGGCACGAAATGCCGCACCCGCAGCCTTCCACATTCAGTCTCGAAACTACGCCGAGGCGAAGGCATCGCCAACCGAGGTGTCCTCCATTCTCGAGCAGCGAATCCGCGGTGTATCTGAGGAGTCCAACCTTGCCGAGACTGGCCGTGTCCTCTCTGTCGGGTACGTGTGTTGACCGAACATAGGTGGAGCCCGGCGTCGGGATTTTCACGATGGCAAAATATCGCCCATCATCATCCATTACATCACCTACTCCAACATTCCGACCCCATCATCACGATTATTGTCGTTCTCGCCATCGTAGTTGACGTTTGAGGGATTAACAGTAAGATATGATTGGCTGACTTGGAGTTCTACAGAGATGGTATCGCCCGTGTGCACGGTATGGCCAATGTCCAGGCTGAGGAGCTGGTCGAGTACGTACAACCCACACCTACATGGGCTGCGAAGCTCAACTAACACTTCGCAGATTTGCTTCCGGTGTGAAGGGAATGTGCATGAACTTGGAGGCTGGACAAGTCGGTGTGGTGCTCTTCGGTTCTGACCGTCTGGTCAAGGAGGGCGAAACCGTCAAGCGTACCGGAGAAATTGTAAGTACCGTAATCGGCCCCTCGATGGCTGCTTCCAGTGACTAATGGTCATCTAGGTCGATGTGCCCGTCGGTCCCGAACTGCTCGGCCGTGTCGTCGACGCTCTGGGTAACCCCATTGACGGCAAGGGTCCTCTCAACACCAAGGAGAAGCGCCGTGCCCAGCTCAAGGCCCCCGGTATTCTGCCTCGCCGATCCGTCAACCAGCCCGTACAGACTGGTCTCAAGTCCGTTGACGCCATGGTTCCCATCGGTCGTGGTCAGCGTGAGTTGATCATTGGTGATCGTCAGACCGGAAAGACTGCCGTTGCCTTGGATGCGATGCTCAACCAGAAGCGGTGGAACAGCTCCAACGACGAGACCAAGAAGCTTTACTGTGTCTACGTTGCCGTTGGTCAGAAGCGATCTACCGTCGCTCAACTCGTCAAGACCCTCGAGGAGAACGACGCCATGAAATACTCTATCATCGTCGCTGCTACTGCCTCCGAGGCTGCGCCTCTCCAGTACATTGCCCCCTTTACCGGTGCCTCCATTGGCGAGTGGTTCCGTGACAACGGCAAGCACTCTCTGGTCATCTACGACGATCTGTCCAAGCAGGCCGTCGCCTACCGTCAAATGTCTCTGCTGCTCCGTCGTCCCCCTGGCCGTGAGGCTTACCCCGGTGATGTCTTCTACCTTCACTCGCGTCTTCTGGAGCGTGCTGCCAAGATGAGTGACAAGCACGGCGGCGGTTCCATGACTGCCCTGCCCGTCATCGAGACCCAAGGTGGTGATGTGTCTGCCTACATTCCTACCAACGTTATTTCCATCACTGATGGCCAGATCTTCTTGGAGGCCGAGCTCTTCTACAAGGGTATCCGACCCGCCATCAACGTCGGTCTGTCCGTGTCTCGTGTCGGTTCCGCTGCCCAGCTCAAGGCCATGAAGCAAGTCGCCGGTTCGCTCAAGCTCTTCTTGGCTCAGTACCGTGAGGTCGCCGCTTTCGCCCAGTTTGGTTCTGATCTTGATGCCGCCACCAAGCAGACTCTGTCCCGTGGTGAACGCGTAAGTAGTCCAAAAAATGCATGTATTGTGGTGATTATGCTAATCAATATTCTACAGTTGACCGAGCTCCTCAAGCAGAAGCAGTACTCACCCATGGCCGTTAACGAGATGGTTCCCCTCATCTACGCTGGTGTCAACGGTTTCCTTGACACCGTCCCCGTTGCCAAGATTCTGCAGTGGGAGTCGGACTTCCTCGCTCACCTGAAGACCAACGAGTCGGACCTGATCGCCACCATCGACAAGGAGGGTGCGCTCAGCAAGGAGCTTGAGGCAAGATTGAAGGATGTTGTCACCAACTTCACCAAGAGCTTCACCTCTTAAACGGCTAGATAAAGATCAGTTAAATGACAGGGGATGATCTGTCTATACCTTAGGGATGCAGCGGTTCGCGGGACTTGTTTCTTCTAGAGGCGAGACGTGTTTCTTCGGGTGCTAGGACGTGTGGATATGGGCTGAACTGGAGAGATTCTCCAACTCAGCCCTTGTAAAATAGAGCCAAAAACTCAAGAGCACTCGATTCCTTTTGTTCATTAATCGTTAATCCCGCCCGCATGATATGACAATATGATTTGTATAGTGGAATTTTGTAAGTACCCCACAATCAGTGATGCCCAAGTGGGTTGAGCTTTAGTGCTGCATGGTTTAGGTGCTCAATGATTGATAAGAAGCTTCGAAGCTTGTGATGTCATCGCAACGTAACCTGTGGTTCAAAGACAATTTCTTCGTATCGTACAAAACAATTAAAAGACAGCTTGCTGATCTATGATTGTTCAACCTTCTAAATCTCTTTGGTTCTGACTGATACGCAACTCACACAAAGACTCCCCCTCTCCCCCCACCGACAGACCTACAAGCTACCCCGCCGCTACGTCCTGCCGTTTCGCGTTTCTCTACATCTACCACATCAAGGAAAAGGACGTAACCGACGGCAACAGCGAGAGACACAGTATTTCCACTGGTCAAAGATGAGCTCCGAGGGCCCCGAAATGTCGCCTGCTATGCGAGATGTTCTTGGCAAGGTGCGCCAGATGGTGCCGCCTATGCTGGAGAAGTTTCACAAAGGTGTGAAACTGCCCGATGCGCTTTAACTACGAAGGCGAACAGACTCACGATGCTGATTAAACTGGCCACACAGGTCAAATGGGCCGCATAGCCGTCATTGGCGGCAGTGTGGACTACACAGGAGCTCCCTATTTCTCAGCCATGGCCAGCGCGAGACTGGGCTGCGATATGGTGCGATTCCACCTACCCTCCATGGCTTACATCTCTCATCTCTACCTCAAGCCTCACGGTCGCAACTAACATGAGATTTATCGACAGTCCCATGTAATCTGCACACCCGCCGCCGCCGCCGTGATCAAGACCTACTCACCGAATCTGATGGTGCACCCGCTCATGCGCCAATCCCCCGAGCGCCCAATCCCTCCCACGTCCGGAAACGCCCCCTCGTCCGCCGACACCGACTCAGCTGAGATATCCAAGCGTATCATCGAGATGCTGCCTCGTCTCCACGCGCTTGTCATCGGTCCCGGCCTGGGCCGCGACCCGCTGATGCAAGAAACGTGCGCGAAAGTACTCGTAGCAGCCCGCGAGCGCAAAATGCCTGTCGTTCTCGACGCAGACGCCCTAGCCATCGTGCTCAAAAGCCCCGAGCTCGTCATGGGCTGGCGCGAGGTGGTGCTCACGCCGAATGTGGTCGAGTTCGGCCGGCTGTGGAAGGGGATAAAAAACCACGAGTCCGAAAAAGGCGACCGTTCCGAGACGGCGCAGGTCGAGGCCCTGTCTAAGGCCCTGGGCGGTGTGACGATTGTGCAGAAGGGTGGTAAGGACTACATTTCCAACGGGGACACGACGCTAGTCGTGGAGAATAGGGGGGGACTGAAGCGCAGTGGCGGTCAGGGGGACACGTTGACGGGTAGTATTGCCACGTTTTTGGGGTGGCGTAATGCATATCTTGAGGAGCTATGGGATCATGGGGGGCAGCTAGATGAAAGTGAGACGATTGGGCTCGCGGCATTTGGAGGCGCGGCAATTACGAGGGAGTGCTCAAGGAGGGCATTTGAGAAGAAGGGGAGGAGTTTGCAGGCTAGTGATTTGACCGAGGAGGTTCATGGGGCTTTTATACATATGTTTGGGGATGAGGAGGTCGATGCTAAGTTGTGAGAATCGGTTTGAGGTAAACAAACTGGAAATGGGGCAATAGAAGGCAGTGGTGGTCAGACGAAGAGATATTGGCCATTATCTGCATAGAGAGTATGCCATAATCCTCTGCTAGGTGGGTTGTGCTAGGACGCTATCTGCGCTTCTACGTACGGCCAAACTATGACACTTGACTACAATAGGAGTGCAGGCCATGAGTATATACGATGATGAACCGAGGTGTGATTTGCAGAACCGCATGGTACACATTACAGCTGCCCAATGCCCGTGGACTACACGAGCATTATCGGTGTGCCTACCTCTCTAGTGGTGATGAAGTTACACGACAGCCACCTCGCCAAAACTTGCTGTCTACTGTCAATCCAACTACGTCCCCAATCGAAAAGCTACGGCATTCAGAGACACAGCTTCAGCCCCTCTCTAATCGTAACTTAACTCAACCCCACTCTCCTTCTTCATGTCTCTCTTGGCCACAATCGCTGTTGGTCTCGAGGCTCTTGGTTCACACATTTTTATACGCGTCGCGATCAAAACTTTGCAGAAATAAGCATACTGCAGCTGTTGCTTCTTGTGCGCGCGTCAAGATGCGGTGAGCAACCTAACCCGTAGGTATAACAAACAAGGACGCAATCTGCATTTGCATCATAGCAAAAGTTGCACGATATTCATCAGGCCATCTCGCAGCTCATGTGGTGCTTGCGTAGTGCCTGGACTTTTGTCTGCCTGCCTTCGACTGCCGTGTTTGTGTGCTGTTGTGTCCTACTACGCTTCCTGCTGTATTCCACCGAGATCTCACATGGTTTCTCACGGTGAGCTCTGTGAAAGCTGCTTATTTCGGAGCGGGCGCAATGTTATTGGCTTGGGTAGTTTGTGTGAGATGAAGTTAGGGGTGGTTCAGAGATGAATGAGTAACATTTACAGGAGACTCGACTCGGCTTGACCTCGAGTCCAGTTTAGCCTGAGAATATCAACGTCATTTGATGTGTTACAGCTTGGATGTAACGAGCATGCGTTCTTGAGCATAGCCTACGTACTTAAGTTAGTTGTTCTGCAAACTGGGCTATACGACCTCGCAGCAGGTAGATTATGCGAGCGAGACAGATGTCAATGCAATGTAATCCAGACAGGATAGGAGGGCAGATATTCAGACACACAACTCATGACCCACGCATGCACGCAGGTCCAGGTTACGAGATCAGGCATGGCGGGTGTTAGGTGTGACATCGGGTAGCCGCATCGATGCATCGGTTGAGCCTTTGTTTCCGTCGACTTCATCACCCAACCAACCCGCAGCGGCGGGTATGCAATGCATGCACAAGCAAGAACCGGGACCCCTGCATTTATTTACAGCCAACATCCGCTGAAGAAATTTTGAATTTGGGGGTTCATCCTTCCCTTCCCGCCCCGGACGACCGGAAAGAAGGGGAGGGGGCAGTATCCAATTGTTCTGCCTCCTTGTCTTTTCTTCTCGCTTCTGTCCGAGATCCATTGGTTCAAATATCGGCACGGTGCCGATGGGGATAAGATATGCCTTCCTACCCTGCTGAGTTACGGGATTTTATTCTGGGTTGGGTGACTTAGAGGCTTGAGATTAAGATGAAGTTAGCATGACTTGTAAGTTACGTCAACGGCATTGGTGCTGTAGTTGCTTTTTAAAGGAGGCAGTGTGTGGAATTTGACGAAATTGATAGGTAATTTTGGATTCTACGCTTTGAGGTAACATATGGCATCATTTTATATTTCACCTGGATGATGACAGGATCGTCAGAGGTGATAATGATGACTTGGGGGCTTTTTCCAGGCAGATGACATGTCCGATGGGGGCGTTTGACAGGCTAACCTCGTCAATAATGACACATTCCTCAGCCTCGCTAGGTTAGGTGTTATGTTGCAAGCATGAGCCATATCCGCGCAGTTCCAGACGTGATGGACACGTTGAATCGAAAGGATCGTGTTTGATATTGAGAGAAGTACAGCTCAGGCTGGTACCGACGTCTGAAATCACGCGGACCGTCTACTATCTTTAGCTCGGAGGGATCTCATGTCATATCCGCCTGATTTGTGCATTCCATGATATGGCATAATCGACCGCAGACACGAAAGTGGCAATCTAAGCACATTGGCTTTGCAACTCGCCAACGCTAGCGCAGCAGCCAAAGAAGTCTGAAGCTGAGTACGGGAAAGGCTGCGCTGAGTTTGAGCATACTTACGGAGACGGCCGTGGTTAACATGATTTACATGATGTGGCTTACGGTGTCTGTCGCCGACGAGCTTCCAGTGGGCTCATATGGTACGTCTGTTCGGTATATTGAGTCTTCGTCATTGATTCTTCGTTATTGATTCTTCGTTATTGATTCTTCGTTATTGATTCTTCGTTATTGATTCTTCGTTATTGATTCTTCGTATCGTGTGGCCTTCAGGTGGATGGACGGTCGGACTTGATTATCGACCAGTATAATTCACCAGACGCACATTGGAGTGGCATCTGCAGGCCATCAGATTGCTCGGAAGTCCATAGGACGAGTCCCTGCCAACGGAAGCGTCCGACCCGGTGAGAGATCATATTGAGCCGCATCAATTGCGATTGGTCCTAGTTGTCGATGATCGAAAACTCGGGTCAACACTGAGAGGCCTTCATGTCGGCCAAAGATGGAACCAGCCAGTCGGAACACAAGCACCGGGTACCCCAAGCAGAATGCACGCCTCCTCGGGCCGGCTCGTCGATCATCGAGGTGAACAGAAATCGATTTGCCAGGACGATGTGACAGCTTTGCATCCGATGACCAGTTCACAACTGAGAACCATGCATATATATTAAGCAGGTTCCCGTACCAACAGCTCCGACTCAAGTACTGGTTTGCCTTTCTCGGTCATGTGGTTTAACGCACGCCGGAAGCAGAAACTGCGGGTTGAGAGCACGGTGGCAAATGGAAGATGCCAAGTGCAATTCGTGCCAGTGGGATGCATATATGATATATGAGCTTAACATCTCGGCGACCACTGGGCTGGTGATACGAAACAGAAACCCAACTCTAGAACATGAGCGAGAGCCTTGCATACATCGGAGCGTACGAGGAGCGGGGTCCGAACCTGATGTTTTAGACAGTAAACCCCACCTCCAGATCGGAAAAGGCCCTTCATGATATTGTTCATCCTTGTGGAAGGAGAAACGGTCACGGGGGTTCGAAGGTGTGGTTAGATGTACAGTTCAAGAATTCGTGACACTTTCTGACAGCTCAGGCCCCAAAGCTCATCCCCGCTAGCCATAACGTGGAAAACTGGCCCTAAACCCGCTTAGGCTAAGTCGCTGTGGAAGCGGTTCGGCGGCGGCTGCAGATGCGGGTCCAGGTGCAAGCTGCAGCATTGGAATGTGAGGTTGGCCATATTGAACGTCATATTCTTTTCCGACAACCTGTTCCAAGAATGATTCTGTCTGCCTCATCCAACTGACCTCTCCAGGCACCCAGGCACCTGCTTGATTGCGCCCCGAGCTGAGGAATCCAGGGTCCACCTGAAACTCCATTGTGAGCATTCAATAAGTTCAGGAGGCGCTCACATCCTTCAATGCTACCCGTCGTTTCCAGCTGCCGTCTGGCCCAGTCCAGAACACACAAAGGACAACATCGAAAACCTGCCGAGATAATACTCGTGGCGCTTTAGGATGTGACGTAGCAAGAACCAGCCCTTTGACAAAAGGAACGATTCTGAAAACCACCATTGCTTTTGTGCCGCAAGTGGCTTAACATCACCACCACAACGCTCATGATGCGCTTCTAGCGGCGTGACAAGGCGGCGAACCCTGCTCATGGAGTGTTCATTGTCTAGAACCGTTTCTTCCCATATGTGTTGGTAAGTGAATGGGGTCTTGTTGGTCACGACTTTACCAGTGACCGCCGCTGCCCTCCCTCCCCCCAACATTGCGAATGTATGGTGGGGCCCGGATGCGTTGCACCTCAAAGTTCCCCCTTTGGCTAGATTGGCAGATGCTATCGTCAATGACCCAGGACAGGCTTTATTGCTAGGCTTCCGTCTACAGACATTCCTTCTTTGAAATTAGACCAGTTGTGATGTGCCATCCCCACTCGAATGTTCACGCCAATGTTTCCATTCGTCTTATGATTTAACTTTAGGCCATGTTGGCAGCCACGCTAGCACGGGCACATTCCCAATTGACAGGTCAAGATGCTTTTGAACCAATGGCACGGCCTTTCGACTTTTCTATCTTTGGGCTTTCATCGCGAACGTTGGAACTGAAATTCCAGTGTTCATGATCCCAACCCAGTGTTGGAATCGCTCTTGCTTTATTATGAGTCCCATGCCCAAGTCTCCCGTCCTGCTTGCATGTTAGCCACCTGCATCTTGCAGCCATCCGTCACACACATACACATCACCTTGAACGGTTTGCACAATACATACATCCATTAATATTAAAGCGGAAACTCCTCGGGCACCACGGCCCCAGACGCCACCAAAGTCCAACGGCAAGATCTTGCTCCCTATATCAGTATCCTTGTGGCCCGCCCCAGGCTATGTCTTGAGATGCCATCCTTTTCTTTCACTGCTCATATATATGTCACGGCTGTAGAGCACTGAGACTTGGCAGAGACACGGCACTTAGTTTGTGCTCATTGTTCAACCAAACATGTTCTGAAGGGGCCGGTGCACCTTGAACCTGTTGTGCTATTGAGTACCAAAGGTGGTGATCCACGGCTGTGGCTCCCTCGAAATTATTGTACTGCATATGTCTACAACCTGTGATACTTCACTCCGAACTTGGACCGGGCACGACGCAATTCACCTCTCCCAGCACAATAGGAAGTCACGAACCCATCACTCACTTTTCAACCTCTCAAAATTTGGCGTCTTGTCGTTTAACCTTCTAAAGACATAAAATTTCCTCCCGACTCTACAAAAGAGCTGTCTCGATACCAAAGCAACTGTACCAAACAATCCGAAACATTGTACACCTTCACATTCCCCATTGTACACGTTCGATCGTTCTCTAGGTAAGCCACCCTCACGGTGCCATCCAAGACCTTTGCCAACCATCTCATAATTGACAGGACCTGCAGGATAATCGGGGAGCGACTATTCCCTGGGTCACAATGGCCAACGGCTTTGATAAGCTGGAAAAGTTCTTCAGTGTGTCGAGGAGAAGAGAGAAGACAGGGCAGGGTGCCGCTCGGAAGAAGGTATCGGTCGTCAGTCCGACAAGCTCATTTCCACCGGCTATCGAAGCCCATGTATTTCCCTCGCCATCATTCATGCGGCCGACCTCCATGAGCATGGAAGTCCGAGACCCAATCGTTAGAAACACATCGCTATTCGCTTTCGCTGAAGAGAAGGAACGGTCGCAAAGCCTCTCCGGTATGCAGAATCAGCTACGAAGGCGGTCCTCAGCATACATGACCCGGACGGATGGCGAATGGAGACCTAGATTATATGGTTCGAGTCCTCTTTCCTCAGTCGCCTTGGACGAAGAACAAGGTCGTCAAGACTGTTCATCGACCCCGCGGCTGTCCCCGTTTCGCTTTCCCGAGTGTGCACTTTTCAGACAAGACGAATCGCACCAGCGTTCTTCAGCCGATGTATGCCCACATGAAAAGTCTCGAGTTGATAACCTGCCCAGAATCGTGGAGCCCGCAGCGAAAGAGACAAAGTTGTTGGATTGGTCTCCGAAACATATATCACTATTGTTCAACCCACTCGAGCTTCCTTCAATGACCGACACCACAGCTTCACGGCCACCAGATGAAGCAGATGCCTCGGTGGTTTTGATGCCTTCGCCTTTGCTCATCCGCTCTGTCAATTCAACCCCCGAAATACGGCATGGTAAATCCCGCAGCATTCGTAATGCGCACAGTCGTTCCTCAGCTGGGAGACCAGAACCCAGATTTTCTTTATTCCCCAAGCAGTACACCCCTACCAAGAACCCGATCCAAATCCACTCACCGCCCGCATCTGATGGCGAAGAAGAGCATTCGTTGACAAAGCGGGGTCGATCACGGTCGACGACCACGTTGGCGGCTTCATCCCAGTACTCCTCGCACTACAGCCCTAAACCGTCACCGAACTTAGCACCACGGAGCGATCCGTCAGCCACGGTGGTAGAGCCAAAGAGTCTACGCGAGACTTGGGGGAATAGGCTTGATGATCCCAAACTTGAACGCCTAGACCTCAAAAACATTGACAAGATCCCACGATCTCGTATGAAGAGGCCGCCAAGTATCCTAACGTTATCGGTCATGACCGCGGATATCGCAAAGCAGAACATTCTGCAAGAACCTACGTTCGATGATTTCTATGCCCTGAGCGACGAAGATATTTCTGAGATTCGACCAGCTACACCTAAACCGAACTTGTGGGCGCCGCCATGCCCGCCACCAAAAGATAAACCGAAGCCGCCACCGCCCCGAAAGCTTGGGGCTGCCGTCGCGACACCTTCGATGCAAACGGTAGCCATCAATCCGAACTCCGGAGACGTCACTCCTCCAGACACGCCCACGGATGCTCGGTTTCTGACTTTAACGCCACCTGCTACTCCTTCAGGTGCCCTGGGAGCAATTATGGCGGCGGGAATTGCGAAAACGTACAACTTTGACCTAGTGTATGTCATTAGCCTGTGGCCAAGTGGACAAGGTAATCTATTGGATCCTTCACGGCGACCATCTGCCAGGTCATCACAGCGACCTACGCGCTCCGGGGGCACAATGGTTGCGCATCCAAACTCCGAGTTTTCTGGAAGGCTTATGGCCGCATTCGGCCTGAATGAAGTGCCCTCGCCCTTCAGAATCCCCACCACCGTCCAACTCCGAACCCTCGACACGCACGAATGGAGAGAGTACGGAAACCCCACGGCAAAGCCTGAGGAGTTTTCTCGCGGCTGGACATGCTCCTTCCATAGTGATCATGTGCCAATGGCTCGTAATAGCCTGCAAGCCTCCCCGGATATTGTCATGAATCGCGGCATCGTCTTCGCCGCTTACACCAAACGGAATAACGAGGCGGCGGTTAAACTCAAGTCGAGGGCGGAGAAGGACCAGTTCTTGGATAGGCTTCACTTGGACGCAAAGACACTCGTGGATGCTTTGCTCGATAGGAACGAGTAGAGCGGGAATACACAACCATGAGACCCTCCGCATTCACCAACGCCGCTTCGATTCAGATGGATACGCATGCCAATTATATTATACGAACTGGAAGTTTCAGCGTCCTCCGGTGCACACTTTGGTATCGACTGGTTGCCAGGGATCCTTCGACGCCGTCATTTGGTCGTTCATACGGATTTATCTTAAGTACAGGTTTATGGAGGATGTGATTACAAGAAAAAATAGCACTACGCTAATGATGTTTGATGCAAATAGCGACGAGTAATTGGAGGACAAGACGGAATACCGATTCCTGGGGACATCTATGTAGATGATGACGCTTGGTGGTGGACTTTCGCTTGGCCTGCCCCTCTTTCTTAACACTCAACTTGGCTCACGCTTCAGTATTTATGTACTTAGATGAATTATGATACTATTTTGCTGAAAGCCTTTCCCACTTCGGTTTTTTGACTTAGAATTGTCCTTGGTGAGTCTCTAGCTGTGTGCTGTCGCCGTGGGTTGGCTTGGTTCGGAGCTTTTCGTGGGGTCTCTTGTGACTGCTGAGCTCTGACCCGGTGGAGGATGTGCCTTCTGAATAAGATTACGTTTCATCAAGCCATGTCTGTGAACAAGGGGGCTGTTTTCTGGCTTTGGGTGTCTGTTTAATTTGTCCTTTTCAATGGGATGGATGGCTTGTGCGCTCGCTTTTAGGTTAGATCTACGTTCACTTCGCCCATAGGATTACCAGAGCCCCTAGAAACTTGAAATAAAAAATTCCCACAGTGGCATCTTATGCATCACAGCGCGAGGTCTCAGGTCTACAGATCCCAGATACGCGTGGAAGACTGTGGTACATGACAGTGAAAGGGAAACCCAGATTATTTCGTAACTTGACAACAGGTGGTCCTACGAGGTTGTGTATATCTGAGTATTCTTCCAGGATCAATCGTTATGCTGGAGAAATTATCGGAACCATGCAAACGAAGGCCGTAATTGCAGGGGCACAATCTAAATCATTGTCCTCCAAACCATGGTGTAACTCGAACCACCCAAAGCATGGGTTACCGTGCTACAGGCTATTTGCAATGGAGAGTGTAGTCTTTTGGGCCAGAGCTTTCGAAAGGACAGCCAACACGGAAAAGGCTTGTCTACCATCGCATCACGATAGCAATTTCTGCCAAGGACTCGAAGGTCAGTCACAACGAAGATGTAATTCTTAATTTTTATATGTAATCATTTCCATTAATTCTCGGAATTGCGCGAAATTATGTTTCTGCAAGTGAGTTAGTAATTGTTATGAAGTAGGAACTACTATGATATTCAGAACGGGGATGAGATTTATATGAAGGCCAAAAAGGGATGTTTTTTTTTCTTCTATGATGGTTACTTCTGGTTTTGGGGCGGGGTTTTGTAGCCCTGTACTTGGCCGTACCTTCCCACCTGGAGGGCGGGGGAGGTTGTCGTAGGTGTTATATATGTGTACCTAGGTCCGTTTGTAGAAAAAAATCCAGCAGGGAGTATTTTTGCAGAGTTTCACATCACACTTTATTCGCAATGTGCCTAGCTATTGTAATACTACCAAGCCGATCAGTTCTAGGCATCCAAATTTCTGGAATTTCGCTGAAGCAATGTTCACAGCTAACCAGGGTTGTTTTTCACGCTATTATAGCCCCTCTCTAAATTACATACCTCCAAAATGTCGAACCTGTTAGAAAATAGAAGAATGAGGGACTGCTTGCAGTATAGGTTCCATGAAGGGACCAACATATGGTTGACTAGACTGCAAATATGACCCTCAGAGCCAAATTATTATGACGTGATCACACAGGCCGTCCAGCATGTCACTTAAACAAACCATACGGCATGTCTGAGACGTTTCAAGCCGATTGCAAAGATTTGGCCCCATAGCCATAACCTGACAAAACCTCACCTTGGGGGTCGGTGATAGTCTCAATAGTGCATCCATCTACGGTGTTTCCCCCCTCTAAAACAGAGACAACCCAACTTAAAGCTCTCGTGTTCTCATTTGTGCCTTCGTCTTTATGACCACCCACAGTATTCCTCTGATAAAAAATCCCCGCCCCAAGTCCACAGTACCGCTCCACAAGCGCATCTGTCTCAGCCCCAGGGCTCAACTCGTCATTAACGTCCCACACCTACATCCGGGACACCCCCACATGTGGGACGCCTTAAAATGACACTGTATATTATAACCATTAACTTCAACCTTTTTTACACTTATTCTAATGCGACTACAATATAGTTTTCACCGTCACTAGGGTTTTCAGACTCGCTAGACTCATCTGTACTATCCTCAATTTCACCAGCCTCGATTTGAGCCTTCCGAATAGCCTTGATATTAGTAAACTTCGAATTTGGGCTCATCTTGACCTTCCTCCGCTTCCTAGCCCTACTAGCATCAAGCTCTGCCTCTATTGCCTCAATCTTTCGCTGTGCGACAGCTAATTGGTAGTCCTTCTCATCAAAGCCCTTTTGAACTTTCCGAAAGAGTAGCCGCTGGGTATTTGGATCACTATCAAGCTTGCTGAATAAGCTGAGTTGATCTTGGAGCTCATCTCTCCTCTTAGGCGTTGACCAGGCTACTGCTGATGTCTCTAACGCCCAGTCCTGACTACCCTTACTATCAGAGTACCCTTTGCAAGTCTGACTAGGCTGTCTGATTGGTGCTGACGTATTCTCAAGGAGCAGGGGGCCCATAAGGGGTCTAGCTATGCTCGAAGGCCAGAGACCAGTATATTTCCATCCACTGATAATGTTCTTAGCGGTCAATGCTGCTAGACGTGCCTTTCTATAGGAGAGGAGAAAGTTTCTCTTCCATACGACAGTAGTAGTATCCCTTCGGTCAAGGTAACCAAGCTCCTTCTTATAGGCTGCCTTGAGGGGTCTAAAGACTGATTGATCGAGAGGCTGGAGAACGTGGGATGTGTGTGGCGGCAAGAAAAGCAAGTGTATCTTGTTTATGAAGCAGAGGTACATAAACTCTGTCGTTTCGTGGCTACTATGCCCATCTAGGATAAGTAACCTAGTCTCTTCAGGGTCCTCTGGTTAAGTCAAAGGAATAAAGATATTTTGTAGCCACTCAATAGCCGTAAAGTCTGACGTCCACCCATTCTCTGTTGCTGTAAACCTCCAGGCTTCGTATGGAGTCAAGTCCAGAGGAAACCACTGCTGCTGGACAGACTTCCCCTTGTATATCACAAGTGGGGGTAGTGCAGTACCAGTCGCAGAGATACACTCTATAAGAGATTGTCCAAGCTCGAGATCCAGGCTGTTTCTTCCGTATAGAACGAGTCTCAGATAATCCTAGAACAAGACCATTTGATCCTCTACCTTCTAGAATACCTGTCTCATCCATATTGTATCGATTCGAGGCCTTAGTAGCTTTGATCTCAGGGATAGCGAGGTATTTGAACCATTGCCTGATCACATTAGCTGAGGCTCCATTAATACGCTGGGAATCGATAGCTCTGCTTCTCTGGACCTTGACTGAAGGGTTCCTCTTGATAAAAGCCTGGACCCAGTTCTTTCCAAGTGGTTCGGTGTCTCCGTGGATCTGTAGGATACACTCGGCGAAGTCTTTGAGCTGTTGATGGGTTGGTGGGAGGCCTAGGGCAGCCTGGATTCGAACCCATTCAGCCAGATGGGATTCCTAGGCTGGAAAGATCCTCTGGTAGTCAGCAAAGGCTATATCTATTGACTGGGCTCCCTGAATCCGTCGTGAAAGAGTAGACCTTGGGACATCATGCTCATATGCTGCTTTTCGGAGGCTTTGACCGGTAGCTATTGCTTGAAGAGCTCGATAAATATCATCTTCGGTATATTGACTCAGATTAGTGTAAAGAAGACGTACGTAAAATTTCGTAACGATTGAATCGATATTGGTAAAGAAAAAAGAGGTTGAAGTTAGAGGCTAGCGGTGTTGATGAGGCATTTTTGGGTGTCCCACATGTGGGGGTGTCCCGGATGTGGGTGTGGGACGTTAATGGCTTGGTACACGAAAAGCGGCATCTTTGGAACTCCGTGATAGCCCATAATGCCATCTCTCCACACAACTTCATTTAATAAGGGCACATTGAAGTCTGCCATGCCGCCTACGAAATAGTCAGAGATATTTTGATACGCGAATGTCGCAGCTGTCGAAGTCCCGTTCTCGACACCCAGAAAAGTCGTCGCGTTGTACGGCCCGCTCGTCTTCAGCCTGCTGACCACGTATTGCCTCGCGGCGGGATACTGGCTTGTGATGCCAACGATAGATAAAGGAGACAATCCCGCATTCGGCCCTCCCTCAACAGCATCCCGCACCCTGGTCAAATTTGGCGTTAAGCCTCCCAGTGCGGCCCCCGCGAATTCCAAGTCGGGCGCGTATAAGCCCTGCAACTCGGCTGCCCATTCCACGGCTAGCGCACCGCCCGAGTATCCAAACATGGAATATTTTGCATTTGAGCTCAAGCCAAAGGTGCCGAGACATTCTGCCGACAAAGCGGCACGGACTCCATCGAGAACAGCATGGCCAGACATGACGCCCGCTGTGAACGAGGCCTTGGGGCCCTCGTAGTCACCCACCACGACATGCCAGCCGCGGCCGAGGGCGAGACTTACCACGCTTGGCGCGGGGCTGGCGTATAGAGAGTAGCTAGGGCTGGCGTTTAGGTTTAGGGAGTCATATGGTATCTGATAGGAGAGCAGGGTCTTTCCCGGGGCGGATGTAGTGCTTTTGGGCACGAAAAGGGTGGTGACCGCCCAGGTGGGCTGGTACTGGCTGTCGGTTGTGCGGTAGAGGATGTTGTAGGCTGCTGAGCTGTTGGATATTATGGAGGTGAGGCTCCCTGGCGCTTTGCGGATGCGGAGTATGGTGCCGGGCGGAGGGGTGTTGAGAGATTCGGGCGGAGTGATGTACCAGGGGTCTTGCTTTGGGGGGATTGGGGAGGTGGTGCATGAGATTAGACATGAGTCTCTTGTGGAAAAGCTCGTAGGAGCTGGTAGAGCTATGCGGGCAACAAGGCTCCACAGTAGCAGCAAGTTGATAAGGGATGTCATGATGTTGAAGTGATGCCGGAAAATTCGGCGTGAGAATGTTGTCCAGACGCAGCAATTATTGGTCCGTAGACACAGGGGGAAGTCGGACGACTGCAAAGGGGCGATGGCTCAAGCGATGATACTATAACTCACGCGGATGCTTATTCGAGCTATACGTTGTATCCAGTTTGCCGGTGCTACTTCCCCGCATCTTGTACACCCCCTCGAGCACCTCTAGCGCATGTCATGCATATGTCTGTCATGGATATATAAAGTGGAGAAGTGACTAGTTCTGGGCCATGTAGGGCTAGCATGACGGTGGTACCAATGAGATAATTCATTTGTAGCCTGCATATGAAGTCGTGTTTTGTATGGTTGGATTTCTTGGAGAGGTGGTATCTGGTTCTTGTGGGACAGATATGCTAATATGGGAAGTATATTGCACTCCGACCAAACCAGACATCGACAAGTCTCAAAATGAGAAAGTTTAACCACCGGTGTCAATAAGCTTCCCGATAAAAGTAAGCCCGGCCTAATCGCTTTATTAGCTAGTCACACACCACACATCTTTTACCCCAAAATGCAAATTGTACGACAGCAAAAGCACCACCCGTTTCATCGCTTCCTTCAAGCCATGCAACCTCTTAAGCTCATCCTCAATATCCCACATTATCATCCAAACCGTCCTCTTCAAACGGCGGCCCACGCACCTGCTCTCTGTCAACGACTGCCTATACACTCACTCGCTCAAAGCGTGATGCGCAAGCCAAATCGGCATAGGTAACTCCTCAAGCCTCTCGTTCGGCTGCTTGCATTGCCCAACCGGTAATAACCCCCACTTTCCTTTACTGGTAGACAGACGGTACACACATACTCGTCCAGCGCAGCATACGCCTTCCATAGCTGCCCCGACACGTGCTCCGGGGTTTGCACAGGCTGCTCGCGCTCGTCCCGCGGCGGAACCCAGCGGTCGACCCGTTGTGGAGTGTCGCAGGGGTCGTGCATCAGTGACGGGTCATCTTCCATGAATTTGATGGACTTTGTGCTCATGTTTGGATCTATGTTTCTTTGCTTCCTTGTTGTCATTGTTGTGGTTGTCTTTCTTGTGGTGCTAGCCTTGTTATTGGCGGTACATGCTATCAAACACGCTGTTTACCTCTTATTTGCGCCCCTCGCCGTCGCAGTGTCGAGTAGGTAGTTTAGCTTAGTTGCTCTTGGAGGGGTCGAGCTAGCTCTCTGCAGTGTCAACTTGTTGCTCGACCATGCAGGTGAGCTGTTTTCTGGTGGGGAGTTTCTTGTTCTTGGGCTTGCTTTTGTTGTTCTTCACTACGGCGTTTAGGGTTGGTACTGTGGAAGGGTTTGTTAAGGGTGCCGCCGGTTTGGCTTGCTCGTCTCTGGCTGGCCCTCAGGGCTGGTGGCGAGTTACCGCAGTATTCTTGGGATGTTTGGCCATGTTTGTGTTTGTTGGAGATGATGTTGGTTTCATGGGATCTCCTGGATCTTGAAGTTGCTCAGAATTTTGACTCACTCTTGAAAATGCAAGAAGTTTAGAGGTGAAGGTCTGCAGACTTGACAAAATGCCATTAGACATGCTCGTGCATACGTACAAAGTGAATATTGACAAAGGAAAGCTGTGCACAGACAGCCAGCAACGGGAGTTGGTAGTTTCGTTGTGCGGTGTAAGACGTTGTCCAAGAAGTCTGTGGTCTTGTTCTCCCCTTCCAGCTTGGTAGACAACGATAGGACTCCTATGCGGATTGATAGCGCAGCAGCCAATCAGGTGGAGTCCCGCGATGGCGCATAGAAAACTGCTCACGTGGCCAAGAGGTATACTTTCGTCATGCTGACAAACCCTATGATAGACCATGTTCTCTCTTCTGGAAAGGTGCGCAACAGGAGCCGAGGCTCAATTTGCCACCTGACTAGAGCACGTATCGCGTCACAAACACGCAAGCTTCGCTGGTCACCGTGTCGCCAATGAGTTCATGTGTAAAGCGGTGTGTGGGGTGATTGGGCGTGTAAGACCCCTGGAAACTCGAAAGTGTCACTTCAGCCACAGGGGCCCTATGGGAACACCCTGACTCAGATAGCCGTCGTTATCTGGTCGGGCGGTCCAGTGCGCATCCAACGTCACACTATTGGTGATGGCATCTCCGATTGATTGGGTATTTCTTTGGTCGGCAACGTGTGCTGTAAATTAGTTTGCATTCTTCATCTTGGTCGCCTTACCTTCGCCTCGCCTCTTCCCGTCTGTGACCTGCGAATTGACGGAGTCGATTCATTTGTTGTTATCAACGGGAATCTGGCGAAGTACGACATGTCCGTGCCGGGAACAAGTGATTGGCGAAAGACGGTTTGACGAGATAAAGAAAAGCCATTTAGGCCAAGCAATCGGCTTGGCTAGTGCAACTGTGTTGTCGCCACCCTTGTCGGGCGTGGCAGCTCAAGCAAGGGTCTGACTGCATACTAGTCTCCGCCGAAACCATATCTACGGATATTAATCTACCTAGGCTCCCTTCGTACACACACACACACACTCACACACCTGGTTTCCCTTCACCGACATCACGCGACCAACCATCGTCATACAATGAAATTTGGGCGAGACTTCTACCGCCTTCAGATTCCTCGCTGGGCAGACGCCTACCTCGATTACGACGGTCTCAAGCACCTTGCGAAGCAGAAGTCGGTCAGAAATGGCCAATTGGAAGGTGAGCCTGCCGTCCTGACACGCTGTTCTCGTATTGTGCTGACGCTTACTTCCACGATAGCCTTCAGGGACTCCCTTCACCGGGAGACAGCGGATATCAATGATTTTCTCCGCAGACAGCATGCCTTGATCAATCTATGGGTTGAAGCGGTGCTATCTCGCTTCATCATTTCCCATGCATCAACATTCGAGGTTCTGGACTTTGCCGGCGTTGCCCAGCCTGAGCTGCAAGATCTTGTCGACTGCCTTATTGAGATATTGGACTTTGCTGCTCAGCTCGACGTATTCTCCAAGATCAACAGAGATGCCATCGAGAGACTCCTGGGCAAGCTAGGGTGTGTTGAAGTCCTTAGCTGGGTTACAGGATCGGAGTCTCCACTCTACGCGCGACCATGGACAGAGACGAGCTCCCGCGTGCAAGATCTTTTGCAGCAGGTCCATCGCGCATTGGAGCTCCAGGCTGATGCAACCGAGTTACGTTCGCTATTCTCGCCAGCAATGCCGTCCGAGTGCTTGAGCAGGAGTGTATACCACAGTATCAGCAACGACGATTCAGCGGCCCTCATGTGCGTCATGGCGTCGACTGTCTCGGAACTTGCAACGCAGGCAATGCTGTACTCGGTCTTGCAGGTAGCGATTGTCTATCGTTCCCCGAGATGTATACAGTCTCTGCTTGGGGAGATCACGTCTCCCCTGGAAGAGGTCTTGTGTGGTCATCGAGATCCTTTGCATCAATTCATTGCTCAACTAGCTTGCCGAGGCCGGCCTGAGCCGCACTTTCAACCCGCTGCAGTCCTCGAGGACATGTTCAGAGACCTATCGCCTTATCAACATCACATGTTGCTGACCAAAGACTGGAGAGGGCGATACCCCTTACATTATGCAGCCGAGTATGGCCTGAGCGAAGTGTGTCTGCAGATCCTCAAGTTTATCGAACCTTCAGTTATCTTGGAATGCGATATTGCGGGCGAGACGCCGCTGGCGCTGGCAGTATGTTCAGGACACGCAAAAGTTGTACAGGCATTCCTGGAGCTGGATCTTGAGGAAAACGCCCGCGCCAAATCCATGATTTCCGAGCAAGTAGCCGGAGCTTTTCTCTGCGTTGCAATTCAGTCACGGTCCACTGACGTTGCCAAATGTCTGATCAAGTTTGGCAAAGGGCTTAACTGGCAAGGAGGGAAACAAGGACAAACTCCTCTATACATCGCATCACGCACAGGCCAAGTTGAGGTGGTTGAAATGCTTCTACTCCGATCTCCTGATCTCAACCTCAACCTGCCGCACGCATCGAAGAAGTGGACCCCACTTATAGTAGCTTCTGTGCATGGCCATGTAGAGCTAGTCCGACTTCTGCTATCAGCAGGCGCAAACGTGAACAGCCAGGACTGGCGCGGCTGGTCTGCTATAGACCACGCTTCGTACAGAGCCCACATGGCCATCGTGGCAATGGTACAACACGCTCTATGCAAAGATGACGGAGTCAGTAGTGAAACCCCCAAGCTTTCCGTGCAGGTTTGCTCCGCACAACAGACCGCTGTCCACCGCCCAACGTCCTTCGCACCACATGAAGCTTTACCTGATGCAGAATCCGATCTCACATCGATCTTCGTCAATCTTGGCACATTCGAGACGCACCACAATGAAAAAATCGCGGACATCATACCTTCAGTAGCCAACCAGCGACAGCATCATAATAGTATCCAAAGTAGCATGCTGCTTGAGGTCTCTGGATCTGACTGCCGAGAACCGCCATACTGCCTGCAACTTCCCTACCTAGGAGACATCTCCGATATTACGTGGCGATTCTCCACCTCAGACCCAGACAACATGCGACTCACTTTCAAGCTGTTTCAGTTCCTGGGTGAGCGAGAAGTATGCAAGAGACTCGTTGGCTCCGGCATAGCTCTCCTGAGCGCGATCAAGGGCTGGTTCCGGACCGAGCGACAGAGCCTGAGACGCGATAGCACAGTTGCGCTGATGAACTCGGATGGGGATTTTGCTGGCACCTTGTCTTTCACATTTCTGGTCGCCGGAGCGTACAAGCCCGCTATGTTGCCCACCCACGCGCAGAAAATGTGCCCGCCGCCGTCTACGCAAATCGTGGCCCATCGAGGTATGCGCCCTCGGTCCCAACTCGCGATGCTATACTCACATGACCCTCTAGGACTCGGTTTGAACGAAAAGAAGTCGAAACGTCTGCAAATAGGAGAACATACTTTCCAAGTACTCATTCTACCCGCCCCCTTCAGCCATTGGCTCTATGCTAACCATGCTCTAGTCTCTCGCCAGCGCACTGGACCAAGGTGCTGACTATATCGAGGTTAGCCACCTCACCTGGCTAAACTGGACTATGGCTAACATTTTTGCGAGTAGTTTGGTATGCATGCATAATGATTATACGGTTGTCTACTAACCACACAATAACAGATGTGCAAGTGACTCGGGATCATGTGCCCGTGATTTACCACGACTGGTTCGTCAGCGAGGCGGGACTCGATGTCCCTATCCACGCAATGACATATCGTCAGGTATGAACCTCGCAGGACCGTGACCCGTATTCCAAACACTGACCAGGCATAGTGGATGGCACTCAGTGAGGCCCAGTCAGGCTCCCATGAGGAAGTGCCTCGAGGCCGTCTACCATGGGATGAGAGAACCAGACCAAGTGTTCGTCACCGAAGAGACTCTCGTTCCCTCTGCGCGCGCCAGGACCACCCAACAAAAGCGATGATAGATCGCATGAAGCACACCTTTGAGTACACAAACTACAATATGAAGGGAAACACCCGCGGTGATTTCATCCACGACGCCTTCGTGACGCTCCGACAGCTCTTCGAGAAATTCCCAGAGAACGTGAGCTTCGATATCGAGCTGAGTAGGTCAACGTTCTCCGCCGCCCCTCCTCCAGAAGCTCCGTCATGACGAACTAACACAACTCGAACCCAGAGTACCCCATGTTCTGGGAGACAGACTACTGGGGCATGGAACCCTACTGCAACGAAATGAACTCCTACCTGGACGTGATCCTCGACGTAGTCTACTCTCTCTCTCACAACACCAACCGCTCTATCTTCTTCTCGTGCTTCAACCCCGAAGTATGCATCCTGCTCTCTACCAAACAAAAGACCTACCCCGTCGTCTTCCTCAACGACTCCATGGTCAGCGGCGCCGCGGGCGACACGCGGGCCACCAGCCTTCAGCAGGCGGTGCGGTTCGCCAAGAAGTGGGACTTGCAGGGTATTATCATGGCAGCGGAGACGTTCGTCGCGGCGCCGAAGTTGATTGGGCATGTCAAGGGGTTGGGTCTATTCTGTGGAAGTTACGGGGCATTGAATGATGTGCCTGGGTTTGCCAAGGTAGTTTTCCTGATTCGTCCATCCTATGAAGCCCGTGATGGAATGAGCGAAGCTGACCAAGTCGCACAGAAACAACAAGCGGAAGGTATCGACATGATTGTCGTCAACAACATTCGGCTCATCTCGATGGCGCTTGGAAGTTCTTCTGCAGCTTGAAATTTGCGTATTTAACAGCGTGGAGAATGAACTGGAAACTCGTTGTAGAGCGGCGGCGCAGGCGTCATGTTTTCAACAACTTGAGCGCCTTCACAGGTTTTTGTGGCCGTAGATTCATTTCTGGATGGCGTTCAACAGATGTTGATATATACCCAAAGTTCCATGTACTCTCTTATGTTGCTTGCTTTCAAGACAGGGTCGACTAAATAGACATTGTTTGTGATGTCGTTGATGCGCCTTGATCTGCCATCATGGCAGTATTGACATCGCGAACCAGTGAAGCCAGCTCGGGAAATGGCTTAAATTTGAGCATTTGAATCGCCTATGCTACCTACACTCAACTGAGGTTCGAGAAATAATTACGGATGGCAGTCGCCTTGGTTTTAAATACTTGGCTCCACCACCCCGCCGCCCAGAACCAGTTCTATGATGAATGACACGCCACATGCCACTTACGCGTCAAGATACTCCAGCGTAACCCTCACACTCACACCACCCCCCCTGTTACATTCCCATGACTCTCGCCACTCACCGCTTTCTCCGCAGCTCGAGTTTTCTATCCTTTCTGGGCCATCCAGAAGGAGATCTCATTGCCTTTATTAGCAGACGTTCCCAGAACCTCGGACAGCGCCCCCCACAGATCGCGGTGGCTGAGCGGCCTGCCCACTGCCATGCGCTACCCGCTACAGGACCATACAGGCCTGGCCCTCGCCTTCTAATTCCTATTCCGTTGTCGTCGACATCCTTGAAGTGTCCGTACTGTCGGATTCAAATGAAGAAACGAATGAGACATTGATCCAACTTAAGCAGTTAGCCTTACAGTAGAAATAATTTATGGGTTAAAAGCGGCAGGTGCAGCCTTCAGTAGGTCCCATCCATTGCAAATATCTGACCAGCAATGTAGATGAGAGTGCCAACCTAGGAAGGAACAGGTCCGAATAAAAAGGGGAAGGTAGCCTACCGAGGGAGTCTTGTGGTGCGTCATTGCTCTGGAAGTCTGTAGTAGCCGACAGGCTGGGCGAAAAGACGCAATGGCTCAGTGAAACCTCTCATCCAGGTACCGTCGACGTTGACTCTTGTCAATCCCAGCTGCATTGCAATTTTTTCCAGACCGTGACGTGACTTAGGTCAGACATGTTTCCCACCCCGATCGTAGCTGTTTACTTCGCGGTTTGGTAATCTTTTCACTTGGCTAGTGGCAGATCCTCGTCTGGAACCAGTCGCAGCCTAGCTCATGGCCGATAACTTCTGTTTCTGCCCTCACACCGACTGCCAATTTCGCGTCATCTCCTGCACCGTTTCCTCGCCGAGCAGCATCACTCCATCTCCTCCCCGAGCAAGACAAGCCACCACGATCAAGGCCTCCTGCATCTCCTCGTAAATGCCCATGAACACACAACCAGGGATACCGTATGCACCTGCTCAAGTCAGTTTTCCGTCAACTTGTAGAGTACGGACTGAATTGCCAGGACATACCTGGTGCAGGTTTGAAGATCACACCGCCCAAGCCTCTCCCGAGGCTCTTCAGGAAACCGACAGCGCCGTCTTGTTTTGCCCCTTGATATGGTTGCATCCCGAAGCCGGTGAGTCCGTCCTAGAGGCCGCGTGCGAAGCTCGTCGGCACATCGGGTCAGTTACCAGAGACATCAGCCGAGATAGCGGCCATACGTCTTTCTGTCCGCTGCGAAGTCACTCTTCGTCCTGATGTTCTTCTCCGCATCTTGAATCGTTGAGTCTCCATATAGTCTCAGGACATGGCTATAGAATCATGCTAACGTCAAGGTCGCAATCCTTCAAAACACAAGTACCTGAAATCGAACACCATCGCGAAGCAGTACCTCTAATTACAGACAGTTCCAAGGATCGGACCAAACGCACCATGCTAACCTGGTGAGCTAGGGTTGACGTGTAAATACACTAATACCGTCACTATTCTCCAGACTTTAGTTGTTAATGCTAACCTCACCGGAGGCCCTAGTTAGGAAACCTGGTTGGTTTATGGTCGCCAAGGCTCAAATAGCTATTTTGACCGCCGTGCTGGGGGTCCCTGACAGCCATATTTTTAGGTAATTTGAAGGTGCTTGAGGTCCCTGCCAGCCCTGTGCAACCCCCTGTAAGACTTGTTAGCTTGCAAATCTCTGCGCAATGTCTGGTACTTTGAAACTTAGCTGTTATCTTAGTATTCCTCCAACGCTTAAGCCGCTATCCTTATGCTATGGAGGGTCTAATTGCCCCTATAACGCTGACTCCGGTAGTATCGCTATCTCACTAGGCCTAGGCCTCGGCTGAGGCTACTCTGGTACTCTCGGAGGCTTAAGAGCACTTTTCCCAGTATTTCCGTAGTTTCACTTTTTCCACCATTTACTTGTCCGGTGGGTCGTTGATGGTAATAGGCTATGTGATACGTGACCCCATGGGGGGTTACCCTACAGCGATAGATAAGATAGATAAGATAAGAGCTATAAAAGAGCTCTGCCAGGCCAGAATAGCTGACCTGGCCATCCTTTCCGAATGCAACAATTCACACCCCATATGCACTCGCATCACTATGAGACCGTGAAGGCCGCGCTACAGTAGAGTCCTAGCGCTATTCACGTCGCATTTGTCAGATAGGGCACCTGGTTCCTAGGTTCAGAAATGATATGGCACTGGAGAAGACTATTGTCACTTGAAGTTCAGAAGGCGAAAGGAACCCCTTTCCCAAAAGTAACACCAAAGTTACTGTGAAGGTCAACCCTCGCAGACTCACTACAACCAGGTGACTTACAGCTGGAACACCTGCCGTGGCAGTGCCAGATGGGAAGCCAATCATAACCCCTGTAGGAGCCCCGCCAAGCGTGGACGACTTAGTCGCGCTCCCTCAAACCTAAGTTGTCATCTTCTTTCCTTCGCTCCTTAGAGTAGAATCTTCGTCGATAGCACCTAATCGAGGTCTCTACCAATGCGATGCAACCCAGGTCGTGACAGTTACTGTCCACTTAGGGGTCAGATACCTGAACAATGTAACTCCGATATGTTCTAAAGAATCTATAAAAGACAGAGCAACGGGAGTTCGAGAGGACAGGGAACAATACACCTCATTCATATACAATCTTACGCACTTCTGACTACTCGATTGGACACACGTGATATTCGACAGCATTTGATAGCTAGACCTCCCGTAACCATCTGGCTACATACGGAATCGCTGCTTTTTAGGAGATGAGATGAATCGGCCGAAAAGGTAGTCCTTAGATTGTGTTACACGCTAAGGTGGTCAAAGATTTGTGAGGTTGTAAAAGCATGACATTCTATCTAGTCCTATGGAGCACGAAGGTTGGACTTAGTCCCAAAGGGCTAAGTCACGTGGTAACCTTGGTGGTCTTAGCAAAGCCCACCAAGGTTGCCTAACAGATTGCCAGAAGTTAAGACGCGTCATCCTAGCCAGGCAATCGGCGCTTAAGTGTTTCAGGTTATTAAATTCTACGGAATCCAGACATAGCGGTTAAATAGCTCGGCTAATAGCTCGGATTTGATAGCTAGCGCCCTTAACAAGCTAGCTAGATCCTCTACTTAGGGCTCTGACGGCTGAGAGCTATGGAAAACAACTAGCTAGATGAACCGGACGAGGCTACAGAGCAGGCTCTAGCCAACCCCGCTAGTATGTTCCCGGGGGACCGCGCCGGCGAGGTTAGCGATAGCTTCATCTCTTAGTAGTAAATCCAACCAAAAAGTCACCAGACTCACCTAACCTCACTATGATCACTAGTATTACGAATCTATGATTCTAACCAACGCAACAGGCCCGATGACAGGCCCAGTGGATACAGGACAAAGAAGGAGGGGAAAGTCACACAGGAGTGGCTAGCTGCAGGAGGAGCCAGCTAGTGCAAGGATCACAAGTCACGTGACTTACAAGGGTGGATCATTTGGATATGAAATGATCCAACATATCCAGTTAGGACCAATAGTATCCATGAAGGATCTAATGGCCCCAGTTATCAGTGAAGGAGGGGATGGATATATAAGGGACAGGACTCCCAGGCATTTCATAGATAGACAGTCTCTACTTCAGTCATCAATCTAAGCATCAATCTAACCCATTGGTGAGGCAAACTGCCTTGACGACTCTATTCCCAGTTACCCTACTTGAATACTTCAGTTACCCCAAAGCACTATACTCCATACGTCAGACCCCGATATTATTGCTAAAGGACTCCGCAGCAGGACTTACTTACTAGCACAAACCCTTACAGACTCTTTAGTGGTTTACGCAGCTAGACTATTAGACGTTTCGTTACAACTAGTTGGTCAACATCACCAGCGTTTTGCTTACTAATTTGATCATTAACCAACCAAGAGGGGATGGTGAGGTTGGTCGGACCCTTGGATAGTTCCATGAGTGGATATATGGGAGTACGGTATATGTGTATAACCCTACAAGCCAACACCACACACACACACAGCCACACCGGAGAAATGATTATCCGTCCACATAACAAAGCCATAACAAGGTCAGCCAGATCGCAGAAGATACATCGATCAATCCTTTCACCCTCAGTAGTCAACTACACGTGTATACGAAACCTTGTTTCATGTCCCGATCTATTGCACGAAAAGCCGAATGTGAATGACGGAAAAATTGATGAAGACAATATGTTGTCGTCAAGGTAGGGTGCGATTTGAAGGCGCGATCCTTGACCGACCCGTCACACAGTGGGTCAAACCGCTGTTTTTTAAGGCTTGAAGAGCACCTCTTGCACAGGTGCGAAAGGCTTGTTTCAGACCGCCAAGAGATTGATTGTGCCTTTGTGCCCCAGAAAAATAAGAAACAAAGAAAAAGAAACGAAGAAACCCGGCATGATGACTCGGTGAAGCGAATCGAACTGACTGACAGATTGGTGGTTTCGTTCCATTTGGGTCCACGGTCTTTGGGAGATCATGCTGGTGTGAACTCAACATCAATAAGGCAATTATTAATTTATCTACGTCGTATCTGGGCTATTTCGACTCGTTAAGCGGTCGCCGAGAATGAGCACATGAGAGACGGAGCTTGTTATGGGACGCGCTTCGTATGCTTGCTACATCTGGCGGCATCCACGCTGTCGCGCCCCACATGAAGCAATCTCAACAAGTTGCAAACAATACTAGAATCGCAGCCAGGCGGCCGTTAACTCCGATATTAGCAACTCCTCGAGGTCTCCAACGTCTTTACGACCAGGCATCGTGTTGTCCTGCATTTGCCCTTCAGTCTGTCATTGTGGCAGACCGAGGTAGATAAGGCCGTTACAGACTTGGAACGACCCGCAATGTTGTTACGCACTCAGTCCCACTTGACATAAAACCCAGGGCACAGCTATCATTAGAAGGCCTGGTTTTAAAGCTGGGTCATGCTTCTACCCAGTCACACCGACGCATTGTGTCGTTTAAATTGCCCGACAGATTTCAGATCGACTGTTCATAGCCTATCCCTGGATTGCCAGGGACCCTTGTGGTTTCTATGATTGGGTTCCTAAGATTGCCGCAGAGCCTCCCCGTCCCCTGACCTGCCCTGACGACGTTTGCTGCGCCCTTGGTGAACATCTGGTCCTATGGGTCAAAAAGCCATTTCGGATCAGGGTGGTACATCTCATCCCAAGTTGAGACGATGTCACAGGCTTGATGTTTTTGTCAACCAATCACACAACTCTCGCCCCTGTGCTGCGCATGATTGACGTGGGCACTTCGCCCGAACACTCCATTTCTTTCACGCGGATCTACGTGATCGAAGATCATTCAGCCACGCATTCTTGGCCTCCAAGTTCCAAGGCGGCTAGGTAACCGACAATGTGCCATCAACAGTGACTTGGACCAAAGTCTCCATTTGACATCTCCGAGCCCAATTAGTGGCCGGTCGAGGCACCGCTGTGGTATATGCGGCCCGCGGCTGCGTCTTCATGCGTATCCCGGGTGGCAGTCCCATGGACTAGTATGCTATTAACTGTCGTTTTTCTCTATCGGGATAGGGAGGCGTGGCTACGGAATCCACACATACCCACTCTGATATCCCACCGGCGGTATGAGTGGACAAAATTGGTGGCTTTACAGACAGGCGTCATGGAGCCGCGTCAACATCTAGACCGTGCCTTCATTCTACTGGCGACCTCCTTCCTTGCTTGCTCATCTACGTCGAACGACGGAGCCGTCCCACCATGTCGTCGGTAGCCTTGCAGGTATTGCGAGCGGCATATGTATATGAAAACCCCTCCGCCATGGCAGATTGGGCGGGCATCGAGGTTCTTGTTAACCTTTGTTATCATTATTCGTTTCTTACCTTCTTTCGTCGCAGTTTGTGTCCGGGGTTCTTTCAATTCCATGTGCAGGCATATAGACTTATAGACCTCTATTTCTTGTTGTTTTACTACTACCTTGCAATAGATTTGCTTATAGTCCTATTTCGTCTTTCGCCATGTCCTTTCAACCTATCAACACAGATCAGAGGAAGTCTCGATTCAACCGGCTCACGATATGGCCGTCAGTTTATGGGGAGGACATCGAACTCTCAGCACCATGGCCTGGCCGATATATGATAGAACCACCCAATAAGCGGTGGACGAACGCTTACGATGCCGAGGCTCGGGCCTCGCGCATGAGCTTCCTCGTCGGCGACGGATTGTTACCAGGCCCACCACAGGACCGTCGCATATGGCCCGGGCAGATCGGACAGAACCGCACAACGTGGAGAGGGGGGAACCGCACGACATGGATCGATGAGGTGCACCAACAAGACGCACAGGTCTGGGACGGCCAGTTCGACGTGGAGAAGAGGGCTTCCTTCCTCACCCGCAGCCCGAACCGTTGGTCGGATGGATTCGAGATTGGGGAGAAGGAGAAGGAGCGCTACAGGGAACCCCTTACGCAGGCGCAGATCGCACAGGCTGATTCGGCTCTTGTCTCGGTCGACGTGCTCAACTACGACTTCCAAGGTTACGGCACCCCCGAAGAGCCCTTTCTGGTCAGGTGGATGGAGAATGACCCGGCGAATCCTTTGATGTTTCCTGTCGCAAAGAAGTGGATCAACGCAATGATCCTCGCCTTTGCCGTCTTTATGGTCTCGGTCGCTGCATCGGGTTTCTCTCAAGGTATGAACGCACGGTCTGCTCACTGACTTCCTCAGATCTAACATGAACTAGGCACTACTGATATCAAGTCCGAGTTCAACGTCGGGCAGACGGCCGCTCTGCTCATCACATCCGTCTACGTCCTTGGCTTCGCCGTCGGCGCTCTCGTTCTCTCTCCTCTCAGCGAAGTCTACGGCCGCCGCGACCTTTACGTCTGGACTTTCCTGGGCTTCGTCGTCTTCACCGGCGCCATCAGCCTTGCCCAATCTGTGACCGTAATCCTTCTCTTCCGCTTCCTCGGCGGCCTTGCCGGCTCCTTCACCCAAGCCGTAGCGCCTGCCGTCATCGCCGACATCTTCACCGCCCAGGAGCGCGGCTTCGTCCTCAGCATCTTCACCCTCGCCGGACTCATGGGCCAAATGATGGGCCCCATCACCTGCGGCTTCCTCGACGCCGCCTTTGGCTGGCGCTCCCTCCCCGTCCTCATCATCGGCGCCTCCTTCCCCATCTGGGTTGCTCTCACCTTCACCTTCCCCGAGACGTACGCCCCCACTCTCCTGAAGCGCCGCGCGGAGAAGCTGACCGCCATAACGGGCAAGCTGCACATCGTCGACGGCATGCAAGAGGCCAAGACCATCGCGACGCAACTGCGCGTCGGCGCTCTCAGGCCCTGGGTCATTCTCATCTACGAGCCCATCGTCACCCTCCTCAGCCTCTTCCTCTCCGTCGTCCAGGGAACCCTGTTCTTGCTATTCGCCGCCTACCCCATCGTCTTCCAGCAAGTCCGTGGCTGGCCTCAGGGCGTCGCCTCCTTGCCCTTCCTCGCTATTGCGCTGGGGATCGTGCTCTCCCTCGTCTATGTTGCCGCCGTTGACCAGCAGCGCTACGCCAAGGTCGTCGAGAAGAACAACGGGTTTGCCCCCCCAGAGGCGAGGCTCCCGCCCGCTATGCTCGGGTCCGTCGCTCTGCCCATTGGGTTGTTTTGGTTCGCGTGGACCAACGACCCGAGTGTGTACTGGCTTGTGTCGGTCAGCGCGGGTGTGTTCTTTGGCTTTGGCATGGTCTTGTTGTACATGTCGCTTACCAACTACCTCGTCGATGCATACTTGGGCTATGCTGCATCCGCGCTGGCGGCCAGTACGGTGCTCAGGTCTATTGCGGGCGCAGTGTTTCCTCTATTTACTAATTCCATGTATGATTCGCTTGGTAAGTTGTCTACTACTCCGCTTCCCCCCTTGCGCCCTTCAAACCAAGCTAACATTGCTTCAAGGTATCCATTGGGCTTCCAGCGTTCCGGGCTTCTTGTCTGTGCTCTTCATTCCTTCCCTTATTGCGTTTTACAAGTACGGACATATTATCCGGAGTAAGACGAGATTCGGACAGGAGGCTGCTAAGATTGCGGCTGTGATGGAAGGGAAATAAAGGGGTAGGAGAGTGATTCGGTGTATATATTGAATATGTTGATATAATGAAGAGGGGACGAGTATATTAAAATTTACAAAATTAGAGTGAAATGTTCTATGCATTGAATTTGTGTATGGACTAGCAAGTGGACTTACAAGTGAATATGTGACAGTCCTGTGGCTCGTCGTGATTACCTTCGAGGATAGTACGTGCGTCTCATTGTAGATGGCTAGACTTGCTCTAGCCCTGGTAAAAGGGTAATCTTGTTTTCGAAATATCAACTTCTGCTAGTATAGTTTCCTATCGCATGAAGCTTTCTGAGTTAGTTAACATACCTACCTAACCTCTATTACAGAATTCTCTCGCTGGCTCCCTGAAAGTATAGCTCTCAAGCAAGATTCAAAACACGCCCAAACTTATACACACCTTGCATGGCCAAATATACAACATCAACATGCAGCACATTTTCGCTTTGCTACCACCACTAGAAAGTAAATATGGAAACCCGATAAGCATGTCAGCAGAGTCAAACTCACACTCGCCATTTGTCCAAACACGAGATATGAAGTGATAATCTCGCAGCTGGATAACCACAAGCAGGCTGTGCTGCCCATCAAATCTACCGTCGCGATCCCAACCCTCAGTCGTATGCATAGCCGCGCGCAGCAACCCCCCAGCTTATCCTCCCTCTTGCCAATGGGCGCCAAATGCCGCTCGCGGCCGACCTCGTCCACCTCCGCGTTAACCGACACGTTCGCAACGTAGTTGTCCAACCTTGCGCCCTCCACGAATAGCAGCGTGTCCTCGCTGGCGATCTGACCATGATGATGGCTTCTCCCGTTGTCTCATCACAGTAGGCCGCCGTCTCCTTCACGTGAATGGAATTGTAGCCTGTGGCCCGGAGAGGGCTAGGCAAGGGCCCCCGTTCGGCCTTGATGTGCGCCTCGAAGAGAGGCACGTGCAGTCGCTCGTGGTCCCTCGTATTCTTTGTGCGCATCAATGAATTCTTGTCGGAATTGGGCAAGCTTGCGCTATGGTAAAAAGAATATCCCAGGTAGAAACCAAGGCTGAAGAAGGAGCCTATGGCCATGTCTTTGATGCAGGGCCCAATGGGCGAACGTTAAGTGTACAGTAAGCCTGTAGAAGCGTCGAGGCTGTATTGTTCGCGCGGTCGGGGGTTTCGAACTGGTTGAATGGACGGCGTTGTCTTGGCTGTGTGAGTACAATAATTGGATTTGGTATTGGGAGAGTTAGTCGGCCGCCCAGCGGGCGCACCTGTCGGAGCATTCTGAGCACACGAGCATGAGTTGGAGATGGACCGTTGTTGGGTGGTGCAAATAGAGCTTGTACTCGAGTATAGGCGGGGAAGGCTTAGGTAGATTTGTCGCCAACGACGACTTTTGAGACTCTCTGGTGGGAAATGGTTGAATACGACAACTAGAACGACGTTAAACCTTCCCGCCTCATCTTGCTGCTGAAATCGAATCGATGTCACTCTTTCTAAACTGGTGGTTTTCGCGGCTAGCTTGCTCGTTGAACCAATAAAATCAGCAATCAAATGTATCCTCTAAGCAAGATCTAGATGACAGGATGTGTTTTTCGCATTATTCCTGCGTATATGCTGTCACACACAGCTCAGTGATGCCGTCTTCCAGCCCAGTAGTCCATAGTCCATGCTCAACTCGTCATTTTGTCTAGTCTATGGCTCCGAAAGTCCTTTAATAAGTGTCCTTTCGAATAACAATAATCAGTGCTGACAGATAATGCATTGTGTTACTGCGGGTATCACCAGAGTATTGCTTATCCTTTGAATTAGTAAGGAAAGCTGGTATAGAGTTTCTTCGCCCACGTTTCAGGCCGAGAAGCGAGACTCGGGTCAGGAAACTAGTAGCAGCAAATGCAGTACCTAACAAGCTCAAACAATTGCTGACACTTCTGAAGAGATCCTGTATTCTTTACAGACCACGTTGGCATTGTATAATGAAGTCACCCATATCACCTCGCCACATTTCTTCCTATACGCAATCAGATTTGTACAAGTCTGTACAACCTAGAGTCTCACAAACCGCTCCTGCCGGCAATCATGGCCACACCGCCAAAGCGACCGCGCAATCAGACCGGAATTTTGTCTCTGTATAGAAATAGTAGGGACAAAACATTTGTTGCGCCCGAACACTTTTATCGGAAGAGTGGCCGAACAGCTCGGCTAGGGTTCACGTATACGTACTCTGGGGTCGGTTCCAACGCACCTGCCGCCGAATGCCGTCCACAGGGCTGCAGAGCCTGCTATCATCCAGTATTGGCCTAGAATAAACCCTTTTCCCAATATCGTCATGGGGGACTTTGGAGATACAGGAGTTGAGCTCTATAAATCTGAGAAACTCACAGGTCGGGCATTCACCAACTTTGGTTGAAAGAACGGGAAAACCTGTGTAAGTAACTCCTAAAGCCCTTTCGTTGTCTATCCTTATTACGTGTCAGGGGCGGTTAATTATACAAACTCCCTCCCAAGATACGATTATGCCCTCCGAAGATGTGGCCGGAGTTAGTATAGCAATTTCTGAGAGTTTCAAGAAACCAGCACGGCAAAATGCTGCGTCATCTGTGCATGGCGCACATCACACTCTCAAGAGGCGAGCCCTAATTGTTCTTATGTGCTGATAGGAGGCGGCTTCACGAAGCCAATTTCCTAGTAGCGGAACAACTTACGGGAAACCCTCCTATCGGCAACCGACAAAGGCTATTGGGAAAGCTATACGGCTGCGGCAGGTTTTACCTTCATTAATGACATTGGGCAAGGTGGCAAATCTTGAATATACGAGTTACTACATTCATCTTGTGTCAAAGTTGTACATAACCAATATGTGAGTCCATGGCAACGAACCAGCAAAATATTCTACAAGGAAATGGTAAAGCTATAGTACCAGCAGAGCGTAGAGTTCCGACTCCGTTGCTACCCGTCAGATATTCTGCAGTCTGTACACCCACCAACAAGTACTCATGGAACAAGTAGATATAACACAGTCAGCATATTCTTATGTTAAATACCTCGGTTGATTGGACTTCGTGGAAGGATTCCTTCGAATCCATGCGACGGCGCTTCTAGCGGTTGTCCATCCTATGTCGCCTAGTTGCCAGCGATTTTTCCGGGCCTGTGGAGAAGTAGGTGATTGCCAAGATCGAGCCAGCTTTCATATCCCAGTGCTGACCGTTGAAGATCATGGAAGCTCTTTCTGAATCTGGCTCGGAAACCAAATGCGCACAGATCGCATGCGCCGGGATGCCCGACCTGGCTGCCAAATGTGGATTTACAACCTATCCTACTATCGTACTCGGCCACGATCCTGAAACGTTTAAAGCGTACTATGGCGCACTGAGAAAAGGAGAGTACGTTTTCTTGGCATCTGTCTCTATGTCCGACCTGACTGACGGCCCCTACCCTAAGTATCCTGGCCTTTCCCAAGAGGTAAACGATGTTAGTAGTGAGTGACGTTAATTGAGTTTCACTTTAAGATCTTCGAGCTGCAAAAAACACGTTTATCGTTGTATACTTGGACTATGCTGATGTAGCCGCGCGACAAAATCTCACCGCTTGGCTGAAGATATGCGAGATGACTCCGACTTCGGTATCGCAAATGACTACGACCTCGTGGCAGCGGAGGAGGTTAGTATCCATAGTATCGTTGTGTACAAGTTTCAGGCGGAAAAGAAGACCGCCCTTGGTCTTTATAATGCTTCTGATAATGAGAGAATGACCAAATTCGTAAAAGAAGCTATTAGGCCCTCCGTGATGGAGTTGCCCCCGGAACTACACGATGCTAGACTGAAATTATATGTTTGTGACGTCTCTATTCTGTAAAGTTGAGCAGTGTCTAACAGAATTCTATAGGAAAACCTCCTACTCGGCTACATTTTTGTGTCCTCGAATGTCGAGCAGCAAGAAGTCTCGGAGGCGACCCTGCCCTTGGCGCGACAATAACTAGGCCTATCCAGTTCGGCACCGTCGATATGCATATTTTCACAGATCTCGCGGACAAGATGCACCTGTAAACTGATCAGTGGCTTGCCTTCGGCATCCACGAGCCTAAGAAAGATCTGAAGTATCCCCTGAACTCGAACATCAGCTCCCAAGACGGCTATCTCGACATTGGACAAGTAACTAAACTCGTCACGAAATTGTTCAACGGAAAGCTTAAGCCAACAATAAAATCGCAAGCTATCCCCACCGTGCAAGAATCTGCAGTCATCAAGATCGTCGGGCTGAACTATCAGGACGTCATCCTCGACAATAACAAGGATGTTCTCATTGAATTTCTTGCCTGCAGATGAGGAGTTGGCGCAGCGATATGCTGCTGAGGAGAAGGGGAGAGAAAGAGTGATGGTAGCCAAGATAGGACATGAGGCGAACGATACCTTGACAAAGATATACGTGGATCTCCCTGGTTCAAGTTATACCCAGTTGGCAAGAAGGACACGCCGAGTATGTATATTGGAGAGCGCCGGGTCGCTAGTTGGGCCGAGTTCATACGGGAGAATGGATCTTATCAGGTTGGGTTGGACCTATGATAAGCGATGCTGCGAGTCTGATCGGTCACTTTCATGTCAAGTTCATCCGAATTTCGTAGCAAGAAGGCCACTATTTAACCACCTTGCAACCGAGACGACCGAGACGCTCAAGGTACAACAAAGCAAGCCACATTTGGTCCGTGCACTACGCTCCAGCCACCTTTAGCCTTGCCCAAGTTCATCGTCAGGTTGCACTGACGCGACAGCTTCAGCTGCCTTGACGGACGAAGCTCACCAAACCCACCGAAACCCAAGCTCACGATTCCACAACACTGCAATTCCCTCCCATATCACCTGTCTTCATCACCTTCGACCGTAACCGACGTTCATCATGACTTCCATTGGTACGGGCTACGACTTAAGCAACAGCACATTCTCGCCAGATGGTCGCAATTTCCAGGTGGAATATGCAGTCAAGGCAGTAGAGAATGGCGGCACATCAGTAGGGATCAGAGCTAAGGACGGCGTGGTTCTGGCGGTTGAGAAGGTGGTCACATCGAAGCTGCTGAAGCCGGGAGCGAACAAGAGAATCGCAACCATCGACAGAAATCTGGGCGTGGTAGGTCACCTTTGCTCGCAAACCACCCTCCTACAGCTTCAAGAGACAAGGAAATAGAAGACTGACAGCGTGTATCATTCAAGGTCTACTCCGGCATGATCCCCGACGGTCGTCACTTCGTTGACCGAGCCCGCGACGAAGCCCGCTCCTGGCGCGACACCTTCAAGACGGGAATCCCCACATCCGACCTCGCATCCCGCATGGGCGGCTACCTGCAAGCATACACACTGTACCAATCCGTTCGCCCCTTTGGCATCACCGCTATCATAGGAGGCTTCGACTCTGAGCTCGAGGCGCCCGTAGACGGCGAGGTGGGCAGCGGCCCGTCGGTCGGCGCAGGCGGCAAGGGCACCGGCACCCACGGCGGCCCGGGCCTCTACATGATTGAGCCAAGCGGCATGTACTGGGGCTACTACGGTGCGGCGACGGGGAAGGGCCGGCAGGCGGCCAAGGCGGAACTCGAGAAGCTAGACTTGGCGGCCGGGACGCTCTCGCTCCATGACGCGGTCAAGGAGGCGGCGCGCATCATCTACTTTGCGCAGCAGGACAACAAGGACAAGGAGTTCGAGCTCGAGATGACATGGATTAGTGGTGTGAATGGACCCACCAAGGGTAGACATGAGCACGTGCCTAAGGAGCTGATGGAGGAGGCGGAGCGGTTAGCGAAGAAGTCGCTTGATGACGATGATGAGGATGAGGAGAAGAGTGAGGAGAAGAGTGATGATAAGATGGAGGAGTAGAGTTCGTTCGGCGTGGATGCAGGCTCTCGGTGGGCAAACTCTTTGCATGACGGACTGATTGCACTTGTACAATTACGACAATGGACATGGCGATTTGGGGATCAGATCATAGACTAATTTCATCAGAGAGTCATGATGTCTACAGCTTGTAACTAGATGGATTGCCTGTCCACTTATGGCATTCGGTGTCTTGTTGCATCGAATAAAGGCCGTCCAAGCATTGAGGAGGAAGGTCGGTACCGATGGCCACACCAAGTGACCCAGAGTCCAAAGGGTTCTGTTTGTCTTGAAAACGCCTTTATCTGGCGTCGAGTCAGTATCCATTGGCGAAAGTTGATCCACCTTTGGTACTCGGTATTACTCGAAGTTGCAAGAGCAGAGCAGCAGGGTTCACGAGCGCAGAGCAGAGGCTAGGACCAAGTCGATTCGCGCATCGAGGAAACCTATCGAAGCGACTGTGCCCAAGTCTTCGCGTGCATATGAAATATATTGTGGCTCCCTTGAGTATGGACAGCTTGGAGGCAGTGACCAGCCTCCAACGAATATCCTGGGGGCCGTGAAGTTAGGAATCTTACTACTATGTGCCGAATAAGCTCGTTAAGCCATGTATTCAGTGTACCAAAAAAGTAGATGCTGTGCCCAGTTGTGGCACTCAAACCGTCCAAGCGGATTACTGCGGCCGTTTCTTCTGCCAGTTCCGACCATCACCGCTCCAAGTATCGACGAGAAGACAAAGTGGGATATTTGAAAGATATTTTATGCTGGTGGTTTGCCATAGCCGATTGAAAGCCCTGGTTCAGTGCCTAGGGGTGGTTGTGGGAATCACGGTGAGGCAGGTGTGTGTGGTGCTGTTAGATATCAGAATCGGTGAATGCTTCGTCGTGGGTGCTGTGACTTTTTGTCCTCTTTCCTCTTCAGCGATCGGACTGCACTCACATGTGTGCCACTGTGTGACTATGCAAGTCATTCGCCACGATCGTCTTGAATTCAACCTTGCTGGCATAACAAGCTTTGCAATGATTCTTGGCGGACAACGAAGCAGTAGCGAAGCAGTGATATGAGGAGAGTAGTGAAGGATAAGTCATGAAGGAGTTATGGGTAGAAAAGATTGGAATGACTTGCGCCCTAGACACTTTAAAGAGAAGCCATTAGGCACTTTCCAAAGCTAGGGTGGCTACAAAAGTGGAAGGAGTAACTGGACGATACTCTAAAGAAGCGGCAAGTAGCTACAGATTAGGAAATAGGAACTTATCGTGAATTGGATGCCCACACACATCGCCAGATTAGAAAAGGTTATCTGGCACCAGACGAGTGGTCACTCTAGCAGAATCCAGGGTGCTGCTTCCGTAGCGAGGTACGTAGCTTAGTATACGACATATTATTATGTATTCCAACGCCGAAGAGACTGAGGCAGTCAAGATACCAAGGACAACTTGAACCATTCACATCCTCTAAGCTCCCAATATCGTGAATGCACTAGCAACATCACATATCTAACAATTCAGTGACACGTCGATATAGCAGTATGGGTTGTGGTGATTAGCCAGGCTTCGTATAGGGTCCCCCCGGTCAAGAACATCAATCCTTAGGCTCTTGGCAAGTCCAATCGTTTCTAGGGCCCTAGGACTGTAGTGAGTACACAGAGCATGGAACAGCAGGGGCTATGCTACTTGCAATACTAAACGATGAGTTCATGCATTACCATGATCGGTATGTAGATTCGACAACATTATTTCACACGTAGTAGGAATTGATTAATTAGCTGTAGGATGCACATGCGTTGCCTCTGCATGGAACTCTTGGTTAAAGAAATAAGAAAATAAAAAATAAAAAATAATAATAGAAACATGTCAGGGCATATTCACTCGGCACGTCGATCTACAACCTATTGAAGTCTTTCAAGATCATTTCAATGGAAAGGAGTCGTCGAGGGAAACTTTTTACGATCTATTTTTAGATGGGCGAGGTGTATGATGTATTGGCAGAAGAATCAGTGCACTGTGCACGGGGCCGCTTGTTCTTTCGACTAGTCAACACCTATAGAAGCCCTAACGAACGAAGGTGCGAATGCCGGAAGCTGCGCGATCGGGTAAGGTTAATTAATTAGTTGCACTGCTGCGCCGCCGGCCAGTCTTTTCGAGACGAAGGATCGAAAACCCTGCAGCCTAGATCGCACCAAGTAATCCTAGGTTTGGTCACAAGTGCGACAACCAGCCCTTTAAGGGTTTTCATAGGCCTATTTTATCAGCAATGACTTCAACCAATTCCGGCATGGCCCGGCATGTTATGGTCCTGGGGCTGAGAGCTGATTCTTTGAAACAGTCCAGGCCACCCAATCGTGATCTGCCGTAGGGTTGGCCCTGGACTCACACTTTCCCATGATAACTTGATCAGTTGCTGCCCATCATTGACAACTCATGGCTCAATCGACTACTCCTGTTTTTTTGGATGAACCGATGGACTATCTGCCAAGTACCTTCACGACTTTTGCTCCGTCTCAGGATCAGCATGCTGACGCGAACGAATACTTGCTACACAGCCACGATGATGGCGAAAAACTACGCGATGGCCAGGACAGCACGATGGCCCAGCTGCATTCACGAGATGCGGACCCTTATGAAGTCGCACGGTTAGATGATATGCGACATGAGTCTCGCGATGTTAATGTGCCAGATTCGCCTGGCGTATCCGAAAGGAGCTCGAAAAGCATTCGAGAGGAGTTGAACGAGGTGTCGCCGCAGTCATCGAGGACGATCGTTCAGACGCTCAATGCACTTTCCGACAACACCAAATATGAACCAGGTCCAGTCGAACCGCACAAGCCCCAAATGTGGAACTCATTATGGCTCCGGACAGAGGTTCTCATTAGCTTCGCCGTGCTGTTCATCGCTATGCTCCTCGTTACAGCACTCCTGTACCACTTCTCTGAAGCGAATCAGGGGCTGAGTGTCCAAGATTCAGCTCGACACTATGCGTGGACCTATGGACCGACGGCATTTCTTACCATCGTCCTTAGCATGTGGAATCAGATGGACTTCGCTGCAAGGATTCTAGCGCCATGGAAAGAGCTGAAGGACGGTCCAACATCGGTCGAAAGGAGTCTGATGCTCGACTACATTATGCCACTCGTTCCTGTCACGCTCTGGAACGCGCTTAAGAGGCGGCACTGGGCTGTCGTATCTCCCTTACTGGGATTCTTTCTTTTGGAATTGACCGTTCGTACGCCAACAACGCCCCACCTCCTTTATTGGTAAAGCTCACAAGTGAAAAGACTGTTTTCTCTACCGGTCTGCTGGTTTTGCAGCCCACGACGATGAGGCGAGACAACGTTGCCCTATCTGCAATGAGCGAATTTGATGGTTCCGACTTTCATCTCAACCGTACTGACTCCAACATTGGACCAAATCCTACCGTGCTTTTCTATGGCACCCGCTTGCAAGGGCTGGGATATCCCACAGGTGTGAGCGGAGACTTGGCCGTCCCCGATTTTATACCGCGCGACGCCGGCAGCATCCCCCCGGGTGCGAACTATTCGGCCATTGCACCTGGAGTCCGTGTGGGCCTCGATTGTGAATATCTACCAGGACTCAATGGGACGAGAACCCACTTGCCTTGGTGGAGTATACTCGCCTCCTTTTGGGTAGCCAATATCACGACCCCGTCATGCAACCTCACCAATATCATTGTAGCGGAAGGACCAGACCATAATATGTATCATCAAGAGAATGCGACGCAGGCTTACGAGGGCTATTTTGGCGACTACATCTGCGACCAGAGCTACGATTACTCGCTGCCGACTACGGGCCTTCCCAACCCGGCGAATGCATCTGCAGAACACCGAATCATCATGTCCATGGCCGACCTTCGCTTTACACCTTTTGATCCGATGAATAATGAGCCCGATCTAATCTATATGAACAATCTCACGGTCGCCGTGTGCAAACCGTATTATACCATGGGGAAATACGAGGTCACGTACTTGGATGCCACAGGCGCCTCAATGAAAGCCATGACTGCGAATTTCGTGTCCAACACGACCTCGGATATCCATGGCTTTGCCTCTGCGAACCTCGGCGCAGCTGTGCAGTACTCTGTGGAGAAGGCGTATCTTGGTACCGGAGGTCAAGACTGGGTGTTGTCCGTCCAAGTGCCGTCTTTTTATCAGATATTGTCAGCCATGAACGATAATGCCACCATTGGAGTATTCATGGACGCCCAACGTCTTATTGAAAGCGGTACGGAGGCGTTCAAGGGTATTGCCACGGAACTCATCCACGAGTACATGATGAAACCAGCCAATAATAGTATCACGGGTTCATTTCTATTCAGCGAGAACCGTCTTTGGGTGAGAGCATTATCAGTGGGCTTCATGTGCGCATTTCTCGCGATACTTTCTGCTCTCAGTATTCTCATGGTTTTCATTCGACCTGTCAATGTTGCCCCGCGAGAGCCAGGTTCGATAGCAGCAACCGCAACCATTCTCACTGCAAGTCCCGCACTGCATTCTCTACTCGGGGGTTTGGCTTCTGCTCCGTGGAGCACAATGCGTAAAACTCTCTCTCCGTTCCAGTTTCGCAGTCGGGTGGCAAGTGATCTCGACAAGAATTTCTGTATCGAGCCCATCGGCATCACGGAACAGCAGTTGCCACCGTATGCTCACGAGGACCACCCGGCGAGTGTGCGACCATTCAAATGGTGGACCCCAATGGCTATCACATGGTGGTTTTCGGCCCTTGCTGTCGTTGTCCCATTACTGGCAGTCGCGGCTCTGGAGGTGATCCAACACAACTCTGACCAGTATCAGGGGTTTGTCGACGTCAACCCCGAAGGTTTCGCCGTCACGCATGGCTTCGCGACATACGTCCCAGCTGCGGTAGCGTTCTGCGTTGCAGGGTTGTTCGCCAGCATGCGGTTGTCCGTGAGCATTCTTGCTCCATGGATGGCTCTCAAAAGAGGCAGTGCGACAGCTTCCCAGTCAGTCTTTCTCAGTTTGACGGCGAAAGTGCCACCGCACCGTCTCTTCTTGGCGTTGAAGAGCCGCAACTTTGGTGTTGCTCTTATCTTGATTGCCAACTTTGTGGCTGCTTGGCTTCCGATCATCGTCTCGGGTCTCTATGTTGTGACCCCGGTGCCAGACATTCAGCCCATTTCATTGCAGCAAAGCGATGTCTTCGACTTCAAGCTGAACAACCTTTTCTACAGCGACAACATGGCAGGAACCAACACAGGTCTTATTTTGTACAGCAACCTGTCGTATCCAAGATGGACGCACGATGACCTCGCCTTCAACGCTTTACAGGCGACCAACTCCGAGCTATCCGGTAGCTCTCCCGGAGTTCAAATGCCTTTTGCCACCCATATGATGGCCACCAGACCTTCTCTAAACTGCACAGCCGTCTCTGCAACATCGAGGCAAGCCGGCCGTCCATACTATGAGAGCACTGACGTGCCAAGCGGCAAAGTTGAGCTGCAAGTTAACACCACATTGCCATGGGCTTGCGACCGTGCTGTCAACGTCACCACGGTGCCGTGGCAGCAGTATTTTCTCTTACCCAACGATACCACACCTGCCTACTTCGGTACTGCGTCTGTTCTCCGCTGGTCTCCATCCCGTGTCGATGGCTATGGCGCAGTCGACACCGACTTCAACCACAGGCTTGCGACAAGCTACGCCGAGGACTCGGTAGCGAATTGGGTGGGCGGTTATGGCTGCCCTTCTCTGGCCGTGACACTGGGAAGAGGCTCTGTAACTCCATTTCACAATTCGAAGAACAAGACTTCTTACAATTATGACACCGACATTGCATCGATCGTTTGCTATCAGAATTTCCAGACTGTGAACACGAGTGTCACACTCTCATTGCCATCCATGACGTTCGAGAAGGACCACCCGCCAGTGCCAGACGAATCAACCGCTCGGTATCTACTGAACCAACTCTCCGGCTTCTCCAGTCACATTTTCGAGTTCCCTATCAACACGCTCCTCCTCACTTTAACTTCGGCCACCGAAAATCGCACTGTACCTGGCATCGATGGCAACGACCCAGACGCAAATTATCTCGACGCCTTCACCACTGTCCTAGCTACTCAGAAACAAAATGTAACCATCGACAGTATCACCGGGAACGCCAATGTTCCAAATCTCATCGACGCCACAAGGAAACTCTACAGCACATACATGACCCAAGCCATCTCATTCAACATGCGCTCCACCAGTCTCGACGCCAAAGTCTCGACACCCGACTCCGCAGAAGCTGCAGCCTCCTTTCCCACCCTTCACGGCCTCGTCAGCGTCCCCGGCCGTCTGCGTCTTGTGCAGCAAGCCGGCCCTAAGATCGCGCTCCAGGCCATGCTTGCATTCATGGTACTGTGCGCCATTGCGGGCCGACTGCTCCTCAGGGGGGTCGATGCCGTCGTTCCGTATAACCCGTGCACCATCGCTGGCACAGCGGCTTTGCTAACGGATGGGGAGATCTGCACGAGCAAGATTATACCTCTTGGGTCCGAGTGGATGAGTGATGATGAGTTGAGGGGAAGGGGTGTGTTTGAGGGGTGGATGTTTAGTTTGGGGTGGTGGCAGAGTGGTGAAGATGGGTCGAGGTGGAAGTATGGAGTTGATATTGGGTATATCGTGGATTATGACGGGAATGGGGTGGCGGCCTAGTATATATTGGTCCACAACATAATACGAAGCACATGCTATGGTAACGATATAAAAAAGCGAGTCACATGATGGAAACGACAGATGAATTGTCTCAAAATCCAGGACGAGGCACAGCAATTTAACTAAAATACAAGTGATAACAGATGATGCAGAATATACATAAATTGAGGATTCGTCGCTGGTAAATCGCTAGGACGTACACATAATGATACATTAGATAATAATATATACAACCGAAGATACCCAATACCCCTATCTCATCCTCGCTCACCAACTAAACATGATCATGCGCAACCCCTGTCACGGACAGTTGAACCTAGTGAAGATAGTTTGATCTTCACCACTTAGTAGTGGCCACTATGTTCCCTAAATTTCGCCGGGCGAGTGACTTTAGGACTCCTCGACTTCGTCGCCGTGAGGAACGTAGTCGGCTTGCTGAGCGTGACAGTGGCGTTGTGCATAGTGGTGGGCGCGACGAGCGTGCTGGCCAAAGACTCGGGCACCTCAGCATCGCATTCGCTGTCATCGGCGCCCGTCTCCTCCGGCGAGACGGCTGTAGTCGTGGCTGTAGTCTCATCGCCGGCGTCGCAGCCCTCTTCCTCCTCGTCACCTGAGCCTGTCGATCCCGTGGCGGCGGCTTCGGCCGAGCTCACGGACAGGGTCACCGTGCTGGCCGGGTTGATGGAGATGACGGGAATGGCGGACGTGGGCGCCGAGTCAGCTGCGGCGTTGGTATTAGATGCGCTGAGGGTCGCGGTTGTGGAGGGGTTGATGGAGATCACGGGGATAGTGGACGGAACGGTTGCATCAGCGGCGCCAGTCGCGGTGGGCTCGCCGGCTTCGCAGTCGTCTGCCTCTCCCTCATCTTCGGTGTCGGCGGGTTGAGTCGCGGTCGGAGCTGTGACGCCAATGGTAGCAGTCGTGCTTGGGTTGATAGAGATAACGGGGATGGCAGACGGAACAGTTGCATCAGCGGCGCCAGTCGTGGTGGGCTCGCCGGCTTTATAGTCGCCTGCCTCTCCCTCGTCGTCGGAGTCGGCGGGTTGAGTCGCGGTCGGAGACGTGGCGCCAATGGTAGCAGTCGTGCTTGGGTTGATGGAGATCACAGGGATGGCGGACGGAACGGTTGCATCAGCGGCGCCAGTCGCGGTGGGCTCGCCGGCTTTACAGTCATCTTCGGAGTCGGCGGGTTGAGTCGCGGTCGGATACGTGGCTCCAATGGTAGCAGTCGTGCTTGGGTTGATAGAGATCACGGGGATGGCAGACGGAACAGTTGCATCAGCGGCGCCAGTCGCGGTGGGCTCGCCGGCTTCACAGTCGTCTGCCTCTCCCTCGTCGTCGGAGTCGGCGGGTTGGGTAGCGGTCGGAGACGTGGCGCCAATGGTAGCAGTCGTGCTTGGGTTGATGGAGATCACGGGGATAGTGGACGGAACGGCTGCGTCAGCGGCGCTAGTCGTGATGGGCTCGCCGGCTTCACAGTCGTCTGCCTCTCCCTCGTCGTCGGAGTCGGCGGGTTGAGTAGCAGTTGGAGACGCAACGTCAATGGTAGCAGTCGTGCTTGGGTTGATGGAGATCACGGGGATCACGGTCTGGGTCTCAGTGGCGGTGACGGGGATGTCGTCGGCGTCTTCGGGCTCGCAGCTGTCATCAGCACCGGTCTCGGAGGGAGTGGCCGGCGCGACGGTCGACGACAAGTTGGAGAAGGGGATGCTGATGGATGGAAAGAGGGTGGCCGACGACACGGTCACGGTGGTGTCCGGGTTGATGGAGATGGCCGGGATGAGGGAGGGGGCCGAAGAGCTGGTGTCGGCAACGGCGCTCACGGCGGCCGTAGCAGATGCTGCGACGGAGGTGGCGGATAATGCTGCGCTCGACGAGGTAGCGGGGGTTGACCCGGAACCGGCGCCGCACACGGCAATCGCGCCTCCGGGGGCGACGTAGGTGGTGGGGTCGAAGCCGCTGTAGACATCGGGGATATAGATGTTGTCATCCTCGGCACTGTACGCACCCGGGAGAGAGATAGTGGGAGAGCACGAGCCGGCGGATCCAGTGCCGGTGATGGTGAGCTGAGCGCAGCCGATGTAGAACTGGGCACCGCCAACCGTCTGCGCACCATGAAGGGCGAGCATCTCGGATCGGAGCAGGTAGTCCCCGCTCTCGAGGCCGGTGGGCAGGGTGAAGGTGTAGTTGCCGCCGTTGTTCAGGAGCACCTCGTTGGCCCAGGTGCCGTTGGTGTAGTCGAGCTCATCGATCTTGAACCAGCCCGCGCCGATGCCGGTTGCCTTGGAGGCATCGTCGACTGGTCCGAAGAGGAAGTGGGTGATGGGGCCTGGGTGGGTCGAGACATCCCACTGGACGGTGATTTTGTCGCCTTCAGAGGCGGCATACGTGGTGTCGACGCCGGTGCTGCCATCCACATTGCAGGCCATGTCGTCGCTGGTCACGTCCGTCTGAGCATCGTGTCAGGCTATGTTCATAAAAAAGGCATCGATTCACTAAAGCGGCTTACGACGGGGCTGTTGCTGGGCGGCATGCGCAGCGCGACCTGGTAACCGGGAGACACATCGTTAACCCAGAACTGATGAAGATTCTGATGAGCTGACGCCGCAGCGACGAGCGAAAAGCCGACGAGGGATCGGAGCATCTTGAAAACGAAATTAAGGGCGGATCGCAGACCGCTATCTTTTCACGTGCGTAGATTGTCCAAGGAATGACTGGTGTCCGAACTCCGGGTTCAGCGACAAGAAAAAAAACGAGGGAATGATAGTCTGCAAACTGGCAACGACCGACGCGAAAAACTACGGTTGAAGTGAGAAAAAGACCCAAAAAGCAGGCGAATGGAACCAGGCCATGAGGCTCGGCGTCCATATATGAAGCCCATTCTTGCCCATCGTCGGCCAGGGCCTGGGGGCCCATCTTGAAAAGTCAGGGATGTGTGAAGATTGTTTCCGTTTCCACGAATGGGCGAGGCTGGGCAGACGTGCAATATTGCACCGTGTGTTTGATAGATTGTAGCAGGGACGAGTGCTGAGGAAAATGGCATGTATTGTGTACGGGAACCGGAAACATCAGGGTGTCCTTGTGGGCCCCCAAACGGCCTCAAACCCGCCTGCACGAGTCGGAGGCCCGAGTCCGAGTTGACATGCAGCTTGTACCAGGAACCTCCATGCCCACTGGCCACCCAAGGGAGCCTCCCTTTTTTCGCGCCGAGCTTGTTCATTTGCCCGTCCGTGGTACTGTCTCCACTCCTTTCCCAAAGCGGCAGCGCGGCAAAACTTGGTTGGCTGGGGCAGGGCGTGTCGCTCGTCTGAAACGGACGTCCACGCAGGAACATCGCCGCTAACGTACAGCAATAAACCTGAGGGGCTTGGCGGAGTTGAGCCCCACTCCCGTGCTAATTCCAACGCGGTGGTTCATCCTAACCTGCCGGTTCACAGCCTAGTTGTTCAACGTAAGCGAAACCCAGAGGCGCAGAGTGCAGAAGCTTGCTTTGCATGCACCCCAGCATTAGCGCACATCACTGGGCTTGCCCTGGAATACACAGCTGCAGGTGCTGAACGTGCTTCTGGCCGGAGGGTGCAGTTGCCCAAGTGGTCAGTGAGTTCGGTCAGTGAGTTCGCTTTGATGGCGGTTAACAGTGGGTCGGATCCGCATTGAGCGGCAACTGATCCGAACAGCCAAGTCAGATCGCTACGTTCCGAGATGTGTGCGCAACTGAGTTTGTTCTTGCTTGAGCTCGATGGCAAACATGGGGGTAGAAGACACCCCGGCCTGCATTGGAATCGGAAGGTACGCGCTGAAATGAAGACGAGTTGCTTCATCGCTTCGATGTGTCACAGTTCGAGTTTGCTTGCTAAGAGGCACAGCTCACGTTGGCCCAACACCTGCCCTCGTCAAACTAATCAAATATATTCAAATATATTGCAATTTGCAACCGATCCTTCGCCATATTGCTCAATTCGCCCTATCTTCGATGCAGAGCGACAGAATATTCGAGATTTTCCTTTCCTGGTCAAACTGTGCCCGCGCTATCCCGACAAGCAACCTGGTCAAGCCTTTCGAATCTCGTCTCTTCGATTTGGTCAAGATGTTCGGTGCTTCTCGGGGCCGTTTGCAAGGAGAAGGGGCCACTCATGGAATGCTTACGAGTAGGACCATGGGTATCTCTCGTCCCCGCTCCACCATTTTTTGTCTTCCCCCAACTTGTGTTGTACTAAGTCGCTCTGCTTCATCGCAGGTCTACTTCGTACTCGCATCGAGACATTCTCATGCCCTAGCACGCCTCAAATTCCGCCTCCTATATTCACTGCTATCGAACCTTGCGTCGTGCCCAGCCCAAGAAGCAATATAGCGGGTAGTTCACACAGTTAGATCCAACATGAGTGGTTAGAAGTGGTTCGAGGTATGCTGAACTCTGCGACAGCTATGGGATAGACGAAATCGAGCTTCTCTCAGCCCAGTCCTGCATCTCCCTCCTCGTGCACAAAGTGTCAAGAAGGGAGGGGTGGTGGGGAAAATGAAAGGAAAAAATGAAAAGAAAATGAAAAGAAAAGAAGAAGAAAGAAACCTCCCTCTTTCTGCTGCCTTAGTTGACAAACTTATGGTGAAGTTGAATTTCGAGATCTAACCTGCGATCTCGTATGATAAAGAAATTTGAGTGGGGTCGGGTGCGGAAGCTTGAATATAAGACCAAAGCTATGATTTAATATATATATGGACAGCTTCGATCTCATAATCAAGCTTTAGGTCTCATGCGTATAGAAACCAGAATCCTATAACATCGGCTCGAAAATGTTGGATGCTCGCGACTGCTAGCTTTCTGGGGGCTTTTCATATTACTCTTCTTTGTTTCGGAGCATGTCGGACGCTTTTTGAAACTTGCAACAGGTGAGGGTTGAACCAGCTGCTCAGTCTGATGTTTGATTTGTGTTTCCACGGCCCTCAGGGTAATTTGTGACTAGTTTGGATATTTGATGATGCACAGCCTCGTGGAAGGCTTTCAGCCGGTCTGTTACAATCCCTCGGTCGATTGAGGGTGCCTCGGTACATTCCGAAAAGTTAGATTGCATGTTTGCGGCTGATCGTGCTCATGTCAAGTGGAATACAAATTGTCAAAAAGTCAACCACATGGCCCCTTAAGGCGACCATGGCTGCAAGGATGGGGAATGCCCCACATTTACTAGTTTATAGGAGTTCTCTGTCACCCTCGCTCGTTATTAGTATGATTTGGAAGAAAACACATCTTTGGATTACAACATCAAGTCCAAAGTCTAGAGCTGGAATCACAATAGGCCACTGCCCTATAACAGCGAAAGTGATAGGTAGCGGTTCGGGGGTTCTTCCGTAGTCCTAGCCACTGGTTCCTATACCTTGCGGGGCCAGGCAACTGATGCCTGAATATTCTATGGGATTTCCCTATCGTCAAGGGACCTCGATAAGTGGTCATAGTCACCTAAGATCCTCCAAAACAAAAGAGAGAAAAGGGGACGATGCAAAACGCAAATGAATTTTTAGTAGTGACAAGGCCACCTAATTTAAAACTCTGACTCAAGTATCCCTAGTCGACCTCAATGGTTCGAGTCAGAGGAAGAGGCCGCGTCCTCCCACCTTGATCCGTCGTGCACTTCATCATAATCCCCGCCGCGCTCACATTCTCCTGTACCCCAACCCAGACGACCGAGCCCACGGTCAAATTAATCACATCCTAGCTCCCGATAAAGGCCACCTCGCCCCCGTTCGGCGGCGTCCAGACCAGCTTAGGGTTAGAGCGTCAAAGTCTGAATTATGGAACCCAAAGAGCTATGCTCCAGCGCTACAGTGTTAGTTATTTGAATTCCAAAATTGCACGCTTGCTACATCCCGAACCCTCTGTCCTTACCAAAACATGAACAGGGACTACTATGTAGCCTTAATGAAGAGCCACTGTCAAGGGGCTAGGCCCATTGCGGGGCAATGTGGGCCTTTGACTACACTCAACCTAGCAGCTCTAATTGCGGGCGCCGCTACTATACGTGCGGACCGCCCCTACAGTACCCTTAATAGCCTTCCTCTAATTCTTCTCTATCTTAGCAACAATATACTACTTTTCCAATACAGTGAACTTAACCTGTTGGTAGCCATCACAGCCACCGAATAATGGACGCCGTGTATTCAGTCTCGTTGGACGATATGAGCACCTATCTTGACATGCACGAGTGGAATTGACATTCTGGAGCTGTGTTTACCCTGTCGACTGCGCCTCTACGTCCCCTTTCTGCATATATTTCTGTTGCGCATCTGCAACAATGATAACTGTCTATGTGGCACACGCTGAGGCCACTTCTCCCTCGCAACATGCTAGGTTAGCTCGGAAGCGTTTATTCCAAATATGTGACCAACTCCCTTTGATGAGGCCGTAGATGCTCTTAGCAACATTCAAAGCCGCACTCCACCCCCTGCAGAGTGGATGGGATCTACGGATGAATCTGACCACATAGTAGAGGGTCTCTAACCGTCAGCGCGTCTTCTATAGGTTGCCCCTCTAATGTCGACGCTTTGCCCATACCATTCCACGTTAACGTGCCTGAGGACAAGGATATCTTCGCATGGCTGTCCACACACTAGGCCGCATCTCAAGTAGTTTTCTGAGATAAAAGCCAGTTTTTGATGTGCGTTGAGAAGGCTTATTCACTCTAGAATCAAGGATTTCATAACCACCCTGGTGATCTTTCTTTCCAAGTCCTCCGGGCACCAACCGTGCGGTAAGTCCGCAGAGTGGCGTAGTCGTAAGGACCTTTGATGTTAGGGAAGTATCTTCCCACTTCTATTCAACAAAAGTAAACTATATTGTCGTACGACATTCTATAACTATTGCATGGCCTAGGTATACTACCTCTATACCAATTATAGCGCTTAGGCTAACTACCTATGTATAGCCCTTGTACAGTTATGTAATCCTATGACCTAGTGCTATTATTATTCTTATCATCATTCTTATTGTTACCTATTGTAATATCTATCAAAGCTACTAGCACGAGGTCTGGAATGTTCGGAATCATCTAAGTGCGGCTTCTCCAGCGCTAGAAGATTGGCAGTGATTGCGCAGATTGATGAAAGATGGTTCAGAGATGCGCTCGTGGGTAGGGCCGGGCATGTACGGATCGTCAATAGCCCTTTTCTGATCTAAAGACGCACTAGCAGGCTAGCCGGAAGTCGTCGAATCGAAGACCGTCAAACATGGTCACGTCAAAGAGACGTCGGGCCCAGTCCGGGTGCCTGATTAAGGACACCAGACACGCAGCCCCGAGGAAGACGAGACTCATCAATGATTGGTCTTGATTGAAGCCAAATGGATCGTGATCTCCTTATTGATTCAGGAAAGCAAGGCTGCTCGACCGGCCTTGGGTCCTGATGGGGTTTCAAGGTGGAAAAATCTGGCATCACGAAGTCATTTTAGAGGATGCAACTGAACCCTATGCAGCTCCTGCCCGTTCTGCGATCGTACCTGCAACAACACAACAAGAGATACCTGTCCAACTCAACCGGCCGGGAGAAGACATCGCGCCAGTCAAAACTACTGTTCGTGTTGTCAAATCACTCTTGGTATAATCTCGTCATCCTATTTACATACCACCACCCCTCACACGGGCCCATACGCATTCGAGGCATGACTAACACTCCAATTAACCCAGTCAAAAAAGAACGAAGCCTGCATCTTAGCCGGCAACAATCCCTTAGTCCACTTCGCCTGCAACTCAGCATACAACTGCGCCACATCATCCACACTTTCCTTATCCGCCGCATACAGACTCGACGCAACCAACAAGCTAGCCGCCGACGCCGCTCGGGCAAACGCATGTGCCGCGTCTTTGGATGCCTCGTCGTGTATCTGCTGCAGCAGCCCCAACTGAGTCTCGATGCTGACGGCGGATTCCTCCATGTTGCTTCGCGCCTTCTTGAAGGCTTTGGAGAAGTTAGAGATGATCTCCGTTGCCTTGTTGGCTAAGGGCTTGGTCTGGGTCGTGCGGATGAGCTGGAGGAGGGGGAGGAGGAGGTTGAAGGCCAATGGGTTCAATGCTTCTTTTTTAACGTATATATCCAGAAAGTCGAGTATGCGGTGCTTGAAGTTGATCACGGTGCCCTTTGCGTCCTTCTTCTCCTTCTTTTTGCTGGAGCCCTTGGCTCTTTGCTTGAACACTTCGACCAGTTTCTCGTCCAGCGCCATCATATCCGAATCCGACATGTCAGATTCGTCGGATGATTCGGCGGCATTGTCCTGGTCGAGGCGGTGGCTGTTTAATACCTTGGCGAGTGCATCGTCGAGATCGGCAAGCTCTTGTGCTTCGGCGTCATTGTCCTCCGCTTCATCATTACTATCATCGTCCTCTTCCATCGGCTCAGCACCATTCAACGTGACGAATTCGACATCCGAGCCGATTTCTGACACTTCGTCCTCTTCTTCGTCGTTTTCGCTCTCATCTGAGCCCACAACATCTTCCATGTCTTCATCTTCCGCATCGAAAAGGGCCTGCTGGCCTTTGATGTTTTCTTCTGCTACCAAGGGGTCCGTGAGTCGCTCAAGAGCATCCGCTGATAGCTGGCCCGTGAAGGTCTCAAATACTTGTTGGGTTACTTGCCGCATCAAACCTGAGGGTCGAGAAACAAGAGAGAGCAAGATCTCCACCAAGAAAGCCGACGCTTCAGCGTCAGCTTCTTGAAGTTTTTCTGAACACTGCTTCAGATCCTGTAGGGTGCTAATGGCATCTGGATCTCCGTCGTACAATTGCAATATGCTGATCGCATAGAGCAAAGACAAGCCTAGAGACGAATCAGCCTCTCCACCCCCGGATTTCTTAGCCGACTTCAAGAGCTTTTTCAGTGCTTTCAGAGCCGCTTTGCGCTCTGCTTCGATTTCCTCGCTCATCTGGACAGCCGTGGGATCAAGAGCAAGCACAGCATCACAAAGATACCGGTACTCCTCTCGCCGTTTCGCTATCCTGGCGAAGGCTGAGCTGAGCTTGGCACGGAATATTTCCCTCGTCTTGTCAGAAAGATCTGGAATGAATTCGTCTGACTTCGAATATGCACGGGTCGCCAACTCGCTGATAGCAAGTTCTAGCACGCTGCTTTCGTTGGAGTCGTCCAGCTTAGCCTGCATACCCATTTTCAGGACATATTCGGTATACACAAACCGACGGTGCTCGACAATGGAGGCACTGTTTGCAACATTAGCAACTATGCCATAAAATTCACTGCCTTTACGTAGTATGCACTGAGATAGTGGCAGCGATTGCACTTACTCCGTCATCTTTGAAACAGGCTCACGGAGCATGTTGAGTATTGTTTTCACGTTGTCCGGAGTGACGAACTGCAACAGTTTCTCGACCGTCTTGGTATTCGTCAAATGGTCAAAGTCGTAAGCCAGGGCAAGCAGCTCCCTCAAAACGGGTATCAAAAGCGTAGGCTCTGTTTCCACCGTCGTCTCGATCGTCTTCAGGGATTTGAGAGCCGCACGGTGAAGGTAGCGGTCCTCCGTCTTAGCTTGGTTCACCAAACACTTTGACAAGTTCCGCGAGAAGAAATCTTTGGCTAGGACGATCTTGGCAGTCGCAAAGCCTTGGAGGAACTTCTGGAAGATCATGAAGCCTCGGAACTTTTGGGCTTCGCTGGCGTTCTTGGAAAAGAGGCCATCTGCAAGTTGTTAGCGTAGAATCCTCCCCTCCCCTTTTCCTCCGCCTCATCGATTTAGGGGTACCTACCATCAACTACAGCGTTCCAGAATAGCTTGAACGAAGCGGGCTTGTTCTGCTCAATGAAGTGGGCCAGAATCAGATCCCAAACGAAATGCAGCTGGGGATTCCAGCTACTCTGACCCTTGACCACGGGAGCATCCTTTCCATCGTCCTGCTTGACGCTCTCCTTGAGCACGTTGACCAGATCGGGAAGCGCCTTGGGAGCCAGGGGATTGCTCCAGGGCTTGGTAGGCAACTTCATTTGTGGGTAGCAGCTGGCAGCCTTGATCCAGATACCAGCACCCTCGGCGGTCTTGCCCAGTCCGATATCAACCAGCTTCTTCACCGTTTCCGCAGCCCTCTCTTGTCCCATGTGCGGCAGCGACTCCACGATGACCCAAGCGCATTGCGACCGCATCCAGACTTTCTTATTGGCAAGCTGCAAGAGCATATCTAGAACAGCAGGCCATCTGGTGCTATCCTGGTCCCCAAACAGGATCCTGGACTCGACGAAGCACTGCAGGCCAAAGAGTTGCCCGAAGCAGAAGTCTCGCTCTTCCTGTCCCGGGATGTTGAAACCCGCCTGGGTGTTCTCGGTCAACATGCCCAGCACCTTGTCAAAATCCAGGCCCGAGTATTTGGAGTTGGCGAGGTTCTTCGGTGGGCCGAACAGCTGGCCCAAGATTTCTGTCAGCACGAGGCTGAAGCCGAGTCTGGAGGCATTGCGAGAGCTTGCGAGACCCCGGAAGAGGCGCTTCTCGAGATGACGTCCGAGAACGACCTCTTCGCTGTCCAGAAGACCGGTTATGAGGGCATCGGCCGCCGCAATTCGTTCTTGACTGTCGGCACTTCCTAAAAGCTCGTAGATCTGAGCTTCACGCTTGCGGCTTTCGGTTGTGGGCTTCTCGGGGAACGGCGATTTGTCGAGGGCGGCGAGATCCAATTTCGGGACGGTAGGAGCGGCGTCGCTTTTCGACCGTTTAGTAGGTTGGTCGCCAGCACCAGTCTTGTTGCCTCTCTTGCGTTTGGCCATCTTGAATTGCAAATTGAAATATTAATCAATAGTTATCACTCGAGCTCATGTCACACTGGGCTGGTGATGCTGGTATCTTTTCAAAAAAATCAAGTTTACTGCCAAGTCAGACCGCTCAAAAGTTCGTTGCTGTAGTTTAATGCCCCACCATAGCTAAGTGGGATAACGGTCAATTGAGACTTCATACACTGGATAGCTCTACATAGTACCTTGTGACTATCCTTTTCTCAATCCCTCACGCGATCCGAATTTCCAATGAAATAGCGGTGGGTGGAAATGGTGCTCTTCTAGAAGAACTCTAAAAGAATGAAGCGGCTGTTCCGTGTTCTCGTTGCCGCCATGCTATTGAATTCCCGTTGTCCTGCCATGAGAACAGATGAAAGTTGCGGAGCAACTTGTGTATTACAATTGTCGCCATTGCCCCGCCAAATGTCGGGTCCCATTCCGCTTCGGTTTGGTGGGCCTAGGACCCTGAACCATAATTCGTAAGAAGTTTGATGCAAGTGCGAGTCCGAACATGCCGCATACATATGTATGTAGCCTGGTGGATTGGGAACCACTTTGCACAATTGCACTACGTGCAATTTAATCACAAAAGGATCCGTACTGTACTGGGCCTCATATCGACGTCTTTGATTGACGGCGTACCTGGATTTGATAACCCAGCTTTACTTCATTAGGCAGAGTTGACATCAGAACTGCCGGGTCTTGAAGTATTAGTGCCAGCATCCTGGGTCGATAGTGCAGAGATCGTACGAGGGATAAAATAATTCTAGATCGATCTCACATTGCAGAGAACTTCTGTCCTTTTTCCCTGAGTGCGAAAAATTACAATTCGTCGCACACGCTACGCTCACTCATTGGTGAAGAATGCTTCAGCATAAAAATAGGGCCCTCAGGCAAAGGGATTTTGTTTTAATAATTTTTTATTTTTATATTTTTTGGGGTTTCCAAGATTTACTTTCTTAGCTGCTGGGGCTCCGTGTCGATAGAATGGCTCCCAGGATCAAGGATACATCATAGGTATGGGAAGGCAAACTTTTGAAGGCTATATTCGGCCGGCCGCCTCTGCCACTGTGTAACCGCAGACAGTGAGAATCGTTGCTTCCAGGTCACTTCATAGCTGGTTGGAGCGGTCAGTAAATGTAGGTAATTTTGATTCCAGTGGAATCTTTCCAGGGGGTTTTATTCCGAGCATGGCTATAATCCGGTGTCGGGTTCACCTGTCGCCCTGCTGCTCGTTGCCGCAATTTGCTCGACGTCAAGCAGCTCAGGGTCTCTCAGGAGACCAGCTCATGTCGATGGGGCGCTCCTACACCAAAACCGTGGCAACCGAATATTGCTAATAGTGTCTTCATCACGAGAGGAGCGGCGACAGGGTCCATTGTAAAGGGATTGGTATGCTAAAACGGGAAGAAAAATTCCTCAACCTCCACTTGGTTCAAACGTCGACGCTTCAGCAATGACGGACAAGCCGCGGCACGGTGCCCCCGGTTCAGATTTTCAGGATGGGTTGCACAACAGCTGCCAGACGCTTAGGGTTTAGCTTGCCTCGTGACTTCGCGATAACCCCACCAGAATTACTTGCATCGAGCTGTTTACCAAACGCGTGGGATTGTTTACTTTGCGAACTTACCCCTCACTCCGCACTCCTGCAGCACTCAGATCCTCCATAACCACCTGGGCTCCACATGTGCCCTGGCAAGCATGTGCTGGACATCAAACGCGGAATATGCATAATATGCAGGTGCTATCACACTGGTTGTTTGAACAGCGTCATGTCGAACCATCGAAGGCAAACATCCCCGATCGAAGAGACCGTGGCAATCCGGTGCAGACCGCAGGTGGGTTGGCGGTAGCGGGCTGAAACGAAAGCCATTTGGGCTTTTGCGCAAAAAAGGATAACGGGAAGCCCATCATGGCAGCTGATGAATCTACCAACAGGCACCAAACTTCCGGGCTACGCCGCTCCGGAAGTAAGATTCTTGATGGTGGGATGCAATTGGGGACTCTGATTGGATCTTGTCCGCATCTCTCTGCCAGGCCGACTGCTTGCTTTTCCCGCAGGAGGTCATTCCATGAATGAGTCGAGACTATTCGTTGCGAGGCCACTGAGAGCGGTCGGCAACAATCAAATCATCAGGCTTGTGACAGCGAAGGCGGGCAGCCGTCAATGTAAACAATAACAATGATGGTATCGAGATCTCGACATCTTTTATTCAGGTTTTATTATATCTTTAAGCAAGGAAATCCTGACTGTTCCAAGCTACGGATTCGAGCTATGCAAGCCTCGTGGAGCTCCGGAAGCTTTCCCTGACAGCTGCCATGAACTGACTAATTTGGTATGTCATCTTTAATGACCGTGATGAATTGGCGTGCACGACCATGGCCTCGTTCCAAGATCCTGTTATTGTTCGCATGATTGTCCGGGGCTAAGGGCAGCTTGGTCCTAAAAATGACGTGGGTTCCGTATGCAGCAGATCGGAACGCAGAATGGCCAATCGAAGCTTTGCAGACCACGCTTCTGAAAAGCTCATTCCGGCCATGAAAAGACAGAAGAACCAGCTGAACCTTGGTATATGTCTCAATTAATGGATAAAGCTGTCCCAATCTAGCCGGACATCTTCACCTCAGCCGGGAGCATGTTTCTTAACGCTACCCATATGCCACCGGGATAGAGTTGGTTGGGTGTTATTTTCTCCGATGGCTAGATGAGCTCGCCAGAAAAGACCAAACGAACACAATTTGCCAACAAACCTCGCGCTTGTCTCTTCCAATCATAAAGAGACACGACCAGAGCTGAGTTTGAGAGTTTGATTCATATCTGACCGAATGTATTTTTGTCAACTGAACAAACATCGACAGTGTGACGGTGGCACTGGGTGCTGGATATCCGGCCGTGTTTGTATCAATGAAGCCGACCACTTGCAGCCCCGAAACTGGAGCTCGGGATTCTCGGGCTTGTCGGTCACTTGGCCAAAGGTAATGAATGGGCAGTTTGCTTGCACAACTTTGGAAGCTTTGCTAAGTCGAGTGGGCAATACTCCCTGGGCTGATGCGCCTCTGATATCAGTTACACGGCAGGAAGCGGGATACGCATCCATGCTCCATAGCTACCGGGGTGATGCTTATTCACACGGCAACCAAACAACAGGGCCTTCCGCTCATTCTCTAGCTCTTGGTTGCTTCGCCAAAACGAGAGAACGCGTGGTCCGGTGAGTGTCTTGTCAATCTGTCCGAAACGGCGTAGTCCCTTTGAAGCGGGATTTCGATAGTTTCAAGAGGTTGGGTGCAAGTTCATAAACTCTCGTAGCTCCAAGCTTGACTCGCAATGAGGGGAACATGCAAGGGGTCAACGGCAATTGAGAGTTTCTCCTTACGTCTCGACGGGCCCCCAAAGAACAACTCGAGCTCTGTTCCCCGCGGTCTTCATTTCAAACGCAATCCTGGTCATTTTCCTGAAATATGGCGACTGCGAGACTGGGCCATAGACACGTGTATGATGCTGTATGTCTTGAGGAACGAGCAATTCGAACTGAAGAAGGCCATTACTGCTGATAAAGGGCAGATACTGGCGGCATCTCGTCATTGGTGAGGCGGCCATTCATCGTTCGATTCCAGGCCACTTATGGGTCTCATGGCTCTGAGAAGTGCTGGAATGACAGTTGTTCCAGCGCACTTTCAGCAGGCCAGCGTCAAGCCACTATGGCGTCAGGTCGGTCGAGCACGCTATTCGCTGACGCGATGTAGCGCTGCAATATTTCCGAAACATTTCGCTCGAATCGTAAGCGTCGTCTGGGTCACCTCAGCCGCTGGACCCTGGGCAAACGCCCTGGCTCTGTCAGCCTACCAGGATATCAGAACGGGGCCACCTGCAAGGCTGGTTGGGGTCTTTCCGAATGCGGATGATAGGGTTGCCGGGTCGTCAGCAATCAAGAGTTAAAAATACAGCGGAGAGCTCTTGTCAGCCCCGACTATCGTGCGTTGCAATGTAAGGATGCCGAGAATAGCGGTCGATTGGCATCCTTCCGGTGGACTAGGTCTTGTGTTGTAAACAGGGTAGCGTGGTGGGGAATGGCGCTTGTGTCAAGATACGAATGTACGGAGTGAGAGGGCATCAGAGCAGAGCCCACGAGACTCGGTTCAGAGTTCAGCACAGTTGACGAAAGGAGCCTGGACTGGCTGTGGGTAAGCATAAGCAGCACAGTTTGGCACCGCCATTGCTTGCAGCCGGGTCATGAATAGTTGAGCCGTTCAGCTGGATGAACATCTAGGAAGTCGTAGAGACGTTCATCTTCTCTCAGTTAAAGAGCTCGATCCTGTTGGCATTTAGATCTGGGTGGATCTGGGCTTCCACAATTGTTCTGCACAGATTCCGTGCGTTGTGCAGAAAACCAAAAATGAAGCCAGAAGCTTGTTGGAGGCGGATTACTACGTTCTGCATATGTAGGCTGCAACGGCCAATCTTGAGTGGTGCAATCCATCAAGCTAATTGCTAAGTCGCCGGACGCTGGTTGTCTTTCTTGCCGAGTCCTGTAACCCCCCTGGATGTCATCCTGTTTTAGAGTTGTTCAAGATACCGTAGATACCTGCAAAATACGTTGCTTGGTGACCAAGAGCAGGCATATTTGAGTAAGAAATACCGGCTTTGGCAGCCAAAACGTCGCTGATAATGATGTAACTAGCACACGGAAATCCACCGTGCACTGCACAGCCGTTAGCGCCTTTTTAATGCCATCCCACCTTGCAACCCCGGCCCCTGCTCACTGTGCATGCAGCGGTGGTGCAGCGGTTGAAAACCAGCTATTGCTAGGCTACGCCCGCCCAGGACCAGGGCAACCGCTACTCCAAATTGCTCCTGGCAACGCCGCTCTGAGTAGCAGTCACGAAAGTGGTGCAGCCGGGATGAGCTCACATTTTGCAAGTCGACTTTGGAGCTCTCCACACGGGTGTGCACACTCGTCCAACAAAAGGCACAGACACCCACGGCCAAAACTGTAAGTCTCTCTTCTCTCTATCCGGCCTGGAAGAGTTCGCCTTGAATCCCAACGCCGTGCCGTTTCCTCCGACAAACTAGAGCACGTCTTTCTCGGGTAGACGTGTCTGACATTATCGAAGAGTCTGCCGTGGTCCAGTTCCTGTTGCATTGTATCGTCGCCAATTCATCGTGCTGGCCTGGTTTCGACGTGCCTCCAACTGACTGATCTATCGACACAGCCAATCCTGGCTCTTCGAATGTTCCAGTAAAGGAAAGCGGCACTTTCAACACGCCCACATCCTCCTGCCTATACACTTGTCGTCCTCGTCGTGACTACCCGAGTAACGACGCAGCTGCAAGACGGAGAACCGTTGTTCCATTGGGCATCCGCCGTCAATTGAATCACCCAGACATATTCCCACCTACCAAAAACGACCACTAATACCGACAACCCGGCCGCCCATATCCCATCTTCCATGTTACTCAGTCAACTGTTGCCCGTCCAATCGCCAAAACCAGCCTATACCAACATCGACGCTTCTCCGAACTCAACAGACCTGTTCGCTCAGAGTTTGTAAGCCAATTCGATCGAACTGCCTCGGATTGATTGGGGAATAAGGAAGAAATATCATACCCTGGACAGCCTCAGATTCATATCTGGAGTGGGAAGCATTCATTAATCGTGATAACACATCTTCGCTCTTTCTATACGATCGGCCGAGTTGCTTGCTTTCCCGAATAGGCACTTGAGGAGTAGGGTTATTGTCATACATCCTCTGATCCGACAGTCTTTGCATTCCATTCCCCCGGATTCGCATATCGAAACCGCCGCCATGGATGCATCCTCGCCGCTGGCTGCCATGCATCGGGCACCCGCCCCAACCTGGGGCCAACACCCCGACTTGTACCGGTCCAATCCGCACGCTCACTTCGGTGCTGGACACTCGTTCGGGTCTGGTACCCTCACTATTCGCGATCAATTACAACGGTCCAACCCTGACTACTTCAACTTGAAGTCAGTCCGAGGTTCCTCCCCCACAGCGAGTCTGGCGGCCGACCTATCCCAGAATTTTCGGATAGACACCGAGGTCAGGTATGTAGCTGGCTACCTCTAAACACCGAGAGTCCAGCCTGCTAACTTACAGCCACTAGCCCCCTCTTCCCTACGCCGCGCCGGGCTTTGTTCACTTCGACATCGCAACCCATGGGATCAAATGAACACCGTGGTAAGCAGTTTGGTCTACATTGTGGAGATGTATGTAGCGTGCTGACCCCTGTTCAGATTACGTGACGACGCCCCCTCTACCTGCCTCGTCCTCCCCGTTACCTGCGAGCGATATGATGGATATGTCGCCTTTACCTCAGAAGGCACTTTACGAATCATCCATTGAGATTACGTCCCCATCTTTGATGGAGTCTCCCGATGACGACTCTATGATGATGGAGTCCCCCATCGCCATGTCCCGGCATCAGTCTCTTGAATCGCCAAAACAGTTCACTATTGAGTAAGTTTGCTGGGTTGGCAGCGGAATAGGGGTCGGGAGAGCTAACTGGAAATCAGGAACCGGAAACGACTCTCGCTTCGCAGGCCATCTCTCACGCGGACCAAAGGTCACTCCACAAGTGCAGTCATAAACCGTATGCACCCTGAGCACCAGGTGTCGACTTTCAGGTTTGGATCCGAATCGCGGCTGACAAGTCCAACAACGTCGATGTCACTAGGCGAATGCTTCCAGGACTCCCCGCCCAGACCCCAGACCGCCAACAGTCCGTCTTCCAACGCTCCAGGCTCCTTCCGCCCGAAGGCCCAGTTCGCCAGTTTGACTGGCACTCGAGAGGTTCGAAATGGCTCGCCTATAGTCGGCCATCCCCGGCGGCCATCGAATCCTTTCCAACGCCCACGGCGGCAATATCGCCGCTCGCTCAGCATGTTTGAGAACCCTGTAGATGTAGTCAAAGGAAAGGCAGACGACGCTACTGCCCACAGTAACCTGCAGTCAGTGATGGATGTCGAAGACCAAGACCCCGTGCTTCCCCATTTCTTCCCCGAAGGCGAGAATGACAGCATACCTCGCATCTCGAGGTGCACGTTTCTTGACGTGCTGGATGGCAAGTTCAATGATCAGTACGACCAAAGGGTGATTATTGATTGCCGCTTTGAGTACGAGTACGATGGAGGTCACATCGACGGTGCTATCAACTACAATGACAAAGAATTGCTGGCTAGGCATCTTTTCGAGACCCCCATGGACGGAAAAGTCCTACTTATTTTCCATTGCGAGTACTCCGCCCACCGTGCGCCCATGATGGCGCGTCACATTCGCGCCGAAGACCGTACTTTCAATGTCGAGTACTATCCCAAACTGACATATCCGGAGGTCTATATCCTCGATGGAGGCTACAGCGAGTTCTATACACAAAACCGCGACCGATGCTATCCTCAATCATACGTTGAGATGAATGCCGAGGAGCACGCCAGGACGTGTGAGCGAGAGATGGGCAAGCTTCAACAGAAGCGCAAAGGCCTGAGCCGAGCGAAAACGTTTGCTTTTGGTCATCGGGATTGCATGGTGGACGCATCACCTACCGCACCTGGCAGGAACAGCCTCCAAGACTCATCATCACCCATGATGATTGGCGACTCGCCAATACTTGGTGCCGATCGATCTGTCACTCGTCGCATGGCATCGTACTGATCGCTTGGCAGCTTCTGTGTGCGATCTTGTGTCGTCGAATTTGCTACATCAGCGTTAACCCGACTGCCACTATCTGATGCTAAACGTATCAGAAATCTTTCCCGGCACATTGACCACTGGTAATGCATCTTATCCGGTTGCAAGTGTCGAAAACTTTCATCTACTTATACCCGCCGTCTACCGGCATTGACCACTGCATTGGCATAGCATTCCTGTTGACTGCATCACTTCGGGCTTCATTGGATCCGGCATCTGAGTCGCTCATCGGCGCCATTGGTTTCCATATTTCTCTCTATGTGTTATAAGCATGTCGACTCGCCATTGCAGTTCGGCACCCCTATTTTCTTTTCTCGGAACCAAATTCGTCTGTCCATCCCGACACGGCCACTGGAACATACCAGATGGCAAAACTTCTACTCTCATTTGAGTGATCCGTTAACTGGGCCTCCCCACTGTGGAGCGTAACCCATACTGCTGACCCCGATGCCACCGACCTCTCGGCTTCGATCAACCGGATGTACCAACATACTTGGGCATGACCCGCATCCGGCCACTACTGCACAAAACTTTTCCTTGTTTCCGACAACAAACCGATGTCCTCAATATCCGATCTCTGTGCATCGCTCTTTCCTTCCGAACAAGCGCTGTTCGTTTCTTCTTTGTTGGCAATGGGACCGAATAAGCGGGGAATGGGCGAAACGTAACGAAAACAACACGGGGGCAAATCGAGGAGAATCTGCATGATGGTATCACTGCCGAATCATTTGTGAGGACCAGATACCTGAGACTGCAGAGAGAAGAAAAGGGGGGTTGGGGGAACAGAAGAACCCATTTTAGCCTGCTTGCTTTCCCGCGCTTTTAGGGACTAGGAAGGGCGTTGAAGGCTTGATGGTGGTTGCCTTTCCCACTTCACATAATACTCGTGTATGTCTCGGGCGCAGGGAGTCATTGACTTGATTTTCCCGCTGTGGTTTGTAACTTTAGTTCATCCTGCACATCATGTCTGGCCTTCCAGGTGGTTCTGCTGCTGCTACGTGCATTTCCGCGCTCTTGCGGGCACTACAAGTAAGCCAACTAGAAACAATAGCTAGTTGGGAATGAAGAGGTGCCGACTTTGACCAAATATCCTTGATATCTTTGTTGATAGCGATACTCATAAGCTTTTATTCATTCAAGTGTGATATATCCATGAGTAGGTTCCCTTCCAATGAGACTACATTGATCTACCCCTTGGCAAGCAGCCATGCCGAACATGACGGAGGTGGCCGCCTCCTTACATTCTTGACCACCACAGTGCTTTTATAAAGCTAGCGAGAGTGACTGTGCAGGTTACGGCCAGGAAGTAGAAACACATAACGTACAACCCCACCTTTCCGGCCACATATTGCAATCCAATTGAAGGTATTCGAAACAGTGTATTCAACATACTATTATAGCTATTCAGGTACAACCAGCTCTAATAGAAAGCTGTGCTCTAGGGCTTCCTGAGTTATAGATCTGGTAGATTCTGACGCCTTAGCTGGGTCCAGTATTACCTGATTCCGACGTTGTACCTGGTCTCGTTGCCGTTCTACTTCAAGGGCTCGATCCATCGCTTCCTTAATCTGTACAATGTTACCAAATCGTTCATTAAGCCCTAATCGTACCTTCTTACGTGGTTTGGGGCGTAACGAAGTTATCTCGGCTTCTAATGCGTGTACACGTTAGGTCAAAGTAGCGACCTCGACGTTCTGTACATCTAGCCGACGAGTCAGCTTCCGAAACAATAGCCGTTGCGACGATCGCAATGGCGTAATCGCTGCCAGACTCTCCCTAGCTACTAAGCTAGTCACTGGCGTCGCTATTATTGTCGGATCAAGCCAATTACCAGCTGTTGGTGGTGTAGTTGGTCGTTCTGATAGGGGGGCTATCGTCGGCTGAGGTCGCGATGGATCTAATGGGTATATTCCAGTTGCAGAGAAGCCTGATTGTATATTACTGATCGTGAACGACTTTGTATATGCCTCGATGTATAGCGAGAGGAACGTCGACTTTTTAAATGGAATAGAACAGTACTCGATCGAGAGAGAGGTCGCTAACGAGCGATAGTACCGCTTTAATGGAGAAAATACGGCAACGTCGAGAGGTTGGAGCCCGTGAGAACAGTGTGCTGGCAAAAATAGTAACGAGATCTTGTTACAATAGGCTAACCACATAAACTCGACGTTGTCGTGAGCGATATGACCATCTAATATCAAGAGCCGCTGCTCGTCGGGATCAACTAGTTGTGTACGAAGTATAAAGATATCACGAAGCCATCGAACGGCGATATCTGTACTGATCCAACCGTTAGACGAATAAGTATATTGCCAATCAGGTATATCGTCGCAATCGTTAAACCATTTCCCTAGATAGCTTCATCGACGCGATTGACGCGTCAGAATGGCTGAGGCCATCGCCGAGTCGTAATTGGAGGGTAGAGCGTGGAACGCCCCATCGGAGGGAAGCCTGGCGCTGGGATATCCCTTGATTGATATCGTTGAGAGCGCCTTGAATCGAATTTTCTGAATATCGAGGCATTGTATAATAATAGCCAATACCGACTATAATCTGTTGTGCCGAAGGTTGTTGTAGTTGGCAGATTAGGTGGCCGGAAAGGTGGGGTTGTACGTTATATATTCGCTGGTCTAGGTCGAGGTTGAGATTGAGAGTGGATCTTGTTCCGGACTCGACGTCTCGGGCGGAGAAGCTTCGGAAGCCGTGAGGTGGGGTAGACGACAAATACGGCGGCGGAGTCGGAGCGGCAGGGCGGCCATGGTGGGGTCCAGGTAACGTAGGTTTGGTGTGGAGCTGTTACCAAGCCGTTGGAGTCCTAGTGGGGCACGTTATCAGATTAGTGGGGTTGGAGGTCGTTGGTGGTCTGCATCGTCAGATATATATAGATATATATAGACTTCAGTAATGTCCGCTTCAGATAGTCGTGATTCGGCCTGGTTTCTCACGCATTCTCTTGCATTCATGTGCTTTGGATATTTTTGGTAGCTGGCGCTGAGCATCGTCAGACTTGCTGCGGTTGGCATAGGATAGGACGCTTTGAGCTCACAGTGACAGCGTCCGCCGGCACGGGAGAGGAGAAATGCAAACTCATCCTCTGATAGTGGATTGAACTCGAGACGAATCCGACACCCAAATATTGGAACTACTGGCCTTTTTGTAGCTTTCCATGGAATCCATACATAGCAATTGCGCCTGGTTGAGCCTCACCGGACGCTGCACAGCAGTCTGTTTCGCTCAATTCCAGTGTACACCAATAAGTTTACTGCCAGCGAATCAAGGGCTGTTTGTACCCCTCATATTGCATTGACATAGGCGAAGATGGGATTTCGCCACGCATCACCAAGGTCGCCGTAGATCAAATTGTGTAGTGCTGTTATGGTGCTGAAATGGCAGTTCATGAGCCTTTCACAAGGTTGGGAGCCATGAGCTCTTAAGACGGCGCATCGTTACGAATGGGTGAGTGGTTTTACTGTTTGATTGAACCTTCCTGACGCCCGCAATATCGAAGAGGAAGCAGGCCGTCGCGGGGACAAGAACTAGAATCTTGCAGTTACATATTTATTAGATATAAGTAAACTAGGAAACTGCTTGAAAGTTCGCTGCAGGTGTTACCCACCATAGTGGCCCTTTCAGAAGCAATATCAATTCGCCACATATCTATCATGGCCAATACAAACCCCGAATTATGTTTGTACTTAGTATTTCGTATCTTGAAAGTGGACTTCTATCTTACTTAGATAAGAGCAATGACGTAATTAGATCTTGACCAAGTTGCACGTTTCAACTCCATTATGGCCCTTGGAGAGGTTCACAAGGGTTAAGTAAGCGAGGAGATTCCGGGTTGGGTTCATAGTACCAATGCCTATCTCCTACCCTACTATCCATTATCATTTACCTCTTCCTAACCTCGTAAACTCACAGGAATATGGGAATGGCAAGAACAGTGAGATCCTGTGCTCAGGTCATCAATCAGAGCGTTGGCATCGCACGTAGCCACATATTATCAGCATCACCCTCCTTCGACCCCTCACAGTCCAATACGCACTTCGTAAAGTCCAAGCCGGGGTGTTCCTCTCGGACGCTACGTCCCTCAGCCGGTACTGTATCTCCAACTCGTGCCATTGAGACGTGGTTCGCTTCCACAAGACGATCCAGGCCAGGGGATATTGGAGGGCTGGGTCAACGTCTCGGAGTAATGAGGTTCTGATGGGCTCCAAAAGATTGACTGACCATAGCTTTCACCCGAAATTGGAACACTCACCTTTTACCATTTACTTCAAAAACACGATTTGCTCAATACCCGGAACCACGAGAGTTGAAATCCAACACAATAGAGGGATGAAGTTAACATAGAAATGTAGCTCCGACTCGATGGTTTGACTCGCCAAAACTGACATATACACGAGACTTTTGCCCGATCTCTGCGAATATCACACACATGCCACACACATCGCATCGACATAGCGCATTACTTACTATAGCATATTGATACGTTGCATCAATATTATGCATCAAGACACCAGAACGTAAACACAATGCCTGATGTTCAAGATAGGGACGTAGTTGGACAAATATTGCCACCTTCTGAATAATCATTGTAGAATTGACGAAGCTACAGCTACCTTATCCAAATCGTTCCATAGTGTTGATAAATCTGAGTAGTCGGATACCGTGTCCGGTACTGTGTGCATATTATGACCACAGCCAGGTGCAGTCCCTCCCAGAACCTCAATAGCTAAGTATCACGACATAATTGGATTTATCGTGGCTTCATGCCAAATTACATGGTCAACCAATTGATAATGTCGGGCTAGCTGCGTTGTTTCACTCAAAACTTGGCACGCCCTATAGAGTTCACAGCAGAGGTGAGACATGTAGCAATAAGATCCCGAATTCCGACTGAGCGGTTCTTGTGTTAAAGTGAACTAGCTGACCGGCTTTCCTGACACAAGACGACTTTATCAAGTCCTTTTTCCCCGCTGCTGACTTCGCTGCTAGTATAAGTATACTCACATCACACTTGGTCAATCTCCCCTTTTCAACCACAACTCAATTTCACTATTTGGTACAGATACAGACAGCCAACCCTTCCAAACACCATGTCCCACCACCTCCTCTCAGACTTCGTCCCGCAACTAACCAACCTAACCGCCTACTCGCCCGCCACCACCCGCCCCCTCAACCTCGGTGGGCAAAACTTCACCCACTGCTGCCTGAAAGCCGTCAACGACTCCCTAACCATCCTCAATGACAACCTATCCTTCACGCCCTCATCCCATTTTCTCCCCGACTTAACCATCCCAGAACTCGTAGCCGCAGTTCAGAACGATGAATTCCCATGCGGCGCCACTTGGACCGGCGACCCAGCAGGGGCACCGGTAGTCCAGGTCTCATACGAATGGTGCGTGTCCGAGTGCAGTGGCTGGGAGATCTCGCATTTGGGGAAGTTGAATGAATGGGTTGGTCCGCTGGTGCAGTTTATACTGCCGAGCTTGGCGTTTTGTTTAAACATTCCGAGGAGCCAGAAGTTGGTATGTTTGTCTTTTTGGCTCTCGTTTGGGTGCTTCGATGTATCTATTGGGTGGAGAGATGAGAGATAGAAGCTAATGGGTTGGCAGGCTATACCAGAAAAAGTGTTCCAAGCGCACCCAAGGAATGTATTTGGGTTCGCGAGTTATTGGATACGGTTGCTGGGCGCGGTGCTGTTGATGATGGTCGATACTATGGTTTGGTTGTCGATCTGTTTTGCCTTTGCAGGACCTATGCTGTTGAGTGCGGTGTGTACCTACTTAACCGCCAAAGATAGGCTGTGTCTCAAATACGTACTAATTCCTTCCCCTAGGTTTACGAATTTGTGTTGGACAGAAAGGTTTTGGAGTTCCTCCGTCCACCGAAAAGTCAAAACGAACGACCCAAGATCCCAGGCAGGGTGAAAGCCCAGTTGCTACTCGCTGTCGTCGTCGGGAATCTTCGTATCTCTACCGGCACTGCAGAGAGACGCATCTCGACGTCGAACTCACGACGGCCCAGTCATGCGATAGATCCAGAGATGACCGGTACCAACACTAGAGAGGACCCGTTTGGAGATACCTGGAAAAGGGTTATGGTTATAGTGGACGAATATGAGACCTCGAGATTAAGTGGTGATGCGGCGCCCAAGAAAGTCTCGTTGTCTACGAAGCTCAAAGCTCTTCTAAACTCACAAGCAAGGTTGCTCATCCTCAATCCACATAAAATCAGAGAAAGCAAGATTCTGACATAAGGGTGCTGCAGTTTTGGATCAACCGTTGGGGCTCCAATACTGTTCTTCATTGGAGGTTTCGTCTATACCGTGCTAGACATTCTGAACGAGCTCGGGGATAATGACATGGCGCACGCATTGGCATTTGGCATGTGTAAGACTGTTTGCGACTTCCTCCCACCCTGCCTTGACATACATCGATTGTGCTGACCCCTATCGCAAGGGTGGATGACCATCCCCTACCTCGCTATTATTTCATGCGCCATGCTCGCGGCCAACAGCCCGAGCGCTCTCCAAGGAATCGTATACGACGGAGGCGCTAGTGCTGCCCGCGACCACGTCGAGCTCAGCTTCTGGGACCAGCTCAAGATGAAGATCAAGACCTACAAACCTATGAAAATTCTGCTCGAGAATCTGGACGGCTACCAACTGATTGAGGCGACATCTGAAGGCCAATTCAAGACCGTCACCCTCTGGAATAGGGGTCCCAACAAACGCCGCTGGGTGCAAGAGGCCATCAAGGAATACTCCAGCGAGTATAACGAAAACACTGCCAAAAACAAGGAAAATTTGATTACCCCGGAAAAGCTTCGAGATGGCCTCAAAATGGATTTCGGCGACCTATGGAATATTTTCTGGGGGACTTCATACCTGCTCATCACACCCTCCCTACTGGCGTTTCTCACCTCTTACAACACTCCCCGCAAAGGGCTAACTTGCAGAAGCATGACGTACCTAGTTTACGGCATCAGCCAGATCTGCGAGATGTTGCTCTGGGTTTGGGAGGCCTGGCTCAAAGTCCAGTATGGCATTAGATGGTCGGGAACCAAAATGCCGGCTAAGTCCATCATCTGGTGGGGACAGGTCTTCGTGGGCTTCTTTGGTGTCCTTGCTGCAGTTGGGGGCACTTTGATGCAAACCTTAGGGGTATATCGCGCTTGTGCTTGTAGAGTAGGTTGCCCTTTCTTTTCTTTTTTTTTCTCCTTGCCAACGACGCCTCGACGCTGATTACCCGCCAGATCCCCGCCAAATATTGGGTACGCCCCAACGACCCGGATGCATATATGATCCTCAGCAGCAACTTTGCCGACAGTATCGTGGCTGCGGAGAGGTGGTGGGTGGTGACTGGGACTGTGGCGGTGGCACTCCTCGCAGTCGTCTGTGCGCTCGCCTGGTGGTGTGTATACTCATTCATGTCTTACAAACCCTGTCAATCACTCAGGCATGGTTCCACAAGGCCATAAAATAGAAGAATCACTGACGCGAAATCGCAACAGGCACCAGCGGCGGCTGCGCAAGGTGTACAGGGATGAAGCCGATAGCTTGAACGATGATGCTGCTGCACTTGAATCCAAATCGCCTGAGACAGTGGCAGGAACTTCGAGTCAGGTGACGCCAGTCTCGCAGAGCACGCAGATGGCTCACGTGTTGAACGAATAGGTTGTTGCATTACACCATACTTATTTCAGTGACAGACAGACGGAGTTATGTGATGCCCCGTAGTCTTGCTCCGAACGCCAATAGTCATGATAAGGTGTTTTTCACGAACAAAACCTCCCGAGACCTCGGATCCATGTGTGAGGATCGTAGTGCCCCCTTGCTTCTGGCCGCCTGCAGGGAATGTCGGGATGTGGGTTTCGGTAACCCCAGTTTCTTCTGCATATACACCATGTAAGTTGGATCATTGGCATCCGGAAGCCTAGCCGACTAACCCCTTCCCTCCAGCCTGACGGAAAGTTGAGGGATTCTGCTGCCCCCTGATGCTTGTCATGGAGCCTTGCATGTATTCGCAAAGCCAAGGCAAACAAGGCAAATAAAAAGCTTCATCTGGAAATCGGTTAAGGACGTGTAAATGATTGTATGATGGTTTGCGACAGCTAGCCAAACCATGTGGGTATCTCTTCGCTTCATTGCCCAGCCCTAGCCCAAGCCCCCTAAATCGCAACATCACACAGCGGCTCTGCATCTTCGCCTGCCAGTCTATCTGCCTGCTTGCTCCATTGCCAACCGTTCCTAAATCCTCATGACATACTCATTCCCCTTCTCCAACGCCCTCTTCCACGCCGGCCTGTCCTCACATCTCGCAACCCAATTCCTCAGATTCAGATACGGCGCCAAATCGACCACCCCCGTCTTCGTAACCAAATGCACGTACCAAAGCATAATGAAATCCACCCTCGTCGGATTCTGCTGCCCCATGAAATAATTCCGCGCCTCGAGCTCATTGTTTATGTACTTGAAATGGATCACCATCTCCTCGCCCAGATACCCCTTCGTCAAAACGGACTCTATCCCGGCCGCCATGGGCCTTACGAAAAAGGGTGAGAGCTTCGCCGTCCAGTGTAACATCATGGTCATGATGACGATCGAGCTAAAACTGGCGTCGGCGAAGCCGATGAGCATCTGTTCGCGGAGCTCGTCGTTTGTCGGGTCTTGCTGGTCGGGGTGAATCTGGAATTGCCGGCCTTCGTCGTATCGGTTCACTAGGTACATTGTTATGGCCGATCGCTCTACGAGAACGCGCCCTTCGGGAGTGATGAGTTGTGGGGATTTGCCCAGCGGATGCGTCTCCCTCAGGTTTTCGGGCGCGCGTCCCTGTCGCATCCCAGACCGCACCCGCGCAAGGGGTTTGATATTGTACGGCACCCCGAGTTCCTCCAGCAGCCATAGTATCGTCTGGGATTGCGAGTTCTCAAGGCATGGTGTTAATTGGGGTTGTAATTCTGGAAGGTAGCTTAGTCGCATTTAGAGTTCAACTTACATTGAGGTGCAGCAGTGTATCCGCCATGGTGAAGGCTGCATTAACGAACGCTAAGCTGACGGTTCACTCTGCTCGCTTCTAAGAAACCAAAGATCCGCTTTTGACATCTACCGTCTGATCATGAGCCAACCTAGAAGATGGGACGAACAGGAACAGGAATCGAGAAAATGGTCAAATGTCGACCACGGGGAATTTATTCTGCACTCGACTATTTATAAGTTCCTCCACAATGTTGGTGGGTAGACCATGCTTGATCTCGTGATATTTACTTGCCGTGTGGCGTAGCAGATTGGCGACAAGGCCCCTGAAACCAAGATTGGCAATCGACAGTCAGTCCACAATCCCACTTAGGCTTCTGGGATCCTCCCGGTTTGTCTCCAGCAACCACAACGGAGATCGTGGTGCGTTGGAAATCCCAGTCGAGTTGCGCACGCATTTCAATGTCGGAAGATACCGTGAAGAACCTTGTTGCCTTCAATAACGGGACCTTGATGAAACAATACTAAGTGCAAGCAGGCACGGATCGCGATGGATATGAACACACGCCAATGTGGGGAATTATGTGGGAATAGTACCTAGTATTCCTCGTCCAAAGACATGCTGAGGTTAGCAATGTAGTTGATGTATCCACATATCGATTGCAAATCCTCGAATTCTCAAGGGGAAAGTCCAGGGTTGACTTGTGTGGATCATTCCCCTTGATCTCGCAACAGTTAGAGTAGAGTGAAACGGAGTTCCCCATGGCGTTTCACGTCTTTCCAATGTCGCGGGTGATACCAACATAACATGGTAGCCTCGTGCTTGAGATCCATGGAGGAGGGATCCCAGGATGATAGACTAGCGCCGACAGGGATCTTTTCTGAATAGATGAAGCTTCCCTGCGGCTCCACTCTGGGAAACTCGGCGTGGGTTCGACCTCAACCCGCACGGCAGTCTACGTAATAAGATTCGCTTATCTCGACTGCCAAGTTCCTTGTAACCTCGGGCTCATTGAACATGACTCGAAGAGAGCACATTCTCACTGTGATGTGGCCTGCTTTCAGCTTATCAGGTCGTACTCGTCAAACCTAGAAACGGCAGTCGGAGCCATGGCGTTAGCGGTGGTCAAAGACGTCTACATGTCCTTTTCAGCTATATGTCATGTTTGACGGTACTTCCGAATACTAGTAATCTGCACGAAATTCCTAGTACGTAAGCGCTATGGGGCTTGTATATGATCGCGAACAGTAGAGCAGATCATTGAGACAGAATCGACCAAGGCGGATAGCTAATTTGCCATACTCGGACAAATATCATTCTCGGTCAATCCGAATATATTAAGTATAATTGCGAGACTGGCCTTCAGGGTTATGTACTAGCAATATGTCCAGCTGTTGTTGCTGGCACCATTATTCACCAACTGACCATTCAACCACCGCCCCAGTATCGCTATTAGCCCCCGAGTCTTCATCCTCGTTATCCTGTTATATTCTGGCGTCGGCTGGTGTAGTTGGTCACTTCGCTGGTAGATAAGTCCCGATTTGAGCCTCGCCCACTTGGGTCGGTGACGAGTCGCGGGTTCGAATCCCGCAGCTGACACACAAGGGGGTTTAGTCAACCCTTACGGCGCGCTGCCCACCTTGTTGACTTCGCCTACCTAGCGATAATAGGGAGATTGGTGCAGTTTAGGATCACGAGCATCCTAGCCAGTCGACCGTCAAGCACTACGTCGGCGGAATATAACTCGACAGCCGGTCCAGAATTCGAATCGTTAATCCGACCCCTTATCGGACCCCCTCTCGCCGCGATTCTTGCGAGCGTCTAGACCACGTTACGGTCTATCCACTTGAGCGTATGGTTGAGGTGTATACGCTCGACGAGAACCCCAATTAGCAGATACTACGACTTGTCGCGACAAAAAATAGTCGAGCATCTTCTGCACATCAGTAGCATCCCACCCCTGAGGACGCATTTAAGTGCCACATTACCACACTTATCGGTAGTTCAGGCAGGGGTTGTAGCACAGACTTAGGGAGGGACAGGAGGTTTAGTAGTCGTTTGGCTACAAGTTTACCTGTATAACCGCCCGACGCGGCTTAAGGGCCCGCTATATCATCTATAGCCCCTTAAGGGAGTACTTGTAGAGGTACCGAGGGTTAACACCTACGGCGTATTTAATATTATTATTATATTCTGGCGCTAGCTATAGCTGCGAAGCCGTCTCTGGACTTTTCGTTACATGTTTCTAAGCGTAATATTCGAACTTTGAGACACACTTTCGGATTTAGTGTGAACTAGTGAAGTTCGAAAGTATCGGTAAAAACGTAGTATGAAGCTGAAAAGGTATAAATAGATATCTATGAATCACCGCGTTAGTAATAGGTCAAATCGTTGTTTTTAGGCTTAATGAGTAGTAAGCTCTAATATCTTCAGTCTCATTTCGCTAAATTCATAATGAGCTCTTACATCTCTCACCTCATCTTACCGAACTGCCACTAAATTCTCGAACAAGTTCTCTCATACTATCTATGGAATCTTATTAGGTTAAGTCACATCTTATCAGATGGTCATGTCTCTTGAAAGTGGTGCTAATAAGAATATGATAAGATATCTGAACAGTGTCGAAATGCTTCCGAATTTGGTGTGAACTGGTGAAGTCCTGTAGTATCGGTAAAAAAATGACGTATAGCTGGAAAAGCACAAATCAAGATAGACGTCCTTGACCCATTGCTAGTGCAGTGGGTCGTCCTTTTTATGCTTCATGAGTAATCTCTCCTGGCACTGTTGTCATCATTGATTCGACCACGGGTGTCCTCCATATATCGATTTCAAATACTCAAAAGACGGGTAGCGTCATAAATTTCTATACTAGAATAACCACCTCCTTCAGGAATAGAGATTTTGTCAGGTCGTTAGTAATGGTTAGAGAGGCATGTCATCATAATGCTTGCCCAGCGTTGGCCAACGCTCCGTCTCAGAATACTTGTTGGATTGTGGGCAAATGGTCTTGTATTGAAAGTGTCATGATCTCTGGAGAGTCCTGCAAGAAGTGAACGGTGGCCATAAGGGCCTTATATAGACAGGAATGAATGATGCCTGTCCCATAGGCAGGACTTGTGTGGTTCGATGGGTGGTGGCCATATGTCCTTCCAAGACTTGCAGTCTGGATGTAGTAGCCTTGAAGGACCAATAACACTTGTCCCGTCACAAGAAGTCCTTCAGGCCGTGTTTCTTGTAAAATCGCAAACAAACGCATCTTATCGCGACGTTCATATATCAACTAGGGCAAATAGGAAAGCAAACTTATGTAGGATCTTTAACGGATTGCCAAAAGGCGAATGGGCCCCACTCGGACGATTGGGTTCTTACCGAGTTCATCACTTGGTTTCATGGACTGTTGTTATCCGCCTCGGCAGCAGATCTTGTTGAAGGTTTAAACATCTCTATCTTCTTCACCTTTACACTGCAGGCTTCTCGCCCATCGTCAATACGTATCACCAGCAAGCCCTGCGTGTCAACTGTGGGAAGCCGTGGCCTTAGGTATAGAGGAGTAAGTACCCCACCCGGCATAGTTTGCGCATAGGGACGCCCTGGGACCAATTCAGAGTATCGATGCGGCTCCCAGTGGTCGGAATCCGGCATTAAGCAATAGAAGAAGCTTGTACTCGCAGTCCTGATGATCCCTTGGCAGTGATAAGTCCCAATCCTATTAGCACAACTTCAGGCCTCACCAGAAGCTCTTCAACTACTATCCAATAAGACCAACAAGCTATCTTACTTTGCATAGATCCATTTCGATGGAATGGTCACCTGGACCCTGACCCCTATTCAGATTGGACCTGATCTACTTTTTACTACAACAAACAATTGGCTAGTCGTCGAAATCTCCCTGCACCATCAGCCGAGTTTGGGGGGCCTCATATTATATGAGCCCTGAGCAGCATGAGAGTCGCCAAAGCACCTTGGGCAAACAATAAAGACACAGGTGCAACGCAAACACTAACACGAGCTGCTCGGAGACTGGTAACCATAAAGGCACACCTTTAGCCGTTATTGAGACAGGTTACCTCCTCATACCGGATACTGAGACACGAATGCCGTGTGTACCGATCGATCAAGACAGATTTGCAGTCATGAAGTAGGCCTAGGTACAAATAGGAGGATAAACTGGCAGACAGCAACGATAAGCGAAGCGAAATCCTCATGCACAGATTATAGACTTCATGCTTTTGTGCTATGGCTGTCTCTATTGCACATATGTTCAGTTGCTGCATCAAATAGCAGCATCAAGCGTGCTCAACCTTCCTGGCGTTCTAGATGCCCTCTGCTATATGCCGAGATTTCTAGGGGTCAATAATCCTGAAGAGATAACCAGGATCTCTTAACTCAGCCTCACCCGCCCAAGCCACGCGGTGCAATGCAATGCTGTGCCGATGATAGGATACAGGGATGAGCTTTTACTCCGTCCGTCATGGTCGTCGACACTTTCAATTCGTCTCATCGTAAAACACAGAGACACCGAGTGAAAACCTGCACACTCAGTGACACACCAAAGACGAGATGGGTATGCGAACAGGCTACTCAGGTGTTGCCACGACGGGACTATGCCATGTAGCGGTAGGCGGGCACGCCGTCGTTCAACTCAGCTCGTTCAAGGTACTCTCTACCGATCAAGTCCTCGATCCGATGCTTGATGAGCGCGACCTCAGGCTTGAAGTGGCTAGTCAGTTGCTGAATAACCTCAGTGATCAGCTGAGCGTGCGGTAGTTCCTTGCGTTGCCTAAAAGTAGTTCATCGTTAGCAACACACCCGTTGTTGGAGTCATGGGGTGGTGTAAGCATACTTCATAATACGTACGACAGCAGCATCGACGATGTACTTCCGCGTATCTAGGTTCTTGTCGTTGGTCTCTTTGCGCTCTTCATCGTTCTCGACCCGGTTAGCTGCGTTGACAGAAGGCATCTTGATCTTGATCGCCTTGCTGACAAATTCACGGTTGAAGGCGAACCGGTCGCCTGGCTTGGCGATAGCTTTGGTCGGCGGGTCTTTGATGAGGACCTTGCTCGCCTTGATGACCGAGAGGGATGTCATGACGTTAATGAGATCGTTTTGGGGGATGTTCGTCTGTGCTTGAACCTCGTCAAGCGACAGCCATTCGTCCTCGCCTAGCTCGTTGAAAAGCAGGAGGACAATCATGCCATAGGTCGTGACATTGACTTCATATCGGCGCTCTTTGCTAAGAGGACCGGACGTCTTGCCAGGAATCTTGGGGAAGGTGCACTTGATGTCGGCCGATCCAGCACTACTGATCCAATTCAGCTTGCGACCGGTGCGATCCTTGGAGTAGAACTTATAGAAGCTATCTTGAAGGCTCTTGATCTCGGGTGGAAAGTTGGCATCAAGGCGGCTTTGACCGCCTAGGCCATTCTGCCGGCCCATGATCTCCTTGGGCCAGTTGTTGCCACCAAGGACGTGAATGGCAAGTTCGATTTGTTTGTCATTGGCGTCGCCAAGGCCACGCACGAACTTGCGGTATTCCTCGGACATGTCTTTGGATAGGTTGATATCCTTGAACATGCCCTCGAACTTGTGGGTGAAATTGTTGCCAAGCTCGCGCTTCATGCGAGATATCATCTCCGTCTCTACTTCCTGACTCTCCGACTTCTGTTGAAGCAGACGGCGGGCCAAGTGCTTCTGATAATAGAGCTCGAACTTGTCCTTTTCGTTGAGATAGCGCAGCAGGGTAATAGCCTTCTCAAGCACCACATCAACCTCGGTTTCCGTCAAACCCTTGATGCCGCGTCTCAGGGCGTCATCGATGAAGAGCGAGACGTACTCTGAACTCCGATCGAACGCGTTAATGAAGTCGGCAAAGCTCTTGGTGAGAGCTGTCTGTAAAATGAGGTCCTCGGCAAAACAGGATTTCCATAGGCAATCAAAACGATCCTTGAGAACCAAAACATCGTCGACCCACTTAATAGCAGCGGCAGTTTGCTGCGCGGCAGCATTCAAGGACTTTTGCTTGGGCTTCTCAGTGCCGTCAGCAGTTGGCTCTTCGTCAGCTGTCTGGGGCACAGAGAAGTCGGTGCTCCTCAAGATCTTCTCAATTTCGAGTCCCAAGTCGACAACGCGGGCTGACAGAGCATTCCTAAGTGCCACTTTCTTCGGGTCAACCCTAGAAACCAATTGGTACAATATCTTGAGATCTTCGATGCGGTCGTTATCTATCATGGCCCGGATACCACTGCCGTCCAGGTTCATAAAGTCCTCGAGGTGACTATTGATGAGTTCCTTCTCGAGGACTTTGGCGATGCCATCCTGAGTCATCAGGGATATGGTAGTTTGGCACCGAGCACTCTCTTCCCGCAGGCGTCGCTGAGTATACCGGAGCCAGGAGCTCGCATCTGACTCGCGCAAGAGTTTTTCGCACTCATTCCTGTAGAAGGTATGACTGGAACGGATGTAGACGGGCTCGAACTGCGTGAGGTAGAGCTTCTCATTTTCATTCTCCTCGTCTGTCTCGTGAAGCATCTCCAGCATACTGATACAGCTGCGCAGTAAAGCCTTGTCGATGACATCGCCTTCTCGCTCCATGTTGATCTGATCTAGAATGGTGGCATTGAAGATATCGAAGACTTGACAACCTTGTGGGAGTGTGGTTCGCAGAATGTGGTCGCGGAACAAGCCGATTGTGGCGGCGAAGATAGATGGTCTACTGTGATCCTGTGAATAGCCGCGATCCAGGTACATCAAAATATCGGCGATCATATTCATTGACATGTTGTGTCGCTCCCACGACTCCCTGATTGCCTTCAGGAACTTCTCGCCCATAGCGCGTCGCTCTACAACACTGGTGCCGGGGACATCGTCGAGGGTAACGCTGATAAGATTCTTGGTGACAAGGGCGAAAATCGGGGGAATAACCTCCTTGCGGAACCACAACTCCTCGAAGTCCTTGACTTTGTCGTACAGGCGCTCACCAGCCTTCTTGAGGACAATTTTGTAAGCATGCCGGTATAGCTGCTCGAAGGCGAGACCGCTCGCATTTCTCAGGTGGATATCGCGCAGGGCCGACTCGAGCGGGATCCAGTTTTGGTCGAAGTCATCGTTCTTATGGTTGAAACCAGCCTGTTTAGAAGTGAAATTAGCTGTGCTGCCTTCCGAAGATGGGGTGGATGCCAATTGGGGCAATGGAAGAGCGGAAAGCGGGCATGTAAGGGTATGAAGGTGGCAAAACAGTATTCAAGACGGAGGCAGAGGAAGGAGGTGAAGTATGTGAATAAGAGAAGGCGCAAAGTTAGCCGCAGCTTTCACTGTTTTAGTGATCTGAAGCTGAGAAGGACGTTACGACTCTGCCCCAGAAATCGAGAAGACGAAAGGCAAAGGAAACGAAAACGTACCCTTCGCGGGGGACGAATGCGCCCTCCACGAGCAGCAGGTCCTCCCCTTCCAGTGATCATATTGGAAGCCGATTGTTGGTCAAGAAGCAGTGATGGGCGCGGCTTCACGATCTGAAGATGATCGACATGGTAGAAAGATGCAGTGGACTAGGTTTGAGGAGAAAGGAAAGTTTGTGGCATAAGAGACCGTTGAGACATAAAGCAAGAATAAGAAGGTTCAAGATGCTCCCGGTGGGCTTTATGAGATGCGATGCTGTCGACCTGGGGCGCGCAATGCGGAATGGAAGCTTGCCATCCAACGAATTACTTGAAAGTGCCCCACGAAAACGGCGAGAACAACCATGGAAGCAGTGTAAGGCTGAGGCGTTTGTTCGTCGCGAGGGGCTATCCACGAAAATGTGGTCGCCGCCTTGCCAAGTGGTGAGTCTGATTGGCTTCCAAGTGCCGGGGTCCTTTGACGGTTGCAATTGCCCCACGCACAGACATGGTCCGTGCAAACCCCCTGCAACTGCCTCGTCACCAACCAACCAACTTGCTCCCCGGACTTCACTATCTTATCTTATCGATACCAATAGCGGCGGACAGACCAAGAATCGGCGCTATGTTCAATCAAGCAGCTCATTCTTTGCCAATGTTGCGCCCTGCGCCTCCAGGTTCAGTTTCGAGCAATCGAAATCATATCGAACCCGAAGCTTCTTGATGCGTCCTCAACCACCTTCTTTCCACTTCTCTTTCAAGTGATTGCGATTCAGGATGGCCACCAGATGTGGTGTCAATGTATTGAACTCGATATCCCGTCCCTTCCGGGCGTCGCCGTCACTGCCCCTGCGGCCGTCTCTCTCAACTCAACTTCTCCGTCCGTATCCTCATCTTCCTAGAACTCTCCAACCTGCGCATGCCCAGCTGGGCCGTCGATTTGCCCACGCCATCCCCAAACCCCAAAGCAGAACGCCTGCAGTCTCCCCCGAAGAAGATGCCGACACGCCAGAGAAACCTCGAAAGCTGTTGGAACCGCATTATGAGCTGACGTTTACCTGCGTGCCCTGCGGCTCGCGGTCAACACACGCCATTTCCAAGCAGGGATACCACAATGGATCAGTACTCATCACCTGTCCATCCTGCCGCAATCGCCATGTTATCAGCGACCATCTCAACATCTTCGGGGACCGCAAGATGACGGTGGAAGATCTCATGAAGGAGCGGGGCCAACTCGTCAAGCGTGGCACACTGGGCGAAGATGGCGACGTGGAGTTCTGGGAGGATGGTACTGTGACGGAACGAGGCAAGAGTGCCGACACTGGCCCTGCACAACTGACACAACCCGCCACACCTGGGGGTCTCGCCAGGTCCGGCATGAGACCGAAGTTGGATAATGCTTCTCCAACTGCCACAGATGCCACCCCTTCGGCGAAACGCCAATATTGGACCAAGTCCACCTCTGAGATCCCGCTCGAAAAAGTATATCACATTCCGTATCCAATGAAGAAAAGGCCCATGTCGGATGCTATTGGCTTCAAACATCCCGTCAGAGTCAAGAAGCCTACTTACGAATTGACAGGCGAATCAAATATCGCACCCATCGACCCCTCCGCACCATTTTTCAAAGACTCAGTTGCACCTATGCGAGAGCCCGCCCCAGACGCTATAGGCCTGATGTATCCAGCGAAAAATTCAGCTAGGCATGGCAAGGCGGACATGCCTGAAGTTTTCCGCGAGCCGCGCAAGCCACGTGTGGGACTCGGAACACCCTTTCGGGACGGCACTGATTATGCTCGAGCACATTTGGCAGATATGGATTCAAAGCCGCTTATCCGGGAGGTAGCCACAGATGCAGCTTGGGTGACCACAGCGCGCCAGCGATTAGAAGAGGGCGAATGGCGCAGTATAGCCTCGAAAGATCCATACGTGGATCCTTATGAGGTGTACAGAAATCTGAAAAATGCAGGGAAGGTCGGTGGTAGAAAAGACAGCAAAACCCGCGACGAATATATCCGGGATCGGGACGTAGATCCTGCGTCGGCTAGTGAAACTTCCACGGGCGAAGCTTTCAAAGACAGCCGCCGGTTGCCTCTTAGAACTCAGGAGCTCACAAATAAATCCCGAATTCGCTTCCGCCCGCACTCAGCACCCTTCCAACTGCGCTTCGTCCAACCCAAAAAGCCTGCACGTAATAGAACCGTTTTTGTACGTCCAGACTTGTCTCCAACGGGGTCATCGCTGGCGGACGCGTCAGCCGCATACAATCAAGTCAGTGAGAGTCCGCGCCGACGCGTACCACATGAGGAACTCATATCCCACAAAGCGCCTCGCAAGATGCCAATCATGAAACACTTTGCCGGTCGAAAAGTATCTCGCAATTTCGTCTACGCATGGCCCGAGAATTCCGCGGTGCCCATCAAGATTGAGATACCGCAGCAACAGCCCGAAAGAGGGAGGCGGCGGGTCGAAAAGCAAACGATCAGTAAAAAAGCAACGGCACAATGGAAGGAGGCTATGTGGCGAGAAGAGTGGTTGGCTGGTACAGAGTCGAAGACGATGGGGTCAGTAGGTTAAGCGCCATCATTTGAGCATGTCGTGGCTGAGATGGATACGGCGTTCACTGGGCAGTTCGGACACGGGGAACAGGTTTTGATTAAGCGGGCCAGGTGCATCTGTCCCTAGTGATTCACGGGAACGGGGCCAATACATATATCCATAGCATCTGCCATGGACTGCATGTGAAGAAAGCGGGCCAGAATAATGACATAGGCGTTGGATGTGGGCAGATGGTCGGCTCGGATCGAGCCAAGCGAGCAGATGTAGACATTACAAGATACATACGAGTATGTTTTGTGTAACAGTAGGTGGCCCCCGGAGAAAGCATGTCCAGACGAGGCTTTGGGAAAGACAGCTTGTTCATGTACTGCTAAAACACACGTTGAGATCGACCCATCATCTCCTGTGTCGTTGTATCATAGTATGTAGAAATAGACGTCTACATATCGCGTACATAAAATATTCGTGGAGGTGGGTGCATGTTCTCTGCTGCCAAATTGGGAGAGCTGCGATGACGGGTTCCTACCTGTAGGCACACTCTACATATATGCCCAACAACATTATTCTGACCCAACGCCAGACTTGCTGACGCATATCAAATATATATCACCTGGGTTCGCGATATCTCATCGGCTGGAAACATTGGGCTAATATATGATGGAATATCGTAGTATGTCATACTATTCCACTGCCTGCGTCTGCTCTTCATCCCGCCCATGCCGATGCAAGGAGGAAGGACCTTCAGCTTCTCGAACTAAGGCGGGGCTGTGGGCAAGACAGCAAACTGTCCAAGGAGAAAAAACTCAGTAAATGAATAAATCCAAAACAAACATCCAACAAGTTCAGAATATAGGATTAAAAACATGAGCAAAAGCCCAGGCGCAGTCAAAATCTGCGCCATACGAAGTACGCGTATATAGGCAATTTCATGGAAGTCCACTATCAGAGCCATTAGGCTGCGCCCCCCAACTAGCGCACTGTCTACCAAGGCCAGGCCAGGACAGGACCACTGCTCGGCGGTGTGGGACTCGCTTGGAAGGGGAAGGCATTGTTGGGATATATCTGCCTTGTGCGCCGGCCAGGCAGCATGGGCATGGTACCATGGAACGATAGGAGGATGTCGTGGGTGAAGGGGCGACGATCAGGCTGGGGATGAACCTTAGGGTGCGAGTTTGTTGGGTCTGGTTCTTCCTAATCTTGTGATGACATTCCAACAGCAATGGCTGTCCTTGGTCTCCAGGCGGGGATTGGGATGCTTAATACCGCCATCCTGCCGTCTGGAATAAGAGGTGATTGGCCATCATTGCCAACGTCACGACCTTTTGGCTTCCCATTCCATATTCCATAACCACGACACCGTCCAACTTCTTGTGATTACAATATGAAAACCTTGTCGAACATATGAAACATCAAATTCTTGCCGTCCACAACATGCTAAATCCTCAATTTCTTCGAAATCTATACATCGCATGATTAACCATCTATACACCAAAGTCTCCTTTTGGTCGGACGCTAATCCTATGGGTATCGCCTTCATCTCAGCGCAGAATCTATCACGAACTGCCTGTCCCACTAACAGTCTAAAATCCGGCTCCATGCCGGCGTTCTCGGTTCCTGACACCCTTCACCTTCCTCGCCTTGATCTTCTTGTCCAGCTTCCCGCGCTTCCATTTGCCGTACTTCTCCGGCGCGGCAACGGCCTCAATCTTTCTCTTGCGCGCGCGACCTTCTCGCCGCTTCCGTCTCATCTCCCGGATCTTCAGCACTTCACGCGTGTATGCCTCGGTACCCATCTTCCGTTGCAGCATGTCCATTCTCTCTTGCGACTGGGTTTTCAGCTCTTCGTAACGTGCCTTGAATTCGTCGTCAACTGAAACAGGCATAGGAATAGACGGGTCTGTCAGGTGGTGTAGTGGCGTAAGGAGGATGTTGAGGGAGGGAAGAAGAGTCGAGGATGGGAGGGTGTGGATGAAATGGGTGAGGAGATCCATGGCTTTCGTTTTTGGTACGAGCGCTGGAGATCTTGCTGTCGTCTCAGCGATCAGGATATCAGAGAGCAGAGTGAAGAGCGTATGGAGAGTGACAACTGGCTCGGAAGGCTCCTCAATCCCGGTCCACTCGTCATCATCTGCAGAACCGCCTTCGTCTTCTTCTTCGTCCTCGTCGACCGGAGCCTCGTCACTCGATTCATTGTCCGATGCTGAGGGTTTCTGATCGAGGAATGTGCCAAGAACCTTTAAGGAGTGGACCACAGCGGTGGCCAAATTCTCATCTATGTCTGTGGACTGCGACTGAGAAGTTGAGGGATCGGCCAAGGTAATATTGACATCGCCCTGGTTCTTCTTGGCCATGCGCTTCCTCCATCTGGCAACCACCGCAGGACTCAGAATCCCGACGGCTAGGACGACAAGCGCTTCTGCAGCGCTCTTCTCAAGCAAGAGTCCGTATGAACCTGTCAATTCCTTCAAAGACTCGTCTGCTTCCGCCATACCCTTGTTCTTTTTCTCTTTCCTGAGATTCTGGCTTTGCTCATAGAAATCATTCAGGTATAGGTTCAGCAGACCAACAGCCGATAACTTGACGACTGGATGAGTCGATGTGAGTGGCCTTGCAATTGCGTGCCATAGTTCCGCGTGAGCCAATATTACCGATGGGAATTTCTGACCGAGGATGCAGACAGTCTGAACAATTGTGTTGATCAATTCCCAGTCGTCCGCAAAGCTGGCGTAATCGTCCAATACCTCGACTAGTCGAGCAACCAGGAGATCTAGGTCTTTCTGGTCTTTTTGCGCTGCCACCTTCGCCTCAAAATAGAACCCGAAACCTTGAATGCCCAGACGCAAGACCGATTGGTTTTCGCCCTGTTCTAGCCAATTTCGCAGCAGCGTCAAAAACTTCGATGTGCGCTCCTTGTCTGACCTTCGGAATATCTCTTTGAGTAAACCACCCGCTACCAAACGGCACTTCTCGCTGTCGTCGTTGGCCAGCACGAAGATCAAAGGAATGAAACAGGTGGTGGCAATTTCCTGTACAAAGTCATTCGCCGACTTGTTCAGGAGCAGGTTGATCGCTTCCATGACAGAAAGACGGCCGCCTTCTCGGTCATACTTGAGGTTGGCAACGATGAAAGCAAGTTGCTTGGCCCATCTGTTTTTCTTCTGCGGGTAATCTCGCAGGAATTGGAAGAAGGCACCTCGCGCCAAGTCTCTTGTGTCCTTGTCGTCATTGGTGATCATGACCGTCCCAACATAGTCGAGAGTGTCGTAGACAGAGGCCGTCTCCAGTTTGGAATCCAGGATTGACCGCAAGAAATTGAAGGTGACGTGGCGGTATAGTGGCTCAGTCAAGTCGTCTTTGAGATTTCCGAGGAGAAGGTCGGTTGCTGTATCTTTGAGCACCACATCCCGTCGACCTGTAGCATCCTTGTGATCTCTCAAAGCCACAGATAGGAGCTTCAACGCGGCTTGTGCAAGGTCAGTCGAAGTAGACGTGGACATCGCGATGCTCTTTGTCGCTTCTTTGACCGCAACCTTATAAAGCTTCGTTGACTCCTCCGTTTTGAAGGGAACCCTGACGATTACAGTGAGAAGTTTGAAGGCAGCAACTTTAACTTCCTCCTCGCCTCCAACGATTGCATCACCAAGGATTGGGACGAAGCCAGAAATGTTCCCAGCCGTACGAATACTATCGTGCTTCTTCCATACTGCGCGGAGAATGTCGAAAGCGAAACGGATTAGCTTGTATGTGTGCTTGCTTGTGGAACCACGCTCCCCACTTCGTTTGGCACCTTTCTGGACAAGATACCGCCGAAGCTTGTAGTCCAGCTGGACTTCCGCTCGTGGTTTATCGCTTTCGTATACGCGCTGAATGACCTCGTAACAGAATACCAATGTGTCTTGGCTCTCGGCAGCAGGGTTGGCAAGCAGACCATTGGCGATCCGCGTGAGCAGCTCGTCAATCTTCCGTACCATTCGAAGGTCCAGTTTCTCAAGGAGGAGTGACTGCATGGGACGAACGAGCTCAACCAGGCAACCGATCGACGTGGTTCGTGCAACAAGCTCCATCGAATCCTGGCTCTTGCTGCTCTTCACCTCCTTCATCTGACTGGTGTATTCTTCCGCATCCTTTTCTTGGCCGACGACTCCGAAGATGTCATCCATGATGACTGCGACGATTTTATCAAGACAGTAATCAAGGTCTCCAGGTTGAAATAGCGGAATGCCATGCACCAAGATTGAGTGCATGGTGTAGGAAAGCACGTGAAGTTGGTATCCCTTGGTCAAGGCGCCGCGCAGCTCGTCAAGCACAAACCCGAAGTAGGATGGACCCAGAAGCGTAGTCATTTTGGCTAAAGTATCCCGTGCCATTTCTCGAGATTCCCAAGATTTGCTTCTCAGGATATGACACATATCTGTCAGTACTCCAGGCAGCTTCTGTTCCAGTAGTTTGGGTGGTAGAAGCTTCAGAAGCTTGACGAGAATGATACCAACAGGTACACGAGAGCTGACTGTCGTCTCATCCTTGTCATGGATGTACTCCATCAAAGGTGGCAAGACGTTAGAGACGATGTCATCGCTGAATTTCTCCGCTGCTGGCATTGTACTGGCTAGACGGTGTTTCTTTGACTGCGTTGTAGACGCCTCGTCAATTTCCATATTGTCCTCATACTTCTCTAAAGCAGCTACAGCCAGAGAATCGATGATTTTCCCCAGTAGCCGAACAAGCTGCTTCTGAGCCTCTGGCCGTGTCTCGATGTAACCGATGTACCTGCGAATTGTTGCACGGAATTGTGGCCACTCCAGGGAGACTGCTAGATCAGCAATGGCCGTTGTAGCTTGAGCTCCAACACCATGGTCGTCATTGCCTTCCTCACGACTAAAGATGAAGTGCTCTAGCAGTGGTATGAAGAAGTGGGCCAAGTTTTTGCTGCTCAACTCTGCATGGTAGTTGACCTTGGACAGAAGTTGCAAAGCTCGCATCTGCCTCGATGTTGCAGGACTGAGGATATGGCTGAAAAAGCTTGGGTCCGAGTCTTGTTCATCCGGTGGCGGGTCAAGTCCTACAAGGTCGCTAACTGGTGCCCACGATGGTAAATGAGACACTAAGAAGCCGAGAACCCTGACAGTCTCGCGTCTGACAGTCTCGGAGGGCTCTCTAGCGCCTGCATAAATAGCTGGCAAGATGCTATCGGCGAGTAACTTCTGGTAGGCGTCGTTTTCCTCATCGGTTGAGGCAGCTGCTGCTTCTACGAACTTGCACATGCCATCGGCTGAGTTGGATGACAGAATTCCGTACTCCTCGTCATGTTTGATATAAAACAGCATGTTGTGTAGTAATGGCTCCCATTCATGGGGCGTGAAGGGTATCTCCCTTTTGGAGATCTCGTTGAATGCGGCCAAGCGCCTTTCGTAATTTGGCTCATCCATCCGCCGTTCGACGTAGGAATTAAGATCTGTGCACAAACTTGCCACCTTCAGAATGGCAGCATCATCTCCTGCGTACACTGTCAAGACTCTGGAAAGAGCCTGGCGACTAGACGTGTCTTTGAAATAACCGAAAAGAGATGCGATCGTGGAGTAGATTCGTTCTCTGAGGGGTGCATCTGACTTCAGGTTTTCAAGTCGGAGGAATTTTTCAAGAATAGTCAAAACATTGCCCTTCACTTTGGGGTTGACCCGTCTTGAGGGCTGGTTGAGAAGATAGACAGAGATGTCAATCAACTCCGCAGTGTTGCCGGATTGCTGCACTATGGGTGACAGCTCTACAACTGCGTCGACACAGGCTGCCAAAAGGTCTTTCCCAATATCGTGGTCCGACTTCAGGACACCACCAACTATGCGGAGGATCATATCGAGATTGGGGTCGATAAGTTGCGTCTTAATGAGTTCGTGGGATTCGGATTCGGCCGCAGGTGCTTGGGCGTCTTTGATAAGGTTGCGTATGATGCTCAAGGCAAAGACCCTCACCTCATCCTTAGCCTTCTGGAAGGACAAACAGTCCAACAATTTGACAACAATTCTTCCGTCAAGGGCAAGGAACAAGGCTGTCTCGGAAGTGAGCGACAAAACCGACAGTAGTTGAAAGGTACCCGATATGCCTTGCGTGTTTTCGGCCGGGAGGTTGTCAACCCGCGGACTCACAACTTCCTTGATCACAATGTCCTTGTACTGGGCCCAGTCAAACTGCGGTGCATTGCGTAACAGTGATATTACACACTTGATGGCGGTAGTGCGTACGGTTCGAAGCAGCGACGTTTGGCTCACTGATTCCGTTTCGTCGACGTCCTCCGCGCTCTGTCCCAGATTTCGGCAGGCAAAGACCAGGCAGTATAGTACCGCATTGAGAAGAGTGTTGGCATAAGCGGAAACGCTAGTGCCAAGTTCGTTGATCATGGCGGCCATCATGTTCAGAAAACCGACCTGTTTTCGGATTGGCATTATTTCTCGGTCCAACATATCGTCGCGAATGACAGAATCCTGAAGAATTTCAATCCCGTGAAGCTCGCCCAAGGCAATATCAAGGAAGCGACCCATGTCGTCCACAGAGAGGTGCCGTAGAACAGCAAGTCTAGTGGACTGAAGGCCACCACGTCCACTCGCAACCCCTTTCTTGGAAATTGTTCTGCCATAAAGTAACCGGAGAAGGACAGGCATGATTTCATCGCGGTGTTCCGGTAGAATTTGATGATCACCTTGGAAGAGGACGGTGAGCTCATTCTTGAATCTTGCCTCGTCCAGCAGATACTCTAGATTCTCTTGGTACGGTTTGACACCGTCCTGTTTCCATGCAATGATCGCCTTGAGCGCGGCTCTCTGAATTTCTGCGTCACCGTTCGCGAGCAGTCTGAGGAGTGCGTCGTAGACCTTCTGACTTTGGAAGAGGACCCTGGGGTTTGAAAACTGTGCGAAGACACCGAGTAAGCCTTTCTTATCAAAGAGTGACCATGATCCACTAATGTTGGCATCTGCCTCCTCTTCACCCTCTGAGCTACCTTGTTGCTCCTCAACCCCCGAACTCCAAGATAAAAACATCGGCACCAGTGTACGGGATCTCTTTTCGGCAAGGTGGGGAACTGCAGAGAGAATCTTCAATGCTTGCGATCGCGCATTGCTGGGCGTTTCTGGTACGGCACGTTGGCTATCCTCAAATGAGCTGAGCATCATATCAGCAGCATCATCAATGACACATTTTGCGTCGTCGGCCTTCCTCCTCAGATACATGAGGTTCAGACATTCAAAATCGGTAAGTCCTTGCCTCTTCTGACCGACTGCGTGGTTCGTAGGGCCATCCCACCGTTTTGAGGGAACATCTAGCCACTGCAAAGCCCGCTCGCAAAGCTGCTCCTCCCCACTCTTGGCTTGCGTGACTTCTTTCCATGCCTCAACTGCACTCTCCCAGACTGGTGCCAGCCTGACTGTCATCAAGCCGAAAAGAAACGCTGGTACTGCGCGACGAAGCCAGGAGTTCTCATCTACCTGACAGTAGGTTACTGAGAGCTTTCGGATGTGAGATGAGATTGCACGAACATTCTGCAGGTCTAATGGGGTCTGCTCGATCTGAAGCATGATCCCCAAAACTTCCAGTTGGTCGGGGGCTATATCCAGCTTGTCAAGCAACTTGAGCGACGCCAGACGCAACTCCGATGATTCCGCAGAGAGATTGTCGATGAGACACTGTAGAAGCGGGTCCTCCTCCTTATCAGGGCTCGCACTGCCGTCCTGGGATGATGGGCTACTGCTGTCGTTCTGCTCTTCATACGCAAGCATAGCCTTCAGGAAGCCAGTCAAGCGGCAATATCTAGGCGCGGCGGCTCTGAGTAGTGGGCTCAGGGATTTGTCAAGCTGTCCCGCCGCTTGACTCATGCGAAGATAAGCTGAGAATCCCTGACTGACGATGAATCGAGCTTCATCGGTGGCCAGAGATAAAGATGGCCGAAGCGCAAGCTTGAGTTTTCTTAGAAGAAGCCCCGAGATTGGACCGTTGATCGACGGGTGAACCGTTGTGCACTCCAGAAGCTGTAGAAGAGCACAGTATTTCGGCAAGCATCTGTCTCGCCAAACCTTCGGGTCCTTGTCATATGCATTTGAGGCGCCCTCCTCTGGGAATGGCGACACCTCTAACCTCTCAAACTTGGCGACAATCTGATCTTGCCACGACTGGGGTAGTCCAAACTTTTCGGTGTCATTCGTTGACGGAAGGGCTCTCGACTGCACCATTCGAGGAATGAGAACACAGAGCATGTCCTCGTTGGCGTCTTCTGACCAATGTTTCATGATAAATCTGTTCGATATGGTCAAAAATAGTTTCACAACAAGTAGTCAAGGAGTCTTACTTCTGGAAATGATTTAGGAATAGACTTCGAAATTTCGTGATATCGAGGTCCGAGAAATATGAACAAAAGGGGATGAACCATTTCATCAGTGGCTCTCTTGTCAAATTGTTTATGATGCCGGTTATGTTGGGAATTATGGCGTCCATGGGTGCCCACTGCAGGATTATGGCTACGTTGACGAGCACATGTTGCCAGATTGACGACTGGCCCACGACATCGAGCTCGGAGGGTTCCTTGCAGAGATCGGCGACAGATTCCCGCAGACATTCCAGAACAGCGGCCCAATCCGAGATCCTGCTTGCTTTCCGGACACCGGCCATAATTCCGAGTAGCCTCACATACATGATGTTGCGAATTGGGAAGTCTTTCCGAGACTCATCGGCGGACCTTTGTTCGTAGATTGATTGGGCGATGGGCTCGAAGCCTTCGGCATTGGTATGATGTATTATGCTCACGAGGACACCGCAAACAAGATCTGACCAACGATCGTTCTGTTCGGAATGGCACTCTTCGTTTGGAATAGATGCGACCAGCGCCTTGAAAATGGACGGCCCAACTGTGTGGACGCCCATTCCTTGCCCCTTAATGGCTTCGGCGAACATCGTCATCAACCCATGGTAGTACAGCTCGTGTTGTCGATGTCCGCGGGTATTCTGCAGATCTGCTCTGGCATGCTCAATGATCAGAGGTAGAGACTTGTCTCGATTAGACGGGGCAGCGGCTTTCTTAATAAGGAAACTGAGGGATTCGGCGGCGAATCGAGCAATGTGAGTGGGACACCGCGCTTTCCCAAGGAGTCCAGCCATGGCATCGTATGTCGGCCGAATATCGGGGGCTAGGAGTCTCGACAGATACTTGAAGAGGAAGGCCAAAGACGCGAACGTCCACTCGATCACATCAGCATCGTGTCGCTTCCCAGCGGTTTCTACAATCAAGGCCAGGGCTCTTGCGTAGTGTTTCTCGAATCGCGTGCCCAAATCATGCGCAAATGCTGTGAGGAGCTCCAATAGCGGTTCCAGCGATTCTTTTTCTTGCCCGGATACGTATTTTTCCAGAAGGTCCATGATCTTATCCTCGAAGTGCAGAATCTGTGCCAAACTGTCGGAGATGGGCAGCACCTCCCTGCGGAAGTAGGTGAAGCCTTTCGCTATATTCAGGTCTGTCCATTTTTCCAGTCCAGTTCGAAAGTAGCTGGTGGTCGCTTTATCGTCTTCGACGTCGAGATCGTTGCGGCGAACTTTGCGCAGAGGGTCGATTGCCGAGAGTCTGGAGATTTTACTCGAAAACGACTGCCATTTGTGTTGATTTCTCCCCTTCTGAATTGGGCCCTTTCGGGATTTGACGATCCGTCCCGATGACGTTGCGGGCATCTTGATCTCTTGTCTGCTTGATTTGAGCAGTTCAACACTTCAAGCATTTGCAACTTCGAATTGGTCCCCGCTGTATAACGACTCCAGAAACTTTTCTGGCGGATTGCGCTAAGATAAGCTGATAGGGAAAGATCCAGGGTCCCTGCAGCAACTTTAAGCTGCCGCCCCACTCAAACTTCAACAACCATTCGCACTTGCAGCCTACAGGAGCTACCAAGGTCCTATCGCGAGTCAACACAGCCCTGAGAGAGCTTCTTTCAAGTCGCTTTCGCCTGCGCAAACGCCCCTCACAATGGCAGCCAAAGTGTGAGCTCTCACAATACTGATTGAAGCTTTTAGTTCGAACTACATTAACTGTTTTGATAGGATCGTACTCGGAAGCGTTAATGGCAAGCTTGCGCCAGCTTTCCAGAAACTCGGCACGCTTCATTCCAAGAACAAGTTCTCCTTTGCCATTGTCACCGGCGACCTTTTCGGCAACGACGACGACGACGAGAGCATTACGCAGCTTCTGAATGGCCACATCAAGGTGCCGCTCTCGACTTACTTCACTGTAGGCACAGCGCCACTGCCACCGCGAATCGTTGAGCGACTCGAGACAAGTCCAGACGAGGACGTACGTTCATCTACTAGCGCAAGAAATGGTGTGCTCGTAATAGGATAATCTGAGCCACAGTTTTCATTTGGATGCTGGGGCGTTGGGGCTCGGATTTTCCTACGGCATCACCCAGCCCATCTCTACCTGGGGACCCGTTGACTGTTTTCTGTTGCTGACATCTCTTTAGCTCTGCGAAAACCTCCATTTCCTCGGAAAGAGAAGCATAACCACGACCTCCGACGGAATCCGAATTGTTGCGCTGGGGGGCAATCTCGATACATCTATCGTGGGTGGGCAGTCCAAGGAGCAGCTCCTTCCGTACCACACCACTAGCGATGCCACGTCCTTGCGCGGCGCAAACAAGACTGACATCCTTCTCACATCGATCTGGCCTGCTGGGGTTTGGGAGAAATCAATCACTACCTTGACTCCCGAAAACCAAGCTGCGGTGTCGAGCACCAAGGAAATCGCAGACTTGTGTGCGGCGATCAAACCCCGATATCACTTCTCCTCCTCCCCAGTTGGGTTCTTCTACGAGCGCGAGCCATTTTTCTACTCTTCTGCCGTAGACGAGACATCAACCGACAAGCAAGTCACTCGCTTCATCTCCATGGCGCCTTTTGGCAACCCGGCTAAAGCGAAAGCCATGTATGCCTTCAATGTGCAAGCTGGAGAGACCGCTTCCACAATCCCACACGGCAGTACAATGTCGCCATTCATCGTGAAATCAGGCATCAAACGAGGTTCTGAGACAGTCACTAATGAAGGCGGCTACAGCCGGTTTGGCAATGGTACCAATCATCATGACGGCCGACATAGCAAGCGTCGGCATCACTTACCACCTACTGGTCCCAGCCAATGCTTCTTCTGCTTGGCGAATGCGAACCTAGAAACGCACATGGTGGAATCGATTGGCGATAGTTCATACGTGGCTGCCGCCAAGGGGCCTTTGCCAAGCTCTAATTTCTTCGCTGAAAATGGCCTTAACTTCCCATGCCATCAGCTCATCATATCTTTCGCCCACAATGCGACGATTAGAGAGATTGCCCTCGACCCAGAAGCAGAGGATCCAAACGAAGGACTGAAGACGTATAAGGAGATGGCGCGTTTTCGCGAGACCATGCAAGCCATGGTTGCAAAAAAGTCGAAGTTTAAGCTTGGTGCTGTGACTTGGGAAATCAGTCGCGCTAACAACATTCACCTCCACTGGCAGTTTCTTCCTGTTCCCATCGATCTAGTTCGGAGAGGGCTTGTTGAAGCAGGTTTTAAGGTTGAAGCAGAGAACAGGCGCTATCCGGCATTCCAAACACAGGAGCTAGATTCTGCGATCGACCATGTGGGCGACTTTCTGCGCGTGTGGATCTGGTCCGACGACGGAGACACTGGCATTCAAGGAAAGGAGCTGGTCCTGCACATCGACGATAGCTCCCGCTTTGATCTGCAATTCCCTCGCAAGGTGCTAGCCAAGCTACTGCAGTTGGATAACAGATTCCGCTGGCAGGATGTCGTCCAGTCGACCCAGGAGGAAACTGAGTCTGCTAATCAGTTCAAGGAGGCGTTCAAGCCATGGGACTTCACTCGTGAGACGTAGTGACTAACGTCATGATGCAGGGCGGACGGAACGGAAAATTTTTAATGATACCCATCGACATAATATTTGCAGCTACATTTTAGTTGGCGTTGGGAAGGGATTACCTCATAGGTGATACCACTTACCTGGGATAAAGGGGTGTCACCGACTGCGTTGCATTCCGTAAGGGCACTTGTGGCAAATTTGCGGAAGGGGAACAGATAATACTCCCACATAACTCGGATGAAACACATAAATTTGTGATTTATTACCAAGTACATTCTTCGCGAGATGAGCGAGCCTAACAACGAGTTGGGCTGGTTGAATTCCCTTTCATGCGCCATATCATCTCATTGGTCCAGAACTGAGCACACTTTGCAGGAGGTGAACCTTTCGAAGAACAGCTTCTATCCAGCAACTTTACTCCCAGGCCGAAGCGATTACTGACATGTTGCCTAGGTAATTAGACAAATGCATTCTGATACATACCATAAACATAATCGTGGACCTGTTCTGGCCGGCTGATATATGACCCAGACGGACGTTTAACAAAACTGCCCTTGTCTACACGATCATTGAGCAATGCGGTCTATATGCCGGTGGAGTGAGCTAACTTCGATGGTCTGGTTTTCAGATTTCAACACAAGCGAAGTCGGTCTCGAAAAACTCGAGACAAATTTCCCTGTACAATGGTCCATTGTGCTGTCATCCAGCCAACTACCCCGACGCACCAAACCCACCATTGTCCCTTTGTTGTTGAACAACCAACATGCAGGTTACATCTTTGACTCGATCCTGGTAATCCTCGCTTCAACCTTCGCCTCTTGTTTCCCACGGCCAACCAATACTGCCTTTTACGAAAACAGCCTTCTTTTCCATTCCCACCCCGGACTGCAACCTAGTCCTCATTCTTGTTTTTCTACCACTTGTTCCGTCGAATATAAACACACCCTCGCTTCAAAAGGCCGGTCCGTTTCTTATTCGCGCTTTTCCTTTCCTGTCAGTCTATATACGTATTTAATTATTCTCGACCTCAAAACATGTCTATGCAAAGCGACACGCTGATCCGCATGGCCCTACTGGGTCCCATGGCGGGAGTCGGCAATGCTCCCGCGATCCCGACGAACCGCGAGACACTCGACATGATGCTCAAGGAGGCCACCAGCAGCGACAGCCTCAAGGCCGTGGTCGATGATGTCTCACGGCCGCCCGTCGCGGGCTCCAAGTCGGGCAAGTCGCAGGCGGGCTCACAGCAAGGTAGCGTTGCGAGCGTGGACAGCGGGACTTCTCTAGAGCGTGCTTCCAGGGCCCTGTCTTTCGCTTTGGGTAGATCGCTTCACAGAGCGGACTCGTTCTCCTTCGATCCCGACCAGCCGGATAATGAGTACCTGAGGCAGAAGCTCAACCGGTCTCGGGCCGCGGCGGCGCTTAACAAATCTAGCGGCAACGTTGCGTCGTATCCGACTGTGCTCCGTCCTGGTGGTCGATCTGCCCCCAAGGCGAAGAGCAATTACGACGTTGATATGGGCTGGCTTCATAGATCTGAGCACAGGAGCTACATGGCTCCCAGCGTGGTACCATACTGGGCTCAGGGGGCTATGGCTGGTGCTCCTATTCCACCTCCTGTTCCCGCTACGCCCGTCGAGCTCGAGGACACCGGTCGCCGCCTGTCCACCGCTACCGTTATTCAAAATTGTCAGTCCACTCGGGCGTCCAAGTCCAAGCGGCGGAGGAGGAGCGGCGCTGTGGCCGCCAAGCCCGTCTCTGGTGCGTCTGAGGATGGCCGCAGCGGCTACAGTGCCTACAGCACCCAGATGCACGCTCACCCGCCGGGTGACGATTTCCTGGGCGGCGTTGACCCTTACAAGCCTTGTACCAGCAGCAAGGCTTCTCAAAGCGGTGTCCCGAGTTCGAGGCCCCAGGCCATTGCAACTATGCAGGCGGAAGCCAAGAGACAGACTGTCACTCGAGTGAACGGCAAGTCAGTCCAGGTCGTCCAGGTTCACGTTGACCCCGCGACTCCGAAGACCAGAACCCCTGAGCCTGTAAAGGCTGCCTCTGAGCCCTGTCGTAAGTTGACCTACATGGCGCCCATACCGTCGGAAGATAGAAGGAGGTCATCCATCAACGACGCGTTCTTCAGCGTGCTTAACATCCGCTGCACCGGCACGCCTCCGTCACCTATTGACGCCCCGGTCAGCTCTCTCACACCGGCTTCGACCACCCCTAGTCCATCGCGCTCCAATACGGGCACCTCCACCCTATACTCTCGTACAACCCCCTCAGGCTCAAGCTCCCGCTCTCCATCTCCGTTTCACGGTGACTACGAGGACAACTGCAACACCAAGCCCGACTTGATGTTCAGAGCTAGCAGTACGTTCATGGACACGATGAACAAAGCCCGGGAAAGAATCGGCCGGAACCCAGGGCAGAGCCTAGTCTTCAACCGGGCTAGTTGGCAGATGCCCATGGAGTCGGAGCCGATGGTGACCACGCCGCTTCAGGCTGCTACACCCGCAGCTATAGTTCCCGGGTCACTCGCCAGTCACGCTACACAGCTCACTAATGAGAGAAGGTCGCTCGAGCATGGTCACGAGGCACAGAGGATTTCGGCTTATCGGCCGGATGTCAATCCTGTTAGTGCTCCTGCCCCTGTTCCTCAACTCTCAGCGTCCCGGCAAGACATCCCTGCTAAGACGCTTCGTGAGCAGGAGTTGAATGAGATATTCACGCGCTCATCCAACTCCAAAAAGCGGAAGAGCTTCTTCGCGCCGGTGTGGATCGAGGGCCAGGACCAGCCGCAGCAGCAGCGCAATGTCAAAGTCCAAGTCAGCCGGCCTGCAGTCGAGGAGAAGCCTGGGCCCCAGCCCCAGACTGAGACTCAGTCACAGCTGCAGTCCGGCTCGTTCGACGACTTCGACTTTGGCTTCGCCGCCTCTCCCACTAACACCGACATCAACCGCAATGATTCACTCTTCATCCAGCTATCCTCCCACCCCACGTCACTGGGTTTATTCAAGCCTCGGTGGATTCGCCAACATGCTTCTGCGCGCCATTCTCAGATGTCGAACAGCAGTATCCTCGCTGGTAAAAAGAAGCATCTCAATGTCGAAGCTCCCCACGATGTCCCTTCTAAGCGGGTAGATGACCGTAAGGGCTTGCCGAGCCATGGGTGGTTGAGCCATGGCTCTGCTGCTACTTCTGCTAGTGTACATGAACAGCCTGCGAGTCATGGAAATGGCCGACGACCACAGACTACGATGGTTTGTAGTGTCCTTAGCGCTTCACCGAAGCCAATGACGCCTGTTGAGCTGGGGATGAGCGGTGGGAGGACGTTGAGGAGGACGAAGGGGGTTAATGGGTTGAACAGGGGGAGTGGTGGGTGTGCTTATTCTCGTTAAGGCTATAATCGACTTTCAGATATTCTTTCCAAACTAGCTTCATGTCGCTGTATGCTTCAGTTTGAACTCACTGTCTTGCTGCTTTAAATGTCCTCCCGTACCAAGTTGACTTGCGGTGAGCTTGAAGGCGTCGTTGAATGCGACGTTTCTATCTGTTCTTCGTAACCCACCTTCCCATGGTATTACACACCTACTCCATCAAGTACCAACCAATAGTCATTATTTGACCCGTGTGACCGGCTGCATCAGCCTGCTTGTCTGTATCTAGATATACGTTGGAAAGGGGTGGCATTCGTCCAGCATCCAACTGCACTCCGAGATGATTTGGTCGTTTAGGTGAAAGAGCCAGTGGAGAAGATCTCCAGATCAGTCTTGGTTCTCATTGTTTTTTTAATGCTTCACATGATGACCCGGCGCGATGCGACATCAACATCACACTGTCGTACTCATACGCGAGATGAATACATTTATTGTTGTCAAGGCTAGCAGTTCCTAGACTGTTTAAACTTGTAAGGAAGCAAGCGCTTCACAGAATGAACAGCGCTCTGTGGGGAAAGGTATGGGGCAACCCATAATATGAGTGTTATAGACAAGCATTTTCTCTGGTAAAGCTGATATTTCCACCTAGGTGCTTAAGTCCTTCCAGAAGAATAACAGTGGACAGCGCGCAGGTAGAACAATCGAAAAATGTCTGGTTATTACTCTACAATACCGGTTTTACTGCACTAGGATATCAGACTACCCCTTACCATTCCACCATTTGATGAGCCTCTCATCTTGTTTATCAACTTTCCATTCATTTCATTATGTTCGCTGCTTTGGAAATAGCCATTCTGGGCCATCGGCATCGCAATTGCTAGGTTGTACTGGGGGCACCGTACGTAAGTGCTTAAGAAAAGAATTCACGAAGGTCTTCGTAAGCATAGCCAAACGGAGTTCTCAGGAGAACCTGAATGATAACTCGGTTACAACAATTGCCTGACCCTGACGTCATACATAATCAAATACAATTTACTGAGCACACGAGCTTGGTTACAGAGGAGAATGAACCAGAAACCGGTACTTGAATATGCCCAGGCGGCCCCGTTGGGGCTGAGCCGGAAGCCGGGCTGTGTATTTATAACGCCGGCATATCCACAGCTTCTAAGGAGTGGAGCAGCATCGAACCATTGCAATGACACTATTGGAGAGATTATTGATCATCCGACCCCTGCGGGCTCCATGCAATACGGGATGATCGGTTCTGGACTTCCCTGGACCCATGGCACCCAAGCAAATGAGGCGGCTTGAATTTGTCGCCGGGTCCCCTATGTGTGCTCCCGCGCGAAAATATTCCGTCGATGCTTCGATGACACGAAGCCCTGTGGTGGATCCCTTTTCCCGATGTGGAATTCGTCGTCAGCCATAAGAGGCTTTGGACCACAACGTCCTCTTGTTTCTTCTTTTCCTTTCCTCTTCATACTGTCTTTTCAGTAGTCACTCGTTTTAATACTCAAGCCAGATTATCTCTGTCGTTTTCGATTATTATATTTAATTCCTACATAATGCATTTCCTCTCATCTGTCATCGGCCTCGTGGCTGCCGCCGGCACCGTTAATGCGGCTGCCAGCGCCGCCAACTCCGGCATCCAGGGGTTCAACTACGGAGCGTTCTTCTTGGACCAGTCGGCTAAGCAGCAGGCCGACTTTGCGTATGAATTCAACCGGGCTAAGAACCTGCCCAACACCAGTGGATGGGCGAGTGCTCGTTTGTACACTATGAGTCAGTACTCCTCATCTCTCTGTTAAACTACAGTATTTTCTGCTGGAAGAGCTCTCGCTAACTCCATCTCACAGTCCAATGGGGCACCGCCACTGATGTCATCTCCGCCATCCCCGCGGCCATCGAGACCCAAACAACGCTCCTCCTCGGCCTCTGGGTCTCAGGCGGCCCCCAAGCCATCACCAACGAGATCACTGCCCTGAAAGCCGCCATCGCTCAGTACGGCACCGCCTTCACCGACCTGGTGGTCGGCCTCTCGGTCGGCAGCGAGGACCTGTACCGCGATGCCAACAAGGAGATCGGCGTCGGCCCCAACGACCTCGTCAACTACATCTCGCAGGTCCGCAGTGCCATTGCGGGGACAGCCCTCGAGGGTACCCCCATCGGCCACGTTGATACGTACGATTCGTTCCTCAACGCCTCCAACACGGCCGTCACCAACGCCGTTGACTGGCTGGGCTTCGATGGATACCCCTACTGGGAGAGCGTCAAGCCTAACAGCATTGGTGATGCCAGCACCCGCTTCTACGACGGCTTGAACAAGACCCTGGCTCTGGCTGGTGGCAAGCCCGTTTACGTTACTGAGACTGGCTGGCCTGTTGTTGGAGACACTGTCAACTTGGCTGTGGCCAACGCTGACAACGCTCGCATCTACTGGCAGGACATTGCTTGCACTTTGATCTCGAGCGGTATCAATTTGTGGTGGTACACTCTCCAGGAGTCACAGTGGGGTCAGGCCAACCCTGACTTCGGTATCTTCCCTGCTGGTGACTTGCAGCAGGTGTCGCCCTACTTTGATCTCTCTTGTGTAAGTCAACCCCCCCTTTGAAGTATCATCCTTCAGTGCGAGGTTCCTAACGTCATTGCAGTAATTTATCCGGGAATCTATGTACGGGTTAGGCTTAGACAAAAGCTAGAGGTTGGAAAGACAATAGACAGAATATAGCATTTGCAGGAATCATTAATATAATAATCTTAATACGACTTCCACCACCACGCGCGGGGCAGTTTATCGTGATACTGGTTCATGGCCACGCGACCATAAGGTGACTACTCGAACAAGCCCCATAGCCAGCCAACCCGGCGGCCCTCTGCGGACTTATGTTCAGTTCACAGAAACTGACGAATGCATCGCGCAGTCTGTTGTTGTAATGATACCTTTGGCGTAATATCCCATCGTAGGCCTCTAGCCTGTCTGACTTCAATGGAGGTTGCACCTGAGTGGGCACGAAACCAAGCGACGGGGAGTCCAGAAGCAAGGTCTCTATGGTTCACATTGCCAGTCGGTCGGTATAATGGCCGACGACATCAAGCAACTAGGTATGTTCCTAAGCGTCCATAAGAACCCTGACGCACCCATCGATCGATGGACATTGAATTGGCGTTCTGAGGACCTCATGGCGGTTGTAATGTACGGCTATCGTCAGTGTCGCTGAACGCGCGCTGGCGGCTGAGATGGCTGGATCTCTGGTACAGCTGTCCAATAGCAATTGCAGAAGCACCGTGTCTGTCGCGAAGCGTGCTGCGAGGTAGGGGGAACTGTCTCTACAGATGGCGTATGACTCGGCGAGTTTCATGCTTGCACCTGCTCCAAGCAGAAGTCTGGCACAGTATGTGTGCTTTCCCTCTGATTTATATGAAAATGGGCTCAGACTGTCGTTGGCTATTGTGTTAGGATCTGCACCGAAGCTGAGTAGCATCCGGACATCATCTTGGTTTTCACGGAGAGTTCGAGACAAGTGCTGTACGACACTTGGAGTCTTGTTTGTTGAGATAAGGCTTGACATCCGAACCGAGATTCAGTAGCTGTTCTTTCAGACTACGTTCTGTACTCAAACGAAGTACAGTTTTATACAGCTGGGTAAATCCTTGCATATGAAGAAGACCGTTTTCATGGATAGGGTCGCGTGAATCTTGGAGCTGTTTCAAGTCGTCCTCTGAAAGGCAGTCCGGAAGCACTATGTCTCTGAGATTTTCCTGAGGGCTAAGGTTACAGAAGTTCCGAGCACTATCGAGCTAGACGTGCGGAATGCTAGCAAGTTGGCTGCACTGTACTATAGTTAGTAGGAGACGACTGGCCTGTAGGTCTCATTGGCACCGCCTAGACACAAGAAACTATATGTATCAAATTTACAACCTATTAGTGCACACTACATCAAAAACATAAGTCATCGCCACAGTTGAATTGCAATGAAGGTTGAACTCACTTTTAGTAGCAAAAAGCCATATTTCTTGTCCATATCACGTGGCAAAATACGCCCAAAGCTGAAAAGATGTACCAAAACCTGGATATTGGCATACATAGCATAGAAGGCAGCTGCGCACCATTCATGGACTTCTCCTGCTGGGTGCGGGCGGCCCGGAGATAGCGCCACAGACCAGTCCGGATGAAGAAACCTGCGTCGTACTATTGAAAAAATAGAGATGCAGATGAGATATGCAAAGTAACCAAACAGCGATGCGGCATCATCTTGATCATGCGATGAACTCGTATTAGTCTATAGCATGTCTAACTTGACCTTGTAAAGATAGTGTGTGTTAATGGCAATAACATCTTTATAAAGTTGGCTGGCTGCAACGCCCTGCAGAGTACTACTTGTTCGAAGAGTAACCTCTAACCACAAATATCCAGTCGGTACTGAATCTTCGATGGAGACTCGAGGATAGCTCAGAGGAGGGGGGGCGGTAATTGTCATAGTGCTTAGCGATGAAATAGCTGTAGAGTGCTGTATATAGTAGTTAGTAAGAACAATGATAAAGATCTCCTAGCCGAAGGGCTTGTTCCTCCCCTCAACATTATGTACCTAGATCTAAGAAATCGGTAGATGATTTTAGTAAATAAGTTGATAGTAAGAGCTACGAGAAATTCATTAGGTTACTTATGAGAATAAATACGTTATAAACTAACGTAGTCCACAAGCGAACGGGTCACCCAACCGAACGGGTCACGCCAACTAGCAAAACATGGAATTCAACACGATTTCGCAACCACAACGCCGTAAATCAATTAAAACTACTCAGAATACTCTTGCCCAGATGATTCTATCTCTACCTGACAGGTTCGCGCATTATGCCCGGTCTTCCCGCATACGCCACAGCGCCGTTGCCGTGGCTGGCCACGATTTGATCCAGCGCTATTTCCACGCATTTCCTGCTGTACTTGCTGCGCAACGTCCTTTTGATCTTGAAGATCTTGTACGTCTTGTGAATTAAGTGATCCTCCAAGCCGTACTCGTGTTTTTTGGCCCTGCTCCGCTTGCTAATTAGAGCATTTGCCTCTCGAAGTTCCGCGACCTCAGCTTGGAGTAAAGCCATCTTATGCATAATACTCCACGATCCTTTCGAAAACTGATCGATAGCATCGTAAATTGACGTCGGGGAGCTATTTTGATGCCTAGAAATTCGAGATTTAATAAATTCGGATTGCGAAGTAGCCTCGGTTGGGTTGTTTGGCGTCCGAGAAGCCTAAGGAAGGGTTTCCCGCGTAGGGGGCCGGGAGGACGTTGGAGTCTGTAATTTCACATCCAGCTTCTCAATAACAATATCTGGGCTTAAAGACACAATCCCAGCCATTGAAAGCCTGCACGAATATTGCTTTCGGTCAGGCTCTTCTTGAACGCGTCGCAAAATGCCGGAAGAAAGTCCTCCTTTGTGATATGCGAAATCCGGGCTCGGACGAGCTTCTCAATTTGCGAGCCGTAGGCTTTTTTTAACGGCGCAAAACATGCCACATCTAGTGGCTGGAGGATATGAGAAGAGTGGGCAGGCATACAAAGTGTAATAATCTTGTTCTCTTTGCAATATTGCTCAAAGGCGTCGGAATGGTGGCTTTCGTGGCCGTCCAGGATAAGAAGGCGATATACACCCGATTTCCGGCCTTTGGTGTATTTGTCAAAGTGTTTTAGCCAATCTGCGGTCAATTAGTTCGTATTCCAACCATTTGGGCTCACAGCGATCCTCCAGTCCTTCGGCAACGCGTCGTTTTCGTACCAGGAAGAGAGGTGGTATTGGCCCTTGACAATGATGTATGGCGGGACCATCCAGCCTTGGGAATTGACGCCCTGGATCACCGTAGCCCATTCCCGATTGCCAGGCTGGGCTAGCTTAGGCTTGCCTTTCCTTTCAGAGCTCGTAATAACCATCGATGCGGTAATCTGACCTATCATAAAGCCGGTCTCGTCGAAATTGTAGATGTCGGCATCGGCGATCCTATATTTCGCAATTGTATTGCGCACAAGGTCAAACCAGCCTTGAATAAGCTCCGGATCTTCGCATAAGGCCCGAGAATAGTCGTATTTACGGCTGAATACCGTCTTGAGCTGTGGTTGTCGCTTAACGAAGTTGGAGGCCCAGTTCTTGCCGACGCGTAACGCGTCGCGGTCGCGTAGCAGTCGGTTTGCCATATCTTCAACAGCACTTAGCCGGGGAGTAAATGCTTGCGAATATAGCTCAATTATCCTTTGGATAATCGTATTTTCTTCTAGTTTTGTTAAATTCCAACCGTTGGCTTCGATATTGCGACGTGATTGACGTTTTTGAAGACGCGCCTGGAGAGTAGTATTCGAGACTTTGTAGATTGTTGCAGCACGTCGGATACTAAGTGTTAAAGTCATTTCTGATATCCTGAGTTGCAAGGAGTAATTGAGATTCTTTTTGACCAAAATCCATCGAGAATTAGTTGCGTGGTAAAGTTAGGAAGTTTAGTTCTATTTTTTGCTATGGGCGTGACCCGTTCGGTTGGGTGACCCGTTCGCTTGTGGACTACGTTAACTAACTATTCAAATAATAGTTAATAGTAGCTAACCTAGGCCTAAGATTAAATTATTATTATTATTATTATTAAATACGCCGTAGGCTCGAAGCCCCCGGTACCTCTACTAGTACTCCCGTATGTCAAACCGTGCCCTAATGGCTGGACTAAATACATACGCTGCGTCGTCGGTTCGCCCTATTGGCGACTGCGTTGCGTTCACTACCATACTACGTTGGTTCTCAACCTACCAACAAAGTCCCCCCTGAGAAGATCGATGCTATCTGGGCCTTGAAGCTGTCCGACCCGTCCCTAGCAGCCATCTTACAATAGTCCCACTAACTACTGGTTCTCCTGTTGCCGTTGCGAGGTCTCTGCGAGAGTATAGTGGCCGTGGTGCGATGGCGGCCCGTAATCGTTCCCTCGGTCCTTCCAACAGCCCGCAAAAGAGGATTACGTGCTCTGCCGTCTCAGGGGCATCGCCACAGCGGCATAGCGGCGAGTACACGCCAAAAGCCCCTGTCTTGAATAAGAAGGCTGCTAGTCCTATTTTTTCCGTCCTGATCTGGCACAGCGTAGACGCCTCCAGTCGGTTCAGGCCGAAATACTTGCCCCCTTTCGGTATCTGCATCGAAGGGCCCTCCGGTTCCTCAGCGATAGCGCGTCGCTGGCGATCGTGATGCTCTGCTCCGGTGAGCCATCTCTTCCTCCAGTGGTCGAGGAGGGCAGCCGGGACCTCCTTTTCCTCACTCATCCACTCGGAGCCCCGGGCCTCCTTCTCCATAGTGTACCCTGCCGGTCGGAGTAGCTGCGACGCCTGCTTCCTCTTCGCCGGCCTATCCTGCCGGAGTATATGTGACGCTTTAGCGCTCGCGCTGCGAAGCAGATTTCTCTTCCCGCTAAGCCGTAGCCGTTCTTCAAACTTAGCAGCCCGGGCACTAAGATAGAGGTCTAGTGGCGGGATTGCTGCTTCTGCTTCCAGGTGGCGAACCGGCGTCGCTTTGTGGGCACCACAGACTACCCGGAGGCACTCGTTCTGTATCCCCATCAGGCTCTTAGCTGGCCCTGCCGGTTCCTCACTTATAGTATGCCACGCAGTCGCCCCGAAGGCAATCGCGCTACGGATAACCACCGTATATAACAGCCTCGCCCGTATAAGATCGCAGCCCCACGACATATTGACTAGCTTTGTCAGGGCTAGCTTTTGAGTTGCCATTTTTGTTTTAACACGCTCAACATGGGCGTGCCACGTCAGTTTGCGGTCGAACCAGACTCCTAGGAACCTGGCTGAGACTACCGGCGACACTGTGGCGTCCCCAAGGCGAATACTTTGCGGCAAGGGCTCTCGGGCCCTAGTAAAGTGCATTAGCTCACTCTTGTCAGGAGCGAACTCCATCCCGTGCCTCACTGCCCACCGCTGACACGTAGCCCATGCGCTCTCCAACCGGCGGCAGGTCGTGTCTGGATCGGTGCCGACGCTTAGCAGGTTCGTGTCGTCCGCGAACCCGACTACTAAAAGTAGTGGATGCTGCTCCGCTAGCTCCTCGTACAGCGTTGAAATGTATAATATAAACAGTATCGGGGATAGCGGTGACCCCTGGGGGACGCCAGCTCGTAGGGGGATTGGCTCTGACTCCTTGCCATCGAACCGGAGGCGTACCGTTCTATCCTCCACGAAGCTGCGTACCCACTCCTGAACCCACTCCGGGTAGCCTTTCCGGGCTAATATGGAAATCAGCCGTCTGTAATTGACCGTATCGAATGCCCCCTTGATGTCTAGCTGTAGCAGCGAGGCGATGCCCCCGCGTCTCCACGCCGTATAGACCACGTCCTCAACTATACGTATTGCCAGTTCGGTGGACCTCCCAGCGCGGTTACCCATTTGGCCGTTTGGTAGTAGGCCGGCCGCCTCAGCTACTTTGGTGATACGCTGGCTCATCGCCGTCTCTATTACCTTCCCTACCGTGCTAAGCAGGGCAATGGGGCGCCAGCCGCCAGGGGTCTGCTTCTGAGCTGTCGTTTTATTAGGCTTAGGGATAACAACCACCCTCGCTGAGCGGAAGCGCTCCGGGTAGTACCCCAGCCTAAAGCTAGCTGTTGCCAGATCCGCTAGGATCTCCCATAGGGGTTCACCGCAGGCCTTTAGCAGGCCAGTGGGGATCAGGTCGTCGCCGGGAGCCTTCCGAGCAGCCGTTCCTTTGATGATAGACTCGATATCCATTGTGGTCACCTCCCTAGGGACGTTCAGCTCTGGTCTCGTCTGTAATAGGCCGCGATCGAGGTCCGATAGATCTATATACGGGTCTGGGAAGAACCTCTCAGCTAGTAATTTTGCCTTCTCATCATGTGTACGTGCCGTAAGCGTGTCGCCGGCGTCCCTCCGGAGATCTGGCAAGCCGTGGGCCTCAGGGGGGGCCCAGCTCCGTAGCCTAGCCCACCTCTGCAGTGCCCACAGGCTTTTGTGATCCTTCGCCGTCCCCTCGAGCTTCTCGTGCCAGCTACGCGTCTGCGCTTCGCTGATTTCGAGCCGTTGTTTTTGGCCGGCTCTTGTATATTCGTCCCAGTTGGTCTGCGACCTTGCCTGGAGGTAGTCCCGCCGTCGTCTCTTCGTCTCAGCGCAAGCCTTGCTAACCTGCGGGCACCACCACGGGACCCCAGCGCCTCGGCCAACGGTGCGTCTCGGGACCGCCACGTCGGCGATCTCTTGGAGGTTCCGGATAACCCAGTCAACAGCCTGGTCCAACTCCGTTATCGTCTCAACCGGCAAATAATTCATAAATCTCTGGCTTGATTCGGCTACGATGAGCCACTTATCCGCCATCGCCCAGTTCCACCCTTCAACACTGCGGCGGCCCTCCTTGACTGCTTCCCCGTTGGATATTACCCTAATCACTTGCGCTCTGTGGTCTGAGCCCTCTAGGCCCGGGTCCCCATCGTAATCAATCCTAGCCCCTTTCGTCACCCAGGCTAGGTCGATAGTTGAGTCTCGTTGTTTGTGCCTTTGCCGTGTGATTTCCCCGAACGGCGTAACGAGCTCTAATCGCCAGCATCGCGCAAACTCCACTACGTTGTCGCTGCCCCGTGATGACCGTCCGTGGACGTCCCACAGCGGGTGATGTGTATTGAAGTCCCCTACGAGGACCTGTGTCCCCTCCGGCGCCCCATTAGGGAGGTCTTGGAGCGGGCTGACCCAGCGGCTCCCGGTCTGGCTTGGTGAATAGATAGACCAGATTGTAAGGGCGTCCGGGCCTGCCCCGAACGTAATACTGCTCCAGTCCATCCCGGTACGGGGTCGCAACGTAGCCACGTCGTATCGTTTATGGACGTATAGCGCAGCTCTGCCGCTGCTGTACACTACTTCGTACCTGGAAGACTTCGGGCAATAAATCGCCTTCGTCTGCCGGTTGATCCATGGCTCTTGAACCGCTATTATATCATAGTCACCCCCCTTATCCAGCGCTAGCGTTGCGTTCGCCTTTGAATCTGCGATATTCCAGTAGAGAATAGAGACTACCATTAAGCTGTCGATGGTATATCTTCGTTCGTACGTCCCTTAGTGAGGAAGCTACGCATTGCTGACGCAGACCGTTCGGTTCGCTCCTGCTCCACTCGCGATCCGCCCAGGGGGCGGCCCCGGGGTCGTACAACTGTAAACCCGTCGCTGGTCAATGAGCTAGGTGGTGTGAGCCTGCCCTCACTAGATAACCCGTCCGAGTAGCTGCGGACCTCAAATTGTCGGGGGCGGTGAGCGTACGCCTCGCGTACGCGTAGCCGCTGCTGTTCTGCCGTAGGGCAGTCCCTGTCCCACGCCGTGTGCTTCCCTTTGCAGTTCACACAACGTTTTTTGCCGCTAGGTGCCTTCTCGGGGCAGTCTTTTTCACCCCCTGGGTGTGCCGTTGCAGCGCAGACGCCGCAACGCGCCGTCTTCTTGCAGTGTTTCGCGATATGGCCGTATTCGTAGCACTGGCAGCACTGCCGAACCCGAAGATTGCCGTCGTACGGCTCGCAATCGAATATCTGGGCCTCCCAAATAAGCCCTTCGGAGCATAGTTCCATCGCCGCCTCCACGCTATCCACGTGTAGTATCAGGGCCGCATACGGTGCTTGCGGCGCCCGGGGGAGGTTTCTTTTAGCCTTAGAGAGGTGCTTTGTATTGTCCCGCTTCAGGTCTTTAAGTAGCTGGCTCTCGTCGTGGACCTCTCGCAGCCGTTTCGCAGGCAGCCCCTTCGCGATCACTGCAACTTCTCTGCGGTTGAGAAGTGCCTTATCGCCGAAGGCACTACGCACCCACCTGCTGTCCGTGGTCGCCGCTGAGGCCGACTGCTTAAACGTCACTACGGTATCGCCACTGCGCAGCCTGCGGGCCGCCACTGCATCGGTGCTGCCGCGTGCACTGTTCACCGCTTTTACGACCTCAGCCGCCGATCTGTTCTTCATATTAGGGTCCTCTGTCCCCCGGATCACTACCTCTCTCTCCCTTCGCTGGGGCACTACAACCCGCTGCTGCCACACTGGGGCTTCACCGGGTCCCCGTCCCTGGGCCGATCCTGAGGCGATTGAGGCCCAGGATCGAGTTGTAGGCAAGGCCACGTTCTTCACCGTATCCTGCATGGTCTTCTCAACCATCGTCTGGATCGCCGCAGGAATTTCGGCAAGGGCCAGAGTCACTGCCAGTACGTCGGCATGTGTGGCGGGTCTGTCGCCCCCCTCCTCCAGCGTCCTGCCGGCTAGTTTCAACCCCAGCCAACGCTCCATCAAACCCCCCATGACCTCAATCTTCTCACGTGGGACCAAGTCGGCAATCTCTTGTTCTACCTTTTGTAGTTCTCTTCCGATCCCTTCCCTCTCTGCGTTCTTTCTGCTGGTGCGCTCCACGTTCGGTGCGTGGGCACTTTCGTTGGCGTGGGGGTGGTGAAAACTCTGTTCGAGTCCCGCCCGTCCCCCGTCGATCACCATCGGCGCCGCCATCGCTTGCGTCCTCGCTTCGCGTGCGATGCGAGGTCACTGTCCGACGTAAACGGTCGTTAGGAATCGAATGCCGCAATCGGTTTGATGATTTGACGCTGTTCGAAGAAGTTATCGATGAAAGTCAGAAATCTCCCTTCTTCGCGAGATATTAAACTACTATTTAACTATAAAGGACATTCAAGCGTACATATCCTTATATAGGCCTAGCTGGCAGGTGTTGGACCAAATTGACCGTCAAAAGACGAGGGACCCACTCGCTGTAGAATGAGGTATTTTTGGTAGTTATAAGGTCTGACAGTAGGTGCCAAATACTAATAATAGGCCCCCGCCAAATAATAATCAGATCAACCCACCACAACCCACCAGATCTCAGGGTTAAAACTGTCTCCACAGCAAAATCCGGATATTTGGTGGGTTGAGCTGACCCTTATACCGAGATGATGATAGCTAGCATACACAACAGAAAAGAGGAAGAAAGAAGAAGGGAAACTCCGCAGCCAGGCTCTGCTCTTGCCGGCTCCAAGCCACAAGTTTCTGGCCGTTATAAATTTCTTCTAATTGCGTCGCCATGTTACCTCAGGCTGTCAGGCACGGCCTAATTGTGATGATTATATCAGGCAGCACTGCTGTAGTAGTTTGGCGCCGGGTGAGCCTTTCGCCTTTTCATGTGGGTATATACCGAAGATTTTTGTAGGTGCAAAAATTGAGTTTCTCCTAATGTCCAGCATCTAGTGCACTAGATCAGAGGGAATCTACACTATTCCTTGCGGTACACTATTTATCCTATTATAAGATTGATTTCCAGAATTATTATATGGGAACACTATTGTGTAATTATCTGAACCGTCTATGTGAACATGCTGGTACGGGTATGGACATCATAGTGCACATTTTATCCTCGCTATATATAACATACGTATGGTATGCAAACGAAAACAAAAAAAAACATTGCTAGACCGTCTCGTGGTGGATTATTTACTTATAATCTCGTTTGTGCCGTCATCGAGTCCATGCTACAGCAAAGTGCAATTTTCAAAGAGAAATACATCCGTCAGCACTATCCTCAAGGAAAATGCCGCCATAAATCTGCCCCTCGAGTATACCTTTTTCTTGGTAACCGGAGTTGACAACATCACTAGTACCAGTAGGCTTCTTCAAGATCCCAAACTGATATTGGCCTTCGCCCGAGTTATCATTGGTTAGGACGTTTGTGACAGCAGCGAGCGCTGCATCCCCCTCGGAGTAGTACACCTGCAGGGTGCTGGTGACACAACTGTCAATGAACACTGGACAACCAAGGTCGATGGAAAATGTAGCTCACTTCTTATCAAAGTCCAATGTAACGGCAAAATTTTGCCACGCAGTGGCATCAATGGGCGTCGACCAGACCAAGACATTCTGGCGGTCCAGGATCTTGAACGTGTCCTTCGCATATGATTGCCCAATGACCGTGCCCGTCTGGAAGTTGAACTGGTTCCCATTGTAGTCTGCACGCTCGTGCCAAACATTCTGGAACGATGTCAGTTTGACAGTCCGTTGACTCGAAAACACAGAACTCTATGACAAGAAATTCATACCAAATACTCATGCGTCAAGTTCAGCGGCCTTGACGAATCCTGCTTTACGCTCCAATGCAGAGTCTTTACGCCCTTAGAGCCCGGTCCGCCTGTATTCGTATCGCCATTGATCTGGAGGCCGGCACGCCGGAACCCGTTCTGTGACTGGAAGATCGACTGGTCGCTGATAGTAACTTCGATAGACTTGTAGCTCGCATTTTCGAAGCGGGAATTAGTCGTATTGGAAAAGACTAGGATCTGTGACCATGGCTGGCTTCCCCGAACGTAGTCGGGGTTGAAGATGCTTGTTGAGTACGAGTCGAAGTCTGACAGGGCTGTCGAGCTGGCCACGCGCCCTTCTAGTACTATGGGACATGTGATGTCGATTCGGGGAGTAAGTAGTGGTCCTGCGGAGGCGGCAGTGGCGGTAAGGCCAAACACGAGAGCTACAGAAAACATGTCGAACCAACTCTGCTGGTGGTGCAATTGGCTTCAATGTGACCACGACATGGCCAGATGGGGGGAGCTGATGCAAATATATACTTTGCACAATCTGGCTTAATGGTATTTCGCACCGAGTATCCGGACCGCTTAACGTCTCAGCACGGCATTGGCTACCAAAATAAGATGAGATTTTCCTGTCCATTCCTGGAACCTCTAGGTCCTCGACCGACTTCACGTTGTCTCCCGGCGATTCAGGCTCCGAACAATATAAATGCAGACAACATGGGGAAACTTTGGGGTAGTGAGGAGATTCGGAGACAAACCCTTTTGGGGGAACCGGGATTTCCTTGTTATATTTAGGGTATCCCATATGCTTCTTATGAAGCCAAACACCAAATAGAAGTCGAGCATGTTTGTGATTTTTTATATTTCAACTAGCTATTGCAGTCTGGTCCCAGCTAACCACACACCCTGCACTTACAGACGTTAAGAGTATCTGACCAATCTCAACGACAAAGCATCAAATGGCGTGGAATCTTCAGAATACGGATCGCAATCAGGTTCTCTCCTACAGTGTAGTTGAAAAAGGCCTTCTCGACTTCAACATAGTCAAAATATAAAGGCATATATAAGGCTCTGTCCCAGCTAGGTCCCGGCAACATATTTATCGAAGCTACGGTAACGACTGCCAGCGAAACTCTAAACTCAAATATCTTATACCTCCCGCTCATAAGCATATAGTCGATACCAGTGATTTCAGGGGTAATCAAGATGGTAGAATCCCGTCCCAACGTGATGCGCCTGATGCATTGCGGGAGCTTTTCACGGTATCGTCTTCTGTTGATCATTCGTTCACCTGCGTACGGAAACATGGGTTGAGGTCCAATCGTGTCATGCCAAGCACATGCAGGAACCTGCAGGCTTGGGTGCCGTTACTTGAGAGCCGACCGTTGAATGACAGCCCAGAAGGCTTAAAACACAGACGTCGGACTCAGGGCCCACTTTGGCGCCCGCCTAGCAGCCCGTATTAAAAGAATACGATGTCGGGATAGCGGCATGAAAAGTGCCCACTGCACCTGACCATCGCAATTCAATCTGTGCATTTCAGCTCACAAAAACGGTATTACAACACGAACAGCGGGACGACTCCAGTGATGGTGATAATGAGGACCACGCATTGGCAAGATAGGATGAATGTGACGGCCAATGCCCAATACTCCAAACCATTGACGATGCATCATGATGGTCCAGATGTCCATTTTTGAACAGCGGATTTCTCCGGGTTGTCGCCGTTGTTGACTTCACGTGTTGTAAGAAAGCACGGATGAAGCTGGTTTGAAACACACCGACCAGTCTGATATTTTCATTGGCTGAAAATTGGGAACAATTTTGCAATGCGGGTCCTGGAAGGCATGACTGCCTGCCGATCTCTAGCGTTAGACTTTAAAGTAATGAGGTAATGAGCAGCAACCCAGCAATCCGGGGTGCCAAAGCCTCTACTGTCAGGAACGCCCCTCCCTAATTTTAAGGCCATCCTCGTCATTTGTGCCTGCTAGACTAGTTATATTCTCATCAACGTCGTGTCGACTCACCTTTTTCTCTCCTCGTTCTTCTTTTGTTCGATACCCTCTAACATTCCTTAATTGTCGACACTCTTTTGGCTTAATAGCCGTTCGCTCTCTACCTTCAACCAACGCTCCTGCCACGCTCTAGACCAGGCGTGACACGATTTTCGGGACTTTGTGGCCAGGCTTCCTACAAAATCATCAACCTGATACCAATTTTGCACAACTTCATCATTTCGTGATTTCCCTCCATCGCAACCATCATCATGCGTATCTCTTCCAAGTTGGCCGCCGCTGGCGCCTTCGCTGCTGGCGCGTCTGCCGAGAACTATCTCGGTTTTAATTCAGGAGCTACGATGGCAGACCGGTCCGCCAAAATGCTCGCAGACTTTGAGGCTGAGTTCACGACGGCCCAAGGTCTCGTCGGCGCCCCCGGCCTTTTCAATGCGGTGCGATTGTACACCAACATCCAGGCGTACTCGGAGGACGACCCCATCCAGGCTTTTGAAGCGGCCATCAAGACCAACACGTCGATTCTCCTCGGTATTTGGACGTCCGGCACCACCAGCATCGCTAAAGAGATAAGCGCTCTGAAGAAGGCTGTTGACCAGTACGGCACCGACTTTACCGACCTCGTTATCGGCATCTCCATTGGCAGCGAGGACTTGTATCGCAATTCGGCGACCGGTGTCGCGAACAAGGCGGGCGTGGGCAACTCACCCGATGCCCTCGTCGGCTTTATCGGCGACTACAAGACGGCCTTCAAGGGCTCTGCGCTTGCCAATGTCCCCGTCGGTCACGTCGACACCTGGGACGTCTGGCCCAACTCCACCAACAAGCCTGTTCTCGACGCCATTGACTGGGTTGGTGTGGACGAGTACCCTTACTACGAGAACGGCAAGGGCAACTCGATTAAGAATGCGGGCAGTCTCTTCGATAGTGCCTACGATGCGACTGTCGCCGCTGTCGGCGGCAAGCCCGTCTGGGTCACCGAGACTGGCTGGCCCGCGACCGGTCCCGACTGGGATGAGGCTGTAGCCAGCGTCGCCAACGCGAAGACATACTGGGACGAGGTCGGATGCCGCAAGCTCTTTGGAAAGACGCCCACCTTCTGGTACAACCTTCGCGACTCCAACCCCGAGAACACCATGAAGTTCGCTATCACCCAAAACCTCTCGACCAAGCCCATGTTCAACCTGACGTGCCCTACCACCTTCGATACACTTTCGTCTACCTCGTCCTCTGCGTCTGGCACCGCTACCGCCACCGCAACTAAGACGAGCGGATCTTCCACTGGCGTCTCCAGCAGCACAGCAACCTCCACCTCTGGCTCTGATGCTAGCAGCTCCGGGTCAAGCTCCGGTTCCGACTCTGGCTCGAGCTCCGGTACCGGTACCGCATCCAGCGCCACAGCTTCTACTACAAGCCCCGTCGCCGGTCTGGGTGCCCACTCCATGCAACTGATCTCGGTCGCTCCCTACGCTGGCTTGGCTATTTTCGGTGCATTCTTTGCCTTCTTCTAGATACCTGTGGTGGATCGTGGGTAATTGCTTGCAGTTGCTGGTCATGGCCCTTTTACCCTAGAGACCTGTTTTCTCTATCATACGCACATAGCGTAGATAATGCTCATTGACGCTTTACGCTGAACAGTACCTTATATCACCGCCAGTGACTCACTGGCGACTCCTGTGGCACCTTGCTAATTAATGAATGCATTTGCCACTTCTGAAACTGCCTCTCGGTTTTGTGCCTCCTCGTTCTGTGGTACCTGTGGTGACAATCGGTATAGCTTGAGATACCGCCTAGTGCACAATGACATGACTAAGGAATGCGCCGCTCATAGCCAATTTTTGTCCCCGTGCTGTGAGATGAATGCCCCCTTGTCCGCGTCAACACTTGCCTTCTTGATGACCGACAGGACATCTCGGATGGCCAGGTCAGGGGTGGTTGGACCCGTGAAGTGAGGCGCGAACTTCTTAAATTTCCCCATCAGCGCAAATAACGCCTGTTGCTGCTCGATCGTGGCTGTATCAAATGTCAGCCACTCTTTCTCTTTCTCTCCCTTGTTGATCGAACCGAAACAGACGAAACCCATCACAAGTCTTACCATCTTTGAAGTTTCCCGTGTCGACCAACCCCGGCGAAATACTCAAGAACAAAACCCCGTCCTTGGCGTACTGGGCGCTGAATTTGGCCACCGCGGCGTTCAGCGCCGCTTTACTGATGGAATAGGGCGCGGATTCAGTAATGTCGAACTTGGTGATGACGTCTATGTCTGCCATGCCCGAGGAAATGGCAATGATCTTCTTGGCGTGGCCGCGCAGGACGAGTGGGATGGTCAGGTTGAAGAGGTGGATATTGCCGATGACGTTGGCATTGAGAGAGCCTAGGAGGTCTTGCTCGAGTTTCTCGGGCTGATTGCCGCTGTTTTGTAGAGGATGTTAGTCTTGGGGCCTGTTCCGCAGAAGAATTCCTCGACACCAAGCTGGCGAGGGCAAGAATACGAAAAGGGAAACCATAACATAACAAAGCTCCACCGGAACCAGGTCCAAGTAATAATAGTTACGGGGGTTTCACAAAGTGCAGTCAACGTACAGGACGCCGATAGGGTCGAAGGCGGACCAGGTGGAAATGAAGGCAGCATTTGCGATAACGTAGTCGAGGGCACCGCCGGTGATTGCGGCAGTGGCGTCAACGGCTTTCTAACCATAATATAAGTAAGCTCAGTCACGTCATTTCTCCGGAGATTTTTCATACCTTCAGGAAAGCGTAGTCGGTTATGTCCCCTTGAAGTAGGTGGATGTTGTCCCGATCATGCAGCTCAACTGAGGCCTTTTTCTCGGTTGTAGCTTTGTCCCGGACGAGGCCGACAACGGTGTTGGCCGGATCTTCTGATAGCTGGCGGAGGAATTCGAACTGTTCACATCGGTTAGATAATGGTATGTTGCGGTATGGAAAAGGCTGGGTTGACTTACTCCCAGACCGCGCGAAACTCCGGTAATCAAGTAGGTCGACATATTTAGGACTGTTACTGACTGAATAATGAAGAGGCCGTTTTTTTCAAGATAGCACGAGATCAACAGATCCAAGGTGGTATTCTATACAGACCCGAAGAGTGTCTCAGTTTCCCGTCGAGAGCTGGTCACCGATTTGATTTCAAACGCATGCAAACTCTGCAACGATAAATGGTATAATTTCCTGGCTACACAGGTTTACGGCCCTGGATTCTACGAAGATGTCGCCGCTGGTTGTCCGAATTTGTTTTCATTGTGGCAGGGGTGCAGAAAGCTTATAAGCCCCTGAAACTTCTCCTATGTAGAGTCTATTGATAACGCACGGACTCCGATATAGTTGCCATCGTTTCCAAGTCTCTCACCACCGTCAGCGAAGGTTTACCTGACTTGCGGGACGTCCTAATTCGTGTGGATCTTTCGAACAATGCATCACCATCAGCTGCAGTAGCATGGTTGCTCCTTGTTCTCTTTCCCGCACCGCCACACTCAATTGAAGCTACCCGCCATCTCGACACTGGCAACTTCGGCAAAGACCGGCGTAGGTGCCCATGAGGTTATACCGTACATAGCTGTTGGGATGTCACTGTGATATTTTGAGTTCAGAATAGAAACTAACTGCCACCCAAACTTCTATACGAGACGAGACTAATCTCGGCCTATAGATCCAACAAGTGTCGGAAACTTCAAGCCAGTGGTTCCACTACATCTCCAGTGTCAAGAAAGTGCTCGGGGCCGCATGTCCGGGCCGCATTGAACACAAAAGTGATATGGCAGCTTTGCTACATTGGTTCGCCTATCATGATGCCCTAGCGCAGTTGAGTTTGCGCCTCTGGCGGCATCGCGGCCAATCGAAAGGGGCTCTATCTGGACTCGTTGACATCCAGCTGCCCCAGATGAGAGTTTATGAAGGATGGGGGGTTGGTCTAGAATCCGTCAACCTCGGGTATAACTGGGCTTTCAGATAAATATACAGGATCAAGTATCAAGCTTATCATCATGATGCTACAACATGCTCGGGTTGGTGTCAATAGTCTTCCACCTCATTTTGAACATCCAGAACACACCATCCTTCGTAAACTTCAAAGTCTCCTCACGATCCTCGCATGGAAGATTGAGCAGGTTACAGCGGCCGTTGAAGAAGGACCTCAAGACCCACCAATAGACTAATTAGTACCAGAAGAATTCAAGGAACTGGAAATTCTCCAATTAGCCATTTCTGTCTACATTGAGGAGCGCCAAGAAGGAGCCCGTCGCAATCGAAAAAGGCGGTCTCAAGGATGGGAAGAGCCTTCGTCATTTTCTCGCAGCTGGAAGCTGTCAGAGGTAATATCCTCTGCTAATTATTGGTTGCGAGACGAAGAAGGATGGGGATTGTATCGTAGTACTTGATCTCCTCGTTAGAATGGAACAGAGCAAGGGAGTACGTAGTGCAAGAAGCATGGGCCTTCTGTTACAGTCCCTTTTGGGCCAGATGATCTTGCGAAAAGAGCGATTGACTACACGGAGAAGATAAGAGCCGTTCTAAGTTCGAGTGAGATTTTTCCCGCTTTTATGATAGATTCGTAGCTCGGACTTGGGTATATAACAGGTCCCAGGCGTATCATGTCAAATAGAAGGAACGGTGGGAAATACAGGCCGGAGCGTGACAGGGCTGTATTGGTAATGATTATGGGACTAACTCTCAGGGATCTGCAGCTACAAACGGCAGGGCTATGCTGAACTAGACCTTTAACCTGCCTAGCCGACACCTTTGAAACGGGTCTAGGTTAGCTACTTTCGTCGCTGTATTCGTATCATCCCCTTGCAGGAAAGGCAAGGGGGTACTGCACTCCGTCCAATCGTCCAGTGCTCGCTACCATTGTATCTAAGAGGACTGGTCCTCGCTAGGTGATCAAAAGCAAACACCGCGCTTCTACTGGCTATACAACGGCGGCTCCTCCAGAATACCCTGGCTTTATTCGATTAGGAGTATTCTTTTTTCAAGCCCTGTTTATCGCCGAACACTGCACACATTGAAGACATGAGCGCAATTGGATTTGCTCTTTACAGTAAGGGAGTGCCATACCTAGATACTGTCTTGCCCCGTTACGTATGGGGAATCGTCATCGTTGCTCCTGTCGCCGGCACAATCTTCGTTGCTATCACATGCCTTCTCATTTTGACTAGGACTTTACGGCGCCCATAAAATGGCCTACAAAAGGTGTAGTACAGTGTTTGGCGTCTTTTTCAAAAATTTTGGTTATTTAGGAGCGGCTAAAATGTCGTTTCACAACACTCCCAACGTCGTGGGGAGAGTACGCAGAGCAAACGGGATTGAGGATCAAGCTAGGTCGGCTTGTTGCAACCTGCCCTGGAAACGACAATAGCTGTTTTGATATTTATCGGCTGGTCCGCAAACAGCAGGGCTTCTGCGTGACGTGTCAGCCCTTTGGCCAACCAGACTTGGACTTGGCTGTTTGCCTTACAGAAGTCTCAGTTGCAGGGCCTCCTGTATCTGCCATTTTGCGCCGTATTGCACCATCAGCCATTAGATAGCCAACCATCTCAGTTTGCTGTTGATTGAGAGTTTGCTTGCACTTTTGAATCCCAACAAATAATTCGGGTTTGGGGTTGGGCCTCCCGCAGATACGCATCACGTTCCGGCTAGTTTTCGGACCGCTGTTGCAGATTTCTTTTGTAGATAACCCTTCGATATATATAATTGCACCATGATCATCTTATGGATGGGTTGGGCTTAAATGTCTTCCTGGTTTTCTATTAAGCCAGTCTTTCCATCCCCACTCCCAAAGTGCCAGCAGTCCTGGTCTTTTAGTCCTCAGGCCTTTTCAACTTTTCCATTCGCAACTCAGACCCTCAAGATGGTGTTGACCACCTTGCAGACAGATGCCCTCGGTAGGCTGTGTCCCAAAGATCAGCTCGAACTTTTGGATTCCATCGACCGCCTTCGTCTCCAGGGTATAAATCACTACATCTCGTTGCCGCAGATCATCGTTTGTGGAGACCAGTCGTCTGGCAAGAGCTCTGTCCTGGAAGCCATTTCTGGCGTATCATTCCCCATCAAGAGCAATCTTTGTACGCGTTTCCCCACGGAACTCGTCCTGCGCCGAATGCCTCAAATCGGCTCAAGCGTTTCTATTGTCCCCCACAGCTCCCGCAGCGATTCGGAGCGGAAAGTGCTCGCTAGCTTCCACCAGAAGCTCGATGGGTTCGACGGGCTTGCGGACGTGGTCGAGAGCGCCAAGACGGCCATGGGCATCTCGATGCATGGTAAAACGTTTTCTAAGGATTTACTACGTGTTGAGATCACGGGTCCTGACCGGCCTCACCTGACCATTGTTGACCTGCCGGGACTCATACACTCTGAGACAAAGAATCAGACCGTTTCCGACGTCGAGTTGATCCAAGACGTCGTTCAAACGTATATGAAGGAGCGGAGGAGTATCATCCTCGCTGTTGTCTCGGCGAAGAATGACTTTGCCAATCAGGTGGTACTGAAGCTAGCCCGCTTAGCCGACAAAACCGGCAGTCGAACCTTGGGTGCGTACTTTCTGCCAGTCTCTTTTCATCTTTTCCTTATTATGCAATGCTAATGGAGACCATTAAAGGAGTCATAACAAAGCCTGATGCCTTGATCCCTGGCTCCGACAGCGAAGCAATGTATGTTTCCCTGGCCATGAATCAGGAAGTGGAGTTCCGTCTCGGATGGCACGTGTTGAAAAATATGGATTCCGAGACTGGTATCTCGACGCTTCCTGAACGTGACGCCAACGAGGATAATTTCTTCTCCCAGGGCGTATGGAAGGAGCTCTCCCCATCAACGCTAGGTATTAACGAGCTGCGAAGCCGCCTGAGTCACGTCCTTCTTGGACAAATCGCCGGCGAGCTACCCAGCTTAATCGACGAGATTGAGGCCAAGTCTAACGCCTGCCATGAACGACTGGAGAAGCTAGGACAGCCTCGGAACACTTTGGATGAACAACGCCTCTATCTTTTTCACGTTGGCCAATCATTCCAGTCCCTAGTCAAGGCTTCGATAGACGGCTCGTACAATGATTCCTTCTTCGAAGATGCACAGTCCCAGCGAGGGTACCAGAAACGGATTCGTGCTGTAGTCCAGAACCTCAACCAGAAATTTGCCAAGGACATCGCCGAACATGGCCATTTCCGTGAGGTCGTTAAGACTGAAACCGTGCCAGATGTCTCGACAAAGGTCTCGGAAAAGGTCACTCCGATCACGAGAGATGAATTCATTACCCACATCCAGAACCTCATACAGCGGACACGCGGCCGAGAGCTGCCAGGAACCTTTAACCCCATGATTGTCGCCAACTTGTTTCTCGAGCAGTCCCGTCCGTGGGAAGGTATTATGCGGCACCATGTCCAGAAAGTCTGGGATGCAGCTAAAGACTTCCTGGAACTTGTCGTCGCTCATATTGCAGACGGTTCGACATCTAAAGCTCTCCTCCAGGAGGTATTCGGACCAGCGCTAGATGCGCTCCTGAACACACTCAATACCAAGGCTGTCGAGCTTTTAAACCCGCACCAGAATGGTCACCCTATTACCTACAATCACTACTTCACCGAGGCGCTTCAGCGAGCCCGAGTTGAACGCAGAAAGACTCAAGTCGCTAGTACTTTGGCAAAGTATTTGGGCATTTCTTCAGATGAAACGACGACGACGACCGTCTACATTAAACAGACGGTAAACGTTAGTGAGCTTATTGGAGCCCTTACGGAGCAGAGCGAGCCAGACATGGATCTTTTCGCCGCCTCTGAAGCTTTGGATTGCATGAATGCTTATTATAAGGTTAGTTTCTGCACAAAACGGCCTAAGAAGACAAAGACATACGATGCTAACTTGGGGTACACTATTAGGTTGCTTTAAAGCGATTTATTGACGATGTGGCTATTGAGATTATCGAGACCAACATGATCTCAGCTCTGATCGATGTCTTCTCCCCCGTGTCCGTGTATGGAATGTCCCCGAGGCTCGTGGCTCGTATCGCTGGGGAATCTAAGGACAACGCCACTCAGAGGGAGAATTTGCGAAAGCAACTAGATATCCTGCAGAAGGGCTCTGACACTTGTAAGAGGTTTATAGGTGTCAGGATTGGAGGTATGTTCTGATACTCCGATTGAAGTTCATTGTTGGTGCATGTGCTAACACCTAGGTTAGATGCGATTTACTCGCCCACCAGACTGAATCGGATCTTTGATGCCACAATGGATTACTTCAGCGACTCGGATAAATCTTGCCTGCAGAGAAGCCAAGACTCGCTGGCAATTTCGGATGAACCAGGTTCTACCACCCCACAGGAAGTCGAGAGCTGTAACATGTGGCGGCAGACAATAGCAGTGTCTCGGCCTCAAGATTCCACACCTTGCGAAGAGCTTACAGCGCACGATGAAGGCTGGCCTTCTTTGGGGAAGAAGAGCAAGAAGGGCAAGGCGAAGAAAAGGTATGTCGCGCCACCGGTGGAAGCAGAATCGGAACCGAAACAGTGGGGACTATCTGAATATTTATAATCATTCAGGAAGGTGAAAGCTGAAGATGACTGCAACGGCAATGTGGGCTAGTTGCTCACCACTGTACACCACGCAGTAATAGATAGGAAAACAAGCTACCTATGAAGGGCGATGATCGAGATGAGATAGTTTTCTAGTCAACAGGGGCATTAGAATGGCAATGGAAAAATGCGGTAAAGTGACCGACGTGATCTTTGCTCCCTGAACTCACAGATCATGATGGCGATTTGTTGACTGCAGCCCACAATGGTGATTGGCTGCCTTCTGTTAGTCTCCGCGGCCATAATTTCTCATCAAATCTTAAACAATTCTCTGAATCAGAATATTGTCGAGAACCACTTGGAACAGGCACGAGTCCTCCGAGTTGGGACCGTACTTTCCATCGCCGTCAGAATCTGTCTGTCTGCCTCTCTTGGTGTTTCGATCATTCAACTCTTCAAGACGCTGTTTCAGGGATAACTTTCGTTGTTACAGGCGATCGATAGCATCTTCGACATCACCGTGGGAATCCCAAGGGATTTCCAAATATTCTAATCTGCAGGTTCAGCCCCATGTTTGTGTTGTGCGGCATTGCTACGTGGTATGCAACTTAGTCATGCTAATCACACTTCCTTCCAATTTGAGCAGCACTGACGTATCATCCCAGATTCTCCGTTTGGTCGACGTTACAACGCCAGCTCCCTTGACAATCATACCAAACTTGAAGAACCATACGACATCGGAACATTTTACTCACATTGACTAGTTCGCAGCTCCAAATAATTTCAGGGAGGAGATGTGTGAGTCATCCAACGTATACTATGGTCCAAGGCTATATCTCGTACCGCCCAAATGCTCACCGGTCATTATGTGAACTCGTCATATATGTTGGACTTCTTCGGACGTTCTCTTCAATGCAAGCCCTCACGAGACCACAAACTTATCGGGATACGAGAGCGTCGATTTCGTTGTTGCCTCCCGCGACGTACTCGTATTTTTCGCTTCTGCACACATGTGTGTTAAGTCGGTGATGGAGCAAATCGCGGCTCTGGCAACCATTCAAAGTTCCGATACGTCGACAAAGGATGGGCCGTCTTTATGCGCCTGCTCTGAGCGCGATTGCTGCTTAGATCTGGGCAGGGTGTCGTCTATACATGGCGCAAAGATGTTCTTCTACACCAGACCAGAAATTGCCTTAAAGCGGGATAACGTCACACCAGGTGAAGCCGTCAAAGACTACGCTTTTCAACTGTTCGTACGAAGTGGAAATTGCGTCCGCCAGGAGACGAAACTTCTTCCAGTTTCAGCCGCCCATTCCTACTATGTAGACCATTCGAATAGCAACGGGCTGTTTCCTGCGGCCAAATACCGAGCCCTGATATATGCCGTTGATCAGCTGACTTCGGGCTGGATCGATGAGAAAATTGATGCTGGGACTCTTTACCTAGCTCCGTTTGCTTTACGTTTCTCTTACCGCGCAACCAACCCAGCAGTTACACAAGTACTAACAACTGCGTGGCAATATAGGAAACGTCACACATCTGTTGAGGTCACTCTCACAAGCCCGCAGAATATGGGGACATACCAGCCGCACTCGTCGCATTCCTTGGGGCTATGATTGGTGTTTCCCGTCTCTGCTCACACAGCGTGGCCTTCAGGAAAGTCTCTTCGACACTCATTCGCGTATCACGACATGCAGAGCTGGACAGAGTCGTCCGGACGCGAGATATGGATGGCGCCGCACCACAGCCAGAGTATCTGGAGGAGACGCGTATGAAGTTTGCCGACTTCAGGGATATACGTGCCCTTGTACCTGAGAGTATGCGCCTGTTGGGTAGATGAAACGAGTTGTGAGGACCCTTGAGACGCGGCCCCGGGTCTCCTGAAGCACAAGTTATGCGCGTACCGTTGCGTGTGCCGTCACTGTCTCTGAACTTGATTCTAGATTTCCTATTCTCGAGATAGATTATGCCCAATACATAGTGTTCTACCCACTTTCAAGACTTCAACGGCCAATTTTCATTAGGGCTGAGAGACGTTTTTGGGTGATTTGATGGTGGGCCCAGATACTCTGATGGGCTTGGCAGACTTTCAAGTGGTGCTGTGTGCGATGCCTGGATAGCAATCAAGACTTCGGACGGTGTCATTGACCCCCTTCCGACAGTCGTGTGTGTCGTCCCCATGGTGCCCAACCACATGTTATCGTCCCTCTCGTCCATATGGTGCCGGTTCTTTATCCCTCCTCTGGTCGTATATCGCCCCTCCGCTGAAGTGAGTTTTCTCGAAGTGTTTGCCGTACGAATCTCCTGTATCAGCGGCCGCAACACTGGTATCGACTGTACGATTATGGTCCCCGCCACCTCGGCTTGGTACCAGATTATCAACATCCCCTGTCGCCCTGTTGAGAACTAAGGTTAGTGTTGCATAGGGGCGATGGGGGGTTTATAATCATGACTAACAGAAGAAGTACTTATCGTGGTGGTTAATGTTGATCTTCGGGTCCCACTGCCACCACGTCCTCACAGTTGCGACGATAGCAACCAGGATCCCGAGGCTCATGGTTATGCAAAGACCAATTTTCTCATATCGCCGTATGCTCAAGTTCCAAGTTACCATCCACGGGAAAAGAGCAAGTACAAAGTCGGCCACGATATTAGCAACTACGGTCAAGAGATCAGCAACCAACCCACAAGTCCTCAACAAGCGCAGTCTGGCACACTCACCATTACCCCCGGCCTTAATCTGATCAACCACGTCATAATCGAGACAGAAACCAGGCATCCGCCAATAGTTCTGAAAAGCATCCTGATCGCAGTACTTGGCCCATTGCACGAAGAGCTTGACAACCATGTAGATGTTGAGGGTGGCGATGATGAACCACAGGACAATCTTCTGCCACTGGTTGGTCATGCGCAGCAGCGTGACGGCGAACGCTGTCTTGCTCCAGAACTGGGCGACGAGCGTGAAGCACGACGATGTCGATACGAGGATCAGCATGCGATCACCCCATGTCTTGGTGACGTAGCCGACCGCGAACTGGACGGATGTCAGGGCGCATGTTATTAGGAACGCCACCTGGGAGTTTTTGGCAAAGTCAGCAAGAGCCTTCGCGACTACCCATGGCGGTGGAGGATATTTACCCAAGACGCTATCAGCACGTAATCATCATACCAAAGTCCGTGTCGCCAGGCCACCTTGCACCACACCCGAAGGCCGAGGAATATGGTAGCGGCGACGAAGAGGGACCATATGCCGCTATTGACCTCCTTTATGGGCGAAATATGGATCTCAGCTTGTGGATGGCTCATTATACAAAAACAACAACCACCCGACACCCTCCCAAAGAAGGACGTCGAAGCAGAACGAGTAAAAAAACTACCTGAGGGTCTGGCCAAATAGAATTGTGCAAAGTGCTGAAAGAAGAAAGAAAAGAAGGATCCGCTTGGTGTGAAGTCGCTCCATACCCATGACTTGTCAGAGCTGCATTCATTCGAATTTGGGTCTCATAATCTCATCTTTCCACTCTTCTTTCATCGGTTTATCTAAACTTTCTTCTCTTTCTTCTACTCTGATATCGTGTACCCACTTGGGCTGGAATCTCCGACGAGAACCAGTGAGGCAATCTGGGGATGTCCCTGCCAGGCCGAGGTGGTGGGCTGACGGCAGATTGTGGCTTGAACGACTGGGGTGCATTTCAGCTGGGTTGTTCCCACTTGTTATTAAACCTGTCACACCTGTAATCAACATCTAACCTCGGGATGCAGAAACCAGCATCAGTCACGTCTTGGCACCTCCATATGCGGCTGTTGTCTATCAAGATGGCGAATGGACTCAATTGTGCAACATTTGACGTCTGACACCGACAATCATGCCGTCTGATTGTCAATGAAACTCCAACCCTTGGTGATATGTGGATCACCCGGCCAGAGTGATGTTCCCCTATTCGTCACATTGGATGTGGGAACCTCGGCTTTTCATCCCCGGCCACGTGGAAAGTCTAGATCCGCAAAATTGTTGGGAAAGTGACAGAAATAGCAAAAGCTGAATCTCCACAAACCTGGGAAATGAGGTATTTGTAGATAAAGTGGGAATCATGAATAACGGCACTCGGGGGGCGATGTGGCTCAACAAGTCTGGCGTCATCTGCTGGTAGTTAAGTGGATTTGAATCCTTCCAATAGAAATGCAAGAGTATTTACATGGAAAATGTGGATAGCGACTGGCCGGATCTACAAAGCATATCCGAGGTCATAGTGTCTCATTGGGTTCGATGGTTTCTGTTATTGATTGATTAAAAGAGCCGCCTTACAAGCGTATGTCAGTGGAGTTCTAGATGAAACAACTAATGAGTATCCACTTCCTGTGAATGCTGGGACAAAAAACATGAACAGCTTGTTGACTGGCAGTTTCAATACAGCATCTCTAGATATACTGCCAATCCGTCTTCCTCAATTGGTGCTATCCCGTGGCATTTGATTCAAGCCGTACGGATCTATAGAAACATCTCTCTTGGTGGATAAAGGAAGCAACCAGCACATAAAGAAGGCGAAAGGATGGCTCTTAACTTGCTTATAAGAAAAGATCGGTGCTACACAAGAAATTGGGAAACAAGCAGTAGAAGCTTGGGTTGGTTTAGCGTCGAAGGAGTTTGTTACGCGACTGCTGTTATGTCTCTGAACCAGGTTGTTTTAGTATGCAGCTCTCCCGCGACTCTCATCTTCAACGCTATACTAGTAGTTAGAGAACATGCCCAGAAGACAGCAGTCATAGGCGGTAGTATTCCCCCATATAAAAAGCTAGACTCACCAGGTTTTCGGAAAGTACAAATACAACAGCTTGCTTCGGAATTCATAACCAATGATATTCTCAACGACTGGTCGTTTTTAACCCACGTAGCACCAGAAGTACCAAGCTGCAATGCACGGCAGCAGACACATTCCCTGGCACTCTTTCCCGCGTAACGTCCCACACCCACATCCGGGACACCCCCACATGTGGGACACCCAAAAATGCCTCAACACGGCTAGCCTCTAACTTCAACCTCTTTTATCTTTACCAATATCGATTCAATCGTTACAAAATTTTACGTTCGTCTTCTTTACACTAATATGAGTCAATATACCGAAGATGATATTTATCGAGCTCTTCAAGCAATAGCTACCGGTCAAAGCCTCCGAAAAGCAGCATATGAGCATGGTGTCCCAAGGTCTACTCTTTCACGACGGATTCAGGGAGCCCAGTCAAGAGATATAGCCTTCGCTGACTACCAGAGGCTCTCTCCAGCCCAGGAATCCCATCTGGCTGAATGGGTTCGAATCCAGGCTGCCCTAGGCCTCCCACCAACCCATCAACAGCTCAAAGACTTCGCCGAGCGTATCCTACAGATCCACGGAGACACCGAACCACTTGGAAAGAACTGGGTCCAGGCTTTTATCAAGAGGAACCCTTCAGTCAAGGTCCAGAGAAGCAGAGCTATCGATTCCCAGCGTATTAATGGAGCCTCAGCTAATGTGATCAGGCAATGGTTCAAATACCTCGCTATCCCTGAGATCAAAGTTATTAAGGCCTCGAATCGATACAATATGGATGAGACAGGTATTCTAGAAGGTAGAGGATCAAATGGTCTTGTTCTAGGGTCATCTGAGATTCATTCTATACGGAAGAAACAGCCTGGATCTCGAGCTTGGACATCTCTTATAGAGTGTATCTCTGCGACTGGTACTGCACTACCCCCACTTGTGATATACAAGGGGAAGTCTGTCCAGCAGCAGTGGTTTCCTCTGTACTTGACTCCATACGAAGCCTGAAGGTTTACAGCAACAGAAAATGGGTGGACGTCAGACTCTACGGCTATTGAGTGGCTACAAAAGATCTTTATTCCTTTGACTTAACCAGAGGACCCTGAAGAGACTAGGTTACTTATCCTAGATGGGCATAGTAGCCACGAAACGACAGAGTTTATGTACCTCTGCTTCATAAACAAGATACACTTGCTTTTCTTACCGCCACACACATCCCACGTTCTCCAGCCTCTCGATCAGTCAGTCTTTGGACCCCTCAAGGCAGCCTATAAGAAAGAGCTTGGTTACCTTAACCAATGGGATACTACTACTGTCGTAGGGAAGAGAAACTTTCTCTGCTATAGAAAGGCACGTCTAGCAGCATTGACCGTCAAGAACATTATCAGTGGATGGAAATATAGTGGTCTCTGGCCTTCGAGCATAGCTAGACCCCTTACGAGCCCCCTGCTCCTTGAGAATACGTCAGCACCAATCAAACAGCCTAGTCAGACTTGCAAAGGGCACTCTAGTAGTCAGGACTGGGCGTTAGAGACATCAGCAGTAGCCTGGTCAACGCCTAAGAGGAGAGATGAACTCCAAGATCAACTCAGCTTATTCAGCAAGCTTGATAGTGATCCAAATACCCAGCGGCTACTCTTTCGGAAAGTTCAAAAGGGCTTTGATGAGAAGGACTACCAGTTAGCTGTCGCACAGCGAAAGATTGAGGCAATAGAGGCAGAGCTTGAGGCCAGTAGGGCTAGGAAGCGGAGGAAGGTCAAGATGAGCCCTAATTCGAAGTTTACTAATATTAAGGCTATTCGGAAGGCTCAAATCGAGGCTGGTGAAATTGAGGATAGTACAGATGAGTCTAGAGAGTCTGAAAACCCTAGTGATGGCGAAAGCTGTATTGTAGTCGCATCAGAATAAGTGTAAAAAAAGGTTGAAGTCAATGGTTATAATATACAGCATCATTTTTGGGGCGTCCCACATGTGGGGGTGTCCCGGATGTGGGTGTGGGACGTTATAGCTCCGACAAATAAAGGATTGACGGATCAGCAACCCTTCCGCCTCCCTCCACCAAGTCCCGTCAAAAGCTCCAATCCTCCGATATCCCCGTCGAGATCCACAATATCATCTGGCAATATGCCCTCACAGACCCTCGGGCCTTAATCACTCTAGTCTTCTCATCCACAACAGCCCAGATGCAGCCCGTGGACCGAGCATCCTTCAAGCTGCCGCTCTCGCAGGTCTGCTTCGAGTCAGTCACGACGGTCGTCTAGGACGCTAGGTACGCGTTGGCATTTGCTGATGAGAACCAACCGGATGATCCGGAGATCTGATTTCATCCGGAAAGAGACGTGGTGGGGCCTTTCGTTTTGGCGCCGGGGACTTACATTCAGGGTGGTTTGCGTGACGGGGTTGGTGTGATTGAGTATGGCAAGGGATAGAGGGCGGTAGGAACTCTGCGACGATGTGTAGAAGAGGTTCTATTCCTTATCGAGCAGAGAATTATCCGCATCTGCGAGAGACGGGGCGACCTTACAGGTGCAGGTTGAACATATTTCCAGGTAGTAGGTCTTCTCAAAAAAGCGGGCGAGGGGGTCCCCAAGTCTCTCGCGGTTGGACTGAATTACTGTTCCTTGGGTTACATGTCTCCCCCATTCAAACTCACGCATGGTTGGCGACAATATTGATCGGAGCCTCCATTCACTGCCTTAATATATACACCCAAACGAATCAACCAATATCTCCTACACAATCTCAACATTCCACCCTCGATACCCCAACTCAACATCGCCCCCGAACGCCAACTTGGCATTAAACCTAACATCAATCTCCATCCTCTCATGCGGCCACAGCGTCACATAATTATCCGACCAAAACACCGACGCGATATCTTCCCCTGTCGTCCTATCCACAAGACTAATCCTCAAGAAAAACGCCGGGACCGACGACTTGTTATTAAGAAGCACCTTGGCCACCCCCCTGGTAGCGCCCTGCTTGACGACCATCACGGATACCGTGGCGGTGGGGAGATCCGACAGAGAGGTCAAGTCGGAATACTTGGCAACGGGAGTGTGGTACCAGGTCGAGTTGTCCCAGTCGAGGGTGTCGGGGGTCTTGGGGAGCCAGTAGACGTTCCGGCTGAGTGTGTTTTGATGGTTGTCGGAGAGCAGTAAGCGGAGGAAGATGACGTCTGTTGAGTAGCTTAGGGTGGGGAGCTTGTACACGCTTTTGCTTCTGTTCGGCTCGGTGGGCGCGGCGACGGTCTTACTTAGGATCACTTTGCCGTTGGTCCCGATGGCTTCGACTTCGATAGTGCGGGGACCCTTGCGGTCGAGCGAGTGGTTGATCAGATACACATCTCTACGTACGTAGTCGTATGCCACATGCTCGAGCCTCCCGCCGACTTTGGCGCCGAAGTATGACCCCGCGGGTTGGAGGTAGTAATCAAACAAATTCCAATGCAGGCTCGGCCAGGCATTATTCAGCATCCAATAAATAAGCCCCGTAGCAGGCTGCTCCGCGTTCCAAAACGCGGCGTACCCTTCGAACTGAGCTCGAGTGGCTTCGTAGTCGAGGACCTGGGCCTTGAGGAGGTAGTCCCCGAGCGACGTGGGGGGGCCGTAGCGTTTCCACAGCGCGTCATTGTAGATCTCACGTGTGTAAAAGGAGGACACGTTGGTAGACATGTGAAAGAGCCCCTTGTTCGGCTGTTTCCACAGATCATCCATATCCCCCGGCGTCAAGAACTTCTTCAGACTGCTCAGCTCCGGTGTGCCCACACCGGCGCCCAGCTCGGAGCCGAGCCCGAATGCTGCCCCTAGACGGTCTTCGTCTGGATTCGTATCGTACCAGTAGTTCGGCGGCACCCAGTCGTAAGGGCCTGCCATCTTCATACCTGACGGCGCCAGAATCTCGGGATGCCCTTGCTTGGACGCCGAGGCGACGATTGGATTCTGCCAATGCACTTCTTCGAATGCTTTGACATACATCCCCGCCGCCTGATCATCGGGCCAATAATCGCTCCCCACCAGGAACGCGAGCATACTCGGATGGCTCTGTATCATGGCCGCCTCGTGCCGCATACTCGCGTTTGCGATACCGTAATCGCTCTGGTCCCACTCGTCCTTGACGGCGAGATTATCATTATACGTCCACGCCTCCCACTTGTTGCAGCACTCCCAGCCGGCCATCACCATGAGGCCCATGCGGTCTGCGATGTCGTACAGCTCGGGATGTTCCATTTTGCCCTCGAGCCGGACCGTGTTGTGGCCCAGGTCGAGCATGTACTGGGCCTGAGCTGTGAATTTGGCGCTGTCCCAGCGGAGAAACACGTCGGCGGAGTAGCCGCCGCCGATGACCTGGAAGGGGTGGCCGTTGATGCTGAAGAGGGTGTCGTTGTACTCGTTCAACTTCGAGGTTACCTGGCGGATGCCGAAAGTCCGCTTCGCAATATCTGACACGGTGTTGTCCACGAGAACAGAGAGCTGAGCATCATATAACGGCTGTTCGCCCCAGGCTTTGGGCCACCAAATCGCCGGTTTATCCAAGGTTGTCGTAATGCTGACATTGAGAGACTGCCTTGTGCCGAGTCTAACAACCTGCCTCTTGACCTCTGGCCTTCCCCCTGCTTCATTAGACACCTTACCCTCGAGAACAACTGTCACGTGGTGATCCTCTAAGTTCTGTATAGCCGCCTTAAGCATCACCGTAGCACCCCCCTTGTCCACCGGCAGCTCAAAGTCAGTAACCACACTCAGTGGCGCCAGTGCCACAGGACCCGTCCGCTTAACGAGCACATCGCGCCACACACCCGTCCCATTGTCCGGCGGATACGGATTCCAATCCACGAACCCCAGCGCAAAGTCATGATCATAATCTGTCGGATAGACCCGGACCAAGACCGCATTCTCCTTCTCCACCAACTTCGTAACTTCGAACCTGTGTCCTGCATACGCCCCCGCCTGAACCGTCCGGTTAGCGATCTGGTGACCATTGAAAAACACATCCGCCTTCGACGTAATCCCATTCGTCTCCAGAAAATAGTGCTGTCCTTTCCTCGGACTGAGCGCGAACTCGTGACGGTATAGCCACGGAACGGAAAATTGGCTCCGGTCCACGGCGGTATAGAGGTTATCTGAGAAGAAGAGCATCTTGTCGTCGTAGACCCCCGCCTCGATCAGGCAGCCCATTAATGTACATTTCGAGTTGCTGACGTGGTGCCATGAGGAGACGTCGGCTCTGGGTTTGGATAAGACGGAGAGATTCTTGCTTGTTTGAGAAGAGGACTGAATATGCCATGATGGAATGACGCTTTGCGATGGACCGGACGCTGGAAGGCTCGGGAATTCCGCTGTAACTGATTCGCAGCACAGCATCAGTGCCTGGAAAAGGCCGCGCAGGTTCATTGTGCCTGATGCCGCATTTATCTACGATGACCTGGCGGATTTATCCCAAAGATGCTGGACTCGTCAAGGACGGCGATGCGCATGTGGCGTTGAGGAATTAAGTTGATATGTAAGTGGTTCCTAGAAACCTTCTTATAAGTCAACAACTTGCCTCAAATGCAGCACTTCCCCGCTGGCTACAGCGATGGCTCTTGGCCGAGTCATAGGCCTTCTTTTCGTGGCCATAGAGGCTTGTTGAATGATACGTTGCACTAGCTGTTCAGCTGAGCTGGTGCGGTGGGATGGATGCATGGTTAGAGTGCACAGTTGACCAGGGGCAGAAAAGATTGGCCAGGGCTAGGAATTTTGTGGCGCAGCAAAGTTCATCGAGCGTAACTGACCAGGTACAAAACCTAAGGTCTTAGCAAAGGTTCAGTAGGTACTAAAAACATAACGCGCTCCGAGGTTCAACATATGTTGAACTTATCCGATAGCGGCATAGAAAGACATATACGTAGGGGCTGAAGGTCGTGAGGCTAGTAGTTAGTAATAGGACCTATAAAGGTTTAAATTAGTTATATATTAAATATAACTATAGATAATATAATTTAGGAATATACGGTAGTAATATCTAAACTAACTCGGGTTAGCGGCGCCTTGGACTACAGTATAGGCTACATATTATTAGTATATAGTTAACATATGTTAAGGAAATATAGTAATACTACTTACTAAAGTCGGCGGCTATAAGGGAAGCTACTAGATTTATTTTACAAAGACCCTACGAACGGAAGACTAGCGTACGGAATCGTAATTAACCGAATATATATTATATTTTTATACCGTTTATTTTAATTAGAAAAAAGCTCTTACTTAAGTTCAACATATGTTGAACCTCGGAGCGCGTTATGTTTTTAGTACCTGTTGAAGTACCTGGTCAGAACGTTCTTGTACCTGGTTGGGAAAAACCTTAAGTTCAGAATATTTCTAACCCTGGCGAAGTTTTTGCTAAGGATCGCTTAAACATATTAGGCATAAAGCACAGTATCAGATTTTTGTAGCAAGGCATATGTAATATATATGCTAAACCTAAAAGAAATAGGTACATATGCAAGACATATATAGGTTTCCGAAATTTCCGAAATCGCTTGATTAGTGTAGACCGGCACTTTAATTAGATGCCTACTATAGACGAACCTTATTACTTTGTACTAATATTTATATTCCTTGTAGCGGACGAAACTGACTATAAGCGTGACAGCGCTAGAGAGCAGATGCTGTACATATTTTATGCATATCATGCATATGCATCACATATATGTAACATATGGTCTATCTATGCCCAGCGCCTCTTCGACATATTCTAGTTCATTGCTTTTATCAAATCTTTATTTTTTAAGCCTCTTCTAACACATATACGTTATATATGCATATCAGACACTTTGGCCCTATGTATGTGCTCCTATATCGCTATATATGCGTTGCATTTACTCCGTATATGAGTTTTGCTTTGATACTCTAGCCTATGCCTAATATGGTTAAGCTATCCTTAGCAAAAGTTGGTCAGGGTTAGAAATACTTTCAAGCCTTATGAACCTTGCTGCGCCACAAATTTCTACCCCTGGCCAACTGTAACCTGTGGTTCGTATTGCTCGTCCCCCTCATTTAAATCCCCGCTTTGCCAATTCTCGTTGCACTGCAACTGCAGTTCCGTGCAGTGAAACAATTTCTCGTACTGGCATCCTCATCAAAACATTTAGGATCTGATATCATTCACCGGTTCATATGATGTTGAATCCGACGAGGGTGTGAGCGCCGAGCTTGTGCATGTGCTGTGCTGCTGTGGTCAGGGTGTTGAGGATCGACGTTTAGCACCCGTGAAGCTGGCAACTTCCGCTTCGAGGCACCAATCAAGTGCTCTCGGGTAAGCGGTGTTCAGCAAAGTGCGGGATTGATCTCGTCGGGACCTGATTCCCCCCCCCATCTTGGGCTCGGCAGATATTGTTGGCTAATCTACCTCTTGCAGGCTAATCCACTCGTTGTAATGAATGGTGACAATATTGGACGGACATGCTGTATACCACTTCTCGAACACTCGATGACACATCTCAGCGTCGGCATACATTGGAAGCGCAGGCCTGAGTCTGTCAAGTAATTCTTTCGATTAATGTCATTTCCTAAGTAGGTCCTAATGTCCAAGTCAGTATCCTTGTGCCATTCCGAACGCCTGGCTATGCACCCGCCCTCAGACCAGACAGTATGGACAACGGCAACGTATTTTTATACGTAGCGAATATGCCTGATCTCTTCCTGGTTTCCTTTAGGTCCCGCTTGCGCGCGTGTTCTTTAGGCTTTGCGTTGCTAATCTTCAACCATTCGCCGTTAAATGCGTTGATGAGCCAGTTGTTCAGTTCTACCATCTCTAGTTAGCATATCTCTTGCAGAGAAAAAGGGAGCGGGGCACAAACTGTCATAAACAATCCGGTTAGCATTGTGGAAGTGAATCGAATGATCACTGTCGGGAAACATGTGTAAATCATAATTCTCAATCCCCTCCAAGTCTAGCTTGTCAAGCAGCGTAAGCGTATTCTGCATATGCACATTATCATCCGCAATCCCGTGCATGACCAAGAACCGCACGTTGCTCGCCAGCGCCGTGACGTTGTTGATGGCGCTGTTGTCGTACCCATCGTCGTTGTCCTGCGGCGTCAGCATGTACCGCTCCGTATAGATGCTGTCGTAGAATCGCCAGTCCGTGACGGGGGCGACTGCCATCCCGTACTTGAACGTCTGCCCGGCATCTTGCTCAAGCGTCTTGAGTGTCTGGAATCCGCCATAGGACCAACCCCAAATGGCGATGCGGGTGGCGTCGACGTATTTCTTTGCGGCCCACATCTTGCCGGCTGCGATCTGATCATGGGCTTCCCAGTGACCGAGATCCTTGCGCACACATACACGTGCTTTGCGGCCGATGAAGCCGGTTCCGCGACCATCCACAGTTACGACAACGTAGCCCAGACTGGAAGCAACGTAGGACTGGAAATCAACCTGAAACTTCTTGGTGACGGTCTGCGAGCCCGGACCCGAGTACTGCTGGAAAAGGACAGGATACTTTTTCTTTGGGTCGAAATGAGGCGGGCGGCGCTCGAGGTAGTTGAGATCGAAGCCGTCCACGTTTATGGTGCCGTACTCGAGAAGAGGAAGTTCGTGCCTGCTGGCCTTTGATGCAAGCTCTTTATTGTCCTCGACGATGTGATCGTACGATTCGGGGTTGCTGGGTGTGCTGATGACTTTCTGCCACGGAACCCTGGGGCCCTTGTATGAAAGCAAGGCGTACCCAGCATTGCTGGAGAACGAGACGTCGTAATACCCTTCGATAGCGGTGTCTGTGATGGATTTCATCCCAGACCCGTCGAGCTTGACACTGTACACGTGATGTTGGATCGAGGACTCCTTGGTACCACGGAAATAGACCAGATTTTTCTTCAGATCTACAGCAGACGGTCCGTCATCAACCTCCCAGTCCCCCGAAGTCAGCACGATGGGGTCTGCTGCGTCCAGAGGACTGAAATAGGCAAGATGGTCGCTGTTTCCGTGAATGACGGCATCAATGTACCCATCTTGCGGTCGACCATTGGCTGGATCAGCGGGGATGTATCGAGTATTGTGCGTAATCTCGAACCACCCGCCATCAATTTTTCCAACATCCACAGTTCTGACTGTTTGGCCACTGCGTGCGACCACGTCTACCAGCACGACCCGCATGATGTCACTGACTCGGTTGGTCTCCTTGATCAACACCTTGGTACCGGCCCAGACAACTTCGGTTATCAACAAGTCTTCAGGGGCAAACCCGCCTTCGATCTCGACAGAGAACATGTCACCCCTCGACAGATCGTAGAAGAGAAGATCCACAAAAGGGTTGGGCGATCCTGCTTTGGGGTACTTGATCTGGCGGACTTCGGGATAAGCATCCTCGCCCTCGGCAGGTTGCGTGCCGCTCGGTCGCTCGATGAAATACTGAATGGGATATTCGGGCACGAGTGTCTCGTTGGTCCGCAAGAAGGTAAGGTAATCGCCATTCTCAGACCACCACATCGCACTGTTGCCCGAGAACACCTCCTCTTCGTAGATCCAGTCTGGGATACCATAGAAGTACTCGGGACCGCCGTCTTTGGTTATTTGAACCACATTGTTGCCCCCAAGTCGGCGCACGTATAAGTTGTTGGCACTAGCGTAGGCAATAGCATTGCTCTGCGGGCTCCATTGCGCCAGCTGCACCCTGCGCTTTGCGTTTTCGGGATCCAAAGGCTCGACGGTTTGAGTGTCGACGTCGAATATCCAATACACGCCGGTGAAGGAGTGCCTCCAGTTACTCTGGGTTTCCGTCGCAATGAGCACCTTCTTCAAATCCGGGCTCGGCCACACCTTATCCGGGGCCATTTGCTGGCTTCCATAACTGAACCAGGCATTCTGCATTAATGTTTGACTGCTGAATATCTTGCCACCAGCCTGGACGTGCTCAGAGTCCAAGCTTCGTACATCTTCAACCACCAGGTAGTCTTTGCCGAGCGCACCCTGCTCGAGCAACAGACCATCTTCTCCGTTTGCCCCTTCGATCCAACTGATGCTATGACTTTGTGCGTACCAGAATCCCGACTGGACCTGGTCCAGAGTAACCTTCTTACCCGATCCCCGGGAGGTAGTAGCCATCGGGTCGTGTTCTTTCTCGGACGAGTGTTGGTACGACTGGGACGACAAGTACGTGAAGAGGCCGACGACCCAGGCCGCGATAAGTGCCCCAGCCACGATAAGGAGTATTCGTCTCATCTTCCGATCTATCGGGACGACCGCATTTCCACCCTCCGCAGCCGCGGCCAGGAAGGCGTCGCGTTCGTCGTCGCCATCTTTAAGGGGGTCTTCGTCGTCGAAATCGGATATGTTTTTGCTGCTGTCCAGCTTCTCTCGTTCGCTTAACCTCTCGAAGACGAGGCTTGTCGTGGAGACAGAGGACAACGAGTCGCGCGAAGGCCGTGGTGGCGTTGCTGTGCTGCCAGGTTAGCTTTATATGTTCACGGCGTCGCATTGAAGTTGGTTGGCCGTACCCATGGTCGTTCTAATCCGAGTTTCCTACGAATGACCTTCGAGGGCTTCAAATCATTATGCTCAAGTTCTTGGAATATTCTGTAGTCGCCGGGACACTTCAAGAACAATCTGGGGTTTGCTTAATAAGGTAGTTGTATGGTTAGTTGACTCTGGACAGATCGGACAGATCGGACGTTACAGTATACCTTGGCAAACGGTCGGTTATCAGTATCAACTGCCCGCTGAACTTGCTGGCTGGCATTATCCTTATCTCAGACGCTTGAGTGGCACTCGTCAACCGGTTGTTGTGGCGGTGCAGGCCGGAGGCCCGGGCATTGTCAGTCATGTGTATAGCCACAAGAGCCGCCACAGCGGTGGCTGACTCTGAGATCGATCTCGTTTTGATCTGGGGGAACTGCCCGGACTGGAGAGGACAGAGTCTATTCTATTAGAGAGAATTAAGACAGAACAAACTTCTAACCTAACTCGTTCCTAACTAGCTTTCAACGTCGAGTGCCAAGATTCTGACGTCCTTCCCCTTTCCCCTTCCGGACTTCATCGGATCCAGGGGTTTTCGATTTTGCTCCGTGAAAATAGCGACGCCTTCGATGTGTGTACCAAGAATTCGGTGTTACTAATGAGCATCAGACGAAGTCTAACGAAATGACGTTTGCATTAGCTGTTCACCTTCCCATCCAGCTTGAACTGTCAGAACTGCCAACTCATCAAGCCTACGCATTGCCAGCTGTGGAGTTGACGCTGGCTTTCCGCGGGGTTGGTTCCTTTCGTAAACAAGCAAATTCGATCAATAAAGTCAAATCAGATCATCAACAGCTGATACCCATGCACCTGCTTCTTTCTCTTTTACGTATATACATTTTTATTTCGGCCACCCGCAGGAACTTATCGCGAACATATATTAGGCCTGACCCGGTCAGCAGCATGGTCAGACCCCGTATCCCATCCCGCCAAGCCTGACCTCCCCTGTCTCGGGACGAGGGCCATCTGTCCGTCTGCTTGGCGATGAAAATCGCACACAAGTCCGGGTTGGCCACTGAGCCGTTCCCTGAACGCTTCGACCTATCCCCATGACTGCCCTATGCAGTTGCGTCTAGTGTATATTAAAGGATGCGGACGAGCCCCGTCATTTTATTGTCTGTTCGATGCGCCCAGGCCGTGCCTTGCTCTCAGCTTCCCGGCAACCTCGTTTGTGAGCTGTCGTCCCATATTATCAGCATGATGCCACCCGGATGACAACTTCTGACAATCAATGGTGGCCTTGGCCTTCATCCCCAAGCCGGCCGGATCGAGGATCCCAAACTGGTGGAACATAGCGGCGCGGCATTGCCTAGAACTCGTATTGCACTTTGGTGGAATTGGTCCTAAGACATGGTGCATTTCCTCTCTTCTCCTCTGCTTACAGACGTACTTATTATGCTCCATATCTGCTAATTTCAGACCGGTTTTGAGGTTGTCCACAATCCAACTCATAATCCCGTCTCATTAGGGATTTGTCTGATGCTTCATTCGCTGCATCCTTTTCACTCGTTTCCAAGTCTAGTCCATCGCTTCTTCCCCCCAGCGTCATGATGATTAACCTCGTCAAAGGCGTTCTTGCCGCCACCCTCGGCGTGCAGAGTGCAAGTGCTGCTACCTGCAGCTCTAATCTAGTAATTGATAATTTCTCCAAGTGGCCAAGTGCTACAAACAGTCTGGGTGGCAGGACGAGTGGTATTTGTTCGAACCTGGAGCCAACAATGCGAGGCCAAAACTGACATTGATACAGATGATAATACCATGAGCTCCATCTCCGCAGCGAGCGGCGTGCTGTCCTTCATCCCCAGCGCCAGTGTCGACTCGTACATCTTCGAGAGTTTCCCCTGTGTGAACGCCTCCAGCAATGGCTACAATGCTATCTCCTTCTCGATCCAGGGAACAGCTGGGGCATCACTATCCCTCGAAATGCAGACAAAGTCATCCTGCTCCGCCACCACAAACACCGGTGCATGGGCCGAGGTCAATGGCATCACAGGCGCAAAGCAGACCATAACCGTTCCTCTCAGCTCCTTTTCTGGGGCAAACATCGGCGCCATTACCTCGTTCGTCTGGTCCAGTTTCTCCACTAGGAGTGTGAAGTGGCAGCTGGGAGATATCCAGTTTGTGTGTGCCCGCGGGTCTCAGACTTCGACAGGCCCTTCAACGGGGCAATCAACGCGAGCTTCTTCGACGACCAAGGCATCTTCGACATCTGCGATTGCATCTACCCTCAAGTCGACAACTGCTCCTGGCCCGACCTCGACCGCTGGGTGCAAGAACCTCCTCATTGACGATTGGGAGTCCCAGTCTCGCCTGACATTCTTGTATTACAACGCAATGATCCAGCCAACCAGTGATGACGGTACAATGGCTTCCATTGTGGTGGCCAACGATAACTCGGTCACATTAACGCCCAAAGACACAAGCTCGTACTTTTACAGCAAGACCACGTGCGTAAATGCTCAGAACGTCTATGGCGGCATCTCCTTGCGCATCAAGGCTGCCAAGGGCACCACGTTCAGCATTCAGCTCAGCTCTCCGGCCAAATGTGGAGATGCTGAAGAAACTGCATTTCCATCCCAGTCAACCACCGACCTTGGCTGGACATTCGATGGTACTTGGAAGTTGTACAACATTCCGTTTTCCAAGTACCAGGGTCTCGATCTGACCAAGGTCCAGACCGTCTTCTTCTCCGGCTTCTCCAGAGCTGTGCAACTCGGTCCTATGGCATTCTACTGTGGAAACACCGTGTCTGAGTACAAGGTACCGGCGTCGACTGCACCCGTTGGCCCATCCTCCACTGTCCCAGCTCCCAAAGGCACTGCTTCGGCTCTCGTCATTGACCAGTTTGCTTCATCAGGAGCCAATGCTCTGGGCTTCTGGCACGGTGGTGACGGTGGCATGTCGCTCACTTGGGGCACCAAGAAAGTTACCATCAAGTCCAGCGATGCCGACTATGCCTTCTACACGCAGGTTTCCGGATCCTGCCGAGACATGAGGAGCTTTGATGGATCGTATCTCCACATTGCTTACAGCGGGAGCAGCAAGTTCACCGTTGCCCTCCAGCAACACAATGCGAAGTGCGACGAGTCCGTGGCTCCCTACCCCGAAACATGGGATTCCATCGAGGCTTCCCGCTACGCCTCCGCATCCGATATCTACATTCCCATGTCCCACTTCAACATCAACCGAACCCGAGTAGTCGGCATCGCACTAAAGGGCTTCTACACCACCGAATCGGTCGTCCTTTCCAAGATCGAAATCGTCCCCTCCATCCCGACAACCTTCAAGATCCCCAACAAGCTGCCCACGGGCAACCTTGTCTTCGGCTGCAAGCGCCCCAACTCATTCGCCTTCGCCATCGACGATGGCGACCCGAGGTACGCGCAGGAGGTCATGAAGGTGATCAAAGACGAGGACATCCAAGTGACCTTCTTCACCGTCGGCGCGCCCCTCGACGACAAGAGCACCAACCTTACCAATGTCTACAACGAGATGTCGTCCCAGGGCCATCAAATCGCGCTCCATTCGTACACTCACCCTAAGATGGAGGGCCTCCCCGACTACGAGGCTATCGACTGGGAGTACAATAACGACATCGCGGCTGTGGAGCGCGCATTTAATGGTCTGCATACGCCGTACTTCCGCCCGCCTTTCGGGAACGAGGGTGCGAGGATGAGACAGCGCTTGGCGGTTACCACCGGGTCGAATTCGCCATATATCGTGAACTGGAGTGTGGATGTCGAGGATTGGCTTTGGGCGACGAGCGATACGCCTGAGAAGCAGCTTGATGCTTTTAAGCGGGATATTGCAAAGGGCGGGAATTTGGTCGTGATGCATTACTTGTACCCCTCGACGGTCGGATATTTGAAGGAGTTTATTCAGTTGGCTAAGGCGACGGGGAAGCAACTTATGCGTGTGGATCAGTGCATGGAAGATCCGAATGCGCCGGCTTTGTGAGGTGTAGCTGGAAAACAGCTGGACTCTGCTTGAGTGCTAGTACAGCATTTAATGCAGTTATTTGAAGCCCGCTTTATGCTCAACATAAGCAACTGGGGCTAGGTTGTAACCATGGAAGTTCGTTCAATATGCTTCGTGAACCCGTGATGTCTCGATCTGAAGCCACGCGCCGCCTCAACGGGTACGCTGCCCTTGTGCCACAGATCACATTGCAAGCTTCGTGGCCGAGTAAGCGGTGACCCAAGGCCAACGCCTCAAAATTGAGAATGACGCAATAATACAGCGCAGGTGCTCATGTCTCGCAGCCGAACTCTCGGCAAGGATGATCCAATTGAAGTTGCTCGGCGGTCCGTTCCAGCAAGGCTACATCGCCTCCAACTCTAACTTACTTTCTATATGTACAGCCCCCGAGCCCCTGAAAGTCAGCGCCGTGCTACAACCAAGATTATGAAATACGGCAGTACATAGTATTGCACTTTTAGGACAAGCCACTTGTGGAACTGACCTATCACAGTGTCGCGATCAACTCACCCCGCCTGCGTATTAAGATGTCTTTATTGGATGAGGAGCATTTTGGAAACGCTATAATAAGTATTGATTTGCCCACCAGCTTCAAACTGGTAGATTTACTTTCCCTTGTGTCTTGACTCTTGAACTGTTGCCGCAAACCCCCTCCCCTCTATTCGTAATGTTCTCTAACTCCTCCTCCCGCCCCTCCAAAGATGACAAGCCCGCCGCTGAAGTGGCCGATATCCCCCCTTCGATCTCAGACCTGCACTGCTTCACCGAAACCAATGGCGTCATCACGACAACCATGTTCGACATTCCCGGGTACAGAGTCGTCCGCGTCCTTGGCGCCGTCTACGGCATCACCGTCCGCTCGAGGAACTGGGCTGCCAGTTTCGGTATGGTAGCGAAGAGTGTCGTGGGTGGCGAGTTGAAGTGGTTTACCAGTATGGTACGTCTTTCTTCCTTGATCCTTTCTCCATTTGCGGGTTTTAAAAAGAGGAGCAGAGAGGCAAGACTCATCGCTCACATAACTCTAGCTCTACTCTGCGCGCAATGACGCCATCAGCCGGGTCGTTGCTGAGACTCAGTCCAGAGGCGGGAATGCAGTTATTTGTATGCGGTTTGATGCGGGTGATATGGCTGGGTTTGCGCAGTGTTGTGCGTATGGGACGGCGGCGATTGTGGAGAAGATCGATCCGAATACCCAGACGCCGCCGCAGTTGGCGCAGCCGATGGCTTGATCTTGGGGGGTTCTGGGTGAAACCAAATAGCATCCTGGATAGGTTTTTAATCAGCGCTTCTTGTTTGAGGCGGGGTTTTGTAGTCCTGTACTTGGCCGTACCTTCCCACCTGCAGGGTTGAAATGAGAAACGTTGTATGCCAAGTCGTATGCTACTTGAGACCGAACTCCAATACCACAATCCCTATGTAAAAAGTGTAACAAATGAGAGTTTCAACGAAGGGTTCGCTTGGCAGTGCTGTATTACTTGGGATGATAATGATGGCTCTGGACCAAGTATTCTGGCTTAATGATTATCATATAGAGTTATGGATATAATGGAGTATTTACTATTGAACTATCTGTGGATATGACATACTTTAGATTGAAGGGCTACTATACATGGAAAAGCAGGGATCTCCGCCCCTATAACCCCTAGGCTATTAAGGTCTCGGAGACAAGTAATTTCGGTCCACTTCTACGTCCACAAATACTGAAACAAACGTTCCCTCGCAATATAAATGTCACTGATGGTTTAGGCTTTGTACTGCTTCAATTGCTAGCATCCAATAAATTAAGGCCCTTAGCCATTTATCTATCCATACCACGCAACTTCATCATATCTAGCAATTTATAAGCACCAAGTTCGTTAATTTCAATACCAGGATCGCCAGGAGTTGCTAACTCGGTAAGCTCATCGCATCTAATATCGGGTTGGGCCTCAAAATATCAAAGCACGGAGAGTTTATATCCTCAACGAGCCTATTGTTATCGTCCTCAATGAGAAAAGTTTTTGGTTAGCCTGTTTTCCTGCCAGCATAAACCATGCACCTTCTTCCAGTGCCCTTCACCGAAGTGGCAGACATCTATCTACACCTTTGAAGACTTCTAAGTTTTGCAAACAGGTTCACAGCACTCCTCATATGGGTCAATCTGTTTCAAACACCAGTACAGAGAATCTCCGAAAGCAACCTGAAAGCGTTCCAAAACAAGGAAGCAGGAAATCGATTACATAACCACCTCCTCCGAAGCCAAGGATGGAATTTGGCCCTTCTAATGATAATATCGATAAAGAAGTATATGGTACACTTGAGTATGCTGTCAACAATGCGCCAGCCTTATGAGCATGCAACACCACAAGTCACGTTTTGTTCCAGAAACTGGGTTCACATCTTTATATATTTTTACCTTTTTGATTTCTATCTATTGCGAAGGCAAATGAAGAAGCAAATGATGCTAGACGGCCTCTAACTCTGCCCCATGTGATACCAAATCCTCCAAATCTATTCTGCTAGATCCCTTGTCCTTGTTGAAAGGACCTCCTGCAAAAGACAAATATGTCTTGTCGTTGTAGGTTCTGCACCCTGATGTCCTTCCTGTCAAAAGTGGTATCTGGGTTTACTATTGTAAGTGTTGAAAAGATTACAAGCGTTGTAGAATAACTACTGCTGAAGTTCAGACGGAAGCAGCTCGGCACAAACGGGGTCTGGACTTTAGACAGCAGATTATGCTCAAGCTTAGACGAAGCCGAAGTTCTGATGAAAATTGCTTAGGTTCGGACGAAATATGCGTTAACTTAGACGTGAATAAGTACTGAGGCTGGGGCGAATGTTTTGGTGCTAAGAAGATGGTAAGGTCCTGCTTCGGTCAGTATCTGGAATCACATCTGTTGTCTCCATGTCTGTGAACAATAGCAATACGGATGTAGCTCTTACCTGCCTCCATATATGCGTGTCCAGATATACGAGGAAGACCCAACAGACCTTTGCACATAAGTGACCAATGAAATCACCACGGTTAATAATGAAGATCTCAATGTAAAGAAACCAGGTGTATATTCAACTAAGCCCATGGGGTCATATGTCGAAGCTACTCCAAATTTCTCTTAAGAGCTTTTGAGGACGTAAGAAGGGTGAAGTTTGCAGATCTTGTGGGAAAAAGAGCTGTTTTACCGATAAATTGCGTGTCGAATGCTGCCTTAGCACCAGACATCTCCTGATAGCCAGAGCCATCACGATTTATAAGCTATATGCTCTGATAGTATGAAGCTATGTTTACTCAGTTGATTTAGCCAGGTCACTTTTGCGCAAACACGAGTGGAAGTCGGTTAGGCTCGTTCACACCCAAAAGTGTGCCACTCGTCCTGCAGCTTGTTCATGACGCTGTGGAATCTAAAAATTTTCCCAGTGCGACAAAGGCAAGTGCTTTCCTTCTGGAAGCCGAATACGGCTTCTCTTTCACCTGCGAATCATTTGTTGCTGATTATCTTCTTGGCCCGGACAAAGCAACGGATGATATGATATGTCATGATGTCGTGATAAGAAAAAAATTTAAAAGAAAGTGACTTCGGATGAGCAAACAAAGGCGATGAATGATGAAAAAGAAACAAGATCTCTTAAGATATAAGGAAATCATGGAGGATTGTGATGTTAATTGAGCTAAGTTAACCTCCGTCAGGTGTAACGGTAGAATGTTACCTATCTAACTAGTGTACATTGTTACGGAGTAACTAGGGCTCCGCCAGTGGACTGTGTGCCACTAGTCCTCTGTTAGGAAATAGAAAGTTCTTGGTGGAAATGAGAACTTTCTGTGACAGACCGCAGTCCAGACTCGATCGTGATGTTGCCATGGGGTGCATTAGAGATAGTCACCCAGGGCTTCACCTGGGTCATCACCCCAGTTCTCTTGAAAAGACCACTCGCTGTTGTTAAGATGCTTCCAAGTCGGCTCTCGAAGCTCTTCAATAACGGTATCACCAGGATAATGCCACTGGTGGTGTCGTTGGCCTTCCCGGAGGTATTTGGAGAAGCGCTTCTTGGTCTTGTAATGAATCCCTTCATCTCCAGCAATAATTATTGAAGGAAGACTGGGATTCCTTTCGAGACGCCGGAGGTTGTTCCTCTTGTATTCTCGGTTGACATCTGACCAGAAGAGGTCGTTCTTCATGATCTGGTGGATCTCGCGGGCGATATAGCTCCAGTGCACCTTAACGTCATTGAATCGAAGCAGTTGATCTTTAGTGAGCAACTCGTCAACGGTGAATAGTTTCTCGGTATTTTCAGTACGCACCTGAGGCTGAAGGAGAGCTACGGGGCGGGCGGGCACCGTAATAATGATCTGTTTGACAAGACGGAAGTGGGTGTAGAGCAGCGCCAGAGTGTCGATTATGGCAAACTCGTCACGGAAACAGCGCCAGAGTGTCGATTATGGCAAACTCGTCACGGAAACAACGCCAGCCAACGGCAACCTTCTGTGTAGCACCGAATGGCTTAAGAGCACCTGCCTCTGTGATCTCTGTCTGCAGAACAGCGGGTTCTTTAAAGTAGAGAATGTCGGTCTTAGGGTTGAAGAAGGTGGGAATCGAAAGCTGCCGGAAGCCCAGCCTCAGGACCTCTGACCTGCCCAATGAGCAGATATGAGCAGCGATGGGAACCTCAGGCTTATTGCAAAGCTGCAATTCTTCATTGGAGTATGTGAACTCAAATACTGCGCAATTCTTGCGGTCATCGAGGGAGAACTCGTAGATTTTGGCCCAGAGCTCCGTTGGCAGACTTCTCTTGTCATCTGTTTTGACCTGTTCCTTTGCATCCTAGTTTTTAACTTATTAGAAGAGAGCGTTTTTGGGGCAAAATAAAGATATAATCAGCTTGACTTACCAGGTTGGCGACTTGCGACTTGTCAGCGACATCGACTGACACACGTTCGGTTTCGCTCACACAAGAGAAATCCAACTTCTTTGGATTGACCACGTTCTTTTTCGACAAGGCAGCAATGCCCTGAATGGGAATTGTGGACTTGGAAGAGCCATTTTCGTTGGGTTTGCTGATCGTGGAGATCTGCACTAAACCTCCATGAGTTCCTTCGGCATTAGGAGTGGTCTTTTCAGATGCGGCAAGAACAGCTTGAGCTTTGATACCGCCAAAATTTCTGCTCGTGTCCAAAGAATCGTTGACGCCGTTGTAGTTTGTCACCACGTTCCTGTCCAGTGAGCCACTAATGACCTGGGCTTCCCCTATTTCAACGTTGTCTGCATTCCCTGCATCTCGAGGCTCTAGTGCCATGTCGTCAGTCATGGCACTGACCTTCTCTCTGGTTCGGAGAATGAGTTTAGTGTCACAAGCTTCATCGTGGTGATATGCCTTTCCAATTTTAACATTTTCCAATGTATCATTGGGGGCCACGTCGAAGTCATTGTTCCTCAATTTTGAGATGATATAAAAGTTACCCTGGTGAAGACTGAGGCTAAGAAAGGGGTTGCTAATGTTGGAATCATTAGTGCTACCCATCACAATATCATCTGCCGGGTTGTGATGTCCATGGGTAGTTGCGAGGGGAAGTAATGTGGTAGACTGTTTGACATCTGGAACTGTACGATGTAAGTAACATACCAGAGGACTATATGCATAGAGAACTCACAATTCGGCTTGTAGAACCTAAGATATGCAGCACTCTCCGCTCGAAGATTCTCCTTCTTCATCTGGATATGAAGCTGTTTTGCCTTATCGTGAGACGAGCAAGCTTCAGATGAGGAGTCCATAGACGCGACTTCGTCTGAGAAAGTGTGCCCAAATCCTTCAGTGACTAGCTCATGAGTCGGGAGCGGAGTTCGGCCCTTTTGAGGAGAGACTTTGTAGAGATCCTTATTGGCGACGGCCTTCAGTTCATCTGAAGCACTCATATCCATCTTGTCCATTCGTGATAAAATGGTGAATTGCAAGAAGTCGTTAGTCCGTTCGTATGGCCAGAGTTGGTGAATTCTGAAGCGAAGCACTCTTGTTTGTGGTTCGGCACAGATGATAGGTTAGCAGTCATATAAATATACTGTGTTAAAGTGAAACCATCGTATATAGCGATGATGTTCCTTTGTTATTTTGTTTAGCCTTTGCTCTCTTAGCCTTAGATATCACCTTGGTCTTGGCCTTGTAGGCTTCGCGGCCGTCAAACTGACCTGCGTCGGCAGATGCTAAAATGTGGGAGTTGAGTGATTACTATGTGAGATTTGAATCAACTTACCGAGTGAATGAGGAAGCAAGTGGAGGTGTTAATGCGTGATGTAGGCAGTAGGCGAGTTGCTAGTAATCGATCACTTCTGATGTCTGTGCCTAATGGGTCAAGTAGCACTGGGCTGTCAATCTAGTCCGGCATTTTAACTTATAGTAAAATAAGCAAGTATGTCGCAATTTCAAGGCAGGAAAGTTGTTGAATCTGAAATGGACTATTCGGATCAACTGTCGCAGGGCGAGATAGAGGTGAGGAAGAGGTTGCGTTGCAACTTAGCAAACTTAAATTGTGACTAGAGTAGCAATGGAATAGATTGCTTTAGTCGAAGATTTGAGAATGCCCAGTGTGTAGAGGATGTGTTTCCTAGGCTGAGAGTTGCAGAGATCCCCGTACTGGTCGTGGCTCTGCCTCCAGTTGTTCCGATACCCTTATGTGTAGCTGCGTCGCAGTTTTTGGTCTTTTTGTGGACAAAGTCCAAGATCAGTTCGGGGTGTGTGGCTCGGAGGTTGTTTAATAGTCAACCGGCAGTCTTTACAAAGTGTTGTTAGGGTGCTTGTGACTCCAGTATAATGTACGCTCAATAGGGTGGGTGGCACCTTTCTGTAGACTGAAAAGGGGGGTTCGTTGACATGGGACAGCTTGAATATGCGGGTAGTAACTTTGAACAAGTTTGAAAAGCTTGTCACCGCCGTGAGTGGAGAATGAAGGGCCAGGCAAGATGCGCGATAAGACATGATGGCCCAGCGTATGTAAATAGAAACTCTATACCAAATTTCCATGGGATTAACAGTTATTTCAAGAGAACAATCCTCTCAAACGCATTGTTCTAGTGATTATATTCTCGCAATGCTTGGTATTTAATCCATAGTCAGGACCAGTTCCTTTTCAAGATGGATGATTATTCTCGTGTTACCAGAGGTGAAATTCCAGGCTGTCGTGGTAACACCTGAGGTATTGCTGCGGAAGTGTTTTATTGTCCCGGTAGGTTTTGTTGTAAGGTGGGTGAAGTCATTTGGGCCAGCAACACCTCGAAAAATACTTGTCCAAATGCACAATGTGACTCGAACATGATCGAAGAAGCAGGGTTATTATATGGACTTATCTATGACCTGATTAAATTGTATGAACGAAGGCTATGTTTCCATCCCTATGGTTATTGTCTTGGGGACGAGGTATTATGGTTGGTATGTTCACGCGTGTTGTTGGAAACACCAGACAGATTTGAGAGACCCCAACGTGAGCACAACGTAATCTGAGAGGGCAGATTCTTCCCGAACCTGCCTTCTATCTGCCAAAATATGAGAGTTTTGACATGTTTTATTCAAGAAACATGTGAAGGTGTAAGAAAGGGACGACTTGACTCGGGAGGATCCATCCTCTGAACCCTGATATATCCACAAGACAACGTTATCCAATTCAAGAGTGAGCATACTAACCATCTTCTGCAGTTTCGTTAAAGGAAAACTGCCATTGCCAGCTCCAACAAGTTAGTGCTTGCCTGCATGAATAACACTGCGTAATCGGAAAGAACTTGAGTTGAGCCCTTGAATTTAAACTGACTCCAGTTGGTTCTCTCTCTTGCAGCAGTTTGTGTCAGAGGTAGTCCGTGCGTATCCACCACTACTACTTGGTTCAGCCCACCAGCACTAGCCTAGCTTACCTAAATACACCACACTTCTATCTCTCCGTGTGCCTCAACAGTGTGGCTCTCTAAAGACCCCGATATTAAAACTGCATTGGTAGCGGTATTCACTGACATCAATTCAGAGGCTGAGTGGAAAGTTTCTTGGTCAGCCAGGCTTTATTAAGTCAGGAAAGAAGCTATGTAATGTGCCTGGTTGGACTAGCATTCGATTGCAACTAGGAATGAAGAGAAAGACTTGCCGAGATGATCCCGCGTTGTGGGACATGCTAGGTGCGTTAGGAGCATCATAGCCACTGATTCGTAAATTTATATCTGAGTAGTTACAAGTGGTTGCTATACGCCAACGGAACTCAAGGTGCTCGTACTGGCAATTGTCTTACGCGACCCAGCCATAAAATTGCACACGATAGCTAACCTCACGGTATCGGCGGTGGCGTTCGGCAGTGGCGTCAGACGAAATTGGTCAAATATTTGATATATTTTATTGGAAAATTACATCGTAATATACAACAGTTGTATTATAGGAGTTTTGGCTGTTTCGCCTCCTTCTCCACTTCGCCTTGCAGCTAGCAACTGATTTCTATCAGGCCGTAATGTTCATGATTCGCACGTTCTTTGTGCACCCAGTCCGTCGCTGCAAGCCCCCTCCTGGCCTCAGTAAAAGCTCGCATTACTGACACCAGCGTAGATCCAGGTCAACGTGGCCGTCTCAAGCGCGGGCGGCTGATATTCCCCAATGCACCCCTCCTTTTCCAGCTTCAGCATCCATCGCTCGAACGTATCCTTTAATTCGTGGACTTGATGACCGCAAGGTTGAGGGTCTTGCGGCTGTTGTTTGGGCTGGCGAGGGGCGACTTGCGGGCATGTTATGTTTGTTTTGTCGACGACTTCCGACTCGTATTTGACAAGCATACTTTGATGTGGACGACGCAAAAAGTAGTTGTCGAAGTTGAAATTGACATTAAAGTTGTAGTGGTATGGTTGCCAAAGGTCGTAATGCCGCCAGGACAAGCTTTGGTGTTCAGAAGGCCATCTGAGCTTCAGGTTGAAGGCCGATCGTTGGTAGACGACTAGAATGAGGGTCTTCAGCCGCCGGAACTTGGACAAATGCTCCAGAAATTTCGTCATATTTCGTTTCGTTTGCACCGTTTTGTGAAACATGCGTAGATGCAGCCCAGTGTAAAGACCCCACGAAGTCCCTAGAGCAAGCCTGTATATGCTCTTACGTAAGACCTCGATCTGACTGAGGAGGCGGATGACCTTCAACAACCTCTTGACCTGCAAGTACGAGTCCAGAAGGATTATGTCGCGCGACAGGTCGATATGTTTAACAGTTCCAGAAAAGACGAGAGGCTTGTAGCGGCGCAGCACTGCCTGCCGGGCATCGTGGCACACCCGGGCGATGGCTGGAGGTGGCTCATTGCGAACGTCGGCGAACATGAGGCGACTTGCAGGTGTGGACTGAGGGGTAGAAGAGGATGGTGAGTCGATCACTTCGTAGACTCGTGGTTCCGGAAGTGCATATCCCCAGATCTGGTCTCGTAACTCCAACGGCAACCTGGAGAATTGAGGGAAGCCCCCCTGCAGGGACTCAATCATACCTGATGTTTTCGAGTGCGAAATAAAAATAAACAAAAGCAGCACCTTGGAACCTGCCAATCGTAGCGTGCATACACCGCAAATGAGATCTGCAATGAGGTTGTCTCGAGGGTTTATGTACTTTGTAGCCAGAGAAAAGAGCTCCGTGTGAAAGAGCCCCGTGTGGGTTCCGGAGTTCGGCAAGGTCGTTTCCAAGGTTCGGCGTTGCTTCAAGGTTCGTTCCTCCCTGCACTCGATCACCAGAAACGGGGGTGCTTTGACTTGCTCGATAAAAATTGAACAATAGACAATCTAATCCAAGTCGATGTGGATTCGACCAGTGACGAGTTAGAAAATCAACCGGATAACTAAGCAGTACTTAACTAAGTGCGTTTGGAGCCGCGCAGGAGGTTCTGTTTCAATCCGACGGGTCGCACTGACGACCAGGCAAACGCATTGAAAAGCATAGATGCAAACCGGTAAGCGAAATTTAGACACAAGGGTAAATGTGAGTGACCCCTAGATATAATAAAGGGCCCAAAGAATCCCTTCAAGGGAAAGTATGCGGGTTTCAAGCCACTTGACTTTATTGAATACATCAGGTGTATGTGCTAAGGTTGGGGGTACTGGGGGCCTAAAAGAGCCGAATGGCTGTCGAGCGTGGGACTCTCAAAGTGGCCGCGCAATAGAGCAACAAGAAGAAGACTAAAACCTACGAGCAACCTTCCGTTTGTGGGCATAGGGTGAGCCGCCGTTGCACCAAGAGTTCCCATCGGAGCGCTGACATACCGACTAGTCGACACCTCGAGAAGGAAAGCTGTCGGATGGGCATGGCGGACATGGGCATGGCGGACGAGTTGTGTGATAAGTCTCCAGTGTCATGGGTCGCAGAGGCCCCAAGACGAAACAAATCTTAGGTGCGACCCCCGGCCGATAGTTAAAGGCTGCGGCATACGGGGTTGAGCTATAAGTGGAACCTATGGCTGCGCATGAACTCCCCTCCACACCAACGTTCATAGTCGTTTACTGCCATGATGCTGATGCTTGTTGCTGGTGCCGGGGTTGGCTGTCGGTTCCGGCCCACGTGCAGCTATCACACAAGGCCAGTCCGGACTAGCGACGGCACAGCAGCTGACATCGTTTAATCATTGCGTTGTTCCTGCAAGGCGGCGGCGTCTGACGGCTCACACGATGTCCGTCGTTCGTTCGTTCGGTCTTCGTGCAGTTACCGTTTTCATGTTGCGCGACGTTGCAGTGACGCAGCGTAGAAGCTCCATAGCATGAGTGAGAGCGTACAGGATATTCAAACGTCGAAAATAAGCTTAGGAAATTGATGGCAATGCATGTATGTGAGTTGGCAACCCCAGAAGGCTCCTTGACCCTTGACCCCTCCCGGCCTTGACAGCTGCAGATGCAATATGGCAAGAAATGGCAACAGGACTTTTTCCTGACCAGCTAGGATCCGAGTGGTATATTGGCATTGCCAGCATCCGTGAGCAAGCGAAGACGGGTACGAATACTGCGACAACCCCCGATTCCCCTCATCGTCGCCGGCTTCACAAGATTCCGTTGGGCTCGAAACAATGGAACAAAGGTTAGCACGTTTGAATCCCAGTCAAAGATTTCATCATTATGGGTATCGGGCTGTGCTTGTCAGGAGCCCCGAGTTCGAGTTCGGCGGGGCGGCTTGGTCCCAGGGGAGTTTATCAGTTGGCGAGCTAAGGCGGCCCTGGAGCTAAGGTCCTGGGCCAGGGCTTCAGTCCAAATTAAGCAGGCGGTCACTGTCCACTAAGTGGATCTGCCCAGCCACGAACTACAAAACTTGGCGAAGATAATTTGGCGATTCTTGTTTTCTTCCTTTTCTCCTTCGTGCGGCGGCATGACAAGAACAGTTTCCCCTGTTGCTCGAATCCCTTTCCTTCACTGGAATTTCAACGGATTAATTTCTCGTAGCGTCAGTCATTGCCACAGAGTAATCAAAATTGCAGGCCAGCACTTACGCTCTTTCGTCGATTCATCGCTTATGGCTTTGATTGCCGGGAATCGCTGCGCAAAGTGCCGGACATACTTCCGTTAGGAAGGCCACGAGGTCAGAAGTCTGTCCTCAATATGGGGTTATCCGTAGCGGGCGTTGCACCGCATCAGCCTTGTTAGTCATACATTAGGTTGCCGAGACGGACGGTTTCGCTTCTCGTAACGAGGGTACGTTTCGGCCTGTCGGAATAGCAGATTAGAAGATTACTCCTGATAACTCGGTTCCGGGGCTTTTGAGGTGCAGCTCGCAGAAGCAATTGGGCAAAAAATGACGTGAAGAGCATCCAATGTTCACCAAGCTTAAGCCACTGCTGACGTTGAGGTATCAAACCCAAGTCGTGGACAAGCCCCGTTGGTCGGCATGCGGCAGGCAATGTAAGATGAACCTGACGTCTGACACTTGGCTTGCCACACTTATTAACACGCATGACTTGGCTTCGTACCGTACGTACTGCTCATGTGACAAGTAGTCTGCTGTCGTATGGCTGGACTTGAGTGCAAATGGTATATCAAGCATGCCCACAGAATTTACTGTTAGGCCATTCCCAACACCACAACCCGGCGGTGCCTAGGATATCAAAGAGGTTTCTCAGCCGATATTTTCTACTCGCCGGGCTCATCTCCAATCTTCTCAAGCTTGCCCATCTCTCGCTTCTCACCAGACTCTCCTATCAATCGTAATCGGTCCAATCGTACTGTCTCACTGTCGCCATCGCCATCCACCACAAATAGCACAAGGCTAGTAATGTTCTGGAAGCGAACGAATCGTAGGGGGATGCTGGCCGTGCCGTTCTCGTTCCAATCGTCCTCGCCAATCTCAATTTCCTGAGTAGGCTGGATATCCTCAGCTTCGTCAAAGCCCAGGTTGTGCGGGCGGTTAGTGAAGAGCTTGATGGTCGAGGGTCTCATTGGGATGTCATCCTCGTCTTCGTCTTCTTGGGCCTTGGGGGGTAGTGATGTGATCTAGAACTTGCTGTTAGTCATTTACCGCCACCTTTCCTGTAGCGTAAGCTCGAGAGCAGTGGACGCACCTGGATCGTATGTAGCTTGATGGCCGAGTTGAATGGTATGAACAGCATAAGTTGCTCGTCCGTGTCGCTTTCCACCCAATCCTTTTCCTCAGTGCTGCTGCTCTTGTCCAAGGATACAGGCTTGGGTTTCTTGAAGAGAGTGCGCACTGAGAACTCGGTAGCAGCATTCAGCAACTCAGTTCCTCGAATATCGACGATGTCAGATATATCAGCGTATCCTCGAGGCAGGCCTGCGCCAAGCCACGTCATGCCACCACTGCTTCCACCACTGTTGCTAGGGTCCCCAGCATTCTCGATTTCGTTGCTGAGCTTCTCGACGACAGATTTCAGCTTGTTGGGATCGGCGCTCTTGACCTTCTCGACAACATTGCCATCTCGGAAAACAATGAAGGTGGGAAGGGTGGTCACGGCATAAGCTTGTGCGACGTCCTTCGCCTTGTCTCCTTCGGTGTTGACCTTGACAAACGTCGCAATCTTCGGACGGGAAAGGGATGCAGATAGTTGCTCGTAGAAGGGTGCAATCTGCTTGCAAGGTCCGCACCAGTTCGCATAGACTGTCAAGAATTTGTCAGCTCGATAGCGGCAAAAGCGTCATTTCTGGAGGTTGGCATGGTTCTTCATCGCAATACTGATCAAGAGCGCCAGCCGGCACACGTGGAAGCGGCGTCAACAGCAGCCATCGCCCCATGGATTACTGAATTGCATTCTCCAGCGACTATACACGGCCCTCGACTTCCTGCGCGTCGCGACATCGTAATGGCGGGGTAAATGTTGTCAGAAGAGGCAGGTACTCACAGTCAGCGACAACGATGCGTGAGCTGCTGAGCAGCTCGCTGAACTGCTCAGGCGACTGAATCTCCACTGTCTTCGACATCCTGGTCGTCTGCTAGAATAGGCGTCCAAGGGTTGCAAGTTGAATGGTTCCAGGGTGTGCAGATGGTAGGTTGGTCGGTCAAGATTCTAGAAGGCAACCATGGTCGGTGCCACTCCGGCGATCCCTGCCAGGTACCCTAGGCGCGTTACCATATCTAGATTAGCGTTAAAGTATGATGATAAGCCCCGGGATGCCATGCCGTTGACAAGCTCGTGTTTCATGTTTCAACTTCGGAATAAACACGCCGTTACCATATATAAGACCTCGGCCGTTTTGTGTTATAGTGCGCCTTATCCAAATTGTAAGACCACAAACAACCAGTTTCGAATTTACGAGTACGCCGAAAGGGAAGCTCCATTTCTGCTGTCATGCCAGACCAACCACTGCCATTGAAGAGCAATACAGACAGAACACGCCCAGGTGATCAATACGAGGGACCAGCATTCGAGGAGCATGCCTCCTCCACAAACCTGAAGGACCGCATCAGACTACTACTACTCGCTCTGGTATGGTTGCACCTGTTGTGGTGCGCGACCCTGAAACCCCGAGTCTTAACTTTTCGCTGAGACATCCGTAATGGCCAACATATCATCATGGGTTCTTCAAGTCTCCTGATGAAACCACGGAGGAGGCGCAGGTTAATTTGACCAAACTCCTCCTTGAGCTCTCCGGCTACCCGATGGAAGCAAGGTTCTCGACGTTTGATTTGGTATCGACGGCACAAGCCGATCTCGGTAAAGGATCATAACTGTGATGTCACCGGAGTCATCATTAGTGGACGTCAGGTCGAAATCTCCAAGCGGTTGACACTCGCTGAAGTCGCTGCTGCTAAAGACACGACCGCTTCCTCAGATGCCATTCTGTATACGTCAGGCAACGTTCGTTTCAGCGAGCTCGATGCAGAGAAGATGCGGAAGAAGTTTTTATCCATGGGCCCAAACCAGACTTCAACTTTGTGTGGATTTCAGAAGCGTTGTCCCATTTCTCCCACAAGTCTCTGTTCTTAACTTTGGCATTTGTACTGCTCAAGCATGGTGAAGGTTCCAAGCTCGTGATAGCAGACTGGTTCGAAGCGTTTGACCTGACCGCAGAATAATAGGAGGCTGGCATCAATATGATCGAAGAGGGCATTCTCCCACCGCCCTTGTGCACCGCAGATGACTATGTTAATATGGCAAAAAAGCTGTATTTAGAGTGTGTGGAGGCTCCATGGATAAAGCAAAGATGTTGCCAAGACCTGGTATGCTTTTTGCCATCATTCCCCAGCCACTTGTACAATTATTGATAGATTCAAGGACATATCTTGCTTGGTCTCCTGTGTCATCCCCTTCGTTGTGGGCATTTGCTATATCCCACGGAAGAGGTGGCTTGGCATTCTTGCAGGCCTTCCAGGCCTTGCAAGAGGGCGTGCAAACGTGACATTCAGATACGCTATTTTGTGCGTTGAAAAGCCGTTCAAAAACCGTAGACATGGATCACACAACTGGGACACACAAGTATAGATCGCGTGTCACTCCACCGTCAAAAGTACAGACGGGAGTAAAGTATTTGAGCACTTAATCATTCGAGCCTATGGTAGTTCAAACGCATTTCTGTAATGGAGACGTCTGAATACAGTGCCACGGTGACAGCAGTCGCTAATAACCTGACATTGCTAAAGAACAATTATGACATAGGGCCTATAACATACACGATCCTGCCTAAGTAACCGGTTACTTAATTGATGGGACTCTAGGCTGGGGCAACAGAATTACGGCGAACCCAACATCCTCTAAGTGACTGTACGTTACAAAGAACTGGGGATGACGTCAAACCTCCTATCGATAAATTATACCACTGCAAACCGCTATAAAACCATTACACAATTAGCACCTCACACAAATGTATATGTGGCCCAAGCGCCTGCGTAGCTTTCCCCGGCCTTCCTTTGCAATTTCACTGGACGGGCATTGAGGACGTGCTTTATCAATCACATCGGACTCACTATCATCAGACAAGGAGCTGCCAGCATAGGACTCGCCCAGGGTAACTTGTCCTCCGTCGCGTGATTTCCCAGAAAGAGATACATACTAATTTGCTCCTAGATGGTTACCATAATCAAGAAGAGTACGAATGACCACTGTCAACCTCGGTCTCGACTGCCCCTTCCACCTTGAGAAAGTATTGAGACTGGCGAAAGATGGCTAATGTACATCCAGACAAGCCGGCGTTCAACTGCCATCAAAGCGACCGATTCAAGTGTGGTGAGTTCTCACAATTTACATTCTTCTAGGAAATGGACGCTGTGCTGAAGGCTCATTTAGACAGGATCGAGCAGCTGGCGTCGCCCCAAGGGTATTGGTTATGCCGTACCCCGTCCCTTCAGAGGTACTGCTGCCATGCCGAGCGTAAGATCCCTCCCAGCGGGTACCAAACGAATGCTAGCTTGTATACAACCATTGTTGACATTGCATTTACAAGTCGGTTATGGAACAGCTAAGAAGTACCGCCGCTTGGTCACTCTATCCCAGTACCAGCATTCGCCTTCTTTGCTCTACTTCTTTTTTGAGAAAAGTAAATCATTTGCTTCCACTCCTTGTTTCTGTTCCGCCGCACCTGGGGCTCTATGCTAACATCTTACCCCAGATGCTCAACGGCTACCGTGCTTTCCTTGTTCACAACGAGAAAGATGTAGAACTCCTCATCATGTATAATAAGATAGTCTAGCCCTGACAAAGCTAGTCAATATGTCGTGGGGCTGCGATCTTATACGGGCGAGGCTGTTATATACGGTGGTTATCCGTAGCGCGATCGCCTTCGGGGCGACTGCGTGGCATACTATAAGTGAGGAACCGGCAGGGCCAGCTAAGAGCCTGATGGGGATACAGAACGAGTGCCTCCGGGTGGTCTGTGGCGCCCACAAAGCGACGCCGGTTCGCCACCTGGAAGCAGAAGCAGCAATCCCGCCACTAGACCTCTATCTTAGTGCCCGGGCTGCTAAGTTTGAAGAACGGCTACGGCTTAGCGGGAAGAGAAATCTGCTTCGCAGCGCGAGCGCTAAAGCGTCACATATACTCCGGCAGGATAGGCCGGCGAAGAGGAAGCAGGCGTCGCAGCTACTCCGACCGGCAGGTTACACTATGGAGAAGGAGGCCCGGGGCTCCGAGTGGATGAGTGAGGAAAAGGAGGTCCCGGCTGCCTTCCTCGGCCACTGGAGGAAGAGATGGCTCACCGGAGCAGAGCATCACGATCGCCAGCGACGCGCTATCGCTGAGGAACCGGAGGGCCCTTCGATGCAGATACCGAAAGGGGGCAAGTATTTCGGCCTGAACCGACTGGAGGCGTCTACGCTGTGCCAGATCAGGACGGAAAAAATAGGACTAGCAGCCTTCTTACTCAAGACAGGGGCTTTTGGCGTGTACTCGCCGCTATGCCACTGTGGCGACGCCCCTGAGACGGCAGAGCACGTAATCCTCTTTTGCGGGCTGTTGGAAGGACCGAGGTACGGGCCGCTATCGCACCACGGCCACTATACTCTTGCAGAGACCTCGCAACGGCAACAGGAGAACCAGTAGTTAGTGGGACTATTGTAAGGTGGCTGCTAGGGACGGGTCGGACAGCTTCAAGGCCCAGATAGCATCGATCTTCTCAGGGGGGACTTTGTTGGTAGGTTGAGAACCAACGTAGTATGGTAGTGGACGTAACGCAGTCGCCAATAGGGCGAACCGACGACGCAGCGATAATAATATTAAATACGCCGTAGGCTCGGAGCCCCCGGTACCTCTACTAGTACTCCCGTATGTCAAACCGTGCCCTAATGGCTGGACTAAATACATACGCTGCGTCGTCGGTTCGCCCTATTGGCGACTGCGTTACGTCCACTACCATACTACGTTGGTTCTCAACCTACCAACAAAGTCCCCCCTGAGAAGATCGATGCTATCTGGGCCTTGAAGCTATCCGACCCGTCCCTAGCAGCCACCGTATTTAATAATAATAATAATAAGATAGTCTCTGCTCGGTACATCTCACTCGCATTACCCCCAGCTAATGCTCATTGCTCCAAGCAGGTGGAATAAAAACGAGGATGCAATGATGTACATGGGAGATTTGCTGATGCATATCTGCTAGGGCTGCTCATGGCGTGTCTTCGCGCAAGAGAATTGGCATTCTCAACAAGGCCAAGACTCTCGGTGTCAAGGCGGGCACCTGCCATCTTGTAGAAAACCGAACGTTGCACTAATTAGAACCAGGTCACAAATGCCACGGGCAGGGCGATGACCGAGATCTAGGCAGGTTGCGAGGTTGGGTTTGTAATAGCGAAATGATGTTTTCTCGGCCTTTTTGGTTGGGATTTCAGTGGTACGCGAATACTACTTGAGCAACGCTGGCTTATTAGTGTATTAGCGTGACAATTCGGAAGCTTCGTGGCTCTTGGTACAGGACATGTTCCGGAGATGATGCTGGGAACTGACACCAGTTGCTATACGAGGCTGCGTGACTATGAACAGAAGGAAGAAGAATCAACGTCGGGTTTGCCAGAATCTGCGTAGCTCAATTCAAGACCTTTGCCATGTTTTGCGAGCGCTTCCCATAAACTTATTCCGTGCTTCAGGTTCAAGTGATCCTCGAGCGACTTGCTGCTTTCGTATGCTCGATGATAACCCTCCCATCCTGTCCCTGCTTAACACACATACATCGGCGTTCACTCACCAGCACCACTGGCGTTTTCTCTAAGGTCCAAAGTCCTTGTATGGTGAAAAATGTCTCGGCGTTTGTCATGATCCAGCCGGTGCATGTGTAGCTTCCCTACTTACCTAGCAACGCTCTCATGCCCCTACAGTATGACTAAACACCTTCGCCGCCAACTGCGTTAACAGCGTCGCCCTCTCCGCTTGTGGCAGCGCCTGAAAAACCTCGTAAACGCTCTTACCCTTCGCATCCCTGATCGCTCCCAATCTATTCCCCGCCACGGCACCCGCCATCAGCCCTGGGAAATTCGCCAATATGAACCCGAGCACCCCCCCCGACGCCGCACCCGCCACACCCCAGAACCTCCCCGTAGGCTTGTTGTTCTCCCCAGCCAGCCCTTGCTCCCGCAGCATCTCCTCAAACACGTCGCTGAACTGTTCCTGTTCGGTTTCTTGCCGTGCCTGCTGCGTGTTCTTCGGGTCCTTGGTGCCCATGAAGAAATTCCAAGCCCACGAAGGGAAAGATTGCGCACCGGCTCCTGCGCCTGCGGCCCCACCGAGGGGCACTTCCTCGTCGATGTCGGCGTCGTCGAAGGGGTCTGAGTAGCTTGCGCCGCCGCCGGCGGATTTTCTGTTGTTACCGCCCGTGAAGCCGTACATCTTGCGCTGGGCGTCGTATTCTCGTCTCCGGGCAGGGTCGGAGAGGGTGTAGTAGGCATCGTTTACGAGTTGGAATTTGCGGGTGCGCCGTTCGCGCTCGGGGGAGTCGGTGGGGACGCGGTCAGGGTGTGTTTTCAGAGCTGCTCTGTGGTATGTTTAAGTAAATAAAAAAAGCTAAGGAGAACGTGACTTCAAGTTTCTTACCGCTTGTAGGCATCGCGAATCTGTTGCGTCGTGGCCGACTCGGAGACCTCGAGGATCTTATCTGTGATACGGGTCAAATCATGAGTTGATTGGAAGGTAGCTACGAGTCGACTTACAGTAGTTTGGAGGAGTGCCACTCATTCTAGAAATAGATTTGCTTATTCTGGGGATCTTTTATATGAGAATGATAAGATAGGATGATTCTAGACCGGAAGGTTGCTGTAGGAAGCGATGGATTACGATGTAAGTCAATGAGCTTGGGGTGTAGAGAGTTGCGGGTAAGTATCCAACGTCACTTTGTGGCTAGTAGACAGCTGCTTCCGTGGCTTATTTGACATGATTCGCCACACGCTACATATGATTCTGCCCAAGTCCACCGCCTGCTTTAAGCGCTCGATTGCGCTATGGAGGCCCGTTTTGCAGCGGGCCAGGCATTGCCAGCAGTCGAACGATCCCCGTCTGCATGGGTTTCTCACACCGACAATTCGAGTGGCTGGGCCCTGATAATAGCTGCGGAGCGTGGAGCGGCACTGTACCATCGCCCAAATTCCCCGTTATCGTGCGAAGAATTCCCTTGTCAGGCACAGGATCGAAAAATAGACTCCGTTGACTTCCCCGTCCCCTCAGCTGCCACTTAGAAGAGGGTCCCGGGTAGAGTCTCCCGTCCATTTGCGGGCTTTTCACTGAAGGAAGCTATCGTAGCTCCTCTTTACTTTACAGGCTGAGAGCTCTCGTGGCGATCCAAGCTTTTGCCTTCTCAGAGCGCTGTACGACCTGTGTGTCTGGTCTAGGTAATTGACAATCGTTGCCGTACGACAGTCAACCCCACGATCCATCACGCAACTAGTCGATCTGATCGCTCTGCAGTCCCACCACAGCTCAGCGCAGCGGCTGAGACATTCACTTTAGACAGCACCAACGATGGGGTTCTGGGACAGCTGGGACGGAGCGTCCGTCGTCTCGGGCAAGACATCGTCGTCGCACAAGCACAAACACCACAAATCCTCCTCGCACAAGAGCCGCAAGCGCTCCAAGTCCCGCTCCCCAGCCCGATCCCACTACGGGCACTCGACGCCGGCAGACAAGATCGCAGCGGACATCTTTGGGAGTGGGAACAGCCACTACAGCAAGCACAACAGTTCGCGGAGCTCTTTCTTCAACCTAGGGAACAACAATAGTAGCCGAAGTCTCTTTGGAAACTGGGGTATGTCTTCTTGACTTATCTTGTCTCAGGATCCCAAGCCAAAGTCCAAAACAACAACACATGCGGCTGAAACAGTTCATATGGCTAACCAAAACTCTTTGAAACAACAGGCCGCTCCTCCTCCTCCTACTACAAGCGCCAGCCCCGCTCCAACTTCGTCCAGCGCATGTACAAGCAATTGAAGCGCCTCCTCCGCGACCTCATTTACTACGCCAAGCGACACCCGATCAAAGTCTTCATGCTGGTCATCATGCCGCTCATCACGGGCGGGGCCTTAACCGCGCTGTTAGCCCGCTTTGGCCTGCGCCTCCCACCGGGCATTGAACGCATGCTCGGCATCGCTGCGCGGACCGCCGGAGGTGGCGGCAGCATGGGGCTCATGGGCGAGGCTGTCCGCATGGCGAGCGGTATGGGAGGGTCTGGCAGTGCGACCATTGAGCGCGGGCGCGATGGCCACGTGCAGTGGGAGCGCAGGACCGTGGACCAGGATGCGCGGGGTGGAGGAGGGTTTATGAGCAGTATTGGGAGGATGTTTTCGTAGACTTGGTGATGTGCCCTGTTTAGGCGTGAGGGATTCGGGTTGGAAATTCGGGTTGTACGTTTCGATTCTAAAGTCTACGTTTGGCGTATATTCCCCATCCCTTTGTCTTCTTTCCTTTGGAATACACGTAGACTTAAGATAATGACCGACAATGAGGCGAGAGAACACTCAGCAAAATTTGGATACACCGTGGGCTTAAATAGATACCTTTTCCACATGAATTCAAGGTGACGTACCTTGCAAGCATTATCGGGCACGGCACTTTCGTATCTTCCATACTCATGTTGACAAAATCAAATGAAACATAACACGATATGACAGGAAATAAGAATAATTGAAAAAAGTAGGCCTATAAATGCCGGCAATACGCGACAGTAGGAGAAGAGACCCTCTGCCTTTAACGCAGCCAGTCAGCAGGAAGAAGCTACCTCCCCTTTCGCCTCCTCCCACCTCCACCGGCGCCAGCAGGTTTTCGCTTGCCAGATGAATTCTTAGACGAGGATCTCTTGTCTTTTGTGCGCCCAGACTCAGGAGAAGGCGGGTTCTCCACGACAAAAATATCGTCAGGAGTCCTGCCGCGAACGATATTGGCACCATTGCCCACATCGTCACTGGCAGTGTCGTCTTCTTCCCCGTCTTCCTCGCTGGATTCCTCGTCATCCACCTCCATCTGACTGCTCCTGGATGTTGCAAGAATAGGCCTGCGTAGCATATGGCCGTATCCAGTGTCCACGGATCCCGACACGTTTTGTCTCGCAGCCGCAGCGCCTTGGATATGCGATACGCGCGGGCCCGCAGTCTGATACTGGAAGGGATCCGGCCGTGAATTGCCGGAAGATGAAGACCGAAAGTCGCCTTGATCCAGCGGGTAAGGAGGTAGAACAGTAGATGGTCGTGCTGTTGTGTCGGAACCTTGCCGCTGATTCGGGGCTTGCACATAGTTATAGTTGAAAGGGGATGAGCCCCTATGTTTGGAACTAGGGCGTGAAGAAGACGTCGCCGGGTGATGAGTGCGTGGGGCATTTGGCGGTGCGAAAAGGCCTATTGGTGGTGTAGGTCGTGATTGATTGTTCACTGATGCAGGAGATGGATGCCGAGGCAACGCATCGTTCGACCCTGATCGAGTACTGCGACGGTCAGGAAGCTCCAACTGTGAAAGAGGCACAGAGTATCGTTGCTTCCCTTGTCGTCTCCTGTCGCTGCCGCTTGCACTGGAAGCGTACCCTCTTCTAGCTGCGTCTGCTTCTGCCTGCATACGTCTTCGTCGCCGCTCGAGAGCCGCGAGTTCCTCCCGGTTGAGCTTAACTTCCGGCTTGCCCTTCTCTTTTGCCCTCCGTATCCTGGCGTATGCAGACTGAACCAGCGCATCTTCAATTTCCCTTGGCATACTCTGCTCGTCGTCTTCAGTGTCATGTTCGAAGCTCTCCTCCGAATCCTCTTCGGTGGAATCGTCATCCAAATCCTCATGCGGATCCCGGTAAGCGTAACCCTTGCGTAACCGCCCACCATTTCCGCCGCCCTGACTGAGATCAGTCCCCGTGAACTCGAGTCGATCGCTGGCAAACCGTCTATTAATTCCAGCGCCTTGTACATCTGTATCGTCGCTGTGCAACTCCTCCACTCTTTGACCCAATCCCCAGAATTCTTGGTCCCCCTCGCGAGGCGCTCCCCATCCTCTCCTCCCCTGGCGCCTCGATGGTCTTCCCCATTGGGGCGCAAATTTGGGAGCTCGCGGCCGACCATCTAGACCGCCTCCCCAGAAAAAGCCTCATCAATTGGCTTGTCCATCAGAGCAGCGTGGCCGATAATGACGACGCCGCTCGCACCGAGCAGCCACAGGACAGTGCTGAAAGTCGGTGCAATAAGAAAGAGAATACCGGTAACCACGAAGAGGCCGGTGTAGAGCTGAGACGACGTGGCGTGGAAGGTTCCGATAACGAGGTCTTCTCCGCCCAATCTGCCCAAAATCCACAGGCCGGTGACGAGCAGCGCGATGTCAAAGAGCAGCAATGGGGTGGTGATGAGCGCGTAGAAGCTCAACACGAAGAAGACGAGCAAGTAGTTGCTCGAGAACTGGCCAAGGTTGTAGTTGACACGAGATTGCATCTCGGAGAAGTTGACGGGTTTGGAGACGCGCTTGAAGTCGAGGAACTCGCCGACGGGGCGCAAGTTGGAGAACCGGTTGGACAGCGACGTATTACGAAAGCCCGAGAAGCGGTCCTGAATGTTCAGGCGCGACGTCAGGGCGTCAAGCGGGATCTGTATGCGAGCCATTGTGACGTTGGTGTGTGCGTGTGTGTGAAAGGGTGTTGTTCGTTGGATTGGAAGAATAAGGTACGATGTTGGTGTCGGGGAGACGCGAGGCCAGGTAAGATTCCCTGAGAAAGTCTAGACTGGCAAAACCCGTTTGTGATGAGGTGTAAATAATGCTGATCGCCTAAGGATGATTGGCAAAAGTTCGTGACCGTGAGAGGCTGCCTCAGAGGCTCGAAAGATACTGCAAGACGCGTAATGGGTGTAGAGATCTGTCAAGATTGGAATCAGCCAAGATTCGGACCGGTTTGGCAGCGGCAATGCGGCAGCCCCATCCAGGGCTGGAAAGGGAAAAGCTTGTAGCTTACTTATCAGCTTCCCTGGGGTCAATTGGCTGGCACAGCAGATGCAACTAATGCTGCTTCCGAACGAGGGAATCTTGAGTGCGAGAAAAGTCGCGAAGAGGTGCGAGCGTCGTACGGAGCTGGAAATCGAGATTGAAGACGCCGGATATTTTGATCTTAATGATCGGAGGGTCTGGTTCGTCAGACACAACGTCTCGAAATTTGCGCTGCCGACCTGGGCAGCCGGAGCCCGCGGTGATGATTTGCGCTAAAACAAGGCCAAATCTGGAGACCACCCCTGACAGGTCGCTTGTCGATATGAGGAAACGCTTTTCGCGTCCCTGTAACTTCTCCCCAGCTTTCCCACGAAACTGTCTGAGGAGAGAGGAGGGGGTAAAGAAGAAAGAATGAGGAGATGAGGAGGAGGTGCTTGAAAATCCTTTAAGAAAGAACTTTGTCCCCCAAAAGCAAGCATATGCAGGCCGGTTGGCGGTGGCCTTGGAAGCTGCACCTACGCTTACAAGGACAGGTCCAGCACGGGTAGAATCACCGACCGCCCTATGAAGCTCAGGCCACATCCCGTATTCCTGCCCAACAACCAACTTCCAACATTTGCAATGATCCATCCGCCAGTTGATATGCCGCCTCACTGATTCTCTGGTATAAAGGCGGCAATCCGATAAGCGGCTAATGTCACGACAAGTCATTGACACGACAGCCTGCTAGCTCCTTAAACCCTGCAAGCGCCTTGCCTTTATGAATCCCCCTCCATTAACACAAACGACGACTTTATATCCATATCGAGGCAGACACCATCATTTGCCTCGTAAGATACGCAAGTGTCCAATACACTTTGTATCACCCTGGCCATATTAAAAGCCCGAAAACAGTCTGTAAGTTCTTAATACAGGTGCTAAGGTTACCCCCCAATGTGTCTAGCGAAGCTGTTTTCTCAAACTCTTCCTGCGGGCTTCGGGAATGATATAAAATTAACACTTATAGAATTTCGGGTTGGAAGTGAGGTTCAATTCTCTACATGCTGCTTGTCTGGACAATCTGAACTATATACATAGGTAGAGTTTACCCCGCCTCCAGCGCTGTTTCAGGTGCATTTCGGACACCTGTATATCTCCAAGCGAGTGCAGTACTAGATACTAAATATTGCTGACAACACTAAATAATGCGGGAAGGTGGGTCATCTAAGTCATTACTACCTCTGGATTTGACTTCTTTTCCTGGCATTATTTGCATGTACTATCAGTGGCTGCTCCGGGTTTATTGTTACTTACACCGTTGGAGCACCCGTCTAACTCGCCGCATGAAAAAAAAGAAACGCTAGGATGGCTAGGTGATATTAGGGGGATAGGCACGCAGACCGCTTGATCATTGACTGCACAGTACCGTATGCAGCAGGTTCATAAACAGTAAAGTTGTGTTCTCATTTTAGCCATGTGTTCCAGAGATCCTGTTTCAAGGCAAGACAGACTGTGTGCCCTAATGATGCTTTCTCAACTGCAACCACATTCGACTATTGAGCTGTATATCAATTACCTCGGCACCTATCATATTGACTGACTTCAGCCTTAATCAAGAGCTTACAATTGTAGTTATTCTAAGCTTCGCCACTCGTGTAATTACCAGCTTGCCTGAACTGCTGACTTGAAACTTGGACTAGAGTTTTTCTGGGCCTCGAGGTTGGCATGGCAGTTTTGTACATATACGTCTTTGATTGCCAACAGGCCAGTTGAGCCAAGGCAACCCATTGTTCCTCCTGATGGTATTGTTACTTTCCTTCGCATCCTCGCAAAGGGTACGAAGATTGTGTCTTCCAAGGGAGCTACAGAATACTAGTTTTGCGACACCTCAGATATAGTAGACACTTGTATCTCTGCAAAAACAATGGTAGGCCGACTTTCTCATCCTGATTTTCGCTCATTATCCCTACTATCGTCCAATTAACCTTACTGGAAACGTAATGCGCCGTTCAGTCAAACCAAGGCCCATGACGGTCTAGTTACCTCGAGTGTCACGATGACACTCGATGGCAATAAGCTCGAGGCAGCGCAGAGTTCCACAGGCGGGGACAGCCCCGACCTTAGGAAAGGGAACCTTACTTACTCACGTGCTGTGGGCCAGAAAATACCGATATGACGGATCTAGCCGGCGTTGCGTCCGATGCCATCGAGAAATTTCGGTAAAGTCCAACTCTGGTCCTGGCAGTGAGTCCACCTCTCTTCATTAGAAACACGGCAGATCCTGAACCGATTGTTCCCGTATTAAAACAGGTACGGTTTCCAGGTGCGCTCGCTTGCTCGTTTGGGGTACCTGGACTGGGAAATAAACAGATTTGAGGACGGGCGCGAAGGCCCCTAGTGGCACCAGCGTACAGGAGTAAGATGAATTAAATGTTTCCCAGCAAATTTAATTGCGGATGTCACCCGGAAGCTGGAGACGTCCAATTTCGGATTATCGCGCAGAAAACATGGTGGATAGAAACGAATGGTCGTTGTTCTAAAGAGGGGTTGTTCCGTGATGTGAACAGTCACTAAATACCAATTGTAGGGTTGATATGTGTGCTCTGCTGATTTTAAATCCTAGGCAAAGCTCAATGAGGAAAGAGATAGAAATTACGACAAGTCTTGCAGTCGATTTCGTTATGAACTTTCACACGTAAATGTGGTTCCTGGTACACGCAAACCTTGGACTCTCGGGAATCGGGATCACATGCAATTAGGAAACCACCATTCAACCATAATAAATTATTTGAAGAGTAGAGTCCATACATGTATACGTTGGGATTGTGCGATCATGTTAAGGGTTTCTTAATTGATTCGAAGAGTGCTGCACTAGTGTGCTACGTTTTATCATAGGCAGGTCTTTTGTCTATAGTTGTATTATGCAGACTAGAAGCTCTCTGTAAAAGTAAGAAGTAAAACCAACTATTTTTTTCCCATACCACAGCCATTTCCAACGTTATCGAGGTGCTCCAGTAACCTTTGGTTTGCGCAAAGCAGCAGAAGGCTGACTGCGATTAGTGGTCCTTTGCGATTAGAGGATTGCGGAACGGCTTCCAATGTGTCTGGCCTGGAGTATTTTTCCAAAACAAGAGGATAAGTCCTTGCTGACACTGGTGTCACGGACTTGTAGTGGATTTGCTTACTAAACCAACCAATGTTCCATGTGAAACAACACAGTTCCTTCCACCCGTTAAAAGGTAGATATCTCAAGGATAAATTTAGTGAATCTGGTTATTTTGACCATTGCCCTTCGTTGTATGTGGTAAGACCCTCCAATGAAGCCCGGGCCTCTGCGGCAATACCGTTGCCAGTGAAATGTCATGTAGAGCTGTGATCGAGGATACCAGGGTGGTTCAACTGTTTGCACACTCATAAAGCGAAGCATGTTGATCTGGCCGTGAGTAAGGGTTTGGAGAATTCCCAGCATCTGCTGAGATGAGCCGACGCTGAAGATTAACTACTTAGCCATGACGATCCAATTATGTTGCGTATCTGGCGACAACTGTGCAAATGTGTCAATTCCTCGTCATGGTCTCTTCAGTAGTCGTTCTGGGCTCTCTGCTAAAATGCAGCATGATGAAAGAAAGAACCCATCGGTACATTGCATCTCGAATTCCTTATGGAAGCTGAAGGGAAGGGGCTTTCGGTTGATAAACTGGCCCTGTGTGGCCGCTATCCGTTTTATTCTGTGCCATTTTGAAGGGAGGTTCTAGGATCAGCTCAAGTTGGGTGCCGTCGGAGATGGGAATGGATAATTTTGTGTTGATTTGGGTACTTGTGAGGCTAGGTCAGATTAAACTCAAGTGTTCGACCTAGATAGATGGGTTCTCAATTCAGATTGTCTGCCCTGGTACCCCCTTATAGAAAATTATAGTATTGCGTGCCCCAGGCACACCGCCTGTGTGCTAGGTGCAGCGCTTAGGCCAATTGCCCATAGATAGCCCTTCTGTAGCTGCAGCCTTTGGGACTTAGTCCCATCATCATCACCAATACAACCAACCATCTTGCCTGTATTACCAACACGCAGGTTTCGAGATAACAGGGAATGCTGAACAACATGGCAGTGCAGGCGGGACTGCCCATTATAATCGTCGAAACGACCCACAATGTTCACGGAAAACCTAAGGCATACTTCTTCCCGTGGCGAGGCAGGATTTACATTCAAGTGTCTGAGGCAAGTGCTGCCGAGTGGGTATGCTTTACCATCTACACTCAGGTCTTGATCAGATTATCCAAATAAAGGCAAGCCAATCACTCGCTTCATAAAGTACTGACAGCTCATCGCTCTCTTCGTTGCAGATTGACAGCTGCCTAGAACAGTCCCTCACAATAGTGGCATCTCGAAGGCAACTATCAAATAAGTTTTTTTGACAATAGGCATCCATACAGAGTGAGTTGAGCTTGATGATACCATGGTAAGGGCTACATTAACATTTGTGAAGTTAGTACGAGATCTATTCTTCCGTCACAGCTTAGAGTCCGCTTACGCAATAACTCAAGCCTATTCACAGTGGTAAGTGTCAGGATACGGCTAGGCCGAAGGCAGTAGTACAGAGTGACGGGGAGTAATAGGTGTCCCTCCTGCTTAGCACCTGTTGGTCACTGGCGGTCACTAGCGGTCTCAGGTAGGGGTGCTCAAAGTGGTTCATTGATCTCTAACCTTCCTATCTTCTTCCCGGATACCTTCCCTTACATAGATAGCTAATGCGCGGAGTCGGAGCCGTAGAGCACTAGTTCCTCCGATTCTTCCATATACCAAGACTTCCATATTAGGCCATGACTCGCTGAGTAACAAGGAGGGTCCAGTGGAATAACTGTGCTTATAATACATTAATGAATATGCTGACAGACTGTTGACCATATTCAATTTTTGATTTGTAATAAAGCAGCATTAAGCTCCTGAGTTAAAGCAGGCTGGCTCGGATGTTCACTGGAAGTTGAAGACGCAGAACTGGTACCGATATTTGTGGAAGCGGTGGGGGCCATTGGATTCTGAATAGGGTAATTAGTGTGAAATGACCAGCCCTTTGAAAGTCCTGGTGGTCTCTTTAGCGCGCCTCTTGGCGTTAAACTTGCATAAACAGCTTAGAATTGGCTGGGGAATCCGGAATTGCCAGACTGTGAGTGCTTTACTAGTAAAACCCTGGTGTCCTTTTTTGGTAAGCTGGCTGTTAGTAATTATTAGTAATTATTTGTATTGAACTTTTACTATGCAAGGTTAATCTGCGTACGTTGATTTGAAACTATCTCGAGGCTCGTGAGAATCTGTTCAACACTAAAACTTTGCTTGACGTATAGATAGACCACGGTACCCCTGTGGAAGTTCCAGCCTCTTGTAAGTGGTGTAGCGCCTGAAGCACCAGCCAGAGCCGTTATTGGATTGTGGGCAAATAGTCTTGTATTGAAAATGTCATGATCTCTGGACTGTCCTTAAAGAAGTGAACAGCGGCCATAAGGGCCTTACATAGACAGGAATGAACGATGCCTGTCCCACAGGCAGCACTTGTGTAGTTCGATAGGTGATGGTCATATCTCCTTCCAAGACTGGTAGTCTTGGTGTAGTAGCCTTGAAGGTCCAACAGCCGTGCCAACAACCGATTTGAGAAGTGGTACTGATATGAGACTCTGTAGTTCTTAATATCTCTTGAACATCTTTCTAGGACAAAGTGGAAGCTGAAATATTTTATGTTCGAAACATGCCAAAATGGATATGGACTATTTGACATGGGTTTCTTGTCTGGTTGAAGAGTATGAAAGGTAGACAGGCTTTGGTGTGATTTATACACCATAGTCAAAAGGAGAGGAAAACAAATGCCGTAGCCAATCCCGTAGAACGTTAACCTCATCTGGGCCAGGCGTCTGTACACTCCGCACGTGCAGTGCGTCCTATTGGCCAACATAAGTTAATTATGTAAGTAAATATAATGATGAATAAAAAGGAAGAACAAAAGTCAGCTGGGCATAGGCTCCGAGAAACATTCCTGAGGTTCCCTTCGATGCGTATGCGCACATGGTAAATGTGGCTGAGTTATAAACGGAAGCAATTCAAGACAAAAGTGCGAAATCCTTTAGACCAAATACAATGTTATAGTATATTCCTGGGTAGGGCTATGTGGAGGCTACTTGGATGACGTCTCTTGCTATTATGGTCTGTTAGAATGTGGGTAACCCTCACAAATTAGGCTACATGAATGATTGTTCGCACGTTTTCCAACCCGAAGTCCGCTATGAATGCCTCAAACTTGATGTTTGCCTGTGACAAGGTCCATTGTTACGCGGTTGCGAAAATAACACTCGGTCTGCCCCCTATCCCACGATCAAGGATTATGTGCGCAGATCATCATCATAAGCACCAAGAGAAACCCTCAAAGCCTTTCAATTTGGACCCGCAGACGTATCCTCTCATTTAAGCATACCATAGCATAACCTCGAAATACCGTTGCATATCTATTTGGCAGGTGCAGGTAACCTTTTACACTAACTACCAGCGGGAAGAAGAATCATTTTTCTAACCTAGCTTCACTTATTCTCGCAGGATGGATTCGTTGCTGTCTCATTAAATTAGTCAGTCGCTAGACTATAACCTCACATCATGTTGGTTTGGGAGCGCAGGTACTAGCTCCCGGACACCGCATCGGTATGCAGCCAACATCAATTTTTATAGACCAATGGAAACATGGTATTGATTACAATGAAGATCCTTGCAGCATCTATTTTAATATTGTGCCACACATATGAGCACCAAACCAAAAGGCAAGGGGTGACGAAAATTGCCGGGAAGGTAGGGGCTGAACTGAAGCAATGTTTGTATACAGCACAGCACAGCACGCGCCGCACATGCAAGGGATGCCCCCATCGTACGACTGCGCACAGTAATAGCAAACACACAGGCAGAATTGATCAAAATCTCCTTTAGATACTTCTTGGCTCTCTGTATTAGCAGGGTTCATTCTGACAATAAAGGTCCAGATCTCGCCTTTCTGGGACGTGCAGCCCCACGCATCTTTCCCATCTGGCCTCTGAAGTGCTACGAACAAGCCTGAACCGAAACCATATCTATGGAACTGGAAGAGTCAGTACCGCACGGTACTCTATCGCCGCTCCCGCAAGCCTACCGCCATGGTCTGATCGCCGTGGCACTCGCCTCATTCCTGTCGTTCGTATCTACGGCGCTACTATTCCTCTTCCTCACCCACAAACTCCTACTACCTTGTCCAAGGCGAACACGTTGTCCAACAGAGCACAACTTCACGACTGCCGAAATTCCAATCCAACTGGCCCATGGAGAGCCCACCGAGGAACACTCCCAAGAAACTGCCCCCCCGCAAACGTCGCGCAACCCATTCCCTATGCTCATCTACAACTTACTGGTGGCCGATATGCAAGATGCGTTGGCTTATGTTCTTAATTTACACTGGCTTATTTCCGATGGCATTTTCATCTCATCACCTGTGTGCTGGGCACAGGGCTGGCTTCTCTCTAATGGCAAACTGGCCGCCAGTCTTTTTCTTTCGGTTATTTCGGCCAATACGTTTCTCACCGTGGTTCACGGCTACAAACCGACAAGGTGGGCCACATATACTTGCATCTTATGCATCTGGATCTCTGTTTTTACAGCCAGTTCCGTTGGAATCATTGTCACAGAAAATGGCGCTTCCGGTGGTGGTTGGTACACGAGGGCCAATACGTGGGTGAGTTGAAGGATTGGATCCTTCCATCCCTTTTCGCGAAGCATGAATTTTGGAAAACTGATACCATATATACGTTTGAAGTGCTGGATCAACTCCGATTACGAACCCTCCCGCTTGTGGACCCATTACTTTTGGATCCTCACCTCGATAGGAGTGACAATGCTTTTATACGTATGGACACTTTTCACGCTGTGGCGCCAGAAACGCTCGTCGCGTTTCCTACCGCTAAGGAATTCAGCGCCAACTTCGGTGGGAAAGAGAAATGCCTCCGGTCACCACCCAGCGTTTCTTGCTTACCCGTGCCTCTACATTATATGCACTGCTCCCATTGCCGTGCTACGCGTTGCTAATATGGCCGGTGTTAAGCCTAATACTACAACCTACTGTTTCGTGGGGACACTTGTTGCTTGTAATGGCTTCTTCAACTCCATCCTCTGGACTGCCACTATCCTGTTCAGCGCCCCACAAGACATCCGCGATGCGGGACTATCCGAGTTTGCTTTCGTCAGGACTCCCGCTCGACCATTTGGGAACACTATTTGGATTCATGGGCCGGCGAGCAAATACAGTGCTTCTGCCATTGAGAACGGAAGAGAAAACGGGCCTAGGTGGTGGTGGTGGAATCTGGGCGGGCAGACGGGGTGGGGTAATAAAAGGAGTCTACGGCAGGTGAATAGATGGCCTCGTGGTGTCAGCCAAGATGCGCTATGGGGCAGTATTTTTGATGAAAATTGTATTCACATCGACGTTTCGACGAAAGTTATCGTTGAGCAGATAGAGGATCCGAAGACTAGTTCCGAGGAGAGCTCGGGAGGAAAACAGCGGGAACGAGCGGTTGGAAGTCTACAGTTCTGAGATATTGAACGTTTTCTGGTTTGCAGGGTATTATACATTCAGCAATTTATCTTAACGACGACTTCCAAGGAAGCCGCAACTCATCAACTATTGGAAATGGTGCCAGTGCTTTGGCTGCCGTGAGAAGGTACAGCCTGTAATGGCTAACATTCGAGCCGAACAAATCACGCGATCTCCGGGTTGACAAGCAAAGGCTCCTTAGCATCGGCAACTTCCACCTCCTCTGCCTCCAACTTTCTCTCCTTGCCGTCACGCACCCATCGCTTGACAGCATTGACGCCGAGGCCAAAGTAGAAAAGGCTATAAGTCAAGCTTGTCAGCACGCAACTCCTCTCAAATTGGCTCAATCCATCTCACAAAACCAAAAATTAAAGAAAGATCCAGTACTCACAAAGCAACCAGCGCACCAATGCTAGCATATGCCACACCGAGCTCCACCCTCACCTCCCGCTTCGCCTGCAGGGTAGTCAAAACATATATCCCCAAAAACATCAGTCCCAAAACCACATCCGCCACCGCCACAAACAAACTCGACCTTGCCTTCATCATCAACTGATACCTCCTCCTCAAAGCAGCCCTCTCCACGTCAGTCAAAGCCCCCCGCCGGGCGCAACTGCCCTGGCCTCCGAGGTGCTCGTAGACATGTTTGTTAAGCCTATGGACGTGGAAGAGGGCGACGAAGTTGTAGACGAGGGAGGTGGCGAAGAGAAAGGCGAGGAGGCCGAAGAGGGATTCGGGGCGACTCATCTGACAACCTGGCTTCTCGCCTAAGGCGGCGGCGGCAGCGGCAGTCAGGACTTGTCGGCTGCGGTAGACGGAGTACGAGATGGCCAGTGCGATCATATTGTTTAGTGTTAGGGGCCCGCGGAGAAATTGCAGCATGGCGCTGGGCGGATGGGGGCCGCGGGGGCAGGGGCCGTCGAGGAGAAGATTATAGTAAGGGGGCATGGTTATGTTGATGGTTTGTTTGACACTTTATTGGTTGTTGATTGAGTTGAGGATGATAGGATGATAGAAGCCAAACCTTTGGGGTATTAGAGGAGCATGCAGATATATAGGGATCCAGTGCGCCGGGGATACGTCAGCTGTAAGCCTGCGCGTAGCTCCGAGTGAAGTCGGCGCAAAGTAAAGGCCGCGATGACCGCCACTGCTTACGCATGCTACATGCGGTCATTTAATGGCGTGAAGTGATGGTTTTCACTCCTTTTGAGGCAGTTCGAGGCTGCGCTAATGTAGACTGAGGCACTAGGCTCGTGCCAAATGTGTTGGTCGGAGGAGAGGGTGGGGGAATCGTCTGGCCGATAGGCAGCGATACGAATCCCGTGGAGAAAAGTATTAGTACTATTCAAGTGAGCATTTGCCATCTAAACCCCTCATACCTAAAGGACAACATAAGAAGAAGAAAATGAACAGCATACAGGTCAGTAGCCTTTAGATTGTGTTTAACTGTAAAAGAAGGTGGCTTTACTATACTTTGGCCAAAACTATAATCCAAAGACTCGGCCTCAGTAATAAAGCAGCTCGTCCTCCTTGCCTTGTTCAGGTCCATGTCCGTAAACGCCCTCTCGTAAGAAACATTTGGGCAGCCGTTGACGAAATATAACTAGAGGCCGAAACTTGGTCATAGTGTCCTGAATACCTTGTGCCCATAAATGAGCTTGGTCAAGTATTTGTCAAGCCATATTAAGCTCCCCCTCCGCAGTCCACGGACCCTTCCACATGCCCTCGATATCATGGAGCATGGATATACCTCATTGTTTCTTCACGGACGGTAAGCACGGATGATGAGTATCCATTCATTCCATACTCAAACCTTGTAGATTCCTTCACTCCAGTGACTGACTTTCTCGGCGAATGAATCTGATAACAAAATGATGCCGAAGGCGATTTTTCATTCCGTATCTCGTGGTTCCTGCGATTATTTTCCCTCTTGCTATAGATCGTACATGCTCCTAATGATTGTGTGGTCAGAGCAGTCACGGTAGGGCGTGGCCGGACTGTCCAACATACGGGAACCTGGCGACATACTTGGAAGCGACTTAGATGTTGAACATCATTAGGCAGACCATTTATTCCTTCTTTCCCTGGTCGAAGTGCTCCGGATTACCATCCCCATCAGGGCTCCAATAATATCTGAGGCGAGATTTCCTGGAAAGGACGGCAAAAAGCCGCGCCGCGATGCAGTCCGCCTGGGCTTTCGCGGCGTAGGCTAAGGGTGCTGGGATGAGATTGATAGGAATTTCATACATATTCGCCCAAGTCTTTGTCACTACTGAGACTCACGACATTGCTCTCTGGATACACCAGCTATCCTATCTGCGACTCGCCATCCGGCAGATCAGATGTGCTCATATCCGTTGAGCTCCCTAAGCTACACCCTCGCTTCGAAGACTCGGATTGCCGTTTTGGAACAGACAGTCAGGCCCCAGCGTTTACGATGGAATTAAGATCACGACAGAGGTATCATTGCGAGGAAAGTAGCGAGGGTCGTTTTCTTGTAACTCACGAAGCAGACTTCCCTCGCCTGACGGACTATCCCGATTGGGAAGCTGTTCCACCAGCGGAGATGAAGGAGTTCGAATGATCTTTGTGGAAGAGAGGTGTTTATGTCGAAAAGATTCGCTTGATATAAAAGTTTGTTATTAGTGAGAGGCCAACTGCAATTCAGATGTAGCAGTTCCCAGTCTCCAGTTGACCTAACCTTCGTCTGCTGCAAGACAGGTCAAATATCCTAGATTAGTGCTACAGAGATGAGGAGCCTGAAGTATTAACATGGTCCTCTCCAACCAAAGCCGCTTTTCTACGATCCTTGCATGCTACCAGAAACCACGATGTCGATATAGCCGTAATACCAACGATGAGGAAGCTCAGACATATTACGTACGACGTCCGATATCTCGGACCAAAGACCGTACTGTACACATGAGGACCGGCAATACCTCCAAATTGTGCCATGGCGTTTGTGAAGCCGATACCTATCCCAGCAGCCACTGTGCCGTCGATGGCACGAATGCGTTCTGGCCAGATAACTGGATAGGCAGATCCGGCGCACGCTACGGCCACGATAAGGCAGACATATCGGACCACTGCATTTGAAACGGTGACGAGTATGATGTAGCATATTATGATTGTAGATTCAACTGCGATATATTTAGCAATAGATCCCACTGGGAGAAAAGGGAGAAATTTATTCTTACTTGCGACTGCTGTAGTCCAGGGGCAAATGATCTTCTTGTGTAGGAAGAACCCGACCGTGTTCAGGAATAAGAACGCCGTAACGTAAGGTGGCTACGAAGAGTAAGTAACGATGAATCCAGGCATGGGTTGACCAATCCACTTACGATGTTCATCAGTTGGGACTTGGAGGTTGTAGTGAAGCCCAGCTCGTAAATGACCGTCGGCAGAGCATAACCGACGCCGAATCCACCGATGCCATGACATATCCAATAAGTTGAGAAAGTGTAGAAGGTCGGATCCTTGAACAAGGCTTTCAGAGAAGCAAAATCCCAATGGCCCCTTTTACCCGTGGGTGCGGTTTTGGCTAGACAGTTTCTCAGAAAAGCTCGTTCCTTTTCCGTGAGCATCTTGGCTGTCTCGGGGTAATCTGGGAGAAAGAGTGCGACGAAAGACAGCAAGATGGCGGGTAGTCCTTCGAGCAAGAAGAGCCACCTCCAGCCGGGAAGGCCTCCCAATCCATCCTATAAACATGTACTTTTAGCAGATCTGGCACGGCTAGAGTTTCTATGAAGATCGCCTACCATGAAACCAATAGCATAAGCCAGCAGCCCACTCAACGCACTGGAAAGCTGCCCCACAGAGTAGAAAAACGCAATCCGCTTAGGCATCTCGCCTGGCTTATACCAGAAAGCCATGTGATACAGTACCGCCGGGAAGAATCCAGCCTCCGCCATGCCAATAGCGAAACGGACGCACATGATTCCCTTGAAGTCCATAGCAGCAGCCGATGAACAAGCCGAGATGCCCCAGAATAGGATGAGAATAAACATCCATACTGACGGCTTGAAAACCTTGAGCAGCACTGTGTTGCTGGGCTCGAAGAGTAGGTAACTATACGAAAAGATGGAAAGCGTCCACGACCACTGCGCTGCGTCAAAGCCGAGTTGCTTTTTGATCCCGGTACCGTGCTCGAAGTTGATGATGGCTGCGTTTGAGTAATTCGCAGAGTCAATGACGCGAAAAATATACACCTTCTGTGTTTAGTATGACGATCGATAGGCTGTTCTTTTCTACCAAATTCAACTAACTGCCTACATATACTGAGATCTCACGCTCCCTTCCCCCCGGACTCGGTTCCATACGACCTATCACGACATGGCGGACAATATGACGACAGGGCGGGGTTATGTGGACTTGTTCGATCGATGGATTCTCAATTAGACCTTTTCTGGATTTTCATGGCAAAAATAGCTAGACAATATGAGTTTGAAGCAGGTTAGGAACTCGGATCCCGATATCATTCCAAGGTCAACCAAAGGAGTAGAGGTAGAGTGTGTGATATTATTCGATCTGGCCGATAACACCATGTGCAGCACACTCGCCATCGACAATTCTACGAGCATGATTACGTAGTTTTAGTTGCGTTGCTCATTCATAATGGTGTGTCGAAGAAGCACGTATTGCAGGGCTAGAAGCACGTAATGCGTCGGAACTTGCCTGATAGGTTGCATCTTCACAACTGACCAATTATCCAACTCCTCCAAGCACTACACACTTGGGATGAATAGACGGCAATCAAACCCGACTATCTGGCCACCCCGCACCTCCAACATCTTGCCGTTCTGAAGGTCATGGGGAACTAGTGAATATAATAAGAATTAATTATTATTTTATTATTATTAAATACGCCGTAGGCTCGAAGCCCCCGGTACCTCTACTAGTACTCCCGTATGTCAAACCGTGCCCTAATGGCTGGACTAAATACATACGCTGCGTCGTCGGTTCGCCCTATTGGCGACTGCGTTGCGTTCACTACCATACTACGTTGGTTCTCAACCTACCAACAAAGTCCCCCTGAGAAGATCGATGCTATCTGGGGCTTGAAGCTGTCCGACCCGTCCCTAGCAGCCATCTTACAATAGTCCCACTAACTACTGGTTCTCCTGTTGCCGTTGCGAGGTCTCTGCGAGAGTATAGTGGCCGTGGTGCGATGGCGGCCCGTAATCGTTCCCTCGGTCCTTCCAACAGCCCGCAAAAGAGGATTACGTGCTCTGCCGTCTCAGGGGCATCACCACAGCGGCATAGCGGCGAGTACACGCCAAAAGCCCCTGTCTTGAATAAGAAGGCTGCTAGTCCTATTTTTTCCGTCCTGATCTGGCACAGCGTAGACGCCTCCAGTCGGTTCAGGCCGAAATACTTGCCCCCTTTCGGTATCTGCATCGAAGGGCCCTCCGGTTCCTCAGCGATAGCGCGTCGCTGGCGATCGTGATGCTCTGCTCCGGTGAGCCATCTCTTCCTCCAGTGGTCGAGGAGGGCAGCCGGGACCTCCTTTTCCTCACTCATCCACTCGGAGCCCCGGGCCTCCTTCTCCATAGTGTACCCTGCCGGTCGGAGTAGCTGCGACGCCTGCTTCCTCTTCGCCGGCCTATCCTGCCGGAGTATATGTGACGCTTTAGCGCTCGCGCTGCGAAGCAGATTTCTCTTCCCGCTAAGTCGTAGCCGTTCTTCAAACTTAGCAGCCCGGGCACTAAGATAGAGGTCTAGTGGCGGGATTGCTGCTTCTGCTTCCAGGTGGCGAACCGGCGTCGCTTTGTGGGCGCCACAGACTACCCGGAGGCACTCGTTCTGCATCCCCATCAGGCTCTTAGCTGGCCCTGCCGGTTCCTCACTTATAGTATGCCACGAAGTCGCCCCGAAGGCGATCGCGCTACGGATAACCACCGTATATAACAGCCTCGCCCGTATAAGATCGCAGCCCCACGACATATTGACTAGCTTTGTCAGGGCTAGCTTTTGAGTTGCCATTTTTGTTTTAACACGCTCAACATGGGCGTGCCACGTCAGTTTGCGGTCGAACCAGACTCCTAGGAACCTGGCTGAGACTACCGGCGACACTGTGGCGTCCCCAAGGCGAATACTTTGCGGCAAGGGCTCTCGGGCCCTAGTAAAGTGCATTAGCTCACTTTTGTCAGGAGCGAACTCCATCCCGTGCCTCACTGCCCACCGCTGACACGTAGCCCATGCGCTCTCCAACCGGCGGCAGGTCGTGTCTGGATCGGTGCCGACGCTTAGCAGGTTCGTGTCGTCCGCGAACCCGACTACTAAAAGTAGTGGATGCTGCTCCGCTAGCTCCTCGTACAGCGTTGAAATGTATAATATAAACAGTATCGGGGATAGCGGTGACCCCTGGGGGACGCCAGCTCGTAGGGGGATTGGCTCTGACTCCTTGCCATCGAACCGGAGGCGTACCGTTCTATCCTCCACGAAGCTGCGTACCCACTCCTGAACCCACTCCGGGTAGCCTTTCCGGGCTAATATGGAAATCAGCCGTCTGTAATTGACCGTATCGAATGCCCCCTTGATGTCTAGCTGTAGCAGCGAGGCGATGCCCCCGCGTCTCCACGCCGTATAGACCACGTCCTCAACTATACGTATTGCCAGTTCGGTGGACCTCCCAGCGCGGTTACCCATTTGGCCGTTTGGTAGTAGGCCGGCCGCCTCAGCTACTTTGGTGATACGCTGGCTCATCGCCGTCTCTATTACCTTCCCTACCGTGCTAAGCAGGGCAATGGGGCGCCAGCCGCCAGGGGTCTGCTTCTGAGCTGTCGTTTTATTAGGCTTAGGGATAACAACCACCCTCGCTGAGCGGAAGCGCTCCGGGTAGTACCCCAGCCTAAAGCTAGCTGTTGCCAGATCCGCTAGGATCTCCCATAGGGGTTCACCGCAGGCCTTTAGCAGGCCAGTGGGGATCAGGTCGTCGCCGGGAGCCTTCCGAGCAGCCGTTCCTTTGATGATAGACTCGATATCCATTGTGGTCACCTCCCTAGGGACGTTCAGCTCTGGTCTCGTCTGTAATAGGCCGCAATCGAGGTCCGATAGATCTATACACGGGTCTGGGAAGAACCTCTCAGCTAGTAATTTTGCCTTCTCATCATGTGTACGTGCCGTAAGCGTGTCGCCGGCGTCCCTCCGGAGATCTGGCAAGCCGTGGGCCTCAGGGGGGGCCCAGCTCCGTAGCCTAGCCCACCTCTGCAGTGCCCACAGGCTTTTGTGATCCTTCGCCGTCCCCTCGAGCTTCTCGTGCCAGCTACGCGTCTGCGCTTCGCTGATTTCGAGCCGTTGTTTTTGGCCGGCTCTTGTATATTCGTCCCAGTTAATAAGAATTAAGATACTCCATTTAAGTTATCAGGCCACGGCAGGTTAATTCTCTGTTTAACTTACTGAGACTCTCAGCTACCCCTTTTACTGAGGTATTCCACTCATTGCACCATTGATTCTAACCTTCACTTGATATCCCCAGCAAGACAAGCACATCGCCAAGTTACTACGCATCAGACCTTGCTCTTTCATTTTCACCTAGCCTACTACAGCCATGGCCCCAACGTCAGGGTACGGCTAGGCCGAAGGCAATAGTACAGAGTGATGGGGAGTAACGGGCGTCCCTCCTACGTAGCACCGGGTGGTCACTGGCGGTCTCAGGTAGGGGTTCCCACGGTGATGCATTGATCTCTGCCCTCTCTATCTTCCTCCGTCTCGACTCCTTACTTATAGCCAGCCGAGGTTCTCTCTTGGATTCTGGATGTTTGCTTCCGTATGTCTGTGTTCCTCCGACTTCGGCCAATATCTTGGACAGCGGCTCCTTATCTGCAACCAAGCGATTCCCTATCCGTTGCAAACGGCTTCAACGGCTCTCATTCGCCACAAGCGGCTCTCTAGCCGCCACAAACGGCTTCCTACCTGGTGGAAGCCGGCCCGCCTCGGATGACACTTGTGGCTCTGACAACTCCTTCCCTATCCTACTTCGAGATGGTCCTTATATAGATAGCTAGGCCGCCGCTTGGACCCGGCATAACAGCAGGGTCGGCGATGCCAAGGATCTTGACTCTCGTCATCCCAAAGCTTCACATAGATTGTAATCATGACTCGGGAGTCTTTTGTCCGAAACACCCCTCCGGCGGCCCACCGGTGTCCTGCGTTCAGTGTCCTGACACCCACGGGTGCCTATGGCATTCTGTTCTCTGACACCCAAGTACGTTCGAAACGCCAGCAGCCCAACCATTAAGCACTAACAAAGTGCTGATTAAGCCATGGAGCCGGCCAAAAACGACGACAGAACACCTCGAATGGGCTGAGCTGCCCAAGATTGACTTGTCGCAGTTCGATAAACCAGGTGGCAAGCAGGAACTTGCCGAGAAGTTGTATGATGCAGTGACCAGAGCTGGATTCTGGTGCGTCGTCAATACAGGAATCGACGATGAGCGTGTTCTCCGCCAGTTCAGTATTGGCAACACGTTCTTCAAGGAACCCTTGGAGGAAAAGCGAACTTTCCCTTGCAACTTTGCCGAAGGCGAGTACTTCGGCTACCGTGAAAACTCACGCTGGGTTGGTGATACGGGGGTTAAAGAGAACATTGAAATGGTGACTGTCAATTTCCATGGACGGTCATTCATGCTGGCGCAGTTAATACTTACATAGGAGTAGCTAAATATCCCCAAAGCCATCCCGGCATATGCAGATGTGGGCAAGCACCAAGTCGTCAAGGACAACTATGAAGAGATTGCCAGGTTCCACCGAGATGTCTGGGAAAAGGTCATTCGCAAGCTCTTCGTTCTGATTGCCATCATTCTAGAACTGCCGGAGAACTACCTGGCTGATGCACACGCCTATGATGAAGAATCAGACGATCATCTTCGGTATATGATCTACAATGTCAGAACCCAGGAAGAATGGGACAGAGCCCAAGCCTATTCCAAGGGCGGTCACACCGATTTCGGCAGTTTGACACTGCTTTTCTCGCAGCACGTCGCTGGATTGCAGATCAAGACCCCCGAAGGCCAGTGGAAGTACGTGAGGCCTGTTGACGGTGGCATCACTTGCAATGCCGCAGATACTCTCACCTTCCTTACCAATGGTGAGTTACCAATCCCTTCCAACTATAGAAACCTTGGCCGACACCGAAACAGGATTCATCAAATCAACCATCCACCGCGTCGTCACGCCGCCAAAGGACCAGATCCACATTCCTCGCCTGGGTCTTCTATACTTCAGCCGACCTGGAGCTCATACACCCATGAAGACCGTTCCTTCTCCTTTGTTGGATCGCCTCGGACTGATCTCCGAGGAAGATAGGGACCCTACTAAACCGGTTGTTACTGGCACCGAATATGTGCGCGCGAGGGTTAAGGATGTGCACCACAAGACCGTGATAGACAAGAGGGAAGGTACGGCTTTTGAGTTCAAGGGTCTCAAAGTGCAGAACTATTACGATTGATCATATTGGCATCAGGGAAGGGTAAGTAAACGTGGCTTGTAGTTGTGGCTGGTAGCTGACCAAGGAGACCAGACGGGTTGGAGGCGAGAAGAGGTTTGCTTTACAAGGTTCGTAGTTGAGCCAAGCAAATACAGTGGCCGCTAAATACCCACTGGTTAGTTTTAGTCATGGACGAACCAGACGAAGAGGATGTGATCTTGGTGATTTCTTGCTCTGCGTATATCTCGCTGAGAGTTTGAAATATCCTTCAGCTTAACACCTCAGTTTGTTGAAAATTTTATGTCCCTCAATTTCGACTCATCTTCCCACTAAGACCATCTGACCGCCATTGCGGCATCCCTTACTAAATGATTGCTAGTCATCTGTAGCGTGGAGAACTACACAGGAAAAGTCTAGTGTCGAATCATGCGTATGTATGTACGGTAGCTTTACACTATTTCGCGTGGTGGGGTAAGATCATGGGACAAGTATTGGCGAGTCAAGAGTACTGCAGGTGCTTCTAGGGCTGGCACCAACTTATCGGAATCCCTCTTCAATTCAAGTGTACTTGTACCTTTAATGCTCTCCCACACGGCTACAGGGTTGGAACTCGGAGGAATACTCAGGAAAGCCACAATTAATCAAGCTTAGGGTGCGTCAGAAAATATCGTACTCCAGGCTACCTTATCAACATCAACCACCTGTACCTGAAAACCAGGACTCGCATCCTCACGGGTGCTAGCCGGTACCATGTGCAGCTGTTTCCACCGGTGCAGGCGCCGTAGAAGTCGTTATATTCGCTGATCCCAGGCCGAGCTGGTGCATCATCGACTACTTGGTAAAAATGTAAATTCACCTGAAAGACTGCCGAATCTTACCTGCGTAGTTGACACGCACATCATAGCTATCTGACAGCCGAAGGACCAGCCCCCTCAACCCCCTTTGCAATAACCTAAGTACTAAGTAGTTAGATTCTAGACCGACAGTTCGGAAACAAACAGGCTGCACCGCGCGATAATCAACTGGTAAGAGAATTGATTGGCAATGATTCATTGAGTTGCACTAAAGAAAAGCTGCTAGAATCAGTGGCCTCGGGGGTTTGGCCGAGAACTCAACCCGATTAAGAATAAGCAGATGCCGTCCGGCGTCAAATTAAGCTTCGCCAACTACATCGACGTTACGAAGCAAGATATTTTCCCAGGTGGAATTACTGCAACCACGAGTCGATCGCTAGGCGGATGGGCGCGTATCATGCACGAGTCAGCGCTATTCTTAGTGTCGGAAATTTGGGGGCTGTCTGGTGCACACCATCTATCCGCCATATAAGTAGCGGGCATGCTGTACCAACCTTGGGACTCAAATCTACCTCCGTGCATACTATACTAGTAAAGGTAACTGCACTGCACTGGTCATTGGCCTGGTGATTGTCCTGGTGATTGTAGTACCTTGGGTCTGAATAGGGCGTTTCTTCATTTTGTTTTCTTTTGGGATACTTAGGGGGTTGTCAGTTTTGTCGTTCTGGGCTGTCGTAGGCTGTCAGGTACCAACCAGGTTGGCCATCTTCCAAATGTAGTGGTGTCCACGCGGAAATTAGTTGATGCACAATACAACTTCAACGTATCAAAAGTGGCATCAGCAGCAACGAATAAGTTAGGTGTTATTTGGAGTGTCAAAAGACTTTCAAGCATGACGAGCATTACCGTGTAACGTGTCACAAGACTGGACGAACGTGATATATGGTGGCCTGTTATTGGCTGTCTTGGGGGCTGCGAACTCGCTAGGAGGAATCACACGTGGCGAGCGAGAATGAGTCCACGAGGATGGCGTCGGGACGGGGGCTATTCTTCATCATTCACCTACGTTGTGGCCAGGTCCAGGGTCATCAGGGGTTGCCTAGTGTCTGCATTTTCTGACTTATATGATAAGTACACCCCTCGAACCGCCCAGTATGGACACGAGTATCTGCTCATCTGATCTATTACATCCGTATCTAAATCTTATTTCATAATCATGAAAAGCCTCTTTCTCGCATTAACTGCGAGCTTAGCCGCAGGTTTCCCAGCAGGCCGGATTACCACCCCCGAGACCAGATACGCACCTCTTGTAGGCCTTTCCAACATCACAAGAACCAATTTCGACAATGTCAAGAGCCGGAGTTTCAATGGCCCCTTCATTGGAGTGGATTTCCCCGATCCCTCCCTGATATGGGGTGACGGCTCATGGAAAGCCTATGCAACATCTTCCAATGGCAAGAATGTCCCCGTTGCCACATCATCCGACGCAGTCTCGTGGACGCTCATCGGAAATGATGCATTACCAACCTTGGGTGCGTGGGTTGATTCTGGGGACCAGGCAGTTTGGGCACCGGATGTGCAGAAAAACGTAGGTCTCGTATAGTAATGCAACCTTTACACTCTAGGTGACTAAGCCCTACAGGAAAACGGAGTCTATGTTATGTACTATACCGCCCGTCAATCTGGCGGTAGCCACTGCATTGGTGTGGCCACTTCCAGGAGCGACCTTGGCCCCTTCAACCCCGCGAGCACACCACTACTCTGTGACGCCGCTGGCGGAGGCGTTATTGACGCGTCTGGCTACGATGATGGCACAGATCGCTGGATCATCTGGAAGGTTGATGGAAACAGTCTGGGAGGGGCCACTACTTGCCAGAGCGGCACACCATCTGGATCCTACAGATCGACGCCCATCAAGATTCAGCGCATGGCTCGTGACGCTACCACGCTCCTGGATGGCCCCAAGACTATTCTCGATAACCAGGGTGCATCCGATGACGGGGTCGTGGAGGCCCCGGCCTTGTACAAAATACCCAACGGGGATTTCATTCTGTTCTACAGCACACATTGCTACTCGAGCGACGATTATGGTATCGAATATGCGTTTTCGAGTACCATTGACGGTTCGTACGGGAACCGCGGCAGTTTGATCCGCACTGTCGATAACAAGGGGGTTTACGGTCCAGGTGGAATGGACATTGACCCGAACGGGTCGAGTGTCGTTTTCCATGGGCGGCTTGCCGCAGGTCAAGGTTCTGGAACACGAGAGTTGTACAGTGCAGCGATCACTATTAACGGACACTCTGTTTCCTACTAATTGAATTGGCTTGGTAGCTTGAGGGGTGACGAATATTATATTTAAAACAAGCACTAGTTTGCGCTCTAAACGCCAAGCCCATTGAGAATCTCTTAATATCCTCGCGTTTACTTCACTGGTTGGAATTATCCTGCGTTTGGTCAAAGCCTCAAAGCGACTGGTAGACTTCTAGTCAACCACCTTCCAAGCACCTCGATGCTGCACTGCACGTTCTATGTACCAAGGCTTATGTTGTCATCACTGAGCTCGATGCACATGGAAGACCTGGCTTGGCGGGACATGGAGTGCAGAGCTGGACCGCGACGAAGCGAGACGGTTGGAAAACACGCCGTTGGCGGAGTTATGCAATCAACCAGTCATTTCTGAACTTGAAGGCAGCCCGGCTCATAGAATCATATTCGTCGAGATTGGCGACTCGTCCGCACGGAGAACAGCCCTTGCCAGTAAAGATGATTACCAGGCAAAGTCTAGGCAGGATATTAATGATAAGCACGGGGCCAGCCTTTCTACCACGGCTAGCGGTACTATAGCAGAGGCATTACCCATTCAGGCGAGGGAATCGGCAAGGAACCGTGGCTCTTTGATTAAGCAGGCTATGGCTGGCAATGCGCTTCTCATACAGATATACCAGCATCTGGATAATTGAACGGATGGGAAGTGAATATATCTAACGTTGATGGTTCCAGTTCAAATATCGCCGATGTGCCTCTAGAAGCAGAGAAACTAGAGTTTCTTCAACTAGATGAAGAGGAGCGGATCCGAGAAAAGTGACGATGCTTAGTGAGAAATATGTCCCGGTTGTCGGTACAGGTCGCGACTTCGAACAGTAGATGGAACAAGAAGCTATGTTTCCATGGTATTCCCCAAGCCAGGGTTTAAATAAACCACACAGAACCCAATATACTTAATCCTGGTACAATGATTGGTCTATCTATGTATCTCTTACTCTTCTTCTCCTCACGCCCAGGTCCTGCGGCTCTTCATTTCCAACATTCGTCCACTGGAACCTCACCGGTATCTGGCTCGCAAGCCTACTCATCTGGTTGATCTCCATGAGCGGTTTCTCAGAAATGTCAGAATTCCTTGCGTCTTCAAGATCTCCACTGATTTTACTCGTGGTTCTGTCCTCCGAAAGGAGTCTTTCCTTGTAAAGTATCAGCGGAAGCAGGTCTTCTTTCCAGACCGGTTGTATATATCGCCTTGTCCAACTGCGCGCTATCATCCACGCCAAAAGCGCCGCAGTGCTGGCTGCAAGTGCCGTTGGCAGTACGAGCCATCTAAATTGTGCATATGTGCATCCCGAGGTCTGCCAAGCTGTTCCGTGTACCTCGCCAAAAGGCAGCCCATCTGCGACCTGGCCATTTGGCGTGACACGATACGTGCTGCTTCCGAATGTCATCCGGAAGCGATTCGAAATGGAGACAGCGAAAGAGTCGAAATATGTGTCGACGTTCTGAAAGTTTACCGTAGAAGTTGTTATCGATGTATTTCCTCCATTTTGTAGCGTAGTGAGCCATTTGACGGTGGAAGCATTTCCGGCACAGCTAAACCCGCGGTAATCGTCACAGTGACCCTGGAATGCAGCCCGCAGCGCCTCACGCATGGCATTTGCGAATCTACCATCTTGCCGGTATATTCACTCCTCAGGGGCTGAAATATTGCGCACTTGGCAAGGACCTTCTCCATCTGCCGGTGCCTCGCAAAAGGACAGGGTGGTAGTGTTGGAGGCCAGAGAGAAATTCCGAGTCGAGTAGACCACTCCGTCTACTCGACAAGGCGACTTGACCGCAGTCAGATGACGTGGTGCCGTTACATCCAAATAATCCCAATTTTCGGGTTCCGCAAAACTAAGTAGATCCTCTGAAGCTGGCGTGGAAGAAAGTTCCTGGCCCGCAAACCGGTTCTCGACGATGGAACTGCTGTAGGTACGTAGACATGTGTAGAGCACGCAAGTAACTGCCGTGGCATCTTTGGGTCCGTGATTGTAAGCAGCGACGGTAACGTTGAGAAGGGCGGATTGGGAGAGGCGCGATATTGCAGGGGTCAGGAGGTCGGCTTCCCATGTCAAATTCGAGTTTGTCATACAATTGATGTTGTTGAACAAAGCTGTAATCGTATGGCCGTTCGGCAGAGACATTGTCGCCCTGCCTGTATTTGCCCCTTCGGTCCTTAGTAGTGGCGTCGCGTCTGTGCAGTGATGGCACAGCGCAACGGTCGAATGAGAGGCAAGCTCAGAGTCTGTAGATTCCGTTGGATCGCCATACGGGAATGTGCAGTTTCCCGTTGAGCAAGTGACTCGTAACTGGTTTTCGGGTGATCTAGGGGTTGCTTGACTGGAGTATATCATAATGGCAGTGTCTGCGTCCGGATATGAAACGGCGGGGTTGTTGTACTCAGTTATATAGCTACCCGTACGTGGAACAAAATGAGCATAGGGGATCGAAGCAGTGCCTGCAGTTGGACTTGAACATTCCACTGTCCGGACAGCTTGTTGAACGAATGGGCCAGTCGATAGGGAAATGAGGGACAGAGTCGCTGCTATTAGGGCAGGTATGTTTCCTTTCGCAGCTAGAGGGATCACAAAAAGTGCCCCTAGCCCACCACGGCTACCATAGTCTAGTTCCTGGACGTGACGCAGAGAACAGACAATGCCAGCCTCGGAACAGTCCGGTATCACACACATGAGTCGCAGACTCTTAGGCAATTATCGCCAAGAACCAAGAAAAAAGTTAGGATCCGATCCCTATTCGTGTCGTCGTCAAGCCAGGAAGCACTTGTGGAACCGTTCCAGGCATCAACACAGTTGTTCCACTGAAACGGGATTTCCACGAAGCTTAGCTCGTGGTTTCACTTATAATTGATAACCGAATATAATGTAAGCGGTGACATAGGCAAAAGTCACGATACTAGGTTCTTATCGAGTATATTGTATATTGCTAGATTGAGCATGTCGTTCACGCTCCTGCACTTCAGGGGGGATCTCAAACCAATCACACCAAGTCTGCCACGAAGGCAGCACTACCGGCATTTGCATTTGATTCTGAGAAGTAGATGTCAATTATAGTGTGGTGATGACCAGGTGATACTGCATATTATATATAGCATTTCTACTCTGCAAAATAGAAAAGAAATAAGTTACACAAAAAACGACACACCCAAAAATTTTCAATTTAGCATCTCCTCGTTTCGATCAAGGGTCCTCCGGGTTATGAGCCCGGCGCCTGTTTATTGTTAGCTTCAAATCATATCAGTTGAGTCAGATGTATTAACATACGCTTCCGCTGCGCCAAGATGCTCTTGATGAAAATGGGCGGCTTATTTATCATTATACTAAGGTTGCCCACACTCGTGGCCAACCACGATATAGGCAGGCAACTGCTCCTGACCTTTAATTATACCGGAATTCAGAAGCTAATTACGACAGGTGGGTTCTCATCATTGCCACCTGTTATCAAAGTGTTGGTATAACTTATAAATTGATCACGGGGACTGGTAGAGCTATCCCTGCATGCCCACAAGTTGCCAAAGTCATTCCTGCTGGCTTTGCCGTTTGACATACTTGTGTTACTTGAATAACTGACATGATTTGAAGATGATCGATCAGAGGATGCAGTTCGTTTGAATGTCTTTCACGCAACGGTTTACTACCGGTCAGGTAACTCACCTGGTCTTCTGTAAGTCTTCTCCACAGCACCACTCCATGGATGCATAGGAGGAACGAAAGAGAAGCACTCCTCCATTCCATGTGTTGTCCAAACCTACTGTTTCAACAATTCCACTGAAGAACATCTTTACTTAGTATGCTTGTCCGACGTTCCCATTTCCACCGGTTTTTGCGTTTGTGCCCCCAGTTCCGCCGGGCTCGCACTTCCTGGCCCGGCCTGCTGCTGCTGCCAGCCATGGTACGCACTTCCTGTATTTTGGTACTGCAGCTGTTGCCCGCCAATATCGCCATTCCCCAGCCCCCCTTTCGACCGCCGCCGTCGAAGTGCAAACCAGCCAAGCAGGGTGATACCAATAAATCCGATCGTGGCCCCGACTCCGACCCCAGCGGCTGCTCCAGCCGAAAGGGCTGAGGGGTCACCCATCGATGTAGATTCTGCGGAATTGGACGATGTCGATGATATGGTCCCTGATATCGTCGAAGTCTAGTAGTGTCTGTGGGTCAGCGCTTATATGCCGATATACCACCTGTGTAAACCCTACCTCCGTTGCGTACACCACAGCCAATGCAAACAAATGCAAGTCCGTTCTCGCGGTGACCACGTCAAAAGTGATGGTGTTAACTGCGAAATCTGTCCGAGTGACAGTTAAGGTACCATTTGTGCTAAACGCTGACGCACAGCGGAACATGGACCCATGTGACGATGCACCAGGCGTCTGGCAGGTAAAGTCGTACACGCTACGTCTACCATGTCAACTTTCGAGGCCATAAAGTAGATACTAGGATCTTTATCTCACGTTGGGCAACATGTCACCGCCCCATCCGAGTCTTGACATGCTGAAGTGTACTCTGACGGGCATTCGCTGCCGATGAACGCCCCATTCACCTCGGTCCAGGACGGCGGCAGACAAGCAGTCGTTTGTGTCGGCCCACCGAGCACCGTGCGTGCATCCTGCGCCTTTGCATCATATTCCCAGATCCAGTAGTCGTTGGTTCGGGTACAGCCAGATTGGATAGACCAGCTCGAGGCCAAAGTCGGTGTTGTTACGAGCGAGGCCATACCGTTTCTAGAAGCATTGAGAGACGCCACAGCGCCACGCTTCGAAATCGGAATAAAAGAAAATGAGAGTTGGGACGTAGGAAAGGTGACATCGCGGGCATACGGGTAAAATTCAATAGATATATGCATTTTACTGGGCTTTGGGGTTGACCAAGCCAGAAGCGGGTGCAATGTTTCACCTGGGCGTATTAGTGCCAAGCTTGGCAAATGAGCAACAGGAGTCGTAGGATATGACACAGAACCTTAGCATCCAATCGTTTGCGTCCCTATGTAATGTTTTCAGACATTTTGTCCTCATATATATGTAGGAATAAGCACTAAGAAACAAATCATGCTTGGCAGGCGCAGCATGCCAAACTGACAGGCTGAAAAGGCAGAATAAGGGCCTGCCAAAATTGCACATTGATTACATAAAGAAGGAATAACAAGAGAGAGTTGTATGCTATCCCAGCGCCTGCACCCCTCCGTAATGTCAATGGCGTAAGAGCCGTAGTTAACGCAGACTACCTGCCATGTAGATACCACCAAAGGCGCCAAGCAACTTCCCTCCGCTGCAGACATCACTCCTAGCCAACAATACCCGCCATTGGTGTCTGTTTGCCTGCAATATTTTCAATATTTACGATTATGCCAACTAACAGTATGAACTAGGAAAAGGAGCAGCACCATGTTGCACATTACAGAAGTTCATGACGGATAAATATGAGAAATAGGGAAGGCTGGATGGCGGTGCCGTTAAAAGATTTCGTATAACTAGCAACCCGGGACCCAGTCCTTTTCCAAAGTCAAAATCTGTGTATTTAATTATGTGCAGTCTAAAACAGACAGGCCCGACACCGAATTCTACTTTTGTACGAGATGAGGCACATGCAAGTAATGGAACTCAAACAAATCTATAAGCTTCGATGGCTGCTATAGTAGAATACATTTCACTAGCTAGGAAGGCCTTCATATAAATGTGGTACCATTGTGATACGTAATTCGCCTTGCCTTGGAGCATGGCAAGGACGATGGCACTAGGCAGGGTCATAGGGGGGAAGGGGCACAAAGCATCAGGTTATGATGGTTGACCCATCAGAACATGTTGTGACTTGAAGAGATATTAGACGAGGTTAGGAATGGGCAAACGTACCTGGCACTAGCATTCGAAATCGATGACTTGGCATCTAAAAGTAGATTCTGTCAGCCCAACACATCTCGTCTACCACATCAGAGGGTAAATGAAGGGGAGATGTGTCGTAAAAGCCTATCAACGAAGTCCCGCCAGATCCCTCCTGGTCATGATGTATGCCGTACGTGCAGTCCCACTCATGGTTGTCCATCATCAAGCTTCTATTCCTCCTTCCAACACATTGCCAACAGCATGTGTACCTGTTTAATCTGGATTGATCTAGTATCAATCACCGCGTCCTAACAGACATGTTATGTACACTCTATAATTCCATTTCACCGCCCATCTGAAACGCTCCGTATTGGTTCTCCATCGCCTGTTGTTGCCGCGCCCAGTCGTTGTTGTAGACGGGATCCATTGCAGGTCGATACATGGGTCCACCCACAGCAGAGCCAAAGTGCGAAAACATGCTGGTCGGTTTCGACATTTCTTCGTATGCTTTCCTCGCAGTCTCTGCGTACTCGCGTCTAGCCAGGGCTTCGTAGCCCGAGAGCATGTACGGCTCAGTGTCCGCAGTGGCAATCCATCGACCATCCGGAGTTTGAACCGGCGTCAGGGGGGTTCCGTCGAGACTCATGGTGTTCTGTTGTTGCTCCTCCTCGGCCAGCTTTCGCTCGTATCGCAGTTGAGCAAGCATCTCTTCCTGCTCCACTGTCGTGTTCATCCAAGTTACCGCTAGGTTCTCATGCGTGTTGGTTGGAGGGCAGATGCGCCAAAGTTCAATTAGGCGCAGCTTCTGTGAGTCCTCTGCTGTCTTGAACAACTCCATCTGCGATGCTGATAATGTTGAGTGGTCGATGCCATGGTTGTTGAGAATCAACTCGGCTGCTGGCTGCTGTGTTTGGGGAGGCTCAGAAGACGGTCGCGGAAATTCAGCAACTGGCTCATCGCGGGAAATAACGTGGGCCGAGTGGGTGTAGTGCTGCGAGATGGAGTAAATAATAGGTTCCGGCTCTTGCTGCCTCAACGATTCCTGGACAGGTTGTGGGTGAAGCGTCAAGTTGCGGGCGAAGAGAGATGAGAGTTCATCGTTGGGCTGCATCGTGGGCAAAGCGCACAGAAAGATCTGTGATGCGACTGAATGTCAGCGAAACCACAGAGCTTATGAAGGGTCTCCTAACCTCGCCAAACACACTGTGGAAGGCCGAATGCACAAGCCGGTACTGCACGATACTTTGGGTAACGGTCTCTTGTGTGTGATCTGCTTCAGTGGTCAAGCAGGTCGGCAAGGCAAGGGAGATGGTCAGCGTGTCGGGGGATAAATGCTCGGGTCTCGTTTTGTGGTAGCGAAGCTGTGTCAACTCTTGTTTTATATTGGCTATGCTATGTACTTGAAAGGTACTAGGAACAACGTAGTTTCGTGGACGAGTGAAGAGGGGATGAAGTGAATGGGTCAGCGTCTGCTATTGTACCTTGGCCCCTCGAACGGAGGAGCGGTGGGCAATGGTTGGGTATCGTGCACAAGCGACTAAAGTTAGGCAGAATAAAGGGAAACCCCGAGAAGAGTCCGGGAATGAGGGGGTGGTGCGTTGAGCAATGACAAACAGATTGCCAGATGGTTTCTGTATGCAGCTGTGGAAGGTCTGAATTGTGAAGGTAGTTGTTTAGAAGATGGCAGCGATCGGGAAAAGACGAAGGCAGTATGGACAAGAGCCGTGTCGATGTATGATGATGAAAGGGGGTTTTTGGGTTCAATGAACTCGCCTCGAATGACGAAAGCCCTGGAATTTGGCACGATATTTGGGCGATGGAGGGGTCGATTTCATCAGGCAGGGAAAGCGCCCTGACAGCGCATCTCAAACGGTCCCTGCACTACGCGGCGCTAGCGCCCTCCACTTTGTCGAGATGCAGCATTGACGCCTAAGTTGGCCTAATGGCGTTAGATCAGAACCACTTGGTTGGGGATCTGGAGGGGGAAATGCGGTGACGCATTTTGTTCATTCGTCTGGTGTTGGTTGTGTTTCAATTTATTATTCATCACGCGCGTGAAGCCTACCGCGACACTCGCCTTTAGGACCGTTAGCATGTTCTTCTTTGCCAATGAATTCCTGACACGCTTGGGGCACCGATCGGCGATGTCATGTCAGACGTGGGGGTGGCTTGCTCCGTTGTCAATTCCAGATTCTGAACACACTACGGCTATGTTCGAGCAGTCTTTCCATCAGCCATGCAAATGTGTTCGGTAGTTGGGAACGAGATCTCATCTCTACGCCCGAATTTTTTGTCGCTATCGACTTGTAACCCACGTGCCGTCCGCATCGGTTGATCGCTTCTGGGCCACTTCACCAGACAAGGAGTCGTCCCGATGGCTCCCAAGCGTACTTTCCGACATGATAATCAATGTACCTAAGCGAAATGATCAGACCAACCGAGCATGCCATGGATAATTTCCTGACCTTGCCCGAATAGTGCCTGCTGTTTCTGAATATATTGTCCTTGTGGCGCTTTAGTCAAGCTAAAGCATGAGGCGACGCTCGCTCGAGGCCGTGGAATGTTCAATTCTGGACTCGGAAAACTCAGGCGATCATGAATGGATATCTTGGGGTTAGGTGTCTTGGATGGCGTCTCATGTCAGACGAGTAGACAGATCGTAACGAAACACAAACCGTTTGCGATTGGTCTCGTCATACTAGTGGCTTGATTTAAATTAAGGAAATAGTGACTGAGAGTAGGAGGACTGTTCTTCCAACCCCTACTTTTAATTTAGTGTTATACTAACCGTGGACAAGTCTAGCGTCAGATATAGAGGGGTACATGGTACCTTGGCACAAACCAGTGTATTTAGGGTTCCCCTGGAAGCCGAGTAGGTAGTTATTTCCCATATATCTTTACTGAACGAATAAAGCCTCTAATCTGACAAAATTTATTTGTAATATTGCTCTTCTACTTATCTTAATATAGTACTAGTTTTAGTAATCACAAGCCTAGTTAACACCTTAACTCGATCCCTAAGTACTTTAGGCTTATATAAAACTACTAAAGCTAGGTAGAGTATTAATCAACTTAGTTACTCTTGCTCTGGTAGATCGCGAAGTTTAGTTCTTGAAGCACAAAGAAACTCTAGTCTCGATATCAGAAATTTATACAACTCCGGTAACAAACCTCAAGAACGAAGCTTATTAGCATGCCCCAAGGCTTTAGAGACCTCAAACGAATACCCAGTATTAATGAGTCCATCAGGTCGTATCACATACCCAGCCGTCCTTTCAGGCCACTCTATCATCTCATACAACGTCGTACCATGATAATTCGACGGATGCCACGCCGTAGCCGTATTAGTTCCCGACTTCACCATAACCCATTTGAAGCGACATGAAAGTTTTCCCCCAAATCCAATCCTCGGGCACCTTGCACGTCGTCGCCATACACTACTGGTTCCCATTCCGCTCCTCGTGCGTGAATCTTGCATAAATAATTGATATAAGTCCACTTGGCGGCGGTGATTGTAATCCCTCAACCTTGATTTGCCGTCGCCTGATTCCATAGTTGAAACTCTACTTTATCATGTCCATCCTCGGCGCCCCAACCTTCCCAATTGTATTGAGGATAGCCGAGGTTTATCGTGCAAATGGGGTGACAAATTCTGGAAAACAGAAACACTCGGATACATTGTCTTACATACAATCAGTTCTAACTCCATCTCACCTAATGCGGATTCCGGTTGTTCTCTTTCATCTTGAATTGTCTGCTACGTCAGGAAATATACTAAGATGGATTGTCACCTGCTTGAACAATGACACTTCCAAAGAAGAAGTGAAAACGCCTTGAGTGATACAAAGGAAGCTCTCCGAAATGGGTATTATAACACTTCATTGGTCACCACAAGAGTTGGATACTGGAATGTATGCGGGTACAATGCGTTGTTCTGTCACAATCCACCACGGCAAACGAAGAAAGGGGCTTCCAGCTGACTAATCGCTATACCACAACAAAGAGCTAAGAAAGAAATTTGAGACTTCAATATGGAAGCGCTGGACTACAAAATAATAACAAGAACTTCCTGTTAAGTTATGGTTCTTGACATGCTCCTTGCAAATCGCCAATTTTTCGTGGCCGATACATAGTCAACTTCATCCGTGAGGCCGAGATCGAACGAACTCCGGTACGCACAACATTATTTTCGTTTCGTTTTTCCTCTAATCGTTAGTAACTGTTCGGATACTTGTATAATTTGAGTCTGCGCCGGTACTGACCTCCAAAGACTGCGAACTTACGCTGGATATCATTTTATGATGGAGCAGCTCGTCCATCACTCCTCAACCTACTAACATTGACTATAAGCTACTTCAGCATTTGTCCAACAGCTTGCCGACAAGACTCAACCTGGGGTACGTAATATTGCAAACTTATTATCAGTTACGAGTTATGGGCATGGAATCATTAATTGAGCACGCAGGGTTTCCTTTACACTACTCCATGCAGGAACAATTTTGCTTTCCAATATTTTGACATATAGTTCACCTATCTATTCATATACCGACCAATATGCAGTACCCCCCACTCTATGCCAAAATCATTACAAAGACATGACGCTTGAAGACACCCTCCACGTCGCATTCACCAGCCTTTTGGGACAACCACTACTTCTTCTTATTTCTCTTCTTCACCTTTCCACTACCCTGGCTCTGGCTCCCAGATGCCTTCTTGACCAAGTCCTCAACACTCTTAGTGGTATCGAGCAACTCAAAGTCTTCGGCCGAGTCAGTGCTGGGAGTGCGCTGGGGCGCGTCGGAGTCATCATCGGTCAGGCCATCCTCGAATTCCTTCTCCAGAGACTCGTTTCCATCAACGTGCTTGCCGAGCACGCGAGCCATGGTCCTCTGGTAAGCCCAGATGGGCAGCCTGTAGAGCGCGGTGTCGCGAATGGTGGGCTGAGGGAGTTCGTTGGGCTGTTGAGATGATTAGTTGCAGTTTGGCCTGGCAATGAAGCAATGGGGCTACTCACATCAAGCAGGAATTCCTCAACCTTGCCGTCTTCCATCTCTTGCTCCAGATACACATCGCCCAGCGAATCGACGACCAAGATTTTGCCATTTTCAGCGACAACCCGCTTCTTCGCACCCGTAGGTCCACTACCGTTGTTGGCCAGGGTCTGCGGAACAGGCGTCGCACTTCCGCTATCTGGGCGTCCACCGCGGCCACGACCCATACGCTTGCCCTCCTTGGCATTTTCCTTCTTGGCATCGCGTTCCTGCATGCGTCTCTGCTTGCGATTGACAGCCATCATAGGGGCCTGTTCATCGCCAGCCGGCTCGGGAGGCGGAGTGGCTGTAGCACCAGCCTCAACACCCGGAATGGCCAAGTTGTCGCCCCACGCGGCATGGCGGGCAAATTTGATGTAGCGCTCGACAAACTCACGCTGCCGCTTCCAGCTCATGTACAGGGCAACGTAGTGAAACATTCCACCGCCAGCGATAAAGCAGCCGACCAGAACCGTTCCCAGGCCGGGGCGGTATCGGCTGTAGTAGTAACCGGTGCCCTTCCAGACGGGGAACCCGTTGGAGATGAAGTGGTCGTACCGCGCTCGTCCCGAGCCACGAAGAATGCCAACCACAACACCTAGTCTTGCTTGTTTGTCACCAGCGGATTTGATAGCGGCTTTGATTTCGGCCTGCGAAGGTGGCTTCGTAACGGTGACGCCGGGCTTCTTCTTCGACTTGTTTTCCTTAGCCTGGGTGGCGCGTTCGGCGGCGAGTCGCTGCTTCACTTTGTCGGGATGCAGAGCCTTTGTTCGCTTCTTGTAGGCCTTGTTGATCTCATCTTGCGATGCGGAGGGGGTGACACCGAGGAAGTCATAGAAGGAGACGTCGGGGCCTTCGTGGGCTGCAAGTTCGTCGCGGACACGGAAGATTTCTTGGTCTAAAGCAATGGGGGTAAGCATGAGAACCTCGACAGAGAATTTGGTAGCATAACTTGCCTTCCTTGGACCAGGCCGAGGTAAGGGGAGTGAGCAGGGCCAGGAGGCTGATGGAGAGAATAGGAAGCCTCATCGTCGCATGCGAGCCCTACCGAGGACAGAAAAACAGTATGCCCGCTGTATTTTGTACGTCGTAGCTGCAAACGAAACGGTGAGTGGATCAACAGACCCAGCTTCGGCCCGCTGAATGATGCCGACAGACGCAGGAAGCCGTCTCGGTGCGAATTTGAATTGATCAATGCATGCGCTGTGAGCTTCTGCTGTGAGGTCGCTTAAGAAGATTCTGTCGGAAACTTTCTTCTCGCGTCGCTTTTTGTTCCTACGCCAAGTTGCAAGGTGTCGAGTTGAGAGTGGGCACGCAGCGGCACTTTCCGCCTTTTGATGCCTGCCCCGCAGACTACAGACTACTAACGCCCACCCGGAGTGAGCAGAAGCAAGCTTCGACTTAGATCTTCAGCCGCACTCGCTAGATGTCGCCGTAATTATTACCAGCATGCCTTTGCAATTTAGATAATGTATACTAGGCTGCAAAACAGTCAGCTTAGACACAAATTTCAGACGCCATAGATAATATGGTTTATATGGTTAGCCCAAGAACATCGGGTTAGGGTCAGGTTAGGGTCAGGTTAAGGTTCAGAGCTTCACCGTATTATTCTTGCACGACACATTAGCAAGTCCAAGCGCAATACTCAAGTGTCCATCTCAGCATTGAGTAACCTAGCATAAGATAGGTAAGAACTCTGGGAACTAAGCATTTGTTGTTCCTCCTGCAAAAATTTGTGTTTCTTTTCATTCCTATTACCATTTCGTGGAGAACTCAAGTGCTATCTCATGTAAATGAATAGCTTGCTAGTCCCTAGCCCCACTCATTATTCATAAGACCTGATAGATCAAGTGAAACATAAGTTGGTATCGAAATTCACTTAAAGATTATTCTCCTGAATACCATTACACACAGTTGCTAAGCCTGCTAACTAAGCACGCCGTATTCCACTTAGCCTGTTTTGATAACATAAAACCATTCCATAGTGTCCTAGCGGCCCATCGCCACCAACCCAATGTCCCAACCTTCGACTCCTCAACTGGATTTGTTCATGGAATACACAACGATCTAGATGTTACTGCACCTCAACCAGTGCAAGGGCAGACACTATCCTTCGGGTCGAGCGCATGACCAATGCGATTGGGAGATGGGTAGGCATCATTAATCTCGGCGAGCATATCATCGAATGCTGACGGATTATGGTCAGTGTTTGCAAAAAAAAAACATACAAGACAAGATGGAGGTTCTTACAAACGACCGCAAGAGCAACGTTGTAAAGGCCGGTTCCTTCGTTGGTATGGACAGTCACATCGCCGTCGAGCCAGTAGTATTCATTGTCTGGATATGTTTGTAAGCAAGTGTTTGTCAAAAGTACCAGCAACAATTATAATGGGGTGGATTCAGATCAAAGGACGCAACTTACGCCAATGGTTCTTCAGAAACCCGTAAGTGTACCCAGTCTCATCTGAGCCAGTGGCATTGACGCAGCTGGTGCCAGAAGGTGAGTTGCAGAACGGAGCTGGGTTATTGTCCGCATATTGGAAGCCACCACCTCCGGCGGTCACTAACAGGTTCAGTTAGGTAATGAAATGCGGAATTTGTTCTTAATCTGATGATGCTCAACATACAGATGAATGACCCAGTTGGGGTGATAGTCAAGTCGCCAGTGGGCCCAGCACGCCTAGGAATCATGTGAGTTCATTCATCTTCCTCCAATGACACCTGCAATGGTAACTGACATCCAGTATTCCACCTCCCAGCGGACCCGAACATAACCCGTCCCGCGAAGAGTGACAAAGTCAGAATTGTGGAAAAGGAGGTACGTTCCGGCTTTTCATTGTCAGACAAGTGAAGAAACAGAATCGGTTTAGATATCCAGGGGGTTCTCACTCAAGTAGCCTGGCTGGAAGGGAACCCAAACACCATCAATGTCAGTAATGCCAGTTTCCGCTCTTCGTGTCACCGTCGATGCGCGAATCGCAAGCTCGCCCCCTGGGACGGGGTTCGCGGAGCCGCATCCCAGGAGTGAAAGGGCAGCGGTGAAAATAGCGGCGAACTTCATGATGTTTGACTTGTTCGACTGGTTTGAAGGTGAGTTGACAACTGGGATATCGAACCGACCACTATAAACCATGGAAAGCATCCATTATATAGATCATCTTCAACGATCTTCGCCAAGAGAAGATCTGGGACTCCATGTGTAGAGGCGCGGGCCGGGACTTCGTCCTGTCAGCGGAATTCGTAACTATCCGGGGGTACTGGACAGTCTCAGACATATAGACTAAGTGCTTGATGATAACGAATAAGAACTCGAGGCTAGCTTTGGCTTTCACATTACGGTGCCAGGGTCACTTGATTTCGGCAGCGCAACACTGTTCTGGGAAGGTTGCATGGAGAATGGCTGCCAGAGTCGCATCTCCCCCCCTCAACATACCGTTCGTCGGGGCCCTCGGCACCGGTCACACTTTTTGCGGGGAAAGTATCAACGAATCAATGGACGTTGGTTATGTAAGGTTATACCGAGGATCATTGCTACTTTCGCTATCCTACTGGAATGCCCATGGGCTCTGCCCAGCACGTCCAGGGCTGAAACGCGATGTTTACGGGCGAAGTAACGGTGAAGATGTCCGGTGGCAAAATGAACTACAACAGCCGTGATCATCAGATTCGCTGGAAGATTCTCCAGTTGGTGCGATTTCTGTACAAAGATCAACCTGGTCGTTTTGATGGCGGCTGGGCCGGCGGAACTTGTACGCAGGCGTCTCACTGAGCCCGAGATGATATAGAAGACAGGGACACTTTCGCGTCTTGAATATTAGAACATATTGAGAATCGAACATAGGAGGTGGGAAAGGAGATCTCCTTACTAGAAGCTAGTTGGTCATATTAATACCAACGAGGTGGTGTGCGTTGATCTTGGTAACTTGAGGCAGCTAGAGATACTTGCATACAAATTTTTTTGCCGATATATCGGGTGCAAAAAGATTATGATGCGACTGGGGAGTTTGAAATAATAAAGATGAAACTACTTCAACAGGAGTGATTAATGGGGAATTTCTGCGAGACCTCAAAGATTACTAATTGCTGGAACCACTGAATGTCACTGATTCTACCTGAAACCTCTTGAATCATAGGATTCTTTCATTCGCTTCACATCTGTAGAACAACTTAATTATAAAACTTGACAAGGTACTAACATTGACATTGGATAATATTCACGCTGTTAAGCAGGAACTTTGGCAGGCGACCTATGTACTAGGTTAGACCCAAGACTCACGTGTACATATATATACATTGTAAAGCCCATTGAAACTCCACTGAGTACCCCTGACAGTCATTACAAGATAAGGTGTGACTTAAATGTTGTTTTCCCCTTGCAAATCATCCTTTGGCTAACCTTTCAGTCTTCAACCCTGCGGGTTCCACTCATCCAGTGCCCGTCTCAACCTCGTCTCATTTCTGGGAACGCAAAGCACCCTGTAGGGCTCCGGTGCCATAATAAGGTCGGCCGGATTCTTGAAGTCCCGACTCGGATTGCACTTGATTTCGCCAACCGCCTTGAATCGAAAGCTGCTGAGCATCCGCATGAATACCAAGTACACCTCCCGGTGGGCAAGGAGATGACCGGAACACATCCTATACCCAATACCGAGGGTGAACATAGGAGCGTCTGGCTTTTCAAGCCAGCGTTCGGGCCGGAAGACCTCGGGGTCGGTCCAGAGGTTTTTGTCTGTAGTAGTTTTCTCTTGTTAGTATTTCGCCTATGGGGGATAGGGGAGTGAAAATAACGTACCATAGTTACAAGCCCATGCATTCAGATAGTAAGTCGTTCCCTCCGGTATTCGAACACCCTCATACACAACATCCCTAATCGAAGCCCTGGGCAGCGCGAGCGGAATCACAGTAAAGTATCGTAACGCTTCTCGTGCCATGGCAGCGATATACACACACTTCTGATCATCCGCCACATCAGGCAGCCCTGAGGTTTCGGCTTTCAAAGGCTCCTGGAACTCCTGAATAGCGTTGAACGCCTTATCCTGGATCTCGGGGTGTATCGCAAAGTACGCCACACTCCACTGCACCGTGGTGGCAACGGTCTCGAACCCGCCCGACAGCATGGACAAGCTAATGGACGTGAGCTCGACATCGTTAAGCTTGGCTTCCTCGTTCTTGATCACATTGGCCTGTATGCAGGGCGTATCCGTGCCCTTGTTGACCTTTTCAATGACCCCTGAGTTCAAGGTATGCAGGTAAGCGTCGCGGCGCTGACGCATCTCTCGCGCCTTGGCAGAATTTCGGTTTACTGGATTCATACGTAGGAGCGGGATATAGTCCTGCAGGTTGCCCGTCGTGGAGCGAAATGAGTTGAGCTCCTCCTCGACCCTAACGATCTCGATGAACATGGGATCCTCGATACAGGCGACACGGACGCCCCAGTTGATGGTCATGGCGAGTGAGAGGGACAGACGCTGGATCATGGGGAGTGGATCGATCGCGACGGTTCCGGCTTTGCCGTAGAAAAGAAGGTCTTTGATGAAGTCCTTGGATTCGAGGTCCATGTGCGGGACGTAGGATTGAATGGCAGGTTTGTTGAGCGCGGCGGCTGCTCCTTTCTTACGACGCTTGAGGGAGTCGTCGTAGGGGGAGGTGCCGATGGTGAGGCCGGCTGTAGTGGAAGCGATCTGACTGTGTTTGCATATAGAGTATGAAGTTTAAAGACCGTGACTTACCTTGTGAAACGTGTAGGTGATCGGCCTCGAACTGATAGCCTGCGAGTTGGCCACGAACAGCTTCTTGGCCGCCACGGCACTGTTGACAACCACAACGGGCGTGTTGCCCATTTGGATCTGATAGACATCTCCATACGTTTTGGACCAATCGTAAAACCTCGCTGCCGCATTGGTTCGAATGTCCCACAAGTTACCAATGACGGGCCAGCCCCTGGGACCTTTCATGCCTGGGACTCTAGCCCGGGCTCGAACGATCTCATTGCCAATGATATGTAAGAGTATACCGACCAGTGCAATAGTGGCGGTGCATCGCAGAGGGGAATCGGCAAGCTGCTGTCTCGCAAAACATATAAGGTGTTCCAGGGTCATATTGTCTGAAGTTTTCAACCAGTATTTCAACCAAACTTTTCGTTTTTTCTGTCAAGAGACCTCGGGATGGTGTAAGGAGGGCTGTGTTATATCAGGTATGTATCGGCTCTGCTTGTAGTCGGTAATACACAACCGTCAACCAAAGCCATGGGATTCCGAAACCATACACAACCCGCTACGGTATGCCTGGCTGCGTTTAGAGGATTACGCAGTTATGTGGGACAATTAATTGGACAACCACACGTTTGAGGAATGTTAATGGTCAGTAGCTGATCGAGATTGCGGGGAAATGGTGCCAAGTGAAGGTGCTACTAGACGCAGTTGCCGGAATGTTACCGGGCTTGCTCGGAAATTCCGAGTCAACTTCACACAGATCATAAAACTCTATGTTAATTCGACCATCAGATCACTCTCGAAAGTGGCCCCTATCCTTAATTTTACACCAAATAACGTAGTCCACGGTCCAATTGCACACTTTGGCAGACCTTATACGACAATGTATAAATTAATTCAACCACAACGCCTATCATCAATTGAAACTACTCAGAATCGTTATCTTCAGACGTCTCTACATCATTTCCACAAGTGCGCGCATTATGTCCGGGCTCGCCGCAGATTCTACAGCGCCGTACACGCGCAATTCGCCGCCTCGTACGACCACCAATTTGACGAAATTCGTCATGTAACTGCCCATCAACCTCTCGTTGAGACTGTAGGTCCTGTCCAGCTTGTATACGAAGTGACCCTCCACTCTGTAGCTGTTTTTTCTTCGCACGGCGACGTCGACTTAAGGTCTCATTTACCTTTCGAAGTGATTCGACCTCGCCTTCTAAAAGGGCAAGCCGATGCATAACCTTCGTTGTACCTCGCGCAATCTGATCTATTCCAGCAAAAATTGACGTTGGTGAGCTATTTTGATGTCGTACAATCCTATTTTTCACATAATCGCTTTGTGATTGGGCTTCGGTTCGGTTGTTCGGAGTCTTTGATTCCCAAGGGACGGGGAGACCAGCCGAGCTACCCGGAGGTGTTTGCGTATGCAATTTCACATCGAGCTGTGATATGACATAATCTGCATCGTACGGAACTATTCCTACCCCTCGGAAACCTCCTTGGATATTTGAAACCGTGAAAGTTGCGTTGTACGCGTTTAAAAACGCCGGTAAAAAGTCTTCTTTCGAGATATGACTTATATGTGCTTGCATGAGATCTTCGATTTCTTTTCCGTACGCTCTTTTTAACCCGCGAAAACAACCAACATCAAGAGGCTGGAGCTTATGCGACGAATGAGGAGGCATACAAAGCGTGACGATATTGTTAGCTTTGCAATATAACTCGAAATCGGTCGAGTGATGGCTTTCGTGACCGTCGAGGATCAATAGGCGATGAGTACCTTTCGTACGAGACTTGGTGTGATGATCGAAGTGTTTTATCCAATCTTTGCCTCTCTCGTTCGTAGTCCAGCCATTTTTAGTAACTGCGATAACCCAATCAGGCGGCAATGGGCTGTTTTCGTACCATGACGAGAGGTGGGTTTTGCCGGCGAAAATGATGTACGGAGGGAGGGCATAACCGGACGACCCAACGCCTTGAATAACTGTAACCCATTCCCGATTTCCTTGCTGGGCTGCTCTAGGCCTTCCGCGCCGATCAGAAGTCGTCACAACCATTTCGGACGAGATTTGGCCCATCACAAAACCGGTCTCGTCGAAGTTGTAGATATCCTCCTCCTGGATCGCGTATTTCGCAGAGGACTCTCTGATAGTCGATCCTTCGATTTAAACGCGTCCGGAGGTCTGGTTGTCGTCTTACGAAGCTCGAGGCCCAGTTGACGCCGACGCGACTTCGAAGTAATCGGTTGGCCATATCTTCAACACCACTCAATCGAGGAGGAAATGCTCGCGAATCTAGGTCGGTTATATGTCGTACGATTGCCTCTTCTTCGGAAGGAGTCAACTTTTGCGTTGGCGATCGCGTAATCGCTCGAGCGGTTTTACCGTCGCGTCGATACGCAAGGGTTCTAAAAGGTACGTTATAGATCTGACCAGCGCGACGTACACTTAATTTTGGATCAGGTTGAAGCGCATGTAATGCTAGAATCATATCACTTTCATTCCAAGAACCAACCATAGTTATGTGGTGAAAAACCGCAGGTCAAAGTGGTAGCGTACGAAAATCTGCCGAAGTGTGCAATTGGACCGCGGACTACGTTACTGGTACTTATAGCACCATGTTTCCAGTCACATAAGGATTCTGAAATAATTATAACGAATTGCCCGAGACGATCGCAAATTGTCGGTTCCTCTTAGCGACGGAGAGAGTGGACAATTAGCATCAGAAGGCGCCTTGCAGCTCTACCTGACGACGATAATTTAATTAAGAAGCTGACATGCATCTACGTCACCGGAACCGATAATAAGAGTGGCAGTGATGCACTTATGATTTATCAGCGAGAAAGCTTTATGTAGACTGCATCGCATCAGCCTAAAAGGACCTGACAAAAGCGACAATGCGAGGCCTGTAGGGATCGAAAGCGGCAATGCGTCTTTTCAATAGCTGCGGTGTCCAGTTTAGAGCCATGGGCTACTCCGTATGCCTGTCGCGGGACCCTTCCCAATACTGGACGTTTGGCCCAATGATACATATTTTCCCACACAGGAACTCGGCGGCTGATGAACCAAATAACCAGTTCTGCAACTCGACGAGGGCATCAAGTTCATTTTTTCGGATGCTACATCAACATTAGGATTGTGTCATCCGTGTTCTCTTAGTTTTTTTATCTCGTAGTGACTCTCCTACTTGCCGGCAGCTATCAAAATCGATAGTAACTGCCCCTGATAATTATTATCTGGTGAGTAGGTTACCAAGATTGCACTCGGTAACCTACAGATGATCCTGAAGGATAAAGTGCTTGGAGGGGTCGACCGTCTCGCGAATCGCTATTCTAAGCTTGACAGTCCTCTCGTCTTACTTTATAAATGCTTTTAGGTCGGAGGGATATAGGCTGTGGTGTTGCAAGTACTACAGACGGTTTAGAATGGAACGTCGTACTTGGGTCGACCGACTACAAGCTAGACGAGAGTTCTGGCTCCGGCCTTATTTTGGCTAAGCCATTATTGTGTCAGGGTACGGCTAGGCCGAAGGCAATAGTACAGATTGATGGGGAGTAACGGGCGTCCCTCCTACGTAGCACCGGGTGGTCACTGGCGGTCTCAGGTAGGGGTGCCCACGATGATGCATTGATCTCTGCTCCCTCCCTATCCTACTACGATATGGTCCTTATATAGATAGCTAGACTACCGCTTAGACACGGCATAACAGTAGGGTCGGCGATGCCGAGGATCTTGACTCTCGTCATCCCAAAGCTTCACATAGATTGTAATCATGACTCGGGAGTCTTTTGTCCGAAACACCCCTCCGGCGCCCCACCGGTGTCCTGCGTTCAGTGTCCTGACAATCGTCAGGTTTACTTCTCTTTAAGGATGATTTTGGAGGTAGTTGATTCTGATGCCATTTTCGGATTATATTGGTATTTGTTTTTAGGTTTTGTAGGCTCGCTCGCTTTCTATCTCTGAGCTTTTATACAGAGTTTTCACCAATTTTCAACTCTCTATGGGACTATCAAGGCTGCTTTTCTCTTGGAATAAGAGTTGTATAGCGGAAGTGTCCTGGGCTTGAACTATTAAACAGTTAGAGGAGCATGAGGAATTGTCGGGATAAATTCTACGGTGGTTTCTCGTATGTTGTTTTACTGATTGGCACTTCTCGATCAAAGTTTTCCCTTGTATCGTATCCATTAGTGTGGAGTAGCTGAGGAGATCAGTCCGTATCGAGAGTTAAGTCCACACATTTCTGCAGAGCTTTTTAAAGCTGTACAGCTCTACTCAAATGAACCATAGGAGTAGACAACACCCTAACCAGATGATGCGTGACTGATACGTGACCCCATGGGGGGTTACCCTATAGCTATAGATAAGATAGATAAGAGCTATAAAAGAGCTCTGCCAGGCCAGAATAGCTGACCTGGCCATCCTTTCCCAATACAACAATTCACACCCCATATGCACTCGCATCAGTGACTGTCAGGGAAATTCCTTGTCTATACCTATTTTTTGTATGTCTTGGCAGAACCACTTTTTGTTCGGATAGTTCTGGACCAGCCCTTACCATTTAATAATATCTAGGAATATTCTGGATGGTGCAAATAATTCACTTGCTAAAAATCAAGGTGATTTCATACTCGAAAACCGCAATCGAGCAGAATTCATTGTTCATAGCAAAGTTCAAGACCAATTCATAAAAGAGCTTTTGGAGTGCGAAGTGACTTTGAATTCAGCGATCAAAATCAGGCCTAAAGAAAATCCTAAAACACATGTGTTCTATCCTTGTGAACGATGTATACGAACACATAACGCCCAATCTAATGCAATGCTAACCAGTTCGAGCCGACCATGCCAATGCTATGCATTATAAATGCTGTTCGTCTACCCATCCATCCATCTATGCAACCTTTCCTTCCCGAATCCTACACCTAGTGTTTCTTCTGTTGATCGAAATCACTTAGGCTATGAAAACCCATGGTTTGAAGACAAAATTGAAATATGACCCGCTTAGCAAGCGATATCGAAAGCGACAAAGCTCTGGCCCGCAGTGGGAGGGGGAAGCTGGGCAGCGGCGACGTTGAACAGACGGCACTGCTGGGCCTCGCCGGCGTTGAACTTGCCAAACTCGACCGACTTGCACCCGACGGTGCTCTGACCCAGGGCCAGGCAGGCGTCGGAGGAGGTAATGGCGGCGTTGGTCTTAAGGGGAGTGGGGGCGGTGCCGGAGCCGGTGGGCTTGGCGCCACAGATGTCGCGCTTCTGCTGCTGCTGTTGCTGCTGCTGATTTCCGGTCTGCTCAGTCGTGCCCGACTCCTGGAACTCGCCGTGGGGAGAGGCGGTGGTGGGCTCCGTGTTAGGGACGCTGCTGCAGGCAAGGTCGTAGACGACGACGTTGGTGTCCTGGGCGGAGACCTGGGCGGCGGCGACAGAGAAGAGCTTGCACACGGGGGCGTCGGAGTTGGGGGGCAGGCCGAAGGCGAAAGACTTGCAGCTGGCGTTGGACTCGCAGGCGGCCTGGCAGGCGTCCGCCGTAACGGCAGTGGGCGAGGACAGCGGGGTCTGGGTGCCGCTAGCGCTGGGGGTAGCGCCGCAGGTGTTGGCTCGGGTAAAGAGATCGGTGGGCATGCCCGAGACTTGGGAGGCCATCAGGGCGGCGATGAGGGCGATGGTAGAGGTGGTGAACTGCATTTTGATGGTTGGTTGGGGGTTGTTTGGATGGTTAGAGGGTTGTATAGTTGAGCAAGTGAAGTTTTAGTGAAAATGTGGAGGTAGTTGAAAGGCTGTGGTAGTTGTTGGTTAACTGTGAATGATGGTGATGGTGAGAAGAAGGTTATATCTTAGGAGTACGGTTCGTTCCCTTCTTATAGATGAATTGGCTCGCCGCTTAGTTCCCTGCTGTTGACTCCTAGCTCGCCGCATCGTGACTACCTAGACATTTCTCGTGGAGTCGTAGCCCTGGTTTCTAACTTGATCGACGTCGGCTGTGGTAGACGCGTATGCGCTTGCCAAATTCACACAGATCGCATTGGCAGCTGTTTTCGGCCGAAAGCGTACGTTCACTTAGTGTGGTTCGATTTGACGATGTCTTCGTCGGCAGTGCAGTGTATGCCAGTAGGTTATAGTGGAGCGCTGCGGATAACTTGCTGGTAACCACACGAAAATAACTCTATAATTAATCATAATAACGGTGGGCAGGTGTGGCTTAGGTGTTTGTCCCATGGTGTTTCAGGTATTTAAAGCGCTTCGCTTAAGGTTGTCGTTCGCGTTAATAGTAGGGATGCCAGTTACCAAGCACGGACAGTCGTCGACAGTGGAGCTGTGGCCTGCCAAATGCGGAACTAACAATTATGCGTTAAGAGCCTCATGGGCCGCCTTCTGTGCACATCTGCCGCTGCGCCTGCCCGACATGAAGATCTTAGCAAACCCTTTTTTTTTCTTCGCGAATTACGCAGCGATCTCCATCGATCCCGCTTTACAGGGACATGGTCAAATGGAAATAGCTCCAATAACCTGATAATGGACTCTGCCTCGCCTTACATCACAGAACTCGACGACCAGTCAATGGTTCTTCAGTCAGGACATTGTATAGATTGAAGTGGAACAGTTGTCATCCGGATTGATGTTCGGGCTATTACACACAGCGATATGATTCAGTACGAGGTTCCAACCTCCACGAAAGTTCCTCATATACGTGGACAGCTAGGGCAACAACGATTGCTTGATTCCATTGTGTGCTTCGTTGTCCTCCTGATACTTTTCTTTGCTGTTCTCTCCTTTCTTTATAAGCTAGGAAACAGTATTGTCCCATTGGATACATATAATATCCTATTTGAAGAACGGCTACGGCTTAGCGGGAAGAGAAATCTGCTTCGCAGCGCGAGCGCTAAAGCGTCACATATACTCCGGCAGGATAGGCCGGCGAAGAGGAAGCAGGCGTCGCAGTTACTCCGACCGGCAGGGTACACTATGGAGAAGGAGGCCCGGGGCTCCGAGTGGATGAGTGAGGAAAAGGAGGTCCCGGCTGCCCTCCTCGGCCACTGGAGGAAGAGATGGCTCACCGGAGCAGAGCATCACGATCGCCAGCGACGCGCTATCGCTGAGGAACCGGAGGGCCCTTCGATGCAGATACCGAAAGGGGGCAAGTATTTCGGCCTGAACCGACTGGAGGCGTCTACGCTGTGCCAGATCAGGACGGAAAAAATAGGACTAGCAGCCTTCTTACTCAAGACAGGGGCTTTTGGCGTGTACTCGTCGCTATGCCACTGTGGCGACGCCCCTGAGACGGCAGAGCACGTAATCCTCTTTTGCGGGCTGTTGGAAGGACCGAGGTACGGGCCGCTATCGCACCACGGCCACTATACTCTCGCAGAGACCTCGCAACGGCAACAGGAGAACCAGTAGTTAGTGGGACTATTGTAAGGTGGCTGCTAGGGACGGGTCGGACAGCTTCAAGGCCCAGATAGCATCGATCTTCTTAGGGGGGACTTTGTTGGTAGGTTGAGAACCAACGTAGTATGGTAGTGGACGCAACGCAGTCGCCAATAGGGCGAACCGACGACGCAGCGTATGTATTTAGTCCAGCCATTAGGGCACGGTTTGACATACGGGAGTACTAGCAGAGGTACCGGGGGCTTCGATCCTACGGCGTATTTAATAATAATAATAATAATAATATCCTACATCCGACATAAATACTGAAACGGGGTCAGGCGGTCAGTAGGATATACCTACCACCTAACACACTGAACAGACGGCTCCAGTACCAACAGATCTCATCTGTTGGTCTGATCAGACGAAGATCGTGGTACTGGTGTAACGGGGTAAGGCCGGACATCAGGGAAATAGGTTACGGGGCTAGGAGAAAGTTCATTTTCTCTTCTTTAAGAGGCACAGAGGCAGAGTAGGACACGAGTCCCACATCTTCACGTATTATCATCCTTATCTCTTTTCATCATCTTATTCAATCAACTTGACTTTTATTTTCTATTCTAGTTGATTGAATAAGATGATGAAAAGAGATGACAAGTTGTTGAAAGTCGTCTGTCATCTCCGTATCCCTTAAGAAGTGTGGAAGACAGGGGAGTCCTCCCTGGTCCCCGTCACCTACTTTCCTGATGTCTGTGAAGGTCAACCCTCGCAGACTCACTACAACCAGGTGACTTACAGCTGGAACACCTGCCATGGCAGTGCCAGATGGGAAGCCAATCATAACACCTGCAGGAGCCCCGCCAAGCGTGGACGACTTAGTCGCGCTCCCTCAAACCTAAGTTTGTGATCTTCTTTCCTTCGCTCCTTAGAGTAGAATCTTCGTCGATAGCACCTAATCGAGGTCTATACCAATGCGATGCAACCCAGGTCGTGACACTAATGGCTGGACTAAATACATACGCTGCTACGTAGGTTCGCTCTATTAGCGACTGCGTTACGTCCACCACAATACTATGTTAGTTCTCACCCTACTAACAAAGTCCCCCTGAGAAGATCGATATTATCCGGGCCTAAGCGCTATCCGGCCAGTCCTGAGTAGCCACCTTGTGATAGTCCCGCTGACTACTGGTTTCCCCGTCGCCGTTGCCAGGTCTCTACGTGTATGCAGCGACCATGGTGCGATAGTGGCCCGTAGGCGCTCTCTCGATTCTTCCAGCAGGCCGCAAAAGAGGATTACGTGCTCTGCCGTCTCGGGGGCCTCTCCACAGCGGCATAACGGCGAGTACACACCGAAGGCTCCTATCTTAAATAAGAAAGCTGATAGTCCTATTTTTCCGGTCCTGATCTGGCATAGGGTAGACGCCTCCGGTCGATTTAGGTCTGAGTACTTGCCCTGTTTCGGCATTCGCATCGAGGGGCCCTCCTGCTCCTCGGCGATAGCGCGTCGCTGGCGGCGCACAAACTGGTCGTGTAATTACTCAAGTGATTGCGGATATATATTCAGACCTCTATAGCCCGCAGGTCTGTGCGCCGGCACTCGTCAACTATTATGGGGACAAGGCTGAATCACTTGAGTAATTACACGACCAGTTTGTGCGCGAACAGTTCAGAACGCGCGTACTGTGACCCCACATGTAGCTTACCCCTAAGCAAACGTAAGCTTTCCGGGGTACGGATGACTTCATAGGTCCAATATTGGGCGAAGTGTTGGATTACAGCCACTCTGCACGCCACACATAGCCACATACTCGTCAGGATACAAGGGTCACGATGCACTGTCCAAATATACGAGGCAAGTGATGAGAGGCATCCTGACGAAGACAAATCTACACACATTTTTGCAGGAAGAGAGTCCAGATGAAGACAGATGAACTCCCTCAGAGGACAAGCAGAGATAACAAATAACAATATTCATATCAATCAATAAGTCAATTAATCACCTTGTTTTTCTATTGTGACCTCATTACCCATCTGAAGGCGGGATTGAAGATCCTCAGATGTGAGCCAGCCTGTTTTAGTTTCTCTTTCTTTTCTTGTCGAGAATCTTTAAGTCAATACAGTGCATTAGAGTGTTTTGACTCTTCAATTGTGCTCACCGTGACAGTGATAGAGGTATGATTTATGTAAAAGTGGGGATAGCCGCCAGACCTTTTGCTAGTGGTTTAATCAATAATTCACAGACAAATGATGGACATGATGTTTAATTCTTTTTTTTTGGAAGCAATGGAGAATAGTCACTTTAAACCGTACGTGATGCGAGTGCATATGGGGTGTGAATTGTTGTATTGGGAAAGGATGGCCAGGTCAGCTACTCTGGCCTAGCAGAGCTCTTTTATAGCTCTTATCTTATCTTATCTATCTTATCTATCGCTATAGGGTAACCCCCCATGGGGTCACGTATCAGTACGAAAAGTAAGTTCCTATTTCCTAAAATTTCGACATGCGCTTATAGCCAAAGAGCTTGTTCAGGAAAACTTGTGTGTATACGACTCTCCGTGAAAAACAGGCTTTGGAACCTTTCCCTCCTTTGATTCTAATATGCTTGGCCTGTCTCTTATTCACTTTGGAATTTTCTTTTGGGAAAACTGAACGATATTATTTACATCACCCCAATAAATTCCATGTCAGAAGACACAGTAATCCAGATAGTGACTCCCCAAGGATTAAGTGCTTTGTTCGCTGTACCAGTCACTGGCCCATCGGTGCTGTTGCCCACACCCGAAGAAGTCCCCATATCCTTCGAATACCAAGTCTGATTCCACTTCTCAAAGCTCAAATCTGGAACCAGAATCGGCTTCGCATCCCTCTCCTCCTCAGTAACCTCCACGTCATCCTCTTTACCATCCCAACAATGCCTCTCAAAACACCCCCCACAAACACTCGGCAACTCCATTTCCTCCCTTAAAACGCTCTTCTTAATCACTGCACAAGCTAAACAAGCCGGCCAATCCGGATCCAGCCCGCTCTCGCCGAAGGTGGCCATCTGGAATATGTTGTCCATGACGAGGTCGAACTGGTGGTCCGTGAATGACGACGTCTTGTACGTATAATTGGTATACTGTGTCCAGGGAGCCATGGGCATGTAGAGGAGTAAGGGCACGTCAGAGTTGGGCTCTGAGGTCTGGTTGCAGCCGAAAAAGGTCGGGAAGCGAATTAAGTTCAGGTTCACCATTGTTGCGGCTGTGGAGGGAATTTGAGGAAAAGGGATGTTGCCTTCGGCCGCGGTTCTGGCGGTGTCTTGGATGGTTAACGAGGAGCCACCAGTTTGGAAAAGTCCATTACGGTTTGGAAGTGGACTTACTGATGAGATTAGTGCCGTTCACCCAGTTGTATTCCGCGTCGCTGGTGGCATCGAGGGCGATGATAAAGTCGACACTACGCTCAGGCACGATTAAGGGGCGCAGGGGAATTGCCTCGTTCCGTCAACCTGTGATTTTGTCAGTTACTCAAACATAGAAACAAAAATAGCAACATCGCAACAAGAGAGTCACTAACCAGGAGCAACTCTTCGACCCCAGTCAATTCCTCGGTAAAGCTCTCGAACGGATTTGGGTACGTAGCCCACATTGCATCACTAAACAACATATCAAAGGCACTAACCGTGATGTTGACCAACTCGACCTGCTGATTCTCTTCCTGGTCCTCGGGAACCACAATATCCCGCTTGGCGAAAAGCGGAATATCATACCACCCGTCCACAAACCAGAAGTTGAAGGCATTGGCTGTGCTTCCCTGGATCAATGTGAACTTATCAAAGCCCACCACACACGAATTCGACGCCTGCGGCTCACCGCCGTTCATTGCGGTCCCGAGCCACTTGGTAGGAAGGAAAGCCTGCACGCGGCCGCCCGCCCAACTGCCGAATTCCAAGGGAGTGACTTCATAGCTGGTCAGATTGAAGCTCGCAGGGCCGGGAAACTGGATCCATTCAATACTAGGCGAGGTTCCGTTGATAATCTCAGAAAGTAACAGAATAGGCATCGGTCCCGTGCCGCGCGAGAAGGAAGTATCGGGTCCGGCGACGTCGGAGAAGGATTTGAAGCGCCAGGATTCCGGCAGGTATTGGCCGAAAAACTGACCGAATACGTCTGCTACAAACACGGGGTATCCCAGCTCGGCTTTAGCCCCAGCGATCTCGACGAACTTGGTTATGTACTGAGTCGAGTTGCCGGTCATGCCCGTATTATAGTTGGTGCTGAAGTTGATATTATTGCGGAGTTCTTCGATAGTGGGATAGTCGTTGCTTGCACTAAGTATGCGTCAGTCTTGTTTCTCTATTATGATGGTTCTGAAGACTCTCGAAGCTTACAGCGTGCTGACGGTCATAAACCCTCCTCCACTCAAGCCGGTGATGTAGGCAATGCACTGCGCAAGCCCACCAGTCCCGGCCTCTACCTACGGGGGATGCCGGCCATCGAAGGCCTGCCAGAGACCCAGGCCGCCGAGACCAGATTGGCTCCCTCCACCAGAGACAGCAAATCCAACGACGGGTGCATTCTTTCCACTCAGCTTCGAAAGATAGTCTGGCACGTCGAAGCCTGACAGGTTCGTGCGCTCGAGGTAAGTTCCTAATGACCCGACCACTTGTTCAAGTCGGAGCTCTCTCCGGTCTTTCACAAGAGGTGAAAGACCGGAACTTGCATCCCGAACTCTCACTTCGTCTGTGCAGCTCACTTGTTGAGGCGCATACGGGTCTTGAGATGCGTCTTGTATATCTTGCGCAAATGTGCCAAGAGGCATACAGAGGATACAGGAGGTAATCAGATAGAAACACATGATCGCTTGTGCAAACCAGTTGCATGCTTTCCTTCAATGGCTTCCACCTATTGCGAAGAGATGCCTGCGAATTCCTTATATCTCGCTCACCTCGCTCACCATGTTCGAACCTCCGTCAATTCAGTACCTTCCACTGTGTCTAGACTCCAGACAAATAATTCTTTCAGCCGTCGCGAGAATAGTGCCGCCACGAGTGCAAACTATCGAGAAAAGGTTCCAATAGTTACCTAATGGTAAGCCTCACCCGTCTGACAGGCGCTTCGCACGCGTCGTCATGACTGGAATACTTGCTCACTCGAACTTTCACTACCGTCGACCAACTACCTTGGTTTTATTCTACCTCGCATAAACAGATCCATGGCGTCTAACCGCATTGACCACCTTTTTGCATGCACCCCCATTTTGCAGGGTCTAACTGAATCAACCTAAATACTTCGTCCATATTATTTATATACAGAACATACTTAATTTAAGTGTCCGAAGACTTAGATATATTCTTTCGAGCCCTCTTTTTAGGAGGGACCCTTCCTTCGAGAAAAGTATCAATTTCTAACTGCTTATCCGGTAAAATAGGCCGTATTCGCTTATTTCGCTTGTCCTGGGCTGTTCGGATCGCTGATAAGTTAACGAATACTTTATTCGGGTCTGGCTCGACGGGCTGGCGTATATCTGGAGCGTATTTATCGAGTTCTTTATATAGTTGCTCGTTTTCGATACGTAATTTGGTATTCTCGACGGCCTGGAATGTAAGGGCCTTGCCCGCCTTGCCTACTAGGGTACGAATCTTACGAGATACCCCGCCCTCGGCTTTCTCTATCGACTATAGTTGGCTAGATAGTTGCTGCGCTTTCTGAGGAGTAAAATCAACTAAAGGTGGTGATATATGAGGCGGAGGATCTGGTGTATGAGGCTCCGGAGGATCACAAGATACGTCGACTAGTTCTTCGGAGCCTAGGGGCCATATACCAGTCTTCCACCAGCCAGAAAGTCTCGGATCTTGTTCGAATTGGAGGCTCTAACTCGGCTAGCATCTACGAAGCGCCCAATTTTGGTACGTATCTGTGGATGGCGGCTAACGAAGTGATCCACCCAGTGTTGGCCGAGTGTATTGTTATCCCCTTGAGCAAGGAGGATTTCGGCAGCGAAGTCGGCCACATAACGCTTGCTAGGAGCCCGTCCACACACTTCTTCGTGTAGGATCCAGTTCACGATAACCTCCTCTTGCTCTGGAGTCAACTTTTGTTGCCTGGAGGCCGCGTCGCGATGCGAATTACCGTGACGAATACGGTAGGACAGTGTAGTCCCCTTGATACCGTACCGATGAGCTGCTACGGCCTGGGAAGAGACCTGATGGACAAGCTCTTTAGCGCGTTCGATTCGCTGCTCAAAATCGTCCAGACTATTCTCCACTGGATTAGCCATTTTGTACGTAGATAGGGAGCAATTGTGAGGTAAATTGAGAGACGTCGTGTTGTTGAGGCGTAGAAATTCCCTGCAAAATGGGGGTGCATGCAAAAAGGTGGTCAATGCGGTTAGAGCATTCAACAAAAGGCCATTATGTAAGACAATATCATTATCGTGTTTCCTTGTTTAAACGCCTCCTCGCGTTCGTTTTTGATGTAAGCAAGACCGATTTAGGGGCTACGTGTCTTTTATGTGATAAGAAAATACTAGCAGGCTAACTATGGGCATATTATTGTCGACAAGTTTCTGAACCTGGGTTCTACGAGCTGTGACCCGTGATAGGCACCGCACTGTTAAGTGTCTGTGTTCCATGGTACGAGTAGTACAAACACCATATATTATTATTTTCTGCATGGGAGCTGCCTTTACGTTAATGAGCTAGTTAGTCAATCTCAAAATCTTCAAGAGCCGAGCCTTATCAGCGACACGCGGAACTACTATGTTATAAGTCAAGATATTCACACGTATAGATGCAATTGTATTACTGTGAGAGATTTAATTATTATACCAATAGTTGTAATTTTACGATATACGCTATATGATCTATATATCCTGGAGGAGGTGTATAAGTCCCACGGATGTGTCCCACCAGATTCACCTACCATGCATGACCTGCAGCCATTCTAAACGAGACGTCAATTCAGCGCATAATCTTAGCACTTGTTGTAGAATAAATCATGCTGTCCGAAGTCCAGCAGGCGAGCAAGCAAGGGAACTAAATATGCATCCAACATGGTAGCATAATCAACAACTATCCAGGCATCCGAGCCACCTTGCTCCTGGCAGAGACAGAAAACATCCTTGAACAACACACTTGCCTTTTCTTCCGCCCTTATAAAGTTCTCGCCCTCAAGCGCGGGCTCCCGCATCTCCTTATGACTGTAGCATTGGCATGCCAAGTGGGAAACGAACCAAAACAGCTTGCCTTTGATTATCAAAACGCCCTTTTAAACCCTACAGCTCGTTTATACTCCTGGCTGATATCCGTCCGAGCCAGCAACGTATTTAACGCCGGCCACGAAAAACCCTCGAACCCGTCAACTTGCTTCAGCAGCCCTTGTAACGAGGTCTGTTGCCCAGGCGGATAATAACAGAAGATAAAAGCTTTGTTGCTCTTATCAGCTCAACAGAAATGCCTTTGCACAGACGAACAAAGACTCGACAGGCATGAATCGACACGAACTTTGCATAAATCATTATTCTAGAATAAATTTCAAGATCCTGTCCCTAAGTCAATAGAATAAAGGAACTAAATATACCAATTCCCCGTAGAACTGCGTATTTATAAGAGTGCGGAGGGTCTAGTCCTATAATTATCTTTGCAGTCAAATAGTACCGATATACTCAGTCCTATGACGAGAACAAGCTGACATGAGGCCACAGGGCCTATTGTACTCATTTCCTTGTCATAGAGAAATACCAAGTACAATGCCTGTACAGTATAGTGAACCCAAGGATCAAGTTACTGAACTTGGGCTCTAGGAGTACGGTAATATACTGTCGCGCCACGACTCTAATAAATCCATTTTCAGAAGTTTGGGTCCGACTTAGATTTATTCTTGGTCAAACCATGGTCTATTATAGGCATCAGGAACGGCCAACTCATCATGTGCTCATTTCCGCTAACGAGGCCTCTGAGACCTGAAACACATGATTATGTATGGACTCGACTGCAGATATTATACTGGGGTTGATGTCACTTGACGGTTCTCACGAGTGCCACTTCGGCTCTCATTGAGATGAAAGAAAGAACGCCCAGGAATATGAAGGTTTCTCCGATGAGATAATTTACGTGACAACTCCTTGTCTAGAACTAACCGCGGTACATGGGGAGGTTGCTTGCGGCTCCCCATAAAGATGGCACGGATGGCAACCAAATCGGCAGAACTCCGGCATGTGGCGTCATGCGGGTTTCGAGATGAGCCAAGCCAAGACTTGCCCGCAGGTGAGCTTTGAAGACCCGATAACGATAATCCTCTTAGAAACGCAAGTCCCAAACACTCACAACCACCCTCGAGCAGCAGGCCAGCTGTTTCTCCTCTGTATGCCTCCTCCCGAAAGCGCACAAACTCTCCCCAAGAATCCCACGCCTCTTGATCAATCCTTGATCAAGACAACATCTGAACATGACGCCATGAACAGCGAACAAGCGCCGGCGAAGCAACTCGATGCTGGGCTACAAGAAGCAGCGGCACCGATCGGCGCACCCACATCACAAGTCGGGAAACCAGAGTCACAGCATACGGACAAGCAGTATCTCCCTCCAATTCCTACGCCAGTCGAGCAGAAACCCATGGGGCCAGCCCCGGGGAACCCTGCCGTCCTACAGAGCAAGGCCCAACCAGACATAGCCCCACCGCCGCCAGCGAAGGATACATCAGTGAAGGAAAATGCGCTGGCTGACACGTTTGGGAAGGCCGATAGGGCCATCACGAGTGAGCAGCTGAAAACCGATGCTACTCACAATGATAATATGGAGTCCTCGGTAGCCACACTGAAACCTCATAGGCCTCAGTACTTGAGACTCGATCCAACCCCATATGTCGACCCCACTCCCCCTACTCCGTTTGGCTCTCAGCCTCCATCAAGAACGAGTTCTGCGCATAGGTCTAAGGGACACGGCCTTGAGCCGTCTCCAACTCAGTCTGATGCTGCCTACGACGAGCGGAGATTCACAAGCGAAGATGAGCAAGAAGGAAGCTCGCGGTCCGAAATACAGAGCATTATGGAACAGTTCCCAGAAGAGGGCGGCGGACCAGATGTGGAAGAAGTCATGAGCCCCCGACTGGAAATCGCATCGCCATTTTTGGCAAGTCCTTCGCCGCAGCATCCGCCGAGGAAGTCGAGTCTAGAACCTCTAGCGCCCAGCATCGCCCACCACATCCAGGACCTGCAAGGACTGCGCATCTCAACTTCCTCGCCTGTGGCAGCGAAGTCGACTGGGAAAGAGCTTGAGATCGAGGACCACGGGCCTCCCGTGCCTCCGAAGGATGGCCCGTCAGAGAAATTGCCTGCCGAGTCGCAGATGTCTCCCACACAGTCGATTCACCGGCCACCACCTCCAGAACCCGAACCAGAGCCAACCTTGCCATTTGACTTTCACCGATTCCTCGAGCAATTGAAAAATAAAAAGGCCGACCCGGTTGCCAGGTATCTCAAGTCATTCCTATCCGAATTCGCCAAAAGGCAATGGATGGTGCATGAGCAAGTAAAGATCATCAGTGATTTCCTAGCTTTCATTGCGAATAAAATGGCACAATGCGAGGTGTGGAGAGATGTATCAGATGCCGAATTCGACAACGCTCGAGAAGGCATGGAGAAACTGGTCATGAACCGCTTGTACACGCAAACCTTTTCGCCCGCGATTCCACCGCCGCAACCCATCTCAGGAGCCAAGTTCAGACGCAAGGATGCCGAGAAACTGATGGGACCTGGCCGGCGAGGGCAGCACCAGGAAGATGTAGAAAGAGACGATGTACTGGCCCAAAAGATCAATATCTACGGTTGGGTCCGAGAAGAGCACCTGGATATTCCGGCAGTCAGTGAAAGCGGAAAACGCTTCCTCACCCTGGCGCAACAAGGTACGTCATACGAATGTATGCCCTCAAAACAAGCGCTGACCGTTTCAGAACTACTGAAAATTCGGTCTTACAGGGCCCCCAGAGACAAGATCATATGCGTCTTGAATTGCTGCAAAGTAATTTTCGGACTTCTGAAAAATGCCAAATCCGACACATCGGCAGATTCGTTCATGCCACTCCTCATATACGTCGTTTTGCAGTCCAATCCAGCCCATTTAGTTTCAAATGTGCAATACATTCTGCGATTCCGCAATCAAGAAAAACTTGGTGGAGAAGCTGGTTACTACCTTTCATCCCTTGTAAGCATTGCCCACTGTACACATACGAGTGGTTTGGTTATTTTTCTGATGGCTTTTACAGATGGGAGCAATTCAATTCATTGAGAACATGGACCGCACGACTCTTACGATTACAGACGAAGAGTTTGAGCATAACGTAGAGGCAGCGGTATCCGCCATCGCAGAGAAGCACCGCACTGAGGAAACACCACATGAGCCTCAACAGTCGGAGAAAACAGGTCTGCATCCACCAACCGGCGAATCCTCCTCTACCCGCACATCGTTGGACATGGACAATGCAGGAACCCCGCGGAGGTCCATGTCTTCGGACCCAGGTGAAGAAGGAGCCGCCATATCGGGACTGCTGCGCTCGATCCAGAAACCGCTTTCAACCATTGGTCGCATGTTCTCAGACGACATGGGTGCTGCAGGGCCAAGTATGCTTGCTCGCACTCCGCAGCCGGAGACCTCGCGTCTCAGCCCACGGCCCAGTAATGATCGGCGGCCACCTGTAGACATTCGAAAGAACTTTTCCGCCGAAGACTTAGCCGCGAGACAAGCGAGTGCTGAGGCAGCCGAGGCACAGAGACTCCACAGGGCAGAGCATAACAATGTCGTGGAGACCCTTGCGGGCATGTTCCCTGACCTGGACAGAGACATCATTAGTGATGTGGTTTACCAGAAGGAGGGAAGGTACGTTTAAACCTACCTCATTTATCTAATATATTTCATATGCTGACCCCTATCTTTTACAGAGTTGGCCTTGCTGTGGATGCCTGTCTGGCATTGGGTTCATAAGCAGGGACATAATCCACACTGTCGTCATTGGGATATGGGGAGGACTTAGATCTTATTGCATCAACAGGGGGGTATGAGGAGGTAAGCAGCATTAAGGCTCTACGGGGTATTAGCTCAGTATCCAGCCTACTTAAGGGAGGCGTTAGTTCATTTGTGCAATAATACCCTTAATATCATTATTCTTGAAGTAGGTCTCTTAGTACATTCTTGGTATGGGTCGAGCTCTGGTTCTACATATACTTCATCTGTTCGCAACATGCCTGATGATCATTTGCGCTGAGTAGTTACATTAAACCAGCACGAAGACGGGAAGTTTATCACACCAAGGCTTGGGACAGTGTTGCTTAATCTAGCAAACGTTATTGTTCTGTGTAACTGTAATCAATGCTGAAGCTGTGGAATCACGTATGACAGAGCAGAACAGAGGTCTTGCTTATTATCAATACTAGCGTTTACTATAGAAGCCAAGACTCTGCCTACTTACTCTGGGCGGGGTGTATAACACCACTTAGTTATAAGCGGCATAATAAAATCATTCACCTCATGACTCGAGGTGTTCTGTGTGGTGCAAGCGAACGAACTCCTCTTTTGTTTCTGATTCTTCACTCGGCATCTGATTCATGCCACCAAGGAGCGCAACACATACTGCGCCGGCTACTCTCACTATCCCATCCCTGCGGTATCCCCGTATCCACCTAGTGCAGCAGCCCAAAGAGCAAAACTGATACACCCGCTGTGGTAGTATCGGCATATTCGGCCGTTTCGACGGTTTTCGAGCACGGACATAACTTCTTGGCTAATAGCGGCTACCAGCGGGGCTCTTCCGCAAGTTTCATCTGAATCACGAAGACGAGAGTCAGGTGTAAAAGCGCGCTTGGCGCGACCCCGGCGAACCTAAGATGACGCGCCGAGGACTATATGACTAGCACAGCTATGTCGAGATGGTGGAGAAGGCCGGCATGGGGTCGGAGTGGTGGGAGAAGGTCGATACGTTGGCTTCGTGGTTGTTGGTGCATGAGTGCAATCCGCCTACGTTTTCGGGCAACCCGTGGAAGCATTGTAGTGCAGTCAACGGCGAGACGCCATAAAGTCTGTTTACATCACCGCCTACCACTGTAACTAAAACGGGGAGCTTGGGCGACGAGGAAAACGCGAGGAGGTCCGTTGGGGTGGGGATCAGCATGTTGACCGTGATGCCGCTTCGGTCGCTGGATTATCTCACGACGTCGATCATTGCTCCCGCCACTGAAGCATGCCACTACGAGCATATTATGGAAACTTGACCGAGTAAATGAGGGCAAACGTCGCTCGCATGGGAAACTTATCCGAGCAGACTGGCGAGACGACTCCTCCCGAACAAAAACCAGTGGCGGGCGTGGCCATATTAGCCTGTTTAGCGCCAACTTGAGGACTCCCTCTAAACATCCAACTTGCAGAGGCAGTGGTGGAAACTTTGAAATCTTCCAGGACGAGGAGAATGGAGACACGCTTTCGCCTGAAGAGCCGACTGTCACTGGTCGTTGTGGGTGGATTAGCTTTGGCCATCAGTCATCGAGCACCCATCGTCGATGATCATTCCTGCGGTTTGAGCCTGGGTTCCCAAAGCTAGAATCGGACAAGAGACAGTTCGGGACGTAGTCAGTTCGGAGGACGCGCACGTTCATCAAACCCCCTCCAGTTAAGTCCGATGGCATTTTTAGAGTTACGTATGACGCTAGGCGTAGCTATATTCGAGAATTGTATGAAGATATCCCTTCGCATAAATGTTTGTTGTGTTTTCATTAGTTGTATATGTGTCCATAAACCCAAATAGGGGTGAACACCTTCAAGGTTCAACTTGAAGTCATAACACGGAAGAGAGCTCCCTGCGATATGTCATCGATACCGTCCACCATGGTCCTCATGATCTATCAGCATCGAGCTCGCCGTCTTCATGATGTCTGTGGGCTCTGAGCACTGTACGGTGCTATGTTCGATGAATTTCTACTCGTGAAAATGGAAACTTCACATTATCAATGACGGCATCTTGGGCGAATCAAACTCACTGTGTCGTTGCATGGATATTTGCATTGGACTGTAGGGCAGATAGTCTTGCATTGAGTAGTGATAATGTCTGAAGAGCCTTCTAAGGATTAAAATGTGGTCTGGAGGGCCTTGCAGGTAGAAATAAACGATACCTGCTCCACAGGCAGAAGTTGAAAGGTTTCGATGGGTGGAGGCCGCATTGCCGATATTGTAGGTTAGTTGACCATATGTCCTCACAAGTTGGCACTTTTTGACGTAATCGCCTTGAGGGTCCAACTATTTGCTGAAACTTCATCTATAGACCCTCTATCGTCAGCAAAACCCACTTCTAAGGGCCGTTTTCACGGAGCGAACAAACGAGCCTAGTCCTTTTTGTATCTTTTAAGGGGCATGTGAACGCCTCGGTAATCCTCGCCCACTCACATAAATAATGCGCCATGCATATCTAGTAGCTTCAAATCCTCTCAGTGACCACCCTAGAGTAAGTACGTAGTCAATTTTACCTTAGCTACTATAGAATACTGAAGTTGCCGTGGATAACAACTACGACTTCCGTCTTCCATGTCTAGGACTTCGAAGATTGCAGCATGGTATGAACTTCATCTGCTTCCATTCATGGTACTTGATAAGTCGAGATAGACCAAGTCAGTAAACTTATCTTGTAAAATGAACACCTATAGCTGGGAAATTGCAATCTCGTCAACCCGGCAAGCATTTTTCCACGCAGACTTGATAGCGCCTTCCCCAGGGCCTGGTGACATCTCATAGTCCAAGTTCCTTGAGCCGCAACTGCCTCAGCCAATGTCAGGGCTTCATCCAAAAAGAACAAACCAATGCAATCTGTGATATTCTAATCGACAGCCCCAAAAACATAAATCTTCAATTTTGGGGTCCAAAACACCTGTCGTGGCCTCGGTAGAGGTCACATCTCATCCGCTGGCTCCAGAACTGTGTTCAGCTTTGAGCTCACAAGCCATCACTCCACGCTATAATTTTCTTGCGATCTTAACTTTTCTCGTCAACAGTCGGCCCTGACTTGGTTTGAGCTGAGTTCAAGATCAAATTCTTTGCCAGCCTAGGCAACGGTATCTGCATCGACGAGCCGCCGCTCGGCAGCATCAATGCCGGCTTCCGGAACATTGTTGACGACGAAGAACTTGAGTACTCCTCACACGGACCCGACTCCCTACACTATGCGTGGTAAAAAGGGTGACATTCGCTGCGGTCGATACTCAGTTCCTTGCTGCTTGCAAGCATGTCAGACCAAGTATTGGAAGTTCTACCGACCACTCTGTTTCTAATTCTCCAAGTACAATGACTAAAACCGACCAACCCAGAACCAGTTCTGAGTGATGCTCTTCCCATAGAACAAAGTCAAGCCCCACTGGATATCGTTCGGGATTGGATCAAACGAAACGCTCGGTCATAGAGTGGAGTAACCCTCTACAAGGAGATACCTTGGGTCTCCCGCCATGTACATGAGAATACTTATGACTTTGGGCCTTCAGTATACAACGTATCAGCGGAAGCATCAGCTCTGGATAATCCCGAGACCAATCTGCTCATTATTGCGTGGTTTATCGACAGTCCATTTCAAGAAAACCGACCTCTTCTGGCGAAATCATGAAAGGCTACCAGTTTCGCCTCGGAAATAACCTTGGGATCGTCGTTCTCATCTCTGTGTGTATATTTTTTTTTGAGCACTGATAGAGTGATGAAAGAAATTTCGAAGATGGTCCTTCCAAGCTTCTGGCTCCTTGAAGAAGTAAAGCGGAGCAGCCGGACCCTGCGCACCAAACCCTTGGTGCACGGCCAACCGTTAGAACTTCAGAAATAAAATCTCCAATGTATTAGCAAATGATTCAAGTATGCAGCTAAAGGGCATCTTTTTGTATTGAAGACCCTTGTGGCCTCCTTCAATCCTTTGGATTTGGGGAGATGAGAGACACATCCAATCATATACTTGTAGCTTGCATAAGTCCGATAAGTGGCAGAAGGGGGTGATTTCTTCCCATCAGTTTACAGTGAAGAGCTGTGCAAATGACCCCATAACAATTAGTCAGACCATTGGCATATGGATTATTGTGTTTCACCTCCGGTTTATCTATCTCTAGACGCTATCGACCAAACTTTCTCAACTCGCAGTACCTCAATGGCGGAAAAGACACGAGCACAAAGGCGCACCCAATCCACACTCCCACATCCGAAACATTGGCTGCCGCTGCCAGGGGTCCAACAAACCAGGTCTGATACATACCGAGCACAGCACCTAGCCAGCCCAATAGGAACGAAACCAAGGCGGCGATCCCGATGGGCATGTACGCCTTGTCCTGCCACTTCGCCCAGTCATACTGCACATTTCTTCGGAAAATTCCACGTTCCATGATAACGATAATGACCATAAACTCGGCCCAGTAACCCATCAGCGCGAGGAAGTTGGAGAAGATTACGTAGAGGTCATTTCTCCCGGCTAGACCCAAGACAAGCTCGATAAGGATAATGACACATCCCCAAACCCAACGCGGGACAGCCTGGCCGTAGCGGCCCAAGACCTGGCAGCTTAGGGTGGCCGAGTAGGTGCCCGGGGCGCTGTTGGCGATGAGGCCTAGTGCTACGATAACGGAGCAGAAACGGCCAAAGTCATGCAGGGGCTCGTAGGCGGCTACCAACAGTGCGCCGGTGGAGATTTCGAAGGCTTCACTCCACAAGGAGTTGGTGGTGAGACCAGTGCCTAGACCGATACTATAAGGCGTATAAGTATTTGGGTTATGGAAAGGGGTCTGAGGGGCAGGTTCAAGTTATAAGAGAGTTCGAAATACGCACCCTAAGAGAAAGACTAGACTGAAGGAAGTCCACAGTCCACTCAGGGTCAAGAAGAAGATCTTGACTGGAGATGTCTTTTCCGGGTAATAGACGTAAAAGTCCGACGCCGCAGCTGCCCATGAGTTGGGCACATACAGGCACATAGACAGGAACGACAACCGGTTCGCAGCCACCGTTGCCTTGTCTCCCACAGAAATAGACTTCGCATCAAAGCTAGGCCCAGCACAGCCCACCATGACAAACAATGCCAAAATCTGCGGAATCCAAGCAAACTTTTCATACTGATGAAACGGCTTCATCCCAAACAACACAATCCCCCAGCAAACCAAATTCACCACCACAATACCAACGGCAATCGACATGGTTCCCCCACTAACCGCCGACAAGATTTGCCCCCCAATAATCCCATCAATGGTACAATACCCGACCATAAGCACCACATTCAAAAATGTAGGCACCTTCGCCGGCCAGTATCCAAAGAAATACCGCAAAACGACCATGGTCCGGTTCCCGCTCTGCGGTCCCCAGATGCTCATGTAGCTTGTTGACAAGCTCCCGAGCAGGGCACCGAAGACGGCGCATAGCGCGCTGTCGAGAAAACCGAGCTGGAAGAGTAAGGGGCCATAGAGACCGACGATCAGGTTGTTGCAACTGATGTTGGCGCTGAACCAGAGGACGGCTACTTGGAGGTCGGCGGTGCGGGAGGGGGGTTGACGGGCTGAGGGGGGGACGCGGGAGATGCCGCGGGATTCGAAGCCTGCGAGGGATTCGAGAACTTGGTTGAGTTGGCGGAGTTTGGAGGGAATAGGAATTGGGGCTAGGTCTGGAGCAGGTGGGGTGGCAGTGTTGCTGTTAGACTCAGCCGATGTCTTGTCCTTGGAGGCTTGAGATGAGGCGCTGCCGGCTTCATCAGCAGCGCCGGCGGCGGATTTCTCGATGTCAATGCTTGGATCCATCGTGATGTCTGGAATGTAACAGACACCGAACTCGGCGGTTGGATGTGTTAAACTTTATCCATTATAAGAGGTGAGAAAGTGGGCCGCATTCAACTTATATTGAGAAATATATCGAGACCGCAGTCTTAGAGTGGATTATTTAGCGTGACAAGGAATCACTGGGCGATATACACTTCAAGGCAATGCTCCGTAAGTTGTGTAGTGTTGCTGACCTGCGGCATTTTATCTTCAGCGGGTCGGCTTGGTCGACTGTTTCCAGTAATACGGTGTCAGTAATACGTTGTCAGTGATAGACGAAAATGATATGTAAGATTCTGACCCCTGCTCGTACCTAATTCTGCAGGGCGCTTGCATTAGTGAAATAGGTAGCGGGGAACGGTAGTCGTTGACACACCAGGTTTACAACAGAAGTCTGTCCGAAAAATGCAGACCAGGTACAACAGTCAGTCGGAGCGAGAGCGAATGTAACCGTGAGACATGCATGAGTACCCTGCTTATTAATAATCGATAATTGCACCGCTAGTATCATTTCCGAGGTGACGTTCGTCAATTTCGACGTCTTGTCAGTATTGTGGGATAACCAGGAAAAATAAAAGACAAAAGAAAAAGAAATTATGTTTTACGTACCTCGGTTACGCCAGCTGTAAAATGGTATTGTCTTTAGAATCTGTATGACGGACGAATATATATGTGGAACCTGGACTGAGGTGAGTTTCAAGCTGTATCTACATCTTGTAGAAAATAGAAAATATTGAATGCTGGAATAAGTCTATAGCTGTATCAGTAGGCAGAGCCCCTATCGATTCGCCATCAGCCCTCGCGTGAGATCTCAACTGTCGTGACAACCTTGACACCCCGATCTCTTGAAGGCTCTCTTTCTTGACGCCTTCGATCTCTTGACTCCGCTCGACTTTCACCCCTCCGACTGCCCTTATCACTAACCCTTTCAGCATTGATAGACGATAGATTGGCCTCGTGATGCCAGCCCGGCGTAAGCTCGATCTCACTACCCTGGTCTTCTGCCACGCAGTCAAGCGTCCGTCCCACCATGGGGTCTTTGCTCCCCGTGCTCCAGCCTTCCCTTTCTTCTACCTTATCCCACGTCGTCCCGCCCCTTGATCCCAGCCATGTTAGGGAGTGCACTGATTTTGGCTTGCGGCTGAATCGGCCCGTTCGCGGGTTATTGGGTGGTTCCAGTTCGTCACTGCTTCTTTGCTTGCTCCAAGAACTGCCGCGGATGACGATTCGCAAGACAGGCCAGCAGAGGGGTAGGTTGGCGACTATCACGGCTGTTGAGACTTCGCCGACATACCAATACATGAAACTGAGATCGTTGGGATGGGAGAAGTTGTAGTAGCGGTTGAGGATTGCGGTGAGGATCTGTGAAGAGCTGTCAGCATTCGTTTTCCTTCTTGGCATAGTGCAAAGGACTAGGCGGAAAGCTGACATTGAATATGCCCAGGCCGAGGACGCAGCAGAGTATTAGCTTCCGCTTCAGAGGGAATTGCGTTCGGATTATGAGCGGGATCGGGATTGCCAAGAGCATCAGGTCGGAAGACACGTTGAAGGATGTCGCGAAAATCATGTGGTCATAATATGTAGCGCATTGAGCTGTAAGTCAGATACATGGTCAGCTCAACCGTTTAAGTCGATTCCCGTGGGGACGGCAACGCACAGTACTTGACTGGAACCCTCCAGTACTCCTCAATGGGAGTGCACCAGTGCATGAGACAAAGTGCGACGACGAGCACGTAGCTGACGCCACAGAAGCAGGCTACTGTAATGACGGCTATTCGTTTTGAGTTGAAAGCCTCCCTGGTATTGTGTCAATAGGTCAATAAACACGGTCTTCACGGGGATGATGCTGACGTCAGTCTATAATAGAGTATCAAAAGACACCCCTTGATGGACCACAGTGTCGTCAGTGTACATATCTCCAAGACGAGTGTCATCTTGGAGCCGTAGATGGCCTGCGCCACCTGCTCTATTGTGAGCGCGGCTGCCGCCTCTGGCGACATGTAATTGCTACCATTCCTGGCTACTTCGTTGATAGCTACGATGACTGCAGTAAACGTTACCTGTGTAGACTCATAGTGAGAAACCAAAACTTGCAAGTTTGACAAATTCACGGACCAGTTTGGAGATACAACGTACATACCGAAGCAAAGCACATCCAGTAATCCTCGATTTGAAGGCTCCCCCAGCTACCGAGCTTGATCTTCCGTGATACACTTTGTGTGGACAAAGCGGGTCAGAAACGGGGACAGTTATGAAGACTACGGCACAGCAGAGACTGAAGGCAGTCTAGTGGCGCTTTGGGGATATACTGACAGACGGCAAATGACAAATATTATTCCTATTGACCAGAGCGTCCATGACTGCACGATCAAACTGTGAAAGAATCCCGACATTCTGGTTCCGCCACTTCATTGTCGTGCAAATGAAATGGTGGGGATTCTGCTGGGGAGCTGTGGGAGAGAAAAAAACAAAATACCATGGAGAATTTCAAGTAGTGTCACGGGTGGTAATGTACTCGACCGAGAAAACATGAGAGAGACCCAATATTGACCCGCAGACGCTTCAATGCCACCAGCTCTGACACCAGGTGCGTGCACATCCCACGCCCATTTCATCATGGCGTTTTGACAGATGAGCAGGGGCACTCCGTACTGCCATCGGCCAATGCAACCATATTGGCATGTTCCAACGCCATGTCACTCAAGCCGCTGACCACAAGAGCGCAGCCACTAGCTCGGTTTCGGCTTTGATTGGGTGTTCTTGTTCTCATGAGATTTGGGGGTAGGAACATGTATATCTTGAATTCTTGCTCTGGTCAACTTCATATTGACAGGTCCTTTCTGTCTTCCCTGCCTTACATTTCTTTAGTGGCTTGAGTGGGGAACAAGCCCCCCTGCTGCCGCTGACCGAAAGGTAAACAAAGGATTCGCAGGGACCCGCCCGTTCCCCAGTATAAAGAGGGGAGAATGGGGGCCTCGGGAAAGAGGCCGCCTTGGTCGGGATGAGAATATCCCTGGTCAGTAAGGTTTGAAATACCGTCTGCTGCGCTCAGAATTGCAAGCAAGGGGAGCAGATCTGCCCAAAGACAAAACACTTACCGGTGTCGACCCCGACTTTCAGTTCTCCGCTTGAAATAATATTGCGAGGCCTCTTCGATTGTCTTCTGATCTAGCATAACCAACCACGCAAGATAGTCGATGCCATTTGGTTTTCGGTCTCATAATAGAGAAACCCCAGCCGCCCAGCAGTTCCTCATTGCCGGCCAAAATGACTACTCCCAAGGCTATCGATTGCTTCATCGACCGCCGTTTCGACTTCCTAATCGTAGGTGGCGGTACCGCAGGTCTCGCCGTCGCAGCCCGATTAGCTGAGAATCCCAATGTGGTCGTCGGTGTGCTAGAGGCAGGGCCAGATGTCACCGCTACTGGTATCGAAGGCATAGACGTGCCAGGAATGTTTGGAACTACTCTAGGAACCAAGTTCGACTGGCAATTTGAGACGACGCCCCAGGAGGGGCTAAGGGGAAGGACGCTCCCGTGGCCGAGGGGCAAGGTGCTTGGGGGCACGAGCGCCCTGAATTTCATGACTTGGAATCGCGGGAATAGGGAGGACTATGATGCATGGGAGGAGTTGGGGTGCAAGGGGTGGGGGTGGGATGGTTTGCTGTCAGTTCCCCTTTTCTTCGTATTTATATTTTTAAGCTCCATTGCTGTCACATTGCACATTTGTCATGTTTACAAGCCATCAACATGGCGGAAAATGCTTGTCCTTACCAGTTTTGGACATGTTATCACCTTCTATGGAATCTCTGAGCGGCCTGTTTCATGAGCGTGACTTTGACTTTTCTAAATCCATGCAGGCCTTTCTTCAAGAAGTCTGAGAATTTCCACCCGCCTACCGAAGATACACAACTAAAACACAAGGCGCTTTACGACCCCGATGGCTTTGGCACTTCTGGGCCGATTCAAGTCACATATGCCAACGAATTCTCCGAGTCCCATAAGTCATGGCACGGGACGCTCCAGGAACTCGGGGTTGAGATAAATGAGAAGCATGTTATGGGATCCAACGTATGCATCCTTCTACTTCATTCTGCTTAATACCTTTATTGGTAGAAATGTGTGGGTCGGCTCCAGATGGAGTATGCTGATTCGTGGCATAGGTCGGCGTCTGGACAAGCGTAGGGTCAGTCAATCCTACCACATGTACAAGATCTTACGCATCGACGGCATACTATCTACCCAACAAACACCGGAAGAACCTGGTCGTTCTTCCGGAGTCTTTGGTCGAAGAGGTGGTCCTTGAACAGCACCAAGATTCCTGGGTAGCAAAGGGTGTTCGTTTCAGACACGGGGGAGAGAGTCACTTTGCTACCGCCTCGCGGGAGGTCATCGTCTGTGCTGGCAGTGTCCAGTCCCCACAGATCCTCGAATTGTCTGGGATTGGAAATCCGGAAATACTCGCAAGAGCCGGGATTGAGTTAAAGGTGGCCAACCCTAATGTGGGAGAGAACCTTCAGGATCATCCCAGTGAGTGGCTTCGACCCTGAAGCATTCTTCCAGTCCAACGTCTCACAACCGTAATAGTGGTCGCCACCATATATGAAGTCGACCCCAGTCTGCGTAGCCCTGATGACCTCAAAAACGACAAGAATGTTGCCGCCGCCGCTCATGCAGAGTACGTAAAGTCGAAGTCCGGTCCACTCACAATTCTCACAAATTCTGTGTGCTATCTACCCATATCCCACGTTGCGCCGGAGAAGGCACTCGCGAGCATTTCGTCAAAAGCTGCGCAATTATCTGATGAACATCCTGGGCGAAATGAAATCCGCCATCGCCGCTTCGCATCCTCGTCCAAGCTGGGCCAGATCGAATACATCTTCGATATCGGCAACTGGAATGTCTATTTTCAACCCGACCCATCCAACGGCAAGAAATATGCCACTATGCTACAGATCCTACAGTATCCCTTTTCTCGAGGCAATATTCACATACAGTCTAAAGATCCATCGGATAAACCAATCATTGACCCTAAATACTATGTCGGAGCCGGTGGAGAGCTGGACTTTGAGATCATGGTGCACTGCGCCAAGTTCGCGGAGAAGATCACTCAGACTAAACCATTGTCCAACATTGTCCGATCGCGTGCGGCGCCGTCAACTGAAGTGTCGAGCGATGAGGCGCTGAAAGATTGGGTCGTGCAGAACACGATAACTGATTGGTAAGAGGTTTTGGTTTAAGGATTATACGAATTGAATACTGATGAATATTCACAGGCATCCAGTAGGCACCTGTGGAATGGGCGGTCATGGTGGCATCAGTTCGGGCGTCGTGGATGAGCGCCTTAGGGTGTATGGTGTAAAGGGGCTTCGAGTGATCGATGCAAGCATCATGCCTATGCAAATCAGTGCTCACTTACAGGCGACTGTCTACGCCATTGCTGAGAAAGGAGCTCAGATGATTTTGGAAGATTGGGCAAAAGATGCTTAAACCAATCACTGGGGGTGTGCTGTGCCAAATGTAGGGGACGTTGACAAAAAGTGGCACGCACGATCAGTACTGATGCTTTCCATTATCCTCATCACCATCTCAAGACATATATGTTTCAGAAAACAGGTGGCGAAACCCTCTAACCGTGCTTACCCTCGTTTGCAACGTGGCCCCATTTGCAACACCGAACACCAAAAACTGGACGACACTTCATTCCTGAATTGTATCTGCATAACGATAAAGTGTTTTGGTAATAACCGATCGGTGGATGCTGATATCCGACGCGGTGGGACGTTGACTTCGTCCTAGTTTTGACACAGTAATTATGCCGATAAGTTCAACGGGGCTGAGCTTAGTACCTTTTTGATAGCCTGCTATTAGCTCTGTAATTTGGAAGGAGGATGATGACACGTCAGATATAGGGGTTATTTGATTGACCACTAGTGTGGGGCCAAGATTACCAGACACTTGTTCTTAGCCCAAGATACACGACAACAATCAGTTGGGCCGATTACCTCGAGGTCAAATCACGGTCACTTAAGGTCACACATCAAGATACGTGAATATCCGACAGATGAAATTATATCGTGATTACAGAGGGTTGCGCGAATTTTCGTGTTAGCGTACAATGGTCCCCACACTTACGGAGCCTGACTGTATGTCTGCGGATTACGACGAGATAATCCGGCCCTACCGTTAAGATAAGTGCCCAAAAGTCCTTTAGGCCTCGGAACTTCGAAAGGGGATACTTATTATAATCTCCCCGATGCCGATTAATAGTACTAGAAGGGGCCGTAGCTAGTGGAAGAGTTCGTCTATGATGCGAGTGCATATGGGGTGTGAATTGTTGTATTGGGAAAGGATGGCCAGGTCAGCTATTCTGGCCTGGCAGAGCTCTTTTATAGCTCTTATTTATCTGATCTATAGCTATAGGGTAACCCCCCATGGGGTCACGTATCAGTCTATAAGGTGCCTAGCAGGAGCTATGTATTGTAGGTACCGTATAGTTACGCTTAGTTAAGATAGAAGTGAATTACCGGTTAAGTCTAGCTATAGATCTTTTGTCTAAAATTGGGATAAGCACCATTAGGGCAGATGCGGGAGTAGTGATAAGACTTCTTGCTTAAAAATACAGCCGACGGAACATCTTTTCTCGTAGATCACTCGAACTTCTAGCAAGGTCGGAACAACTTCACCATTCTCCGGACTTTGGTTGCTAATGCTAACCTCCCCGGAGACCCTCGTCAGGCAACCTGTTTAGCTTATAGTTGCCAAGGCCCAAATAGCTACTTTAACCGTTCTGGGGTTCCCTGGCAGCCGTTATTTTAGATACTACATAATTTGAGGGTTCTGGAGGTCCCTGCCAGCCCTGTAGGACCCCCTGTAAGACTTGTTGGCTTGCAATCTCTGCAAAATGTTTGAAACTCGGCTATTCTCTTATTATTCTTCTGACGCTTAAGCCACTGCCCTTATGCCATGGAGGGTTTCATTGCTCCTACAATGCCGACTCCGGTGGCATCGCCATCTCGCCAGGACTCGGGTGAGGCTACTCCGGTGCTGCCGGAGGCTTAAGAGCACCTTTTCTAGTGTTTTCGTGGTTTCACTTTCGACTTTCGCCTTTCGCGGTAAGGCCGTCTCATCGTAGGCGTGGGCCTATAGCCATGATATCCAGAAGGATAATAGGTGGCGATGGATGTGTAAATACTGTATTATTCATCGGGATCCCTATGCGGCCAACTTCAACGCTACTAGCATCCAAAACACTATAGACCATCTGTTTAAGAAGCATGACATCAGCGCCGGCTAGCAGTAGTATATCCCGATCAGAGCGTACCGCTGGTAAGAGGAAGGCGCCGCTTGAATCGATTAAGAGCTGTTTTTCGCTCGCTGCCGTCAATCCGCAAGATCAATCCATCGCGAATAGCCATATCGCGTCGTTTAATTCCACACGTTTCCATCAGTTACTTGTCCGGTGGGTCGTTATCGGTAACAGGCCATTTACGGAAGTAGAGGATGCGAATCTGCGTGCCATCTGTGAGTCACTATTCCTATCGGTCCGTACGTCAGAAGATCGAATCGGAGTACAACAAGTACTTCGAGATAGTGAAGGCCGCGCTGCATTAATTTGGCTCGGGAGAAGCTGGAAAAGCACTGCGATAGTAAGTGTAGCCCCTAGTCGTTGAGTGGGCTACTTGGATGCCGTACAGGTAACCTTTTCTACGATACGCCCTTTAACGGTCACTTCCACTATAACAAGCCAACTTGGACATCTTGGCCACTTCGCCGCCTGCTAATAAGCCCCGATTTCACAAACCCTTCCATACTGGAGATCGCCGTAATCCTCCCCCTACAGCTAACAACCACTACTGAGTCGACGGCGACGAATACACTACTTGATGTGCTAGTGACCATAAGATGGGTACGGATATACGTGACTCTATTGGCTACTAGTATAACCGCCGGTTAAAGTACCCACGGCTTTCGTTAATAGCACTGGGTTTCCATACAATACAGGCCATGTCAGTTGAATGTGAGCACTTAGTTTCCATCTGCCGGTAGAATGGCCACTTCACAGCGGCCAAGCCTTGACACCGGCATCATAGGCATGTGTCGGTGATGCGAGTGCATATGGGGTGTGAATTGTTGTATTGGGAAAGGATGGCCAGGTCAGCTATTCTGGCCTGGCAGAGCTCTTTTATAGCTCTAATCTATCTTATCTATAGCTATAGGGTAACCCCCCATGGGGTCACGTATCAGTCGGACACTCTGCTTGGGACCCTGACAGCGGGGAGAGCTATGGAAAATAACGGGCTGGATGAACCGGGTTTACAGAGGAAGCTATAGCCAACTCCGCCAGTAAGTTACCGACGGGGCCGCGTCGGCGGTTGGCGATAGCTTCATCTCTTGGCAGTAAATCTAAACAAAAAGTCACTAAACTCACCTAACCTCACCAGGAGTACTGGTAAGTCAACATCCCCAGCGTTTTGCTCACCAATTTGATCTCCAACCAACCAAGGGGCAATGGTGAGGTTGGTGAGGTTGGTCCGACCCTTGACTTCTAGGAACGCTCTGCAGACGATTGCTAGTAACAGCCACCCCAAATGTAGAACTCCATAGCTTCGATATAAAGTAGCACCGCCTTAGGAATTGGCTTCTTGGGTCGAGCCTCGCAGCTTTAGACTCTTCCCCAATAATTATGCCAGGCACTGGTTGACGATAAACCTCTACTGAAAATGCGTTTCCTTCCTTAAGACCCTAACTCGTTCCTGGCTTTGTCTGTCTCCTGATCCTTCTAAATATTCCAGCCGAAATAACCATTGATCCATCCAAGGATATATGGTCATGTCATACCCTCCGACAGAGCCACACTGTTCATCCGTCAGAGCAGAGTTCGTTCCCCAGCGAATGAAATAAGTTGAGATTATCATACAAGCACGTAAATCAGCCATATATCATATATATACAAGGCATTAGTGCTTACCAGTACTTAAAGTTGGAGATGCGGTACGGCAGATACTAAGCCATAACTTCAAAGTCAGCATCCCAATCATCGTAGGTCTCCAGGTCGTTACGCAACACCTTGAGAATTACAGGTACCGCTTCTCAACTATAAGCAAGAGCCCGTTAGAACTCCCTTGCGAGTTTTGACCAATGTAAAATCTCTTACCATCCTGAATCCACATGACTCCAAATACGCCTCCCACCACGACAAGCCTTCCGGGAATGGCGAAGCATGGAAGATGGGGAACGGGTATCAGTAGGTACAGCATGTCTAATCCGGACGCGTTTCCCTGGTTCAGTGGCTTGGTCCCCGAGTTCTCTCAGGGTGTTTTAAATCTCGTTGTTGCCCTTACTCATGGCGGCTGGGAAACGGATGAAGTGAGAGGGTATTTTAGGGCTGTCTATCGGATGGATGGCAGAAAGATAAAAATAGTCGTTCTTCCAAGTTAGCCATTGCTTCAACGCGCCTCTTGCTCTTCTTACACTCGCACGTAGTGCTGGGGCAAAGAAGGCACGCCGAAAATTCTTACACAGTTATATTGTGGATGAGAGTGAACGACAGATTGGAACTACTTCTTAGACATGGATCCAAACACGGGAAAATGCCAACCTGGAGGTTCTCCCGAGTCCAGAAACGAGGTGGTGATGACAAGAGATGAAATATCAGTTAGGATCCCGGATTATACACCTGGTCGATGAATGCCAATTCATTTTCCTAGACTTTAATTTCTTCCACTCATAAACACCCTGGTCAATTGACTTATATATTGGACTCGCATCGCTTCAGCTACTAGGCGATACCTAAACTGTATGTGAGATAACACTGGCCATTGTCCTCAGATCCACACTTGAAGCGGGATTAGCCACTGCGTACATGTTCGCTCCAGCGATAACCATGCTGTGCTATGCATAAGTGCACTGGAATTGTTAACGTGAGACGTGAAAAGGAGCACTGTTTCACGACTCATAATGCCATCCGTCATTAGCGGCGATGATGTTATGAAAACTTTCAAGGTGGTGTCGATTACGTGCAGTAAATGACTTGACGGGTCAGATAGCGCGCTTAAGCCGATGAGCAACCTCGGTGTTGTTTCTGCACGGCGAGCCGTGGGAGAGCCGTAAACGCCATGGTCCGGAAGTTATGATCCGGGATTTTCTCGGCTCAGTCCGGAGAACAAGGACGGAGGTGTGCATGGTGGGGCTACTTCTCCATCTCGCCACGAACCAACCAACCAAGTGTGAAATACGAAGAGAAGTCTTAGCGCCTCGTTCTCCAAGAAATGTCCACGTCGGACCCGACTTACGTACCGAGAAGACCTTTCAGGGATAATGACGATTATCCTGGCTTGCAATGGAACCTGCCCAGTGTCCTGACGCCAAGGGGCATTGTTCATAGAACGAGGAGGCACATTCATTCGCTACCACCCTCTTCCTCGCCTCGTTTATCGATTGAGCAGTGGCATGAGGCTGCCAGATTCCTCACCACGCCCTCGGCGCGACCTCTTCAATTGAGGCCTGCGATCCCACGCTCGTTTCAAACGTCGACTTGAATCTTCGCGATTGCAGTGCTTCATAATCAAGGGTCGATCGATGCCCCACTACGATCCATGTGCGCGTCACAAATCGAAATAATCTTCAACACCTAGAAGTCGCGCAATGCCCCCGATAAGAAGTATCTGGAGTCCTCAAACTATCGTTTACGACCGAAGAATACAATGGGCCTGGGGAAGGAAGCCTACCTCGAGGAGGGAACGGAAAAGGGAACGATCGCATCCAGTGCCGCCAGCCGCACTCGGAAACAAGTCCATAATTTTCGGGCTTCGGCCCATGAACGCACGTCGAAATGGTACCAGAAATATTTCGTAGAAGGCGTGTTGCGGCAGAAGCCTTTAAAGCCTTCTAAGGACGGACGCCACGTACCGCTGAGAATCGAACATGTCAGCCCGTTGATCGACGAGCGGCGCGGACACGAGTACATATCCAACACGATCCGAACCTCGAGATACACCGTGTACGACTTCCTGCCGAAGCAATTGCTCTTTCAGTTCACAAGGCTGGCCAACTTTTACTTCCTTTGTGTCGGTGTCCCACAAACAATCCCTGGTCTGAGTACGACCGGAAGCTACACGACGATTCTGCCTCTGCTCTTCTTCGTTCTCTTGACAATTGCGAAGGAAGGGTACGACGACTACAAGCGACACCGGCTGGACAAACTTGAAAATGCAAATACGGTCACGGTACTAGGACGGCCTCTTACCCAAAGGGCCGCGGCAGGATCAGCGAAGTGGCTTTTGTCGCGCATTTCAACCTCACGGAAACCTATTCCCGCGATTCCAGATGACCACGACGATGGCGACGTCGATCAAGACTACAAATGGAGAAGGGTTCAATGGAAAGATGTCAAAGTGGGCGACATTCTCCGGCTGTCTCGAGACGAGGAAGTTCCGGCCGATCTAGTGTTGCTCCACGCCACGGGTGAAAACGGCTTGGCCTACATCGACACTATGGCACTCGACGGCGAAACGAATTTGAAAAGCAGGGAGGCGTCGCCGGCCTTCAAAGGCTGTAGCACCATAGCCGCTATTCGTGCGTGCCAGGCCGAGCTGGTCCTCGAAGACCCAAATCCGGATCTCTATCGATTCGATGGCAGAGTCACAACGGGAGACCGAACAGTACCCCTGACGCTGAACGAGATAGTCTACCGTGGCACTATTTTGAGGAATACAGAACGTGCAATCGGCATCGTCATCAACACCGGGGAGGAATGCAAAATCCGGCTGAACGCCAACCAGCACCCCAAGGCGAAGAAGCCTGCTCTCGAGGCCGTCTCCAACAAGATTGTCATTACTCTCGCTGCCTATGTCATCATTCTGTCTGTTGGATGCTCCATGGGCTATATCATTTGGAGAGGGTCGACTGAAAAGAATGCGTTTTATTTAAGTGATGCGACTGTTCCGTTCAAAGAGATCATTATTGGATTCGCAATTCAGTTCAACAACGTTATACCTCTTGCCCTCTACATCAGTCTGGAAATCGTCAAGATTGGACAGATGCTCATGCTGAATGGGGATATGGAGATGTACGACGAGGCAACAGATACGCCGGCCAGGTGCAACACGAATACCATCCTCGAGAATTTGGGCCAAATCAGCTATGTTTTCTCCGACAAGACTGGTACCCTAACCGATAACGTCATGAAATTTCGGAAACTGAGCATAGCGGGTACTTCGTGGCTTCACGAGATGGATCTCGAGTCCGAAGCCGAGCCGTCTCCTGTCGAGCAGGTTGTCTCCTTCACTCCTAGCAAAGTTGTGTCGAGAAAGTCACGAGAAGCTACACGGGTCATCCCAGAAAGTCACGAGCCATCTATCGCCTCCCCGATTTCTATCACCGTGACCTCGCCTCCTCTTGGGAGAAGCTCTTCCCATTATGGTAGACGTTCATCTTCACACTGGAGATCAACGGGTCGACCTGACCACCCGCAACCTGAGCTTACTACCACCGACCTCCTGGAATACCTGCAGTTAAGGCCAGCATCACCATTTGCAAGAAAGGCTCGTGATTATATCCTTTGCCTGGCGCTGTGCCACACCTGTCTGCCGGAAGTCAAAGATGACAAGGTGGACTTCCAGGCTTCCTCGCCTGATGAGCTTGCACTTGTACGTGCTGCGCAGGATTTGGGATATCTTGTGATGCATCGATCTTCCCAGTCAGTTACGCTCAAGATCACATCAGAGAACGATGAGAAAACAGAAACCTACGAAATCCTGGATGTCATTGAATTCAGCAGCAAACGGAAGCGAATGTCGATAGTGGTACGATATCCCGACGGAAGGATCTGCATAATCTGCAAGGGTGCAGACTCGATGATCCTGCCCCGACTCAAGATGGCAAATCTGGCACTGAAGAAAGCCAGTGAAGTTCGCCAGAGTGCGGATATGGAAATCGAGATGCTTAGGAGAAGTGAGCAGTTGGAGCCGCGAAACAGCTTTGGTGGACGACCGAGTCTGACGCTTGCCCGGAGGAGCATTGGTGCTAGTGTACCGGCTCACCTCAAGAAACGACCGGCTATTGAGCGAACCCAATCATTTGAAGCATCCAAGGTGCGCCGCTCGGAAGACAATCGGGCATCCCGACCGTCGCTAGGCGTCCGAACGGTCTCTTTTGATATAGCTAAGACTTTGGCAACACCCAGTCCTATGTCGCCTTCACCAATCGACAACAAGTTCAGCTTTATCGATGATCCCTTGATCAACGACGACTCAGCTGTGTTCACTCGCTGTTTCAAGCATTTGGATGATTTCGCCACCGAAGGTCTTCGGACATTACTGTTCGCTCGCAAGTTCATCCCAGCGCAGGAGTACAGGATGTGGAAGAAGATCTACAATGAGGCCACAACCAGTCTCGTGAACCGCCAGGAGATGATCGAGGAGGCTGGGGAAATGATTGAGCAGTCTCTCGATCTTGTCGGGGCCTCCGCAATCGAGGACAAGCTTCAAAAGGGCGTCCCCGAGACAGTAGACAGGCTTCGCCGTGCCAACATCAAGATATGGATGCTTACGGGCGACAAGCGCGAAACGGCAATCAACATCGCCCACTCGGCTCGCATCTGCCGTCCCGCTTCGGACATCTTCATCCTTGACTCATCTAAAGGCGATCTAGAGACTCAGATACTCGCAGCTGCGGAGGACATTCAAGCCGGCTGCATACACAGTGTCGTCGTAATTGACGGTCAAACGCTAGCTGTTGTCGAACAATCTCCGAGGTTGAAAATCCTTTTTTACACGTTGATCCCGACCATCAACGCCGTCATCTGCTGCCGCGCCAGCCCAGCCCAGAAGTCGTCCATCGTGAAGGCAATCCGGCAACGTATCCCCACCGCCCTTACCCTTGCCATCGGCGACGGCGCCAACGACTTGGCCATGATTTCAGCCGCCCACGTCGGAGTCGGTATCTCAGGCAAAGAAGGTCTACAGGCCGCCCGCGTAGCAGACTACGCCATTGCGCAATTCCGCTTCCTGCAGCGCTTGCTCCTAGTCCATGGCCGATGGAACTACGTCCGCACTGCCAAGTTCATCATCGCTACGTTCTGGAAGGAGATGTTCTTCTACCTGCCCACGGCCCTTTATCAGCGGTATAACGGGTACACGGGGACTTCGCTTTACGAGAGCTGGAGTTTGACCGTACTCAATACCCTGTTTACGAGTTTGTGTGTTATTGTGCCGGGGGTTTGGGAGCAGGATCTGTCAGCGCAGACGTTGCTTGCCGTCCCAGAGTTGTATGTCCATGGTCAGCGCAATATGGGGTTAAATATACGGATGTACGTGGGCTGGATGCTGACCGGGGTACTCGCTGGTTTCGTGACATGGTTTGCTGTTTGGGCTGGGTATGGGGGTGTGCTGGGGATGATTGATGATGAGGGCTTGTTCGCACAGGGTGATTTGGCGTTTTCGGTGTGTATTGTTTGGATTAATGTCAAGCTACTGTGAGTCACCCTGTACCTTGTCACCCCGCTCTACCCCTCCCACATGGATCCAGGTTGCTAACACCGCGCAGCATCGTCGAAACCCACAACAAAACCTCCCTCGTCCTAGGCAGTTTCGCCATCACATTTGCGGGCTGGTGGGCCTGGAACGCGTTCCTGGCGGCGGCCTACGCCCCCGCCCCCAGCCCCTACGCTGTCCGCGGCGGGTTCACCACCACTTTCGGTCGGGATCCTCTGTGGTGGCTTACCCTCATAGTCATCGTGTGTATTCTTCTGTCTGTGGAGTTGGTGTGTAAGACGGTGAGGAGGAACCTCCTTGTCGCGAGGCTGTGGAGGTGGCCGCCTTGGAAGGGTGGAAGCGAAGGAGTGGGGGAGAGTGTGGAGGAGTGGGATTTAGAGCTTTGGCAGGAATTAGAGAAGGATCCCGTGGTCAGGGAGAGGTTAAGGAAGATTGTGGAGGAGGAGGAGGAGGAGAGTGAGGATGGGAGTGGTGAGTTGGACAGACAAGCGAGTGAAGGGGTGGGGTTGGGACTGGATACAGCTGTTTGAGGCCAGGTGGAACAACTGTATTTAACCAGTAATTGACGTTTTTAGATACCCCTGGTCTTCTTGCTGGTTGGCATAGATGTGGTATATATTTTTGTACTTTCTACCTCGATTTTCCGTCCTTGGTTTTTTGCTTGGCCGCTAAGTGGCTAAAGCGGGACCGGCCTCTTATAATTGTTAGGATATGCGAGCAGGTTTACATCTGAATCTACCTTGAGTACTAACGTATCCATCTCGCAGTTCTCGACAGACAGTCTCACTTACGTGGACACATTCCTGCAGCCTAGTTGCTCGCGGAGACTTACTAATAGGCAAAATACCGCGTTTGATACTTCTCGACCTCTGACAAATCGCGTCTTCTCACCCGACCAGCTCCTTCTTAGTCTCGAATAGGCAGGACTCGGTGGTTTCTTTAAGAGATATTCTGGCTTCCAGTTCTTCCGTCTTCTATCTGAGGAACTAGACAAGCACTGCTTATTTCCCTGGGGTCTGCCCGACTCCTCCTATCCCTGAGTTAGGACCTCCATTTTGGACTCGCACAGCAACTGCGGGATATGCCAGAGTCGGTAGTGAAGTGACGGTGTTCCATAGTATATGTGCCTAAAGATGATTTTGGTAAATTTGCTGCGGTATATTCGCGACTGCTCGACCGGCGAACCAGAGCCCGCGGTCGACGGTCGCCTCACGACAAAAGCGGTTATGAGCTTCCACATCGCTCATCAGGGACGAAGGCCTACTCCTTGGGCTTGTAACCGTTGAATAAAGGCAGGCTATTCCACTGGATGTCGAACTGTTGGCTAAGGATGTTCTATGCCAGTTCTGGGTCTTGCCCGCGGTGTGGATCTTTTCTATGGAAAGAGCAAGGTCCCGAGCAAGGCGCATTGGCGAAGGCTGTGCTATGTTGGGCTGTAATCAAACCTAATTTTAGCCACATCGGTGTAGTAGAATTTGTATACATCTTGAACTTATTTAACAGCCAATCTATTCTTGAAATCAAGGGGATCTCTGCTCTGGAACAAAAAGTGAAAAGAGCGAAAATAGCCATAAGGGCCTTGAGTACAGAGTGGCATGCCGTTTAGCCGCCTATTTGAGAGGGCTGATCGTGGCTGGGCGTCAGGGGTTCTGATACATCCGAAGTTTTGTTCCTGAAGGTCTAACAATACATCATACACCGTCAAAAGTTCCTTCCTTGACTTTCAGCACCATCTCAATATGTTCCAAAGCCAGTGGAGCCTTCTTCTGCTTCGATAGCAAACGAGCCGTTTTAACAATATTTTTTATCTGTCTTCCATTAATCTCGTTCTTCGCTAGAATATCCAGGTCTTTGTCGCTCAGTCGGCTCTCCAAGTCTCCCATCCCAATGAAAGTCTTCCAAATATGGAGCCTGCTCATGGCATCCAGGGCTGGGTAGTGGATGGTTAGATGGATGCGTGATTCAAAAGCAGTGTCGAAGTTGCTGATATGGTTGGAAGTGAGGAACATTAGACCTCGGTAATATTCGAGCTGCTTCAGGAAGACTGAACGAGGTGGATGAGTAAGCCTTGGCTGGGCAACACAATTTCACAGCTGAGGGAAGCGGACAAGCACTCACTCGAGATGAGACGGTTGCGCCGTATGTCGTTGGTCATTCGGGCCTCAAGGAATATATCGCACTCATCGAGGAGCAAAATGGCGTTCCACTTGGTGGTGAGCTCCAGAACTAATTCGAGGGAATCTTCGACCTCAGCAGCTGTCTCGCCCAGTTCGCCTGCACTCATCGAGTACAGCGGCTGGCGCATCTCCTCGGCAACTAAGATTGTTCAGCAACGGACAATCACACTGCTACTAGGCTGGGCAAGCGAACCAGATTCCGCCGTGAGGGTTTTCCCAACACCAGGCTCTCCGCTAAGCAACATTATAAAGCCCAGGCCTGTGGTTACGCCATTAGCAATATGCTTCTTTTACATTATCTCCAAATACTGCTCGTCTCACCTTTTCCGGAAACCACATCATCAAACTCATCGTCGCGGGACATTTGCTCTTGAACGAAGGCACAGATGATATCCTTGTAACCATGAGGGAGAACAAGCATGGCGAATGCATTCTCGCTCCAGCGTATTGGGCCAACATTTTCAACGTAGAACTCAGCTATGGGATGGATGGCCATCTTAGCAGAGAAACTGGTATTTTATTCGCATGGAGCTCTTACCCCAGGTTTTGGATGCAAGGCAGTAACCTCGAATTATGGGAGTACAGAGCAAGCGTTGCTTAGGAGTCAGAGATTTGGCTGCTGCCGATGTTAGTCATGGCTCTGGTGGGTATAAATAAGTGGGAAGCTGGCTTACAACGATCTAACAAGCTGGTTTCCCGGTGCTTCTCATACTTTTGTAAGACCTTTTGGAACTTGCGAAAGGCCTGGCTGGTTGCCTGGTATATCACACAGTGGGTGCCGTCGAATAAATCGTCATCAGCCAAGTCCACATTCGAATCAGACTCCATCGACTCAAGATTAGGCCCAGGCATACCGTATATGCTGAATGTATGCGGGTCGATGATGATGCGGCTGCTTTCCACCTTCATAGAAACACCTAGTGAGCACACTGCGGCTAGTTTCATGTAGTCTGATACATACGTGGCGTTGTCGAACCTGCCTGGAGGACCTGGCGGTGTAAAATCCCGAGTATGACATATGATGGAAACCATTGAGTTGCTCGAGCTTCTCGCCGCGTGCATGGAGTCGATCGACAAGGCGCTCAACGTCGGGATAAAGGTGGCTGGGGATGGCATCGAGGTCGACGAGCTTCTTCACGCCGTCAAAGGCGCCGATTTCGAGTGATGTTGAGACGTAACCAAAGCTCGACCCGTCGCAATCAATATACCGACATTCCAAGGAAAAGAACTCTCCGCTCATACTAGCTCCGTACCTGCTATCCCTCAGTGATACGATACGGTCCTGTCCATCAAGATGCTTGGTGTAAACTTCCATGTTGGGGGCAAAGATGGCCCACAAGTAGTTGAAGCTGATTACGTTGTTCTTGGTGAGGTCCTTCATGGCCTCGATGTGTGGCAAGATTTCCTCACTGAGGATGGAATATAACATATCGAGGTGTTTCTTGGTGTCCTGGTCCTGCTCTTCCAGCCGGAGTTTCTCGAAACGGTGCCATCGATAGTAGAAGGGATGAAAAGGAGCCTTAAAGGTTAGCTGTTTGAGATGGGTATTGAGACTCTCAAACCCCACAAATGTGTCGTCAAGGACCTTCTTGATCAAAGGGCTGTGGACAGTGATGGAGTGTAGCGCAACTTGGTTAGTGCTTGGATGCGGTTCGCGGCGTACGATAAAAGCGCACTCCTGGGCGTAGGAGCCGGCCTCAATATCCGTGCCACTATTGTCTGCAATCCATTCGTTCCAAGGCGACCGATCGTCGGGTCGGTATAGCTGCTGAATCTTTGGTCTCATGCCCAGACCGAACTCGGGAACATAATCGGAATCGACACTCATCCCGGACTGGCTCTTATTAACTTTTTGCAGTGTTTATCATGTCTGAAACGCACCAAACTGCTAGATGTTCTAGCACTCCTTTGATATTGGAGAGAACTACCTCTTTCCGACATGTCTCAATACTGGCGGATTGAGATTCTGACAATGTGAACGTCTAATTTGGTGAAGTGAAATACTTGAACGATAGTTCTGCGAACTTCAAATGGATGGAAGGTAAAGTCGTGTCCGTAACGGTCAGATATGAAATGCGCTCTTTATTTGCCCTGTCAGATATTGCGGTTAGTCATGTGATTTAGGAGCGCGCTTACGGGAAAAAGCTGCTATGTAGACCCCTGAAGCGGCAGCAGCATACAACTAATGCAAAACTCCTTCATTTTGTCAACCTGCACAAATATACGAATCGATTTAATTCGCTATCCAATATGCACCTTCTTCACGCGGAATTCAAGGTACGCTACGAGTTCGTTAGTGACAATATAACAGGATATGCGATCCTTCGACATACCTGGAGCGCTGAGGAGGTCACCTTCGAAGACACACTGGGCAATATAGGCGAGAGAGCTGGCTATATTGGTGATGATGTTGATGGGACCTATTCCCAGGAATATGCAGCACGGAAGGGCTATCTATGGGCAGTAAGCACGAGCGCTACACCCAGAACATTGCCACATAGCTGGTGTGCCTGTGCCACGCAACACATACCAAACCAACCCCCTCATCCTAGAGCCTTCCGCGTGGCAGGAACGAAATCCATAAAATGGACACGCGCATACGCATGAAAGGCGGCTCTTGACATATTAGTAACCGGCGAAGCCCTGACTTGCAAACACCCGGGTAGGCTAAGACACAGGGCTATGTCAAGATCGAAGGCTGTTGTCAACAAGCCATCAATGAGGGCCTTGAATATGTCTGCATCGACGCTTGTTGCATTGACAAGCCCGTCAGTGCCGCGCCTTCCGAGGCAATAAACTCAATGTACGTATCAGACATATAGTCCTATTCTTCAATCTTTTGTTTCAGCTCCTCTTCAACGCCAACATCGACTCTAGCAGCCGCACGCGAAGCATCTTTCACCTCCTCCGTCATGGCAAAACCCGGCGAACTGGCTATACTAAAATTCTAGACTTCGTATTTTCTTCGTTCAAGATACAATAAACTGCGGAATAATGCATAACGTCCTACACCTACATCCGGGACACCCCCACATGTGGGATGCCCTAAAAATGACACTGTATATTATAACCATTAACTTCAACCTTTTTTTACACTTATTCTAATGCGACTACAATACAGCTTTCACCGTCACTAGGGTTTTCAGACTCGCTAGACTCATCTGTACTATCCTCAATTTCACCAGCCTCGATTTGAGCCTTCCGAATAGCCTTGATATTAGTAAACTTTGAATTTGGGCTCATCTTGACCTTCCTCCGCTTCCTAGCCCTACTAGCCTCAAGCTCTGCCTCTATTACCTCAATCTTTCGTTGTGCGACAGCTAATTGGTAGTTCTTCTCATCAAAGCCCTTTTGAACTTTCCGAAAGAGTAGCCGCTGGGTATTTGGATCACTATCAAGCTTGCCGAATAAGCTGAGTTGATCTTGGAGCTCATCTCTCCTCTTAGGCGTTGACCAGGCTACTGTTGATGTCTCTAACGCCCAGTCCTGACTACCCTTACTATCAGAGTACCCTTTGCAAATCTGACTAGGCTGTCTGATTGGTGCTGACGTATTCTCAAGGAGCAGGGGGCTCATAAGGGGTCTAGCTATGCTCGAAGGCCAGAGACCAGTATATTTCCATCCACTGATAATGTTCTTAGCGGTCAATGCTGCTAGACGTGCCTTTCTATAGGAGAGGAGAAAGTTTCTCTTCCCTACGACAGTAGTAGTATCCCTTTGGTCAAGGTAACCAAGCTCCTTCTTATAGGCTGCCTTGAGGGGTCCAAAGACTGACTGATCGAGAGGCTGGAGAACGTGGGATGTGTGTGGCGGCAAGGAAAGGAAGTGTATCTTGTTTATGAAGCAGAGGTACATGAACTCTGTCGTTTCGTGGCTACTATGCCCATCTAGGATAAGTAACCTAGTCTCTTCAGGGTCCTCTGGTTAAGTCAAAGGAATAAAGATCTTTTGTAGCCACTCAATAGCCGTAGAGTCTGACGTTCACCCATTCTCTGTTGCTGTAAACCTCCAGGCTTCGTATGGAGTCAAGTCCAGAGGAAACCACTGCTGCTGGACAGACTTCCCCTTGTATATCACAAGTGGGGATAGTGCAGTACCAGTCGCAGAGATACACTCTATAAGAGATGTCCACGCTCGAGATCCAGGCTGTTTCTTCCGTATAGAACGAGTCTCAGATGATCCTAGAACAAGACCATTTGATCCTCTACCTTCTAGAATACCTGTCTCATCCATATTGTATCGATTCGAGGCCTTAATAGCTTTGATCTCAGGGATAGCGAGGTATTTGAACCATTGCCTGATCACATTAGCTGAGGCTCCATTAATACGCTGGGAATCGATAGCTCTGCTTCTCTGGACCTTGACTGAAGGGTTCCTCTTGATAAAAGCCTGGACCCAGTTCTTTCCAAGTGGTTCGGTATCTCCGTGGATCTGTAGGATACGCTCGGCGAAGTCTTTGAGCTGTTGATGGGTTGGTGGGAGGCCTAGGGCAGCCTGGATTCGAACCCATTCAGCCAGATGGGATTCCTAGGCTGGAGAGAGCCTCTGGTAGTCAGCGAAGGCTATATCTCTTGACTGGGCTCCTGAATCCGTCGTGAAAGAGTAGACCTTGGCACACCATGCTCATATGCTGCTTTTCGGAGGCTTTGACCGGTAGCTATTGCTTGAAGAGCTCGATAAATATCATCTTTGGTATATTGACTCATATCAGTGTTGTCAGAGAACAGAATGCCATAGGCACCCGTGGGTGTCAGGACACTGAACGCAGGACACCGGTGGGCCGCCGGAGGGGTGTTTCGGACAAAAGACTCCCGAGTCATGATTACAATCTATGTGAAGCTTTGGGATGACGAGAGTCAAGATCCTTGGCATCGCCGACCCTGCTGTTATGCCGGGTCCAAGCGGCGGCCTAGCTATCTATATAAGGACCATCTCGAAGTAGGATAGGGAAGGAGTTGTCAGAGCCACAAGTGTCATCCGAGGCGGGCCGGCTTCCACCAGGTAGGAAGCCGTTTGTGGCGGCTAGAGAGCCGCTTGTGGCGAATGAGAGCCGTTGAAGCCGTTTGCAACGGATAGGGAATCGCTTGGTTGCAGATAAGGAGCCGCTGTCCAAGATATTGGCCGAAGTCGGAGGAACACAGACATACGGAAGCAAACATCCAGAATCCGAGAGAGAACCTCGGCTGGCTATAAGTAAGGAGTCGAGACGGAGGAAGATAGAGAGGGCAGAGATCAATGCATCACCGTGGGAACCCCTACCTGAGACCGCCAGTGACCACCCGGTGCTACGTAGGAGGGACGCCCGTTACTCCCCATCACTCTGTACTATTGCCTTCGGCCTAGCCGTACCCTGACAAGTGTAAAGAAGACGTACGTAAAATTTTGTAGCGATTGAATCGATATTGGTAAAGAAAAAAGAGGTTGAAGTTAGAGGCTAGCGGTGTTGATGAGGCATTTTTGGGTGTCCCACATGTGGGGGTGTCCCGGATGTGGGTGTGGGACGTTCAGCTTATTCTCGCACACCTATAGTAAATATAACAAAATCTTTGAAGAAGAACTAATCTTCAAGGTACCTCCAAAATGTCGGAAGTCTACTAAGGGTAGCCGGTAAAGCACGTCGTAATTATCAAAGAATGAAACAAATACAGCTCGAACAATTCAATATCTCTCAAGCAAAAACACGCCAGTACGCTCCATGCAGATAACGGATGCCTTCCCATCAACGCAGTCTACTGGGCTGGTACCCTGTGATACCTGTTCGACGGTTGCTGCCCAGGGGTACCACATCTGCTGCCTGTGCACCCCTCTTATCGGTATAGGCACCGGGGGCAAGAACTCAAGCAACTGCATTGGCGGTGGCAGTAAGTAGGAAATGCCACAGGTGGTCACGACTGGCGTGTTCTTGTTTGTCAGATACTGAGATGTTTAAGTTTTGAGGTAAGTGAGCAAATGAATAAAGATGACATCGAACAAGAACCACTGGCCTTGATGTACACCACTACGGTACCATTCCTGTTGTCTGCAATGGATAACAGGCAGGGTCTGCAACAGCGATACTGGAACCCTTTATCCCCCGTCTGACCCGCAACGAGACCTGATCCGTGCCATCATACAATTATAAACCATCCCCCATGGGACACAGTCGGCCGTAAGACAAGTCACCATTCACAAAACGCGTCCCCGCTACTGAGGAAGTGCGAAATAGTCTCGCGCGGTGGCGTCCTCTGCGTTGGCGCCAGGCCGTGTTATCGATCTGGCAAGATCTGTGTGACGACGCCATTTTTCTACTGACACTATTATCGGACTTATTGCAAGCTATAGCAAAGCATATAATTGAATTCGTCTCTGATCTTTCCGAGGAGAAAGGGGTGAAGATAGCCGTAAAGGCCGTAAGTACAGAAAAAGCATGCCTTTTGGCTGCATACTTGAGTCAGTTGATGATACACCAAAGGTTCGCTCTTGACATTCTAACAGTTTGCTGTTGTCAAGGGTTTGGTGCTCAGGGTCCATCCAACATGAGTCAACTGGCTGCATTAAACTAAAACACAAAGACAGTCGTTGAAAGTCGAAGGCTGGCGCGGTTTCGATAACTACGATAATGACAACGATAAAAGCGAGTTCTCGGTGTGAGGCAAGATGTGTGAGGACTGCGATCCCCGTTTTGAGGAGTTCTCAGTCGCCCGGACCATCCTAGATGACCGTTATATCTTCAACTTTGGCGACGACTGGGAGCCCGTCTTTGATGCCCTGCCTGGACTTGCCGGGCCGGCGCAATCGCGACGGTAAGTGGTGGGTCTACGAGGAGCGGTGTAAGCCTAGTGGTATCCTTAGCAAGAAGTACAAGCCAAGGGGTGAGATTGGAAGCGTTCTGTACGATATAGAAGACTGTAGTGTAATTTGGATCTGCTAAGCAGATGAGCAGTCTTACTTCGGGGTTTATACTAAACACCAGCCAAACGTGATGACATGTGTTTTTCGGTATAGTCAATGTGAGTGTGTCTATTACTATTACTCAATGGTATGGTGCCTCGGAGTAACATAGCTATATCGACCTTTCCATTCTTGATCTGGCTAAGGCTTGACCATACCCCTACCGCGCCTTTAGATACTAACTGCGCGAAGTGGCACGCACCAATTGCGCAATTCGACCCATCAATCACGGTTCCAGACCTTACATAACTCTGAATAGAGGAAGGTAGGCAAGAAAAAAGGCTCCATGGAAATATATAACAACGAACCACTATACTATAGAGCAAGCATATCTATCGAACGAGTTCCTCAGGTCTTATTCGTGCCACCACCAACCCAAACCTCTCCCCTTCCCTCCTATCCGTCCATCAGGGACCACTGTAGAAATATCAAAAAGAAGACTGGCACAATGACCACTCACCCTTTCCAAGCCCCAATCCAGGGTAAGAACGCCAAGCAATGCAACTCCATCGAAGCTTTTAACACTCAGCCCGAGGCATAAAGATAGAGATAAAGTGAAGAAAATATAACTTTCATAGAGACAGACAGAGTACTGGCAATCCGATTCAATTCTCACTATTGATCCCACGCCAGACCGCTCGCCGCTTTCGCTATGATAGCCCCGACTTTATTCGTTATATTCTGCGCGAGCCCCCACTCGCCGGCATCGATGGCGTCCCGGATGGCGGGAAAGTACGCCTCGTCGTATCCGGACCACAACTGCGGGCCGAAGATGACATGGACAAATTGTGTGCGGTTTGGTACCTATTTTCTCGTTGTTAATATTGTGCTCTACTTCTCAAGGGGTTACACTTGATTCGCCATGGGTGGAGCGAAGAACCCATGAGATGGTGTCAGGGGTCAGGGGGATAGATACAAACGGGGGCTACTCACTCCACCACCAAAAGCGGGAAACTCTAAGTCTAGTAATCCGGTCTCGAAATCGGCCATCTTCGCGTTGTACTCGCACCTCTGCCTGCCAAGTCCGTTAGGTTCCCAGCCGTTGGCGCTCATGACACTCTGTGACCATTTGTCCTCCCACTTGTCGAACTCGATCACTGCCGCCTCCACCTTCTTGATGGCATCCCGGATGGGATCGACGTTGAACCTCTTCGTGGTGTCTGCGTTAGCACCTTTGCTCTCGCCCCACTTCCACAGGTCTCCGAGGTAGCGACCTAAAGACAGCGCGTACGCGAGGAGATCGAAGGGCAGGATGGGCCGGTCGGCTAGCTCGAGTGCGAGTAGGGCCAGGACTTGGCCTAGCAGGGTGTGGTATGCGAATTCCGGGTCGCCGACATTCGACATCCAGTCGAAACTGTCGTAGCTCGAGTGGTAGGGGTAGCGCTCGCCTTCGAACCGGATATCGATCGAGCTGGTGCCAGCCATGTCCTGGAACGCTACATAATCACTCCCGGCTCCGAGGCCTTCGAGGCTCGCCCCGCGCTGCTTCCATAGTTCACCCAGCGTCGCGTTGCGGTTGCGGTCGTGTACTCGGTCGAGAACATGCTGAAGAATCTTGTTGAACATGGGTGATGCAGCGGCATGGAATTCAGTCCCACTGACAGCCGAGTCGAGGTTAATGTATGCAAAGGCGTTTTTCCGCAGGGCGTCCATGTTGTTCTCGACAAACTCTGTGCTGCCGATGAGATTGTACTCCTCGGCATCCCAGCTCATGAACTCGATCGTCCGCAAGGGCCGCCAGCCCCTCGCCACGAGATCGCCGAAGATGCGCGCGACTTCCAGCATGACAGCCGTGCCAGAGCCAGGATCCGTGGCGCCAAAGCTCCATGCATCTCGATGGTTTCCAACAATGATGCTCTTCTCGTTCTGTTCGATACCAGATATTTTGGCATAAATGTTCCAAATCGGCTGTTGCTCGTTTTCATCTTGCTCATTCTTCAGCCTCACGATAGGGGACGATGAGTTGCCGGACCACCATTGGACTTCAGGGACACCCCCTTGCCATTCGCTGGGGCATGGATCACCGAAGCCCTCAATGTGCTGGAGGAGAATCTGCGCATCACGCCACGCCAGCGGTATGCTGGGGATCTGGACCAGGCCTTTCGTTTGAGTCAACTTCTCCCGCGGCTGTCCTGGCTTGCTTGCCCAGCCTGGGGTAAGCACATCTCCCACCACCCAACTCATCAAGCTCACCGCACCCCTTTGCACACCGTCAGCAGGCATGAATCGTCCCTTGGGCGCAGGCTCGCCCTTCAGAAATCCGTCGTCAGCCGGATCACTGTAGATAATGCAGCCGGCAAACCCAGCCATCTCCGCCGCTTTGACTTTGAGCGCCCGATCTCCCTGGGAACCATAGTACCGAACCAATGCGATGGCCCCTTGGGTATCGATCCCGCTGTCGTGCAACCTCTTAAAGTCCTCTCTGCTACCGTAGTTGGCGTATATTAACGGTCCTTTCACATCACCTGATTTAGAGTGTCCATGAAACACGAATGTTTGGCGCCCAGCGGTCTCGCCGCCAACCTCATCCTCTTCGATTTTGGCGCTCCATTTGGCCTTCTTCCCATCCTCGGACATGATTTCCACAGCCCGTCCGCCGGCTTTCGGGTAATTCAAATACACGTTGTATTCGTCCACCGTCACATCTTCCAGCCCACTCTTCAAGAATGAGTTCCGCACATCCATTGCGAGTGCATAGTCGCCTTCCGTGCCGGCAATATGCGCATAGCTGGTCAAGTGTTTCAGCGTGTCCTGCATGCGCTGCGGGTCGACGCTATTCTGGACGAATGTCCGTACGCTTTCGGGATCGAACATTTGGCCGCCTATACGCCTCGTTATGTTGTTGAACACGTCACTCATGAAGAGTAGATAGAGGAAGCCCATGACGAGGATGACGGCCAGCAGGCGACCGACCAGAAGCAGGCTTGCCGAGTTGCTCATCTGGACCTTGGGGAATTTGCATCTCCTTCTTGTGGTCCTCGATTCGGAGCCTGGTTCTGCGGCAGCCCCGTTGGCACCGTCACTTTCGCGGGGAAGACGGACTGTCATGCGTGGGAGACGCCATCGCCACCTCCATCTCGGGAGGGACAACGACAAGCCAATCCGTTTGCGCCATTGGGACCCTGACCTCAACTCGGGACCGTTTAATGGATCTTCAATGTCCAATTCCTCTATATCCTGACGTACTCGCGAATCTTCCGGCTCGTATTCTTCGTCGCTGGCTAAACTCCATTGGGAATCCTCATCGTCTGATTCCACGTGGGGTGGTCGGTAGCCATTTGGCAGCCCTCGATCGCTGGGTCTTGAGCGTGATGACGTCAACAGAGATTGCGCTTCTCTCTCCGCATCGGGTCTGTCGTCGATGGGCGATCGTGGAGGCGGCCAGTTTGCGTCGGAGGATGAGCCGTGTATGGCCTCATCATACGTGGGAATGGGCGGTGCCGGATCGTACTGAGACTTGCCGGACGGCATCTTCGCGATATTATGTTGCGATCAAGCCTTATTGTTTGCTGAAATCCACCATTTGCGGTTCTGATTCTGAAATATGGAGCGATGTATTCGACCAGGTGGCGAGTGAATTTGAAAGCAAGCGATTACGACGGTCGGATAAAGGAGTGAAGTAGCAAAGAGAAAGGAGAGAGTGGATGCGAGGTAATGTACTGGCTCATCAGTCCAGCTGCCAATTGAACAGACATAGGAAACGACACTGGGACGTTCTCAAGATATGAAGGAAAAAAAGCCCGAGATGGAATCGAGGCTGATAGTTAGTGGTGTCCAATTGCCCTGGAGATCTGCGACGACGTATTCCGTACGATAGCGGCCCTGTCTAATGTCGCACGGAGCACGCGGTATGCGGCAAAACGGGTTGATGGGCCCGATAAAGTTGTTCAGGGGCGTGGGGCCAATCCACTCACTGATTGGCTCCTCCACTGCCACAATAGCGGTCCTGGGCCAACTAGATGTGTCCCTAAGTACAACACAGCTTCGGTCTTGATTATTGAAATTTCGCTTGTCAAATAACGTGAATGTACACCGAGCTGGCCACCCTTACATAACCTCGCATAGAAATTTTACGATAGTAAAACCACAACGCCGTAAATCGATTGAAACTACTCTGAATCTTCCTCTCCAGAAGATGGCAATGCGATCTTACAAGTTCGCGCATTATGCCCAGTCCCGTTGCAAATACCACAGCGCCTCGGGCGCGTTTTTACGCGTTTGGAGGGTGCTTCGGGGGACTTGGTACGTTTTTGCCGCTTGTCGGAGACTAAGTTTTTGGTCATTTTTGAGAGCTTGAAGGGCTAGCATTAAGTCTGCTTCGTTGTATGACTTTGCCATAATTGATTGTTGAGAAAATCAAACATTAAGTTGGCCGGTCGCGTTGGCGCATGAAAGTGGCCAGCTCGGTGTCATGGCCAGCTCGGTGTACATTCACGTTACGTCGATTCCAGAGTAATTTCAACAGAGACCAATCGAGTTGTTTCGAGTCTGTTGCGCTTTCTCTTCATTGCAGAAAAAGGCCCTAGGACCACTCAATTGTCCCTTCGTTTCAAGCCGGTCGCATTCATGGAGCAACCTTACTCAGAAGTGGCAAAGCATCATAGATAGACCATCATGAGCAATCCTTACATGTAGGTCCATGAATCGGCCGGCTGGATCACGTTCTTCAAGGACTGCGTTGTTTTCCCCCTACTAGTAACGCGAATGATTCAAACTGTGCATCTGGTTGACCCGTCACTCAGTATAGTGATGTGGCAAACTCGTTATCGTGACCAGTATCATACCAGGCCAATCCAACTGCGGAAGTCAGTACCAAACGACCCAAACACCCTCCGTCAATACTCTATCCCCTCAATTCTCTACCAGGCTCTGATCAGGCTCTGGTCAGCGTCCAAACGAACGAAAGTGAAAAGTGCATTCATCCCAGCCCGTTCCTAAAGTAATGGTAAATAAATGAAAAATACAGACCACCACGAGAACCCCATGAGTAAAAGCCCATCAGTAAAACCCCATAGTATCCTCAACCCACTCCCAGAAATACTCCCACTGCGGCGGCCCAATAAGCAAGTACGGCCAACCCTCCACATACATGGCCCTGGGCATCCCATTCGCCTCGTCCCAAGCCTTCATCTTCCGTCCCTCGGCAATGGTCGTCACAACAGACGCTAAAATACACACCACCAAGAAGATACCAAGCGCAGACTTCCTCCACGCCTCCGCATCCCCACGCATCAACTCCCTAACCCCCCCTATGAAACTCTCCGATTCAATTTCCAACACCTCGTTCTCCAACCACCTCTGCCTGGCCGCCGCATCCTGCCTCTCGCCACGCTCCCCGATTCGAGTCGCGTTTTGGCCTTGGGCGTTTTCCTCTGCCTTCAACCTTTGGTTCTCCTGATATAGTTCCGCGTTTGCAGCTTCCAATGCTTCCAATCTGGTGGGTTCTTGAGCATCTTGGTGGTCCGCCTCGCGCCGACGGTCACGGCCGTGGCCACCCCGTTTTCTATCTCGGTTGCTTGTCTCCAAGGTCTTATCGCTGGTATTTCCGTATTCTTGAAGCTGCGTCTGCAGCTCTGTCTTTTCTCTCTCCAACTTGCTGACCTGGCTGCACAATTCAGCCTCTTGAGCTTTTGCCTCGCGCCAGGATTCGATTGCTTGTTGCGTCTCTTTATTGGCCGCCGCTACATGCCTTTGGGATTCTTCTGCCCGTGACATAGCAGCAGACCTCTCGTTATCATATCTAACATTTTCAGCTGCGAGCCTCTCAATCTGTTTCTCGGCTTGAATTAGCTCTTTCTTTACCTGTTCAAGCTTTGTCTCCAGGTTCTCCTGCTGGTCTTGAAGTTTCCGAAATGCATCTGCTGATTCGTAACTCGACTTCTCTGCATTTTTAACATCATCTTGCAGCCCTTTCTGTTTTCCAAGGTAGTTCGCTTTGGCTTCCTTGAGCTTTTCCTCGAGTTGATAATTCAACTCCTCCGTTTTATCAATAATATGAGCTTGTTCGTCTTTCTCGCTTCGCAGATTCTCTATTACACTGTTCTTTTCGGCTAATTCAGCTTCCGCTGTTCTCAAATTGTCCAACTCGACCTTCATCTCCCGTATCTGCTGATTTAAATCCATGATCTCCGTATCTTTCTCCTGGAAAATGTGTCTTCGGGTTTGAGAGGAAAATGCGCTTGCTGCTTCCACAATAATGGGAACCATGAACTTCGTTGGTATTTCGGTGGCCAAACCGCTTAATGCTGTCTTGGCGTTCGCCTCCAGTATCTTGGGTCGGATCTTCCAGGAAGTTGAAAATATTCCTTTATCCGATGCTAAATACCGAAGAACACTTTGGAGGTCACTTTCTGTATCAGACCGGCTCTGGCTGTCTTCTTGTGGGCTGGGAGATGGAGTTGCCATGTTTGTATTGTATCATGCGAGTCTTTATAATGTTTCGTTTTTGGACCAGCGAAGGAGTCGAGTATAGTATATTTCACAAGTGTTGGTCTAGTCTCAGGGGAGATAGCACCTGGTAGTTCACAAACTTATAATCATAATCCATTGAATACCACACAGGTCATATTGTCGTCGTTTTCCTCTTTGTGTTGCCGGAAGTGGTGCTCTGTCCATGTCAGCAAAGCAAAAAGAGCAAACAGTTTTATTCTTATTATCAGTTCCGGAACCGTCGTGTTTCGCTGCGTTGAGCGAATCATTCTTTGATGAATTTCCATGTAAGTACATGGGCTGAATGGGCCCTACTACATCAATCCAACTCATCACAAAGATTCCATGCGCATACCAAAACGGCCTGTACACAAATAGAATAACTGTCCCATGCTTCAGTAGATTAACACCAGACTCACCACTCACTCTAAACCTCATAGGCTATGGTCCGAGGCCGATGCTTTAGGGCATGATAAAATACGTTCCTTGTTCTGGAAGTTCTTCATCGCGAAAGAGGATGAGGAGCGTGAGGCCGAGGAAAAGGACAAATGCTGTCAAGAAGTCCAAAAGCCAGTTGGATAACCTGAAGAGAAACCAGTGATATTTTACTATTCTATAATGTAACGTATTTCACCCCCATTCCGACACCCCTGTAAACCCCAACAATAACCACACCGCTATTTACATTATCCTTTTATTTGTCAACCACTTTTGCTTCAATTGACTTTATTCCAAGTATTCGATCTGATCTGCTATCAATGCCTTCATATACGGAAGAAGACCTCGCTGCCGTCGTTCTAGACGTCGTAAATGGTAAATCTGTGCGACGCGCTGGCCTGGATTGGGGTATACCAAGGACTACACTTATCGACAGACTTCAAGGCGCTGAATCAAGTCGCGAGGCCTCTGCTAGCCAGCAGAGGCTATCTTCAGTGCAAGAAAAATACTTAGCAGACTGGGTTTTGGTCCAGGAAGCCCTTGGACTAGCCCCAACGCACGCGCAGCGCGTCCTAGCCCTCAAAGGTGACCACCAACCACTCGGCAAGAATTGGCTGGAAGCCTTTATAAAGCGTCACCCAGCACTAAAGACTAAAAAGCAACGCCGTATTGACTGTCAGCGTATCAATGGCGCGTCTACCGAGGTAATCCAAGCCTGGTTTGCTTCAAAATTACGTATTCCTGCAATTCAAGCGATTAAGCCGCAATGCAGGTATAATATGGATGAGCATGGCCTTATGGAGGGTCAAGGGGGCTCTGGGCTAGTTGTCGGGAGCGCTACCTTACGCGCAATACACCAGAAACAGCCTGGTTCGAGGGCGTGGACGTCAATTTTGGAATGTGTGGATGCCCTCGGCAATACCTTACCCCCCCTGGTTATTTTCAAGGGCAAGGACATCCAAGAGCAGTGGTTCCCCGATAAAAATCTTCAGGACTTCAAGGACTGGCGCTTCAAGGCATCCCCCAAGGGCTGGACAGACGATACGATAGCTATCAAATGGCTTGAAGACGTTTTTATACCCCTTACGCTTCCTCAGGACCCTTCAGACACTCGTTTACTTATTTTGGATGGTCGCGGTAGTCACACAACTGATAATTTTATGTCTCTTTGCTATAAAAACAACATATACTTATTATTTTTACCCCCACACTCATCTCATGTCCTTCAGCCCCTCGATGTTGGGGTGTTCTCAGCTATGAAAACGGCATATCGCAAGGAGGTCGGGTTTTTAACCCTATTAACTGATTCAGCACCTATTGGCAAGCGGAATTTTATGCGCTGTTACGCCAGAGCACGCAAGAGGGCCCTAAAGGCTCAAAATATCAAGTCTGGTTGGCGTACAAGTGGTCTATGGCCCCTAAATGTCGCTAGGCCCCTTACTAGCCCTCTTCTGCTTGAAAATAGCAACCGCACACGTCACCAAGGTCCAGACATTCTTATTACAACCCAGAAAGTCCAGAAAACGCTCCAGACGCCTTCAGAGGGCAATGTTGTATGGTCAACGCCAAAGAAGAGCGTAGATATAGAGCGCCAGTTTAGGGAGTTCAATCGACTCCAACAAACTAACCTGACTACACAACGCCAGCTATTTAGAAAGATGAAAAAAGGGTTTGATGAGAAGGATTATCTGTTAGTAAGCGCAGAATTACAAATTGAGGGCTTGAAACAGCGATTGGAGCTTATGAAGCCACGGAAAAAAAAGAAGGTGCAAATAAGTCCAAACGCGAAATTCGCAAGGATTAAGGACGTACGGCGGACGAGGGAAGTATCTAATGAAGCTCTTGTTGATGATTCGGGTTCAGAAATATCTAATGTATCTACTGTCGAAAGCGATTGTATAGTTTTTCAGAATTGAATTTGTGGTGGTTATTTGAAATTGCAGTGTTATTCGTGGTGTTTTGTTTTATAGGGTGTCGGAATGGGGGTGAAATACGTTAATTCCACCGTGAGACCGGGTTTGTGCTTCCGGGCTTAATCAAGGTATCGAAAGTCTAGGGTGTCATGTATCAGCCTGCCATTCGGGACTCGGGAAATATAGCTCACGATTCTGGCCCCAGGTGTTGAGGTTGACGCTTTCGCTATACATGGTTATACGTGTCTATACATGTCAGAGGTGGTACCTGCGCAGCCACCACCACTACTTAGTTCCAGACCAGCAACACTAGCCTAGCTTTCTTTCCTCACCAGAATACACTTCATTTCTATTGTGTGCCCCTCAACATATTTCAATATATAAACATGAGTATTTGATTATTTATACTAAAAAGAATAGCTAGCTCATATTAATAGTGTATATGACGAAGTAGAGGTTCTGAGAGTGCGAATCAAAGTTGCGATATCAGTCTATCTCTACTATAGACTACAATGGGAAACTCCAAACTGATCAGTAACGATTGATATGCACATGGTGCGTGTGGAACTCAGACCAGCAAGGAACAAAGCGCCATTGAGCATTTATAAAGCAAATGCTATCCGTCCACTGACAGAATGCAATGTCGTAAACAACAATCATTATAGGGACGGAATAAACTATTCATTCGCTTACATTCACATAGGCGATCCGAAGATACGAACCTCAAGTTGATGCTCCCACGTTCCATAGATTAAAAACTAAACACAGCACACACTGAACTGCGACAGCAAGTCTTCAACTACAGCAACTTTCAACCCTTGTACCCCACTTCAGCTTGCAGCTATGACTGGCATTCTGCTAACATACCTCAACCGTTGCCCGTAACGGAGCTTGCTAGATTCTCCTCGCTCAGGCTAATGAATCCCCGGTAATACGACTGACGGCACGTAGATAATAATTGCTTAATTAAACCCCGGGATTCCTAAATAAACCAGTCCATGCTTTCCGGGCCTAGTACCTCTTCATACCCGAGGTAACACTTGTCGACATATTTTGTATAAGCAGATGCACGAAGTCGCCATGAGACAATAATAACATGGCTGTACTCAAAACACTGGGAACGTCGAGCTTCTTATGACCTGGTTGACTTGTACACACACACACACACACACACACACGAACAAGCATCATCATACCATCTTCTACGCTAAAAGTATCCTTACTGCCCAAATGAGGTACACATATATACACTGAAACCCCTTTCCGGTTCCCTACCCGCATCGCATCTCACTCCTGCGAAAAACGCGCCTGCAGACTTCTCTGCATTTGTAGCAGTGTTGATCTTCGCAAGTCTTCTAAGGCTGGTTCTCCTGAACCCATGATTATAAACTATTGCAACTTCCCGATCAACCTCCTACGGTCATACCGAAGTTGGCGCCCAACGATCTCAACATGTGCCGTATACTTTTGCCCCTTTTATTTCTGGGGTGTCAGCACTACACCTTCGTAGCCCCGTGAGGCAATGTTCTCAAGAGTGTGCTTGAAGTGTCTCTTGCTATTCTCGACACTCGCCGAGTCCTGCTGATTCGTGCTCAAATTCGAGTGAATGAGCTCAATCAGGCCATTCACGTACTTCGTTGTCACCTGTTTGGTGGTGTCAGCATCAACTCTGGACAGATCTGCATGTGTGATGGGGATACTAACCGACTCGTTCTGCTGATCGAAGTAGTACACATAGCGATCCAGAATCTCCACAAATAGCTCGATGCTAGTTGCCTGCTCCATGCAGCTGTCTGCAACCCTCAAGGCACGCTGCAGGCACTCCAGCACCCTTTTTCCATCGCGATATAAGCCCTCGTCTGTCTCCTCAGTAGCGACAATAGGTGTAGCCCACCACAGATGACTGGCCAGGTACACAGCACGACATTGCTCCGGTTTCCGCAGAAGCTTGCTCCCATGGAGAGCGCACTTCGTGATCAGTGTGTCGTAATTCTCCTTGCCGAAGTTGCGAGTCTGGTGCAATGCGGATGCAATGACGCAGACAGCTTGGAACTGGGCTTTGGAATCACTGATAGCTTCCTCGTATACCGTAAAGGCTTGTGCGAAAAATTCATAAGCCACCTCCTCGAAACCAGTCATATCCGCTGTCTGACCACATGCAGCGAACAGCCGCAGCGCGAGCTCAGCTGCACCGGCGCCGTTAACGCGCGTGTAAAGTGCTGAGATGGCGCTGTGCATGAATTTGAACAGAGCAGATGATTGAGTCTCCCAGTTGTCGTCGTAGTGTTTGCGGGCCTTGAAGCGGCGGGCAAGTTTCATACCGGCTGTAATCAGCGGCGGCGTGGTCGTTCGAATGCGCTCGTTGCCTTCACCGTAGATTTTATGGGCCATCTGCAGTAACCTGAACTGTGTGTCGTTGTTATCGCTTTGGATGAGGTGGACGATGCGGGCAAGCCAGCCTTGCTCCTCCAGTGTCTCGTCTGTGTCCAAGGCTCGCCTCTGGGGACCACCAGGATAGCCTGCAGGAGGCTGTGAACCTTCCTTGATGAGCACTTTGAGGATCTCCAGCACGTTCTCTAGCTGGCTGGTTGTGGATATCGGGGTTTGATCGCGGAGTAGAGTCTTTGCCACTTCACCTGCGACTGCTCTTCTCGTCGGGTATGTCTGAGATTGAAAAAGGGGCACGTAGGTGGGAAGGGACAGCGCAGTGAAGAGCGAGACGTATCTCTTCAGAGGTGCTTGGAGGAGCGCCAACAAGCTTTGCTGAGCTTCAGATGCATGCAGATCGACACTGTTGGCATGTTCGCGGACCTTGTGATTTGCGTATTCCAAAATCTGGTCTACGTAGTCCAGCCGTCCGGGGTAAATGTTGAGGGCTAAATTAGTGAGAGACACCAGCAACGCGATAATGTCTTGAATGGGAAGATGTTGTGCGCTGACAAGGTTGTTGACCTGATCGAAGAAGATCTCGTACAGCTTGACGTCTGGTGGGATGCCCCGCTGCTTTTCGGCACTCTTCTCAGACGTATCATCGCCATCGGCGGCTGTCGTCTCCGTATCCACGACCGACGGTGTTGCTTCAAAGCTCGACTCGGCGACGTTGCGGTCGGCAGGTTCGGCAGAATTACCATTAGTATGCTCATCTCTATTTGAATCAACCGATGATTCTTCTGGCTCCGATTTTGGCTCCTGCTGCTCCTTGCCCAATCGTACCTTGTGGAGCAACTCTGCCAGCGCCTCCTCCTCCAGCTTGGCCTTATCCTCATCAACCTCCTCTTGCGACTCTCGTTCGGCATATGCTGAAAGCCTGTCCATCAGACCAATGACAATGGCCTTCACGTTAACGTGAGGGTTCAGACGTGACACGGCGGCGAGGAACTGGTCTAGCGTGTGGAGATGAAATTCGTCGGGGAAGACCTGGGTAATGATTTCCAGAAGATATTCCTGGGCCAGGACATCCCGACACTGTACAACCTGCTCAAGAAGAGGGCCCAAGATGCCGTTGCTGTAGGCTTCCAAGTCCACCAATTGACTCAGTCGCACGATATTGCTTCCTACGAGGAGTTGTAGCTCCTTGCGCTCCTTTGTCCGCTGCTCCCGTTCCCGCGAATGGCCTTGATGTTGAAGTCGCACCCACAGCTTGTTCATCTCGACGAAGTTGGTCAAGACAAAGTTGATGGAATCCTGCAGGTTGCCCTCGGGACCTTCACCTTCGGTGGTGGGAAGATGGTCCCTCGCTTGGCCGCTCAGAAAGTAGCGAAGGAACAGTCCACGAATGGGATGTTGCACACCCCGGCTCATGTCCATCATATCCTTCATCAGCTCTTTGACAGGCGCCTCGGGAATCGACATGTAAGCGGTTCCAACAGTTATCATGAGGTAGAGCCGCGGTACGATGTTGCCGGCATATTGGACGAGCTCGTAGAGGTCTGCGAGGTGGTTGTGCGGGTGGTTCTCCTTCAGGTGTACCGACAGATAGCGAAGAGCATCGAAAACGGACATGTACAGTTCGTAATACTGCTTGGGACCAAGACTGCTTGTTCGAAGCTCGGAGACAAGGGTTGAGCTATCGCGTCCATGGTCAGCGACTACATCGGGCAAGGTGACGTGCCACACAACAGCGAAGCTGTGGCCTTATCGCCGTCATTCACCATCGCAGGACAACGTACCAGCATTTCAGCGCGTCCATAAGCTTCCCTGGGGTGTCCAGGCATTTGCGCATGAGCACAGTTTGCTGGCGCACGGCAATCAGGGCATCTTCGAGCAATCGCGCCTGATCCTCAGGCGGCGCAGGAGTTGTCGACATTGTCGTCAGCAGGCAGGGCGGGAAGAGCTCAAAGATGATCGGTCAAGTCGTGGACAGAATGCTGAAGATTCAAGTCATTGGCGCATTGAGGTTCGAGTGTCAACAAGGTCGTCTGGTTTGTGTACAAAGACAAATGGGGATTGAATTGCTGCCTTGTCCTGCCTCTTGCTGGAAGATGACCCAATGCCTTTTGGAGAAGCTCCCACCAACGACGACGACGCAGCGGCTCGGACCTTGTTCCACCAGCCACATTTGATAAGATTACGTAGCAGTAGCCACGCCACAGACACTAGCCATAGGAATGGCGGCCTGTATTATATCAACGAGTGGAGTACATCACGAGCATCCCAGAGTTTCCGAGGGTGGCGGCGGTCTTTAATAGTCTACCAGCAGGGAGGGCGTCAACTTGCAAAACAATTGTAAGTAACGCGCCTGTCTGCGGCTCTCTTACACCACGGATCTCCTTTCTCTTGCTATATCAAGCTCCAGACTTTCAGGTCACATAAGTTTCTCCGAATGTATCGCGTAGGTCTGTAAAGCGATGGTGTCCGCAGCGTTTATGTATATGTCAAGGCTCGGATAGGGTCGCTAAAGTATCGTTTCGAATACGAGTTCTGGAATGGAAAACATTACGCGAGGCCGGTCCCTCTATCCGAACCGAGTGATGAGCGGGACTTTACGGTGAATCAAAATCTCCAAAGATCAAAACTGGAAAAGCATGGCTTCACGGCCAAGAATGGTATACTCACCAATGACTAGCTATCGTGATATACTAAAGTACATTGAGTACTTGGTTTTACCTGGGCTGCGCGTACTAGATCAAACCCTCAATTCAGAGAAAGATACATATCAAACGCTGATACGAGCATCGTGCCGAAACTTTGCGCTAGGATCTCGCCAGGTGCCTCTCATCTTCTCGCAATTACACAGAAGCGACATGGGTGTTGAGTGTTCTCTGAAGCTGTTAGCCGAGGCTACGGATAGAACACGCCTGGATTCTACCACGGGAAGCGGCGTTCGAGCTCGAGACATACCGGGTGGTGTAGCATGGTCGTAGGTCTCATCAAAGGATGCTAGAGTCTGGGAGCGACGGCAATTGAAGACACCATGAGGTGAGGTCTGGTGCTGAGTGCTTGGGCCTTTTTTGAGACTGCTGTCCCTTTCAAGGAGACCACTGTCAGGAAAACCACTGGCTACTGTTGTGAAACTGAAGAGCTGCCTTGCTATTGCAGATAAGGGGGGTTTCGACAAAGTTACACTATATCGGATCAGTCTAGACTCCCAAGTCGATCTGCAAACTACTCGGCCTCGACTTTGCAGAAGACAAATCGAGCGACGCGTTGGTATCAGACTTTATAATAGACAAACCGTAGCAACAATCTCAACTGTTATTACTGAAACGGCTGCTCTATGTTGAAGTGACACTACGAGAAATGTATTAGATGGTTGGAAATCAAAGAAAGATCCAAGTCTTCTGGTACTGCCGGAGGGGCATCACAAGCTGACACAGATAGCACATGATTCCGTCTATACAGCATGGACACGCATCCTCAGCCAGAGTTTACTCGAAGCCAAGCTTTGCCACTATCACAGGGCTGCAGCTGGTAGCTAAGGATAATGCTAGTATAAAACTAGAGGACCCAGATCAGAATGCTAATTTAGCTATGAAGATACCGAGATCAAGCCTTATCTGTTATCGCCAATCGTACCACCAATCGTTCGACTTCAAGTCAGAGTCGAATGACTGGGACAACAATACCCGACTTTCGGTATCTACTCGGTATCTTCCATCTTTCAGGACGATCCTGTTGTCCGAGTCATTCGGCTACCAACTACAGCTCCATGATTGTGGGTCAACGACCTAGACACGGCATTCGTGACAGGAACATCCGATCTAACGATTTGACGAGCCGCATCGGATCCAAGCACAATTTATTAAAACTATCACCTGCTTACCAGTACCCGCTGTGATGTGTCATTGTATCACAGGCCGCATTCCGAACGGCTAATGGTATTGGCAAGAGTGACATCAGCACTGCCCTTACCTTGCAGACCGTGCCGCTTCACTACTTCGCATTCGAACTTCGCCTACACTTTCCTTATGACCTACCACTTTGGGCATCCAAGTACAGGGCTCATTTTGGCATCTGGAATGAGATACGATCAGTCATTAAGTTGATTGAAGATACGCGGAGCTTTTGCAAGGTTTCCTGGATTGAGCTGGCTGGTCGAAACGAAGATTATACATACGTCAAGCTAGTGCGATAAAGACGTTAATACTGTGTCTCTAACGAAGGGAAGTTGAGTTGAGAATACGACATCAATCCGAATGCCGTTCAAATAAGTGTAGATAATGCGATCTTTGTGACTGACTGACGTGGGGATCTAGATAGTGTTCAGGTGATTTGGTGATTTCTGGAGAGATGCCGGGGTATCACGGGGCTCTGGCTTTGGCTCTGGCCTGGGGCTACGCCGACCAGTCTTGATGCAGACACTCCACTACGCCTGCTACGTTGATGGAAAGGTCCGCACAGCATTCAACTTGCCAATATTACATTAACGATAAACTGGAACAGTAATAGTTGATGGCAGTCATTTGAGCCTGTTCGCACGTAAACACGCAAAGCCGTCCAAATACATATGGAATGGACGGTGCGCTTTTGATGGGATAAGATAGTCAGTCTATTGTGTCGGTAGTTACGTTTGTGCCGTCTCACCAGAATACTCCACTTCCCGCTGTGCCGTATACAACCTTGCATGTTATATTCACTAGCCCGCCGTTCCGGGTATAAGTCATGGGAACCTTGCTGGCTAATGAGAACCCGTTCGGCCGCTGCTTGACAGTTGGGAGGTCCAGAGTCACTCTTCCAAGCACATGCGTATCTGAGTAAGGATGTACATAAGAGAAGCATCTGCAACCTCGGTTCCAACTTCCTGTAACCTAGATCACATAAGTATTATCCTCAATACAATAAACGCTAGCCGTGCCGTAGACCCCCATTGCTTCCACTCGGGTTTTGAGATCCCAGTATAACATCATTTACAAAACTAAGCAACGTGCACGTATTATCATCATGACCGACTCTCCCTTCTCCCGCGTACCCGCAGAGGTCCGGCTGATGATCTATGAGCACCTCTTCATCGACAACGGCCACCAGCACCTCGCAATCCGAAGTGCCGGGCCCCAGTACCACAAGTCAGCAAAGAAGCCCGACTCGCAAAAGCAGAAAAGCCGGACGACCTACCATGTCCTCGAGCGGTCCTTCCACCGACGCTGCTACGAAACCACCTACCAGCTCTCCTCCGAAGGCGTCTCCTTCTGCGCGTCCCTGATGCAAGTCAACCGGCAAATCTACTCAGAAACCGCATTCCTCCTCTACGGCAAGCACGGCTTTGACTTCGGCAGCGACATCGAAGCCGTCGAGCCTTTCTTGTCAGATCTGACGCCTGCCAGCCGGAAGCTCATCAGGGAGATCTCACTGTACAAGTGGGGGCCCGTCCCGCAGCATGACAGCGATAAGAGTGAGTGGCGGAGTGTTTGCCGGTTCTTGCAGCGAAACGGCGCAGTCAAGAAGCTGAGGCTCGTGGTGCAGGGTGGGAAGCCCAGTCGACCATGGGATGGTCCCAAGGAATTCTCGGCGACCGACTTCAAGTTTTTGGCCGAGATCAAACACGAGAGTCTGGATTGGGTTACGGAGCTGGCGGAGATCAAAGGGATTGAGGAGTTGGAGGTGTTGCCCGATGTGCATTATTGCTCGCCGCCGGTGAGTCCGAGTATGATCATTTTTGCAGCATTTTCGGCGAGTATTGAGAGGGGGTTGGCGGAGTTTTTGAGGATGCAGTTGAGGTTGGCTGTGTAGATCTGGTATGGAATTGGAAGGTTTACGTACACTACTCAATATTGAAGTAGAATGATGGAATGACAGAATGTAGATATCTTAGGTTATAGCAAGTACCACCACCATGTAATATTACGACACGAATATACCATACCATGGGAAATGCAGGCAAAAGGACTGTACTGGTGATGAACGTAGGACTAACTTCCAAAGGCTGCAGCTACGGAGTGGCTATCGGTGGGCAATTGGTCCACGATTCATAGTGAAATCTACATTGTGCAGTTGTGAAAACGCACGGTATATATTCTTACAGTGGCGTGTGTGTCTACAATCCCCCGTAGCGCCGATAACCTTCTCGTTGCTTTCCCCAGCTCCTATAAGCTCATGTAGACCCATGCTCAATCAGTCAAAATTAGATAACCTGTTATCGTCTGGCCCATACTCAATTATGATGACGCGGTCATTGCCCTGGGCCAGGAAAGCGTACGGTCTTCCATCAACGTGCAATACTCAAGGCTTATTCCACCTATTCAATCCTGCGGTACAAAACAGGCCAAAAGATGGTTCAATTCTCTTGTCCCATAAAGGTTGTGTGTTCATGGAAGGTCCAAGCAGTCTTTTTGATCAAGGCAAAGTCAACGTCACTATGGCCTAGCGCTACAGTGGCTAACAGACGGTGGCTATGTACCACAACTGACTAGCTCTAGGATCTCTGACATGTGACACTCTTGTCACTATGTACCATGGAATTGGGAATGTATGTGCAGATCCAGGGATCCTGATCCTACCAATTGGCACCAGGAAGTATTCCGAGCACCACCTTGACCTGGGAATGTACACGTGGTAGTATCTCAAGTCAATCATGGGAGGATGCGAGCAAACCATCACCATCCACGTGGAAAGCCGCTGGCTTGAATATAAGTAGTTTTTCACTCGGCTTAATGGTGTTTGATCATCAAGCCTCAGGCAAGGCAGTCCGTTAAATGTTAGTTTGAAATGAGAATGGCAGTATTGGAACTGACCGGAAAACAGGGCCTATAAAGATATATATGATCTTATGGATAATTTCGCGCCGTTTCTGGAAGATGAGGGGTCCCAAAAACTGAACAATTCTGAGATGGCATCGTTGTCAGAAAAGCGCAATCACTTCATTCTAAGCACAATATTAGATATTAAGAATGTACCTTCAACTGCAATGTAATAAAATCGATTCCCAAGTACAGTTTTGACAATAAGTTCCGCTTCGAGTCACGTAAGATCGGATGAGGATATGACAAGTGAAACATAAGGAATGACAAGGGATACTTTGTGGGCCAAGCTTAACTGAGCAACGGTGGTTCGCTCAGTTATTAAGCTAGAATCACCAAGTACGAGATCTCATAAGCTCTTGCACAAACATATAAAGATACGGGAGCAAACGAGACCCTTCCCGGATAGGTTACCTGATTCGGGGGGATGATACAACACTCGGGTGTGACCAACAGCATAGTAAGCCTTGTCCGACGATGCCAGAAGGCCAAACAAACCCCCTGCATTCTAAATTCCGAACAACTATCACGGCATTTCCGTCGTAAACTTGTATAACAACCCCAAGGAAGGCTCTACTCCATTCAAGGGTTCCTTCAAATCTTGCCCGACTAACCAGGACCAACAATGAAGGCCAACTCAGTCAAGACCCCAACCGGAGTCCTCGACGAGTCGTCGATTAGTACTATCGAAACACTGGTTCACGATGACACCAGCATCCGTTTAGCCAGCCCGACGAAGGACGAGCAGCCACAGCAGAAGACTGCAACTCAACCAGCAGAGCCCTACACTACCCACAAGGGCACCTATCGCCACGCACTGTACCTCATAGTCGGCCTCGCAACCATGACCTCCTCCTCCACCGCCACTATCCTCCTCCCCCTCCTGCCTCAAATGCGCACTCAATTCTACGTCTCAGCCCAAGCCATTAACCTCGTCCTGATCATCTACGTCATCTTCCAAGCCATTTCCCCCGCAATCTTCGGCCGCCTTTCCGGCCATGCTGGCCGAAGGCCTGTGTTTCTCATCGTTTTGGGTCTTTACGTCGCGGGGAGCATCGGTATGGCTTTAGTTGTAGCTGCGCAAAGGGCTGACCATGGGCAGGGAGGAGGGAAGCGAGGATATGCGGCGTTTGCGGTTATGAGGGCGGTACAGAGGAGGGCAGTGCCACGTTCGCGATTGCATTTGGGGTTGTGGTGGATTTGTGTGTTCCGGGCGACAGGGGGAGCATGTTGGGGCCTGTAGACATCGCGCTTAATCTGGGGACTTGCGTGGGACCAGTTGTCGGGGGGTATGGGAAGGTGAAGTGGGCGTTTTGGGCTATTGCAATTGTAGGAGCGGTGTTGTTGCTGGGGGTTGGGTCGTTCTTGCCCGAGACGGCGAGGACGCTTTTCGGGAATGGGGCGGAGAGGGAGGTTCGGGTGGTGGCAGAAGAGCTGGTTTGTGTTGGTGAAGGAACGGGTCGTTACTGATAAGTATATTGATTTCCGTCGTTGTGAGAAACAAAACCAGAGGGAAGGAGATGGACACGCCCCAGGGCTTTCAAAGAAAACGTTTCTGGAAAAATACGGACTGGTCAATTTCGTCAACAGCTTCCGCATCATATTTCACAAGGACACCTTCCTGACCCTCTGGGTGCACGGCTCATTCTACACCGTGGATTAATGCTTCGTCGCTGCAGTTCCTGACATTTTCCAGCACATATACGGATACAACTAGTGGCAAACGGGCTTGTCCTATCTGCCACGAGGCGTCGGCATCATCACCGGAAGTTGGTTTACGGGCAAGATCATGAACTACAATTACCGCGTGACAGCTCGCAAAGCCGGTTTGACTGTCGACAAAGTCGCTGGATATGATCTGCTTCGCTTTCCCATTGAGAGAGCCAGAACGAGAGGGAGTTATCTAGTACTGGCAGTGGCGATCGCGACCATGATCCCCTACGGTTGGGCGGTCGAGCATGGAGCCCACCCGGCTGTTTCTCTGGTTCTGCAGTTCATGCAAAGGTTTTGGGGGACTTACTTCTACAAGACGTACAGTGCACTAATAGCTGACGTTGTCCCTCACAGTCCGAGTACTGCAGCTGCAACTACGAGTATCACGAGATGCGCCATGGCAGCTACGGGACTTGCTCTGTTGCAGCTGTTGCTCGACGTCATGGGGAGGGGGTTGTTCTTCACGATTCTAGGGGTATGGTGCCGTGGGCTGGGTGCTGGTGACATCTGGCTGTTACAATGGCGAGAGATGATGTGGAGGACGGAGAGGAGTCGTGTGGACTGGTATATAGAGATCCCAGATCGTGTTACGTCCAAGTCTAGTTGGGGGCAATCAAATATACTTCCACTTCATCAAACAAGATGTTGACTATATTTCGCATCAAAAACGCCTCAGACCTTGATTCATTTGTCCTGGGATCGAACAAGATGTCGGGAATACGTCACAAATCCCTTTCTCCCTTGGACCTGGGAATGACTAGACTTACCATACCCCAAATTGACGCAATCCTAAGCAGCACAGCTTCTCATAATGCCGCGCATCTCAATTCTTCATTTTGGCCTCCAACAACGAGATCTTCTCCGAAGCATGGTTCAGCTGTCCCCCCAAATCCACAATAACACCCATCGCAGCCTCATACCTCTTTCCCATCTCACCAAGCTCGCCCTCGCGGGTTAGCGACAACTGCGCATTCTTCTCCTGGAGAACAGCCACTTCACCAGCCTTTGCCTCGAGTTTTCCCAGCAACGACTTCTTCTCCAGCAACGCGCTTTGACAAAACCCACGGATCCAGAATTGCAGTCCCGTCTCGCACTCCTCCGCGACAGCCAATCGTGTCTCGAGTTCTTCAATCAGCTCTTTGTCCTTAAGTGAATCTATGCCAGCGATAGGATTAGAAGCGTGGCGGCGTTGCTGTAGTTTGCACCCTCTGCCCTCGGAGGGCGAGGGACTTCGGGAAGGTCTGACGGTGCCGACGAGAAGTTTTTGTCGAAGCTCCTTGATTTCTTGATGCGAGTCCTCCAGTTGAGTTTGCAGATGATGGCTCTCCTCTTCGCCTTGAGCACAACGTCCTTGGGCAGCATCTAGATCTCCGAGCAAGCGTTTATTTGCATCCTGTGTCTGAGAGAGCTGATCGTTGGTTTGTGCAAGTTTGTTTTGGAAGTCAATGATTCGTAGTCGCTGGTCGTGGTTGTCCTGCTGATACTTACAGGCTTGGAGATTGGCATTCGGTTCCATTCCCTCCTGGACAGCGACGTTGGTCTGCAGATGGGTGACGTTAGCTTCGAGATCCTGAGTCGTGATTGCCGATTCTTGCTTCAGGCGCTCAGTCTGGGTATCTTTCTCTTTGGCCTTTTTCACGACGTTCTTCTTCAGCAGCTCGATCTGCACATTCTTCTCCTTATTTATGTTCGAGAGATCGTCCTTCAGATACAAGATCTCGTAATCTTTCTCTTGCTCCTTGGTCTTGAGTTCCTGGAGTTTTTTCATCATCGCCTCATTCTCCCGCTTCAAATCTCTGGCTACCCGCTGAAGGGCGACCTTCTGCGTGATCAATTCATCGTGTACTTGGTCCGGCTGTGTGCCACTACGCTTCGCACCAGTCGCTACTTTCGCCTCAAGTCTTTTGTTCTCCTTCCGCAGTGTCTCAGCCTCGGCCTCCAGGCGTTCAGACTTCTTGGCAGCCTCAACCCGAGCCTTGTTGGCGGCAGACAAGTTCTTCTTCTGCGCGACTCCCAACAGCCCCAACTCCTTCTTCGCCTTAGCAGCATCCTTCTGCGCAGCCTCCAACTCAGCCTTCATCTTCTTCTTGTCCCCCTCCAGAGTTTTCATATGCCACTCCATGTCAACCTTGCCCATCTCCCACATCATAATCTCATCGACCATGTGCGCGTTCCCCTGAATGAGGTATCCGATCTCCTCGTCGCGATTGGCGACCACATTCTTCAGTTCCGCGGCTTCCTTCCTGACCTCATCGAGTTGTCTCTGGACTGCGGCAGTCAAGAACTTCTTGATGCCACTGCACTCCCGGCGTTCCGCGAGGACCTCGCTGCCACGCTCGAGCTCGATGAGTAGCATGTCGAGGAATTGCACCTTGGCCTCTTGGTCCTTTCCGTGGAGGTTGGCACAAATGTAGGTGTCTACGGCGCGTGAGAAACGGGACACGGCAATGGCGACGTTGTCGTTGGGGGGAGGCTTCAGCTGATCGTGGCGGTTAACGTCGAAGCCGGACGCGAGGAGTTGGATGGTCAGCGCCTGGGCGGCCTCTATCTGGTTGCCGATTTCAATGGAAGTTTGCGTGTTTTGGTCCAGGGCTTGACTTGTGGCTTCAAGTTCCGTGGATGCGCTGGACATGACCGCAGGGTGTTCACCGAACTTGGGTGGCTGGTTAGGCGAGGATCCCATTGTGGCGAGCGCTTGTTTGCAGAAGCTAGATCAGGATGTGGTTAGCTTATATTGAAAATCTGAATTTGCAAGGGATAGGAGCGAAATTTGGAGAGTCGTGGTCAGTTCCTGTTGCACTATACGACTGGGATACATAAGCAAGACTGTGTCTGGGGAGGGTCCAGAGTTCAGGTATACATATTTGGGAGGCAGAAGCTTAAAATATAGATTCCATGATATTTGGTTTGGGATGTGGCCAGCTGGATTTACAACTTACGATACAGCAGTTGTGCTCGGAGAGAATTTGGGATGTATAAGCAGAAAGTTGTTGTAGTTGTTGAGCTCGGAGGCATGGGTGCACAGTTCACAGTATGAGAGATATGGACACAAGGGAGTTCAGGATTGTGTGGGGGAACGCGGCGAGGTGGGTTGGGGAGGGTGTACAACTAGTGTTGCGCTGTTCATTTGTTTGGAGGTACTAAGGAAATGGTACTGTAATGTATGGTCTGGGGGACGTGGTCTGATGTTGTTGCGAGAGTATGATGTGGTCTGTATGTGAGCGGAGTGGTCTTTGAACTCAAGAATGATAACGGAGACGTTTCTTCACGAGCCAAGGCTGGCTAGCAGAGTCTATAGTAAGGCCAAACTAGGCGCAAAGGATTATTGGGATTGATGATTGAGTCATGTTAATAAATAGCCGTTCCCCTACCTTGAACTTTCTGTTTCCATTGCTGTGAGATGTCATGGCTCTCATCACGGTGCTGGGATGTCTTAACTTAGAACTCGTAGTAATCTCAATAGATCAAGTCCCTTCAATAATGGGCAGATCCAAATAGACAATGGGTGAACTGCGGAAAAATAGAACTTGGGATTTGTTCTACTCATAGATAACTTTTGAATGATCAATAGTTCAGCAGTATCACGTGAAGAAACAAAACTTTCCCAGGTATTGGAGTCTGAGAGTCCCCTTATTCAGAACTCTGAGAACAGCTTGCTAAATTAACAGGTGGCTTTTCTTCACATCATCCTCACGCTGGATCGTTAGAAACTGAAGACTTGTTACTTACAATAGAAAATATATATGTGCTTGTGATCATATTGTCAAGCCCTTTGGGGTTTATAACGTCCTTCGAAAGGAAAGAACTGGTAAAGACTAGAATTTCTTTCTAAAGTATACCATTTCATCATATCCCCAATTTCTGGAGAGGTGTCCCATACTTCTAGCCTTTGATTACTTGATGTGGAATTGCACTGGTACTGGCATTCCGGCTACATACGAAGGTGAAGAAGGGAAGTACAGGTGGGGAGGTCCAAGCCGCACAAAGGCATTTAAGTCTCTTGCCCGTATCCCACGTGACCTTAGGCCACCAATCCCACACTTGATACTAATACCTTTCGGTTCTGTGTTCATTGTGAGCTTGGTCGATGGAATCAGTCGATGCATTTGCACTAACAGAAAGGTGAAGACACACAAGTCGATGAGAAAGGTATTTTCTCTCCTCTTCGCCTATGATAATTCAGTCATGCAGTGCTGCATAGTTTGAACAAAGCAGAAGGCAAAGATGCCCTATGTCTTAGCTGATATTCCATGTTGTTTGCCAACACGTCCTTTAGAAGTGGTTTTTTGGGTTAAGGGAAACGGTGAAACAGTGTGGCTTGAAACAATTAATCTCATGGTATCAGAGGCAAACGTGTTATAAGGACTGAGTACCAAGGATACGAGTGTAATTGTCCTACTACTGATGAGGTGGAGTTCTACCAATATTTTTTTTAGTGTCACGGAGAAATGCTGCCTAGTGTTGGTGAGGATGGAAAACCACAACCCGCCAAATCTCCGGACTTTGGTTGCCAAGCAATGCCTTGATCGGTGACGTTGGTTGAATATGGTTGCCTTGCCATAGTTGTGGGGGCTACCTTCAGCAAGAGCCATGTTTGACTCTATAGGCCAATCAATAAGTCACCAACCCAAATCAACAGCCATTTTGCTTACTAATCTGATCACCAACCTAAGGGAAGGGCATGGTGAGATTGGTGAGGCTGCCTTGAGGCTTGTTGTGACATACCACATGGCAATATTCATTTCTGCCTGACAGTTTATTGAAGGAATGATTACCTTGCAGAAAAAATTCTTAATTGACGACGTACCACAGAGACGGAGAAAAACAACAATTGTTGACCGAGGAAATGGTCAATGTCCACAAGCACGGGAAATAGCAACTTGCTTCTATGCAAAGTATATCACGTTCATGAAACAAGTCTGCGCTTCTTTCATAGTCTTCAAATGCTCATGGCAGTATCATAATAAATCGACGATCAAATGCTACAATAGCTGACGAATACTGGATTTTGGGCTTCTGTTTTGGGCCGGAGTGTTCACACTCGTCTTTCTCCTCTCCATGACATATGCTGCCCACAAAATGACCTAGTACAGGGAGTCATGCTGCTTTCTGCCGTTTTGCGGATCCCAGTCATATTGAAGTAATGCGGCTTGAACCTAATTCGATCATGGTAAGCCACATTTAGTGTAAGGCCATTGGTTTTCATATACTCTCCTTCATACCTGGGATATGATTCCCAGATTTAGGGTGAGGCATAGTCCCAATGGATTATATAACAAGAGTAGTATTGAAAGGAGACGAACACGCACGTGTGTAACGTTCTTGCTAGGGCGGCCCAAAGTAGAACAGCGACAACTCAGGCAGAGGATGAATTACAACTTTGAGGACAGAGCCTCGTTCTTGGCCATATCTCTCAAGTTCTTTCTGAGAATTTTCCCTGATGGACTCTTTGGGATGGAAGCAATGAAGACCACACCACCTCTCAGCTGCTTATACTTTGCCACCTGCTTGGCCACAAAGCTCTTGATTTCCTCGCCTGATATTTGCTTTGGATCAGCTACGACGTAGGCACTGCCATTGTTAGTGGAAATAATTTTGTTTCAAATAAGAAGGCATACCGTGGAAGCTCTGTGTCATTGCCGGGAACACCGATGATGGCAGCATCAATTATCTTTGGGTGGGACAGCAGGATCGCCTCGAGCTCCGCGGGCGCAACTTGAGTGCCCTGATACTTGATGAGTTCCTGAAATCTGTTGTTAGTTCCGACTAGGTGTGAAGAGTCGACTCGATTGAGCAAATAGCTTACTTTCTTCCGGTCAACAATCCACAGCCATCCGTCTCGGAAGGCACCGACATCCCCCGTGTAGAACCAGCCGTCCTTGAACGCCTCTTCATTGGCCTTCTCGTTCTTCCAGTATCCCTTGGTGACCAGAGGGCCTTGAACCAATATCTCGCCCTCAGAACCGGGTTCAACGTCTCTTCCCTCGTCATCCACAATTCTCGCGGAGCAGTTCGCCACCAGGCAGCCAACAGAACCAGGTGATCGGTTTCTCATCTCTAACGGCACGGTAGTGACACTACCTGTAGTCTCACTGAGACCCCACGTCTGCCGTAGAATCGGCCCACCTTTCCCTAGCTTCTTGCTGACCTCCATCTGCAGACCTTGACCCATCGGTGCCGCGCCCACTATGGCATCCACCCAACTGTCAAAGTGATCTGTCACCAAAGGAGACTTCGAAATCATGAGGTAAATCGGAGGTACGCTGAACATAACAGTACATTTGTACTTCTTGGAGTACTCGCAGAACTTGGCAAAGTCGAATCGTGGCATCCAGTACAGAATTCCTCCCTGGTACACAGAGTTTACCAGGTAGCCTTGGACGCCCGCGATGTGGGCAACAGGCAAGTGCGCTAGGGATTTGTATTCAAAGCCCCTGGGCTGGTGTTCAGCATGATATTCTTTGGTCGGGTCCAGTACCAAAGTCGCGCTGGACACCATATTGCGGTGGGAAAGTCGCATCGCCTTTGGCAGGCCCGTTGTGCCGCTGGAAAACAAAAGACAGACGATGCCGTTTTCGAGCTCATCGGCGTCCGTAATGCGGCGCCATTGGAGCTCCTGGTTCGAGATCGGCAACTTGGCCCCGCTCGCCGCTTCATGTAACTCCAGCTCCGCCTCGCCCTTGTACGAAAGGACTCGTCGCAGGGGCAGGCCTACCTTGTTCGCAGCAGTGATGGCGACGTCCTTAGTTTCGTCGGTGCAGATTATAACCTTCGCCCCAATCTGCTGGAGCTGATACGCAAGTTCTTCCGGGGTCGCGGATGGACTCGATGATGAGAATATTCCTTCGGCCGCTACCGTGCCGTAGAAGATGAGCGGGAGCATGAAGTGGCCTGTTGAAATCAGTAAAACCGCATCCTGGCTTGGCCCGTTTGCGCCAATGCCATACTGGTTACGCAGTACGTGGGCGAACTTCTTCGATTTTTGTCGTAACTTGGCTTTTGTAAGATAGTTTGAGGGATCTGCCGCATCTACGTGGACGATCTTATCATCCGGTATGCTGCATTGCTTAGACTCTGCCCGAGGCTGTTAGTACCACAAACGATACGGCCATGGCGCCTTTCGAACCATAGGTCTTAGAGTCGACGCCTACCGAATAGGAGGGTCAGCACATCGATATCCGGGACGGAGAATGTTCTCGCCGCCTTGTAAATGATTCCTTCTGGCGTCTTCTCAACTATGGAAGCCATCTCAAGTGACCGGGCCTTTGATCTCGCACATACACGAGTGAAGAGAAGGGCAGATATTTGAAACGAACTTCGGCTCTCTTTATCTCTTGGTATTCGTCTGATTTCAACTGACGTAAACAGCCCTTCATCCCCGCCCCGCGCATTATGCAGTGTTGCAAGGGCCGTCGCCGCCAATCAAAGCGCTGTAGGCTGCTCCCCGCATTCCTATGCCATGTTACCCCAAGTACAATACCGAGGCTCCGCGGCACCCCACAAGCAACTTTATTTAAGTGCCTAGATCAATCTAATTTGGGATTTGCTGGCAGACGTCTACTAATCCATGGGCATCTTGGGGGTTCGGCTACCGTGGCACTCGCACAACCATAGATTTGAGCAGTACACAAGCTGTACTCGCATCGCACTTGGATGACCCGGGTTCCAGGCAGCTGCCGCTCCCTACATAGTCTAGTCCTCCCTCCCCGAAGATTGAAGCCAAATACGTCGCGTGAGTTCATGCAGTTTCTATGGGCTATTTCTACCTAGTCTTCCGGTTTCTGTTTTCCACTCGGTAAATCGAGAAACCCCGTGTCCTGGGTCCAACAAGTCCCCAACCTGCCTGGGGGGCAGGACTTGTGTCAATAATCACCGGTCTCTGGCTCAAACTTGCCTTTACGACGTCATCGCTGGCGGCACGTTGAAATGCTTGCCCTTAACGGGTTACTGCAAGCAGAAACACACAATTCAGGGGCAATTCGACCGTGAGCACACTCAACTCGGAAGTATCTGATGTTTCATCATTGCCAGATCACAATGCGCTTGCTACGTGTTGTGTTCATTGATCCGATCAGTGCCCCTGACTCTCCCACTAGTCTGGCCAATCTTCGCCGTTCTGGACCCGAATTGTATCTGCAGACGTCAGTGGAGGTGCATTCAGTAAAAAAAAAATACTTAGGATACATACCGCTCGCTTCTTCTCCCTCGCTATCAACTGCAAGCCCAACTGGTCAGCTATAAGTCGTAGAACCCGTTTCGCCGGCTCTATTATCGCGGCATGAAATGGATTCCCGAAGTCGCACTTTTCCCACACAGGACACTGCATTGCAACTTTGACGAATTCCTCGTCAAGGAAAGGGAAGCGGACTTCCTTACCCCAGTGCGCCATGATGCGATCATCTCGACCCAGATTGCGTTGGCTTATCCTGCTCACATCAAGCTTCAGCTCATCGACGAGACCTTGATACCCTCGCCTTTCGAATCCAGACTTGTGCCGAGAGTAGCCACCAAACAGTTCATCAGCGCCTAGCCCTGACACAAGGACACGGGCAGGCGTTGATATACTGGGAGGCGGGGAAGTCGACCCGGATCGGGACGGGTAGCCATCACCAATTCCCCGGGCAGCGAAGTACAATGCGAGGCCAATGGAAAGATCCATTTGCGTGTCATGGGGATGAATGAGTGACACGACTCGAGACTTGTGTAGCATGGCTTCTTCGAAAGGGACGTTGACCTGTAGAGGACGGTCAGCTTCGGTTCCATCCATGGTCCCGGGAATCTTACAGCGATAAATCGCCAATTACGGGCAGGACAGGTTTTCTTGAGTTCGCCAAAAGCCTTCCTTCCTGTCAACCTGTCTGGGCAGGCTTCGTACACATTGACATCCTTCCTAAAGTTGGCAGCGACACGTGGATTCTCGAAAGCGACGTTGATCAGATCTACGCCCTGATCCTCTGGCAATAAATCATCCGCTAGCCTGGCCAACAATGTGCAGTCCAACCCACCAGAGAATAGAATGGCGATGCGGGTGTCGATGTCAAACTGGGCGTATGGAGGTTCGGGGACGTTGAGTATGCGCAGTTTTAGTGCCTCTGTGAGATGATGCCGGAGAAGGCGTACGGAGGGCGATCCAAAGTCCAGCCTCACATCTGGTTGTGGCAACGCTTCGTTGAATATGCCAATGCTGGATACCTATGAAAATAAGCATACTGGCTAACCCGGAGCTGGGTACTGGGGAGCCGCATCTGGCACTTACCAGATCAGCTCCTCCAGAGGACAGCCAGTCATCCTTTGAAGTGCTTGCGCCGAGGCTTAAGTTGCCTTCTTCTGTCTGGTAAGGCTTGAAGCACATCGAGTAGATCCCATCTGCTATAACCTCTTTCCATTCGGCATGGGGGGCATCCGCGACACTAGAGAAGGCAACTGCTGTTCCATCACTCCCATCATTCATGAGCAACGACCGTCTACCAAGTCGATCGCGGCCAAAGTACAGGCGCTCAGATGAGGCATCGTAGTAAATGAAGGCAAAGGGGCCTTGGATGCTTCGCAAAACGTTCAGGACATAGGCATGTCTTGGTTCCGGACCAGTGGCCTTGTTGCCAGAAAGCCTGGCGAATATGGCTTCACCATCATTGCCATCCACGATCTGGCTATCAATCTTCCATGCCTCACCGTTCCAGCAAAATACAGCTCCAGAATTGGGGTCCTCGAAGGGCTGCTTAGCGACATGGTCGCCACGCAGCGCCAGGACGGTCGAAGTGAATCTGGCCAACACGCGAAGATCCTGCGACGCGCCTGCTGGAAAAGTCCTTGTCGCCTCACCCAGGTAATCGGGGCCACGGTTGCGCAGCGCCTGCCTCAGATCCTGAGATAATTCAGCTGCATTGGCAGTTGAAAGGATGGCGTGGATCCCACACATCGTTTCGTAGCTGTTTGAGAATCTCTGGATGTGATGAAGGCTGCGATTGCGTGAATCATTTGAGGCAAAGATTGCCTTCAGTTCCCCGTGCCCCCCCCCCCCCCCTCCCCCCACTTTCCAAATGGTGCCTGCGACTTCGGGAGCTCGAGCTTCCTGTTCGTATGTCTCTTAAGGCCTACAGGGTAGCTCTGCCCGTAGAAAAGGAAGGCTTGGATATCAAACCAATTGCAGTACAGTCAACAACGACGTCAGGGGTGATATAATTATATTTTAAGATTTTTTGGCTGCTCAAAGTATTGTTAAGCGCTAAAATGGTCTATTTAATTCCTTAAAGTCTCAAAGTATGAGGGATGCACCAATTCAGCCCCTGCGCATACCACTGGCCAACCACAGTTAGTGTACAATGGGAGACCTGGTTCTGCTTGCCTCGGTCGCATTAACAGCTTTCCATTCTTGGAGCCTCTAAATGAGAGCTCAAAAGTTGAAAGAGATGTTTTGCCATACGGTGTAATTCGAATGACGATGTTAACCGCCTTGGGTATCACAAAGGGACAAGATTCGGTTTCTACAGCGTCAGGTTCTTGTTTGGTCAAAACTTCAAGCTCACTACCTAATAATTCTTCAGACATATGGTTTTCATAACGTCAGATGCAATCACCGGTAAACCCCATAGTAGCGTCGGCGACCCTCTCGATTCGTGGTCATTGGACTCTGAACAATATCGTACAGCTAATCTTGCTGTGGCAAAGCATTGAATTTAATATTTATGTGTCGTTCCAAAGTCAAAAGAGTGCAGGTGTCCATAAGGGCCTTGAGTACGGGAAAATGTGCCACTTGGCTGCACATTTTGAGAGTGCTGATCACGTCAGAGCCTAGCAGTGGCTGATACACAGAGGATTTGTTCCTGGATATCTAACCAGAGAACTTGGTGCACAGGGTCTAACATGAGGTCAACTGGCTGTTGTAGTTAGAAGTGGGGGAAACAGCCGTTGGGGTTCAAAGGCTGATGCGGTCCATCTTGAATTTGAAGCAGGAGCACTTTACACTTCAGTTTCTCAACAGCATTAAACCTGTATGCGAGATACGTCTAAAGAATTGAACGGATCTGTACGGCTCTCGAATGTTCACCAGCCAAGGACCTGGATGGGCCTAGGTATAGGCAAGTAACAGATTTCACCACCGGAGGCTTTCATTGGATAACTGTGCAAATTGTCTTGCATTGAATGTGTGATGAATTTTGGATATCCCCAAGAAGTGAACTGTGGCCATAAGTGCATTATACAGGTAGAAGAGATTGATGCCTATACCCTCACAAACTGGCAGTTCGGTCGTAATAGCCTTGAAGGTCCAACAGCTTTATACTGTGACAAACCTTTGAAGATTGACAATGACTGACTAGAACCTGGATTCATCTGATCTATCACCTGGTATTTCCCAACTACATATCAATTGTGACCTATAGCCGTGCCAGAAACATGTGGTACGATTATGTTTGACACGGTGAGTCTGTTGGAATCGGAATGCATACTCTCCTCCGGCCAGCCGTGTTTCACTTCTCTTGAGTTTCACTCAGAAGCAGAAGCACCGAAGTTCTGAGGAAAACTGACATCTTTGTTCCGCCTTTGGCAACACTGTCCAGTGCCACTAGCTGTAACAGAGAATTCTATTTGGTTTGGGGCCAGTGCAACTAGCATCCACATATTAACCATGCTCGTGGTTCGTGTGTTTTCTAGGAACAGAGGCTTGCCGCTGGCCGTGCATGATGACTCCGATGTCCCCGCATGCATAGTCATCTATATAAAGTGTTTCCGCATGCCTTTGTCTCTACAGCTTGACAGGAATCTGTCATAGTTTCAACATATGAACTGATAACTCAACAATATGCCCCGGTTTTTATCATTTTCTACTCAAGGCGTCGGAGTGATGACAAGTACCCGGCGCCGGTGACAAGTGACGGCATTTTCCGCTGTGTCGTTGACATGCGCCAAGGCAAATATATGTACGGCGATCTTCGTGAGCCACACGGAGTCAAGTGAAGAACCGTCTGATCGCGGATACGAAAGAGTCCTCTTGCATAAACATACCCGGACTGTTCTACGGTTGAATGATTGGGTGTCCGATGTTGATTGGCACCTATGATGTCAGGGACAAGCGAAGACTGTCATATCTCCACAGCTAACCTAATGTGATTAGGCATTGGAACATGCAGTTGGAAAGCTTCATTGCAGTTTGCGACGACTTCAAACAGGTAGATTGCGGGAACTCAGAAGTGGAAATGTTAAATGATTATCGGAAGTTTACCGCAATAACTTCGGCAGATGCTGTCCCCTACTTAGGTGAGTAACTAAGTATTACATATTGGCATATACCGCGTTGGTAGCTTCGAATTTCTCCATATTTGCACATAACTGCATCAATTCGGGAAGCACTCACCCCATGATCTGACGCGTAAATGCTTCGCTCAAATGCCTCGCTAAGAGTCATTCAAACCGGCTGCTCTCCTTTACGGCAAGATGTCGCGTCGTACACTGAAAACAAGCCCGGCCCAAGGCTGATGAGCGACATGTGCCGGGTGCGAAGACGGAAAATACATGACTTGCCTACACTACATACGCATTGACCGGTCTGCTAGCGTTTTATGCTCACCTGCAGTGCCATTCCTTGTCATTCTGCCACTTAAGCTCATCTTTTGACTGTGCCGTTTCAATCTCACCGCCGCTCTGTTGCCAACTCGAAAGAGAAGAAATCAAGACTTTGTCTGAGGGTTTCACTCTCGCGAGTAATAAACCGCCATGGCATACATTTGGCTGTGAGGGTGAGTAGTTGGCACCGAGAGGCATTCTCTAGGTTAATCTCATACCCATACTTCACCTGGCGCACCAAGATTACCAAATGTGTTTCATCCTATGAACCAGGGCAGATCCAATATGATATACATACGGTTCTCGTCTGATCCGCATGGAACCGTCTCGATGATCGACTCCACCGCGCTAGCTTTTCTTAACCCGTAGGCGTCATTATCAATTTTGATATTGGGTGACCGGTTACTGTCTGCCTAAAATGTCATATGACGAGGCGGGATTAGATCAAGTAACAGTTTATCGTCCTACAATCTTACAAACGTGCTTGGTCGAGTATACGACTCTATATGTCCGACCAAGGCAGACGACATGAACTCCTCACCACATCAGCCGTGTTGATTGCCCTTTCAAGTGGAGCATCCCAAATTCTCACCCTTACCACAATGTTCTGACATCGCTTTGTGCTTGTGTAGCTACTACCGTCGTACTACGACTAACCGTACGCTTCTTTATCGTCAAGAAGCCTGGAATGGACGATTATATGATGCTGGGTAGCACGGTGTGTTGATCTCGATCCTCACCGCTCGTCCATTTGGTTTTGTGTAGTTACTAAATTCGGTGCAGCTTTTCAACGTTGGGTACTTAGTATGCATTGTATGCATTCAAGCGGATGGGCTAGGATTCCCAATGAGGACGTTGACTTCCGAAAATATGAGGAGTTTTCTCAAAGTAAGCCTCTAGTTGTCAAGTCCCCTTGGGTGTCCAAACATGTTGACAGAAAAGTTATCAATCGTGATCGAAGTGATCTACTACACCATCATCCTTTTCATCAAAATTTCGATCGTGTTCATGTACTTGCGATTTGGTACGTCGAAGGCCGTATCAGATAAGCCAGCTCACAGCTGATGCTCAGCAGCTGTCAGCAAGACCTTCAGACGGTTCTGCTATGGCACGATAGCGATTCAAACCCTGCTCTTCATGGCCTCCGTCACCGGCACTCTACGTCAATGCAGACCGCTTGAAAAGGTCTGGGACGTCCCTCGACTGGTGTCTGGCACGTGCATAAATTCGACCGCCTTCTTTTACGGTGAGTTTTCCTTTCGTTAATAATATGCCCTCTCAGAATCAATGAAACTTAGAATACCCAGCTATCTCAAGCTTGAACATCTCGACGGATATTTGGATCCTCGGCTTGCCCATACCGACATTAAGGGCCATCCATATATGCCGAAGAGAGAAATACGGACTCTATTGCGTCTTCGGCATCGGCATCTTCGCGACTGCGCTGTCCATAGTGCGTTTGCAGTCCATCTACACGTACACCCTCTCCATTGATCCCATCCACGACGGAATACTGGTAAGTCTAAATCCCAACCAATTGTGCTCACCATGAGTTGTCTGAGATTCTGATAAATACCCCAGATAAACCTATGGTCCATAATCGAAATCAATAGCGCAATAGTGTGCGCCAACATTCCCGCATTGAAAATTCTGTTCACACCGCGACTTCTGATTGAGCAGACGAGAACCAATAATAGGTCGACCTGTTTCGGGTCGCTTGAGGCCTGAAAGCGCGATTTCGGGGGTATGATTCAAGACGGTGAATGATTGGCTGGTTAGTAATACGTCGGAGACGTATGGGATGGACCACTTGCCCGATACTATAGATTCAATACAACTGAAATAGTTGCTCAATAATACCCACATCCTATCCATTGCTTGCTCTTTAATCTTATCCCTAATAAGTGCCCAATTATATCTGCATAAGACACGTCATAATATTTACAACGTTCTTGACTACCCACCAGCTTCCTATGGAAGTACATATAGTCCGCCTCCATAGGACAGTAAATAACTTAGCAAAAAACAACTACCTGTAGTTATTGAATCTTGCATCTTCCAAGAATCCGTGTTCTAAGGCCGCCGACTATCCTCCTCATCCACGATTCTCTCCTGCCCACGAACCCGCCCAGACCGTTTCTCAATCTTCCCCACAATCCCCGTCCCTCGAAACGCCAAACCAACGAGAACCATGCAGCAAAGCGACAACGCGAAGTTGAACCAATTTGCCGCCCTAATAGCAACCAAAGAAGTTGGATCCCAAGCTCCAATTTTCCCCACGCTCTCTACGGGTAACCCCCTCTGCTTCGCCATAACTGCCGTTTGCAGCGCCGTAGTGATGGCTAGCCCAATTGCCCTCCCAATTTGCCCAGAGGCGTTGATCAGCGCCCCGCCCAGCGCTTGGTCCTCGCTCGGCAGGGATTTCGAGGTGAACAGCGTCAGGCAAGGCCATGTGGCGTCCGCGCCGACAACCGAGAGGATCATGGCTGGAAGACCGACGGCGAAGTAGCTCGTGTTGGAGGGGATAGTAATGGCGAATAGTAAGCATGATATTGCGACGGCTAGATTGCCAAACATAAGAAGCATGTATGTGGGTACCTTGGAGATGAGCCGCGACATGATAAAGGCGACAATGATGCCGCAGACTCCAGTGGGTATGAACCTCAGCGTCGTCTGCAGAGGCCCAAGGTTCTGGTATTCCTGCCAGAAGTACGTAGCATAGATGAGGAAGTCGTTGAAGGAGGCGAAGAACATAGCCATGATCACCATAGCGACGCTAAAGAGTTTGTTCTTGAAAATGGTCACTTTCATTAGGGGAGGTCGGCTTGTGTGCTTCTCCTGGTAGTACTGCCAGGCGACGAATATGCCGATGAGGATCAGTGCAATGACGATGAGCATGTAGATCCAGACTGTGTCCCATCCCACGACGTTACCTTCCGTGAGAGCGAAGAGGAGGGCTAGGATGCCTGCAGTGATCAGGAAGCCGCCGAACCAGTCGACTGAGCGGGCTAAGGAGACGCTTCCGGTGCTTGCGATTGTCTTTGGCGGGGGAGGCGGGATGAAAAATATCCCGGCAGCCGTGACGGCCACGGCGAGGGCGGCGAGCGCGCCGAAGACCCATTTCCAATTCGTGTATGACGCGATGAAGCCTGCTAGAAGGTTGCCGAAGACACTACCCAGGGGCGCACCGGCAGCTGGCCCACGTTATCAGCAAGGTATCATGATGGGTGGAATGGACTTGTCTCACCATATGCGCTGAATGCATAATTCTTTGCCTTCCCTGGCGGAAAGGTTACCCCTAGAATTCCTATAGCTGTTGGCACATTGGCCGCAGCACCCTAGACATGTCAGTAAATCAAGAAATAGGGATTTGATCTCTTCGATGCACCTACAAGGCCTTGTAGTCCCCGGAACAGATTGAACAGGATCTCGCTTGGTAGAAATGGATTTATAATCATGGTCACCGCCACGAATGCACTCCCCAGAATGAATATGAGACGTTTCCCCCATATATCAGCGATGCGTCCCCATAGCAACAAGAAACAACCAAACGTCAGCGAGTATGCTGAGATGACCCATTGTTGTCGACTTTCTGGTATGCCCAAATCTTCGCCAATTGTGGGCAGGATAATGACAACCGCTTGGATCGAAAGTGTCTAGATTTTGTTAGCCCGCCCCCTAAAAGTTTAATTAACAACTGAACTAGTTGAAAACACCAACATTGAGAAAGCTTGCACCAGTTACACAAGCGACCAAGGCGATACACCTCGCCTTGGAGAAAGGCAACTCGGACGCCTCTTCGCTCCTGCTGCTGCTCCTGTCGTCTTCGTCAGTCTTTTCATTGTCGCGCTTGTTGCCGACCCCACCTCTTGCGGGATCGCGGCCCGAAGCCGGCGTAGCACTCGTTGCGGTGTGGTGATTATCCTCTGCCTTCTTGATTTCGAGGGTATCTGAGGGCACTTCTGTCACCATCGAGTCCGACATTGTTCTTCCTATACTCACAAAGTCCTACGGGACAGGTGAGTGAAAGGGAGGGCTATCAAACTTTTAGAAAGTTTGCAAACGTCTGTCATCCAATGCTAGCCCCTGATGATGACCCCATATTCGGCGCGATCGGCACTAAATTGACGAAAATATGTGCCAAGTGCTGCTGATGGCACTGGGTTTCCGCGTGATTGGACCCCCAAACCGCGATTACGTCCCGTGTTTCTCCGCGGAGTCAATTGACCACCCTGTTCAATGATATAAGGAACGAGTGAGTAGGGCTTTGGGGCTGCATTCTACAGTGGGTATTGCGGTATTCGGGGATTGATGGCCGCATGTTGGTCACTTCGACGGCTTTTCCGCCACTTAGTATTAGGTCGTTCCGGTGGACAGTGTACTGGAAGACGACGAAGCCTAACATGTCATCTTGATCAAAGCTGCCTGGAAATGTAAGATTCCCTTGCGGCTTGTGGCCTTGAACTGGTGATCTCAAACTTGATAAAAAGCTTTGAGGCCACCTTGCCGCAGCCAGTTACCATTGATGAAACCTTGAATGGTAGATTGTCATTGGTTGGTGGCAGGGGTAAACATATCTTCTTGGCAGGTTCTGCTTGCTTTTGTCAGGAACGGCTAGGCCGCAAGGCAATGGTACAGAGTGAAGGGAGTAACGGGCGTCCCTACTGGTCTATCACCGAGTGGGGTGCCCAGAATAGTTCATTGATCTCTGATCTTCCTTCTATCCTCCAAGATATTTCCCTTGATAGATAGCTAGAGCCCCTGTTCGGAATAGCAGAGCTCTAGTTCCTCGGTGCTCCGAGACTTCAATATTAGATCATGACTCGAGGCCCCTGTGCCGGTGCCCCACCAGCAACACACCGGTATCTTGCACTCGGCACTTTGACAGCTTTGATCTCGTGTGTTGCAACGGTAAACGCTACGACAGGATAATTGTCGCCTCAACGGCGAGGCCATGTTTACTTCGCTGCCTCGTTACGCCGCCATGACAAGTCATCCCTATCTGTGCTGTGCAGCTGCGTCACAGAGGCTACACGTGTTGCACAAGTTCCTGTCGCCCTTTTTCTCTCTTTCGCAAATGAGATCGCATTTCTAGGCAGAACAGAGCTGTGCTGGCTGGTGTCTCTGACTTCGACCCAGACGAAACTCGATTCCGAAATGCTCGCTGACCTTGAAGCTGTACCGACCACAAAACTTCTCTCCGTTAAGCTTCTGCATCGCTCCTGCGGACGCCAAGCAGCAGCTTCGCAATAGCAACCCTACTTGAATGGAACATATTCCACTGTCCCCGATGTAGCCAAGACCTGCAATCAGTCGGCGATGTTCTTCATACCTAGGATTACATCGACAAACACAGGGAAGGACGCGATAACAAAATGCCACAAGACGAAAGGCAAGACCAAGGCAACAGTGACTCTTCCGGGGGTGGTTTGAGTAGCATGTTAGGCTCAGAGAATTCCACAGAACCGCAAGCAGGGTCTGATGATTTGCGTTACAAAGTCGAGTACGTGGAAAATAGAGGAACGACTACAAGAACCCACGGGTACCAGGACAATTCAACTTGAAGCAAGGGGGGAAGGATGTCAATGGAACTAAGTTGGACTCCGTCATCGAAATTCGGACAGTGATACAAACCGACATTATAGGTAAGCATGTTAACTAACATGCTAAAACATGCCGGAAGAGGGGTTCGGATTCCGCACTTCTACAAACCCAGGTAGTCCGTGGAGGTTGAGAGCCACGGTATCAAATTTAATCCGCCAGTATCATTGACGCCCTTTCCCACGTCGTCGCCTACTTCCCCGGCATCAGTCTTACTGAGAGCGCGGTGGTCTTCAAGGAGCCATATTGTGTTGTGTTTCATTCCATGGAGGAGATAAAGCCTATCAGATGGCTATCAACAAGAAAGATGAAGGTGTAGACCCACTGCACAGGTTTGACGGAGAGACACAACGAAATCTGGGGGTTTTTGCAACGCAGTTGAGAGACGATACCAGAATACACTCGAACAGGAAATAGACCCCTACAACCTTAGAGTTCCTGGACAACGTTCAAGATGCTGTGGCTCCCATTCAAGCCTGGTGAGGCGGTCTACACAAAGTGGAACGAAGGCTTCCAGACTTACTTGATCAAGTCGATAGAGTTCAACCACTACCAAGCGATCAAGTTGATGGGCTCATTCTTGGTCGGTATTTGGTACCTTGACTTCGATGGCCGCCGCTTGGGAAGATATCAATCGAGCCGGATTATCTCCTCTTTGATGGGAAATTGATGGGAAAGGGGGATCAACAGACTCAAAGTGTTCCATCTCACTGTCTCGATTCTAAAGACGGTGGAGAGACATGGAAAGCTCTCGAATACAGGGGTATGGAATTCTACGGGTATCTGAGTGGCGCTCGGGTTTCGTATCGAGGAGAATCACTGGCCATCCAGTTCGTTGGGTAAGTTTCGACGGTCAACGTTCAATAACTCTCAAACACGCGAATAACACAACATGACTGCAGTATTATGGCCATGCTATAATTGATCCTACTTGTTACTACAAATATGGTTCGTCTCGACCGTTAGCCGAACCACAGGAATACAGTTATTGGGTTCACCGTCAAAGCAAGATGGTGTGGTGAGTTGTTCATGAGATCAATAAGTACCGGCACAAATACTGATTCATCAGCTTCAGAATTATTAGACGTGGATCTTTGCAGTGAATTGCAGATCAAATTCGGCGCAATTAACACCTTGGTCATTCCAAAGCAGATGAAGACCATGATCAAGACCCTTGTGAATAAGTATACAGATCTTGGGGCGACCGTCGGCAACTTTGCTTCGCCTTGGAGAGTGGGCAAACAATGGAGACGCCATTGATTTGATTGAATTGCCCGCACACAGAACGTATCGCTGAATCCACCGGGCGACCCCTATTTTTCCTCACCTGCGGGTATATCGGAAATAACGAGGATCTCACGGAGGAGCGACTATCGAAATGGTTTCGCCTTGTCGAAATCTGGGATGCAGTCATGCTTCTGGACGAAGCCGACGTCTTCCTCGAACGAAGACCAACTTGAGATCTGCAAAGAAACAGCCTTGTAACAGGTATGGAGCTATTTTCTTTTTAAGGGCCTCTTTGCCTCTTTCTCTGCACCACGGGCGTGACTCAATTGCTAATTATCTTCTCCATTTAAAATATTCCTTCGAACCATGAAAGGCTACCGGGGTGTTCTGTTTCTCTAATGACTAATCGTGTTGGTCACTTTGACGACGCTTTCATTTCACGGCTAGATATTGTCCATTCGATGCGAACCGCGGACTCCTTTTCGTTATCTCAATTACACTTTACACTCTTTTCCCGAGTGCTATCTCGCTACCGTATAACGTGTTCACTGAGATCATCCCTGACCAGAGTTATTGCGACTTAAGCGAGTCCACATATTCCTTGACGAGATCCTCCGCCTTCGTATCCCTAACCAGGCCAAGCCTATCAGGTGTGCTGGGGTCAAACTCCTGAGGCCAGCTCCTCAAGATCCTCTCAAGCTCAGGATTGGTCTCTTCCTTCAACAGCTTCAACTTGTCCTCTCCACCGTACTTGGCCAGCCCATCCATCAACTCCTGAGTTGTCACAGCCACACCAGGAAAGTTGATGTGTCGAATATGCTTCGGCATCGCCGTGCTGTCCAAGTTCAGGACCCTGACCAAGTTCTCGATCACACCGCTGGGAGAGCAAATGTATGACTTGAACGACCTGTCCTTCAGTGGAATGATGCATTCCTCCCCCTTCATCGGCTCGCGGATCATACCCGAGAGGAATGACGACGCGGCATTGCTTGGTAAACCAGGACGCACGACTAGGGTGGGAAAGCGCACGATGAAGGCGTCGATAAATCCCTTACGATGCATGTCATTGATGATGATCTCCGTCGACAACTTGTGCGCGCCATATGTGCCCTCGGGCGTTGGTGTCACACTGTCCGTGACAACTGGCGGAAGCGGTTGTCCAAAGACAGCCTGGGAACTTGAGTAAACGACTCGGACTCCAGGGGATGTTTGTCGGATGGCAAGGAGCAAGTTTCGAACACTGTCAACGTTGACCCTCATCGACAGGTCGAAGTTGGCTTCGGAGCCTGCCGACATGATGCCGTGGAAGATGAAGATGGCATGCAGTGGTTGGGCGGCGTCGAGCAAGGACTTGACAAAGGTCTGATCGCAGATGTCGCCTTTCATGCATACTGCGTTTTCTGGGTGTTTGACGCCTTTCGGGACATTTGGCTGGACTATGTCGGTCATGATTACCCGGTACCCATCATTGAGGAGGCGTGCAGAGAGCAGAGGACCGATGAGGCCACCTGCGCCGGTAACGATGATGTTCTTTGGTGCCATCTTAGGAATGTGTGATATTGCTAGAAGATGATATGATCTGAATATTCTGAACGTGTCTAGAGAAGAGATAATGCTGCCCTTTTATTCTACATCCCTTGGGTACTACAGGAACCCCTCGGGGTCAAAAGCTGGTGAACGGGAGCTACTGTGGAGAAGCGCATGCGGGGCTGGCGCGTCTCGAGGGCCATCTGCATGCCTAGAGTCGGGGTAATATCGTAAGTCTCGGACTGGTCACCGGCGGGCTTGTCTCGGAGACTACTTACTAAGAGTAAAGAACAGCTGTGTGGGGCTTGCAGTAGCATTGGTTAGATCGGGTTCTTTGCAACCTTTTACCCAACCATATACTCGATTAACCCCATATAGCATAGAGAAAGGGCGGGGATTGCAAGTTTTAGTGTTGGATGTCATGTGCACATGATATTCCCGCAATTCCAGCCCACTCGTTCGTTACCTTTCCACTACAAACGTATGATACTTCATGGCAATTTGGATGCAACTAGCCCAGCGTAATTAACAGAGAAACTGTGAATCATATGTAATACCACTGCTATTCTTGATCTCCAGTTCTAATAGCCCATCCAGTTATGATCTTGAACTTGCATAGTGGGGCCTCGTTGTCCTTGTATTGGATGGCCATGAACTTCGCAAAGTGAAGAAAGTCATCAAGCCAGCCCCTGCAAGATGATATCTGCGTGGTAGATAGCGTGGCTATACTTACAACGAAACTAGATACTAACAATTCCGTATGTGATACTAGCATAAGTACTAGAATATCGTGATGATACCGACTATGCTGTAAGCATTGTTGAGTTTGTCTCATGATTCGGAATAATTACTACGATAGAAATAGCACGATATGAAGCCTGCGAAAGTTGTCCTTTAGTATATATGGTAGCTGTGGTATCGCACTGGTACTAGTATTCCAGCTACATACGAAGGTGAAGAAGGGAAGCACAGGTGGGGGGGTCCAAGCCGCACAAAGGCACTTAAGTATCTTGCCCGTATCCCATGTGACCATAGGCCACCAATCCAACAGTAGCTACTGTGGGTAATACAGGCAAGAGAATTGTGTTGGTGAAGATGATAGGACGAAGTCCCAAAGGCTGCAGCTACGGAAGAGCTATATATGGGCGACTTGTCCAAGCGCTACACCTAGCACATAAGTGGTGTACCTGGGACACGCAACAGCTATTCTTACTACTAGTAAATTGAATTAGTATACTATACTAAACGGGATTGTTACGTTTAGGATAGAAGTAATTACTTTATCATAATACTGTAAGATCTCGCAATCCTTGTTAATAGTAGTCAAGTTCCTATCTAGGACTAATCTGCCTTTTAAATGAAGAACCATCTTTACCAACTGACGTTTAAAGTCATTCAATACCTCCCTGCGCGGACGTACCTCCCATCTTACACAGACGTAAGAACAAAGCAGCCGCACCGTGATATATCGCCTTTTACAACAGTGCCTTCAGAGAAATAATCAGGTTGAAACTGGCCCGGGTCGCTGTTTACAGACTGATCCCTGTTTCTCTACCGGAGGAAAATGATTCATTATCAACCATTCTCTAGATGGAGGTCAATCCATCACGTTGGTTTTGTCGCGTCAGCCCTGAAAAGCCCACGACGCGAGTTTTGTTCTGGCTATATAACATACTCTCTCGCATATACCAACAGAGCTCCGAACTAAAACTACCTGAAAAATGCCCACAGCCCACGTCAACGCCAGAAAGATTGAGCTTGGATAATCGCTAAAGCGAAATATGATCAATCCCCAGAAGATCCTGACGATGTTAAAAAGCTGTACCATGGGACCACCCTTTCGCTCAGGTACAGTCACAGTCCCATATAATGACTTAGGGACAGGGTGTTTGAGTCTTGTTTTTTGGGGTTCGGATGATTTATGCAATAAGTCTTCAAGTTCGGAATGTTGCCTTCTCTTTTTCACGGTTCATCTCATTGCAATTTAACTATTACGCTTTTCCGTTCCGGTCTCGGAATCATATCTATTTATCTATTTATAGGCGTGACCCTTGCTCTCTCGACCTACCTCAAGATCAGTGAACTCTTCGTTGTGGTGCCACGTGATGCAATAAAATCGATGGTTGAAGTTGCACAGACTGATACCATACTTTGTGACTGCACGTCCCGTTGTGCTAATGACACAGGAAAAAAAGCCAACGGGATTGATAACGTAATCCGACCAGCGAGATTGGGCATACATATGTACTCAAGTAATTTCATCCGTTCGATGTTGAGCCTTGGCTACTCGGCGTTCAGCACAATAGATACCCGCTACGCATTTTCTCCAAGTCCTATGATGGCCGCCAGCACGTCCGCATAGTGCAAAGAAATCATTATGATGCATACCATGTGCCAACGTGTTCTAAGTTTTGGGGTAGGCGCGCCAATGTCTGTGGAAAGCATTAGCGCGCGCATACGACCGTCTCAGGCTGTGGGGAGAGAATATGACAACCTCAATCGAACCCCATCGAAACAACCGACATCTCAACTGCTAGAGCTGAGAGTCTGCGGCTCTCGACTGGCTTGGCTCGGCGGCGGGCGAGGCCCAGTATTCACCCATGCCGAAAACAATATCGGTGTTCTCCATCTTGATCCCCAGCTGCCAACGTCCCAAGCCAGGCCAAAAACTCTCATGCTGGCCGTGTAGTTTACCATCATCGTCTCGCTGACTTAGGTCTATCCATGCGAGGCTTGTCTTCCCTGACTGGTTGGGTACGATTTTGCACCATTGATTAGTGCCGACAAGCTCCTTGTGACTGCCCGTCCCTTCGGGCAGCGGCGGCTGTACGATAGAAACGTCTACCCCGATATAAGGCAACCATCCGAGAGAGAAGGGAAAGGAAGGTAGCCAGGGCACAGACTTTATGGTGGCTTGGAAGAAGGGGGTATGGTTGGGGTTGGCTTCAGTAGGGTCGCCCGTAGTGTCGTGTGGGTAGACTTTGACGTTGGTCGATCCATCGGGCAGATCGCGGAACTCGAATTGCGCCAGGTGTTTGGGAATGTTCCAGTCTGTTATTCAATGCCGTTAGTCTTTTGGTATCTGAGCGGGAATGTGGAATGGTAGCATACTCTTGCGACCATTCCAGCAAGTATACTTCTGCGACACATATATGCGTGTGATTCGCGCAGCTTTCTTCGTCACAGTTGTCCCGTTCTCGCTGACGGGGTAGTCAAAGGAGCCCGGACAGATGATCAACTCATCATACGGCCCTACAGGGCTCTCGGTATACCGAATGATCTGGAACTGGCCGAGGCCGCCATTGTGTCGGCCGTACACAGTGCTGGCGAAGGGTGACGTGCTCTCCAACGGCGAGTAGGCGATGGATGGAAGATCGCCAGGGTTAGAGTTGTAGAAACTAACCATGTAAACGGTAGCCTTGAGTTTCCAGGGCGGCACAACGTGTTCAATAGGCTTATCACCCATCGTGATGTTTTACGCGCTTCGGTTCGTTAACGAGGAACGTAGTAGAAGCTGATGTCTGACGTCTGACTCTGTGGAGTGAAGAGATTCGCAGCAGCTAGCTTTAGTTACCTACAGTCCTCTAGCGAACCTCCTAAGGAACTCGGAAGGGCCCCTCGATGAGACATTTGAGCAACAGCATTGCTCCTCACCCATCTGAGCATCGTATCCGACAGTTGCACACGTCGTACTAATGAGATTCAAGGGGGGCAAGTGCGTGCGGGGCAAGCCAAGACCTCGGTCCTCGGACTTCAGCCTCTCCTCATGCGCCTTTGCGGTTGAGGCTCAAGACTTGCTTAAATGATGCGATAAACTGTTCACAATATCTATAATGGTCGGAAAACACCTAAGTTTCCTTCTCCAAGAATCGCCTGCGGGCAGAGTGAGTCCATGCTCGGGATTTCAGACGCACATTCCTCAATGGTCGGAGTGTTGCATTATGACGTCAGTGTCGCTTGTCAGCCGACGTGGCAATATTGTACCGAACATCCTCTGGGCGCCTGAACAGCATCGGGGAAACCGACGCATATATGATAATTCAAAGTCGCTATGCACCTGAAATCCTTCCTCGACTGTTGTCCCCGAAGATCATACACTGTCATTTGATCCGAGGCCCGTAGTTTACATGGGTATCTCGCACGAGAGAAGTGCGTCCTTAAAAGCGGATATGTCTGATCGAAAATTGGGCCAGCGCATTGGTAGGTTTCCAAGTCGGACGAAAGGAGACTCTCAATTGTAGAAGTGGAAGTTGGAATCTTGTTTCTTTGGCTCGTTGGCTTTTTGGCTCTACTGCTGATGCATCATCATTGAGGAATCCTGCAACAATGTATAGAATTGTCCTGCTAATAGATTCAGTGCAGGGAATTCCCATGGTTTTGCCGTTCAAAGCTGGTGATAGAGGCGATGATAGCCAGACCATATGCTTCGGTATACTTGGTCCTTGGATAGGGACATTGATACATCGTATTCAAGAGGCAAACCCGCCGTTTAACAAGATTTCTGGGTGTTGGAGATCCACTGTGTCCCAAAATGTGATGTCATTGCTTTCCAAATCTGGGTTCAACCCTTGTCAGTTATCCTGGATCCACTCAGCATAACCAACTGTTGTTGGTTTGAAGTGAGGTTTTCAGGGTCCAACTGGTACCAAAACTGGAACACTGGAATTCCCGCCGTTGGATTCCAAGGTCGAGGGTCCTTGAGATGCCTATTTGGTCAATTCCTCTTCTCGGCCACTTGGAGATATCGACAAGGGAAGCATATTCATGAAACCGGATTACCTTGACGAGACTTCGGCATTTCTTTGTTCCTCGCTCGTGAACACCAGGTCTTAAGAAAACATTTTGCCCGTTTTAAGAATCTTGATCATGGCAACTGTGTCACCATCATAGCCCATGACAATATGGCTGCTGTCAGACCTTTACAATCCTGTTGAACATCTTTGGAGTCAACAATATCTGGTATGTAAATCTGCACAATTTTCGGGTTTTCCTCCACACTCATGTGGGCATAATAGATGCTGTTTCGCAGGTCGTAGGTTTTGGGTCATGAGTTACGAGTTGCGCTTGTTGATACATTGTTCCAACGAACCACACTGACCCCCCCTATTGTAGCGGTGCCCGATACCTCTCAACGACACTCTATCTCCAGAGCATACGTCACTTATACACGCTGTTGATGGTAAAGTGACACCTGGAACGAGAAAAATGGAAACCCCGTATGTGGACAAGCGTCCACGGTCGCCTTCACCTTCGTATTCACCATCACCGCCGCCTCCTACACGCCCCCGAAGACGAGTGAAGAAAGCCATCGGCCAAGTTGGACGTGCATCAGAAGTAGAAACGTCACAGGTCCTACCAGCCGTTGAGGAGATTGTCGACTTGGTTCATCAACCTAGATCGGAACGGACGTCGCCCACAGATGCACCACCTTCCAAGAGACCTTCTAGGCGGCGACGAAGAACGCAGAGCAGTTGGGCCGCAGCCCCAACGGACGACACTGTGCACGCTGCGGAGGAGATTGTGGATTTGGTCCATCAAGTTCAACTGGAGCCTACATCGGCGCCGAATGTAGAGTCATTGGAGCGGCCGCGCGGACGAAGAAGAAGGACACAGGGTGGTCAACAACAACAACTAGTTCAAGCAGCCCCTACTCAGACGTCTCCTACAACATCCCCCGGTGGCTCGAGCTTAACCTTGAAGCTAGACTTAGACCTCGAAGTGGAGGTATCATTGAAGTCGACGATTAAGGGAGATTTGTTATTGACATTGTTTGTGAGTTGTGCCCCTTCTATTGTCCCCTACCTTTGCTCATACATACAGGCCTAAGTGGCAATACACCTATTATGATATGATGATATGATGATAGGGGTTTTGAAGATAAGGCAGAACAAAACGAGATTGGGTCAATGCAAGAGTACCCCTCGCAAGAGGCATGGCGTTTCTGGTTTTAGATTGAAATAGTTCTGTTGAACAGAAGTATATCGGACCTCGGATTTAGTACATTCATTGTGTGTTAAAAGTATTTTCTGAACATAATTTGGTGAATTCAACAGAGTACATATTGCAACCCTAATATCTGGTCGTGATTCATAGCAACCTGAAAACTATAAAAGCCCCGCAACCTGTTTCGAAGTTCAGCATGTTAAGAAAAAGGTTGTCATCGCCGCATAATAATCCAAAAGATAAAGCAAGAACTATAGACTTTATTACCAAATCTTTCTCGACACCGAGGTCTTGAAATCAAAATTAAATACAAGATCACTCACAACGATACTCTGCCTTACCCAAACCCAACCAGCAACGGGAGGATCAACCGAACATGACGACAACACAAGGCCAGGAATCCATCCAGTTTGAACTGTGGACAGAGCCTGACTTAAACAAAAGCCATGGGCTACTTTTTAAGCAGTAAGTGCGTTTCTGGATGCAGGCTCGGCGAGCACTAGCCGATATCTACAGCCTCTGGAACAACCATGATCTCAGTGATGTGAAGATCGTGTGCCATGAGAGGTGCTGGCACGTCCACACCAGCATCCTCGGAGCGCAGTCACAGTTCTTCTTGAAAGCATTCACGGGAAACTTCAAGGTAAAAACACAGTCCCACTGGATGAGAGCCTATGTTCATAGGACTCGACACAATCTACTAATGACCCGTAGGAGGCGACCGAACGCGTCCTTGACCTTAGCGAAGAAGAGCCCAGTATCGTTGAAAAGGCTCTGGAATACGCATATAGTGGCGGTAGATACATGCATATTTATTCGAAATTGCCCCGCTAACGATTACCTCGTAGGCTTCTCGGTGGAAATATTAGTGCCCACAACAAAAACAAACGACGTAGTTAGCAGTGCCGATACGGTAGGTACTGTACCACACGACGGCCCATTTGTGACTCTAGTCAAGCTGTACAAGCTAGCAGACTTCCTTGTCATGAAAGGGCTCAAGGAGCTTATCAAGAAGAGCTTCCATACCGTGGCCAAATACTGGAAGGGCAGCCTCGCCCGGAGCGAAGCCATGGGCCAACCTTTGTTCCAGGACGTTCTTCCGGCGGATTTCGGACATGCAGTACAACTCATCTACGAAGGGGAGTATGGGGACGCCGAAGCCCTCCGAGAATGCGCGTTACAGGTCGCCCTGTGCCTGTTCAAGTTGATCGCAGAAAACGACCGCGCGACGGCGTCAATCGTAGCGGCGAATACCGGGTTGGCGACGGATATGCTGTTGGAGCTGATTTTTCAGCAGAAGTCCCGCGATGAGGGGAGGGATGATGGCTGGAGTCGTGATAACTGGAGAGGGGAGTATTGGAGGGGGGATACCAAGAGGGGCAGTAGCACGAGTCTGATGACCTCATTCAAGTTTGGAAATACTGCGAATATGAGCCTCAAAGAGGCGCGTGATCAGGGGCTGGAGAGTCGGGAAGCCAGAAAAGTACGACTTGTCGAATGAAATACCAAGATATTGGTTGCCAAGATGAATTTTGAAGGGGCGCGAGATCAGGGGCCTGAAAGCCGGGGTCTGGATGGCTACTCGTACTACTGCGATGTCGGTCACTATGGAAGTGGCGGGTACGTATCAACACAGAAATGTTAACATCAGCTCTTGTGAACGCACCTTCCTTGTGTCATCTCTACGTCTTGGCCGATATTCCTTACGTCCATCGGAACTTCCAGCTGCAGCACCATCAAGCTAGTAGAAGCTAAGCCATCAAGTATAAAGCTTACCTATGCCACCGGCTTTTTGGTGCGCTAGAACAAATACTGGGCCTTTTTCGTAATCTGATCTATGACCTGACGCAAATCTTAGCCATCTCCGATTGGCATGGAATGGAGTAACTAGGATATAGTCCGCAATTGTATCAAAGGTATGAGACTTTTAAAAACCTTGTCAGTGACTTTCCAAAATCCTCGACGTTTTCTGGACTATAATTGTGATTTTGGATGGGCTGTAAGCAGCTTTTGTTTTTGTTCATGGCAACAGTGCGGCTGTATTAGAGTCGGTGGCATGGCTTTGAATATTGCGCAATGCTTGAGTAATCGTGATGCGAAGCCATGGAAAAAACTAGGCTCAGCATGGATGAGCACACTTCCCCTTTTCCTATTCCTAACAATACCGTGATGCAGAGAAGCATCGGTGGCATGGGTTACGTCAGAGGATTCCTAGCATCTCCATAACCAGCTTCAGCGTTTCAGATATGTTGCATCCTTTGTTATTATGTTCTTATTGGATCACATATACCCCCAATATGACCCCAATTGTCTTAGTGAGGTGTCATTCAACTTTTGGCTGACAGAAGGATCTGTCAGTCCTTCTTGCTGGCGGAAAGCGGAGTCTTCGTTCGCGCTCGGACAGGTTACCTTCCGTATCAATGTCGCAACAGGCCCTAATGACACCTGCGATCCAATAATGATGTGCTATGTCGATCGCGTTTTTATTTATTGTATTACGCTATTTCTTCGCTGAGCTAAATATCTCCGAATACGAGTTTTTATCAAGAGCCCTTGTCGTTAATGAGGAGAGCGCCAAGTTACGTACTGTGGAGCTTACTCAGCTAGAAAGAGTCGTAGGAGATAGGGTATTCTTTGTCAACTAAGCGACTGTCTAGAGCGGTTTATAGGTGATCTGGTCTGCCTCTCTACTCCACTGTGTACTATTATAACTTTTAAGTAGTCCTAAGCCTCTAGTAGTGTGATGCAGAATCCAGGGGGGGGTCTTGTGAGTGGTCATTTGATCTGGCTCCTCTCTTTGAGAACAAAGAAATCAGGCACATGAGTATTCCATATTGCCATAGGCGTAAAAGGCAAACTCCCACGCCTGAGACTCGTCACATGGAGTTGTCTTTATCTTTTTACGATGTCTTAGAAAGGACCTCAGCTCTTGAATGACCTTTGCAGCGCAAACGTCCGCTAAATGGATGGTTCTTGATGCAATCGGAAGAAAACCATTGATTACTCTCAAGGTGTGGTTCTGCATTCATATACTAAAGGTAAGGGCATGTCCAATGCCTTCGAAACCAAGTCATGCTGTGCTGAGCAAATTAGATAATTGAGGGCTCAGAATCATCAACTATCATGTAGTATCCCATTTGACCCGAGTCAACCCGTACCTTGAGAACCACCGATCAACCCCCTGCGACCTGCCACCTCGACAATATTCCGACTTCCCTCCGGAGCTGCGCCGGCCCATCTAGAATAAGGCCTGATCAATGAAAGCGATGAACGACTGGTCTTCATCGAAAGATACAATATGCGTGTGTTACCTATGGGTCATCTTGTGTCATCACTTCTCTGTCAAACAAGAATCCCAAGCCATGTGCACAGGCCTTCTGCCCAATCAAAAGCAACCGTCTACCCTGAACCATACCCCGGACCCTGCCCACAAATGGTCCAATAGCATGAAAGAGGGTCGGTCAAATCGGGGATCTTCGTTGAAACTCATATCGGGGAGATACTAAGGTGCGTTGTACCTGGATCCCAGAAGCGACGCGCTTGGGCGAGGCCTCAGCTGACCTTACACGAATGGTGACTGGACGCAACGCGGTGGCTAGATTTCTCCCGATCTGCGGCTACTATAGTAAGTAGCCACGTACATGACGGCTTCAGTCAAACCAGCTGAATGCTCTATTTTCTAAAGGCCTAGCCACCGTCGCGAATGAAAAACAGTCGACCGATGACGAGGACGAGTGCATACTACGCGACTGTGGGCATCTCTTTGATGATTTCCTGCCCTGTCGGGCAAGTATGCATGAATCTCATTGGCAACGCCAAGAGCTTCCCCTGGCGCTTAGATATGTCCCTGGGATTGGACCTGCGAGAGTTTCACGACTTCATGCCTTATCTCTGGAACCTTGGAGCTGTTCAAGATACCGATATTGGACTAATTGTGCAAATTGTTGGACCTTCCAGGCTATTACAACTGAATTGCCAGTTTGTAATACAATTTGCGCAACTATTTCCATACAAATCGGATTGTATTGAATGCGTGATGATATCTGGGGTGGGCAGTGAGGCACGGGATGGAGTTCGCCCCTGACAAGAGTGAGCTAATGCACTTTACTAGGGCCCGAGAGCCCTTGCCGCAAAGTATTCGCCTTGGGGACGCCACAGTGTCGCCGGTAGTCTCAGCGAGGTTCCTAGGAGTCTGGTTCGACCGCAAACTGACGTGGCACGCCCATGTTGAGCGTGTTAAAACAAAAATGGCAACTCAAAAGCTAGCCCTGACAAAGCTAGTCAATATGTCGTGGGGCTGCGATCTTATACGGGCGAGGCTGTTATATACGGTGGTTATCCGTAGCGCGATCGCCTTCGGAGCGACTGCGTGGCATACTATAAGTGAGGAACCGGCAGGGCCAGCTAAGAGCCTGATGGGGATACAGAACGAGTGTCTCCGGGTAGTTTGTGGCGCCCCCAAAGCGACGCCGGTTCGCCACCTGGAAGCAGAAGCAGCAATCCCGCCACTAGACCTCTATCTTAGTGCCCGGGCTGCTAAGTTTGAAGAACGGCTACGGCTTAGCGGGAAGAGAAATCTGCTTCGCAGCGCGAGTGCTAAAGCGTCACATATACTCCGGCAGGATAGGCCGGCGAAGAGGAAGCAGGCGTCGCAGCTACTCCGACCGGCAGGGTACACTATGGAGAAGGAGGCCCGGGGCTCCGAGTGGATGAGTGAGGAAAAGGAGGTCCCGGCTGCCCTCCTCGGCCACTGGAGGAAGAGATGGCTCACCGGAGCAGAGCATCACGATCGCCAGCGACGCGCTATCGCTGAGGAACCGGAGGGCCCTTCGATGCAGATACCGAAAGGGGGCAAGTATTTCGGCCTGAACCGACTGGAGGCGTCTACGCTGTGCCAGATCAGGACGGAAAAAATAGGACTAGCAGCCTTCTTATTCAAGACAGGGGCTTTTGGCGTGTACTCGCCGCTATGCCGCTGTGGCGACGCCCCTGAGACGGCAGAGCACGTAATCCTCTTTTGCGGGCTGTTGGAAGGACCGAGGGAACGATTGCGGGCCGCCATCGCACCACGGCCACTATACTCTCGCAGAGACCTCGCAACGGCAACAGGAGAACTAGTAGTTAGTGGGACTATTGTAAGGTGGCTGCTAGGGACGGGTCGGACAGCTTCAAGGCCCAGATAGCATCGATCTTCTCAGGGGGGACTTTGTTGGTAGGTTGAGAACCAACGTAGTATGGTAGTGGACGTAACGCAGTCGCCAATAGGGCGAACCGACGACGCAGCGTATGTATTTAGTCCAGCCATTAGGGCACGGTTTGACATACGGGAGTACTAGTAGAGGTACCGGGGGCTTCGAGCCTACGGCGTATTTAATAATGATAATTATTATTAGTTATTCTCTTTTATTCATGAATCATCACTGAGCTCTCCAATGCTTCTATAACTGTAGAGCTCTTCGTTGTTGGCGATTATTGCTCGTCCATACTCATTTTATCTATAAATTGGACATCCCCGAGGCTACAACTGTCAGATAGGGCACCTGGTTCCTAGGTTCCGAAATAATATGGCACTAGAGAAGACTAGTGTCACTTAAAGTTCAGACGGCGAAATGAACCCCTCTTCCCAAAAAACACCAAAGTTACGGTCCACTTAGGGGTCAGACACCTGAACAATGTACCTCCGACATTTTCTAAAGAATCTATAAAAGGCAGAGCAACGGGAGTTCGCGAGAACAGAACACAGACAAGAATACACCTCATTCGTATACAATCATACGCACTTCTGACTACTCGATTGGACACACGTGATATTCGACAACAACTGGCCATCAAGTGAAATTAACCTACATTGAGTTTTCTTTATTTAACCATAAAAAGAATGTTCAAGACTTTATCGATCAGACGATGCCCGACGCAAAGAGAAGATCATTAGACGCGCCAACGCCATCGTAGCCGATTTCCCCCAGGCGTGAGTCGCGTACAGAAGATTAACTGCTTCAACACTGGACTTATTGGGCGGGACCATGTCATCTTCGAGGCTGAAATATATGCAATTTTCGGTCTTCACAAAAGGAACTGGCCAACTAGTACTCAAGCAATCGAGTTGCGCAAAATCTTCGAAGGATTGCACAAAACAATAGACTTCCAAATATCGACAGAGTAGTGTGTTTTGTCTTGGCAACCTGAAAAAGTCTATGTTCAGCCCCGATAATTCGCCAAGATATATTGAGCGACGATAGTCCCAATATCCCGCCGCTGCTTGGTTCGCGGAATTGATCAGGAAACTAACCCACGGCAGAAGATCAAAATCTTCCCTCAAGACCCCGCGCTCACCTTAGAAGACATCAGCCTTCTATCTCAGGCCTGAACCCAAGCCGAAAGTTTACGGCATGGCTTGATGATTATACGTGGTACTCACCGACGCTTTTTAGGGGCTTTCCTCGTCGGCTCAGTGGGCAAGTACATGATTGGATAGATGAGATGATGGTGCCCCCGGAGTTAGAACTCGCTTAAGAGGTAATGACGGCGTTCTGATGTTGATGACATGAAATACGACGGATTCGTTCTGTCACCGAGTGAACCGAGACTAAACGTTAGATGAAGTGTAGGTCACAAAGCATTTCGTGGGGGTCTGTGGAAACTAATAGAATAACGTAGTCCACGGTCCAATTGCACACTTTGGCAGACCTTATACGACAATGTATAAGTGAATTCAACCACAACGCCTATCATCAATTGAAACTACTCAGAATCGTTATCTTCAGACGTCTCTACATCATTTCCACAAGTGCGCGCATTATGTCCGGGCTCGCCGCAGATTCTACAGCGCCGTACACGCGCAATTCGCCGCCTCGTACGACCACCAATTTGACGAAATTCGTCATGTAACTGCCCATCAACCTCTCATTGAGACTGTAGGTCCTGTCCAGCTTGTATACGAAGTGACCCTCCACTCTGTAGCTGTTTTTTCTTCGCACGGCGACGTCGACTTAAGGTCTCATTTGCCTTTCGAAGTGATTCGACCTCGCCTTCTAAAAGGGCAAGCCGATGCATAACCTTCGTTGTACCTCGCGCAATCTGATCTATTCCAGCAAAAATTGACGTTGGTGAGCTATTTTGATGTCGTACAATCCTATTTTTCACATAATCGCTTTGTGATTGGGCTTCGGTTGGGTTGTTCGGAGTCTTTGATTCCCAAGGGACGGGGAGACCAGCCGAGCTACCCGGTGTTGGCGTATGTAATTTCACATCGAGCTGTGATATGACATAATCTGCATCGTACGGAACTATTCCTACCACTCGGAAACCTCCTTGGATATTTGAAACCGTGAAAGTTGCGTTGTACGCGTTTAAAAACGCCGGTAAAAAGTCTTCTTTCGAGATATGACTTATATGTGCTTGCATGAGATCTTCGATTTCTTTTCCGTACGCTCTTTTTAACCCGCGAAAACAACCAACATCAAGAGGCTGGAGCTTATGCGACGAATGAGGAGGCATACAAAGCGTGACGATATTGTTAGCTTTGCAATATACCTCGAAATCGGTCGAGTGATGGCTTTCGTGACCGTCGAGGATCAATAGGCGATGAGTACCTTTCGTACGAGACTTGGTGTAATGATCGAAGTGTTTTATCCAATCTTCGCCTCTCTCGTTCGTAGTCCAGCCATTTTTAGTAACTGCGATAACCCAATCAGGCGGTAATGGGCTGTTTTCGTACCATGACGAGAGGTGGGTTTTGCCGGCGAAAATGATGTACGGAGGGAGGGCATAACCGGACGACCCAACGCCTTGAATAACTGTAACCCATTCCCGATTTCCTTGCTGGGCTGCTCTAGGCCTTCCGCGCCGATCAGAAGTCGTCACGGCCATTTCGGACGAGATTTGGCCCATCACAAAACCGGTCTCGTCGAAGTTGTAGGTATCCTCCTCCTGGATCGCGTATTTCGCAATTGTATTCCATACCAGGTCAAACCACGCGCGATACGCGTCGGGGTCTTCGCAGAGGACTCTCTGATAGTCGATCCTTCGATTTAAACGCGTCCGGAGGTCTGGTTGTCGTCTTACGAAGCTCGAGGCCCAGTTGACGCCGACGCGTTCCGCGTCACGACTTCGAAGTAATCGGTTGGCCATATCTTCAACACCACTCAATCGGGGAGGAAATGCTCGCGAATCTAGGTCGTTTATATGTCGTACGATTGCCTCTTCTTCGGAAGGAGTCAACTTTTGCGTTGGCGATCGCGTAATCGCTCGAGCGGTTTTACCGTCGCGTCGATACGCAAGGGTTCTAAAAGGTACGTTATAGATCTGACCAGCGCGACGTACACTTAATTTTGGATCAGATTGAAGCGCATGTAATGTTAGAATCATATCACTTTCGTTCCAAGAACCAACCATAGTTATGTGGTGAAAAACCGCAGGTCAAAGTGGTAGCGTACGAAAATCTGCCGAAGTGTGCAATTGGACCGTGGACTACGTTATAGAAACTCGAATATGGCCAATTGAAGAGGCTGAAGTGAAACCAACGAATATTTACTCACTTACATAGATTTCATGACGAATGGTTTCAACAGTACACATCATTAGGTATTTTTTTCGAAAATGCATAATTAGCTATCATATTCCTCCGGCCTTCGAGGACTGCGAGGACTGCGAGGACTAGTAGCGAGAACCCCCCCAAACGTCCCGTCACTCAACCTACTAAATTTACTTAGCCTAGGCAGCTCTTTATCAACATCTAGACGCTTTCCCGACTTCGCCCTATTCAAATCCCTAATTCCATTCACCACACCGCCACCACCACCGTGACTATTCCTACTACTCGACCCCATAACCCCCCTTACCCTCCTTTCCCCTCCTTCCTCTCCCTTATCCTCCTCCCCCACAACCGACCCCGGCATTTCATAAGTTCCCGCCGGCACCGTCAACCCCCCCGGCCACCTCTCCCTAACAAACGCCTCCCAATCCCCCGAACCCGACCCAGATCCAAGTCCCGTCTGCATCGACATCTCTGACTGCCTCGTCCACCTTGACGCTGACGTCAACGAAGACGCTCGCGTCGTGGACAGCGTCATAGAACCCTGCGCCCCCGCAGCCTTACTCAACATCCTTGACACCCGTGACATCCAGCTAAAGCTCCGGGAAAGCCGCACGGCGGCCTCGGTGGCTTCCAGCTCGGCGGGGTTTTCTCGCGTGCCGAGGGGTTTATGGGCGGCTGATAGTTCTGAGGTCTCTGGATGGGTGGTAATGAGCTCCCTATCGATTACTTTGGGTTGTTTCTGGTGATGTTTCTGGGACTCAAGGTCCTTGGTCGTGCTGGGTAGCCCCTTTTCGGTAGTGGACTTCCGACTGCGACGGATCCAGACGCCTACGCCGACAGCGGAGAGACGACTGGTTCTTAACGTTGATGCGTAATCGTTGTTGCGTTTACGGCGATAGCGTCGGGCGAAGAGGAAGGCAAGGATGCCCGCTACTACTGCGATTAAGGTGCCAGAGGGGACAATGGCGGCCAGGCTTGTGGTGTTCACGTTGTCTTTTTTGTTGCCGCTAGCTTGTGGTGAGCCCAGACCGTGTAAAGCTGTCGTCGAGGATGGCGAAGAAGATGAGCTGGTTGATTGGGTATCTACATCGGACCTTGTGCTGACGAGCGTCGTGTCCACTGTCCTCACCGTGGCGATGATGTCCGTTCCGACGCTGGTTCGTTCCGTGTTGACCACAACAGATGACACAGTGGTTATCACCGAAACACTGACTACGCTCGTTGCTTTTGGTATCGTCGTAAAGCCACCGACGAGAAACGTTGTTGACGCAGGCTCATCAGTGGTAGTACTTGACGTGTTTGACTCCACTTCTGTGGTTCCAGGTGTGCTCATCGCCACAGGCGCTGATGTTTCATCCGCGAGCGACAACCCTGGTGTTAAAGGGTGTGTTTCCAAAGACGTCAAGTCCTCCTCCCGAAAACGAATTTGCAGGGCCGGCCCAACTGTGAAAACTCCGTCATTCGTTACCGCTCCCCACACACCTCCCCGGAAATCTGTCGTGTCTGTTGTGCACGACTGGCCGCTAGAAGCGCATCGCGGTTAGGTCTGGTTTCCCGGAGACAGAACGATTACCAAGTCTTACCTTGGAACGCAATAGACCGCTGTCTCCCCATCCTCAACCGCAGGGAATCCTTCAGCCGTCCGTGTCTTGGTGATTTCGCATCCAGGCCCAACGACGAATCCACTAGGACAAATAGCTGGTGAATAGTAATGGAAACCCTCAGCAGATAAATTCTCTGCCCAAAACGGAGGATCACATGAGGAAGGCCCCGTCGTAGGGAATGGAGGATATTGTGAAGGCGCTTTCGTGGTAGTCAAGAGCCACGATGTCGCACACGGTGGCGTAAATACGGTTGTGAGTGCTGCGAGTGGCGAGGCGAAAGAGGCCGTCATGTCGCCTTATTTAATAAATGGACTATCCAGAGCCCGAAGAAACAAACGAAGAAAAAAAAACGCGACGATGCGCCCACCTTGTTACAATGTCAAGTACCATTCAGTGTCGAACCAGCCGTATTATCGTAAGAAACTAATCGCAACAAACAAAACTTATCAGGGATCTATCTACCCATAGAAAGAGAGGCGGTGGTGAGGTAGAAAGGACCGAACACCTGGTTTAAGCTTACCTGGGTCGACAAGATTAAGCCTACTCTTTAAGTTTTAAGGTTGCAAGCCTATGCCGCCGGAGATCCTGGTTGACGCCAGCATTTCGGGCGCCGATGTCACGACGCAACCGGGTCCTTAGCGGCGATCAAACGGTCTGACGAGGGTCCGACCGGGCCTATGTTGGCGGCAGTGCTCAAGACGAGTACGAAATAGTGGACTAAATGCGACAAACCCTGGAAGAAGCGCATCGTACCGAATGGCCGGCTCAAAACGGCGATAAAACGTCAGAGACCTAGAGCTCCAAACCGCGGGGAGCTGGAAGGTAGACCTACAAAACGGCCCTCGACCCCCCAGCTTGACGTGCTGTCGAGAAACTCGAGTCATTCTGCCTCTCTTGCCAGACCCATAGGTTTATCAATCACTTGGACGTAGCTTCTGACTCGGGATAGCCGCGCATTTTGTTTTTGGTAATCGTGCTGTAAGATCATAGACAAGATCTAGGCGCAGGGTTAGGTTCGGGGCCAGAGTTGAAGTTGAAGCTAGGGGTTCTAGATATCTGATAGCCCGGTAACTTTGTCATGCTGGTTTCAGATTCCCAATGGTTGCTGCTTTCCGTCCATGAAAGTCGCTAGAAGCTTGTTGGTGGAACTTATCAAGTATACTGTTATCTGGTACTACCCGCGGCTCGATTCTGGGATAGATATGAGGAATGGCGTGTGTATTAGTTCCGGCAGATATGACGATTGATCTGCATTATCGTCAAAACACGAGAAACGTCCATCTTTCAACCACACGACCTCCACTCGCATCTGTTCACTGCCAATTATGAAGTTTGATCAAGTTTCTCCCCAAAATCAAGATCGTCAAATCCGTGCATTCCGGCGGGGCGGTAGTTTATACCCTTCTCCACCTGCACAGCAACGTTGATTCACCATTCAAAACATCGAAGTGGATTCGAACGCTTTTTGAACCCCTTTGAACGAAGTGACTCAGTTTGCCTTGGCTGCGAGGCTTAGCTGCGGTAGATTGCTTGAGACACTAGTACCCCTGACCGCCGTCCTGAGACACGACGTGCCTCGTTTAGCAGGATCAATGCTACGTCCCAAAATCCGGCCTCCAGAACGTAAAGCAGATCATAACTATCGTCTTGCTTCATACAAAACGGAAAAAAGCGAGCGCAGAACCTTGGTGTGCTTTGCAGATATCAAAGAAGCAGTGGTAGGTTTTTGTCTATTGCGTCGCTCCTCTATGGATATGGTAATTGAGCCTTCTTGATCTTCGACCCTGTTTACCACCTATTTACAGCACGACGGGTCAGGTGCCCATTCCGACCTGTGTACGACGGACGCCACGCCTCGCTGTCTACGTCTACGGTGTCCAACCGGCCCAAAAGAACAATGGAGAAAAAAGAATATCCAACGAACGATTATTACCAGGGATCTTTCCCACTCAGCCTCGTTAACTGTTTCGGCCCATCGAGCACGGATGGGGACGATAACAAACATCCAAAAGACCTTGATCGGAAACAACACGCAAAGCAGACCCATCTGTCACTAGTCATCACCCCAACTTAGTCAAACTCTCAGCCCTAGACTGAGCCCTCACCTTCTCCTCCTCCACCGAGTCAATCCCCCAACTCATTCTACCCTCCTCCACTATCTCGGCAATAGTATCAGCCCGTCCAATAACATCGCCGCGCTCTCCTTCTCGTTCTTCCTTCCGCCTATTACCATTATGGCTTTCTCTCATCGTATTATTAGACACCGGCAGCCCCTCCAAAGCAACCGTGCGCCGGTGTCCCTGCCCGGGCCGACTGAATCGGTTATATGCGACGAAGTAATCGCTGTCTTCATCATCAGGACGGGCGTTGACGGGCGTCGCAATGGCTTTGCTCTTGCGCCGGACCTGGACAGCGTCGTCGGTTACGGGTGCTACGTCGTAGTACTGGTAGATGGCGTTCAAGGCGGGGATGCTGAGGCCGTGCACCACGATGCTGAAGAAGACAAGGAAGTAGACGCAGGGTACGAGGGCGCGCAGCAGGTTGTCTTCCATTGTGTCGGCTTTGCCTAAGGGGGGAAAGAGCGGTTTGGCGTGCTCGACATAGAATACGGCACCGACGCCTATGGGGCCAAACTATGTGGATGTGTAAGTAAGGGATATGGAAATGATGAGGACCATGTCACTTTGACGGCAAGTGATACTTACGTAGCCCATGAAGATAGCCTCTTTCCAGTTATTGACGCAACTGGGCATGGCTTTGTACATGATGAGCAGGGCGGGGATGCGCCGGAAGAGGAGAACCATAAAGCCTAGTCCAAGAAGACGCCAAATGGTGATGCCTGTCCCGTGGGGGTCGTGGAATTGGCTCCAGGGCATGATGATGCCGACGTACATGAACCCGGTCAAGTTGAGGAGCACGTCGATGCTCGAGTTGACTTCGTCGTCACGCTCTTCTGTTTCAGCTAGGTACTCGCCGTCCCAGTTGAGAGCGCAGCCTGCGCAGAAAGAGGCCAGAAGATCGTCAGTGCCGATACATCCACACGTGCCAACGACGAATAGCTGTTTGTTGTTAGTCGTTATCAGCAAAATTCACCCTGGTCTCACTTACACCAAGAGCAACCGGGAAGAGCAGGTAGCTCTCTTCATCGATCCATTTACGGCGCAAGCAGTACTTGATGGCTTTTCCCGCCCCAAATCCGATGACTGCACCATAAGGGACCGACATGACAACAGTATAGAGCCACGTCTCCAATCCCCAGTTTTCCATAACAATCCCAATAGTGGGATCAATAAGGCTTGGATTCTTCTGACCCGCTTCGCCCAACCGCCTGACTAGAGCCCCAGCGATAGTCACCGCCCCCGGCACGTCCAGTCCCCTGCTCTTGTCACCATCACCACCACCATGAAACCTCTCCGGCTCCAACCTCTTCATCAAGTAGGTAGCTAACATCAAAAACGGAAACCCAAACCCATCGTTCGCCCCGGCCTCAGCAGAAATGATCTCCCTCAGCGGCCTTGCCACATACTTCTCGGCGAACCTCCCCTTGGCAATTGCCTGGCTAAGCACGGGGTCTGTGCTTGTGACGCAGGCGCCAATGGCCATGGCAGCCAGCAACGAGACCTTGGGGATCGTGGCCATGAGACACGCCGATGTGCATAGCCACATGATGGTCATGACGGGGATGAGGACCACGAACATGGCGCGCATGTTGGATAAGGGGTACCGGGCGGGGAGCTGGTAGCCCGCGATGAGCAGCTGAATGCTGATGAGGACGCGCATGAAGCCGTGAGTTATGGCCGACTTTTCGGCGTCGGTCAGGGAGCCGGGGCCCCAACGCGAGTTGTTGAGGAAGTTGGCGGCGATGGGGCCGAGGGCGATGCCGATGGTCATGGCAGGTACTGTGTGGGCCGTGGGTGTTAGTCGGTACTAGAGTATGCGTTGGGGAAGGAAAGAGGGATGCCGGGTTGGGGACAGCGGCTGGGCGAAGCTTGCGGGCTTGGCATCGGGGGAAGAGAATGGGAGGGGGGACTTACGGGCTTCGCCGAGGAAGAGTCGGCTTTTGATCAGAATTGAAAATAGTCCTTGAATGACCATGAATCCGCCTTTTTAGGTTGTTAGTCATTATCCCGCTCTATGGTTGTTACTTCAACATACCAATGATGGCAATGGTCACATTCAACTCGCTCACGTCAAGAGTCGGCATCGTGACTATAAAGCAAAGGGCGAAAGGAGCGTACTTGGCGAAGACGACAACGATAACAAGAATGACCCCCGAAAGAACGAGAGGAATGGCAAGGCACCTATATAGCCTTGACTACCCACATCATTTATGTAACAAGAGGAAAAGTATTCAAGTCGATATTCAATTCTCGATTTGGTACTCTCCCCTGCCTAGCTGGCTTGGCGCTGGCCTTCAGTGGTATCTTGCAACCACATCTAGCGAATGAGTCCTGGCGATCGCATATCAACTCGACAGTCGATAGCCCGATCTGCTGCCGTTCCTGCTGTGGTGGTCCATAAGTCTCGGTACAACCCTTGTCTTACTGATAATGATCGGCGACGGCACCTTCCGGGGGCAGACAGCATTTGTCTCGAGTGTTCCGGGCTTGTGCGTCGGTCACTTAGGCTGAACAGTGGTTTATGTGTATGACACGGGGCAATAAAGATCGTGTGAACTGGTCATAAACGCTTGTGTAGGGGTTCGTTATCATCGGCCTCATGGCAATTGTTGCGCATGTGCTGGCTAGTTAAAGCCGATCGTTGTAGTGGTGTCTCCGAGATGTCTTGGATACTGTAGCTTGTGTGAGTTGTGCGAGACGTATCGTCGTGCGTCACCGTGACAAAGTCGTACGCTCTTTTACAAGAGACGCTGTTTTGGGGATTGATGTGGCAATTCGGTAGTGGGGCGGCAACTTTACTGAGAGATTGAGTCTGCACGGAATACATGTCCAAATTTGCGATTGGATGTCATTTGTATTGGTTGTACGGAGTATTGATCCAACATTGGGTATGGGGAAGTGGATCCGAGTATCGGCTAGAACAACACTTCCTTAAGTTTGTAGTATTCCGGTCGTACGTTCTCTCGGTTACGAGCACAGATGCGGGTTCGATGTACACCGGTAGTGATAGCTAGGTTCTGTGCATCATATAGTAGAAGCTTCAACATCTACAAGAAATACAACGTGCGGTTGGGTTCATCCTCAACACTAGTCCTCATTGATCATAAGTGGGTATATCGAACGAGTTCCAGACCAGCTATACATGAGTGATCACGATCACACAGTGGCCCAGTGCCCTCTCTCAAGCAAATCGATCGGAGTTTCTTATCCGTAAGGGTCGAGAACAATCTCTATGCTGCACCTTCCGCTCATCGGGTTCTCGTGAGAGTAAAAGGCCTTGTGTATGCGTAACTCGTAACTAATCCTGTGTCATTGGTCAGACTTGACAAGTCGTCTGTGAGATACAATCCACGTGCAGTCAGAACGAGGATGAATGGTTAGATGAACCGAACCAACTTCATCCAAGTGTTTCGGGGCACGAGTCCTCCAGAAGGTGATAGCCGATCTCGTTGTAACGAGACTCAAAGTCACAAAATTGATGTGGAAGTGACGATATGTTTCCACAGCCACACGTATATGAAGAGCTGTGTTGCTCAGATTAGGCTCACTACGAAACTATTTACACAATCTTCTCCAATGGGGATTAGGGCGATATCTCGGGTTTGCCGCACATGTATGACCGCATGATAGATAAAGGTTACAAGAGAGCTGAGTGTGGAGGAATCATTTTCACGCCACGACTATTGTGTATTCGTAGAATGCTTCTTGTGAATCTGGTCGTCCTATGAGTGTTTTCTGTGCAGGTAGTGATTTGTCGGATTCCTGTGCTCGCCTAAGTACCCATAGGAGTAGTTTCGATGCACGGTATGGTGATTAACTTGTAAAGAGCTTTACCCAGTAGTTGATGGGAATGATTCGGTGTTGAGACCCACACTGCCTTAACAACGTGAGTGTCGTTGTGTATTTCACTTAGGTAGAGTTTAGCACTTGTTTAGTATCTGGGTTAACTCATATGAGATGGTATGGTTTGATGCCGAAATGACCAATCTGATTGTGATATCCTTCCTATTATGTGTTTGCAAAGATTAGACATTCATCGTGTGTCAGGAATATTTATATTGACCATCCATCGCTCCATCTTTGGTATATCAGTAGTAAACAGCCGCATCTGAATTCTGGGGATACTCGCATTCTTCTTTGTGGCCTCAAGCTTCGTACATTCTGTCTGCGGATACTTCCGGCCTGAGTAATTAGTCCGCGTTTTTGTCCTCTACTTCTTTCGTCACTCTGTCCATCAAGGTTTCCCCACGAAAAAAAATCAATAGATCAGTCCGCGTACCGTCCTGGCTTTATCGTTGAACCTTCAAGACCATTACCCCGAATTGCCAGTTTGTGAGGCCATATGGCCACCACACAAAGTACCACATAATTTCTGCCGGTGGGGCAGGCGTCGCTCATTTCTACCTATATAAGGCCCTTACGGCTACAGTTCACTCCTTTGAAGATCCCCAGATATCATTTATTATTATTATTAAATACGCCGTAGGCTCGAAGCCCCCGGTACCTCTACTAGTACTCCCGTATGTCAAACCGTGCCCTAATGGCTGGACTAAATACATACGCTGCGTCGTCGGTTCGCCCTATTGGCGACTGCGTTGCGTTCACTACCATACTACGTTGGTTCTCAACCTACCAACAAAGTCCCCACTGAGAAGATCGATGCTATCTGGGCCTTGAAGCTGTCCGACCCGTCCCTAGCAGCCACCTTACAATAGTCCCACTAACTACTGGTTCTCCTGTTGCCGTTGCGAGGTCTCTGCGAGAGTATAGTGGCCGTGGTGCGATGGCGGCCCGCAATCGTTCCCTCGGTCCTTCCAACAGCCCGCAAAAGGGGATTACGTGCTCTGCCGTCTCAGGGGCGTCGCCACAGCGGCATAGCGGCGAGTACACGCCAAAAGCCCCTGTCTTGAATAAGAAGGCTGCTAGTCCTATTTTTTCCGTCCTGATCTGGCACAGCGTAGACGCCTCCAGTCGGTTCAGGCCGAAATACTTGCCCCCTTTCGGTATCTGCATCGAAGGGCCCTCCGGTTCCTCAGCGATAGCGCGTCGCTGGCGATCGTGATGCTCTGCTCCGGTGAGCCATCTCTTCCTCCAGTGGCCGAGGAGGGCAGCCGGGACCTCCTTTTCCTCACTCATCCACTCGGAGCCCCGGGCCTCCTTCTCCATAGTGTACCCTGCCGGTCGGAGTAGCTGCGACGCCTGCTTCCTCTTCGCCGGCCTATCCTGCCGGAGTATATGTGACGCTTTAGCACTCGCGCTGCGAAGCAGATTTCTCTTCCCGCTAAGCCGTAGCCGTTCTTCAAACTTAGCAGCCCGGGCACTAAGATAGAGGTCTAGTGGCGGGATTGCTGCTTCTGCTTCCAGGTGGCGAACCGGCGTCGCTTTGGGGGCGCCACAAACTACCCGGAGACACTCGTTCTGTATCCCCATCAGGCTCTTAGCTGGCCCTGCCGGTTCCTCACTTATAGTATGCCACGCAGTCGCTCCGAAGGCGATCGCGCTACGGATAACCACCGTATATAACAGCCTCGCCCGTATAAGATCGCAGCCCCACGACATATTGACTAGCTTTGTCAGGGCTAGCTTTTGAGTTGCCATTTTTGTTTTAACACGCTCAACATGGGCGTGCCACGTCAGTTTGCGGTCGAACCAGACTCCTAGGAACCTCGCTGAGACTACCGGCGACACTGTGGCGTCCCCAAGGCGAATACTTTGCGGCAAGGGCTCTCGGGCCCTAGTAAAGTGCATTAGCTCACTCTTGTCAGGGGCGAACTCCATCCCGTGCCTCACTGCCCACCGCTGACACGTAGCCCATGCGCTCTCCAACCGGCGGCAGGTCGTGTCTGGATCGGTGCCGACGCTTAGCAGGTTCGTGTCGTCCGCGAACCCGACTACTAAAAGTAGTGGATGCTGCTCCGCTAGCTCCTCGTACAGCGTTGAAATGTATAATATAAACAGTATCGGGGATAGCGGTGACCCCTGGGGGACGCCAGCTCGTAGGGGGATTGGCTCTGACTCCTTGCCATTGAACCGGAGGCGTACCGTCCTATCCTCCACGAAGCTGCGTACCCACTCCTGAACCCACTCCGGGTAGCCTTTCCGGGCTAATATGGAAATCAGCCGTCTGTAATTGACCGTATCGAATGCCCCCTTGATGTCTAGCTGTAGCAGCGAGGCGATGCCCCCGCGTCTCCACGCCGTATAGACCACGTCCTCAACTATACGTATTGCCAGTTCGGTGGACCTCTCAGCGCGGTTACCCATTTGGCCGTTTGGTAGTAGGCCGGCCGCCTCAGCTACTTTAGTGATACGCTGGCTCATCGCCGTCTCTATTACCTTCCCTACCATGCTAAGCAGGGCAATGGGGCGCCAGCCGCCAAGGGTCTGCTTCTGAGCTGTCGTTTTATTAGGCTTAGGGATAACAACCACCCTCGCTGAGCGGAAGCGCTCCGGGTAGTACCCCAGCCTAAAGCTAGCTGTTGCCAGATCCGCTAGGATCTCCCATAGGGGTTCCCCGCAGGCCTTTAGCAGGCCAGTGGGGATCAGGTCGTCGCCGGGAGCCTTCCGAGCAGCTGTTCCTTTGATGATAGACTCGATATCCATTGTGGTCACCTCCCTAGGGACGTTCAGCTCTGGTCTTGTCTGTAATAGGCCGCGATCGAGGTCCGATAGATCTATACACGGGTCTGGGAAGAACCTCTCAGCTAGTAATTTTGCCTTCTCATCATGTGTACGTGCTGTAAGCGTGTCGCCGGCGTCCCTCCGGAGATCTGGCAAGCCGTGGGCCTCAGGGGGGGCCCAGCTCCGTAGCCTAGCCCACCTCTGCAGTGCCCACAGGCTTTTGTGATCCTTCGCCGTCCCCTCGAGCTTCTCGTGCCAGCTACGCGTCTGCGCTTCGCTGATCTCGAGCCGTTGTTTTTGGACGGCTCTTGTATATTCGTCCCAGTTGGTCTGCGACCTTGCCTGGAGGTAGTCCCGCCGTCGTCTCTTCGTCTCAGCGCAAGCCTTGCTAACCTGCGGGCACCACCACGGGACCCCAGCGCCTCGGCCAACGGTGCGTCTCGGGACCGCCACGTCGGCGATCTCTTGGAGGTTCCGGATAACCCAGTCAACAGCCTGGTCCAACTCCGTTATCGTCTCAACCGGCAAATAATTCATAAATCTCTGGCTTGATTCGGCTACGATGAGCCACTTATCCGCCATCGCCCAGTTCCACCCTTCGACACTGCGGCGGCCCTCCTTGACTGCCTCCCCGTTGGATATTACCCTAATCACTTGCGCTCTGTGGTCTGAGCCCTCTAGGCCCGGGTCCCCATCGTAATCAATCCTAGCCCCTTTCGTCACCCAGGCTAGGTCGATAGTTGAGTCTCGTTGTTTGTGCCTTTGCCGTGTGATTTCCCCGAACGGCGTAACGAGCTCTAATCGCCAGCGTCGCGCAAACTCCACTACGTTGTCGCTGCCCCGTGACGACCGTCCGTGGACGTCCCACAGCGGGTGATGTGTATTGAAGTCCCCTACGAGGACCTGTGTCCCCTCCGGCGCCCCATTAGGGAGGTCTTGGAGCGGGCTGACCCAGCGGCTCCCGGTCTGGTTTGGTGAATAGATAGACCATATTGTAAGGGCGTCCGGGCCTACCCCGAACGTAATACTACCCCAGTCCATCCCGGTACGGGGTCGCAACGTAGCCACGTCGTATCGTTTATGGACATATAGCGCAGCTCTGCCGCTGCTGTACACTACTTCGTACCTGGACGACTTCGGGCAATAAATCGCCTTCGTCCGCCGGTTGATCCATGGCTCTTGAGCCGCTATCATATCATAGTCACCCCCCTTATCCAGCGCTAGCGTTGCGTTCGCCTTTGAATCTGCGATATTCCAGTAGAAAATAGAGACTACCATTAAGCTGTCGATGGTATATCTTCGTTCGTACGTCCATTAGTGAGGAAGCTACGCATTGCTGACGCAGACCGTTCGGTTCGCTCCTGCTCCACTCGCGATCCGCCTAGGGGGCGGCCCCGGGGTTGTACAACTGTAAACCCGTCGCTGGTCAATGAGCTAGGTGGTGTGAGCCTGCCCTCACTAGATAACCCGTCCGAGTAGCTGCGGACCTCAAATTGTCGGGGGCGGTGAGCGTACGCCTCGCGTACGCGTAGCCGCTGCTATTCTGCCGTAGGGCAGTCCCTGTCCCACGCCGTGTGCTTCCCTTTGCAGTTCACACAACGTTTTTTGCCGCTAGGTGCCTTCTCGGGGCAGTCTTTTTCACCCCCTGGGTGTGCCGTTGCAGCGCAGACGCCGCAACGCGCCGTCTTCTTGCAGTGTTTCGCGATATGGCCGTATTCGTAGCACTGGCAGCACTGCCGAACCCGAAGATTGCCGTCGTACGGCTCGCAATCGAATATCTGGGCCTCCCAAATAAGCCCTTCGGAGCATAGTTCCATCGCCGCCTCCACGCTATCCACGTGTAGTATCAGGGCCGCATACGGTGCTTGCGGCGCCCGGGGGAGGTTCCTTTTAGCCTTAGAGGTGCTTTGTATTGTCCCGCTTCAGGTCTTTAAGTAGCTGGCTCTCGTCGTGGACCTCTCGCAGCCGTTTCGCAGGCAGCCCCTTCGCGATCACTGCAACTTCTCTGCGGTTGAGAAGTGCCTTATCGCCGAAGGCACTACGCACCCACCTGCTGTCCGTGGTCGCCGCTGAGGCCGACTGCTTAAACGTCACTACGGTATCGCCACTGCGCAGCCTGCGGGCCGCCACTGCATCGGTGCTGCCGCGTGCACTGTTCACCCCTTTTACGACCTCAGCCGCCGATCTGTTCTTCATATTAGGGTCCTCTGTCCCCCGGATCACTACCTCTCTCTCCCTTCGCTGGGGCACTACAACCCGCTGCTGCCACACTGGGGCTTCACCGGGTCCCCGTCCCTGGGCCGATCCTGAGGCGATTGAGGCCCAGGATCGAGTTGTAGGCAAGGCCACGTTCTTCACCGTATCCTGCATGGTCTTCTCAACCATCGTCTGGATCGCCGCAGGAATTTCGGCAAGGGCCAGAGTCACTGCCAGTACGTCGGCATGTGTGGCGGGTCTGTCGCCCCCCTCCTCCAGCGTCCTGCCGGCTAGTTTCAACCCCAGCCAACGCTCCATCAAACCCCCCATGACCTCAATCTTCTCATGTGGGACCAAGTCGGCAATCTCTTGTTTTACCTTTTGTCGTTTTTTTTTCGATGTCTTCCCTCTTTGCGTTCTTCCTGCTGATGCGCTCCACGTTCGGTGCGTGGGCACTTTCGTTGGCCTGGGGGTGGTGAAAACTCTGTTCGAGTCCCGCCCGTCCCCCGTCGATCACCATCGGCGCCGCCATCGCTTGCGTCCTCGCTTCGCGTGCGATGCGAGGTCACTGTCCAACGTAAATGGTCGTTAGGAATCGAATGCCGCAATCGGTTTGATGATTTGACGCTGTTCGAAGAAGTTATCGATGAAAGTCAGAAACCTCCTTGATTGGATCTTGCCAACAACGAAGAGCTCTACAGTTATAGAAGCATTGGAGAGCTCAGTGATGATTTATGAATAAAAGAGTATAATTAAATGTAAGAACTTCCAATACTAGTCATGTCATATTAGTTCTTCAATATCAAGCGTTACACCAATCTACACCGAAAAAACACGCAGAGTGCTTTATCAGACTTATCCCCGCCGAGCCGCAAATCTCTCATACCTGTCCGCAGACCAGACTCTCATCCTCCTGCCCCAGATCATCATCATTATAGTTGACGAGAGAGTGACGAGACAAAGTATGGTAGCGGTGATAAACATGTTCTCAAGTCCCATTGATTCGATCCAGGGTGTCAAGGCGAACACTATAAGAGTGGCGAACGCATTCCTCGTAAAGGCAATGGGAACCAGGGCACTGCCAATAATCTGAGGGAAAGCGCCAATTAGATTTGACGCTTCTCATCTAAACTCGGGAAATGGTGTCTTACCTTGCTGTAGCAATCTTGAACGTATGTGAGGACGCCGTCACCCAGGAGACTCATGCCAAACCCGAAAATCGCGAGGCCTATTGCGGGTATAATCCACGGTTTGCCCTTGAGTTTGATGTCAATATACCTGTTTTCTCATAACTTCTAGGAATGGAAACATCTCACGTACTTCAGTCATACTCAATCCAAACACCAACATACCAGTAGGAACCAGGAAGACTCCTGGTAACGCCATCCACAGCCTCATTTCCGGCTCGTAAGTCCCTCCATTGCGTCTAGCCAGCTTCAGAATCAACCAATCGTTGACGGGGGCGAACATGAGGCCGATGACGCTGCCGATGAACGGTGGGAGGTTCATGAGTCCAATCGCGGATGCTGAAAAGTTGTACGGCTCGATCGGAAAATAAGTCGATAGAGTGGTTAGCAAAACGGAGAACCATGCAAGTAGCGAGCCCCAGATCAAAGCCGTGTACGCCACCGGAGGCAGTGCGAAAAGCTCCAGAAACTCAACGATCTGCTGGAAATAAGGTGCTCCCCGAGGCTCTCGAGTAATCAAGGCAAAGCGCTCGCGAAGGGGTCTCTTGGGGAACTCCGCAGTCGTTTTCGAAATTTGAGGTTCCGCAGACTTGACGTCGCCATGAGCACTAGAAGTAACAGCACCATCCTCCCCATCAACATAGACATCGCCAGTTTCTGACGATCGCCGGCGCAACTGGGCAGGGACCCTAACGGCGTACTTGGATTCCTCGTAGAAGAAAACGAACAACAGGAGAGAAACGCCGAGTAGAATAGACGTCCACCACCATATCCACCGCCATCCCATAGCCACAGCCACGTAACCCGCTGCAACAGGCGCCAGGAAAGAGCCCATATTCACCATCATCAAATACACTCCGTTCATAGTCGCACGCTCGTGGACGAAAAACAGGTCCGCGACCGTTATCTGTACGATACTCTCACTGATCGCCCCGGCGGCACCACTCACAACATTGACGGTGATGAGTTCGGGTCCCGTGTTTACCTTGGCCTGCCATATCCCCGTGGCGAGCTGGATAGCGGTGCTGACGATGTAGACGGGGCGGCGGCCGTAATTGACGGCTAGGGGCACGAAAAATATGCAGCCGACGGCGATGCCGGCGCAGCACGAGGCGAAGGAGTAGTTCATGTCTTCGTAGCTGATGCCGAGTTCGAGGTTCATGGGGGACCAGACTACGGTGCCTATATCGAGACTGGGGATTGAGCTTGGGTAAGCTGGGGGATAATTGTGAGAAAGATGTTGTGCTGTGATTGACGTACAGCACAAAGGTCATGAGGGCGTAGAAGCAGACGATGCCGTAGTGGACCACCTTGCGGGCTTTGGACCAATTCTGACAGAATCTCATCAGCAAGCAGTGACGGGTCAGACTAGAAGAGACGGACCAGCGGCTGTTCGGGGTCTAGGGATGGCTGAGGCTGGAGAATGAGCCGCTCATGTTCCGAAGATACTACAAGACCAGGTTAGAATTGCCCTGTCGTTGACAGAGCTGTATACTTGCCATCTTCTATTGACACCGTGCCAGGCAGCAGCCGGTGGAACGGAGTATCGTCCATCGTGTTGAGCCTAGTCAGTATTTTCGATAGAGGTCAAAAAGAGCGAATTGCCTGAAAGCCCGGAAAGTCAGAGCACAGGTCTAGCAACACCCACTTCGTGTACCTGTGTCCTGACGTAGTTGGCCACTATTAATGCGACTACAAACTTTATAAAATACTGTGAGCGTGATGAACCAAGTTTACGGCCAAAATTTATAGACGAGGAAGAGACGAAAAAAAGCAAGCCTATACCAGATTATCTATAGCCTATTGAGAACCTCAGGAAATCAAATGCCGCCATGGTCCTTGATAAGCTCAACACTGGGAGCCGGCGTGGTGAGCCAATCATAATAGGTCAAGGATCCGATCGTATGCAGGGATGCAGTCATGCCTGCAGCAAGTCAGCCACATGATGCAGTGAATGGTGGCCGTCATCAAAACGGTTACGCGGGTGCGCCCCGGGAGAACAGAACATGGCGGAGTTAAAGCAGTATGATGCCCTCGATCCCCCACCCCCCATGACCTCAATCTTCTCACGTGGGACCAAGTCGGCAATCTCTTGTTCTACCTTTTGTAGTTCTCTTCCGATCCCTTCCCTCTCTGCGTTCTTTCTGCTGGTGCGCTCCACGTTCGGTGCGTGGGCACTTTCGTTGGCGTGGGGGTGGTGAAAACTCTGTTCGAGTCCCGTCCGTCCCCCGTCGATCACCATCGGCGCCGCCATCGCTTGCGTCCTCGCTTCGCGTGCGATGCGAGGTCACTGTCCGACGTAAACGGTCGTTAGGAATCGAATGCCGCAATCGGTTTGATGATTTGACGCTGTTCGAAGAAGTTATCGATGAAAGTCAGAAATCTCCCTCCAATGCCTGCGAAGATTTAAAAAAGGGAGATTTCTGACTTTCATCGATAACTTCTTCGAACAGCGTCAAATCATCAAACCGATTGCGGCATTCGATTCCTAACGACCGTTTACGTCGGACAGTGACCTCGCATCGCACGCGAAGCGAGGACGCAAGCGATGGCGGCGCCGATGGTGATCGACGGGGGACGGGCGGGACTCGAACAGAGTTTTCACCACCCCCACGCCAACGAAAGTGCCCACGCACCGAACGTGGAGCGCACCAGCAGAAAGAACGCAGAGAGGGAAGGGATCGGAAGAGAACTACAAAAGGTAGAACAAGAGATTGCCGACTTGGTCCCACGTGAGAAGATTGAGGTCATGGGGGGTTTGATGGAGCGTTGGCTGGGGTTGAAACTAGCCGGCAGGACGCTGGAGGAGGGGGGCGACAGACCCGCCACACATGCCGACGTACTGGCAGTGACTCTGGCCCTTGCCGAAATTCCTGCGGCGATCCAGACGATGGTTGAGAAGACCATGCAGGATACGGTGAAGAACGTGGCCTTGCCTACAACTCGATCCTGGGCCTCAATCGCCTCAGGATCGGCCCAGGGACGGGGACCCGGTGAAGCCCCAGTGTGGCAGCAGCGGGTTGTAGTGCCCCAGCGAAGGGAGAGAGAGGTAGTGATCCGGGGGACAGAGGACCCTAATATGAAGAACATATCGGCGGCTGAGGTCGTAAAAGGGGTGAACAGTGCACGCGGCAGCACCGATGCAGTGGCGGCCCGCAGGCTGCGCAGTGGCGATACCGTAGTGACGTTTAAGCAGTCGGCCTCAGCGGCGACCACGGACAGCAGGTGGGTGCGTAGTGCCTTCGGCGATAAGGCACTTCTCAACCGCAGAGAAGTTGCAGTGATCGCGAAGGGGCTGCCTGCGAAACGGCTGCGAGAGGTCCACGACGAGAGCCAGCTACTTAAAGACCTGAAGCGGGACAATACAAAGCACCTCTCTAAGGCTAAAAGAAACCTCCCCCGGGCGCCGCAAGCACCGTATGCGGCCCTGATACTACACGTGGATAGCGTGGAGGCGGCGATGGAACTATGCTCCGAAGGGCTTATTTGGGAGGCCCAGATATTCGATTGCGAGCCGTACGACGGCAATCTTCGGGTTCGGCAGTGCTGCCAGTGCTACGAATACGGCCATATCGCGAAACACTGCAAGAAGACGGCGCGTTGCGGCGTCTGCGCTGCAACGGCACACCCAGGGGGTGAAAAAGACTGCCCCGAGAAGGCACCTAGCGGCAAAAAACGTTGTGTGAACTGCAAAGGGAAGCACACGGCGTGGGACAGGGACTGCCCTACGGCAGAACAGCAGCGGCTACGCGTACGCGAGGCGTACGCTCACCGCCCCCGACAATTTGAGGTCCGCAGCTACTCGGACGGGTTATCTAGTGAGGGCAGGCTCACACCACCTAGCTCATTGACCAGCGACGGGTTTACAGTTGTACGACCCCGGGGCCGCCCCCTGGGCGGATCGCGAGTGGAGCAGGAGCGAACCGAACGGTCTGCGTCAGCAATGCGTAGCTTCCTCACTAAGGGACGTACGAACGAAGATATACCATCGACAGCTTAATGGTAGTCTCTATTCTCTACTGGAATATCGCAGATTCAAAGGCGAACGCAACGCTAGCGCTGGATAAGGGGGGTGACTATGATATAATAGCGGTTCAAGAGCCATGGATCAACCGGCGGACGAAGGCGATTTATTGCCCGAAGTCGTCCAGGTACGAAGTAGTGTACAGCAGCGGCAGAGCTGCGCTATATGTCCATAAACGATACGACGTGGCTACGTTGCGACCCCGTACCGGGATGGACTGGAGCAGTATTACGTTCGGGGCAGGCCCGGACGCCCTTACAATCTGGTCTATCTATTCACCAAACCAGACCGGGAGCCGCTGGGTCAGCCCGCTCCAAGACCTCCCTAATGGGGCGCCGGAGGGGACACAGGTCCTCGTAGGGGACTTCAATACACATCACCCGCTGTGGGACGTCCACGGACGGTCGTCACGGGGCAGCGACAACGTAGTGGAGTTTGCGCGACGCTGGCGATTAGAGCTCGTTACGCCGTTCGGGGAAATCACACGGCAAAGGCACAAACAACGAGACTCAACTATCGACCTAGCCTGGGTGACGAAAGGGGCTAGGATTGATTACGATGGGGACCCGGGCCTAGAGGGCTCAGACCACAGAGCGCAAGTGATTAGGGTAATATCCAACGGGGAAGCAGTCAAGGAGGGCCGCCGCAGTGTCGAAGGGTGGAACTGGGCGATGGCGGATAAGTGGCTCATCGTAGCCGAATCAAGCCAGAGATTTATGAATTATTTGCCGGTTGAGACGATAACGGAGTTGGACCAGGCTGTTGACTGGGTTATCCGGAACCTCCAAGAGATCGCCGACGTGGCGGTCCCGAGACGCACCGTTGGCCGAGGCGCTGGGGTCCCGTGGTGGTGCCCGCAGGTTAGCAAGGCTTGCGCTGAGACGAAGAGACGACGGCGGGACTACCTCCAGGCAAGGTCGCAGACCAACTGGGACGAATATACAAGAGCCGTCCAAAAACAACGGCTCGAGATCAGCGAAGCGCAGACGCGTAGCTGGCACGAGAAGCTCGAGGGGACGGCGAAGGATCACAAAAGCCTGTGGGCACTGCAGAGGTGGGCTAGGCTACGGAGCTGGGCCCCCCCTGAGGCCCACGGCTTGCCAGATCTCCGGAGGGACGCCGGCGACACGCTTACAGCACGTACACATGATGAGAAGGCAAAATTACTAGCTGAGAGGTTCTTCCCAGACCCGTATATAGATCTATCGGACCTCGATCGCGGCCTATTACAGACGAGACCAG